AAAAAAAAAAAAAAAAAAAAAAAAAAAAAAACGAATATCGAGGTGGCTATGAAGGCGGTCAGGATAGTAACATAACAGTAGTTAGCAGAGACAACTTGGAACATTTATAATCTTGGACCAAAAGTAAACATTCTTGTTGACACCTGCCGAGGGTTTCTCCGGGCGCCGGACCAACACTCTCGCACCTAATCCTGGTATTCCACAAGCTGTTAGCCCATCGCTTGCTTCCCACTTTCCTCCCGCCCGCTCATCACAGAACGCCTCGACAACAACACACACCACACCACACCTTACACAAGTGAAATTCTACTTCAATCCGCACGCAAAGAAGTCGCACTTGCGCTCAAATCGCATCTTTAATATTTCGCATTAGCCTGAGAGCAAGACAAAGAACAAACAGAACATCTTTTCCTTTTTGCTTGCTTATCATGCCTCCCAAACGCGCGACCCGCGGAGCCGGCGCCGACGGTCGCAAAGCGACCACAACCGCATCCTCCAAAGCCACCACAGGCGCTACAAAAGCAGCCAACAAGAAGACCGACTCCAAAGCGCCCGCAAAGGCTGCTGCTACGGCGGCGCCTGCCAGTCGGAAAAGAAAGGCCGTCGAGTCCGAGGACGAGTCTTCTGCGCCAGTTGCGCGCGTCCAGAAGAAGCAGAAAGCTGAGATCATCAACCACCCTCCCACAAAACGATTGGACGTTTACGTCTTTGGAACAAACTGCTACGGTGAGCTCGGTCTCGGTGATGCGACCAAGAAGTCGGAGATCCCTGGTCCTGTGCTCAACCCCAAGCTCGCGGCGGAGAGTGTCGGTGTGGTCTACCTGGCTGTCGGAGGTGTCCACTCGGCGGCTCTGACGCATGATAACAAGATCCTCACCTGGGGTGTCAACGATGAGGGAACACTTGGCCGCGACACCAAGGAGGAGCGTAAGGAGGTTGAGGAGACCAATGGTGTCAACGGGGAAGAGCAGGAGGAGAAGTCTGACGCTGACTCGGATGATGAGGATGAGGTTGACTTGAACATGAAGGAGGCCACTCCCATGCCTGTCGACTCGGCTCACTTCCCTGAGGGTACCGTCTTCACCCAATTGGCAGCTACGGACAGCGCGACGTTCGCACTCACCCAGGAAGGAAAGGTCTATGGCTGGGGTACTTTCAGAGTAAGCTCTACAATTTCCGGTGAAATTGGTCCCGTGTACTGACAGCCACTAGGGAAGCAATGGTGTGATCGGTTTCTCTCCTGACATTAAATTCCAGCGCACGCCGATGCTGGTCCCCGGCCTCGAGAAAGTGACAGACCTCGCTGCTGGTGCACAACATGTTATGGCGCTCACGTCCAATGGCCAGGTTTTCACCTGGGGTTGCGAGGAACAGAACCAGCTTGGACGGAGAATCTCCGGTCGCTTGCACGGCAAACTGGAGAGTCTCGTTCCCGGTAAATGCGCTCTGCCCGCCGGAGTTGTCAGCATTGGCACCGGCTCATACCACTCCTTTGCTGTCCGCAAGAACGGTCACGTGCACGCTTGGGGCTCGAACAATTTTGGACAGACTGCCGTGCCTATGAGTGCAGGCCAGAGTGACGCCGTGGTTCTTTACCCAACTGAGGTCAAGTCCTTCCGCGAGTTCAGCAAGATCGTCAGCATCTGCGGTGGAAAGGACCACAGCGTCGCAGTGACGGAAGATGGCAAGTGCCTGACCTGGGGCCGTGTCGACAACAAGGCCCTTGGTCTGGCGCTTGCGGATATGCGTGCCGATGATCTGGTGCACGATGAGCATGATCGGCCTCGTATCCTGACCAAGGCCACTCCGTTGGTGGATATCAAGGATGAGCAGATCGTCTTCGCTACTGCCTCCAGTGACCACTCGTTCGCCATCACTAAGGAGGGTAAGGCGTACAGCTGGGGCTTCAATGTTCAGCGTCAGGCCGGACACCGTGAGCTCGATGAAGTCGAGCGACCCACTCTTCTTCAGAACAAGCATGTCACCGGCAAGAAGCTCGTCGGTGCCTCGGCGGGCGGGCAGTTCAGTATGCTGGTTGGCGAGGCTTCACCGCAAGTGAATGGCGAGCATGCCTGAAAGTAGCGATGTAAATCTGAGAGTATTTATTGCTGTTTGTCTAGATACGCTGGCTTAAAGACTCTGTACTATTACCACTGTTATGTTGCATTAATGGGAATCACTTCAGTTTAATACAATTGTGATGTTCAGACATGGCACCGCTCGCTTGTACACTCGGAACTGCTCAGTTCAACCTGCTTGATAAATGAGTCAAGTATGTTTGATCTGTCTTACTCTTCTCGAGTCTCTAGCCAAGACCTTTGCAGACAATTCCGGACTACGTCATATCTACCACGTACGAAGAAAGCCGCTCTTGAAAGTGCATCCGAAGTCGCTGACAGAAGCAAGATGTTGCGCACATCCTTACCATCTGGCTGGAGGTACTCTTGAGATCTTCCGATCCCTAGTACCAAGATAAGAGGCAGCAACTATGATTTGACGCTTGTCTGGCATGTACGAAATCTTCATATACCATAGACGTGACAGATCTAGCCATGATAATGAACGGTAGTATCATCATTGCATTCAATCTTGGGTCAATCCCATGTAAAAGATGATGCCTGTGTTGGTTCGATCTCAAGCGCCCTGCCGCCGAATAAGTCCAACCATGGGTTCATTCTAAGTTCTGCAATCTGCAGGATGCGTCAATCAGGGGTGCAGGGGTGCTTTAAACAAGCCTCATCAACCCTGGCCTTACCTCAGCAGAACGCAACCCAAATTGTTTGATCTAATGTAAACTTCTGGAACCTGTTATCCTCGGTACTACGAAGTACAGTATCGTTATTCATTTGTGTTCCTGAGGCTATCCTTCGTGGCTACTTGATAGGGCGAAGGCAACAGCGGACTCGGGATCAGGAAAGCCGAGGGGGTGCGTAGGTCACGTGCCGTCTCACACAAGTTCGTCCATCACTCCACCAGCGGCCGTGCTTCTACATTGATACCTGAGGCGCGAACACCAGACTTGGCATTAAACAGATGCGACTCAGTATTCAGACTTGCTTAATTCCCCTGGTAAACATTATCAAAAGCTTATTTTCACGCAAGCCTATGTCCGCTACTTCCAGCTTGAGCTCTGATTCCTCTCTTGTTTCACCCATTCAGACCACCTCGCAGTTTCATTCGTCCTTAGGGGTGTTCTGCTTTTCTCAACGCTAGAATAACTGTATGTCCACTAGATTCACTCCGATTCCTGGCATGATTGATGACAACTAAACTTATCAGAATATAACAGTAGCCTTCGAGCTGATCAGGCTTCGCTTTCTACACATCACCACCATGTCCTCGTCAACAGCTGAGTTCGAAGAGGGGGAGGATTTCAATATCCCGTCACGTCCACGCCAGGACCTTATTCGACAATCAGGGAGTATGTCTGTCAATGAGATATCCAAGCCGGGTCGGCTTTGTTCCAAGTCTGCAATATCAGAAAACTTGCAGAGAAGGCTCATTTACTCATAAATAGTGCCAATTATGCGACTGGTTTCGAACAGCTTTGCCCGGGTGTACTAATATAATAATGGGTGGGAACACCGGACACCTAGTAATAGACCATCAAGCGCAGCCTCAGAATCCAGTCCACCAGCACACAATACAAGAGCAGAGACAAAGATGGAGGCTTCTCGCCGCGTGCAAGCCTCCTAGGTATTTTGACGTGGGCAACAGCTGACTATCGGTCATCCTTACAGTCGATAAAGTAGTTGACATGCCATATTCGGCCTGTTGATTCTATGTCTCTTAAGTCAGCTTAGTTTAGCTGTAAGCTCTGTCCAGATGGGCTGAGCTTGCTGAAATAACCCTGGCCAAGCTTCTTTCTTTCATTTAGCCAGAACTACCAAAGCTCCTTTCCTGTCTCCTAGACTGAGGCGCCCGGGGAAGCTCTGCTTGACTAGCAAGTCTGACTCAAACTATTTCCCGTTCTTCTGGCTGGGTTTGAACATGGGATAGGTCTTGGCGCACCGGCTTTTGCCCGCCCGGCCATCATTGTAATGCTCGAGTCGCAATGCCCTTTAGATAGTGAGAAGTAGTCACTCGCGACGAACCAACAAGGAGTTGCTTTGTGGTTCGAGACTGATGCGAGGCATTGAGACTTGCCAGATCCCTTGTTATCAACCAGCGGTCAAGCATCTGCAGCAGTGGCGTCCCCGGCCCTGGCCTGATTTAGAGTTACTCGATCCGGTGACACTTGGTGTTTGAGGACGGCTAGGTGCGTAGTGCCCCTGCTACCTCTCCCACGAAGCACCTGTGAAATAGAGCGCTCTTGGTCTCAGACCTGACGCGGTTACCTTGGATCTTGTCAATGTGCCTGCGGCATGTCATTGTCGATTATTTGACGGGGCCGGATTTAAGTTTCCACGTGAGTCGGGATGGACTGAATGAACCAGACCCAGAAACGAGAGGATTATCCGAATGGAGGAACGTCAAGTCGAGGGATCTGAAACGTGCAACAACCCCTAGTACCAGTGCATATGCTTGTTAGCCAGTCATGAGGCAGTCTCGGAGTGGAATCGACTTAGGCAGACTTGAAGTGGACAAATCGTTGATCGCAGCCATGCTACTTCGAAAGATTGGTGTATCCCCACGGGGCCTATCATACAGGTAGGGGAACCATTAAACCAGTGGTCCAGTCTTTCGGAGTCACACCGGTGATCCAGGCCGCGTGCAACCGCTTGCAGCATCATTGGCGGGGCTGGAAGATGAGGTCTCGCGAATCGGGAGCCGATTTGGTGGTTGGTCACAGGTCATCGTCCATTGGCGGTCTCGAAGCCCAGTGTCGTCTCTTGTATCACAATAAGATGCACCTACCAGTCTGCTTGACTATTGAGGGTTCATTACCAGTTTCAAGATAGCAGAGAAGAGGATATCACTGATCTGGCATAATCATAAACATAGTGAGAGACGGATAGTTGTAATAGTCGTGGCATTTGATCAAGACTGCTGCGACTTCACTCTGAGACGGTTCATCGTCTCAAGTTCTTACAGGTCAGGAGTATATTTCATTGGACCGGACTTTTTGTCCTGGTGGTCTTCCGCTTCTTCTGAGTTGGGTATCACCTGATTTCATGCTTACTGCCATTGTTCAGTGAAGAGAAATTCCTTCCTTTGATGAAACTGATCGGTGTTATCAACCCTCGACTTCTGACCAATCATCCATACAGCCCATTGGACAATGCAAGAGCATCGATGTTCCTTTAGTACAACAAGTACAAGTCGTTCCCCTGTCAAGTATCTTTTGTCTGAATCTCACCTCCCCTCCTTTGTGATGCAGCGGGTACCGTACTACCGTGATCGATTTCCGGAACTGATGTCCGGGGGACGTGGGGAAACTGGGGTGAATTTCTCGGCGACGTAAGAGCAACATCAGTTGAGTTCAAGATATAGAAGTGAAATTCTTCTTCTCTGAAAGGCTTGCTATGCATAGAGAAGTCTTTGTTTTCTTGAAGGAGCATGTGCTGGAAGGCAAAGGTCATGACTACAACTGTTACTGTGTGCACATCAGTAGGATTTGTAGGATATCACTTAACATCACTGCACTACTTGACTGACTTGCCACCACTGCTACTTACTACTAACTAAAAGCAAAGTCGGTAGCCCCGTGGATCTCTCCCCGCGGGGACTTGGAGTCGGGTCTGTTTACCTACACTTTACCTGCAGCGGAGTTGGTGAATGTAACCCGCTTCGAGTATTGGATCGGATCCGCCCTCTCCTCCTGCCACTCTTTGTCCTTTCCTTTCCTCCCCCTCTCATCTTTCCTTCTTTTCATCTCTTCCTCTTCTCTCACTTCTCCCCTCCTTTGTCTCTCTTCATCTCTCCATCCCCCTCTCTTTCCATCTTCCTCCCTTTCCATTCCTTCCCATCACACTCCTTCCTATTTGCAACTTACGTTGTAGCAATCAACCTCCTCCCTTAATCCTGCATTTCAAATCTCTTACGTGCCTGTGTTGGTCTCGGCCAAGCCATGACAAAGGACGAAGTGTCTCAAATTCAGGCTGGTGACGCCGAGATTGACCATAGGTAGGTGCTTCTCTATTCCAGTTTTCTTCCTACATGAGCTACATGCTTACTTCTGACCTCAGCCTCGGTACTGAGCCTGAAACCATGGAAAAGGGCACTGCTGAGCACATCAATTTGAACAACAATGTCACTGCCAAGTAAGTTGCTATCACAGCCTCGCTGTGCTACGATCCATGGGGCGGCGGCTAACCTTGTACCAGAATCAAGAACCCACTCGCCGACTTGACTCCTGCTCAAGTGATTCGTGATGTCGAAGATTTCGCTCGCGACTTTCAGTTGGGCGAGATCCTTCCTCAGCTGACGAAGGGTGCTCTTGTGGCACGCGACCCGGAGATGTATGCTTCCGTGCCTGATATGAACAACGAGGAGATCACCGCCGTTCGTAATGAGACTGCCCACAAGTGGAGTCAGCCTCGTGCTCTGTACTTCACTATCATTCTCTGCTCTATTGGAGCTGCAGTCCAGTAAGTTCTCTCCTTCACCTGATATGGGAGTCCGAACTCTAACACTCGAATCCAGAGGCTGGGATCAGACTGGAAGTAACGGTAAGCCTGGATCTTGCATCCCTATATCACTAGAACCTAGACCTGACTGACTAACTCTCACCTTTTAAGGTGCTAATCTCTCCTTTCCCGTTGCTCTGGGTATCCCAGAGACTGGTCCTGATGCCGCTAGGAACCAGTGGCTTGTTGGTCTTATCAATGCGTAAGTCACCCTTGCCCCTTTACCGAGCGTGTTACCATAGACATAGGCCACCAAGCTTATATATCAAACAGAGCTCCGTTCATTGCCAGTGCCTTCCTTGGTTGCTGGCTGTCTGACCCTGCCAACAAGTTCCTGGGTCGCCGTGGCGCCATTTTCATTTCGGCTATTTTCTGTCTTCTCTCCCCAATCGGATCGGCTTGTGCTCAGACCTGGCCCCAACTGTTTGTCACCCGTCTCCTGTTGGGGCTGGGAATGGGACTGAAAGCGGCCACCATTCCCGTGTTTTGTGCTGAGAACACCCCGGCTTCGATCCGTGGCGGCCTGGTGATGTGCTGGCAGCTCTGGACTGCTTTTGGCATTCTCCTTGGCTGCTCGGCAAACCTTGCGGTCAAGGACACGGGTGATATCTCATGGAGACTCCAGTTGGGCTCAGCTTTTATTCCAGCCGTGCCTTTGCTTCTTGGCGTCTATTTCTGTCCCGAGTCTCCTCGTTGGTACATCAAGAAGGGTAAGCTTCGCAACGCATATCAGTCTCTGCGACGATTGCGCAATACTGAATTGCAGGCTGCACGCGATTTGTACTACATCTATGCTCAAATTAAGATCGAGCAGGACATTGCTGGTACGGGTAGTTACATCAGCCGCTTCGGAGAACTGTTTACCATTCCCCGTATTCGACGTGCCACCCTCGCTTGTTTCACAGTCATGATCGCACAGCAGATGTGTGGTATCAACATTGTCGCTTTCTATTCGTCTACTGTCTTCCAACAGGCGGGTGCCAGTGTTACTGGGGCTCTCTTTGCGTCCTGGGGCTTTGGTCTCGTGAACTTCATTTTCGCTTTCCCTGCTGTGTTCACTATCGATACCTTCGGTCGTAGGACTTTGTTGCTCTTTACCTTCCCAAACATGGCCTGGACTTTGCTGGCTGCTGGATTCTGTTTCTACATTCCCAAGGAGTCTACTGCTCACCTGGCATGTATCGCGCTCTTTGTCTTCATCTTCGCTGCATTCTATTCTCCCGGCGAGGGGCCTGTTCCGTTCACCTACTCCGCCGAAGTTTTTCCATTGTCCCACAGAGGTAAGTCGCCATTAAACTAAGTCCTATATCAGTTTTTGATCTAATAATGTCATAGAGATCGGAATGTCCTGGGGTGTCGCAATCAATATGGGCTTTGCTTCGGTCCTTTCCATCACCTTCCCCCGCATGCTTGCAGTGATGACTCCGACCGGGGCATTCGGGTTCTACGCGTAAGTCATCCTTCAATTAGTCTTAAGCATTCCGAAGCCTGACTTATCTTGTAACAGAGCTCTCAATATCACGGCCTTCGTCATGATCTTCTTCTGGGTGCCTGAGACCAAGCAGCGGACTCTGGAAGAGCTTGACTACATTTTCGGAGTGCCCACAGACATGCACATGCGCTACCAGCTGTTTGAGGTACTGCCCTGGTGGATCAACCGTTACATCTTTCACCGCCGCAGTGTTCATCTTGAGCCTCTGTACAAGCTTGACCACCTCGCGACTAGCGGCTAGGTCGTAGGAGAGCGACTTGCACTAATGTCGTCAACATTCCTTGTTTCCGTCCTGCTCGGGCACAGCCTCTGCAGCGCATTCCTTGGTTGTGATGAAAATCCTCCGTGGTTGTAATATTTACTTCCGGAGTCTACGTGGCATGAATGTGTCAGACTGAATCTGGAGGGAAATATCACTGTTACCATGATGAGAGATCATGTAATACGTTAGCTGAAGATGAATGACAATCTATGATTAGTCAGTCTGGGTTCGTAGAGTAGACGACCATCAGTGGGTCGTACGAATTACAGAGTGGTTTGGCGGTCATGATATGCTCGAGACGTAGGCACAACCTTGAGATAAGAGATAATTTGAGAAGCTTCTACTGTAGACTCCAGCCTTCAGACTCTTCCTGACTAGCTCATCAAGGAAAGATGTCCCATACGGAGCCATTAACTGCATATGGCCTGTGAACAATGAAAGGCATCTCACGAGGCAGGGACAGAGCCAAACCCCTCGGGAAATAATTCCGGTCGAGGAAGGCGGACGCCCCCGCCTCACTCTCAAATCTCGGAAACCATTGCTTCACGGGGAAATCTAGATACCAGGTCACCAGGCCATACAAGCTATTCTCTGGATTCCACGCTGCCCTACTCCATACACTAACAAACCAAACCCACCAACCCAGCCCAGCCCAGCTCTATCAATCCATGGAGGCTTTGATCTAGATCCGAGCCGACCCCAACCGATACGCCCTCCACACCTCGAACCCAAGCGACTCATAAAACCCCTCAACCACCACCCAGTCGACCATTACGCCGTGCACCCCGCGGCCCCGAAGATGCGCCAGCGCGTGCGCCAGCATCGCCACCCCGACGCCCTTCCCTCGGTGTTCCGCGTCCACGCCCACGCACCCGATCAGACCCGTTGTGCTGCTACTACTACTGCTGGTGCTGCAGGCGGGTGGGAGTGCCCATTGCGATTGTAGGACTGATGACGAAGGGTCGAGCATGAGGGTCCAGCCGATTTGGTGTCCTTTGGGGTCGAAGGCCGTCATGATGCTGTTTGGGTGGGTTCGCGGGTGCAGTGTTATGTAGGTTTGGACCCAGGCCTGTTTGTACTCCTTGTCGGACTTGTTAGTTTGGGTTTGTCTTGGTTGTGTTTGTGCTGTGGGGTGTGGGGGGTTGGGATGGGTAGATGGATGGATTGTTGGGTGGGCTATTGGGGGGGGATGGGGTTGGACCTGGTTATGTGAGAAATTCTTTCTCTGGCCGGCGATGCATTCTTCGTATTGATCTGGTTGCAGTGGCGCGAAGGTGTAGCCTTGGGCTTGGGCTTTGGCGATGTGTTTCTCGTCGAGCTGGAAGTCGGTGATGGTTCGGTAGAGGTCGACGTGGCGGGGCGGTGGGGTGGTGAAGGTGAAGCCCTGGGTTTCGAAGAAGCGGGTGACTTGTGGTGGGAGGTCGTCGGGAAGGCCTGGCCAGAAGCGCGGGAAGGAGCTGCTGAGGTCGAGGCGGGTGATTCTGGGTTTGGCCGTGGTTGTGTACCAGGCGATGGCTTCTTGTATGAGCGTGTTACCTATACCTTGGTTTTGGGCGGTTGGGGTGACGGCTATGGCCGAGAGGTAGGCGGCGTTCTTGTCGTCGTCGTTGGTGGTGCGGGTGTAGGTGAGACAGAAGCCGACGATGGTGTTGCCGGTGCGGGCGACGAAGTGGTGGCCGTGCGGCTGGGGGAGGAGTTTCTGGAAGCTCTCCAGGGGGAGTGGGTATGTGGGTAGGGCGGCGTTCCAGATGGTATGCACCTGCTCGAGGTCTTTGGGGTCGTCGAGGGATGAGAGCTCGATCGATAGTCGATGCTCCTTGGTACCGACTGGCAGTCTGCCTGTTGCAGGAGCAGCGCCGAATATCGCAGATACAGCAACTGTGAATGCCTCGAGTGTTGGCTCGTACGTGGTGATGTAGGTGCTAATGGTAGGCTCATCGAGGAAGTCATAGGGACTGCAGGCTGCGATGCTTATAAGTGCACGAGCACGACTAGGCAACGCTCGTCCCATTTTCCTCTGGAAAGGTGATTCACGCGCGTTGATCGTGGTGAGAATCACGACGTCCGCGGCCTCGACGAGACGCCACTCCTCCGTAGACAAGCCTGCTTCTCCGTAGCGTATCTCGGTCACATTGGGGTTGTGTCTCTTCAACACGTCGAAATATACGGAGCCATTGTAGGATCCCACGCGTCCAAGCCCTTCTCCATCTACCGCGCCACCAGATGGGATTTTGTCTCCAGGGAAGAGGAAAATGACCTTGCTTGACACCGAGACGGGCAGGATCTTGGAATCGTCTCGAACAACAGTTACTGATCTAGCATAGGCAGCATCGGCCAGCTGACGATTTTGCAGGTCGAGTTCACGTAACTTCGATTCAAAAGCTTCATCGACTCGCAGCGCCTCCTCCCAGCTAAGGAGGTTCTGTTTTAGCTGGGTCACATGTCGATACGCCTCCTCCAGTCTAGTCATCGGAATCCGTCCTGCTCCGACAGCCTCACAGACACGGCGAACCGACGCAACTTGGACTCCATATGTATGGCAGATCATGAAACTATCGCTGCCAGCCGCAAGGGCGAGAACGGAGCCTTCTTCAGTCCCGTATGTGGCACGAATGCCGTCCATTTCGAGGCAGTCTGTGATAATCATACCATCATAGTTCATATCCGTTCGCAAAATTCTCAATACTTCTGGTGAAAGGGTGGCCGGTAGGTTGCTATTTCCCAAGCCTGGAAGGGAGATGTGTGCTGTCATAACAGCCTCGATTCCCTCGGCTGTCGCGCGCCGGAAGGGCACTAGCTCGCATCGCTCTAGTTGGTCCCGCGTCTTGGATATCACAGGAAGACCATAGTGGGAGTCGGTCGCAGTATCTCCATGCCCAGGGAAGTGCTTGACGCAGGAGATAATGTTGTGCTGGCGCTGACCCCGGGCGATGGCGCTTGCGAAACGACCGACGAATTCTGGATCGTCGCCGGGACTGCGAACGCCGATGACGGGGTTCAACGGCTCGGAGTTGATGTCGCAGACAGGACCGTAATTCATGTTAACGCCAACGTGCTTCAGCAATTGGCCTGTTGCCATTCCGACCTTGTAGGCCAAGTCGGGGGAATTGGTGGCGCCCAGAGCCATAGGCCCCGGCAACTGAGAGGCCATTGGGGGTGAGATTCTGGTGACCCATCCGTTCTCCTGGTCGATGCCAATGAAGAGAGGATGAGTGTGGCCAGCTAATCGTGCCTCTCGTTGTAGAGCAAGTGTTAGAGCCTTGTAACATAGGCTATGTATCAGTAGCATGTTGCGTCTATCAGTTCAGGATAGTCGTGCTTACCCGGAGTTGGGCGACGTCAGCAATGTTTCGCTTGAAGAGGACAACGCCTCCGATTCCATATTCGTGGATCAGGGTCTTGATCTCAGTACTAGGTTCCTGGCCATGGAAGCCGACCGCAAATAGCTGCAGCTTGTTTAGGTATTTCCTCGCTGCGGTGCATCGATAGTTGAGTTGGAACGCAGCATACCTGGCCGACTTTCTTCTGCAAAGCTGCAGACGACATCTCCACCAGACGATAATGAGCTGAGAAGAGCCGGATCTGTTGATTCCGTGCAGTACTGAGCTGAAAGCACTCTTAAGCAGAGGTGGTGCAAACAATGCCAAGAGGTTGTTGTTGTACCGGCGTGAAATGAGGGGAGAAAGTTGGTGATCGATGGGGACCGGCAACGCTCCTGTCGATCTCATTTGCCGGGCAACTCCATACCAAACCCCACCTGCACAGAACTGTTTACGGGCCCTGGCGCCCCCCCCCCCCCCCCCCCTCCGGATACCTATTCCCCCGGGTCGCAGGTCGTAATCATACTAAAGTAGATACAAAAGTTGCTCAAATATGGAATATAGGCGAGAACCCACCGATCGGATAAGTGGTGTTCGGAGATGTAGGCAGAAAACAAGGGTGAAAAACTATTTTTTAAGCATGTTAGGGAGTATTACAACAAACGAAGTGCCAGCAAATCTATTCCAAGTAAGAATTTCTCGGAAGAACTGATGTCAGTGTTTTCCCAATCGTTTTCCTTTATTAGAAACTTGGTGAGGATAAGAATCGAGAACTCTCCCATCCGTGCGAGGCTCTGCTTGGTATGCAGGCGGTGGTGGTGAGGGTGGTAAGATTGAGATGGGTGTTCTGATATCACGATGAAACTGGCCGAACGAGGCCTTCGGTGAGGTCGATCCGGTGCCCTCTAGCGAGGCTTGATGTTTGACGCTTATATTCGAGGACCTGTCGGTGTCTCTTTCCGAGGGCCTGGTATTGGCTTTATACGAGGGCTTGAGATGCCAGATCCTTGGTGAGGGCTCCCGTGAACGGAGATCTGGATAACGGTAAAAATAGACTGCAGACTCAGGCGTGATGTTGTGTTATTGCTATACGCATATCCCTTCTTCTGTGTAGCCTCGAGCTTTTCAAACGCTCCCCCAACATGAAATATGAGAGTCGTCATTCTCAGGTCATATTAACCACTTCTGATCACGGGTGCCTACCTTCAATAACATACTCTTCCCTCCTTGATCTCCTTCTCTTCTTCTTTTTAAGCGAACATTCGCCACAATCATCATCGGAATCCATCAATCAGCTAGAAAGCTAACACAGACAATCATCTATCATCCCAAGCCTTCCGCAGTCTGTTGAGGTGTTGATCCTTCGCCTTTAGGACGCATCTTATCTGTTCCAGAATGTCTCCATCAGCTCAGGCCGTCGATCCTGCCGGCGGTAAAAACCACAATGAAGAAAAGCCAGGTGACCTGGTGGCCAGTATCAAAAGGTTGAATATCTCTCATCTGATCAATTATGAATGAGGAGCTAATAAAACAGGTACTACGTGTCCTCCGAATTTTCAGATTTGACCGTCCATACCAAGATCCAAGAGTTCAAAGTCCACCGACTGGTTGTCTGCGGACAGTCCGAGTTTTTTTCTCGTTTATACAAGAACGAGTGGGCAGTAAGCTGACGCTGACTCAGTCGGTGACAAAGGGAGCAGAACACTGATAACCCTTAGGAAAATATGAAGAACGAGGTCAATATCTATGAAGACGACCCCCACGCGATAGAAGCAATGTTTCGATCCATGTACGGTCTCGAGTACGACAGCAGGGCTGGTGACCATACATCATCCTTGATATTTGCTATCAAGGCATACCAGGTTGCAGACAAATATCTGGTTTCACGGCTCAAAACTCGAGCAGTAGAGAGGTTTCGAGCTCTTGTGGAGAAGTGCTGGCAGACGGATGACTTCCATGATTTCCGAATAATTATTGCAGAGGTATCTGAGCGTACGAGAAGGGATCAGGATCTTTGGAGGATTCTCACGAGAATCTCTGCAGACTATATCGCGGGACTAGGGGATAACGAGAGTTTCAGGAACGCCCTTGAGGACTCCAATGGCTTTGCTGCGGATCTTGTTCTGGAGATGGCCCGGAATGGGATCGGAAAAGCATCCGATCTCATGCGGAAGTACCGTTGCAAAGTTTGCGCTTCTCAGTATCGAATGCTGAGTAAGGGCAGATATAAGTGTCTCCAATGTGGCCCACTCATGCTAAACACCGAAGCAAAATAAGTATGAAGAAGGAGGGCGATAAGCCGGGCTAATGAATGACGGAACCACATCCATATAACTTACCATGGAGTCAAGGTAACGAGGATCAGCGGCGCTGATTGCGTGCGTTGCCTGTGCAGATCAATGGAAAGATAGTATACTTGTACTAAGTTCCTCCATGTAGCCACGAATATCACGCCTCACGCCTCCCGAGCCCTCGCGCTCCCAAAACGCTCAAAGTCAATTAAACACATTGAATTTTTGGATGTTGTGTTGAGACTTTCTTCTTTAACAGATATTAATGTTTTCTTTCGCTTTGATCAAGAATCTGGTGTACCATACGCTTTCATTCCTCCCCTGCTTTCCACGAAAACGAGGCTTTTCGGCTTGGCTTAGCCTTGAATGGCTGAGGCCGTGGGCCAAGCTCGCCAACCCAAGAAATAACTTAGAACAGAAAGTTTGGTCTTACTTTATCAAGACCTTTTTACGCTCTTCTAAACCGGCGCTTTCAAGTTGTCCGGTCCTGCCGCTCCTCGCTTTAGCGAGAATGAAGAAGGCTTTGTGATTCGGAACCGTCGGTCTGTATATTTCGGCTGTTAACGGCGATAAGGGGGCATAGCCCCGAATCCTTCGTCTCTCCACCCGAGCAACTACTATTTCTTACTCAGGGATGGACATTGTCGTAAGCACCACTCAAGGATCTGGAGCTCCACAGCCAGTATGGCAGCAATTATTTATTTGTCCGGATTTACTCGGGTCGGACTTAGCACATTGATGAAGTATATGAAGACAAACATATTCCACTTCCACACCACTTAACAATACAATTCGTCGTGCTACGCTAACAGACGTCAGTTTGAACGACTCACTGCAAATCAAGCTACTGCAATCATGATTCCCTTGATCACACTCGAAGAGCATTACAGCTCGCGGAAAATGAGCGCAGCTAGCCCAGAAGCCCAAGCTCAATACGCCGCATTTCCCCCGCACATCCGCAACAAGCTGGAGTCCCTCGGCGACGAGCGTATCCAGGACCTCGACAAAGGCAATGTCTCTCTCCAAATCCTCTCGCATGGACCCGGCGACATTGCCGCACCGTTATGCACGGCCGTGAACGATGATCTGGCCGCTGCGGTCTCTCAGCACCCGACCCGACTCGCAGGGTTCGCGATGCTTCCGATGAGCGAGCCACTAGCCGCTGCGACGGAGCTGGAGCGCTGTGTGAAGGAGCTGGGCTTTGTCGGGGCGCTGATCGAGAACCACACGGGTGGAAAGTACTACGACGACGAGCGCTTCTGGCCGGTCTTCGAGAAAGCGCAGGAGCTAGATGTTCCGCTCTACATCCATCCCACGTTCGCCACCGATCCAATGATGGAGTACTACAAGGGGAACTACGACGACTCGGTCGCGCTGGCGCTGAGTGCGTATGGCTGGGCCTGGCACACGGAGACGGCCCTGCATATCCTAAGGCTATATGCCGGTGGGGTCTTCGATCGCTACCCCAAATTAAAGATCGTGATCGGCCATATGGGCGAGATGCTTCCCTTTCAGCTCGATCGTGTTTTCACTGTTTCTGCGAGGTTCGGGAAGGAGAGGAGCTTCCAGGAAGTCTGGAGGAATAACATCTGGGTCACGACTAGTGGCATGTTCTCGTTGACGCCGCTGGCTTGTCTCTTGAAGACAACCTCCATCGAACATGTGCTTTATAGTGTTGACTATCCCTTCTCGACTAACGAAAGGGGGCTGGACTTTTTCAAGGAGATTGAGAAGAGTGGTCTGATCGCGGGCGAGGATCTGGAGTTATTTGCTTATCGAAATGCGGAGAAGCTGTTGCGGGTCACAGCTAAGAAGTAGGATATTGGCTACATATAGTGTATAAGTGGAAAAGGGGCGGGGCGTTGCTGCCACTGCTAAAATGAAGTGATGATCCTTGAATCGCTTATGCGGGGTTAACTTCCAAGCAACCGGCGGTTGGGTTGCATCTTTCCTCGGCATCCTCCATCCCTTGATTCCTTCGTGATATAAAACTTTGAGGCTTAGTTCCAACACTGTCTTTGAGCAGCAATATTTCGATTTAGTTAAGGCAAGTTTACAATCTGGTGAAATGTCAAACGAAACGCGTCGAATCGATCCACAAGACTCCATGATAGACCACAGAAACGATACCAGCGCAGATCGCGATCACAGCTCCAACAATAAGCACATTGACCACGAGACAACACTTTTATCCCAAGAGCAATCATTTGGTGGTCTAGGAGGAACTGAGCATCTCTCCAAAGCGGAGAACGTCCCCAATCAGCCCGCAACGACCCGCAGAGAGCTCTGGTCCTACTATCTGTACTACAATGGTAAACACGCCTCATCGCTGTGCGCAGTAGATCATTACTGACCAGTTCTAAACTAGGCGACAATGGGGTGGGTCCGGGCTCTTATACTCAGACACTGTATGTCTACTTCATCTTACAAAACCTTTCAATTTCTCGTATCATGAGTTAATCCCATGCCTTCACCAGCTTTCAATGGGCGTTGAACGGCGCTGGCTGGCAACCAGACACCAATCCACGCAAAGCATGTACAGACAATTCGCCGTGTGTAGTTCCATGGGCTGGAGGTACTCGCTCCGTCTCCTCTGTTGTTCTGATCGCCAATGGGCTGAGCTTCACATTCATGACGGTGACATTCGTCTGGCTCGGAAGTGCAGCTGATTACGGCTCCTTCGGACGCTGGTTGCTGCTGGTATTGACCGTGATCTGCTGGGCTATGCAATACAGCATGATGTCAGTTCGACATCCCAGCCAATGGCCTACAGCAATGGGTCTTTACGTGATTTCGTACGTTGCGTATGGTGCAACACTAGTCTTTTATGCAGCTGTATTTCCCAGGCTCGCGCGCCATATGCCGCATGTTCGAAAAGCCCGCGAGGATTTGAAGGAAGGAAAGCTCAGCCAGCAGGAGTACGATGCTGTTGAGTCGTTGGAACGGAACCATATCAGGTACGAACGCCTTTCTTATCGTGGAGATGACACCTAATAGCTCGTAGCAATGTTTCGACAGCACACAGCAACATCGGATACTTGGCAGTGCTGGTCCTGAATCTAAGCGTGCTTTTGCCACTTCGGGACAACTCTTTCTCGAATAATCTTGCGCTCTGCTTGACGAACTCATGTCGGTCCCCCATCCCATCGGGTCTGGGAAACGAATGCTAACCAAGATAGATTGGGTGATTCTAGGAATCTGGTGGTTTATCTTCCAGCAGAAACGACCCGGACCCAGGGTTCCCGAGGGGTCAAGCTACGCGACCATTGGATTCAAGCAGATTTGGCTCGCCTTGCGTAAGGTCCGGGCTTTACCCCAAACCTTCCTCTACTTCGTGGCGTACTTCCTTCTCGCAGACGGGCTCAACACCACCGGTAGGCGGATCGTACTCTGGTATACTCCTCTTTTTGCTGAAGTACGGTTCTCAGGGACTCTCGTATCGATCATCCAGAACGATTTCGTCGCATTCTCCTTCCTCCAAGTCACATACCTAGGCATAACCCAAGCAGCATGCTCAATCGCTTCCACTTTCGGCTTCTGGTACATCCAAAACTACTTCCAGATCCGCACAAAGCGCATGTTCCTCATCACGAACTTCTTTACCGTGCTCATTCCATTTTGGGGAATGTTGGGCTTGTGGACTAAGCGCATCGGATATCACCACCGGGTATGTTACCGACCCCTTTCGCACTGAAACCCCTACCCTAGACTTCAAGGTTCCTAACAAGACTCCCTGCGCTTCAGTGGGAGTTCTATCTCTACAACGTCATCTTCGGTCTCTTCCAAGCTCCATATTACGCCGTAAGCATTTGCCTTCCCCTTCTACATTTCTCTAATGGCAACACCAAAGTTAACCCGACTAACCGAGTATGCACAGTACGCCCAAACAATGATCAGCGAGCTCATGCCCCCAGGCTACGACAACATGTTCTTCGCTCTCTTCGGAATTACGAACCGCGCGGTGAGTGCACATCCACATCCCCTTTCCTAGCAGTAATGGCCCTTCTCCAAAGCCGACACGTCACTGAGAACCCTATGGCAAAACAGTCCTCTATCATCGGCCCGAACGTCGTGCAGGCGATTATCAATGATACGCGGAATAACTGGATGGGATTCCCGTTTCTGTTTGCGATCTGTGCGGCGGCGATGGTGGCTATTATGTTTGTGGATGTGGAGAAGGGGAGGGAGGATGGGAGGCGGTTCATGGAGGAGCATGCTGTTGCTTCGGCTTCGAGTGCGGGGGGTGGAGGTAGGGTGGGAACAGGCACGACGGTTAAGGGGCCTGTGATTATTAGTACGGAGGAGGGAGAGGGGAGTGGAGTGTCGAGGGGGGGGTAGGTTTATCATGCTGGGCTTTGAGGTTGTGGGGGTGGCGGTGCTTGGTATCTCCTACTACCGCATATACATGTGTGCGATACTATTACCTACCTCGGCAACCAAAGATCCAGCAAGTGTGTCGTGTATCATGAAAGAGTCACCAAGCGGGAAGTGTTTATTCGAATATTGCCATCAAACCGTCCTTCCCAGCTCATCGGATTAGATCGTATCCAGGCAACTCAATCAGAACACCAAGCCCATGCACATACGCCACAAATACATCATCATCAGTATATAATATTACACACCATCACCACCACCACCACCACCACAATAGTCAAAGTCAAGCCTTCTCCCTCCGACAATCTACCGCCTCCCTCCACCGCACCCCGAACAAAGCAGTCAACCAAACCGCACCCGCAGCACCAATCTAAACCAACCCAACCCCAACACCTGAATCACCGGCATCGCCACGCCCGCCCCCAACGCCGCAAACCCATACCGAAACGCATAATTAGCGGCAACAACCTCGGCGCTACGGCCATGTTCCTGCATCACATCCAGACAGTAGGCATTCAAGCCAGGGAAGCAGCAGATCTGCGCGACGCCTTGCACGAACATAAGCACGACCGGCGGCGGGATCTCTCCTACCCCGGCCGCGACGGTCCACCCGTACACCAGCACTCAGATCGGGCTAACCATCGCCAGGAACGGCAGGCATGCGCGGAGCCAGTCCTCCGGGATGCGCTCCCCGCCCCCGCGAAGGATGTAGTGCTGCGCTATGCGGTCTGTGTACCGCCCGCTGAAGAATGTGCCGGTCAGGTAGCCTAGTCCTGGTGGGAGGTGGAGGAGGCTTGCTTCGATGGTGCTGGTTAGATGGAAGCGCGGGTTGAGGGTGTGGTCCATTGGGGTTAGGAGGGCGTATTCGTTCCAGACGAGTGCGCCGGCTGCGAGGCCTGTGCTGAGGATGTTCGGGTAGCTGATTATCAGGTTGAGGATGCGGATCGGGGAGGTTTGCTGCCAGAGTTCTTGGGCTTGGGTGCGGAGCGGTAGGTCGCGGTGGATTCGGGAGGTTTTGTGCGCGATGGTTTCGGGCAGGAGGAGCGTGGCGATCAGGATGGTTGCTAGGAGGCTGAGGGCCGAGAGGAGGTAGAAGATTGTGCGCCAGGGGCGGAAGGTTAGGATTATGCCCTGTTTATTTGAAGAGGGGTTTAGTTGGTGGTGTTGGTGGTTGTCTTGGGCGATGTAGATGGGCTGGAGGTCAGTATAAGGAGAGCGGGTGTCACTCACCCCGAGAAAAGGGCCCAGAGCCGGGCCGGTTAGACTCCCTGATAGCACCCAGCCTAGTGCTGATGCACGGGTTGTAGGCTCGTACATGTCGCTGACGATGGCGTTGCCAATGACCAGAAAGGCAGTGCCTTGTAAGGCGGCACAGCCTCGGAATATAAAGTAGGATACAAGATTCGGTGCCAGACCGGAGGCAATGGTGAACGCGAAGAAGAGGATTGAGCTTGCGATCAGAAGCTGCAGTCGTCAGCATAGGTCAATCCAAATCAAATTGACTATCGCTCACAGGTCGATGGCCCCATACTTGGCTTGCGGGGCCCCACAGACGGGCAGAGACTCCCATACACCCCAAGTAGAGGGGGTTGCTGGCGTATATAGTGTCCTGGGTTGTGTTGAATGTTTGGGCGAGGTCCGGGACTGCGGTCAGAATGGCTGTGGATGAGATCGGGGCCAGGAAAGCACGGTAGGAGGGCATGATAACAATGATGATTCGCCGGGTAGGTGAAAGATGAAGTTGATCTCCGACATGGGGTTCGCCGTTATCTTCTCAGCTCCAGCCAACGCAGTGTGTGAATTGCAACTTTAGGCCTGCACGAGAGTATGGGACGACTTGTGTGCAATCCACGCTCTGATGTCGACCTCTGGGAACGCTGACACTCATAAAGATCGACCTCTAAGGACAACGGATCGAACGAACCTTTGTCAGACATCTTACTGTTGCGCAAGACAGGTGGAAGGAGCGGTAGGTGCAACAAAGCATGCGAGGAAGTTTTGTTAAAGAATTGATGCTGCGAATATGCAGTCTTTGAACGAGTGGGTTGATATTGAAGGGGAAGCCAGCAGTACAGATGCTCAGTACTTCATAATGAGAGAAAGTGTAGAGCTCCCAAGCGCTTTCGTATATCAAGAATTGGCATGATCTACCACGAGCCTACGATGATGAAGGAGTCACGGGCTTTAAGAGGATCCTAGAAATTAAAAGTGGCAATCCTTGTTACTTCGCTAAGAGCCGTTGCAGGAAGCATCCCTCCAGCCCTTAGAGGGACCGTTGTGGCATTTTCGGGACGAATGGGCCATACCATTGGGTCAAATGACCCTAAGCAGCGCATAGAGCCGAATATCTCCCTCTTGGGAAACCGTCAGAGGAAATCTGCTTGAATTAGAACGTGTTCCGGACCCGGAAAGAAACTTGGGTGGTTGCAAAGCCAATGACAAGTGGTTGGTGGCCGTCTAACAAATATAACTTCGGGATCGGGATCGGGATCTATAGCGGCTTTAGCAGGACCGGCAGGATCATGATCGACACATAGGCTTTTCAGGAAGAGAACCCTGAATCGTTCCAGGATATGGATTATGATATACCGCATTATTTGGGTGGCACCGCATATGAAGGGACCCGTAGCGAGACAGTTCACGAGGGGGGTAATTCATCGTGTAGTGGGTAGGGGAGTTCTTAGGAGGAGCATCAGAAAGCATTTCCTCACGAGGGCCTTCGGTCCTGACGATCATCTCCACTCCATCAGCACCTAGTCTCAAAATAGTTGGTGGTGATGGTAGCGTAGATTTTTTCGGAGATTGGGAGGAGAAGCCCCCCAACTGTCGATCTTATCCGCGCATCAGGATCGATCTTCTCTTCATCGGTCAAAGCATTGTTGATGGAGGTGGAAAGATACCATGATCGTCTGTGTCATTCTCTCAAGCTTTCCAGAACTTGATATGTTTGTCCAAGCTCTGGTTTTCCTGGTATTGCCATGATCCAAGTGCGTTCCTGGAAAAGGAAGGCGAAGGTCTACTTACGGGGTATTTAATCTTCAGTTCTACTGGTATGGTCTCTAGTGCTTCCTTTAAGGTTTTGCCGCCGGGCCCGGGGGTGTTCGTTTATCAGCATTCCGTTTTCGGTCGGACCCAACCATGCACTCAAATGAATGATTCAAGCTTGTAGTATCAAATTTCTGGAAATCAGATCTGGCGGTAGCGAAATGCCCCAGGGCTGTTACACAACCTGGCGGAAAAGGTCCGGATACAGCCGTCTTCGGTCAGTCGCCAAGGGCATCTGTAATGATAGCCCTTATGACATAGTTGCTTCTATTGGCTTCGTCGACCTCCCCTCCGATCTTCCTCTTTCTGCTCCCTTTTTGCGTGGCTTCGTAAGTGGCTAACATCGGTTAAATGTATACGACCGAATGGCGGGGATCTTAGACATTGCACTTCTCCGCAACGAAGCATAAAAGTGTCGAAGCGGGGTGGAAAGAGAGCCGCCAGTAGGAAAAGAATAATCTATAAGAGTTCAGCCACCAAAGATCGCATGGTAGGTGACGCCCAGTGGCCATATCTTTTCACCAGATCCAATGTTGTGAGAGGCGAAGGAAGAAATCAGCGAAAAGGTCCAAGCCACCCCAGATGACGTCGAACCGACTAACCCCTGAATCGAGTTTAGCGGATGGTCACAATCTCCCCGTCCGCCTTTCCCAATCTCTCCCTTCTCCTCCCCTCCATGACATCTTCTTTCTACTACTGCTTTTCCCAACTTTCTCTTCCCCTCTCCCCCGCCTATTACTACTTTCTTGGCTACGTTTCCCCAAGTCCTTATATATCCACTAGTCATCCTGGTGGTCTTTCCCTTTCATCCGCAATTAATTTCTTCCCTTCGTCTGAAAAATGAGCTCCAAGGATCCACATAGCGGCGTTCCCGCCTCGAGCAAGGGCTCGTGGACAAGTTTCCTCAAGGTATGGAGACATCAGGCAGAAATTCAATATTCCCGTCGCGTACCACTTCATGACCTCGGTCTTCTTAATCAAGACAGTACAACAATTAGTAGCGAACGTTCTAACCATTTATTTCCCGACTATAGTCTATCGCTTCCTTCAACGGCGACCTTTCCTCCTTGACTGCCCCCCCTTTCATCCTCTCCTCCACCTCCTTGACTGAATATTCCGCCTACTGGGCAGAGCACCCTGCGCTCTTTGTGGCTCCCGCCAAAGAAGTCGACCCCGAGAAGAGAGCATTGGCTGTCCTGAAATGGTTCCTCAGCACCCTCCACCAACAGTACTGCAGCCGCAGCGAGAAGCTCGGTAGCGAGAAGAAGCCTTTGAACCCCTTCCTTGGAGAGCTCTTCCTGGGCAAGTGGGACTCCGATGCAGAGGTGGGCGAGACGAGCCTGATCAGTGAGCAGGTCAGGTATGTGGTCATACCTTTTATCTCCGCCGAGCTATATTGACCATCCGCAGCCACCACCCCCCTGCCACTGCGTACGCTATCCGGAACGAGAAGCACGGTGTCGAAGTAAGTTACTGAACACACTCCACAGGTCTATTCATAGCCAGCGAGTCCTAACCAGCGTTATCAGCTTCAAGGATACAACGCCCAGAAGGCGTCCTTCTCCAGCACCATCCAGATCAAGCAGATCGGCCACGCTCTCCTGACTCTCACTCCCCCGGGAGCTGACAAGAATGATGCCGCCCAGCAGGAGAAATACTTCATCACTCTCCCCGCCCTGCACATCGAATCCTTGATCTACGGAACGCCATTCGTCGAGCTCGAGAAGACGACCCGCATCGCCAGCAGCACCGGTTACATCGCCAAGATCGACTACTCCGGCAAGGGTTGGTTGAGCGGCAAGAAGAACACCTTCAGCGCCATCCTGTACAAGGAGAGTGAGGGCGAGAAGAAGCCCCTGTACACCGTCGATGGTCAATGGTCGGACTCTTTCGTCATCAAGGACTCCAGAAAGCACGAGGTGGACAGATTCTCTGTCAAGGATACCCAGACCACTCCTTTGACCCTGGCACCACTCGATCAGCAAGACCTCTACGAGAGCCGGCGGGCCTGGCGGGACGTGGCGGCGGGCATCGAGCGGAGCGACATGGACGCCGTGTCTGTGGCCAAGTCTAAGATCGAGAATGCCCAGCGTGAGCTGCGCAAGGTCGAAAAGTCGGAGGATCGTGAATGGGAGCGTCGTTTCTTCAAGCGTGTCAACGAGAGCGACGACGAAGCGTTCCAGCAGCTTGGCCCCAAGCTTGGCATTACCTCCCTGGAGAGCGACAAGACGGGCGGTGTCTGGCGGTTCGACGCGGCCAAGGCGGCGGACGCCAAGCCCCCTTACCACGCAACTGGGGGCGAGGGCCTGGGTGTCTCTGCATGAACAGGACACCGGTTGCGAGGGTAGTGGCTAGTTCTCCCTCGGTCTGCAAGGTCGGATAGAGTGGTGGAACTAGCAGGGACGACTGCCATCATAGATTGCGTTCTCTTTCACTTTTCTCGTTCAGGAGGTTTGGGTATCTGTATATAGAATAGCAGCGAGAACTGGATAGTTCCTAGATCACCCCGGCGGACTACTTTTCTGCTTGGGGTTCGTGAGTCAAGTCGACCGCGTGAAGGATAAGTCCTTGTCGGGAAAAAAGGATTAATCCTGGCATCCAGTTGGTCACGGTGGTCGGGCGATTATTATTATTATTATTGGTTCTGTTTTGTTTAAACCGTCAGTGAACAATGCAGGCAAACATCATCATGAAACCAGTCAATTCTCCTCGTGACGTGAGTAAAGCTCTATTCTCATCAGACCGGTAATTCTAGGAATGCATATAAAACAAACCCATAACGCCTGAACGCAACAATGAAATGTATATCATCACATCAAGAGAAAACCACGTCCCGCACTGGGCCATATATACTAGACTATACTATCCGTTCCTCCTCCATCTCAACCTCATACGCTTCTTTCTCCTCCACCAACTTCCCGGGGAACCCCACTGCCCAAATGACCATAACCGACCACATCAACACACTATCAAAGACATACAACGTCCACTCATGGGTGAGGATATACCCATGCAACCCCATAGCATACTCGATAACCCGAAAGATCGACCGAACGAGGATCAGCGCGCTGATCGCATAGAGCATATACATGAGCTTATCGAGGGGACGGCCGTACTGGCCGAGCCGCGGCATTGTACCCTCGGCTTGGGTCTGGGCCTGAGCCTGGCGATTCCCGATACTCCGTCGGTGAAACACAACCGCCACGACGATGAAGAACGAGAACATGACGACCTGGATCATCAGCCCGACCACCGTGATCGCCTTGGAGGTCGTCTGGCCCGTCGCGCGCACCATCAGGCCCACGCCGCTGCCCTGCACGATAAACGAGAGGATATCGCTGGCTACGAATAGCTTGGTTAGGTATTTCGGTGGGATGAGCGCTGCGGGTTTGTTTGCGTGGTTGGTGTCGCCTGGTGGTGTTGGCGTCGTCAGGGACAGGCTGCGGATGATTCGGCCGAGCGTCATGTAGACCGTTGCTGCGAAGAGGACGGGACCCAGTAGGATGAGCACGCTTTGGATCGCGTACAGGCCTACCGAGGCCGTGTTGAAGTAGTTTAGGATTCGGATTATGTAGCCTACTACTTCGACTATTTGGATTTCTGATGTTAGTGTTGGGTTTGTTTTGGGGAGTTTGGTTTGTTGGTCTCGTGGGGGGGTGTATAGTGGGTTGGGGAACTCGGTGGACTTACAGATTCCACCGATGCTGAAGGAGATATTGTACCATGCTCGCGTTTGGAAGAGCTTGAAGGAGAGGTAGCTGGTTACCAGCCCGAAGAGGACGGCGAAGATGGCTGCGGCCGGGATGGACGGGAGGTATGTCCACAGGTAATAGCCTCCTTCTAGAGGCTTGAGTTGGGCCATTTGGAGTGTGGTTCGTGGTTGTACGCACACCACTGGGCGGACTGGCTGATTGACTACCTATACTACTAAGTAGTAGCAGTTTGCTAGGTTGGTGTGGTCACGGACTGAAATTGATAGACTAGGTTTGTTCGACAGCTTCTGTCTCTGCTGTCTGGCCATGATGAGTCTATATAGGGGGCGTGGACCCCTCCCCTCAAAAGCATTGCTGTTAGTCTGGCACACGTGGAAATTTTTGAGGGCTATATACGCGTATAGAGAGGATTTGATAGATGGAGTGGTTCTCCAACTCAGCCATTGAGGAGTCGGTTTCGTTGCCGAGTATATTCCCCGATCGGGCTTAGAGGGCTGAGCCGTCTGTGCATACGCGTACCCCTCAATTAGGCAGGTCCCTGGTTTCGAGGTCTGTTCCACTTCAAGGTTTCTTTCCCGTGCACACATGCATCTACTCTGAAATGAATTCTCCCCTCCACTTATCCTTGGTCTCGGATTATCTGGCTCAATAAAAATAGACGCCTGCGTCCTTATAGGTTGGAATTCGTTGCTGCCTGAGCCTCAATCGTTTAAGCTTATCGGCAGACGGTCTCCCGATGCGGTAGTTGACCGTTGTTGGCCCACACTTTCCCATACATCCCAATCATTACAATACAGACGAGCCCTGGTCTGGAGGATGTGAATTGCGCCGGAATCATGACAGTTATGCCGCGGAGGACGCACCGAAAATCGCGCAATGGCTGTCTCGAGTGTAAAAGACGTCATATCAAAGTGAGGTTCCGACGTACAGCGATTGTAGCGCAGCCTGCTAACGATGCACCTAGTGCGACGAGAAACACCCGCTCTGCGGCAACTGTCGCAGCTCGGAACGTGTCTGTGAATACGCGGACCGCTTCAGGAGCAGCACGACCAGATCAGAACGAAGCACCGTCTCGACTCCGACAAACGCTGGACCCAGCCCCAGTGTTCCGTCGCCGCCGCAGGCCCCGGTCGAGCCTGCGAAATCGGTTGCAACGTGCTCCGAATACCAGCCTTTCAATATGGTCCACGCCGAGCTCCTCTTCAACCTCACAACAGAGACCATCCCCTCCCTCAGCGACGGCCGAACCCACTGGATGCTGAACCCCGACCTCATGCGCGTCGGGATGCTGACCCCCTACCTTCTGAACGAATTGCTAGCGATCAGCGCTCTGCACTACAGCATCGTCCGGCCTGCGGAGCGCGAGTGCTACCGCCGCCACGCCGCCCAGCTGCAGACTCACGCCCTGGAAATCTTCAGTCAAGAGCGCCGGGACATCACCCAGGAGACCTGCGTCCCGCTGTTCCTGTTCTCGTCGGTCTTGGGGTTGCACATGCTCTGCGACACGATCATCTACCGTGAGGAGAATAGCTTCGATGGCTTTCTCGACCAATTCGTACACTATCTCAAACTGCACCGGGGCGTACGGGCCGTCACCTCAGAGTCGTGGGAGGCGCTGCGGGGATCCATATTGCAGCCAATGCTCCAGTATGGGCAGGACATGTTCCGTTGGGATGAGGAACTGGGGCCGGAGTGTCGGAAGATCATGGATTTGATCGAAGCGGCTCGGCTGGGCGAGCAAACCACGTCGGTTTATCGGCAGGCGGTGCGTGCGTTGCAGATCTCAATGCATGCGACGGGTGTAACCGGTGGCGGTTCGAAGGTGAAGTATGTCGGAGGCATCACCGGGTGGCCCGTCATAGTGGATGTGGAGTACATCGAGACTCTGGAGCTGCGCCGACCGGAGGCACTGGTGATTCTGGCATGCTACGGCGTCGTTCTGCATCAGGCGAGGCACATGTGGGCTTTTGGCGATGGAGGTCGGTTCTTGATCGAGGTTATCGCGAAGCATTTGGGTCCGCAGTGGGAGGGGTGGCTGGAGTGGCCTACTCGGGTGCTGAGGGAGACACAGCGATGAGGCAGTGAGGTAGAGCGGTATTGTATATTCATAATGGTTCTAGCGGTGAGTTTGTTGTCTATCCATATAAACATACCCCTTCTGTGCATCGCGCTTTCTGTAAGGGTCACTGCAATCGGGCGGCGCCTGATTCGACAATCTGCCGAGCAACAGCCTAGTCGCAGGTCGCAGGTGAAGAGACTAAGCTTAATCTTGAGCTATAGCGAGGTGGTTATTAGAGAATTAGAAAAAAAAAAAAAATCGAAATGATTTGCTCACCTGTAAAGGTGATGCAAAAAATGTCCCAAAAAAAAAAGAAAGTGGCGCTGCCCGGAATCGAACCGGGGCTGGCACGGCCACAACGTGACGTCATACCACTAGACCACAGCACCTGTTGTTGTGGTATGCAGCTCAACTTAAAGTTTTATATACCAATAATACAATATCCCATATTCTCGGCTTTCTGGTGCTGCAGAGTATGGGCAGGTATGTGCAGTGGTGAGTACATGTTGCTGGATTTACTTACTTGACGGTTTATTGCCTCTCCTCACGTATGAAGCGATCGAAATAGATTCTGATGGGATTAGACGTGGTATATGGGGAAATTGCTAGGTTGCTTTGTGTACCATTGGATTTCAGGGTTCAACTATATATTTTGCGTATGGAGGCACTCAGTGCGGGCATGCAATTGAGTAGTGTGCCAACGAGGCTTGTATCATTGTAGTACACCACCACCATATAGCCCGGACATAATCCACGACGGTGTACGGAATAACCAGGCATCAACTGTCCATCCACCACAACCCCCTCCAACCTGACCCCAAAGCACACACCCTGACCAAAACGTACACCCAGACACGGAAACGGAGTCGAGTACCGCACCACACAGGATAATGGTAAACCCATAAACCCATATCCCAAACGCCACAACAGCCCAAGATGCAGCCGTCCTATCCTCCACCAAAGAGCCACGAGAAGAGGTTTAATATGTCCACACTGTATGTTACAGTACCCGCTTGGCACAACGCCATCCATCTGTTGTACATCCGCTGCCTCGGATTTAGAATAGCTCGCGTAACGACCCTAACAGACAGCAGCAGGCGATTAGTGGAAGGAAGCAAGCACAGCCAACTAGACGGCCTGAAAAAGCCACACACACATGCCATGTTATTCTTGACCTGTTGACCATTCGTGGTCCGAGGACCGCATTGATTCAAATCGTTAACGTGCTCATCCACCACGCTGCCTGATATATCACGGGAAACTAGGCTTGCGCTACAGAGATAGATTCTTTAATAGTGAAAGGTAGGTGTGCTCGTGGCTCATCGTGCTGCAGAGGTAGGTAGGTCAGGATATGGAAGGGACGGCACCTGCCACTGCAAATCAAGCCTATTAGCCCAGGATTTCGAAAAAGTTGAGCTCGGGGAGATAGAAACATGCAAGGATACATCACCACCGATATAGGAGAAGGCTACTGATCGTGAGACTTGCCTTACTTGACAGGAACCTAGAACTGGGATGTCGTCAGATGTTCAGTCTCGGGTCGCAGTCGCAGGCTTGAAGGCAGTCTCGTTCTGAATGTGATAGCAGCTCAACGTAAGTAAAGAGAGCCAAGAAGCGAAGTATCCGGGTGTCTCGTCTTTAGGATTCGCTGCTGTGTGTATTGTCGTGCGCGATGATAAGGACGTATGACCCGTAAGGGCGCGCAGAGATCTTGAATTCTGCATGATAGATCGGCCAACTTGACTTAAACGTTGTACTTGTTAGCTAGTAGTAGATGGAAGCTATCGTGTTTGGCGTACCTGGGACCGGCGTAGAAAGTGAGTCTTCCTCTGAGATGGAATGAATGGAGTAGGAGACATAGATACGAATTTCGAGACGTGCCAAATGCAGTGAACGCTTTATGTCGTGCTAACTACCCACAGAGATACGATTAAAAGCCTCTAGCCGTTTGGCAACACGAGAAAAAGATCGGAGAGTCACTATTTTCCAGCCCACAGACCATAGTATACACGAAAACCAGCTGATAAATGCGTAGGAAAGACCAAACCACGCTCCCCTACCTCCCATACTCTACCACCCAAGCCCCCAAATAGAAACCACAACCAGCGCAAGTAACACAAGACCAAGCAAAACCAACCAGAAGAGAAAAAGAAAAGAAAAATGTGCAAGTGCTATTCAACCGCCCCTCACAGCAACAAAGCACCTCCACCCTTACAGGCCGTATCTTCCCAAAGGCTATGGAGATAATTCACAATACAGGAGGGGCCATCCGACACTTGACTGGAGTTTGCTCTATGGTGTAGCTCGCCCGGTCTTCGCCAGTCCATGATTGCAAAAGCCAGGGATAGAACAGGGCCACTGCCCCCCTCAGGCCGAAGAATGGGGGAGGCATCTTCTCCCCCCAGGCTTTGTGGATAAGGAGGCCGGCACTCGAGATCACCAAGGGGGATTGTGCGAAGTCCTCACTTGATGCATTCCACCACACTGGGGAGCGGTAATACAGTAGTGGGCTTCAAATAAATCGATCTGAAGCGCGAACGTGGATTCGGGGTGACTGCGCGGTCCCTCAGGAGATGCCATGGGTGCACTGGATGAAACATCCTTGCGACATTTGGGGGTTAGTTGCGCAGCCTGCACTTCGGTCACCTGTGATAGGGGACCTCCCAAAAAGAAAGAAAGAAAGGCCAAGAGATACGAACCACAGAATGTGGGAAATAAGAAGCAAGGACAGAAAACAGGAGAAAGACAGACTAAGAAGCACAAGTAAAGCAAGAAAGAAACCGAAAAACGAAGGAATGACAGGAGCCGACGGCTATGGGGAGAGAAGAAGAAGAAGAAGAGGAAGAGGAGGGAGAAGACTTCTTATATAGTGAGGGGGACAGAGGGAACGAGTGGAGCCCGCTGGAAGCTGAGGTTGGGAAACAGTGAATGAAGCAGGCTTATCAAGCGGGTCCTGCCTGTGTTTCGTCGATGCCTGGAGGTACAGAGTGAATGGTAGACTGACGTGATATCCATCAATATATCCGGACTGGAGACCTCCCACTGAACACATCATCACTATCATCACATGATCCAAACGGAAATGTTGCACATGGCTTCGTGTCGAGACCATACGATGTGATGACTTCTGTAACTTCCATACAGTAGATGGCGATGCCAGATCAATCTCGGAAATGAGCTACCCAGCAAAGCAACCACCTCGCTAGTACGGGACTCAGCTGCAGGTAAGACTTAGCATGAACTCGCGATACGGAATCTTTTAGTATCGAAGCGCAGCTCACTGCTCCCGTTCAATCTTAGTGCACATACATGCGTTAACCGTCGTTGCCCAGTTACTTCATACATCAGATCAGATCCCCGGTGACAAACGCCGTCCCAATTCAATTCATTGCATTCTCGAATCCCCGTCCTGTGTCCTAATCCAGCCAGATTGCATAAATGATGTCCCCAGCCAAACCCCAAGAAAGAAGTAGTACAGGAAGCGAAAGGTATGCAAGGTCGATAAGAGCATGGGTTCAAGCGAGAAGGGTTTTCCATGGACCAGACACCGAGTTGAGGGCAAAGGGAGATAAAAGAAAATCCGCGAGGGAAGCCATCAAGTATCAGTTGAAGGACATCGGCATATGTCGTAACCCATGAGAGGAGAAAAAGAGCAAAAGGGGCAGAAACACAAAAGATCAAACGTTTTTTTTCCATTCAGTACATCATGAGTGCAACCCCGCGGGGAAATCAACCAAAGAAGCAGCCAGCCAAGCTCTCGTGGAGAGTACAGATTACACACGTGAGAAGAACATAAAAAGGAGCTATGTGTTAACAAGTGGCATATAAAACGAGATATTCTCCTTTAAGGGAGGGGCTTGCCGTACCCCGAGATCAAGGAAAAAGGTAAAGAAAAGCAAAGAGGGAAAGGGAAAGAGCCAATGTAGATTTCATCACCACTTAAGATGTAACGCCATTATCCCCTAGTGGCCGTAGTTGCCCCCCCAGCCTCCACGTCCAGTGTTGCCATAGTAGTTAGCGAAGCCTGCGCCGCCGTAGTTACCATAGCCAGTAGGCTGGTGGTGAGTCTGAGAACCCGCCGCCTGGTGACCGCCCAGACCACCCAAGCCGCCACCATACTGAGGGTTCAGGTGAGGGTAACCACCAAAGCCCTGCTGACCCTGCTGACCCTGCAGCGGGGGAAGGCCGCTCTGGGCCTGAGGCTGACCAGGGGCGCTGTTCGTGGCAGAACCAGGGCGGTTGGCCTGCGCAAGAGATGGGCTGGGTCCGGCCGCCTTCGGAGTATCGAAGCTCTTCGTCTCCTCAGATGTCACCGGGGGTTGTTGAGTGATCGGCTGGTTCTGGCCGAAGCTGCCCTGGGAGCGACCGAAGACATCCGACATGCCAGATCCGAAAGCGGTGGATCCTGCGGCGGCTGACTGCTGGCTCTCCGATGGCTGAGCAGATCCAGTACGACCATAGACTGAGTCACGCCCGGGAATGGTTTGGTTGAAAGAAGCCGCCGTGGCAGGTGAAGAGGTGTGATCGTAAGAGAAGGCGTGGGGTTGACCATACATTCCCGCCTTGCCGCCATAGGGACCATACTGGCTTCCATAGCCGTACTGGTTGCTGTGGGGCATATAGTGATCATCATATCGGCGAGCATCGTCGTACATCGGGCGATTTCTGCCGTACTGGTTCATTCCGCTCATGTATGAGGCGTAGTGAGGGTTGGAGTAGTAAGGGTAGCCGTATCCGTAGTTATGAGCACCCTGGCCTGGCATGTGCTGGGCCGTGGGCGTCTGGGTAGCGCCTGGGAGAGTTGGGTTGGGGGTGGTGTGACCGCTGTTGGGAGCTTCAACGTGACCGTAGCGGCTGGGAGGTTGCGTGGTGGGAATGTGCGGCTGCACTTCGGCGCCAGAGACACCAAACCCGGCTCTCTGGGCAGCAACGGTGGCGTCCTGGGATTGACCATAGGAGCCGTAGTAGTTGTAGGGAAGGCGTTGATCGACAGCATAGAATGGCGAGTATTCGCTGCCGGTGGTCACGGTTGGCTGAATGGGAGCCTGGTTGGCGAAGGGCTCTTGAACTTGAGGTTGAGGCTGCGTAACCGGCTGGGTGAAGGGATCATAGGGTTTGTGGGAGGCGTCAGCGTAGCGGGAGAAGTCGACAAAGGAGTTGTCGGCAGCAGACACCTGGGGAACAGGAGGAAGACCAGGAGCCGGACGGGCAACGGCAGGGGTTTCGGTGGGGACCTGCGCTTGAGTGGAAGGAGGCAGAGAGGCGCGAGGAGCGACGGGAGAATGCTGAGGAGGCTGGGCACGAGTTTCCGCATCTTCTCTGTTCTCGTCAATGTCAACATCGGCAGCATCGCCATTCAATCCCATGCTGCCAAACTGAACAGCCGCGCGATCCACAGCATGGTTGCCTGGCATAACCACGGCCTCCTGCTGCTCCATAACGCGACGTTGAGTACCCGGGGTGCGAGTGCTGTGCTTCAAAGCGCTAGAGGGGTGAATGCTGGCCGGGGCACGGGTGGGGGTTGCGGCAACCGGAGCATTAGCAGCAGACTCGAGAGTGCTGCCCACAGTGCTAGCTGCGGTAGCGGTGGGGGCGGGAGGAGAAACATCGGGGATCTGGGCGAGGTTGTTCCTGGTCAGATCGTCCTTAGGAGCGGGCACTTCGGCAGGAGGGCTAACAGTGATTGGTTCTTCGGTCGGCAGAGTCTGAGGGATGACAGGCTCAGGAGCTTTCTGGGCGGGTGCTGGAACGGGGACGGGGACAGGGATAGGAACAGGAGCCTGGGCGGGAACCGGTGCAGGTGCAGGAGCCGGAGCAGAAACAGGAGCGGGAGCAGGAGCCGGAGCAGGAGCAGGAGCGGGAGCGGGAGCGGGAGCCGGGGCGGGAGTGGGCTCAACTGGTTTCTGCTCTTCCACTGGCGCGGCAGCAGGCTTCTCTGGGGCCTGAACAGGAGCGGGAGCAGCGGGCTTCTTGGGCTGGGGTGGCGGTGCGGGTTTAGCAAACAGACTGGCCCAACCCGTCTTCGTTCCCCCGGGGACCACGCTGGGCTTGGGGACGTCGGGAGCATCGTCTTTCGAGGCATCGACAGGTTCGGAGGTAGCCGTAGGCTCGGCATCGACAGTGTTCTCCGTCTTTGTAACTGTGGCGGTCTCGGGAGCAGCAGCAGCAGCATCGGCAACGGTCGCAGCGACAGCTGGCTTCTCTGTGCGGGCGCCATTGGTGTGAACACCAGCCCTGCCTCCACGACCACCACGGCCCCGATCTCCACGGGCACGGCCCCGGCCCTCAAATCCACCACGTCCACGGCCTCCGCGAACAGAGGGGACGACTGACTCGGTCGGGGTGCTCTGTACCTCCTTGGGCTTAGGACGGCTGCGGTCTGCGGTCTTCTTCTTTACCTCGCCCCACTGAGAGACATTGCCTGGGTAGAGACAAGAGCGATGTCAGCAGCCGACCGAATGTGAGTAGCGTAGCAATGGGGAGTGGGAAAAGAGCAGACCTTCACTGATGCGATCAATTGCTGCCTCCAAGTCACCACCAGCATCCTCCAAAGCGAAAATCAAGTCCTCATCGGTCCAATCGCTGAACAATTCCTTCAGCATGGGCAGGGTGTCGGAGTACTTCTTCTTCATCTGGCCAATTTCTCCTTCATCTTCGAATGCGGCGGGTGCGCCCTCTGAGTTGTCTGCCTTTGTGGATCTGCTACCACCGCGACCACCTCTGGAGCTATAGCCGCCACGGCCGCCACGGGCAGATACTCTGCCACGGGAGGCAGAGGGCCTTGATTGAATTTCAGACATATCTTCTAGTTGTTATTTGTGAATCTCCCAAATCGAGAGATGGTGAAGGGAGAAAGAAAGGAAATGGAGAATGTGACCCAACGTAGTCGAAGGGGAGAAAACAAGGTGCGGCTAGTGGGAAGAAAAAGCGGGTAAAAGGTCGTAATTTAGTGTACGGTAGCAATGATGGAGATGCAGCCTCACGAGAGAGGTCAGCAGCACCCAAGAACCACTAGAAAAGGCACACAAGGGCCGAATTGTTCGAGGATTCTGGGTAAGGAGGAGTTGAGGGAGGGGGAAACGAAAAGAATACGAAAAGCTGGAGAACGAAGTTGACACACCAGAGGAAATAATTCTTTTGGAGGGGGGGAAAGAAAGGAAAGAGAAAGAGTAAGGAAAAATAGGTTGGAAGAGTTGAAGGGGGAAGAGTACAGGTAGGTTGGTAGGTAGGAGGTGCAGAAAGTTTAGCTTAGCAGATCGAGTTCATGGATTTGGATGGGGTGGTGGAAGAAGGGCGGAAGCACCACCAGAAAGAAAGAAAACACGACCAGACAAGGACTGGTAAGGAACAGTACAAATACAGTACTGATCAGAGTGGCCGGGCGCGGCTGAGCGAGAAGCAGCCCTGGGAGTGGTTGCTTTAGTCACTTCACTCTACTCATACTGTAATGAACAAGTCCTTACAGTACAAACTTGGGGTAAGCTTGTCAGTGTACTGTGAATTTCGTCATCCACTACTACTTCACTACTTCACTTTATATAGCGAACACATGAACAAGGACAATTCATCCCTCTCACAATATGGTGATTACAGCTTATGGACTCTCTATTGACTCAAGGCATGCTTATAGTTCAGTACTTCTCCACTCAACATTTTGGGGTTAAGCATGTCACGTGTTACTCATGATACTGTTGACCCTTCTGGCTGATTGCGTCGTGAGGTGGCAGCAGCAGCAGCAGCCCAGCCCTCGCTCACCGCCCGTCAACTTGCGTCCATGATCCGCTTCAACTGGCCGGTTGACTGACCGCGGCGCAGCGCAGGCGCCCGTCGGACTAGCGTTGCCTCATCTAATCAATATCACATTGGCTGGCCCCCTCATCAAACCACCTCCGTCCCTAGCTTTTATTGTCATTTTGAGCAGTAAAGAGAGCAAATCGTTGACTTTCACGACTACAGTTGTTTCTTACACGCTCGCTCGCTCGCTCACTCATTCGCCCAAGTTACAGACTTTTCTCTGATCTTTTGATCCCAGTGGTCTTGCAGCCATCACGTCATGAAAGGCACACCAAGACTAAATTACGCTCCCTGGCTCAAAAGCCTTCACCCCCCGTTGCCCCGGACGCCCCGTCAGTCTAAACAGCTCCTCAACGCCCTTACATCCTCTTTTCGGCGTCAACTTGATCGCGAATATCCATCCACCCGTGCATCCACCCTCGATAAACTCGATGTCTCCGAGGAGCAATCGCCGAGGAATCCCGAGTCCTCCAGTTATGCGACGGACAAACATCTCCAAACCATCTTGGAGAATCCGCTATTTCGAGTGAAACCCCCGAAGGAGGCCAGGGCTATACGGTCGGAAAGAGACTCGAGAGTAGCAAAAGAGCCAATGGTGGTGTTCGAAGAGTTGGCTGCGGCAGGCAATGTCACCGAAGCTGATCTGCGCAACTGTCTGACGTCTCAGCTGCTTATCTTAAGTGGCAATTTCTCGGGTACTGAATTTGTCAGGGCGATGAAGGACTCGAGGACTGCATCGAGGATCGCTAGTTGGTGGTCTGCCTCCGATTCGCAGTCGAGACGGTTGTTGTTCCATTCCGAAATCACGCCTCTCATCACAAAATTCTTGGTTGCAGAAAACATGCAGAATATGGCTCTAGATTGGTTGAGGTCGCTAGCACAGCAGGACATCGGCGGCACAAATGGCCAACTGACCCAACGACCGGCAAGGTTATGGTTCAGTGGGCTTCTAAATGACCTTGTGCTCGCGGAGGCTCGGTACGGGCGTGGGATAGAGTCCGCAATGCGGCTTTATGTTTCCGCACGTAGCATGTCTACGCCCTCCGGGGATCTGGTAATTGAGAACGGGGTCTGGGCACCAGCCCTCCTTTCTGCTGGAGGCCATTTGGGTCAGCTGATTACCCAGAATGAGCCGGAGCATTCCAACGGTGTTTCGCAGGACCTCTATGACAAATATATACAGGTGATCGATACTGTGGCTGCCAATTCATTGCTTCATGCCTGTGTGTGCTTGCACCACCCCACGCAACCGGATCCCATGCCATACGTCAAGTATGCTAGGGCATTACAGAAGGGTCAGGTCGAGTCATGGTCCAGGCTGAGACGAGAGCATTTCATGCGTGCCGGTTTCACCGCTATTCGTATCTTGTTCGATAAGAATCTGGTCAGGGACGCTACTTGGCTGGCAAGATACATGCAGAAGACACTGTCAGAATATCACAATCTGGAAGAAGCGCAATCGGCCCCATTTGATCTGGCACGCCTTGTACCCGCTTAGCTTATCTTTGGGGAAAGTTGGGGACAATATCCGAAGAGACATCGGCAGATTTATAAACATTATCAGGCTATGAGAAACTGAAAGGCATTTTGGCCCCATCTAAGCCCACGAGAGGCCATGTCAGTCGAGCCACAAAGATTGTCGGCTACGTTATCACCGCCAAATCCTCGCTTACGGTCAAAACAATGAACGAAGAATCATTAGGACATGTTCATTAATGGTTCAACCCTTTCAAGAAACAGATTACCTTTTTGACTTCTCTGATTTTGCCTCGTTCAAGGGAGCGTACTGTACCCGGATCAGCCCCGTTCTACTCCAGCGGCTCATTTACCCTTGGCAAGTCAAGTTGCAGCGCGATCTCTGTTGAATCCTTCGGCTCAAGTTCTTGCATGAGCTGATGCACTCAACCGGCTTCAGAAACCGGGGTCCGGAAATTGCGATAAGATTGAGTTGAGGCGTGGAACAAGCCAGCGCTGCTGAAGCAATCTTTCTGGGATGACGCGGTCGACTGATCTAATCAAACCTCCTACAGCTGCTTTGTCTGAGAAGCCGACCGATGAGGCTCAATGGAGAAAATCGAACCTAGGCGCGAGGTGTGAGCATTTTTGTATACGGCTTGGCACAACCTGTTATTGAGAAGTCTAAGCATCAAGGGTGCAACAGACACTACGGCAAAATAGTGGAAGACTGATGAGCAGTTTGCTGCTCCCAATATAAGATCTTCCGCTTCTTCAGTTAGAGATAAAAGTCATCCTGCTAACGGGGCCAAAAGGCCAGCAGTTTTGTTCGAAAAGAGAGATCCGCTCAGTGTTCTGGCTGGCCATGGATGGATCTGGGCAAGAGATTCATCGAGTTCAACAAGAAGACCTGATTAGACCTACTACTTTCACTGGCTCCTTATGCGGTAGTCAGGCAGGGTGGTCAGTTGATTACACCAAGAGACCTCGTCTTCGACTTCGACTTGTTCATTACGATATTATTCCTGTGAGAATCCACGTGCCCACAGTATATGTGGAACTGCCAGTATCAAAGAGAACTTGGCTAACTAGACAAGATATGCATTCAGCTGGAAGATTTTCCACGAGCAACAGGACCCTGATTATAGATTCACATGTCTAAATTTCGATAAACATCGTACTGACAGCGAGCAATGGTTCTGCTTTAGTATGTAGTATAGGTATCCTACTGCACAGTAAGGCGCGGAGGAGCCGATGAAGCAGCAATGTCATTGGACTAGAGCCGACTTGCCATCGAATTCCGTCATAATACTATTATATCATTGGTTCAGGTCCGTTGGATCTAATCCAATGATGCTCTAGTGTGTCTCACTTGCTAATCGCCGACATCGGGTTTGATCACCGCTGAGTCACATCCGGAACGGAACAACTACCCCATCACCCCGCCTTCACTAAGGTGCAGTGTGTGTCATAGGTCTAGCTCCTATAAACTTATTTTCTTGTTGAAAAGTCTAGAAATCATTCTTTCACTCCTTCCTTAACTCCAATTGTGTACTGTCTCAAGAATTTCACCAAAAAATCATCATGCCTTCCAACAAGATCTGGCTGCGTGCTGAAACCAAGCCCGCCGAGGCTCGTTCTGCTTGTATGGACAACATCCGACTCACATAGTCAACGTTGCACTCAATTTACTTTGACATGCCTTACTCCAGCATGGTGCTGATTACTGGATAGTAACTCCCACCACTTGCAAGGCTCTTATAGATGCCGGATACGACGTAACTGTTGAGCGCTCTACACAGCGCATCTTCGATGGTAAGCTGACTCACAATATGTTCAATGGAACTCGGAGAGTCAACGTCTAATAAATTGCTTGTTTCCACAGACGAGGAGTTCACCAAGGTATGCATGTCTACTTACACTGCTCTCCTGCGACACGAGTCTTACAACCTGTTTGATAAAGGTCGGAGCGCCTCTGGTGGAAGAAGGTTCCTGGGTGAAGGATGCCCCCAAGGACGCCTACATTCTTGGTCTCAAGGAACTCCCTGAAGATGATTTCCCCCTCGAGCACGTCCACATCTCTTTCGCACACTGCTACAAGCAGCAGGGTGGCTGGGAGAAGGTTCTGAGCCGGTGGCCCCGAGGTGGTGGTGCTCTCCTCGATCTCGAGTTCCTCCAAGATGAGTCCGGACGCAGAGTAGCTGGTAGGACCCCATTATTACCTCGGTAGCTATTACCGGTAGCTGATATTTTCTCGTTCTAGCTTTCGGTTGGTCGGCCGGTTATGCTGGTAAGCGCATTCATGGAGGATCACTTGTCCTTATCGACCTTATCGACTGAACTCCACACAGGTTCTGCTTTGGCCATCAAGAACTGGGCATGGCAATTGACCCACCCTGAAGGCGAGACTTTGCCCGGAGAGGTTCCCTATGCCAATCAGGACCTCCTGATCAAGTCTGTCAAGGAGTCTTTGGAAGCCGGAAAGAAGCAGTCTGGCCGCTCCCCTAAGGTGCTTGTCATCGGAGCTGTGAGTACCCACTTTTAGTTCGTTGCGAAGGAGACATATCTGATAATGAATAGCTCGGTCGTTGCGGTAATGGTGCCGTCCAGCTGGCTAAGGATGTTGGCATTCCTGAGTCCGACATTATTCAGTGGGATATGGCGGAGACCAAGAAGGGTATGTCGCTCTTTCACACAGCTCCAGAGCATTAGCCACTAACAGTCACAGGCGGTCCTTTCAAGGAAATCATTGAAGACGCAGACATCTTTGTCAACTGCATCTACCTATCTTCTCCTATCCCACCGTGAGTTCGCCAATGTACTGATAATTCTCATGTCTGTGGAAACTAATGACGATTCTAGTTTCGTCACTCCTGAGACCCTTGCTACGCCCAACCGCCGCTTGTCAGTCATCTGTGACGTGAGCGCTGACACGTAAGTTCTATTCTAACGTGTCCTACCAACGGGTTTCAGCTGACAAAGGCATCACAAAGTACGAATCCTCACAACCCTATCCCCGTGTACGACATCACAACCACCTTCGACAAGCCTACGGTACCTGTCACCCTGCCGGCTGGTACTCAGGGCCCTCCCTTGAGTGCGATCAGCATCGACCACCTCCCATCTCTCCTGCCCCGGGAGAGTTCCGAGCAGTTCAGTCAGGCTTTGCTTCCTAGCTTGCTCCAGCTCAAGGACCGGGAGAACGCCCGCGTCTGGAAGCAAGCTGAGGATCTCTTCAAGGAGAAGGTCGCCACCTTGCCTGAATCTTTCCGCGCGTAGATATACCTTTGTTTAATCTTTTCAACCTCTTTCACAAAGCCCGTTTGTATAAATCTCTTGGGATACCTGTCATGATGCCATTTGCTGGAATTTGTTACGGGATATTTTGCATGCGAGGAGCATGCCCTGGCTTGTCGTCTGGTTTACGGCATTTCACTAAAGTAGATGGGTCTAAAAGCAATGAAACCAATCTCTTCCCGAAAAGTCTAGGTTTGTAGCGTCGCATAGTATAGGCGATGTTTGTTCGGCGATAGACGTTGCAGGGAGCTTGAGTGGCCTGAGGCTGAATTTCAGATCTCCTGACACCAAGTTCAAACGACATCTCCGCTCTTCTTCCCTGTCACCTTGACTCGGTTTGAACCAAGGATTTGGCATCCGCAGAGCATTTTCGGCGTTCAAGAATATTCAAGGGAGTCATACACAGCGCTCAGTTCATGGTTTTCTGCTTATTCTGCCTAGTCAAAATCGCGACCATACAACGCAGGCAGCAAGGGATTAGCACACTATCAACTGATGTCCTTCCATTCGGGCGTTCGCCCTCCTGAGTTCGCTAGGGCTCCTGATGTGCTGATATTTGACCTCATTTCGGAAATTGCTTCCATCGACGACAAGCCATATAATAAGGAAAGGGGTGATGCGCCTGAGATACAATTTGTGGGGAAATCGAACTGCGTCGGGCAACATTTGGGGGGGGGGGCTTGGGGCGCTCGGCGCTGGAGAACCTCCGAAATACCAAGCAAGAAAGGATCAATGCTTTTGCCGCCTTCTACCTGCAACGGGTCAACTCGCATTGCATCTATTGTGCTGAGATTGAGTGTACCAGTCCACCACCTGTGCTAGCATGCGGTGTTGTTCATTAACAGAACCCTAGACTCGGCCTATGTGAGACCGCTGCCACTCTGATTGACGCCCCTCTCCCCCTCCCAAACCTTACCCCATTTTCTCTCCACATCCCTCGGTCTATGGGGGGAAAACGACGGCTGACGATTATCCCACTAGAGCTGCCGAGAACGATCGAACGCACTTCATCCCCGAGACCCCGACCTGCACCAGCCCGCTTGTATATATACGTGACTAGTTGGAAGGTTGAAGGAAAAACTCGATAATCCTCGTCTTGGCGTCGGGATTCCATCCGCCCTTCTTCGTTTGATCGTCCACCCCTCCGTGGCACAACTTATCCCATGGAGCGGCCATAGCACCGGAGTCGATAATCTGCACATACATCGCTATTCCTATCTTATTCGGAACTCGTGACGAATCTCCGCTCTATCCCGAAGGGTGATGCAGGAGAAGTCGACTACAGTCGCCGCGTACGCGGCTGGAGCGTCTCTTGCGGCCGTCGCCCTCTTCTACGTTTTTGGGCCGAATTACACAATCGATGGCGACGAATCAAGTGACAGCGGTCGTAAGAAGAACATTGTGGGGTTATCGAACCCCGCTAATGACTGCTTCATCAACTCCGTGCTCCAGGCTCTCGCGGGCCTCGGGGAGCTGCGGGTTTACCTGATCCGAGAGCTTCATCGACGTGAGCTGGATGGGCCAGAGATCTACAGTCTTCTGCCACCGCTGGACGAGATCCCACGTGATGGGAAGCCGGATCGGATCCGAGAATTGCAGCAGGGGACCATCACGAGGGCACTCAAGGAGATGCTGGATCGCCTGAACGAGCGCCCGATATACAAGAAGACGATATCCGCGCGGCCATTCATTCAATCACTCGAATACGCCTACCGGACAAGAATTAGTCGCAGTCAGCAAGACGCGCAGGAGTTCCTGCAGATCGTGGCTGAGCGGCTGTGTGACGAATATCATGCGGGAGTCAAGGCGCGATTGAGGGCGAAAGGCGCGGTGGAGACTAATCAGGTCGCTGACTCGGGACATGAACCTCCAGCGAAGAGTCCGACGGATATCGAAGTGCGCATCGATGACGGGTCTCCGAATGGACTTCCCGCTATCATCGATACCAAGCTGAAGGAAATCGACAATGAATACAGCTTTCCTTTCGAGGGAAAGCTCGAGTCTCAGATCGAATGTCAGTTTTGTCATTATAAGTACAAGCCGAATCAGACATCGTTTGTCAACCTGACGCTGCAGGTCCCGCAGAAGAGCTCCACCACACTCAGCGCCTGTTTCGATGGGCTACTCAAGACAGAGTATATCGATGACTTCAAGTGCGACAGGTGTCGGCTGCAGCATGCCCTGGATATCAAAACGCATGATTTGACTAGGGCCCGTTCGAGCGAGGAGAGAAAACATCTCGAGGAGGAAATCGAGCGTATACAGAACGCAATCTCGACAGACCCTGAAGGCGGATTAGAAGGTGTCGGCTTGCCTCCTTCGGAGCTCGCACCAAAGCGGAAGATCGCACGACATATGCGAATCGTTGCGTTCCCCAAGATCATCACTATTCACCTTTCCCGATCAATCTTCGATCAAAGCAGTTCATCCAAGAATGCAGCCAAGGTGTCTTTCCCTGAACGCCTGCCTCTTGGCGGTATCCTGAGCCAGAAATGGTTTCGACTACTAGCGATTGTCTGCCATAAAGGTAGTCATAACAGTGGACACTACGAGTCTTTCCGTCGCAACCATCTATACGCGCCCTTCTCCACTCCTGATGCATTCAGCTCATATGCTCAGAGTCGAGCCACCAGTGAGAACCCTTCCGTGGCACCCAGTCCAAGGCTGGGAGCTCGTCAATCTTCAGAACCTGAGCCCACGGCGCTCAGTATCTCGACATCGTCGGAGCCGGCAAGCCACTCACCTAATATGTCCCCGGCCCCTTCACGCTCCACCTCGAGTAATGAGTCTAAAGCATCATCTCAATTACAAACTCCCTTGTCACCGAGTCCTCGTCCCACCACATCAAGCTCTAGGCTTTCTTTTCAGAGTAATCGTTCTCGATCGTCAACATCCAAGCAAACCCTTTCGCCAGTTTCCGATCCGCTCAGCCCATCGAATGAGAGCGGGCGCTGGAGCAAGACTTTCTCGAGGACATCCTTCACTAGTGACAAAGGCACGCAGCCCACGGAGACTTCAGCAGCATCCAGCTTCCGGCATCGCCGCCGCCGCAAGCAAAACGATCGATGGTGGCGCATCTCCGACGAGAAAGTCAAGGAATGCAAGACGTCTGATGTCTTGGGCATGCAGAAAGAGGTCTATCTCCTGTTCTATGAGTTGGAAAGGCCAAACATTAGTGCCTAGTCTGAGGTGCTGGTATACATAAGAGCAGAGTCCTCTAGGTGTTCATGCCGGAAGAATCTATAGAAGGACCAGTAACAAACAGTACTGCTGGTACCAAGAGAGAAATACTTGAGTTTAAACTAAGTTTGATCTCAGCGGCAATGGCAATGTATCTTTGTATAGCTTTCATTTGAACGATGTCCACGTTCAACTCTCTATTATCAAAGAGCGTAGATGAAACTTCACCTAACGTGAATTGGCAGCCAAGACTAAGTGTAATAACAGATGCGCAATCAATCTGATAACCCGGCAATAGCCGTACGTAGTGAAAAGACCTTGTACTTGAGAACAACTTGGAAGGCATATGACCCGGTCCATAGAGGGATCTCGAACCGGAGAAATGCTCCCCGCAGATTTTTCCGATAGGTCGAGAACAGGATGAAGCACGAAAGAAATACGGAGAGTCCGGGGTCAGTGTTTTCGCTCGGAAGGAGCAGAATGAATGTTATATCCGAATTACGGCGGTGATGCGGTGAGCTTGAGTCGGGATTGTTGAGCTTGCTACTGCATGGGGAGAGACCTTCAGCTTCCAGTGAAAGTAGGTTGGGGAGATGCGTATCAGCTGTCCTTCAAGCACCAGAATGAATCAACAGCAGTTCATCATGGATACAGTACTACCACCACCTGGCAATGCAGGCTGCAAGCAGAAACCGGTTGAGGAGAAGAACCCAAGGAACGAGCCGGCCGGGATGATGTCATGTGATGGACGCGGGGGATCCCGGGAAGCCGGCCGAGGAAGAGAGAGAAAGCAGAGAACGGAACCTAAGCAAGGCGCGTCATCGTCGGCTTCAGAATGGAAGCATCATCCATCAATGCTCCATTATCGGACTCCAATTGTCCGGTTACGCTCCAATGTGACTTCACTTACTTCTACAGAGGATTCGGTCTCTTTCTTCGACCTTTTTGATTTCCATCTTCCTGTGGTTTTCTGTCCTCTGGTTCTTGTCAGTCTACACTCAACAGCAACAGCACTGATTTCATACTGAACACATCGTTCCCCACCAACCGGTGAGTTCTTTCGAGCTGCCCCTCCATGACTGGCAGTGACACACTTCGTCACTTTGCCCCCCCTCCTCCTTTCCACCCCTCCCACCCCCTCCCCCCTCCCTCAAGTGAACTGTGTGTGGTGTGTTTCTCCCTAGCAACTCGTTGCCCCTCTCTCTCTGCCCGATTTGAATCTCCAGCTCCGTATTCGTCGCTCGGTAAAGGCCTTTCCGTTTAGTTCAAGCTGTTCCAGAATTTATTTCAACCTTCTTTCTCTCCTCTCTTCCTCTTCTTCTCTTTTCTCTCTTCTTTCTCTCCATCTAATTAATCCTCATCTCCCCATCAGTCATTTACTCATCACTTTTTGTACCACTCTAATCAGCCAACTACCAGTCTATTACTATCACAATGGGTGTCCTCGAGAAGCTCTCCCGCAAGGCCGGTGTCATCGTCGGTGATGACGTCCTCCGTCTCTTCGAGTACGCTCAGGAGAAGGGCTTTGCTCTCCCCGCCATTGTAAGTCATCCATGCCTCAATAGACCTTTGCAATGCTTCGAGGAGCTTGGAACTAACCACTTCGACCGTTGTAGAACGTGACCTCTTCCTCTACTGTTGTCGCTGTCCTTGAGGCTGCCCGCGACCAGAAGTGCCCCGTCGTTCTCCAGGTCTCCCAGGGTGGTGCTGCCTACTTCGCTGGCAAGGTATGTTCTACATGAGCCTTATGCATCATTAGGCGAATAAGGACTGACAGCTTGCTCCAGGGTGTCAGCAACGATGGCCAGAAGGCCTCCATCGCTGGTGGTATCGCCGCTGCCCACTACATCCGCAGCATTGCTCCCGCCTACGGTGTTCCCGTCGTCCTTCACACCGACCACTGCGCCAAGAAGCTCCTTCCCTGGCTCGATGGTCTCCTCGATGAGGACGAGCGCTACTTCAAGCAGCACGGCGAGCCCCTCTTCTCCAGCCACATGATCGATCTGTCTGAGGAGCCCGTTGACGAGAACATCGAGACCACCGCCAAGTACCTCAAGCGTGCTGCCCCCATGAAGCAGTGGCTCGAGATGGTAAGTTCTAACTGCAATTGCACGTCAACGCCATAGCAACCCGTCTGACCATCTTCGTTCAGGAAATCGGTATCACCGGTGGTGAGGAGGATGGTGTCAACAACGAGGACGTCGACAACAACTCCCTCTACACCCAGCCCGAGGACATCCTCGCCATCCACAACGCTCTCTCCCCCATCAGCCCCTACTTCTCCATTGCCGCTGGTTTCGGCAATGTCCACGGTGTCTACAAGCCCGGCAACGTCCGTCTCCACCCCGAGCTCCTCGAGAAGCACCAGGCCTACGTCAAGGAGAAGACCGGCTCCAAGAAGGACAAGCCCGTCTTCTTCGTCTTCCACGGTGGCTCCGGCTCCTCCAAGGAGGAGTACAAGCAGGCCATCGGCTACGGTGTTGTCAAGGTCAACCTCGACACCGACATGCAGTACGCCTACCTCACCGGTATCCGTGACTACGTCCTGAACAAGAAGGACTACCTCATGAGCACCATCGGTAACCCTGACGGCGAGGACAAGCCCAACAAGAAGTTCTTCGACCCCCGCGTCTGGGTCCGTGAGGGTGAGAAGACCATGAGCAAGCGTGTCCAGGTTGCTCTGGAGGACTTCAACACTGCTGGCCAGCTGTAAACCAAAAGAAGCTCATTAATGTTTCTCTGATGTGATGTGATGTGTTTTCGGATTTGACGAAACCAGATACCAAGTACATAACTTTTCAAAACAATTTTCTTAAGTGTTCATTTCATTGGGGGCGAGGGTGTTGAGTGTAGTCTAAATTTAGCCTCGTGGGTCGATTGATGGGGTGTCGATGGGCCGGTGTCGGGGATGGTGATTAGTAACGTTGCAGTACAGTATTGTAGCACAGTGGGCAATTGGTAATTTGAAATGAGAACAGTTCCAGCAGTTAAGCTACACACAGTCTTTGAACAACTTACCTTGAGAAACAGTGGCAGGTTACCAGAACAAGTGATTCCTTTACTGAAATTTAATTATATTTATTAGGGGCCAGTGAGTGTAATGAATGCTGATCCCCACCGACAATCCCCCTCCCGCTTTCACTCCACTTAAGTGCCCTGCCCTGCGGTGAGTACTGTACTACACACCTTATCCCTATCACAGTAGCACAGAGAATACCTTCCCCGGTACTAATGAACCTCTACAGATCGTCAACCGAAAAAAAAAAAAAAAAAAATTCAATACTGTCCTGGATATTCTCATGTAGTACGGGATAAATTAATTGACTGAATATTGGAGCGTGGAATTGACTTTTCACCTACCCAAGAAAGTAAACCACCCGTGACGCGGCACCATTGACGTCAGCCGTTCTTCGATGAACGCTCCGAACTTACTTTCAGTTTTGGCTTTGTATCTCCCTTCTATACGCATATTCTAGGGAAAAAGATATCCTCCGCTCGCATGGCTTAGATGGTAAAGCGCAGCACTAGTAATGCTGAGATCCTCGGTTCGAGTCCGAGTGTGAGCACTCTTCTATTCTTTTTTTGTGCTGTTTTTGGGGGGTTGGTGGGGTAGGGTTTCCGGGGAATGTAGATTGGGTTTATCATGTGTTTGTTTTTGGAGAGGTACGTGCTGTGGATTTATTCTTTGTTTGTTGGGGAGGGGGTTATATGTCGTGCTTTGGGGTTATGGGAAGGGTCGCTGGGGTATAGATTATGGGGAAAGGGATCTGATGTGGAGAGGTGAGGTGAGCTTGCGGGGCGATGTCCGTGTGGGGGAGGTCAGATGGATTGTGCTGTCTCTGACGTCCACTTCCAGAAGTGTTTCGTGCGAGCAACGCTTGGTTGGGTATTGGATCGTTGCTGGCGACATGGCGATCTGATATGATGTTTGCATGGCGGTGCTTTCGTTCCATTATTAGTCTCTGGCGCGCTTATGGTGGCGAGGAGAGCTATGTTATTCCTCCGATGTAGCTTTCTTATCATCCTGAGTACCTTGAGACCCTCAGGTCTGGAGGTATATGCTTGTCGTTGGGGCGCTTATCTGGGCCCAGTGCCGTGGATGTTTGCTCTATCTCGGTGAGTAGGCCGAGCTTGCGGTTGTGGTGTGATTGTTCGAGAGGCGGAACTGCTCTTCGTAGGGGGGGCTTCTTTATGCTTCTCTCTTCTGCATGCTGCTTTGATCGTGGCGTCTATGATACTGGCTTGGTTTGGCAGTGGTACAGTGACTGTTGGATGTATTGGCCCTACCGGGATGGTCGATTGCGTGAGACATGACAGTGCCGACTGACATATTCTCCTGGTCCTATTGGATGTAACTCGAATGGCGCGAGTCAATCATGGTATGCAGACAGAATTGGCTATCTATCTCGATAGAGAGTATTTTGATGGGAACCTGGTGGACGGGAGGCTCAGTTGGACTACGTGTTTGAGATGTGTTTCGGGGCGTGATGCGGCTGCTCGATGAGGGTGGTAGCATAGAGCATCATCGGCTTGATGGAGCGGGGTTGTGGTCGATGTCTACGGTGTCTTTGTGACCGTTCGGATATATGGAGGGCTGTATCGGGTAGTATGTGATTGAGTAGACTTGAAGACTTACTGATTCGGGGTATGGGAGGTGGCAAGTAAGATGTAGTGTAGAGATTATGTGGAGAGCCGTTGTGTGCCATGAAAGTGCGAAGATGCGGTACAGACAGATTGGTTCCATGACTATGGTGGACTCTGCCTAGCTACGTCTACAAGACAGTGTAGCTGTTGCACATAGTCGGTATTTGAAGGCTAGTGATGGTGTTGGTTGTGCAGCCACCTTTTGCAATTGTCTCGCGCTGGTATAGTCTCCCTTTTTGCGTCCAACTCGGGGAGGGGGGTGTGAAGCGCTTCTCACTGTCAGGTGAAACGGTGGTGGTAGGCCAGCGATATCTCGACTCGACTATCTGAACTCGTTTACGGCCTCAAAGTCGATGGGCAAGTCTTTCCGACGTGGTAGTCATCTGTACTGGCATATATATGTGGGCCAAAGGCACGAATGGATGAGATATACTGATAAAGTGTGGATGTGAGTTCGTACGACGCGCGTACCAGATGGCTCACCAGCCATGGAGTTTCTAGCTGACTGCCATATACAAAGAGCGCCAAAGTAGGGCTAAAGCTGACTGGTGATACTACCTCTCGAAGACCGTACTATAAGCTCAATTGAGCTGATGCGCTTAGTCATGAGCTCTGTAACAAACTTTGGGAAAATTTCCAACCAATCAGCTCGCATGGCTTAGATGGTAAAGCGCAGCACTAGTAATGCTGAGATCCTCGGTTCGAGTCCGAGTGTGAGCAATATACTTTTTGCTTTTGTCTCCTTGCTCCTGGAGCGGGAATCACCTCGTCAAGCTTGCCCGGCAGTTTCACCTGCGCAGCTAGCGCCATGCATACATAAGACATCTCCGTCATCATCCACAGTTGCTCCGCATTCTCTCGAATGACGATGAGTCTTCGGCCCGTTGGTGTTTTTGACCCTCTAGCGCGCCGAGCATTGCGGCAGCCAACCGTTCCTCCTACATGGGCTTCGATTATATTTAGAAGCCCGCGGTTAACTCCGTACCGTGTGAGAACTCGAACGCGCATGCGCTGGACCCTTAGATCTGCACGATCCCTATGGCGCTGTCTCAAACACAACGGACGTGCTCGTATTGCGGGATCTGTTCAGTCCCCTCCACCAGTTAATAGTCTGGTTGTGTGGCAGAAGCCCAAAGGATTGGGCGCTGTAATCGTGAGCGATGGAGGTGTAAATGCGGTCAACACGTGCCCCTTCTCCAAGACTCGGATAAAGTCACCGGGTGTGAGACGCTACGCTTTTGGTTTCCCCAAGCTCTGTTAGCAAACACAGAAGTGGCTCAATGGTAACTCAATCGCACGCCGTGTCCCCTGGTTTGTGGTTATCAGGTCCATACGAATGGAATTCATATGGCGTGTCGATACGTCTAAAGTACACTGTAGAGCGAGTGAAACATCATGGTGATCTAGGAGGATGCGGGGTTCCTTTGAGGCGATATCAGTACTCCAGACGAAGCGTGCTATTGACATCATAGCAAAGCCAATGCCATGATCTGTTGGGATGATATATCCAAATTCAACTTTAGTGTTTTCATCACGCTTGCCGTCCGAATGGTAATGACGGTCATCCGGTCAAGCCGTCGTAGGGTCCTGTGGCTTGATTGTCCTGACCAAGTATAGAAGCAGATGACTCCATCCGCCGGCAATTGACGGCAAGACTTTGATTTCAATTGGATCAGACTCATCAGCGGCCTCCTTCTCAATGTTTATCCATCTGTGCCACAGTCGGGTGTACACCAGCCACACCGGGAGACTCCTCAGTATGGACTCCATGGAGCCCATGGTACGGCACAGAGTGCCTGAAAGAAAGGTTTGGGTGTGGCTCTGCCAATGATCGGAAGTACCGGTTGACGCCTTGAGGGTCAGGAAAACAACTTAACAGGACCCGAGGGTCTGAGACATGCTGCCCTAGTCCCGCATTGGTTGGCCCATTAAAATAGTAGCCCGACAATCTCGCACCCAACCATAGGATCCATAGGATCTTAGTGGAGTCGTTCGCGTTGTTTGGTTTTCAGTTTTCTTCTTTGGCTGCTTTTTGGGGGTTGGTTGCCCTGAAGTTGGGAATTTGGGACGGCGTGAGGGCAAAAGGCCACGCCGGGCGGGTAAACATGAGAAAGTCAAGTAAGTGGGAAGAACGAGGAAGAGGCATAAACTTGATAGAATGGTAGTTATTCATTCTTTGCCATTGCAAAGTGAAGGGAAAATAGTATGTAGCGACAAGCATCTTACATGTACACATAGTCTACCACCGTATAGCATTCAGTCACCAATCAGTATTAGTTAGGACAGTCAGCCATCTCCACTCGGTCAACGTATGCAGTGCTCATCGCGACCTCCGGCTGTCAGAAGTGGAATTGATACATACGTACCGGAGGTACGTCAAGGACGAGTCCAGTCCGGTCCATGCTTTGACTGCCTTTTGGCTCTCTCCTTGCCCCCCAAAAGAGGTCGCACTCGATCCTTCAATGACTGGCTTGCGAAGCGAATCTACGAGAAACGAATCCACCAGCAATTATCCATGTCCATGAGACTGATTGTCAACCCACTAGAGGACGACTAGTGGTGGTGTTGGTCCAGACCCGCCCTCAATCCCGTATCCACTTCTTTCCACTGTACTCTGCTTGTCTCCATTATCACTACTGATTATCATTCTCTCCTCTTCTTTGCCTTTGTCTTCCCACGCGCCCATCTCCGATTTCCTGGTTCAGTTTCACATTCTTCGCCTCACTCACTTTTCTTACTCCTCCGCCCGCCGAGTGCCATCCATCCCACATTCGTTCGTCTCTTTCCTCCTTTCTCATCGCATAGTCGGTCGCTCTCGCTTCACCTCCTCTTTCACCTCTCCCTTCGCTCCGTCGATGCCGCCGCGGCTCAATCAACACCATGCAGTCTAGCGCTCTCTGGCGGCGCGACGACTCCACGGAGCAATTTCTCAAACTCATCCAGGATCCTTTCCACGCCGCCGTATGTTGTGTTTGTCCGAAAATGCTGCATCTGTTCATCGTCTGACTAAAGAGCACACCAGTTTCAAATCAACGCCGTCTGGGCCTCCTTGGCCACCTCCGCTGCCTTCAGTATTCTCCTCGCCCTCCTCTTCTCCCTCTTCAGACCTCGCCACTCCCTTGTGTACGCCCCCAAGGTCAAACATGCGGATCGAAAACATACCCCACCTCCTGTGGGAAAGGGCTTCTTCGCCTGGCTTAATCCTGTCTTGCGCACGAAGGAGCCCGATTTGGTTGAAAGTGTTGGGCTTGATGCCACCATGTTCATCCGCTTTGCCAAAATGTGCCGGAATATCTTCATCTTCCTAAGCTTCATTGGCTGTGGTGTCATGATTCCCTTGAATCTCACGTCGAGCACGGGCGACACTGTCTCCAAGTTTGGCGCCTTTGCGACGATGACGCCGCTTTATGTCAAAGTCAACGCGATCTGGGGTCAGGTCGTTTGCGCCTGGCTTTTCGATATCATCGTGGCTTTCTTTCTGTGGCGAAACTACCAGGGTGTTCTGTCCTTGCGCCGAAAATACTTCAAGAGCGCCGATTATCAGCGCAGCCTCCATGCGCGGACACTGATGGTGCGTGTTGCTCTTTGAGGGCCATTAATCCGGTAGTGCTTGTACTAATCCAATCATAAAAATAGATCACAGATATCCCCCCGTCGGCTCGCTCGGACGAAGGTGTCTTGCGCTTGACGGACGAGGTCAACCCGACCGCTGCCCTCCCTCGAGCAGCCATCGGCCGCAACGTGAAGGAGCTCCCCAGCTTGATCAAGGAACACGAAGAAACGGTGCGACAACTCGAGTCTGTGCTGGCCAAGTACCTCAAGCGACCCGACCGGCTCCCGCCTAACCGTCCGACCATGAGCCCGCATCGGAAAGACAGAAGCGAGCATCCGAGCGGCAAGGTGGACGCCATTGATTACCTAACGAATCGCATCCAGCGGTTGGAAGAAGAAATCCGACATGTTCGAGCTTCTATAGATCGACGAAATGCCATGCCGTTCGGTTTCGTCAGCTGGGATATGATTGAACATGCGCATGCCGTGGCTTATAACGCACGCAAGAAGCACCCTCAAGGCACGACCATTGCGCTTGCGACTCGACCGGACGATCTCATCTGGGAGAATTTGCCGTTGACCAAGAGCGCACGGAGATGGAAGCGATTCCTGAATGCGATTTGGGTGTCAATTTTAACCTTAGTGTATATCGTTCCCAACGGGCTGATTGCTATTTTCCTGTCCAACTTATCGAACCTGGGCCTGGTTTGGCCGGCCTTTCAGACATCGCTCAATGCCAACCCTAAGGTCTGGGCCGCAGTTCAGGGTATTTTGTCTCCAGCTATCACTTCTCTCGTCTACCTCGCCCTGCCCGTCATCTTCCGCCGACTGGCTGTACGAGCGGGCGACGTCACCAAGACATCTCGCGAGCGTCATGTGCTTGGTCGGCTTTACTCGTTCTTCGTTTTCAACAATCTGATCGTCTATTCCCTCTTCGCTGCCGCGTGGACATTCGTCTCGGCTGTTATCGATGCGCAGAAGACGGACAACAACGCCTGGAAAGCTATCCAGGATGGACAGTTCTACAAAAAGATTGTTAGTGCCCTGTGCAATGTGTCCCCGTTCTGGGTGACGTATCTGCTGCAGCGGAATCTGGGTGCCACCATCGATTTGGTTCAGCTGGTCACTGTATTCTGGGTGTGGTTCTCCAAGACATTCCTCTCGCCTACCCCTCGTCAGGCTATCGAGTGGACGGCCCCGCCAGCTTTCGAGTACGCCATGTATTACAATTATTTCCTCTTCTACGCCACCGTCGCGCTCTGCTTTGCCACATTACAGCCGATTGTGCTACCCGTCACTGCGCTCTACTTCGGGCTGGATGCGATGATGAAGAAATACATGCTAATGTATGTGTTTGTGACCAAGACTGAGTCTGGAGGGCAGTTCTGGCGCGTCTTGTTCAACCGTATGGTCTTTGCAGTTATCCTGTCCAACATCGTCATTGCCTTTGTGGCCAAGTCTCAGGGTACCTGGACCATGGTTTACTGCGTGGTTCCGCTGCCGTTCCTGATGCTGGGCTTCAAGTATTACTGCATGAAGAAGTTTGATTCTGAGATTACCTACTACAACCGCGCAAACCTCACGGATGCCGAGGCTCTGGCAGTCAGCAAGCCGAACAAGAAGGCGTCGGAGCGACTCAACGCCAAGTTTGGCCATCCGGCCCTTTACAAGCCTCTTATCACCCCGATGGTACATGCTCGGGCTGCGGAAGCATTGAAGCGTATCTACAGCGGTCGTCTGGCAACGGCCGATACAGAGGGAGAATACTCGGACATTGCCATGGATGCCATGTCGGCTTCCCACCCAGGAAAGTCCATGATGGACGCCACGGGACCGGCACCTTTCGAGGTCGTTCCAGAAAATCATCTGGACTTCTCTTATTTCAAGGATCGGCCAGATTTCCGGGACGAGTTTGGCGGAGGTATCTACGGTCGCCCAGACGATGTATTCACCGAACGCTCACATACACCTCGGAGCGCCTTGGGTGAGTGGTCGCCCACCTCTTCACGCGCCTCATCGCCGACCCCATCGGTACCGTCGCTCTCCGGACTGAAACCACATGATGGTTACGATCCGACGGCCAACGACCACATCCACCCTGCCTTCCGTGTTCCCACACCCTTGGGAGGTGGCGGGCTATATCAGCACCGTAACGAGAGCGAGACGGAGCTTCTGGCGCAAGCACAGCAACCGGCGGTGCCTGAGATGGTGACGCCACTAGACCGTTGGCGGACGAGGGGATACGGTCCTGTCGAGCAGGATGATCCTAGCTTCACCTCGTATGAGCACTACCGGATGCCACGATAAGAAGAAGACGTGTGCATGTATGAATTTGTGATTATTTTGCAGCGACAACGATTCCTAGGTCGTTGAACCATTAGATCTTGGGATGAACTTTTTGGCCTTCTTTCGGGAGGAGGCATGGAGTACAGGAAGCAACGTGCCCACGACTATTTTGTTTGAATATTTGAGCATATGCTGTACATATTACATGAGTAGAAGATTTGCGTGAACAAACAAGAATTTTCTTTGGATCACATGCAGAATTGGAGAGTATGATATAAATCTTGAATCCGAAATTAAAAAATGTACTACAAGGGAACTTGGAAGAAGCTCCCGAATCCACCTTCAGGGACCGAGGAAGCTGACCAATGGAGGCCAGACCCGCAGCTCATCGGCCCTTACTCCGTACTCTCTCTTCATTTCGCCTGGCATCATCCGTCATTCAACCTCCCTCTCTCCATTCCACGCCAACCGGCTTCGATCGCTTCACAGGGCTGCGATGTGGTTGTCTATTTCCAGTCAAGGTAGCTTCGTGACTGCCCAACCAATTGCCTGCGCAACTGAACATCGGCCCACGTTCCTTGCTGCTTGCTCCCCTCACCACTAACGTGCGGAGCCCACCCTCTCGGGTGCCGACGGATTCCTCGTGATCGAATACAACAGACGTTTCCATACCTCACTCCGACGAAGCATATATAAGCCAGCCAGAAGGCAGTATTTTATCGACTGCTACACTCTCCATCGGCTTGTGCCTTCACCCACACCGATGCTCGACCGGCCCTCACCACCATAGATTACGAGTCAACACACCGTCCAACCATTACTTCCATTTCCCTCCTTTTCTTCGACGGACTGCATTCAGCACCACCCAACAGCACCTCCCAGTGATCGATGCAAACCATGGCATGGTACTCGCTCCTACCGCCGGACTTTGTCTATATTGAAAACTGGCTTGTGCGGATCTTTGTCCGTCTCCCCCCGAACTCCTTGCTTACCGCTCTTTACGTCCGTCCAAAACGCCTGAGAACAGCGCGGCTAACAGTTAATCGGTCACATCTAGATCTTCCTCGGCTTCGTCACGATATTTCCTTGGGCCACGCTTCTTATCTTCGATATATGTTTGTACATTTGGCGGATGGTGAAATACGAGTTTCCCCTCGTCGGCGGGCGAGCGAGAGGCAAGCAGCGACCGCGGGCTCCGAGTTTGAATGAGAGACCCGATGGACAGCCGAGGGTTTTGGGGCTGGGGACGGGAGCTCTGGTGAGTGACATCGACGATGGCGGCATAATGAGCGGGGAGAAGTCGAGAAGGAGAGGTGGGGGACTTGAGGGCGACGAAGAAGACTGAGTGCACAGCTGGAGCCCTGGTGTTAAGAGAGCTGCTTGTCTCCCGGTGAGGCTTCTTTCTGGTTCCTTCAATTGAAATAAAGTTCTTGGTGTCTTTGGATGATTAATTTGCTGGCCGATCGGCGACTACTTGGACCTTGTGGAAGGTATATCTTTGTTGGCAGTTGGAGTTTGATATGGTTGACTAACTGTCTAGCTGCATATGTGTGATTGTCCTGTGTATATTGATACCCTGTATATACTTTGATTATATTTATCTATTGAAGTGTCTATCTGGTGAGCTGGAGGTTGCTATCTATCGGCTGGTTGAGCAATCAGCTTACAGCGGAGATGCCAACCAATGGCGGCCCGCGATAGCATGCATTTCATCAAAGGATGAACGTTTGGATGCCCGCATGATAGCGTGGTACTTCTACTGACTGATGCACTGCTCTCGTACCTCTTTCTTTCTCCGAATCTCTCTTCTTTCTAGCTAGTACTACTAGGATTACTGGTATAAGTACCCAGGGATCTGAATAATGGACCTACTGACGTCAAGCTTTGACGCCAGCATCCTCTATGTCGAACAGCATCCCCTCTCAATAGTCTTTCTTGTACTTACTCTTTGGCTTTTCGGCCGATTCATACAAGTAGGCCTCCTTGGCCCTGAGAGACAGCAGAGTTGACAAGAGATAGAGCCGGCGGATTTCTGCGGAAGATGTCATCTGTGAACCAGAGAAAGATGCATACCCACCCATTGAGCCTCTACGCTCTTTCGACTGGGAGACAACCGAGCCAATGCAATTTCGTCCTTTCAAGGCGAAGTATCACCTTACCATGGGTATGCAGCACCATGTTTCATTCTGTTTGAGCATGCCCTAGACTCTTCTTCGGTCTTGCTATACGGGCCCATGCCTCGATAATGCATTACCTTCGCATTGGTGTATGCGCCAGGCTATCATCTAATACATCGATAACGTTTCACCCACTCATTCGCAAGCTCAAGACCATTCCCAATCTTTACCTCAAGCCCACCCCCAATCCCCGTTAAGCATTGATTTTCTCAACAAGATGCTAATACCTCAAACCAGCGCTCTCGACGCTCGACATCTCGACCCTCATCCCCATCGATAAAACCTACAAAGCCCGCCTCGCCTACCGCCAGTCCCTGCTCAGCCGATACCCCTCCGTCGTCATCGGCGTCACGCCCGCCGCCGAACGACAAGGCAGCCTCGCTCACGCGGCCGTGCGCGAACTCTACGAGTTCGTTCTGAGTGTATACCTTCCCACGAGGTACCCTGGGGTTTTTGATCTCGTAGACGGCGACGATGAGCCCAAGAGCATCGCATGGGCATCCAGCACCAGCGCCAGTTCCTACAGAGAGCAAGTACATGCGTTACCCAAAAAAGAGACTAAACCCCGATACCTCCTCAACAGAATCACCAACCGTCTCATCCCAGCAAGATCCCCCAGCTCGACGCGCGAAGCCCTCGAGACGCTCGGCACGGTCGTGGACGAGGATTTCCTCGTCTTATTGCCTATCTCGCGGATTGAGTCTCCAGCTGTTGGTGGTTCCGATGGGGAAAAGAAGGAGGAAGAGGAAGAGGAAGAAGGCGAGTACACCCTGCAAGCGTATACGACCTTCTACCCGGCTGGGTTCGACACGCGGGAGAAGCTCGGCCGCACGCTATCCGCCATCCATGATCCCGTGCCGCGGTACAAGGAGAAGTTAGAGAAGAGCATGGATCGGTTCTTTGCGAAGTTGGAGATCGGGCGTTGCGTGCAGCGCGTGAATTGGAGCGTCACCACGGGGACGGAGCTGTTTGCTGCGTTTGGGGGCGTTCATGGGGATGTTAAAGGGGAGGGGGAGGGGAGGAAGGAGGGGGTGTTGAGGGAGGAGGATTTGGATGTTGATGATGTATGCTCCCTTCTTCCTTTCATTCTATCGTTCCGGTCTGGTTGTTTTGAGTCTCATTTTAGGTGTTGAGTAGCGCTGACGAGACACAGACGTTCCTGCGCTGCGAGCGCCAGACGCTGCATCGACTTCCCCAGACCAGGGCGTTAGTGTTCACCTTCCATACGTACACATATCCCATCCAGACGATCAAAGAGGAAGGTCTTGGTGAGGAACTGGCGCAGGCGATCGACGGGTTGAAGGAGGGCAGTGTGCCGGAGATGTGGTGGTATAAGAGAGGGGCGGCTTGGGGTGATGCAGTCAAGGCGTATCTTCGAGGTAAGCCCAACAGCGATGATATAGGAGCCTCCTAATGTTGAATCTACGCCTGTCTTGGTTAGTCCTTTTTCTTCTTTTTTTCTTATCTGAGTAGCTCAAAACTCGTTCTGTAGCTCTACACGTACTGTGCTTGAGTCGACACCGCAAGGCACCATTTTCTGCCACCGCCTAAAACGAACAGTTTCGCGGACCAGTTTCTGGCCGCTGTTCGTGCTTAAATCCGCTTAAATCCGTGGTTTTTTCCCCGAGGTCGCGAGCGTTCTGCCCATATGAGCGGTGAGTGAGGCGGTAGCCAGCAGCAATTCCTCTATCGGCCGCCTACCTATATTCTTATCGAGCAGCATCCAGACTATCTATCATCCACACCAGACTGATTTCATCTAACCTCACCTCAACACCTAATCCACCAACCCAAACCAATCACAACCTCACGACCCAGCCGAACCCCCCAAACGACAGAAAGAGAAGATGTCCAACCAATCCGCCCTCTACGGCCAACCCCGCAAAAAACCCGCAACATCAACAACCACCAAAACCAACAGCACCACCGCGCCCCCCTCCAGCTCAACCCTAGCCTTCACAACCACGCTTTCCAACCTCATCGCCCAGAACCATCCTTCCTCTTCCCCTTCAGGTTCAGCCCAACCCCAAACAAACAACAAACCCAGCACAACAACCGGCCGCCCCCGCCCCTCGAAACACAATAAGCCAGATGACATCTTCTCGCGCCCGAACCGCGGGGCCCAGAAGCGCGCGGCGCGGGATCTTGACGACCGGGACGACGCTTACGCACAAACACAGACACAAGGACAAATACACCAGCAAAGCAAGGATCTAGGCGGGAAGGTCGAGGAGGCGGTGCTGCAGCGCTCGAAGAGGCGATTGGCGGAGAAGGCGCGCGTGTATGAGGATTTACGGCGGGGGTTGTATCTTCTTGGTTCTGATGATGAATCTTCTTCAGAGAGGGAGGGGGAAGGCGAGGGGGAGAGGTATCTGCGCGGGTTGAGGCGGAGGGAGAGGGAGGGGTTGGTTGATTTTGATCGTCTTGCTCATGACTCCTCTCTCAGGGACGGGGAGGAAGAGGGGGAGAATGATGATGATGATGATGATGCGTCGATCGTATCGTATGAGGATGAACTCGGTCGCTCGAGAAAGGGTACCAGGGCTCAGGCGGCTGAGGCCGCTAGATTGAAACACTCAGAAACAGAGGAAGGGGAGAGGTGGCGCCCCGCTCGTCCTGAGAATCTCATCTACGGCGTTACCGTCCAGAGCGAGGCCTTCCAGCCTGACACTGCTGTCGCGGATCATATGGCTTATCTGGCTAAACGCCGGGATCGCTCTGCTACGCCGCCGGAGGAGACGCACTATGATGCTGAGGCTGAGGTGCGTAATCGCGGTACCGGGTTCTATGCTTTTTCGAAGGATGAGGAGACGAGGAAGCGACAGATGGAGGAGTTGCGTGCTGCGAGGGAGGAGACGCAGCGTGAGAGGGAGGAGAAATTGCGGAGGCGCGCTAGGAAGGAAGATGCTCGGACGGAACGCATGAAGAAGGTGGAGGAGCTGCGCTCCAAGAGGCGCGCGGAGTTGTTCCTTGCGGGGCTTGGCGATGTCGGCGTTGTTTGATTGCATCTTTTACTATGTTCTGTGATTATCTGCCTTTTACTTTCCCGGCGCTGTGTTGCTTGTTGAGATAAGATACCCATGGTTAGAATTCAATCAAAATGATATGCACACAACACATCAAGGCCACCGAGTAATCAAAGGGTATCATTGCCTGGTCTGAAACCAGCCTTATGTATATATAACTATAACAAGTCCAACTATGGTAAATCGGACAATCAGCAGGAAACCTCCGATTAAGCTCTTAGTGGTCATCAATCATAAGTCGTCAAAAATTTGTTTGATTGGAAGCTCATCATCCCACTGCTATTCGCTCGATGGACGCTATCCATGTGATGTGCAAGTTCAGCGATAGTTTCCATAAAGCCCTGCGCATCTGCGCCCAGTCAGTCAGCAGTCTCTCACAGCAAATACAGCACAGATACGTACCCGAACGATGCGTAAATCTGAGGACATGCTCTCCTTTAGCCGTCTGAGGTGGCGTATAATCGGGGAAGGTGAAGATGCTCCGACGAATCCCCCTCAGCACGACTACCTTGGGCTCGGTATGACGAATCCAGCCCGGATTAACGATGTGCTCTGTGATAAAGGCCGTCCAGACCGGTGATCTAGATCATGTTAGCCTCAGACCATAGTAGGCGTGATCTGCCGCGACCTACCGCTTCAATTCCCCTTTGTGGACCGATGCCTGGAGCCGCACGGCGCCAGATACCTCATCCCTGTATACACGTAACGCATGGAGAAAGTCATCATCCACGATTTGTCTGATATCGTTAGATTCATCATTGTTCATTGGGGAGAAAGTTTGACCTACCCTCCGAAGAGTTCTTCCTCCTGCGCCAGCTCGTAATCGCGGATACTCTCCACGGCCACGGGACGTCCGGAATCTTGCGATCGAAGCGCCAAGAATGTGCAGAAGAAGATCACCATTTCTACTGTCTGATTAGCTAAATCATGCTGAAGTGATAGTCAAACGCGTACGTTCAATGGTGCTGAATTTGAGGTTGGCCCACAGGACCAGTTCGCTGCCCCCGCGCCGGCGTCGGCACAATTGTAAGCAGGAGTCGACACGGACGATCTCGAGCATATTCAACGGTAAGATGAAATACTCATTGGACCGGGCAGAGCGACGGGCTTTGCACACAATGCGTGCGCGATGGTCTTCGTCTCGCAGGTACAAGCATACTCTGAGATCCGTCTCGCCGTTGAAGGCTCTACTGCCTGTCAGCCTAATTCTCAACTGAGACGAGGGGATGCAACACTCACAGTTGGAACAACTCGTCGAATCCTTCGCTTTCGAGCCATGCTTTCGGATTGGCCTTTGGTTCCCCTAAACACTCGGAGCTGCAGCTTGTTAGCAAATTTCCTCGCTGTTATGACTATCGTCTCACCTTTCGCCTATATAGGGAATAGGCGTGTTCGTGTGTTCGTCCAGGAACACTCGCCGGGCCCAATGGTCCCCGACGACACTGGAGCTGGTGGAGTGACTAGTGGCAGTCGTGGTAGAAGGCGAGTCCGGGGCATCAGGGGCCGAGGGGGGAATGTCGGAGAATGTGGCGGATGAAGCCGACGTGGGCGACTGAGGCCCATGGTGAGACGGACGAGCTCGCTCATACGATCTCCGAGTGCGGGGGCGTCGATCACTGACCGGGCTGCCAGGTTCGGTGCTGGTATTACTGCTGCTACTGCTGCTGGAGGAAGGCGAACTCAGAGACAAGGAGCCAAGCTGTGACGCAACTTGAGACTCCTGCTGAACCAACAAACTGTTGAGGTTGCGGCGCAGAGAGGACATGAGACGATCGTCGGGGGCATTACTACATCCATTACGACACATGAGTCAATTGATAAGGGGAAGAAGAAGCCGCATGAGAGAACGAACCCCTTCATCAGAGCCTCCAAGTCGGACAGAAAGGCCTTATACTTGGCTAGGCGGGTGGACAGTGAATCTTGCGACTGCTCCCGGAAGAAAGCACAAAGAACGAGCCATGTCCGCCTGTACATCTCCCGGCTGGAGCCTCTGCGCCCCTCCAGGTCTCCGAAGAATTCGACAACATCTTCGAGCGTGTACTTCAAGCTTGTCCGGACCAGCTCCAGGTCGGGCTGGATGGCGTGCAGGTTGCGCCGATAGGTTCGATTGCGCGTCAGATCCTCGAGATTCTTGAGCGAGGTGCTAATCGCATAGAGATCGGCAATGAGACTGGTGATCTCCGTCGAATGCTCCGGCAGAGGGTCGCGAAACAGACGAAAGCCAGCAGCCACGTCCTCTGCATTGTCGGCAGATGTGCGCAGGGCCATGGTGAACGGTCACTTATGGTAGTCCATGCATATATGTATGTCTATGGGGACCTTCCGCTGTATGGTAGGGGCAGAGAGGTAAGGAAGCAATAGACTTCCACCAAATAGACACCCGCGGCTCACTATAGCTGCTCGACGATTTATATGAAGATCCCGGCAGGGGGAGATCAACCAATCCAAGGGAAATTACGGGATAGGGCAGTAGATACACCGGGGGAGGGGCAGTGGGAGACAACTCAGTAGACTGCAATGCTGGAGTCAGAAAGGAAACCTCTTATCGGTGGGATCTTCCCTGGGATGCATGTCGATTGGAGTTCTCACCAAACAAATCGATGGATGAAAACCAGTGGAGGGATGAGAGGATTGGAGTCTCGCCCAAGGGTAAACCGGGCAAAGGCGCAACTCGCACCACACGCAGAGACACTAGCACAAGCACAAGCACGCAAACACAGACGAAAGGGAGAATGTCGAATTCGAGTCAGACAGGGTTTTCTGATCTCGATCATCCGCACAAAGGAAGGAATGCAGAACAAGAATCCCCCGCGGGTGGGGCTAAGTTCAGTCTAGTTTATGGCCGGGCGGAATGGTAAGTAGTAGTAGTTAGTTAGTTTGCGGCTCTTGTCGGACGGACAGACCGGCACTGGAGCCAGAAACCAGTAGCCAGAGACCGACAGACCGACAGATAGATTGTCTGTCTTGTCTAACGATTGTAACGTGCCTCGATTTTCGAAGGGGGGGGGGGGACCATTGACGTGTTCATGCGGCGGCGACGGGCAAAAGCCAATAACGGGCGGTGGAAATACATGGCGGGATGGAGCGATGGGATGGTGGAGGGGAAAATGAGGGAGAAGACGCGGAGAGGCCGTGGTGTGACTTTATCCTTGAGTGGTGATACGAGCAGCAGCGGTGGGAGTCGCTTATTCCAGAGCGACAAGGAGTGTCTTCATACCCTTTGCAGTCCGACAGTGCAGCAGAGGCCACACTGTCTGTCATATAATGAAGCACTGAAAGCAAAGCAAATGAGACCCGGACTAGCCACCACTCAATCAAATCATTGTGTGCGTGTGTATGTCTGTCTGTCTGTCGGTTGTCTGTCTGACTTGCAGATGAGGGGAAGAAGTAAACCTTACTGTAAAAAGAGAGAGTCTCCGAGATCCCTGTCCAGTCACGGGATCCAGGAAGGATGACAACTGAATCTAATCGTCGTTAAAGTTTGGCGCCGACGGCTTCATTGCACTGCATGGGGATTCCTAACGGCGAAGCTTGCCCCGCGACAGTCTCAGAGGCCGAAACTGAGATAACTAATCGATATCGCTTGAATCGATAGGTGCAGTTGTGAATAGTAACAGCTGTACTCTGCATCATAGCTATGGGTCATAACGAGCATGCGGATATAGGAGGGATTGTTGAACGGAGACAGTAGCGACCAAAGACAATCGACCAAGTTAGATGACAGAACAACAATAGTCTCAAGCAAGACAAGACAAGTAGTCTTGTAGATATGTATAGGACTCGATCGAGGTTCACCTCTGACAAAGGCTGATGTCATGCATGCATATACTCGACCTGATTTGCCGTCGCTTTGGGCAGAGATACATGATCATTTACAGCCAGACATCCATTGAAAAGTAAGAGCACCATCTAGTCAACTATAACCGTGATCCTGCAGTGCATGGACAAGTCCTACGGGGCATGCCGATAAAAGGTGTAGCCTGAGGCATAACGACCCATAAGCACCAGGCATTCAGGCATTCAAACACCCAGGCACCCAGGCACACAGGCAGTCCGGAGATATCGGAGAAGTGAACGCGTCGAACACGTCTGGTAAACAAGCTGTCGCCCCGCGTCGCCGTCACCGGCGGGAGCTTGGGCCAACTCCTGCAAGGGAAGTTCTTCCAGATTCACCAGAACCCCCCATGGAAGCACCCCTGCGTCTCAGATGTGGGTTTAGATCTTACACTAAGTTATACCTAACCAGGAGAGCTGATAAGCAATCCCACAAAGGCGCAGGAATCAATGACGCTTAGGTGAGGATGCGGTTGATTAAGCTATTATACAGCAGTCTTATGCTGACCTCACACCTTCTGCAGCTTCATTTCGATATGTCATCATAGACGCTCAAATCAAGTATCCTCGTAGCTCTGGGAATCAGCGCCGGGACTCCTCAATTCAAGTCAAATGTGTCCGAAAGCCGCCAGTCCGTACAGTAAACATTTCCCATTGATATCCTTCATGAACAGAAAAGCAAGGAGAGAGGAAACAACCACCGTCATCCGTACCAGAAGCCGTTGAGTAGATAATAGGATATAGAAAGCCACAAATACACGTCACACGAGAAAAGACACAAACGCCAGGGGGTCCACACAAAAGACCTAGGGGACAGGGGAGCTTAAGAGGACTCCTCATCCTCCTCAGCAGCAGCCTACACCAGTGCTGTCAGTACCGAGTGCGGGGAGCATGCGATTTCCAAGCGCGACTTACCTGGTAGCTGGCCTTCTCGTCTTCGTAACGCTTCTTGTCGGCAGCGGCCTTCTCCTCGTAAGGACGGCGATCCGTGTCGTTCAGGGCCTTCCACCTCTCTCCGAGCATCTTGCCAACCTGACCTGGAGGAATATTAGCAACGGGGTACAAGTTATCATCGGCACTGTGAGCCATTCTTACCGAAAGAGATGCCAGGGTTGTCCTCGCGAACCTTTTCACGGTTGTCGTTGGCGAAGAACATGTAGGCAGAGAGACCACGCTTGGGAGCGTTGGGGTCTAAAGCAACAAGTCAGTCATAGCATGGGACAATGGGGGAACACGAATGCTTACCCTTCTTCTTACGCTCAACACCACGACCCTTAGTCTTGCGAGTAACCTTCTCCTTGGGCATTTTGAAAATTGAGGTCTGTGGGCGGGGATAGTTGTTAGAAGATGATCAAATTGGGACGGATCAGATGAGACGCTCGCAAGAAAAGCAGATGAGGGCGATGCAGATAGCTATATGCAATAGAACGACAGAGAAAGATAGGTAGTGAACGAAGGCAGAGGTGAATAGCAGCGCGCGTAGAGCAGAGGGTGGAGGGAGAGCGTTGCGTCAACCCGTGTTTTGCGCGCACCCAAAGAGCGATCGCGGTCGCAAGTCAAACGACACCAAGAGGAAAAGGCGCGCAGACAAGTGACTTACCTGACTATTGAGTCAGTAAGACGGCGAACAACAACAAAAGAGAATCAGCACAAAAAGACTGTGGGGGAATCAAGAGAGCTTAGGGTCAGCTCAGGGTTGCTGGGAACTATAAGAGTGCTGTTGCAGAGAGCGCGACAGCGAGATCGCGCAACTCCGGAGAGAAAACCAAGGGAAACGATGATTTGAAAAAGCAATCAGAATGGAAGAAAACGGGAATAAAGGAGAAAATCAGATTATGTTGGTGTGGAGGAAACAGTGCTCGAAAGGCGGAATGTTTATAGGGGCCCTACCGATGCGGTTATGTGCAGTACTTTTTGTATGGGGAGAGAGAATTGTATGGGAGAAGAGTAGGTAGAGAGAGAGTGGTGAGTGAGGGAGTGAGTGAGGGAAAGAGAGAGAGAAAGAGAGGGGAGAGTAGTAGTAGTAGGAGAAGAGAGAGAGAGAGAGAGGGAGACGGGAAGGCGGGCGGGCCATTACCTACCTAACCTACTCTGCCTACCTCACCCTCTCAGTTCTTGGGAAGGGGGGAAGTGGGCAGCACAGCAAGGGAAACAACCGCTCTCTGCCGGCTGCGACTGGCTGGTCGGCTGCTGGAGAATGGTTGGTATGGTTCCATACCCGTCATGTCCTGTCATTTTTCCACCCTCCCCTGCGATTCTCCGCTGCCGCATTTTGGCTGACCTCACAACGCTTTGTCTGAGCAACTTGAGTGGTCTGCAGGGTTGCAGTGCTCCTTTCAGCAAATTCAATTGAAGACCACGCCCATGGTCCATTCCACCTCTCACTTGCTGGTGGAAGGAAAAGGTGGGTGCTGAGCATCGCACCTGATGCAGCTCCACTGCCACCTTCAGTATGGTTTTTTACCGAACGCTTCTCATACCCCATTGTGCGCCACTCTGGAGTGGGTAATTGACCTAGGGTAAAATACATAGCCGTATGATGGAAAGAGAGCTCCATGGTGTATCCGATTACCAATGCTGTAGTACTGAGTACCGTACTGGAAGCTACCAATACAGTACTCAGTACAGATGTCCATACATCCAGCCAGCGTGGAGGGCAAGACGCTCAGGGAGCAGCGACTGCTACTAATCTGGCAGCGCTCAGTCGTACTTCCACACCGCGCGCGATTGCCCCAATCCGTGTGCCATTGAGGGACTTTCTTCGTCGGCGCTTCTATTTGCATCTAGTCTTGGGAGGATCTGCGAAGGCGCGGATATAATCAGTATTCTCAAAATATTTTGGGTCGCAGTCTGTCTCAAATGGTTTACCCATAGGCTGGTTGCATTTATTGAGCTATTTCGATCTGCTTGTAACCACTGCAAAAGGCTCGACTGCTCTCTGTACAGTACCTCGGTGGAAGCAATCTACGGCCGAGCTGGCGCGATCTCCATGGAGAGAGATTACATCCGCGTCGATAATTCTCCGCGTTATCCTGCCATAAATTCGGTGCCTGCTTCATTCGGGGTAAGGTCTAGCCCTGCAAAGCACTAGACCAAGGCATTGTACGTACACAACTCGCGCTGTCTCCCCGCGCGTATTCTACTGGTGCTATCGATCGCAGGCTTCGTCGACCCGATGGCTACTGCAAATATCTAGACTACACCGTCTGAAGGTCATTAGATTGCGAGGTATATCTACTAAACATGACCCAAGCGCTATAAGGAGTCGTATGATGTGGAGACCTTACTGCACTCCTTGCACATTTGGCCTTTTATCGGTCGATGTACCTACTGTGTATGCCACTGACTGAGTCGAGGATGGCTGGCCCATGGCAGTGCTGAGGTAGTCGTGGTAGCAGAGTCTAGTGGCACTAAGAAGCGCTCCTGTTCTAGCATAGGCCGCCTCTCCCAATGAACGGCGCGAAGAGACTGCAACTGTGATGCAGTGGTGATAACAGGAGCACTATGATCAACTAATTTAATCACAATGATCACTCCGGCGACTCCAGGTAGGCTAGGTAGGCGATTGCTCGGTATCAGCTCTGAAGTAAGCATTATTGATTGGAACCTCCTGATTAGTGCCAACTTCCCTTCCAGTTGCCATTATACCAGTCACAAACCACTCATACTTGGCGATCATCTATTGTTCTGTGCCCGGTTTTGGCGACGAGTACTGCTCAGTCTGGTCAATTGAGGCTGCAGGTAGGATTCACCCGCTCGCACAAGTTTCCTGTATAAGTAAAGACATTCCTTTGCTGTTTAATCTGGTTTTTCGGACTTATGTATCGCATCAGCAAGCTCGGAGTAGGCGGAGTCTCGGTGTATGTATAAGAGAATCCTTTTCCTTAAAAGTAACAAGCCATTGAGGCGATGAATGAGTGGATTGAAGGCTTTCGCCGATGGTGCGACCACTCCGGTCGTATGCCGAGATTATTTGAAGCTCATTCAGTATTGCCGAAGCCCAAAGAAACAAATATAGGCGGGTTGCAGTGATCTATTGTGAGGGTTGCATAGAGTACTAGGAGAGCGAGAGACTTGAGAAAGAGGGAGAGAGAGATCAACCTCAGCTTCCGGCGACGTCCTGCACCTGCGCAAATGCCACCACATTCCGCAGTGCAAACAACATCCGAAAGTTACAGACAGTATCGGCAAAATACTGGATCCGCGTACTATGTACAACCTTTGAGAGTATGTATTGTAACTGAAGCAGCTGCGCGCCTTGCCCTGTAAGTAATTCTCAATTCTCAGTCAGTCATAGTGAGGGGGTCATTGATTCCGTTGCTTGGGTCTACCGTTCGAGGTGGAAACGCCGGCCTCTCTTTGGTTTGTTCAGTTCCTTCGCTTTCCCACCCCCCTCCCTCTACCTACTCCTAACTAGGCTCTGAGCAAATCTCCTCTGCTCACATGCAAAATTTACGCTGGCCCGATTTTGGCGGCTTTTTCTCTTTCCTTTCCTGCAGTGACTGCGACCGCCCCAGCTCAACTGTCAGTTTTCCCTCTTGTCTCTTTGTTTCGGTCTCCTGCAAGGGTTCCCTCACCATTATGGATGGGCTTGGGTTACCGTTTGCAGGCTTTTGCCCCTAAGTACACCAGTCAGCCAGCCCACCGTATGACGAAGACTCGGTAGTTTGCCTTCGCCCAAGGTGGGCCATGATGTCACGTGGGTCACACCACTCAGTCTACTCTGTATTCTTCACACCTCCATCCTCAGCGCCACTAGGTGCTAGTCGAGCACTGTACTCCCGTAACTTCGTCAGACTTCCCTAAGATCGTCCTGCCGAGTCTTACTAATCAGTTACTATCGTCCGGAGCGGACTTTTGAATTCGCTCAGTCAGATCACTTCGATCGATCAGATATGTCGCATGCGAGACATGGGACCGTAAAAATCTTGCCATCTGCCACTGCGCGATGGTCAATCAACCATTCATCAAGGGTATAAGCTTTCCTTCCGTAACGCCTGATCCAAGTAACGCTAGAAAAACAACCCCCTTCTGTCCGTCGTAGTTACAGTATCATACATCAATCGTCAGACTCATCTAAAACCAAGGCTGTGAGCGTTTCGTCTTCAGCCCAGTTGACTTCGCTCCCTACCACCATAGCACTTGCGATACTTTTCATCACCTCCCATCTCGCTTTGCTTTTGCGGTGATCGGTTTCCAATTGCTCGAGCTGCCCCTGGAGCTCCGGGTCATCAAGGTCCTCCTTCCAGGATTCATCATCCTCCCTGAGCGACAATAATTCGCGGACCAGCTCTTGATTCTTCTGGTGGAGCTGAATATTCTCTACCTCCAGCCCCGTGAGCTTTCGAAAAGTCGCCGTCTGCATAGCATTTAGATTTTCATGCACGATAGAGAGCACATCGCGACGATTGATCAGCCGGAAAAGAACCCTACGGCTTGTTAGCGGAGACGGGCGACAGGACGTCGAAGCAAGAACGGTAGGGTAGGGCTGGTGAAGCACGGAGGAACATATCGGAAGAAGCAAAAATACCTTTCGGCTGGAGTGGTGGCTTTCAGATGAACGGCTTTTAGGGCAGGATCAGTCATAAGAACAGTTCCCACAGCCTTTCTCCTGACTGTGTAGGTGGCTCTCGCCTCCAGTAGCTCGCGTTCCGCTATGGCTAGTTGCTCTTCAGCATCATCACCCGAGAGCAGATCTGTATCTATGGGAAATTATTAGTAAACAGTGCACAGTGCGATGGGATACGAGTAGATAAGAAGCATAGAAAAAGAAGGAGACGGGTTAGTTATGCGCGCAGATATACCTTGCTCAAGTAGTGCCTTTTCCAGTTGCTGTTCCTGGATCTGGTGATAAAGCTGCAGGATCAAAGCCTCCTTGTCCGACAACGATACCGTATCGCGTGGATCATCGGTCGCAAGATTCAACAAAGCCAGCTCACCTGGCCCCAGGTGAGGGAGGGAAGGGGATTTTTCAGATGTCATGGAACGAGGCCTCGTGGCAAGTCGGAGAAAAGAATTCTCGTGTGATGCTTGCTTGTTCCAGGCTTTTGTCTTCCAGCGTTCTTCTCTCCGTTTGGATGAAAGGGAAACCAATCTTGAAGATCGACGACCGTCCAGATGCTGGGCTGGCTTAAGGGCGGTGGAGTTCCCGGCCTTGCGGTGGGCGGTTCCGGGGGACCGTCTCAGTTACAGTACATACCCAGCTAGAACTAGACCTGGGCCCATGGGGAGAGACAGACAGACAGGCAGTGAGGGAGCTTCTGGAGTCATACCTTATTTATTAAACCGACTCGCTACTGACGGTCAGACTGACACTCTTGCTGCTCTATCCGATCTCCCCCTTCCTCTCCTTCTTCTTATCTTCTCCCTTCCCGCATTCCTTCCCTTCCATCAACTTCTCCCGACTCCATTCTGGAGCAACATCTTCAATTCTCCGCTGCTCGCCTGGTGAGGAGGGGATGTCTTTGCACATCTACATAGCTCACACCGGTGAGCATCTTCAGGCTGATCCGGTGTCTTTGCCCTCGTATGTTATCTCTGGCTGCTGCTGTCGCTGCTTGTCTACACAGCTTCCTCTTCTATCACCGCCGCCTTTTGGATCCTTGAGACTGTCACTCTTCGGCTTCCAACCCCCCTTTGCCTCAGAGAGCCCTTCCTATCAGACAGTAAGCTGACGCGGTCTGATTTGTTATCCAGACCAGATGCACTGCGGACATGGATTACCCGCAACACTTCGATTCCTCCGCAAAGGCAGATCTTGATGACTGCCCGGGGTAAAAATGTCAAGACCCAAACACTTGCTACGGAGGTACGCATTCACACAGCCCACCAATAATATCTTTCCTCCCCTTGTACCATCGGCTAATACTCTTTCACCAACAGAGCGAGATATTCGTGTACGATAGACGCTATGTCAGCGAGCCCAACACCTTCGAGCTTCCGGAACTCCCTCCACCGCAACCACTCACCCGCGATGATCCGCCCGATACCTTGACCAATCAAAACGACCTACAAGCATGGAAGGCTCTTTATAGTGCCAGGAAAGACTGGGCCCTCAGCCTCACAGAACGCTGCGCAACCGCGGATAAACAAATTCATGAGCACAACGAGCGAACAGACATCATCAACCGAGCGGCCGGTGTAGCTCTCGAGAACCTCAAAACCCATGTGGGCACTCTGGAACACCGCTTTCAAGAGGCGCAGACATGGGCGAATGACTTGCTGAAGGAACAGCACGCGGCCTTGGATGGATGGAGGAAAGCTCTTGCATCGTTGGACAACATTCCGGCTCGGAGAGATTTCAACTTCCTGGGCCGCCCGTCAACGCCGACCAAGAGCGACGATCGGCTGATGGGAACCCTGAGAAATTATGTGGACGTGGAAGAAGTGCAAAGGGCCGGCGAGGAAGCACCAGAGGAGTCTGCGCGCTTTGCGCAAGACGTTAGCGATATTGAGAAAAGCGTGGGTGAGATTGCAGCGGATACACAACGCTTGGTGGATGATGCGTTTCCTACCGGCGTGGATGATGTGGATGGTCTGCTGCAAGAAGTGGAAACCATCTCTAAGAAGATACAATCCGACTACGAACATGTCCTGGCTCTGTCCAATAATCAAAAAGCGCTGGCCAATATATCTAGACTCGCACTCAGCCACACCAAAGACTTGCTTCCATCGCTGCTGGACATCGGTAGCGAAATCCAGGCTGGCCTGGAAGAAGCTGTCAATCGGTATAACGCCGCGATTAAAGCGGCTTCTAGTCACATGCGGCTCATCTCGTCGATCGAGTCACGCCTGGCTGATGTGCAGACCCGGATCACTAACCTCAACTTCCGAAGCGACGCGTTTGACATCATCTACTCCGTATTCCACATGCCCATGGTCTACGGTTCCGTTCTGATTGAAGCAACGCGACGTCGTGAGTTCAGTGACAAGCTGAAGAATGATTCTCTGACCTTAGCGGAAGAGATGTCAGTCTTTCGCGAGGAGGAACAGCGGCGCCGCAAAAAGTGGATGAAGAACATGGGGGAGTTTTTATCAACATCGGATACCTCAACACCTGGCATTGAAGTCAATCTACGAGGTCAGGAGTATGAATGGCCCGTTGTCAGCAGAAAGGAAATTGAATCATACATCGAGGACCTGAAGACCAAGACTGGCATGGCAAACTTGGCGCAGGATCTTAGCCAGCTTTACAAAGAGTTGGACACCCCCACCCGCTTACAGCGCCGCAGATCGAAGGCTTTCAAGCAAGGCAGTCTCTTTGATCTTAGTCGAAGCTCCGTCTTGCTGCGCAGCGATGACATGGTTCGAAGCTTGAGGGACGAAAAGGGCAAACTTGAGGAGAGGCTGAAAGGTTCTGAAAGTCGTATAAGAAAGCTGGAAGACCTTCTACATCGCCAGAGCCATATGAGTCGGCCGTCTAGCGGAGCCTTCTCGCTAGACTTTCCGAGTTCACCCGCGTCACCTCATCCTGATCCCCTTTCTAGACGATCTTCCGTGTCATCACGACGGATGTCTGCCAACCAGTCACCTGAGGAAAAGGCGCTCATTCAACGCATTGTGCATCTCGAAGCGGAGTTGGCAGCAGAGCGGGACACAGTGCAGCGGCTGCAGAAAGAAGCGCATGCAGAACGCCAATCGAACACCGACAAAATTCAGGAAGAACAGTCGACGAAGAAAGATCTTATTGGCAACCTTGAAGCCCGGCAGCGCGAGTTTGACGATGAGAGAAGATACCTCGAGGGCGAACTAAAACGGCTGAAAATCCGTACGGAGGAAATGGAAGAAGAGCTAGACAGGAATCTGGACATCCGTGAGCATGATAAGCAAGATACTGATGAGCGAATTCACCAGCTTGAAGCAGAGTTGCAAGATGCTCACGCCCGCGCCGAAGAAGAATCACACAAAGCTACTGAATTAATAAAGCAAATGGAGCTTGACAAGGATGCGGCCAAGGATCTTGATTCTCGTCTAACTGAATTACAGAACCTCATTGCAGACAACGAGAAGATGGAAAGAGAGAGCCTTAATTCCCTACAAGCCGCTTTCATGAATCTGTCTCCGGGGGGTTCTGTTCCTGCCAAGGCCCTGGACATCATCAAGGCAATCGAGGTGCTGTCTGAAGGACTGTCTATTCATGCTAAGAATGCGGAGGAAAATGCCTTGAAGGCTGCAGCGGAGTACAAAGAGCTTGAAGAGCGTTTGGACCAGATGGGGCCGGAGGCCGAATACTTGCGGAAGAGTGTAGATGAACGGGAAGCGGATTTGTCTCGCGTTCGCGAAGAGCTAGCGCAGGAGAAGTCCAAATTAGAGCTTGTGATGTCTGAGCTGGATGATGAGCGATCAAAGCTCATTGCACTCCAAACCCAATTTGCCGCGGGTGAGAATGGCTCTGATGCTCTCCGAGAGCGCGTCACGCAGGAAGAACGAAAGCTGACCAACCTCTCTCAACGATTGGCCGAGGTCGAGTCCCTTGCTCGTCAGTCAGAAGAAGAGGTCACGACCTGGAGAAAGAAGGTGGAGGCGATATCAGAAGCCGAGCAACGGGCTACAGTCCGGTCTGAAACATGCGGGCTCAGGTCTCAACAACTCTCGAAACAACTTTTCTCGCAGGTCGAGAAGCTGGAGCACATGCTCGAGCAGCTCGGATTTATTACCATCCGGCAAGACGGGAATATTGTGGTTCAAAGAGCCTCAAAGGTGGCCAATACCATGTCGCTCACAGGAGAAAGTTTTAACCAGTCCGGAATGGTGCCTGTGAAGCCAGACGCGAGTCTTCTGACCTGGATGCATGCCGAAACCAAAGAGGAGGAGACTGATAGGTTCATGGCTTTTATGGAGTGTTTGTACCAGTTTGACGTGGACATTTTCGGTGATGCCGTCGTCAAGCGCGTCAAGGACATCGAGATGCTCGCTCGGAAGTGGCAGAAGGAGGCCCGTGGGTATCGCGACAAATACCACCGGACGCAAAGTGAAGCGCACGAGAAGATCGCGTATCGGTCCTTCAAGGAAGGCGACCTTGCTCTATTTTTGCCCACGAGGAACCAAGCGATCCGGTCATGGGCAGCGTTCAACGTCGGCGCGCCCCACTATTTCCTGCGCGAGCAAGATGTGCATAAACTCCAGACCCGGGACTGGTTGCTTGCTCGCATCACCAAGATCGAAGAACGGGTTGTCGACCTTTCCAAGTCTATGAACGGTGCCAATCCTGACCGACGATCCATCGAGGAAGTGAGCGATGGCACCTCCTTCGACGATGAGAACCCCTTTGAACTGTCGGACGGTCTTCGCTGGTACCTTCTGGATGCCACAGAAGAGAAGCCTGGGGCCCCCGCGACACCGGGTCTGGGGAAGAGCACCGTTGCGCCGGCGCACGTCGACGCTAAGGGTAGCATCCGACTGAAGCGAACCTCCGCCGGAGGGGACGTCGCCAAGACCCTGTCAAAAAGCCTCGATAGCCGGCGAAACAGCTCCAATTCTAAAAAGGCACCTTCTACGCCGTCACAGCGCGGCAACGAATCTACTACCGATCTGGCCCGGCAGGCCGAGGAAGACCCTGCCGCTGTGGCTGCTAGCTCACGACCACGGGAGGCACCGTCTAATGCCGATGAGGTTCGCCGCAACCCACTCCAGGGTCCGCAGAACTCGAGATAGCTGCGGCTCTTCCCTCGATTGCACGCCCCTCTGGGGTTTATTTTGGGAGCTGACGAAACGTCACAGGGTGCGGGTCATGTCCTTGAGAATCCATTCCGTCAACAGCCGTCGTTTTATCCCGGGGCAAGAAGCTCCTCTTCGTCGGTGCGTCTAGAGGATGTCGATGTCTCGTCCATCAATACACCGGCCAGTCGACGGACCTCGCGCTATCGCCCATGGGAAAAGTTGTGGTCTGTTGACTACCGCCTGGAGAGTAGCGGCCGTCAATAATTTGAGACAGTCTCAGGCGCAGCTTAGAACAAACAACTAAGTCGGATCTTCACGAAGGTGGTATTGCCATAATCGGGAGAGGATGTTTTGAATGTAGATGGACACAGGAACTGAGTCATGAGCATGACGTGAAAGGCTTTGCCTGATATGATACCCTAGGACATGAAAATGGCTCACGTGTTTGCTATTAGTTATTTTATTCTTGCTGCTTTTCATTTCCTTTTCTTTTTGTTCTATCTCCCTCCATTAGCCGGCGCGAACTAGACATGCGCATCACTTGAACTTTGAGCTGTGACCTTGGTTAGGTTTGCTTTAAATGAAACATAAATTGGAACCGATAAATGCCCCCGTAAGCCAACCTATCCCACGCCTCGCCATGCACCACCAATGCTCCTGATGTCTGGAGCTTCTCTCTCCCCAGCACAAATATCTTCTCTCGAGCAATGGATGAAGTAAAAAATTTCTATCTATATTACATGGGAAACAAATCATAGTAATTGAAAGGAAAAAAGTTGCAAGAGAAATTTGAGACCACAAAGGAAAACCAGGACAACTAATCCAGCTGATCCGTGAAATCCTCCATCCCACCGACATCCTCCCAGAACTTGGAGAAGTCCACATCGTTCTCCTCGAAGAGTTGCTTGACCTGGTTCATGGCCGAAATCTGCCTCTCGGGCGTGAACCCGCCGGGTCTCGTGCTCTCATACTGGATCAGCTCGACCCAGCGGTAGAACAGGTCCTCCTTGCCCATGGCGGTCAGCTTCTGCTGGAACTCGATAATCTGATCGCGCTGGGCGGACCGCATCGGATCCTCGGTGGTCTCCTGCTTCGCCTTGCCCTTCCGGTCTCTCTTCGACGATGCGGCCTCCTCCGCGGCGGCGACAGTCGGGTTCTCGTCGTCCACCCGCCACACTAACCAGCCGTGGGCGTCGGTGTTCACCACCACCGCCGTGCGGAACTCGTCCAGCTGGACGGCGGCGGTGTCGTCCTTGTTCGGGGAATGGCCGTGGCCGTCGACCATCTCGTGGGCCACGATCATGCTCTCGTAGTCCAGGTCCCAGTCCTTGTCCACGAGGAGATACCCGGTCTTCCGGACCTTTTCGGGCGTGACGGCCGAGACGATGCGGTCGCGCGTCTCCTCGTCCTCGCGGATCCAGCGGTCCCGCTTCAGGTGCCGGGTCAGACCGGCCTGGCTGCGGCGGAAGATGATCTCCTGGTCGCGGAACCCGACGCGGCGGCGCCACTGGAGGGGGCCGAACAGGAACCGGATCGGCCAGGGCAGGAGCACCGTGACGAGGAAGTAGTCCAGCATGACGGTGAAGATGCGGCCCAGCACGACGCCTGACAGGTCGCTCCAGCTGAGCGTCGAGGTGTCGACCGAGAGGGAGCTTGTGAGGCCGACTACCGAGGCGAACATCGCCGGGTAGATGTGTCGCACTGAGTAGACCCGGTAGGCAAGCAGGCACACAATGGCGAGGTTCATGAGGACCGGGACGAGGAAGGTTTTCTGCTTCAGGCTGATCGGTGTGCTGTCGATGTGGATGAGGTAGATCTCGCTTGGGGAGAGGGGGGAGAGCAGCGGGAGGAGCGTGGCTGGCGCTTTCGTGAAGGGAGGGAGCGGCATCGAGGATTGGGACGCTGGCGTCGAGGTACCTGATCCTGACGAGGAGGAGGTGGTTGTGGAGGATTTGGCCTTGGGGCCTCGTCGTGCGGATTTGGCCATGTTGAGGCTTTGTTGCTTCTTCTTGGGGATGGTCGTGCTTCCGGGATGTTGGGGAATCTAAGGAGGGGTTCGAGAGGCTCGAGGAGGACGTAGGACTTTTGACCTGGACGCAGGTAGCTATTTCGGTCCTCCTTTATAGTTGCGCTAAGTGATCAGTTGCGCGCGAGAGAGGCGCAAAGTATAGTGACAAGAAGCCAACAACGGGGTCGAAATCGGTTCGCCTGATCGGGTCACATGTTGTTAGTTCAAACGCGCTCGGAGCCATTCGTTTCTAGAGAAGAGGGGAGGAGATAGGGCAGCGTGATAGTCTCATCCGTACCGTGTCAATGACAGTGGAACGATGTAGTTCAATTGACTGGTTGTCTGTTTTGGAAATATGTAGTAATGAGATACTAAAATAATTAATCAAATGGGGGGAAATGGAGATGACGCTCACCCAGCCCACTAAGCCCGATCGGGGCGCGGCCGCAACGGACTCCTGGGCGCGATTCTCATTGCTGTTGCTTTAGAATGAGAGAGTGACACCCCCCCATATTCACTGCAGCATTCCACCTGCTTCAAGTCGCGTGTCGTGTTATTCGGACCGGAGCGCACCGCCCAAATTCACTGGCGCCCCTAAAGGGCATCTGCTGCCTGTGTTTGTCACGATGCCTTCCACCCCCGAACGCAGGAGCGACCGGCCGTCGTTCTCGCGTCGCAGCTATCGTCACGATCAACCCACCGACGAGCAGCGCTCTCCCTTTCGACGAGCTCGTCAAGCTCACCTTGCCGACCATTTTGACGCGTCATTAAACCTGAGCCCTCCCTACGAATCCACTTCTCCCCGTCATCACCGTACCTTTAGCCACACCGATTCCCTGCGAGCTGCATTCAATTACACATCACATCGCGAAAACATGGCGGACAGAGACGCTACGGCCGGCTATGATTCATATGGCACCGGTCGGGATCTGTTCAATCTGTCGTCGCCGGTATCGAATCCCCCGAACGAGCTCGCGGAAACGTACCGGCAGATCGACGATGCCGGCAGCCTTATCGATGAGGACCCATTGGATGCCGATTTCCAGCTACCCGATGTACGCGGCAACCGTAGTCGAGGAGCATCGTCGGCATCGGCGAGGAGGAGAAATGACTGGTTCGCAACGGATAGCCCGGACTTTCTGAATGACGTGGCGGACGAATCGTCGCGCCGGAAGCAGGTTGACCGCGTCGAGGACGAGCGGCGCCTGAAAAGAGCTACATCCAGTCGGTCACCTGTCCTCAGCAATGCAGGGACACGGGATCCTTTGACCTCGGAGAACCTGCAGCGACGCGACGAAGAGGAAGAGCTCCAAGGAGGGGCGATGGAAGTGGAAGATAATGATAATGGGCCCAGACCCGCGTTGAATATGCCTCCGACGTGGGCAAGCCGGGCGACTTATCATCGCGACTGGATGAAGAAGATGATGCGACGCAGCGATCTCCCCTTGGGTCCCACGGTGGAAAAGTCGAAGGACCCCTCGCCTCCGAGAGTGAGGCCGGACCGGGACTTACAGGGAGCTACGGAACGAGAGACTGTGGACAGAGAACGCTCGACAGAACGATACGGCAGGGTTCCGCTGTCTGACGCGCAGAATAAGATGTCCTCGGAACAAAAGGCCGACAAAGTGACCGAGGGCGAATCCATCCTCCACACCCCGATCGTGGTATACAAGAACTCCACCTTCAACAAACGAAGCCCAACCAAGAGAGACTCACAGGATCTACTCCGAAAGCTGTCACGGGCGGAGAGTCCGGGACAACCAAGTCTCGACGAATTTAAAACCCCAGAGGCTCAGAAAGTCACCCAGAGACCTCGAATCTACGACAAAACGCCGATTGTGACTGGTGCTTGGATTGATACTCCGATGACTGAGCGAGTTGACAAATTCCCGGAAGAGCTGTCGCGCGATATCGTGCCATCGCCACCACAGAATACCCGACATGCATCATCTTTCCTGCCTCGAGAGTCTCGTATTAGCGAAGTGTCAGAGCCCTCTGAGCCAGAGGCCCTTAGCAAACCGGAGATTGAAGAGGCAAAACGGAAGCAAGAAGGGACTAGCGTCGTCAAGGAAGAACCGGCAGTAGAGAACAAGCTCAAGGAGGACAGAGCAAGGCCGGAAGGCGGAAGCCTCGGTAAGGAAGGCCAAAAAGAAGATTCCAAACAGGCGAAGCAACGAGTTGAGCAACCGAAAGCGGGTCAGAAGACGAAGCCGATGAACAAGAGACCATTGATCAAACCAGACTTACCCAAGAGCGCACTAGAGACGGTGTTGCAGGATTTCAAAGCAAACAAGGGAGAACTTGACGTCGGCGACGATACGATCGAGTCGCTCCAGGGGCTTCTTGAGGGTAAACCGAGTGACAGTGTCTCTGCTGAAGAGGATGATGCTGCGTACGAGAAGGCTATCCTGAAGAAACTCGAGCTTGCAGGTTCCGGCGACAACGAGACCGTGGATCTAGACCGGCTGAACGAGAAACTAAAATCTCTTGCTGATAACATTGAAAAGGTGAAATCAGGACTGAAGAGTCTGGAGGAGCAGGTTTCTCGCGACGCAGACACTTTAACTACACCCTCAAACAAAGAATCACGAAACTCACGAGCGACCACCTGCGCGAAGTGCCAGGCCGAGACCGAAGGTCGCGTTTACACCATCGTCTCCTTCCCGCGGCTTTGGAAACGCGATCCCATCTCCCGACGCCTCCGGCCCACGGGCCTCGGCTGGTGTCTGCTCATCTTCCTGGCCTGGCTCTACTCCGAATCCACCATGTGCGGCTACTACTGCCACCCTCTGGTCTCGAACGTCTGCGAAGGCAACTGTCTGCAGCCCGACGCGCCCCAATTCCCATACGTCATCCCAACAATGCTCTACCGCTGGCTCAATCTGTCGACCGTCTTCGCCCCACTCTGGACCATCGCGATAGCCGCTTTCAGATTCCTCGCCCTCTCTCTCGGCCTCTGGGACGGATACGTGGAGGAGGGCCCCCGCCCGCTGAATCTCTCGGGTGAGATCCGCCTCCACGGCACCCGCGTCGTCAGTCTCGCCGAATCAACCGGTATCGCCGCCACCAGCGCAGGCCGAAGCTTCTTCTCACCGTCCAGACTGTGGTCCGGCAAGGAAGAGCAACGACCGGTCGTCCCCGAGGCTGTGCCGGAGTTAGACCTGAATGCAGGCCGTAATCCCGGGAGCATCCATGCTGGTTCCGGCTCCTGGGAAGAGGACGGGTCGATGGACGATGATGAGATTCTTTAAGGATGGTGCAAGGGGATTGTGGATGCTACAGTACTTCTATTCTATTCTATTCCAGGTATAAGTTCGAGGATATCATTTTTTCTTGCATTTCCCGGCATGGTGTTTTGGAATTTGAATTGAATTGAGTCTACTGGCTCTCTGAGGTTATCTGTCCTCCGTCATCTGTTACATGGCATTTAGATTCATACGTTGTCCTTAGGGTTGAGGTGTAGTCTGTCTCTCTGTCTGTCAGGGATCGGTTCGGCTGGCAGACAGACAAACAGTAAGGTGCTTGTCGCATCCGCGGCTCTTATCTAAGGTTATCGGGGATCTGCATGATCCGGCCGATGGATTTTTACTTTACCTTTTCCGGCAGACTAGTGTGGTTACCTTAATACTAGGTGATCAGGTAGACTTGGTGCCAGTGAGTTAGGACTAGTCAAGGTTCTCGCGGAGGAAACGGGAAAAGAATAAGCATGAATCATGAATCATGTGATCTTCAGTACCGAGTGCATTAGAAGTACAAGAGAGATTTCAATTCAAACCATCTAAGTGCAACAAATCTAACAGGGTATTTTACGCCGAGAAAATGCATGAATCGCCCTACCAGCAACCTCTCACCTCAAAGGAAAAAGGTTGGGCAGAAGGAAGAAAGAACACGAAGAGAGAAAGACAAAAGGAAGGGTGGTAAAAAGCAGAGGTCATATCACAGCTTAGTCCTCTCAGCCCACTCCCTCTGCAACTCGCGCTCGCCCTCCTGTCTCCACATTGCATTGACGCGCAAGCGCTCCTCGATCTCCTCATCGGTAAGGGAGACCGCTTCCTCCAACGAGACGGCCTTCTCATACAGCAGCTTGTACCCGATGTAGGTGATCTCGCCGCCACGAGCCGATCGCTTGGCCTTGACGACGTCGGCGCCACCCTCGGCCGCTGTGGCGTCGCGGCAGAAGCCCGCCATGCCCTCGTAGAACCGTTTCCCGGGTGGAGAGTCTATCATCACCAACCCGAAGCAGTGGGGCATGCCCTCGAACTGCTCCACGACGATGGGGGCGCCGGCGCGGTGCATCTTGCGGGCCAGGACGAGCCCTTCGTCCGTCAGGCTTTCTTCACCGATGGACATGAAGATGGGAGGGGAGTCGGTCCAAAGCTCGGGCGAGCCGGCGATGGGGGAGACGAGCGGGTGAAGGAGGGCGGATGCGTGGGTGTACAAGTCGACGCGAGGGGGCTTGACGGGCCAGATGTCGTCTTCGGGGACAACGAGGGGCCGGTAGAACGGGTCCGTGGCGGGCGTGGAGGCCGGCGCGTCGATATAGTCGTAGATCGCGTTGTGGGTGACCGATGGCATGGCGCGGGTCATGTCGCACCAGGGCGAGGAGGTGGCCACACCGGCTGGAAGCTCGATGGGGATTTCGCGGCCATGGAAACGGATGGTGGGCTGTACACGGCGGAGTGTAAGGAGCAGTTGCAACAGGACGATCGAGAGGTTGCCGCCTGCGGAGTCGCCGGCGAGGATGATCTTGTTGGGTGGGACGGGGTCGTGCAGCGAGCCTGGAGGTGGGGAGATGAGGGAGAGATAGGCGACCAGCGCGTCGGTCAGGGCGGCAGGGAAGGGGTGCTGGGGAGCCAGACGGTAGCGCACGGAGAGGACGGGCGCCCCCGTCTGTTTGGAGAGCTGTGCGACAGTGGGACGGTGCGTGCAGGGGTCCATGAGACTGTAGTTATGGAGCGGTGAGTTTTTCTGAAAGCCTATACCAAGGGTTGTATATTTTGAGAAACATAGGAAGCACTCAAGCACTCACAAGTAAATCCCTCCGTGGAAGTAAAGAATGACCATATCTTCCTTCGATTCTTTCTTCAGTTCCTCATACTTGGCTTCCTCGGAGATATCGGGCTGCGGTGCGTTCTTGTCCACGCCACTGCGATAGCCAGTCCATTCTGCCTCGACCGGCACTACTCCGGGTAGATCGTAGGTCTCGTCACCCGTCTTGAGGGCCTCAATGGCTTTCATCACTGCGTCCTGGACGTCGATCTCCGGCTGCGGAAGTGTTACATTGGACACCCACATAGGGCCTTTGATTCCGGGATCGCGTATGCTGGCTTTCTGTTGCTCGGAGACGGAGGCGCTGAAGCTGAGAAGCGAGCGGATGACAGCGACTGTCAATTCAGTGCGTAGATCCTGCTTGCCCTTGACGGGGGAGAGGCGAATGCCATGGAAGAAGATGGTTTTGAAAATGAGCGGGATGCGCACGAGGATGGCCTTGAGCAGCTCGAGAGGGTTTTCAAGATTCCTCATCTTTCTAGACAGGAAACGACGCTGTACAAAGGAGAGACAAAAAGAAGAAGAGCAGGAAACGCCACTGCAGAGGCACAATTGGGAAGAGGCAAAATCGAAGGGAAAGAATGAAGGAAAGAAGGAACGGAAAAAAGAGAGTGGGGAAGAGCAACCGGGGGTAAAGGAGGAGGGAGAGGGGGCAAAAAACATGCCTCGGTAGATGATCGGAGGGGAAAATTGATAACAAATCAAGGTTTATGCAAGCCACATTATGATCCATGAACCAAGTGAATGTGTGTGACAGATTAATGGTTCATTATCTACTACTGTGTTCTCCCTACACATAGATGGCCTACCTGATTACCCTGTTCTTGTATACATGGTTATGATTTCTCACATGGCACTGGAATTAAGGTTCTTTGATCTGAATCCATCCACTATCAGATCGGATTTTTCACTGGTATTCAAGCATGTGGCTTGACATCATCGCCGAGCCACTAAGCACAAGCACCAAGAATAGATAGCATAGTATACTCTCACCTTTTTGCAGCATCTTTCACACAATCTACAAGAACACCGTCACCAACTACTCTCTGTGGTAGTCTGAGCCATAAAATAACCCAAACCCACCAAAACGTCTAAACAACCCCCAACCACAAAGATAAAAAAAATAAAAAAAATAAAAAAATAAAAAAAAAAAAACACAAAAAACCTCGAAGAAAAATGTCTTTCATCTTCCATTAAAGAAAAACGACCATAATAGTACTATACTGTACAAACACAAGTGCCAATAACAAGCTAACATATCTTCATCAAATCATCCCATGAAGTTTAGGTAGGGTAGAAGTTGTTTTACCCCCTTCAGCAGAAACAAGAAACAAGAAGAAGAGAGAAACATTTAAGCAATGCTTCATCTAAAACTGACCAGCAGTTTCCTTAGCCTTGCCCTTGGCCTCATCGAGGACTTCTTCCGTCTTGCCCTTGGCCTGGCTGGCAGCACCCTTGGCCTGGCCCATGGCCTCCTCGGCCTTACCCTGACCCTTGCCGGCCAATTCGGCGGCCTTACCCTGACCCTTGCCGGCCAATTCGGCGGCCTCGCCCTGCAGCTCGCCGGACTTGGCCTGGGCTTGGCCGGAGGCGGCGCCCATGGAGCTCTTGAGCTTCTCGGCGGCAGTTTCTATAGTGGATTGGGTCAGTCCGGATCCTTTACAACGACCGCGGGAGAGCGGTGGCAAGGCAAGAGCTTCAACATACCTCCAACTTCAATACCCTTCACGGCGGCATCGGAGACGGAGCGGTCGGCCGCCTTGAGAGTGTCCTTGGTGGTCTCGACGGGACCCTTGTTCAGGCAGGCGCTGGAGGAGAGAGCACGAGTGGCGCCGATGGAGATGGAGGGGGCAGCGGTGGGCTTGAGGGCCACGGAGGCGGTGCGAGCAGCAGGGACGATGCGGGCGATGAAAGACATGGTGGATGGAGTTGTGTGTATGTAGATGGTATGTATAGATTGGTGGTAGTGGTGGTGATGGTGATAAGTCTCGATTGAGGAGAATTTCTTTCAATTAATGGTCAAGTGTACTTTGATGCTCAATTGTAAGGAACCAGCAGCAGCACCGACTGGCGCCAACTGCATTCTTATAAGCTGGAGGAAGGTTGGCGAGCGACGTCATCACAGGCATGCATGATGTTCAAAGGTTTGGCAGGTTGGCTTCCTCTTACTTAGTATTATGTCGCTCTTACGTCGATGCCCTCTCATACTTTCGCTCCTTCGGGCTTAGCGCCAACGCCGGGCGGGTCCTCGCCCAAAAGAACTACCAAGTACGACCCTCACCGCCCGGTCTCGACTACCCGGCAGAATTTATCCCTTCTTCCTTCTCCTTATGCTGGAGATGCAACTACAAGGAGGAAAGATGGAGAGCTTGCTAGGAATGTACTGTACATTACAATGTGCTTAGAGAAGAAACTAGCTACTACAAAGCTTTCTAGCCCTGCTTGGGTACTGACGGGGATTTCATCTCTGGGTCTCCCTTCTTAGGGCATGCTTGAGGTATAACCAGTGTAATTGTGGCCTACTACTTCATCCCCGGGCCGAGATAGATAGGCACTTTTGTGCACACAAGCATTTCTGCCTCATGAGATGTGATTCCCTCGTAGGCGGTGAGGCCGTGATGTTCCCGTTTCCCCGCACCTCTTTCTCTTTCAGTCCTCTTTCATCCTGCCTCTGTCCCCTCACGAGGATAATCGTCAAGTCAGTGAAATTGTGTCTATTTGCATCGAATTATCTGTCAACTGTGCGCTCTACTCTATTGATGATACAGGCTTAAACAAAACCGGTCATCCGAGCCACAAAGACGATGAAATACAATCAACAAAACAAATATCAACAGACGCGAGGCTCCACCTTCATGCGGGGGTGACTGAAATCAACATAAACACCCCTTGCAATGCTGTACCACGCTATGTAACTCCCACAAATTACGCCGATATCTTGGGAACACTTTTCTTCTCTTTCTTGTTTATCACGATGGCTTCACTTCTCTGCGTCACTCGCACTCGTGTCGAGGAGGGGAGCTGCCGCTCCGGGCTCGCCCTCCACGAGGCTCCACGATCGGTTTGGTGAATCCGTGCGGCAGTAAGGGTCCTGAGAGATTCGGATGAAATGTTGCAGGATACCCGGGCATCAACTGCTTCGCTGCCGTGTATTGAACAGCCCCTCCAAACTGAGGTCCGCCCTCAACATTCATACGAGGCCAACCGGGTTCAAAGACAGGGACCTGAGCCTCGGGAGGGTTGAAAGGCCGGAGCTGTGCTGCCGCTGCCGCGTACGATGGCTCTGTTTGAAAATTACTGGGCCTTGCTAGTGAGGTCAGCTTCGCAATGGGTGAGACCACGCTAACAGGGGGGTATCGATGGGGATAGGGAACGGGGTCGGTAGCCCAGCTCTGCTGCGACTTCGCCGACATGTCACGAGACATCGGCTCCGGGGCCGGTTCGGATGTGTATCCAGCATGTATCTCTGCAACTGGCGGCGACGTGCCCGGCATGAAAGCTGATGGATGAGAGATGGGGCCTGTTGAGGTCGACGGCGTAGTGCTCAATCGGCGTGCTACTGACACCTCAATGTTGCCCTCATACGGCAGACCCGGTGAGAGATATGTCATCGAAGGAGTGCTTGCTGACATGTCGCCTACCGGAGAGGTAATTCCACTGAAGGACGCACCGGGTGGAGCCCTGTATCGACTGGCCGCCATCCCGAGTTCCAAAGCATTCAGCTGGTGGCTCAAATATGTGGGATCGGGCTCACTATAGGTTGACGAGGTCAGTGGGGCCTTGGATAACAGAACATTGCTTGGACGGTTGAAGAGCGACTCCTCTGATGATTTGTCCTGTAGCCCAGGTATCCTTGACCGGGTTCTACCAGGGATTGACGCTGACCGTGGTTTTTCCGACAAATTCTGTGCCTGTCTGGCAGCAATTGTGGCGTAACTTGGCAGATCATTTTCTTTCTGCATGCCTTTGGTGAAGTCGCCTGGGGCGCTCACGAACTGCCTGCCATCCATCTGAGGCCGCTGAGTACGCTTGGAATCGTCTACCGGAGGGCTAGAAGCATGATGAACAGCCGTCAACGCTTCTGAAGCTGAAGTCCGAGAGCTGCTACGGCCTGTGTCCTGTGGTTTGCTCGATGCACTTATGCCTTCCACGGGGAAGACTTTAAGAATCGGTGCCGCAGGCTGAGATCCGCGAATACGATGTGGAAAACTGGGTCGCTTGGGCTTGTCGATAGACTTCGAGACCTTTGAGGACTTCTTCACAAGGTGCCATCCGCGGTCATCCGGCGTGTTCGCACTTGATACCCCCTCTGACGATCGTGGCTTTGGCCTCTCTGTTGCCTCGCTCGTCCGCGAGAGAGATGGGGCGGTAGCTGTAACGTCCGTATTCTCTTGATCTTTTCCGTGGTCCTCAGTTTGGCCTGACTGACCATGGCTGGAATGCCGGAAAATGTGTGGTAGGAAAGGTTTAAGATTGAACCTTTGGGACCGCGGAGCGACCTCCTGCGGGGACTCCACTGTGGGCGACACGGTCTCTGGGCCAAGCCAAGCAGGCATGTCTTCTGCGGCAGACTCAGGTACCGACGAAGATGAGCTACTCGACCGATCAAAGACCGAACGTTGGGTACGAATCGAGCCGGCACTTGGTGAGATCCGATCAATCGCCTGGGAAATACTCTTTTTGATTGCTTTCATTTCCTCCCGTGCCTTACGCAACGTGGCTGGTTCGCGAGCAGATCGCTTTGGGAAGTTCTCAATCAGTCTCGACGCGTGGGTCTCGAACTCGCGATAATCTTTCACAAGGCCGCAGTCATCCATGTGGTCCAGTCGGACTTTCCCGTATGATGTGCGAAAGACGTTGCAAGCCACGACAAGCCACGAATCATGATATCCAGTTTCAGGATTGTTCGTGCCGGTGGCGGACTTACTCTTCTTTTCTTCATCCATCATTTTCAGCTCATCCCGGCAGAACCCTTGGACCACGCTATGAATCTTCAGAACGTCAATCGTCCCGGCACTCTGCGAGAATGGAGAAAAGAAGGCTTCTTGGCTACTTTCGGTTTGTGATTCGGAAAGGTCGGGTACCACAAACTTCTGTTCAAGCACGTTGTCTCTCTCTGCCTGAGGTGACAAAGCGGAGGGATGCAGGGCGTACGAGTCAGAAGCCCGTTCAACCAGGCCGTATCGAATCAGGATCCCGATGGTTGTATCGAGATCGCCACGCTCCCCGCTTCTATGACTGGTCAAGACCTCAACATGCCACGATTTAAGTGCTGAGAGACCTGAGGTCAACAGACCAACCGGAATATGGTGACTGAAAAATGAGAGCATATTGATCAAATTAAGCGCGGCGAAGTGCTCCAAGCGGAACAGATCATGCATGATGCTCAGAAACGGCTCGGCCAGCTTCTCGTCAGTTAGGTGTGAATTTAGGTGGTATCGCTCGATCGGCTTCGACATGGCGCTGAGCCTATGGCTAATAGCGTGTATTGCAAGTGGGAGGCATTCATAGTGAGTCACCAATTCGGTGGCCTTTCTGATTTGGCCTGCGGTGGGCCTTTTAATGCCCAGATCGTCGAAAAGCAGCTTGCAGGCGTCCTCTGGCTCAAGGGGCTTCACCTGAAGGCAGTACGGCTCATACAAGCGCTGCTTTCGCTTCAGGGTTTTGTCCACCGAGGTGTAAATGATGCTGCAATTTTTGTTAAATGGCAGGAATTGTTTGAAGTTGTTGATGTCATGCTCGTGTGCAAAACTTATTCCGTCGAACACTATCAACCACCCTTCTCGGTTCTGCAGCCATCCTCTCAATGAGTCTACATATCTGTGGGATGGGTTGGTGTCGGGATAATGGAACTCCTGGCCATCCGTCAGTGCAGCGGCCTGAGCCATGTCCCAAAAGCATTTGTATGTTGACTCAAGGGACTTGGCGTCGACCCAAAAAACCCCCGCTGGGTAAATGTCCCGATGGGTGCACACGTATTGTCGCGCAAGGTGCGACTTGCCAGATCCAGGTCCTCCACAAATCAACACGGCCGTTAGACGCTCTGTCCTCTTCTTGGCTTTGTACAGCCGCGAGTGCAAGACATCAAGCTCCTTCTTCATACCTACAAACGTTGCATTCGGGTGGAAGCCAGGAGGAACCACAAAGAGCGGATCTGCCCGAAGGGATCGTGCGAGAGGCAGCTCGGTGCTCTCGGCCATCGCCATCTCGGATACGACAGAGCGTCTTCTTTCAGACGGAAGTACCATTAATTCAGCGTTACCTGAGACATAGTCAGCATTATTTACTGACAATGTGTTCATGGCAAAAAGAGGCAATTAGGATACATGAAGCAGGAAAACAGATGAATACATTCTGGACCGAAGAAACCCTTATTACCGCCACCTTCACGACTCATGCCGCCTTATACGTCATGCACCGCTCAGAAATGCTTACTATAAGGAAATGAAGGATCCGCGGGTTCTTCGACCTCGTACTGATTCAAAGTGACCGGAGACTGATGACCAGGAAGCATGTGTGGCCTACCAATAGAGCGAAGGTCCGGTGCGCTTCTACCGAGTTGCTCAGTATCGACTATGCGACGCCGTTAGCTGTCAGTTCTTGGCAAGTCTAACGTCCTCCCAGGTGAGCCAATTGCCACTTGACCACACGGAGGAAGACATGAAGCAATTTTTGCCCATTCCTGTCCTTTACAGTGGCCATCGGTTCGGTCCACACCTGGACTTGGGAACATTGGGAAGCGAGTACGACAAAGGAAGAAGAAGTTCGATTCACATACCATTTCCAAACATCTCCCGTGCTATTGTTTCTTTCTTCAGTCTTCGGCCTCTATCCTCTTCGATCCACCGTTCACGTATGGTAGTTGGGGCGTCGCGTGAGTATCGCAAGAGGGCTTCTGCCACTGCCTCATAGCCGGGAGACCCGTCATCATCGAACTTGCACATGTGGCTGTGATCGGCTTCAATGCCCATTCGTTCGACACCTTCCATGTAAGGCGCGGCCGAGCTCTCGTCAACAATCAGCTCGCGAGTTCCTTTGATATCACTGGACAAGGTCTCGTGGAAGAAATATAGGTGGAAGCGACTGGTCATGTCGGCGAACAGGCTGTTGATGTTCTGGAGAGTCTCGTTGTTCGTCTTGAGCGCTTTGACCAAGTGCGGCGAAGACTCCATGAACTTCTTGGGCATCACAACGCTACAGATGTTCTGCAAGAGCGCACCCCACTTTGCCACGTCTGATCCGTTGTGTGGAGTCCCGAGAAATAGGATGCCGTATGTGGAAATATAGATGGATCTAATGTGCTGGATTTTCTCGTTGTCCACACTGCGACAGTGGATCATGGCACGCTTGACCACCAGGCCGCCCAGCGAGTGGCAAACGAAGATAATGGGCCTGTCCGGACACCCTCTCAGCTGGAAGGAAGTCAGTCATCGATGCACCTCTTCATTTACACGCACGCAATTTCCGGCAGGAATGAAGGAACAGCAACGGGTACGCAAAAAGGACACGGAGATCAACCGCCCAGCCAGAAGCGAGGAAGGCGGGGTGCCGGGGAAGTGTCAGGTCACAACAAGCAGGTTTACTCACATTTCGATTCGCGGCCAACCCCGACGCCAATGTCTCCGCATGATTATGGAGCCGATCCTTGGATGCGCCGTCCGTGAACGCCGTTACGTTAGCATTGTATCCGTACGTCAGGATGCGCACGCGACTCGGACCGAGGACCTGGGGGAGGAGGTCGGCGGGCCAGAAGGTGCCGTTGTTCTTCGAAGCCCAAGTGTTGTAGGCGTGGCCGTTCAAGCCGTGCACGAACACGATATCGACGACGGGCGTTTCGGTGCAGCGGTAGACCTCGCTGAGGCCGATTTCCCTCACGCGAGCGGAAAGGCCGGCCATGTATCACTTGATGGGCCCCTCACCTGGGGCTGGAGAGGGACAAATGCCCGCGGTCAGATAGCGAAGGGTGAGGGGTGACGGGGGAGGGAAGAATCACTCACCTCGAAGCGACTCAGATTGTGGAGGTGATTCTTCTGACTGCTGTGTGAGAAAGGAAGGAAGCAATACCAAGCTGTGGTAGGGATCTCGGGATTTCTGCAGATGGATGGATTGCGAGAGGGTATGTGTGGGGAATAATAAGTTATTTAAGAAGAGGAGGAGGATGGGGGGGAGGAAGGAACTGAATCTGCACTGCAGTGGGTTGGAAAGGCGGATGACTTGCCCGGGAGGGCAGTTGGTGCCTGCAGCGTGAGTCAAGAACTACAACGAGGCAAAGTAAACAAGTTAATTGAAGAAACAGTTGGCTAGTGAGGTCGTGAGTTTCTCTCAGCAGCTCCGGTAAAGTCATCCAAGGTTTAAGTCCTAACCTTTCAATCCCGATCGACGAGGGGCTGCCAAAAGACGGAGTTCCCGTGGCTCATCAGGGGGAGTGACCAGTGGGAGGTCATGCTGCCTGCCTTGCTGACTGCAGATCCGTGACACGAGCCTCGGGGCTGAGTCTTGCAGTAGTTTACTGTTAGTTAGTTGAATGTTGATAGATCCGTAATTTCTCCTCAGCCTTGCCGACTTACTAGCTAGCTACCTACCGTATGTTAGTACTTCCTACACTCCCTTGAACAACCACGTTACAGAGCCGGTGGGAGGGAGAGCCTCCTCGAAATGCAGCTCTATAACTGAGGTAATCCTCAATCAAATCTAAACCATAAACCATGCTCCTCGAAACCAAAAATAAAACTCTCTAACTATACCATTACCCCCAACCCAACCCGCTGCACGACCCTGAAGCTTGAAACCAGCACCGCAGACTAAACTAGGCAACATGCGTAACTAAGTAACTACCAACTAACCTTGAATAAGTTCCGTCCGGGCACAAAAAGTAAGCACTAACGGATAAGCAAGGCCCTTTTTGTCTACCTATGGTAGGTTCAATTTTAATTTCTCCGCACAGTAGCAGAAAATGACTGGTCAGAAAACTGTCAGTATATCTGTCCAGTGGGAACAATATAGTAAGTGAATGGATCATTTACTTTCTTTTCACAATACCCTGCCCTCACTTCCCCGTCATTATCACCAGTTGCAAGCAAGCAAAGTAGCTTGCAGCTTGCACCGAGTCTGTTTTGATCTTGGGGTTGATGTGGTCGACTGATGGGTGGAATTCCAGTTCTGCTCAGCTAGTTACCCCCGGCTGGTCACTTTCGTCATCAATGGGTGCTACTGATACTTAGGTAGGTTGGTAGGTACTGCGGAGGGCCCCGGGGCAGGCCAGCTGACTTTGCGGTAACCGGGCGCTTTCAGCTGTTTAGTGAGTGACTGGGGGTGTAAGTGAGGGAGTGAGTGAGCCTTAGGGGGCAAGAAGCCCACGCCCATGCCCGTGCCCACGCCTTGGCGGCGGGAGGGCGGTGCACTGCACAGTATGAAAGACAGATGAAGAGGTGATCCAGCATAGTATGTACATCCAAACTACTATCAATTAACTTCATTGTAAGGCCAAAAACTATTGATAACTTCGAGAGAAACCAATAAATCTCCCAACTCAATTCCCTATCAGTCAGTTTATAGCTCATCCAGAACCCGAATTCACATCCATTACACTACTACCTAAGTAGACAAAACCACACCATCCACACATCCATATAATAAAGTATCTAACGACCCTTGAAAACCGGCTTCCGTCTCTCCGCAAACGCCCGCAGCGCCTCCATGCGATCCTCCGTCCCCATCACGCCCGCATACGCCTCATTCTCCGCGGCCTCGCCCTGCTCCCAGCCATCCACGGCCTTCATGGCCTGGCGGAGGGCGATGGGCCCGCCCTCGCAAATGTCCAGCGCCAAATTGATCGCCTCGCGGAGGACCTTCTCGCGGGCCACGCCCTCCTGGCCTTCTTCCTCGGGCAGGATCTCCACGAGCCGGTCACACAGGCCCAGGAAATACGCCTCGGGTCCGGACACCCTCCGGCCCGTGAGGATCATGTCGCGCGCCCGGTTCACTCCGATCAACCGCGGGAGCCGGTAGGTGCCGCCCGCGCCGGGGATGATGGCCAGCCGGGTCTCGGGCAGGCCGACCATGCACGACGACCCGAAGACTCGGAAGTGCGTGCACAGCGCGAGTTCAAGCCCGCCGCCGAGGGCGGTCGAGGAGACGGCCGAGATGGTGGGGATGGGCAGCGCCGACAGCGCGGTGAAGGTTTGGCGGAGGTGCGTGAGGAAGTGGTTTGTTCTGTTGGTGTCGAAACGAGGAACGTGTTGAGGGTTAGTGTATCAGGTAAGATATAAATGAATAGATGGAAGGGTGGAAATTCTGGTGAAGATAAACGAACTCGTCTTTCGTCATGTTGGCGCGTTCCTTGAGATCCGCGCCGGCGCAAAACGCCGCATCGACGTTGCTGCCCAGCACCAGGGCCCGGGTCGGACCTGCACCGTTCTCGGCGGCGATGGACTTGACGTTCTGGGAGAGGCCATCGAGAAGGCTGCGTGAGATGGCGTTCCGAGCATTAGGTCGGTTGAGGAGGAGGACGCGAATGGTCCCTGAGCCTGGAGCCGGGACGTGTTGGGTCTGAATCACATTGTCGCTGCTGCTGGTGCTCAGTCGGGCGAGTGTGATGCGGGTTGAGAGAGGAGAGGCGCGGGAAAGTGCTCGGAGGCTAGGGATAGATTGGGGGAGACGGGGTGCCATTGTCGCTTGAGATAAAAAAGTGATTGAAGGGTTACGGCAGGATAGAAAAAGGGAAGGGAGAATTGAAAGTTGTTGGAGAAGAGCGGGAAGATGTGGGGAAACCCGGCAAAGGCAACTGCGGGGAATCCGCGGATAAGCGTGGTTGAATGTCTATAAGTCTATACTGTCTATCTATCGAGTATAACAGAGCAATTATGATGGTATGATGAATATGTACATAGTAAGAATAGTCTGATTTACACTGTATCTGGTCAATGCTGCCCCTTTGTCTGACCTGGGTGTGCAAAGCAGTAATGCCTAGCCTCCGAAATACTTGGCCAAGGTCCCAAGACTTGCGAGGAACTGACGATGTCATATGCCTCTTGAAGACGGGGACTGGTGTAATCCATTTCATCAGGCTCATCGTATTCCTGCCCGTAGGGATCCCAGTTCAGATCCCCTCGGATCCAAGGTGTCTGTCCGTTCCAACGTCTCTCCAACATCACTCGGAAGGCTACTACGACACGGCGCATCATCCGACCCCCATTCAGGTGCTCGTCATATTTCTCCTTCAGTGGAAATTCATGCTTTTTTATCCACCTTAGAAGGCTCGACAATCCGTCCATGTCTCGGGCGAACCCTAGGACGCGAACGAAGGCATGAAGATCGGCAGGAGATGGAACCAGAACCATAGGCGGCAGCACCACCCGCGAGTCGGTAGCACCCTGAATGGAGGAGGAATTGTGCTCATAAAAATCCGACGTCACTGGATCCCCGAGCACGCACATGTCGAACCGTCGTTTCAGGAAATCCAAGGCATTGTGTTTGACGCCTTCGAATTCTTGGGGGACGCGGTCGAAAAAAGGGAGGAAGCGGCGCTGTGCCATGAACCGTACAACGGCCACACTCATTCCTGCGGAGTCGGAGGATCGCATCTTCATGTTCATAACACGTGAGAATCCATTACAGAGAACCCTGAATCCGTCTAGACCAGTGTCGATTTGACATTGTTCCATCCAGGTCGTGAGCGCCTGGACCTCATACCAAGCCACCAACGGCTGCGCTTTACCGGGGACTGTGTACACCGGATGATCAAGTACAGCAGATAAGACATGAACCCAAGCTTTAGGGTCTGGTGAGTCGCGCGTCCGCAACAGCTTCATAGCATGAGGCAGCGCCCAGTAATAACGGAAGCGGGGGTTGGCTAACATTTCTTTGGCGTGAGAGAACAGCGTCTGAACGTGATAGGTTCTTGGACCAAACTTAATGGGAAATAGATCGTTTGAAAGTGTTTCTACCTTACTTAATGTAAGATGTGACCCGCAATACTTGCAGAGAAAGGCAACGAACGCGCTCATAATATAACCAGGGAGCTCGTTCAGCGCCGGCTTCAACCATGAAGGAGGGGAATTGCGTCCCCAGACAGTGCACAAAGCCCCCAGCTGCTCATCCGTCAAAGTGCTGCAACAAAGATATCCCAGCCCGGACTCATAACTTGGTGCATGTTGTAGAAGCGCGGCAAGAAACCGACCACGCGGTCGGATACCCTTGGAGAGCATCAGATGCAGAAACCCATGCAAGTCAGGTGGTTCGGACGGCACATAGATCCAGTCCCTGGCGGACGAAGGCTCCGGGAAAACCTCTCTCCCATCGCCTGGTAGGGCCGTGCTATGCCTGGATTTACTGGTCTTGGAGTAGATCAGCTTCTCCCCCATGGCAGCATAAATGGCACCATGTACTGGCAACATCCGGTTATGATATGCCAAAAAACAGGCCCAGGCTTCGCGGACAGTTCTCGTGGCGCGAATTCGTGCTTCCCAAAGCTTATAGTGATCCGAGTGCATTGAAACATGACGCAATATCTCGGGCCGAGACAACGCCAGGGACCGAGTTTGGATTGTCGGGCTTCCGTCCGTGTCCCAACCCGCTAGGATACGAGACATATTTTCCCAAGCAGAGGAAGAATAGCCCACCTCTACCTTTTGAGCTAACACTCGCATCGCGCGGCTTTTCATGCCCTCAACTCCCCGATCGACGTCGTACCCTATCTTATCTTCCTTCCACGGTGGCCAAGATGGAGCTTTTAGTTCTGCGGATTGCCGTTCAGCGTCCGTTTTCTTGTGAGCGAGCTGGACAGTGACAAGGCTTTGATAGCCTCGTTCTGTGACAGGCAAAACAGGTTGATGCCTGGCCATAGCGCGAAGGAGCTCAAACTGAGAGCGCTGCTGGATTGAGGCAGAGTGAAATGGGTCGCGTCGACACGGGAGAGAGAGAGCGCGGAGTAGTGTATTACACTTGTCGGCTAATAACTGATGGATGCCCTTAATTTCGCCATTGCATACCCGACCACCGGTATTCAACGCATTCATGTAGAATGCCCAACCCTGAGCGATGCTAAGCTGGGCCTGTGGCCAGAGTTCACGTGCATGATGCAGCAAGCGAACAACTAATGTTGCGCACGTATTGGGATCAATGAGCTGGTCAACCGGATTGAAGGAGCCCTTTTCATTGAAAGCGGTTTGGGTTGCTGGGTCCTGTGTTGTGGTATCTGGCACTCGAAAAGACTGCCCGGTCATGTGGTCTAGAGAGTAAACCAGGAGTAATCTGAAGGTTTTGAGATCGAGACCCTGTCGTAGAAGAAGTAGCGGAATGAATGGCGGTACTTTCTTGGACGGCCGATTCAGGGCTCCACTTTGTTCGATCTCCAGTGATAGGATTCGAAGGCAAGCTTCATATGGTGTCGTGCTTTTCAACACCCACGCCCATGTCACCACATCGGCAACGGTATATCCTCGTGAAGCTAGGAGATCGACATTTTCTTCACAAAAGATATCTTCCAGGCCCTTAGTCAATTGGGTGAGCCTACCTGAGTACCTGCTGCGGCTCTCGTCATCCAAATTGGGATCCAGGAGTGGTACGTCGACTGAATCCAGGTGGCTATCCACTTGCTGTATGTAGTCTGCGACAATCTCTTGTAACGATGGGCGGTGGAAGTGTTTGTAATGGTCGATGGCCTCCTGACTGACGGTAATCAGAAAATCCTCGTTTCCTTCGATGCAAGCCCAATTGTGACTCTTTGTGCCGTGACGTGGATGCGCCCTTTGAAGTACGAGTAGTAAGTACTCGTTAGGGGTTAGTTCGGGATTTTTGTTTTTGGCATGACTGTTTTTGGGCCTTCTGCGAGGATCGATCCTTTCATTTATGACTGGCTGTCGACGCTTAACTAAACGCCTGGAATAGGGGATTGGACTTGATTGCAGCGCGCTATTAGTCTTTGGATGATTTGATGTGTCGTCCACATCCTGATCGTAGCCCCGTTCCTCATAAACGAACTTCTCTTCTTTTCTTATCGAGCTCACTCCTCCCGTTGCAGCACTGGAGACCTCCGGCTCGGTGGGTTCCTTCTTCTGTTCCTCTGGATCAGGATTCCGTTCAACGAAGGATCTATTGAACGGAGACTGCAGACGTAACAGCCTCCAGAATTCGGGGCTGGCGGGATCATGAGATGACTGATGCACCGATTCGTACTGATCGCCGTGATCGGGTCCATAATGAGCAGATTCCAGCCTGCTAGCAGTTCTTATGGATCGGATCGAGGAACCAAGTCTTAGGGTAGAAGAGGTCAATGTCAAGGTAGGACACGGTGAGAAGAAGAAGCCGCCATTATAGTATGGTACCTATAGATGCAGCACAAAACTTAGCAAAGGTCACCGAAGGGAAGTTTTGTTCATTGTCCAAATGCTTGGTACCTTCGGCCATGGACGGCTATTGAACAATTGGGCCGCTCTCAGAGAGGTAGCCCTCGAGCAGCTCGACACATATTTGACGACCGATGACATCCATGAAGAACCGTCATCGGGTTCTTTATAGCGAAGCTGTAGGGGAAAATTGACGTTGCCGACGCAGGTGGATCATTAATCCGTGAGGAAGACGAGCACATGAAATTCGAGCTGAAGGAAAAGGAAATCCATCCATTTGGGGAAAAATACCAATATCACGTGATGTTACCGTCACGCGCAAGTCCGAGGCAGCGGAGATTCGCTCTCACTTTCTCTTTCGGTCGGTCTGTCTGTCTCTGTCTCTGTCTCTCTCTGTCTATCTGCCTGTCTCTCTCCCTTCTACTCCGTCCTTCTCTCTCTCTCCCTCCTTCTCTGTCTTACTCTTCTCCGTCTCCTTCGATGGAGTCGGAGTTCATCCTTTGATTCCCGCAGCCGTGCTTTTTGCCCTGCCCAGCCCAGCGAAATCACTCCCACTTCCCGCCTGCAGTCTGTAGTTACTCGCGCCAAAGACACACACACCCACACCCGCCTCATCTAATCTCAATTTATCTTACGCGGTGGCGCGGGCATTTGCGTCGAAAGCGGTCCCGATATTCCCATTTTTGCACAACCATTTCCTGATCATTCGAGTCCATCTCCGCCATTGGCGCATCCGCCTCGGAGAGCCAGGAGTGCTCGACCACCGACCCCATTAACCTACCACTTTTCTCCTCATTCAGCTCTCATTCTCGCCTCAACTCTACTAAGGTTTTCGAGTTCACTTCTGCGCTCGGTGTTCGCGTGTTAACTATACATATCTCATAAGGGTGAGAGATAAGAAAAATAAACAAATACAAGGGAAAGGTCTCAAACCTTGTGCATTCGCGCCAGAAAATCATTCGAACCACGGCGCAATTGAACCACAATGAGTGCCGATGAAGGCGGAGCGCTGGCCGCAGTGCCAGTCACAAACGGCGAACAGCCTCGCAACAGTCCTGAGCCCTCCACATTGGCAACACCGGGCAAGCGAAAACGTGTCTCCAGTCACGACGATAGAGCCGCTCAGGATGCCACTGCAGCTGCCGCGCAATCGCAGGAAAGAGCCAAACTACAAGAGACCCTGCGGAACTTGGTGGAAATTTTGAGCAAGTGAGCGCTTAACCCACCAACGCAGTCGCTGAGAGAGATCACTCATGACTGACCTTTTTTCATTTTTCACTTTTAGAAACGACTCAGATCTGCATCTCCTATCTTGTCCGCTCCCGTCGTCGCCTGCAAAGCCTCGTTCAAAGCGCGCAAAGGTCTCGGGTGACAAGGATGAAAGCTCTAGTATACAAGCGCGAGTCGCGTCTGATCGCTACAACAGCCTTTCGGAGTTTCTAAGCGATATCGAAAAGGCCTCTGCTGCAGTGATTGAGAGAAATAAGGCACAGACAATCGCTACTCCCACCGACGGAAATCCTCTCACGGAAACGGTCAACCGCATTGCCGCTTTCAAAAAGCTATTGAACAGTCTGGTCCGTCAAGCACAAGTAAGCCAGGCCACTGTCAAGACTGAAGCATCGGAGGACGGCGAAGTCCCGATCAGAACAACAGCTTCCAACGTCGAAGTTCGGAATGAAAGTGCGGTTTTGACGTTGTTTGGAAACCCGACAAACCCGAAGCAGCTCTACTCCAGTCTACAAAAGACAGTGAAGGTCCCGTTACAATCAGACGATTCAACCGCGGACAAGTATGTCGAGGTGCAGGCGCCCTTGCCCGAGGGCGGCTTACCCAACGGGATCACAGCCACAAAGGTGATACCTATCACTCTTGAAGCGAAACCCAATGAACCCCATAGAATCTTTGGCGAGGTATTCGCACCGCGCGCAACGTTGCCTCAATTGGAAGCGCCTCGCAAAGCCCCGACTACCCATCGTGATGTTACAGGTGGCTGGATTGACCCCTTCGAGACAATCACGGATTATAGGGCATTTCTGGGTGACCGCAACAATTATTGTCTTGCGAAGCTCCCCTCTGGCTACTGGCTCCAGTACGGTGGAGCTACGTCATCGCCCTCTTATTGGAGTCGGCGTCAGAAGCAGCAGCTTTCAGAGCATCACGAAGACGAAAGACTTCCTGATGATCCGATGCCATCCACAGATGAAGATATTGCGCTCTGGCAAGGCGTCTATTCGTCATTTGCGCCATCCTTTGATAGTTCGGGGTCCGTCGTTCAGGCTGACTCGAAAGACTTAGTATGGTGGGGCAGGCGTGGAGCTCGACGCCTGTACACGCTGCTTTCGATGGCAATGCCACAGGGCGAGGATCAATTATCAACCGTGCAGCCGGGCAACATTGGCGAGCTCGATGAGAGCACTTTGGAGGAAATGGTCAACTCGTTCAACCCCGAGGAATTTGGCGACAATATCACCCAAACCCATAGCGCTTCTGAAGGAACCGTTGGCGAGGAGACTCGGGAAATGGATAACCTATTACGCGATGTCTCCGAACTTTTAGAAACCCTCAGCTCCTACCAGAGAATCCGCAGCTTGGAACCGGCGACTTCCGGGGGGCAAGGAACAGATCCCAAGGAGGCAGCACCTCAACCGGGACTGCCCGATGCGCCCTCAGAGGAGGAGCGAAGCGTCTATGAGACACTCAAATCGAGTCTTGCAACGCTTGTCTCGACCTTGCCACCATATGCTGTTGCCAAGCTGAATGGGGACCAATTGGCTGATCTGAATATCAGCCAGAAAATCCTGATTGAGGGTGTCGATTACCAAGGTACGATGGAGAAGGACGACTATTCTATGCAACAAGAACGTGCATCTTCTCTGCCTGCCAACCGGACTTCCACGCCTAGCCGAGCTGGCAGCTACCAGGCTCAGTACAATCAACGCGCCTATGGTGCCAATACTCGGACCCAGCCTCAAGGTAACATCCAGACAGCTCAACCATACTATGCAGGAAGACAGAGCTCTACACCGGCCTCCTTCAGTCCAGCTCCTCCGCAGCAGCAGTATGCGGCAGGTCGTCCTCCTGCGACTCCTCAGCAGAGGCCTGGCTATTATCCCGGTTATTCGCAATCTACACCGCAATTCAATCAAGCAAACCCTGGCCCATCATACCAGCAACGTCCAGGACAAAACACCTATCACCCATACGCAGGCCAGCAGGGTTCGCCACCCACTCAGGCAAACCCTCAACCCTACACACCTCGGCCTGGACAGCCCGGGCCTTACAACAATGCAGCAGGCCGGAGTGCATCTCCCCAAAAGCCTCCACCTTACGCGACGCCGAACGCGACTCCACGAGCCTCGTACAGTATTCCACAAGTGCCTGGAAACCCCCAACAAACACCGCAGCGTTACATCCCACAACAGCAGCAGCCGCAACTACCTCCATCACAGCAGCAGCAACAGCAACAGCAGCAGCAACCACCGCCACCGCCACCGCAACAACAACAACAACAACAACAACAACAACAGCCTCCCCCACATGGGGTTCATCCACCCAACCAAGCTCCGCCACAATCCGGAGGTTATCAGCATTCAGCGGGCGCCATGGCTTACGCACGAAGTGCTGCAGAGCAAGCTGTTGTGATGGATCGTAATAAGGCCCAGCTGGCGGCTAATACCCAGAACCGGCCCAGCTCTACCACACCTCAGCCAGCAGGTGAACCGGCGGCGGCAACGCCTAACGGAACCCCGGCCTCATCATGAGCGGACGAGTTATGGTGCAATGATGAAATCATGTGACGATATAGTGTCATCCTGCTTTTACACCCTTTGTCCAACCTTCAAACGGCATTGAGTGTGCCTGGCGAGGTAGAGCAAAGGGTTAGTATGCAATCAATGTACAATCCGGCGGGTCGGGGAAAATTACGTCCATTAAAGAATCTCAGGGTTCATGGGGTACGGTCAAGATGATGGTTACCTATTTTTTTTCTCTTTCCTTTTCTTGACCAGCTCTCCATGTCTTCACACATTAATCCTCTTCAGTTCTCTCCCTCGTGATTATGTTCTTTGGATCCGTGGAGAAAAAAATACAGGGGCAATGGCGCGAGACCTGATATATTTTGTGGGACGGTTGTCTGAAATTTTCGCTTTTCTTTTCTTCTTCAATTCTTTCTCTTCTACAGTGTCTTTTCTCTTATCCAAAATTCCCCCTCGTATTTCCACTGCGACTACTTACTTTTGACACCGTCCTTTTTATTATCGAGATAATGTAACTCACTGAACGATGCATGCCTGCAATTAGTTATGTAGGCGCCTTTCTTTCGATGAAACCTTCTCTTGAAATGAGACTTCGAATATGAACTAGTGCAAGACAAGTCCACGGTGATAAGTGCTGGGCCCGAGCACTGGCAATGCGGGCACGGGCACTCAAACTAGAGTACTTGCCCAAACTGGAAAGCTAGTATCCAAATGATTGGAACCATGGTGTTCAACTTAGCTCCAAGTCCCTTCGATTGCCGAATAGTACTTTACATATAATATACATACATACACATACACATACACATACACTCATACGAGTACCTACCCTGTACCTCACCCCCGAGTCTAATCCCATCATAGAATCCACCCACCTGACTAATCTACCCCGGAGCGACCAACAGCACAGCCGATATTATTCATGAGAGTTTGATCGCTCTCAAAGAAGATACGGAAACAAGCCCAGCGGGTAGCGACGGCGGGGGCATCGACGGTATCGAAAAAGCGGTGGTCGTCGGGCGAGATGGCGGCGAGCAAGCTCTCGATCTCGGCGGGGGTGAGCGGCTTCCTCTCGTTCTTGCTGATGGAGCGGTCCGCGGCCGGCGCGTTGTGAGAGTGGTAATCCGTGTCACGCATGAGGGTCAGCTCCTTGCGCATGCGCTCCATCGCGAGGGCGGCCGTGAGGTCGGAGTCGAAGGGGCCCTCGCGGTGCGGCCAGGCTTTGAGGAGATTGAAGGCCTGCAGACGTAGACGGTAGTCGGGACAGAAGGTGGAGATGAGATGCAGGGTGGGGAGGATGCCGAGGTCGAGGGTAACACTGGGGCGGTCGGGGAGGAAGCGGTGCATGAGGCGCTGGGTTGCGACGAGTAGTGACTGGAAGTCGGCGGTGTAGGCGGCGCGGGCGGCGTGGTTGCTGCCCACGAGGCAGATCTTCAGGGCGAGGAGGAAGCTGTGAATGTGGTAGATTAAGATGTCGAATCCTTGCTGTTCTTGCGGGGGAAGGTGGCTGTAATGTTGTGCGTGGAAGGCATCGAAGATGCGTAGCATGCGGCCGGTTTGTGAGAGGAGCTGGATCTGTCGGGGCTGCAGCCGGTGGTATTGCGCGGCGATGTCCGCGTCGCTTAGGTGCCAGCACTGGGGCAGGAATTGGAAGAGCGCGCTCGCGATGATGTTGTAGGCTTGTCGGCCTTCTTGGAGGCTGGTGATGAAGCCTTGGCGCGCGAGGAGGGTACGCTCGAAGTCGAGGCCCTCTTCGAGGTGCAGGCGCGGGGGCCCGTCGAAGTCGAAGTGCATGAAGCCGATGTCCAGGAAGGCGAAGCCCGCGACTAGGCATCCCTCGACTGGGAGGTCGGACGCTGTGAAGGGGTCCTGCTGGCGCTTAAAAGGCGTCAGGTCCTTGAGGATGCGCAGCCCGCTCTGCATGTGCGTGAAGGCCGTCTCGTATTGGCCCTGGATCATGTCGAGCATGACATACAGCAGGCAGGTGACCAAGGTGACCTGCAGCATGTACGGGTCCTGGGAGCTGCAGCGAAGCTGTAGTTGGGCATAGGAGCGGCCCAGTTGCTCGAGCGCGAAGAGGTGGAGGGCGCTATCGGGCGACACCTCTGGATGTAGGACTAGAACTTCCTTGATTTCGGTATCCAGATGCACGGCGCTCAGGGCGATCATGGCATGGTACACGGCGGACTCGGCCTGCGCCATTTGCAGCACGAGCCGCTTCCACAGGGCTGAATCGAAGAACATCAGCGTTGCAGGGATTTGGCGGTTCCGGAAGTAGGAGAAGCACCTGCGCTCGTCCGATGTCATTCCTCGGAATCGGTGACTGGCGATGGATGGCTGTAAGCGCGGCATCACAGCGCCGATGTTCTGTCTGCCTGTGGCCGGAGGCAGCCGGTGCAGGTCATAACCATCGCAGATTCTCCCAGATGAGGCACATCTTTGACAAGTGCCAGGAGTTTCGTCGCATTTGACTTTGCGGAGGCTGCGGTCGATAGACCGTCATATGTCAGTGTACGGTCCGACGGCTGAATCTGGTACGTTCAAGCTCACCGACAAGTGCGACATCCTGCGCGAGATCTCTTCGTCCTGGTCACGCGCTTCCTGACGGAGGGCTTTCCATGTTGTGTTTGATTTAATACAGCCAGCATGTTCGTTTCTCAACGGAACGGTGGAGGAGCGTTGAGAGCTCATCGGGGAATCATCGATTTATCAGCGGCTTTTCAGTTGGGTTCGGCCCCGTCGGTCATGACTAGACCGGAGTATATCAGCCTAAGAATGCGCTAAGAAGCCCTATATGTTTAGCACTGGTGAGACGGACCAATTGCGGGGAAGAGTTTGATGCTCACGTTATATCCCCAAAGTGCGAGGCTGAAGATTTAACAAGGCTAGTGCTCTCACATCATTTGTTTGGCTGTGAGATGAAATGGTGTTGGTTGAAGTAGATACATTCGACCGGGCGGATTACACTACATAACACGTGAGCGCCTCAGTGGCACTCAAAACCAACCACGCAAAATCGAATTCACCTTTCCAGCTGACTCCGACAATTGAGCAAACAAACCTTCCCCAAGCTAGACCGATCATTTGCTGCAGAAAGCATTTGAAACCTATCTTGATGAGCCTCTCCACACATAGCACTGCCCCTTACTCCAACCCGCCGGTCTTGCATATCTGCTTGTCAGGCCATTCTTAGAGGTATGCAAAGGGCTCTGTGTTAGCCTATTGAACCATTTGTCCGCTGCCGACAATGCCATAGAATAGGAAGTCCGCGCCAACGAAGCCATCAAGGTCGACAACCCTTCAGGAGTTTCCCCAGCGTGGCAGATACAGACACGCGCGCCTGTCGGTCAGCCTCAGGCTCATGACACTTGAGCTCCTCGATTGAAGCAGCTTCACCTTTTGGCACGGGGACTTCAACATAGTAGCCTGTGCGAGGAGCAGCCCCATCCCGTATACTCGGCTGTCGACGATATATCACCGGCGCAACTCCTAGAGAATCTGGTCAACCGATCATCTTTCTCACTACTAGCTATAGATCACCAGCAAAAAAAAAAAAAAGAAACGCCAGCGAGTCACCCCTCCCCTTTTTCAACGCAGTCGTAAATTTCCCACTCTCCCGCAACTCCAGCATCGCAGCGCGCCACGAGATAGCATTCACCACCCTGTACCTAGCCTGGTCATCACCGCAGCGCCAGTAGATATTTCCGTCTCCCTCAACCCCTCCTCCGAGTCACAAACCCGAGCCATGAAGCGGTCAAACTGTGCATCGTTGGCGTCGCCCGGAGCTTTTCCCGCGGCACATAACTCGGAGAATGTAAAGGCCACCTGGATCTCGAGATCGGGTGCTGAGACGAGGATGGCGGCCCGGGACCCGTCTGGGTGCGGGTGTTGTGGACGTTTGGGTGCAGGGGTGGTTTCGTACTCGCTGTCGTCGATTGTGATAGCGGTGAACGGACGTTTGCCCATGACGGATGGGATTATCGAGTTTCCTTGACTGCCTCGGGCCTGGTCGTGCGGCGTGGGCTTAGCTCTGGTATAGGTTCCGTCCCGGGCTCTTGGCCGGACTCGTTGTGCGTTTGTGCTGGGGCCAAGTGATCTTCTGGTGGTGGATCGGACGGTCATGATGGATTGAGGTATATGGAGCTTGGGAGGTAGGTATGGATTGGATTAGGATGGGACGGGACGAGATAGAGAATGGTCTGGGGGTTGATGTCCGGAGAGACAAGTGGCTGAGATGTGAGGTGATCTCGCAGGGCTGAGGTGGCAGTGTTAGTAACACGTGGTAAAGACAAGAGACATTAGAACCATCAAATAGAAGAAGGGCCAGCAGGTGTCTGGAAGGACTCTTGACTATAGAGGTGTTTGGCGTAAGTCTGGAAACCGCCCAGCTGGTGTTAATCACTCGACCCCGAAACATAGAACGATTATCAGCTTGCCGGTGTACTCGCTCTGTGGTCTATCAAGGTTTGTTCTCTGGGGAGTCTGCAGGACTTGAACTTGCAATGACGTGCCAGCATAATGTGGGCAGCAGTCTTGTCACGGTTGATGGGGAAAGCAGTATACATCATTACAATCATCCATTGTATGTACACATAATCCAACCCCTTCGCTAATCCTAGATAAAAAGCACGAGACCCAAGGGATCCAGAAGGTTGCAGAAATACCCTAATCATGGGTGCTAACTGACATGCTATGCAGTGAAAGAAGTGATCTTCCATTACTGGGTCCTGATCTCACATCCCATCAATCCAATTTGTTAAGAATGCAAGCAAGAAAGGTAGAACTGTAAGAACAACCATTCACGAAGTTAGAAACGCTGACTCAAAGGAAATTCGTAAAGTCGTCAGCATGAGTTTTAGGTTGATGGATAAGCAACCCGAAATGTCTGCTTGCGTTAACGCTAGGGAATAAAGAGGGCTGCTGTGGCCATGAAGCCGAAGTACCTAGCTAGAGGTTAGCGAGATGCCCCAATCACAGAGGCAACACGAAGGTTGCAAGATACATACAGTGAAGCACATCGCCAGCCATCCTGGGAACCGACAAGATGATCTGCTCCCGTGGATTGAGTGGAGGCAACGGCGGCGGCGGCGCCGCTTACAACGGCAACCACCAGAAGACGGCCAGAGAAATCAGCGATCATACTGAAAGCGAGCAAAGGGAGGATGAAGGCTGCAGAGGCGATGATAATTGCAGCGTAAACAGGTCGAGCGGGGGAAGAGGATGATGAAACAACACGAGGGGTGAGCGAAACAAGGTCTTTGGTATGGTCGAGAAAGCGTGTCTCCGCGGCAATGATGGGGTTGCTTTCCTTCATCCAGGTACGATAGGTTTCGATATCTTTGTTAGAGGCGGATGGCAGAGTTTGGAGAACTCGACTGTATGCACTGAGTGCATTGTCTGGAGATTGTGGTTAGTGTCTTTGAGCTTGGTAACAATGCCATTGTTTGTCATAGCTTACTATATTGTTCAGTCTTGTGGGCCAATGCACCCAGCAGCTCCTCTTTTCGGTAATGTAAGGAAGAATAGACTTGTGCCTGGACGTCCATGCGTCGCGAGGCTGGGAGGATCGTGGTACCCTGTTGTTCGGCCGTAGCCGCCCGATGCATTTGGTCATACTCGTCCAGAACACGAAGGTCCTCCTCCATCTGTGCAATTTCGTCCTGAAGATGCAGAAGCACCCGGTGATTCACATCTTCGAACCGACGATAGAGCGGTGGGAGACGGGGCTCCAGGTTGTCAGTTGATGAGCTAAGACGCCAGGCGAGGAGACCGTAGCCCGAGGGAGACGGTGATGACTTTGTGCTACAACTCCGCTTATGATTGGGTCGGTGAAGATCTTCCTCGGGGCTCCGTGGCGGCGATGGTGGGAGAGGCGGCCGGTTCTGGCTGGCCGAATGGCGCGAGTAGAAGGCATCCGGTCGAGGACTGAGCTCTAGGCTCCGTTTCTCGGGCGAACTCGAGCCTGTGAAAGTGCCTGGAGGCACATCGTAGGGGTTCTTATGCTGAATAGGGTTGTTCCTTGCCTTGTGCAATGATGGCACACCAGAAGCGATATCAAACGCCGTCGGCAACGGTTGGGAGTCCACGGAAGCCTTGGACATTGTAGATGATGTTCGACTGCGTGCATCCGCACCAACTCCAGCAAGTCTGCTCTGACGTCCTGACCCTACATGCGCCATCTTCGGTTGTGTGCTAGTTGATGATGAGTGAGAGAAGCGATGCGATCTGTAGTCCTCCTCTGCCGAGGAGTCCTCTTCTGATGTGGATACATCCTCGTCGAGAAATTCAAAAACGTTCGGGACGATACGCTCAGATTCAGCAGACTTGGCAGATGTTTGCATCCGAGAGGGATTGGCCGAGTTTGAATCACTGCTCTTCGAGACGGAAGCCGGGTTTGGGGGCGCTACCGGAGGCCGATCTACAGACGACCTAGAAACCTTGGTGGACCGAGAGGTAGCCGAGAGGACAGAAGCCGTAGACGATTCACTGGCACCATCTTTCTTAGACTTCTTGGAGCGGCTGGATGAGCCATACAACGGCATGATGGAAGGAGATTGGTGCTGTCACAGAGAGCACCGATGCAGAACAGAGAGCAGTAGATGATCGGAGCTCTTATTCACAGATCATGCCCCTCAACAATACAATGAGGGACCGGGACTCAACTGCGAGACAACTAGCAGGCCCGAGAATGGGATAATCTGGTCGGAGGGGGCAACAATGGAGGCATATCAAGGGAGAGCCACCGAGAACCAGTCAGGCGACGCGACGGGCGGACGGGAAAGTCGAGAATGTAGGACAGAATGTGTAGGATCCGATGGTCTACTGTAACTAGACCGCTGCTCCTGAAACCTGAACCAGTCGTCTGTCTTTCTCAGGAAACGATAAGTCCAGTGGAGGGTTGACGATTGTGGTTGATATTGTAGGGAGTTCGGAGTGAGGGAATGAATGGATAGCTGTAGATGATGCACGGAATGGGCCGTCAGCGAGGCGTTCCAGACCCCAATAAATGCGTATGCGCGCCCCTCGTCCGCAGGAAGTGACAGGGAATACTTGGGACTGAGACAAATCTCAAACACGTCGACCCCCGATTAGGGGATCAAATCAGACCGCGTTCTGGGGGGTGTTGGATGTTTGCGACGAACGTGGAGAGACTCTCATTCGTCCACCCCAGCGGTTACAGCTTAGGTGGGCGTCAGTGCAGGAAGTATGTATGTAGGACACGATAAGAACAACAGTTACGAGAAAGAGCAGACTGATTAGAAGGTAGGAGAATCAAGGAGAAGGAACTGCAAGCAAAGGAAGTCAAGGAGGGGAGGATTCGTCTAGAAGTAGTGTGGGAGTTTCTTAGGGAAAGTGGGATGGAAGAAGAAAAGAGAAAAAACGCAAGTAGTTTTTTGGTGGGGAAGAAAGGCAGTTCATCATCTGCATTGCACTCATGTTGGACTACTTCTGCTGCTGTGCTGGCTGATAGTGACTCGTTGCTGATCCTACTCTGTTGATCACACACACACGCGCACCCCCTCTCTCTTCCACTCTCTACTCTTGTCACTTCTCTACTGTAACCATCCCTTCTGCACTGCAGTACCAGTTTATAGAGAGTGTGATGATGGGCAGGATGGCTGTGGATGGTGATGAAGTGTTGCTGCAAAGCATCCATTGTATTGGTGGGGTTTCAACACAACTGCACTGCGAAATGTCGACAACGAACCCCTTGAGTAGTTGCTGCATTACAGAGCATGACATGCAGTAAGGCGAGTCACTCACACGCGCCTCTCTATTCCAGGTTTCGATGCATTGTCGCAAATCGGATGCTCTGGATTGTAGACTTTCTTCCAAGGAATTAATCTGCATTGTTAATTAAGCGGTGAGTTGTCCACCGCCGTGGGCCTTACCGTATCGTACTCGGTGTATTATGATCATAGATGGTCTTCTTTTTCCGAGTCCTGATCTCCTTTCAGCTCAATTTTTGGCCACTAATTAAAGCATTTAATTGTCCTTTCGCCTGTCATTAACTGCCATAGCGTCATGCTGCGACCTTGGCTGCGCCAGGGCCCGCGAGCCACTCGTTCCTTTACTTGCCCGCAATGCCTTCATCTCCTTCGCCGGCCGCAGCAGCTTCAACGGTCTCTACTTCCTTCCTCCGCCCTCTCGTCTCCTCTACGATCCCTCCAGACCACGACAACCCCTGAGTCAACGGATCGAGTACCCCTGCGCAAACAGCTCAAACAAGATGCCAAAGCCCTGAGGGCGCGCAAACGACAGACCCGCGAGCATGAGGAGGCTTCTCGCCAGAAATGGGAGCTGACGGTGGGAATTGAAATTCATGCGCAGCTCAACACCGAGGCCAAACTATTCTCTAGTGCGTGGAATTCTGCCTTCAAATACTTGCATTCTATTAATCTCGTCTCTGAATAGAAGCACCAACCTCGTCGACGGATCTCCCCAATTCCAATGTTGCGCTCTTCGATCTTGCCTTTCCCGGCAGTCAACCGGTTCGTTTCACAGCATGACTGGAAGGTCGAGACTTCAAAATCACTAACAGTGAGCAACGAGTTAGGAATTTCAAGCCGCTACTCTTCTTCCCGCCTTGCGCGCCGCGATCGCCCTGAACTGTGATATCCAGCCAGTCAGCAAATTTGACCGCAAACACTATTTCTACCAGGACCAGCCTGCTGGGTATCAGATTACACAATACTATGGTAAGGCTGCCATAAGGCCTGCGGCTTCTTTCGACAGTAGACTGACGGCTTGCAGAACCCCTAGCGAAGAACGGTTACGTGGATCTCTTTCGTCACGATGGTATCGCCCCGGAGGATGGAGACCAAGTGCGCATCGGCATCAAACAGATTCAGATGGAACAGGATACGGCCAAGTCCCAGGAATACCCTCCTTCGACGCAATTGCTCGACTTTAACCGAGTCTCCCATCCGCTCATCGAAATCATCACGATGCCCGAGATCCACACGCCGGCGACCGCGGCGGCCTGTGTGCGAAAGATTCTGTCGATCCTACAATCATGCAATGCGGTGACAACTGGTATGGAACTCGGCGGTCTGCGAGCGGATGTCAATGTCTCCATCCGTCAACGAGGTGACCTTGCCGGCAACCATCAGTATGGCGGTATTGCAGGTCTGGGACAGCGCACGGAGATCAAGAACCTTAGCAGCTTCAAGGCCGTCGAGGATGCCATTATCGCCGAGAAGAACCGCCAGATAGCTGTTTTGGAAAGCGGTGGGGTGGTGGAAGGCGAAACCCGTGGCTGGACCATTGGCAGCACTGAGACGCGCAAGCTGCGTGGCAAGGAGGGAGAGGTCGACTATCGCTACATGCCGGACCCTGATTTGCCTCCGGTCTATATCGGAGAGGATCTGATCTCAGAGCTAAGACGGACACTTCCAACGGCCTCCGACGCACTTCTCGGTCAACTGACGGGGATGAAATATGGGCTGACCGTTGAGGATGCAAAGCCGCTCGTAGAGCTAGACGAAGGTGCTCGACTGGAGTACTACCAAAACGTCGTGGACCTCCTGTGGCAGCAGCAATCAGAGACAGACGCTAAGGCTCAGCAGGCACTGGCGCGCCTGGCCGGAAACTGGGTGCTGCACGAGCTGGGAGGTCTCTTGACCAAGGCGGATTTGGCCTGGGATGCACAGCGCGTTCCAGCGGCCTCTCTGGCGGCACTTCTCGACCAGCTTCAGCGGAAACGCATTACTGGCCCGACGGCCAAGCAGGTGCTGGCTCTGGTGTTCGACGGGGACCAGCGCCCTATCCCGCAGCTGCTGGAGGAGGAGAATTTGCTCCTGCGGCCCTTATCGCGGGAAGAGTACATCGTGCTGGCGGAGGCAGCTATCGCATTAAACCCATCGATGGTCGAGCAGATCCGACAGAAGAACCAACTGGGCAAACTCGGTTGGTTTGTAGGACAGATGATGCGGATGGGAGAGAAAGGGCGTGTGGAAGCGCCCAAGGCCGACACGATTCTGCGGGAATTAATTCTGGAGGGGGCGAAATAAATGTATAGTAGTGAGGTTGTACGAGTAGATAGCTAGATCTGAGCCGAGACCGCTCATGCATGATAATAACGATGATGATACCCGTCCAATTCAACCACAAACATGATCTGTCCTTATCAGTACCAGTAAGTCCGAATGACCGGAGTCCGAAAACGATTGCTAATGAAAAGGGGGGGTGGAGAGGGTTGAAAGAGGCCGAGGCGGGCATCTCTCCTCGACCTGTACTTAGGGGAAGTCCTGATCCCTAAAAGCAGGTCTTAGCGATCGCGATGACCCACGGCCGCGGTTTGGCCCGGTTTTATAAACTGCTCTGCACCCCTGCATTCTTAGATTTCTTTGACTTCTTGTTCTTCATCATCTTACCTTCTGCTTCTCCTCTGCTTCCTCTCATCACCTCTATCCCTCCCCCCTATATATACCTCCTGGTCTTTTCTGATCAGTGCAAGTAGAAGTTGTTGTATTGTTGTGGTCCACCCGTTCTTTGCCGGCTCCAGAGATTCCCCACCTGATTCTTGATTTGATCTTATCTCATCAGCGCGGGTCCCGCTCTTCTAGAACTTTTTTCTTTTCTTCTTTTCACACCCTCTCTCTTTCTTTCTCTTCTCCTACCGCTCATACCCATTCCTCCTCTCTCCTCTCACAGACATCATGACTTCCCCCTCTACTATTCCTCAGCGCTTCCTCTCCAAGCCCAACCAACTGGGCGTGGTCGCCGTTGGCTTCAATGGCGGTCAGGTACGTGCCCTCCCACTCTAGTCCCGGCGCCGTTGATCTGCACGGAGTCTAGCGGGCGGCGCAGCAAAGCTAACCGAGACGCTGTGGAATTTAGTGCAAGATGGGCGTTGAGGCTGCTCCCATGGCCCTCGTCCAAGCCGGCCTCCTCGAACAGCTGCGCGAAGACCTCGGATATGATCTGCACTATGACGACAAGGTGCACTACTACGAGGACAAGATGCCGGCGGAGGACCCCGACCACCGCGGCATGAAGAAGCCCCGGGCGGTGAGCGCCGTCACCGAGGCCCTGAGCAACCAGGTCTACGAGCACGCCAAGGAGGGCAAGTTCGTGCTGACCCTGGGCGGCGACCACTCCATTGCCATCGGTACCATCTCCGGCACGGCCAAGGCGATCCGCGAGCGTCTGGGCCGCGAGATGGCCGTCATCTGGGTGGACGCTCACGCCGACATCAACGTGCCGGAGATGAGCCCCAGTGGAAACATCCACGGCATGCCCATGGCTTTCCTGACGCGCCTTGCCCGCGAGGAGCGCCCTGATATCTTCGGCTGGTTGAAGGATGAGCACACGGTCAACACCCGCAAGCTGGTCTACATCGGTCTGCGTGATGTCGACCGCGGTGAGAAGCAGTTGCTGCGTGAACATGGCATCAAGGCCTTCAGCATGCACGATGTCGACCGGTAAGTTTCTTCATTTGTCGAACCACCCATGTCATTGGTGGAGGTCCCCACTGACACTCATTTACAGCTACGGTATCGGTCGCGTGGTTGAGATGGCGCTGGCGCACATCGGTAACGACACTCCCATCCATCTGTCATTCGATGTCGATGCGCTGGACCCCCAGTGGGCGCCCAGCACGGGTACCCCCGTGCGCGGTGGCTTGACCCTGCGCGAGGGTGACTTCATCTGCGAGTGTGTGCACGAGACGGGCAACTTGGTGGCGATGGACCTGGTGGAAGTCAACCCCAGCCTGGAGGAGGCCGGAGCCAGTGACACCATCCGGACGGGCTGCTCGCTGGTGCGCAGCGCTCTGGGTGATACCCTGTTGTAGAAAGATAAAGATTTCTTTATAGTGTCTGTATACTAGAGAGAAAGAGTTAGACGGATATGATATGCAATGATAATGACTATATTATATTATAATTTTGTTTTGTTTTTGTCCTGTTCTGTTCTGTTCTGTAGGTATTGTGTTGGTGCAGTTCTCCGCATTTACGCGCCAAATTTTCCCTGCCACCGACAAATTTCCTGCCACCGGAATTTCAGGTGCTTCGATCAATGAATCCTGATTCCTGTCAGTGTGTCAATTCAATTTCTCTGCTTTCTGCAACCCGGACGCCAACAATGAGCTAAACTCTTGACTCTTGTCTTGAAACATCCTGTGTCAGGTTTCGACTTGTTGCAATACTATTCCCAATCCCCATCAGCCAAAAGCTGCTGGCCCACCGGCCCAACGACACGGCAACAGCCCCGATATCAATAACAACAACAACCACAACCACATCGTCATCATCTTCAGCCCAAAATCCTCGCCCACACCCCCCCCCCCCCCCCCAAATTCTCAATCAATCATTCCAAAGAAAAACAGCAACTCCCATCCAGACCGATCTTCCCTGCATTGAGACATTCGGTCTGGACCAATCGCAACGAATAGACCGACCAACCGAGAGCAAGGTGGAATGGGGGTTTCTGCCTGACTGACTGAGGTGGCGCGCGCCCTATTGCTGCCCTTGAAGTATACATCTGAAAACTGAAGCTGAAGCTGAAGCGGTCAACCAGCGAGAGCTAAATATAACTCAGCGGATGAATTGATTGATTGATTGCATGATAACGATATAACCTCAACCTCAAGCTGGATTTAAGTCCAGTCTATCTGGTGCAGCCACGACTCAGTTCAACAACAACTAAATACTAACTACTATCATCATCAACTCATATATCAACAACACATTGCACCAAGCCAGTCGTCTACCCCATCACATTCACCAATCCAAGCAATATTCCCCACACATTCTACTACTCTACCCCAGAGAAAAAGAAAAAGAGAGAAATGGCCGGAGTCCGCGTGTACCGTCGCAGACGCTACCACTGGCCCGAGTTACAGCTGAACATCTGGCTGATAATCGTATTATCCGCCAACGCAATCTGTCTGGGGATTTTTGCGTGGTTCATGTCTGTGCAGAATGAGCTGCATTTGGATATACCATGGTGAGCCAATTTCCCCTCAGCCCCAGTGTTCCCAGCCAAACCCCCAAACCCTCCACTCCCCCAAAAAAAATAAAAAACTAACAAAGACTGGATAGGCTATTCCCCTACATGACCGTAACCTCAGCACTAGGCCTCTTCTTCATAATCCTAATCTACGTGCTAACGGCCCAACGGTTCCTACTACCCGTGATCATCATCGTGGGGAGCTTCATCCTCTTCGCGCTGTGGCTGACGGGCCTGATCGAGACGGCGCTGCAGATGTACGGCATCGTCGCCAACATCGACAGTAACTGCCGGAATTATATTCTCACCGGGTCGCATCCGACCGGCGATAATATTGAGACCTTGGCGTGGTTGACGGAGAGTACTATTTGTATGTTCCCCCCCCTCCTCTTCTTTCTTGTGGTTTTCCGGGGAAAACTTGACTCTGCTGGTGTGATTGGGGAAAGGAGGCCTGGGCTAGGCTAACTCTAGATTCTTAAAGGTAATTGTTGGCGGACGGCGTTTGCGTTCGAATTGATTAATACGATTTTCTATGCGTGGATGATGATTATGTCGTGGCAGGTGCATCGGGATATTTATCGGTGAGGTTATTCCTGGGTTCTTAGGTACCTAGTATCTATGCTTCTTGGGTAAGAGGAAGAAAGAGATGAGACGTGGATGAGGATGAGAAAAGGGATTCTTTTATGATTGCATGAAGATGGATGTGGATTTTCCATTGATGAGATGAGGCATGAACTTACTGACCTACTCTGATGTATGAACATTCGTATGTATACTTGATTTATTTTATTTTTACCTGGTTGTCTTTCATACACCATACCAATACATTTGCATTCTTCTCGTCTGCGTCCAGTCGTTGTTACAGTAAAAGCTCAGCCTACATGGCACAAATAACAGTCAGCCCGCTGCAAGCAGCTATGTCCGTTCAATACAAATTCAATCCTATCCTGAAATCCTATGTCACACACAACCCCAAATCTGATTCCCGCATATCAGACGTAAATCGCGCACAGAACGCCCTCGCTATGCCTCGCCATGCCTCGCCAGCATGATCAGGAATCAAAATGCTCCTATCAACAAGGACGACAGCGTACAGGTATGAACACAGTCCCAACCACAGAACAAGACGATGACTAGAGCTGCGGCACAATCAGCCGTTCTCCTTTGCGATCTTCTCCTCCGCCGTCTCGTCGAAGCCTCCGTCGTCGAACGCCGCCATCATCTCCCGCTCGAGTTCATCGTCCTCTTCTTCTGGAGCCGGCATCGTAACCGTTTGCTCCGGTGCGGAAGGCGCATCGACCTGCTCCTCCGTTTCACTGCTAGGCGATTCCGAGTTCGCTGCACTGGAGACTGCCTGGGAGAGTCCGGTACCCGGCCGCTCATACACTCGCCGGATCCGCTGCGAGAGCCGCGACCCATGCCCTGAATTTTGACGTGCGCCGGGGTCTCGCCCTGTTTCGTCATTGTCATCTCCTTCATCCTCCTCGTCTTGTGCATCTTCCGGACGCTTCCGCTTTTTGCTAGGTGTGGAGGGAGCTGCAGGTGCTTCTTCCATGAAGGAGGCATCACTGTCACTCTCGCTGTCGTCGTCACTGCCCAGAAACTCTTTCAATTCTTCGTGAATGGATGCCTGTTGGTCAGCGTCATAGCCGATGGGCGATTGCTCTGTCAGGCCAGATGACTTGAGGATATCCGCCGTCATTTCCGGCTCGTCCTCCTCCGTACCGGTGATCCCCGTCCCTTCCTCAGAGGACAGCCAGGAGCTTTCCATTTCCTCGCCTGGTTGGATCGGTGCCTCACGGTCGTCTGGGTGTACAGGCAGGAGGTATGGTGTCTCGTCTAGTCGCTTCCATTGCGACAGACAGTCGCTCAGCCAATGCGTGCCGACGATCTTGATCTTGGGGTAGCGTGTGGCAGCTCGAACCTTGGCCGTGCGGTTCCGTCCCGCCACCAAATGGGTGACTCGCGAATTGATCCTTGTGCTGACGGACGCGCCGAAAGTCTTGGACCAAAGGGAAATGTCCGCGTTCTGGGTGTCTGTACCTAGAGGAAGTACACCGGTGAAGACCAGGTTAACGCCGCTCAGAATTCGACGTTTGATGTCCGGCATGATGTCCTTGACGTCGGGAACCAGCTTCAAGTCGACGTCCTTCTCCTTCGAAGGGGTCTTCTCACCGCGCAGCGCGGCAACCCGTCCTCCCAACGCCCGCGATCTTCGCCGATCATACTCGTCGAAGAAGTTACGGTGGACTTGCTCGAGACGAACTTCCAGATCGAACAATTCTCGGTCATTATCCTCCAGAAGAAGGTGCCGGTGCTTGCTGGCTTCTGGTGAGTCGTCCATGTTACTCGACGAATCACTGCTCTCAGCGGCGTCTTCCTCCGCATCCAATTCCTTTTGCTTCTGTAACAACGGTCGGTCTTCTACCTGATGCATAATCGTCTCGTTTTGTGCATCACTCTGTTCCTGCAATAGACGGGGGTCATCTCCTCCACCCATCGTCACTAGCTGCTCCAAGGTTGACATCTCCGGCTGGTCGCCTGGTTTGATTGTGGCCCCATTGACATGGCGTTCTCGGGGCAAGTCCTTTGCTGCCTTTGCCGCAGACCTCTCGCCTGGTTTGCTTGGAGGGACCAGTTCCTGCTTTTTGGGCAAGAAGCTGGAGTTGATATCTCCAATGCCGACGAAGAAGTCGTACGGCACTACCTTGATGAGATTGGGGCTCCAGCGCCACACATCTCCGCGGTCGTCGATGATGACGACCATCTTCGTATCCACAGGGAACAAGCGATGCAGATTCTTGGCCGTCAAACTGCCGCTCTCGTCTCGACTGAGAATCCGATCGCCGAAGAGCTTGCGATCAGGATCAATGATACTAGCAATATGTTGAGCATAGGACCGAGTACCCATGGTGTAAATATGCAATTCAAACATCTCCGAGATGCTCTGCAGGAATGTCTCCAGCCCCGGCCGCAACTTGACGTAGTACGATATTTTGCGAACTTGGGGGTTAACTTGGGGGTTATATTCAAGCAGCTGAAACACGCGAACATCGCTTAATGCCTCATGATTCGGATTGTCCTTATCATTCATCCACTCCCCCACCGTAGGGTCAACGGTCGCGTGGATGATCGTCTGGTCCAGATCGACCACAAGAGACAGTTTCCGGTTCAAGAGCAAGCGGCGCTTCGCGTCCTCTTCTACGCGCATCGCCTCTCTCTCGCTCACAGTCAAGCCAGTGTTTTCGTGAGTCACCGGGATCGTCGCGCGCATGGCATCCATCACATCCGTATTATACGTCGACCTATCAACCAGTCATCAGCCATCAGCCTGGAGCAAACTCGTAGGTGCACGGAGAATACATACGCAGTCATATCTTTACCACACTCCGCGCAAAGCCCCCCAAATTGAACTTCATGAGCGCATGGCTCATCGATTTCCATAAAATCGACCCTAAAATGCAGCAGGAATCAGTATCGGTCGCGGTCAAGAAACTTAATCGAACATCAATGCAGACTGCCAGGTGAGGTGGATGACATACGGTTCATCGATAACATCCCCTTTCGCAATCTTCCACTGAACCAGCTCGCCATCCGCGGGCGACTCAAACTTGACGGGAAACTTGCGCTTCACCTCCACCTTGTTTCCCAGCCCGTCACCCTCGGTGACGGTGGTCTGGTAGATATACCAAAACAGCGCATCCTCCCTTTCCACCGTATCGCCGGGCTGTTTGAGCAGCGACGTCACGGTGATCGGGTAGTGAAGGCTGGATGGTAATCGGATCAGCATTTATGTTGTAGCCCAAACCAATCCTTTATCCGAAAAGCGAAACCAACCAACCCCCCTTTGCCCTCCTTCTCATGAAAATCAAGTGAGGTGGTTTGGGGGTGGTATGAAGACAGGTGATGAAGAAGTTCGCGACAGACGAAGGACCGTGTCGAAAGCTAAGAAGCCATACCCAATGCAGCAAAACGAAATCCAGACAACGCCGACCACAACCGCTACAGCCGCTGTGAGAAGGTGGAAGCAGATGGGGAACGGTCGAATAAACCTGGGGTTGTGTTGTGGTCTAGAGACGCGACGGTGAGACGACTGAGTTGATATGTACGATTCGGGTAGGTGGACAGGCAGGTAGAAAGCCGAAAGTACAAAGAAACCCCTCCGAAGTGTGAGGGTCAAGAGATGGGGAGTGAATGAAAGACAACCGCGGTCAGTTCTATGGATCAGCTGGTCGCAAATGGTTCGCCACGCGAGTCGAACGCGACGAACAACAACCACGGTTCAAGAGGATGGTAAGACGAGCGTCGAATGGGTGATTGATGTCAACAATACGAGGAGAGGATTAATGATGAAAGATGGTGTGGGAAATAGATGCGATCAGGAACGAGAAAGCTGCGTGGGGGAGAAAGAGGATGGAAGGAGGGGAGAGTCACGAGAGAGGGAGAGAGAGAGAGAGAGAGAGAGAATGGGAGAATGACAGAATGATGGGAGGCGATGGAGAAAGAAGAACCTCCAAAATTGGCTGAGGAGGAGAGGAGCAAGTCTCCGGTCCAAGCAAGAGTAGCAGCAGAGCTAAGCAGCAGAGCAGCAGCAGCAGAGTAGAGCAGCAGGAGCAACGGCAAGAACTGAGTGAGGGAAGTGAAGTGTGGTTGTGCCAAGCGTCGGTCAGCCGCCGACTTTCCCAGTTGGAAACGAACCTAAGTTGGCCTGTGCGGGGGCGAGACTCTCGGCCCAGAACCTCCCCCCGTCATCATTATCTTAACCTTGTAAACTTATCATTCATCGTCATCTTCTCTATAATTGCACAAAGAATTCAAAAACAAAGACAGAAGACTTCCCCGCATTGTTGCTGTCCTCTCTCCATTCGAGAGAAATTGTTTATTATGCTGAACACTTGGACTCGTACAGGATTGATTACGAAGTACTCTCGGAAGTAAACACGGATCGGTAGACACACGACATGGACTGACTGAAAAGGCAACAACTGAGTTCGAATGCAAACAATTCTTGAAATCATTTCCTAACGATGATTACTGCGCGCTAGGGGTTCGAGCTAATATATGTGATATCATCCCCTTCATCTGGCGTTCATAACGTGAGGTTACGCTCCTGGAGCCCACCAGTTTACTTGGCCTTGGCAAGACCAACGGCACTGTTGCCAAGGTCATATACGCTGTACCACTTGCGCAGGAAGGAGTCACCCAGGATGGCCAGAGGACCAACTGGCTCAGGGAAGTCCATGCCCATGAAGGCACTGATGCACGATCCCTGGGTCTCAAGGGTGTAGTCGAAGGCAGAGATGGTGAAGTTGTGGCCGCTCAGAGCGAAGGTCACATCGGGCAAGGAGGAGCGCTTGGCGCAGTCAATGGTGTACTGACCAGTCCATCCCTTCTTGGCACCAATTTGGGCGTTACTGTGCTATTGTTAGCGGAACTGTCAGGAGCAAGACACCCGACCGAGGAACTTACATCATCTCAGCAAGGCTGGAGGGGAGAGCAATGAGGGAAGTACCGGTGTCGAGAATGACACCAGTGTTTTCAAGCTCAGCAACATCATCACCAAGGGCAATGGAGTCGAGATCCACCTCCCAGTAGGCCTTGCGGCGGAGAGGGATCTTGATCAGCTCGCCAGTGTAGTGGCTCTTGTCAACACCGCCAAAGGTGGCCACGGAGCTATCGCCCTCCTTGTTGGCATCTCCAAGGTAGAACGCAAAGACAGGCTCGTCCAGAAGTCCCTGCTTCAGCATGTTGTAGAAGGGGGGAACGATCTTGTTAACGGAAATGGTGTCATAGCCCAATCCGAGAATGCCGTCGAATCGGCCGAAAGCAAACGCCAACCCAGGTTCCTGGGTGGCCTCAGCGAAATCCTGTCCCTTGACAGTCAGGTCCCCAATCTTGAGGGTGTCCTGAGAAACAAAGCCGCTGAGACTGCCAGAGCCGTAGCGGATAGAGAACTCGCTGCCATTCTTCTTGTATGTGCTGGATGACGACGAGTCGTACTTGTTGTGCAGGTAGCAGGCGATGGAGCCACACTCCGAAGAAGGAACCCACAGGTTGGAGCTGCCAGTGTCCAAGACGACCTTGAACGTCTGAGGGGGAGTACCAAGCTCGATCTCCGAGAAGTCTAGTGCGGAGAGAGATAAGCAGTTGCTCATCAAGGGGATGCTACAGCTCGAGACCAAGGCAATCGTCACTTACACTGTGCGTTCATGAAGTTATCAACAAGAACGTCGTGACGGCTCAAGTCGTTGATGGGAGTCTCCTGGAGGAGTTCACTGTGAATGTTGGGGCGAATGCCCATGTACTTCTGGCCCAGCGCGCGGACATGGGCGTCGATGTTGTGGGTGGTCTACATCCGATAAGGTCAGTCATCGTAGATTAGGACAACAGATGAGCTAGAATTCAAGGCAGGAGAACTGCCGTGGTGAGGAACGTACGAGCTGCTCGTCAAGGGAGACCTTGTTAAGCTTGAGCTTGTGGACCTCGGCGGAGGTGTAGCCCAACAGCATAGATGCTGTGAGCAAAGAGACGGACTTCATGATGGGCGACACCTGAAAGAACGACTCAAAGAGCGACAATGACGCAAGTTGAAAAGAATGGGATGAGCGATAAAGATGTCGAGGATAGGAAACCCGAGACCAAGGAAGATGTGGGAGAGGAAAAGGGAACCGAGGACGAAGAGGAGAGGCGAAGAAGAGAGTGAGGAGAGGAGGTCACGCCCGGGTCCGGGGGGAAGGGGAGAGTGTCGGTCACAGCGGGTAATGATGCGAGTGAGCAGTGACTGGTTGGTTGGCTGGTTGGTTGCGGAGCGACCTCCTCCAGGCTTACCCGCCGCCTCAGGCTGCCTTGCTGCGGGCCAGCCAATGGGTGGCTGTCCTGGCTGCGTCATTGACAAGGAGATCTTCGAGAGATGATCACGGGGTTTATCTTCCTGTTGCTAGCTTAAGCTGCTGTGCCTGATTTTCCAGTTTCTTCTGTTCTTCAGGAAATGAAGTACTTGTACAGTTAAACTCAGGTCATCTACTCGTAGCTGGCAGATATGAATTCTCAATCTCGTTATCAGGTCTACCTTGCTTGTTAAAAGTGGTTGAGGGTGTACCGACTTCCCCCAACGCGTCTACCGCTTCTTATCAGCCTATCTGCGCTGAGAATGATGATGTAAGACCGCCTTGGCCTGCTGCCTGTTGTACCCGTATCGTAAGTCGACGGTACCTTGCCTTGCCGGTTGAGCAGCTGACAGGTACGGTGCCGTGGAGCTCCGCTAGTTAGCCTAGCTCTTTTGCTACGGAGTCCCGAAAGGTCCCTGCACAGCCCAATGATTTAGTGTCGCAATCGTCATGTGTTGTGTCTGATTGACTGACTAGGATTCAGACAATCTACGTCAACAAGTGCTCAGATGCGTCAATCATTGTCTTGATATGTGATGCCTAAAAGTATTACAGCTAACACCCAGCTTGATTGTCTTTTGCAAACACATTGCCACCTCAACCTCCACGCTTCTCCCCCACCTGATTTACCGGTAGAACTCGAGTCTGTGGTCGGTTAGTCTTATCCAAATCAGAGAAAGAGCAAAACGAAAACGCACCTATCGGATTCCTGTCCAGTCTTCACTTGGGCAGCATAGGCATCTTCCAGATCGGATTGGATGATATTATAGCGGTTCTTACGAACGGCGCGAAGACCCGCCTCCTGCATGATAGCCGCGATAACCGCACCCGAGAGCGGCTCGTTACGCACAATCAGGGAGTCCAGGTCAACCTCGGGAGAGAGAGACATCTTAGACGCTATCGTGGTGAAGATCAACCGGCGCTCACGTCGGTCACGCAAGGACGGGAACTCGATCTTTCGGTCCAGACGACCCGGACGCAACAAGGCGGGATCCAGAGTGTCCGCTCGGTTAGTAGCCATAATGACCTTGACATTGCTCGTTTGCTCAAAACCATCCATCTGGTTCAAAAGCTCCAGCAGGATACGCTGGACCTCACGGTCGGCACCTGTCTGGGCGTCGAAACGCTTGGTGGCGATGGCATCGATTTCATCGATGAAGATGATGGCTGGGGAGTTCTCCCGAGCCATTCTGAACACATCACGGACCATGCGAGGTCCTTCACCGAGATACTTTTGAACGAATTCCGAACCGTTCACACGGATAAAGCTGGCGGTCGTGCTGTTCGCCACTGCCTTGACCAGCATAGTCTTACCCGTACCAGGAGGACCGTACAGAAGGACACCACGAGGAGGATCGATACCTGAGTCGGTCAGTAAGAGATTTCCAAGACCGTAGCCCCGGGAAGGAGGACTTCAAGAGATCAATGGAGGAAAGACCTACCGATCTGCTTGTAGAGGTCAAAGTGCGTCAAAGGCAATTCGACCGCCTCCCTGATTTCCTGCTTCTGCATATCGAGACCACCAACATCTGCATATGTAACATCCGGCTTCTCATTCTCACCCAACATAGCGATCGAGGAGTCTGCCTCCGGAGGGAGGATATCGACAAGGGCGTTGGAGTGACGGTGGAGAGCGACCGAGGATGAAGGCTTGAGCTTCTCGCGGTCGAGGGTAGACAGGATGCGGACGACATAATTCGAGCCGGTCGATGACTGGACGATACCGGTGCTATAGAAAGATAATCAGTACTGTAGATATTGAATATGCGGCGCGCCATACTTCTGATCGATCGCTTCCATGAATTGGCCAATAACCAAGGGAACACTCTGTATCCGCTTGATCTCCTCCTGTGCACGAACCAGCTCTCGCTTCAGGCTCCTACAGAGTAGTCCATCGTTAGCAGTGTGACCGAGGTACAAGGTTTCAAGATACCTTACCTTTGCTCATCCTTAATGTATTCCTCCTGGAGCTGGATATACCTAGGTTCGAAGGGTCAGTACGGGCTGAGGCAATCACCACCCAGGTTCGAACGTACTCCAAGTGTCTCTGTAAGCGCTTCAAAGTGGCATACTCGTCACCACCGTCGTTTCCGGTGCCTTCCAGCGAGTCTATGTTAGGAATGGTGTCCAATGGAGTTGCCTTGGTGTGAGGCGTGACGTTGTTCGCCGGAGTCTCCACGGCGACGTCTCCCATGGCGAATATCTAAGGCGGAACCAAAAAGAAGTGTGATCTGGAGAAGTATCGCCCGGCGTGTCCTGGGGCAGTATAAGAGTAACGAGGTGATAACCGTTAGATGCAAAGCTGTAGAGTGACTTGGGTTGTTCAGAGCTATTGCGTCGATGACAGTTAGCCGGGCTCACGAAGCTCAGAGCCCGGTCATGTGACCGGTCAGCTAGAAGCATCCAGTGGCAACCTCAGGCAGAACTTACCGACTCATGAGCGACGGATATCATCTCTTGTTTGATGAAGGACTCTCTGTGGTTGTGAGAGTTCAGGTGATGCCGCGTTTGCATTATCACCGCACAATGATTGAAGAGCGCCTGCAATTATTGTGGGTGCTTGGACTTCTCCTGTCATTGTTCTCCTTCCATACAACCCACGCTGGGCGTATCTATATCAAAGCAAGGCCCCCAAGAATCTTATATATCGAATGAAAACAAGTATGCTTCGTCTTCAAGCAGGTCATGCAAACAGCGTAGCAACATTAGGTCCAGAATGGACCCGACATCTTCTGTAGAAAACGATGGTCAACAAGAATAATCAGATAGAGCCTTCTCTCCCTATCTAAGCTGTATATGAACCAGTGATGGCTTCAGGTCTATCGTAGACCTCCACTACTAATAAATCCAATTCTCGTCTCGTGATAGGCATCTTCGCGGGATTCCCTTTTACAGGTATATGCAGTACCTTCTACATTGAAAGGCCCACAAGACATAACTGAAGTCATTTTATCCGCACATATATATATTTACTGCTACCAAGTCCTCTCGCTATCTTGCGACAAACTCACACAAACCGCACTATCCAAAAAGCGAATCAATACTCAGCTACGTCTCATAATTCTAGAAAAGCAGGGCCCCCAGACTCATTACATCATACTTGCTTGATATCCCAAGGACCGAGGGATCATCAACGTCCTTCATAGTATCACAGAATAAACACCCACAGATAGCTGATAAAAGCAGGAATCAGTCATCAATTCCAACTCTATCATAGACCATCACCACACCTGCAACCGATTATCGCTCACAAATGCACACATGAAGCGTAAAGCACGGGTCAATAACAAAAATCTTGTGCCTCCAGCAAAGTCTCACTGCCTCCGCTAGCGCTCAAGGCAGCTCAAAACCCGCTCCATCACCGTTTCAGCCATATGAGACTGCAACATAAGACCGACTCAAACCGACCAAGTAGCGCGGGTCGAACAGGACGAATCAAACGTTCACTTTTGTAGGAGCGGATACGCTCCTCCCCGGGACTCCGTAGGACTCGATTGTGCTTTCCGTGTGATTCGTTATATGCACATGATCCTGTGTGGTGTCATCTGTCATTTCCATCCTGGTCTGAGAAGGGTCGCGTGCCAAGGCGCTCATGATTTGATTGAGGGCTCGAATAGCGGACTGGCTGGATATCAGAATTGGTACTTGGATAATGCAAAAGGGAGGCAATAGATGTGGCCAGATAAGAGAGCAATGGTGGCTATAAATCTGGTACAGTACCCAGCGACTGTTGTATTGGTTCGAATCATGTACACAGCGCCACGAAGCAGCATGCAATCCGTCTACATACTGTATAAGAGGACAAGGCTACTTGAGAGATCACTACTACATCAAAGCGAGCTGTTCTGGGTCATTCCTGTGGAAGTGAGCTTCACACAAACTCTGTGGGAACAAGCCCGTTTTGAGGTTAATTGGTCTCTAAGTGAACTAAACAGTGGTATTGATGCCTGGGTAACTCTAGGGTGAGCTTCTGAAGAGTGATCTTCCCAGATCAATCCTTTGGGTGAGCAGCATCTTCACCTCCTACCTCCTACCTACTACGTGCTCAGTCGAGCTTCCACCAGCTCATTTGAATCGTATGAAAAAATGACTAGTGGACTATGGCGGACGTAACTATAATAGATCTACTGGTGGAGATGGAAAACCGGCAATGACTCTCAAACAAAGTCGAGGAATGGCTCTACGGCTTCCCTCGACTTGACTTAGGTCTTGACAGCACGATTTAAGCTTAGGTCGTTCATGAATACTCCAAGGCTCCGTTGGCTTTGCCGATATCTTATCAATTCCGTGGCCCCATCTGACAGACAAGCGCCTACAGCTGCTGTACCACCGCATGCTGTTCGAGTCCTTGTTTCTTGTCTAGGCATATCAAGCAGATGTGATCAGCATGATTAAAAAGCCTAGCCGGGCGTTTCACGGTGTACATAATTCCGGTTCCTGCAATACAAGCTCCATATGCACTACAGTGATCGACCAACTTTGTCGATCCTGCCAGTGGCATCTTCACGTCGCCCTATCTACTAGCAATTCTAAGACATAAATGTCATGGTTTCTGTGGTTGTCAGTTGGGACTTCGTATTCGAACAAGGCTGTTTCCGGATCCGGCTGCTGATCACCCCCAAACAGAGACATGAGAAATTGCCACATCGTGATGTCTTATACCTCCAAAATTCTGTCTTTCTATGGCAAATGGCATAACTTGAAGCTGCAGTCGATGCAGATGCAAACTGCATGTGCGGCTGGATGCGAAAACCCAGTGCATTCATTATTCAGCATTCGTGATTCAGTGCCTAACCATTTAATGGGTGCATGATAGCTCCCTTAGTCATCACCCCACAGCCCCATCAGTACCTTGATCGGGTAAATCACCCAGCCTACTTGGGCGATAACATCAGTCCCTTCAAGCCTTGTGAAACAAGAAGCGGGAACCCACATAAGGCACACCACCATCGACAGACTGTATGATCATGTTTTAGCACCTCGGATGTGGTTATGTGGCTCATACGAGTGATGTCATCGTCTTGAACACCCAGCATCGCGTGGTCAGCAGCTAAGAACCGTGTACGGTGAATGCCCATGGGCGGACGGCAGAATGCCACGAGCTGGTATGAGTGCACCCGGCTGCAATCTCTTCTTGAGTTGTCTACCACTGTTTCTCACGTACTGCTGCAGGTCCGGCATGCCTGACATGCCGGGAAAAATGCCGCAAATGCGATCGTGGTCGGCCAAACTGTGAACGTTGTATCTCCAAAGGCTTGGTATGTGGAGGGTATCCCGAACAGTTCAGATTTTGCGGTATCGCTAGTCGGGGAAAGTGGAAGGGGGCACGTATACCGGTCAGCAACCGAGCTTCTACTAGAGAACAATCTTCTGCAACGGAAGGGCTATCGGATGGTGTCGCAGGATCGACATCGGTGGCTATGGCTGAAGACAGCTCGAGATCTCCAACTAAGGAGTCGTCGGTCTCGGATGATTCGAATCAACCCCTGGCGGAGCTTTCAGACGATATTAGCGCAGTCCTTGTATCACCTCTCACAGAGAGGCTGTTGACACATTGTAAGACCAACCCTGCTTGGAGCTGATCTGTGGGAGCAGAAGACATTAACGCTGTGTCATAGACGATAAAGTTATCTGTCCCCATCAAATTGCTGAGGTTGGAGACGATGACAATAATCCGTACCGAGCATTCATTCTTCCTCTAGCACGCAAGCAGGTCGGTCTGTTATATGCCGTTCTAGGGCTATCTGCCTCCCATCTGGGCAGGCTGGTGGGGGATGAAACGATGCACGAGGCCACCGCCGTGGAGTTCCGATTGAAAGCGATACGCGCACTGAGTGGGGAAATCCGAAAAAGCCAGCGGACGTCTTTGCGAGAAGAGGAACAGGACACGGTGCTCGCTATCATTCAACTTTTGCTACTCCATGATGTAAGCTCCACCAGCAGGAAAACCCGAAACCAGTGTCGCTTCAGGCTCATAAATTGACATATATGCAGATAAGCGAATCTGGGGTGTCTTCGCATGGAATTCATATCACTGGAGCCATGTCCGTGTATAAGCAGTTGATTGCCGACGGATTGAATGGACGTCGTCAGTGCGCAGTCTTCTTTCTCGGGAATCTGGCTTGGTCAGTCACTGCTCCATCTGCGTACATCTAGTTTCGAACCTGCTGACGATCGACCATAGGCTTGACATCGTCCGAGCATTCGCTGGCGCTGAAAGAATGTGCTTTTCCCAAGACGTTCGAGACTTGGTCGCTTATGCAAGCGATGACATGTTTGAACAGGTTAATGGAGTCCCGCGTGAGATCTTTCTGATTATTGGTGATGCGTTGGAGAAGTCAAAGGCGCACATGCTGGGCTGGCTATCATGGGATGAGTATCAACTTGCCTTGCATTTGGCCAAGCAGAAGCTTTATTCCTGGGACCCACATGGCAGAGCCTACCCTACAGCAGATCCCTTATGGCTGGCTATAGCGGAGGCCTTCAAATTCGCATGTGTTTTGCGTATCTTACGCTTAATGGATCCGCATAAATCAGCTCGCGACCCCGAAATACAGGATTGTGTGACAAAGATTCTCGACGCGACAGCGATGATCTCCTCCGATTGCTCAGTTATAGAGCTCGTCGTTTTGCCCCTCTTCATGGCCGGAGCGGACTATCTGTCGCCTCATTCACGGTACTATATTCTGGGCAGATTGCGTGAAATCGAGAGAAGGTCTGAATTCCGTAACCCAGTACCAAACGACTTGTTAAAGAAGGTCTGGGATGCACGCGCGGCTCAAGGTCCCGATGATGATACGAACATTTCTTGGACGACCTTTGTAAGCTACCTCGTTCGATTTCTCAATCCTCCCGAGCTTACCAGCAGATGTAGACACAGGCTCCCGGGCTAGTACGGCCACATGATTATCTTATACTTTGATCAGCTGGGTAAACAGTACAGCTTAGACGGATTGGATCGTTGTTTTATGGCATCCGCAGTCAGTTCACGTCTTTCAGTCGTGTTCGGGCGAACCGGACGGCCGGATTGGATCACTTTTTAGGGATCACTGACTGAAACGATTAGAACGTGCTGGACATGGGATCCGATTGAGAGATGATATCTATCGCGTTTGTGATCACTATAGAGATAGCGTTGTGGATATAGCCTATCTCACTCCGCCTCAGGCTCTTTCAGCTGCTGGTCAGGATCCAAGCTTGTTTCTATCTTGCGTATGACTCGGGCAGGATTACCCGCAACGAAATGAAATGGTGGTACACTCTATAGCCAGATTCAGTGAGTGTTAGCGGGTAGTTTTGTGATTTGGAGTCGTGCGGATCCACGTACCTTCGTCACCACAGACCCAGCTCCTACGGTGCATCCACGCCCTATCGTGACACCAGCAAGGATGATGACACTGCCTCCTATCCATACATCATCTTCAATGTGGACTTCCCTGCCGCATTCAGGACCTTCAAGGCCTTTTCTCACAGCGGGATCCATGGGATGGGTGGCGCCGTAGATCGAGACATTGGGACCGAAAAGCACCCGTTCGCCGATCTTAACGAGGCAGGTGTCAAGCACGAGAAGGTTGAAGTTGAGGAATGTGCCTTTTCCCACTTTGAAGTTCAAGCCGTGATCGACAGAGATCGGAGGGTCCACAAATGGGTCCGTTTCATTGAAAAGCTTCTCGTCTTCCTGGGGATCGGAGAGGGCTGGAGGCAGAGGACGAGTGTCACCAATGATGCTTTGACGGTATGGGTCAGCCTGACGAGTCGCAGTACATCTAGACCCAATGTTTGATGTTTCTTACTCTCTCCATAGTTCCACCCTCCGACGTCGAGACACTTGACCTGCTTGGTTGAACTTGTCGCATGCTGCCTTACATCGCTGGCGGTTGGCTTGAAGATCCGCGTCCCAGGCCCAGTAGAGCTCACCGTTGAGCATCTTCTGCCATTCTTTGGATGTTGTCATTGTGATGGGCTAAGTCAGAAATTCAGATGAAGAATGATGCGGTGGAATGCTCCGACGAGCGGGGATGCCATCTTATATGTTTCCATACGGCGTGACATCTGAGGTGTTTGTGCCAAACTCTAGTAAATCCACCGTGGACGGCGGCACTTGACCCTTCCGTGAAATCATGTTGGCTGTCATCTTTGAAGATGATCGCCTTCCTGGCCAGGACAAGATGGGTGAAACAGCCAGCTTTGGCTGGTACGACCCAGCCAGTTGGGCTACCTTCCCGATAAGGCAGGTCATCACTTGGCAGCGCTTGCGGAGGCCGTCGAGGTTTAGTTAGTCAGTCGTTACTTAGTGTATGTCTGTATGTATGTTGCATGTACATACTGCGAAAGTCTGGAGGATTCGAGGTGCTATTATTGGATGTATTATTGATCCTGCACAGACCAGGAGGGGGTCCCCCAAAGCCAAGCCAAGACTGAAGGTGGGAAAGTTTATTGAAAAGAATGATCGTTCCACTAGGTTGATGACATACAGTAGTCGCGTAGGGTGTACTGGATGAGTTTCTTCCATGCTGTTGATACGCCAGAACACTATGAACCACCTACAGGACTACTCGGGACCGACTCGGAGTAGAATGTACACAAATGGCGCACAGTTAGTAGTGTGTACCTTGGTTTACCGGTATGCAGGTCTGGTTGTAATTGTGTCAGGTTTTGGTAAAGTATTGTTGATTTGCGATCTTGGTATAACTCTCTCCGTACTGGGGGATCAGATCAGCTGAGTGAGAATACTGTCAGGAATTACCGCCTACCATCTTCGGGACCACTCTCACTTGCTGCTCCTGCTCTTTTTTTTCCCCCTGTTGCTGCTGTCTGCTCTTTGTTGGGAAGTGAGATCAACTTGCCTTCAGGCTGTCATACACGCTCATCCTCATACTGGGTTGGTCTTGTTCTCTCTCGTCTAATCTCCTCTCTCTGTTTCGCATCCTGAGGTGTCGCTTCCACTGTGTCCCTCACTCCACGTCTTGTCTCCATTCTTGTCTTTCCCACTCCACCTTTCCAAAAGGAAATCGAAAACCCAGACCCTCTCTCACTCTCCTCCCACGCCGCCCGCCCCCTTCTCTTGTCGTCTTCCCTACCGTTCCCTTTCAACATCAAACCCCCCCCAAAAACCGAAATTCTAAAATAAGATAAAAGATAAATTACCCCGAAATTCCCAAGGTACAGCCAGTGTACAACAAAGGTACGCCGTGTCCCCCATTGCTTGTGGTGCCCCCCCCCTTCTCTTCCCATTCCCCGGTGCCAGCCATTGGAATTGCTCTCCCACACTCCTCAGCCCAACTGTGGCCACGCACTAAAGAAGGACGGGCCACCTTTTCGCCATTCCTCGGAAGCTACCTTGAACCACGCACGTTGTGACGCCCTCCCTCTTGCTGTCTATGGTTCTCCCGTCATGTCATCGAGAGTGCAGCGCTATCTTATTGTCTATCCATCTGTTGTTTAACCTGTTTGATCTTGTGTTTGATACGTCCGAAGCTTTTACCCACCTGGCCCAGACCTTGGTTTCTTCCTTTGCTCAGTGCTTGCTCACCCTCGTGCCAAGCTGACTACTGCCTTTTTTCCGCTCTCAGCCACCAGTTGTTGCTGCCTTAACCCAAATCTCTCGACTCACCACCCACCACTCACTGCTCACTGCGCGCTCGAACACAGACAGTTGCTACTCGGTCGGTCCCGTGACCTGCCACCTCTCCCTCGCAATCTCTCGCCCGGCCTTCCAACCACTGCTGTTCGGGACCCGGCCTCCATCCGCTTGTGAGTCGGCATTTTTAGTTATCCAGCCTTGTCGGTATGTACATCCATCCTGTCTGTCCCTTCCTTTTCTCTTTTTGATATTTTTCCAATTTCATTCGGTTCCTCTTTCCTTCCTTCCCCCTCCCATTATACTCCCCCATTGCCCCTTCAGGTCACACTCAGGGTGGCCGTTGCTTTGCTCGTGTCGCAGAACGAAGCGCGACTCACCTTACGGTCAGCTCCTGCACTTGACGCGTCTGCAATATCACCATCCCCTATTATTGACACACACCATCTTCTCTGCTTCGAGAATGGTCATGATGACTTCGAGCTTCCCACTATCCCTGTCGCAGCTTGCTGGTGGCTTCTCAATCGATGTGTCATTTTTTCTGATAGCTTCCTTCGCCTCGCAGATGGGTTGGCAAAACTACTCGACATGAATGCCTGGCCAGCCGACGCCTTGAATATCCCGAACCATGACAATGGTGCTTTTCACCAGGCGACCATTGATCCTTCGCAGGCATTCCTTCAAGCCTCTCCCACCCCCGACCCTACTCAATATCAGCGCATGTTCAACGGCGTGCCGCGGAATGTCTCGCCTGGCTTCCATAACCCGAACCAGGTGATTCCTTCGAAACGGCCACGGCCTGAAGATGGTATGTCAATGTCGCCAAGGCAAGCTCCTGGCGGTATTGCTGCCTCTCGCTCGCAAACCCCTCATCAGGTGCCTTTCCCTGGCTATCAAGGTGCGGCGAACGGCGCGCCGCAGTTTCCCTCGCATCCTACTCCGTACCAACATCTCCAACAAGGCGCTTCGCCGAATGTCACCCAGTCGCCAATCATGCAAGACTTTGATCAGCATGGTGTTCAACGGATGGGGACTGCTTCCCCGAGCCCATTCACACCCGCGGGTCCTCAAGTAGGCTCGCACATGTCTCCGACACAATCAGATCATCCGAGCAGAGTGAACACCCCGCAAAATAACACGTTTATGCCTGGTCAACCATTTCCACCTGGCATGGGTCCTCAGTATGCTCCCGCACCTGCAATGACAACCGCCGCTGTGCAACCGCCAATGCAGGCTCATTTTGGTGGCATGCCACAGGGCTACCAACAGGCAATTGCTGCGCAGCAGCAGCAGCAACGTCTGCATGCCATGCAGATGCAATCACAAGGTCGTCCAATGGTCATGAATCCCGCCATGGCTGGGCGACCCATGGCAGCTGGGATGAACGCGATGGCGAACCCTCAACAAATGGCAGCTATCAGGCAGATGCAGCAGACCATGGCGAAACCCATGAACCCAGAAGCTTTCATGCGATCCTTGCAGAAGTTCATGCTGTCGCGCAACCTTCCCCTAGATCACAGCCCAATCGTGTGCGGTCGCCCAATAAATCTGGTCCAACTCTACGCTACTGTTATGAAACTGGGCGGTTCGAAGAAGATTTCAGCCACCAACATGTGGCAGGTCATTGCTACGCAGCTTCAGTTTCCTCCGATGCAGGTCCCGATCGCCGCGCAAGAAATCCGAGACCACTACCAGCGGAACCTTGCCCCTTACGAACAAGCCTTCCTCAGTACTCAACAGAAGCAATATGCGGAGCAAATGCAGCAGTCGCCGTTGTCCCGGCAGCCTAGCGATCCCTCGGTCATGCAACTACAGTCCCCAGCGGGAAAGCCAGTCCAAGGCTTCGAAACTCCACAACAGATGGGGCACTCTTCCCCTAGTAATGCCCCTGGTCCCAATAGTGTACAACTCAATGCTGCAAATGGGTTTGCCACGCCTACGCCAGTCAAATCGCAGAACAAACAACCAAATCCGCACCGTCTCAGTATTTCACGTCAATCGCAGCCGCCCTCAACGCCGCACGATTCTAGTAGTCAAATACCCGGACAATCCCCTGCGCCGCGAGGGAAAGGCTCGATATCAGTTCCCGGTAAACCGGAACAACTGGACCAGTCTTCGAATATGCCCGTCAAACAACCCATTGAAGATCCATTCAAGCCAATGGTGCTCCCAGAGAGCAATTTCCATGGGCCTATAGTCGTGGATGAAATGTATCAGATTGGCGAAGATATAACCAAGTTGAAGCCGAATATTCCTAGCTTTGCTGAATTGGGGGTCATTGATATTCACGCCCTTACCATGAGCATCAAGTCTGGGATCCATGCCGAGATGCGCGTGGCCTTGGATACTCTCGCATCCATCTCGTCTGAGCCCGCAATCCAGATTTCGTTGGATAATTGCGATGATTTGGTAGAGAGCTTAATAGAATGCGCAGAAGACCAGGCGGAGTTTCTCGCAGAACATTCTCCCGAAGTCTCGGACTCAATGCTTCTATCCTCATATGAAGAAGTGACTCGTGGATGCCAGTCCGAATGGACATCTTTGGCTGACGTGCCCGAGTTTGGAAGCCTTGATTACGAACTAGATCGAGCTGTGGATAGGCTTATTTGTATCACGACGATTTTGCGGAATTTCTCATTTTCAGATTCGAACTTTGCGATGCTGTCGACGCCGCCTGTCGTACAGTTCATGTCGACCATAATCCGGTATCTGGGTACTCGCAACATGCTCCTGCGGACACATCAAAACACCCTGGATTTCATGAAAGACACGGTGATCTATTTGAGTAACGTTGCTCACACCATTCAATTACCCAGCAAAGAGGAAGCTTTGTGTCTTTTGTATTTCCTCCTGTCTTTCGCGCCGTTCCCGGGGCCGGTCATTGGGCCAGAAGGCACCATGTTCACTTCATACAACCCGTCCGTTCATAAGTACACACCGGCTGCTGTGGACAGTTTGGCGAAGCTTCTGGCACGGGATGAGCCAAATCGGACGTTTTTCAAAGCGATCTTCTCTGGGGATGGTAACTCGGTTCAGCAAGAATTACTGACCCGTGCATTTGGTCTCGCAATCTGTCCAATTCCTGACCAGCCCCGCAAGCCTCTTGCCATTGCGGATCTCCGAAAGGTCTTCCTCATGCAGGGTCTTTTGGCCGCAGACATCCTTTCTGGGTACGCCGATGGCCCCACTGCCAAATTATGGCTCGAATCAGTGGACGGGTTTGCCATTCACCTTCTTCGGCTGTCTTGTCTTTTGAGCACCGAGCGTGTTCCCCCTCCCCCAACCAACGCTCGGCAGAGTCATGCTGCAAGGGGCCAGGCCGACGAAGCTGAAGCCTACCGCTCAATCATCAACCGAGGCTTGGCCATTCTTCGCCGGCTTGCCGAGAAGTCCAAACTAGCCGATACGAATTCGACGGTACATTTTCCTTCCGGAATTGTTCCTCGCAAGGAGAGTCTGCTAGGGGCGTTGCTCATGCCCAACATCGACCCGGGTGTTGTCCGGCAATTGATCACCTACGCCCGGCTTGCGGAGTGATGGGTTAGACATGGAGCCGGGTTTCGCGCCACCTATTCGCGTGCCCTGGCACCGCTTCAGTTATGCCCCTTGTTGATGTCTGCTTCTCTCATGTCTTCTACTCAACTTTTAGTAAACTATATCTGCATCAGCTTTGATCTTTCCTTGTTAACCTCTTCTCCTCCTCTGATCCCGTTTTTCCTCGTTTGGCGCCGGTGGAAAGATTCTTGAAAGGCGTGACAATGTGTGTATCTTGTGTGTGATTTACCGCTGGCTGTACAATGTTCAATACCCTCGGGCGTAAAAAAATGAACACAATCACCACCATGTGATGTCTGACGTGGCAGATTCATCACTCCCTTATAGTACTGTAAAAAGGGTCAACCTCAAGGGCTCGTGGATAAGAAGCAACTCCTAGGGTGTATGTGCCATACATGCATACAAAGAGCGCCGCCCGTGGGAACTGCTATCAATACTAAGACGGAAGGTTGGGCACTACACGCACGGCCCCGACCCCGAGGACCCAATTCGGATTTAAACACAGTACTATACCCGCGTATACAACGCTACCTGCCTATGTATATTATGGAGTGGACGGCAAGAAAATACGATTTCGTCAAGTCCTTCGTCGAAATTGCTAAGTCACAGGCATAAGACTGCACACGTACACGAGGACAACAGAGAGATCACGCCCGAAATGACAAGCTAAGTAGCTCCGTAGTTAAGCGACGGGATACATACAAAAAAAAAGAATAAGAGGCGTGAACAGGCAATGCGAGTAAGAACACCAGGAGAAATACGATGAAGAAGATTGGAGGAAATAGTACAGTGTGAATCGATTAACAAGAAGAAAGGGAAATAGTGGTTTGGAAGATGGGGAGAGAGAGGTCATGAATGACTTTGGTTGACCGGGGATAGAGAGATAGAGGGATAACTGTGATTATGTGCAACTATCGCTTGTAGCTGCTTCCCTTGTGATTGAAGCACATTATTTTGCTTGTGGTGTTATCTCTCCCACCTTTTATCTCTGTGGAGGTATTCGGTTTGGAGGGTTGTTGGCTGATTTCCTTTCTGATTCCGATGGTCCCTTTTGGATCCTTGAAGCTCCGCGGTGAGGGGGGAGATGGGGTGTGAAGGGATACCGTTGTAGACGATACTAATGTCGTCGTCTTGAGTCAGATGTAGAAGATGGAATATTGACAATCGTGGTGGAGGACGGAAGCGACAAGGATCCATGATTCAATTTCGGTTAACAGGTCTAGAAGTTGCGCTCCATCAGGAATTGTTCGATCTCCCGTTTCCGCCAGCCCTGTAGATAGTGGTTGCGTTAGCCGGATCATAACTCGATAAGTACTTATGTGTGCCATACCTTGACAATAATGTGACCGTTCAGACGGTTGATCGTCACCTCAGGACTCTTGGGGGCGTGCGGGTCGCCCGACTCCAGACCCAGATACTGTGCCAGATCCGATCTCAAGGCGTCGAGATCACCTTCCGTCTTCTGCAGCTTGGTTTCGCGCTTGGTACCACCGGCTTTCTTATCGATGTATACAGGGAGGAGGTTGGAGGCGGTGCGGCGGATGAAGTAGGGGAGGTTGGTGAGTTGGAGGTTGGCGGGCGGTTGCGGAGTCGTCGGCGCGCTCTCCTTGAGCGTCTGAGAATGACGGCGGCTCAGTTGGGCGATGAAGGTGCGACATTGCTGTGCGGAGGAGGTGGAGCGGACATTGAGGCGCACAGAAGATCGGAGGGCTGAGGTTCACGGGGTGGGATCAGTATACATGCACTCACTCCCCTTTCTGGTTCTCTTCCTGTGTTGTCGGACAGAAGCAGCAGCTATGCATGCTTACTGTTCCGATGCATGGAACTAGACGGCAAGCGCTGCAAACTTACGGGAGGTGATCAGACTAGCGGAGGAGGAAAGTGTGGAGAAAGAACTACGCGGTCCCGAGGATGCAATGGACTGTGAGGCTTTGTGGATGGAGAAAGGGACAGCGGTGGATTGCTTGCGAATGGCCGAGCAAACCGGCAGAGACTGAAGAAAGGTTGCCATCGGGATATTGCAGGTGAAGAGGGGGATGGGGATGGGTTTAGGGTATGAGGAAATGAATCAGACAAAGAGATTCCACCCAGAAAGGATCAAGGGTCAACCTAAGAGTAAATAAGAGAAGAAAAGCGGGGAGGAAGAGGAGGGAATGAGAACATACGATGCGAAGAAGATGAAGCAAAAGCGATGATTTTCTTGCTTCGGCGCGGAGACCTTCGACTAGGCCCAGACCGGACTAGCGCGTCAACCAGCCCTCCCGCCCACATTTTTCTTTCTTTGAACGCCGCACACACTGACTTGACTGTGTCTGCCTCAGTCTCTCTCGTCCAGACCCGAAGAAGTCTCATTCGAGATCTTCTTGTTGTTCCTCCTCCATTATCTCTTCCCCCCCCCCTCCTTCTCCTCCTCCACCACTTTGCTCCCCTCTCCCCTTTCTCCCTCCCCCCTCCCCACCCTCTCCCAGCTGCTGCTGTTTCTCTTCTTTAATCATGGCAGCCAACGTTCCTCCTTCCGCTGAGACTCTTCTCAGTGGTGCCGCCGCCCACCCCCCCAAGACCGCTGAAGAAATCGCCAACCAATATGACCTTCTCCCCAAGTTGATCCCCTACCTCGACCGTCACTTGGTTTTCCCCCTTCTCGAATTCAGCTCCGGTGGTCAGGATGACGACAGGGAAACGATCCGTGCCAAGTATGAGTTGCTCAAGCACACCAATATGACCGACTACGTCGCCAACCTGTGGAAGGAAATGAACAACTCCGATAGCATCCCCGAGGAATTCATCAAGAAGCGTGAGGAGGTTCTCGCCAAGTTGCAACACTACCAGGATCAAAGCGCCAAGATTACCGAGCTCCTCCAGGATGAGAGCGTCGTCGGCAACCTGCGCAGCGACAAGGTCGCCAACTTGAAGTTCCTCGAAGAGCAGCACGGAGTCACGATCGAGATGGTCAACAGCCTCTACGACTACGGTCGTTTCCAATACAGCTGCGGTAGCTACGGCAATGCCGCCGAGCTCCTCTACCAGTTCCGTGTCCTGTCCACCGACAACGACAAGGTTGCCTCCGCCACCTGGGGTAAGCTCGCCTCGGAGATTTTGACCACCAGCTGGGAGGGTGCCATGGAGGAGGTTCTCAAGGTCAAGGACTCGATCGAGACCCGTCTCTTCAACAACCCCCTGGGACAGCTGCTGAACCGCTCCTGGTTGATCCACTGGTCTCTGTTCCCCTTCTTCAACTACGACCCCGCTCGCGATGTCCTGACCGACCTTTTCTTCTCCCCCGCCTACATCAACACCATCCAGACCAGCTGCCCCTGGATCCTGCGGTACCTCGCCGCCGCCGTTATCACCAACCGCAACCGCGCCCACAAGAACAGCAGCGTCTACCAGAAGCAATTGAAGGATCTGATCCGGGTCGTTCGCCAGGAGGGTTACGAATACTCCGACCCCATCACCGACTTCGTCAAGGCGTTGTATGTTGACTTCGACTTCGAGGAGGCCCAGAAGAAGCTGGGTGAGGCCGAGGATGTGTTGCGGAGCGACTTCTTCCTCGTCTCTGCTGCCGATGCTTTCGTCGAGGCTGCCCGTCACCTCATCTCCGAGAGCTACTGCAAGATTCACCAGCGTATCGACATCAAGTATGTGTGACAGAGCTTCAGCTACGGAATGCAACATGACTAACCCCCGATGTTAGGGACCTCTCCACCCGTTTGGGCCTGAACCAGGATGATGGTGAGAAGTGGATCGTCAACTTGATCCGCGACACTCGGGTCGACGCCAAGATCGACTACAAGGAGGGCACTGTGATCATGAACCACCCCCCTCAGTCGGTGTACCAGCAGGTCATCGAGAAGACCAAGGGTGCATTCTTCCGGACACAAGTTCTGAGGTAAGTTTTTGCGTCGTGGTAGGCAATCAAGCAGCCGGACTAATTCATCATACAGCGCGGCCGTTGCGAAATAAATGACAACCCTTGCATGAGTTTTTATCTGAAACAAGAATTTCGTCCTTTTACCCTTCTCTTAATGGTTTCTTCATGTTAGTAGTATCCCCCGCCAAGAAAGTGCGGACTTCCTGAGGTGATGGGACCAAGCAGAGTGGCATCAGGCTGGCGTTCAGGTGGTCCACTTTTCATCATGTCTTTCTTCTTTTTATATTCTTTTTGCTTATGTCTCTCTCCCCATGATCCTGTCTATTTCCCCCCCTATGTATCTCTTTGTCGACATGCTTCCAGGTGAGCTTTTTTGGGTGTGATGATCCACGCCGTCCTGGAAGGAAAAGCAAGAAAAAGAAAAAGAAGTATTGTCGAAGTTTCCACCCGGACGACTTTTCTTGTTAATGTAAGGATTGGCCATGAGGATGGAATGAGTTTTGAAAAAGTGAACCGAAGGGAAGAAGTGAGCTGGTATAGCTGATCACGCCCTTTCGTTCTGTTTCTTCTCGGTGTGTATCACCGCTGGCAAGCATTGCTTGTTTCCGAGTGATTGACCGATCTATGCTGTTACGAATGATCTATAGAGATGATGGAATCGAACGCGAATCTAGATATCTTTCTCCCGCCTTATTTTTGATATACATACAATGCTCTCCTACATCACATATTGAACTTCCCTCCTCTCCCAATCCACTCAGCCCAACCACCTACACAACCACCAGACAAAGATAAATACAGTATCTACCTCATCATCCCCCACCGCCGCCCCGACACTTCCCCGACTCGCCGCCCCCCCGCACCACTATTATTAACAATCCTCACAGACACAATCTCATTGATAAACGGCTCTCGATCCCCAGCGAACCGGGCATTCGGTGAACCACCGCCCCCTCTTCTGCTGCTGCTGCTGCCACCGCTGGAAGTATCCCCGGTCATGCGGAGGGATTCTTGGCGTTCGTATTCGCGAGACATGGTGGCTAGGTCGTCGATTTGGTCCTGTTTCCGTGTCCGGGGGTAACTGTTTAGATATGGGTTTGTATGGGGTTATGGAGAGGGGATTGTGGATGGAGCTGTGCAATGCACAGCTCATGCTGACGGGGCTGGCATAGAGAGAAGGAGGAAAGAAGACATACCCTTGTCAACGGTACGCCGGTTACGAGGTAGCCGTCTCGGCCCTATGTTGTTAGTACTGTAGTTATCACGGGGGAGTGCCCAAGCTCCTGGTTAGCCAGTAGGTACTGACCCCATTGACTATGACAAGGGTAGGAAGGGGTCTCATCGCGCACCGCACAACGATTCCACAGGAGTGACAGCTGTACATACTTGATAAGAGTACGGACGAGCCGTAGCCGACGGACCAAGGAAGTATTGTATATGGCTGAGGACGATATACCGTGAGAGCCCGTAGCCGGGGAGCCAGTATTGTTGGATCTCATTTGGGAGCATTGTTTGTCTGCCAGCCGGGGTCTGTTTCTTGGGATTGGAGGTCGGGGTGTATGTACAGTACACTGGGAGGAGTACGACTTCGTTGTCGTATACTTATAGACGTTTCTCTCTGTTGGTGGATTGTGGCTTCTGCATGTAGGTCGGCGTAGCTGGTTCATAGTCATGCGTGCGTACCGCTGGCGTGCATGTCGGTTGTCTCTGTGCTTCGTTGTGCTTCACTTTGTCTTGTGGTTTACTTGCATATTAATCCAGGTTCTATTGCATAGGGGTTCTTATAGTGACTAGGAAAGATAGTAAGTAGCAATCCACAGGATGAAAACACTACAGATCCATTCCCGCTTGCCATACTGTAGTGTAGTGTACTGCTTCCAAGTGCGAACCCTGTATACAGAAATATAGAGTATACAAGTGGAAGCAGAGCGTGGAAAAGAACCACCCCCAAAGAAAAAGGCAACCATGCAGTGCGTTCTGCTCACGTCCGATTCCGGAGTGCAAAAACACCACCCGCCTCACTTCTTTTCCATCCAACCAACCCTACACCGCGGAAAGTGAGGCTTGTTTAGTGACAAGCAGAACGAGTTATGCTTTTCGACAAATCAGAAGAGGTCTCGCCGGTAGATGAGGCTTGACTTTTGGTTGTTGCTGCTGCGGTGAAGTATGCGGGATTGATGTGTGCGGCTGGAGATTATGCATGCATTTTATATGTGTGTGCTTGGGGGCTTGATGCCGTGGCTCCAAGGATTTATCCTGCTTCTAGCAGTCGTGGTATGAGGTTACTTGATTGGTAGGGACCGTGACATGGACAAGGCCTGGATTTTGTTTCTTATGCGCTGCGGAATTGTCTAGGTTATACTATAGGTTTGGTATGGGCATCTGACTTGCATGCTTGTACTGTACAGTACTATGGTCGAAAGGTTATAGTGAGCAGCCATCCCCATTATTCTTCTCCTCCTGCATCGCCTGTTGCTTCACTTTGATTGCCCTGCAAATGTTGCTTCGCGGATATACGCTGTGGGTCTATCTCTTGATCTGGTCATTGAAACTAATTGAGCCACGGTCCAGGTTCCTCTCCCCGGTGAACCAGAGACTGGACCAGCTGGAATAGGCTGTTAGTTCTGGTAAGTGCAAGTTTTCTGTGAGTTGAAGATTGACAGAGGTTGGTGGTATGATGGTTGTTAGCAAAAGCCGCTCCATACTGCACTCAGACAATCCCCACGACAAAGGCTAAGGGCCCAAGATTGGAGCCAAAGACTCATAGACAGGACAATATAGCTTCCAGACGCCAAGCTATGAACCAAATCTGGGAGGCTTTGAAGAACATCAAGATACACGGGGTTGTGTAGCCCACCCAATCTGAACAGCAATTTGCCGTAACAACAACTTAGCCGGAGAAGAAGAGTAAAGACGAAGCTAGGTATAAGCGAGAACTTGGCACCAACATTCAAGTCAACAAGTCGACGTGGAAGACGACAATCTAGAGAATAATACCAAGCCTGGCCTCCCAGCTACCAAGCTCGAGGAAAAGAAATCCGAATCACCAAAACGCTTCTTGCATTACTGTCTATGATCTTTTCGTGACTCATCCCAGACAAAAGGCGCACTCGCAGCAAAATATCATGCGGAAATTATCTCCCATCCTTTAGTTTCCCTCCGGGGGAACATATGGGTTCACAAGCATGTCGCTAAACCTGTTTCATTCGTTAGCATCGCATGCGAAATGCCTCTCTCCTCCTCGGACTGCCGGGCTGTGACATACTTCTCAAGCTTCTCCTTCCCTCTTACTTCTTCGACCAGCAACGGCATCCGAACCACGTTGAAGTCCTCGTACAGTTCTTCGATCTGCTCGAGGTACTTCTTCTGCATCTTCCTGCGTGCGTTGCACTGCTCGCACGCGCTGCTCTGCTTCGGGAACAAGAGTTGGTTGACGACGATGGCATGGGTGTCGATGTTGTAGCTGGTCAGCTCCTGGATCATGCGCTCGGTCTCGTACAGGGAAAGGAATTCGGCGATGCAGACACAGACGAAGGTGGTAAGGTCGGCATCCTTGAACTGGGAGTTCACTTCGCTGATCGTCTCCCGGAGGGACTCCATCTTCTGCAACAGCTCATCGATATTTTGGCCGCCAGGTAGACCTCCGCGGGAACCCAGAATGGAGTTGAGCATGGGGCCGAATTGGGAGGACAGCTGCGACAGTTTCGCAAGAGCCTTCTCGAGGACGGTAGGGAATTGGAGAAAGCGGAGGGTGTGACCGGTGGGCGCGGTGTCGAAAACGATAACCTCGTAGGACAGGGACTTGACTTGCTTCAGAACCTCAGCGAAGGACATGGCTTCGTCCACACCGGGAATCTAGTCTCGTTAGCCATATGAATGACGATACATGCGCGCAGAGATCATAGAGCGTACGCTGAAAGCCAGATCCTGCATCATTCCACCAACGCCCATCCCAGACATGGGATCATCGCCCTGACCCTCACCACTAGCCAAGAGGTCTTGGATACTGCCATTGGGGTCGATCTCCATGGCACTCAGGTTGGTGTAGCCATCGACCAGCCGAGCCTCCTTTCCAAACTTCTGTCCAAAGGCATCGCTCAGGTTGTGTGCGGGGTCGGTGGAGATCAGCAGGACGGATTTGCGGACTTTGGCCAGCTGGATGGCGAGCGAGCAGGATGTCGTGGTCTTGCCAACACCTCCCTTACCACCGACGAAGATCCAGCGCAAGGTTTTCTGGTTGACGACCGACTGGAGCGTGGGCTCCATGAGGTCGTCGCTATGCACGACAGCGGAAGACATGATAAAGTTCGGTGGGGTGAATCGGGAATTTGGGTGGTTATGTATTTGGTCTAAGAAAGCGAGAGTGAGAAAAAAAGGAGTAAGCTTTAGCGCTGCGTCAAGTCGCAATGTTGACTTGGAGCTTGAACTTACCACGTACGGTTTCCCCGCAGAGTCCTCAAACCTTCGGATAAGGGCGGTCGACGGTGTGGGATTCGAGAAGTTTCGCAAGAGAAGGTGCGTCACCCACGCTAGAAGCTAATTAACCGTAAGCTGGTTAGACGATGCTGACAAGATCAGGTACGATACAATAATATGTCGTACAGCGCAAGTGACAGCAAGCGGCTCTCGCTCTCGTTCTCTCGCTTTCCCTCTCTAGTGGTTGCTAAAGCGGCACGTGCTAGAGCCATCGGCTGCCTCAGGCGCCACCGCAACCCCGCGGATTGACTGATACACTCTGACTGTACTGTACGCAGGCCTATCGCTTCAACTCACCCTTCGCCTTCGTGCAGCATGCAGTCCGACCTATGTGCCGCAGAAGAACGCCCCTGAATGTAGTATCAGAGTTCAAGGCCGGGCCTTTTAACGGCGAGGAGCTAATCGGTCTCGTCCAAGTCTCCTTCAAGCATGATGCAGCGTAGGCAATTATGGTAGATTCCATATAATAGCCTTTATGGCAAGAAATACCGTTGACAGTCATGAAGTTATCACAGATTATCCACATACAGCACGTTTATGAAGGTAGGGTTCTATTGGTGACAGAGCCACCGCAGGGGTCCAAGGGCTAGTACTCATGACTAGGGATATCTGCATCTATCCCTTTCTTCTGAGCTTACCCCAGAATCAGCTAGTGACGATCCAAGGCCACATGCAGCGTCTCAGCCATGTTGCGAAGTCGCTTCTATCGAATTCTCGGGGGCATATTCCTCATCGCCCGAATCAATAGCATTGGCATGTGTAAACCACTTGAAAACGCATATCGGGGTCTCCGCATACTCATAGTATTGAAGATCAACATACACATATCTGCAAATTCGCATGCTGCCTCATTGCGTTGAATATATGTCACTGCTTGAACTTTAAACTCGACGAGTCTGCAGATCCTACAAGCGATCTATATTTCGCCTCAGCTGATAGCACCTACTATAGTGATTGCAAATCAAAAGCGCACTTTGTTGGATGATGTGCTAGTCGTGACACTTTCCTATAGGCGGATTACAAGATCCGGTGCTAAAGCCGTTTTTGATCACTCCACCAAGCGACTACACTACTGGCTGCATCGTTGAATATCATCAAAGTTGGATCCACGTGTTTGCCTCCCCAGCACACCTTGAATGGACTTGCACCGAGCTACCCACAATCAGGTCAGTTGGGGTCAATAAGACCATCCGATCAAGACACGGAGTGCCCATTGTCATCTACGAGTAGAAAGACCACCGGAGATCTGTCATGCATCATCCATAGCTGTCTAGTGTCTTTTGCAGGGGCGCACAGTTGCGTGCCTGTGCTCCGTTTTGGGCGCTAGGGGAATAAGCCTCCCGCACCTGGGGACCCGGCTCAGGGTTGAGAAGGGAAGGGAAGGTGTCTGGTGGGAAGTCTATGTGAACATAACACATAACAAGAAAATGTTGGGCAAAGAACAAGACGCGATCGTCTATCGCTATCGACTATCGCCTATCGATAGGTGTGTTCTGGCCGGGCTTGGGGGCTCCATGTGGAGAGAGACAATGAACTCCAAACTTACTCACTCCTCTCTCGAATGCTTCAAGGCCTCACACCCATCTGGCCAAGTCCGATCATCCAGAAATGGAGTGGCAATCCAATCGAGGCTCCCACCGAACCTGTTTCGATGCCAATGTATTACCGCAACAATGCATCACGTGATGGTTATCCACGGGAGGAGTGATCCGGAGCATTGCGTCATCGAGAGCGATCCAATCATCGAGGAGATGTGTCACCCAACGTTCCGAGAGATTCCCCCTGAAACCAGCAGAACAGGTTGGAATTGGAGCCGGAGATGGGAGGGGAGGGGGGGAGACATCGGGAGAGAATACTTGCTTGAACCAATCCGGAGCCTTGGGAAGAGGGCCGTCAGTGAGCCATTCATGGCGATTCATGTCACCCTCGACTACAGTCTCGACCACTGAGTCGCTGCAGATCCTGACCGCCCCGCAGCCGGACAAACATGGCGTCCGAACCATGATTCGTTCAGATTCGTCCAGACGGGCGGGGGCTCAGAAACGGGCCCGTGAGTGGCTGGACTAAGTGGGGGCTTTCTTAGTTCGACATCCCAGGAAAATTCCTGTCGTCGTCACCGTGATCTCATCCATTACTGCTCTGCCAAATCAACCCCCTTCTTTCAGACTGGCACAGTTCAAAGTCACTCTCACTCAGTCCAGTTGGTGGTTGTTGCACCAAAGTGTATTGTAGTACATACTATACTAGTCCCCTGTAGATAGTTGTTGCACTCATTGTTCCCCAGCCTACTTGCTTCTTTCTTCGGTTTCCCCCTGGATAGCAAAGCAACATTCTCGATCCTGATCCGAGGCCGAACTAGAAGAAGCGAGAGAAAGGAAGGAAAAAAAAATTAAGACCTTGTCCTCGGTTGTTAGACTTGCCAGTCTATTCCGCCGTCATCTCAACAATCGCGTCCACTCGGATTCCGCTCATCACATTGGTTGAAATGTATTCCCGAGAGTCCACCATCTCCAAGACCCAAGTTCTTCTGTCCAAGTAAGGGCCAGCCAGCATTCGCCTGCATAATCATCCAGTCAATCCATAGGGTTAGTCCTGGTTTTTCACACCCCCCTCTCTTTTCCTGGTCTGGTCAATTATCCATTTTTCTTTTCGTGCTTTTTTTTCGGTTGGTTCTTTTTTTTCTATGGGTCTCCTTTTCTTCCCGTTGGCTATCAATAATCTATTCCGAAGAATTCGAGGAATCTGCCCTGAGACAGATACAGTAACAAAAAAAAGAGGGAAGGCGAAAAAAGAGAGATGGCTTCCAGAAAGAACGGGATAGGCAGATATAGATCCAACAACCTGCAAGAAATGATACCACAAAATGAAAGTATCCAGATAGAAAACAAAAAGAGAGGTCCAAAAAAAAAGAACCATCTATTCCTTCATCGTTTTTTCAAGGGCTGCACTCTGGCTGGTACCCGTGGGCTTTTTGTACTTCAGGGTTGCATGGTTCCGGCGTGACATAATAAGAGGTCGAGTTCATTTAGGCTTAGGCTTAGCTCACGACATTCGACCGCCTCCCCTCCCCCCCCCCCTCTCTCTCTCTCCCCTAAAACTAAAACTCCTCCGGGTCTGCCTGCCTACGTCACAACTTTTCTTCCTTTCCTTCCACATCTACTACCACTACTACTGACCACTACGTCTATCTATCCCATCTTACTTGACGCAGTCCAGTGACCCTCTCCGGGTAGAAACTACTGCTGTACATCTCAAATCTATTCCCGCGACTGAACACCGGACAACAACAAGTCGATTGACCAGAGAGTCGGCGTCGGGCCTTGCTTTCTCTTCTTTCTACCTGTATCTGTTATCCTTGTTCCACTTGTCGCCGTCTGTTCTGGTCCTTGCCACTTCATCCACTCGCTCTTTGCCCTTATTTTTCTTTTATTTTTCTCTTGCCCGTTCCCTCCCACCCACTCCGTCCACCCACACCACCCCCGAAAGTCACCTGCCAACTCCTACGCTTTCTAATATACCGGCCACCACCTCCCACAGATATTATGTCTGCGGTTGTCGCTACGACTATCTCGACCAGCCTGCCGAATAATCCGTCGCATCGTAATTCATCACCAATGGACGCGAAAAAAGCTGGTCTGGAGAGCGAAGGTGAGTGTGTCATGATACGGGTTTTTTTGGAACCCTTCGTCTGCGCGTGATTTCGCGGTACCTTTGGCCATATGCAAAATCGCTATTGTATCTTGCATTCTCCCCCTATGTTCTGCTATTAAGCCTTGGCCTGTTTGGGCTTGGTTGTACGCCACTGTTCCTCAAATGTTTTGTTCAACGCCCTCGCCGTCGGGATGACCTCACAATTGGCGTCATCGATGGCTATCGTTATCAGATCCCCTTCTCAGATCCCAACCCGCCCATGCGATGCGAAGACAACATCGTCGCTCCTATCCAAGTCCATCATCATCGCACCCGTGACGCATCTATCATCGTCGTCGCGCTTGGAACCTCATCTTCTTCTTCTGCTGCATTACTAACGCGATCCTCTTCTGAGTGACAGACTCTCGGGCGCCGTCTTCAGATGTCAAGGACTCCAAGCCTGATGTAGAACCTCAAACCTCGTTGGCGCCTCCTCCGCGACCAGCCATAACAAGTGCTACTGATACTCCCGACTACTTCAACTCTGTTCACAATCCCTTCTCTCTGGAGCCCAACCCTTTCGAGCAGTCTTTCAGTGGTGGTGGTTCCGGTGAAACGCCAGGCAAATCCATACTTCCCCCTGTTGCAGCCCTCACCTCACCGGCCCTGCCAGGCACTACCTCAGCGGGCGGTGGTTACGGTTGGTCCAACTCGTTGCGCTCTGGGCCTCTGAGCCCAGCCATGCTCGCCGGCCCGACTGGCCCCAATGATTACTTTGATAGTATCGGTCGGGGCTTCCCTACTCCCAACGAATCCTCTCTGCGTACTGGCCTGACTCCTGGTGGAGGAGGCTCGATGTTCCCTGCCCCTAGTCCAAACTCTCAGGCACTCCTTCAGCAGCTGCAAAGCGGCGGTGCGACGCCATCTACCATTGAGTTCCACCGTACTGCCCTCAATGCGGCGAAGAAGAACAGCCTCAATGGTCCCACGTCAAACCCAGCCGCTGAATCCGACCCATCATCTCAGACCTCGACTATGGAACTCAAACCAACCCAGCCCGCGGGAGCCGATCCGTTTGGTCACCACGACGCTGCGGATGCAGCTAACGGATTGTTCATGCTAGCCAAGGGTGGTCAGGCAAACCCCAACCAGTTCTCTGTAGCCAACCAGACATCGATCCAGCCACAGAACATTCAGACCAATGAACAAGCACTTGATGCTGGTGCTGATAGACGGAACTCGCAGAACATCAACGGCTTGGGCCACGGCGGCCGGTCGTCAAGCGATGCTTCTGATATGCAAGGCGAACAAACGAAGCCTGCTGGCAAGGGTAAAGGCAAGAAGGCCACTGCTGCGAAGACTGGGGCCACCACCAACAACAGGCGCAAGGCTGAAGATACACCCAAGGTACCCAACAAGAAGGCCAAAACGAGTAACGGCGGTAGTACCGAACCCCCGTCGGACATTGGGGACTCGGATGAAGACGATGATGATATGAAGAAGAAGGGTACGACGGACACGAAGAAGATGACTGATGAGGAAAAGAGAAAGAACTTCCTGGAAAGGAACAGGTAAGCTAGAACCATTGCTGCGCATTGTTGTGAAAGGGCCACGCTAACAAGTATCACTAGGGTCGCGGCTCTCAAGTGTCGTCAACGCAAGAAGCAGTGGCTCGCTAACCTTCAGGCTAAGGTCGAACTCTTCACCTCCGAGAACGATGCACTCACTGCCACTGTTACCCAGTTGCGGGAAGAGATCGTCAACCTCAAGACTTTACTGCTTGCACATAAGGATTGCCCAGTCTCGCAAGCGCAGGGTCTCGGCCCTCTAATGATGAACGGAATGGCAACCGGATTTGATGCTCATCCATATAATATCCCAAGCCAAATGGGCATGCAAGGGCCGCCGATTCCTGCCCAGGGGCTCCGACGATAATGAGCCGTGTACACGATTGATTTAATTCTATGATTAGCTCTTGGACCGCACTAAACATTGCAGAGTGCAGATGCCATATTGGTGCCAGTCCAGCACGGCTTCTTTTTACGCTCTGTATTGTTGGCTATTTGTGTCCCATGCTTTTCTTTATTCTTATATTTTTTTTATTTGTTTCTGCCTTTGATTTCAAAAAGGGTTTTCTTCGGTGCACTGGGGGCTTTTTCATGGGTTACGTTAGGATTGTTAGGGATTGCTGCCTTTTTTAGCGTGTCTTATTAGGGAACAATGACATGGATGCTACTTCAATCGAGACTTTTTACTTCTTCAGGACCACCACCCCTTGGTTTTGAACTAATTCGAAGCTTGCTTCTCTCTTTGCCATCGACTTTTCGCTTCCAAGGTCAATCTGCCAAGATTCGTAGCCTTATGATGTCTCTTAGCCGGTATCCTGGGCTGATTGCCACGTTAGCCTTGGCCAGAATGGCTGCAGTTGACCTGTCAGGGATATGAGATTTGAATAAGAATAGACAACTTCATAACCTCTTAGAAAGCAATACCTGCCAGTGCTCTAATCGATGTATACACAGGCAGTGAAGGCTGGCTTGGCGGGACGCGGCAAACCACTCAAACCGGACAAACAATAACACTCGTCGGGTCCAGCCCTTCTACGCGGCTCGGGCGGTCCTGGACATCGATGCGCTTTCTTGCACGTCGCGAACTCTCCTGGAACTTATGCGATAATTTTACAAAGCGGTCGCCTACACTGGTGTAGGTAGCCATGCGTTGCTCTACAAAGGGCCTGTGAAGCGAAACCGTGAAACCTCATCGTTCGACCGCCTCGCCGCGTCCGTCCTCAGGCCGATACGCCCCCCATTTTCGATCTAGTGCTCCGACGAACCATTCGTGACGTTTGACTATACCCGTTGACCTACCCAGACCATAGATAGCTATCACGCAGACTCGGAGAACACCGCGGACAATGTCCGCTCGTCAGCCGGCGCGGCCACGGCGCATCGATGACGCCCTCTCCCAGCTCGTCGACTCCCTCACTCCCCCACTGTCGCATACGGACCTTGGCGGCGAATACGAAGGGGATGCGGAGGAGGCCCTGACGGCAGCGGAGGAACGGCGTCACCAAAAGCTGCTCGAACGCTCGTGGCTCATTCTGAACTCCCACATCAACACCGCGAGCGACCTGGCATCACCGTCCGGTCCCTCAGCGTACGGCGTCAATCGCCGCGGGAGCTTGGCCGGTGGGGAGAACATTAACAACGCGGTGGACCTCATCAAGCGGAAACTTCTGCGCGAAAACGCCAGCCCTGAACAAGCGGTCCGGTTCTCCAACCTCTACTCGCGGCTCCTGACGCAGCCGGTCCTGTCCCAGAAATGGGCGATCCTCTACCTCCTCTACCGACTCTCGAGCACGGATGACTACGAAGAGCATGTAATGGAGGAGGCGGGAAGCAGGAGCCCTCCGGCCGAACCGGCCAATTTGCAGAATATGCTGTTCAAGGGCCCGAGGATAAAATCTGGCTGGGGACCTAGGGTGTCGGAAAGCTCGGACGATGATGGGCCTGCGATCAGCTCCTCGGCGTCGCAGATACCCGCGCGAATGGAGCGGCAGGCCTCGCTGAGACGGCAGCAGGAGGTGGGCTTGGAGAGGGAGCCGGAGCATGAGCCTGAGACCTTCGCACCGACGGTGCGAGCCCGTGAGGCCCGCGCTACGCGAAGTCGTGCCAATACCGGAGTGCGAGATCCGCCGCTCGAGGAGCCAAGAGGCGAGGAGTTGGAGGCGGACTCGGAGAAGGAACAGCGACCGAGTGGACCTCTTGAACAGGGGCTCCTTCGCGACCTTCCCTTCAATTTACAGGGATTATCTTCGTCGAATATGCATTTCGCATCGTCGACAACCCTGAAATTGCCCCCTTCTCTGCCGGTGCCCATGATCTCTTTGCTGAACTCTCTCGCTGAGCCATGCTTGCTTTATCGTGGGCTATCGGCTTTCGTAGAGAGTTCGGCGAGTGGGCTTCTCAGTCAGAGCCTTCAGGCAGCTCTCTCCAATGAGCTTCGCTCCTATCTTGGACTCGTCGCTACTCTGGAAGGGGAGATTCGACGGGCATTGGCTTCACCACCGGACCCTAACGATCCTCGGAGCGCAACCAAGAGCGGTGTCACGCTAAAACGGTGTGTTGTCTGGACAAGGGACGCGACGATGGCGCTACGATTAATGAGTTTGATTGTCGAGGAGGCGCAGAGTGAGTACTAGAGGAACTCTCGCTCCAGAAGAGTGTTATTCTAATTCTATCTGTTCTAGATAAGAAAGGCGGCCAACTGATTTCGCTGATCCATGGCTTCTCGACCTCCCATGGTGACCCTTTCGTATGTGCCTTCGCGGAAAAACTTCTCGTCCATGTGACTCGACCTTTCTACAACATGCTACGACTTTGGATCTACGACGGTGAGCTGTCGGATCCGTATAAAGAATTCTTCGTTGTTGAGCCGGAATTCAGACCCAACACAGATCCGCGCCGCATTGCTACCAGTGTCTGGGAGGATAAGTACAAGTTGGACGATGAGATGGTACCGTCAATCATAACCCAGGACTTTGCGAAAAAGATCTTCTTGATCGGCAAATCTCTGAACTTCATCCGCTACGGCTGCGGAGACTCTGGCTGGGTCGAGGCATACTCGAAAGAAGCCTCCAAAGAACTGCACTATGGCGATACGGCTGGCCTTGAGACATCGATCGATGAGGCCTACAAGACGACCATGGCGCGGTTGATTCACCTCATGGACGACAAGTTCAAGCTCTTTGACCACCTTCGAGCGCTGAAGAATTACATGTTGCTGGGCCAGGGTGATTTCATTGCGCTCTTGATGGAATCGCTGGCGTCCAATCTGGATCGTCCAGCAAACTCACAATACAGACACACTTTGACTGCGCAGCTAGAACACGCGATTCGTGCCTCCAATGCGCAGTACGACTCCCCAGATGTGCTCCGCCGGCTGGATGCTCGTATGCTAGAGCTTAGCCATGGCGATTCGGGCTGGGACTGCTTCACCCTCGAGTACAAGATTGATGCGCCAGTAGATGTGGTCATCACGCAATGGGGCTCGACGCAGTACCTGAAAGTGTTCAACTTCCTCTGGCGCATCAAGCGTGTCGAATTTGCCCTCGGAAGCACCTGGCGTCGATGCATGACAGGCGCTCGGGGCGTGCTCGGTAGCGTCGACGACAAAGTTGGCTCAGACTGGAAGAGAGCACGATGTGTGATCGCCGAGATGATCCATTTCGTCTGCCAACTCCAATACTACATCCTCTTCGAAGTCATCGAATTCAGCTGGAAACGACTACAAACAGCTATCTCCAAGCCCGGTTGTACACTGGACGACCTGATTGAAGCGCACACCCAGTACCTCAACTCCATCACGCACAAGGGTCTCTTGGGCTCATCTTCCACCTCCAAGAGCTCATCCTCATCCACCACTTCAGCCAGTAGCAAAGTGCAGGAACAAGACTTCCTCAGCCAACTCCACCACATCCTCAAGATCATGCTTGCCTACAAAGACGCCGTGGACGGCCTCTACTCCTTCTCTGTCGCCGAGTTCACCCGCCGGCAAGAGCTCAGCGCGAAGATCGAGACACGCACCGCCCAGGGCCGCTGGGGCCTCACGGAGCGCGACATCCTTCCATCCTCCGCCCGACGCACGCGGGGTCACAAGGACTCCATTTCCTCAACCATGTCCCCGTCCCTAGCGGCATACACACCGACCCTAGGCGGCGACGGCATCGACACCCCGTCCTCGCTCGCCGGCCACAACGACCTCACCGCAGATGACCAGATGCTCGCATCCCTGCAAACCCGCCTCCGCGACCTCTCCGCCGAGTTCCGGTCGCGCCTGAACGTCCTCCTCGGCGACCTCGCCTACCAGCCGGACGTGGACATGCGCTTCCTCGGCGTCGTCATGAACTTCAACGACGTCTACGAACCAGTCCGCAAGCGACGCACCGCCGCAGGAGCCAGCTCGCGCGACAAGGAGCGAGCAAGACGGAGGGCAGCGGCGGTCGCCGCCGCCAACGCCGCCGCCGCGGCGACGACAGAAGGAAGCAGCACGGCATCGGCGTCCAAGGACCAACAACCACCACCTTCCAAACGGGAGAAACGTGACCCAAATACGAGTGGCAATGGAACTGAAAGCGGTAGCGCGCATTGGTCTTAGAGCAACGTCTTTTCTTTCCTTTTTTTTATGAATCACTCTTTATACGTATGGGTTGAATGGGATGGATCTGTCTTGGTGGTATTACTGGGATGAGCGGAGTCAATTTTTTTGCTTTTCTATTCTCTGGTAACCCTGAGCCCTGAGCTTTGGGAATTGTGACTGTATGGATGGCTGACTTCATTGGGAGTTCCTTTTTTTTTTATTTTTATCTCCTTCTGTGTCTCCAGTGGATTGGGCAGATGGAAGTGACAGCAATCAGAGAGGATGTACATGTACATACCAACGCACAGTCGGTGTAAGCTAGTTTAATGATGATGATGACGATTAGTGTGAGTATGATGACGATGAAGAATTACCTGATATACCTATCTATCTACCAAACCTGATATACCGAATGAGAGGGAAGAGAGCCTGTAGACTTCAGATCGCTATACCCAACAACACGCACTCAGTACACCTCTGAACTAAGTAAGTAGCGTACGAGACAGCATTACTGGACAACACTACTCCCAAGTGCCTCCCCTCCCCTCGCACCCAACACAATGCCAAAAATCCTCCTGCCAACAACTACAGTACCTATAGTTCGGACAGCCCACACCGCCCACCCACACCGCGACCGCCGTCTCTCTCACACCGGCAGAAAAAAAAAATCCCAAACCCAGCTAACTCACGTGAAAAATCCCTCCCCGGTTTGTAGTCTCCGTCGGAGTTTCAACAACAACACTAAGTGCAATTGCTCCTTCGACTTTCTTGTCTGGATTTCTTGTGTCGCGGATAACTTCGGTTTATTCTGGGTGCTACGCGACATATATCCTGTGGGATCTGCTTGTCGAGATTCTTTGATTTGGTTGGAAGGAATTTGTGCGTGTGTTGGCTGCGGAGTTGACTGTCGCGGACTACGAGCGATTTCTGATCTGGGTGGATCTGTTTTGGGCGGTATGGCTGCTTCTGTTACTGAGGAGGTGGGGGTGTTGAAGGAGAAGAAAGTGAAGAAGGAGAAGAAGGAGAAGAAGGAGAAGGGCGAGAAAGAGGATAAGGAAGAGAAGAAGGAGAAGAAGAAGGAGAAGCGAGACAAGGAAGAGAAGAAGGAGAAGAAGAAGGAAAAGAAAGCGAAGAAGAGCGACGAGACGGACGAGCGCGACACCACCGTGACCGATACGGACGAGAAGACGCCGTCGAAGACCAAGTCGAAGAAGAGACGCTTGGAGGAGGATGAAGACGACCACGAGACCAAGATCGACGCCGAGAAGGAGGAAAAGCAGAGAAAAAAGAAGAAGAGAGTTTCGTTCTCGGCGGATGTGAAGTTGCAGGACGGCGATGGGGACGAGGTCTCCGAGGCAGATGAGATGGAGGCCGAGGTGGAGGGTCAACAGCCGCTTTCGGAGCAGAACGAAGCTGCAGTTGAAGCTGCGGAGGAGATGGACTATGAAGGGGACGGTGAGGACAAGACCATGAAGAAAAAGAAGAAGGAAAAGAAGAAGAAGAACAAGGACAATTCATCGGCTTCCACAACCGACGGCACCACACTCAAGATCCACGAGACGCCCATCCTCTCCTACCTCAGTCTTTACCACAATCATCGCGCCGCTTGGAAGTTCCAGAAGAATCGCGAGACGCATCTGTTCAAGCATGTTTTGTCACTGGAGCATGTCCCCGCGCAGTACAATGCTGCGCTGTTGGCGTATCTGCAGGGGTTGAAGAGCGAAGGTGCGAAACTGCGGTTGAAGGAGATCGCGGAGGAGGTCGTCAAGGCGGATGTGGAGGTGGAGGAGAAGGAGGAGGAGGAGACGAAGAAAAAACAGGCCGAGGAGGCCAAGACGGATGAAGCAGAGGAGAATGATTCCACCCCCGAGCCCAGTTACAAGAAGGCTGTTGCCTCGTTCCGGACGCGTCTGTCTGAGGGCAAAGAGAATCTTGATGGTCAGGCAGACACCGAGGGGCTTGACGCTGCGCAGCTCCAGAGGCTCCAGAAGAGACAACGCGCCGAGCTTGTCCTCTGGGCCGTCACTGGTAGTCTGTTCAATCTCGAGAAGCCCAAGGCTCCCCCACGGATGGCGAAGAAGAACCAAACGCCAGGCAAGAAGAAGAAGAAGAACCGAACCGCTATCATCGAGATTTCCAGCAGCAGCGAGAGCGAGAGCGCCAGTGACAGCGACAGCGACAGCGATGCTGGAAAGAAGACCAAGCGTCCAGCCAAGAAAGACTCATCTGATGAGAGCAGCAGCAGCAGCAGCAGCATTGATAGTGACAGTGACAGCGACTAGTCGCTATATGCTACACGCCATCACTCGCACTGAGGTGTACAGACTGGTCTCTGTACTTCGCTGCTCCTCGAACAAAATGAAGATTGACCCCTGCCCTCTCGCCTGGAAATAAAAGTTCTTGATACCTGGTTTACGCATACTAAAGCGGTCTTCTGTCGGATCTACGAATGTCCTTTTTATCTTTCACTATGCATTGTTAGACATATAGACCTTCTGTATATAGCCAAAAGCCACCGATTGATACGAATCAGAGCAACGATCTGAAATCAAGTCAATAGTCAAAATGAGCACGTAACTTGGAATTGAAGTAGTGTTATCATGGAGGTGGCTGCTGGAAGTGGCAGAGTGGGAAGGCGGTGACTGGAGCTTACTCAACGGAGCCCCGAAGCTTAGAGCTTCGGCCAGGCACCCTCTGGCACGCGTCCTCTGCCTCCATCCTCATCCTCCGTCCCCCCAATCTTTCCCTTTACATATCTTAATATCTCTTTGCTTCCATCCTTCTTACCCGGCAGTCTTTGATTGTTTAGTCTGCGATATACACATACCACCGCAGCCATGTCTGGTAGGAACAGGCTCCTTCCGACTGAACTGGCATGAATGACTTCATCGACTAACCGACAGTTATTGTGAACAGGAAGCGCCTACGATAGACACATCACCATCTTCTCCGACCAGGGTCGTCTGTACCAAGTTGGTAGGTCCCTTGTCCGAGAAAGGACGTTCCTCCCCGCCTCCCGATGGCACTCAAACGGATGCCCGAACATTTGACTTACCATCGTCCTCTGCCGGCGCTTAGAATATGCCTTCAAGGCCATCACCTCCGCAAACATCACCTCATTAGGTGTTCGGGGAAAGAACTGCGCCGTGGTTCTGTCTCAGAAGAAGGTCGCTGTAAGTCGCCCCTGGCGGACCAACGACGTACCGCGCATGGTCTGACAGACAGCTTAGGACAAATTGATCGACCCCACCTCCGTTTCGCATATCTTCAAGCTCTCTCCCTCCGTCGGATGTGTCATGACTGGTTCTATCGCCGATGCCAGAGCGAGCGTTGACCGTGCCCGTGGAGAGGCGGCCGAGTTCCGGTACAAGTACGGCTACGAGATGCCCTGTGATGTTCTTGCCAAGCGACTTGCGAATATCAACCAGGTTTACACGCAACGGGTTCGTGCTTCCACCCCCGCTAGACTATCTTGGAGTCTTGCTGATGAATCCGTCTGGATAGGCTTACATGCGCCCGCTCGGCGTTGCCATGACCCTGATTTCCGTGGACGATGAGAAGGGCCCGCAGCTCTACAAGTGCGACCCTGCAGGTTACTATGTCGGTTACAAGGCGACCGCGTCCGGTCCCAAGCAGCAGGAGGCGCTCAACCACTTGGAGAAGAAGCTGAAGAACAAGGACTATGCTGAGGGTAGTTGGGAGGAGGTGGTCGAGCTGGGCATCACCGCCTTGAGCACCGTGCTCAGCGTCGACTTCAAGAAGCATGAGCTGGAGATTGGCATTGTCGGAGGGCCTCGGACTGATGGCAAAGAGGGCACAGATCCGAGCTTCCGGGCCTTGACGGAGGATGAGATCGACGAGCGGCTGCAGGCTATCAGCGAAAAGGACTAATTGAGTCGCGGGGGCATCCATGTTGGTAGAAGCAAACGATCCATGAATATTACTTTTTCGATGTTACTATTGGAACTTAATTGATAAGCCCCGATCTCGTTCTTGCGTTCCCTGCTTCGTAGTTGTCTCCCCAACCGCCGATCGATCTCAAAACTTGGAATACATATTCCTTGCAGATGCTTCAATCGGAGTCGGAGATAGCGAAGCAAGTGGTCCCGTCCCACCCGCTTCTCCAGACGGTGGCAATATCGAGCAGGTTCAAAGTTGATGTGATAAACTTGGGGCCCTTGCTGCAAGATGACAGGCTCGACGAGGTGCCGTCTTATCTGCACATCACGTATGGGCGAGCAGGTTTCTAAGAAAAGCAGCGCGGCCAGACTGGGGTAATCAATGTCGAGCAGCGTCACATTGAAGAGATGCCCTATAATGCAGGTGTTTGCGTAGACCGACGCTCGAGCTCCCCATAAGCTCTTGCCCAGGAGTAAATTTTGCCACCGAGGGTTCTATCTGTACGGGGACCGGAGGATCTACTCGTATTATGGGATGGATGTTTTGAAGATGAAGTCCAGTTGAGCCTGAGGCTGGTGCGGGCGTGGGTTTGCTTTTCCTCATTCAGCTGTTGCCCGGTGGTGTGGCTGAGCTGGAGATGTGGCTTGTCCATTGAGTTTTTTTCCCTCTCTACATTGAGTTGTCACTTACTTTCCCGAGTCCCTTTTTTTCTTCTTTGCTGTCACGACTCATTGCAGTGCAGTCAGTCACTGCCGGTCCGTCACATCAGATCTTTGGTTCTCCACCGGGCGCTAAACGGTTTGTCTTCTCCAGCCACTTGTCCCATCTAAACCATATCTCCGAACGTGATGACTCCGAATGTAACTATTCGTACTGTGGCGTAAGGAAGCGAGGACTCTCCAGCTGGAGTGTCTTTCACTAGTCATCATGCCACGATGACGCTTTCCCCACTACGGGGTCTCTGCTTCAATGCCAGTGCCAGTGCACACTGCACAATTATTGTTACCGAGATCTAGTCAGTACGAGGAGTTTGTTAGTCTTTCCGTCTTGTGTCGATTTTGATTTTCTTCAACGGCCACAAACATAGACAAAGTAGGGTTCTATTCTTCTGGGATTCTTTTTTTAGTTTCGTTCTATGGTCATGTACTGTACTTCCTGGCCCTCAATGCGATCCCTACAATCGGTCTCTTGTGTGTGTGAATATTGCAAGTTCCTTGCCGCGGTTCGGATGTATCTTTTCTTTTCCCCCCAACCTATGCATGATCTTATGCAAGCCCCATCAGCCTAGGGTGTGCTGGGTTCCTGTTCCAGGGCCAGCTGCTTAGTCCCACGCTTAGATATCAGCCCTCGCTCCAGTTCGGAGCTCAGACATCGCAAGCGCCTCGGACACATGGCTCTCATGGGCTTGACTCCTGCCGTTGATCCACTATGGCTGTCATGATCCAGCTGCCATCTCTCGCCGCGATGTCTTGTCCTTGCTCCATCAGCATTCCCAATGGTGCAGCCAGCCACGGTGGATGACGATGATGATCCTCTTCCAGCAACATCCCCTTCACTGGGTCTTGAAACCATGGTGAGGATGATAAGCTTAAAAGGATATCGCCTCCTCGGCCATGGGACTGTTGGAAGAATCCGAAACCAACGCTCTCCTTCTATTGCCTCTTGCGCTTGGTCAATTGGCTTTTGCCTCTCTCGCCTCTGTCCTTCCTCTTTTCCGTTAAAAGTGGGCATACCTTCTTGGTCCTTTGGGTCTTCTAGAGCTGTGCTCATTGGTCAATCCTTGGATACTATATCGCAGTCACTTCCAGAGAATCGCAATGGCCGACGGACGTGAGTAGTATCTCTCATGCACAGCAGCCACGAAAGACAGTGGCCACGACCTAGCCAGAGCTAATTGATCCTTGGTGTCGCAGTCAACCAGGCTCGCGCCCTCCGAGTGGCCGAGATCATCAACGACTACCGCACTCTTCTCATGCACATCTCCCAACAGAACGTCCAACCCCCTGCCGATGACTACAACGAAGAGGGGTACAAAGTGATTCGCGACGGTCTGGCAGCCGCACAGGCTCTGATGACATCCAACTACAACCCCTGCGCGACGCCAGCACAGTCCAACAACGTGGAGATCGAGAAGGCAGAGTTGCGAAGGTATGTTATCCCCCGCACTTTACCTCCTCAATTTACCTCCTCAACAGCGAGCGATGTCTGACTGTCATTCCCAGGGTCATTCTCGACGCCAGCGCCAGGCGCTTCCAAGCGCATCGCATCTATCTGAAAGTAGCCGCCGCAAGACGATGGGTGATCAACCGACAGAACATCCTGCGCGGACAACGGCCGGGTCCGCAGCATGCCACGCAACTCAAGAACGCAAGCAACACTTTTCATGCTGTGAGTTCCACCTTCTGCATAATCTCATTTCCACGGTTCGGGTCCCCACTGACTATTTCGCTTAGGAACTAGCCCAAGTGACCGAGCAGCACGTGGTGGCGGATCTTCGCGCAGCCGACACGCGCGCAGGCCACTGGCTGAACGACGATCCATCTCTGTCTACAATCCTCCAATGGATCCGATCTCACTCGTGAAGATGGTCCTTTCGTGATTGGGACAGGGGTAAAGTGGTGTAAGGATACGACGATGTTGATCTCACTTGTTACGGGACTACAGTACCATTATATTTTGCGGAAGTCGCTCAATTGAGCTGAGCGGAGACAGGCGCTGGTCGCTTGTGAGTTGGTTTTGAACGGATAAGAAAAAGCTGGGTTATGAAGGATGGTTCAATTGTGTTTTGTTTTGTTTTGTTCTTCTCGGTTCAGTTTGTCATGTCTTGAGTTATGTGTCGATGGTTGGTTATGATATCCCTGGAGTGATGTGATGCTTTACGCTAGATGTGAATTGATTGGTTGGTTGTGCTGTTACATTGTACTTCATCTATTGCATGATTATAGCTTTCTTGCTTGTGAGCTTATGAGCATGATCTTAGATTATTTTGTTGACTGAATACATTCGTAGAGGGCAATTGATTCAATGCTTGCAGGTTGTTAACAAAGCCCCAAGGTCATGACTACTGAATCGCTGTATAGTGACATCGCATAGTAAACCAATCTTAAGAGACGGTAAACTCCGTCGGCTTCAAGGTTGGGAGTGGGCCCGGCGGTTAGGAGTGGAGACAGCGTACCCGGACTGGAAGGAGAATCCAACCCAGGCCAGTACAACTACGACAAACAGAACCATCCATAGTCTAAGACCTGAAACAAGCGACCGCAAAGAATCAATAATGACGCGGGAATGAATGCCCGACTAGCGGGATCCTCAGCGATGACTCCGACGGACCGAAGAGCCAGGTGGCAAAACTCTTCACTTGCAAAGCCTGCATACCTACCTAGCTGGACAGTGGAGTTTAGTAGGTATGTTGTTGTCGTTGTAGGGCTTCTGCCGGACATACCGAACGTGCATTAGAGCCGGGTCCCGTTTCGAAAACATCCCAGCTGAATCGATTCCTGGGTCGAAAAAGGGCTGAAACGTGGGGACTTTTCTTTTTCGTCCTTGTTTATTCTACTAAGTATGACGATGTTTTCGGGAGGAAGGTTGGTTGGTGCGCTGTTCGGATTTTTTTGAGGATGTTGTCCAATTGGATTATGGAGTGTACTGTATGTTAGGTAGTGTGGCCGTGCAAAACTCTAGGAATTCCGTCAGGTTGCAGTGGACTGAGATTTGCTGCAGGATCGAGGTTAATACTGCTGTAACCAATCATAAGACGCAGGTGGAGTTGACGGGTGGATTGTTCAGCTGAGGTTGTTCGGGGAGGGAACCCCGATTGAAAGAGGGTCCACTCGCGTTGTGTTTTCTTTCTACTGTGGATTTGACAGTTTATCGGATTACTCATACTCGTACCTTGTAGCTGGTTGATGGGTCAAGGTGCTGAGAACTGGATTGTGGTGTTTTCAGCCCTGAGTGAGAGTTGAGTAACCGTTTTTTCTTGTGGCCGTGGTCGTGCTCGCCACGAGGGGTGCAGGTGGCAGCCACGTTGTTACTTTGTTTGGGTCCCGGGGACGGATTGTACGTCCTGTACCACAGACGAGTTCTGAGGTTTTGACCCTGGCTTTTTTTTGGCCCGTTCATGCACTCCCCTGTTACATGACAACCCTGTTCGTACAGCATGCAGTACAGACTGGGTTGAGATCGATCTGTTCGCTCAGGACCTGGCGGCATGGCATGTACCCTGCAATGTACGGACCGGGGCTGTCCGTTTTGCGGGGATACTCTCTTTAAATGTGATCGGGAGGCAAATTGTGATCGAGTCATACACATATTATTATGTTCCTGGCCCGGAGCGGGCTTCCTCTTTTTGGTGTGAGTGGCGAGGCCTAAGTCCTATTACGCGCTGGAAGACTCGTGCTCTGCTGCGGTCACAATGGCACGGAATAATAGTATGTCACCGGGTCTCTTCTCTGGGCTATGATCATGACTATGACTGACCGTCGCCGTTCCGTCGCCGTTCCGTCTGCGTGACGGGGTCTCCTTGTCGAGTTGTGCTCGAGAGGGAGGCCAGCTTAGTTTACTCGGACGCTCGCTCTGATTCTGTTCTTCCACTGCGTTGTTTACTGAGAAACAGCGGGCAAGACTTTCGAAAGTCACGACCATAAAACCATCATGTCTACCCACTACGTCCTGCTACTGCCACTTCCAGACCATCAGCCACAGCCCGTCTTCCCATCCGTCTCAACCAAACCTTCAGATCAAACTCTCCCTCGTTTAGCTCACTCGGATGCCCAACAAATTCGAACACGTATCCGAGTTCATCCGCCGGTTCCTCGCCATCAGTGTATCGAATACGACAAGACTCGACGCGGTAGCTTCCAGTCTCATACGCCGCGAGCTTTTCCGCGTCCTGTGTGGTGCGCACATGGTACACTGCGCCTTTGACGGCAGAGCCTGGCTCATCGAGAATGGCGGGATACTGCCCCCACATCTTGCACTTGTATCCCATGATGTAGGCAGGCCGTAGCTTGGGTTGCTCGTCTAGCCCGAGGATCTCGGCGACCATCGCGGGATCGGTTAGTGTGCCGTAGAAGAAGTAGGAGCCACTACGTGCGGCTTGTAAGTCCACGGCTGGTGCCGGTTTGGGGGTCTGGTAGAAGGCATTAGGAGGGGCGGTCCTGAGCTTGTGGACATAGGGTGAGATCTTAGAGGAAGGGTTTGAGGGGAGAGGTGGCGGGGGCGGAGGAGGGTTCATTTCGTCGCGGTTGGGATTTGCCATGGGGTTTTGGTTATGATGTGCCTGGGTGTAAACAAGAACTACTTGAGTATGCCAGCCCGTGCTGTTGAGTAAACAGTTCCAAGAATAGAAGTGTCTGGCGCCCTGAGGCGGTGCAACTGTGGCTAGATAGGTGGAGACAGTGGCTGCTGCGCTCTGGCTTATGTCAGAGGCTTCGGATCGGGTGACGACACTGAATAATAAACAACAAACTAGAGAATAAGCACGAATAAACCAGAGCCAATCGCTAAGCTTTTGCAGAGGCAGCGATCAAATGAGCCCCGGTTTGGAGTCAACCATTCAAAGAATTCTTACTGCCACGATCATGCTGTACAACGGTGGCTGTAGTCATTCCCTGTATGACTCTACCATCATCAATTGCAACAAAGGCCCTTGGGAGAGAGGATATATCGAATCTGTTATGCTGCACCCCCGCGTGGTCGACTTTGAGTTTCACACCCCTGGTCGATCTCACGAATAAGCGTATCTAGCCGAGGATCCAATGCTCTGCTGAGTCTCAAGTGATGGAGACGAGAAGGGCCATCTGTCATGCGCATGCAAACCCGGGCTTAGGCTGTTTGGTGAAGGACTCAATCTGATAATCTGACGCTCGTGGCCTTGAGCCGCCTGCTCAAGCATAGACCATGATTCAAACGCATGACGACTGGCAACGAAAGTGCGAGTCGTTGACGGGTGAATCATGGGAGCCATGGTTACAGTATTGCCCATCACTGGGGACGCGGTAGGTAGCATTAGGGTAGTGGCATCTCCAAACCTAGAATCCTTTGGTGGACAGTGTGGCATGACTTAGTAGTTCGTGGTTAGTAGTTAGTGATTAGTGGCCACTGGCCAGGCCAAGGCGTCCGCCGCGGGATCATCCCCGGAGCCCGTCAAACCTACCAACGTCACTCACTCCATGGTAGAACGCCTGAATCGTTTACCCTCCGGAGGCAGCAACAAACAACCTTTTTTTCCTGACAAGGATCAACCTCAACAATATTTATAGCTGGGCAATTCCCTGCGGATTATGGCCTTCTCTTCATCATTTCATTTCCTGGTTGTCTTAACCATTGTTCTTGTCTTCTCCCTCCGATACTTCGGCAATAATCCAACGGTGCCCCCGCTGCAACATCATTCTACAGATACTCTCTCGAATACTTCGACACCAGCCATGTCTACCGGACTCAAGTCAGTGGCGTACTTCGTCAACTGGGTACGGTTAAACTAGTCAGGATGGATGACTAGCTACTATCTATACATGCTTTTGCAGTCTATATGCTAACCTATTCCCAGGCGATCTACGGACGCAACTACAATCCCCAGGATATCCCTGCGGACAAGTTGACCCATATCCTTTACGCCTTTGCCAATGTCAGGCCAGAGACTGGAGAAGTGTGAGTTTGTCAAATACCAGCTTTTTGCCACCGCAGCAGCCCGGCTGATTTATGCATAGCTATCTTTCCGATACCTGGTCGGACATTGAGAAGCACTATCCCACTGACTCCTGGAATGACGTTGGCACCAACGTCTATGGCTGTGTCAAACAGCTGTTTCTGCTCAAGCAGCAGAACCGCAAGCTGAAGGTTCTCCTGTCCATTGGAGGATGGACCTATTCCTCCAACTTCCCTGGCGCAGCCGCTTCGGAGGCCAACCGGGCCAACTTTGCCACGACGGCCACCAAGTTGGTCACAGACCTTGGCTTTGATGGTATGGTTTGCCTAAGTTCATGATGCTCGTTAGAGTTACTGACCGCGGACACTGTAGGCCTTGATATCGATTGGGAGTATCCCAAAGGTCAGTTTTGATAGTTTTGATACGTTTAGATGTCTAGTGCTGACGTCCAGGAAGACGATACTGAGGCTCAGAACATGGTTCTGCTTCTCCAAAAATGTCGCGAGGTTAGTGCAAACCCCTCCAGGAGCTAGAATTAGGTATGCTAATTGAGCCAGACCTTGGACAACGCGGCAGGTGCCAGCAGGAAGTTCTACCTGACCATTGCTTGCCCTGCTGGTGAGTGACGCTGATTCCTTCGCTCTGAAAAACACCCTATTGAAAGCTGACTCTCTGCAGGTCCTGCCAACTACACTAAACTCAAGCTGTCGCAGATGACGCCGTATCTGGATTTCTACAACCTGATGGCGTACGACTACGCCGGGAGCTGGGACACCGTGGCAGGCCACCAAGCCAATCTCTATCCTTCCACCAACAAGCCCGCCTCAACTCCTTTCTCGACCAACGAGGCGGTGAATTACTACACCCAGGTTGGTGGGGTCCCGTCAGCCAAGATGGTGCTGGGGATGCCGCTGTACGGGCGTTCCTTCACCAACACCGACGGACCCGGCACGGCATTCTCAGGCGTCGGAGGAGGCAGCTGGGAGAACGGTGTCTGGGACTACAAAGCCTTGCCCCAGACTGGTGCCACCGAAAGCGTGGATTCCAGCATCGGAGCATCCTGGAGCTATGACTCCAGCGCCCGCACCATGATCTCATACGACAATGTGGCCGCCGGAGAGCTGAAATTGAACTACATCACTCAGAAGCAGCTCGGCGGCGGGATGTGGTGGGAGCTCAGCGGTGACAAGGGCGGCAAGACCGCGAATAAATCGGACGGCAGCTTGATTGGAACCTTTGTGGAAGGGGCTGGCGGGCTCTCGGCTTTGGACCAGACACAGAACGCGGTGTCCTACCCCGAGAGCAAGTACGACAACCTGAGGAAAGGTTTCCAGTGAGAGCTTGACGGGGCACAGTGGACGATGACATGACATTTGTTGGTTCTTTCTTTCCTGTGAACATGTTTCGGTTGCAAGTGGACATATACGAGATCTACATAGCTTAGATGTGATGATGGTTTTTTTGAATTTTTTATTTCATTTTTGCTGTTTCAAGGTGTCTATGGAACGATCATAACGCACACGTCCCAAAACCCTCACATATCCCCCTTCAACCTTCAGTCCTAGTTCATATAAACCGAGCACATCCGGCTGGGGCGAAAGATAGGCGACTCATCAGAGACCAATTTACTTGGACTCGTCGAAGACGTAGGTGAGGTGGCACTTTCCGCAGTACTGGCGGTTGTGCATAGCAGCCATGAAGATACCGGCACCGCACTGTTGGGGACAAAATTAGTGTACTGCAAACCAAGTATACTCGAAATTGTGGATGACATACCTCGGGGGAGGGGCACTCGCGGCGGAGACGCTCGATCTTGCCATCACCGTCGACCTTGTAGTACTTGAGGACGGCGAGCTTGGTCTTCTTGTGCTTGTGCTTGATCTTCTTGGGGGTGGTGTAGACCTTCTTCTTGCGCTTCTTACCACCACCACGCAGGCGGAGCACCAGGTGGAGGGTGGACTCCTTCTGGATGTTGTAGTCCGAAAGAGTACGGCCGTCCTCGAGCTGCTTACCAGCGAAGATCAGGCGCTGCTGGTCCGGGGGGATACCCTCCTTGTCTGCAGGAAAGACGGGTTAGATGGTTTCATCCCAAGTAAATCGCGCTAGCGCACGCAAGCTCAAAAGGGGCACTAACCCTGGATCTTGGACTTGACATTGTCAATGGTGTCGGAGGACTCCACCTCAAGGGTGATAGTCTTACCCGTGAGGGTCTTGACGAAGATCTGCATCTTGATGAAGGTCTGTTGTTGCAAGGGCGACAATTAGTCTATTGTTCCAGCGTCGTTGATGCCTTCTGCGAAGAAAGCGGATCGTCACCCCTCATCCTGTATCTTTTTTCGCCGCCCGAACCATCTCACGCAAAAGATTGCACTTGCAATGGTTTCGGCGAGATAAAGCCAGAGGCAGAAAAGAGACAGTATTGAGGATGGACCTGTTCACGGCGGTCGTGACATGTATGGGGGTGTTCACTAACCTCGACAAGACTTGTCTTCCTAAACCTTCAGTGACGATCGTGAAGGAGAAATATCTATGGTGGAGGGCGTTCGTTAAAATCGGTTGTGCGATCACGTGGGTGATTATTGGCCTGATCGGGCTTAGTGTCGCGCTCATCGGATCATCCGCCCTCCGGGTCCTCATAGTCACGTGATATACTCACCCCAATATCATGTGACTCTTTGCGACTCCCGCCCATTCCCTGCGTCATCTGCTGCCTGAAAAGTACGGCATCCAGTCCGATGGGACCCGGTCGGCAAAAGCCCCGGAAACGATATGCAGTTTATCCACTCCCCAATCTTGATAATGATCAATATCGTCATCGATTCACCGTCCCCCTCAGTTCCCAATTATCGAATATCGAGAGTAGAAGGATTCGCATCAATTATTAACAGAACTATTGCAGAGACAGGGAGCGTCATGGAGTAATAATGTTTCAAACCCTCACTGCCTACAGGCGGCTTCGATCCGCGACAGGAGGAGACAAATGGAACTGCCATCGGGAAGCTGAACCGCGGTGCAGCCGGCCGTCTGGAACTCTGCATCGCGCAGGGGAAAAAAAAAAGAACCCGGCTCCTTGCAGGGGCCCCTCTCCGATTAAACCAACCCTGTGTGGGCTCACGGCCTGAAAACTAAAAGTGCGTTTGGACCAGGGCGCGATCCACTGCAACTGGCGGGCTCCATGCCAAGGGGCGCTGGTTGTCCTGACGCCTCAACCCAGCGGCGTTGCTAGGCCAACCCAGCCCATTGTTGATCTGAACCGTGGTCGATAGATCGGGATAGCTTCAGCATCTCCATCCACCTACCTTGGTTCCCACCTCTAAATACCCTTAGACTTCCTTTGTCTTTGACTACTCTCCAGTCTTTCCTGCCCCGTTAGAACCGGAGCTTCAGGACCGTTATCGCAATCGCGAGAAGGAAGCTCTAGAAAAAGAAAGAGAAAAGGCTTCGGTTGCATCTTCTATTGCATTGACGATCTAGAAGGAGTTGGTCGCGAGAACCCACTTTGCATAGATCTAACGCAGAGTCTACTTTGATACCTTGAAACTCTCGGTGTCCTTCATCTGACCTGCCCTAGCCTAACCTCCTAAACTTCTTGCGCGCGTGAGTTCCTTTCTTCAAGAGATCACCGACTGACACTATCCCAGGGCGGTTTCCTACCATCTGCTTGGCCCAGCCTTGTGGCTAGCGCTGCGAAGAGGTTGGTACCCCGACGCTGAATGACTTCTTTTTTTGGCTTGCGCATTAGCTTTGGCCCAGCAGGCTTACGTCTTTATATTCTACAGACCTGAGCAAGAAGTCGGTCGAGTCATCAGCTCAACAAATTGCGACCAGCGCGCGAAGATTCAAAGGTTGCCTATCATGCTGTCCACACCGCACAGCAATTATCACGAACGACATCGTCAACATCGGAGACAAATCTCCACGCCGTCCGCTCTTGATGCCGTCAAACCTCCAACTCTTCCCGCTCAAGCTATGCACCGATTTCATGCTCATCGCCGAGGCCAAAGCTTCGATGCGCGCGCCATGCGCGTCCAGCGATCGCAGTCCATGCAAGATGGTACCATGACTACTAACGTAACAGTACCGCACCAGCACCCAAATATGTTGGCACCTGCGCAAGACCAGCGCTTCCTACGAGTCGCGCAGCCAACTTACCCCCACCAACCGGCACCCATGCCCATGATGGCTGAATGCCAGGCTTTCTCTCAAGAAGACCTGCACTCCTTCGGTGCCCGTCATAGTCAAGGAGGTCAACCGAACATGCCTTACATGAACGCGAACTTTATCAAGATGGAAAGCCAACCAATGAACATGTCCCTCAACCTCATGCAACAACAGTCGCTACAGGATACGAAACTGCCCTGTCAAGCGTCCCTGGAGGGTCAGATCTTGGACAATGGAGCTTGGGATGTCTACCCACAAAACAACATCGCTGCCGCATTCCAGCAGCAACAAGCTAATGCCATGGCAATGGATGTAAGAAGACTGTCAGCGGCGCCAGCTGTCGGTCCGTCACACCAGACGCATACGCCAAAGCTTAGCAACGGACGTAAGTTTCAGATGTGCGGATCGACCTGACATGGCCTGGGCCTCTAACAACATGCGCAGAATATGGCCAGATCACACCAGCGGCCACCCCTTTCAAACAAACAGTGGGCCTTGCGCACTACAACCCGGACATTCAGCCTTCCTCGACCAAGGACCAAAGCCTTGCTATGGCCGGTTCAGCGCAGGCGTCGTACATGCAGCGAGCGAAGTCTCTCCAAGGTGTAGCCGGAACTACATTTTCTCAGCAGAAGTTTAATGTGCCCTCCCCCCCCACCACAGCATCATTTGAAGTGAATACGTTTGATACTTTTGACTATGAGCAGGGTTCTAACATCGAAGTTCCTAAGTCCGAGAGTCTTTCACAAGGGCCGTATGCCTCGTCGTCATCAGCCACGTCGTCCTTCGCTTCGTCACCCGAACTCGCCGCTATGCCTTGTCCCGAAGACGGTACTGGAAAAGCACAGAAGCTGCCGATATATCCTGCCACCCCTAACCGTGCGAATCACCGGAAGACCCCGAGCGCAACTCCTAGCACAGCAGCCAAGCCGAAGCTCTCGCCGCGCGTCGCATCCATTGATAGCCTCAACTTGGACGCTCGCGTACAGGCATCGATCAAAGAAACCGGAGTTACTATTGACGAGATTGCGTCTTACATCCATGGTCCAGACCCAGACGATGGTAAATGGGTATGCCTGCACCCCGGATGCGAGCGTCGCTTCGGGCGGAAAGAGAACATCAAGTCGCACGTGCAGACTCACCTCGGAGACCGCCAGTACAAGTGCGATCACTGCAACAAGTGCTTTGTCCGTGGTCATGATCTCAAACGGCACGCTAAAATCCACACTGGAGACAAGCCCTACGAATGCCTGTGCGGCAATGTGTTTGCGAGACACGATGCGTTAACTCGACATCGCCAGCGCGGTATGTGCATTGGTGGATACAAGGGCATTGTACGCAAGACTACGAAGCGCGGTCGCCCCAAGAAGCATCGGCCAGAGATGGATGAGAGACAGGATAAAGCAGCAAGAACCCGTCAGCGCATCGCCGAAAAGGGATCTTTCGATTCCTCCGCTTCCGATTGCTCACGCAGCACCCCTCCGTCCGATGTCTTCGAGAACATGAGCCTTCACGGATCTAGCCCTTCCGAGGAAATGCCGGTGTTCAGCAACCCTAACTACTCCTTGCCTCCGGGAGTGTTTACCTTCACACCACCCGCGTCTCCAGGCCACAGCACCGGAAACAAGCCGTCTCCTGTCCAAAGTCACCGCTCGCTCAGCCCTACCACCGAGGACGAAATGCTGCCTCCGCCGATCAAGCAGCCCTTGCAGCGACTGATGTCCGATTCCGGCCTCCCCTATCTGTCGGACCCCGAGTCATGCACCTACACCGACGGCTCCGGCTCAGTCACCAACAGTGTCTCCTCTCCGCATTCAGCCCCAACGCTGACCGATTCGTCGACCGGCTCCGAACTTGATATCTTCATTAGTCAGGGATCGAGCGCGACCTTCGCTAAACAGGAATTCGCCGACCTGACTGAGACCGACATGGCTGCCTTCCCCGATTACGTTAACACGGCGACCTTCGAGAACGGAATGGATCTATACCCCGCGAAAGGCTATCCCTCGGGCCCTACCATGGGTGATGATTTCTTCTTCCAGTTTCAAGTGGACGAGCAATCCGCAGACGCTATGACCAAGGAATTCTTTATGGATTGAGGAGAGAAAAGACAAGACGACAGTTACGATCACGATTTCGAGGTGAATTTATAACGAACAATACCGGCGATTGACGACGCAATGACCTCAGGCTAACGCCCCATGTGCAACAAGACTCTTGACGATTTAGGACTGAACGATTGGAACCATGCATATAAGATATGACCCCCCGCCCCCTGCCCTTTACCCTCAAGATCCGATGCGATACGAACCCATGTACACAATGTCTTTTACGAAAGCCCCCTCACACCCCTTTCTCTTCCATTCCAGCCGTTTGCGCGGAACGAAACTGTGACCACTTCGATTGATTTTCACCTGTGCCAAAAGAAAATGTTTTGTTTTGATTGCTTCGCTGCCTATCTCTGTGCTTCACACCGGACGAAACGACTTCCGCTCTTTGAACTTGCAAACTGTGATTCTATGTGATCGATGCCTCTGATTTGCAAACGAAAACCATGTACGACCAACCCCGCCCGCCCCCCATGCCCCCCTAAGACTTGTGGAATATGCCCTTTTGCCAATTTACGGAGTTTCTTCTACAGGTCGTCCCTTCTTTTATACACGCGCGTGTGTTTTTCTGTGATTTTACAAAATGTCTTTGAGATTTGTGATATGAAATTTTCTTCCTCCTGACCTTTGATTCGATGTCTCTTATTTGAATGCTGATTTTGATCTTTTCGAAACGAAATGCCCCCTTGCCCGGCTCTTTCTCCACCTTGATTTTTTTTTTCTTCTTTCCAGGCGTGACTTGCGCTTTCAGCTCTATTTTACTTTCTGCTATTTCCCACAATATACCTCTCTTGTCCGTTTTGTATGCGAATGGATGGGGGATCGGAGTTTATTTTGTTGTGGGCGATAATGCGAGATTACCTACCACGGCTCGGACACTCGTTTTATTGTTGATTTTTAATGGATCTTAACTTCTTCTTCTTCATTACGAATCTACTAATTAACTCTTCTGCCTCTTCTGGGAGCTACCTTTTCTGATATTTTAGTGATTTCTAAGTGACTGCCTGCTTGCCTTGCCTTGCCTTGCCTTGTACTGTATTGTATTCTAGTCTGGTTTGGTTTGGTTTGGTTTGATGGATGAGACTTTACCGTTGGGATAGTTGATCTGTGGAATTGATCACTACTATCGATCACGATAACTGTTCAAATGTATCAAGTTATGAAGTATAGTAGAAATGCCTACTTCTATATATCTAATCTAGCCCCTGCCTAACCCTCCGGTAGCACGTACGTAAGTACTGCACACCCGAGTATATATATTCAAAAACACAAATCGCAAAATATACCTACTTAACCCCATAAACAAAGAGATATGCAATCTAAATCCAAAGACAAAAAGTCACAGGCCAAAGATCAATAGTCCGGCCTCCAAGTGATCGCCAACTCAATCTGATGATCCTCCTGCGACGCAAAGACCTTACTCTTCGTCGGACCCTTGGGAGCCTTATCGGCGAAAAAGGTCGAATTACCCTTGTACGCTAGCTTACCGTCGTCGACCTGGTTTCAAGTAGTATTGTCAGCATCTCCCGCAACGGGATTCGGTTTACATGGTTGTGATGGGGCCCTTACGCTGAATTCTTGCGGTTGGTGCACCGCGCCGCCGCAGGTGAAGATGTCTTTTGCGAAGCCGCAGTTGCCTTTGCTGGAGTGGAGGGTGAAGTGGGTGTCTTATTTTTCGGTTGTTAGTTATTTATTTGGGAGTTGGGAGGATGTGGGGGTAGAGGGAAGGGGTATGGAGGGTTTCTGGTGGTGGCCGTACCGGAGGTCTTCTTCGTGCTGAACGTCGCACAGGTGCCTGATGTGAACCACGCTCCTCGGCTGATGATGCATCCTCTTTTCTGGCCCATCATCGAGATCATTAAATTCCCCCGGCCTTGGAAGGGGGCACCGGGGGGAGAGGTGGGTTCTGATGGGTTGTGGGTGGTTGTATGGGTGGGCTCGTGGCCGTTTCGGGGGGTTTTGGGCTGGTAGCGGATGCCGGTGGCCGGGCAGTTCGAGGTTTGGCCGTCTTTTTTTTTAGGTTACAGGTAGTTAGCTTGTGGGTGTGTAGAGATAGGGCATAGTTTAAGGGAACGGAGAGAGGTTGTGCCTTTGTTTGTTTACTCACCTGGGTCTGAGGGGACGAATTTCCCGGATACGAGGGGTCCGGCGACGTTGAAGTAGTACCATACTTCGTTCAAGGATCCGTGGCGGCAGCGGATCGTGACCTCTGCGCCGTGCGTCTGAGAGAGCACATCCTCGATTTCGCGGCGCGTGTAGGTTTTCGTGTAGGAGGGCAGGATGTTGGCTTTAGCGAGTGTCTAGATAGTGTCAGTGTATGGTGTTTATAGATTTGTATATGTGGATTGGTGACAGGAAGCGAGGCAAACACACCTCGTACGTAGGCAGTCCCCGATATAGATCGGCTGTCTTATCGAAGTAGTCCACAACCTCCTGCTGGGGAATATACTCTGTGTAGCAGTGGGTCTCGAGGCTGCTGACGCAGGTACCGTGCTTGTTCCACTCATGTTCCCAGAGGTTGGGGTCGTCGCCGCGGAAGTCTTTCCAGTATGTGCTCATGTAGTCGAGCAAGTCTCCACGGCCAGCATCAACCAGGATCAACGAGATATTGCTATACTTCCGTTTCGAATCGCAGTATTGGTCGAATCCTCCATTGCAGTGGTCCGGCCTAAGCAGAAGAGGGATGTGAGTCAGTTGGATTAAGGGAGAGGATAATCAAGGCTGTTTCTAGTGCGAACAGGTAGCAAGATAACTCACCAGAGACCATGGATTGTCCAAGCGGTCTCCGGCCCAATGGCGGGGTCGGCATCCCAGAATTGCGTTTGTAGCATCTGACCCCCCGGGTAGTTGAAGCAACAGGTATCCTGACCATGGTACCGTGTCTTGCAGCTCAATTCGGCAGCCGGACAATGCTGAAATGTGGACTCTGAAGTCGAATAGTCTGATCCTGAGAGGGAAGAGACACCGAGTGTGCCTGTAATGGCTTTGAGAACCTGCTGGGGTCCGGGGAGACGCTGCAGGAGCGTCTCTTTCATAGAGCTGGCGGTGGACCCGATAGCTCGGGTACTGCTATCGGAGATAAACATTGCGGGTGGTGGAGTAATGACTCCTCTTCAAATCGGTACGAAAGCTGGTCAACACCAGGTGAACAGTATGATACTTGCTCAGAAGAAGGGATAACGATGCTAGAAGGGAGATGAAAGAGTAGAAGTCAATAATGAGGCGAGGCGAATGACTCTCGAAGCTCCCTCCCCGGTTCTGCACGTGCTTGCATCCCATGACCCGTGACTGGCTCGTCTGACTGGTCAGTCCGCCGCCGATCCTTTGATAAGGTCGCTTATCAGTAGCCCGGAGTGACTATCAGTGGTGATAACGTCGAGACGGAGGCCAGAGAGGAGTTGGAGGATGGCTGAGGACTATTCGACAGTCTCTCGAAGAATAGCCACACTTTCTTTCACGTTGCACTGAGATGGCCAAATTATAAAAGGTCGGCAGAGTTTAGGATTCAAAGATACATATACCAGAATTGCACTATCAAGCTCTATACGTAACCGAAGTCCCTTATCTAAGTACCTTGTTAGCACCAACCAGCACAACCTGTGTGTTTCCATTCACACCACTTCATCAAAGCAGATTCCCTGGACTCTTTGCCCTGGCAGTATACTGCCTCGTGCATCTGATATCATAACTTTACTCGGGTGGTACATGTGGGTCCCCCCCCAAGCATAGACATACTGTTTCTGACACTCGCAGGGTAGCAAGATCTATGGCTGAGAGCCATATATATCAGCCAGACTGATGTGATTGCCTACTACGGCAATTGTCAAATATCAGCCTTGTAGAGAGCCTGAAGTCTCTTGATGACATGTTTTCCTGCTCCCTTCATTGATTGTCTCTGCGCGCAATAGACTCTTTCCGACGGCAGGCCAAGGCGAAATCCGCCATGGAGTCAGTACCAATGTGGACGGGATACATTTCGAGTTGGAAGGAACCCAGAGCAATGAAGAGAAGGAAAAGGAAGAAGGCTCGCAAGCTATTAAGTGATGGCCGCCACAAGGGTGCAAAAAGTTAGGCAACGGCGCAACGCAACGCAACCTTGTGTTGTTTATTGCGGAGAACGCTAAGCCCTGGTTATTTTGTGCTGTCGTGTGATCCTGTGGCTGATGGTATTTTGTTCCCACGACGATTATCCTATCCTCTTCGCTTCGAGAAAACTGACTTCAAATCCTCATCTCTAAGCTTCGAATCCATAGCAAGACCTGAGCCGTTGGCCCATCATTCTCTACTAGGTACATACAAAGACTCAGTCGTGTACTACCTAGTCAGCCAATAGCTGTACTGCACATCAAAGCACTCTCACGTCCATGTAAGTAATAACACGGTGTATGGCTGATCAGGAAAGCCTCATATACTGATTGCAAGAAGTGCTTCCAGACACCACCAACCACTTCAAAACAAACCAGCTCCAGTTCGTTGACTAAGGGCGAACAGACGAAGACTTTCATCCGAAAAGAGAAGCTCCGTCACTTCAAACAATATCATGCGTCAGGAACGTCTTAACGACGCCGCCATTGCGCTGTGTGGTGCCTTGGACACCGCCGGTATCAAGGGCGGTTGTATCGGCGGTTATGCCATCGGGTTGCTTGGCAGCGGCAGACAGACCAACGACATTGACTGTTTTGTGTCCTCTTCGAAGGCAATGATCGTTGCTCTTCTCGATGGATACAACGGTTTCACCAACATCCCTCGCGGTCGGGAGGACTACGCGGCCTTCATGTGGTGCAACACCACTGACCAGAGCGAGCCGGTGCTTGTCAAGGTGTTCTGCGAGCGGTTCCCCCGTCAGTCTCCCTTTACTTTCCCTTTCTGCTTACGCGCTTGTGTGAGGGAGCTTGCGCTGATATACTCACCAGGTTTCCGTTACACCATGGACCATACCTTCCCTCGCGTGACTCTTGTCAGAGGCGAAAGTTTTGGCGTCGGCGTCATCCACTATCTGGATCCCTACAACATCTTCAAGGGTAAGCTTCGTGCCGCGGCTACTCGCTCTGAGGTCAACGATGCCGCGGATCTCCACTGGTTGGCCAGCCAGTACGGGATCATCCGTTCACGCGCCCATGAACTGAACCTCGACTACGTCGGCCTGGCCATCAAGCGCTACCCGGACCTTGAGGAGCTCTTCGAGCAGTTGTCGGTGGATGTTGTCCAGGCGAAGGAAAACATGCATGACGTGGAGCTGTACGAACTTCCGCTGTTGGGGCCTGGCGATGTCCAGCGTGGATTGTTGGCATAAGTTCACATGGGGGAAATTGCAGCCGAGTTGAAGGCCAGCAACACTTGTGGTTCAAGGATAGGTGAAGCGAAAGTGCAGCCGAGTTGATGATGGCTTGCAATATTTGTGTTTCGTGGATGATACTTCGGGGAAACCGCAGCCCGCTCGATGGTTGGCGATGATTTGTGATCTAAGTGATGTAAGGATAGGAGATGAATCACCCCCATGAATGTGCATGCGTGGCAATTAATCTGAACTAGGCGTCCCTTCCAACTCCTCTTCAGTAAACACCCGGTCACGCACTTGGTCAAGTATAATCCAGGAAAGCATGTATTGCAAAGGAATACTTGAGCCACGCTTGCAAGGCATAATAAGAGCAGAGTCCGCATTGGGGTATCAAAAGTAGTCGAGTCGCTTTGAGTATATACATGAGTGGAAATCTTTTCCAATGCTAGCTCTCATCAGAGACAGGCTCATTGAGCTAATTCCCTCTTTCTCTCCTTATCCTGCTCGTGAACACGTTCCTTCCACAACCGCAAAACCTCGAAACCCACTTCAACGGCGATGAGCAAAATGATGATCCATTCCAGTCGAAGACCGTGCGTCTCACTGAGTCTCTCCCGCAAAACACTGGCTATCTCCTGCGCGTAGTCCATCTTCTCGTTCAGCAGCTTGATACGAATCCCCACATCGAGCGCCCGTCCGACTTGTTCATAATAGCCTTCCAGACCAAGTTCATGCCGGCTGTCCCAGAAGATATCAGGCAGGGAGTCTGTGAGCTCGGAGTAGAGGTTCAGCTGCGCCCGGACGCTAAGGAGCTGGCCCGTTTTGCGAAGGATGAAATCCCGGGTGTAGGGAAGCCGGGAACCCTTTGAAAGAAGTGTTGGAATGGCCCGTGTGGATTCGAAGTAATTTGATAGCAGTGATTCCAGTACGGCCAGCTTCGTACTCCGGGCCAAGCCTGAGGAGAAAGCCACTTTCGTCAGGACCGTGTCCACAGACTGCCGGGTTATGGGGAAGGTGGCGGGACCGTCGGAGCTCGGTTTGGTCCCAAGAACGATAGTGTCGCCCTTGATGCTGCTGTTCTCCCGCTGGGGGTCCTCCACATACTCGAGGTCCTCCGTCTCCAAGTCATCCACGTGTGCTCCCCGGGCAGCAGGCAGCAATGTCCTTGTTGCCAAGAAGGAGGTGAATCCTTCTGGTAGCGACCAGGCGACAACCGTACCAGAAGGAAAGACAAACACGTCGCCCACCTCGTCTGCTGGTAGATCAGACGCCTTCGGGTTGCTCACGCGACGGATCGAGTCCAACGGAACTTGGACATGGACAACCTGCGGGTAGAGACCCGTCTCGTAAGGATCCGGTTCATAGCCCTTCGTTTGTAGAATCTCTCGAACTTGGTGGATATCGAATTGTTCAGCGACGGCGTATGCGGTTATAGTCTGTGAAAGCATTGAGTTAGCGGGTCACAAAGAAGACCGAAAGAGGCAAGCCCAGCTCAAAATACCTTCGTTGTATATAACCCCTGCTCCCGAAGCTGAGCTTTTGATAGGATCCCATCTTTTGATCTTTGCGCCTCAACTGCGACTCTCCGGAGCGAAGTCTGCGCCGCTGGCGTCCGATGGCTTCTCTTTCGCTGTTTCTGAGCCTCGAGAAGAAGTTCTTCTGCGTTCTCGCCATTTCTGGACTGTTTCTGAGCAAGACAAGCATCGGAAGAGAAGAAGTTCTTGCGCCGCGAAATCTCGAGGGGAGAGAAGGCATGCAAATTGTGGCTCCGGGGCGATCTCGTGAGTCTGGCCGCCGAAGGCCGAAAAATTAGGGAACCGACATAGGGTCGAGCAAACATGCTAACGCCGATGATGCTGGGACAAAGGAAAGGATGGATAGGACAGGGAGCGCAACTGTGTTCTCATGCGGGTTTTGATGCCATCCCAGTCCGTCGTGGCTGTTGAGGTGGCCAGAATCTGCAATGATTGAGTTGCTCGACAAGGAACAATATCAGATTGACCTAATGATGAAAGCTAACTAGCCGGGGAGAAGAACGCTTAGTCACCAGGGCCCGAAATGATGCAGAAGCGACTAACCCAATCGAGGTACTACCTATACTCCGCGACCCGACCGGTTCTAGCTCCGTCTACCACTTGACCGCTGGGATGCTTCTCCCCTTCGCAGGCGCCCAGTCCCACAGAGCTCCAGGTACGGATTAGGCTCTCGCCATGGACGCGCCTGGCGCGACAGAGGCAACTGAGAGTGTCCGCCAGGACAGTCACGCCCCCGATTCCCACGTTAGCCGAAGTACATCCGAGGACAGGAATCACCGCTCCCAGCCCGATGAGCTCGAGGAGACAGACCATAGTCGCAATGGCGAACAGACGGAAAGCGAAACGGAAGCTGGGGATGATGACGATGAGTCAGAAGAGGATGACGAAGACGAGGAGGAGGACGAGGAACCGCGTCTCAAGTATGCTTATCTGACCAAGCACTTTGGGGCGGTGTACCGCAATGGAGATGCAACAAGCTCCTTTCTGGCTGCTGGGGACAAAATGGTAGGACAAATGATCAATTTAAGAGAAATCTATGCTGAGTGACAGCTTAGGTCATTGGCACGCATAACGGAAACATCGTGAGTAGCTCGTTGTCCAGGTCAAGTTCATGCGGACACTGACAAGTCCGCAGCATGTGCTGTCGGTACCCCAATTACGTTCTCTTCGTGTTTATCACGCACATTCGGCGAGCATTACCTCGGTCTCTATTTCACCTTATCCTTCTCCTTTACCGAACGTGAAACCAGAGTATTTCGGCCGATTCGCAGACGACCCAGAACACGCCTCCAGGTTATCTTCGGGCACCGCAAGCCTCCGTGGCAGACAGAGACAGAACCAGCCAGCCATTCCTTCGACGCCCTCCAACTCAATATATATTGCTACGTCTTCGATTGATGGGAACGTTTGCGTCGCATCCCTACTCGATTCGAAAGATGTCCTGTTGCGAAACTTTGGCCGGCCGGTTCAAGCCGTCGCACTGTCGCCGGAGTACAAGAGTGATAGAGCATATCTGTCGGGTGGACGTGCGGGTGACCTCATCCTCACTGTTGGAGGCCGAGTAGGTGTTAGCACGAACTCAACGACCATGGGCGGTGCTGCTGCTGCTGCCTCCAGCTGGCTTGGGTCGATAGGCCTTGGGGCCAATACTGGAAAGGATACTGTTTTGCATAGTGGTGAAGGTGCAATCAGCACGATCAAGTGGTCTTTGTCGGGTAAATATGTTGTTTGGGTGAACGAGGAAGGTATCAAGATCATGCGGTCGAATCTGCACCTCGATTCGGCTGACTCGGAGTTTGCTTGGAAACGCGTCAGCCACATCGATCGTCCTAATCGTCCCGGATGGGAGGAGATGGCTAGCGTGTGGAAAGCACATGCTGAATGGGTAGATGAGAACGCACTCGATATTGATGACAGTCTGCAAACGAGAGGCACGACCCAAACAGAAAGCTCTGCATCAGTGCATTCAACAATTGTCAGAGAGAAAGTGGAGAAACTTGTTGTGGGTTGGGGTGGAACTGTCTGGGTAATTGACGTCTACCCTGATAGACCAAGCAAGAATAACAGGGATCATAAGATTGGGTCTGTTGAGGTAACCACAATCCTACGAACCGACTGTGTTATCTCCGGTATCTCCTTGTATACACCCAAACTTCTGGTTGTTCTTGCGTACATGGAGGCAGAACAGGATATTCCCGAAGAAGACCGCAGCAAACATGGAGGTCGTCAGACTGCGACGCGTCGTCGCCCTAGAGGTCTTGAGCCAGAACTCCGAATTATCGACCTTGAAACGGAAACAGAAATTAGTGCCGACAGCCTCTCAACCAGCCGCTTTGAGACGCTCACCTCTTCGGACTACCATATGTGCATCCTGCCTCCATGGAAAACGAGCGTGCCCGCTTCGCAAAGGGGAGCTTTGGAGACCATCGGAAACGGTCTCTGGGATGCCACATTCTATCCTGTGCGACTTTTCAACTCCGGTGCTAGCATCCGCAGCACTACCAGCAGCGGTGACAAGGGCTCTAGTAGGGCACCAAGTATCTTTGCCTCACGGCGAGTACCCGCCGAGGAGCCTCTTTCTAAAGAGATTCAGGACATGGCAGGGAGCATTGGACCTAAGATCCTTGTCCACAGCCCGTATGATTGCGTAGTAGCGCTAAAGAGAGATCTCTCGGACAGGCTGGCGTGGCTGGATGCACATGAGAAATACGAGGAAGCATGGACATTGCTCAGGGAACATCCTGAAGCAGCGGGATCTGGAAGCGAGTTCAACGACACCATACCCGGAACGCCTTCTATATCTCAAGGAAGCTTCGGGGAATCATTCATCGACGATGCAGCTTCTGTCATTACCACTACTGCTCGGACCACCGCATCCGCCGCGCAGCAAGAAAAGCGTCGCATTGGTGAACTATGGATAGAGCAATTGGTGGAGCAAGACCGGTGGCGTGAAGCCGCTGAGGTCTGCACCAAAGCGATCGACACCACACACAGATGGGAGCATTGGGCCTGGAAGTTCATTGAAAAGGACAAGCTAGACGAGATATCGTCTGTGGTTCCCTTGAATATGCGCCCACCGCTGTCTGCGAACCTCTACGAGACTATACTTGGCCATTACGTGGCGCACAACCGGCCAAAGTTCAGCGAACTGGTCGAGCGGTGGCCATTCGACCTTTTCGATGCGAACAACGTCGCGACAGCAGTGGAGGAGCAGCTCAGCGAATTGACCACTGAAACGGAAGAGTGGCGTATTCTGTCAAAGTGTCTTGCCAAGTTGTACCTGGCGGGAGGCCACTATGGCGAAGCGTTACATTGCTACATCCGTCTCCAGGACGCAGACACGGCAATGGCGTTGATTAAGGACCACCGCCTACTTGACACCTTGACAGACGACATTCCCGCCTTTATCCTCATCAGGGTATCCAAGGAACAGCTGAAGACGGCACCCACGTCCGAGCTCGAGGAGCTTACTGCCGAGCCGATCAAGCTTCTCGTAAGCGAGGCGTACACCGGTATCGTGCGACCGGAACTCGTCGTCGAGCAACTGCAGGCGGCCAACCGACTCCTCTACCTCTACTTCTACCTTCGGGCTCTTTGGCGCGGTGAATCCCTGCCTCACGGCGTCGCGAAACCCCGACGGGGCCACTTTGCCCACATCCGCGATGCGGCCAGCAAGCTCGCAGCAGACGAAGGCAAAGCACTTGTAGACAACTTCGCCGACACGGCCATCGAGCTTTTCGCCGATTACGACCGACCCTTGCTCATGGAATTCCTCCAGACTAGCACCTCCTACGCCTTCGACCTGGCGCTCAACATCTGCGAGACGCGCCACTTCACGCCCGAGCTCATCTATCTCCTCTCGAAGACGGGCCAGACGAAACGCGCGCTGAACCTCATCCTTTCGGATCTGAAGGACGTCTCGCAAGCCATCCAATTCGCCAAGGCGCAGAACGAGCCCGACCTCTGGGAAGACCTTCTCGACTACTCGATGGACAAACCGCGCTTTATCCACGGCCTCCTGGTCGAGGCTGGCACCTCCATCGACCCCATCAAGCTCGTCCGCCGGATCCCCAGCGGCCTCGAGATCGAGGGGCTCCGCGACGGGCTCACCCGCATGATCCGCGAACACGACCTCCAAGCTAGCATCAGCCAGGGCGCGGCCAAAGTCCTCCAAAGCGGAGTCGCCGTCGGCATGGACACCCTCCGCCGCGGCCAACGCCGTGGAATCAAATTCAACATCATCCAGGAGGATCACCATCACCCCCACGACAAACGTCCCCTCACCGCCGGAACGACAGACGCAGCAGCAGCCACCGCAACAAGCGACGCAGTCACCGAGAAGACGACAATCACAACCGCAGCAACGCAGCCGTCGTCTTCTTCTGCCGCCGCCCCAGCAGGCCGCTGTGCAGGGTGTAGTCGGCCTTTCCGCGCCAACGGTAAGTGAGCCCAGGCAGACTTCTTCCGCCCTTCCCTTCCCGTTTACTCCTCCTTTGTCCCCGAGCTCCTTAAACACTTTCCCAGCGACACTATAACTCACTCATAAACAAAAAAAAAAAACCCCCCTCAACTAACGCACCACAAACAGAAAAGGAAATCCTGGTGGGGTTCGCCTGCGGGCACGTATTCCACCTCTCACATATCCACGCGTCAGCGGAATCAACAAACACAAGCAGTCCGACGACCACGCCATACAGCCGCTCGGCGGTGCAGACGCCGCGACCGTTTTCGCCGTCCCGCACGATCACGCTCGAGGACATCTCAACGTCGACGTCGCGAACGGTCGGCCCCAAGGTGACGACGGCGCGGTTGCTTCGGGACCGGATCGGTGAGGGATGTCGTATATGTACATTGGCCAAGGAATTGAATGCCCTCGGGGACTCGGATGCGTAGTGGTCGAAGGCGGGACAGACAGACCGACAGATAGGCATGTCTCAATTTCTTTTTGTTACGAGTGGGTTCTTGTGGTGGGTGGTGGTTCATGGGGATGAGGGTCGGTGTGAGGCTCTTCGACTCGCTCTCGGGCTTTGCCTCTGCTTAACTTCGTGCTGGGTGACTGCGGAGACAACGTCCCTCACGTCAAGTAACGCTCTGCAGCATTGGAGCTGCACTCCCCTTGGCGCCCTGCATGTCTTTGGATAGAGGGGCCGCCATGGTCAGAATGGAGCTGGTCGAGTATGGCAGTGTTCGGTATGGGTATGGGTTGGAGGAGGATGGGGACGAACAGGTTCTACTATCGCTCACGGAGCAACTGGGCCATGTATGTTTTATATTTAGGAGATACCCATGGTAGTAGCGAAATACTGTGCGAGCATAGTCAAAGAAGGTCTGAAGACTTTTTGATGAAATTAGGCGGTGACCAACCGCTGGAATTAGCAAATGACAGCACAAATTATTCTGGGAACGGCACACGACAAGCCTTGCATCCCGACATGAGACATAAAAGGAAACATAGAAGCACCAGATGTCCAACAGCAAGGGGGAAAGGGGTTCAGTCACACTGGGTCCCCGTACCCAAATCCCCCAACCCATAAGCCACTGATGAAAATCGCACTAGAGCAACCGACGAACTGCTTAGATACTGAAGAAGACAACGAAAGTTGCTACAAAGGCCAGGATGGCAGCAGAACGCATACCATTAAGACCAGTAGCTGCACTCGAAGGGGGCGCGGTGGTGTGAGTGCTACTGGCAGCTGAGGTACTAGTCGCGCCAGTGGTCAGAGTGGTAGCGGAGTGAGTGACATTCTGCGCACTAGACGACACAGGGGAAGACGAGTGAGAGGCACTGGTATAGGGCACACTGTGAGTCGCCTGAGTGTTTGAGGTCGGGCTCGAGACTGCCTCGGTCTTGGAAGTCACAGGAGGCTGCACAGTAGTGCCAGGCGCAGAGGTAGGAGAAACTCCCTCAGGCTTCGAGGTCACAGGAGGCAGCACCACAGTACCAGGAACAGTAGTAGGATGAGCAGGAGGAGCACCGTGAGACTCCGAGGGGCTCGAGGGCTGACCAGTAGGGTTGGCAGGAGGGAGCTCAACAACAGTGGTGCCCGCCGCGGGTGGGTTCGCAGGGGCAGTAGCGGAGATCACTGAGGTTGAGGTCTCGCAAATTGTCTTGATAATGGTCACTATTGAGAAGACACTGGTTAGGATCTTTACTTGAAGATTTTGAGCGAGCTGGAGGAAGGGACACATACCGTCACGAGGATCGAGCTCACGCTTGGCTACGGAGGCAGAGGTATCAGAACAGCTGAGCTTGAGATGCGCTCTGAGCTCGGTGTAACTTACCAATGGGGATGGCAATCAAGACCTCGTCGTCATAGACGTTGCCGACATTAGCAAAAGTTTCTGCCCCGTGGTTAGACTGAATCATTGACGACGATGATCGCGTGACACTTACCAGTAGCCAAAGTCATGGTTGCGAAGAACCAGACGGTCAACAAGACTGCGAACTTGAGAGGAACTTTGAAGAACATTTTGAACGATTGAGAACTGCTGTTTCTTGGCTTAAGGCGGAAGAGGTTAACGAACGAGGTAACTGAGATTGGAGTCTGGGGGTTGAATGGAACGAATGTAGTTGAAGGTAGCGAGCGAACGAGGGAGCGAGAGAGGTTTGGGTTTGAAATGGGAAGATGGAGGAGGATGGAGAAGTTGAAGAAAAGAAGAGAGAGAGAGAGAGAGAGAAGAGGAAGGGGGAAGATAACAACAGAAGCTGGTCAGGTGTCGCTGTGAACGTGCGTGTTATCGTCAGTGGGAAGGTGTGAAAACATCCTAATCGGGAAAGGGGCACCAAAGACCTCACCTCTCACACGGTGTGACAAAGAGGGCAAAGCCACCAGTAGAAAGGCAGACTTGCCCCCTCCATTCACTCAGACATACAGCAACCAGGCAGATCTTGATGCCAGCTGGTGTCGGGGTGAAAGGGAGAATGAAACCGACAGCTTCAAGTACTTGCCTGCTTGCCTTCTGACTGAGACCACATCTACTGCACATACATGCAAGCTCTACAGTACATCCTGGGGAGTGAAACTACTTACAGCATCGCCACCATCCACCCACTCAAAGGATAATTATAGGTGAGTACTTGCAGCTGTCAAAGCACTTGACACTTATGCCAGCTCATTCCTTCTGCAAAATGTATGTCTGTGGGTTACTTCGATATCAAGAAATGTATATACGACCATCCACTCTTCACTTCTCAGCGATACATTTACAAAGGGCACCTTCTAAGTGGTGCACGCCTGAAGACGCTTAATTGAGTTCCACATCTCCGAGCTTGACTATTCCTCCATACAGAACGAGAACGGAGAAGAGTTCATCCCAGTGCAAGAATAAGCTCAACGGCAGCTAGACTCAAACTGGTCAAATAGTACCAAGTCTATCAGATACAGTACAGTCAGATCGGACGCTACGCCAGCGGTGGCTGGAGGGATCCTCTCTCCCCTGCTCGGATCATTCTGGCGACATGTGCCTGTGGCTCAGGCCAGGCGCTTGGAGTCAACACCAGAAACTACACCAATTCCCGTGACCTCACGGCCTTGTCCTGTCCACACCGTCCTCTCTTCACCGTCGACGCTAATCTCCATGATTTATGACAGCTATGACAGTATGCATCTGTCTCGGTCCCATGCTGCACGGGAGACTTCTCCTTAGCGAATAGCTTATCGATTATTCTCGACGAGGTTTCAAGCTAGTCCCGGATGATAGAGAAACGGCAGGTCTAGATCGGCCTAGAATGTCTTAAACTGGCTATCAATTCTGGCAACACAATGCATGAACTCAGGTATCTGCGCCGCTCCCCTCATCCTGATTTTCTGGGGCCTGCCTTCTTCATCTGGCTGACTGATTTATGCACTACATACGCCACAGTCTATACTTACACCAGAGAATGTGAGCAACCAAAATTAGAGAGCTTCATTTCATGGCTCAATTGGAGGGGTTTGGTGAGGCGGTTCTTTGGAAGGGTATGCATCAAGCCGCAGCCAAGAAGGGATGCTCACCATCCGACGCCCCAACTTATGATGCTATTCCGAGTGACAGAGCTGTGCACTGACAGGTGACCCACTCTGCATCAGGTCTCATCTCTTCCCCTTTGTCACCCCCTCATGGACCAACACCCTGAGCAGTTCGTTGTTGCACACCCGGGATACCTCCAAATGGACGAAATATCCATTTCCTTCCGCGATGGACCAGCAACGTTAGCTGCGGAGGTTAACACAGATAAGCTACCGTCTCCACGGCTGCAAGTGTCACTATCCCCAAGTCCGATCCACCAATCAATCGACGATCGAGCAGAGATCGAGCAGAGGATTCTGGCAGTTCGCGATCCCCCGTGGCAAAGCGGTCCCAAACGTCTCTTCACGCACGTTTAAAATCAACCTTAAAGCCTAACGAGCCCTACCTGGGCTGACACCTGCAGCCAAAACCGCCATACCATTACCAACACCTGACAACGTTCTTTTCCGGGGCTTGAGGTTCCTGCTGCACCCGGCGGCAACCACCTCGTGTCCAACGCTCCCGGAACCTGTAGATCGATATCCCTCGGCCCCTGCTGCGCAACCGAGCGAGACAAGCAATCTATAAGCGCCGGCTGACCGATCGGAGCACGACGAACTAGTTTTCCCCTGTCGATTACTCCCAACTGCCGAGGACAGCACCGGGTGGTTCCTGATCCAGGATACCCTACTTAGCGCCATCTTCGATGTCAACGAAAACCGCCCGACGCCAGCCACCCATAACAGTACTTCTCGTTCCTTTACTCATATTTACATGTCTCATTCCAGTCAGTCCACCGCCCTCTGGCATTCCAACAGCAGGGACCCCTAGCTAGCCATACGGCGTGATACATACGATACCCACCGCCCGGCGGTTTGGAGTTCGTAATGCTTACAGCTGGTATGTAATTTCAATACGGCGAAAACGCGCCCTTCCTGCAGGCAAACGGCGCTAAAATGGGTGAAAAATTACCAGCGGTGGAGCCCTCACATCGGCACGATCCGTATGTGGAGTGCGAATTAATTTTTCTCAGTCAGCGCCGAGCGAAACCAGATGGAACCCAAACCGAGAGCGAAAAATCTGTGGGTTGCAGCGCACTATGTCCGGATTTCCAAGGAACCTGACAGGAACTAGCAGCGCAGGTATGACGACATCGTACATTTTTGCTCAGCTGGACGGGCCAGATCTTCCTCTTCTCCGTGCCCCTACCGATTCTATGACGTCATGCTCAGGGCCAGCTGCTGTCTCCTCCTCCTTCGTCCCCCGGGAGCTGGAATTCCCCTTCCTTTCGTCCCCTCTCTCGCCCTCTTGTTCCCCTTCCGAACAATTCGGGACAGAATTTTAGTGGGTGAGGGTGAAAATCCCAATAGAAGGGAACAGCCCACAATGAAGAGGGGGGACGTGTCAGACCGAACGGAAATCAAAATTTCTTTAGAGGTTTCTACGGAGTACCTTCCTCCATCTTTCTGATGCGCCTGCTCCAATTGTATCCCATTTCGCTAACACAGATTCCCCCATCCATGCATCACCACCTCAACCGAAGTAGGGCCCTTGACTTCGGACTGGTCGTTGTACATATACATGTAACACTAGTCAGAATAGTCCAGCCGATCTACTTCTCAACAAGATGAAATGCGAATTGTTTTGCTCCTCTCACAGACCGATAGACAAGACAGACAACATCAACAACAAACTCACACGACCAGAACCCAAGAAAGATCTACTCTCCCTCGCATGTAAACCTTTAGCAAGTTCGGAAATCCGAAACTAGACTAATACCCAAATCGAGACACCATCCCAAAAGTAAAAGAAAAAGAAAAATAAAATAAGAAAAAGAAAGGCCCTCGATCCATTCTACCACACGGAATCACTCCCCCGCTCGCGATGGAACACATCTTACTTCCTCCACGAGATCGGCAATATGGTTTCCGAGACAAGTGATTGGTGGATCGGCATTTCTCTTTGGTGATTTGTTTTCCCATTCCCGGAGACCTCTCGGGAATTAGAATGGTTTATCGCAGAAGAAGAAGGGGAAAAAAGTTCGACCTGAACCATTGGAACGACAAGTCTGGAACATATGATTTACAAACTCATTCTGTTCTAATTCCTCACACACACACACACACCCAGATTCATGTTTTGTTTTGTTTCCATGTGGGAGAAAAACCATAGGTCTAACCTGAAATTCAGTACGCTATGGGATAAAAAGAAAATGAGCGTGAGGGACGACAACTCGGGAAGAGAAACTACTCGTAAGCCCCAAAGTGGTACCGAGGTCCGGGCTGGAGCGAGGGAGCGGCGGCGCCATGTGCCGCCCTAGCTGTGACGTCATTGATATCTCGGCTCATGGATAACTAACTAATTTATCTACTGTGGTAGGGGCTGCTTTGGATAATGGTAGACTAAGCGCACACACAAACAGAGCAAAAGAAGACATCGATAGACTACTCTCTTGAAGGATCTCACACTCCGAAATTCCGAATAGGAAGGTGCATAACATCGTTCCTTATCGATAGACATCCTCCGTACACTTCTTAGTAGGGGTAGTTAATGTCAGCCAGGGCCATGCCGATATCGAACAGAGCTCTCCTCGAATCCCAACAAACATCCACAACGGCCCACAATTCCGCTGCGTACACTCACACTCACACTTACACTTACACTTACATTTACCTTTACAGTACTCTGTAAGCAGTAAGCCAGCTAGCAAAGAACATGCCGTAGAAGTCCAAGCGATACTTTCATTTTCCAGCCTCCGGATATCCAACCTTAGCCCCATCCTGAGACATGCACTAAAGACAACCACCCCCCCCCCCAACCTGTAAACTTTGCCAACCCGAGCTCCGTAGTGTACACCGCACCGTCCAACCCCGACGGTCTAGAACCCGACCAATCCTCCAGCTTAAACAACGCAGCGCATGAGGAAAGAAAAAAAGAATTCCACACCATTCGATTCCTTCTTCCGTCCGTCTTGCCTTACAGCCTTCAGCCTTACGGTCCGGTCCAGCTGACTCGAATCGTACCAGCCCCCATACCTGTAGTGTTTTAGCTCGGTATACAGGAGCAATTGGTGGCTTCCGATTGACGGATCTGTGTTTTAGTTTGTATATTTACTTACTTAGTACTTAGCACTTCAGATTGATGCACAGGGGATAGGTTCCCCATCCTAGGAAACGGGCACTAGAGACTGGACTGCAGTGCTGGACATAGCTAGCTAGCTAGCTAGCTAAGACTCAAGCATTAGGCGAGGGCGGCGTTGAACCTTCCCCCCCCCCTTCCCTCTCACACTCTTTCTCCTAGGCTAGGGACTAGCCTAGGGGAGAGACTCAAGCTAAACCCTATACTTAACTTAACGTTCGTATAGAAAAATCTGTTGTTGTTGTTGATGTTATTCCGGAGGTCTAGAACCCCTCCTCCCCCCTCTTTTACCTCCGACAGACAGCCAGAAACAGCTGAGACTAAAGCACGCCCTCTAGTCCAGAACTAGAGACTAGTCCCTTCGTTGAAGTATGAAGCTCGTTTACCTAGCGCCGTGCAGTAGAATATCTGATCGACCAACCATAGCCGGTACTGCCCTCGGGCACTGTAGTTACTGAACCTCCGATCTCGAATCGATTGATCTCGGCGCAGACAGTGGTACATAGTACTCTCCAAGCAGGAAACACGTCGTCGTCGTCATCGTCGTCCTAGATACAGACCGGATTGCCGGATTGCCGGATTCCCGGACAGTATAGTCCCCCTCCGGGGGGTAACATGCATGATAACCCCCCAACCCATCCCACCCATCCCAACTCAACTCAACTCAACTCAACTCAACTCCTTGAGAAAGAATCCATGAGATATATCCATACACTTCGCACTCCATCCCTAAGAGTAGAATAGCCAGTTCTCTAATCCAGACCTACAATACAAAGCACTCCGAACCAACCCCACCCAACTAAACAACCTAGGACATACATAGTACGATTCCCTCTATAACTCAAGTCGGGTAAATAGCCGAGACAAAGTACACCTAGCCTACGTACAAACCAACCAACAATAGCAAGAGAAGAAGGAAACGTGTCCAGCAGGGGTAAGAGGAGGAGGGGGGGGGGGGGGATCCACCTACATTCCCCCCTCCCCTCCCTTCGTACCGAGGAAATCAAATACACTCACCAGTAAACCATATAACCTCCAATTCTCGTTGGCAGGCGATAGAATTCGACAGACAAACAGACAGTGCCCCAGTCAAGCCAGCCAGCCCAGCTAGATCCAATGCCCGATCCTCGAAAGTGATCGGTTTTATCATACAGTTCTCGATCCCGAGTACAGAAAGGCTCCCACCCACCTGGTATTATTATTTTTTACAACCTCCGCTATCAGAAACCATGACCGGGAGTCCTTCCCGATGGTTCTGCCCCACTTTTTTTCGCTAAAAGACTACGCGATGATGTCATTGTTGTTGTTGCAAAGGGAAGCGATCCTTTTAAGTATTCATAATTTCCTACTAAGTAAATTATGAACGGAATGCCGGAGGTTCTGGACTTACCACCTCCATTCTATACTAACCATACCCATCAAACAGTGCTCCCTCCCTCCCTCCCCCCCTTCGGTAACAATACCACACTCACTCTAGTCCTAAATGAGAAAAGGTTAAAATGACCACCATCTAAGTACCTTTCCGCGCCCGCCTCCCCCCCCCCCCCAGCATCCCCTCGATCTACCTGTTCGTTGGTTCTGATGCGTCCGCCTTCATCCCATCGGTTTCTTCCCTTTGTTTGACGATCCCGTTAAGTTCCGGCCCTGCTGAATGATACAGACTCACACCAAAATAAAAGGTGGATCCCTGATCCGGAAACTAGGTTGGTCCCATGTATAAGAGGTTTGTTATTTTTTCTTTCTCTGGCACATATGATGATGATACCCTGTCTAGACAGGAGCACGCAAGTAAGAAAAAGTTTCATCAGGAAAGAAAGGACAGTCTTGGGTAGTAGGTAGTAGGTAACGTTCATCCAGAGAGTTGTTCCCGAGTAAAAGCTTCAATCATAGATAGATCATGGATCTGTTTTCTACTTCCCGAAAACAGCAAGAGTGGAGATAACACACAAGAGGAATTAAGCAACAATTAAGACAGATAAAATACTTCCGACAAAAATGGACAGGGTATCTATTCGTGTTCCTCATACCTCAACCAGATCTTCGAAAAATGGCAAGCCAACCAATCTCAACCAGAAGATATGCGAGGTCGTGTATTCCCAAGTAAAAAAAAAAGCCCATAAGACATTGTCGAAGCAAGGACATGTTTAGGATATCATGAAAACCATATAGCACAGAGTCGCGACAAAACATTTCGAGATGCAATATAATCACAGGGTATCATTGCTAGGGAACTCGTGTATTATTCCCTATTCCAACGAACGCCCCTTCACCTGCCCCCGTGGCAGATGTTATGAACGGCAAGAATGGAATCCCCAAACTCCGATGAACCCAAGAACACGAAGGTATATATCACTCAAGCATGAGTGCACTGTACCTTTTCACCACGCACCAGGCGCCCATGGAAAAAGAAAATAGGTGAAAAAACAAATAAGCCACCCGAGAGAGAAAGGCCCCAATGCTTTTGATTCCAGACATCAATAAGCAGAAGGGATTTGAAAGAGAAGATTTTACGCAAAAATGAAAGGGTGGGGAAGTATCGTCAATGTCTCCGTCAGTTGAAGACATATTAGTAGCTCAGCTTGACTTCGACAGTTTTCGCGCTCTCTGCGCCTGTAGCCGCCGCACTTTCGAAAGTGGACGTCTCTGAGATCTCGACTACCATGTCTTGGCCATCTGGCAGTTCACGAACAACATCGTCGTCGACCATAATCTTCAGGCCATTCTGCTTGACATGGAGCACCCGGACGATACGTCGCGGGTCGATCCGCTGCTTCATCGAGATCTTCTCCATAAGGTCTCGCACGGTGCGCTCCGTCAGGTAGACAGCACGGTAATAATCATCCTGAGACTGATCATTCCGCGGGAACCGGACGTAGAAACATGCAACTGATATCCGGGTTAATATCGCGTCCGAACACACATTATATGGGTATAGTAACTTACTAGGTCTGACTGGTCGCTCTGTTGGGGGCCTGTAGGTTGGATCGATATCTACTGCTTCGATGTAGCCCACTGGGACGGCGTTGTCATTGTCTGCGACCTTCTGAACTTTGACCGGATGCTTCAACAAAGTTTTGTCGCCCATGGCTTCCGAACAAGGGTGTGAATTCTCTCTCGAGTTGTTCATGGAACCGTGATACCCAGAGTCGTAATAGAGATTAGACTGCGTAGTCGGAGGGTGACAAGGTGAGTTCAACGAAATGCTGCTGCTCGTGGGTGAGACGGCGTGCAAGGACACTCCGTCGATACTGAACCGAGAGCTGCGGCTGTTCTCTCTCTTGATGAACTCGCGCGATTCGGGCAAGGCAACCGGAAAGAGATCCGGATCGTCTTCGTCCTCTCCTCGCAGTCCTAGAATGCTCACTGGCCGGGTTGACGTGAACATGTCCTGCATGAGCGCAAGTTTGGCGTGCAGATCATCTTCCAATGACATCTTGCCCGGTGCGTCCTGTGAACTCATGGACCATGTTCGCTTGTGTTTCGTGATCTTGGCGGGGCGAGGATCGGCACCCTTCAGGGCGATTGAGCCGCTGCTCCGCTTCCGCTTGCCATAACTGCCAGCTCCTAGCTCCGCCTGAGTGATCTGCTGTCGAAGCTTGTCGATTGTCTTCTTGACGTGGGCGACGTCGTTGGACAACTTCCGCTCGGCTCCATGGTCGCGGAAGAGTTTCACCTTGCAATAGCATACCTCTGGCTCCTTGCCCGGGCCCGAAGCCACTTCATCAGGCGAAAGCATTTCGGTTTTCGCGCATAATCGGACCGGAATGCCCTTCACACCCTTGGAATGACTGAAATCCGTCGACAGGAAGTTGAACCGAACAGAAATGGCACAGTCCGACGATCCAGTCGTCGGATTCGCCGTCCAGGTCACGCAGAAGCCATCAAACGATGCACTTTCGAGCTGAATCTGACGACTCTTCGCGTCATCAACGCCTCCTTGGACCGGATCGACATACTCAACCGCTTGCAGCTTGCCACCTCGTTGGTGTGCCTCATTGGAGCCTCGTCCTTCCTTCCACAGCTGCCAGCAAGCGCCTGGCTTTGCCCTTTGCTCTTCTTCTTGGAACGACACGCGAATGTAGGTACGATACCTCAGCAATTGCCCGGTCATCGGCGGGGGCGTCGAATCTACGACAGATACTGAATATGCTTGGCCTTTGTTGAGATATGTGACGGGTATCTCGGCTTGGTGGTTAATCATTGCCGTTGGAGCGCGCAAGGTGACATGATAGCGAAAACTGTGCCGGTTAGACATGATCTCTCTCCCATGTAAGAATTCTGGCTCACCTTTCACCGGGATTATGGATGCTGAGTTGGTCGTCTTGCATCGACGGGACGAATTGAGTAGTAGCATTACCCTGCATATCCACATCATTTAGAGACATTTCATCGACAGAATCGTCCATGGCATCGTAACCTGTATCGGTCGGAACAAATGCACCAGGTGCAAACGTCGCCGGTTGAGCAAACGGTTGCGGGTTATGGAAGTGTGACGGGAGGAAATGCGGATTGAAATGGTCGAGACCCATGGTTGCAGGATCGGTGTTGATGGTGGTTGCAGAGAGCTGCTGGGGCAGAGACAGGGGAGTGATCATGCTCAAACCCATGCCGGGGGTATGCAAGTCTCCCGCCTGACTATGGTACACGGCTCCCAGGCCCCCAGAGTTCGGAGTGTAGTAGCCATGAGGGTTCATCGGGTTGATATAGGACACTGCATTGGGGTCGACGTATGACTGTGCGAACCGCATGTCGTGTGTAGCACGCGGCGTGATATCGTTGGGCTTTAGATCGCCGTCCATGCTTAACCTGTCATCGTATGATCGAGTCAGCTCGTGTGCACAAGGCCAATCTGGAATACAGGCTCATTTGGAATGGCGTGCAATGAAACTTTTTTGGGGGGAGGGAGCAAGACTGCATTTGCAGGAAGGGGAGGACGTGTTGTATTTACCTAGCCGGAGTAATTGGGCCGCCGGGGACCTGACCGAAACGCGCGGCATTGCGGCTGGTAACTGGAGGAACAACGTCCTGGAAAGTCTTCTGGAATCTGGTGATGAGTTCATCATCGGGCTTCTGGGAGTTCTTTCTGTTGAGGAGAATAGACCGGTCAGCATGAGCACAGGCTAGCGACCCGAAAGGACGCACCATCCAATTTCTGTGGTGCACACCGACATACCTGTTGCGAAACATTATCAAGCGGATCGGCGCAGTTAGGGCCTCTCAATTATGGCCGTGCCGTCAAATTGCTTTCTAAAGGATTCTTGATTTTTGTTTTTATTTGAGTCCTCTCGTCTGACCGTAGATTGCCCGGTAAGTTATTGGGAGATATGGAAATCAGGGGAAAACAGCGAGGCGACTGTAGATGGAGGTGGCATTCGGATCAACAAGCAATGTCCGAACCGGCGCCGTGGTTGGTTTTATCGGGAGGCGATGGTACGTTGTTCCCGATAAAGTTGAGCCGAAATGGTGGCTAAAAAGAGTTTGGTGGATTCGTGGTTGAGAAAGTCGGTCTATGGTATCACATCACAATTCACTTGATTTCCGAAAGCGAACGACTGCGATCACAGAGACTACCACAAGCAGAGAAGAGGGTGTGGAAGATGATTGTTTGAGATCGGACGGGCCGGGGGGGTGGTGGGAGGGGAGGAGGGGAAGTTTGGGTTGCGAAGAGCGGAGAACAAATTTGAGGGGGAGAAAGTCCGAGTGTTGCTGAAGAGAAGCGGAACCCGGATGGTATCGGATTTATAGCTGAACAAGGCCCCTTACTCAGACGGTCATATGAGAACAGACACCGAAGGTTGCAAAGAGTTAGGGAGATAGGCGGAGAGAAGGTTTCTCGAGAAGGCAAGACGAAGGATACGTATGCTGGAAGCAACTGTACAAATGGTGGTGGAAATAGTTGCGAGAGAGGGAAAGAGGGAGAGAGAGAGAGAACGGAATGGGAGGGAGGGGGAAAAGGGTAGGTAGTGAATGTAAGTAGGTAGTAATGTAGTAAGTAGCAACGAGGAGGAGAGGAGAAGAGGGTAAAAGCGCTTGGGACCGAACGGTAAGACGAACACCCCAGTAATAATCGGTATAGTAGTAGGTAGGGTGGATATGGATGGTGAGAGGGTGAGGATCCGAAGGACTTTGACTAAGTCCAACAACCGTCCAAAGAGATTAAGAAGGCTTTTTGAACTCGGAGGATTTGTGGAAAGAATGTGATAGTTATTAATAAAAGAAGAGAAAGGGGCCACATGGGAAAAGACGTGGTGACGTGCAATAATAACGGTTGGTTGAGTGATAAAAAAGAATAATATTCTAAAATTCGGTTTGAGAAAATTGGAGAGAGAAAGAGAGAACAATAATAATAATAATAATAATATTTTAAAACTAAATCCGCAAATGTGAAGGTATGGAGACAAAACCTTCCAGAAACTTATTTTGCCCACTGTCCCTTTCACTGATTTCCGTAAAGTTCAATTCCGCTGGTCTGTGTGTATGTGTGCGTGTGCGCGCGTCCTCTCTGTGGTATTCTCTCTCTTCTTTTTACTTCCTTTCCACCCTTTTTTTCCCTCAAAATAAATGTTGTTTGGGTCGGTTTCCGAGATGATTTTCTGGATTGGATTTCAAACAGAGGAAAGACCCAGGAATCAGTGGGGAGGTTGTGAGGGGAGGAGTGGATCCGGTCTGGTTACTGGGTAATGTCCGGTGTGGTATTACCAAGGTACAGTACCTGAGCTGGGTAACGCCTCGAAGTGCCGTTATCTTACCGGTACTGTATCATACCAATTGCACTCAACTGGACTTGACTGGTACTATCTATATGTGTCCAGTGCAATAAGTAGAGTAAGGTAGGTGGTTAGATCAGGGAGACGAAGTTAAACCAGATCTCTTACCTCTCCCTCGGGTCCCGATATCTGTTTCTAGAAAGAGAAAGAGAAAGCGTGATAGCAGAGAGAAGAAGATTCACACTGGGAGGCAGTTCCCAGATCCCCCCTTCCCCCAATCTTAGAATGAGGTCTGAATATCCGTATATCCATTAGCGCAGAGGCAAAGCTGACAACTGCCATATTAAGCACAATCTAGCGTTGGTAGTCGTCGGAGTTATCTGAATCAATTTAACAGTTTATTCGGTATGTTGATTTTTTTTTTGGCGTGCGTTGGGGTTCAGGTGGTGCCCCGCCCCTCCGTTTCTCTCCATGCGCCTATCGCTTCAATACCGTGTCAGTCTATACGGCAGAACTATTCCAGATTTGTGGATGCCACCATTCATTCATTCCCCTCTTAATCTCCCGATTCTTCAAGCACTGGACGATAGATGATCTACGTCATTCCCGAGCCCCAGGGGCTGGAGCCTTCGCGATTCGTGTTTAATGCAGGCGATCGAAAGTCGACGTTAATTGACTTCGATATACCCTAACTTGCACACCCAGATTACCTCCCCCGAAGACACTATCTGCGCCGTCAGGTTCAGCCACGATCTGGGTGTTTATCTTCCAGAGGCGCGGTAAATCAGGCATCCATACAGCCGGAAAGTCAAGTAGACATGCGCAAAGTCTATTGCTGTTAGATCGCGAGCAGGTTGCTCTCGAACGTGTTTACCTTAATCGCTACCGACCTCGGGAATCAAAGGTAGCCCACAAGCTAGCTGCCACATGCCGCATGGTAGGAGGTAACTACCATTAGTGGTAGCAGTCGTAGTAAGGGTAAACTAACTAACTAACTAACTACCCTAGCAATACTAACTTTACCAAGCAAATGGGTTGAGGGCCGAAGCAGCATCCTACTCCGGCGACCTAATTGACCTCCATCGGTGGACTCCCTGCATACTAGGTCAATGGAGCTTGTAGAGATCCTCCCCCAGCCCATGGCAATTCAGGCTAGGATTTACATCAAGCCGGTGCGCATCAACGCTGCGGAAAGCGATAGAACATACGAGATTGGGAGGATCGCATTCGGCGTGGGAAACCCGATCCGATCCTATCCCAGGCCTGGACTAGGGCAGGGCAGTGGACACCCGCCGTCTAAACAGCCGCATGGGTTTTCCCAGGAAACTGAGGAAAGAGAATAGATATCTAGAAATATCTTCATCACTTACTTACTGCTCCCCCATGCACCCCCCTCCACCTCTCCCCTCAGAGGCCCTATTCCCAACCTCCGTTCTTGCCCGTTAATGGTGGGGACCGGCGCTGACACTCAAAGTGAGTGTCAAAAGGGAAGAAAATGTTGTGCTACTGCCTTAGTAGGCATTCGGCCAGACCGTAAAGGCCTATCGATCTGCAATCATCATCTTACAGAGTAAGAGCCGTGGCCATGATGGTACGAGCGCAATTATATGATCAGATGTGTGTGTGTAATACGAAGGCTTCCCTAGCGTTCCAGAAGAATTTTGTTTGTTGTCTATGATCTTGAAGGGAGCATATCGAATCGGAGGCGCCTACGGTACGATGAGTCTCACAATCTACATCCACTATGAGCAGAATGACTCGTGGCGAGTCCAATGATTCCAAAAGGGTGGTAGTAAGTAGCCTCAGGGCTGTAGACATGGAGGGCAAAAAGGTACCGCGTTAATTGGTCGGCATCTCAGGCCACTGCAGTGGAGGAACGAGTCTGTATAGAGGGAGTCGGTAAGGCAGGTGGATTAACACCCAATTGCAGGGTGCCTTGATCAAGTGAAACGTCCGACCTCGCCTAGAATGGAGTCGGATCTGGACCGGGAGCTTAATTCTGTCGTGCACGGGGTCAAACATTGAACCATATTCTAGCTAAACCGTATCCTGCGGATAGACCATTAGACGATGGCTTATGACACAATGCTTCGACCCTAGAAAGCACAGACATGTGGTGGTATCGTACTCGCCTATTTCTGCAGCCAGCCCTTTCAAAAAAGTATGCCGCAACGCAATCTAAGCCCTGCGTGTCCTCCTGACGCTGATGAATGCAAACGTTGATATTCCACCACCTTTCCTTCCCTCATGGGGTTGACTCTCTGATACTGTAATATAACTGTGTATTGAGGCTCGGGGTGGATTGTATAAGGATTGTAAGTGTGTTTAGACTTTTCAACGGCCTGGATTGCTTGGAGTGCAAACCCGCCAATCAGCGACATGAGAAAGAGGGCTCTCCGGTCACATCGGACGGATCTCCCCAGTAGCTTATTACATAAAGCGCACGTATTGTGATAGGAGAGGTATTGGATATGACATTACGGGAGGTAGGCACTAGACAGACCCAGTTTGGTTAGTCCCCGCGGCGGTACTTTTTTAGTAAGAGGGAAGAGAACATAGTAACGAAAGGTACCTAGTACATACATCGATGTTCCTACCTGGCTAGACTGAGATGAGTCGTCGACGGACACGCTCATGAATGGTTCAGACCCAACGATCTAAACTAATGGAACCTGAACTAACGAACATTGGCAATGTTTTCTCATCTAGCGAGCAGACGCATTACGTCACAGTCCGTGCTGCGTGCCGTACCCGCCCTCTTGTCTCGATAAGGCCGAAGCATCAAGTGGTTCGTTCGTTCTTTTCCGCTCCAGCTGACGGAAGCGAGAAAGGGGAAGAAGAAAAGGAAATGATGCTCGGAGAAACCCAAGAAGTGTATCGCTTAGTGTAATCACAATCTATTACAACAATTGATATCATTTGCTGGGTAATTGGCCCGGTTCAAGGGGAGCGATGACTGACCCAGTCGGTCAGACCAATGAGGGCCTATCAGGGCATGTCTCCGCTAAGGGCGGGAGAGTCCCCGGATTACATCATATGCCATCTTAGTTCTTAGTAAAGAAACCGAGTGCATTCTAAGTAGTCGAATTAATCGCACTAACTAACTATCGCCTTCACCAATTGTTATGCCTATGGGCATGGCATATTGAGGGATGAATTGGCTGATCCACTATGACGTTTAATCCTCGGCCCTAGGCAATGTACTGTACATACATACCTACCTAGTAGTATCGCCATCCTTTTACCTGACGAGCTTAGGCTCTATAGAGTACCATTACCGAAAGTACCGTCGTAGGTTCATTGCGATCCTATTGCGCTAGCTCTGGTCTACTACATAGTACTCGACATGCAAATCATTCATCCGGCTCCTCCGGGGGCGAGATTCGCGGCTTCTGTATAGAGGTCTCGGATAGTCAGATATCCTCGAGCAGCAATTGGACCAGGGCCCTGATCCTTTCGAAGCGCCTTTGTCGAGTAATGTGGGAGTGATATATGACTGCTCGCACAATCTGGGGTACTAGATTTGTCGGACGGAAATCCTCAGTTTCAAACTCGCAGATACCCCTGTCATACCACTCGGATCATATCCCTGAGGGATCGCATCACATTTCAGCTAGGATCGACCGTTGGGACGACTGCTTCTTATGCACTGTAGATAACTAACTCATCGAGTTATGCGCCGTCTGGTAACTCTCGCCGTGGGAATGCAAGTGTTCCCTGGAAGCCGGATGGCACTGTGATATATACCTCCCCCCTACCGGCAATGAGAGATGGCAGTCGAGTTTGATGGAATTTTGAATCCACACCACCATGCGAACTGCACCAACAACAACCGAACAGATAACACGCTTCTTTCCCAAGTCTCATCAGAACGACATATCGAGCGACGAATCACCTCACTTGCCTCGAGACGACACGCAATGAAATGTGTCGACCGTCCCTGTCGCCGCCGGGATAGGTGTACGGCATGTAAATACCTTGGAAGTAGCAGTAAGGTATATCCGCTGACCGGTACACAGGGCTAGGTTCTCCTTTGTTACTGGCTCCCTGCCCTACTGGAAGCCTTAAGCACCCCATCAGTCGAGGTGCAGCGGGTTCTTGGAGGCTTGGCCGGATTGGGCGTTTGTCTGGCGATGTCCCATGGAAGTTATTACTATAGTTTGTCCTAGACGGTAGTGTACCGCACTCTCTCTCGTGGTATGTATGTATGTATGTATGTATGTAGTAGTATGGAAACTGCATATCCTCTTTTGTTTTAAGGTACGGATCTCGAGTGAGACGAGACGGAAATCTCGAGACAAGCAGGAGGAGGGTGGGGAGAGAAACGGTTCGCCCACACTACCTACCACACACACCACACCATACCACACTAGACATCCACCCGCAGTCTCCTGCAGTGCGACCGAATACCTACTTACAGACACACACAGATCCACACACACAACATCCACCACACCTGCATCCATATCCCAAATACATCAACATGAATAATGAATAATCCTGCACGCCGTTCAATCCCAAGCGAGCGACAAGAAACTGAGGCGAGGACTGCCGGCACACCCGCGGGGCCATATCATTGGCTGAAGAAAGAGCCGTATGGAACTCATTCTCCGTGATTTAATATATGGAGTATGACAGTGAATCATACCTTCTTGGCCGAGCAATGATCAGATCCAGATCCCCACTCAGTGGGCTGTCGTAAAGGGGTTAGCGAAACTTATTTTTGTTTTATCGCTTTGCAATCCGCATATATTCTCCGAGCCCAAAGAAGGACGTCTGTGGCCCTACACTCTACAGTAAGAAGTGTGGCACCGTGAACAGTGCCACATCAAGCATCCACACCATATTCATGGCATTGCTCTTTTCCTCGCTTCTCACCGCACCGGAAAAGAAAAGGAGAAGGCAAAAGGGAAAAAAAAAGTAAAAGTACACTACGTCGGACAAAAAGGTACCTTTTTCTTTTTGCTCTCTCCTTTTGGAGCCATCGTTCTGGAAACCCGAACTGACTCGAGCAAACTCATTATTGATAATCATATATTTCTAAACATGTGCCCAGACAGGCAGGTAAGCCAGAAAGAGTGAAGCACTCTCGCCACCCCCGGTCGCGCGTCAACCAAAAAAAGAAATATCTATGACTGTCCCAGCGCCGGGAGTTATCAACCGGTTCGTCTGGGCGCATGAGATACATTCGATCATTTGCACCTGTTCCCCTAATATCTGGTTCCATTATGAATATGATCCCTCCGCTGAAGCATGATTGGAGTTGACTAAACACGAACCAACCCGCTGCTGCTGACTGAGCGATAGAATGCTAATTAGTTAGTATTAGCTAACTAGCTAGCTAGCCTTCGCTCTCTGGCCCACGAGATTTGAATTCATTGAGATTATGATCAACCGAGGACAGCCCGTTCACGAATGGTTCTAGTCCACCGTCAACAGATGCATCTGGGACATCAATATTGTCATATCGACAATCTTGTACATTATGTGGGCCGAAAGCCCGTCCCTCCCGCCATCCATGCGTTTCTCGAAGATCTTCACAGCAAGGATACGATAGTATTCAGAATACGATATGAGAGATTCTAATCAATTCATCAACTCATCAATCAGCGGGGCTCTCTTCTTTCATCCCATCCTTACTAACCAACAAACACACCACGCACCCCTTCCTTCTCTCTCATACATCCAAACGTCTCAAACTTCAGCACTCGCGTCCATCCTTCCATCTGGTTAAACCATCCACATTCCACCCCTCCACCCACCTACCTATCCACCATTTATCTCCCCATCCGTCTAGCGCATCTCTCCGAATCTACCGCGTAAGGCTTTGACCTTTCCCGCGATCGAATAGCAATCCCCTGCACTGCCCGCTTCTGCCGTCTCGGACGGCAGAGCAAGCACATCGACTGTCGACTTTTGAAAGGTGGTGTTGTTGCGTGGGGAGGGGGGGGGAGGAAGATCGCGACCAGGGATGCTCATTCATTTTCTGATTCTCCTCCATCGATGTGGCGAGGTACGGCTGAGATACCTCTCATCGCCATCGCCTCCGGACACCGGACAGGGTACTCCCTGAGTAGTAAGTTGTAGCTGTTCGATGCGGCGGGGAAACCCCTCTTCCTACGCAAAAAAAGAAAAAAAAAGTAAAGGGTATACCTAGTATCCACGAAGCACGTCCCTTGGAAGGATTTCCGAACCCGGAAACCTTCTCATCTACCCGTGACTGCCGTATGTACAGTACATACTTATCGCAGCCACCAACAGACCCAACCTGAACTACACAAAACCGACCTCGAAGAATCAAATCGCCATGCGATACACAATACAACCAAATAAAATAGAACAAGACGAGCACGATCAAAAGCAGAAAGAAAAGAAAAGAAAAAAAAACGGATCTGTCTATCTCGATCCCGAATCCCCTGAGACGAAAGACAGATTTATTTAATCCCATGTTTTGTTTTGATTTATTCTATTCGGGACACCCAATTGGTTCATGGTTGTGCTCCCCCAGCACATCCCGGCCGCGCATGTGTATGGGTGTGTGTGTGTGTGTCTGTTTATCATGAGTCGTGTCGTGTAGTGTGTCAGTAGCCCGGTAGCAGTGCGTGGTGACAGGTCTTAGGGACTGGACTAGAATACAAATGCGGGATCTACCCACTAACTGTACAGAATGTGCTGGTGGTGGTGGCTGCCGGTCTTTCTCCCCCCCGCTCGCCTTCCTCAGGCTACGAACGGAGATGCCTAATGCTATCTAGTCTTGGATTTGCTTTCTTTTTCTTTTGAGGACTTGAGTTGAGTATCATCGGATGGAACTCTATGGGGATTGCGCCCGGGGGGCGAGAGGGGGGAGAAGGGTAGGGAGGGAGGGAGGGAGGGAGAGAGGGAGGGATTATCTTTGCCCGATAGAAAAGGGTGGTTGAAAGAATCCGTCCCCGATAATCCTAGAAGAATGAGGGGAGGGGGGCGATACATCCCCTCTCCGCGGAGAAGGTGTCGCCTACGGGGATAGAATGAGTTCGAATGAATTGTAGGAGGGGTTTGTGTTGCCTTTGCTTTACAGTATACAGAGGAAAGAAGAAGAAGAAGAGGCGACAAGCTATCCTCGAGTCATGGTTGCGAAGAGAGAGCATTAGTCAATAGTAAAGTCGCAAGCAAAAGCAGAAGGTCTAGTATGGCCCAGTGGATATTACTGTAGCCCAAGTAAACTAACTACAGTAAGAGGACAATGATTACTAGGTAGCACATGTTCTTGTTCTTTTCTTGACTTTACTCCACCACCCAGGAGCTACTTATCCCCTTGGGGCAACAGTCTTTCTTCGCCAGAGCAGTCCGCCAAGAACCTCAGCCCTCCTTTCAAACCTCTAACTAAAGCCTCTAAACCTCACCTTCAAATTCAATTCTCTCAAGGCTGAACAATTCCACTACACTAACCCACCTTTCATCATCAATATCATCATAGAAACCCCACATTCCCGCCAATTCAAATATTAGTAAAAATGAAGTAGATCAAATCACATCAAACCAACTTTACTCAGCACCCACCCCACAAAACAACATGTATTTATTTCCCACTGTGGCGTCAGATAGTACACCGAAACTAGTGTCACTGTCCCTGGGGGGAGAGAAAAACAAACCTTGAAACAAATTCGGTATTCCATTTCCTGCTCGGTCGGGCGCGCGCGCGCGCCCTGTCTTTCTTTGTACTATGTAATCTGCTTGTTGCATGTCTCATTTGCGTGTCAACCTCCCCCCCCCTCCTCCCTTGCGTAGAATCAATATGGAAGGTTCTTTGATGATTAGTATTATTATATAGCTAGCTACACGAAGTATGTGGTGTCTTCAACTGAGACAAAAGAGGTTGTGATGGTATATGCTAAGTAGAACCACCGACCAACTCGAAATCCTATCCAGTGATAGATACATAGTAAACGGGGAGCTTCCCCCAATCGCCCGTCCACACCACAGATCACAGCCCACACAGCCCACAGCGTCGTACCAAAGTGTCGGGTCCAGCGCGGGGCGGATTGTGGCTTCCCCCTTTAAAACATACAGTACGTATGTACATACTTACATTAAATATATTCCGTCTAGTTTGTGGAGAAGTTCGGTAATGTAAATTACTACTCCTGTACCCTACGGACCTTGTTTCCGTGTCTTTTGATAAGCAGGTATACAACAACGGTGGTGGTGGTGATGGTGGTGTTCCAATGCTACTGCGTGGATACACACACTGCACTACCATAGTTTGCCTTTCGATTATACAGTGTGAAGCGAATGTAAGTTCGAATAATACCACCCACCCACCCACACAGAGAGATTTACAATACATTCCTCGTAAGTGGTAGGTAAATCGACCCATGGAAACGATCTTAAGTTCCATGTTCAGCACGCAATCTAGCTAGGTACATAGATCTCGTCCCTGAGTGGGCGAGATCGCTGGAAAAGGATACCGAAGGTCTGGCTGTCCATTTTCAAAACCAGGCGATATCCCTGGATTGAGTGATAAGGGGGGTAGTAACCATCAGACTTTAATTATAACCTCTAGTAGGTAGGTACACAGGCTGCTTAATACAGTCCTGCCTATCGTGTCCACCCCAAAGAAGGAGGACCTAGAAACTAAGCTCATCTCCCAGCAGGAGCACAAAGCAAATAGATAGCTCCAGCTCCAGCACAGCACAGTTCCATCGAAACTTCCTCTAAATCCAAGGGAGCACAGACGGTCACGACCCACGGGATGCATACACTTAACGAAGTAGTCTGGGGGCAGGTGACAAGCGTACCTAAGAAGTAAGTAAGTAAGTAACTGACCCTCCTCCCGTAGTAGCAACACCATGACCATAGTCCACAGTCTCAAACCTAAAGACCCATATGCCGGGCTTGCCGATACGGGCTGCATCTTGTGCGTATGTGGTAAGTCATGGAAATAGAACTAGCCTAGAGCTGGGCTGAGCTGCGTTAGCTGTTGGACACGGGGAGTGCATGCTTTCATCACGGAGAAGGGACACGGGGGGGGGGTTAGGGGAGATTCTCACTCGAAGAGAGCCCCGGGGGGTACCTTTATGGCTTGGTTTCACAAGTAAGGCTGGCTGGTTGGGTTGGTGGCTGGCTAGGACTCCTACTCGATTGAAGGTACATATCCATCTCTTGAGAACTCCCCCCATGATCGTGACCAGACCCAGTATAGATAGATAGAAGTTCGTTCTTATAGGCCGTCATTCCATCAATAGTGGAGCATACCAACGAGTCGTGCAGAAGCTGAACCTTCATGCATGAAGAAGACGAAAAAAAAAGGAGTAATCACCGTGTCATCCATCCATCCATCCTTAACAACCACAAACAAAGCATTTAGGATTTAGATTCCGAGCCGCCCCTCGGGTTCAACCTCAACCCACTTCCAACCCCGTGATACATACACAGAGAAGAAAAAGGAAGGAGCCAGCTCTACCCGTGTCAATCAACCGTAAGGTATCGTACATGTAGGGAACAAACGGAAGCCTCGGTTCGCTACCTTATCATCAGCAACGATATAAAGTTCACCGAACATTGGAACAATCGAAGATAACTATCATGGGGTCACGGGGGCTCTAAATTGTGTTTTACATAGTATGCGCGAGTTACACTTTCTAAGGTCCGAGGTCTGAGATTTGCCATAGTCTAGGTGAATCGGTTCCGGGGCCGGTCGGAGTCTTATCGTGAGGTCACCATTGATGAGTACCACTGTATGTTTCCTTTCTATGTTGGCGGGGAAGGTTGAGTTTCGATGGGGAACACGGGCATGGGCACTCTCCCCGGGTTAGGTAGGAGTTCAACTGTATGCCCTTGTTCCTTCTTGTGCCATGGTTTAGAGTTAGGATCGGCGGTACCAAGTGCTGAATCGGATGGGGAGGGATCCCCCCGGACAATGAGTGATGATGAGGACTGCTACCTATTTAGGTAGGTAGGCCTGCTTTCAAAGGTTTGTAAGGTAGGCTGGATATCTGAGGTAGTAGAGGAAGTAGATGATGCAGGGCAGCGCAGTGAGCTTCAAGCTGGCTGTTTCGCGCTGGTAGATTTGGACACAGTCATTGATGCAAGACCCTCGGTCGATTTAGGCAAATCGGTTTACATCATGAGCATCGGCAAGTATAACACATATGTAATTATCTATGAGCCGTTGGGCCATTGTCAATTATGTTCTCCTGACAGGTATGTCCCACTAGCAAACCCCATGATTCTAAGACCTGCTTATCTCATGGAACACATACACTCCACATACTGGCGCACCACTGCTCAGTGGTCACCTCACCCCAAGGTAGAAAGCGAAACACTAGCAACAAACAAAAAAAATCAATCAAAGCCGCAGAAACTCCTGGGCGCCGCCCAATGTAGACAGTACGACAGCAGGAGACACAAATGTAAAGCATGTGAGTGTCTGCGCCTCTACATGCGCAGATAGAAAGCAACGTCGAGCTGGAGCATGCAATAGAGACTCGGGTAGTGCCATTTCCTGGAGAGACATGCACCACCGCTTCGGGTATGTATTTAGAAGATCAATTTGCAAAAGCATCCAGACACAAACGGCAAAGGAGGAAGAAAACACGCATTGAATGGGTATCCTGCGTTGCTCATCGAACCAGAGGCGTGAAAGAAAGTATTCCGTGGAGCAACAGTAGCTCACGATCAAGATCTGGGCCCGGCAATCAAGGGGCTGCAACGGCCGATCGCGATCGAGTCAACGGGCTGGACGAGAGACCTGAGAGACCTGAGAAGCCTGGGTCCTCAAGCTCAGGCAAGAGGGTGTTGGGAAGATCATGGCCATCACACCATGTCAGATCAGTGCATGATGACGAGTGAGAATCCATCAATCCAAGGCCCGCTGGACCCCGTGATTCCGGCAATCTTGTATCCCAAAGGAGGGATCAAAGTGTGTCTAGAGCCACTTGTTAGTGTTAAGGCCAGGCATAGAACCAGATAAACACCACACTGGGTTACTTCTTACCCTGAACCTCCCTGAGCATTTCCAAACATGCCAGATTTCCTCCCTTGGCTGGTCAAGATCTCAATAGCATCAATCCAGTGACCGGCTCGAATATAGAAACCAAGTAGAATCTCCCCCCTTCGGGTATCTAGTTCGTTTATTAGCAATTGCTCGACAGCGGACGACGGAATATAACATACCGAGCACGAAATCGTCACCGCCAGGCTTGCCATCTCGGTTACCGAAGAGCTGGCTCGTAGCATCCTCATAGAAGAATTCCAATCCATTGACTGCGTCGCCGTGATAGATCCGGACCGATATCAGGAGCTTGGTCGAGATGAACGCACAATCCAACAGCACCTGCTCCGGTTGACTTCCCTCCAACTGAGAAAGTCCCAGTTGTCTACCCTTATAGCCGGTGTGGCTTTTGGGGAGTTTCACCAAGGATAATTTCGACTTCAAGGAGCTGATTGAATCCACGGTGTGACTGCCGAGAGCTCCAGAGTAAACAATCATTTTGACGCCCTTCTTCTTCTCTTTGTCGTTGCCGAAGACACGTTGACGCATTTCACTTTCCGTTACGATGACCTGCCTTGGGAGTCCGTTGCTGCTCGACTCACTATTCATGTACTCGATGAAATTGTGGCAAACGTTGTCACCTTCAGCATAGAGTTCGATGAATGCGATTCCTGATGGGGCCGTGAGAACGATTTTGCCGTTCTCGACGGGCCAGACCTGAAGACTGTCGTCGGAACCTATAGGGGCATCGCCGGGAAGCCGGAAACAGGGGTGAAAGCGGAAACGCAGAACGTCAAGTCGATGCCAGCCACATTCGTCCTGGGGTAAGCACAGTTTAAGGCCTTGTGTCTTCGTGCGGGTAGAAAATGGCTCGCGCGTGAGGAAGGACCGATTCAGACGGACATAATCCCGGAGCATAATCCCGGATTCTTGATGTGGACACCCGAAAAGGTGACCTACCTCATGAAGATGAGCTCCAATACCGATATTAGCAGCTTCCCAGCTGGATCCAGCCTCCCCACAGTCATTAGCTACAAATTCAGTATTAGTCCTGGTGCAATCAGAGAAGCAGTCCACAACCTCCTCCATGTTGGAGGGGTAGCTGTGTAGGCTATGGGAGCCAAAAATCGCTAGCTTGAGATCTCCAGAATCCGAGCCCAGGGCGGCATGACCAGTAATCACTTGAGAGCCAGTGTCCCAGTGTGAGTCCAGAAGCAACACGGAGACATACTGTTTCTGGCCCGGTTGAAGGTGAAAGTAGTCCTTCACGGCATCTCTCGCGATCCGAAACAGCTCATCCTTCTGGGTGGCGGAGCCATTCTGCTGCGCGATATCGAGATCTCGAAGTTCGGCGACCGTTTTGTCGGTCCGCACCACGTGGATTTTCGCCTCGTTTCGCATTTGGCGGGTCGTAGCGTCACGCCGGCTTGAGGTACCCATCTGCCACTCGTCTTCAAGTCGGAAGCAGCGCCGTCCAAGATTGTTGCGGTACATCTGCTCCCCAGTAAAGGCCTGCCACAGGTATGCCGCCATTCGATACTTTTGAATAGCGGTTTCGAGGCCACTCCCTTCCCGCTGTTGCTTCTCTGGAGGGGTATCAAAAGTACCATCCGAGTCCTTGCCGAGCAGGATCACTAGTTGTAGAGGCGGGGCATTGACCAGGGGGAGATAGTTGATGCAGATCCAGGACGAATGTACCGACTGATGAGCGCTACCTGACGAGTGTTTGCTCGACATGAATTCGAAGCGCAGTCGGTTGGGGCCTGGGACCAGATGGACCAAAGTCTTGAAGTGCGAAGACGTGACCGGCCACGATGTTGACGGGAAGCTATCCTGGTGATGGTAGACCGTGACGGTTCCGTCCAGCGGATGTTGTCGCGGATCCCCAATTTGGCCGTAAACAAGCAATACTTTATGGTGCACCTACGCAGAGTTCCCAAAGAGGTCAGTTCTTGAAATCCACTAACATTCGCCCAGAGATCCAATCACTTACCCAAGCGTTATCGGAGACAGAGATAATGCGGGGAGCGTAGGGAGAAGAAGGAGTGGGCGACCGTCCTACTCCATTCACCGACATAGTACTACCAAACTAGCACACGAACCAGACCATCAGCAAGTGCATTGGCTGCCAGCAGAGATGACATCACATACATAGGCGCTATTTCGCTGAGATGAGCTCGTGAGGGGGCCAGGCCGTTGATGCGGCACGGAAAGGGGCGAAACTGCGCTATTGGGTGTGCTTTGACTTTCACTCAGCGAGGGAAGGTTGGGAGCAGACAAGGTAGGCTTGATCGAGGAAGGTGGGGTGAGAGAGCTGGACGAAGCGGTTTCCAGGGTGGATGACGATTGCCCCGAAGTCACATCGCCGTTCGACTGAGATTCATTGGACTTGGTCTCCGGCGACTTGCTGGTAGTGAAACTAGCCTTCGAGCGTCGACGCAGCGTCTTGAATAACGGCATGATGAACGATCTCTTTCGGTCTGATTTTGGTGGAGGATCTCAGACGAGGGTAGGTGGTGAGGAAGTAAGTATACTGGGAAGGGAAAGAGAGGCTGAGCGCGCGCTGGCCGGTGTGTTCTGCTTGTCTTGAAGGGTATTCGTTCCTCTTGCGATCACCTGGTGGAAGTTGTGAACTTGGGCAGGGATAAACGAATGACTATCGATTTCCAAGCTGGTGTGTTGTCGTCAAACTGTGTATAACTTTTTATTTTTCGGCGTGGGTTGACACGCTGCTGCTCTGCGCTGTTGGGGGTTGGTCCCGATGGCAAGCTAGGAAAAAGCAACCGTTTGCGGTTGCGATTGACGAACGAATGGAATCGACACCCCGCATCCACTGGAATTTCTGGAAGGTTAATGGCACTTCACAGATTGACAGTCGGTAGGAAAAGGTATTAATTGGAACAAGCGAGAGACAAGAAAGAAGGAAAGAAAAGGAAACGAGAGAAGAAGGCCGGGGCGACCAACAATTGGGGGGGGGGTTGTCAGCTAGGATGAAATCATTAGCCAAGTTGAAGGCGGGGAGGGGAAAAGATGAGAGAAGGTGAGAAAAAGAGGGAAAACTAGGAACAAGAGACAGGCAGAGAGGTTGGCTTGACCAAGGAAGGAGGGACTTTTGGTGTAAAGGAGGAACCAACAGGAAAATAATAATAATATCAAACTGAATAATAATGTGGAACAAATAAGAAAGGGAAAAAGGAAAAGGGTAAGAAAAGGGAAAATTGGGCGATAATCAACGAATGGTGGTAGACTAAAACCTCCCAGGAGTAAACTAATACTGAGTGATGTACTTGCTGCTGCTATTGCTGCTGTTAGCTGCCAGCTATCTATCTTCTGGGGGGGGGGTTTTGGCTTAGGTGGGAAAAGGAAAAAAGAGAAAGAGAGAGAAGTGCTCCAGTAAGACTTTGTTAAATTGTTTGAATAATAGTCTGGAAAGCCAGCCGGAATGGAGTCGATTAGTGCCTGGACTAAGAGAAAGAGCCATTGTGCTATGTCATTGGTATGTGAGACACGCAAAATAAGAACTGCAACGGCCAATCTCTTACCTTGTTATCTGAATCGGTCCCGGTCAGAGCCAGACCCCATTCCCATTCCGTTACCACGGCTAAAAGCTTGTTCAGCTTTGGTTTGAACTCGCTGTCTCTGTTTGTTTCACCTCGATAGTTGTGGTATATTGCCGTTTGTTCTGACTTTCTCCCTCGAATGCGGATGCGGATGAAGGATGGAAGAGAATCACAGGCACAGACAGACCCTTGTGTTCTGGTTCTGGTGGTCCCTAGATGCAGGCAGACAGGGCAGATAACGATCAAAACCTAAACCAACAACCCCTCATGGCGCCGACATACAACAATGGGTTAAATGGACAAAAGACCGATAATCCGGATAAAAAAAAAGGAGAACAATCAACCATCCAAAATAGCAGTAATAATCAGAATCCAACTGCTGCCATCGGCGATTAAGGTGGGGGGAAAGGGAGGGCGCCACAGCCAAGCTGCAGCCGGAGGGGGACTCGTTGCGAATAGACAAGGGTGTGTTACGTAGGCCAGATGCCACTGGCCAACAGGGGCCAGAAGATGAGGAAGAAAGGTGGTCGAGATAGCAGTCTAGTCTCTGATTCTTTACCACACTCTTCCTAGTTTCACCGTCTCACCATCCCGGCCCGGTGGAGCCTAGCCAGACGATCGTCTGCTATATTTGTCTTCGCATCTGCTACAGTTCCGCCGCAGCAAAGCCGACTGCTACAATATCGTACCCGTTCTGACAATTGCTCATTCAACAGAGAGCGACCAGCTTAGGTACTCTGCAGTATGTACAGTATTGGCTTCGGCATGATTCTGGGATGATTAGTCAATTTGGAAAAGCCGTGATGCGCAGAGCAGCAGCAGCAGCAGCAGCAGCAGCCTAATCGCAGGGATCTTGGATCTTTCTTTCTGGTGTGGTACGTACCACGCCGGTGCCGGCAGGCAGAACAGTTAAAGTGCCACGGCACTCGGTGGTGATGGTGGTGGTTGATATGTCTTGGCTGCGGTTCAGCGCAGTGCGCACATATCTTTCGGCTTCTGAACCCCTCTCCGTCTTGATGCAGCAACAATAATACTTAGTCCATGAAGACAATCAGGATGTTATCAGCAGGCAATCTGCAGAGGAAAGGGAGGGGGAAGTTCTGAATCCCTTCCCCTTTCCCCTCGGCCCTCTCTCAAGCTATTAAATACCTCAATAAGGGTCATGGCCAGCCCAGCTAAGAGAGGGCACCAACATTGTCTGTCGAAGTTGTTTCCCCCTATCTTATTCCCCTGGTTTCCTCCCCACTCATCCAAGGGCTACTAACTAACCGTTCGCTAGTCTTACCGGTCTCGACAGGTTTGTCCCACTCACTGCCCGAGTCCCTAGATAAACCCCAAAGTCAATCCCTCTCGGTCGTGACTCGTAAGGCTGCTTTGCTGCTCGCTTGGGTCTACTCGTCTCATACAGCATCTTGGGGCCAAGGGAATGGCGTCTGCCGGTAAGAGGGAGCTTGGCGCCAGGTGCGCCCCCAGCTCCAGCCTCCAGCTTCTAGCCTCGAGACTAGACTAGATTCATCGCAGAACCTGGATCTGGCCCTGCTACGGAGTAGGAAAATCCTTATCTATCACGGCGGAAGAAACAATGGCGCTGAGCAAGTCGCCCCATCTTCTGCTATCAGCACGATCTTCGGCTGCCATTGTATGCGGCTGTGAAATCGACTTGTTCTCTGCCAATAGATAATTTTTGCCTGACAATGATACTCATACTCAAGTTGACAGCTGAACGAAAAAAGGCGCATTGATCACACGGTTCATGAAGCTGAGATATTGATGGATGTTTCAAGCCCGGCGTTGTGCTGCCCGCAAAATCAGATATTCCGGGCTAGGTCCACGTCATGCCTCGCTGCGTTCCTTGTTTCTCTCCATCATGATCCCTGGAGCAGTTGGGCCCCGTATTTCCTTCTCCTCGTCTGCTTTTCCTCGTAGTCGCGGTCCCATTTGGGTCCCTGGTGTGCTTTCCTGCCGTGAATCTCGACGACTTCATTTGCAGGACAGTTGGATGCCTCTCCACCCACCTTAGTCCTTAGCGTACTGCATCTCCATCGGCCTTACCCTGCTTCATGTCCCGAATTTCCCACCCAGAACATCCACGGCAGATCTCTATTCTGCTATTCTGCACTAGCAGATACATGTTCGGCTGCGGGCACGGGGGGCAACAGTAGAAGCACAATTTCGGGTTCAAGAATAAGCATAAAGAGTTGGAGGAGAATGTTAGGTGTCACTGCGCGGAGTCCTACATGCTGAATATCAAATCCAACTACAGATTCCGGGCAGTGGACCCGTCGGCTCAGGAGCGAGCAGCCGCTGGGATAGATGCTAGATACAAACTCTTCGTGTTTCAGGAGGGCTTGGTCGGGCTTTAGACAGAGATACTGTCGTCTCTTTTACGGACGACCCTTCCGTTGCACCAAGGGGCGGGCAATTAGATCTGTTGGGGAAAAAATGATTGATAGATGACAACTGTCTGAAACCGACCACAGGGCACGGATGGAACCCTGTGCGGGAACCCTGAGGAAGCTGAAGAGCGGAGGCCCGCCGCAGACAGCGTCTAGCCATAGCAACCAGACACCGTTTGTCCTTGTTCTTTGGCATCGATGCATAAGCATCACTCGTCCTTGCAATTTGCCCCGGGTGGCCAGCCCCTAAGTGGAGAGGGCCTGCAGCACGGGATTGACAGCTAGACGTTCGATAGGGAGAATGATGATCCCGGAAGTACTTAGTACTATGTATCTAGGAGTGCGACGGGAGAACGAAGGGAGAGAGGAATGGATGGATGGGTGCAGACGAAATCGGAAATTTTCTTCCAGCATATCGAATCGATCGGATTGGCGACCACTAGGGTCCTGGAGCATTCCGAGTCTTGCAACTAGAAATCATTGGCTGTGAATTGACCAAAGATCCTCGCTCGTTGCTTCAGGGATTGACACTGGGTTTCAGTTGTGCTTCAAAAGGGCAATTCTCGATAGAGACGGAGATCATCAGATTGGCCCAGTAGGTAGTGTAGTAGCGTAGTAGAGACGACAATACTAGCGGAGTAGACGGAGGATTCCCCGTGCTCAACCATTCGTGGTCAGTGATCGGTATCTTCATGTCTTTAGAAGGCTTGTTATTGCTAGAGCTGGTTGTACTTGTTTCCTCGTTGATGGTTGTTAAAGCCGAGCCAAGGGATACTTGCTGTGAGGATGGCGGTTATCCACCCGCTCGACAAAAAAACCCTCTTCTTTTTTTACCCTCTGCTTGGAATTTTGACCCCGAACAGTAAACTGAAAGACCCTCAGGTTGCGAATCCCTTTACTGAAACAGCGATCGAATTCATTTGATCGACGCCATCAGCCTGTGCATCAGCCATAACCTTAGCAAACCAAGCTTCTAGAACCTCTCATTCATCACTTCCTTACTCCTTCTCCTTCTTCTTCTCCTCCCTTCCTTTCCCTTTCGTTGCTGACCCGAACCCGAACTAAAGTTTTCTCACTAAACCAACTTCGACATCGAAACCAACTAAACTTGTCTGGGTGCAACACGATCGATCCTCCTCCAATTGGATTCCCTCTTTTGCTTGTTCTTTCAGCCCTTCGTCCCCTCTTCTTCCACTCCCTCAGCCCAGCCTTGCTTCGTTTGGCTTGACTCTTGTCACAAGCCGGGCCTTTGCCTTACCTGGGGTCTGTCTGCTGTCATCTCTCTCCCCCAACTTCAGTCTCCAACGGTCTATGATCACACAACAGACCCCTCATTCCGATCCTGTTTCCTGCAAGCAAAATCCCGGTGCATCTGCTGCCGTCTAGACTACTGCGAAGCAATGGCCCTCACTCAACCATCCACCTCAGAACGAACGATCCGCAAAATTGACATTGCCCAAGTATGTGATAACCCATCCTGACTGTTAGAGAACCCCTTCCCCATCTAGCTTTAGAACTGTGACTGACGGCATGCTTTGTACCGTGTGTAGGTCTCCCTCAGCCTCCAGGATCGGTTAGGCCTCGCCAAGGTCAAGTACCAGAATGGTCGACTACATGCTATCGACCCCAACGTCAACGGGGGACGACAGGCGTCATTAGGAAGTGACAAGCCGTCCGATTCCTCCTCAGATATTTCCCACGGCCGTAGCGAGACACCGTTGACTCCGCCGCCCTTGCCGAACTCCTCGTACTCCAAAGAATTGCCCCGGTCGTCCCGCAATAAACATGCAGCAACCTTCGACTCTCGAGTGATGCAGCCCATGCTGTCGGCTAGTCGGAAACGCCTACGGTCGGACTCTATCACAGAACAAACAGTCAAAGCACCTCGGGTTTCCTGGAAAACCTCATATCAACTGCCTGAATCATCCCCTGGGTTCAACCGACACCGAAGAGGCCGACTGCTCAATCTGCCTTTTATGGCGGATACGGCTCCAATCCCGGAATATTCATCACCTGCATATCCTCCGCCTTCGGAGGATGATAACGATCCAGATCTCCCCGTCCACAGTTTTCAGGCCGTGAGTTCCATGGTGGGCTCCTCGCCTCCTCGCACTCCCCCTCCCAAGCACGCTCGTCTGTCCCGCAATGATCGAACCATCCGACACGAAGACGGCGCAGACCTGCTTCTATACCTTGCCAATTCTCCTACGCCAGCCAGTGTCAGCAAGCATCAGACCCGGGATTTTCCTCCTTCTACACCTCCGAGCCAGCATGCCGTTCTACCGTCGTTAACCCCGACCTTCGGGGGCGGCGGTGTCTTTCCGAACTTCGGCACGCCCAACCAACAATTCAACTTTGCGGACTTCGTGAATGTCACCCCGAGTCCAGCACAGCCAGCCTGGGGCGGCCGCACGCCAGGGGGTCCGTCCAGGACCCCCCTCGCCAATAAAGACCGCAGACGCTCCAACCTGGAGAGCTTGCTGCCTCCGGGCGCAGATAGCCCCAAGATGAGTGGAAAGGGACGGGGAACTGTTCTGCAACTTGGGGAGGAGCTGCGGCCGTAGCCCAACCAGCCGCTGGATGTACAGATCTGCCTTGGTTGCGGATTCGACTCGGGCTCATCCTTCACGACTCTTGATGATTGTTTATGTGCACATTACCCTATTTTGTCCTAGTCTCATACCCCCTTCGCTGCGTCATCCTTCTCTTCTACCCATACCATTTATGTTATCATGCCCCAGCTGGAGGGATCCAGATCATGACTTTTCATTTGTGTGCGAACAGTGCCTGGTAGATTCTGGACAACCTTCGCCATGGCTTTCGCTGAATACTATTACTTTCACAATGTCCACTACGTACGACTTTTTCAAACTTTGACAAAAAGATAATCTCAGAGCTCATTCCTCCCCTTGATATCCTATCTCTTTGACTCTCAAAGCGAAAGTACATACAAAAGAGCAATGACGTATGCAACGAACCGCCCCCGGCCCATTTCTGTTTTTAATTAGAAAAATCCAAGAGAACACTAAACTGGAAAAATCCTCCCCACCCCACTTTCAATACCTCAAGCGAACCTAGAATAGCCCAATGACGTCTACTCAACTTCTTTGCTGTCTCGCCGAGCATGTCACGCAAAGGTGGCTGGTTGGTTGGTTGAGGTGTGTGTTGCATCGGGTGCAAGGGAGAAAAAAAAAAGGTAATCAACGCGTCAAGAAGCGGAGACACGCGTACAGTACGTGTTGATTTCGCGTTGGCGCTAGGCTGGATCCGGACTAGGTGCGTGTGCTAAGATGAGAGGACCTCGGAACTCGGACCCTGAGCCTCCGGTGAGGCTGTCCCTGTTGGGATTAGTGGGCTTGGTGCCAGTGCCAGCGTGATCTGCTTGTGCTGTGTGTGAGCACGTGACTTGGTTTCATCTCTTTTGGGTCGTGGTTCGTGAGAGAGGATGTTTAATTATGGGAAGAGAGTAAGTGTGGGGTTTCATGTGTACTGATGCTTGTTGGGTTGGGAATTATACTTGGATGTGCGTTTATGAGGTATGCTGTGGTTTAAAGTAGATGATGCGATGATGTGTATACTGTACATAACCTATATCTGTCCAAAAACTGACGGGCAAAGTCAAATCGAAGACGTCGTTATTACCAAGATATTCGTAAGACTACTCTATCATGCGCAGAAGAGGGAGATCTGATAGCAAGGTCGATTATCTGTCCTCTCGTCTATCTGTACGTGGCTATATGGTACTGTAAAAGGAAGAAGGGATTAGTCTAGAGCATTTATAGTGCAAGGGACGACTGATATAAAGAGACCGGGCGGAGAACCCGCGACTTGGGCGTGGTGTATTATTATTCTACCACCACCGGGACAGTGTGATAAATATAAGGTAGCGCAGGAATTTTGCAAACTCACTCAACCCTCCCTCGCCATGAGCCAAGGATCCTCCAAAAGCTCCTTAGCCGTCGCCCTCTTCTCCAGTTCCCAAGTAAGAGTCTTCCGAAGGAAGCGAAGAAAGCCCGAGTTATCAACCAGTTTTGTTTCCAGGGATTCGATTGTCCGGTCATGCGGTATAGGTGCCAGAACCAGCCACTCGTCTATAGTAGATTTAGTAACGCATCACTACAAGTGATCATCGTAGAAGAAAGGCATACTCCGATCATTCCAAAAGTCCGCCCGTCTCTCCGGGTTCCTGGCTAGGAACTCAGGGGGCGGTGGGCCCAGTGCAGCAATCAGCTGGGCCAGATGAGCGGCATCGTACAGATCGCCGTCTTCGTCACGCGCAGTGAAGAGTCTTTTCGATCCAAGCATGTCCCATGCCTATGAGCTCTTTAGCTGGGAACTATGGGAATCGAATCCAGTACGACAGCGACTCACTGTAAGCCCAACACTCCATATATCAACCGGGTAGCTCCATCCCACATAAAGCAGTGTTTCAGGCGCCCGGTACTCCAATGGCATTATATCGCCTGCGTGAGGGCCCGCTCCGATTCTCGCTTCTCCAAAGTCAGAGAGAAGCATGGGTCCTTCCTTCGGTAGTGTTAACCGTGACAGATAGATAGTTCGATCGGGATAGATCTTTCGCGTAACAGGGGACGCAATCTCCTTGTCTTCCAGTCGACGCAGGAGATTATTGTCGTAAAGGCCAAGCAGCATGTTGCCGGAGTGTACGTCTGCTAAGTATCAGTAGAGGAACTTGTAACCTAGGCCCACGATCTCCGGGAAGGACTATACCAGTATGAACAGTCTCTCCGTGGGCATGCAAAAAGTCCAGGGCCTTGAGAAGCTCAATAATGGCGCTCTTGACAAATTCCTCCTCGAACCCTTCTCGACGAAAAACAAATCTCATATCACGCAAACTCATCTGCGCGGGCTCGAAGACGAGAACAGCATGCTTGCCATGCAGACCAGTCACCTCGAAAGAGTCCAGCAACTTTCGAATGTTGTTTATTCCTCGCCGTCTGTATGATATTTCGGCCATACGGCTATTGATACGGTCGTAAACAGGCATTTCCCGATAACGAAGCGAGATATGGACGCATACTTTAAGTGCGACGTATTGGCGATCCCGGTGGAAATGTTATCGTTCAATTCGAACCTCTCGGAGGGCCTATCTCAGGTCTCGGGCCAGCCAAGTGGTCGACGAAGAACAAAACCTCAGCTTTGCCACAAATTGATAGCGATCTTGAAAGAGCTCGCCTAGTTGAACGGGATAAAACCGGTCGGCTTGATAATCAGGCAATTCCTCCTCTTCCACCAGCGTATCGGCATCGACAGTGGTGTAGCCACTCGTTGGCAAGGCCCGTGGCTTCTCCAGCGCGGCTCTTTGCGGAATGGTGGAGAATGATTTGAGCGAAGATGTAATGGTATCCCACAACGAAGGCAATATGACTCTAGGGGAACGGAACGAGGAGGCCCCGACCGCTACTGTCTTGTGTGTCCGATTGAATCGTAGACTAGCCGAGAAGCTCCAGACTCCTGTCATGAGGAACATTATCGAATAGCATCTGATCTGATCAGTATGCTATCTTTATGCGCCGGCTAGCAAGTGGATGTTGTCGGACGCGTTGTGAATTGAGTTGCGTCATTTGCCAGCAAAAGCCTTTAGCGCGCGTTAAGAGCTGGGCGGGAGACCCATTGGCCGATCGCCCTGTTATGTACTACTTCAATGTACGGTATACAACTCCAAGGCAAAATATCTATTTCTCTTCAGCATCGTCCACCGGCGCCGACGGTTCGCCCTCCAAATTGCTCTTCTCGGACTGCTTCCGCCAGAGATAAGCCAAGTAATCCGAGGTGGTCGCCTCGTCGATCGACTTATCCTCGCGCACCTTCAGGAACCGTGGGAACCGCAGGCTGAGGCCGCGCTCCTCGCTCACCAGGCCGATGGCGGCCGGGTACGTCGGGCTGAGGGTGATGTCCGCGAACGCCATCTCCCAGACCTCCTGCGGCTCGAACCAGACGTCGGGCGCGCCGTAGTAGTCGACGTAGCTGGGCCGCGAGATCACGTTCGCCGTCCCCTCGGCGTATTTGTCCTTGTTCGCTTGGTAGAACTTGTCGGTGAAGCCGGACATGCATTTCGTCACGGCCTCCAGGCTGCCCGTCTCCGGGTTGCGCACGGCCAGCAGGATCGGCGACCACCATTTGGCCTTGCGCCCTTGGCCATGCCACCCGGCCACTGGGATCAGGTCCAGCGTCTCCGAGGACGTGCTGTAGTCCTTCTTGACCTTGAGCCAGGACTCCAGGCGTTTGTCAGGCTCGTAGGTCGATAGGAGGGCTTTGCGTCGGCTTCCTTTGGATGTTGAGGGGTTGGGGTCGGGTTTGTTATCCGGTACGCTTGTGGCGGTATCGGTTGGCGCGCCATTTGAGGGCTCGAGTTCGCCCTTGGGTACGTTGTCGAGCACTTTCACCATGATTCCCTCGCATTTGATGTCGGTGGCGCCTTTGAAGAATTCGAGCACGGCCTCGGAATCAGCGGACGTAGCGTCTAGACTCTTGACCCAGGTGAATCGTTTGGGTATTTCAACAAAAAGACTGCGCAGTAGTTCTCTACGCTCACGGAATGAGCGGTCGAGCAATGGTTGTCCGTTCAAGTACATCAGGTCAAAAGCGAACAAGCAGACGTTCACTTTAATGGATCCTATATCTACGTTCTTCTTCGCGCGATTGGTAAGGATCTGGAAGGCCTGGAGATCTCCCGTTTCCTGATCGACTGCAACCACCTCCCCCTCTAGGATGAAGCTGGACACCCCTTCGCCTCGAATCTCGGGCACGAGAGACACGAGATCCGGGTATTTCTCGGTCATGTTCTCTAGATGGCGTGAGAAGATGGACACCTTGCCCGCCACATCGCAATGGACCTGGGCACGTTGTCCGTCGTATTTGTATTCACAAACGAAGTCTCGTCCTTGTAATTTGGTCAACATGTCTGATAGGTCGCGTGTGATGCTCCCCAGCATCGGTCTGAGTGGAATGTGTAATTGCAAGCCGCAGCGTACGAGAAGCTCCTCTGTCACACCGCTCTCCAATAAACATGGAACGAGGTCGTCATAGTTCGGGTGTCGTGCATACGAAGCCTTGACGATTTCCTCTGCATTACTGTAAACTTCTGCGAGCTCTTCTTTCTTAAACCGCGCCAGATCCTGCTGAGAATGTACAGCAAATTCAGCACCATCTGGTTTTGAATATAGAAAGGCCCGGGCAAGCGCGATGAGCATTGTGGTTTTGACAGCTCCTATACGCAGGTTCTGCACGAGGGTCCTGACTATGTATCGACTCTCCTCTGCACCACGAGCATCCTGCAGCAACTTCTCGACAATCCTCTGCTTGGCCTCTTGGCTTCCGCCCCCCTTACTCAGAGCTATCTTCTTCAGACTCTGGTATACACCCTTGATCTTTAGTGGCTTGGGCTTCATCAAGGTGAAGCTCTGCCTCTTCTTAGCCTCGAAAGCCACATCACCCGCATCGCCGTGCTTGTCGTATAAGGATTTAAGTCCCTGGTTATTGAGACCATACACCTTCTTGAGAGCTTTGGAAATCGAAGACCCGCCGAGACCCAGCTCTATCTCATCGTAGGGCGGTGAGATCGAATTGGTCGCTAGCCAGACAGCGGGCAGAACGCTCGAAGGATCCCCCTCGATCAAGACTCGGAGGAAGTTAACCAACGTATCCACAATCTTAATACGACTGGTAGTTGCATTCGCAAGAACGAAGGCTCTGGTGAGAAGCGCGTACGTAGCGTCGCCACCCTGCGCAACCCAGTGGCTTCTTAACTCCTGCGCATATCCGGCTGCGTCGAAGGTGATGGGGCTCTGGTCGAACGGGATAGCCAGGGAGACTGTGTCTTCTGTTCCCGACGATGATTGGAGCGAGAGTATCCCCTTGCCTTGTTTTGCTTTGAAATCCTGATTGATGTGCTCCTGATTTAGAGGCGCCGGCGCCGGCGTCGGTGGAGGCTCGAGAGTGGGAGTATTGACCTGCGATGTTGAAGTGGCATTTTCTTGATCCCACTCCGCTTGTAGCTTGCGGGCAAGAGCCTCGTCCGAAAGAGTCTGCTCATCCTGTGTTTCAGTCTCAGCTGGCGTTTGCAATGCTTGCTGGGACTTTTCGGCCTGCTTGCTTGCTTGGCCCTGGAAGAATGACGCTATACTCCGGGTGCGCTGGACGGAAGACTCAGGATCATCTCTCTTGCGCTTTTTAGCGGGACTAGCCATCATGAAGGATCAAGTGCATAGGTAATGTAAGACACAAGCCATTGAGTTTGGTGCTGCAATGTGCTCCATGGTGAATGAGCTGCGGGAAGGAAACGATGACGTTGGTTGGACGGAATGGGCAGCGGAAAGTCCAGAGCTTCCCGCCGCTTTCTCCAAGGCGGAGTTGGCGATTGGAGACACGGTAACGGCGTGTTGCGACTCCACGCTGTGCTTTCCCCCCGCCAACTTCTCCATAAAGCACCACGCCCCGCGAACAATGGCCGCTTCTGCACCTGCTTTGTCGTCGCACGAGAGGACCAGAGTGGAGGATTATTTGAACGACAAGCTTCAGGTTTCTGCTGATTTGGAGAGCCTTGACTCATTGTTATCGAGTTTAAGAGCCCAGCATGAGCTCCAACGCAAGCAGGTACCTATTACCTTTATCTCCTTTCCTGAACGACTGTACTTCACCTTGATCCCCTTCATCGTACTAACGAGCCACTTCTCATAGCTAGCCGAAGCACAAGAAGCTCTCTCCAATGCCACCAAGGCCTCCAACGACCACGCCGAAGCCACTCGCCAGCGTGCCGAAGCATTCAATGAGCAGCAGGAGGACATTGACAGGCGCCTGAAGACGATCACTGGATCCGACTCCAGCGATGATGCAGCCAAACGGTTCGAAGCCAGCATAGAAAAGCTGCGCAGACTCGAGATTTCCAGGGGTTATATGACTGTGCTGAAAGAGGCGGAAGAGTTGAGGTAAGGAAATAGCTCGAATTTCACTTTCTCGATCGTTAAAATTGGATACAGCAAGGAAGCTTTGAACCACATCAAAAGTGATCCCAGGGCCGCGCTACAATCATATACCAGACTACGAAGTATATCTCGATCGCTGAATGAGGCTCAGCCGGCAGCAGAGGGGGCTGCTCCGCACTTGGTCGATTACGTGGGGAAGCTGGTTTCCGCGCTTAGAGAGCAGATGAAGGACAATTTCTCGCAGCGGCTACAAGAGACGATGGATCGCATGAAATGGCCTTCGAAAGACTTGCAATTCTCAGACGATGTACACGGGGAGTGGAAGGAAAACGTCGAACTGCTCCTTGGCTTGCAAATACCGTACGCCTTCCTCATACTCGCGTTACAGATGACCTTCTAACACGTGAGACACAGAGAGCTCATCGGCCGTGCATCTGTGTCTGAACACCACTGTACCGAGCCTCCGGTGTTGTTGCCGCTAGAAGTGATGGTGCACCCGCTGGAACTTCGGTTCAAATACCACTTCAGCGGAGATAAGCCAACCAACAGGCTCGACAAGGTACCGTGGCATCCCGTATATTCTCAGCGATGGAAGATGCAGGTTCTAACTTGATACAGCCGGAATACTTCCTAGCTCATGTCACGGATTTGATCAATAACTTTGGAAGCTTCTTCGCCTCGTCTTTACAGCCTATATTCGATGAAAAGGCGAAACAGGTCGGATCGGATCTAGAGTGGAACTTCTACAACGCCTCTCATGCCTTTATTACGGCACTTCTGCCTGTGTTGCGGCATAAAATAGCTACATTTTTGCCTCAAATCTCGACACATCCACAGCTTCTGAGCCATTTCGTGCACGAGTTGATGAGTTTCGACAACGAGGTCCGCGAATCCTGGAACTACCTCCCGGACCCCTATGCCGCTGGGGACTGGAAGGGAATGACGTGGGAGGTTTTGACCAAGCAAGGCTGGTTTGACCGCTGGCTCCAAGTCGAGAAGGACTTCGCGTTAGCTCGCTACAAAGAGATTGTGGACAACCCGGATAGTGGTCACATCGACTACGATGGTGTCGAGCTTTCGTCAACAAAGCCGACCAAAGCTGCAATCCGTGTCAACGATCTCCTGGAAACGATCACCGAGCGCTACCAACCGTTGTCATCATTCAGTCAAAAGCTTCGCTTCCTCATCGACATCCAGATCACCATTTTTGACCAATTTCACGAACGCCTGCAGTCCGCTCTGGAAGCTTACCTTGCAATGACTTCAACCATCGGTCGGACCGTTCAGGGCGCAGAGGGACAAGCCAGCGTCGAAGGCGTGGCCGGATTAGAACGACTTTGTAGAGTTTTTGGGAGCGCGGAGTATCTCGAGAAGAAGATGGAAGATTGGAGCAACGAGGTCTTCTTTGTGGAGCTCTGGACCGAGCTCCAAGAGCGCGTCAGGCAAAATAAGGACGGTGGCAAGAACGTTGCCGGCTCCATGTCCGTCGCTGACGTTGCATCGCGCACATCTCAGGCCGTGAACAACAACCGCCATGACGGCGATCAGAGTGCGGCCCCCGAAGGTGCCTTGTTCGACGAGACTGCTTCCGCGTACCGTCGGCTGCGACTCCGCTCTGAGTCCATCATCACATCCACCCTGACGTCCAACGTACGCTCGGCTTTGAAGCCCTATTCCCGCGTGTCAACCTGGACCACTTTGGCGGCCACAACACCTGCTCCAAATGGCGCCCCCCTGCCGCCGACATCCGATCTGGCCCCTGTTCTGCGCACCATCTCAGCAGAGTTATCTTTCCTCTCCCGAGCCCTGGGTTTCGCTCCCTTACGTCGCATCACCCGCCAGGTCCTTCTCGCTATCCAGACATTCATGTGGAGCAGTATCCTCATGAGAAACACGTTCTCAGCTTCCGGAGCCCTGCAATTCATCAGCGACATGGACCATCTCGGTAGCGTGGTTGACGTCGCTTTAGGCGCGGCAAGCCAATCCGGCGGCTCCATGAAAGTGCTGAAGAAGTTAAGCGAGGCGCTCCAACTCCTGGGGCTGAGTTCGGCAGAGCAGACGTCATTGGATGGCGCGACAGACCAGAGCGAGGACGCGTCCAAGGTAGCAGGCCTGCAGGTGCCGCTCGGGCTATGGGAAGTCGAAAAGAGATTGTTCAAGGACAACGAGAGCGCCCGGGAAGTCCTCGCTGAGCTTGGGATTGAGTCGTTGACGGAAGCGGAGGCGAGAAGTGTTTTGGAGAGACGAGCGGAGATCGGAAATTAGTGCTTGAAGCCGAGTATTTAAGGCGCCTTCTCCCTTTTCCCTCCCGTTGTGCATATCCTAGCCGATGAAGTATGTAATTTGCATAAGATATCCATTGAAAGCATTGTGAATCTATTGACATGCGCCCTGCGGCGACTTTATAAATCTCTCTATCTTCTATTCTATGAGCTGAGTTTCTGTGTCTTTTCTTGACCCTTGACCTGTACAGTATCTGTGAACCAGGTCTACCATGCTGTAGATGTATGTACTCGAAATTGTTTGTACGAATGTCCCGGTTCCCAGAGGCGAGGATGAGGCCGATCTAGTGATGTACGACGGGCCCATGCCCTCTTTCCGCGAGTCTCCGCTGCGGGAACTCGGCGCGACGCTTGTGGTCTTCCGCCTTGAGCTTCTCCACGATGGCGGGACCGACCTGCTCGATGGCGCCGAGCAGCGCCTCGACCGTCTCGGTGGAGGTCTGCACATTGACCACACAGCGGAAGAACTTGCCGTCGCCGACGGCATCCTCGTCGCTGCTGGGCGGGGCGAAATCGACCATGAAGCCCTTGCTGACGATGGCGTGGGTGATCTGCTCGGTGACCTTGCTGTTGGCCTTGGCGCGGTCTGCTTCAGCGGCGGGCGAGGTGACGGGCCCGCGCGGGTAGACCATCTCGCGGCGCGGGGCGTAGTAAAAGCAGACCTGCAGGCACGGGGTGGGGTTCTCGCTGACGAGGCGGAAGTTGTCGTTTTGCTGGACCAGAGTGGCGAGGTGGGCGGCGACGGCGCAGGCGGAATCGATCTGGCGCTCGTAGCCGGCGGTGCCGTAGTAGGTCCAGCCCAGGAAGAGCTTGAGCGCGTCGGGGCGCCGACCGCACTGCAGCGTCAGGTCGGCCAGGTCCCAGACCTCGGGCGAGTCGACGGCCGCGTCCAGGGCTGTGGTGTTGTCGTCGTCCGCCGCCGTGTCCGCGTTGTGGAACAGGTAGCCCGCGGGGAGCGTGTTGGCGCGGTGGAAGCGCCGCAGGTCCGCCGCCAGCAGGAACGAGCACGTCACCGGCACCCCCAGCATCTTGTGCGGGTTGATCGCGATGCTGTCGGCTTGCTCGGCGCCCGCCAGCTTGTGCCGCTGCTGCGCCGAGAAGATGAACGACCCGCCCCACGACCCGTCCACGTGCATCCACAGCTTGTACCGCTTGCAGATGGCTGCGATCTCGACGAACGGGTCGAACGACCCCAGCACCGTCGTGCCGGCCGTCGCGTTGACGTAGAACGGCGTGCGCTTCTCCGCTAGAGCTTGCTGGACTAGCCGCTCCAGCTCCGCCGGGATCATGCGCCCCTGCTTGTCGATGGGCACCGCCCACACCGCGCTGCTGCCCAGCCCCAGCATCTGCGCCGCCTTCTCGATGCTGTAGTGCCCGTGCGCGCTGGTGAAGACCACGAAGCGGTACGACCCGTTGCCCTCGCGCTTGGTGTCGGGGTACAGGGTGTTGCGCGCGATCACGATGGAGGTCGTGTTGGACGCCGACCCGCCCTGCACGGAGATGCCGCCGGCGCGGGGCCCGCTGAGGCCGAAGAGCCGCGCCAGTCGCTGTCCCGTGTACTTCTCAATGATGCTCAGGGCCGGCGAGACCTGGTAGACGTGGTTATTGGTGTTAAGCGTGGCCAGGATCAGCTCCGATGCGACGCCCGGCGCGTTCGTCGAGGCGTACAGCTTGTCGAGGAAGCCCTGGTGCCAGGTGTTGACCGAGTAGCGGAGAACCTGACGGAGCACGTCCACCAGCCCATCTTGCCCGCTGCCTTCCTGCGGCAGGCTCAACTGAAGTAATTGTTGAAGCTCCTCGGGCTTTTTGTACTCGACTAGCGATGTGCCATTGTGATCGTTCGGGGTCAGGGACTTGGAGTCAAAACGGTCCGTATCCGCGCTGCGAATGAAGGGGATCAGAAGATCTTCGACGGCGCTCAGGAGCTAGGGTATCTCGATGTTAGTCTCGACTCATTGATCGTAGTTAAGCCTTCGATGATCGCCCGATCGGAATGCGACGGGGACGAGACGAGAAGTGGAAGAACTCATGACTCACGCTCTTGACTTCCTCCGCGCGATCCGTTGACGTTGAAGCAGCCATCGTTGTGATATAATGTGAACGTACCGAACTTTGCGACTAGAGGATATGGTGCTAAAGTGCCAGGATAAAGCGAAAGGGCCCTTTGACTTAATCTGCGACAAAAAATTGGAGGTCAATTGGCAATCGGCGAGCCAAGCAGTGGTGGCCAAATGGGACTGTTTGCGGATCCACAGACAGTTCCGGGCGACAATCCCGAAAATTTGACATCATGGTTCGATGGAGCTGATTCAGTCCCCGATTCAGTCCCCGGGACAGACTCCGGGGTTCCTGCGGAGAGGTTTGAGATCGGAGGTTGTCTTTCTGGGTTTCTTGTTGGAATTGTTGTTGTCGCTTCAAAATCTGCTGCAGAAATGTAAATTATTGGTGTAACCTCGGTTGAAGGAATCACTGGAAGGTAAAAAAAACCTCAAATTATAGATCCAGTAGCTTTTGACATGCCTTTTCCCTATCCAATGCCACAGGCGAGATTGCCCAAGTAATATACATGACCTTTTCGTTTTACACTCGCTGCTAATAATACACTGCAGAAACAAAACTTAGACCCTTAGACCCTAGAATAAATGGCTGAGATGTGTCGTCCGCACTCCACACGTTGTTCCATTTTCACCGTCCGACTACCAGCCTTGCCCTTGTGACTAGGCATGATCTGAAGCCGTGCCCCCTGCTTCTCAGCCTCACTCTTACCCTCAACGGGTGCGTTGATGTAGATCGGCTTGGACGAGTTGCTACGCTTGCCGGTGCCGAGCTGGAAGTGCTCGTTGCCTCCCCACCAAAGGACATCGTAGCCCCAAGCATCCGCTTCACTCAGGGTATCCGTAGAAGCCGAGTCCATCTGCGGGTTGTTGTCCATTACCGCTGCGACGTGTGTCGTACCTACGGAGATATCGCGCAGGCGGATGGGAGCGAGTCCCTTCAAGCGCTCATCGAATTCGAACAATCCACTCAAGGGCTTCACCTTTGTGAGAGCGTCCTGGATATGAGTCCACTTCCCGTTGCCTAGAGCACCCCAGATTCCCCGCCCGCACGTCCAGACATCGGCCGTGATACGGCCCAGGTCGCGCACAGTAGAAGGATCCTCGTTCGAGCCCAATATCCGCTGCGCGTCCACGGCAATGAAGCTATTGGCGCCTCCAGCAGCGATCTGAGTCGCCTTCGGTAGGTATGGGCCACGATAGAGTCTCCTGATGGGCACCATGATAGGCGTGTCGCAGAACGGGAACGATGGGTCGAATTCCATTCCTAGCTGGCCAAAAGAGTTGTCACCGAAGGCATATACATTGCCCTGGTTGTCGAGGGCCAGAGAGTGATAGTCACCGGCTGCGACCTGAATGATCTTGGATCCTTTCAACACGCTGACCTCGTGGCACGCGTCCACCGGGCCCTTGGGTCGAGTCGCCCACTTCAACCCAGGCACACCGAGCTGGCCGAAAGACGGATAGTTCTCTGAAGAAGAAGCGACTGAGAAGACGCGGCCCGAGCTGGTCAGGAGTAGCGCATGGTCGATTCCCCCGGCAATAGCTGTTACCCGTTCCCCCATCTTCAAGCTGGGCTGTAGCTTACGGTAACTCACACTGGCCGACCCAGACCAGAAGGGCACCCAGGAGCCTTCACTGAGCTTGCGGCCAGATAGTTGGTCGTCCCTGGCAATGGGAAGTGAGTAGACCGTGCCGTCCGACGATAAGGTGATAAGACGGTCATGAGACATGCACAGCGAGGTCAGGTTCTTGCCAGTCAGAGTCGTCGTAGGCTTGAAGTCGGTCTCTGAAAAGCCCTTGCCCCATTGCACCAAGTCACCATTCTCAGTAATGGCAGCGCCGGACTGCTCGCCAAGCTTGAGGTCTCTGAGCACCTGGCCGTCGAAGTAAGCAAGTCTCCGCGGAGTCTTCACAACAGAGTCTTTCGATCTCGGATCGACGACTTTGTAAGCATTGTTGCCCCAAACATAGACGCCGGGGCTCTTGACGCTCCGTTTCTTCTGCGCAAATTGCGAGCCGAAGTCTTCGGTGGCATTTGTAAGGTCCTTCACCGGTTCTACTGAGCTCTCAATCTCACTGCGGTTGGATGTAGCATATTCGTAGCCTAGATATGCGGCCGTTCCTAGACCTGCCACGCCCAAAGAGTTCCGGAACCAGGTGGGAGAAGATCCCTGATTTCCATTGCTGGCATAATATCTTCGCCACGAAGCTCCGACAGGTCGGCTGTCCCTCGCAAGGCGACGAGATGCGTGGATGGCGAGGCTGGTTGCCGATTGCCGTCCCCGGGATGTCCACATGATGTTCACAACACCTAATATGAATTCAGACAGTCAAGTTGCTTTGATTGACTGGTCTGTGCTTATAGTCAAGCCCACAGGGGATTTCTCCAAAGGATCAATGGCCAGTTAATGTTTGGTCGTTGCGTCAGATACCGTGAGCGGAAAGGGACGGCAGAATAGCGCATTGAAGCCACGGAGGATGCGACTCGTTCTACAAACACCCGTGTGTGAAACTGCCCCAGGGCTGCTAATGTGACCGCTTGCTGCCCTTGGATTAGGGGCCTCAGCTAGAGCCGGGAACTGGCATATCCATCTTTTCCTCCGCAGTCTTATACAACAATGCGTCAACAAGCTGCGGGACAGCGGAGTCGTCGCCAGACTGCCCCGTCTGGACCGCCAGTGGACCTGAAGGCCAAAGTGATCAACGAACAGGAGACCATCCCAGATGGCTTGGAATCTTTCACTGATATCAAGAACGAGTTGGAGTTTGCACAATGGTACGATGATGTGGAGGACAGCCTGCTGTCGGCCAGCTATGATGAGTACCAGTAAGTCGCGCAACGAATCGACGACGACGAAGCCCCTGACAGACGCTGACCTTCTTAATTTCCTGTTAGAGCATGCTTACAGGAACTTCAGATGTCCAAATCGCATCTAGACTCCCTCTTATCGGATACATCATCGACCCTGGATCTTCTCACCAGCCTGTCCAATGACTTCAAAGCCGTGGAGTCGCAGACGTCCAATTTCCAAAAACAATGCGAAGGGCTTCTCTTCGCGCAAACACGCGACTTGCAATTGGCTACGGATATTCAAGATAACCTCCAGTACTATGACTTTCTTGATCCGGCTTCAAGGCGGCTCAACGCTCCGGGCGCTGGAAACACTGTGCGGGGGCAAGAGTTCTCGGACATGCTAAGACGGCTTGATGAATGCTTGGATTACATGGAGGTACATGTGAGTATATGTAGCAATATGGTCTTAATGCTCCAGCATGCTAATCTGTAGCGCCTGCCTAGACCGACCAGAAGGAGGCCGATGTATACCGCTCTAGATATCGACTTCTTATGACTCGCGCCCTCACCCTCATCCGGACACACTTTATCACGTCACTTCGAGATATTTATGCCGATGCCTCCAAGAAAATCGCCGACAAACAGCTTAACGAGACGACTATGTCTACGCTGCTATATGCGAAATTTCGAGTCGGCGCACCGGAGCTGAAACAAATCGGACTCGAGATACAGAAGCGCGCCGTTCCTCCTTTGGACCCCGACCAGGGCACAGAAGCCGAGTACCAGAGCCTTCTCAACGAGCTTCATGCTAATTATGCTGCCACACGTGGGAAGCTGATGATCCCGTTGGTTCGGAAGAACCTCAACGATATCGCGCAGTCGCCCACATCGTCGCAGGACCTTGTTTCTTTCGCACGTGCAAGCATTAGCTACATCCGTGGGGTCTGCTTGGACGAGTTTGAACTCTGGGGTGAATGGTTCCATGGCCAAGGTGGACTCTATGACTTCCTCGAGACAATCTGCGAACCTCTGTATGATCATCTCCGGCCCAGGATCATCCACGAGGACAAGATCGTCAAGCTGTGCCAGCTGTGCACGCTGTTGCAGACTCGATACTTGATCGACCAGGATGAGGAGTTGGAACAGCCCGTGGACGCCAACCAACTCGACTTCACCACCTTGATTCAGCCGGCCCTCGAGGACGTCCAAACTCGCCTCGTCTTCCGTGCTCAAGCTTTCCTCCGCGATGAGATCGAACGCTACAAGCCCCGTCCTGAGGACCTGGACTACCCAGCTCGCAACCGGCAATTCTCCATCTCAGTCACGGAGGGCCAAATCTCGGGCCGCAAGGTCGCTTCCGAGCCCCTGGCCAAGATCCCCAAACCCACGAAACAAGCCGAAGAAGGCACCGAGGCTGACGCGGATGCGAAGTGGGATCTCGAGACTCCGAACGCCTCCAGCGGGTGGTATCCAACGCTGCGTAAAGCCATCTGGCTCCTGAGCCGCATCTACCGACTTGTCAACGTGAGTCCATTTTCTCCACATCCCCAATCACAAACCAACTAATTCAAAACCACCAAATAGTCCACTGTCTTCGACGATCTCGCGCACCAAATCGTCCACCAAACGACCCTCTCCCTCCACCACGCCAGCACCCTAATCCCCGCGTCATCAACAACAACAACAACAACCCCCACTAACCCCAAATCCCCAACAACCACTACCCCAACGCCAACGCCAACACCAACGCGCCCCGAAACCCACCGCCAACTCTTCCTAATGAGCCACCTCCTAATCCTCAAACAACAAATCGTCGCCTTCGACATCGAATACGTCGCGCCCGAAACCTCCCTGGACTTCTCAGGCCTAACGCACACCTTCTGGGAACTCCGCGAAGAGCGCGGCGGGCTGTTCAACCCACGCAATTTGGTCCGGCTCGTGGGCCAGGGCCTCCTGCCGCGCGTGGTCGAGAACATGCTCGACGCGAAGGTAGAGCTAGACGGCCGCCTCCGCACCGTGATCAACGATTTCATCCACGGCTACGCCACCTCAATGACCGCCTCCCTCCCCGCCAAATTCGTCGCCAACCCCACCACTACCACCGCTGCTGCTGCTGCTGCTGCCACCGCGGCAGTCGAGGAATGGATCTACCCGACTTGCCGGAAGATCGAGAGCGAGGTGCTGGGCCTGCGTCGCGTGCTGGGCGAGTACCTGGATGATCTGCGCATGCGGGAGACGCTGGTCGGCGCCGTGCAGGAGCGTGTGATTCAGATCTATGAGGAGTTTTGGGAAAGGTTTGTCGCTGAGGAGCGCCGGGCTGGATCTGGGGTGAGGGGTACTAAGGGAAAGGGGAAGGGGAAGGGTCGTGAGGATGATGTCTGGGATGTGGATACGTTTGTTGAGTGGTGTGAGGGGGTCTTTCGGGTCGGGGTGGCGGGTGTTGTTGATGATGAATGCGATGGTGGTGGTGATGATGATGGGATGTCGAGTCGGACGGGCAGTTTGGGCTCGTTGCGGAATCATTAGGCTTGGTGCGGGTGCGGTGCGGTCATCGGATAGATGGATGTAAGTACCTTAACCTTTTAGGTACATATTCTTGTTACCACTTTTTTTGTTCTTTTCCGGAGCAGCACCCACGCTGGGTTCTATAAGGTGTCGTAGTCTTCTTAAAGGTGTCAAGCTACGTTAGTTCGCGATTTGTTGTGCGCTAGCGGGCTGGGGACTACGTTCTGCACTGGAAGAATCCTAATTCAACAGCCAAATTACAAGAACGCCTGCCTACTTTCTTTCCATGTGTCTTCAAGAAATATATATACACGGTGAAGTTCAAAACAGCGAAACGCGGAGTGGGTTTGAGGTTGGTGATCCGACAAAGGCCCTTTCCTCGGTGCTATGTATGCACAAGACATTGCCAAAGTCAAGCTGCGGAGTGAAGGGGTATGAGCAGGGGGAAACAGTACAATGCAGGGGCAAGATGGAGAGAGAGAGAGAGAGAGCCAACAGCAAAACGCTAAACGCGACTGACTTTACACTAACTACTACATTGCTTTTCTTGCGGTCTCTCAAAGGACATGCCGGATCTTGGCATAGAGTTCCGTGTCGAGGAAGTTGTACTTGGGATCGGGTTCGCAAAAGGGGTGGCGGGTAAGGAGAGTTTCCGCGGTGGGACGGTCGAGGGAATCCCTGGTACGAGCTATGTTAGCATACGAAGCTCGAAGCTAACGGAGAAAGAAGGAACGGGGACTTACACAGTAAAGCAGTCATACATAAAGGCAAGAGCTGCAGGACTGATGTTCATGGAGACGTCTTCTGGGATAGGCGGGGCCTGGCTCAGGCTGCCGAGCTTGAAGATGGCGCCAATGGCCTCTTCCTTGCTCCATGGCCGACGACCAGCGAACATTTCCAACACCACACAGCCAAGGGACCAGATATCCACCTTGGCGCTGTAGCCCTGGCCCTGAGATTGGATGACTTCGGGCGCCATCCAAAAGACCGAGCCTTGCATGGAGTTCGTTGAATCATTGCCGTAGATATTGTCGGTCTTCTTCGAGATACCGAAATCGGAGATCTTACACGTTCCATCGAGATCCAGCAGGATGTTGTCCGCCTTGAGATCACGGTGCAAGATACCCTGGTCGTGGAGGTAAGCCAGTCCGCTCAACGTCTGGTGCGTGAGGGACTTGACAACACTCTCTTCGAACTTGCCATGCTTCCGAAGACAGCTACCGATGGAACCACCGGAAATATACTCGAGATAGATGGAGATAGATAGATCACCTCGCTCGCAACCAAGATATTGCACAATGTTGGGGTGTTCCAGGTGCTGCATGGTGTCGATCTCTTGATCCATCGCAGCGACCATCTCCTTGATCCGGTCAGTATCTTGCCCCGCGATACGCGCATTGACCTCCACCTGTTTCACAGCCAAGACCTCACCATTGTCGGCGTTCATGCCCAGGTACACGCGGCCGTATGTTCCCTTGCCGATCAACTGACCGCGGATGATACGGAAAGTGGGCTGCCGTTGAGGGATGTTACCGGGTGGAGCATGAGTCTGGGGGATAGGGTCAAGCTGGCTCAAGCGGCTGCCGGGTTTCGGACTGATCTGCATGATCTTGGCGCCGAACATCTTGGTGCTCTTTCGACGAAGAATGTCGCCGGATCTTTGATTACCTGTGGAAGAGGTCACGCTTCTATTCCTGCTGGCTTGGTTGGCTCCCTTAGCCACTTCACGAATAGACTTCATTCGAGTAAGTCCGCCTCCGGAGCGGCTAACATTGCGTCGTGCAACAGCACCAGGCTCAGGGGGCCTGACGGGTGGTTCGCTGGGTATGTTGACGGGTGTCGAAGCATGTGGAACAGAGTATGATGGATTCTCTGGCTTTTCCTTATGGCTCAATTCATTCTCGGCAGCAACTTTGTTTGCTGGAGATGACGGAGGAGACATGCCCTGTCCGTCCAGGTAAGGAGTGTCAAGGTCAATGTCAGGGAAGAAGTCGTCGAGATGATCGATGACGCCTTCGACGGGAGGTCTGCTGGCCCAAATATCGCCTCGAGCAAATGAGTCTCTGCGAGGCGGTCTTTCGTCTTCTGGCGAAGCAGTCATATCAGAGTGATATGCCTCTGGAATGCTCGAGTCGCCGCTAGACGCTAAGAAAGTGTCACGAGTAGCACTCGGAGACCTGAAGCTCACAGAAAGTCCTTTGCGTAGCCGATTTTCAGTGTTCAGTGTGAGTGACGGCTTTGCCGCTCTCTTTTGCGACTCTGGCGAGCCAGTCATTGACCCCTTATCCGTCACAGGCGATTTAGCATTTGCGAGTGGAATGGCAAAGAGACCGTCATCGGAATCATCGTCAGAATCTTCCTGTGGCAAGGGCGAGCGTTGAAACGAGACCTTCGTCTCCTCAAAGTCGAATTCAGGCCCATAGGATTTACGGGACTGCAAGCCCGGCCTGGGTTCTTGAGGTGTAGTATTACCCTTGACTGGCGACTCCGCGCTGTGCGCCGTTGGTGTTGCTTGGCTATCCTGATATGATCCCTTCGACTCGTCTAAGGCTAGATATCAGTAACATGAACACAGATGCGTCATCATAGAATTCGGCACTTAGAAGGCTTACCTGAATGGTTTAGGGCGGGGCTGCCTCCCGCATTCATATTTGGGCTGGATGAGCCCGTTGCTGCTGGTACAGATGGCGACGGTGTTCCAATAGCGCTAGTGATCCTACCAACACTAGCCAGTGCGGCTCCAAGGCCATGTGCTTGGGCAGGAGGCTGAGCACGAGGACGATCAATGTCCCTCTTCCTGAGAGAATTGACCTTTGTGAGAGTGTTTGATTCATGTGGCGCAGTCGGAGGTTTGCGGAGAGGCACCAATGGCTCGGATTTCTTGTCTTCGTAAGGTGAAATGCGGGGAGAGTCGAAATCGATGACACCTTCCCGCCTATAGCCGGTTTCACCGTAAGCATCCTTCCTTGGCTGCGGCATAGGAGGCACTTTCGAGATGCGGTAGGCTCTCTGTTTGCGTTCGACCTCGCGCATATGCTCCTCATGGCGCGCTAGTAGATCCGCTTTCTCAGCGTCAAGCAGCGCTGCATCTGCAGCATGATCCACGGGAGATGCCGCAATGGAAGTCTGCGACACGTCACGCGGAAATTTAGCAGAAGACGCTTTCAGCTGTTGCCGTGAAGAAGATGCCTGTGGAGAAGTAGGCTTGTTTTGAGTTTGAGGGGATATCCTGTTCAAAGCCTCTTCATCCAGTGGCTTCCTATGTACTTGATGGGCCGATGTCGGTGACGCAGCCGCTTTGTCTGGGAATGAGACTCCCAGTCCTGCAAAATGAGGGAAAGTATTCGTACCCAGCTGCATGTGCGATCCTCGTACAAACAACTTGAGAGACCCCAAGAAATCGGACCTTGACCTCCGGCACAGGGCCAAGTTAGTATCGTTCAGCGGTTCGTCATGCTCGGTCTGTCCAGGTTCTGTCAAGTAAATCTGGGCCGCGGTCCAATCAGAGATTCCGAGGCTCTGGCAGATCGCAGAGCGCAGCGTCTCAACAGAATCCATCTCAGTTATGTCCACCAAGCGATAGTTCCATCCATCCAGGGTAACGAGTGTGTACTTTTTGGCTTTCTGCGGTTTTGCACGCATTACCAACCGCTCATGATCAGACATAGAGGCAGATGAAGGACGTTCACCCAGCGACATATCACTAGTACTGAAATTCGGCTTCGCGTAAGGGAGATGGGAACCATTCTGACGTGTGTTGACTGGGCTTGTTGGAGACTCAAGAAACTGTTCTTCAGGGGATGGGTGATTAGAGTCACTTCCTTTAGTCCTCTTCTTGAAGAAGTTCAGAAGACCTGTTCGATGATCCTTGGGATATGAGGAAGGCGTTTCCCCACCGGACTGGCGATTATACGATTCCTGGGGCGAAGGTCGTACTCCGCCCTCCTGTCTGAAAGACTCGTAATAACGCCGTCCCGTCAAGGAGTCTGCGCTGTTTCCACGAGAGTGTTCAAACTTGACGCTTAAGTCACCTGTCGATGAAGAAGGTCCCGGCTGGGCAAGGGTTGCATGCTGTGTTGCTGGGCTCCCGCTTTTAGGGCTCTCCTCATAGGGTCGAATCGGAATTTGGAAAGTCCCACCATCGCTGGACATCGAAGGACTCTGTCTTTGATGATCCCCGCCGATGCTAGACAGCACCGCCCTGGAATAGTCCGATCGCGGCCACATGGTACCGGTATCGTTATTGCCAAAGTCAGATGATGCGTGATCATGACTAATGGGAATCGGGGTTGTGAATGAGCGCATCTGCGCACTCTGCCTCTGATTATGAGCCAGCTGAGAAGCCTTGAATTTAGGGCTATTGGCGACACTGCCTGAGAACGGGCCGGCAGAGCGGGGTTCAGGAGGCACTTTTGGCGAAGCTTCATGCCCTCCGTCGAAAGCACTATTGGGGTGAGAATCTCGGCGCTTCTGCACCGATAAGTCTGCATCATAGGTTCCGTCTTCGTGAATCTGGCGAATCAACTTGCGCATGCGTTTGCCCTCCTCGCGTTCACGAGTCTGGTCCCAGCCCGTACCGCTCAATTCGCATTCCTTTGCGAGTTGAGGGTAGACGACGTTGTGCATCTTGCCTAGATTTGGGCGGCCATTCGAACCATGTCCCAATTCCAGGAAATCTGCTCCCTCAATTTCTAGCGCCCTAAAGGTTTCTTGCCAATCTTTCGAGAAGCCGTTTCTCGCAAGCCATAAGAGAACGCGATCGAGCGGCCATTGCACGGCCGCTTCGTTGGGCGACATACCTCCAAGCAGAGTGTTGCTGTTATTATGGCGATGACTAGGCGATTTTGTGAGCTCATTCGTTGGCGCGGGCTGCAGTACTTGGTTCTGGGAGGCCGTGGCCGCAAATCCCGACGTGAGTGGTTCATGAGAACCGTCATTGACTGCCAATGATGATGGGAGAGTACGAGAGGACGGCGTCGAAGGCACATTGGCGTCCCGTTTGTATGTGGAAGAATCGCCCATTGAATACTCATAAGCCTGCGAAGAAGGAAGTCGTTGTCTTTCGGCCGAGGGCATGGTTCCTGGGTTCTCGTAGCTCGGAGCAGAATGCACGTCAAACGGCGGTATTCCGACACCCGGTCCGAACGAACCAGGTTGCGGAACGTAAGTTGCAGACGTTCGGGTATCAGTTGAAGAGGGTATTGAAAGGCCGTTTGGACGACCGTAGGGCGATTGATTTGTAGGGACCATAGGAGGGGGCGGCGGGGGAGGTAGGAAGCCTTGGGACAGAGCCTGTCTGGCCCAGGTCTGTTGCTGCCAGCCTAGAGTATTCTGATGCTGCAGTTGAGGATTGGTGAGCTTGGATGCGCCGTATCCTGCTCCAGGAGGTGGCCCAGGGGGCGGCGGAGGCATCACATTCTGAGATTGGCTTGGGGCGTATCGAGGCGGCGGTGGCGGTAGAGGTATCATATGCGCCTGCGAGGGCTGCGTTGCGGAAGGAGGAGGAACCGGAATATATTGCTGTTGCCGTTGGCCATCCATCTTGACGGTGCTTGGGTATCACCGTTGCAAGCAAAGGATCTTGATCGGCCGTTGAATCGCAGACAGTCTGCGCGGGGACTTCTAGAAGACTCTACTAGTGTTCAAAGGCCCCTCTCCGAGAGGGATTATGCACGTTGCTGAGGCCGAGAGACATAGACCATCAGCGCTCAATATCGAAAGAAAGTCCGCATCCTCGATGCTCCCCAAAAGCCCGTTATTGGCCCTAAGCAATATCGACCAGGTCGCACAGGGAACACGAAGTACTGGCGAAGTATTCAGGGGAGGGCTGATAAAGGAGACGGACGTGAGGTATCTCAATGCAAGATTGTAATCATGCGCAGCTAGCCTCCAAATCGGGTACGTAAGCAGAATCGGCAGGTATCTGCGGCCATCGGCTTCGATAGATCGAGTCTCGTGAGGCTGCGGGCGGGCAGAATCGTGCGCACGTTGTCAGTTGAGACAGCACAGCCGTGATAGAGAGTGAGATTGAAGACTATATTTCAAGGAAGCTGGGAGATCAGAAGTAAGTGAAAGCTCTTGGAAGTTATTGAAAATTTGCGATGATCAATCCCCCTGATAGTAGACTAGGTCTCGTTAGTTGAAGGGGGAGGGGGGGCACAGCAGGAAAGGGAACAATGCCGCGGAAGATTGGCCGGGAAGCTAAAAAACATACCATTAGCAATTTGAAAGAGATTAGCCTAGCCTCCCACATTTGATTAAAACCACTAGTCGCTCATTAGAAGGGTTCCTCGAAATTAAGGAAATGAAATGTCTCTCTTCCAACGCAAGCAAGAGGCCTGCTCGCCATGAACGTTGGGGTAAATCAGGCCCGGCCCAGGCTTCGCAGAGAAGGAGCTTTGATGCGCTGGCCGCCTTAGCGCCCCTTCAAACCGTCCCGTCGATCACGTGGTGGACTGATAAGCAAAGGTCCATTCATTCATTCATTCTCCGAGGTCTTTTGCAAACATTCCTCTGAGCTTGGCACTCTACACTCAGACTTCTGCCCATTCCCCTGATATGTCAATTGCCCGCATCCGGGGCCTGACCTTATATAGCAATGAAATGCTGTCAAATTGCATTAGTGAAACGAACAATGACATCTGATCGCGAGATTGAGCGAGGTTCATCACGTAATTCGATCAATCGCGTTGCCCGAGAGATTTAGCGCTATACCATGCCCGGGCGGTGCGATTGTCAGAACTATACAAGTTTCAGATGCTCATCTGACGTGGACCCCCTTTCAAGAATCCTACCGCTTTCACTTGGGTTATCAACTACCAGCACAGATAAATAATGGGCATTGAGTAACATTAACCGGCAATTGCGTGTAACTCAAGACGGTAAACATTCTGGACTAGTGACACGTATAATGAACCTCTGATCCAGGAGCCCATCATGTCTCACATCAAAACCCACCAGGAGCACTAACATGAAATGAGTTTGACGTCTTTCTGGCAAGCCCAACGAACTCCTGCCTCCCTGTCTACCTCTATCAGAGAGACCTCAGCGATCACAGATGACGTTCCACCGTCCATCCTTCCGCACCATTCTGCCTCTGTTCCCTATCCTCGAAGAACGGCCTGAAGAGCCGTCGAATGATCTTCTCCGGGCGGAAATGCTCATAATACTCCCCGGTGTCCGGGTCGACCGTCCGGCCCGTGACCAGGGGCATGTCGACCAAGATCTTCGAGTCTTCCGGTAGGACCTGCGCGAAAATCCGACTGACAGTCTGCGACGCCGCCTTTGCGATGCTCAACGCCGCCAGGCTCGGGTCCGGGTACTTGTCCAAGACGCCGCCCGTGACCAGGAACAGGGGCCACTCGCCCGCTGAGACACCTCCCACGCGAGCATGGTTCCGGTACCACTGGCCGGCGACAAGGGTTCGACGGCGGCGACGCGGAAGTCCAGCTCCAGTTCCTCGGGCGTCAGGTCCGTGATCGAGGAATTGAACACCCGCGCGGCGTTGTAGCTGAGGATGTCGAGGGCCCCGCCGAGCTGTTGCAGGCACCACTCCAGAGCGCACTTCAAGCTGGCAGGATCTCCAGCGTCCGCTGCTCGGTAGACCACGGTGATACTGTCCTTGTTGGGAGCGGCATAGCGGACTTCCTCGGCGATTGCGGCGAGACTCTTCTCCGAACGAGAGATCAAGCCGATGTCCCAGCCGAGACTGGCGAGCCACATCGCCAGCGATCGAGACATGGAGAAGCCCACGCCCACGATAATGCTGGTTCGGTTTGCGCTGATGTTCATTCTGGTCTTTTTGCCTGTGTTTGCTTGTGAAATATGGGACTAGTGGCGTCACGCCTGTGTCAGTATGGTTGTGCTCTAACAAGCGGTATGTGATATTCTGGGGCGCACGATGTGAGAAAAGAGCTGAGGCGTCCTTCTTTTAAAAATTGACAGGGTATCCCGGACTTCTGCTCTCGGCTGAATACGTGGGAGTAGAAAGAATTCAATTGATGTATGATGCCCATAGCGCTCGTAAGCATGAATACGACCAATAACGTCACCGGCGCTTTTGGCAGTATACGAGGCGGGAAAGCGGGAATCTGACGGGCTCGGGATCCTCCACTGTTTGGAATGATAGATCTTTAGAGTACCTCGGCCATGTTCGATTGCTCATAAAGTATAACTCACGCAGTCCTTCGAGAAGAATGTGCGCACATGAAGCTGCATAAAGCTATGAACCTCGTACAGTGCTATCAAAAAGGCTCTAAAGCATCAGCATAGAGTTGAAGTCGAATTCACCCAAGCTAGTCAAAAGCCAAACCACTACTCATCTCCTCTACTCGAACAGCAATACCCAATGATCTTGGATTTATGAGTCATTATCATTAAAGTACATATTGCGGGTTATCACATCACAACAACAGCTTCCCATATCCAAATGGCCACGACGATTGGGTGTATGATTATCAGCCATTCCCGCCACATCTTCAAGGTTGTGTACCTGCTTGCTTGGATCGAAAGTTTTGTTATTTCCGGATGAAACGCAGAATGCGGAGAAGTGGAAAGAGAGGGATGCGAGTTATTCGGTCGGCGATTCGTCGTTATCGTCATTATTTGTTTCTTGTGGCAGCCGCCTCGGCGGTGATCTTCAGTGCGGCAGGTGCATCGTCCTGGGGCATGTGGAGTTCAACCAGCTGTGTCGCATTGGTCAGCATTGCGATATATTTGGGTTTATGGGATGAATGGAGCACGTACCTGCAAGTGCGGGGCGGAGTTGAACTTCTCGTTGGCGAAGAGCTCCTTCAGTTCGTCGCGAGTGGTGACCTTGTAGCCAGTGTACTTGTCCTTGGCTCCGAAGACGGTCGGCAGGCCCTTGATATCCCAAGGCTGGATGTCGTTGTAGCTCTCGGCCCAGCCGTGGATGTAGCGCTCGATGGTGTATCCGTTGTTGCAAATGACGAAGCTGTTCGGTTGTTAGTGTGTGTCGAGACTACTAAGATTGTGGTGCAGACTTACATGATGGGGTTGAGGTTGTTTCGGATCATGGTGCTCAATTCCTGCACGGTGAGCTGGAGACTGCCGTCGCCAACGAAGAGGACAGTCCGGCGGTTGCCCTGCTCCTTTGCCGCCAGAGCTGCACCCTGACAGGCGCCGACCGAGTAGCCAATGCTTCCCCAGAGGACTTGACTGATGGCGGTGACGTTGGGGGGGAATCGAGTCTCCCAGATACCGAAGTTCGCAGTACCGGTCTCGGTGATGACAATGTCGTTCTCCTTGAGCCACTGACCGACCTTGGGCCACAGCCACTGGTGTGTGATCTCGGTAGCCGAGGATGACTTCTCACTCTCGGGCAGTGCATTGGAGAGTGGCGTGACTGGCTCAGCATTGACTTTGCCCATCTTCTGGATGACCTTGCGCAAGACACCCTTCATGTTGATCTCGGGGTATTCGGAGTAGCGCACACGCACGTAAGTGCTGTGGAAATCGATGGTGTTGAGCTGCCCGATACGGTAGGTGAATCCACTGGTATTGAAATCGGACTTGATGGCACCGATGCTTAGGATGAGGTCCGAAGACTCGACCTGTTCACGGACACCGGCGTTTGAGCCCGTTCCAGCGTAGACACCTCCATAGTTTGGTCGCGTCTCGTCCACGGCGCCCTTGCCCATGGGAGCCACGAAAGTAGGCAGACCGGAGACTTCCATCAGGTCGTGGACTTCGTCCAGCACACGGTGGCGGATAGCACATGCGTCGACCAGAATGACCGGTTTCTTGGCGGCATGGAGGTATTTCAAGACGACATCGACCACATAGTCTTCCTTCTCGGTTTCGTTCGGGGGCAGTGACAGATCTAGTTTGTTGTTGAGTCTTTCGCCCTCAACCTGTTTCACGATCATGTCCGTGGGGAGAGTGATGTAGACGGGGCGACTGCGAATCCAGCATTCACGAATGGCATTGTCGATCAGGGTCGCGACCTCGAGAGACTCGGTCAGACGGGCAACTGAACAGGAGACTCCGGTGTTCATCTTTGTGAAAGCATCGAAGTCACCGTTTCCGAGAGTGTGATGAAGCAGCACTCCATCTTTCTGAGACTTGGAGTTGGGCTGGCCCACGATGTGAACGATAGGCACGAACTCGGAGTAGGCACCGGCAATGGCGTTGAGTGCCGAGAGTTCGCCGACTCCGAAAGTAGTGATCAAGGCGCCAATGCCGTTAACTCGAGCATAACCATCAGCGGCGTAACCTGTAGTACCGTCAGCCCGGCGCCGCAAATGTACGGGGTTGAGTTTCAATGATTTCAATCATACCAGCGTTGAGCTCATTGCAGTTTCCCACCCAGTTGAGACCACACTTTGGCAGGTAGTCTAGAGCTGCGAGGTTGTAGTCGCCTATGGACATGCGGCGTGATTAGAAGGAATTCAAGATTCGAGACTTTTCGTAAGCTGCTTACCGGGAACACCGTGCACTGAGCGGACCCCCACCTCATGCAGACGGTGGAAGAGATACTCAGCGACAGTGATGGGCTTCCGAAGCTCTCGGGTGACGATCTCGTTAGTTGCCATCGCGAAAGCCAAGGAGGTAAACGCGAAAGAAAGTAAGTTGTAGGTATGGAAGGAAGATGAACGGTGTGTAGGACGAAGATTGAATGTTTACGCCGAGGGGGGAGTGTATAAATAGGCGTTCTGGACCTGAGCGTGGTCGTACGTCATGAACATAACGTGATGTCATTCAGGCTGGATGAGCTTACTCCGTGTCACCGCTACAAAGTACCGTACTATTGAATTCACTCATACTACTTCAGACTATCCGCCTCAACGCCGGGCTACCTGAGACATGCATGATGCCAGAGATGGGAATAGTAGAGCCACAAGGAAACGACTTGACCCGGTTTACCCTGGCACGATATCGGACCGGGATGTCAAGTGGTTCGATGGAAAAGTACCGGACGGAGATGGGAACCTGCGGTCGGATCACCGTTTTTGAACATGGATCAGATCATGGATGTTTGCTTTTGTAATTCCCGTCCGGCCGAGAACAAGCCGTGTCAATCCCATGCCATCCATCCAATCCATCGACAGATAGCAGTGGACAAGGGGCATGGACTCATGTCGCACTCCACTTCACCTTCTGGTGGGATGACGATCTCGCAAGCTTGCCAGTGCTTCCACGCTGTTCCCGCGCAGTTCCCGCGCTGTTCCCGTCGACAAAAGGTTTGCTTGCTCCTCGCTAGTCCCAAAATGGAATTTTGGGTGCCCCGCCCGCCGCCGGGCCTGATCTTTCCACTGCCGCACCTGGCAGGCTGCTTATCGCTCTCAAACCAGGAATGCATCTAGAATCCCGTCTTCGGTATCCCGTCTCAGTCTGCGACATAAGACTTGCCACCATAGTGCCCCGATTGGAGAAAGCTGCATGATCTGTTGGCAGCCATTGTAGCCCTTTTTGGAACACCGTATCCCCTAGTCTTTGCCAGATATCAGCGCATGGCTGGAAAGGGGAAGCGGTCCATGCCTGATAACATGTCGACTCAAGCATCTAAGAAAAGAAAGGTTCGCGTCCTGGCTGGATCCTCGCCACATATATCACCCCATCATGAAGTTCGCGTTTTTCTTTTGTTGAATGACTACCTAACCGTTAGCTCAGGGAGGTGGCGGTGGTCAATGGCGCAAGCAAGGCAATAAGGCAGGAATTGAGGGAGGCGATTGGGGTGTCTTCGTGACATGCGATATTGGAAAGGAAACCAAGTGTATGTCGGAGGCTGTGGATTTGTTTTCTCAGGTAAACCCCGCCTTTGGAATGACCTCCCTGTCGAGCGGGAATCATTGCCGCATTTCCGTCGCTGCGCATGCATCCCAACAGAGCGGCATGGACACTGTCTAACATACATTGCCATCCAGCGTATTGAGGGGAATGAGAAGGATGTCGACAATGGCGATAAGTCCGACTCAGATGAAGATGACATCGAGGCCATGATCAAGAAGGAAGTCGAGGGACTCAAACCCAGCCAAGCCAAGTCTCGTCCGTTCCAGGGAATTCGAATGGACTTACCATGCTGTGCGTTGTACATCTCGGAAGTTGCTGGCGTTGATTCATGCTGATTGTCCCAGTATCATTCATCCGGTTTGACAAGTCCATTGATCCAGAAGAAATGGTACATCAATTGTGCCTTGAAGCACACGCTCATCCCGAGAAAAAGCGCTCTCGGTACATTCAACGCATGACTCCTGTCAAGTCTGTTCGAAAGACTCTCAGTGTAGAACTGGAGGCTTTTGCGCGCGAAATTCTGAAGCCTCATTTCCACTCTGGAGGCCCCCCTAAGAAGGTATGTTGTCCTTTTTAGCGTCGCTCAGCTTCAACCACTGCGGAAACGTACTGAGTCTTGACACCTTTAGTACGCCATCCGACCTGTCGTAAGGAGCAACAAGAAATTCAGCAGAGACTCGGTCATCAAGACCGTTGCAGACGTTGTTGGTCCTGAACATCCTGTCGATCTCAAAAATTATGACATACTCATCAATGTCATGGTCATTCAGGTAAGCCTTGAAGAGGGCATGCAATTTTGTTCTCGTGGCTAACTGGTCTGCCGCAGAACGTGATTGGTATGGGTGTGGCAGGAAGTGATTATGAACAGTTGAAAAAGTACAACCTGGCGGAATTGTATACCCCAACTTCAGCAGCGCAGGCTGCGGAGCCTTCCGAGGACTAGCACGGGACTTCAGTGAGACGTCGTGACTGATCTTCTCCGTTATATCTAGAACAGCGTCGCTATATCAAGATGGACAATACTACCCAAAAAAAAAATATGCTCTCGGCCCAGTTGCGGACCCATCTGCTTACAAATGATCGTAGTTGGATGGCTCTCATGAACAACAAATGGAGCCCAAGGCTCTACTCCGACTCATGATTGCACGTATGCTTATGTCTCCTTTACATAGACTGAAAGTCACGATGGACGGCATCGCGCTCGATACGAGGGACACGCCGGGCTGCAATGGCTGCACCGTTTTTACGTGAATCATGATGGCTGAGTTTCAAACTGCTTCAGACTAGTTGAGTACAGTGGTGGGTGCGGCATATGCCCTTCTCGTACAGACCCCTCGAAAGGGCTTCTGGCTGCAATTTTAGTGGCCAGAGGTGAATTTGCAGGATTTATCCGGAGTATTAGCAATTCAACGTGCCTCAATGATTTGTTGAAATATATTTCTAAGCAGTCGTGAGTTGACCAATTCGTGACCAATTTGGGGAAGTCAAGCGAAGGTTTTCACAGCATCCACAAGCCGGCGAATCCACATTCCACAATCTTCTAGTCTAGCTCAGAGAATTAGAAACATGGGGCAATCCGTTAAGCTTACGGCCCAGGGTACTTGAACCAAACTTCGATGTTCCCGTATTCGAACTAAGGCAAAGGATGAAGAAGGAACAGGCCGATGTCGCAGGCAGCCTGGAGGTAGACCCATAGCACGCAAGGGCGTGCGTATAGTAGGAGGCATACTAATTCCTCAGTCTAATAGGACAGCCTCACGATAACCCGACCGAATGGAAACATTGCTGTCACTCGTGCCCAGCCTGATCTAGTCCTAGCAGTCCAACCTACCGGTGACACCGTAGTATTCTGGAGGAATCGTAAGCCAACCAGAACTCGTCGCGAGCGGTGAGCTTGCATTAGACCAGCTGCATGGGCTCCATCGAGACAACTAAAGTCGAGGATTCATTCCTGATCATTGTGTAGCAGTTTAGCATCACAATGAGCCCGCGTCCAGTTCATCAACGACCGTCCGCGGGTCTCCATGGATGAACTGAAAGCCGGCAGATCCTTCCGCGATATTGCATTCGGTAACGCGTGCATCTGATTGGCCGAGATCCGTTTCACCTGCATGGCGCCTTTCTCAGAGCGGGAGAGTTAGGCGAGCCCGCGAGGCCGAACCTTACTCAGACTCTCAGACTCTCTTCAAGGTCCATCACGATGGAGTTCTCGGACTTACATCTACTTCCATCCAATATGGAGTCTATGGGCGCTCGACACAGATCACCCCAAACTCGCTTATTCTACTCCAATGGGGAATATGCCCTCTCGCCCCAAACCTCCTGGACTCCTGGGTTCAGAACAGAGTTGTATATATTCCGGTTAATCAAGCGAGAAGCATAATGCAATCTTGCAGGACAATAACAGTTTTCTGGCTAACAAAGCATGTTGGTCCTGGCTTAACCCCAACCATCAACTATCTGCCACTCATTGCCAGGAAATCATCTCTGATCCTTTCGCGAGTCTCGGGCTCAATTTTTATACCCCCTCTCTCGCACCCCTCTTACTCAAGGTTGCATGCGATGTTTGAGCGGAGTCAGATTGATATCACAGATCACGACGCTTACGATGTTATAAACAAGTTATTGAGCCTTCTGTGGGATGTGCTGGCTTTTCTTGATTCATCTCCCCTCGTCTTTCCATTATGTCACCTTCTTTATCCGTCTCACCGACTTGCAAGGTTGAAGCCCCGAGTACAAATACTATCGGTTCGGTGCTCCAACGCCACATCCCGCCATCGGTCCAGATCAAAGAGATTTATCCCCTGGAGGGCCACCTACACTCCGTGAGTCTTTTGGTTCTCTCGAATGGGAACCGATGGCTCTTGAAATGTCCACCCCGGTCGACCACACCTCTTCTACGTCGAGAACAGCTCTTACTTGAGACTGAAGCACGAGCTCTGTCTATCCTAGGCCAGAGTGCAACCCCACATGTGCCATCATTCGTACATTATGGCTTTCAAGGCGGTCCATTCGGGTCTGCCTTCTTGGTCAGGCATTATGTCACAGGCTTGACCTTGAAGGAGATGGAACCCCGACTTACCGCGCAAGAACGCAAAACTTTGGACAGAGATCTGGGATTTCTGGTCCAACAGGTTGGGCAACACCTTTCTAACGCCTTCGGCTCGCTGGAACAGGTGGCCTGTGGGCGGGGAAAGCTCTCCTGGAGGGATGCTTTCGTCGCACTCTTCGAGGACATCCTGCGGGACTCAGAAGATGCTTTTGTTCACCTTCCCTATTCTGAAATCCGGCATCACGTTCGCCGCTTGTCGCATACCTTGGAGGAAGTCACCTTGCCACGGTTGGTAGTCATCGGCTTAGGTCGACCGTCACAAGTCTTCCTAGACCCAGTGTCCCGGAAATTGTCTGGCGTGACAGGCCTCGGACACGCATTGTGGGGGGACATTCTTATGGCCGAGATATTTGAAAACCCATCGTCTGCCATGCTCGATGGCTTTGGGTCTCGACTCTCAAAGAGCAAGTCACAGGTGACTCGTCAATTACTGTAGGTGACTCATTCCCCCGCATCAAGGCGATGACGCTAACATTCGCTTCAGTTATGCTTGTTACCGTTCCGTTCACAAGATCACGATACATTATTACCGTGATAAGGAGATGACAGCTGAGATGGAGGCGAGGAGACGACTGACGACAATCCTGGCAGAAATGAATGCGATTAAGGGGCCTCGGTGACCCGGGAAAGGGGCTGGATGGTAGACACCAATTCTCTATACTCGCTCGACCCCTGGCGAACTTGAAATTGGTATCATGATCACATGACTGGGCTGCTTTTGTTCCTGAATTGTTCATTGTTTGTATATAGCGGCAACAGCGTTGAGCGCAGACAAAGACTTGATCGAAATCCTATGATGCTGTTAGAGTACGGCGCGATTTGAATCGCGAATGCATGGCAATCCTTTTCATAAATCATCAGCAATCAGGAATCTCATTGACAGTTCGTATCGAGACTGTCACCGCTGAGTTTGATGTCGTTCTGCAGCTCTGGTCTTGGCGTTGACGAATAAGAACACATTGTTGCTGCCTAACTGACTCATAGAATCTCGGCGAAGATAGAATGAGTTGTAACAAAGCTGCTATATGAGCCCGCTTCAGTATACAGCTATCTAAACTGTTCACGTATGTAGTTGGCACGTAGCCTTGTCAAGCACTTTGTCAACAAGCCCCAGGACTGATTATCTGCCAGATATCAGATGTATAGATATCGCACCGTAAACTGGGAGCGGCTAGTGTAGGGCGGGCGGGGGATCCAGTTTTGCCCCGCCCCGGACCGCCCTAAGGCAGTAGCTGTACCGAACTCAATCAATCAGCCTTAATGCCGTCAGTCAACCTTTGCTTCTCTCTCCCCCCCGCGATCATGACCTTGCGCTTGACTTGAACTTTCGTGGGTTCTTCGCTGGCCTCTGTTTCTAGACCTACGTTCTCTTCCTATCTCATACTTCATACCCCCCTGTTTATTGTTAGCGTCCAGTTCATCCGGTGAGAATGGCGCATTTCCTGAGAGGGAAACAGGCCGGCATTCAAAAGGACTTTTCCGATGGCTTGTCGCCGGACCTGTTCGCCCTAGATGATGTATGTCGTCTATGTCAGATACAATCTCACTCCTTCCACCCACAGAACCTTCAACCCAGCTCGCCCCGCGCTCATGACTTATCCATGCTAACTGATTGCTTGCATTCTCGCAGTTCGCTCGGTGCGGTATCAACTCCCAAGTTAGCGCTATTGCCTACGACCCCATTCAATCACTCCTTGCAATTGGAACCAGCGATACACAGTTCGGACATGGACAGATCTACGTGTTCGGCCAACGACGGGTATCGGTCATCTTCTCGTTGCCTCGAAAAGCATCTGCGAAGTTCATTCAGTTCTGCGCCGACAAGCTCATTAGTGTCGACTCTAAGAGCGAAGTAACGATCTTCTCCCTTGAAACCCGACAAACATTAGTCTCGTACGCCCCTCCGAGTCATGCGAGCGCGTTATTGACCGACCCGAGTCTCGACTATGCGTTTATCGGGTTGCAGAATGGTATGGCCTCTGCTAGGAATCATATGTGTTGCTTTATCTGATAACATCACAAGGCGACATCATTGCATACGATCTTGACCGTGAGACATTGACGCCATTCCGGGTCCCGAATCTGTGGGCTCAACGCAGTGCGCGGACACGTATGTGTCCGGTTATCAGTCTCTCCTTTTCGCCGCGCGATATCGGCAAGATTCTGGTCGGGTATCCGGATGGCGCGGTGACCTTTTCTTTCAAACAAAATGTCGCGCAGAAATACTTTGAATATGAAGTGCCCCCAGGTGCGCTGGGTGGTAATGGGGAGGTCCCGATCTCTGAATTGCGCAAGCCCAGGTTGACCCAAGCTCTCTGGCACCCGAACGGTATCTTTGTCCTGACCGTTCACGACGACAACAGCCTGGTCTTCTGGGATTCGAAAGACGGTCGCAAGGTGATGGCTCGGTCCATCGAAACTCCTAACGTTGATCAGCCAGGCGTAAGCCCCGAAAGGCCCCCTTCGGCGGGTGTTATCGGTCTCAAGGATCCAATCACTCATGTCGCGTGGTGTGTCAAAGACAATGGAGATGACAGCGGACTTTTGATTGCTGGTGGACGGCCAAAGGCCGACACCGTCAAGGGTCTTACATTCATAGATCTGGGCCCTACTCCCAATTATCAAACATCTACCTGGCCTATGATCTCAAAGTACTTCGAATCCCCGAGACGGGTCTCAATCCTGCCCACCCCTCCTGGCGGAGAGGTGGTTGATTTCTGCCCGATTCCACGCAGTACCCCTTACTTTGCAGGCGCTCATGATCCTATCTCTCTGATTGCCCGCTTGTCTTCGGGGGAACTGATTACAATGAGCTTCCCGACTGGTCACCCAATCACACCTACGAATATGCTTCATCCATATCTGTCTTTCGTGCATCCATTTGTCAACAAGGCGACACTGACCCCAGTTGATCGCTCTGCTTGGTTGGGCTTGAAAGAGCGCAGGTCACAGGGACCCAAGTTTCTATTGGGCGGGGCAGAAGCTAAGAAGGCCCTCAAACGATTCGAAGACCGAAACATCATCACTACCGCTCATGCAGATGGGACCATTCGCATCTGGGACGGAGGAATTGATGACGAGATTGAAAACGGGGAGGTCATCCAAGTGGACTTAGCCCGGGCCGTAGGTCGTGTTGGCAATATTGAAGTCACCGAGATGTCCTTAAGTGGTTCAACGGGTGAATTATCTGTAGGTCTTAGGACCGGTGAGCTTGTTGTCTTTCGATGGGGGAATAACAAGAACTTCGGTGGTGAGGAGCCCCCTGGTGCCAATGAAGGGCCCGGTAAGTTGACCCCGATCACTCATCGGGCTGACCCTGGACTCAAGCAAGGCCTTCTTCCCCTCACCCTCCTCAACATGCAACAGGGGCCAGTGACAGCCGTGAAACAGAGCCAAGTTGGCTTTGTCGCAGTTGGGTTTGAGAGCGGGAGTCTGGCGATCATCGACTTGCGTGGGCCGGCTATCATACATACCGCTCACTTCTCGGAGTTGCTGAAGGCCAACAAGAGAAGCAGCTTCTTCAAGCAGCGCAGCTCTGAAGTCCCCTCTCCGGAGTGGCCTACCAGTATCGAGTTCGGTGTGCTTACGCTCGAAGGAGAAGGTAAGATGCATTCAGCGACATTAAACGAGCGTCTAGGTGGCTGACACTTCTGTAGACTACTCGAGCATCTGTTGCTTTGTAGGTACCAGCAAAGGTAATCTGGCTACTTTCAAGATCTTGCCAGCAGATAATGGTACCTACTCGGCGGTTTTTGCTGGCGCAACCTTGCTGGATGACAAGGTCATCAACATTATTCCAATCAATGCTGATAGCGGCAACCCTGCTTCAGCTTCTCCCAACGCCGTCGGAGGCCTCCGCAACGGCATTAGGGTAAACGGAGTAGTTATTGCGGTGACCGTATCTGGTTGCAGGATTTTTAAGCCTGCGACGTCCAAGGGCGCTCATAGGTCTTGGGACGATTACCTATGTGACTCAGCCGCGGTGGTCAAAATCGAGGGCCGGGGCTACAGCCTTGTAGGCCTGTTCGGGGACGGCAACACGCGGGCTTTCTCTATCCCAGGCCTCAAAGAGATTGGTTGCAGCGCGATCAATCAGATTGCTGACATGAGGCGACTTTCCGATGCTTATGTTTCCTCTAATGGAACAGTCATGATTTGGACGAGTCCTTCAGAGATAGGATTGTTCAATGTATGGGGAGCAGGAACCGGCCTGTGAGTTGATTCTCGCTCATTGATTCTCGTGCACAAGTGACTAAACTTCGTTATAGCCGACCTTCGGAAGATCAATTATACAATCCCCAAGCAGTCATTCCACCACGACCCACAATCACCAACATTCAGTGGATCTCCGGCACTCAATATGTCTCGCCAGCCGACATGGATCTGTTGAGTCAGTATCCCTTCATATACCCACGTTGAGCACGATAGACTAACATGATACTTCAGTCGGAGGCCCCGATCGCCCACCATCGAAGCATATGCAGGAACAGATGCGACTGGACGAACAAGAGCGACGCAAGGCATTCAGAGAAGGCCGGACCAATACAAACCAGTCCTCGGATTCAGGCAACCAGGAAGGATACTGGTCCTACATGCAACGCCAGGTTACAGAACGCACCGAAAGACTCAATATCGCCGGTGATCAGATGGACCGGCTGGAAGAGAGCAGCAGCAACTGGGCCCGAGATGTCAACAAATTCGTTCAGAACCAGAAACGGAAGGCCGTTATGGGCGGTATGTGCATCTCTAAGATCTGTTACCTTGCTGGAATATACTAACTAAGAGCAGCCCTCAGTTCCAAATTCGGTCTCTAAACTGTTTTCCTGGTTACCTTTCCCTTCAACCTGTGGCGAATCATGCCTTATCTCCTCATACTGGAGGCCTTTCCTTATTCATACCCAGACACCCTCGGCGTTCATTGTCAATGCTTTATGTCCTAAGGAACGAATCCTATGAATAGATGACACTGAAAGTGACTAGAAGCTCATGGTTGATGATGCACCTTTATCGGAAAAGTCTAACCTATACATATAATGGTATAGTCCGCATAGACGCATAACTCCTAACATCACCCTGTAAACAATGCAGACGTACAGCCACCAACCGGAAAAATCACACCACAGAGGAGTGAGTATTGCAGCCCCGGCCCACGCTCCCACTTCCCTCATCCGGTGGCCCTGCCGAAACACAACCCCGACGCTCCTGCAAGAAGTTTCCGCTCCCGTCGGTGACCGGCATACAGACACAGAATCTGCCGGAAACCTTAACACCCTTGCTTTCCCGCCACGTAGGCAAATGAAACTGACGAGATTCATGGCCCAAGATACCCTTTGAGCTAGTCGGTAATCGTGTGTCCTCCTAGATTGAGAACCTCTGGAAAAGCTACACTTCAGGATACAGAGAATTACTAAGGGTAGAAGTTATAGCATTTGCTTCATACTGTGCTTTATGGGTAGTTTCATTACAGTGCTGATGGGTAGTTGCACACGAGACACGCTCCCTCCCCCACTCCCTCTTTTCGTTTCGGCCTTGCGTTTCCGACGTAGGGGGAAGAGGAGTTGCCACGGTACTCTGCCGTTGATTGACTCCTTGCTTTTTGGTTGTGTCCCGATGGGAGGAATGTGCGGGTGAGATTTTTTTTTTGTTTTAGATGGAGACGAAAGAGGGCCAATTTTTATTTGCCCGAAAACATTATGAATTGGTTCGTTCTATGTCGATAGGATAGACTAAGTACTGCGGAACCTTTTGGTGGGGATATGGTAAGATGTATGACGAAGAAGAAAAAGCGGTTTCAAACCCAATCGTGAAATCATTCGGAAAATAACCAGATAAACAAAGAATATACCAGTGCCTCACTCTCTTACGCTTCTGTTGCGTTTGAGTCAAGGTCTAGTGGACCATCAGTTCCGGCTGATGTTGGGCCGTGGGGTTGTTGCTGCTGGCGCCGCCGGCCGCCTCGTCCTTGGGCTCCGAGTCATCGCCCATCTCGATGTCCTCGTCGCCGTCGCCGCCTTCCTCCTCGTCCAGCTCCTCGTCGTCATCGTCGCTCTCGTCCTCGATGTCCTCACTTTCTGCGTCGGAGATGTCCTCCTCGTCGCCGGCAGTGGCCTCCCCGCCTTCCATGTCCTGGTCTTCGCCGCGCGAGGAATCGTGTTGCTCCGCTTCTTCGAGCTCCTTGACGAGCGCTGCCTCCAACTCGGCCTCCTCCGCGCCGTATGTGTTGCTGTCGTCGACCAGGTCGGCATCCGGCTGGTCGGGGGGGTATTCGGCGGGGGCGGACTCATCCGAGTCCCTGTGTAGAGAGGGAGAGGTTAGCATGTGTCCCTCCAGGACGGAAAGAAGTAGGGGCTTACCACTTGATGGCAAAGCGGGTGACACGGGGCTTCTCGGCAAGGATATTGCGGCGGATGCGCTCGATGATGGGCTTGGCCGGCGGCTCGTTGCTGAGTTCCTCCGAGTCGTACTCGTTGTTCACATAGTAGCCCACCCGGACGAATTCCCGGCCATCGTAGCTGCAGGTGAGGAGGATGACGGTGACGCCCAGGATTTCCGAGGTGGGGATGCGCTTCAGGTCTGGCGGGTCGGCTTCGAAGATGAATTTGTTGACGCCCACGGGGATGGGGCCCACGAGCAGGGAATCCAGTTCTTGGTCATATTCGGAACTGAACTCCAAGGTTAGAAGGGGTTTGTAAGGGAAGGCGTGGTGGGTGAGGGGCGGGCTTACGAGGTGGCAGAACCGACGTAGGTGAGCTTCCACTCCAGATCTAGTAGGGCAATCAATTAGCGGGCTGTCGGTGGGGACACGCAGAAAGTCGGCTGCTTCGTACCTTTTTGGAGCTGTTCAAGGCACTCGAAGGTGATCTCGAATTGGTAGGGGGCCGTGAATGGGGCGGGATTGTTGACGATCTTGACGCCGAGGAGGGAGACGACCGACATGGTTATATGAGAGGGGAATGTGAAGCCGACTGGGGCGTTGGTGGTGTGGTGGTGAGGAGTGAGAGGATCGGATGGAAGAGTGCAAGATAGAGAAAGGAGGATGATTTTAAAGACGAAGAAGAAAACAAACAAATGAGTAGAGGAATGACTCTAGATTTATTTGGGAAGGGAAGAAAGAAAGGGAGGGAGAGAGCGGAGAGAAAGAGGAGAAGAAAAAGCGAAGTGGGGAGCAGAATTGGAGGGATAAATGGAGGAGAAACGGGCAGCCAGCATATAGAAATGGTGGTTGTTAGTTAGATACTGAGTGGTAGTAAGGCCAACCAGCCCAAGTCCAAGTCACTCCAAATCAAGTCAATTAAACATGCAAAGAGGGATCGACGACGCGCGCCGCGTGTGGGCGACGCATCTTTCGCGCTCACCGCCTTCCAGCATCACGTGCCCCCGCCGAATGCGTGACAGCCGCAGCTTCTGCCGCAAGCTCCGGATTCCCACTGCAACTGCAACTCATCTCCTCATCCATCGGTGTGATACCTGCGAGATCCACCTGGACGGCCTTTCCCTTATTGTCCGAAACTCTTCTCTTTTTTGTTTGTGTTTGCTGCCGTTTCTTTCGACTTTGGTTCTCTTGATTCTCTAGACGGGAGTCTGGTCTCGATTCTTTGTCTATTCCGTATTTCTCTGGGTTGCAGCCCCAGCCCGCTCAACACGCACACCCTTCCCCGTATGTTTCCTCAAGAGTCATCTCGACCTCACTATTTCCTCTAACTCAGTCCTTCAGTCGCTAATATCTCCGCTCTTACAGGTAGTCACTGTCTTTGACCCTTACCGCGAGCGAGACCACATCCTTTTGTCATGGCTGATGATGATGCTGAGAACGCCTTTTTCAAGGCTCAGGCAATGAATGCGGACTCTGTGGACTACAAGGCTGTTGAAGAGCAGGGTGCAGATAGTTCAGATTCAGATGATTATGACCCTTCAAAAACACTGCAAGATCAGTATTCTGTTTCCTTGACAGACTCCAAGCAAAGTGAAAATGTTCCTCCAGTTGCTTCTTCCGATTCCACCCCTCCACCAGACCAGCCCTCTTCTTCCCTTGCCCCTGAAACAGACCCTAGTCAGCAAGATGGCAGCAATACCCATCCTTCCCAAACACCTTCCCGAGCCGAGTCTCAGGCATCAACATCTGGCCTTGCTACCGGGGCTTCTGTTCCGCCCAAGACCAGGACGATTGGAGGGTTTGTGGTTGAGGATGAGGATGAGGATGATGCGGGTGATGCGGATTATGAGCCACCGGCTGTACTAGGCGTCGATGACATGAATACTATACCTTCGCAACCCATTTCAGGAAATGCAAATGAAGCTACTTCTACCCCTGATGTATCATTGGATGAGCCTGCGCAGGAGTCTGCCAGCGTCAAGAATGTCCCTAATAACTCTTTCCCTGCTGCTTCTAAAAATGATGCGCCTGTGGCTACGGGCCAGGAGTTGTACAACGCGCGTACTATACAGCCGGACAGCGCACAGGAGAGCAATGCAGCTACTCCCCAGCCGGAATCGCCCTCCATGGCCAAGGGTCGCCTGCCGCACGATCGGATTGGCATCCTGGAGGACCGGATCAAGGAGGATCCTCGCGGTGATATGCCTGCCTGGCTGGAGTTGATTAACGAACACAGAAGCCGCAATAGGATCGACAATGCTCGTGACGTCTATGAGCGGTTCTTGAAAGTGTTCCCCTTCTCCGTGAGTACCGATGTCTTCCATACCCTGACCCGGGTGGCTGATTGTGTCCCTAGGCCGAACAATGGGTAGCCTATGCGAACATGGAAGCGGAGCTCAATGAGCTCTTCCGTCTAGAACAGATCTTCAGCCGGACCCTTTTGACCATCCCCGATGTTCAGCTGTGGTCTGTATATCTAGACTACGTTCGCCGGCGGAACCCTCTAACCACGGACACCACGGGCTCGGCAAGAAGAATCATCTCTGCGGCTTACGACCTAGCCTTCCAACATGTCGGCGTCGACAAGGATTCGGGCTCCATCTGGTCCGACTACGTCCAGTTTATTCGTTCGGGCCCTGGAAATGTCGGAGGCTCCGGTTGGCAAGACCAGCAAAAGATGGACCTGCTCCGGAAAGCTTATCAAAAAGCCATCTGCGTCCCGACCCAGGCTGTCCACACGCTCTGGAAAGAGTATGACCAGTTCGAGATGGGATTGAACAAGATAACGGTAATTCTATCATGCTGCTCTCTTATGAAGATCAATCAGGCTTACATTCGACTTCATCTAGGGCCGCAAATTCTTACAGGAGCAGTCGCCGGCATTTATGACCGCTCGCAGTTCTTTCACCGAGCTGCAGAACATCACGCGGGACCTGAATCGCACAACGCTCCCCAGGCTGCCTCCGGTGCCTGGCTCTGACGGTGACGTAGACTATGCGCAACAGGTCGAAATCTGGAAACGTTGGATCAAATGGGAGAAGGGCGATCCGCTCGTGCTGAAGGAGGATGACGCCGCCACCTTCAAAGCGCGCGTGGTTTACGTCTACAAACAAGCTCTCATGGCTCTCCGGTTCCTACCCGAAATGTGGTTTGAGGCAGCTGAATTTTGCTTCCTGAATGACCTCGAGAATGAAGGTAATGAGTTCTTGAAACATGGCATAGATGCAAATCCGGAAAGCTGTTTGCTTGCATTCAAGCGCGCCGATCGGCTGGAAATCAGCACGGAGTCGGAACAGGACCCCCTGGTGCGCGGTGCCAAAGTCAGAGAAGCTTACGACCGACTTCTCGATTCGCTCTACGACCTAATCGCCAAAGCTCGCACCCGCGAGGAGCAAGACGTCGCTCGCCTTGAAGAAACATTCGCCAAGATGCAACCCGAGAAGCCCCCGTCGAAGAATGATGACGACGACGATGACCAGGAGGCAAAGGCGAGAGAGACTCTCAAGAACTCTCAGATTGAGGCCGTCCGCAATGCACATGCGATCCAAATAGGCATTCTTTCCAAGACCGTCTCATTCGCCTGGATTGCGCTCATGCGCGCGATGCGTCGCGTCCAGGGCAAGGGCACTGTCAACGAGAGGCCAGGATCGAGAACGGTCTTCCAGGATGCTCGGAAACGGGGCCGCATCACGAGTGATGTTTATATAGCAAGTGCTCTCATAGAATATCATTGTTATAAGGACCCTGCCGCTACCAAGATTTTCGAACGGGGTGCAAAGCTTTTCCCGGAAGATGAGAATTTTGCCTTGGAGTACTTGAAGCACCTCATCGACATTAACGATATCGTCAGTGAGTATTCCTATGCTATTGATACTATCACCCACTGAGTGGACGATGCTGATTTTACTGTACCAGATGCTAGAGCAGTCTTTGAGATGACCGTGAGAAAGTTGGCCTCCAACCCGGACAACGTGCAGAAGGCTAAGCCCATCTTTGCCTTCCTCCATGAGTATGAGTCACGGTACGGCGACCTTGTTCAAGTCATCAGCCTCGAGGCCCGCATGCGTGAACTGTTCCCGGAGGACCCAACTCTGGAGCAATTCGCGCACCGATTCTCGAGCCCGACGTTCGATCCCACGGCAGTGCATCCCATTATTTCACCCTCCCAGACTCGGCCCAAGACGGCGTATGCGGCGGATCAAATGATGTCCCGTCATGGAACTCCCACTTCTCGATTCCAAGATCCGTCTGTGACAAATTCGCCGAAGCGGCAATTGGAAGAGTTCGATGACGACATGGGTCGTCCTCGCAAATTCGTTCGGGCTGAGTCCCCCCTCAAAACCACCCAGAGACGCCAGCTGGATCAGAAGCGGAATCAGCAGCCGATGGCTAGTCAATCCCAGTTCAGATCGCAGGGGTCACCGGCTCCTCTGCCCCGAGACATCGTCTACCTTCTGAGTGTGATTCCTCCAGCTTCCGCATACAACGCTGGTCGATTCTCCCCGGAGAAAATGGTTGATCTCATTCGCAGAATCGACATGCCCGGCTCGGTCTCGCAGATCCCCTTCCCTCGTGGGCTTGGAGCTGGGCAACCACCGCAACCTTTCCCTGGTATGTTCCTATTCCTCTCCGAGTTCCAGCACGCGTGATAGCCAGCTAACAGCTCCGTGTTCTCAGGTGCCTACCGTTCATAATCTAACAGTCATATAAACACGTTATTGTGCAAATTTCTTTTTTTTTTAATTCCCATACGCGAATGCGGCCACCATTGCATCTGCGCTGTCACTTTCGTTCTCGTTTTGGTTGCGACCCCGGCGCGGCTCTGGACTGTACAGTTGTTGGCTGTCGTTTGCATTTGATGAGTGGGCGTTTTCAAGCTTGACGATCTCGTCGGTGGATCTTTATCTTTAGTTATTCTCTTTTAATCGCGACGGGCGGCTTTGTACAGAGTGTGGCCTCGGCTTCAATCGTTATGGTGGAAAGGGGAAATCCATATCTTCATCTACTTGCTTATGTTTTATCAAGTGATCAATCAATCAACTAACTATTTCGACAATTTCTATTTCTTTGTAATGTACAAGGGCTTTGATGCGGACGAATGCACAGCTCAGTACAGATCAATCATGCAGTTAACGCAATCGAGCAGAGGACTTGTAATTGTTTTTTTCAGCGGGGTATTTGCTGGTATGCAGAGCTTCATTCAAACGGCTCATCTTCTATATCCTCTTAACCCTCCAAACAACCTTGTCAATGTCCTTATCCGACCTCTTGTTAAAGAAGACCCCTTCATCTGACTCCACATTAATTCATGAGCAAGGTAAAAAGTGGTGACTAGGTCGCCTGGCACAGGCTGCGACTGCCTTTAAGGGTTGATTAGATTTCTCACCACTGCACCATTTCTCGTTGGCGTTCTTTGGCGGTCTTGGTACGGCAATGTGACACTCCAGAGGTTGTCCCATTCTAGGCTCCAGCTACAATGCTTTTCTAAATGTAGGATTGCAGGCCAATGTAGGAGAAAGTCTCGAGTATTCAAGTCTTGAGTAATGGCAGCAGGCGCAGGTTGTTCTGCCATTTCTGGTTTCCAGCCAGGCTTCCAAAAAGCCAATTACTCCGCTGTAGGCCTAACAACCGTGATACATAACTTGTGCCGGTGCTGAGAGAAACAGTAGTAACTGGTAGCGCATTAGCAGATGTGATTCCAGTAGTAGCCTGCAGAGAATATACCTTGTTCTACTACGTTTCTTGTGGTGGTCGGCGCAGGCAATCCGAGAAACCATCTCGAGAGCCATTTGACGTAAGGTCTTCTCACGATTTTCGCTAAGGACGAAGGGCTTTACCTCCACAATTGCATAGATTTCGTTTCGGTCTCTTGAGCACAAGTGGGCTCCCAATCCAGAATGACTTCTTGATATGTCCTGGTGACTGCACTCAGGAATCCAATAAAGGCCGTGTTTACAACCTCTTCGTCTGGTGCTCTCACAAACTCCTGATCCTCATCAGCGTTGGAGGGGAAGGTGACATGGCTCCAGGCACGGGTGAAGTCTGACGGAGAAAATCCCGCGCGGTTCGAGGATTGGGACAGTAAATGGAAGGTGTCTGTGCTCTTATGAGACGAAGCAGTTGGCGGCCTTATTTTTTCACTGGGTGCCGAGTCTGGAGACTTCCCTTTGTTCGAGAGTTCTTCTTCCTTAAGCGCAGGAGCATGCGACCTTGTTCCTCCCGCAGTACCCCTTGGGTTGCTATCAGGCGGACAGTATTCTTGCAATAGCAATTTGCCAGTGCCGTGACGAAGCAAATTGACTAAGGTTCTTGTCGCCTGTTTCTTTTCGTATGTGCCTGTTTGTTTTTACGTCCTTGTGATATTCATTCCAATCCGGCAGACCGTAAAGAAACTTATGAGCCTTGGCATCATAGTCCTCATTGTAATCAAGCTGAGCGCGCAATCTGTCTGCACTGAGACTTTCCAGATTACCTCTAGTTCATATGCATCGTGTCAAGTAGGAATGCCCCACAGAGACTTGTGAGGCTGATTCCCACCATGGCACATTCCGTAAGGAAGTTTTCAGAACGCATATAGGACCAGGATAATCTGCGGGCCGTCGATTATCCTCTGTCTTGAGGTCTGGGAGTTTCACTTTTTCCGCCAATTTTTCCATTCTCGCACGGATCGAGGGCAGAGACTATCCTCAGCCATCGCGGAGTCGAGGTCTAGCATGCATTATAATTACTATGTGATCAACACAACTGCGTTGCAAGCCTCACTGGCTCTCAATGTATCAGAACGCCTTACCGAATGACAAAGTCAACAAAAGTGCTTCCTGCAATCAATTTGCGAGGGTATATGCACTTGGTGTTGCTTTTGTTATGGGAGTACGCACTCGGTGAACTATCGAGGGCCTGTGAGACGATTAGCAATGATACCGAGAAAGGGAGAGGACAAGAAACCACACTCTCAAAGAGAGCTGAATAGACTCAATGATAGCTCAGACTTATCCTGTCATGTAGCCACAGAGACCCTGACCCGAGAAGATGGAGAGAGAAACAACTACAGTCTCAGAGAGAGCTGACCGAGCTTAGCTGAGTTTCTTCTTCAACAGATAAGCCAGCATTCTTACCAAAAGCGAGGAGCAGGGAACCGAGTTGGCTAGTTTTGAGTGGCAGGTGTTGAGAGCAGGGGACGACACAGAGAGAAGAGAAGAGAATGATGCTGTCGAAAGAGGATTCTTGCAAGCCAGAGGTCTCCGCTGAAAGAAGTTATCGGATAGCACTAAATATGTAAAGAGGCCCATACCCTCGATAGCATCTATGATTAATATGAAGGAAGGAGTAATCGTGGCTACGCCCATGTCACCTGGTCGGTAGAGAATAATGAACCTTTGGGGAGCGATTCGCCGGAGGGGTGCTGCCTAACTGTTCACTGTGCTTGAGTACTAGTAGTAAGCTTATGTAGCATAACAGTATCCCGTTGCCTTAACATGGCGCAAAGATATCTCTGGTAGTCTCGCTCTTCAGAACGATGCACGTGGGTTTCCGACCAAGCCAAGCAATGCATCAAATCCCCCGTTGACAGAGATGTGAGGTCCCCATATTCATGCGTATCAGGACGCTCCCTGTACCGCGTTAGGGCTGCGGTCGAAGAGCGCGATTGCTGTCGTGTCTGACGTAGGACGTGAGGTGTCCAGCTCGCGCTAAGGTGACCGGGCAGGCGGGCGTCTTCCATGCTTGTATTAGGATCAGTCTCCATCTGCATAAGCGGAAGACGGACGACAGGGGCTGGTGCCAGGGGAGCGATAGGTGGCTGCAAAGCGGTAGGTACAGAAAGACCTGTAACCTGCGGCGGCGTCATTCTAGGGCTGTGGTAGTCTATACCAAAGGACTCAGAAATCAAGATAGGAGATGATGATCATGCCAATCAGGATCCTATGCGGAATCGAAATAAGTACAGTATAAGGGAACGCGATAAGGCAGGTATGACTGGGACAGGGACTAGATCAAAGTGCGAGCTCTTGTCGTGACGCCCTGCAGGAAGTCGCATAAACACAATTACGTCGTCTGGTCTCCGCTCTAGCATCAGCAATGACTGGATCATCTGAGGGTCTGCGGTTGTCCAGTTTGAGAACCTGCTACGCGCGGCTTAGGGCGACATTGAGACGTCTTTTGTCATCAATAAACCCGATTTCCTTGACTAATTCTTCGACAGGCTTCGTCAGCAGAAAGACAACTACAGGAGCTTCCTGTCCTGGGCTCTATCCACTGTCAGATTGTCACGGTACCCGACCACGCTCTGCTCGAGTACTCTGTCGACTTTCCTCTGTTGTTCTTTGCATGGAAAGATGGCCATGGCGTCGCTTGGCTTGACTTAGTGATGAATTACCTTCATCGATAAATGCATAGAAAAAGAATTTCTTAACATAGCTTGTGCCGAGGTTGCCGAGTCGTTCTTATGACTTTCATCAACACGAACCAACTCGCTCTTCATTCTCCGGGAATGAGTTTGGGCAAATTGTGATTTAAGAGTAATAGCCTGCGCTAAATGCTGGAATATCAGTCGTACCACTGTTTTAAGAGGGAGTTGCAATCATTAGTAGATTAAACTCTGCTTAGAGCCAAGTTACTGCCAATGATTTTGGGAGTTATCGCCATGCCTAAACTCGTAAAGATCATGCAGCAGAGCCTTAAGGACGGCCACTTGACTGGGATTGACCCAGTATGAGCTTCCCAATGAATGCTGAGCGTTTCTCTCGACGCTGATGAACAAGCGACGCTTCTCAAGAAACCCGTTAAAACCAAAGGTGAACCGACTGAAGCGTCCCATACCCTGCCAACTCTGGTGGGATTACCGTTGCTAGGCCCCTTGCACAGAGATCCTGAATATATCTTCCGATCGAAGAATTCGAGGATGTAGCTATGTTTGCGGTAATTTGTCTGCTGCATTGTTGAAGGATATCCAGCCTGCGACAGCCTTTCCATACCGTAGTGCAGGTATAGATTCGATCATACACATAAAAAAAGTAAAGTCGGCCCTGTTGGTGCACATTTGCCTAATAGAACCACCGGCGTATTATCCATAGATGCTCGCCAGCAGTCTTACAAAACGTGCACGCTTTGCCCTGATTCAGTAGCAGACTGATTGGTCCCTTAATTGAGATATTAGTCTGGCGTCTATTTTCGAATTTATTTCACCATTGTCTTGGGGCGAATACATGTGGAATGACAGGGCATCAGGATGTTTCACATGAAGTCGTCCCTTCCCGAAAGCGGAGCAGCTGGCCGCACCAGCGGAGAACTTCGGCCACTAGTTGGAGAGCTGGTCAATGCCTTTGTTAGAACCAGCCACTAGCAATTCCTTGAACCCGAGGGCAGTCAGGGTGATGATAATTACACCCGCTGTACATGCGAGTCTTTTCCGTACCTTACGGACTCTGTATGATGCTGATGCCGCAGATGATCTTAAAGGTAGTTGCGACATATGCCTCTTTTTATCCTGCGTCGAGCGAGGACTGTTGCTCGATATCATATAATCAAGCCGGAACGTTGGCCTCATCAAGCGCATTGACCTAGCCGTCGATGGGTATAGTATTCGGCTTGATGCTCGCCACAATAGAGAATTTTTGACCGTATTGTCTTTCGGGTTATATGGGACCCCCGACACGATTGACGAGCCCGGCAGTGGCCGAAGAACAACTGTATATCCCACGCAAGATAGGTTCTTTTCTTCATAAACTGGTGTCCTCTCGCACGTCGACTTTGGCCTCTGGATCTTTGGAATCGATTGGGCATCTCTTCGGTTCCTTACGGTACGAATCTTGATATGCACGTAGTGTTCATTGCAAGAACGCCATTAATCACATCCGTGCAATACCAACGGGCTGCAAAAGAAGACGGACTGCACCATGCCCGGTAACGGTTACCGGGATTGAAGATGCCAACCAGGAAAGTCTTGGATGCCGCCGATTCTGATTCGGAATACTCGGAACGCATAGCGTTGAACTTGATCTCAAATTACGCGCACTCGTTGTCCAGCATAGACAGACTCCTTCGCATCCACGAGAAGATCATCGGTGCTCAGACAATTGGGGTAACCCGGACATACTATCAATGTAAGGATCTGGGAGATCAACTTGGTGGACCACAAGGGAAAGTTGATTGAGTGCAACTATCTAGGGCCGAATTGGCAGCAATCGCAACACTAAGCCACAGTCAGCACCAAACGAACCGCAACAGCTGAAGAGCAACCCACTGTATAGCATCACACTGTGCGCTTCTCTCTCCGCTAGGTCTCAAGAAGCCGAACTTGCCGGGCCTTGTCGTTGTAGAAGAAAGGCCGCATGGGCTAATTGGGTTGTAGGTGTCACCTTGCAACCTCCATCATGCTTTGGTTCGAGAAGCCACGGCATGGCAGGGCGAATCGAGGCATCAACTTCTGGGCGGTAATATCAGAAGGTATTGTTATTTGGTTCATCGTTTGCACCTGTTTTCACACCGTTCAGCTTGTATAGAACAGGATAGAAGCCGCAAGTAGTAGCTTTGCTGTCACTGCTGGACGGAGGAAGAGAGTTCAGTGTATCGTACACGATTCCAAATAGATCCTGATGAAGAATTCTTGAGATAGATGGTCGTATTGATGGAGTATAATGTCGGCTACGTATATGACAAGTAGAAAGGAAAGGAAAGTTGTTCGGTTTCCCTGCCTCCTGCATCCGCCCACCTTCGGAGAGTCTAGCTGGCCATTGAATGAGGGTTGAACGGTGAATCGACGGCACATGCAAGGGTAATGAAAGTGACTGTGGCAATTCACTTTGGTGTATGGAGTGAATTGGAAGTAACATTGCAGGCTGCTGGGTGTCAGGGCTGAGTTTGATTTTTTTGATGACTGTGAAGCTCTCATCGACCCTCGGATGCATTGATCCGTCTTTGGGCCTGTTGGGGGACTGGGCTTGGGCATTCGATATGTTGAGGCTCATTGAACCACGAATGCGTGAGACGCTCTGCCATTCTGTGGGAAGTAGGGCTAGATTGTATGGCCTTACCATTCGTTAGTATATTTGTAGATATGGTGCCGTAGACAAGGATAACATACCGAAGGTGGAGAGAAAAGAAGAATAAGGAGGATAGGAGAACCTCGAGGAGAAATAAGAAACCGTGATATTGGCGACGACGCGAGACGCGAGCACACTCTCCACTGGCCAGCCTGGAAGTTAAAAGCTGAGACTTAGCCCAGAAGTCCCGATTAATACTCTTTTAGGTGAGAGCTGCAAGTGGCCAATCTCATTAAATGTGAGTCAATGCAGGTGCCTGCCCGTGTGGCGTCGCTGGGCAGCTATCCTGTCCGCCTTTCATCCATGGACTCCTCTTTGGTGAGGTCCGCTTGAGTGGTCATTATGTTGTCATCTCGCAACTCTCTTGGACTCACTTACTTGCCTCTTCCCAGAACCTGTAACAACATCCAGACATACACTATTCCAGCATATCATCTCCAAGCATGAAAGGAATTCATTCTCTTCCCGCAGAGCTCATCAACGAGGTAAGTTCAGGATTCGGGCCAGTTTCCGCAGTTTTAGTAACCATTTGGTTAAGATAACTCTGTTCTTGGTCCATCCTCTGAACACATCTGATCCACGCCCAATTCTAATATGCCTCCGCCTCGTCAGCAAGCCGTTCTATCGAAGCGCTACCCGGATCTTATTCGACAATGCAGCAATATACGTTCACCTGCTCGTATCCCGGATTAATCCAACAAAAAGAGGCCCTAAGAGTAGACTGCGTCGTCTTCATCAGTATGGTCTACTCCGCTTTGTCCGTCACCTTAGGTTTCAACCTAGCGACTATAGGTGGTATGAGGGAATGGAGGAGCATGTCAACCGCAACTTTTTTTTCCTCCTTCAGCAACTTCCTCTCTTGTCCCAGCTCACTTTACATGATACAAATTCGAAGGTTGGCGATGATGGGGTACTTTATTCGATGCTCGAAACCCTTCACCGTGTAAAGCCTTCAACGTTACGCATCCTGCATGTTACAATCTACTGGCTCTATCCTCCAGTCTTCGACCGCTTACTCGCAGACCTCATCCCACAACTACAGCATTTGTCACTACGTTGGATTTGCAGCAGCATAGTTAGACCTTTGCCCCTCGAACAAAACCAGGCATTGCGCAATCTGCGCGAACTCAATCTGATGGGGTCCTATTTTAGTGGAGATCTGCTCCCCGCAACCGTTATACAGTCATTCCTTCATCCAGATGCACCGCTTGAGCGTCTCGTATTACAGGATGCGGTTATCAATCCTGATGTGCTATCAACGGTGCTCTCTTATCAAAACACACCGGAGTCCTTGCATTTTGAAGATCTTTAGTTACATAGAGGTGGTTGGTCCTCGTTCTTCGATGGATTGTGTGGATTCCCCAAATTAACCAGCGTGTTCATAAATGGCTGTGGCTATGCAGCTGGGCTTCGAGACGAAGATTGTGCAAGGAGTTTTCCACGCCGGGTGATTATACCGAAGAAGGCATTTACCTCACACCCTCTCCCACGAGAAGCTGTGAAGAGAAGTGCAATGGAGAGGTGTATGAGAGCAATTCGAAGGCGAAGGACAGCAATCGGCGAAAAACAATGCCAATGGGCGGGATTAACCACTCCTTTCAGTGATTCGATAGAGCTGATGCATGTGGTGGACTCATGAGGAAAGATTTATGATTTTCTCGAGCACCTGTTGAGCTTCCTGTGTTGCTATTGGAAATGTTAAGTTTGCTTAGGAAGTAACCCTAAGACAACGTCTTCGGATTATGCCGTTCTCCTACATTCAAAAAAGCATTGTAGTTAGAGCCTAGCATGGGACAACTTCTGCAGTGTCACCAGGTGACATGGGCGTAGCCACGACATTGCTCCTTCCTCGATATTCCTGCAGAAGTTGTAAATCAAATCTGCCTCGACCCGCTCATATACAGTGCTATCGGGAAAGTGAAACCTCTTCCCTCGTGTTATTATCCAAATTCTGTTTCAACGTGAATTTCTGTCTTACAGGAAGGAAGCCTGTTCAACATCACAAAATCTCTGATGATTTCATGGAACTGAGTTTATACCGCGCTCCCCCCCCCTCTCTTCGACTCTATTACAGCCTTGCATATCACACTCATAGCCAGCTTGTTTTAGGATAAACAGTAGCCTTCAGCAAAAGCTAGTCGAGGCTCACTTCTAGCGCGCCCAAGTAAGGGCACCGGCTACGTAGTTAACTCCGGTGTCTGTGTTATGTGTATCCAAAATGCATACATCCTGTCAACTCTGAGCATCTGGCCTCGAAACATGTCTTTCAAGCTGTTTGAATTAATTCCTGGGCTAGCTTGTAGAGTCTTCGAATATTTGGCTCCTACTTGTATGAGCCTCGTGCCTTGTTCACAAGCACGAACGGGCATAAGCCTGAATGAGTGCTCACTTGCTCTTAGTCTTGGGCTGGAAGCTTCCTGGGGATAGATAGGCACAAGCACAGCTCATGCAGCTCTCACATCCACACATCCAAATCGGCCTTCTCCAGGGCCCCAACTTGATGCACTGGTCTTACCATCATTTCATCTCTTCTTCGGAAATCTGGCATCAAAAGTGTCAGTCTGCCCCACCTCCAATTCCATAGCAACTGACCTTTGGTTGCCACGGGGAGCCAAATTCGTTCATCACCACTGCTTCACCCACTCACTCACTTCCTATACTGCCAGTCCTACCGCTCTTGCCTGTCTTGCCTGTCTTTCTTCCCACTTTCCTTTTTGGCAAGCGTGCCCATTCCCGGCCCCGGCCATCAACACAACACCGCGTACCACTCTTCGGCTTCAGCTTCAGCTTCAACCTCATCATCTCTCACTCTCACTCTCACCATCATCCTCACCCTCATCCCCACTGGTGTACTCGCCCCTATAAAGCTTTTTCTTTCCTCCTCTTCCTCTTCCTCTTCTTCTTCCTTCCTTCCATCCTCCCTCCTTCCTTCCTTTCCCCCCCCCATCGATCTTCTCATACACCAAGTCATACTTCATCCAACTACCCCACATAGCAACACCTCATCCATTTTCTTCCAGACCTTGCCTGAACTCTTCCTTTGCCTTGGTGCAAAAACCCACTACCAACAAGCGATACTTCCAATATCCGCCGGTTCACAATCACCTCCACAAATCCGTCCTCTCTTCATCATTGCTCCCTGCCTATCCATTTTTCTCGAGGTCCTCATATCTCTCTCCTCCAGCCGCCTTCCATCACAACACCGGGAGGCCGCAAATTCACAACCTCCTTTCGGCGAATAGCAGATCCTTCTGTGTCCTGAGAGCGAGACATAGTCATCCGTGCTTAGCCGTAGCAATCGATAATTTCCAGGTATGTACTTTGAGAGCAAATCTGCTTGCCCCTTAGGCGCACAAGGGTGCCTGCATTTCTTCCCATCACCACAATGCTGGTCCTCGTCCTGAATTTGAGCAAGCAGTCGACAATTCACTGCTGTTCGATCCGGCGTTCGTTGTGCTGATCAGAGTGCATGGCTGTGGTCTGCATACTTGGCTTGTCATATTCCCGCTGCTTTGAGACTCCGTCGGATAATAGTGTCTAACCTCGATCCACTGCAGGAGCAAACAAGGAGCCGTGCGGCATCCATTTTGCAATGACCAGTCACGCTTCTGGCCCTTTGCGAGATCCTTCGCTCGAAAACCAGAAGTTGGCAACGGATATCTGCCGCAATATCGATCTTCCTCCGGGGGCTTATAATGTCAATCATCTGGTAAGTCTCCTTGTATTGTCGGGTGTTCGCATCCAAACGGCTTCTGCCCGTCAAGAGAGTCTGCGGGCTGGATGCAGTGTAATAGTCGGGATGGAGGTTTCGCGAGGTCGTTTGCCCTCCTGCTGCTCCCACCCCTTCACTCTGCACTAGTTGAGCTGTTTGCACTTCTGCATTTTGATCCTTCGCATTCACTTGTCTCAGCCCATTTCTATTCATCATCGCGCTGGCCATGTCTTGTATAGGGAATGGGTCCTGAGGGATTCACAAGCTTGTCTTGGCTTTGACTTCAATGAATCTTCGAACTTCTTCACTATGGCCTCCTCCTGGTCTATCTCTATATTAAATCCTTCCATTCCTCTCCTCTCTTCCCCTTTCTCTTCCTCCTCTCTTCCATCTTTCTTTCTTACTCGCATTTTGACTACAACCTTGGACTCCCTCTCTATCTTCCATCTTACATCTTACCTCAAGCTGTCAAGACTCTTTTTTACTTCTCCCATACGATAAACCCCTCTATCACGAGTTCCAGAAACCCAAGCCTTCCCCTTACCTCGTTCATCCCCTTTCCCATTTCTCTTTTGTCTCTTGAGTCACAATGGAGAACCTGGAGGCCATCGACAAGCTTCCTGGTGGTCTCCGCCATCTGAGAGTGCGCGATTCTGACGAGTTGGAAAAGTACAAGATCCCTTGCGCGACGGTTCCTCGTCCGCCCTTCAACACTACCGGAAAGGAGATCGACGTCACTTTGAACGCGTATCCGATCCTCAAGTACCCGAGCAGGAAAATCTACCAGTACGACGTAAGTTCACGGAGCTTGAATTCCACCATCGCATTGTTCTAACCGTCACTACAGGTCCAAATCGGCGACGGTGCTGAGAAAAATGCCGTCATCAAGAAAGTCTGGGAGTCGAGTGTGAGGAAGGCTGTCCTCAAGAATATCATTTTCGATGGGCAGAAACTTGCATGGTATGTGCGCGCTCTTGTCCTTGTGTACGACGCGACTGACGGGGCTCTTAGGACCTTGAACGATCACAAGGATGGTCTCAATGTCATGGTCGACCTGGACGCTGAACAAGGCCGTCGCCCAGGTCCCAATTCCAAACCCAACACCTTCCGTCTACTGGTACGCCCTACCAAAACTGTCGATCTTTCCGCCTTGAATCTCTGGCTGCAGGGACGCGCGGAAATGTCGGAGAATGTCCTGCAGGCATTGAGTGAGTAGCCTCTTTTCCCAGCCCAATCACGGAGCGCTGACGAACGTCACAGATTTCCTTGACCACGTCCTTCGGGAACATCCCTCGAGCAAGTACGTGGCAATCAAACGCTCGTTCTTTGACCCCGAGGGCGCTTGCCAGGATCTAGGTCAATGCGTTTATGCCTTCAAAGGAGTCTATCAAGCTATTCGCCCGGCGTTGGTAAGCTTATTCAATCATCCCCACCCTTGGTCTTCCATGCTTAATATTCTTGCAGAACCGTGGACTCGTCGTAAACATTGATGTTTCGAACACTTGCTTCTGGTCTCGCTGTGGTGTGATGCAGGTAGCTATTGCTGTCCTGGATGCCAGAGATATCCAGGAGGTTATGCACAGATGCAAACCTGTTTCCGACAAACATGGCGGCACGACCGAATCCCTCGATTTCTTCACGGTTCATCGCAGGCTGCGAAAGCTTGTGGTGCAAGCTCACTACAAGGGCTGTCCATGCACTGGCGTGAACTTCACGATTAAAGGCTTGATCAACGCCAATGCCCGCCAGTACATTCTCGAAATCAAGGACAAAGCTACGGGGACGGTTGAGAACATGAGTGTTGAGCAGTACTTTAAGAAGAAGTACAACATCTTTCTCGACTATCCCGAGCTTCCGATGGTTGAGATGACCAAGAAAGGTGTACTCTATCCTATGGAGCTCTTGAGTATTCATGGCTTCACTCGTTATCCTTGGAAGTTGAACGAGTATCAGACCTCGGCTATGATCAGATACTGCGCTTCTCGCCCTGCCGAGAGACTGAATTCGATCCTGGGTAATAAGAAGATGATGGATCACTCTAATGACCCTGTCCTTCGTTTCTTCGGACTACAGATCGACAATAGCATGATCCGAGGCAAAGCTCGTCTTCTGCCAAGCCCCGATATCCAGTTTGGTGCCAATCAACGCCACAACCCTGGGACCAACGGCCGCTGGGATCTCCGTGGTAAGAAATTTTACCAGACCAATCGACGCCCTCTTGAAACTTGGGGTGTCGGTTATTTCGTCGGCAAGCGCGGTGCGGCCAATAAAGCTCAGGTCGAAGCGTTCTGTGATGGTCTCATGAAGGCTTATGCCGGACATGGCGGACAAGTGGCACGGCGCCCAGTCGTTGTTGAACTCAGAGAGGACATCGGTGAGGCTATCAAAAAGCTTCATGACACAGTCGTCGCCAAGTGCAATAAACAAATTCCTCAGCTTCTCTTGGTCGTGGTTCCCAACAAGGATTCCTTTGCTTATACCCGAATCAAGAAATCGTGTGACTGTCGCTTTGGCATTCCTTCCCAGTGTGTGCTTGCGTCGCACGTTATGAAGGGGAACCCCCAGTATTACTCCAACGTTCTCATGAAGATAAACGCCAAACTCGGTGGGACCACAGCACGCGTGGTTTCGAAGGTCTCGGGCGCCACTCTGCGGCCCAAGTCAATGATTATCGGCGCGGATGTGACTCACTCTCCTATGGGCAGCTGGACACCTTCCATGGCAGCTGTATCGGTTTGCATGGATGACTTCGGAGGCCGTTATTTCGGTGCTTGTGAGGCCAACGGCGATCGTGTTGAGATTATCAACCGTTCCAATCTGGAGATCATGCTGACTCCGTTGATTCGTGAATGGATGTCCACTGTTGGGCAAGGACGTGCCCCAGAGCATGTCTACTATTTCCGTGATGGTGTCTCGACAGGACAGTTTGAGCACGTCCTCAAAAACGAGGTCTTTGATATGAAGTCAATCTTCATGAAACTTACTCAGGACAGATGGACCGGCAAGTTCACTGTGGTTATCGCCAATAAACGTCATCACCTTCGTGCCTTCCCCCGACCCGGCGACCGCAATGCCGCTGACAAGAATGGGAACCCGTTACCCGGTACTTTGATTGAGAAGGATGTGACTAGCCCTCACGACTGGGACTTCCTTCTTTACTCTCACATCGCGCTTCAGGGTACTTCGCGTCCTGTCCACTACCACGTTATCCTGGACCAAATTGGGCACAAAGCGCACGAGCTGGAAAACTTGATCTATGAGCATTGTTACCAGTACATGCGGTCGACAACCTCGGTTTCACTCCGTACGTTCACCACCTCTTTTGTCATTATTTTGTTATTGGAAGCTGACCTTTGTAGACCCTGCGGTTTACTATGCGCACTTGATCGCTGCCCGAGCTAAGCACCACGAAGACGTGCCTGCGAGCTCGGGCCCTCAGAGCGGACCAACCGTTAAGCTTACAAACCCTAAGCCGGAGAACCGCCAAGCCGATGCCCGCCTTTTGCCTATGGTGGGCAATGCGAACAGACTTCCCTTCTCGATGTGGTACATCTGAGACGGATCTTGCGTGATCTTGGTGACGACGGGATAAGAAGAGGAGGGAGAGAATGGTTGATATGGTTTTTATGGCGTTGCAGTGGCATTTTTCGTACCCAGTCAGATATGGCATGGATGATCCTTTTACTGTTTTTCTGTATTTATGTGATAGAGACTGAGACTGCAATTCACATCTCAGGTTGGCAAGTTGCCTAGTTGATCGGAGCTAATTGGCCTTCCTAGGCTGAATGGAACTGAACGACAGGGCCAGCTGACTAGAGAAGTGACTGCGTCGAAGCTTCTCTATCAAGCAATGGAACATTTTAAGCCCGTTTAATTCTGGCTCGTAGAGTGTGGTAATACAGGATGCCAATGTCGTAGACTTCTGTTGACGATTAGTATACAAGAAGAGGCTTCTCTTAGGAGGACCAGATCTGGCAAAAGAGTCTGGGCCGGCAGGTTCTGCAACGACATACGAGCAAATGCTCTCAGCTAGAGGACCCGTCATCAACACTCCATGTATGTTGACAACGACATCGACAACCGATCTGGTTTGTGAAAGCACCACACCACGACACGACAACTCGACAGCTGCAAGTTCCAAGTCCAAATACCGCCGCGAGCGTTGGGTTGACGCCGCTAGCACCAGATATCAGTGTTTACCTAGACTAGGCTAGCAACAACTGTAGAGAGAGAAGAACGAGCTTCCAAGGCCCTCCCTTCCCTCCTCGGGCATTGCCGGAACCGAATCCAGCCAGTTTTACGATGACGAAACTCTCTTGAGACAGACAGACAGACAAGACGCGCAATGGCCCCGCTCGGACCGGAAAGATGTGCAGATTACGAGCTTGGAGTTTATTACACATACCTACAAATCGATACACATATACGGGAAGGAAGGAAGCCTGGATACCGCTCTTCTCTCTGAAGTCCTAGGAAAGATAGAACCTCGCTCGGGTATTATAGTAGATTGTTCTACCTCGCTGCTGTAGGTGTGTAGATGTGTATGTGTATGTGTATGTGTACATGAAAGATGAAAGTGCAATCCAGAGATGGGACGTAACGCGAGACTGGACGTTCAGGACATGAGCTCGATCGGAGTGTTCGAAAGCTCTTTCTCGGAGATCCTGTCCTGCAATGGAAGAAGAAAAATCCTATCTTGTATGTACTACCGTACAGTACACCCGCCTCAGCCGGGAGAATTCTCTTTGGTTCTGGTTTCGGGTCTGCGAAGGAGGTAGGTAGGTAGGTTGGTTGGTTTTCCGGGATTGGGACCTGGGAGCTGGGTAGACTGGCTAGCTAAGGAGAGCAGTGCGTGTCTGTGTGCCAGAGAGTTCCGGGTTAGCTAGTTGGTCTCCGTGCGTTGGCTGTATTGCGTTGGCTTGGCTGTGTTGTGTTGTGTGTTGTGTTAGCTTGGAGACTGGTCTTCATGTCTGCCGTTGGTTGGGTTTCACTTCGCTTTTTTTTTTTTTTTTTGGTTCGGTTCTGGTCTTTGGTGGGTTGGGATGGGTGGTTGAGTGGTGTACTGTACGCAGATTTTATCGTTTCGATGGGATTGGGTTGGGTATTGTTTTCATGGAGATGGTGAGTACAGTTTTGACTGAGGGTGAGTACCGTTGTGGGTTTCTGCTGCTGCATCTGCTGCTGCTGTTAATGATGATGATGATGATGATGATGATGATGATGATGATGATGATGATGATGATGATGATGATGATGATGATATTGTTGATGCTGGGAATCTGGAATCTGGATTCAAGCACGGGAGACGGCATGCTGTGTTGCAATGGTTTTTTTCTATCGAAGATGGAAAGGGAATGCTGTGTCCATTCCATTCCTGATCACTTTCTTTCAGGTTGGATATTATCTATTCTACTTCAGTATTCGGCAGAGAGAGGCGTGGATATGACGACGGGTGATACGAGGAGGCAGACGGCAGGTTGAGATCGGTCGATTGGATGGGATGAGATGAGCGAGATGGCAGTAGCCCTCATCTTTGTCGTTTGTAGCCTGGTCAGAATTTTTGTCTGGATTATTGACACGTTGGCTGATTTTGTCTTGGATGCATCGAAATGGATTCCGGTACGGCAGGCTGGCTGGCTGGCTGTGGATGGAGGGAGGAGGTTAGGGCTGTGTGGCACGCGCTCCGCACCGCCATTCGGAATACGTTCTGGCTGCGCCGTCGCGGGTTTGGTGTAACCTCTGCACAGGAATAAAATAAATCAATCCGAGAGAGAGGGAGCGAGGAAGAGTAATAAGTACGGTGACAGGGATTAAGTAGCGACATTCAAGGCAACGGCACAAAAAAATAAAATCAGTTTGATCTAACGACTGACTTTCGTTTGCTCGTTGGGTTGGCCTGAAACAACCCCCGGGAGTCAAATCTAATGCAGAAGATCCAGAATTTCAAATGTCTCGATCGTTCATATTTGGGTTCGCTTTTTTAAGGTATGTTTCCGCTTCCTGCGTTTGCGGTTGCTCAAGGCACAGGTCCCCACTGCCCTCGCTGCACTCACTCATACACCCGGTCGCTTGGAGCAGACAGAAAAAGAAAACACGCGCCATATCGCACACTCAGCACCCAAGTTCAATACGACGGGGAAAAAGAAAATGAAGATGATGAAAGAAAAGTGACAGGAAATGGTGTCGGACATGGGAGGAAGAAAATATACTTAAAATGAAGACAAATGACGAAGGAAAATGGTCCACCATGCCAGGTATAATAGTGAAAGGTAAAAGTAAAGAAGATGAAAGAATCAAAATGGCAAACGCTACAATACAAGAATCCCCTTCAGAACCGACCTTGTGCTCACCCACCAACCACTCAGCCCCAGAAAGAAAGGTTGAACGAAAGACCACTCCGGTGGTCTGTATCATGATCATCATAACACTTCATGACGCATCGCCAGCCACCGTTCCATTCGTAAGCGATGCAGCGTTGTCATTGCCTTCCGCACCAACCCCATCGAGCCCGACATCCATGTCCCCTTTGCCACTTAAGTCAGGAGTCGCATCCATGGAAGGCTCGTCGGCATTATTAGGCTTGGAATCGTTGGTGGCTGAAGCTTTCGTACCGTCCACGCCCGGTAATGCCTCGTCGCCTTCCTCAGACGCCCCAATACCGGCGCCGCTGTTCTTCTTAACTTTCTTTTTACTGGGCTCCGACATTCCAAGCTTGGACGCGAATTGTTGGCTCGAGGCAGACGGTGGTAGAGGCCGCTTCTGGGGGCTGGTGGTAGGACCTGAAGGTGCGGAAGGCGGTTGGATCTTGCCCGATGCAGGAAGACGAGGCCGAGCGGCCATAGGCCGTTGTTTCGGAGGAAGCTCGAGATCCTCGACCAAAGGCTCGTTACTATTGGTCTTTAACTTGGCACTAAAGAACCCTTGTACCAGTCCGATTTGCGAAGGTAGTGTCTCAGATGTGATGCGAGGGTAAGCTGGAGGTGGTGGAAAGAGCGTGACGGCTTGTGCAGCACTGATGACAATGTCAGCATGAGGGTTTGGTTCGCAAAAAGGAGGAAGGAGGCGCACCTTGTGTTCTGGGCCTGGGCAGCGTTGTACATCCGATTCTGCAGAAGATGGAGCGGGACGCTAAGGGTAGCCAGTCCGAACTCTTTGTCCAGTCCCAACTCCTTGAATCCGAAAAAGTCTTCATCGATATCTTCGGCGAAGTCACCGCCAATGAACTGCTCGCTTCCGTCCTGGAAAGCACTGGAGCCATCTTCGCCGCCATCCGCGAGGGCAGGTCGCAGAAGCTCTGATAGCAACGACCGAAGACGATCATGGGCAGTGGAGAGCTTGGTCCCGAGTCGCTCGACATCGTCTTTGATGTATGACTCCAGACTTTCAACATCGACACCGACAGATGAAAGCGTGTGGAGAACCATTTCCGGCTCTGTGTACGCTCGTTTCCATTGCGGCGCGGCGGTAGGTTCTAGGGTATCGGTTGCGGGAAGCTTGGGTGTTTCCATGTATGACTTCAAAGTCTCCCCAATCTTCTGAAAAAAGTCCGACGCGATATCAGTGACTGCGTCCAGAGCTGACGGTTGATACTCTTCGAAGCCGGTATGATAGAAGATCTTCGCTACCGAGCGCTGCAGGGCTGCCTTGCACACCCATGGAGAAACGACCGGCCCCCCGTCGTTCATCACATGCGCAGGAACATCATGTTCGACGAATGGTTCAGGCTGATATTTTTGGAACTGGTTTTGGTACATCTGTGACGGATCAGAACGCTTGACTCTTTGAAGGTGTTGAAGATTACTTACCTGAGATTGCAGTTGCATCTGCTTGACAACGCCGATCTTCGAGCACACCTTCCGGGTCTCCTGCATTTGACGCATGTTGGCATCCATCTTTCGGGAGAGTTTGCTGTCCGGTTGGATAAATGACCCCTTTGGCAGCACGCGCAAGAATTCTTCCGAGGCATCCACGATGTTGCCATCGGAGTCCTCCTTCCAGGACAGATGTGGAGGCAGATCAGGGACACCCGACATGACGTCGTAATAGTCAGGAATAACTCGATCTTCGTCCACCTCAATTCCTTCGGCTAGGGTCTCACCCGCTGCACCAGGGTCCATACCCTGCACGGTAGACTCGCGAGCCTTGTCGCCCTCGGCGTTGATCTGCATCTGGTTTCTCAGCCACCGTCTCATGCCAGCCTTGGTCCGAAGCAGGGCCGGCTCATCAGCGTTGAGTTTATCGCCTTTGAACAGACGATGTCGCTCTGCGGCAATAACAGCACGATCCTTCTTCGTGACCTGCTTCCAGACTTTGTACTCGGGGTCCTCCGATTCCACGCCGGAAGCTGGTAATGCGGTCAGGGTATTGTTGTTGGAGGGTATTAGCCCATCAATCTCCATGGCATCTCCTTGACTTCCTTGAACACCGGCACCGACACCAGCAGGGTCAGACGGTGTTTGTGTGCCTCCGGGAGGTGGTGTGGCAAATCCATTCTGAGTGCCTTCCATCGCAACGTCGGAGTCCGACCGGACAGGCGCGGGCGGTTGGGAGGCTTGGCCCGCAGGAGGCTCCGATCCGCTGGGAGTGTTCCGTACAGGGGCTGCACCCTTCTTGGTTGACTTGCCAGGTGCCTTCCTACCACGGGACGACATGATGGGCTCATCGTCGCTCTCATCGGCGCCATCCATCTCTGCGAGCTGGAGCCGGCGCTCTTCCGCTTCCACCTCTGCCCGATCTCTAATGACAATCTCCGGGATGAGGGGAACGAGCTTCTCAGTTTCTTTCTTCATATACAATGCATGTTTACGCAAGAAGTGCTCGGGGTTAGTGTTGTATTTGAAACAATTGGACCAGATTAGGTTGATATCGTCAACAAATTCCTGCTTCGACTTATACTGCAGAGCTTTGAGCTTCTTAGTCATGGTGCCTAGGTCCATGGGGTGCTTGATAACTAAACTCGGGGTTAGCATACTTTCAAACTGTGGGCAAGCAGAAGGTACTTACTCGTGTAGTAGTCAGGCGCATCACGCTTGTTGACTCGGGTCAAAAACGCAGTCGAGTGCTCCGTCATGGCCTTGAGCTCACTGAGGACCTTCTCGGCGGCCTCGTAGAGCTCCTCCTGCCCGATCTTGTCCTCACTGGCCCACTTGCTTCGATTCTTCCGAACTTCGCTCATCAGGCTCCGCAGCTCAGCATCTGAAGCTTGCACCATTGTGCGCTTCATGTCGATGCGCGCGATCAGGTTCTTGAGGGTGAGGCTCGAGGCGCCCAGGTTGGCGCTACTCAGGGAGCCGTACCCATTGGAGTTGGGGTTGGGGTTGTTTCCTGCACTCGCCTGGCCCGACATCTCAGCCTCGACTTGGCGCTCGGACTCCTCCAGTCGCTGCTGGTCCAGCATGGCATCTCTATCATTTTCTAGGGTATAAAAAAGTGTGTGGAAGCTTCTTTTGGCGGCCTCCTCGGTAGCCTTTTTATCTTCTTCTAGCTTTTTTCGGATATCCTCGAGGGTTTCTTTTTTAAGCTCCTTCTGCACATCGAGGACGACCGACACCGAGCCACTGGAGGGCCGACTGGGCGATGGGAGACCGCTCGGATCATGAGAAGGGCCGAGGGACTTAGGCTTGGGAGGGGATACGGTCTCCTCGTCGTCGTCTTCGTCGTCGTCGTCGTCGTAGTCGTCGTAGTCGTCATCATCCAGTTTCCTCGCGGGTTTCTTGGCGGGCGCGGGAGGCGGAGCTGACTCGTCGGCGCGTTGACTCTGGGTCGGGGGCTCCTCGGCTTCGGGGACCGCACTGCGGGCGGCCTCCTCGGCGGATTTCTGGTTGGCAAAGAGATTGTTAATTTGCGCCTCACTGCGCCTATACAGATCCCGGAACATGGCGATACATGGGTCATCCTCGGTTGCCAGATCAGCGTCGGATATCAAAGTTCCCGCGTGCAGCCCGTCGGCATCGGCCGAAGCGCGCAACTGGGGGGTGCGAGGACCGGAAAACGATCTGGAATAGCCATTGGTCGACCGCGCATCATGAAGGTCGTCGGGTGGGCGCAGATGGCCAGGGGGTAGCCAGGCGTGGTGGTGTCCGAGCGACATGCTCGCTCCAAAACCCCGAGTCTGGGGCGCGGGCGAGGGGGGGCTCGTTTCTCCACGGCTGGGAATATCAAGTCCGGAGAGGGAATAACGGGGCGGGGAAACCGGCGGAAAACGACATAGAGATTCAGGAACGAGCGCGAAGAAGCGAGGGACGATGAAACGAAGGCCAAAAGTGATGGCAGGGAGGCGGATTTGATGGAAGAAAGCAAAGGGCGCCTGCCGTACAGTTACGAGGTTCTCTGCGCGAACGGATGAGGTGAGGTTCCAGCCGTGAAAGGCGGAACGGCGGCCGCAGCTTTAGACCAACCGCGCAGTTCTGATACTAGAAAGTCGAAGGAGGGATATAGATTAAATTTGGAAAGAAAGAAGAGAGAATTTCGCGTTGACTGTAGGAGATGTATATGTGTGCGTGCGTGCGGGAGTGTGTGTGCTAATTAGGAAGGATAATTTATTTGATCATTGACTGGTTGTCAGCAGCTCAGCTCATAGACTGATGCTTGAATGAAGCCAGCCATCGAGGGAGAGAGAGAGAGAAAGAGAGTGACTGTCAAGCAAGAAAGGAAAGCAACGGGATTGGATGCCTGACTGCCTGATCTTACCGTATGGTCACCTTTCTGTCACAGCAGGCAGGCACATGACGTTCCCGGCTGCTGTTCCATTTGACTGAACTACTGCTGCTACTGCTGCATCACCACCAGTTCAATATCAATCACTCGACTTCGTCTGCTTCTGTGCTTCTTCCCAGGTCTTGGTCGCCAGCCACCAGTCTCTTTTCTCTTCGGACTGTTTCTCTACAGACTCATCATGCGAATCCGCTATCCTTTCGCGGGTAGGTCTTTCTCTCTTCCCCAGTCATTCATTCGTCTTATCGATTGCTCTCCACGTCACGGCATCCCATTCCGGAAATCACACAGAACAAATTCCGCAGAGCTCTCTTCCCACCATGGCGAGGGTATCTGGGGATAACTGGGATAATATCTCCACTGGATTATCAATCAGTCAACATATTACTTCGAATTGTACTAATATCTCAAACCAGGCGCTTTTGGCTTCCTCCTCATACTCGCCGCCTACATCGGACTACTCCCCCACAGCGATTCCTCCAGTATACCGACCCAACTGCAACCCAATGACAAAATCCTCCATGTCGTGACCTTCTTCCTCCTCTCGCTGGTCTTCTACTGGATTCCCGACACCACCCGGCGCCGCACCCTGCACCTGACCCTCCTGGTCTGCACCCTCATCCTCGGCATCGGCTCCGAGATCGTCCAAGGCCTCCTCCCCAACGGCCGCACCTTCGACCCGTTCGACCTCCTCGCCAACATCGTCGGCAGCCTGGGCGCCGTGGGCTTGTGCAGCTGGTACCATCGCCGCATGCTCGACCGACGCCGCAAGGCCCGCTTCGGCTCGCTGGGCGGCGACGGCGCGGACGACGTGGAACTGGGGCTCACGGGCGGCCACCATGGCGAGGGCGAGCACGGCCTGGGCCCGCAGGAGACGGGCGTCTTGAACCTGGAGCAAGAGGTGGACAATTGGGACGAGAATGCCGTGGACAATTGGGATACGGAGGATGGGCCGGAAGAGCTGGTCGGCAGCACGACGACGACTGCCGCGGAGGACACGAAGCGGTCGTCGCCGCCGGGAGAGGGGGATGGGAAGAAACGGAGCGATTGATTGAGTGATTGATTGATTGCTGAAAGATATATAAGTGCGATGATTATCTCTACCAATCGATCGCTTTTCATCATCATCATCTCTCTACCGTTCTAAAACCTAACGCCTGTCCTCCTCCGCCCTCCGTTCTCTCCCCTCCAAACCTGCTACTCATGCGATGCGATATGTCTTACGGACCAGCCAGAACGAAACCACCTGAATCTCATATCCCGCGCGTATAACCATCATTACCTCTATACTTTGATTTCTGCATGCCTTGTCCGGCTACTCCTCCCCGCACCACAAACAACCTCACAGTGCACACCCCCCCCCCCCCCACCACACAACACTTAATACCAGTATAGCATACCCCTCCTCTCCGAACAATAATCTCCCTGCTCTATCACGACAATTATGCCCCGAACCCATCATGACCGCTCCGCAGCTCAACCCCAGCTCCTCTATCCCGCGACAGCATTCCAATCTGAACCATAGTCATCCCATCACAGATCTCTCATTAACCCTCTCTCCCCTCAATTCCCGCTCTACACACCATCCCTACTCAGCATATCCGAATAACAATCAAACAACCATAGCAGTCAAACCCGGCCCAGAAGCAAGAACGGATGAGGGAGCGGGGCAGTGTAATTGTACATATCAACGAGGTACTATGTGGCATGGCGTAACCGGGGTCTATTTCATACAGCGCTTCTTGGGAGGTCGCACCACGCTCAGCGTTCTATTCATTCGATTGCGCTACGGATTATGCGTTCTTTTTGCGGTGAAAGTTCGGGTTTAGCTAGCGGAATAATCAAGTGAAAATAAGACTGATGTCTGCTACTTAGGATGGCTAGCATGGGGATGGTATTACGGGTCAAATGGATCTAGATCCATGGGCTTGCGGGTGGTGGGTGCCTTTCGAGTTGAGTGTAAGGTGGGGATGGGGGGTGGTATCAATCGTTAAGATGAAGCATAGTTGTAATAAAAAGAGAGGTGGGAAGGGGCATGGAGAAAACGATAGCCATGGCTACTTTCATCCGACCCCCGTTGATATCACTTCAATATTCAAGCATTAAGCCACAGGTGCCGACTGGGTGGAAACAGGCGCGCTAGCAGGCAAAAGATGTAACGATGGCATGGGATATTTCATAAACTATTCATCATGACTATATTGTAGAAAAAGAAGGTAGGAATGGCGAACAAATGCAGGGAAGGTGGGGTAATGGAAGTTTGAGCAAGTAAGTGACGATTAGAATAGAATAAATATATACGGGAAGGATTATATGTGAAAAATTATGGGTGTGGATGTAATGGGTCATCGGCGGAGGTAGGGAGGGCGCTATTCATTATCAGACACCTCCGGTGTCCCCGACCAGCTACGAGTCGGCGTCGAGGGATTTTCCTCGGCGGGCTCCAACTCGGGTTTGGAGGAAGGCAGGTAGTTGACCTCGTTGACGGACAACTTGGCCATCTTGGTGGACCGTTCGTCCAACTTGCGCCCAATGGCCTTGCCCAATTTGAGATCGGTCTGCTCGCGCAGAACTTCGTATATGAACTGCAGCTGCATCTCATTGTAAACCATCATCATTCGCTGCTCGCGCATCTGGTTGACCGTCTCGAACACCGGGTCGATCTCCGGGTCGACGGCCTCCAGCAGCTGGCCCGATTCGAGTTCTTGCAGCAGGTGGTCCAGCGCAATGAAGGTACCGGTGCGGCCCACGCCGGCGCTGCAGTGCACAATGCGGGGGTTCTCCGGCGCGCTTTTCGAGCCGGACAGCTTGATTAGCTGGAGGAGCGCATCGCGATCGTCGCCTTCGGGTTTGGAGTAATCGGCCCAGCCAGCGAACAAGAAATGCCACACTGTCTTGGTCTCCCCGCCGAAGGTGAGCTGGAGTTTGCGAATTTCAGACCGCGATGCGGGATCCCAGGAGGTCTCCAAGAGTGTAACTTCTCCTAGAAGATTCCCGTCACTGTGTTGTTCGTCGTCGCTTGAGTACTGATCGAACTCGACTCGTCGTAAAGGCATGGAAGGGCTGTCGCGGTTGAGCGGGAAGTACTGGGAGCACTTCTCGCGCCCGGACTCGAAGGTCTGCGTGAGCATGACGACTACGCCAACGTCCTTGCTCTCATGGAACACCATCTGCCAAAAGTGGGCGACATGACCAAGCTTGGGGCCCTAGTTACCCATATCCGATTAGCAAAGGGACGGAGAGAAGTGTCGGGCCGACATGCACGCTTACCTGGGTCGCGATATATCTCCTTGCCTGCTGCGATACTGAATCTTGAAGTACGATCGGAGACGCATTGATGAAATCGCATTCGCCTTCGGGGACGCGCAAGTGAATGCGAGAGTTCGCCCATGCCTGCACGTTCATGTATCGGTTCCTTGCTCTAACTTCCGGGTCTGCCTCTAGCGCCCAGCGATGTGAGGGGTCGTTGGCCTGCGTGCCCTCCAGGAGTCGCATCCGTTGCATCCATTCGAGCTCTTCGAATTTTTGATGGATCTCTATTCAGGTAAAAACCAGGATATTAGTCGCTTGTTGAGAGCGAACGGCAGAAAATGGATCCAGCAAGCAACAAGCGCAGGGAAAGGGGTAGAGAGAGCGGGCGCAAACGGACCTAAGACCGACTGGCAGAGAAACGGCGGCACGGATTCAGTATCGCCGGCGTCCAACCCAGGAGCATCATCCGAGCCATATATAATGTCCAGCCCTACCTCGTTGTCCTCGGGAAGGGCGCGCTTGGTAGCCTGGACGCTCGTATCGATTTTGATGGTGGGATGAGCCATCTTGGCCGCAGCGATCCTCTGGAAGGCCCGAACCTTACCCAGGACGCCGCGCGCCTTTTTGGAGACCCGCTTTCTGGTAGCCGCAAGTGTACGAGGACCGTTCCGGAGACTGACAGTACTCTGAGGCGAGGGAGAACGGGAGGTTGGGGCGGTGGTAGTAGTGTTGACGGTCGCCTCGTAACCGTTGGCGGTAGCGTTTGGGAGCAGGGATGATGAGGGGGAGGAGGAGGAGGAGGATATCTGAAGGGTGGACAGATCGGGACAGCTGTGGAAGCTGCCCCTCGAAACGGCAATGTGCTTGGCCAGATTTATCGATCTCACGGGGACAAGGCGCGCACGAATCGTAGCCAGGCTGACTCGTCCAACGGACTAGTCTAGTCGATTTTCCCGTTTTCTCTTGTTGAACTTGAACCAAGTCGGATTGGCGTACTGCAGGCAGTGTACTGTAGTTGGACGAGAATTCCGGTACTCCGGGGGAGAGGGGGGGTCGAAAGAGATTATATTCGATCAGGTGGCAAAGATCGTTGCTGGTGGAATTCCTTCTGCTATATTTATTCTTGATCATGGAAAAATGCCACCCAACAACCCAACGAGAAGAGAAAAGGGGAGAAGGGAATGCTTCAACCAGAGCCAAGCGAACAACGAGGAGGAATTTTTTCAGCGTTTGTCCTCACACAAGTATTTCCCCTCGCGACGCTATTCCGAAGCTGCAACTCCCCGCACTGCTAGAGGACGTGGCCACCAGTCCGATCACTTGCGTATGACTTTTAGTGGGAGACAACGAGGGGAGAGGAGGCGAACAGAGCAAGACTGGAGAGAGGATGTACAGCCAGTAGAAAGGTACTTGCGAGCTATCACCATATCAACGCAGACAAGCGAAAATTTTCGGTGCCCGCGGCAGGATCGATCTTGTATAAAACTAACTGGATTAGATTAATCATTACAATGGGATTCATAGCTGGTCCTTGCGATCCGGGCATATATTCAGGGACCACGGATAGTTCCCGTTGAATCGGAATGGCAGTGATGTAATCAGGAGATCCCCTCCGGGCAGGTTTCCTGTGTCCTTGGCCCTCGAGAAAGGTCCATTTTCATATCGGACATCCCCTTCAAACCGCGCATCTTTGTCCTTTCATCATGGATGATCGGAGATGCATCTTATAAAGGTTTCCATCCCGCGCCGGAGACTTTTCGGTCTCTGATTGGTCCCGGACTGCTGGTTGCTACTCGACCTCGGTTGTGGCTTGTGATTGGCCTGTCAAGCCACTCCGCCTTTCTCCCTCTCATCTATCTAGTGTCTAGCCGTAATCTCCGCTCGCAATTGAACACTTCGGTCAGGCAAGCAAGTCTTGTGTTCATCGCAGTCATTCCGTCACCCCTTTATGCAACCGCTGTCTGCACTACGGTCGATATCGACAGTCCCCCTAGGTAGACGGTAGGCCGAGTACCGGGATTTCACAAGTTGCAAAATGGTCTTCCGGATGCTTGGACTCCAAGCGTTGGAGGTGTGTCTCCGGGAGCAATGGATCCCCTCTTCGCGCACAAGAACCAAACGATGCTAATGCACTCTCCCCCTCTCTCTCCCAGGCGCTGCTCGTCCGTCAGGTTTGTCCGCGATGGCCATCTACCCCCTGAACCTCAGACTGATTTCCTTCGCCTCATGACAAAAGCTGCTCGCCAGCCGGACGTTCCACCGGGTCGTCGGGAAGGTTCATGACCAGGTCCAGCGCATGAAACACGGCCTGCCTCCTCCAGACACGCCCCGGATAAGCGGTTTCGACCGCCTCCAGAACCCTGGTATGCCCACATAGATCTGACTGTCGTAGTCGTGAAGCGCTATGAGTGGAGAGTCGGGTCTGACATGCATGCCCTTCCAGCCGCAGATTCGAACCCGAGTAAATTCTGGATATACTTCAAGGAGGAGATTCAGAATCAACTGAAGAAGTAGACGGACAAGTTTGCATGGACATCTGAATGTTCGTCTGCGGAACTGTTATATTGTCGATGAATTATGATACCCAGAACAAACCAACCAAACAGTTTATGCTTGACAGATGTATATGTGTGATTTCGGCCACCAAGTCGTACAACCGAGTAGTCATAGATGGGGCCGTACTGCTACATGGGGTTGGCCCTCATCTTAAACAAAAAGAATTTATTCTGTTTGATGCGCGTTGCCCAGTCGTTCCCTTCGCCAATGGAGCCATGAATTCCAGCGTGAAGCGCACATAGATAGACTATAGACAGTGCGAACACGACGCATCTTCGTTTCGCATTGACGAGCAAAACTCGGCAATCACTCGTCCAAAGATATGTCACCCGGCATGAACTCATGCGTCTACATGCAATAGAGTCCCCTCGCAGATTCCAAGCCTGCCTCCCTCGCAGACAGGCACGGCTGTGCAAGTTTACATCACAGCAGGACATGCCTTCCTCGCCCGGCTGCAAGCAAAACTTACAGGTGGCTGGGATGCACGCACGGCTTTTGAGGCAGAACAGGGCTACTACTTAGGGCGACCGCGTAGCAAGGCTTGTCGAATCTACGACTTTATGATTCAGCTCCGCAGGCGAGCTCATCCACCTTTTTGTAGAGTACAAGTATAGTTGAGCCCCAGGAATCAAGCTTACTCATACTAATTCAATCCACCATTATTCATAGTGACTCAGAAGGCATTAGCGAGCCCTAGGGAATCAGAAGCACGTCAAGTAAATACACGCACGCACAGCCGCGCGGAATAGCCCACACGCGCTCTCCCCCAAAGTCCAAAGGTCTACCCGGTAGATAAACCCGCACCCACAAGCAAGTTCCAGCCGGTGTCCACGTCGTCAGAGTAGATTCCAGGCCCAGACCCTACATGAGAGCAGCAGCCAGTCCCTTCAGTCACAAATGATGACGACCACACCCGGTGGGTTTGGCAGCAAGTGCAACAAGAAAGTCTAGAACGCGGCACCCATGCCGATCAGCCGGGTGGGAATTGGGGGAGGGGAGGCAGAGATGGGGAGACGCGGAATGTGGTAGAAATCAGTGCTATCGATTACTGCGTCAAATGGATTTATCTACTACCTCGACATACCGCATGAGCGATCGATCATTGGTTTTTCTAAGGACGGACGAGAAGGGTTGCCTGATGATTAATGTAGGTAGCATTGAAGTCTGTCATGTAATTTAGACGTGTGGTTAGTTGGTCCGGGTTGGTTGGGAACAGTGCGCTCCGGAGTTGTCTGTCCATGGGTACAACTTGCCGCTACAGGTGTCATGCAGGGTCTCGAGGGGCCTGGGCTGGGTCTTCTCTGTTCGTTTTCTCTACTGTCGTTGTTGGCCAACTCATCAGGTGGGATGGGATTCTTTCTCCCTCCTAGAAATTACTTACATGTATGGGTACAGACTGCGACAGTACTTACTTTGTATATTAATACTTCAGGAACTCAAAGAATCAGAAGTGGCCGTTAATTAGCAGGTCAAGATATGGTTGAGATAACTAAGCAGGATTATACGGGATGGATACGGAGGCTTTGTCCATTGTCTGCACCCGGGAAACGAATGCACGGTGAGTCAAATAAAAATGACGCTGTGGCAGAGCAAGAGTGAGTGGCTTCGCTTTCGTGGCAACTCGGCCTCCCACCTCCCCTCCCTGTGGCGATGCCCGGGTGGCTGTCACTTTCTGCGATCATTTTTAGGCCTTGGAAGTTTGACTCTGGTGTTGTGTTTACGAGGTTTCGGATCAGGTGCTCTGCGCAGCTACTTGTTCTCGTACTGTCTTGGGTTTTGCTGACTGAGGTTCGGTGGATCGTACGGTATGACCTGTCGGATTGCTTCTAGCTTTCCTGCAGCTAGTGGCTGATTCCAGTGGCTCGTGATGGGGAGATGGTTCTCTGCTGGGAGCATGGCTGCATACTTTGTATCTATCTCGTGTAGCTCTTCGGGATATCCGTGGTCGAACAGTACCGTTTGAGGGGCATGATATTGGATCCTATAGTTGGACGATGAGAGCCCGCGATGGTCTGAGTGTTGAGGCGGAGATCGCTGCATGGTGATGATGAGGCTTGGACGGTTTCCATTCACCGTAGCATTCAATGCTCTCTAACTTTCCATTCATAGAGCTTGAAATTGCGAAGAGCAAGAGAGCGCGCATGCTAAATGGATACCTTGGGTGCACTGCTCAAGGCCATTGCTCTACTTGTGTTTGTGCAGTCTTGATAGATCAACCCCGTTCAATGAGCTATGATATGATATCATTCTGGGTTTCGAATGTCTGCATCTGAGACATACTTACATCACAGATCAGAGAGACGGAAGAAGCTGTGAACTGTCTTGCGATCTTTGAAAGGACGGAAGTGTCAACTGGATCAGATAAGACCAAGTTTTTCCATCCGATCAGGTCTTGAACGCGTGCGACACGCAAGCTGTCGATTTGCGACAGTGTCCAGACCACCTAGATGATGGAACCAGGCATAGCACAGCAGACACGTTGATACACCAGATCCAACATAATCCGACTCAATTCTACTAAGCACTAAAGCACTAACGATGCATCCAAATGACTCGGTATAACACCACACCGTAGGGCATGCTCCAGCATCGCCAAGCAAAGAAGGAATGGCCTCCTGTGCTTGCCCCGCTAAACCATGTTGGGCGGTTGAGGCGATCTTTCTTCCCTCCCAAGAAAAGATAAAAAACAGAGTCTGCTTATGGTGCACAGTCGGCTGCACCGGCATATGTCGATGGGTCTAAATCGAAATTTTCTTTCAGGCACGAGACCGTGTACCAATCACGGATTCCTTTTTCTGCAGTACCTGACAACCTGTTCATCCCTCCCCCCTCAGGGTCTGATGGATGATGTGGACTGACTAGGTCCAGTGTTCCACTGCCCACGACGCGGAGGAACGCGGGAATTTCCAGGCGAAACGCGCAACCCCAGGGAGGAAGATTCGGGTTGATGCATTGCTGCATTTGTTTTGGAGCCGAGTCTTACCTAAGGAGTAAGGACTGAAGGAAATTATGGTAGGCGCTTGAAAGAAAGGTACTGAAGTTGAACCTGAATGAGGTTCTGTGGTACTGTCACTGACGGTACTTTGAGCCCATGGTACGGACCTTAAAATAGTATCACCGAACCATAGACCGGGATTCTTCATTAATCTGTTTAGAGATCGGATAAAGATCTCCCACACTATCAATTTGATCACCTAATTATGAGTGGACAAGAAGTGGGCAAAAAGGAAAGATGAAAGAGAAGGGCACTAATTTAGCCACTAGTACCCCGTTAGAATGAATAAGTATACGGGGAGGGTCACAAATTGACGGACAGATAATAATCCTAACGGCCTTAGGGTGAGACCCAACTTCGGCTCTGCCGGTGGGAGAGTGGAAAAGAGTGGAAGAGACCACGAATCAGGAGAATGGCTGCTGACCCAACCTCCCCTTTGCCCTGAATTGGAAGAAAGAGAAAGAAGAAGAAAAAAAGGCCCCAAACAAAGATACTGCCCCGAAGTCAGGCGCCTGAAAATGCTCACAATGGCTAACAATGCTCCAAAATGTCCCAATGTTCCAAAACTGCAGTGAACACACCCCCTGGTCAATCTGTCTCATTTTGCACCCGCTGACTGGTCAGTGGGACTCATTAGCGCCAACACTAGAGGGCGCCCACGGCTGGGCACACGCTTACGATTGGCGTTTTGAATTGCCTGCCCCGGTGACTTTGAGCGGCCGGTGTTGCGCAAAGTCCAGTCCTTCCGTTCCCTTCCCTCCCCACCGGCATGACTGACTGTGTGAGTGTGGGTGCCGCTACGACCCACTCTTTCCTTTCCTTTTTCAACCATCTCCATCCCGCGCCTCCTTACGCTCTTTCTCTTACCCACCATATCATCGTGTGCCCTCTGGGTGTTGTCTTCTATATCTGCAGTCTCTCGTTAACCCCTCCCATCTTCAAGCAGACATCTATTCTATCGGTGTCTTGTCACGCTCTCCCGACTACAGATACGATCGCTTACTCCCTTTTGGGCTCATATCGCGTTCGAAACCCGACCTCCTGAATCGTTCCATCCACGTCTCGTCTGACAGTCAACTCTCACCCCTCCGTCCGTTTGGCGCTGGAAGCCTCTGAGAGATTCCCGACTACGATTTAGTACTCCCATCCAACCACCTTCATCATGCGAGCCGCTCGACTCTCGTTCTTCCTTTATACCCTGTCCCTCGTGGCTGTCGTCGCTGGTCAGAGCGCCGCGGTCACGAGTGCAGGAAACGCTGTCACCTCTGCCGCTGCTGCTGCCACCACAGATGCTGCTCCTACAACATCTGCCGAGTCGACCTCGTCCACCGAGTCGACCTCGTCCAGCAAAGAAACTACTTCGTCCACCACCAGTCAGCCCGAGCCTACGACAACATCGAGCTCGGAGACTACTAGCACCACGGAGCCAGCAGCCAAGACAACGAAACAGCCCGATACGACTGCACCGCAGACTACCGATGCTGCCACTACCACCTCTTCGAACAACAACAACAACAATAACAATAACAACAACAACAGCAGCACCAAAGATAGCCCCAATACGACTGCGGAGACCACGGTTCAGACCACTGCTACCCCCGTCGTGAAGACTGTCATCACCACCCAGACCATCAGCGGAACCCCTGTGCAGACCACCCTCACCACCACCTCCACGCCGGCTAGCAGTGCGACCGACTCCCCCAGCCTCAGCGGAGCTTCCTCCAACAGCTCAAGCGGCAGCTCCGGCCTCTCGTCCTCTCAGAAGAAGATCATCATTGGTGTTGTTGTGGGTGTCGGTGGTGCCATCATTATTGGAGCCATCGCGGTGGTGGCCTGGAGAATTCACGCTCGCAAGGCTGCCCATGACAACGACGAAGCTGCCGATCTCATGAGCGGTACTGCCGTTGGATCGGGCGCTCGAGAGAAGGCACCTAGCCCAGGTGCCGGCGGAACGCCCTTCAAGACCACGCTCGACCAGTATCACAACCCCGGTCCAGTAAACGCGGCCTCGAACTTTTAAGTTTGGCCGGATATTCGGTCTCTGTATCTGCTTTTAGCAATAAAGATACATTGTCCGGGTAACCCGTCCGGAACTGTAAAGTTTGTACGATTATCACGCAGTTTTCATGGCGCTTGTGGGCGAGGAATTCCTCGAACTGATGTTTTATTGTTGTTGAGTTCTTTGTTTTGATGTGTGTTCCACATCTCCGAAGAACCACCGTTTCCGTTCTCTTTGATAGACTATATGTCGCTTCTTTCCGACATACTACTACACTCCTTACCATAGCACAGCGGATCTTGTTCTCTAGCATTGATGGTTGGTTTTGTTTTCCTTTGATTCCCCCCTTGTCGAAGCATTTGATTCTTTCTAGGGAGACCCTGGACAGTGGCATTCTCCCGTCTCACTATCTCTGCTCTCTGGATTGCAGGTTCTTCGATCTCGGCCTTGAAAAAGCTTTCGATTGTATGTATTTAATTCACTGAATGATTGAGAAGTATTTACGTCTCGCTCGTAGATTCTGCAGTAGATCATTGATGCGAGGAACAAGAAAAGCTACCCTTAAAGCACGTACCATGCAATATCGCTGCTTTGGGGCCGCGTCGGAGCCGATCGATCGACTGCATAAACTACAGCCTTCCCCCTGCAGATACTCGCTGCGTGTAACGCCTTATGTCCCGGTCCGGCAGGGTGTCGTCATTCTGCTTCGATATGGTCACGATCTTCCATACTGGTGGTAAGTAGAACTAAAATGTTGGCTGCAGCCTGGATTCCGATTCCTTCCTGTGCGCTTGCTCTATACAGATGCAGCTATCTCTGTGAGAGTCATACATGAGCAGCACTCTGTATAGAATATACATCATGAATGATTATTTGAGGGTATATATACCGGCTGTTCTGGCTTGCGCCCGGTTTCCTTTACGCGGTTTACTGAGTATGGCCCCGAATCCCCAGCAAGTAATGTTTCAATCGAGCTGCGCGAGCTTATGCGCAGAATCCACGTTCCAAGACATTGTCGCTCGAGGTGAGATTCGTCTTTTATGTACACACTAGCCAACGGAAAGAACTGATGGTGACGGAGTGTCTGATGTCTGGAGTTGATTTCGGCTTCGATCCTGAGGGTTGGGTATTATAGGACCATCAGGGGAATTGGAGATAGGGGGATTGTTCATGCATGGGGAGTTTCTTGGAAAAGCAAGTCGTTTTACATCTCTCGGCGTGTATGGTGATCTTTGTGGTAGTCTTGAGTTGAGCGTGATGGTGTCATTCACTCGGGGATACCTAGTAGATAGCGGTGGTTATCTCATCAATGCAAATAGCATGTTAAACGGATCGGTCCATAGATCGATTGACTTGTAATTGGCTAGACTCTGCAGCACTTGAACATGTAAGTATCGCTACAGCATCATTTATAGACGGTGGTCAGGCGTATCGAACCTATTCTTCGATATTTTGGTATTTGTGGCCAAACTATAACGCCTGAACCCCCTCAGCTCTATGACGGTCAGCTTGCGTATCTTCTTATCTCACTCTAAGGCTCTATCAGAGGTCCAATGGGACATCCCTTGTTAGCGTCTACTAAGTAGCAGCAGTAGTTCATTCAAGGATGGGCGCTAATTAGCGTCCCCCTTCCCCCTTCTCGACCCGACGACGTCTTTCTACCTGTCACCATGTCACATCATCTCTTATCACTCTTCCGCCCAACATCTCCATCCAACATTGTCTGTTGGCGTTCGACACTCCGCGACTTCAAGCACAACCCTACCAGCAGACTAACTAAACCCAATGACAACCACACCCGACACGAGGGGGGACACTCAAGATGAGAACGCGCCATTATTAGGGACCGACCAAGTCCCAAGAACATCCGCGTCGAGCTCACAGAAACTAGCCGTGATGGTCACCGCGTCCATGCTCATCCTCGCCATGGATTTCGGATTCTACCTGACCGCCGCTCCGCAAACGAAGATTTTCGAGGACATTGTCTGCCGCAACTACATGGCTGCTTTGGGGAATCCAGCAGACGCAGTACCCACGGAGGGGGTGTGTAAGTCTGAGCCGGTGCAGAGTGAACTGGCTCTCGTGAATGGGTGGAAGGAGACATCTGATGTCTTACCGGGTATGGTGACCAATTTTGTGTCTGGCATATCATGGCTATACTACAACAGGCTGATACGATTGTAGGCATTCTTTTGTCTGTCCCGTATGGCGTGTTGGCGGATCGCTGGGGACGCAAGCCGGTTCTTTTGCTGGGGATCCTAGGGATTCTTCTCGGGGAGATCTGGGTCCGTGTTGTTTGTGAGTGATGCTTCGGTTTTGTGTCCCTGGGCTACACGTCGGCTAATGCTGATGATTCTTGCAAGGCTTGTATCCTACTGTCCTACCACTGCGGCTGGTCTGGCTATCGGGGATGTGGAGGCTCATTGGTGGCGGGGACATCGCTCTTTCATCCATTGCGCTGGTCATGGTTGCGGACCGCTTTCCAGAGGACGAGATGTATGTATAGCCACAGCGTGGATGGCCCGTGATACTCGATTGCTGATGTACGAATAGAGCCACGGCCCTGTTCCGCCTCACCAGTGCGGTCATCGTGTCGGAAGTCCTAGCCACCCCGGTCAGCGCATATCTCATGGCTCGTGATCCATGGCTGCCATATGTGCTAGGACTCGGGGTTGCAATTGTCGGGTCACTGTGTGCGTTCCTCATGCCGGAGACTTTGACCGACGCCAGATCGAAGATTGTCTTGACGACTACGCCCACTAACGAGGAAGAGACACCGTCGTACCCGGCTCGCAAGGACTCGGTGAGACAGTTTATCAAGGGCAAGATGCGGGAGCTCCGCGACTCGACCCGGTTTATCATGAGCAGCCCCGGCGTCGCCGTGTGTCTCTTTGCGCTGTTCGTCACGTCCATCAGCAAGCAGTCGACCAGCCTCCTGCTTCAGTATACGTCGAAGCGCTTCCATTGGAGTATTGGCAATGTAAGCACCGCCATCACCTCCACTATACATGTACTCAGAGGTCAAAGAGCTTACAGCTTCCCAAAGTCTAGCCTCCTCATCTCCTTACGCGGCCTCATCACATTAGCGAACTTCCTCCTCCTTATGCCCGCCCTATCCTTCTTGCTCACCCGGTATCTCCATCTTCCAGGCAAGTTGAAAGACCTACGACTGGCGCAGGCCAGTAGTTTCGTCTCCGCCCTCGGCTTCCTCGTCATCGCCACGACCGCATCCTGGGCCATGCTGGTCCTGGGCATCGTGCTCCTCTCGTTGGGCGCGGCCTTCGCAGTGTCGTGCCGTAGCTTCGTGACGGCGCTGGTTCGACCGGACCACGTGGGAACACTGTATTCATCTGCGTCAGCTGTGACGTCCTTTGGAATCGTGGTTTCCGGTCCGCTCCTGGCTTATGCGTTTCGATTGGGACTGCGTTTGGGGCCGGCGTGGTTCGGGCTGCCGTTTCTTCTGGCCGGGGGTGTGTATCTTGTTGGGTCGGTCTTACTGGTTCGGTTGAGAATTCCTGATAGAGTGCATGGGGAGTAGTCTGTATATAGGTATCTACATATGGGAACGGACCATACATGCCAATATCCGTTATCTGGAACATGTAATCACCATAGTCTCCTCCTGTTCAAGCAGAATCAACACAACATATTTGCCTGACAACCTGAGGAATGCAATATGACTCGATCCAGTGACAACACGTGACCCCGTGTCCGACGCGGACGCGTTGCGGGAATGCCGGCAGCAAAAGAATCCTTCGCGTTAACGCGGTGGCTGGACGACAGATTGGCTGTAAAAACCAGCTATTCGCCTTATCGTCTGATACTTCGTACTTACAGTTAATTGAGCTACTGGCGATTTACTGATTCATTGCTTTGCACCCGCTATTCCTCTACCCTAAACCATAGATAGAAGTGGGACTACCCTTCGGAACCAAACAGCCGACCATCTCTGTACCAGCGATCAATCGCGACTTGCGACTTGCCTCTCTCTCACCTTCACCATGATGTTCGCGCCGCAGTCTACGAGTATATATCAGCAGCAGCAGCAGCAGCAGCAGCAACCACAACCCTCAAACCAATACCAATTCCAATTCCACACAAGCACAAGCACAACACCATCCACTGAACCCCAACCGCAACAGCAGCAGCAGCAGCACTACAGCACACCCACGCGTCGTCGACCCTCACCACTCACCCCACGCCACCTTCCATCATCACCATCACCATCATCCTCCCCCCCAGCAATGACAATGAGCATGAGCGCAACAAACCAAAGCACTCCGAACCCCAGCATCTTCACGAGCCCACTATCCGCAACCACCAACACCCCGTACCTCCCATCCTCCCCGCCATCCTCAACCTCAACCTCCGGCTCGCCCGTCCAGAAACACCACGCGGCAGGCGAAGGCCCCGGCCCGCTCTTCAGCTTCGCCCCCAAGACCCCAAACCAAACGAACACCCTCTTCACCACCCAAAATCAAACAAACATTCTCTCCTCCCCACCCACCTCAACCACAACAATCAACCCCCGGCGCTCCGCAAACTCCGCAACCCCCTCACGCTTCGCAACCCGCTACACAACCCACCACGCCAACCCCCTCCTATCCCAGAACAATAGAAAATACACCAGCACAACCACCTCCCCCGCCGCGCAAACTACCCGCCGCAACGCGTTCCTGAACCGCGTGAAGCGCGCGCGCGACGACGGCCGCTTCGAGGACCGCGGCGAGCAGCTTGTGCTTCTTGAGGCTGTGGCGGAGCAGCGGCGGTGGGGGGAGGCGATGCGGAGGGTTGCTGTTCATGAGTTTGCGGATCTAGTTGATTTAGAGGAGGATTGGGATGGGGATGTTGTTGATGGGGAGGGGCAGAGGGAGAGGGATGCGTTGGATGAGTATATTTTGGAGGTTGAGAGGGGGGGTTCCTCTGGGTCTGGGTTTCAGTCTGGTTGGGAGGAGGAGGAGGAGGAGGAGGATGAACGGGAGTATGATGATATTTTTATGGATTTGGTGGGGGATCATGGGCATGCGGTTCATGGGCATGGGGATGGGGACGGGATGCTTGGATTGGATATGGATGTTTCGTGAGTTTTTTGGGGGGGATTGGTCCAGCTGTTGCGGGTCGATGGTTGGGTCTTTGGTTTGTGGTTTGGTTCTTGTATATAGGTTGCTGGTTTCCGTCGTTCAGTCGGGTATATAATGTGTGGTTTTATGGTTGGATAAGCAGATAGGCGCTTGGACATCTTTACTGTCTACAATATCACTTGGTTAATTTCATTCATTTATGCGATACTCTTTCTCATTGCTAAACCACTACATCATGACATTTGTCTCGGCCAGACGCAAACAGATGGATATATGTACAATACGCAAACAAAAGCCGATCCAGCACATACCAGCATCAGCTATGCTCAAAAACACGCAACGCAACACTTCTATTGCTGCGGACAGTCCGGAGCTCCCGCTCCAGCACCGCCGCCACCCATGAGGTCCTCCATCATCGGCGCCGAGATCAACTCATCCGGAGGGTTACCACAGGCTTGCATCTGTGTGATTGTGGTTAGTCGATACAGCCTCTCTCGTCTTAAATGAATAAGGCAACTCACCTCCTGCATCTTCTCCCAGACATACTCGCGACACTTGGCATCCTCATCCGTGTAGCCCTCCTCCTCGAACTTAGCGACAATTTGCGCGACGACGCCGGCCTGCTTCTCGTAGCGCACCATTTCCTCGTCCGACACCTTGCCGCTGGCCTTGTTCTCGGCAATCCACGGCCCGAACTTGGTGTTCAGCTCCTTCATCGGCTCATACAGGATCTCCTTGTTGGACAGCTGCTCCATCATGCCCATGAACATCTTCGTGAGGTCGGCGTCATCGCCGTCGCCGCCGGCGCCCGCTCCGGCCTCGATCGCCTTGATCAGCTGCGCCACTAGGTCATTCGCGTCGTCGCCGTCCTCCTCCGCCGCCGCCGTCGCCTTATCGCCGGATTCCTTCATCCGCTCGATCGTCCGCTGGATGGTATCATTGAAGGTTTCGGGAATCGCGTCCGCAGCCTTAGCAGTGGACGATGATGACGATTCCCCAGCCGCAGTAGCTCCGCCGTTGCCATTTGAGCCAGCAGCACCAGCACCAGCACCAGCGCTCTTCTTCTTCCCCTTGCTCTTGCTGTTCTTCTTCTTACTGCTCGTCCCCGCCGCCGCCGCCGGATCTTTACTGCCCGCCGCACCTTTACTCTCTCCTTTCATCATATCGCCCACCAATTGCTTCAGAAAATCCTCCGCCGACACCCCACTCTCCTCGAGGTACTTGGCGAACATCTCCGCGTCCTTATCGAGCGATTCATCGTCCCCGAACCCGGCGGGCATTCCACTTTCTGCTGTCTTCGCGTCGGCGGGGCCGGCCCCGCCACCACCACCACCCATCAAATCCGCCATGTCCTTCTCGAGTTGTTTCAGGAACGCCTCCTCGTCCAGGTCGACGTCCTCGGGGTTTTGCGATGTGGTCGTCGGCGCATTGGCGGCTGCGGCGGCGGCGGTGGATGGTTGTGGTTTGTTGAAGTTGTCGAGGACGTCTGTGTTTTCGTTGCGTTAGTTATCTTGCTGAGTGTATATATAGTAGGGCCCACTGGGAGTTGTAGAGGTTGCAGTGATGGGAGGCAAAGTGGTTTACCGTCTAATTCGTCGAAGTCCGAGTCTTCGTCTTCGTCTTCGGCGATTTGTGCCGGTTGCGGGGTGGTCGTTGTCGACGCCGTCGTCGCTGTGGCGGGGTTGGGGTTGGTTTCTGTGGGGTTGCTGGAGGGGTTCTTTGATGAGGGTGTAATTGTTGCTGTTGGACTCTCCGTGGGTGTGTTGTGATCTGAAGACTTGGGGTCTGTTGGGGCGTTGGACGACATTTTTGTTTCCCTTTTGCAGTGGTGGCTCTTTTTTTTTTTATATTGCCGAGGTGGTTGGTTGGTGGTGAGGGGTGGGTTCGATTGGGGTGGGCTTTATTCCCTCGTTGAATTAAATGGGAAAAATGATGCGTGAGGATTATTCTTTGTTGATGAATGGGTTAAAAGAGTGAGGGAGTGAAGGAGAGAGGGGAGTAAGTGAGCGACGGCTGGTAGTGATGGTGGTTTCCTTCATGTGAAGGGGAAAGAAATGACTGATTAATCCGGATAGGGAATTAGAGCGAGGTTCAATCCTCGGCGGTGCTGCTGCCGACCACCACCCACTACTGAAACCATTTCAATATCTACGCAACTTTCATCTATTCATGGCCAACTGCGGGAGAACAATGCGATAGCAAATCGGTTACACTTGAAGTTTTTTTTTTCGTTCGGTCTGTCACTCCCTGCCCTGCAAACGAACGGAAAATGACTCCAGTCATCCGTAGGGAAGGGAATCGCATGGATCGAAATATCACGGGGTAACGAGGAGAGAAGTGGATATGACATAAGAGTTGATGATGATGGATCTGGAGAGACCAAACTAACTAACGTACAAGCGTCGCACAAGAAGTGCATGTCATTCCTGCTTTTTTCTTTTTCTTCTCCTACGGACTGCAAGGTTCAAAGCTTCCACGTTAATAGTGTCATGGGCAAAAGAAAGAGAGAGAGAGAGAGCGAGCTGCGACAGAATTGATTGCCTGCTCTCCTTCTCACGATGCCAAGCTAAGGACAATCCATCGGCCCATTTGTTCGAAAACCCTCAGCTGATGATCCCGTGGCTGCACCTCGTGATGATCCCTCCCACCCCCAGACGGCGAGGTAAAGTAAGTAAGCAATAACTAATGGGGTTGCAGATCTGAGCAGAAGGAAGAACAGTAGGCGAGGGCCGCGCCGAGGGAAGAACCAACTCTTCTCCTCCCCGCCTTCGTGCTATCGGAGATCTCCTATTTAGCTTTGGGGAATGGGAACGGGCAAAGTCCGGTCTGGGGTTGTTTAGTTTTCTTTTTCTTTTTCTTTGGCGGCTGGTCACGTTTGATGCTCGTGTCGCAGGGATGTCTGTCACCTCGCACTATGGTTGTGGATGTTTCCTTATACAGACAGTACAGTAGTAAGCAGATTGGTCTACCTACGGTAGTTCAGGTCAGGTGCAGAGGAAAGAGGCGAGAAATGTGCCTGGAGGGAGCCCATTTCATCCTTCCATTCTTGGTTGAGAAGGGCAATTTAGTCGAGCAAAGTACTGTACCTGCGTGGTATGGTAAGGTAAGCACACCAAGCAATCCAGACCACGGCCAGTGCGGAAGCAGGGGAAATCCTCGTCTGGTTTGGTCACGTCACATAACTAGTCATTGCAGCGTTATTCCATGACAGTGTGTGTGGCATGGCATGGCATGGCATGGCAAAGTCGAAGGTCAGACAAGACCACCCCCAATGTGAGATCGATCGAGTACGAGTTACGGATTCTGTAGCAACCGAGGTACGTAGAGGAAGGAGAGTAGACGCAAAGAGGACAAGAATTCCGCCCCAATGGAACCTGCGAAAGAAATCTCTGGCCGGAACCATCCATCATCCAACATCCACTCTCTCACGGATTTATTGAAGTGATCGTGCTATTGACTATTGTTGTTGCCCCGGCCGGAACATCTCCGCGGGGCTGTGGACCGAGAGTAAGAACCGAACCCCTCCCTGCCCTCATCCCAGTTATCGTGGAAGGTGTGAAGGTGTAAACTGCAGAGGTATCTCCCCTGTGATCTGGGAAGAAGCAAAAGTTGACCTACGTACGTACTACAACTTCTCTTTCTTTCTCTATAGTGTGATGAACAATCAGATGACGACGGACCGCATGGAAGATCCGAACAGAAGCATTGATGCTGCCACCAGTTCCGCGGACCGCGATCTAAAGCGTAAGGCGTCAGACCGCGCGACACGTTCTCCCTCCCTCCCACCTCTCCACCCGTTGCCCTGCATGGGGCACGGCGGACTAGCCTGTGGCCAGTCAGAAGACGACCTGGCTGCGCAAGTCGCTCGCTGGCTTCTGGCCTGTCTGCTTGCTTGCTTGCTTGCTTGCTGCCTTGCTTGCTTGCTGCTTCTGTCTTCAGTGCTCTCTCTCCCCCTTGGGCTCTCTCTCGCTTGGTTCTTGTCTGGCCGTCTGGACGCCTGGCGTACCTTGGACGGATCTTCGGCTGGGTCAGGCCTTGTGGTGGATACTTCGTCTCTCTTGGGAAATGGTGCCGCTGCCAGCCCAGTAAGGGCAAGAAGAGGGGGAGGGGGAGGGGGAGGGATCATACTGCCCGCCTTGCTCACTTGCTAAGATGATCCCGGAACGACTGGCAAAGATGCCAGAGGGAGAATTCCGTCTCTTGCGCGGATGAAAGTGTAGATGGTCAGGTATAGTTCTCGCCCATCTCTAAAGAATGGTTACCAATCATCTATGAGAGCGCCTTTGAAACAGAGTAAGTGTTGTAGAATGGAAGCCCGTTCCTATCCACTTGGTGGCCGTCAAATAAGCCCCTTCGGCGAGAGTTTTGGGAGCGGCGAAACTACCAACCCAGTTCATAACGTCTTGACCAGACAGCGCAAACCCCTCCGAGTGGGATTGGAGGGTAAGAATTGATTGGATCATCTGTTCCTTCTTTTTCACCTTTTTTTTTTACTTCCTCTTCCCTTTGCTCTCTTTCCCCTGGAATGGTCAGAACCCCTCAAGGGAAATATTGACGAGGAGAGAGTGTTAGAGAACAGAACAAGAGGTAATAGATTTGAATCGTGGGAGGGAATCGACTGAGAGTATGGTAGGTAGAATTTAGAGACTAGATGAGGAGAGAAGGAATGGGTAGAAGTAATAAGCCCGATGAGACTTTTTTTTTTCCTTTCTTTTTTTCTTTTTCTTCCAATCCTTCCACACCTTCTGTTCCCTTCCTTCTTTCCATGCTCCAATTTTTCCCTGACTAGTCTCGCTCTTATGCTTTGCCCTCTTTAGTAGGTTGGTTGAAGGCTCTTTTCTTAGTCTTAAGGTCTACCCCGTTCTTTTTAGTAAATAATTTTACCTCACATCTTCCCACCTTCTCGCCCTTTCCCTCTTTCTCCTTCCTCCCACCACGTCTTCAGCCCGCCGCCATCGCCTGCTGGTTATCTCTCGCACACCAGTGTCCCCAATTTCCTTTATGTCACTTGCTCCGCTGCATCCCCTGCGACCCTCCAGTCTGAACTCGCACGTCCCCTCTTTTGCCGCCCATCCGCGCGTTTGCTGCGTCTGAACTCTCATCTCGCAGCAGCCGTCTCCTTTCCCCGCCGGGTTCAATCTTCCTATCAAGGTGGTTTGGAGAGGTTTTCATTATCTCATCTAATCTTATTCCGCCTCCCATCGCGTTTATCCCAACTTCGGTGGACATCATCTTTCGTGAAGAAGGCGGAGGAAAGTTAGTTGGTTCGTCCCTGGGGCGTATCTGATCTTCGATCTGTCATCTTCCTTTAATTCTTTTTTTTAACCCTGGGGGACCTTTTTGCTATTATCTAAAAGTTTCCCCTCATTTTCCATCCTTCCCCTCCTTTGGCTTTTTAGGTTATATCAGCCAAACCCCGGATTCTGTTGGGTGACTCATCCACCACCAACTCACGCAGCAACGCAAGGGGGGCACATCATCGCTGTCCAAGGAAATCCTCCATTTCCCTTCTTCCCCCAAGGGCCATCTTTTACTCAATTCACGGAAGAGGGGGACAAGACTTCAAACGTCCTTCCCCCCCTTTTCCACTTTAGATACCAATGGTCTCTATGGTCGAGACCACCAGCCATCCCATTCAAAATGAGCCGGCCACGGATCCGGTCGTGCCTAAATCGGAGCCGATGGCTGAGGGTTCAATCAGTTCAGCAGTGTCAACGCCTGAGGCGGATGGCGAGATCCTAACCCAGGATGTGGCCCAGACACAAAAGCGAAAGGGTGGACGAAAGCCTGTACGTAAGAGACTGAGCTGATGCGCGAGGTTCCTTTGCTCCCTTTTATATTGCCTGTGCCTCTCCCCGCTGGTTCATCTCTTATCTCTTCTGTCGTGCTGGCCCTGCGTGCCAGCCCGGGGCCCCGCACGATTATCATTTATCATTATCATCACCTTTCCCTTCTGTCCCTTATCGCCCTGTCAGATCACTCCCTCGCCCTCCTGCTTCATCTTTCCATGCACCTCCTGTTCCCCTTCACCTGCTTTATCGCTTGCCTATCCCCCTTATTCGTTCCTTATTCCTTCTTTCTTATCGTCCCGCATTCTAGCTTCACTAGCTAACCCTGTCCTTATCAGATCTACGCCACATCGGAAGAGCGAAAGCAACGCAATCGCCAGGCCCAGGCTGCCTTCCGCGAGCGTCGCACAGAATACATCCGTCAGCTTGAATCAACTATCAAGCGAAATGAGGAGTCCCTTCAGACGCTGCAGCAGAATCATCGCACCGCTGCTGATGAATGCTTAATGCTACGCTATAAGAATTCCCTACTGGAACGCATCTTACTCGAAAAAGGTTGGTGTCCCTATCTATACTTTTACTACATCTCCGATAGAGTTGTCGCTGTTTCAGCCACGCTAACCACTCATAGGCATCGATGTTCAAGCTGAACTGCGACTCAAAGCCGGGGCCCCTGGTCCGGCTCCCGCCAAGCCCAACCCGATGACGACCAAGCCCCCCTCTGCCTTGGAGCGCGCGGCCGTAAATCGCAATTCCGCCCAAAGACACCCTCAAGGCATAGCTCCCAAGGAACCTTTTGGCATGTCACAACACCGCGATAATGCATATGGCATTCCCTCGCCGCAATATCAGGCCACGCCTCCTTCCCATGCCTCCTCCCCCTCTCACGCCAAGTCCCCCGGCTTCCCCTTCCAAGGTGCGATGTCGCCGGCTGGTGTTGATCCGCACACTCAGCGTTCGCAGATGATTGCCCACTCGCGGAACTTGAGCCAGACGACTCCTCCGATGAGTATCGGCCAGCCCGATACGGCTGACCCGAAATCTGCTCTGCCTGGAGGTACGGGTCCGCGTGCTGGCCGTGTTCCCTCTGCCTACTACCCTTCTCCCTTCCAGAAGCACTACGATCAACTAGGTAAGATCGCTGTTTGTGACTTCACGGACTCGGGCATTAATCATCGTACAGAACAAGAATATGATGCTCAGGCAGACATGATTGATGACGAGCATGAGTCAGCTGTAGGAGCCCCATCCTATGTGTCCGGCTACAACAACCCGAGCTCCGTGACGCAGGGTGCCCATCCGATGGGACAGCACGGTCTCAATCAATATCATCCACACACCGGCGAAGGGAGCAATGGTGCGTATGGTGCCACCAACGCCCCGACAACCTCGTCCAACCATCTCTTGGGCAACTATGAGCCCATGTTAGATGCCGATCCGTTCGGACTCAGTGCCAGCATGCACTTCCAAACCCCTTTTAGCTACGAACAAAACAGTACGCGTCATTGATTTTTTGTTTCCTATGTTTGCTTCTTTTCATGCGTCGCATGTATGACTTCTCATCTACGGGTGATGCTCGCGAGGGCCGAATCAGGCTTCTTTACCTGGCCGCCCCTCCGGGCACCTTCATGACTGGAAGACAAAAGTTGAAACTTTGAAGCATTGCTTGGCGTTCTGCGGTTGATACCATTTGATTTGCTGTTCGATTGCTGTTCTTGTCGCCTCAATGTTGTTGGACGGGGTTATCGTTATCTATTGTTTGAAGAAAAGAAAAGCGGTGCCGAAAGAAAGAGGTTCATGCATGGACGGCCTATTTTTAGTCTATATTTCGTTTTTTTTATGCACGATTGGCTTGCCGAGCGGTTGCCGCGGGGCCGTCTCTCAGCTCCGATGGACATATATATATCTGGTAGTCTTTCGATGCGAGAATACGTGATAACGAGTTTTGTTCCAATGCGCTGTAGCTTCCAGGTCACATGGGTTCAGGTCATGTGAGTCGCCCCGTGCAGGACAATGACAGCATCATTCATTATGCCGCATCCAATGGCAGAGCGATGTGGTCACGGCCATACAGAAGAGGAATAGTCTCTGGTTTCAATTCGCTCTTTGCAGGATTACTAGTCGAGTGACTGGGGAAGTTACATCCAATGATAAATATCTGGGGATTAGAAGAGGGGGACGGGGAAGATCTATCACTGCTATAGATAGAAGGAGGAGTACTCGTAGGGTAACGGTATCCAGCGATGCTCGGGAGGGGGGGGAAAGCTTCTTCGCTTACATCGGTCATAGACACCAGTCCCTCCATGCACCCTCGACGTTTTCGTACTCGGGTCCCCAACTACCTCATCCGACCTGAATATATGCCTCACCAGTAAGCCATGATGACAGATTGGCCGTTACCGGGCACAGCAGAGGAGCAATTGCAGCTCGTACTTCGCAGGAGCTCCAGGTGCTTGAGCATCATCAGAGCGTCATCCGCTGGCCGTTTTACCCTAAGCCCTAGCTCCAAAGGACCAATCACGACGGTTGTTCCCGGATTCGCTTAGCAGCAATCCGCACCTTACCGGATTGGGCGAGTGCAACCACAAACGTTGCCCATCGACCGTACAGACAGTCAACCCCTTCACTTTAACCACTATCCCTCCTACCCCCATCCCATTTCCATCCCCAAAGGAGAGGCCGGATACCTATCGTCGTCTAGGTTTCTGCCTGTGTCGACCATCCGTCACCCGTTCACTCGGACCGAATTGCTGCGATAGTCAAGAGCCTTCCCCGGAAGGCCCCGCATAAAACCAGGCGTCATGGCGGACGTCCGGTCCAAGGTGCGTTTTTTTCGCTCGTCGTCGTGAGGGGGACGAGGTCAACGTTTCGCGAGATGGGCTATCGTGCTCTTGTTCGGTTGCCGTGTCGATTGGGAGCGAGCACCGCCAAATTCCGCGTCGATCCGCTCGTCTCTGGAGAGTCCTGGGCCGCAAAAATATCGAAGCTGGGGGGTCTGCTTGATGGGAACGAGCGAGCGGGGTTGTGAGCGACGGATTTGACCAGGTGCTCTCTCGGTCCAATACGGCTGCCCAGCGTCCACACAAAGAACCTCACCACTCACCTAAAGCTTGAACAGAAATCAGGCTAACAATTATTCTTTTCTTTCTTGTGATAAAACAGAACCTCTACGAGCTTCTTGGTAATTCTCGCCCTCTTCCTGCTGCTGCTTCGTGAAACCCTTTTTTTCCGTTTGTGCTGCTTTCTGGCAAATGCCCCTCCCACTGCGCGACCCGCGGTATATTTCTATCCGCAATGCGGGTTGCCATCCACTCATCCAACCCATTGATTTCTCATCTGCTCTGCTGCACAACGCAATAAACGATCAATTATCTAACCTCTTGCGTGCTCTTGCGCTGCGCTACTCACAGGCAATGACCCTGAATTGGATCCCAACAGAGAGCCTGAGCCTCCTACGAAAGCTGTAGACAGACCTGCTCCCCGTGTTGGCAAGCGCGATGCTCCCAAGGAAGCTCCCAGCACCCAGCCCCGTGCCGAGAACAACTCTCGCCGCGGTGGCCGCGCCACTGGCAACGAGGCCGGTATGTCTTAACCATGCCTTTCTTTCCGCTCCCCGACTGACACCGATCGGTTAGCTTTCCGTGACCGCAACGCCGGCCGCAACAACAACCGTGAGAAGGTCGTTGAGGACCCCAAGGAGGGCCAACGGCGCGGATTCCACGCTCGTGGAGACCGTGGTGAGCGTGTCCGCCACGACCGTCAGTCCCGCACCGGCCAGACGTAAGCACTATCTTTTCTCTATTTTTTCTTGCCGCCAACGACTCGTTCCTTCTCGATCGTCGTCCGGATAAATCTATACACCTCGCAGGAGGGCTAGGAGGAGAATCACACCCAACTAACATATGCGTCTGTAGCGACACCCGCAAGCAGGTGAACCAGGGCTGGGGTAACCAGAGCGGTGACAAGACTTGGGACGATGAGAAGGCCGGAGAGGACATCGCCCACAAGGATGAGAACGAGCCCCAGACTCCCGCCGCCGAGGAGGAGCCCGCCGACAAGTCCAAGTCCTTCGCCGACTATCTCGCCGAGAAGGCCGCCCAGGGGGACCTGAGCGCCAAGCCCGTCCGCTCCGCCAACGAGGGCTCCAAGCTCGACAAGAAGTGGGCCGCCGCCAAGGAGCTCAAGCCCCGCGAGGAGGAGGAGGCCTACATCCAGGGTCAGGACGCCAAGTCTAAGCGCGAGAAGCAGCGCAAGGAGAAGAACTTCCTCGAGGTTGACATGCGCTTCGTCGAGGCTCCCCGCGGTGGTGCCAACGCTCCCCGTGGCCGTGGTGGTCGTGGTGGTCGTGGTGCTCGTGGCGGCCGCGGTGGTAACAACACCAACGCTCCCCGCCCCTCCGCTGCCGCTACCACCGGCGCTTCCGTCACCGTCGACGAGAAGAACTTCCCCAGCCTGGGTGGCAAATAAATGTGTTTTCATGCCCCAAATCTAACACACAACCGGTGATCATGGTTCCCATGTCAAATTGCGCGCGTGTTGTATCTTTGTGTTTATCTTAAAAACCAGATTTATCTCACCCGCTTATCTACCTTTTTTTTTTTCTTCTAAACAAAAAAACGAAAAATAACTTGCTCCACAATTGACACTCCTGTGTTCCGTTTTATCATCTGTTCTTTCCCATCCCATTCCTCCCATCCATCCATCCTAATCATTCCCAGGATTCTCTAAGGTAGTCGGACCGTGTCTTTAGTGTGTGCAGTTTTTTTTTTATTTTTCTTTCGTCTTGAATTGTCTTCGGAACCTGAATAATGGTGTGAACAAAGCAGCCCATGAAGCCAACCCACCTCAATCAAAATATGCAAGCCGAGTGAGACAGTGAGATAGCAAGAAGGTGAACCTTTGACAAAAAAAAATGTTGCTCTAAATACGAGAAGATCTTTGTTCTTTCGGTCTGCATGCAACTCGCCCTACGTAGTTAGACTCTTGTCCAGCGTACGCACCAATGGGTATCCTCCGTCTTGTCATCGGAATTTCAATTGTCGTCGGTATTCAGTATATGGAGCTAGTAAGGTAGTATTCCCTGTTTGTCTTGAATGAGGTTCTAAGGGTGTATTCCCTACATAATCGAGACCTCCAACGTCAAGCTCGATCAATTCCTAGAGCAGACCATTCGGTCCTCTCTCAGGAAGTATATCGATAATTCAGTCAGCCCTAGGCTGAAACTAAGAACTGGAACAGAGTGTTCCACTTCCTTGGTGTAAATCAATTCAATCTCAAACCAGACTAGCAAGCAAGCACTATGAACGGAACTGCTTTTCCTTCCAGAAAGTATGTGTACTGTACATCGATTTTGGTTTTCAGTATCCAAGCTAGACTAGTAACAGCTGCTACGGGGACCGGTTTTCGCTTCAAGGAAATCATATCGATCTCAACCCCTAAGCTAAGTGAGAATTGGAACGGACTTTTCAAAATCGGGAAGGATGGATAGATAGTACGCGATTCTGATTTCGAGATGGGGCTGCAGCATGGTCGGTTTCTTACCTGGGCTAGAGAACTGGTGACTTCGATCTACTAGGTACCCCTTTTCCTGTTGCTGTTGCGGTTTGAGGAAGGAAGGAAGGAAAGAAGGGGGTTATAGATTGGGATTCTGTACACTGGGGCTCGGGCACCCTGTCTGCTCTGCTTTTGCTTCTCTTGATTGGCTTACGTAGGTGTTATTACTTGCTTGGTTTGGTGGGTGGTGGTTTATAAGGTGTGGGCTAGTAAGGGCTTCTATGGAGGGTTGGGTAGGTTGGGGATAATTCAGAATGGGATTGGGGGGAAAGGGGTGGATGTATAAGAGTCGCTTGTCGGATAGTCACCTACGCTACTTTTCTCTAAGTTGGGGATCAATGGGTGTTCCTAGGGTGAAAGTAAGGATGCTAGATTGCATGGAGCTAGAAACTATCCAGTGATAAGCTAGTCCAAGGTAATCAACCTACCTACCTACCTACCTACCTACTAAACTAAATGAAGCAAATGCTAGCTGTCTGGTTGCGAGGAACTATATATAAGTGTAAAATACCAGAACTACAGTTCCAGGTTCTCAGATCCAAAGCCATGGCCATCTCCAAGTTCCTGGACCGCTTGAGCGGCCGCGGCCCCCCATTCGGCTAATGCGCTCGTCGAGAACGAAGACTTCGGGTCCGCGCCATCCAAGAAAGAGAGACCATCCATCGCGCGACCGCCGCAGGCTCGCTGGAGGGCCAGGAAGGCAAAGTGGCCGCCGATGACGGGTCGGGCGTAGAAGTTCGGCCCCGGGAACTCGCCTCTCCCCTCGGTGTTGTGGAGGTCGGTGAACGGGAGGTCGGTGACCGTCTCGTTGACCCATTGGGCGACGGACTCGAGGATCTCGCTGCGCACGGTCTCGCTGGCGACTGCCATGGCGAAGAACTCCCAGTCTGTCTTGGTGTACAGGTGCCGGCTGTCCAGGGGCAAGCCGTACTTCTGTCGGACGTTGTGGTACCAGATCGATTGTCTCTGGTAGATGTGGCGCGGCACGAATCCGGTCTTCTTGGCCGGGTGAGGAGGGGTAAGTGGCTTCTGTGGATCGTTGGATGATGGGTCGGGCGAGATATCGGTGCCTTCAAGGTGGAAGCAGAGCTGGGCGTCCGCGTAGAGGTTGTAGATGGTGGTCCATGACCCGTACCAGTCGTAGGCGAGTTTGGCGTGGGTTTTGTCTCGCGACATGCCGTATTCCTCCCATTTGGTGATGTAGGTGTCCGAAATGTTCTGATAGTGTTAACTAGGCTCTGCTGAATTCTGACAGTCACGACCTACCTTATAATAAGTGACATCGGTATGGTACCCGGCCACCTCAGCCAATTTGCTCATGGCATTGATTCCGATGATACCCTTCAAGGCCAGATTCGTTTGCAGAGCAAGCCAGCCGGCAAAGTCGTCCGTGGACACTATCTTTATGTCAGCCGGGTTGCGCGTAATGTGTTCTAGCTGTGACTTACGTTGATTAGCAGGCTCAAGGGAGAACTCCACCAAGTATCCCGTCCACTGATCCCAGAGTTTATAGCTTCGCTGGATCCATCTCTCCGCCAAACGCTCGCCTTGCGTGCCACCACCCCATTTGCCATCTTGATGGTCAATTCCGCCGAAGCTTTGAAGATTGACGAGAGGGAATTTGCCATAGGTTTCCTCGGGCAGCTTAGGGGGTGCGCCCTGGGTAGACCAAATGGATGTCGCAGCAGTATCCTCAGCGTAGCGCAGGGAGTTGACAATCGCCAGACCCATGATGAGAATATTGCCGCACTCTTCCACGGGCATGTACTCATCGTTTCCGTCAGGGTGGCCGGTAGCGTTGGGGAAATGCGTGCCCAGATCATGCATGGCGTACGTGTTCGGGTACTGTCCACTCAGCATGTGCTCAATCAGGGGCTCCAGCAGATACGCTAGCCACCGCGGGTTGGTGTACAGGAAGAAGGGGAAAGCGGGGAAGATGACATCGATGGTCTGGAAGTTGCCATTTGAGGATATCTCTTTCAGGAATAGGATCGGGTCATCCGGAGTTCCAGCAAAAGTGGTTGCTCCCATAACCTGGCGCGCGGAGAGCGCTACGATATCGACATAGTCATGAGCGCCTGACTGGTAGGCATCTTGAGCGAGTTGAGTCGAGTAGTTCGAAGCCAGGAGGCTTGCATGAGAGAAGTCATCGTAATGGAAGCTGAGCAGTGCCTCGACGCTAGGGAACCACGACTCCCACAAGGGTCGCATGAGGGTCAACCCGCGTGCTGAGGCGTACTGGACGACTGGGTCCTGAGTCAATGCGAGGGTGAAGGTCACACTGTCACTCGTATGGCCATCCTTGGGCGAGAGTACGAAAGATTTGGAAAAGGCAAAGACCGGCTCCCGATCGCTAATGGCGCGAAAAGCATTATCATTGACGTTGTCCAGTACACCCTGAGTGGAAAACACCTTGCGCACGGCCGAGGCCTCTCCGGATTGATATTGGACACCCTGGATAATGCATTAGCCACGCGAATAACGACTTCGATGGGTTGACAACGCACGGCAGGTCCAGTGAAGTGGATAGTGCCCCATTCAGCACGATCCCGAATCTCCGACAGCAGCAACTCGGACGCTCGCTGAAGACGCCATCTACGTAGGGCTTGCTTGCTATCTTCGGCACCATATCCATCATACTGCCAGGTAATCTGACTACCCGCGTCTCCGCTCACCCAGCGCCCGTTGATATCCATATACACATTTACGCTTACATTGCCATGAACATGCACGGACACGTAGGAAGCGGGAATCGACTGCCGCAAAGTCGAAGTCGGGGTGATGGGAGAAAGAAAAGTTACAGTGATCTCGAGTTGGTGGGCAGCGGTAGTTGCGGAGTTGATACGGTAGGTCAAATTGGTGGTGGACGCATCGTAGTTGGCCCCAAGGTAGGTTGGATAATCGATTTGAGAAGATCTATGAGTGAAAGAATGAATAAGCTCCCGAAGTCAAGCAGTCATGAGACGATGACCTACCCGGACAAGGATTCATGGGGTTTCCCTAGCAAAGGATACACGGTGCCTGTGCTGGGGACATGGGCCATGAGAGACAACCCCAGCTCCTCCCCAGTGTAGAAAATAGGCCATTTGGACCAGGGCTCATCTCGAGCATTTCCCAGCCAAGTGCTGAGGTAGGGGTTCCGCACAATCAGGGGCAGGACCGGAGGGGTTAAGCTGGATGCAATGCCAACAGTCGCCTGAAGAACGGCTGTGAGCACTACGAGGGCAGGGCGCATGGCGGGCAAAATGGCCAGGAATTGACCAATATCGATGGTATATCAACGAATCTGATCGAGAGGAGGGTGGTAGAATAGTGATGCCATCAGAGCGCACCAGGGAGATGAAAGCTGGATGGGGTGAGATTCAGGGATCAGACGTTACAGAAGCTCCGGTGATGATGCAATCAAGCCGCCCGTTTACTGACAGGATCTGCGGGGAAGGGAGTATAAATAGCAAGGATCGACAAGGCTGTGGGGAAAGAGAAGTTATCCCGTTTATATAGATAGATATAGCGATAGCAGCTTTAAGATAGCATTCTAGGAGCTGGATGAGGAGAAATGATGGGGGGAAGAAAGAACCGGAGCTGGAGGAAGGGGGAAAATGCGGGGAAAGCTGGGGGGGAGGTGGTGGTGGATGAGGTAATCAGGCCAATGTCAATCTCATGGTTGAGGACAGAGAGTGGAAGTCTTTGCTGAGAAAGTATATGCCCTTCTGACTGGATTATTATCATCTCTGCAAAGAATCCCCGCAGTGAAAGAGCAACGAAGGTCATCGAGAATACATCTAGTGTAATCCGCTATGCTGTGCATACATTTGTTCTCTGCATCTTTCACGTAATGCTCTCAGGAAGTCCCCAATCCAAGCGAGATCCCTCAGCCATAATAGACGTACTACGCCACGTTGGTGAGACAGGCAAGGTTTCAGGTTAGGTAGCAAATGTGAAAGAGCAGTTCGATATGATTCGGACACGAAGAATTGTCAAGAGGCATAGTATGTGCGTAAATTCAGCGAAGCGTGTAATCATCAAGCGCTAATTAGGCACAGTTTCTAGAGGGAAAAGGTTTGCTATGAGGGTGGACTTTATGAGACCTCACCCAGCATACTGACTTACAGGTCGTGATCCAAGAGCCTTGAAGAATATTCCCATGCCATGTATTTATAGAGCCGAGTGCCTCTGAAGACTTCACTGTAAAGGTTGACTATATATGACACAGTAATTCTCTTCTACTACACCAATAATCTCATAAACTTGTTTCCTTAAGGGGAATGCCATGATCCGACCTGGACTTTGTTCTCGAACAGAGCTTCACACCGACAGATGGAGGGGACAGATTATAGGTCTAGCTGGGAGCCAGCGGAATGAGAGATCCAGAAGTGTAGCAGAGGCCTTGAGAATCCTGCAGTATTTTAAGAGAGCCGTGAGCTTGTTGTTTATGCATTTTCTTGCTCCATCAGCTATGGGAAGATCACCACCGCAGCGGGTCTCGATTAGTTAAAAGCAGCTATGAAGAAGGATTATGCCGTCCACACAACCTGGGTTTGTTACAAGGTCAACTCATACGCTAAGTAGCAGCGCAAAGTATTGAACGTATCACATGGCTAGCAAATAAACGATCAAGCCCCCAAACTTAGCTGCTGAGGATCGAGACAAGATCAGGTGGCTGGACTAACAAAGCCCCAGGTGCTTAATGAGAATGTCAAGCCTTGGTGAATATGCAGACTACCAAGATCGTAGGGGCACGGTATAAACACAAAAATGACGCATGGTCATGCAGAGAGCCAGGCCACTCACTTGCTTGAAGGAGATAAATGTAAATCTTCGACCTCGACACGCGCTGGGAGAAATCTCCGACGCGATCGAGCAATCCAGATATTGTCAGAAGGACCACCACTATTATGAGATGTCAATGTGATTCCGATCGCAACTCCAGCTTATTCAGGACAATCGTCAATAATACCCCAAGTGGGTAGAAAGCCAACCCCCCGACGCGTGGGACACGCTATGGCAGGCCGGTTGGGGGAAAGGGATTAGTTTCGCCCGCAAGGGACGAGCGAGACTCCGACGCGGATGACCGACACACGCGCGCCTCCTCCAACTCACCACTACAACCCCCCCCACCTCCTCCTTCTCTCTTCTTCCCCCCCCAAACGAAGCCATTGACTCTTCTGACCGAGTCTAACTTCCCTGTTGTGACTCTATCCTTGCGTCCATTCCTTGCTAGAACCGGTTCGTCCTCCATTGGAGACGAGGTCATTCGTTGTTGTTCGAGAGTATACAGCACGTGTTGGTAGTTCGCTCTCCTGTCCCGGAGCTACTTTACCGAACTACTTGACTACAACACGTCCGCACCACACAAATACACACAATTATCTCTTCTTTCCCTCTCTCTCTCTCTCTCCCTCTCTCTCTCTCACATTCCCTCGGTTTGGGCTGCGTGTAATTCTCTGGAGCGACCTTTTCCCCTGTCATGCATTCCACCGCAGCAGCACATACCAGCCCCGTCAAGGACGGCAGGCGGATTCTCGGCGAGAAGACCGTCAACGCGTGCCTGTCCCCCGCGCGCCATCGCCACACCTCCCTCTCGCCTGTGAAACGTCCATTACTGGAGACACCGTCCTCGCCTTCCAAAACACTTCTCCCTTCACCTCTGTTTGCCGGTCAGAAACGCACCATCGACCAGGTGGACCACAACGAGCACGAGAGCACCACCCGAGAGCGCGCGCCGGTCCAGGCACCACTTACCCCCAGCAACGCGCAAGATGAGTTGACGACAGAGTCCGCTGCAGCTCCTGCAGTTGCACAGGTAAATGACTACCAAAAACCCAGAAACAAAAAATTCTATTATCAGCTGCTAAACAAAGTCGCGTGACCAGATCCAACCCGACGCGACAACACAACCAGAGCTTCCAGATCTAGAAACAACACAACAACAACAACAACAAGTAGAGCCGGACCAACAAGCGCAAACAATCCCCCAACCCATAGAAGCCACACAACCCTCCCAACCACAAGAACAAATAGAACTCACCACGACGCGAGTCGTGCTCGAAGACCCAGCGACGCGCAAACGCTTCATCCAAGAGGTACGCTCCACTCCCCCCAGCACAACAGGCGACCACTCTAACCCAGCACCATAGAAAGCAACCCTCCTCCGTAGCCGCCTCCAAACCGCCATGCGGCACGTCCGCGACCCGCAATTCGACCGCCGACTATCCGCGCTCGAAGCCCACAGCCGGAAATGTCCCCGATTAGCACGGCCGGAGATCCAAGCCCAGACCCCGGCGCCGAAGGACACACTACGGATGACAGCATTCGAGACACCCGCCCCGGCGCCTTTCGTTTCCACGCCACGCATCCTCCAACCCGCAGCGGAGCTTCACACGTCGCCGGACACCACGCAGAATAACAACGCGTCGGGCCTCTCGTCCCCGCCGCTCTCAACGGGGAACACCGCCTCCGACGATCCGATGAAGACCCCGACGCAGAAGACGTATCGTCGGGCGGTGGAGGGAGGAGCCGGAGGAGAGGGAGGAGGAGGAGCATCGCCGATGCAATTGAGCAGTCCGCCTGCGACGGTATCGCGACGGAGGACGGGGCCCGTGCTCGAGGAGTCGGATCGTGAGGACGACGGGGTGAGTCTCCCGGAAAAGCAGCGACGGCTGTCGCAAAAGGGGGATGCGGTGGATGGGCTGTTGAAGTTGATGGGGACGGCGGAGCAACAGCAGCAGCAGCAGGCTGATACGGTATGATCGCCACGGATGAGTCTTGTGATATGCCCAGTCGCCGAGCATATGAAATAGCAGTCACTGCGACGAGTGCATGTCTGCCGGTCGTCTGTCGGGTGGGCGAGCCAGACTGGACTGTCTACTACGGCGACCATGCGCGGACGATATGGCGAGTCAGTCATCCACATGGGACAGCAGCTCCAGCACGGACTGTACTGTATATAGACTCAGGGATATGCGATCTGGATCTAGATGGCATGCGAAGCCTAGTTGAATCATGATACCCAATCCTTGCTTGCAATCCTGCTCAACAACCGTCGCAACCCATCAAGCACAAACAAGTAGCATTACGAAGCAAGCAACCCAAGCAACTAATGAACCATTAAATTCAGACATAACCCCTATATACAAAAACCCCTTGCACTTTCTACCACAAAATATTCTCCGAAAGACTAAGAAACTAACGGACCTTAACCAATTTATTCCTCCTCCTCCCCAAAACATCCCTGCCCTCATCAATCTCGCCGGCAGCCTCCCTCTTCGCCTCGCCGACAAGCTTAAGCACCCCATCCCTCACCACGCGAGTCTCCACACTAACGCCAACCTCCTCCCACTCGACCATCTTCCGCCCCACGCGATCCTCAATCGCCAGCACCAGAGCAACATCCCTCTGCCCGACCAAGGTAACAGCCTCACCCTTCCGACCCGCACGCGCCGTGCGACCCACCCGATGCACATAATCATCCGGGTTACGCGGCACATCATAGTTAACCACCAGCTCGACGGAGGGGATATCCAGTCCACGGGACGCGACGTCGGTCGCCACGAGGATGCGGGCGGCGCTCGCGCGAAACCGGGCGAGGTTAGCGTTGCGCTCGGATTGCGGGAGGCGGCTGTGCAGCGAGGTGCAGCGGTGGCCGAGGCGGCGGAGCATGCGCTCCAGCAGATCGGCGGTGGCCGTTGTGTTGGTGAAGATGATGGTGGGTTTGGGGTTGTTGAGCTCTGTGCTGAGGAGGACGTGCAGGAAGGCTTCGCGGTGGGTGAGCGGGACTTGGAGGTAGGTTTGGTGCAGGGTCGGCGGGATGGCGGCTTTGTTTTCGACGGAGATTTCGGTGACGAAGATTGGGGGTTTGGTTGGTGCGGATGAGGTGGTGGGGGTATTGGTATTTTGGGGGGAAGAGGAGGAAGGGGAGGTCGACATGGATTGCAGGGCGCGGACTTCCGGCGTCAATGTCGCGGTGAAGAGCAGCGTCTGCCGCTCCGCGGCCGGCGGTACCGCGCTGAAACATGTTTCCACGTCCGGGAGCATGGACCCCGGCCCTGGCGAGAGGAGCCGGTCGGCTTCGTCCAGCACGACCATGCGCACGCGCGAAAGCCCGCGGATCGTGTCCGCGCCTGACGTGTGGATGTGGTCGGCTAGTCGGCCCGGCGTGGCGATCACGACGTGCGGCCGCTGCGAGAGTGCGAGCGCCTGTGACCGCATGTCGGTGCCGCCGGTGATGAGGAGCGGTTTCATGCTCTGCGGCGCCGAGATGGCTTTGATTTGTTCGTAGATCTGTAGGGCCAGTTCTCTGGTAGTCATCGATGTTAGCTTGCGCTGCGCCTCCGGCCAAATGTATGCCATGTAACACTCCCCCCTCCTATTCTGCATGTGGAAGAGAAAGACAACATACCTCGTCGGCGTAAGCACCAACCCAAAAATACCAAACGGATCCTCCGCCCACTTCTGCAGCATCGGCACGGCAAACGCAATCGTCTTACCGGATCCCGTCCGACTACCACCGATGCAGTCCCGGCCCGCCAGAATCTCAGGGATACACGCCCTCTGGATAGCAGTCGGCCGTCGCACGGCCATGGTGGTCAGCGACCCGACCAGCCACGGCGCGACCTTCAGCCCCGTAAACGACGACCGCGCGTCCTCGAGCCCCGCCGCCAGCGCATCCTTGATCAGCACCGGGTTGTCGTCCGCCTGCTTGGCCGCAACTTCCTTGGCGACGTCCTCCTTGCGCTTGATACGGGAGGGGAGCGTGGGCAGCGGCGCCGGCGTAGGCGCGGCGGCAGTGTAGGAATCCGTTGACGACTCCGAGAGACGTCTTCTCTTGGGGGCGCGCTCGGCTTGTTCGAGGGTGACGCCGCCGTCGTTGTCGGACTCAACATCGGATTCAGAATCAGAGGCGGAGTGGTGAGAGGCGGACTCGTACTCATCCGAGATAGGTTCGGAGGACTGGGAGGGCGCCATCTTGTGTCCCGTCTGTGAATCTGGTTCTGCAATAGAATTGATGTGCAGCCCTGAACTTTTTTTGAGAGGATATTCAAAATCAAGGCAGAAAAGACTGACCGCACTGGGCGGTGTGTGTCTCTAACTCTGTGTGGTTAGTGTTCGATCTACTGCGATGAACTCTATTTGCCATGCGCTTTGCAAGATGAAATCTTGGAACATAGATCCTAAAAAAAGTACCTCAGATATCAAGCCCGGGTGGTCTAGTGGTATGATTCTCGCTTAGGGATACAAACCCAAGCATATCTGCGAGAGGTCCCGCGTTCGATCCGCGGCTCGGGCCTTGACATCTCCCAATCTTGTATTGGGATCTTCTTTTTGTTGTTTTTATTATGCTTCTTCAGAGGTAGCGAGAATCTCAGTTGTGATCCTGCGTTTATATGAGCCCAGTTATGAGCTATATTTGCGGTGCTATAGCGCTTCACCCACTTGGATTGAAGAAGGGCGCGCTGCCCTGTTGCAGCGAGCGAACCTACTATTATAGCCATAATGGCCCGTGTCGAGATGTATGCAAGGGATGCCGGGGTATCCAAGCACCGTGAATATATATACCTAAGCAACCTATATTCAATCTCTCGACAAGGCTTCAAGCTAGCTCAGCGGCACATGTCTCCATCCATCAGAAGAGCCTCTACACCCAGACCGCAGCTGCAAGAACCTAGACAGCTATTAATCTCTCATCCCCGTGGTACTCCGCCTCCTCACAGCCGACCGCTGCATCTCAAACACCTCCCCCCTCTCTAAATCATCATCCACAATCGACTCAGACGAGCTCTCGTCCCGGTTACCATCAAACATCCCAAAATCCCCGCCGCCAGTCTTGGAGTCCCTCCGTTCACCCTCATCTACGTCCAACGCGCCCGAACCGAACGAGTCGTCCAAGCCATGCGAACCGCCCACACTCTCCATCGTGAACGGACTCGCCGCGGGCCCATCCAGGACCCCCAGCTCCTCCGCGGTGAACCACTTAGGAAACAAGAACGAGCGCACGGGGATCAGCAACAAGATAATGACAGGGAACCCGATGGCCGCGATCGTCTGCGTGATGGCGAAGGTCGCGCCGAAGCCGATCAGTTCCGCGATAACGAACGCCCAGATCGCGGGGCGGCGCTTGAGCCGTTTGAGCGGATTGGACGCCGGGGTGAGGTTGCGGTCCTGGGCGAGGAAGATGAGCTTCTGCGTGATGCCGTTGCCCTGGAGGGCCTGGACGCCCATGATGAAGAACAGGCCGGCGAGGACGCCCTGCGGAATCAGGTGGACGACGATGAGGAGGGGCCCGGACATGGTGCCGAGGGTGAGGAGGCCCTGCACGAAGTTGCTGACGCGCTGCTCGACGACGTGGTCGGTGATGCGGATGGCCTTGCCTTTGTTCGTGTCGTCTTCGTCGGCCACGTCGCGGGTCACGCATAGAGCCGCGGTGTGGAAGGGAGCCTGCGGGATCAGGCCGTTGGGGAAAGGGATCCCCAGCAGCCCGGCGACGAAGGTGGTGAGTCCAAGCAGCCAAAGGTCCCAGTGGAAACCGGCAGGTTTGCGTAGAGGAAACTCAGTGCCCTGGGCAATGAGGGATGAAACTGGTTAAACTGTCAGTCACGACTAGTTTCACGGACGAGCCGGACACGCTACTCACCGTTATGGTCAAAATAGAACAGAATCGTCAGAAGAATGGCAAACGGGATGGCCAGGAACACATCTCCCACGCTGATATCCCAGAAATGCACCAACCAGCCCCGATCAGCGGTGGGAAAGAACGCCTTACTGGTGGGCAGGGTAGCCACCTCGACGTCCCTCATATGGCCGATATGCACAAAGCCCGTGAAGAAGATAATCGTCAAGGGCGTACCATAGTCCTCCAAGAATTTGCGCACGAATCTCTGGAAGAGATTGCTGTTTCCCAGCTCGCCACAAATCCAGCCGCTCATCAGCACCAACAAGGCCACCATGATACTCAGATAAGCGGACGTCTCACCCGCCGAGCCCCATTGCCGCGTGAGAACCTGGATGCCTTTCTGGAGATAGATAAACGCCACATAAAAGCCGAAGATGTCGCACGAGAACCGCGTAACGTAGGTCAAGCCGTTACTGGCATTGGTGATAGCCAGCAACCAGTGCATGATCAGCGACCATCTAGCTTTTGGTCAGCTGATACGCCTTTCACATGTGTTGAACGAAAAGCCAGGGAAACTTACATTCCAATCCAGCACATAAAAGCGAGGTAGTTCGTGCCCCTGGACGCAATAATGTCATAGACGGTATAATTGAACACCGTGATGGGACCTATCGCACATCGACCGACATATTAGCACTCCATATTCCTTCGCTTGCTCATCATCGAAGACCAAGAACGCCCCATCACCATCCGACCCCTACCCCCAAAGCCACAGGAAGGATAATCCTTACCAGTAACCCCAACAATAACCAACGGCTGCGCCGCGAAGACCGCAAACACGATCGCCCCCAGCACGGAGGCTAACAGCACCTCGTTCACACCATAGCTTTGATTGGTTTTCTCAAACATGTCCAACGAGAACGCCAATGCAGGGAGGATACTAAGCTCGCAGTCAGCATCGCCACTTTACTCAGTGAGATTTTCCCCTTCGCTCCAAGCTCAAGCCTTAGCACAAGCTCAAGCCCAATCCCAGACTCAATCCCAAGCCCAGACCAAGAAAAAACAAACCCACCCCAGTCCAAACCTCACCCCCCCCAAAAAAAAGAAAAGAAACTCACTTAGCAAAATACATATAAACAGTAGCGGGCACAACGCGATAATCCCACGCATCAGTCCAATCACTCCAATAATACGGCGCGCGACGCTTAACATCCTTAACCATACCACGGAACAACCGAACACGGTACCATTTGGCCGTGTCCGCTGACGTTGGCGTTGGCGTCGAGGACAAAGCAGCCTGATGATCGTGTCGTCCGCTCATACCCGATGACTGCTGGTGTTGTTGATGATGATGATGCTCGCCGGATCGGAGAGATGAGCTGCGGCGGGTGCGGGAATGGGGTTGCGATTGCGGCTGCGACTGCCATGGTTTGCGATGGGAGTGGGATTGATATCCTCCTTCTCCGAAGCTTCGGCCCGATGGTTCTGCGTGGGCGTTGTTACCGCCGGTCCCGGTGGTGGTGGTGGATGAGGAGGAGGCGGGGCCTTGTCCCTGCATTGTTGTTATGCTGGGGTTTCACTTTGGTGGAAAAAGCAGTGGAGGAAAAGAAAGCTTGACCCTCAGCAGGAGCTTCTGTGTTTTAACAGTGGACTCCGAAAGCTCTACTTGGCTTGACAAGGCATGCTCTATAAATCTAGGAAGAAAGCTCTTTGATACGCAAGTGTTGGAAAATTGCCTTCGAGAAGCGCATGAGAAAGAAATATGAAAATGGAGGATTGACGCTGACCTCCAGGGAATTGCGGAGAAAAACGTCTCCGCCTGAGGCACCGAGACCGGGGCCGCCCCATAAACGTCATTCGGCACTTGCTATCCGGCAATTCACCGACATTTCTGCTGCACTACCACTGTACACACACCGAAACAAACGCATAAAATAATTTCAATATTGATTAGCTAGTACACTAATAAACTACGCATGGAAAGTAGCAGGCCTGACGCGCAGTCCAGTCGAATCCAGAATCATGCGCCCTACCATGTAAGCCACCGTACCACCCCACGAGTGTCTGACGATTTTCATTCGAACCATATCCAGCAACTCTCATGATTCATATCCAGCAGCTGAAACCAGCGGGCCTTCGTCGTTACAAACGCAAACTTTTCAAGCAGGAGGGGGAGGGGGAGGAGGCTGCTCGCTCGGGGGCTGTATCCAAATTAGTAAAGTACTCCCAGACTTTTGGAAGGTAAAGTCGACTTACCGGAGGAGGTGGTCCCTCGCCAGGTGGGGGAGGGGGAGGGCTGCCACTGTTGCCAAGATACATCGAGGGCATGCCCGGGGGAGGCGGTGGCACACTCAAGCCAGGAGGAGCACCGGGAGCTCCCATGCCAGAGTAAGAAGGATAACCTCCATACCCATAGGCGGCCTGTCCACCCGGAGGCGGAGGAGGCGCAGCTTGCGCTTGATGCCATGGGGCTGCAGCTCCAGGAGCGCCGTAGCCACCGTGAGAGCCATAGCCGTAGTCGCCGCCATGACCACCGTGGCCGCCGTGACCGCCACGGCCCTGTGCAGCCCATGGAGCCGCACCGCCATGATCGCGAGGTCCATAGTCGTCGCGGCGGTCGCGGCCTCGCTGCTGCCAAGGAGCCACATCACTGGGAGGCGGGCCACGCTGCCACGGCTTCACATCACGATCGTCGTAGCCCTGATCGGGTCCAGCCTCGATGCGACGCGGTACGTGGCCGTCCTCTCCAGGAGCACCACCAGACAATTCTTGCATAAGTTGCTAGCCAAAGTTAGTGACGACCGTTGACAGCACCGAAGGAACAGAAACTTACCTCCATCTCCCGGTCGACGGCGTCACCGCTACCAATGGCTCGGCGGCCGCCGCCGCCACCGTAGCCGCCGCCATTACGCCAATCGGAGCCTCTCTGGCGGTCGGGACAATCCCGAGCCATGTGGCCTGCGTTACCACAGACACGACAGATGATGTTGGCAGTGAAGTTGCGCTGTTCAGGGCAGTCGTACTTGCGATGTCCGATTTGGCCACCTGTACATATTAGGCATGAAGATGAGATGAGAGTCTCAAGGATGAACTTACAGTTCTGGCAAGCCTGGTTCTCATCATCACGGAGGGTACCGTTGAGCGCGGCCAGCTCTCGGAGCTGGTTCCGCTTGAGCTCGTTCTGACCTTCGGGAATGGATGCAGCCTAAGTATCGTAAGCAATGAGTCCTTCATATCAAAAAAGGTACAGGGACGTAAAACTTACCGTCTCAATAACGTTGTGCACCAGCTTCTTCGCCTTGTTAACCTTCTCTTCAGTATCTGCCATGATCAAACAGTGTAGATCCTCTTCCTGGTTACTGGCATGAGCGGCATCAGAGCGACCCTTTCCTTCCTTGACGGAGCCTTTGCCACGGATCGCGATCTTCGCGCCGGACTCGGTCTCCATCTTCTTCAAGGTATTACCACGAGGACCTATGAGTAAGCCAACTTTGAAAAGATAGCGGAAAGCCTAGGTGTTAGTTCAAGCTGTTTTTGAGTCTCAAGGAGGGGTGAGTGAGGATGAACGAGCAAAAAGAGAAAGTGTGTGTGAGTGTGCAACATCAAGCAGCAAGGGTTAGCAAGAAGCGAGCTGGAGAATCCCATCGCGCGGCGGCGACGTCGTCATCAGAAGCCCGACTCGAGCACACAAGAGTCAAGTAAGGAATGCAGAGTAGAGCAATGGTTAGAGGAGTTAGAGGGTTAGTTATCATACTGAAGTTAATCTCTGGATAGTCATTCACAGGCACGTAGACCTTCTCCTGGGTCTTAGTGGGCCGTCTGTAGTCAGAGGGCGGGTGGTAGTTAGGAATGGTCTTCATCGCCTTCTCGACGAGCTTGTGGCGCTCATCCTCGAGCCGCTTCCGATACCGGTATTCCCTTGTGTTTACACGTCTGCCAAAGTTATCGTACTGGGGAGGAGGAGAGGGAGATCTAGATTTCAAGTAGCGAGGTGTCAGCACGTTCTGATACAACTTCAGGTTGCCGGAGACGGCAGTTCGACAAACCTATCACCATCAGCTGGAACCACGTCGTTGATCCGCAGCTTCTGGCTAATCTCCTCGATACGCAGATGCAGCGTATACGCCTCCAGTTGTTCGTTGGTGAAGTTGGCCATGATCATGGTGGGCAGGCCCATGAGGCCGGCGGCCTTGTTCTCCTGCGCATCACCCCAACGGTTGCGCTTCTTGCGCTTCTTGACACCGTCGGCGGGAGGGTCAGCTAGACACGTTAGTATTCTTGTAACCAATTTTGCATACCCGCGTAGTGGTGTGGAAAAGAACTCACCTCGAACAGGGCTCCGCCCACGCTTGTAGGCGCCATCCCCAGCGACAGAGGCCGGCGTCGCGGTGCGACTCTCCTCCTCCTGGCCGTCGTCGCCGAACCGTCTCCGGCCCAGGGGGACGTTGTTGGAGCCGGTGACTCCCTGGTTGCGCCAAGCCATATCACTGTCAGTCAGTAGGGAAGCTCGTCAGCGAGTCGGTACAGAGTCGAATCCTAGCGGACCTTGGGTCTGCGAGATGAAGCGAAGGATTCCAATCGACTACAAAGGCCAGAAAACACCTGGGGGTGGGAAGGAGGGAAGTGGCAAGAGCTTTTTCACGTGGTCCCTGACTAAGCCGACCGCGGTTCCTCAGCAAGTGAGTGAAGAAGTGTGCGCGCGCGCAGGTGACGAACAGATTACCCTCACATCATTTAACTTCATATTAACAAGATGGTGAAAGGCTGTCTCTACCCCGTTAATCTTAAACATCTCTGAAAATAGCTTTATTCATGATTCATCGATTATTACAATATGCACTTTCCCCCTCAGCGCGGCGGGCAGGCATCAAGCCACCAGCCCCAACTCACAACAAGACAGATAGAAGAGGAATCTATTTCTTAGCATCGCTCTGCATGCCCTTCAACACCCACTCCCGCGTCTCGCGCATACTCTTCTCGGCAGCCTCCTTATCCTTGGTCAGCTCCTTGATGGTGTGCGGCGAGGGCACATGGCGACCCTTCTCGACGCCCTCGCGCTGCAGCAAGCGCTCCTCCCAGGCCTTGACGTTGGGGAACTCCTCGATATCGACACCCGCCCACCCGGCGGCCGTGATCCAGCCCCAGTGCGAGATATCGGCCAGCGAGATGTGGTCGCCGACGAGGTAGCCGGACTTGTTGTCGGCCAGCTGCTTGTCCAGCACGCTGTACAGGCGGCGGGTCTCGTTGACGTAGCGGTTGATGCCGTAGGGGACGTGCTCGGAGGCGTAGCGCACGAAGTGGTTGGCCTGGCCCTGCATGGGGCCCACGCCGGCGTTCTGGAAGAACAGCCAGTTGTTCATCTCGTACCATTCGCGCGTGCCCCGCGGGAACGAGATCTTGTAGTCCTTGTCGTAGCGCTCGGCCAGGTACAGCAGGATGCCGCCGGACTCGAACAGCCGGATCTTCTTGCCGTCCTCGAATGTGTCCGTTAGGGACGGGATGCGGCCGTTGGGGTTGATTTCGAGGAACCATCTGTTGTTTTTTTTAGGTTGATTAATGGATGTGCAATTGTAGAGTAGGGGAATAGACACAACTCACTGCTCCTTCTGGGTGTTCTTGGAGATATCGATCTTCTCGACCTTGTAGGGCAGACTGATGGAATGTATTAGCTTGACTATGTCGCTTGATTAAACCAGACAGGAACAACGTACCCCAGCTCTTCCAACGCAATGGAGATCTTGATTCCATTGGGGGTCTGAGCGGTATACAAGGTGATATCGGAGTTACTCATTTTGGCAGACGACGAGAACAATTGCGCAGACAGAAAAGTAGTGGGAGTGAAGAGAGGAAAAGGAGATCTGGAGGAACAACGAGCCAATACGTTGGAGAATCGAGGGACTTTATAGAACAGCCCACTCATTGCTCAGACAAGAAACACTGCACCCGAATGGAGGGGAAGGGCGGGGGAGAGAGGGTGATGATGCCATCTACTAAAGTATCCTGGCGTGGAGCACCCGACAGCTCATTTACCCCGATACCACAACATCCGACGAAAACCATAGGGGAATACGACTGGAATACCAATGGCAGGTAAGTATCGGACTGGGACCCCGGGCATTTGTCATAGATTGGATTGGTGATCGCCAGCAGAGAGCGGAAAGGGAGGAATGCAAAGGAAAAGTCTCCGCAATCGCTGCCCCACTATTGATTTCTAATCTAGGCAGCTTAACAACTATGATTTTTGATCAGGGATTGATCCTGGTCAATCTCGGTCAATGCGAATTCCAATTCCGGCCCGAATCCCGAAAACCTGCACGACTGCCGGGGGAAGAAAGAGCAGCTACTCCGCACAGGGCAAATGCCAGCAAACCGGCACTGCAATATAATTATATTGTGGTAATCAAATAACCCTAAAGAATCCTAATGTCATTGTAAAGAAGTTAACATCCTTTGTCAAAGAGCGACTAAAGGTGGAAGGCATTAGTGTTGTACTAATAGTCAACAGCCTTGTATCTATAACAGTTAGCATTTGTCTTATGGCAACCCGCAGCGAAAGCTTGGGTTACATCTGTCAAGTTCAAGGAATAATACTTGTATTTGATCTGCCGGGCTCCATCTCCCTAATTCACATCGACTCAAGATTGCTGATTATAGCATCTCTCAATCCGCGGTCTCCCCACCCCAGCACTGCTACAATATGACCCCATCTTTCATGGTTGTCCTCCAAGCTCCAAGGCAAGCCATGCAGAAATCTCCGCTGGAGGCTTGGAAGTGAAGTCATAATCCGTGCATGGGTCCTTCAGTAGTGACCGAGAAAGCGAGGTTCGGAACGGAGCTTGCAGCAGAAGAGCGCTCTGGCTGACCACCGACCTCATCGTCCCCTTAACTTTCCTGGATCTTGTTCGAGGCAGCCTGAAGATCGAAGGTAATTTTTGATAATGCGCAGTGCAGCTGAGCCACTAACTGCAGCCTGATTCTGTGCTTGGTAAAGGTTTTTTACCGGTTGCACCCGCCTTTGCCTCAACGATCAGAAAGGGGAACCGAAGGCCCGATGGGGTGATATGTGGATCGCTGATCAGACTGGAGGTATCTTGCAAGTCAAGTAGGAGGCTTCTTGCAAAAGTGCGACTCCCCTTCGGCTCCAAAGCTTTTGTCAAACTCTCGTCGGACAGGCCAACACATATCTCCGGACGTGGATCTTTCAGCATGAACACAGGAACGGTCGGCGACATATCCACGGTTCCAAATCTCCGTGCCAGTCTTCCATGAGATGTCAGTACGGAAATATATCCTCGAGGCAAGAGAGATAGCAGGAAGAGAGTAAACATGCCTCGAATGCGCAGGATGTCAAGCTCGATGACCCTCAATTCATCGATAGCTGTATTAAAAGCTTCCGTCCATTCAGCTTCCCCCGACAGTTTCTTGACCAGCTCCCTGGACTTGCTCCAGAGCTTCTCGGCGACTATGGAAAGATCATTGTCACTACACATCAAGCTTTGGAAGACATGTAGTCGACATAGTAGCTGATATCGGTGGCTATCGCATTATCCACAAAGATACTTGCACGCCGGAGAGGGCCAACGCGATATTGAGCATCACTCAGTCTGGAGGGGCTACTGGACCGCGAGCGATGAGAGGATCGAGTAGAAGAAGGACGGAAGACTTAGGATATCTGGATGTCGAAATTGGCGAAAGGGGACAGAGGCTGGGTTCTCTTGTCGTGCTCCCTGAGAACGCTGTGCGTAAGACAGGTATAGTGATGATTAGACTTGCGTTGTTTGGATGGTGAAGCAGGAGGAGAATAGGAGCGCGACCGCTTCATTGTATTGATGTGCTTGTTGCTTCGTGACCCTTTTCTACCCTCTGTACATACAATACCTGGGATAGATGGATTGAGTCTCGTGATCCCCTGGCCCTTCTATGCACCAAGGCAGAATGAGAATTGCTATTGACAGGCAGGCTCCACTCGACGACACCTTCCTTTTTCGAAGTAGAGCGGTAAATAAAGTAGATTCCCTCCAAAGAACCTTAATTTCTAAAAATACCTTGACTTCTTAGGACTCTCCAGGGTCGTTCAGGTATTTATTAGGGGCCGAAGACTTGGACTGAGAAGTAAACCTTAGAGAAAATCCTTTTATATCTTTTTCTTTACATTCGGGTAGAGTATATTAGAGTTCTTATCGAGCACTGCACGGGCAGCAGGGGGGCTCTCCCGCCCAGCAACCACCCGAATAGGGAATTAGTAAATAGCTGGATTGCACATAACTACATTTGATTTGCTGCGCTTAAGACGAAAAAAAACAGAACTACAGCATCCGAATCAGCCAACTGGACTAGACATCTAAGCGGAAAACTTCACATTATGTACTGTACTAGTACAGTAATGCCCAGTACTGGTTCCACTGAATCGAGCTCAAGATACTCGGGCAAAGTCCATCTGTGTATCCATAGCTGCCAGCTCAGAGTGAAGACCTTCATGGCCTCCACCAGGCAGTTGATCCTAAAGGGTAACTGTGGTGTCCTTTACCTAGTACCTACACAATAATATTCCGGATTACAAAGGCAAAAAGTTTTTTTTCAGATTGATAAATAATAAGATCGAAGTATATACGCGGCCAGTGAGCCACCCCACAAGCCCACGGCCAGCCCGAAGATAACTTGAAACAACTTCCCCAAAAAAACAACTAGTAGTATATATACTCTCCGAAACCAAGAGTGAGAGATCGCCGGCAGAATCGATGCAGACAGAAAGAGGGAAAAGGCGGAGAGCGACGACAGGCTCGTAAAGCGGCAGAGTAAAATATGTATACTACCCAAAACCGGGACAAATCAGATGCGAGAATCCGTAGCGATCAAGGGTTGGGAGAGGCCTTGGGGGATGCAGTGGGGGCCAAGACTCCTGCTCGCCTTGGGTGACATGAGCCCCCGATGCGAGGCGGAGACACTCTCACCAGGTGAAACTCTCCTCAATGAAGTCAACCTGGGTGCGATCTTGTCGGTTGCGGCATACGCGCCGCACATCGTCGCTTAGACCACCGTTACCGCAGACGAGCACACCCATTGCTCCGATCTGATTCTCGACCTCCATGCCCACCAGCGTGTCGATGTTGGGTCGACCGGGGAACATCTGCACGGTTGCACTGGGGCTCTGGATCTCCTTGGTGTTGCGCGGCCGTGTGATGAACAGCATGATGCGGAGCACTTCTCGACGACGATCCATCGACAGAATGCTCGTCATCCAGGGACGGATCCACTCGAGGTGCTCAGGGGATTGAATGATCCAGACCAGCGTCACGCGACGTGCCGCTACGGTGCCCTCAGCATAGCCCTGAACGAGATGACGCACAAATGGTACTTGGTGAGTGATTCCGACACCACCTGCAAAGAGAAGAACGGTGCCGTACGAATCCATCGAGTGGATGCTGCCGTATGGTCCTTCTGCAATTGCCCGCAGCGACACCCGCCCGCCAGGCGAGTTCTGCGCCCGCTGGAACATCTTGTCGGTGAATCCGGTTCGCCGACGCACGAGCAAGGAGATGGTGGTCTTTTGGAGGCCCGTCATATCCTGTCGAGTCATGGGGATGCCCTTCTCGTCGGACAGCGACTCGGCTTCTTCACTCCACCCAACCGAGAAGGGATGGCAGGTCCACCATCCGATAGCAGGGATATACAGGTAGATGTGCTGGCCGGGCTTGAAGGTCCAGGGTCGAGCCATCTTGATAGTGATCCGCATCGCATCGCCAGGCATAGTCTCGACGAGGGCCGTAGTCGATTCGCGTCCAAAGTTGCGGTACACGATGATTGCAATTCGGGCGGCACGCTAGGTTCGGTTGTCAGCATCAAACTATCGTCGGGATGCATTGTCATTTTGACCTACCTCGAGAGCCCAGAAAATGATCGCCACCATCAAGTAGTATCGAGCAACGTAGCCGTTGAGATGGACCCAGAGGAAGGCGATCGCGAGCACGGCGAGCACAATGTGAAGGTGGAGGAAGGTCTCATAGAAAGCATGGCGAATGGGCGAAGGCGAATGCAATAGAAGAGCGGTGAAAGCGCATCCAGACTAAACAGAAGATCAGTAAGATCCTCTGTGGGACATCTAACAAAACCAGGCGCACTCACAATCAAGCCGACAAGAAGGGGTTTGTTCTCCCCCAGCAACGTGCCAACCATGGGCCAACCAGCTATCCATAAGCATTAGCGCAACTTCGAAAACGAGAATTGACCAACAGTGACCTACTTTTCTGAGCCATGGGGATCATCCAAGCGAGGATATGGGCGATGCACTCCAATACCACGATACGGCCGAGCCAGCGGTGAAGCAGATTGAAGGTATCGAACGGGATCTGCAACAGGGCAACCAGTGGGTTGTTTCGACCAGCCATGAGGATCAAGGGGATCATATTCACAGTCGCCATCGTTCCAGTGCGGTTGCGGATGATACCCGCAACAGTGTTCTCCTCAGTACCATACGGCACGGTGACCACGCAAAGGACGACGTTCATGGCAATGATCCCAACCAGCAGGAACGAATGGAGTCGGCTTGGCAGGGTGCCCATATTGACAGCCCGGGACAATTGGAATTCGCGATTGTGTCGGGCTCGGAACAAGGGTGCATAGGTGATATGGGTCTTGATCTTCGACAGTATCGTGTCCGGGGTCACAAAGTATAGTTGGCGTTCATTGTTGAAACTCGCGAGCCGGCGCAGATGACTCGAAAGCCGATGCCACATCTTCCACACATACACGACTGCCGCCATCAGACCGAATATCAACAAACTCAGCCGGGCGAGGTCATCATTGAGCATCTCATACACCGACGAGCCGCCGTCATGGCGCTTTCCCAACTCTGCAGCAGAGGCAAGTCCAACCAGGGACGAGCACAGAATGAATGATGGCATGTTGAAGAGAAAGAAAGGTTCTAACGAAGGAAGCAAAGAAGAAGTTGAAGGACAGCAAGCAAGGGCTCTAACCACAGTCACCCGTATGCCAAAAGAAGAGGTATAACTTCTATGAGAGACCGGCTCTACCTAGAAGAGCTTTCCACGAGGAAAGAGAAGAACAAACGCGTCGTGCCAAATCAATCTTGACCAGTCAATTGGACAGACAACCCAGATCAGGTTGTTGCAAGATCTTATGGAGGATGAATAGCCCTGATGATGCAGTGAACAAGATCTCGCAGCCACCTAGAAGAAGGGGATCACCAACAATGGCGTTGTTTTCTGGCTTTCGCTCGCCTTGTCCTTGCAAGACTCGCTTTGTCACGCAGTACAGATTCCCAACCCAAGACGCACAGGCAACCAAGCCCTGGTTCCTGAAAGGTGAGAGGAATGGCCGGTCGCCGGGAACCCGAATACTTGAGCCGAAATGTAAAGGTTGACGGGCAACGAATGGAATGCTGAGCTTATGGTGAGCCAGTCACTTGGTCCTACAGCTGGGAAACAGGAATGAGAGAAATGAGACCGACGATGGCTAGAACTCAGTCCCGAAGCAACCGGAGACCAAGAAGCAATCCCCAGAAAAGAAACACAGACCACAAAAAGAAGGGGTTGACAAGAAGCAAAAGTGGAGGCAAAGCAACGAAAGGGACCACCTGGGATCAATATGAGGTGAAAAGAAAGGAACAGACAGATAGATACTATCAAGGGAGAAAAGGGAAACAAAAGTAGGTTTCCCAGCCGTGGGGATTGATTATACATAGATAGACATGCGAAAAGAAAAATCCACACACACTCTCTCCTCCTTCTCCTTCCTTCCTGTCCTCCGGTCTCCTGCTTCATCTTGGTTTCTCTTGTACCTGCCCTGTGCTCTAGTCTCTAGTCCCACTGGCGGACTGTCATCAGGCACAGAGAAGGGGAGGGGGAGGGGATTGAGTTAGTGCATTACAGGCTCAGTCGCTTGCAGAAAGCCGAGCCGGTGCTCCATCCTGAACTGAGGAGGGACGATGGCCCTGGCCAGTCCTGGCTGGCTGGGCCAATATTTTGCCTCTTTGCCCAGGAATTGGACCTATCCTACCGCGGTGCCTCAGCGTATCCCCAAGGAAGGATTGGCGCCCGCCACAGCGGCTGATCCGGCCGACCACGAAAGGTCAATGGCGCGACGCTGAGACAATCAAGCGGAGGCCGGGTTGAGATCTTGCGTCTTGGCTGACGCCCTTGCGTTGGGCGAGAGCCAATAATGCAGGCGGAAGGACGACCGACGCCGAGCGGAGCCAAGCAGGACAGAAGTGGGTTTTAGCTGACTCGGTGTAATTGAGGATTTGGGAGGATTCGAGTGGGAGGAGGTTAAGGTAAGGTAAGGTTCAGTCCTGTAGTCTCCTCTGTAGAACAAAAGCGAGACCAGGATTCGTGCAAGCTGCAGGAGCGTGAAGAAAGTGCTGACTGACACCGGGCGCTTAACAAATCACTACAAGTATGGCCGGTAAATTGTTTATCCCCCTGCCCGAGAGTATTCGCATGTCAACCACATCGTCAACCATCTCCACCGCACTTGTCTTGAGCCGAGGATAGCGAGATAATCAGGGATGATTCTCCATCAAGTTGAAACCACCAGTCGTGGCCGTTGATGGGGTTGACAGGTTGATTATTGACACCTGACAGAGTGCCAAGTGCCCGACAAATCTCGCTCTCAAACACTGCTAACCCCTTCCAGTTGGCTTCCGGTTCCAGGTAAAAACATTCAGTCCATCGACTCGGGCTTATTTCTGACCCTGGTGCGGTGCATGGTGGAAGACGAACAATGCGGGAATTGGGAATGGGGAAGAGAAACAATTTTGAATAAAAGAACAAAGAAGTCAACTCCAAGAATAACAATCAACCAATGTTCCTTAATTTGAAACTGGTCTTGCGCAGTCAATGCAGCCATGATTGATGAAACCCCCAACAGAGCCAAGTTTTAAGCTACAGACGCTCAAGTCATCCCTATCAAACAGACCGGCTAAACATGCTCTACAATAGGAATCCCTATCCCAATCGCCCCGGGTATCATCCAAAAAAAAAAATGAAATGAAACAAAAACAAAAGTGTCCCACGCCAGACTATCCCCAATAAAAGACCCCATGCTCCAGAGTGCATGCATCCTAGAATTTCAATGGTATAATAAACAGTACCTAAGTAACGCCAACAGACGCAGCGAATCAAATTAGAAAACTGAGCTCATCGTCACTGTCCTCGTCCGGGTACGAGATCACCGGCGGGGGCGGTACTCTGGCGCGACGCGGTCGAGACGGCCTTATAATCGACTCGGTCGCGATGGTGGTGGTGGTGGTGGTGGTGGGAAGAGAAGCAGAAAGGGAGGCTCGAGCTAAGCGTGCCGATTTTCTGCAGGCTAACAAAGCATCTGGTTGAATCCTTGTGCTCTCAGCTGCAGGTGCAAGCCTGTTGAAGATGACAACTTCAATCTGGTGCGGAGATCGGACAGGTGTCGCGCTCTTAGTGATGGCCGATACGCCCGGTCGGGATGATTTAATCACGCGATTCTTGGCCTGGGAGAGGTCGCGGAGAGCCGTGCGAGTTCGGGCGGCTACGGGTGCAGAGTCTGACTCCTGTAAGCGCTCCGGCTCGTTGCGCGTAACGCCAGCGCTTTCTCTCCCCAACTTCAGCGACGCAGATCGGAGCCGTTTGGGCGACCGCAGCTCCAAGCTCTGCTGAGCGCGTCCTCTCTTGCCCGCCAACGATGGCGCAGATGATGTCACGCTCGAAGCCATCTTCTCAGATGGAACTGGACTGGGCGAAACGCTATTGCTCATAGAGCGTACAGCGCTCGACGCAGATGGCGCTCGGGTGGCCGCGGACTTGGACGCTGGTGTGCTCGCCACCCACTCTCCAATACTGTCTTCCCAACGATATGTGTCCATGTCCTCGTCGGCAGAGGCTTCGCTAGATGCGCGGGATTGTTTCGCCCTTTGCCCCAGCTGTGATGAGATAGCCTCACCCTGCATGTCCAAAGCCCATGCGTGATCATCCGCATCCAGAGTCATCTCCGCCAACATCATCGCAGTTTCGGCGGCGACTTTATCCAAAAGTAGAGACACCTTAACCAGAGACGTCAGTCGAGCGAGGCGCGTGACTGTGTTTTTGATCTCCCGTGGAGTAGAAGTCGGCTCGCTTTTGCGTGCATACCCACAGCAGTGGAATACTTGTCGAACAAAATCAGCCAGTTCCTTGACCGTATCCTGCTGGCCGGCCAATAACAGGCAAAAGGCATCGATGTGTTGTTGGGACAACGAATCGGAGTGACCAATCAGCTCATACGGGAAATCTTCGTGAGCCCGTAGCATATACTCGCCCACTAGGACATATCCACGGCGGAGCGATTGAAGGCCTAATCCTTGAATCTCTCCAGGCGTCGAGGCAATCCCAATAGCCCTTTGAACGTTGAAGGCAAAGCTTCCGACCAATTGCCGGACTTTCCGTCCACTCGTTCTCTCATCAAGCCCAGACGTTTGCGAGCGTGTAATGCACATGCCACAGAGCGCAGTCACTAGACTAGAGGTGAGGTTGCTCAAGGCGTCCTGAATAGGGACAGGACATGGAGCCCGGCCTTCAAGCAGGGAATTCGCGTTCGACGTGGAGGTACGTGTGTCCTTCGAGCCAACAGGGCGCTGGGCAATTGGCCCTCCAATGCGAGACGTAAGTGTATCTGCGGCAAGACATATGCCGGCTGAGGCGAGGACTATGGCCTCAACAGCCTTTGTCGCAGCTGCAGAGTCCCCATCTCCAGCTGATACCGATTGAATCGCTCCATCCACGCACTTCTTCCATAGGCTTGTGACCATCCATTCTGGGGGCAATACCCCTCGTGAGAGAAGCTTGGCCAGCTCATCGAACACAAAGGACCGCCTTGAAGAGACGCGTGAGTAATAAACACGAAGCACCCGAACAGGGTCTTCGCGGTAATTGGTAGGCTTGGGAGTATCGAACGCCGAAGGATAATCGTAATTGGTGATGTCAAGCAAGCAACGGGACAACAAAGATTCACAAGCATCAAACTCATCATGCTCCAAGCACACTTTAAGTAGCCGACAGGCAGCCAACCTAGGGATCCAGCCTCTGCGGATCATGTCCGAAATCAAGCGGATGCCTTGTGCGCGCGCTGCTTCCCGAAGTGGCTGCCATCCGTTGCTGTTCGACGCGTAGTGGGCTTCAAGCTCCGTAAAGTAAGCGTTACACATATCCACCTCCCCATCCTCCTCGATCTCATCCTGTAATACCTGCTCCTCTGCAATAAAATCGGGAAGGCGGCGCAGAGCCATCGACATCAGCGACCGCGGTCCGCGTGATTTCTGTTCATGTTGAGGTATGCCTGCCGGGCTAACGCGAGTGTTATTCAAGAATTTAAGAAGAACATGATCCAAGTAGCGCGCAATATCCGCAAAGCCCGGGTCGCCACAGATATCGATGATTTCTTTCCAAGAGCCCTGATAAGCAGGAAAGCTGCTATTGTTCGTGCGCGTGCCTTTCCGATTGTCGCCAGCGTCTGCATCGCCGACGGCCGAGATAGTATTCCGAAAGAGTTGTTTTCTGATGGACGAAGCGGTGTCCACAGACCCGTGAAGTCTTCCGGTAATGAGCGGGGTGGCGATCTCGATCGCGCCAGGCAGCGTCCGCTGCGCTTCCGGACTTTGAATCGGCAACCGGGTCCGTCGTCGCGCGCCGTTCCTCTGCCCGCGACTGGAGTAGTTGTGTCGGATGCGGCGGCTCGTGGGTCGTCCAGGTATCCAGGCGGGATCGTCAGCCTCTTCGTCCGAGTAAGTACAGCCTTGGTCGGTAACGGGTTGACCACTGCGCCTGGACGGAGCGCCCATGCGCTCTGTGTTGGTGTGGTCGGCATTGTCTTTCGTTTTCGCGTCCGCGACGCTGGCGCGGATCTCGTGATGTTTCTCTAACCGGTGGTAAATGGAGGTCAAGGGGCGCAACATGCGGTTTGCCCATCTCGCGGTCGGTCGGATGTCCTCCATGTTGCGCCAATTAACTCGCGATCTGCGCTTCGAAGTCCCAGTAAGCTCCATATTCAGCATTATCATCATTACAGGAGGGGAGATCTGGTACCGGACTAGTTGACTTCAGGCGGAGTTCATAGATAGTCCATCTTCTAGCGGGCTTGCGACCGAAACCTTCAAAGCGACTAGAATGCTGATACAAATTTGGGAAATGTCAAAGAGACAAGGAAATGCCAAAGCCAAAAATAAGATACTTGGTAAGAAAATACAATGAACTCCAATGCAGGGTAAGATTAGAGGGTCGTATCGCTGCAAAGGCCAAGATGCATGCAGCTTTGAAGAGGGACAAAGAAGGTTCAAGGTTGTTGTGCCCGCCGGCGCAGAATGTAAACATTGGCACAATCGCCGGAAGCGGTAAAGCGCCATCGTCTTGATCAGGGCGGTGAAGACTATTTCACTTTAGACTACAGTGGGAGGAAATTAATATGCACCCCCCCCTCAGAAAGAGTTCAGCACTTTCCCTAATCAAGTCTAGCCTATGGCTATTCTGCCAGCTTCTTCCCATATATTTTAGGCGGTGTGTGAGCGCTTCGAGAAGGCGGTATCTCTAGAACCAAACATTGGGGGAGAAGGGGGGGTGCATATTAATTTCCTGCGACTGTAAGTACGGAGTAGTTATCAATTATCACCCAAGATCAACAATCAGACTGGATAGATAAGCACCCAAGAAAACCATCACAAGAACAGATGAACTCAGCATGATACGTCAAGATTCATTACAGACACATGTTAAAGGCCACCGGTCATATATAGTACATGGAAACACAACCAGATATAGCATGCGAATCGCCCGACCTTGCTATGCTCTGCCCGCGACAAAGAACGAGAAATAAAGAAGTGTATAGTCGACATAGGACCATGAGCACCAATCGGTGTAAAAGAGTAGAGAGAGTTTTACAGAAAAATACAGACATTCCGCTCATCCAACATATTGACCCTTGACAAGGATATATAGGGTCAAAATACAATATTCATGTTAAGACAATGTTAAGCCAAGGAAACAAAACCAGAGCAGCTTTTCGTTTTACCCAATAACCTCATCATAAAAAGGAAAAAGAGGAGGACATTCGAACTTTTTAAGCCGAAGACTTCTTCGATCCACGGAGCTTGGGGTTGCTGGCTGCGGCACGCTTCTTCTGCTTGGCCTTGGAAGAGCCTTGGTCGCCACCCTCGATGAACTTGAGCAGTTCATCGATGCTCCGAGCGTCCAAGGAGCCGTTCCTGGCTCCGGCAGCCTCGGGGGCGGACTGGCCAACCTGGGGCTGGACCTTGGTGCCCAGAGTGCGGGGGGTCATGTTGATACGGCGCAGACGGCGAGCCTGGATGTCCTTGGCGTGTTTGGCAATAGAGACAGCGTTCTGGGTGAGCTGCTCAAGCCAGGTCTCAGCTTCCTTGGTGTTGCGGTCGTTGGGACCCAACTGGCTGAGGAAGATGTTGTAGGCATCACGCATCTTAGCAACCGCACCCTTGGAGTCTTGGTCGAGAGCCAATGCTTGGGCGAGCTGGAATAGAATGGTGGCGGTGTTGATGGACTGCTTGCCAAAGAGCGACTCGCACACAACCAGGGAGGCCTCAAACCACTTCCGGGAATCGGAGTACTGCTTCAAGTGCTGCAGCATGACGGCAGCGTTGTTCATGGTGGTGATCGAATCAGGGTGGTTGGCACCATAGATGATCTTCCACAAGTCCATAGCGTGCTTGATGTATGCCAAGGCAGTCTTGGTGTTTCCGGAAGCGTGCTCGAACAGACTGAGATTGAGGTAGCTCAGGATCGTATCGGCGGAGTCAACACCCAGAGTGCGCTCAGTGACGATGACAGCCTTGCGAGCCAACTCAACAGCCGCCTCTTTCTCATCCGTCTGGTAGTAGAGCATAGACAGCTGGTGGTAGAGCTTGGCAACCTCAGGGTGGAGGATGCCGTAGATCTGCTCATGCAGCGACAGGGATTCCAGAATAAGCTCCTGGCCCAACTGCTTCTGGTTTTGCATGAGAGAAATACGTCCGGCTTCAAGAGCCTCCTCAGCGAGCGAGCTGCGGGGAGAGGCGTCCTTGACGAGGGGCACGATGTTAAGAATATCATCGGCCGAGATGGTGAGAGCCGGCTTCTCTTCCACGGGGGCACGAGCAGGGGAGCTGGAGTCTCCACCCTTCTTCTTGTTCTTCTTCTTGCCGTTGCTCTCTTCTTGGGCGGAGCCGTTGGCACCGTTGGTGGCAGGCACCTTAGCCGGGAGCTGGGACTTGTCGAAGGCGAATTCGCGGGCACCAAGCTGGAGACCAAGCTTGATGGAGATGTCGCGAAGAAGCTGCAGGTGGCGCAGAGAGTTGAACCACTCAGCCTCCAAGGTGAAGCGGTACCGAATGGTAATCTGCTTCTCGATCTCGGCACGGAGAACGGCCGGAGTGACCTTCTCGTAGGAGAAGTCACCCTCGGGGTAGATCGAGCGCAAAGCAGCGTCAATTTCAGCGCGAGGGTTGGGGTTGACGTCGGCACCCAGGAGGCAGTTCAACAAGTGGGCAATGCACGAGGTAATGAAGGGAGCGGGGACGTTGCGGAGGTACTGGTTGGCAAGGTGCTTGAAGCCCCGAGCAATCATCTCCTGGACGAGGAGGGTGGTCAGGGCGTCCAGACGAGCGCCCTTCTCCTTGGACAGCTGCGCCAGCTTGCCGAGGTAACGGATGTTGATACCGCGCTTGTGCAACAATTGGCTGAGGGACTGTCCATCCATGGGGAAACCAACGTCTCCGTCATGCAGATCCTGGATGAGCTCGGGCATGACCTTAGAGCGCAAGTAGTCGCAAGTCTCGCGGACTTCCTTCTCGTCCTGCGCCCACTGTTCCTTCTCCTCATCGGTCTGAGGAACTTGGCCGCTGAAGACATCGGGGTTCAGGGCAAACGAGAATCCAGAGATGTCAACGCGCTCCTGATCCGCCTGCTCCTCAGTCTTCTCCTCGGACTTCTCCTCGGACTTCTCCTCGGCGCCCTTCTCCTGAGACTCAGTGGTCTCTTCGGATTTTTCCTTAGAGGCGTCCTCCTCAGCTTTGGCCTGGCGGCGGCGCTCAACTTCAGCCTTGACGTACTGGCTCATCTTGTGCCTCCAGTAAGACTCAACGAGCTCCAGTCTCAAGACCGACATGCGGTGAGGGTAGACATCGTTGCCCTCTTCCTCCTGCCACGAGACATCCAGCGGGGTCACGCGGTACAGGTCAAGCACGTACTTGCGGCCATCGGTGCCCAGTAGACCCTTGGTCTCCACGCTGCCCTCAAGCTCGTGACGCTGGTTCTCCTTGTCCCAGACGGCGTGCTTCTTGACACGAAGAGCCTTGGACATCTTCTCGAAGACGGACACGAAATCGGGGTGGGTGGCCACAACATCCTTACCCTCGACACCACCGTAGTCGATCTGGTGCTCACCGGGCTCCCGCTGCTTGAAGATACCAGGAACGATACTCTGACCAACGATACGCTTGCCAAGGTAGTCAACAACAACGGTTCCGGGCGTGAAGAGGCCATTGATGTCAAGCTGGTTAACAGCCTTGATACCCAAGACATCCTTACCGACAGCAACGCGGGCAGCCTCATCACCACCCTCGGAAGCGAAAGTACCAACGCCGTCAGCACCGAAGGAGTAGAAGATGTTGTTGTACACAAAGATCTGGGCGTCACGGCTCTCGGTGGGGTTCAAGGGGGCGACCTCGCCACGGGCGACCAGAACCGCACCGCGAGCAGCAGCCTCGTTGTAATCAGCAAACAGCTTGGATGTCAGGCGCTCGCGGAACACACGGTCCTGGACTGTGTCCCGGGGAAGCTCCCGGGTAGTCTGGAACTCCTCGTTCCAGTCCCTCAGGGTCTCTGCATTGTCGACACCAGAAATCAGGTAGTTCTCCTGGGAGCGGGTGATATCTGCCTGGTGTGCGTTGGCGTTCGAGGCGGGGGAAGGCACCAACCATGGGTTGTTGGGAATAGCGTTCTGGAAGGGGAAGGTGGTCAAAAGATCCTTCTTGTTGTTGCTCTCCTGAAGCGCTTCGAAAGAGGAGCTGAAAGAAGGCGACAGGTGGGCGATCAAAGAGAGCAGCGAGTGGGCCTTGCCGTTCTTGGGAATAGTCTTCGGAGAAGGATCAAACTTCATGTTGGAGCACTTGTTCACGTAGAAGCCAGAGACGTGCGACGTGATCTGGAACTGCTCGCCCTCGTTGGTGGTGACCTGGAGGTAGAGCAAGTGACCCTTCTGACGCAGGTGATAGGGGGGAGGGTTCCAAGCAGAAAGCGAGATGGCCTTCACAGTCTTGGGAAGAGGAACCTCCGTGCGGGGGAGGATGGTCTTCAGAGACGGGGAGCTAGCGATCTCGTACTTGGACAAGGAGTGATCCTTGTCGGAGTTAGACTCCTCGGCGTTGGCCGCAATAGCATCATGCAGAGACAAGCCCGCGCTGAGGCCATGGAGGTTATCGACGCGGTCACCAGCGGCACCGACCAACTCCCTCATGCGGACGACGTGCATGCGGGCCTCCTTCTCGTTGTAAGGGTCCTCCACAAGGACAATCTCCGAGTCAGCCTTGAGGTCCGGTACCTCCGACAATTCAACGAAGTCATTGATGCGCTGTCCGTTGAACTCGAGATGGAAGCAGGTGTACTGGAAGGTGCTGGGCAGTTCAACAATCGATTGGCGGACATCCTGAACTTGTTCTTGACTCGACACCTAACGAAGGATACCGGTTAGGAAGACGGAACATTTGTGCTGGCCGCATGGTGCCTGTAGACTAAATACCCACCATGACCTGGATCTTATAGGGCTCACGAGGCAACTTCACGGAGATCTGGAAGAGACCTGGAAACGTCGACAGCCGTCCATGTCAGTGACCAAAATGTTATTCAAAAGCGGTCCCAGGGTCACATACCACCGTTGATATCTTCTTCCTGGCCCTCCACGGGGGCGTCCCCGTTGAGAAGCTGTTCGGGCGACTCTGCATGGGACCGATTCATTAGTTTGTCGACGGCAAAACATGGTGCAGGATACCGGAGGAAGCGAACCTTTCGAGTGCTCCAATTCGCCATTGGTCTGGGACATCTTGGCGGACTGATTGATGAATTGACCGGACGGTAAGAAAGGAAGAGTGATCGGAGTAAGAAAGAAGCGTAGCGACCTGGCGACGACTTGGTGACTCGAACCCGAAGAAGAATCGGGTAGCGGTGGAGAAATTAAAAAGAAAACGGAACGGGAGAGAGATAGGAAAGAAAAGGGAATATGATACAAACTACGGGATGGTAGCAATTGAAGCAAGTGCAAACCGACCCCAGATCCCAAACCAATTAAGGGAAGCGCAAATGGGGGGGGAGGAGAAAGAGGCAAAGTAGAGGGATAGGATGGAATGAAGCTGGAGAAGCGCACACGGGGAAACCGGCCAGAAGAGAAAATTTCGCGGGTACGGAAAACCTTCGGAAGTGCTCGGGGCGGTGGGTGGGTGCAAAGCAGCGAAAGACGGCAGTTTCAACTTCATTTCTCCACAGTCCACACACCTCCAGTGCCCGGAGAGGCGATCGATTGATCATTCAATTCCAAGGCTGATAATTCTCGGCCGGATTGGACAACGGATTTCTGCCCTGTCTCTTTGCTTCTGGAATCTGCGCCCAGGTCCAGTGAACTGTCAGCAGACACAGTGGTTGACTCGGCGCTCGCCGTGAATCGTCCCGGCTGAGGGAGTTAGACGCAATCTGTCTCTGAACTTTTACAACTCGCAGTCCCTAGTGGTCTGATTAATAGGGTGGCAGGGGTGCCATGGCAATAATAATGATAGCATCATCATCAAGCTGACTTTTATTTCTCCGATTACCCGTGGCTCTTGTCAGACTATCATCCACTATGATAGAGATAGAAAGGCTGGGGTTCGGCACAGACGGTAGGGCGGCAGGGAGTAGTAAAAGATATATCTCGGCAGAACAGCCGAGTATCGATCAATCTGATAACTCGGTGGGTTTCCCAAGTGGGCTGAAGAAACAGCCACCAGTGCAACTACTTCTACTTTATACACATACATCAGCAGTCCAGGGGATACCAGCTGTTCAGGTCGACCTGCTACGGTCACGTGCCTATATATCAACACACTACCGGTAAGCGGAAAGATTGTGGAGAAGATAGCCCGGAGTATCAGATCCGCGGTTTCTATGCATTGTAGAAATCAAAGCAGTAGCTCAGTCAGCAGCCCTATGAGATTCCATTGTTCGATAATTGCTTATTTATTCCTACTGTCAATGGTCGATTTATTTCCACGATAGCTAGTTACTCTACTCCATAAGCAAACCGGTCAGCCACAACGTGGCCAGTGCCAAGGCCACTACTCGAATTTACAGTGCATAAGTTTTGGCGATCGGAGGCGCAGCAGCTGGCGAACCAAACTGCGCAAGCAAGCCAATAAACGCTCATTGGTTCTGACCCCATACACCTCATCTTTCTGGTGCTGGCTGAACCTTCTTGCGGCTTTGATCACTCTTCTCGTTCATTTTTTTTCCCCTTTCCTCTTCCCGTTGTTGTTCTTCATTTGGACCTGCTCACCGTTGACACTCCTTTGTCCTTGGTCCGTGCATTGGGCAGAATCTGTTCTTCTCGCTCAGTTCCTCCCTTCCTATCGCACTTGGCATTGTTGAATGTAGTATATCAGATACGTCACTTGTCCTTTCCATATATTCATCGGCGCCAACACTTCAGACATTCGCTTGATTTCTGCCCACGTACTGTCGTTATTGCTCCCGCCCTCGGCTTTGGTTTTTCTTTCTACTTAACTATCATACCTCTGAGACCTCCCGGTAAGCGTCCTCAGGGATCTCATCGGTGGAGGATGATGTTGCATCGAAATGCTTACCGGTCTGTGAGTTCTTTTGCCCGGGCTGGTCTGCCACGAACCCCCCGAAACAGTCGTATTTCCACCCCTTATGTCGTACGAAACTTCACGCAGGGTCCGGCATCGGCAGGGCCTGACCCTCTAGCTCAAAACCCTCCAGAAGAGAGCAACCGTCGGGATAGGAGAGAGGAGGAGGAACCCAATGTGAGATCGACTCTGTTGAAGATGATGGAGACGGCTGCCACAACCTTCGCCTCTCTCGCGATCCTAGGGTAAGAATTTAACCAATTCAGACACTTCTGGCTCGCTGATTGTGTTGCTAGTCTAGCTGGATACGCGTACCATCGGTACTACAAGTATCTGATACTGGAAAAGATGGAAAATGCCTTCAAGCCCGGGGACCCTGCACTGGAGATCGCCGGGATCGAGGAGGGGAAACACCGATACAACCACGAAGAGCACTGGGTGGTGCGCGACGAACAAGCCCGGATCGACAGGATTGTTTCCGGCCGCGGCGTGGGGCGCTATTACCTGCTGGTAGGGGAGAAGGGCACTGGCAAGACGTCTATGATTCTCGAAGCCATGCGCAAGATCAATGGAGAGGGATGTGCGATGTTCGAGGCGCACGGTGATCTGGAGATCTTCCGGATCCGCCTGGGCAAAGCACTGGACTATGAATTCCACGAAGAGTAAGCACAACATCCGACGGCTATCAGCGCGGTTCTCAAGCTAGCTGGCTTTGACTGACGCTTAACGCGAACACTGTAGCTATGTCGGAAGTCTCTTCAGCGTGAAGGGCCCGCGGGAAACTACCGCTCTTCTGGACATTGAGCGTGCCTTCAACAAATTGGAGAAGGTCGCTCTGACCAGACGGCGCACGAAGAAGAGTCCTCTGATTCTCATCATCAACAGCGTTCACTTGGTCCGCGATGACCATGACGGACAGGATCTTCTTGAGGTTATTCAGCAGCGAGCCGAGCAGTGGGCTGCAAGCGGTCTTGTGACGACGAGTGAGTTCGGTTCAGTATTCATGTTACGCGTGGGTTAATCACTAATGATCGAATGCAAAAGTATTCAACAGCGATGACTACTGGGTCTACGAACGCCTCAAGCGATATGCAACGCGCATGGAAGTCATTCCCGTCAAGGATCTACCCAAGGAGCCCGCAATGGAAGCTCTGAAGAGATACCGCAAGCAGTATTATGGCGAAGAGCTTTCCCCTGCAGACCTTGAGAAGGTATATGACGCGGTTGGAGGGCGATTGTCCTTCTTGAACCGGGTTGCCAAGGCTCCCGATTACAAGAAGCTGTGTCAGGATATCTGCACGGCCGAGAAGACATGGTTCCTCAATAAGTGTTGGATCTTAGGTCCTGAGATGGACGACGATGTGATGGACCAGCAGAAATATGCGGTATGCTACTCTGGAATCCAAGATAATGTTAAGTCCCGACTGACAGCGGTGATAGTCCGCCGCGATGGTGCTGGCTAAGGCACTTGTGGATGAGGAGAAGAAGATGAAGCATTTTTACCACCCGGAGCTGGGCCACATCCTGCCCGAGATTCCTCTTCATAAAGCCCGGCAGATCATGACGAGAGCCGATTTCATCCAGAGTTATGATCATGAAAACATTTTCACCATTGATTCTCGGGCTATGGTCCGCGCCGATTCGGTTCCGATGCAGAACGCGTTCCGTGAGATTTGCAACTGGCCAGGATTTGATGAGCACTTAGAAGGCACTTTGACCCGCATTGGAGACATTGAGAGTCTCGGACGTACGCGCGAATTGACGATCAAGGACCTCTGGAACCAGGGTAAATACCAGCTGGTCATGCGGGACGGTAAGGGTCGCGAGCAAGGCGCGGCCGAGTTCTCTGTGGTGGAGAGCGAGGCCGAGCAAGAGGATGACTGAGGACGGACTTCATGACGTCCAGTTGTATGTGACATGGATCACAGGCTTCCGCGGCCATTGTTAGACCTGAACCAGAGGTGAACTGTGGTATGGATTGTTGCTCTTGTTCTGGTGGTGTCACGAACACAACCGATCTGTACACTGTACACTAACTACAGCTGAGCTTTATGGGTACTTGTATAGGAATAGACAAAAATAAGTATGTATGCTCTACGTCAATTCAGTCTGAGTGAGTGAAGCCCTGATGACTCAGTCATCGAACCAGGGTAAGCTTGCATCATGGGCGGTGACATCATCCACTGCTGACCTCACCGCCCGTGAGCCAAACATTCCCAGCCTCAATCATTATTCTTTCTTTATCTCGCGTTGACCCTTTCTCTTCCATTCTTTCATCCCCTCATTAACCCCTCCTCTCCCAGATCTCAGCTTTGAATACGACACCATCCTCATCGCATTACCTCTCAATCACCACGACAGCCCCACAGATCTATAACCCAGACACTACCATTCATTAGCTTCAAGTCATGTCCCCGCGCAAGAAAGAAGTGTTGTCCTCTGTGACTATAACGCAGGAGCCCAGCGCCGATGTGCAGCGTCGCCACAAGATATGGCTAGAGCGGCTTCCGTCACCAGTGCGCTTCGTCCTAGTTGTCGTCAGCAGCCTATTTATCAGCTCGGCTCTGTTCACGCTCATGCCAGTCGTGGACCAGGACAGCCTCGGTCACGTTAGCAAGCACCTCGAGACCTGGTGGGAAGTAGTGGGTTTGGTGGCGTGGAAGGCCATCGAGGTCGGACTGGCCTGGATCCTGGGCTACGACGGTATGCACCACCTCGAAACTCAACACTTTCAACGAAGCTGACCCGACTTCTGCGTAGGCCGTGACGTCTTCTCCTTCGTCCTCCTCACCCACCTCCCCACCTACTCCCTCCTCTCGACCTTCTACCGCGTACGACCAACCACCAACCTGGTCTCGCACGCGTTCAACATTTTCTCGACCGTGGTCCCCTTCACCCTTCTCCGCCGCCCCAACTCCGTGCACAACCTCTCGCACGCGACCCCGAAGACCGTCCGCAACCGCCTCATCCTGCAGGACCGCGCCACGACCGCGTACACGACCATGGTCGCGACTGCGATCTTCGCTGTCACCCTCTACATCAGCTACGTGTCGGGCTGGCTGCCCACCAAGCTCGTCCTCCACTTCGAGGGCCTTCCCGATATCTCCGCCGTGCACCGCGGGCCCGCCGGCCTCCCCGTTCTGTTCTTCAGTCTGCTGCCCGCCGGCTTCGCCTTGCGCGACTTCCTGTTTGCCAGCTCAACCGGTGCAACCGCCGCCAGCACCAAGGAGACTGAGAAGATTAAGAAGCCGTCCTCGACCTCGTCCCAGGAAGGCGAGTACCTGGCCTGCACCGTGTACCGCAAGACCTGGGGCACTCTGGCGCCCAAGACACAGGTGCTGATCTCGCGCACCGTCGTGCTGGCGGGTATGATGTTCGTCGACACAGTCATCCAGGTTGCTGGGACGGTGAAGGGCGTGTCCGTTGAGGGTGCATCGGCCTGGGGATTGGTGTGGGCGGGCGCTACGCTGGCGACGGGGGCGATGTTCGGATGGATCGAGTCGGTGGACGGAGTATAGTCCGGGTGGGGGTTTTTTTTTCTTGGCCATTTTCCTTCTTGGCCATATACTTTCCTCCTTGGATTTCGTGTGCCTTTCTCCCCCCTCCTAGTTTTCCTATCTGTGTATGTGTTTCTTCTTTCTGATACGAGGACCAAAGGAGCTTTGGTCCCTCGTTTGATATTCACAAAAATTATGCAGCTGGAGCGGGAGTTTCGAGTTACCTCATCTTATGTCCTTCCTCTTTCTCACCCACCTCTGAATTCCACGAAGCAAAGTCCGTTCGCGCAGTGATAACTCCTCCCAACCAACGAAATTGATAACCATTGATGATGGTGACCAGTGATATAACGCGCAAAAGCGGATGTGGTTGTTCCTGTCAAACCTGTCTTCTTCTTTCTTCTTCTTCTTCTTCTTCTTCTTCTTCTTCTGCTTTCTCCTCCGTTAACCTTATTCCCTGTCTTGATCTTACCTACCCATTTACTCTTCCTTACCTTCACACCGTGTGGCCTCTATCCCTTTTAACAGTTAGTCAATGATAACGAATTCCAACTTAACCCCGAAACTTTTAAGCTTCTGGAACAAGAAACGCTAGTAACTTCAATTTGGAATAAAATTTGCCTCTCCAAGTCCAAGTGTGAGGGTAAGGGTGAGTGAGGCTAGAAGCTAAAACCCGAAGACCAATTTTCGGGGCTCGGGGGGTGGTGGGCTGAAACGCGGATCCGACTCCCGGCTGCGGATAAGGTTTCCTTGGGGGGGTTTTTATGTGAAACGTGATCGGTTACGTCTCTGTTTGTTTGAGGTGGGGTGAGGAATGGGTTTTTTTTCTTTGTGGGATCGATGGAAGGTGTTTTCATGTGATGGATTCGTCTGCGTATATGTATATCTATCTATCTATGTGTCGTACTATGTATGCGAAGGACTTGGTTAGATACAGTACAGTGTAGGTATAATAGGTAGTAAGTATGAAATATGTTGGTGTTGAGGGTGGGGGTTCTATATGTGGGAGATTAGAGTGTGAGTGTACAGTACCAGGTCAGGTGCAGAAGAGGAAATGATGGGTCATGAAGTTGCGCGCTGGAGAAGAAGAAGAAAGAACCGTAAAACAGCAATTAATAGACAAGACGAGATTCCCAGAAAAGAAAACAAGAAAAAAAAAAAAAAGAAAAGCGTTATCTCCTCTCCTCCATATCGAACGAGTTAATCTCGCGGTGGAACGCCTTGGGCGCAGTCTTCGGCAGCAGCCAGCCCGGATGGAAGACATTGAACACGCCGACGGCGATGACCATCATGGCGCCGTCCAGGGCGATGAAGTAGACCTCATGCGTGATCAGATACCCGGACCAGCCCTGCGACAGCTCAATCGTGCGGTAGATACTGCGGATGTAGATGCAGACGACGGACAGGATCATGGCGCCCAGCAGCGGGACCACGGAGCCGGTCATGCTCTGCAGCAGGCGGAGGCGGAGGGTGCGGCGCACGAAGTCGGCGGCCAGGAGGACGAAGACGGTGATCGAGGCCAGCTGGAAGACGATACCGGCCACCATGGTGTGCGTGCCGGGCGCCGTGTCGCCGTTGGCCTCGTTGTACGCCATCGACGCCAGCCCGCCGCCGATGGCCTGCACCACCAGCGACACGATGTCGCAGGTCACGAAGATCCACAGGTAGAGCTTGGGACGCAACATCGACGTTTCCCGGCCCAGCAGCGAGATGAACCGGCCCAGGAGGACGTAGATCCCCGCCGTGAAGAAGGTAGGGGCTGGAACGGGGGGTGAGCGTTTAGACAGCTGCTGTGTGAGTTTTGGGGGGTTTTTCTCGACTTACCGATGATCAGAGTGGAAATCTGCATCAGGAATGCAGTCGAGTTGTATGGACATTCTGCAGACCAGGTACGCCCAGCCCAGCCGAGGACCTCCGCTGGAAAGCGCTTGTCAGTTATCGCGCAAGAAGAGAGTGTATATGTGGGTGATAACCAAACGTACTGGCACATCCGAGCACAAACACAGAACACCACCAGGTCCTTTTCCACACCATCTGCACCATATGCGCAAGCATTGACACTCCAAAGAGGACGCAGAATACGATGCCCGCGGCCAGTGACGGCCGATAGCCATATGATGTGCCATACCCCTCCACATAGGCATGACAGCCATCCCTCAACGACGCACGGAACGCATACTCAGCCGCAAGCGTGCTGTTCATGTTGATGGATACGTTTCGACAACCACAGTGGTTAGTCGAGGTTGATTCAGATTCAGTAAAGGATTCGTGATAAACGGGGTGAGGGTCCTTAAGTCTAGATTACACACAGGAAGAAAAAGGAGAAGGCACGAGAAAGCTGCTGAGAAATTGAAACAGCCCTGGGGCCGTGCTATATAAGAAAAGTGAGCGAATGGGAAATCTACTCCACACCTCATGCATGCATGGAAAAGGCAGAAACAAGTGGCTGAGCCAGAAAGAAAAATCTCCGGGGGTTAAATCCGATTGTATGGAGCCAAGGTAGGGTAAGAAACAACGCGTGCGCGCGAATCCTTCCAAAATCTAGTTTTCCAAACCCTCGTCCACGTTTGAGCTCCTCGTAGGGATTAGCATCATGTCTGCCTGGGCTCTCTGTCTGGGCACCCATCCTCATCTGCCTTGTCGAGGGATACGAGTATTTCCTTTTTTTTTTCTCTAAAATATCCGTGTCACGAAGGGATCTGATTGACCGTTTCACACCCGGGGAGGGTCATGGTTCCTGACCGGTCCTGTTAGTAATCCAGGCCAGGACCATAAGGAAATCAACCCGATTCATTTGATGAATGGGGGGGGGGCGAGACGCAAAAACGAGAGATGACGGGAGGTTCGAAGATATGGAACTCGCAAGGTACGCCGAATGAGGTTTAGATCCTCACTCAACCGTTGCCGAAGGTCCCGAAGAGAGCCATTGCCGGGCGAATCACGGCCGCCGAATCCCGTGCATAAGATGTCCGCTTGTCTCATGGACATGACAGTGACTTTGTCCGTTGCTGTGGCTGCAGCTGGCCAAGGCCATACAGCTCAAGGGCTCGTTTCAGCGCCTAGATCCTTGTCGCTCCGTAAGTCAAGATATCAATCTCATTTTGATCAACCAGGCTGACGTAGGGGGGAAGTTTGACGTCTAGCAAGCGGAGATCGGGAAGATCAAAACCCGATGTCAACACGGACTGGTGTAAACAGAAGCTCGTACTCCGTGCAGGACTGTTGATAGTGCTAAACCTTAAATGATACCGTCAGTCCAATATGGCAGCCTAATCACTGAGGAGCCTGTGCGTTCCGTGGCAGTGAAGGCAATGCTGTTGTGGTTGTGCTAGAGTCTTCAGCCTGATGTCAGCATCACCAAGGAGTTAATTAACTTTCTGCCTTGCAAATCAGGCTCCCACGGCCGGTCCCGCCGCTACCCGTCGCAAGCTTCTACAGATTGGGATTAGCGGGCAACGTCGGACACGAAATCATGTCACTTGGCGATCCTAGCCCTCAAGTTTCGATTCTCCTATTTAAGCCATGGCTTACGTAGATGTCGCTTGGGATCTCCACAGGAGGTTATACGAAGACGAAAAACTCTATTAATATTCTGCTTATATGTCATGACTCATGATCACCCAACAACCCTTCACTCAAATGAGGGCGTGTCATAGGTACCTTCGGGGTCTAGTCGAACGGATCAGTAACAGGACTCAAAGCGAAGCCACGCGGTGTTGTAGGAGAGCTATGCTTACCTTGCCGGTTCTTGATGATATACTTCCGCGTCTCAGTAATCTCGTGGCCAAGCTCCGCGCACAGCTCCTGCTGACGCAGCTGGACCCTCTCGTTCCGTCTGGAGGCCCCGATAATAGCAGCCTGCGCAACGTGGTAGCGTGACACGCGGTTCAACAACATCATGTCGAAAGGAGTCGTGGTACTGCCTTCTTCCATATATCCTTCGATGGTGACCCGGTCCAGACGAGGCCGGCCGAAAAGCAGCCCCTTCAGCTCAGTCGGGTATCCGTGGTAGTTGATGTGAATGGGCCGGTCGGATCCGAACAGGCTGTCGAAACCTTCCATCGTCAGAGCGTGTGGGTGCTGGCCTTGGTTTTCCAGAATCATCAGATCCGTCACATTGACAACCCGGACTCGGAGTTCAGGGCAACGCTTGCGCAGGATAGCGGCGGCGGCGATGACTTCGAACATCACCTCGACGCCGATACCAACAAGCACAACATCAGGGTCCAGACCTTCATCGGTGCTGCAGAACTTCCAGATTGACGCACCAGCTCTACAGTGGCTCTCGGCTTCCTCTGGGCTGAGGTAGACGGGAGTTGGCTGTTTGGAGCCCACCATCAGGTTGATATAGTTCTTGGACTTGAGGCAGTGGTGAAGTGTGGATAGGAAGGTGTTGGCATCAGGCGGCAGATACACGCGGGCGGCCGAGGGCTTCAGCTTAAGGACTGCACCAATGAAGGATGGATTCTGGTGGGAAAATCCATTGTGCTCCTGCCTGGCCCATGTGCTAGTCTCGATGTAGTTGAGACTGCTCACAGGGCTGTGCCAGGTTGTTTCTTGAGCCTACTTTAAATCAGTATTGCTGGATCTACAGAAGGGGTGAGCTTGAACCAACGTACCATCTTGTTGAACTTGGCGTACTGCACCATCATCGTGTGGATGATCCCCAGGAAACTTTCGTATGACGGGAAGATACCAGTACGGCCAGTCAAGGTGTAACCCTGCATGAAACCCTGGCACAGGTGTTCACTCAGCACTTCGATGACGCGACCACCTTTGGCGTTCGAGAACTGATCCCACTGGAAGTTTCTTCCGGTGTGTGAAAGAGCGGCGTCCAGTTTGTTACTCTCCAGCTCATCCGGGGAGAACAACCGAACACTATGGGGGTTTCTGGTGAAAACTTCGTCGATCAATCTTCCGATCGCCTTCATGGCACTTTCTTGGCTGCCCTTCTCCACGCCCATTGCTTTCCAGTCGGGGAGTTCGGGGGCCATGTAGCCCTTGTAGGCCTCGGCTCGCTGTCCAAGCTTCTTCTCGTCGTCGGCCGGAATCACTGACTTGATTTCATCGATAATATCACCACCCTCGGTGAACAGCTCTTTGGGTTCATAACCAGACAGCCACTTCTGGAGAGCATCCAGCTCCTCCTTGTCCTTCTTCGCATTCGGGAGGGGCACCTGGTGCGAATGGAAGGAACCTTCGATAAATGTGCCATGAAGCTCCTTGGGTCCAGACCATCCCTATGAGAGTGGACGTTAGCTTGATCAAGCTATCCGGCGAGCAAGTTGTCATCGACCTACCTTTGGCGTCCGCAGCACAAGCATCGGCCAGCGAGGCTTCATAATCGGCTTACCCGAGCGCGCAGCTTTCTGGATCTTGTGGATTTCCTCGACTGCCCACGCCATGGAATTGTGGAGGTCGGTGTCAATATCCTCCAGATCCTCAACAATGCGAACCTGGTAGCCGTAGCCCGTGAAGAGCGTAACAAGCTCCTTGTTATCCATGCACCCGAAGATAGTGCGTTCGCTAATCTTGAATCCATTGACATGAAGAATCGGCAAGACGGCTCCCGACTCGGCCGGGTCAATGTACTTGATTGCGTGCCACGACCTTGAATCAATTCAGCATGAGAAAAACCAAATGAAGATGATCACTGGGGGGAACTTACGTCGCAGTCGGGCCGGTTTCGGCTTCTCCATCACCAACCACACAGGTAACAATGAGATCGGGGTTATCCATGACCGCGCCAAACGAAACAGCCAGGGCATAACCAAGCTCACCACCCTCGTGAATCGCGCCGGGAGTTTCTGCGTTGATATGACTTTTGGCAGGGAGCAAACAAAGTCAGCACATGTCTGGCCTCAAGCAGACACAAACACCAATTGCAGGGACTCGTACCTGGGAAGTCCAGCACTCGTGCTGAAAGTCGAGATGAGCTGACGGAGACCGTCCTTGTTCCGCGAGTACTCGGGGTAGAATTTGCCCAACGACCCCTCCAGCCACAAGGAGGCCAGCAAAGCCGGGGCACCGTGTCCAGGTCCAACGACGTGGAGCATATTCAAGTCCTGTTTTCGGACCAGGTAGTTCAGGTGTGAGTATACCAGGATCAACCCGGGACAAGTTCCCCAGTGACCTGCGCCGGAAGTATGAGCTGCTGCTGTGGATTTGGACGGGACGGGTGTTATTGGTTAGGGAGTAGGTTACTTACCGAGGAGTCGGGGCTTGATATCCTCATGCTTCAATCCGCGTTCCAGCAGCACATTGTCTTGCAGAAAAATCATAGCTATTATGAACAATCAGCCATCGTGCTTCCTGACAATGCCGATGGTCGCATGAAGATCGGAGGTGGGTTTGCTCACCAGCAGCGATGTACGCCGCTGCACGACGGTACTTCCGCAGCGCATTGTAATCCGACTCCTCCAGCTTCGTCGACTGGAGCTGGACCTGCAGCTGTTCAACGAGATCGGGGATGTGGGAAGGTTCCGGCTTGGGGTTTGGCCGGTCAATGATTTCTCCTGGCATGATGATGGGCTGACAGCGGGGGGGAAAGCTTATCAGTTCTAGCGATAAGGGAAACGGAAGAAGTAGGAAGTATACGGGCAGTAGAGTAATCCCACGTGGAAAAAGCAGAAGGGATTAGACGAATACAGACAGAGTACAAAAGGACATCAGACCACCAGGAAGATACTTGAGGAAGAAGAGGAGAGGGGTGGTGCAGCTTGAAATATGTAATTGGTGTTGACAAAACTTGACAGACAATTGAACTCTGACTTGGTAGCAACGGTGACTTTTGTTGGTTTCCCGCTACGTCACATGGTGAAGGGAGTCTGACATCACCCAATTACTACCACCACTCCATTCAATCAATTCCCTCTCCACACTACTACTGGGCACTGCATCATCATCGTCTTTCCAAGAACTGCCCACCGGTAAAACCATCCATGCAGCAAACCCATTCGGTTATGCAACTCCGAGACCCCGACTCGTAGAAGTAATCACATATATAGGGTCTAGCCAGCAATTCATCGAGTTCTTCCTCCACTATTTAGATCCTGTTGCATACTGTACACATTGAGTCTCCTCTTCCCACATTACCCCTCCCCTCCTCCTATTCACAATGCCCCGCAAATCCATCCTATCCGTCAACGCCGGCTCGTCCTCGGTCAAACTCACCTTCTACACCTTCGAACAGTCGCCCAAGGTGATTGCGACCGCGCAGGTCTCCGGTATCACTGCCCCACCAGCCAAACTGAAGTACACCTGCGGCGCGAAGAACCACAGCGAAGAGATCAAGGAAAGCGTCGGGACCCCGCAGGACGCCTTCAAGTTTCTCCTCGGCCGCTGCGTCTCCGACCCGGAACTGTCGGAAGTCGGCAGCAGCGACGATCTGGCCTACATCTGCCACCGCGTCGTCCACGGCGGCGACTACGACTCCTCCGTCGTGATCACCGACGAGACCTACCATCATCTGGAGAAGTTGGAGGACCTGGCACCATTGTATGTTTCTCGTAGATGTCCCCATCCCAAGGTCCTGACATGCAGGATCTAATCGTCACAGACACAACTTCTCGGCCTTGGAAATTATCCGCCATTGCCGGACGGAAATCCCAAATGTGAAGAGCATCACCTTCTTCGATTCGGCGTTCCATCAGACCATCCCCGAGCATGTGCGCACGTATCCGATTGACCAGGAGATTGCCAAATCCAAGGGGCTGCGGAAATACGGCTTCCATGGCATCAGTTATTCGTATATCCTGCGGTCGGTGGCGGAGTTCCTCGGCAAGCCCGCAGAGCAGACCAGCGTGATCGCGATGCACGTCGGCAGTGGGGCTTCGATGTGTGCGATCAAGGATGGAAAATCGGTCGATACCACGTAGGCATCTGCTCATCCATCTGGGAGAGGTTCCGTGAATCAGTCACTGACGAGTGTGCGCAGGATGGGCCTGACCCCCTTGGCTGGATTGCCGGGTGCGACGAGAAGCGGCGATATCGACCCATCGTAAGAGAGCCCCCTAACTGCCTCTCCATAGGATGAGCCAAGAGAAGAAGACTAAGAAAGGATGTGATCAGACTTGTGTTCCACTATACCAGTGAAGCAGGCAAACTGAGCCCGGCCAGCACCAAAGAAATGCACATCAGTACGGTATGGAATGACTCCCCCGGTGCCGATAGCTACGCAGTGCACAGCTAACCCACTATTCAAGGCCGAAGAGATCCTCAACAAGAAGTCCGGGTGGAAGGCCCTGACGGGAACCACAGACTTCTCGCAGATCGCTGTCGAGAACCCCCCGACCGCCAGCCACAAACTCGCCTTCGACATCATCGTCGACCGCATTGTCGGCTACATTGGCAACTACTACCTGAAACTGGGCGGCCAGGTGGACGCGCTCGTGTTCGCGGGCGGCATTGGGGAGAAGAGCGCGTTGCTGCGGAAGGCCGTGGTCGAGCGATGTCAATGTCTAGGCTTTGCCGTCGACGAGGAATCCAACGACAAAGGTCCGAGCGAGGACCAGACGGTGGTGGATGTCTCCAGAGATGGCGGTTCCAAGGGACCACGGGTGTTGATTTGCCAGACCGACGAACAGGTGAGTGAACCAGCCCCCCTATCGTCCAACCAAACGAGGAAAAGAAACATTGCAGAGGCTAAAACTCGTGGGATGCTTGCAGTACGAGATGGCACACGGCTGCGTTGAGAAGTATGGCACGGGTTCCGGCTTGTGATCCGACCCATCTTCACGGGAAGATAGGTGAAGGGGTTGGACATGAGGCAAACGAACCGTGACGACCTGTAATGCTTAGATGTTTCAGTTGGAATGAGAAGCAAGATCAATCGGGGGAGCCTCCCCCTGATTCAGCTATGAGCAATGCCTCTCTCTAGACTATATTCAACGAACTCAGCTGGGAGGGACCCGGTTAAGACACTCATCTCCCGGAAACTAGACAAGCCAGCCCAGGTCTCGGATCGAGGAGAAACACGAACACACACCCCTTCCAGGCCTGGTATACAGAAGCGAAGCGCAACGTGTGTGAATGATAAGATGCCAGAGACAAAGCAGAGACAAGTAATCCCAAGTACTTACTGTATGTAGTGATGTGTTAAGTTAGTAGGAGCAAAGCAAGCGATGAGTGCGCACAGTCCCTCCCTCAGGTGTCTAGACCCTTCCCTCCCTCCTTCCCTCCACACTAGCAGAGCAGACCAAGCAAGAACCCTACCTAGATACCTAGCTACCTAACTAGCCCCGGCCTCCCGGCCATAGGGTACGAACAGACACAGACACAGATACAGCCAAGCGCCCATCAAGCCAGCCGCAAGTACCTAGAAAAAGCAACCCCAGCGAATCTGACAGAGCAAGCTCAAGCTCAAGCTCAAGCTCGAGCTCCAGTCGGCCCCTCAACCCGCCCCCAAACGCAAAGCAAGCAATTCCTCATGATCTATCCCAGAAACCCGGATAGATGTAGAAGCAAACCTACGGTACGGACAGATCGATACCCCGAGCTAGGTAGGTAGTGCATGTATGTATGTATGCTGAGTCGCCACCGCGATCGATCGATCTCTCCATCTAACAACCAACCAACCAACCTGACCTGTAAAGCAAACAGGCGGAAGGTTCTATCCGGACGAATGAACACACAATCCAATCCGCACACACACACTAAAAAAAGAAGACGAACACTCCAATACGGAAGACAGAGAATTGGGGGGGGGGGGGATCTGTACTCTACCGAACCGGTCGATCAGAACGTATCAACCCAATCTGTCTGCCTGCCAGTCCGGAATGTAGTTCAGGGTCATCCGACAAACGCGTACAGCAGAATAAGTCATAGCATTGGATTGGAATCCTCTAATCTGATCCAGTCAATTGGATTGGATTGATAGATTAGGAGGAGGAGGGGAGAGGGGGCCAATGCTCTGCTTTGCATTGCTTTTTTTTTTTGTCGGGAAACGGTTCTGATATTTGAAAATCCCTCATTCGAGCTCCCCTTGCATTTCGCTCTTTGACTGGGGTTAAGATCGGGACCAGGATCAGGGAAGAAGAGGTAGGGTATGTACTTACCCACAGTAAGTCAGGGCTGGTGTCTCTGGTCTGAAGTTGTGGTAAGGGTGGTAGATGAGCGATTTTCTTTCTTGGAGTCGATAATGTCCTGATCGATCCCCTGTGGCGTTGGTTCCATTGACAGATTGATTTTACGGAGAATTGGAGCCCTTGCTCCCGAGAGTGGGATCTTTGTCTACCGTACACGGTATGTATTACTACCGTAGGTTTCGATGGAGGAGGGAGATAAGCGGAGATGCACGATTATCATGGACTTCCCTGCAGCTGGGATATGGTCTAGAACTGCGTTCGGGAAGTTACCTAGAAGAGGTTGTTCATCCAGGTTCGGGGTGTGGTTTCGTTCTTTGTAGTCGGCAGACTGAAACTAGAGCATTTGTCGGCGTTGGAAAGACATGGGATGTTAGTTGATAGAGTACCTAGGATAGTCCGGCTTTCTACCTCGCTCCATCCAAGTCCAACACAGAGCTACCACTAACTTGGAAATATCTAGTCCCTCACCTCGCCACATCCCGAACTGATTGGAGAAGTGTTGAGACAGCTAGAAACATAGCGGCGATGTCCAGCATCACACCACCCAAGTACCTATTCTAGTCTGGTCTACGCGGGCGCCTTGTCATTCTTTTGCTTTTCTTTCATGAAAATCGCTCACGAGGTGAAGATGAGATAGTGGACAGATCACCAGGTTGATGCTTCCTGTACCTATTTTCCAGAATCTTCTTTGTTCTCCTCTCTCCCCCTTTTCCTGGTAAATTAGAATATCCGATTGATGGTGAACTTGTTGGCTAGCTGCCAGGCCATGGCATACGGATAGATAGACAAAGTAATTCCCCGTCATGAGACCTATCTCACGCCCCAGAACGATATGCCTCCAAGCCGACCCGACACTGAGGCGACATGAAGATCATCTCCCCGAATCGGGAAACGCAGCAGATCATGAAAAATGCGGGCTAACGGGACCCGACCCGCGGCGGGCTTGGGCGTAAGTAGTTGATGGGCGGTGGTGGTGTGGGTGTGAGAGGCTGGGGGAGGGTGACCGGGGACCCGGGAGGAAGACGGGGGGGAGGGAAATCAACGGCGATCAAAAGCAAGAAGCCGAGTATGGGAGGTGATAATACTTACTATCGGTTGTTGCAGATTAGTGGACTGCACTAGTTCAGCAACTATCTATCTGACAATCAAATGTCCCTATCCCCGATCGATCATTGAGAAAGTCTCCGAAGGGAGGTTCTCATTCTCTTCTCTTATGCCCAAAAACGGGCATTGAAATCGGGGCTGGCTTGGCTGGCTCCGGACGGGGAAAGAGAGGCGACAGCCTGGAGAAAAGCTGAGGGGTCGGCCGGATGAGGTTCCAGAGTGGCGGGTGGATGCGTTAGTTTGGAACTGGGGAAAAAGGAAAGGGAACCACCTGACAGGTAGCAGGGCAATACTGGACTGGGGACTGAGATGAAGATGAAGAGTAAGGAAAAAAGAAACCCAGAACAATAGTAACAATCTTTACAACAGAAGTGCCCGCAGGTACGAGTAGTTCTCCACGAAAGAGTTGATCTGAACCAATTGAGGCCAGAATTACACAGGCAGGCCAAAATCCGACCAGTTCGTAAGCCGTAGGTATTGAGTCGACCGATCAGATCAGTTCCCCCTTCTAGAACGCCATCCCGTGACTGCAGTGACGCTAATCCGTCCGGCTGTGATTCCGCGGACTCTAGTCCGGTAGTCCGCTAGGGTTGTCGATTCATTTATCGTCTTACACAAGGGTGGATCAGGGGGAGGAGAGAGAGCGAGCTGGAGAGAGGGAAACAGTACTGTAATGTGTACCTAAGGGCTTAGGGGGAACATCCTTGCCCTCTCGGGGATGAACGGGGATTATTGGGCGGCGATTGATACCCGTGTGTAAGATACCGACACCCCCAAAATTGATTGCAAATTTACTGACTGCTCAACCAAGCCTGGCCCGATTGGGATCATCCCTGAAACCAACTAAAAGTCGACGGAGCAACAGAGAGTGGCCCTTTGTTTGACATGGTCGTGCAGCATTTTCCAGGGATCTACCTGGTACCGTCGCCAATTGACAGGTGCATCGCACATAGTAAGGGGAGAACGTGTCTATCTATCCACACAAGCCGAGAGAGTGAGAGACAACAGAGAGAGTGGAGTGAGGCAAGGGCGAGATTTGGAGAAGGAAGGTAGAGTACTAGGTACTTTTGCTCGTGCCTGCCTCTTGCTCTCTGCAAGCCAACCAAAACACATGCAAAAGATGCAAGAGAAGATAGATGAGTGGTAAATCATCGCTCGCCATTCATGCGACATACCGATCTTGTCCATTCCCGACTGATCCCAATCGTGCTTCTGCAGTACTTAGAACGAAACTAAACCTTACTAGCATACCGATTCCCATCATCCCTCCCTGCGTCGGTCGCGATTCTCTGCGGCCCCCCTCCTCCCCTCCCCGCCTCTCCCCTGCCCTGGCCTTCTGCAAGGTAGCTCCTAAATGGCGCGAACAGACCTCTAGGTCGACTACCTATTTTACCTTTTCGGTTGCACAGCAGATCGGTCGATCTTCCATGGCTTTATTTACCCCATCTGGGAATGCATGTCCTCGCTCTCCGCTTCGATGATCTGCTGGCTGCAGAACACAGATTCCCCGAGCGGGCGGCACAAGGACGCCGCCGCCTCGCCGCCGCCGCCGCTTGCATGCGGCTACAGACAGCCCTTCTTTTTGGGAGGAGGGCCGTGTCTCGATAGACGCAACCAGCGGACAGGTGAACCTTGTTTCTACGGATTCCTGACAGTCTGCATGCTGTGGCTAGTGTCCGAGACCGAGTAAACCTGAATCAGTCCACGTCTTCCCAGGATTGCGGCACTTCCTCGGGCTTTGATCGCGTACTTTTGCTGGATCTAATGGTCTGCATCTAACACATCAACTCTGCATGCTTAGCAGATAATATTCATTGATCATTGCTGAATGAGACCGGAGGTGTTTTGGCATAGGTTTCGTGGGTGATCGAGGAGTTGATAGATCCGCGGGCTGAAGAATGAGAGGACACAAACAACACAATCATAGGCAACAGTGATGCTATACACAGAAGTTCAGCCAGTTATTCAGTCAGTTAGATACTCTAGTCAGTCACATGGCACGTTCTGGGGTCGAGCTAATTGACCGACTGCGGATCCATCAGTCAACTGATTGAAATGACTCGCACTTGCCAATAGCAATATAGACCATTACCCCATCAAATCAACATCTATCCATATTCGAAGCAAAGCAGTAGATAGAGACAAAGCAGATTCCGCCACCACTAGGATCCAGACCATTTCCCTCTAACAGCAGCAGCAGCGATCTAGCCTCACCGTTGTAACGCGATCATAGAAGCCGAACTAACGTCCCCGGCGATAGGTAGAGCGCGCCTGCAGAAGCGGAAGCTCAGATCAGCTCACCCTTGCCTCAGTTCAGTGCTGGCCATACGTACGGCACTGCACTGCACTGCACTAGCGACTGAAAAACGTTTCTTTCCCAGCCTCCAGGCTATCTCTGTTCCTTTTCCGGTCTCTCTCCCTCTCTCCTATTCGGCACAACCGCCAACGGTTCCTGCTTCTAGTAGTGTTCCTTCCAGTTTCTAGTGTCATTCTAGTCGAATACGGGAATACCCGTATGCGGATTACGACAGGGTTAGTACTGTACATAGTACCTTAGCTTGATACTTGATAGGCAGAACAACCCACCAAAGAGCGCGGGCGACTTGATGAACTCTCTTTTTTTTTCGGGAATGGACCAAGTCCACTCTTGTCTGGATGGATCCGACTACTGGTGGGATCGGCCTTGCTCTCTTGGGAAACTCAGACCGTTGGAGCACAATCCCCGTAACACTGTAATCGAAAAAAAAGGTTGGGTATCGACAACCAAGGGGGTTTTTTTGAAATGACGTTCGTCCGTCTCTTTCATCCCCCATCAGGCTCCTCCTCCGCCCCATATACGGAGTACGGTAGTAGCACTGGGGACGAAAGCTCGGGAGTGAACCATGGTAACTCGCTCGGCTTGGGAGCTACCGTCCGGATGGGACTTCTAGAAGTTTTCTAGAATCCCGACTACTTGACCTAGTGGGTGTGGTGGGTTCCGGGATGTCGTTGGGCAACTCTCCGGGGGGGGGGAGGTGGGAGATTCGCAATGCCAATCGGCAGGTCCGTCCTATTCGTCTGTCAATCATTCAGAGAAACTTAGAAAGAGAGAGCACAGGACGGCAATGCCCGCATGTTGCTGTCTGCCGGCCTTGTGTCTTTACGCTGGTGATGTTAGACGAGATGCAATATAGATTTCCTCGTGCAACTCGAACATACAAGTAAACAGTAGACACTGCTAGTATGTACGGCTATATTTGATGTTTGAGACCACGAACGCGGCCATAGACACATAGTCAAGTACTTTTGCACCACAAGCACGAGCGGTAGTGCTCAGTCATTTAATTCAGCCAATACATATCATTGGCTACTCTCTGTCCCAAGCAACCCGTTTACTTTCCCTGTCAAGGCTATATCCTGTCTAGTCTAGGCCTTAGATCAATAAACCCAATAGTCAGCAGATCAGGTCACTCCAAAAGCCAAGCCGAAAGCGCAGGGCTGACGGATGAAATCCCATTGAAGGCCGATATATCTCCCTGGAATCGGAAACAAACGCACACGTACACAAGGAACATCCCTGCCAGACACGCCCAGGATTCTCAGCTACATCGATCGCTGGCTACGATACTTCACACAAGACTACCGTACAGTGCAGGACCTGGGATCTGGACGGGGAGAATAGGCGCCGCCCATCCGAAAGCAAGCCACTTTCTTCAAACGCTGGCGGCTCCGGACTCCGCTAGGATCTCCGGAACACAAAAGCCAGACGCGCTGGATGTGTCGTACGGCAGCGGCAGCGGCAGCGTAATCCCCCCCTCCTCTTCCTCTCCTCGGCAAGAAAGTACGAGTGCAAGAAACTAGGCTTGGCTTTGGTTTCGCGTTTCCTCCACCGCTGCAGCTCCATTGTGGCGAGTGTCAGACCCCTAAGAGAAAGTTAGAATGATGTATGCTGTGGATGAGCAGCAGTAGCAGCAGCGGTAGCGATAGCTTAGCGGGCTGTGGGGTCGTCAAGTGTAATTTTAGGTCATACGGAGTTCAGGCGACTGGGTTAATCCTCGTATTTGCCAAGGATGCGGGACTTGGGTATGTGTAGGACTGTAGAGGTGAGTAGAATGGGCGGTCGAAGTGCAAATTTTTGATGTTACCACTCGCAAACAACTATCCTTGCCTTCTTGAGAGGATAAGGACCTACCTAGTCCACGGTAGTTATTGTACGAACTGATAGTATACTAGTCCTTATTGTAGGTGGTCCGATGGATGCTGCTAGCAGTGGGTAAGGACCCAACGACCTTCCATGTGTCCGGGTATGTCACCCGCTACTTAGACTAACTAGCCTTCTAGAAGCTTGCACAGGGCTGCACCAAAAGTTCCCCATCAGGGCGACCCATTGTCATGGTGGGTGTTATTCCCCCGTGTCAATCAACTTCAATTGTTCTAAGTGACTAGTTCTGCTAGGACCTTAGTAGTTCATCAAGAGGAGACGGACGGACGGTGTTGAGCTTTTTGTTTTGTTTTTCGGAGGGCTGTAGGGGGCTCCATCTATCGGGGCTCGCGGGGAGTGGCGCTAGAAGGACTAGAAGCACGCGAGAAGAATGCAGGTTGGGTCTAGTCTCTGGGTCCGAGAATAAATACGTAATAACGGAGACGGGTAGCGGTGGGTTTGCCGGATCAATGATCGTTATTATTCCCATAAGGTAGAGTGAGAGAGAAAGGCCCCACTGCCCCCTTTCAGCCCGTCCGATTTCCTCGGTGACCACCAACCAAGTCGGAAAAAGACACGCAAGAGAAAGAGGATCAGAAGGGAGGAGGATTCTGGAAGCCTGCGTCGAGATCGACGACATGTGAGGTATCAGCTGGGAGAGAGAGAAAAGAAAGTGAGGTGTGAAACGAGTCTGGATACTGCTATTGTCCTGTACACGTAAAAAAAAAAGTGGCTCGAATGTTCAAGGTTGCTGAGTTGACCTGTCCTAGTCTAGTCTCAGACAAACGAACCACTCCTCTCCTGTGGCTGACATGAATCAAATCAGGAGACTGACTGGTGGACCAGCCGAGGAGGGGGATCGAATCAATAAACACTAAACAGTGAATTTGCTCGCGATAGTCTCCCGAAACTCTCTAGCCAGGCGACTACATACCTGACCAGCGAACCGGCAGCTTTTGGATTGGTTCTGAGACCTGGATCCAGACGAAGTGGAAGACCCTCTCTCTTTCTTCCCCATGAGGTGGTCGACTTAAAGTGTCCGGAATTGGCGGCCGCCTACTGCTGCTTACCTCATGCAAGCGCCCCCCCCCCCCTTCTTCTTTCTTGGGGCAGGTACGGAGAGTACCATACCTAGGGGTGAGGAGGTAAAGGTACTTTGGCACATCACTCTGAAGAATCATTCCATAGGTTGGGTAAATGTATCTTGACTTTCCTACCTAGGGACCGATACCTATCAAGCAAGCAAGCAAGTAAGCAATTGTTTGCGCAAGTTTGCTGCTCGATCCAGTGTGGATGATCGTGATCGTACAATGGGGCGCCTATGCAGGTACTGTACTCCGGGACTTTCCCAGGGTTGCGTCTAGCCGCGTTGGGGGAAAGCAGCCGACCACAGTACCGCCTACTAATCGGCTCTATTTCGTTAGCTGCCAACGATGGCAAATGATAGCCCCAGTACGCAATTTTAGGTCTCATCAATGCCGGAAAATAAAGCAAGCCAATGAGAAAAAAAGAAAGCAATGAAATCTTGACGGTACTTTCAGTAACCCTACGGAAAAAAGACATGCTTGAAGACACGGGGATGAATGAAGACTATCTACTGTACCTATGTAGTAAGGACGGGAAGGTACAGCCAGTACTGTATGTACGTACTGAGGAGCTAGGGCTTCCGGGAATCATCCATCGATAATGCCAGTAACCATCGATCCAGGTTCCAGGGGCCCCTGATTCTCCCCCTCCCTCTCCAAAACCACCACGCGAGCGAGCATGAAGACAAGCCCCAGCGGATCCATCCGCGGGTTCCTCTGAGCGGCTGTCGTCTCCACCCACATGCACCAAACTTGCCCGAGAAGTCGGTTCCCTAACTCCCCCTAGCTTCTGATTGATGTACCCAGTCGCAGGTTCAAAGGGTGTGATTCTCGGTGGAGATCGCAGAATTTCTGGCTTCTTCTCTTTTACCAGAACGGTGCGGTGCTCGCCGCGATGACGATGGTGGTGTGGGTTGTGGCTAGATCCCCGATACCATTCCTCTTTCTACGGTATTTGATGTCTTATGACGGCCCAAGAACTGATTCATTCATTCCCTGACGACCGGACGAACTGATGGGTGATGGAACCACGACTGATTGACTGATTGAGACCTTTTCTTTTTGCTTTTACTCGGGTTCTGGAACCTCGGATGATAATGTTGATGATGATCGTTACAGATCAGACGGGTCTTTTCGTTCCTTTTTTCTTTTTCGTTTGCAATTTTGTCTTGCGCTGAAAGATCAATCAACCGCCTTCCAATTTCCGAAAAGAACCCGTGTCTGGAATCAGCCATCATCGGGATTTTCTGACTCATGTCAGCGAAACATCGATCAAGGGTTAGGGATCGGGTGTGAGCATGAACCACTCAGGCACCCAGCAAGTAGAAGCAGAATTACAGAAGGGATGGGAACACAAGAGCCGTCAGAACGTTGGCGACTGGGGGCGTGGAATCCCCTAAGGAAAGGAAAAAGAAAGGGGGAAAGGGAGCGCAAGAGGGCAGAAATGGGTGGGAAAGATGGTTTCGCATCCACAGCTTCGGGACGACGGGAGAGCCGCTTACCTAGCTAGTCAGTTAGTTGTCTAGCTATGCTCGACAGTAAACAGAGCTGCTTTTGGTCTTAGTTGTTGGGTCGGTATTATGTATCGAGAAATTCATTATTATTTTTGCCCTTTTCCTTGTCTAGTCGTCTAGTCTAATTATCTTTGCGATTATTCCTCCGATAATTCTGGCCTTTTCTGGCCGGCCCCGTCAGCTGGGGTATGGTACCTTTTTTTTACTATTTTTATTTGAATTTATTTTGCTTTTTTTTTTCTCTCTCTTTGGTCCTCCGTATTTACCTTTTTGATTCTCCTGCCATGGCGGCTGCTGCTGCTGCCACTTTATCTCATCTCAATCCCTCCACTCTCTCTCTCTCTTTCTCCATTTTGTTTTGCTTTTTTGAAATTCTTCAATGGTTCGCTGTCTGTTTTTTTCCCTTTTCTGATTTAGTATTCTATTTTTTAAGCTTTTCTTTTCCATTTGTCTGTTGACTGCCTGGTTAGATCCCCCCAATCTTAAAGAGAATAACCCAATCCAGTATATTAAATAATAATAAAAAACTTGCAATGGAAGTAGAATGAAGCAGAACAAAGCGAGCTACTTATATATCAAAGTGATGGAGCCCCTTCAAGTCTTTCTACTTTACTAAATTCTTCAATCCAACCATTCCCTGGCCATTCAATCAATTAACAAACAACCACGCCCTTCTTCCTCCATCTCCATTATCTCTTCCAGCTCCTATTCTCCGCCCTCCTCCCTACGTACTTTCGCCCATTCCCTCGCGCCTTCGGTTCCTATCCCGACCTGCCTCTCCCCGTGACGTTACCTCTGAGGCCGCGTTCCATCCTCCCTTGCGATACGTCCAATCTCGCATTTGTTTTCTTTTTCGTTACCGGATTAGACGGAGTTCACTTCCGTGGCACCTCCTTTCCAGGATCATCTCCTTGCGGACTGCATTAGTCGTTCCGTTTCCTTGGTCGTTGGTTCTTGATCAGATCGCGCTTGATCCCCGAATATTTGACCAGCACGCCTCTGCGTATTTTTACACCTCGACATATCGAACGGCGGAAAAAGCAAGAAAGGCGCATTATCGCATCCTCGACCGAAAAGCACCGCGGCCTATCGACACCTGAACCGGACAATTCCAGCCAAACGACCTATCGACCAGACTTGAAGAGGGGGGGAGAAGACCATCGACCGACTCCACAACGACCTTCCTCATTCTTACAAGCCCGTTTTCTTGGTACCTTGAAGTCGCATTCCTGCCCTACAGATCTACCTATCGTCGCTACATCACCCTGGCTCGAGCGTCAGACCTGTGATCCCTCTTAAATAAGGATCGCACTTCCGATCTCACCTGCAGCTGCATCCTCCGTCCTTTGCATCATTACCGCCTGTTCTTTGCCGGGGATCTTGGGTACCTCGCTAGGCGATCTATCACCAAACGCACAGTCTCCCTACTAATTCGATTTTCCTTAATACTTATTTTTTAATATTTTATTTTCGCCTTTGGATTTTTGTCAATCTGGTCTCCCGGAGAGCCAGACCTGTCTTTATTTAAGCTTCCGTGAGTACTCCCTTCCACCTCGAGAATTACTTCCACTCGACCATCCACTTTCACACTTCTACTTCTTTTTCTCCTCCCACCTCCCCTCTTGCCTCATCGTCTCACAAGACCAACCTTGACTTTTCTCTGACCATGGCTGTCTGCGCAGAATCGGCGATGATACCTAAGGACCTCTCAGCCTTCAACATGGGACGCGGAGCTTATGACACCACGGGGGTCAAGAAGCCCGGTGCACCGCCGCCACCCCCTTCGACTCGATGAATCCCTGGAGGACATCTGCCAACCACAACCTTCTATTCTATTGATCTCTCGAGCGAAAAAGTTATCTGTGGTTTCTCGCACCTGGCGCAGGGCCTCGGAGTTCTAATGTGACTGCTATGAAAGCGAGCTTGTAAGTGCTAGGCATCCCGCTTGCGTCATGGCTTGACCTCGAACTAACAGCTTCCCATAGTATCTGTACCACTACATCTATCTGATTTTCTTACGTGCTTCGTCGGCAACCTCTGGTTTCGGAATATCCGCTTCGTTTCCTAATCACGCCCTTTTCACCATCGCCTTGATCATGGTCCGGCACGGCTACCTTTCTTCTTGGATCGACTTCTCTTCAAACGCATACAACTTTTAATCGGCCGACACGACTCCAGGTCCATGATCTGTTTCATTAAAAGCTCTCTGTCTCTTTTCCTCGGGTGTTTCTTTTTGGTTTACTCTAGAATCGGCGTTTCTTATAGACGGACTGGGTTGATTTGATTTGCTTTCTTTTTTTTTTCCTTGTTGTGCAGTGGGATACATGGATTGATACCAAGACAGACTAGAACCTCCGACCTCGCGGTCACTTACCTTTATTATTATTTCGTCTACTTTTACTGAATACATTTCCTTAGTGGACTTATTCTGCCATGCTTGTCTGTGTGTGCCTTTTAAAAAGAGCGGGTCTTTCTGGTTGAGCGGATGTATGCTATACTAGGTATAAGGGATCATTGCCTCGACAATAGTGATCAGTTCGTTGCCCTTGGCCTTCTTTTCCTGTCCCCTCCATTCCTTAGATTGGGAGTCTTGTCTTGCATGCTCAGTGGAAAGTTTCAGGAATAACCTCGCACTAGGCAGGCTGAACTGCAATCCATCAAGTCATCAAGCCGTGATTGCCCCCGGATTGAATTGACGGGAATGTACAGGGCATCTTCAACATGATTTGCCGGCCCTAAGCATTATCTGGGTGGATCCCGGTCGAGATTCAGGAAGTTCGAGCGTCGGCGTGCATGCGCTTCTTTTTTGGGCAGCCACCGGGTCCTGCGCAAATCATGTCGTGCAACGTCGGCTCCATGACAGCACGGGCTGCCACTGGGGACATGACTCTCTCCAACAGGCTGACGGGCGATCCTGACCGTTGGAGGGGCGAGAGGGAGGGAGGGCCGCTCCCTTTGGCACGTCATGCTCGGACTTCATGGCATGCTGTCGGCCTCAGTTGGGTCCCTCGTGCCTTCGACGTAAGTCGGCTTGCCTAGCTACTTCCTTAGTTGCTTTGGGGAATTGCTGGGTTGGGCTAGATCGCTTGTCGCCCAATGAGAACAGTTCGATGTACTTTGAGGTCTTTGATCACCAAAAAGTTGATCTATCGCTTTTACCGCCAGGATGAATGAGGCCTGAAGACCACCCACAATCTGCATTGACACCGTTGATGGGTATTGACAGGCGGCGGAAATGGGGCAGGTATCTAAGCAGGTGCTTGCAGGCCAGGCCGAAAAAGAGGATGTCTGGTCTGGTTTTTGGAATCCTGGAATCTTAGTCCTGACTAATAGGTACGAGTATGTGCAGGAGACGGAGGAAAAAGAAGCCCTAGCTACTTCGCGCAGGGCCGCCAGATTATCGGTTGGTCAGGTAGGTACCATCAATCGACAACAACTTTAAGCCCCTCTTTTACCCCATTTCCCGTATGTGCGTGTCTGCTGTCACCCGCAAAGTCACTGTCGGCCAGTTCCCCCCTCTGGCTGGCTGGGCTCTTTGATCAGGTAGGTTTAGGGGAGGAATTTAAGCTACTACACCGTATTTCCTTCGCAAATGCAGGCCTCAGGTACCACTACTGCCTGCCTGAACCTGAACTGGGGCCGGCTAATCCTCTTTCGGCAAAGCGGAAATATCCCGTGACTGCTGAGCTGCGCTAAACTCTGTTGGGCAACGCGCCGTCATCCATCTATTCGGACCTCCGCCTCACTGGGTATCGACATGGGCGGTTAGACTAGTAAGTAGCGGGCATCTCTCTCTCTCTGCTCTCTCGCTCGCTCGCTCTCTCTCACCTCTCTCCGTCGTCGTCACTCTGCCTCCTCATTCCTCCTCTCGCATCGCTGCCCTTCTTTACCGCCATTTCACTTTCTCCCTCCTGGTACGTGGTATCCGTCTCTCCCATTTGTCGGCTTATTTTTTCTCTCTCGCACTTGCTCTTTCATGTCTTGTGCTCGCCCCCCCTCCTCATCCCAACACCCCTGTTTGAAGTTGGCTCCAAGTCTACCTCGTGTTTCCTGCTTACGTCGTCATTTTAGGCTACCCTTCCGGGCTATTTTTTATTTTCACTCGCCATCTGTATTGCCGGCCTAAGCCGCCCCTCGCGAACGGAAATCCATCGGTCAACGATCGATAATTACCGTGGCTGTTAGCCTATTCTGCACGACGACCTGATCGAAAATCCCCCTTTCCCCCCCCCCCCATCTTGAAAACCGTTGGGCTCTCTCCGACCATGTCTGAGTCAACCGGCGCCAATACCGCGAAACCGAGCAGCAGCGTCAAGCTGGTACTTTTGGGCGAAGCGGCGGTTGGAAAGGTATGAGCGACCTCGGCAGTTTCCCATTCCATATCTCCGTTGCGTGCTTCGTGGGACAAAAGTGACTCAGGGGACTGACAATGGAATGGTATGAATTCATTTTGGGCTTGACAGTCGTCATTGGTGCTGCGATTTGTCAACAATGACTTTCAAGAGAATAAGGAGCCAACAATTGGAGGTAAGCATCCGATTGTGTGGCGATGTGCCCCCCGACAGCCTTCTTCCCCGCGGAGTGTTGTGTCACCAGAAAGCTGATGTCATGGTCTCTCCTCGGTTTCAGCGGCCTTTTTGACCCAGAAATGTTCCCTTCCGACGCGGACGATCAAGTTTGAGATCTGGGATACCGCGGGTCAGGAGCGGTTCGCCTCGCTGGCGCCCATGTACTACCGTAACGCTCAGGCGGCTTTGGTGGTTTACGATGTCACCAAGCCGTCGTCGCTCACCAAGGCGAAGCACTGGGTGGCGGAGCTTCAACGACAGGCTAGCCCCGGGATTGTAATCGCCCTCGTCGGAAACAAGCTGGACTTGACAAACGACGCGAACGAAGCCGCGGGTGAGGCGCAGCCCGAGGAGGGACACGAGCCGTCCCCGGCCGACGGAGACGAAGCCACCGAGGAAACCCAGGAAGAACCAGATGCGTCGAACGGCGATGCCCGGAAGGTGCCGACACGGGAGGCTAGCGCCTACGCGGAGGAAGAGGGCCTGTTGTTCTTCGAAACCAGTGCCAAGACTGGTGTCAATGTGGTCGATGTCTTCACGGCGATTGCGAACGCGATCCCCGAGAGCAGTCTGAAGAGTGGTCGCGGGGCAGGCGCAGGCACTGGTCAGACCAGCTTGAGCGGAGGTCGCCCGGCCGAAGACTCACGGGTTAACCTGGGAGAGCGAGGTCCGGCAACGGCCAAAGAAGGTTGTGCATGCTGATACCAGATTGCTTTACGTGTTTGCTTGCGATTTGCTTTTTCCCCAATTTCCCTCTTGTTCGATTTGGTCTCCGATACAATATCAGGTTGATTACAGGTTAATGTGCTCATCTCTTCGGTGGTTGGGACAGCAACCGTTCCCCGGGGAAGACTGGTTCTACAACCTGAGCCATCTCCGTTGCGGCATCTGCAGAGACGACTCTTGTTGAAGAAAGCGCTACTGACGGTTGTTCTTTTATCTTATTGTTTTTTGTACCATTGGGCGACAGCGTGATTCTAGTTATTATTGCCAGATAATCCAATGAAGGAGAGAGGATGGCGTTGTACAGATGACGGATCCGGCAGCGAATTTAGGGTTCCAACAGTTGTTGAGCTGAAAGTCCTTGACGGGGAAATATCAGCGTGTATCCTACTGGCAATGAAAGAAATCTTGTCACAACGACGGCATCGTATGTGTCTAGTCTACATGGTCTACATGATCGGTAGTTAGCCAGGATGGGTATAGATAGATAGCCGCAGCGATAGCGATAAGTAGTTAACTAGGCGGGGAAAAGAAACTAAGTAGGGAAGGGCGAGCCAGATCACGGGACTGGACCACCCCTAACTAGGCCCAAACGGGGCTAAGGCGACCGGCTAAGCGAGAGCGGCCGAGTCTCCGATCCCACAGCCCGACGACCCAAGCGCAAATCGGGTCCAATTTCAACCACCAACCTCACGACAAGGAAGGCAGCCAGCAACCACCTCCTCCTCCTCGCCCCCCTTCCCCCCAGCAGCACAGCCAGCACCCCCGTCGCTCGTCTGCAACAATGGCTGCCATCAACAAGATCGCCCTCAACTCGCCCTCGAGGCAGAACCCCTCCGAGCTGGAGACCGCGATCGCCGGTGCTCTGTTCGACCTCGAGAGCAACACACAGGACCTGAAGGCCACCCTTCGGCCCCTGCAGTTCGTCTCTGCCCGTGAGGTAAGGATCTGCTTTCCTCCTGATGTCCCCGTGATATCTCGCCAGCAGCAGCAGCAGCAGAGAAGAATTCAGCAAATGTCTTATATCCGTCGCCTTTGTCCGGAAGAGGAGGAATTTTTTTTAGCGGATCGGAATTGAGAAGATGGATTTATGTGCGTGTGCGTGCGGAATGCGGAGATGTTACGAAACAATATTAAAAGGAACAACGACAACAAGAACAAGAAAAAAAACTCCCCCAGCAAGGCTCGATTCTGCATCGATTGGATGATGTGTATCGAACTCCCGTCTCCGCACTTTTGAGTTTGCAAGCAATTGGGAAGAGGAAATCGGTCAACACGGAAGGAACAAGACGCTGCGGACATGGATTACGACTAAGCTGCTGCGCTGGATATCACGAATTCTTTTTTTAAGATCATCTTGGCGCGAATCTGATATTGACGATTTTTCCGTGATCTTTACAGGTTGAGGTTGGCCACGGCAAGAAGGCCGTCATCATCTTCGTCCCTGTCCCTCTCCTCCAGGGTTTCCACAAGATCCAGCAGCGGTACGGACTCCCTTGTCTTTGTTATCTGCTCTGCGTTGCACAGCCCCGATCCCGATAACACCCAGGGATTGCGCACTGGAATATCATGATCGGTGAAATCCGGATTTGTTTAGAACGACAAGACTAATGAAATGATTGGAACAGTCTGACCCGTGAGCTCGAGAAGAAGTTCTCTGACCGCCACGTCCTCTTCGTTGCTCAGCGCCGCATCCTGCCCCGCCCCAAGCGCTCCGTCAACTCGCGCACCACCCAGAAGCAGAAGCGCCCTCGTTCCCGCACTCTGACCGCCGTCCACGACGCCGTCCTCTCCGACCTCGTGTACCCCGTCGAGATCGTCGGCAAGCGCATCCGCACCAAGGAGGATGGCTCCAAGACCCTCAAGGTCATCCTTGACGAGAAGGAGCGTGGTGGTGTCGACCACCGCCTTGACGCCTACGGCGAGGTCTACCGTCGGTTGACTGGCCGTGCTGTTGTCTTCGAGTTCCCCCAGGGTGGTGCCTCTGACTACTAGATCGTTTTCCTCCAAACCAACATTTTCCATTTTTATTCTTTATGGCCATAATCTTTCTTCATTTTCATCCAAGTCTATGAAAAAACCGAACGAAATGTTGTTCTAAAGAATATTAGCTGCTGGTCTGGGCGAAAAAGAAAAAGACAAAACCAAAACCAAAAGATTATTGTCAGGGAACCGGAACGATCCAAAGGGAATTTCAAATATGATGATGGCTGTGTTGTTGTGAGGATGATGTTCCTTCTTTTTGTTACAGTAAAATGGTTTCTTAAAATGCTTTCTACCCCCTTCACTGCACATCTTCCCCGTGGAACGAAGTCGGAAGTCTTTCGGTCCTGAGAACTTCCCCCCCCCCCCATCCTTTCCCATCCCGCAATCTCGTATATCTAGAACAGACCTGGTCCCCGGATTCTTCCTCGGTTGCTCTCCTACCTCCGCCCAACTCCACGAATGCCCACATCCAATCCACAGAACCCGATCAACAAATGACGAAGTAGACGAAGTCTATTTACCCCCCCTTGTTCCCTCGCCCCATGAACAGTAGTAAACAATAAAATCCCATCTGGTTTCCACCTACCCGGCGGTGCTAATCACAGTAAGCACTGTAAATAAGGGGCCACCAGTGAAGAGCGTCTCTCCGTGAACGCTATCTCTCGGAAGAGGCACGTCGGGACTCTGTTTCTGCCCGGTCTCCTACTGTCTGATCTTCGTTGGGGGTATCTTGTGGATGTGGTGGGGGGATGCGTGATATGATCCGATCCTCGTTGGAGTTATCTATATCCTGTGGATGGTTGGTAGATAATTAGGTAGATATGGGACGGAGAGTGCTTGTGCTTCTGGGTTTGTGTTGGTTTGGTTTGGTTTGGTTTGGTTTGGTTTGGTTGGATTTGGGGCTAGGGTTGGAGGAGCCCTGTCTATAGTGGTTTCTTTTCTGTGGTAGTAGTATTGGTTCAAAGGGGGTGGATGGGGGGATCCGGAGGATTGGTTTTCGTGTTGGATGTTATCGCTTGCTGGGCGAGGATGAATTATTTATTGTGCAGTGGTATCTGATCGCTGGCCTGTTTTGTTTAGTGTTGAATTGGAATGGTTGGAAGGGGTGATTGGGTTCCAGATGCTGATATACTTGTTTGAATGTAAGCATTAGTAGGGTTTGTGGTGTGGTGCCGGGGTATGCTTCTTGATAACTAGTACTTTGCTCCCCGAGATATATACAACCTCCGTGCTGCTACGCGGCTGTTCAACGAGTCTGCGTCTTGATGTTCCTGGATATATCGAACAGCCCCACACCTCATATCATCATATCATGCAACAACTCCATAACCATACGTATCTCTATGCTTATGGGGGAACAACCCCGAATGTATGGACACACAGACTAATGACTCCATCAGCCCAACACACTCGGATCAATCCTCCCCACCCCAAGCACCATCCAATACGCCAACTCCCTCTTCACGATATCGCCCGCAGCCCCTTGACCGGGACGATCGATCTGGTTCTCCGAGTCCCACTCCATGCGCACGAAGACCGGGATCTCGAGGACGTCCTCGTCAGGTTGAAGCGGCTGCTCTTGAGAGGCTTGTTGTTGCTGCTGCTTCTCCGCGGCCTGGCCCGTCCAGTCCGGGACTTTGCCGGCCCCGAAACTGCTGGTATCGCTGTCACTGTCGCTGGCGTCATCGTCATCGGTATCCTTTTTGGAGGAACCCTGGACGGGCGTCTGATTCCTGGATTGCAGGGTTACACTACTACTACTACCACCACCACCATTACCGGACGGCAAAGTCCCCGGTACGACCTCCAGCACCACGGTGGTCCAGTTACGGCCCTTGTCCCACACTTTGCCGGCTTCGGCGACCTTTTCGTAGATCCCGAGGTTACTGGTCGCCGTGGTCGCAGCGGCACCGGAGCGGGAGGAGCGTTGGTCCGTCGCGGCACTGCCGCCGGTGTTACTCGTGCTGTTGTTGTTGTTGTTGTTGTTGTTGCTGCTGCCCTGCAGCGCCTCGTCCCACATGTCGCTGTTGGCGCCGATGTCGAACTGCGGACAGAGAATGGTGACCTTCGAGGCCACGCGGCCCGGCGTCACGGACGGAGTGGCCAGGGTAATGCGGACCGGGTCGAACATGTGATTTTTCAAGGTTAGGAGCAGTTGCGTCGGTTTCAGCGGGGGCAGGGCGTCGAGGTTGAGGTTGAGGTTGGTGTTGTGACTGGTCACAACCGCGGCCGCGGGCGCCGGGACTGGGGGCCCGGGCATCAACGGCCGGAGCGTCGGTAACGGGATGTAGCTGAGGGCGATCAGCCGGATGCGGAATCGGGTGGATGACGGCTTCGTCTCAGGTTTGACAAGGATGTGCTTGCACGACTTGCATCGTTTGGCGCGCTTGGTGCGCAGCAGCGTCGCCAGCGGTAGGAGCTCTTCCACGAACCGCGCGTCTGGGGACTGGAAGCCGCGCTGCTCGAGGGAGGCGAGTCCGTCCCAGCCACATTCATCCACCGCCATTCGTTGGATGCGCATGCTTTCGGCGTCCGGGGTTGGGATCTTGAGCCCTTCGTTCACGGTGAGAGCCTCGCGCATCACTGGAGGCTTCGTTTTGGGTTTCTTGCTGTAGAGGCTGTTGAGACGGGATGAGGAGGCATACAGTGACATGATGCGATCGATGGCCCTCGGGGAGGAAATAGGGCCCCCGAAGTCCACACCCACGCCTAGCGGATCGCTGGGCGAGGAGAAGGACGAGGTGGCCGAGATCTGGTTCTTGTAGAAGTTCTTCAGCGCATGAAAGCGGGCGTCTGGGTTAAGAGGGGCGCTTGGCTGGTCGGGCGATTCTTCGGCTCGCGGTTCACCGGAAGAGGGATGGAACTGCTCGTTAATGGAGGAGAAGGTGGATAGGGGAGACTTGAGGTCTCCGAATGTGCGCGACATCTGCCTCGAACGAGACCCGTTCGCGTCGGTTGCGGTGAGCTTGGCCAATTGTGTGCGAATGTTGGTCGGTTTGTCGAATTTGATGCCGATATCGAGCGTCGACCAAAAGCAGTATCCGCATGACAGAACCCAGGGCCCTTGTTGACTGGTGCCTCCCTGGACGACATTCTCGAGGGTGTTGACCGCCAGCGGTGCCGTGCAGGCAGGGCAATTGAAGCAGTTGCGTGCACATCTCCACAACGATTAGTTCATCCGTTGAAGCGAGACAGAGCCAGCCGACCAAACATACCGGTTCCCCTCACTCTTCACCATACTGCTCGGAGTCTCGAACAGGCAGTTCGGACAATACCAGCACACAATCTCCTCTGTAATGCATCGCGGACACTTGATCTGATGGCAGTCCTCGCAGTAGAGTAAATGTTCGGGGGGATAGAGAGAGAAGTTGGATCGAGGTGCCCGAGGATCGAAAGTCTGTTCGTCCTCGCTGTCGTCGAAGCGCGGCGGAGGGTTGGGCTGGTCGGGGTCGTAGTGGCTGCTGGCCTTCTGCGGTGACTCGCGAGACCGGCGTTTCTTAGACGGATCGGGGACGGGGGTGTTGGCGCAGGGACAGGAGATGTATGTGTAAGGAAAGGGGCGCGACATGGTGGAGAGACGTTTAGTAGAGTGTAGTCGAGTATTGCATGCTGTGTCTACTGTTAGTCCGGGGGGTATTTCGCAAGCGACAATTAGGGGAGACATACCTTTTATTACGACCCGTCAAACACGAACTCCACAAGAAAAAACCAGGACTCGAGACTCGGTCAGAGATTCATGTCAGAAATTACTCATAGTTCGTCGAGTGACAACACAACTCAGAGGTCAAAGGAAAGTATGGGGGGAAAGCGCAACAACACCGACAACAACAACAACAGCAACGAGACAAAAGAAAGCAAATGCGGAGGAGGGCCGATCTTCCGCCCCGACGTCACGTTCCGCCGCCGCCGCCGTGACTTTTTGCCCGCCCGCCTTTCCTACAATACAATCCCTTCTTCATTAGCAAAACCTCCAACCTCAATTACCTGAAGAGACATCAGACATCATGTCTCTGACCAAGCTCATGCGGCCCCTGGTGCGGTCACGCATTCCCACATCCACAAACTCTTACCCCTCTGCAACGATAACACCATGCCTCGCCCGGCGCACCTACGCCATGCAAACGCCCGGCAACCCAGTGATGGAGATCTTCAACCGGCGAGTCAAGCACCTGCAAAAGGACCGAGCAGCACACAACGTGGAGGAGAGCCGGAAGACAGATTACATTAAAGACGAGGTTGCGATGCGATTATGCGAACGATTGCTGGTATATACACACACCCCTCTCCATCCCGCAACCCCGGAGTCAACTCCCTCCCCTTCCCCAGAGCACGAAACCCCAGTTGACGATTTTACTTCTGTCTCGCGCAACTTAGGACATCAAACGCGACTTTCCGCAAGTATTGGACCTGGGCGCCAATAGCTGCAACATCGCGCGGGCGCTCACAACACCGATGCCGGACCCGGCGAGCGAAACAGGCGGGACGCTGGAGCCGCTGGCGTCACGGATCTCGCACCTGACGTGCATCGAGACGAGTGCAGGGCTGCTGAACCGGGATATGAGCCACGGGTTCAACGAGAAGCTGGCGATCACGCGGCAGGTGGTGCCGGATCTGGAGACGCTGCCGTACGCGGAGAACAGCTTCGACGCGGTGCTGTCGTCGCTGAGCATCCACTGGATCAACGACCTGCCGTCGCTGCTGGCGCAGGTCAACAAGGTGCTCAAGCCCGATGCGCCGTTCATCGCGGCCATGTTCGGCGGCGACACGCTGTTCGAGCTGCGCACCTCGCTGCAGCTGGCCGACCTCGAGCGCCGCGGCGGCGTCAGCCCCCACGTCTCGCCGCTGGCCGACGTGCGCGACGTCGGCGGCTTGCTCAATAAGGCCGGCTTCAAGATGCTCACCGTCGACATCGAGGATATCGTCGTCGAGTTCCCCGATACCTTCTCCTTGATGGCTGATTTGCAGGCCATGGGCGAGAGCAACGCCATCCTCCACCGCGAGATGGGGCCCCTCTCGCGCGAGGTCCTGCTGGCTAACGAGGCCATCTACCGCCAGTTGCACATGGAGGAGGGCGCCCGCGGCATCCCGGCCACGTTCCGGTTGATCTATATGATCGGGTGGAAGGAAGGGGCGGGCCAGGCGCAGCCATTGGAGAGGGGCAGTGGGCAGCTGAATCTGAAGGATATCCTTGGGGGAGGGTCGTTTGAGAACAAGTGATCTTCCCAAAAAAAGTAGACGTAGCGTTGTATAATAGCGAAAGAGAAGGGGGAAGACAAAACAGACGAGGCCAAAATATATACGGTAATACAAGACAAACATAAAAGCGAAGGATATCCACATTCATCCTCAATGACGCAAAATATAAACACACGAAACAGACACACACACACGAATAATCTAAACAGTCCTCCGATCCGTCATGACCCGCACAATCGACCCCGTGCCAACCAACTCCACCAACTTCTCATGCCAGCTCAAGAGCACACTCATCTGCTGCCCACCGCCGCCTTCGCCCAAGTTACGGCCCTGGATCTGCGAGAACCCCGTGCCCTGCGGCGAGACCGATTTGCGGGGCGACTGCGCGCCGCCGGCGCCCGAGACGGGCGATGCCATACCCTTGTACCTGTCGTTGATCAACACGTTAGCCTTGCCCTGCCTCCCTAAGCACCCCCCTTTCCCACCGCCAATATCTTCTTTCAGATTGAAGAGGGTATGGTGTTGGAAAACGTACAAGTATTTCATCAGACAGTCCGCGCGCTCCGCCCCGCCATCCCCCGTACACACCCCCTCCAGCACGCGGCTCATCTCCCCCTGCCGGATGCCCTGCAGCACCTCGGTGACGGCCGCCAGGTGCACCTCCTTGGCGCGGTCGTCGCCGCCCAGTGGCGCCGTGTCCAGGACGTGCCGCAGCGCGCCCTCCGGGTCGCCGCCGCGCAGCAGCTGGCGCACCTCGCTGGCCACCGAGGCGGCGGCGCTGGAGGTCGTCGGCGGCGGCAGCGTCGCGGGCAGCAGGGTGTCCATCGGGAAGTTGATCGAGGAGTCCGGGTCCAGGACGTCGATGTTGATTGTGCGGTAGTTGAGTTGGGACATCTTGGTGGATTTCGGGGGGTTGTTTTGGTGGGGTAGGTAGGTAGGGAAGTTGGTACGGTGGATTGAATTGGGTGAGGGAGAAGAGTGTAATTGACAATTCGTTGGTGTGATTATTGGGGGAGATAGACTATATCTGTGAATAAAGTGGTTAGTTGGTGTGAAAGGTAATTTCAATGGGGTAGAGGGAGGAAGTCAGGCATCGTCATTACCCTGACGGTGGTTCCGCGGGGAAAGGAGTTGGACACGGTGGTTTGGTCTTATGTTTGGCACAGACAACAATTCGTCGTGGTAGAGCTAGACGTAGAAAATACTGTTCGCCAATGACAAGCTGCAGAAAGGCACTGCTGCGAACAAAAAGGGGGAGATAGGTCAACGGTGAGCTTGTAGAAGAGGTGGATACGGAGAGTAGCAGGAGACAGAGAGAGGGAAGGGGAACGGAACGGGCGAGGCGGGCAAGAAGTGGCGGTGCGGAGACATCCGCGGGCCTGGCTGCCTGAGGCAGAGAATGCGTTGGGGAAGTATACACAGTATTAACCAAAATATCCGAGATTCATTGCTGAGCTTCACTCTAGGTATCAAATGTCTCTATTATACAGGGAATATCTCGCAACGCTAAAGCAAAAGGCCACCCGCCTAAAGTACATGTGTAAAGTACAGTAAAACACCCCAGCCCACCCATAATCAAACATAGCAGAAGAGAAATAGAAGCTCAGTATATGCTGGCTCTATCAGTCGTTGTTTCGTAAACTTCATTAGGAGGTCGTGATGGTAATTGGAGGCACTGGAACTGTGGTCGTGGGTGCCTCAGGAGTCGACTCGCGTTTGAGATCCTGCATCGACGTCGCGCCCGCCTCTTCGTCCGGTAGGCCAGCTTCAGCAGTGTTCCCATTCTTCCCCCGGGACAACCCGCGCTTGGCTGCTCGGGCCAGAGGCTGCACTGCAGACTTGACACTCTCTGCTAGCCATCTCAGTCCCCGAGTAATAGGGTCTGTGACAAACTTGATGCAGCGCACGGCAAAGTCAAGCGCAATCTCACAGGGTCTGTCGGGGATGATGCGCAGAACAACCGCCCAGGGCAAACAGCCCAGGGCGCAGATGATGCAAATGGCCCATTGGATCCCGTTGAGCCTGGTCACTCCAAAAGCATCTCCGCCAACAAAGATAATCATGATCTGGCCACCGACCATGATGCAGTTGATTCCGAGGAACCAGTAGTTGCGGAACATGCCTTCGAAGATATTGAGCTTATTGTCGAGTCGTCGGTTGTTGAATTCGTTGAAAATCTGCATCCAAACAAACGTGTTGAACACGATCGTATCTAGAACCAGCTCAGGGTTTTTACTGCCAAGCTGGGAGCCGATGATTTGCTTCCCACCGAAGTAAAGCATAAAGGTGATGGCAAGTTGATAGATGGCCTGGCCCAAGATCATCTTCCACATGATCACAGTGAACAAAGACGCACTCTTAGCCACCGGCTTCCGATCGAGGATCTTCTCTGTCGGCGCATCGGTGGCCAAGGCAAGCGCGGCAAAGGTGTCCATGATCAGATTCACCCAGAGGAGCTGCACCGCATTTAGAACACTCTGGTTGTCGCTGCTGGACAGCGAAGACACAAAGGTCAAGATGACGGCCGTGATGTTGACCGTGATCTGGAACTGCAGGAACTTGGCAACAGCGTCGTTGACAGCGCGACCCCAAGCGATAGCAGTGACGATCGACTTGAAGTTGTCGTCAAGCAAGACAATGGAACTAGCCTCCTTGGCGACTTCCGTGCCTGCAATGCCCATGGAAAAGCCAACATCAGCTGTCCGGAGAGCCGGTCCGTCGTTCGTGCCATCCCCAGTAACAGCAACTGTTTCGCCGAGTTTCTTGAGCTGAGCAACCAGGATCCGTTTATCCTCGGGTGATGAGCGTGCCAGCACCTGAAGTCGAGGGATAACTCGATCCATCTCCTCGTCGGAGAGTTGGCGAAACTTGGGGCCCTCCATGACGATCCCATCTTCAGTCTTGATGCCACACGAGGAAGCAATTGCACTGGCAGTGACAAGGTTGTCACCAGTGACCATCTTGACTTGGACGCCTGCCGCATGACACTTGCGGATAGCAGCTGGAACTTCGGGGCGGAGAGGGTCCTGAATACCCACCACGCCGATCCAGGTCATGTCCTGGAAGACATCTTCGAATACTGCGGCTTCGGGCTCGTCTTCCATACGTCTGACACCGTGGGGAGGCCAGCTTGGGAAGTCGCGGTACACCATCCCGATTGTCCGCAGCGATTGGCCTGCATAAGATTCGATCAAAGCATACATATTCTGCTTGTCATCTTCGTGTAGCGAATCGATGCTGAGACCGTCTTTACTAGTGGAATTGTCGGTGATTTGGGTGGCGCAAGCACCCGCCATGATCTCGGCAGCACCTTTGACAAGGAGACGATAACCAAAGGCTGGCTCTCGATAGACCACCCCCATGCACTTGCGAGCAGAGTCGAAAGGAAAGAGTTGAACAATTTCCGCCGAAGCCCGTTCGAGCGTCACATCCATGCCGAGATGGTCTTTTGCGAGTTGTAGCAATGCCACTTCGGTCTTGCTGCCAATGAACTGCTTCTGTCCATCTTTCTCCTCCTCGAAGGCAGTAGAGTTCAGTGCAACGCTCTTGGTGACTAGACCGCGCAGCTGGCTGGAGCTTTGCTTGAACAGCTCGGCTGCCGTGGAGCCTGGGACACTTTCTTCCACGTTCTGACTGAAGCTCCTAGTGCCCAGCGTACCCGCGACAACTGTCATCTTGTTCTGAGTGAGCGTTCCTGTCTTGTCCGAACAGATGACAGTCGCATTGCCCATTGTCTCACAGGCGCGAAGAACGCGGACCAGGTTGTTCTCCTTGACCATGCGGGTCGTGGCAAAGGCGAGAGCAAGAGTTACAGCAAGTGGAAGACCCTCTGAGACGTCACGTCAGTAAGAGTCTTTTGAGGAGCTTACTGGGTTACTCACCAGGAATGGCAACAACAATGACTGTGACAGCCACAATCAGGATGTCGACGAACTCTTTGCCCTTGACGGCGGGTGAGCCATTGTTGTGTGGGAGGTCGGCAGCGAAACGGAAGAAGAGGGCAAAGAAAAGGATGATTGCAGCCCTGACACTGTTAGTCGAGGGATACTTCACAAAAAGAAGGGTTTCCTGTCTTACCCTGAGCCCAACCAACCGATCCAATTGGCAAGCTTGCCCAATTTGACTTGAAGCGGAGTTTGATCGTTCGACTCTTGCAGGGACAGCAAAATCCGTCCATAAGTCGAGTAGGGCCCAACACTCGTCACCAAATAGGTTCCCACTCCCTCAAGCACCTTGCTGCCTGAGATCATGAAAGGATCAAGTTTCTTGGTCGCAGTACCAGCTGTGAAGTGTCTTCCAACCTCATATCCATCGGTTTTCTTCATCTGGTCCGATTCTCCGGTCGCAGAAGACTCGTCACATTTCACCCCATGACCCGAAATGAGCACTCCGTCCGCAGGGATAGAGTCACCCGGTTCGAGATGCAGAACATCTCCCACCGTGATGTCGAAGATGGAGATCATGGAGACCTTACCCGAGCGGAGGGCCTTGACTTCTCGGTCGTTGTTCTGGAGTAGTCAGTCATCGTGCATTTTAAAAAGAAGAGCTGACACTTACTCTTTTGTTGAGCTTCGCAAACTGTCTCTCCTTCTGCCAGTCGTTTGCAGCCGTCACGATCGTGACGATCAGGATCGCCACACAGATCGCCACGCCTTCAATCCAGTCGACACCACTCCCCTCGCTGGTTGTCTCATAGATACCGAGTGACAACGAGACGACGGCGGCAATGGTCAGCAGAATGATGATTTTGTCATTGTAGGCACGCCAGAACAACGTCAGAAAGCCTGTCGACTTGCGGGCCGGCAGTCTATTCTGGCTGAAAACGCGGATACGGTCCTGAAACTGCGCATCCGAGCCTGATGCGGCATGGTGAGCAAGCTCTGGCGAGGAGTGCGATGGTTGCTGCTCTTTCTCATGGTGTTGTTGCTGGTGCTGGTGCTTCGCAGAACCATAGCCAGGAGAGGAAGTCACTTCGTCGAAACTCACAGTACCCTCCAGGCAAGTCTCATCCACGGACAAGCCCGAGGCCAGGTCCGTCCGCAAGCCCCGTTCCAGCCCGGGCAGACCACCCAGGGCGTGAAACGCTGCCAGCGACTTCGGGTTCTGCATCTTGTTAAGCTGGCCGGGAGAGAAGGCGAATTTGTTGTCTTGGACGATGAAGTCGTCCTCCGTCCGCGGATCCGGATTCAGCGCGTCGGACAGCGAGACATCGTCATAGGCGACCTTGGTCGGAACAGCGCTCAACTCCGAGTTGGCCCTGGATCTGACGGCAGTGTCTGCACTGGAGATAGTAGAGTCTGCTCGCGGACGAAGCGTCTCGCCGTCGATAGACTGTGACGTCCGGGACGGATTGTTGTGCACCATCAGCCTGTCTGGCGAAAGTGCGGCGGCCATGTCGAATGGTGAGGATGGACTCAGGCGTCCTGAGTCGGAAGAATGTGGACGCTGCTGTTCATCTGCATCAACATATACTCCGGTGATGGGAAGGAAGCTCAAGCGCTGCCGTTAAAACGTACCTCTCTATCTGAAACCCCGAATGGGTTCAAAAACTCCGCCTGACGATTACCGTCTGAAGGCTGCATCAAGTTGAACGCCGCAAACTCTGATTTGGCAGGGACGGTAGCAAAGCGTGCATCAATAGGAGTGGACAAATTGGGTAAGAGATTAAGGTGTCTGGCGGCTAATTGCCTTAAAGTGGTCACAGATCTGGGTTTCCTGCTTCGTGTAGAAACTAGGGGCCAACGCCCGGGTATAAGACTGGAAAGCTGGGGGGGTAGAGAAGGCTGTGCTTGAATAGGGAGGGTTAAAGTGATTGAAAGAGGGTGTATGGTTCAGCAGCGTGTGAGAGGGGAGTACTTCTAGACATGGCGAAGGCGATAGTCTCCGCCAAGGTATGGCCATTGACGCGGATGAAAGCGCTGGAACGGGCCAAGGGAAGTCTAAACAACGGGGAGGGGGGCGCAGCAATGGTCCCAAGGAAAGTTGACCGTGAAGGAAGTGAAGGACGTGATGGATGGATGGTGAAGGATGGAGAGATCTCGTCTCAGTCATTCTGCAGCTACACAGCCACCCTGCCGCCCTCCTATCACAATCTCGCTGGTGGAGGCAAACAACCGGTAAATTCCCCTCCGCAATCAATTTCTCCCCCCCGCCTCTCTCTCTCTTCTTTCTCTTCTCTCTCAGGGCGGTTAATTCAAACCGTGGATCTTTCATGGCTATACACCGACTCAGTCCCCTGCTGGATTATTGTCATTGCTTTATCTCCTCATCTCAGCCGCTGACCTCTCTTTGCCTCCCACATGCTTCTCTCAATCAGTCCATTTGCCGCTTGAAGCTGTGGGCAAGACCAGTCAGGTGATTTCCACTCCCTCACTTCACACAACATGTACAGTACAAGACTGGTTCATGATCTCATGCCGTTGCCTGGAATGGGGTAGGGTGGAAGTGCCTGACGGCCAGCAGGGCGCTTTTCACGAGCCCAACTGCTCCCTGCCAAGTGCAACCTACCAGAGTTTCAGTCCTGCTTCACCCAATATCTTAACGTCATCCCGCGCGACCAGAAACCATATCCTACACAAGCCAGCCTCAATTTTCGTATTGCTTTCACCCATACTTTTGGAAAAACCCCGGCCTCGGAGTTGTTCTCTGTGCCACCGGCAATTATCACCCCGTTAGCGAAGTGTCCGAGACGTCCTGCCTGAGCTTAGGTTGGCGGACTTGCTAGCCGGGGGGCGAAGCAAGGGTCTAGGATGACAAAAACCCGGATTTGTGGGTAGATTCTCGATCCTAGGTAGTAGCTGAATGCCAATGATACGGTGGTCTTAGGTGACCGACACTAACCAAACGGCGGAGAAAAAGAACCCATGGATTTCGGCGGAGATAGACTACAATCTGGACCGGTCCAAAAGGTAATCCCCGGTCAGAATTCAGAAACTAGAGCATCCACGAGGTGTTGCTAGTAGCTGCTGCTGCTCAGGAGAGCTACTTGAGCCTGGACCCCGTGAACCCAAGAAATCTATCTTTTCCTTGGCCTCTAAGCCGCGCCTCATACTTTCCAGTGAGAATCGTTGAAACTGTCGCATGCTCGTGTATGATCCAAGAGGATGACACATGTCAGCCTACAGCCATGTCTGTGAGATCGTGTCAAGACAGTAGACTCACCACATAGGTCAAAGCATCGCTCTGCTGTCTCGTGGCTTGATAGGCTGTGGAGGTGGTTGAACCAAGGCGAAGTTGAGCGCGACCTTCGTGGAAATATCCGTTTCAGACACAAGCTCGCCTTGGAAACTTCTCATTTCGATTTACATTCAACCAGCATAAGACTGATTGAATACATCGGACGCCACCGTCACCAGAGCTGTCAGGTTCCACATAAAGATTGCACTGCCCCAAGGTATGTCAAATCTGACTTTTAGAGCTCAGTGAATATGTGGCTGATCTGATGAGCCAGATCTGCTGCTACCCGATGCTTGCCTCGCGAAAGTCAATAGACCTAGGGGCGAAGCTCTGTCTTTGATGGGCGATGAAGTGGTCGACTATTGAGGAAGTTCGTGAATACCGACAACTTTCCAAATACAAACCCTGAAGGGTCAAGTTCTGCCTTGGCGAACTCCAGTAGACTGGAGTCGCCCTCCTGGCTGAGCATCAGGGTACTCGTCTCAATATCCATTCTGCACTGGTTGCGGCCGCAATAAGACATCAGAGCAGCCGACTAATCCTATGCTGGCCCCTGTTTGAAGAGAACAAACGGTCGTGAGACATCGGCTGAGCGACATCTAGACAAGGCAAAAAAGCAACAAATCACATCGGACGCTCCAAAGACGTGATATGTATGCGCTACAGGCCAATACGTTCGATGCGCCATTTTAACCCAGATTTGATAGCTCGTGAAACACCTTCAGCTTGCCAAAGCTTTCCAAGGTGCACCGGAGAGGTGACAAATGGTTGATGGCAAACGCCATATCCTGACGGGGAGCATTGAGTATGCCTTGGGGATGTCCTGTACAGGGTAAGAGGCAGGGTTGAGTATTGTCTTTTCTCTCCGGGCGACATACGGGCACGGAATTTCTGGGTCTAGCAAGCTCTTTTGCAGACGTTTCCGAAAGTGTGCAACCTGATAGTTGGGGTGAGAAGACAACACCGACCACGACTCCGAGGAGTAAGTATCGCAGCGTGTTGTTTGCAGACTGGGAGCCTCGGCATCCCGGCCGGGGGAAAACCCCACAAAGGCATGGCACTCACTCCTCACTTCTCGTTCTTGGTAATCGGGACTGTGTAAGTGCTTAGCATGTTCAGGCTGGCAAGAACAGAGGAAGTGGTCGTTGGCGATCGATGATCTGCAGAGACTGTCGTACGTCAGCCATTCAGGTTCAATCTTATCTTAAGTTCTTAACACTTCCCGCACGCCACCGAAAGCGGAAATGCAATTCCCACCCGGGGCCCGTCCCATTCAGGAAATGCCGAGGTGGAATCATATCAGAGTCTCAGAAAGGTGGATCCTCACCACTTTTCAGGAAGTCCGTCCCCTCGAAATTGCAATCCGGCTTAGAAATCCAAAGTGATGACATGGTCAGTCGCCCCATTTCCTGGATTAATCACAGTACTATAAGTCCAGACTCGAATTCCTCCTCGAATCTGTTCGGACCCTACACACCACACTGCACACTACCTATACACCACCACATCTAATACCACCATGTCTCGAGCAGGCACCCCCACAGACGTCGCCCCCCTGGCGCGGCCGCTGCAGTTCGAGTTCTCGAAGCGCACAGCGCCCAACCGCTTCCTCAAGGGCGCCATGAGCGAGCGGCTTTCCTCGTGGTCGGAGGACAACCTCGACGCGCGCGGCATCCCCTCGGACGAGTTGATCGAAGCCTACCGCGTCTGGGGCGAAGGAGAGATCGGGCTCATCCTGACGGGCAACGTGATGATCGACCCGCAGCAACTGGAAGCGGGCGGCAACCTCATCATCCCGGCGGACGCGCCGTTCCAGGGCGAGCGCTTCGAGCGCTTCAAGCAGCTGGCCGCGGGGTCCGCCGCGCGGGGCTCGCTGGTGGTCGCGCAAGTCAGCCACCCGGGCCGACAGACGCCTGAGAGCCTGCAGCCGCACCCGATCAGCGCCAGCGACGTGCACCTGAGCGGAGTGGTGCTGGGCAACACGTTCGGCAAGCCGCGGGCGGCGACGGAAGCCGACATTCAGCAGGTGATCGAGGGCTTCGCGCACGCGGCCGAGTACCTGGACAAGGCCGGGTACGACGGGATCGAGCTGCACGCGGCGCACGGCTACCTGCTCAGCCAGTTCCTGTCGGAGACGACCAACCGCCGCACGGACCAGTACGGCGGCTCGCTGGAGAACCGCATGCGCCTGATCCTGGAGATCCGCGCGGAGATCGCCAAGCGCGTGCGGCCGGACTTCATCGTGGGCATCAAGGTGAACAGCGTGGAGTTCCAGCCTAACGGGTTCCAGCCGGAGGAGGCGCGCCAGCTGTGCAGCACGCTGGAGGCCCATCAGTTCGACTTCGTGGAGTTGTCCGGCGGGACGTACGAGAAATGGAAGATGGGCGACGACGAGAAGCGGGATTCGACGAAGAAGCGTGAAGCGGTGAGTTTGTCTTGTTTGCCCTCGTGCATCGTCTTCCGTTAACAAACGCTAACGCCACCCCTCCAAAGTTCTTCATGGAATTCGCACAATTGATCGTCTCCTCCCTCAACAAGACCAAGTCCTACCTGACGGGCGGCTTCCGGTCCGCCGCAGGAATGGTGAAGGGTCTCGAGTCGCTGGACGGGATCGGCCTCGCGCGGCCGCTGTGCCAGGAACCCTTCCTGTGCCGGGATATCCTGAGCGGCAAGGTGACCGGGGCGTTGGAGCCGGTCATCAGCCAGTATGATTTCGGGCTGACGGCCATCGCGGCGTGCATCCAGATCCGGCAGATGGGGCTGCGGCTGGCGCCAATTGACTTGACGGACAAGAAGGGCGCTGAGCAGGTCACGGAGACGGTGGTCGCGTGGAGCCAGCGCAAGGGCAAGGATCGGTCGCAGGATGCCTTCTGGCCGCCGCTTGTTCCGGAGTATAGCGTGCCTTTGGCTGTGGAGGCTTGAGATAGAGTATAGATAGACTGTATATTGACTAGACTGGAAGGCTTGATGCGGACGAAGGATAGGATAGATGCATTACGGACGCGTACATAGATACATAGACCCAACGCGCTCATTAACATCTCCATCTCTACACAGAATGCTATCTCCATTACATTCTCACAAGGTAGAATAACACACCCTCCAGAGAATAAAGAAACCCCCACCTAAAAAAATATAACCGTGACCCAAGCCCAAGTCATGAGTACTCCTCACAACAAACCAAACCAACCCCACAACCCTCCCTCCCCCTGGACCCCTTCCCTCGCGAGAACAAGACAAGCCCCACAGAGCCCTAACTAAGTCAACCACCTCCGTACCCTCTCAACAACAAAGCAAGACGCCACCCAACGAACAAGCACGTAAAGTACTAACTACACAAACTCATCAGGCAGTTAATTTCATCTAGATTTTCCATCCACCAATTCCTAAGCTGAGTAAGACCCCTGTCCGCTGGACCCGGACAGGCCGATGCAATGATCTGCACCGCCACATGCGTGGCGGTGTCAGCCACAGTCATGGTACTGCGCCACATCTGAGCCGAACTTGACTAATTTCACCTCCGCTCATGGAGTATACACCATGGGTTCGCCGTGGCGAGTTTACGGTGACTTGTGATGAGAGGCGCAGCGTATAGCCTACTTGATTTATACTAGTGGATGGTGGTGAGTGTGGTGGTTTCAGCCTGGACTGAGTGTCGCTGAGCCTCAGAGCGATGTGGAACGGGGCTTAGAAGGTTTGTGTACACGTACTGACGCATCTACAGATGGGTGAGGATATGGTCTGACCGGTAGGCTGCAATTATCTGGTTATTGAGAGACAGTTTATATCCCGATGAGTGGTACAACGCCCAGCATACGTACATCTACATCAAGCAGGTAGACTTAGCAAAGCACAGCACACTCCCGTTCCTCTTCATCCTCCGCCATGAACTCCAACTCTTTGAACCGATTCCCCAGCCCACAGAAACACGCTCTCTCCCTCTCCCTCTCCCCCTCCCCCTCCACTTGACCCCCTTTCCCATGTCCCGGACCACGACCGAGAAACTCCTCCATTCCCCAGGCAATCCTCTCCGCGCCCAACCTAGCACCGTCGAGATTCGCGGCCCCAGGCCCCAGTCTCAAGGCCGCCAACCGCCCCGCCAGAAACAGCGGCACGCCGTCTCTCCACATCAGATCCTCAGTCAAGCAGGGCAGCCCCTGCACTATGTCCACGGGGTACTGCGCGCGCATGCTCTGCAGCAGAGGCATCTCGGCGACATCGGCGCGCATGCCGGTGGCGAAGTAGATGTAGTCGATGGGGGTGTCGGCGAGGGCGGGGATGGGGGGGTCGGTGGCGAGGGACCAGGTCTGAGATTCGGGATGGTAGGTGTGGGAGGTGAGGACGGTGCGCGGGTGGATGGAGACGGCGCCGCGGGCGGCGTGCTGCTTGAGGAGCTTGGTGTAGTGCGGCGTGATGCTGCCGCCGCCGCGGGCGAGCTGAATGATGGCTGCGCGCTCTTCATCGGAGTCGGCGGACCAGAAGCGCGCTTTCTCGAGGTTCTTGAACTTTCCCATCCAGTTTAGGGCTAGGTCGAAGTGTTTTACTATTCCTTGTTAGTTTCGTTTCGGTTAGGGGTATAGGATTGTGGTGTCTGGGGAGTGAAAGAAAAGGGGGGTCCGGGGGTCCTCCCCCGGGAACGCTTATAGCTCTCCTATTGTGGATGGACGTGGGACGGTGGTGTAAGTGTACGTACCTTTATACTCAGAGCGCATGAGCAACCACACCTTGGTGACGCCGCGACGCACGGCCATATCGACGATCTGGGCCGACGACAGCCCGCCGCCGACGACGACCAGATGCGAGGGCTGGCGACGGCGGATCTTGGCTGCCACATTCGGGGAAGGGAAGCCGCGGATGTCAGCGCTGTGGCAGGCGCCGTGCTGTTCGGCGGGGGACAAGGGGAAGGGGAAGATTTTCTGGGAGCCGGGGCCGATGGCCAGGACGACGGTGCGGCTGTAGTGCTTTGAGCCGTCTGCGGCGGTGACGGTGAAGATCTTGCCCTCTGCGTGGTCCCCGTACTGAATGTCGACGACCTCGCTCTGGCGGATCAGGCCGGGGGTGTTGAGGCGGTAGCGCGCGACGATTGTCTGGCAGTAGTCTGCGAAGAGACGGGTGGAGGGGGCGAAGTAGTCTTTGCGGTCTCGTTCGTCGATTTCGGGCTCGGCGGGGGGTCTGGCGATGCAATCGCATTAGCATACTGACTGGCACACGCACGTTTCCAGTGATATAGCAGGAAGATAACGAGGACCGAACCGACCTCTTGCGCATCCCCCGCATCTTCTTCCGTTGATGCTTGCTGATCTCCTTCCCCACACACCCCGAGATCTCCCACAGCTCGGCCCCGCGCGCCGCTTCCTGCGTATACGCCAGCATGCCGTCGCGGTCGCGCGGATCGACGTGGAAGAACATCGGGCTGCGCAGCTGCTCGATCTCCAGCGTCTTGAATGCGCGGTTCCATTTCTCCATCCACCGCGGCGCGGAGGAATCCAGCACCAGCGTCGATGTGTTCCCGTCGTCCTGTTCCTCCTCTTCCTCCTCTTCGGTAAAACTAGATGAAGAACTAGTGACCGAAGAAGATAACCCAGGTGGCGAACTGGCTATATCAGAGCCTGTACTCGAGCCCGAGTCAGACCCCGAACTCAAGCTCCCAGGCTGGAAGCGACTCTGCACCCCCCGATACCGCTCCGCCCTCACGCCCTCCGCGCCTCTCTGCTTCCACCGTTGCCCGCTCCCGCTCTGTCGCGCCTGCACCAGCGCCATCCGGCCCCGGTGCTTGTTGATCCAGTGGTAGCGCTGGTGCTCGTCGTCGGTGAACATGGCCGAGGGCGTCTCCTCGCGGAGGCGCGCCGCGACGGCTAGGCCGCTGGGGCCGGCGCCGATGATGAGGGTGTCATGGAGGGGGAATGGAGCTGCGGTTGGGGGTGACATCTCTGTTCTTTGTCTTTGATCTGGGGTTGTTTGCTCAAGGGCTGTAGGTAGGTAGGTAGGTAGGTAGATGGTTAGAGCTTTGGGCTTGGTTCGTGGGTTGGGTGGTGTATTTGTGGGACTATTTTGCACGGATGTTGATGATGTTGCGACTGGGTTGAGCTTTTCTGGTCTATAAAGCACATAAGTGGGAATGGGTGAATTGGTGGTTATGTAGAGGCTGAGAATCGAGGTAGGGAGGACCTCCCCCGGGTACTTGGTCCCAAGGTCCTTGGGATGTCGGTATCACCTCGTGGCGGCGCGGTTGCGGTGGCCGTGTCATTGGCGATCCTGGGGACCTTGGAGGCGTGGGCTAACATTTATGTTCTGGATTAGATGCTCGTTGTTCATGCAACCATTATTGTAGATGTTGTCATTGTGCTGATGGGTTGGTCATGCTTGGTGGTTGGTACAGTAGCGCAGTCGGCCAGAATGCTCCCCATATACAAAATGCGAACGAACATTATATTACTCAAAACATTATTCGTACTTCAGTCCTCATCGACACCCCCTACCGCCCAACTCATTTATGCCACTTCTTTGTCTTCGGTTCCACCGTCATCGCCCGCGACCGAGGCACTCCGCCCCCCTCGCGCCGGTGCCACGCATCCTGCGGCCACACCCATCCCCGGACGCGCTTGGCATCGCGCCGCTCACCGATCTGGGGCTCAGGGATCCATTTGTCCTTGGCCTCTGGTAGAACCCGCTGTCGAGTCAGTGTCCCCGGCCCGCCCACGTTGAGATGCGCCGATGGCTGCGACGGCAGGGGCACCGATTTGGAGAGCATGAGCAGGAAGTATAGCGCCAGACTCGCCGTCATCGGCCCCTCCAGACCCTCGGACGACATGCAATAGTTGTCCAGAACCGGGGACTGGCTCGCCAAGGAGCTGTCGCTGGAGGGCGTGGGCGAGTGGGGGTAGGTGCACCGATCCGAGTAGTATCCCGTCTCGCACGGCAGGCCGGCGGCCAGCTTGGTTGGGATCGGGGCAGACAGCTCCAAGTACCCAAAGTAGGGCACGTCGTCGCCCTCGTCGCAGCCCGCGCGGACGCACACGAGTTCGATTTCCGTCAGGATGAAGCCGTACCGGCATGAGTGCTCGCGCATGCACCGCTGCAGATGCGCCAGGCCGTTCAGGTACTCCACGCGGCGGTGCGGCGCTTCGTTGCGCATCCCTGTGTTCCACCGGTCGAACGTCTTGACGATCCCCACGAGTCGCCCGCGCGGGAGACCGGAGCTGGTCCGCTCCGTGTCGGAGGCGTAGTTGGCCAGGAAATGCGGCCCTCCGTAGTTCTTGTTGCCCGAGACTCGCGGAATGGGAGCATCGTAGAGGGTCAGGTGATCGGGACCCTGCGACACGGCCAACGCCGCGTTCACTCGGGGGGCGTAGATGTCTCGTAGCACGTTGACCAGAGCACCTTCCGAGTCGGGAGACAAGTGCGAGCTAGGCAGGATGTTTACTGGCGTGAGCTGCGAGGGAATTGCGGTCTTGAGAAGCTTCGATAGCCCATCAATCGAGTTGAACGTTTCCAGGGAAAACGACGACCAACTGCGCAGGTTGCGGATATCCCACCAGAAGTAGTCATGTAACCCTCGCGTCGGTATCACGCTCACATTGCGGACGAGATTCACTGCCTGGGTGGGCGCGGTAAGGTAGGACAGTAACGTGGTCGATTCTCCGTCTGTCGGGTGGAAAGATCCCACAGGCGAGCATTGAGCGCTCGATGTTCGCGTGCAGCTGTAGGGTGAGCCTGGCAGTAATAAAGGCACCGGCATCTGGGTGGGCGGCCAAGCTCGAGGAAAAGATGGTTCAGCGGGCGAATGATCGGCATAAGCTGGATACACGATAATGTTTGGTGTGACTGGCGTGATGGGCGCGGTGAGCGCACCCTGCGGCTGAGTAGAGCACCGGGAAACTTGCCGATAAGTTGCATGTCCATATCGGTTCGCTTTTGACTCGTCGATGATAGATGTAGATACAGACCGGGAGTGGCCGCCAGCGGCTTTGCGCTTGTACGAAGGCGTCAGACTCACGGGCGATGATAAGTATGGTCCGTTATGTGTCCTGTATGCAGGCGGACCGGAAGCTGGAGATGCTAAAGAGAGATATTCTGAAGCCGTCGCCCGCTGGCTAGGCCGAGAGTTGGAAAGGTTCGGTAGAGGTCCTGGAGGGTTGCGTGTGTTGGAGAGAACACGACGCTGGCGCTGGAGACCAGTGGTAGATGTCGGCTCAATCACTACATCTTGTGGCCGGATCTTCGGCAGAAGTGCAGGGCCATGATGATGCCGCGGAGGTGAGCTGATGATTGGACTGGTTGCCACTGTGACAGCTGACCATGGCGAAGAACTATTAGAGTATAGAGAAGAGTCGGATGCGTGGCGGCTATGGCTCGCCTCGATAAACCCTTGCAGCTGCATCGCAGGAGGGGTGGAAGGCCGGTAGTAAGAAAGTTCGTGAGACATGGTCTTGGAGGAAGATTGTCGAAAATAGAATATGTGCAGCAGACTCGTCGAATGTATTATCAAAGGAAGAACCAGCTTCCAATGTGTAACCAGAGGGAACTATGCCAATGGCTAAGCAGGAGAAAGAGTAGTAAGAAAGAAAAGAGGGAGATGTCGACGTATCTCTCAGGCTCGACTCATGATCTTCAAGAATGCTCACACTGATCATGGCACATTTTGATGGAGATGGCCTCGACATTAAATGCTCTTCGACGCGATGCCCTTAAGCACCATCATGTTCCAAAAAAAGGAACAGCATGGCCCGAGCCGGCTGCAGATGACATGAAACTTGGAGAGATCTCCAGTTTAACGCCAGGGCAGCCGTCAAACTATCGATCTAAGGCATGATGGCACGAAGATCAGTCCAGGGACGGCCGATGTCCGCTGGAGGGAAGCGCGATGCAAACGGTTCAAGGGCGAGTAGGCGTGTTTCACCTCGCAGTCGCGCGTTAAAATGTTGCTATATTTTGCATCGACTTCTCTTCCTCAGATCTGAACCAGATTGTCGGTTATCTGTGCAGATTGTGGTTCGTCCAGGTCTAAAAAAAGATCGAAATCCAGCAGCGATTGCGTTTCATCTATTCTGGGTAATTGCACCTAAATCGGTCGGTATATTCGCGAGAACGTCGCGCCTGGTTCGTCGGAATCGATCAGCGGCAAGAGGATGTTTGATGGCACAACCAGTTGCCCTTGGCCGATATGCCTTTACGGCGCATAGAGATGGAGTGACTGCAGCGCTAGGCGCCGAGGGAAGTGGGAAACCGCAGCCATTGCAACGTACATTGGCTGTTACTAATCAGGGTCTTCACTCTCAAGCAGCAGGTGGGATAGTTTTGCTCATGGAGTCATCCTAAGAATATACCCTGGGGCAAGCAGTAATATATGAGGGTCATCGAGATGTCGCAGTAGGCGCCGGCCGAGGTCAACCTCGGCGCCAGGCAGCCTGAGTGGTTCTTCCCTGTCTGCAAACTGCAAGGGAGCGTCTAATTACTGGAAATCGAGCAAATCACGTCAGATCATGGTGCGAACTAGTAGGATTGTCTGTCATACCGTCAGATTCACCCAAGTCAAGGTGGATGAAGAAGAATGAAGGAGAAGGCAGAACAGGGACGAATGGCCATCAGCAAGAACTCGGCGGTTAGTAAAACAACCAATTCTTGGCCGATCGCCATGATAGAGCACGCTCACTGGTAGCCATGAGCAGATTTCCGGTTTCTCACTAAACTGACTGGGTCGATCGAAGGAGCTTATCAATGGACGGATATGTTTCTATCTTTACAGATCACATATTGAGTATGCGCCGAACCGGCATGTACGGTACAGCAGCGTGGAGGCGTTCGAGGCGGGCCCCTTTTTTTGGCCTAGCAGAAATCACATGACTTGTCCTCGCCAACAACGCCATCACTAGTAGGAGCACGAAAAGTGCGAGAGACTTCATTTTGGATAAATGTTTTGATTATCTAAAATACTAACGGCCCCGAAGCTCGTAGGCCGTCTTGTGTGAAATTTATCCCAGCACCCGTCTGGGGGAGTCTGAAATCGGCCTCCATCGGAAGGCAACAAATAAAACAAATATGTAGAAGTATTAAGGCGCCATAAACACTTGGCCTGGGAATCAAACCGAGAACCCGTCAACCCATCCTTTCTCTCGACTGAGCTCGATGGCTGGATGTGGGCGGGCAAGCAAAATCATCATGCATGCTGGAGGGAATCTAGAAAGTCGTCTAACGAACTGGTCATGTCCAAAGAAGCACAATCGAAGGAATTTCCGTCTTTGTACTAGTCGTCAATTAAGCCTTGACCTCGTACTTGCGGCGGAACATGTCGTCCACCTCGGTCAGGTAGTAAGTGCCGGGGAAGAGAGTCTCCGTGTTACCGGAGGGCTTGAAGTTCTTCTTCAGGTGAGCATGCTTGCGGAGGTCGCACATCTATATCAAATAATTAGCATTCTGGAGCAAAAGCGGACCAGCGGTTTGGTGGGGCCTTACGTCAACGTAAGCCTGAGGAGGCAGCACAACTCTGGCGTTGAGACGGTTGATCAGGTCAAGCTTTTCAACGATGGTCGAAACATCGCCAACAACCTTGGCGCTGAGCATAGAACTGGCAAGACCACTGCCGTAGGAGAAGATACCAATGCGCTTGGGCTGGCTGGGGTCGAAAGTCACGTAGGACAGCAGGCTGGCCAGACCGGCCCAGACGGTACCAGTGTACATGTTACCGCAGAGAGTGGCCACCTCGATGGCAGGCTTGACACGCTCGGCAAAGCGCTTCTTGGTCAGAGCCATGAAGGTCTTCTCGACGTTCTTGTCAGTCAGGGACCTCTCGTAGTCCAGGTCACGCAGCTCGGGGGCGACCTCAGCGAAAGCGGGGTGGGTGGGGTTGGCAAGGAAATCGTTGTAGAGCATACGTCCGTAAGACTTCTGGACCAGCTTGCAGGTGGGGGCGTGGTAGGCGAAGTAGTCGAAGCGGTCCAGACCGGTCTTGGACTCGTCCGACACACCGTTGGTGCCGTTCTGAGCCTTCTCCTTGAGAACCTTCTCGCGGGCGTTGAAGGCCTTGTAGCAGGCATCCACGGCCTCAGTGTAGCAGCGGAGAGAGAAGTGACCGTCAACAACAGGGTACTCGCTGGTCAAGTCGGGCTTGTAGAAGTCGTAGGCGTGGGTGACATAGGAGGCACGCAGAGCAGTGTCGAGCACAATGGGAGCGTCGGGACCGATCAACATGGCCACACAGCCAGCACCACCAGTGGGGCGGGCGGCACCCTCGGCGTACAGAGCAATATCACCGCAGACCACAACGGCGTCTCTACCATCCCAGGCGGAGGACTCGATCCAGTTGAGACTGTTCAGCACAGCGTTGGTACCACCATAGCAGGCGTTGATGTTGTCAACACCCTCAACATTGGTGTTGCCGTGGGGAGCCAGCAGCTGCATCAGGACCGACTTGACGGACTTGGACTTGTCCAAGAGGGTCTCAGTGCCAACCTCGAGGCGACCAATGGAGTTGGGGTCGATGTTGTACTTGCGCAGAAGGGAGGAGAAGGTGGTCAAGGAGATGGAGTAGATGTCTGCAGCGAGTAGCAGAGTTAGCATTCAATTCCGTCCACGAAAGAAAGCCATTGCAGAGCATACCTTCGCGGTCATCGCAGAAGCTCATCTTGGTCTGACCAAGACCAATTGTGTATTTGCCTTCACTGACACCATCGAACTTCTCGAGCTCGGCCTGGTCGACGCACTGACTGGGGAAGTAGACCTCAATGGCCTTGATACCAATGTTCTGAGGACGAGCAGCCATGGTGGATGATTGAGGAGGGGGTGGGAAAGGTGGGATGGTGGGGGGGAGAGGGAGAAGATTAAAGGTTAAATTAAGAAGATTGATGGAATGTTTCAGAGAAAGACCTTTGAAGTGCGAGTATAATCACAGAGGAAGAAAGAAAAAGGGGAGTAAGAAAGAGAGGCAGAGGGAGAGAGAGTGATCTTGAGCGGAAAGAAAGAGTAGGGGGAGAGTTGGTCGATATATAAGGTGTGGTGGGCTGGGCGAGCAAAGCAAGCAAGCTGGCACGATGTATCTAGACTTAGAGTACGTACAATTATTTTTTTTTCTTGCCCCCCGTTCCTTAGACTAGTTCAGTAGTAGACTCAGTACGGAGGTTAGTAGTAAACTACCAGTGCTCTTAGGAGTAACCTGCAGGGGGTGGGGCTTGCCGACTTGCCCCTGGTTGGTGGGCTGGGTGGCCTGAGGCTGTCCCGGGTCTAATTTTCTTCCCACCACATGTGCTGCTGCTGCTGCTGCTGCTGCCCGGTTCCGAATCTACTCAACCCCCATCACAATGTGCGAGCTATACTATACTATATGCTCAACCTCATATGATAAATTGATAGAATTCACTATTCTCGCAGCCATTGCCACTTCCTGAACCATCTAGGATGACGCGGATGAGACAGTTCTCTCGGAATGTACTCCAACAAACCGATCCACCTCCTAATTTCCACTCTAGCTCATCTGAAGGTGTCCAGGATCTGGTATACGCCGTACTCTTCATCCTATCTCCCGATGCGGAAGATGCGAACTGTTTCGATCCAACCATGGCGGCCCCCCTCCTCTGCGCATTATTACACAACCTGCCTCTCCCTTCTCTAGTCTGACCGAATTGTGTTTGTTGTGGAAAAGGATCCGTTATTTTCCCCTCCGTTCCCTGGGTTTTTTCCTTTTCACCGACTCTTGCGGAGGTAAATCGCGGTATACTCGGTCCACCACCACTACCACCATGAATAATGAATGAATCTTTCAGCCCACCCAATTTCTAAGGCGTTTGCTGCACGTCACTCTGCAACTTGACACCACTTAGTCGATGAAACTGACAACAAATCAAATCAAGCCTATCACTGTAGTAGTTCTGTATGAGCTATCCGACTGCGAAACCAGCACCTAGCCTACAATTGGTGGTTGACTGTACTACTGGGGTGCTCTCCGGCGTATAAGTATGGTACGAGAACATCCACCAGACGTTTGATGGTGACAGCAGCTGGACTACGTCTATTGTTCTCATGGACAATATGGATTCCCCTCGTGTTGTGTCAAGTCCCCAAAGCATGCAAAATTAATCTTTTCCCGCTTGTGTGTCCAGGCGCATGGTGGGGGAGGTCCCTCATTGATCCACCCTGTATTCTTCTCAACCATCCCAGTCCCTGCTGGCTTTCGGGCGTCTTTGACTTGTGATACGATGATCGGGTGATACCATGTCGAACTTCATAAATGGAAAGGATGTTGGTCGTCACGATGATTCTGCAGCGCTACGTCGGGACGGCCGGGTCGGGGGTGCCATGCTATGCTATGCCTGAGATTTAGTATGTCAGCTTACAACAGCGACAGTGACATGGGCACGAGACGCCGGGATTGAAAACTCCGTTATGGCCAAATATCTACCTGAGGGCTGGACGGTGGAGGGTAACCAGGTTAACAGAGAGACTGGAGCCTGGCAGGATAATCAATCTTATCTTGTGGATCTGGCCGGCGGGATCTGTATAGGACGCTCCATTTTTGCCGAGATCGCTCAATGCCCAACCCTCCAACTTCTCTCAGTCCCGACAGGAACCCCCGGCGGGTTCGGATCCCCAAAGAGCGAGATGGAGTGGTTAGTATGTTGACTTTATCAAATTAAAACCTGCCAGTTCTGAGTCTTGCTTGAGGAACGCCAGTGAGAAAGATTGGTTGGTCAATGGCATGCCCTGCTGTTGCTCCTGGTGTTTGGCATCTCCCCTCCTACTGGAAAAATGATCATGTTGCGATGTCCACAATTGATATCAAGTAGCATTGAGGGCCCACTTGACTGCGCAAGTCCCTGTCCATAGACTTCCAATGCCGTTCCAGCATTTAATGAAGATGTTGAGGTCGGGATCTTTCCGTGTCACGACAGCGGATCCTGACAACCGGAGACAAGTTTGGCAAGAATGCAGTGTAAGACATTGAGTGGCTGTCTAACCAGAGGCAGATTAGATCGACGCCTGTCTCCGATGCGATGCAGCTTCGAAGAGACTACGAGTCTTCGAAGTCATAAAGACGATCTCTGTCACATCAAGGCAATTCGCTTGCGGGGATTGTAGTATCGTATTCAGACACCACATTCGTTCCACTTGTTGCTTAGTCAAAATCCCTCTACATTTTTCAAAGAAGAGAGATCATATGGTAGTGATCTCTCACACAGGAAGTGATAATAGAAGGGCTCCGACGAGATGGAGAGAAGTCCCAGAGCAAACCAGAGCAAAAGTGTGGGTGGTGTTGGTAAGTACATGACAGTATTCTGTACATTCTCTTGAGCATCATGCTGACGAAGATAGTTTACCGTGTATGGAGCATGTATTCTCATCTCAGAAAAGAATACCGCCCACAGTACACCCACACACACCCTGCATCTTAAAACTACAGTCTCTCCGATCTTCACCATGCCACCAACATTGTCGAGAAGACCACGCCAGAATAACCGTTGACCATGTCGACGACTTCTCGACTGTGTATGTCCTGAGATCCGGTCGGGAGAAGTCTGACCCAGAACCACAAGATGGAACTCTTCTGCCTAGGGAAATGCCGAGCCGGAGCCAACTACTAACTCAGTAGGTAATGAATGGACTGCGCCACGCCTCTCGTAAGCCTCCCTCGTCGACACTCTCTAACGGGCGGCTTGATCCGGGGAAGTCCAACGAATCTCCTCCACCATCAATCTTCTATCGGTCGATCCAGGTCGCAACTGCCTCCTCCCCCGTCATTGGGCTTGATTCATTCTTTCTAGTAACTTATTGTATAGCTGACCACGTCGATCTCGATCATTCGTCTGCACTCCAGGATCCCTGATCTGTCCTCCCTCCCCTTCCCCTTCAAACTTCCCCCCCTCATTGTTCCGGGGGGGTTCCCCTTTCCATTCGTTTCCAAAGCTCGTCAATCTGGGAGCATGTCTGCGCCTGTTCACACGGTTTCGCTTAGATCATGATCCCACTGAGTACACGTTGATTTCGGTATCTGTGATACTATCTACGTCGCATCGCTCCCGGGAGCTCCATACCCTCCGCTATGGGTAACGATCAGAAGTTCGAATACGAATCCTTGCCGATTCCTACCTACGAGGAGGCCATCGGTGCCCGTCCTGGCTCGTCCCGATCCCACCTCGATGCATCCGATGAAGCAGGCGACAATGCTGAACGACAAGGCCTTTTGCCCCGGAGTGGTCCGGATACCACTCCGCGGCCGGATGCCAGATATCGTGGCTATCAGCCTCCCACCGTTGAGTCCGCCCGCAATAGCATTGATGACCTCGACTCCACCGGGTCAAGATCGGAACGAGGGTCCATGGAGGAACTGCGACGGGAACTCGATCAGATGGACGTGGAAGATGGCCCAGAGTCTTCCTCCCGCCGCTCACAGTTACGGTCGCGATTCTCGAAACGCTTCAACAACTTGACCCGCTCCCTCTCTTCCTTCAATCTTCCCTTTCGCCGCTTCCTCCCTACGTTCCGTTTTACGATACGCCTCGATGATGCTCGTACCGGGCTAAAGAACAATGCATGCATGATCCTACTACGTCTCTTTGGGCTGTTCCTGGTGGTCACGGTGGTTTATATCTTTTTCATCTCGGACATATTCAACATGAATTCTCGCTTCATCATGGGACAATCCTACAGTGCAGCATCGGTGGAGAACTTCGTCCAGGGGCATATCAATGAGACCAATATCGCCGAGAATCTGAAGAAGTTGACCGCATATCCTCATATGGCTGGTACGGAAGGCAGTTATGTGCTCGCAGAATGGGTGGAATCGGAATTCAGGAAGGCGGCTTTCGATGAAGTTGAAATGGAGGAATTTCAGGTGTATCTGAACTATCCCACAAACGACGGAAGACGGGTGGCTATCGTCGACCCTCCCCAGTTAGCCTGGGAAGCAGCACTGGAGGAGAAAGAAGAGCAAACATTGGTCTTCCACGGGCATTCTAAGTCCGGGAATGTTACCGGTCATCTTGTCTATGCAAACTTTGGCTCCCGTGAGGATTTCCACTACCTTGCAAATCAAGGCATTGACGTCAATGGGTCCATAGCGCTGGTCCGCTATGGGGGCACAGAGTCTGATCGTGCCTTGAAGGTCAAGGCTGCTGAACTTGCTGGGGCAGTGGGTTGCATCATCTACTCTGACCCCGCGCAGGATGGCTTCGTCCAGGGCCCTGCCTATCCAGAGGGACGCTATATGCCAGCGGATGGGACACAGCGCGGCGCAGTCAGCTTGATGTCGTGGGTCGTTGGAGATGTTCTCTCGCCTGGATTTGCATCTACCCCCGATGAAAAGAAGAGACTCAAGCCCGAGGAAAGTCCGGGGCTGACGAACATTCCCAGCATTCCGCTAGCCTGGCGTGACGCCCAGAGGCTTTTGCAAGTTCTGCAGGGTCATGGTGCGCAGGTGCCAGAAAAGTGGGTAGGCGGAGTGCCGGAGGTTAACCAGTGGTGGACTGGAGCTAAGTCGTCTCCAACCGTCAATCTTATGAATCTTCAAGACGAGGTGGAAAGACAGCCAATCTACAATGTGGTTGGTAGGATAATTGGGCTAGAGCAACCGGAGAAGAAGATCATCATTGGTAATCACCGTGATTCATGGTGCCTTGGAAGCGCTGATCCAGGCAGTGGTACCGCAGTATTCCTGGAGCTGGCCCGGGTCTTTGGCGAACTCCTCACCTTCGGCTGGCGTCCTTTGCGCACTATCGAGTTCATCAGCTGGGATGCCGAAGAATACAACCTTGTCGGCTCGACAGAGCATGTGGAAAAAGAATTGAAGGCGCTCAAGGAACACGCTTACGCTTACATCAATGTTGATGTTGGAGTCAGCGGCCACGAATTCGAAGCCTCCGGGTGTCCCCTCTTTGAGCGGGTCATTACGCAGATTCTCGGCCGCATTGCGGACCCCATCAGTAACGAAACACTCAAGGATCTATGGGAGAAAAGCAAGAAGAAGCTGGGTCCGCTGGGTGCGGGAAGCGACTATGTGGCATTCCAGGATATCGCTGGAACCTCCAGCGTGGATTTTGGCTTTTCCGGCGAACCGTTTCCTTACCACAGTTGCTACGAGAATTATGACTGGATGACGAGATTCGTCGACCCTGAGTTCCAGTATCACAAGATTCTCGGCCAGTTTTGGGGTCTGTTAGTTCTCCAGATTGCAGACAGCCCAATCTTACCCTATGATCTCGAAGGCTATGCGGATCACGTGGGCGGCTATGTTAGCGACTTGGAGAAGTATGCGAAATCTAAGAGTGCTCCGATTGCTGAAGCCGCATCGGCGGCCTCGGTGACTTTCAAGCCGCTATATGAGGCGGCCGTGAAATTCAAGGCCAACGCGGAGCACTTCCAGAGATGGGCTCAGGTCTGGCACGACGCTGTCTGGGGTGCTGGTGGCTTCGAGAACAATGTGATGGCTGTCCAACGACTGTCATATAACGCGCGGATGGCTCACTTCGAGACCAAACTTCTGGACGATAGGCCGGATGGCGGAGTAAGTCTTCACATCCTGTCGACGTGGTCTTCCTACTGACAGTTTCTTTCCCAGGTACCCAACCGCACGCAGTTCAAGCACGTTATCTTCGGTCCTGAACTGTGGTCTGGCTACGATCCAACCCTTTTCCCTGCCATCCGGGACAGTATTGATTCCGGCAACTGGACTCTTACCCAAGAGTGGATCGATCGAGTCTCGGACATCATCTCCAGCGCGAGTAACAGTCTCGTCCATGACTGAATTCTTTGAAATATAGCATCTCTCATCTGCCTGCTATCCACCATAATCGATTTTGCCCGATATAGACAAATACCCCATCCCACCCGCCATTTCATTCTGTGTTTGAGTTGTCTAACCACAACCAGCATTCAAATTTCACTTGTTATATATATATAACCACCTTCCACCATCATCCCATTCCGCTGCACAGCCTCCACCCGTTCTCGCCTTTGTTATGTTATTTTCTTCTGTGTATCATTTGCCGCCGCATCTTGAGGACGGGGTCACACAACGTAGATAGAGCACCCCCCATTCCTTCGGGTGACCACCAACCTCCCTCAACTCGGCCCATCTTTTTCTGTCCTGCGTCTTCTCTATTATTAGTCACATGCTTGGCCCTTAACCTCTGTATCTACCTTCACATCAAAACACAGTTCTTCTCTTGATTCAATTCAACTTGACCAACTACCTTCCCTCAACCTCTGTAATTATGACACAGATCCTCAAGTAAGATATACATGTATATGTATACAGTACCGCATCGAAACACCGTAGGTTCAATCTAAGCCCTCCATACAAGCAGACAACATCAACTTGGAAAAGAAATCCATGATCCCACTGCGCACAATCCCAACAAAGACAACCATCACATCTGGTACCAACCCAACCATCCATCAATATATACAAGCTACCAATAGTATACACCAAGAACGTCCCCAATTTCATCCTCATCCCTATCCATCTCCCCCCACACTCAAACAACACGCAGAGAATAATCTCACTTCCACCATACAAAACCTCGAAAAACAGAATAGGGAAGAAGGGAAAGGGAGGGGGGGGGAGGTAGGACCTAGTCTAAGCCAATCCGCTTCCAAACACAAGCACTCCCTATCGCTGACGCCGACGCCGGCAGGAAATCCGGAATCAGAACCACTCACTCCCTACTAACCATACCCATCGATAGCGAGCGAGATGGGACCATCTTGAGTTATCGATTTGCAGTGGCTGTGTGGACTGGATCCTTTTCTTAATGCCTCGCGGGGTTGAGGTAGGGAAGTTATGGTTAGGGAGGGAAGGTAGAGCTGAATACATAAGGTGAAAAAGAGGATTTAAGAATACGTGATTGAGACTCAGGGATTGCTTCATCGGGTCGGTCCCGTTTTGACAAGTTTGATAGTAGGTAGTAGGTAGTAGGTAGTAGGTAGGTTATCTTACATTCATTTGCGGTCCACCCAGCTCCCTCCCTTGGTGTTGGGGAGATGGTAGACAGCTAAGTAGACAGGACAGGTAGGTACTGTACAATGCACCACCACCTCGGCAACAAAATACACATAACCAACAACAGCCCATAAATAGAACAAGTACTGTACTTAGTACTTTATGTAAGATTGGAGAAAAAAAAAACAAAGAAAGAAACACCTGAGACCCAGACACCAGACCAAAGAAAACCACGCACGCCGGGTTTGGAATGTATTAATTCGGACAAGCAACCAACAAGTAAATAGAAAAACACCCCCTATGCCGTATGTTGCGAGTTTGCACCGTGTCTTTTTGTGTATGTGTCAATATCAATACCAATCAAGCGGTCGGCTTTAAACCCTGGTTTATATATACAATACATGTTGTTTGGGGGGTATGAGAATAAAATGAATCTGAGAGGCGGGGGTATGGTTCGGGATTGGAAGGATGCATTAGGTTAAGGTAGATTGAGTAAACCTTCCCTCTCCGAAAATGTATATGTTGCTTGCCATAAACAAGGTTGAATGAGAAGTGAGGAAGAGGATGGTTCATATCAAGTAGGTGAGAAGTGGTCATGTCGGGTTGATCTTGGGAAGATAAGGGTGAACTGCAAAGGTCGCCCATCACTTGCGGAAACTCTCAACGCCCAGCGTTGGGGTCTCAACCAGTCGATCGCAGGGCACACCCTCGTCGCGTCGCCGGGCGAAGAAGTTGTCGCACTCCGAAACAATCTGCGCCCATTCCGCCAAGGCTCGACCAGCGTACTTGCTCGCCGCGAACCGGTCATTCATGGCGAGCTTGAAGTCTAGCCCGTCCGTCATCTGATCGGAGTCGGCGGTATCTTCCGTCGGGGTCTCGTCCTGATCGTCAGAGTAGGGAGTGGTTTGCGGTCCATCACTCATGCCGTCTTCGTCGCCCTCAGTGGCAGATACGTAATCCGACGTCGTGTCACACTCTGAATGCTTGCCCAGGGTCTTGCGCAGCTGGAGGTGCAGCTGCGACCCCACAGGGAGGCAAGGGGTGAACAGTCGCTTGTTCTTGCTCGGCCACTGAGGCCGGTCCATCCATTCCAGCGAGAATTTGAAGGAGTAAGGCTGATGCGCTGTGCGGGGCCGACCCAACTCCCCAGGCCCATTGGGTTGCCGCCACTGGTTATCTAAAGGCTTCTCCCCTGCCCCCATGGCATCAGAGCCAGAGGAGTCGGACTCGTCGGAGCTGCTGGAAGACGATCCTTCACCCCCAGTCTTGGAACTGGATGACCCCCCGAACATGGCTCTTAAGATATTCCATTTCTTCTTGGCGGGTGGCTGGTTCTCCGTGGGCTCCGGTTTCGATAAGCCACTGCCTGAAAATGCGGACTTCTCCGGCGGAGCCGGGGGTATAACGCGATCGAAGGATACAAAGAAGCTGGACGGAGACAGCTGATTGTCACACCGAATGATGATGATCCTACGCCCTGGCGCAGGTGTACAGGGAGCGGACGACAATGGTGCCGAGACCTCTTCTTCGGCCTTGGCCTGGAAAGCCATGTAGTACTTCCAGGTCCGCTGCAGCCGGTTCCAGAGGGTCTCATATATGGTGGTATCGAGCATGGTCGGATCATCGTTGAACCGACCTAACCTCCAGCACAGCAAGCGTTGGAAATAAGCGCGGACCATGGGACTCCAGTGACTGAAATAATGGTAAAACACGGACTCGTCCAGGAGGAACCTCAGACAGAGGTCCGCTTTCCTGTCCTCCGAAGCAGTCCAGGTACTCCAGATGCCAAAGAGGAAAGCAAATACGCGCACTTCAGTGAGCGAGTTGTGACTTTGCATCATCTGACGACAGACCTCCAGCCAGAACTCCCAGTCGAACAGGTCGGCTCCAATGGAGAGCGAATATCGTGTGATGATCGGAATGACCTCTTCAACAAAATCGCACAGGAGGAAGCACGCATTGTGATCGAAAAGTGACGTTTTCTCGGCAGCGGCTCTCATAATGGTACCGAAGGATTCCGCATACAACAGCCTTGCATGGTTCGGCTCGAGAGACGACTCAGACAGGAAATCGCGGAGCAAGATGATAAGACGATTTTCAGCCATCAAGCGATGGCTATTCGCGGTCCCCAAAGGAAGCGCCGAGACAGCTGCATCAGCACCTTCGATGAAATCGTCAAACGTGACAGCAGAAGCGGTATGCGTGCTTTCCGGTATCTGAGGCACTGATTGCTTGTATAGTGTCTCCTCCAAAACGACCAAAAGCTGCGAGTGAATGGGGAGTAGGCCTGGTGCCAGGATCCGTTTTGACTTTTCTAGCTCCGGTGGCAGCGCATCCGCGTACAGCACATGGATGTATTTGACGAAGACAAAGAAGAGGTCTGTGTCTCGGCCGCACCATCGTGTTACCCAGGGGCTCTGCCATGGAATTTGAGCGGTGCTTAGTGGGACATCGGGCTTTTGACGAAGATATCGAACAAGTGGCGTGTGCGCATAGAACGATAGACTTCGCAAGGCGACAGGAAAGTTTGCGGTCAGTTCCTGGGCCAATGCGCGTGTCCCACTACTCTTGTTTAAGTTTGACTGGTCAAGTACTCGCCGGAAGACGCTCGGTGGTGTGTTCCACAATCGCACAAGGATATCTGCCACGCCAGGACAAAAGAAAAATGCATAGGCGCAGGCTTTCCCGCAAAAAGCGACTAAGCTAGCCGGTGCATGTCTCATAGACATCCGTTCCACCACAAAAGCCATCTGAGAGAGCAGATTCTGAATGAAAATATTCCTGATGTTGTGATGGATGGAATCCAGAAGGAAGTCTGAGCCAGAGGAACCATCCGAGGATTCCGACATTGACGTTGATGCATGTTTCAAGGACCTCGAGAAGTTTCGACTGGACGGTGGCATGGGAAAAGGGATCCTCCATTCCGGTCGCGTCATGATTCCTACCACCGCCTCCAGATACACGGGCCTATCAGTCCCGGAGATCGACTGGTTATTCTTGCCGTTCAGCATTTCCATTAAACCGATCCACCACTTGTTGAGAATGTTTACTCGACGATCCAGGTCCTCCGGGCGCAGCTGTTTGAATGACGAATGCGAATAATGGCGATTGAGAAAGGGTACCAGGGAAGAGCGAATGACGTTAGCCTTTAAGGCACTGGATTTGGACTGGAATCTGGCTGAAGGTAAGAAAACATGCCACACACTGAGCTTCCCGGCCACCAACTTACTTCTGGAAATCGGCCTCCAGGTTGCGGAATACGCCCCACAGTTCATCTTTCTTACGCGGAAATTCCATGCTCGCAGCCAAATTCGCGGTGGCTGGTGTCTTGGGCACTGGAGGGAGCACTGGCGTCGATACGTTGAGTGATGCAGCTAGCTTTTCCAGCGACGTTTTCGGCATCAGCGACTGAGGCGAGGAGCTGCTGGGGGTACTCGTGCCATCTGATCGACTCTGGGTGACGACAGCGACCATTGGGCGCCGCGGTCGCTTGTTTAAGATGGTTCTCCGTCGCGCGGGAGTCGTGCTTTCAGACTCAGTGCCCGAGTCCGACTGTAGGCTCGATCGCGATGACCTGGACGATGCTACCGGCGGGTTCAATGACGATTGCTCGTCCGTCCGCAGGGACCGTAGCCGGGAGCTTTTCCCCGATGGAGGCGAGTTCGACAGCCATGGTTTCCGAGCCAAACTGACCAATCTCCCTGACATCGAGCGAGCTTTAGAGGGACGGGCTACAGGAGACACAGGCCTCGTTTCAGTGGGTTCCTTGGCCGGTAGCGAAGGCGTCTCAGAGCCGGTGGTCGGATCGGACAAATCCTCCGCGGATACGGTGAACCGCGAGACGGCAATGGTGGGTTTGTTCTTGGACCGAATGGAGGTCCGTCGCAAGATATCCTTCCCCGCCGCGACATCCTCTTTTGACGGCGAGTCCGACTGAGTCGGGTGTGTCAGGTCGGAGAATGTCCTTCGGAGACCAGGGTGAGCCGCAGCTTGGGCCTCCGCCAGATCGGGAAGGTGGTTGTAACTGGCGGCGTGAGAGAGAAAGGCATGTTCGTCATTGGGTCGAGGCAGGACGATTTCAGAGGAAGACATGGTCGAGGAACGCCAGTGGTGATTATAAATCGGTGACAAGGGAGGGCCTTGGAAAGATGTACATCTGCCCCCAGCGGAAGAGAATCGGATGACAGGTCAAGCGGACGATCGGGGAGACCAGCTCCTCCAGGGAAACGACTGCACAACGCAAAATATTAAACCATAAGCCAGAATATCGTTTTCTGAAGCATCGAGACGTCCGATCACCGGAAGTGGGCAGGGAACAGGCGCGGAGGAAGTGGAGGGGAGGGCGGATTGGAGATCGATTATGGCGGTGCAGACAGAGCGTCCGAGCAGGCAGAAAGGGACAAGCAGCGAATACGATGACGGTGGATCACGGGGCGCTCTGGCTGACAATATTCCGAGACACTGAACTTTGGAGGCTTAGACGCGCAAAAGTCAGACAACGCTGGCAATGGTGACAGAGGGTATGCGCGCGCAGTTGTATTTGCCGGCCGGGGAAGAATTGCGGCGTTTCGGGGGAGTCGGAAGGCTGGAGTATAGCGGAGGAGTGGCTTGAGCGAGGGGCAGGGTTGGACGCCGTGGTAAAGAGGGGAAACAACGAATTTGTCTAGGAAACGACAGGGTTGGGAAGTGCAGAAGCGAATGAAAAGGGGGGACGAACGAAGCGAGAATTTACAAGTGTGGAGGTGAAGGTGGTTGAGTAGTTTTATGCAAGAAAGAGAGGAAGAGAGGAAGAGGGAGAGGGAGAGGGAGGGAGAGAGAGAGAGAGAGAGTAGAGAGAGTAGGGCGAAGGGGAGGAGGAGGAAGAAGGGTAAGGGAAAGCCGGGCAGAGATTCAAGGCAGCAAAAAGACAAGGAACTGATGGGGGTGGATTTCGAGGTTATACGGGTTTCTTACAACGCCAACAATTCCCCTCCACCATGTGAGATTGAGCTGTTTGTCCCTTTCGATTGATAATCCCTCTCTTCTTCCCGTCACTTTTCCTTTATTTCATTCCCCTGGTCACTTGGGCGCAAAGAGGAGAGGGGAGAGAGCGAGGGAGAGGCAGGAAAATTCAAAGTGAAGCGTCCCGTCCAGGTTTCTTTCTTTCTGGCCCGAGCAGCAGCAACAATGTAGCAGGAGGAGAAAGAGAAGAGCAACAAGAAGACGAGGAAGGGGAAAATAAAGGCGACTCGAATTGAAGATGGGACCTCCTCCACGTTTAAGGATTCAAAGGGAGAGAGAGGTCCAGCCTGTGGATGTCTGAACCGGCCGTCCTTGAATTAGGTTTGAAGGTTGTGGTTTGTGGTTTGTGGTTTGCGCTTTGCGGTTTGCGGTTCGCGGTTCATGGGCGGATTCACTATTTTATTTTCTATTTTGATTTTTCCTTTTCCTGGCTGCATCTGATGGTTGTAAAGTGCTGCTGATGAGATGGGATGAATTGAGTCGAATGTCCACGCATACTTCCTTTCCAACGCTGTATTGTTACCAATCCGTACGTCCCCCCTCCTCCACTTCCAGGGCACATTCAACCCTGCCAGATGGAGTCTACAGTTCAACTTGGACATTGAAGTATCTCATATCTTCTGCTTGATCTGAAGTAATCATCATCATCATCATCATCATCATCACCACCATGTTCTGGTGGAGAACAAGCCCCACCCCCTACAAATACATGGATACATGGAAAGTCCTACCTAGGAGATATCCCTCCCCAGCCTTGCATTCTGGATAACGGAATCTTTCAATAATCGCTGTCATGATGAATCACCCTACAGAAGGGGATTGACTCTCTTGGTATATGCTCGCTATGAATAAACACACTAGCCATCGGTTAGGTTCAACCTTAGAGATCAATGCTTACTCTTAGCCCTTCTGATGAAGACAGACCGTAGTACATACATGCCGTAGTAGATCGGTAGGTAACTGTCCAGTACATACATCCACTAGACGGGACAAATCCAGAACGATACCATACGGTATACAGCGTACAACTTTTGCTTTCCCCCATGGCATCGATGCGCCTTTCGTCTCTGGCCCCATCACTACTCGGTGGATGCTGCATGCACGTCCAACCGACAGACAGACGAAGTCAAAGGTCAGAACACCTATACTGGCTGGTGATTGTTGCGGTCGGGAAGAGACCGGCCGAAGAGAGTGGTGGGTGGTTCCCTACAAACTACTTAGATCCACATCTACTCAGGGCTACGTATTGGACTGACTACTTCCGGTATGGGTAGAGGACCCTGAAGATGGAAGGCCAAAAAGGACTCAACCCTATATGGGAAAGACAGGGACGAAGAAGAAAAACAACAACAACAACAACAACAACAAGAAGAGGAAGAAGGAAGAAGGGAGGAAGCGCGGGCATCCGGTGTGAAACCAACTATGAGTAATGAACTGCGCGTAGAAAAACTTGGCACTGGCAAACTGCCCGTCCGGAAAGGCAATAAGGATCTTGGTTTTCCTTGACTCCTGTCATGATGCAATTTCTCCTATAAATAATGTTGCTCCTCTCCTCCTCTTGTTGTTCGTCTTGTCTCCCTGACTGCCCGGGTTGCTTGCCCCATCCGGGCCCCGTAAACTGTCCCGTCCCCGTGTCGGTCCCAATGGAGATGAAGCCCATTCTATCTGGAATTCTGGATCGTCTCCCACTCTTTCTTCCCCCCTCCCCTCCCCTCCCCGTCGTCAAAAGGATGGGGTGGGTACCATCCCGACTTAGGGTTGTCCTTCTGCTACTGATGAAACCATCATCCTTGATTATCATTGAAACAGTGGCGGATTCCTCACTATCTGGTTTATCCTCGAAGAATGTCGCACAGCCATAATCGGTCCACTGGGAGACAACCGCCTGCATTCCAGGATGGTGGCAGGATGGATGCAAGTGAAATGTGTGACGGTTACAAAGTAGTGAGCTGCTTCATGGACGGGGTGAACTGGCTCTTACGCCAGCCAGCCAGCTAGCCCGCAGCTGTAGTCCAGCCTTCCACGCCCACCCACCGGTCGAAGGAATATTGCTCTCTGTCAGGTTCGTATCTCTTATCGACTTCATAGATCGACTCTGCAGGCTGTATGTATGTCTGCAACTACCTAGATTATTCAAACCTTGCCAAACTCCTGCGGAGATGTTGAGACGGAGCTACATCGCACTATAGCAGCTGGGTGTCTTCCGCGCACGGTGAGGATTGGATAAAACCCACCCGGAACAAAGTAAGATAAAAGCGATCATCGAAGTAAACTTTCAACAAACACACAAGCGCAAATGGAAAAAGCAGAAACCGAAAAGGAGCCCCAGACCAGAAGATCTGTAACCGAAGCTAAGAAACACAGCTGGGAGAGCGGTCTGAGAGTCGTGCTGGAGCTGTCATATCTCGTCCGGCACCCGATGGAGAACAAGAAAGGCAGCCCCCCTGCGTCCAGTCCAATTCGACAGATCTCGTCTGCAATGCTTCTCTTCCTTAATCATTGATTTTCGGTTTCTCTTCGTGGATGGGATGATGAATTTTGATTGCGTGATGCATTGCTAATTTGCATTCGCCCGATGCAGAAGGGGAGAAAAACATGTTATTGATGGCTGCCCTCAAGCCCAATGTACAGCAAGTACTGGACAAGTAACTAAGCTAGCTGTAAGGTAGAGAGATGTGCATCCCTTGCGAACCTGAATCTGAAGCGAGGTACTCCGTAGTCGGTGGCTCGGCGACCATGTGCCCTACTGGACTTGATGAATGAATGAATGAATGAACGAACGGGCTGCTAACGGTGTTTGGCCTTTTCGTTGCACACGTCGCACGATGGGGTCATCAGTGCAGCCGGCCATTCTTATCCCGACCAGTTCGTATCAGGTTGGCCGGGCGGGGAACAATGGGGACGTGTGCTGCTCGTCCAGTTTTGAGTTGGGGGTCACTACAGGAGTGTTGTTCATGGCTCTTTTTCCCCTCTTCCTCTTCTTTACTTAGTGGTTAGTACTGTACTCTGTACTGAGGACTTATCAATCGAATCGGATCGATCAATTCCGCCCTACCGCCACAACACTGTGTGGCCTCAGGCCCGCCAGTCTCTGTGCGCGCAGGTTTACCCCAGAAGGCTGGTTGGGGCTGATACAACGTGATACCCTCCTCATATAGACTCTCATCGACCTTGTGCACCCCCACATGACTGCACTTGCACTAACACCAACCTCACAGAAAGAAAAAGAACTTCATATGCTCCAAATAGGTTTTAATTTACAAAGTGACTTTCGGAGACTCAACAACCGGGAGACAGCTCATCATATCAGGTCTCATCACGTTTGCCCATTAGCCCCGAGATATCCTTCTATCTTGCCGTCGAGACAAGCAACCTAGTGGGCAGCGGGAGTCTCCTCCTCATCCTCCTCAAACCAGCTCTCCTCAGCGGGGGCAGCCTCACCAGCGGCGGCCTGGCCCTCAACCTCAACCTCCTGGCTCTCGTAGGACTTCAGCTCACTGGCAAGGTTGGCCTCCTCGGGGGACTGGGGGGCGGCAGGAGGAGTGAACTTCTGGACGTGAGCATCGGCGTCACCGGGCTTGACGGGGGTGGGCTTGTAGGCGCGGAGTTCACGGAGGTACAGGTCCTGAACAGGGTCGGCTGCGAAAGAGAGAACGTTAGACTTCCGTCGTTTGAGGGGGGAGGCTCGCCCGGCCGAAGATCCCGGGATCTATGCGATCACGACCCATTCGCCGTAATTCGGCACCGGTGGTCAAAGAAAAGAGATGGGTCACCTACCCTGACGGATGGCGGAGGTCAGGAAAGTGCGGCGGGCAACAGAAACCTGTTGCCGAGAGACGCGGGTGAAGAGAGAGCGCTACCAGAAAGGGTCAGTCACACAGGGTTCATACCACCGACCACGGAGGGGTGGAAGGTCAGAAACTCACGGAAGCTCTGAGAGACTGGGACATCATCGCGGCGGAGAGGGGAAGATAGACGAGGGGAAACTCGAGGTGGATGGGAATCTGCGAAGAGAGCAATTGCTGTCGACCGTGATTGAAAGCCGATGTTGGAAGTTCGACGTTTGTTCGGGAGGCTTCGGCTTGGCAGCTGACTCAGCGGCGGGCTGGCGGCTCAACTCCCGAGTCACCTGTCTTTCAGGTCAGGTGCTTCTTCTGCCTATCTGCAATCCGCTGCTTACCTTATTCCCTTCACTTCAGTCTCTGTCTTTGTCCCCCTCATCCTTCAACCTTCCCTCCTCCCCCTCCTCCTGGATACTTCACTTCCACCACCCATCCGGCCTCTCTTGTCTGAGAATCCGACATCGTCACGTTGCTCTGCTCGTCTTGATCGCTAGGATCTTCACTTGCAGTGGCTACCTGTCAGGTTCTGCGGCCCATTTTTCCGTGCGAGCTTACTCGTTCACGGAGACCTTGACTGGTTCATCGCGGTCGGACAAGCTTGGCCTCAAGGCGTGCGAAGACCCACGAGTGACGGAGACTGATCGTTCGACGGCACCCCTCCGCTTGGAAAGTGCTATCTGAAGTCGGGGAACTGTTCGTAGGACAGAGAGTCCTTTACCTGTCTCGAAAGGTAAAGACGCATCAGTTCACCATGGAATCTGATCCCTTTCTTGAGGTATAGGCAAGGTGTTGGTGGCAGCTGGTCTGGTTGTGGCCTTGCCTGCTCACCGTCTGAACCCATGTCTAGCCTCTCATTATCTCCTCATGCCGGGAGTTGTCTTCATCTTGCTTGGAAAGGGCTTTCAGGCTAACATGAGTACGAAAGCCAGTGACGCAGAGACGTGACTTGCTCGCGAGACTTCACGATCCGCGCCGCTGCTCCCTCTTCGTTGTTGGTCTGGACGGCTGAACCCCTTTTGTTGACGAGGTATACTCGCCGCTTTACATTCGTTTGTGCGCGCGCAAACATAAGCCGCTCTCTCTCACAGGGAAATCGCAAGACCACAGCCACCGTTAATCCCGAGATCCGCTCCCGCAACTACGAGAGAAGAAGGAAAAATGGCTTCCCAGAAAGCTGAGCCGCAATGGAAGAAGAACCTTTCCGCCCACGTTATCTGCCCCGAGTGCAAAGAGGTGCCCCCGAACCTCGAGTTTCCCGGCTCACACGAAACTGTCTGTGGATCATGCGGTCTGGTGCTTGCTGATCGAGAAATCGACATGCATTCCGAATGGCGTACCTTCTCCAACGATGATCAGAACAACGATGACCCTTCTCGTGTCGGAGACGCTACGAATCCGCTGCTCAACGGTGACCAGCTGGAAACTCAGATCGCCAGCGGTGGTTCAGGTCGGGTGCGCGACCTCTACCGTGCCCAGAACAAGCAATCGAGCGATAAGGCCAACAAAAACCTGCTGGCAGCGTACAAGGAAATCGGTGCGCTCTGCGATGGTTTCAACATCCAGAAGAACGTCGCAGACACCGCGAAGTATCTCTTCAAGATTGTGGACGACGCCAAGGCTTTCAAGGGCAAATCGCAAGAGGTAATCATCGCCGGTTGTATCTTCATTGCCTGTCGTCAATGCAAGGTCCCGCGTACCTTTACCGAGATCTTCGCCGTCACCAAGGTTACACGAAAGGAGATTGGACGCATTTACAAGGCCTTGGAGAAGTTCTTCACCGCCCAGAACCTCGAGCGTATCAACGCTGTGGTCTCGAGTGGCGGCGTCCCCGATCCCAACGACACATACACGGCGACCACCTCCACCAAGCCCAGCGACCTCTGCAACCGTTTCTGCAACCTCCTCGACCTTCCCTTCCAAGTCACAAGTGTCTCGTCCGCTCTCTCCGACCGCGTCACCACCAAGGGCGACCTGGCCGGTCGTTCCCCGCTGTCCATCGTGGCCGCCTGCATCTACATGGCTTCTTACCTGATGGGCCACGGCAAGTCCGCCAAGGAGATCTCACAGGTCGCGCACGTCAGCGACGGCACCATCCGCGGCGCGTACAAGCAGCTCTACGCCGAGCGCGAACGTCTGATCGACCCGGAATGGATCAAAGAAGGCAAGGGTGATTTGAAGAACCTGCCCGCTAGCTAGAATTTCTTTTTTCCCCTGATCAAACCACAAGTACTCCGTACTCTTTAGTCCAATCAGCACCCCCCAAAGCGAAAAAAAAAAAAGCCAGAAACCCCTAAAAAAAATTCCAAATAAAAGATACCCTTTTTTTTTTCTCATCAAAGCAAATTTGCTTCTTCTCTTTAATGGTCCACTTGAGCTTTTCCTCTGCAATTGCAATTAGTTTCACATTTACAATGACGGTTTGTATCTGATACAATCGATTCCTTGCTTTCTCCCTTTCTCATCTAATGCCTTGAAATTCCATGATGAACCCCAAGCAAAGCGTACCTGATATTCATGCCAAGTTGTTCTTTCTTGATAGCACCACCATCCGCGTGAGTCTAGGTCGTTAGAGACTGCAATAGCTTCGCTTTATTCTGGGTTTTCATACAGATGCAGATGCAGCTGCAGTTGTGGTTACATAATGAATGCTTCGCTCTGTGGCTGATATTGACTCACTATGGTAATGGATTGTCTATGTAGTGTAGGTCGTAACTAGTATAATATCCGGCCGATCTTGTTCGTATGACTCGGTTTCGAATTCGTGGAGTTTGGTAGGTGGGTGGGTGGGTGGTACTTGGGTCCCTGGTTGGTTGGTTCTAATCTCGCGGAGAAAGTAAGTATACTTTCACTTGAGGTTGTGGTGATCGAGGAGGAGCGTGCTTGTAGTAGCTATCGTCTATGGTGGGGTCTGGTCTGTCCGCTAAGCTATGATTAGCGGCTAATTTACTGAAGATGAGAGAGTCATTCGTTGAAGCAACAATGACAGGGCTTAATATGCTCTGAATCATAGGTAGGGTGGGTAGATACGACGACGGTTTAGTCTGATGATGATATGATGATACACGCAGATCGAGGAAACAAATCCCCGATTACAAGAAAAACAAAGCCCACCGGGGAGCAGCAGGGAAGCAGCGAAAGGAGAATGGGAATCTTACAAAGTCATCGACAAACAAGTAGACACACAATGCTTAAGGATAAGTAGGATTGTATCACAAAAAAGAAACAGGAAAATGGGTGGTAGTGGTAGTGAAGGTGGGAAAAAGGAAAAAAAAAAAGAAGGCTTCAGAAAGTAATATGCGCGTCTCTCATTCATACAGGTCGTTCATACCCTCCCTTCCCCGATCACTGTCTCGACTCCGTGACAACCCCCTCGTAATCTCGAGATCGGATGTACTCCAATGTCCGTTGGAAGTGGCGCTTGGGGCCCTCGAGGCTGGGGTTGGGCTCCTCTTTGTCGGTCTGCAGGTTGGAGTGAATGAGCTCGATGAGGCCGTTCAGGTACTTGGTGGTCACTGTTTCGTTCTGTTGGTCAAAGTAATAGACGTAGCGGTTGAGGATCTCCACGAAAAGTTCGACGGAGACGGCCGTGTCCATGCAGGCGTCAGCGACCCGGAGGGCACGCTGCAAGCATTCAAGAACACGCTTTCCATCACGGTAGAGCTGTATGTAACACATTAGTCTCATTACAAGGGGGGACTGCGGATGCAGGGCAACGTACGTTCTTGGCATCTTCCTCGCCTCTTTGCGGGTTCTCGACCACCCACCAGAGATGGCTGGCCAGATATACCGCGCGGCATTGATCAGGCTTCTTGAGCAGCTTGCTTCCGTGGAGCGCGGCCTTCGTGATGAGTGTGTCATAGTTCTCCTTCGAGAATCCTCGCGTGCCGTGGAGCGCACCGGCAATGATGCATACCGCCTGGAACTGAGCACGGGAATCGCTAATGGAGTCTTCGTAAATAGTGAAGGCCTGGGCGAAGAACTCGTAGCTGAATTCCTCGAAGCCCGTCTGGTCCGCTACTTCTCCGCACATCACAAACAACCGCAGCGCCAAGTCGGCGCATCCGGGATTCACGCGCTGATAGAGGTTGTTGACGCATTGGTGCATGAACCGGTAGAGTGCCGAAGACTGCGACTGCCAATTGTCATCGTAGTGCTCGCGGGCCTTGAGTTTACGCGCCAGGCGTATCGAGGCAGTGATAAGGGCTGGAGTGGTGTAACGAATGCGCTCGTTCCCATCAAGGTAAGCTTTCCGAGTCGCTTGAAGAAGCTACAATCTGGATTAGCCAAATGCAACAAGAAGCCAAAAAACAAAAGGGACGGACCTTCAACTGGGTATCATTGTCGGTTGCCTTGATCAGATGAACCAACCGCGCAAGCCACCCTTGCTCCTCAATGGTCTCTTCAGTCTCGCCTCGCCGCTGAGAGCCAGGGTATCCCATCGACTGCTGGGTACCCTCCTTGATGAGAACCCTCAGGGCCTGTAGAACACGGTCGAGGTTCTCTGTTGTGGTGATGGGGGTTCCGTTCTTGAGGAGGCTGCGAGCGATCTCGCCTGCGACAGATCGCCGCGTGGGATAGGATTGTGTGGTCAGGAGTGGGATGTAGTGAGGTAAGGCCAAGGCCGTGAAAATGGAAACGTAGGAGCGGAGAGGTGCGGTGAGAAGTTGCAGGAGGTTTTGTTGCGTCGGAGCGGAATGAAGATCGGCGTGATCGGTATAAGCGGCAGTCTCTTTGGTCGCGAAGTCAAGGACCTGGTCAACGTATTCCAACTGGTCGGGGTAGGTGTTGAGCGCCAGGTTGACGAGCGAGAGGAGAAGCGCCATGGTGTCCTGGATAGGCAGGCCGCGGCTCTTGATCAAGTTGACGACTTGGTCGTAGAAGATCGCATACAGCTTGACATCGGCAGGAATGGCCTCGGGAGCTTTGGCGTCGCCATTGGCTGGTTTCTGCTCCTCTTCTTCCGCCGGTGCGCTTTCTTCCTTAGCCTGTTCGACCCCATTCTCCTGTGTCGGCTCTGCATCTGCCGCAGGCTCTTCCGCCTTCGTCTCTTCAGACACCTTCAGGTTCTCGAGCAACTTGGTAACAGCCTCTTCCTCTTTTTGCTTCCGTGCCTCCGGGTCGGCAGAGGCCTCTCTCTCGCGGGCAGCATAGCTCGACAGGCGGTCCATCAGGCCTATCACAATCTTCTTCAAGTCCACATGCGGGTTGAGCCGAGAAATCGCCGAAAGCAAGAGGTCGAGAGTATGCAGATGGAACTCATCGGGGAACACCTTCGTAATCACTAAAATGCGGTCAGCAAGTCCTTACACGCAAAAAACCCCCCTCCAAGCTAGAACGCAGCTCCCCATACCTTCGAGCAGATACTCCTGCGCCAACACATCCCGACACTGAACGACCTGTTCCAGCAGGGCCTGCAGTATACCGGACTTGTAGGCCTCGAGATCGACCAACTGGCTGAGGCGCACGACGTTACTCCCGACCAGCAGTTCCAACTCGCGACGTTCCTGCATGCGCTTCTCGCGCTCGCGAGAGGGGCCCTGGTGCTGCAATCGCACCCACAGCTTGTTCATCTCCACGAAGTTGGTCAGAACGAAGTTGATCGAGTCCTGCAGGTTGCCCTCGGGGCCGTCCCCGGAAGTGGTCGGCAGATGGTCCCGCGCCTGGCCGGACAGGTAGTACCGCAGGAACAAGCCGCGGATGGGATGCTGCACACCTCGGCTCATCTCCATCATGTCCTTCATGATCTCCTTGACGGGGGCATCCTCGACGGACATGTACACCGTGCCCACGGTGATCATGAGGTAGAGCCGCGGGATGATGTTGCCGGCATACTGGACGAGCTCGTACAGGTCCGCCAGGTGGTTGACCGGGTGGTTCTCTTTCAGGTATACGGAGAGGTGTCGCAGGGCGTCGAAGACCGCCATATACAGTTCGTAGTATTGCTTAGGACCGAGACTGGGCGTGCGGAGCTCGGAAACTAATGTGGACCTGCACAGAGAATTGATTAATGCGTTAGTTTTTCCCTGTGTCGGTTGCGCGGAGCTGCTCCCTCATCTCTAATTGCTCCCATTGCTGCCTGGCGAGCGGGAGGTGGGTGGGTGGGTAGGTAGGAGCTCACCCGCATTTCAGCGCATCCATTAACTTCCCGGGCGTCTCTAGACATTTCCGCATCATCTGCGACTGCTGTCGCACCACGCCCAATGCCTCCTCGAGGAGACGAGTCTGGTCTTCGGGGGCTGCTACCGGGGTAGCCATGGTGGCTGTATTGTGAATGGGAGGAAGGAGGGGGGAGTGGAATTCGGGTCTCGTGAATCGGGGCGGTAAACACCTGGCCGGAAAGGGGGGAGGGGAGCGGAGCAAGGGCTTCAATGACAGGGAAAGCCAAATCAAACGGTGCGCAAGAATAAGTACAAGATATTAGACGGCTTCCAGTCCATAGACAGAAGAATCGAGGGGGGAAGATTAGAAAAGAGCTGGGAGAGGTGAATGCGGACATGCGATCAGGACTGGGAGGTTCGGACTGGATGGGCTGGGCTCGGGTTATGTAAACGAACCGCCCGGCTGTTCAATCAGTTACTGCACTGCACTAAAGTTGTCGTACATCACGGGGGCACGAGGCCGCTAACCGCTCTAGGATACTACATAGTACTGTCATTAACTATCTAGTGTATAAGTGAACTGTTTTACTGCATTGAACTCACATTTATTTACCTGACTAAGGTGCCGGGTAAATCCCAAACGCAATTGCCTAATGCCCACTTTCCGCCGACGACTGCAGCCTGAGACCCATGATGTCAGTCTGTCGGCGAATATATACCAAACTGCTCGAAGCTGAGCGCGACAAATTGTATACTTCCTTTCCTCTTTTGCTCTTATCCTACTGTATGCTTTCATTATTCCGACCTAGGTCTCTGACTCAATTTAAAAATGTCTTCATTCGATACTGTTTCTCATCCCAATTTCTTACAGGAATTCTGTCTAAGTGAAGATCTGTCTCGGCTTAGTATCGAATCAGGATCTATTCCTCATACACGCCGGGCAAGACTATCTTTATTACATCCTCTGGAAAAAGACGATATACTAGCATTATGTCGGCCAAAATTGGATCTGTCTACAGTCTCTGAATCACCTCGCCGTCACTGTGACCATTCAAAACACGAGTACCTCAATTTACAACCACTTGGCAAGATCTGGAGAAAGGAGTTGATCAAGGTTCCACCTTTTTCTCGATTAGTATTCGATCTCACGTTACCACCGAGTTACTGTAACGCCAAGGAGAGCTCCAGTCGAAGGATATACTGGGATACATCTACTCCTCAGGAGCCTAGTCTGCTGATTCCTACCAAAGATGTCTTCAATATAGTCAACACTATTGCCCTGACAACCAGAATGCGGATAAAGGCCGAAGCCTCTTTCGACATTTGTGACGATTTGACGGGAGGGATGAGTTTATCCGCGATGAAGGCTCTTAAGAACCAGGTCATTGCACTCAATACTGCAGCTATTTCCAAACGATGAGAATGGGAGCGATTCTGTGTACACCATCCGCGACGACCAGCATGGCTCAGATAGCACTACCCAAAGTCTGGAAGCCGAGGCTCGCTGAACTGAGAGCGCTGGAATTGCGTGGTTAAAAATCTTGGTATACTGGTGATCCGAGGAGATAATTCTCTCGAGATTGTAAAGGAGGTTACAGGTATGCGCATGCCTGATGTGCAGCTAGTAATAATGCCTTACTTATTTAGGAATACAGCATCAACTCCAATCAGTAATTATGTCTCGAATTAATCTCATTTCCCGCATCCACTACATAGCTAATGTATGGCGAGTTGACCGACTAGCCAGGCTCGTGAGACGTGGACACCTCTTATTTGGACCCGTTTCGTTCAGCGATCAGCAGGCGGTCAACTCGCCAGGCTCGTAAGACGTGGACACCTGCGTGGGATGTGCTTGGTGTCGGTGGTATTGAGCGCACGGCTTGCAAAGGTGGCGGCATGCTCGGGGGCAACGTCGATACAAGCCGGCTGAGTGTCGTTTGCGCTTCCGGCAGTGTGCTTCAGAGCTGCATCGGTGGGATTCACAGCGCGCTGGCTCAGAGCCTTCTTAGGTTGGTCGCCGTCCTTGTGCTCCGGTGATGTTCATGCTCGGTTTCGTTGTGCTGAGCCAAAGAACGGGGCAGAGTGCTGTTGCTGCGCTTGGTCACCGTCGTGGATTCCTGGCTGAGGGGCCATTCTGTGACGGTGGTGTTGGTCTCAGCGGCGTGCTCATGGCGACGCTGGTGGTGTTCCGTGCTGTTGAGTCCACGCGCGGCGATGGGTGGACGGGGAAGGGGACTGCCCGTCACTCGAGGACCGACGCTCCAGGAGGAAAAAGATGGACCCCAAGCTGGCGTGGAGGAAGGGTATTCAGTGACGGTCACCGTCACTGGCGGGGAGGGTGTAGCGGTGACGGTCTCAACCGTGGGAGCGGCAGTGCCAGCAACGTTGACGACCTTGTAAGGAAGCTCATGTCTGCGAGCGATGGTCTCGTTCGCCTGGGAATGGAAGACTGGCACTGCCTGAGCAGTGAGGGAGAGAGCGAGGAGCAAAGCGGCGATATACATATTGAGATGATCGCGCAGGAAGATTTGAGCAAGAGTTGAATGGTCTGGGTGGGGGAGAAGAAAGCGCAAAGACCGCTAAGAGTATTCTCTTGATATTAAAGAGACAATGTCTTAGAACTGTGGTTCAGTGGATTAGACTAGAAGAGAGCTAGAAGCCAAAGCGCGAGGGAGTCGACTCATTTATCACTTGGATGGAAGCCGTAGAAACACACACAAACGCACCGACCAACAAGCCATGGAGATAAAGTTAGCAGCACAAAACAAGGAGAAAGAAAAGAGAAAAAAAAAAAAAGAATAAACAGAATAAACAAGATCCACCACGATCCAAAGAATTAGATCTTTATTCCATCATAGACGGCACGCGGGCTCTGTGGGCGGGAGATAAAAGTGCAGGCTGGCGCATCCTCGTTGCTGTCAAAGGAGGCTGGGAATGGAGCCAAGTTTGCCAGCCCCGTGGGTTTTGGGCGATTGACATCCACGCAAGCCTGGACCCTGCACCACGTTTAATTTTAGGACGAGCCAGATAGGTCTTGGCTAGGCGGATGCGATTCAAAAGTGTCAGTCTAGCTGACCAGAGTTACTACACCGCAGTATAATCTGAACAGTTTTCTTGTGTCTGTAGTATATTGTCGAGTATAGTAGTAGTATTGAAAGATGTCTACCCGATAGTAATGTGGCTGGGGTTAGACGAGTAACCAGGCACAGGCGGCTGTGGCCTATGACGTTGCTATTCGACGGTTGACGGGCGGTGGACCGAGGATCTGCCGGTCCAGACGGCTTATCAAGCAGATCAACTTCTACTGTAGACTTTGACACGGCATCTCACTCACCACCAAGTCACGGTTACACAATGTTGATCAGAAAGCGCATGTTTCCTTCGTGGCCATCACCGCCTCGATGGCTGAATGATTCCCTCACTCTTGTCGTCTCTCCAGCACTTCATCTTCGGTGTAGATCTTCATCGACGACGTCATGAGAACTCGCGGCCTTGAGGGATATCCTTCGCATCTCGGAGTGCGGATGAAGCGAGTGGTGCGAGGTTATGCTGGTCTCCTTTTTGAGATAGAGGCGGTGTCATGATCAACACTCGCCAGTCAATCCAAAGTCCCAACCAAGCACTGTCTTTGATTCCCACCTGATTAGGGACACCACGTACACGTATAGAATGTCTACATTCGCCAACCTCGTCAATTGGCACATACTCGCACGGTTGCGGGGCAAATTAGCTTGGTTGAGTGGGTTCGGCAGGCAAAGTAAAGCTGCATTGAAGTACTCGTAGGGTCTAACATGAGAAGCGTTCCATAAATAGGTTGCGCCTATCATGCGCACTACACGGCTCAGGGAGTCGACTTAACCTTTGCGGTTGTTGAGGCTCGGATTCTGACTGCAATCGATGGGCGGGGCCATCTCTGAACTGCAATTGTCTGAGACCTCTGACGAATCCGTAGCTGCACTATGTAAGTTTCATGCCAGATTCCGTATTGTTAGTATGCACGCCCCGACCATGCAGAGCTCGGCTCGGCAGGGTCTACGTAATGCATCCGGCTGAACTGTCCACGAGGCGGTGTCCCATTCGGACCCGATATCGGCTCAATGTCGGTTGAGGAGTCCCTTGCAAGTGGCCATCGCATATCGGTACCTAATCAACTGGGTATGAGGAAACGACCCTCAAGACATTGTCAGATCCTCGACGCGAACCAAGCCACACCCCATACCCGCACCAGCCCAGCCTGCACAGGCTTGATTCGGGTTCCATGAAAGCGCAGTGATATGGGTTTCTTCCTCGTAGATCGTGATCATAGCCATCCCATTGACTAGTTTGCGGTCGCCGATCAGGTTGCGCAACAGACTGACACTCTCTGCACGGTATCCGTCGTAGAACCGACTGACCCCCGTGCCGGTGGCGTGCGGCCCACGCACCCATTCATGCTGGAACCAGTTCTGTTGCCATTGCTTCTCCTTGGAATGCAGCATCCGCCGCAGAGGGTTCGTAGCCAGGGCCATGCCGCCTACGCAACCGAACAGCACGCTTGGATGCCAGGAACTGCACGGCGCCAGCGCCGATATTGTACTCTGTAGTCGGGCGATGGCCGTGGAGGTATAGAACCGGCGGACGGCGAGCAGACGGGCGAAATCGTTCTCGTCGCTTGAGAGAAACGATTGGAGCGGCGGGCAGTACGAGAGATGCGTGGTGCCAACCCGCATGCGATTCGTATACACCTGGTCCTTGGGCGGGTCGATGACTGACGTGAGCCGGGTGTCGCCGTCCATAGACGTGGTGCCTATCAGATGAGGATAAGTAGGATAGGCCGACGCGATGTTGAGAACCCACGTCGAGTGGAGCGCTTGATAGAAGTATGGGAGAGAATCGGATGACGAGCTCGGAGACGGCGGTGCAATGCTCCAGATCGCGACATACCCGTTGGCACAGCCGACGGCGATATCGCTTGGAGAAAGCCATGTCACGCATGTACATACGGTCGACGGAGGCTTCGCCTCAAAAACAGTGGAATGTACCTTGTCTGCGATGGTCAGTAACCGCAAGGCTCAAGAAAAGACGGGGGCAAAGAACCTACAGAATTCAGCTTTCTTGGAATCCCGGCCAATCTTGACGTCGATGACTCGCACATAACCATCGGTCCAAACACCCGCTAGAAGCCCCAAGCTCTTCTGCGCACCTTCATCGTCTTCGTCCCGAGATCCGCGCGGCATCGGACACCAGGCCAACCGGCGCAGATCCCCCCAATCCGTGCATAGCGCAAGGCGTAACTGAGGCTTAACGGACATATCAATCTGTTTTGTCAACGCATCGGACTCCCGAGCCTGAAACGACCAAATCTGTAAAGCACAGGGGTAAGGCGCGGACGGCCTGAAGGCCGGCGCGGCCTGATCTTTCAAGGGATCAGGAACCTCCTGTTTCTGTTCCGGGAGAACGGGCGCCACGACGGACAGATACTGGGTGAGGCCGGACTGATTCGGCACCCAAGCCAGACACTGGACCTTCTGGCCGAAGTTCAGAAGCCAGCCCTCGCGCACCTTGGGCTTGGCCGCAGACCCAGCTTTGTGAGCTTTGGCTTCTCCCCACGCCTGGCCGAAGTCAAGTACCTCGTGCTGAGCCAGCGTGAACTCCTGCTGACGATCGACCGGCCCAATGAGGACGGTATGATCGCCTCGCGACCGAGCGAAGTACTTCCGGCGCGCAGCAGTCTCCGCGAGCTTCTGCACGCGCTGCCGTTTCCCGAACCGCTGGCGGACGGCGTCCGAGTAATACCAGTCCCAGCCGCTGGAGCGTTCCCGGTCCACATCCGCAGGCTCAACGCCAAACGTCCGCCCATACCCATAATCCGTGCCGGGCTCCTGCTCCTTCTCCAACGCCGCGCGAGTCGGGAACGTCGACTCGATACCCCCACCCCACCTCTCCCTCGCATAGATCATAGCCAACAAATCCCGATCATCGGTCCCATACATCAACCGCAGATGGACCGCCTTGCCAACGTGTTCAATAGGGTTGAACGATCCGCGCGAATGCGTCTCATCGCCCGCCAACAGCAAGCTTCCATCCGGATGTCGTCGCTTGGGCGTCCGGGGCGTAGCAGCAGCAGTAGTGGTACCGACGGTGCGCGACTTCCGACGACGAGCGCCAGCGCCAGCACGGGCACCAGCACCTCCTTCTTCAAGTTCAGAGCCCAAGTCCTCATCCACAGCACCGTCCTCATTCCCAGCCTCCTCCTCCTCCTCATCATCATTGTCGTCGTCCTCCACCTCCTCCTGAAACTCCTCGTCCTCATCATCGTCCTCATCACGATCCCCAGCATCACCCATCTTGAAATCCTCATCCTCAGAATCATCATTCACAGCTGCGAACGCACGCTTACCCTGCCCCTTCTTCCCCGACGAGGAGGGAGCGGCGACGGCGGCGCCGCCCTCATCCCCGGCGTCCTCGTCGCTAACGCCCGCAGCCACGAACGGATCATCTATGTATTTAGTTCTTGCACCGGAAGTGCGGTTGGAGCGGCGGGTGCGGGTCATAGTCTGTGTAGGCCACGGAGTAGCGCAATAATGGAATAGTGTAGAGGCGGCTATCGGGTTTAGTTCAAGTCTGCTGCGGGAGGTTTTTCAATCGGGGCGGCGGCGCATCGCGTATTTTCGAGTCCAGGTCGCGGTTGGAGGTGAGTTTGCTAGGATAATACCGTCGCGGGATTCGTTAGAGCGGATTGGAAGTCATTGCTTTTTTGTATATCTTGTTGTTTTGGTTATTAGTCCAGGTTGGTGTTGATGATGGGTGATAAAATATCCCGGCCGCGCCGCGGGCGGGCGGGCGATGCTAGTTGCCTGATTGGGTTAGCGGTCTTGGCGTGGGTGGAAGAGCTTCGATGTATGTACTACGGAGTACTTATAAGTATAACGGGCGAGGTTATTTTAAATGAGAATCTGACCTGAGAAATCGGGGTAGATAACAAGAGATTGTTTAACAAAGAGCTGGTACTGCAAGAACTATCTCTATCTCAAGCCCCGATACATCGTAACTCACTCAATCGACGGAGCACCGGAATCGGACAAGAACCCCGCAGACTGGGCCGGGGCTCAAGCGCATCACATCACATCACCACCACCACCACCAGGTCCTCCATCGATAACGATAAGTCAAGTTGCTTAACAATCTCCATCCACACCAACCTCCTACCTAGTACCACCAGACAATTTACAAAGTCAACACCTATCCAAACCACCCAAACCCCAAACAAAGTACCACCCACCCACCCAAAGCAACAAGCAAAACCACAATGTCTCCGACCCCTCACCCCTCCCCCCCGGGAATCCTCCACGAATACGTACGTCCGCCCCCACCACCAGAACCACCAGAACCAAAAAGCTAACAAGCAAATAGGCCCCGCACCTCGTCGCCTTCGAATTCACGACCACCGCCACAAACGAACCAAAACCCAACACCCTAATCTTCATCGGCGGCCTCACAGACGGCCTACACACGGTACCATACGTCCGCACGCTGGCACACGCGCTCTCGACAACGAAAAGCAAATGGAGCGTGTTCAACCTGCTGCTCAGCAGCTCCTACAGCGGCTTCGGCACGCACGGTCTGGACACGGACGTAGCCGAGATGGCGAAATGCATCGACTTTATCCGCACGCGGCTGCCGCATAAAGCCGCCGGTAAGGTTGTCATTATGGGCCATTCGACTGGTAGTCAGGACGTGTTGCACTATCTGTATTCTTCTAGCAAGGGAGACGGTAGCGGAGAGGGTGGGCTGGGCAATGGACACCGCCCCGCTGTCGATGGCGCGATCATGCAAGCGCCTGTCTCGGATCGCGAGGCGCTACTGGTTAAGATCCAGGAGGTGGGGGAAGAGTCACAGGGAGGAGAAGGGAAAGAAGAAGGTCGTGGTAACGCTAGTAAGGCAACTGAAGTGCGCGGGGCTTATGATCAGCTCGTGCATATGGCGCGCTCCGGGCCCAGGAATTTCCTCCTGCCGATGGATCTGCTCGCCGCCGTGGGATTACCCGAGAACACGCCCATCACGGCGGAGCGGTTCCTGAGCCTCGCTAGTCCCGACAGTCCGCAACGGCCCAGTGCGGATGATCTGTTTAGTTCGGATCTGGACGATGAGTGTCTTCGGGGGACGTTTGGGCGCGTGGCCGAGCAGGGGAGGTTGAAGGCCGGGGCGCGGTTGATGGTGCTGTTTTCCGGCGCGGATGAGTATCTGGCCCCCTGGGTGGATGTGCAGAGGCTGATGGGCCGGTGGAAGGCGGCTGTCAATGCGGGAGGGAAGGAGATTTGGGATGAGGAGGGCAGTGCGGCGATCGAGGGGGCCAGTCACAATGTGAGTGATATCGGGCAGGATGAGCTGCTGAGGCGGGTCAGTGGGTTCTTGGAGAGAGTCGAGAAGCAAACTTGAGGAAAAGTTGTGTGCACCGATACCATCCATTTTTTGGGGGGGAGGCAAGATCTAATATACATACTAGCAGTGAGAGGGAGAAGAAACAACGACGGCGATCCACGACAAAGACAGCGGAGGGTATAGTTAGATGATAGGTGATCAAAGAGTCAATAAAGTAGAAGGGAAAGAGAAAAGAATCCAACCCCGATCTCCCTCTCCTCCCCGAACAAGAACAACCAAATCCGAAGAACAGAAGCAGGACCCCAATCCCAGAGAGACGCGAAACAAGCAGAGAAACAAAACAGAGCAATCTAAACCTTCATCCACAAAGTCAAGACCCCCTTCAGATACTCGACGATCTCATGGCCGCCCAGCTTACTCTCGCCATACAACCGATCGACAAAGGTGATGGGACACTCGGCGACCTTGAAGCCCATGGCCTTGGCGCGGACCATCATCTCCATCTGGAAACTATACCCCTTGGACTGAGTGCTGTGGATGACCTTCTCGAGCACACTCTTCTTGTACAGGCGGAAGCTGCCGGTCAGGTCGCTGACGCCGGGCATGAGCATGACGTCGGCGATCAGGTTGGCGGTGCGCGAGGTGAACTTGCGGAACAGATCCCAGCCGTAGACGCCGCCCTTGATGTCGCCGCGCGAGGCGTAGCGCGTGCCCGTGACGATGTCCGCGTCTGTCTCGCGCTGGATGGCGATCATCGTCGGGATGAACTTCGGGTGGTGGCTGAAGTCCGCGTCCATGATGATCACGAAGTTGCCCGTGCAGAACTGCAGCCCGTGGATGTACGCCGTCCCCAGCCCCAGCTTGCCCGCCCGCGGCTTCAGGATGATGTGCTCCGCGCCCCAGTGCTGCTGCAGCTGCTTGGCTACCTCCAGTGTGCCGTCCGGAGAGCCGTCGTCGACGATGATGACTTCCCAGTCAAGGTTCCTGTTTTTTGAGACGGGGAGAGTGGGTGGTCAGCAAAAGGACAGCAGTAGGACTAGTTTAGCGATAGGTGATGGGGGAGGCAAAGGCGCTTATGTTCCCTATTCGAGAACAATCAAGACGGGCAAGGGGGAATAAATGGACGTACTGCTCGCGAAAGGTCCGCTCCAACAACCAGCAGATAATAGGGAGGTTCTTCCGCTCATTGTAGGTCGGCAGAATGACCGAGTACTTATTCGTGGGGGCGCCCATTGTGTGTGTGTTACTGCCAGTAAATGATCCGTGAGATAATCAAAAGATTCGGATCCGTGCTCCAGAGGACTAAATCCAGAAACCAGAAGAAAAAGGAGTCAAGGTCAGCCAGCGCTGAGGGGGGGAGAGAGAGAGAGAGTGAGAGTGAGAGGGTGGAAGCGCGCGGGCTGGACCTTGGCGACGACCGGCGCGGGAGATCCGCATTCGCATCAAACGTGGCCAGTCCAGGAGAGCCCGAGGAGGCGCCAGTTCGTTTCAGTTTCACCTCGGTTTAATTTACCGTTCCTGCTTACAGTGGTACACTATGGTAGCTAGTATGCCTCGCTCAGCTGTGAACCTTCTTGCTGCAGCTATGCCTTATAATCATTTTGCCAGAGAATACGTATTTCACTTCATTAAGATACATGCGATACAAGAACCACCCATACTGTAACTCCGACCTATTTCTCCACTTGATTGTACGAGTGATCGTACCGTTGATCCATTTCCTTGTTATGCTGCTTCACATCCTCCGATACATTCTCCTTCACGGTGCCGTCTAGCTCTGCATTCGGCGAGTTCTCGCCGTCTGTGATGGTCGGTTTGGCCTTGTTGGATGGCTTGGTGTTGCTGCTGCTGTTGCCAAGACCGCCCATGCTGCTCTTGTTGTCGCTGCTGCTGCTGCTGCTGCTGCTGCTGCTAGACTGCTGAGACTTTTTCGAAGAAGCACCAACGTCTGGAGCTGGGGGGCCTATTGTGACAAACATATTAGTTCATTTTGTCCTAAAACTTTGTACCGCCTCGGGAAGGAGAAGCCACTGACCAGGGTGCTCGAGGTCTCGTGTAGGCTCGTTGCGGGGGTTGTTGGGCTGTTCAGCATTGGTCTCGCCGTCGCCACCATAAGAACTATGAGCGTAGCCGCGCCAGAGCCGGATGGAGCTGGGCGAGAGACGAGATGCTGGTCGGATGAAGGAGGGGGTGTAACTCGCGCGTAGGGATAGTCTGCTGCTGCGAAGTACGGAGGTCATGGTGCTGACGAGAGGCGATAAGGTGTATGTTGAGTGAGCAAGGTAGACAATGTATGGAGTGAGATTCTAGAAGAATATAGATAGACCACAAATTTAATTAATCTCAAGTCCTCAGGGACTACCGACTCTATTTAGTAGCAAATGGCTCAGTCGCCCCCCGGGTTGTCGATTAATGATGATCGACTCGCGCACACTATGACGTTTGCATCCGGTCATCTCCCCCGAACCTCCCCCCAACCATTGCGCAACCACTGTTGCATCGCCCCTGGCTAATTCTAACTCGAAGGGAGGAAGAAGGTATGATGATTATGATGATGATGATGATGATGATGATGAAATCGAGGTATAGCAACTCGCAGCGCGAACCACAAAAGAAGTAAATTTGGCCTTGCAGCCCGCTTGAAGCAAAAGAGTAGATTCAGACCATATTACCAGAACATGTCGAAATGCCAACCAAGATTTAAACCAGAAACATACCCAGCCACACAGGATGGCCCGCACGCAAATTCAAACGATAAGAACGATATCCGATTCATGGATATTTGCAGGCCTCAAGAAAGAAATATGAATGTATGGCTCTCCGGGCTGCATTGTATGGTGCCATTCCTTGCACCGTTTAACCCCCTTCCCAATATAAACGCCCAAAAACAAACAGACCTGAGAATAGTAACCATGATGCAAAAGCGGATGATGATCGAGTAACCGCATTAAGAAGTGGAACTAATCACCACCGGGACTAATGGCGCCCAGCTGGAATACATAATATGCACGCCCATGAAATAAAGTGTCGGAACATCCGTCATACCCAAGGTGAAAATGAGGCGGGTTGACCTCGAGAGACTAATCAAACATTCGTATGCACGTGAAGAGCTGGAAGGAATTTGCTCCCTCAATTTTAGTTAACGCCAACGCCTTCCGTCCCGCTGAAGAACAAGAGCCTCATCATAAGCTGGCAGCGCCAAGACGCCATATCGGCCACCTCAATCAGTCAATGACACGCAGTAGCAGACGCTCTGATACTCGGCCTTCGCTGTATATGTTTGCGTTGTGCCGGTGACTTGGATTGTGGTTGTGGGCGTGGGCTCTAATTCTTTAATCTGGACAATCTCTTGAGATATCGGACCGATTGATCCGTCATCAAGGACTTGCATCTGTTGACAATAAGGACTAGGGGCACCTGGGTACTCTCGTTTCTCCTCCATCTTGATCCGACGGGGATAATCAGATACTGCATCCCGCTTGACGTTCGAGATTGTATTCGAACTTGAGCCCGAATTGGATCCTGAACTCGACCCTGTGTTGGAGCCTGAGCTACCTGCTGTGGCTTGAGCGTAGCTTGCGGAACTGGCGGTCGCACTATACTGAGCGTCCTTGGTGGTTTCATTGACGTATAAGAAGAATTCGATAATGGTGCTGTTCCACCAGCAGAACCACGGCTTATCTCCTGCCTTGGCAACATCCTTGCGAACAAGCATGGTAGCCAACAATTCATCCTCTGACAGTGAGCGTTTCGATGACGCGTGCGTTGGGAACGAGTCTTGGGGCACCACGACCAGTTTGTCGAAGAGGGTCCAAAAGTGCAAAGCAGGTCCGAAACTGGCATCGTTCAGATCATATGCCATCGACAGGTTCTGCGTAGGGTTCGAAAGGACTGGTGCTTGTGCTCCATAGCTTAGACTCGAAGAATAGGTAGTGTCCTCGAATGTGATTGAGCGGTAGCCCTCGGAGTCTTGAACGGCCACAGGGATATCTCCCGAATTCATGCATGACCATGAAACTCGGTAGTCTGACTCTGCCACGCAGAACTTGGACTGATTCTTGGGAGAAGCTGGAATGACGTATTGGCCAGTAGGAAGCGGTAGTAGATTGACCGGAGTCGAAGTGATCGGAGTCGCATCCATCTTGGGGGTAACAGTCGACGTGACAATGCGCGGGCCCTTTGGTTGTTTGTGTTCCTGATCCGCAGCCTTCTTTGCGCCAAGCACGCCTCCAATGACACCTCCGATGCACCCTCCAACAAGCATCACCACGCCCACCAAAACAATAGTCCAAATGGGTAGCCCACAGCAAGCCTTCTTTTTGCCTTTCCTCTTCAACTTTTCTTCAAACGCCATGATGCCGGTTACCGGGGGCTCCTCGGACTGGGAATTACTTCGTGCGCTCATTCGGTTTGGCTCTTCCACAGGTACATTAGTTGCAGCGACCTCCGACATGGGCGGACCCGCATGCTCATTGTGGAGGGTCTCGTCCGACGTGATGCCAGCATCATTAACGGACGCAAATGTTCCCTCTACCTTGGGAACAGCGTTCTCAGGATAGCGGGAGTAAGGCGGCAGCTGTTCAGTATGCCCGTCAGGGCCGATGAGATCCCCTACGTCATCATCTGCCCGACCGGGCGGTCGCTGGTAGGCTTGATTGTGGCCGGGAAAACCAAGGGGTACCATAGAATTGTCCATCATGGGAGTTTCCATCATAGCGTTGTCCATCGTGCTGTCCATACCCTCCTCAGGGACCACATTTTGCGTGTACATCGCGTACGGGTGTTGCGGCCCACTAGCATCTTCCAACGGTTGGTCCACGGGTCGTAGAGTTGATGCGGTCGCTACACTCGGGGAACGACTAACACCGACCTGCGGGTACATCGCATACGGATGGCTAGGACCCGTTGCCCCAGTGTAAGGACTCATGGCCCGAACGGGGATCGAAGAGCGTGACGAGACGCTTTGACTACGAGCTGTGGTGGAGGGGGCGGTAGACGCGACTGAATCGCGATTGGTGAAATCTACCCCCTTCGGAGGAAGACTTGATCGGTGGGGAGTCTCATCGAACGACACTCGAGCCTCATCTCCAAAAGGGTCTTCTGTCAAATCCGCATCGATAGGGATGGTGTTGTAGGTTTTCTGCTGCGATTGTTGCTGTTGAGGCAATGATCCGCGTAGGGTGTTGGAGGAATTCGTGGAGGAAGTGGATGGACGTCGTTGAGTGAAACCAAATTGTTCGGAGTCAATAGGTTCGAGTGAGTATTCATCGGCGAAAACATTGGGGTTGGAGGAGCGAGCCGAAGTTGAGCGACGATGCATCGAGTCTTCGTTCACCGGGCTAAAGCGTGGGGTGGATCGTTGAGAGGATTGGGAGAAAGAGCGAGAGTGGTCGGATGATAGACGCCCAGACATGGCGTTGGACAGCCCTGTCGGGCTACCTATCTGATTTGGTCAATGTCAGGAAGACTTTGGGGTCAGTCACCCGAGTTGACTGAGAACCGGGAGAATGGAAGGCGCCGGAAAGAGTGACGGGGGAGGGAGAAGGGAGCGAACGGTCGGCGAAAGAATGATGACGGGATGGAAGGACGTCCAAGAGAGTGTAGAGAGGGTTAAGAAGAAATGAGGATAATAGCGAAATAGACCGGATGAGGGAGGAGGGGGAGTAAGAGGTGGTGGTGGTGGTAGTGGTGGTGAGAGTGGAGGTTGAATGAATGAGAGGGAGGGAATCACTCCTAGCCGTTTGAAGAGGAGAAGGGGGAGGGAGAGAGAATTGTTAGGTGAAGAGACGGATGGAGCGGGCGATGAGGTGAGACTGCCTGAGGACTCAGGAAGAAAAGGACCGCTCCCGACTGGGACTAGCGCCGTTTCCTTCCGGGCGAAACTGAGTTGAAAGTCTGGCAGTGAATCCAGTGACTGACTGGGAACGAACAAAAAGAGAGAGCTGAGGGCAAAAAAGTGGGTGGAGGCCTAGTCAAGCCAGTCCCAAGTCGGTCTTGGTCGGGTTTAGTCCTGGCTGCAAAAGTTGGGATTTCTGTGAATGGACCTATCCGTGATACTCTCCAGATTATGAACAGAATAGAGACCCTCGCACTATCTACAGTAGACCTGCTTGTGGTTACGACGAAACTGCTATTCTTGTTTCGGATGATGTTTGTTCTATTATTGTATGATTGGGGATGTCTCCTGTTTACTCAGGGCTGCTGCGCCTCGCCACCGCTACTAAAGTCTGCTAGATGCTACTTTTGCCTGTTAAAGACTAACAGCCCAGGACTTTCTCCGTCTTGAAATCACGTGGGCAACTCTTAAGTAAGGTACAGAACGGACGGAGAACCTGCCTGCGTCGCGCACTATCTAGGTAGTATCTACCAGTGCCACTCTACCACAGTCCACAGAGCCACTCGCAGTCTCGCACTAGAGTGATTGATTATCCGAACTAAGACACCTCGATCCGCTCTGTTCAATTTCGATGGCCGATGCATCCTTCTGGAAGTCCTTGACAACTTGACATTATCGAGTCGACCGATGTGAAACATCTCTACCCCCAGTGTCGTCAGAGGCGCTTTGCCAAACCAACTGACAGCCAGTTCAACTTCCACTGAACCGACTTTTTAACGGATAAAGATTCTATCCTCCCACCCCGTAGACTTTTCTCTTCCCGAAAACGGCCCAGTTGAAATGTCATGCCAGGGAAGTGAGAAATCTGTCCATCATCCTTTTTGGGCAACAATCGCCCTGACTCGGACGACCTCCATGTGGGACAGGGGGTGGTCAAGGACAGAAAGGGTAAGGTGGGAAGAGATAAAAGCCCAACCAAACCATCAATCACTGGTTCTCGATGGGGGGCAAAAAGGCTCTCCCACCTTTACCAACAGAGGCAAGCAGGTTCAGGCTTTCCACTTTCCAGCAACTAGGGATCATTCGAGGTGGAACCGCAAGAAGTGCCGTAGCCGATTAGTTCGAAAGGTAGTGTAGTGCCTGTAGTACCTGGCACCGAAAACTCTATCCGACCGAATTCGGAACCGCGGGCGTGAACCCTTGATTGGCATGCAATGCTATGATCAGCGCACATTGCATCATGACCCTCACCAGGGCTGGGTAAAACCGACCGGCCATTATATCACCGGCATGAGGACCGATTGCTGGCCCTGTCCGTTTGCATGCTTGACCTGAAAACATCTCCTCCCTACAGGGCTCGAATTTGATCTCCTGACTGATTGATTGACCTCTTCCGCACGTGGCTCTGGCGTTCCCCGGCTTAGGGATGTAACTTGTGGGTGGTGACTCGCTACCATGCACGGGGTCTCTTCGGGTGTGGTTGAAGGATTTGGGAACGACCCAGGGCTAATCCTCAGCCAGGAACCACTCTCTACATGTACAGGTACCTTTTTTGAAAAGGAGAGGTGAAAAAAGAACCAAGAAAGGGTTGTCAATTTTCGAAACCACTGGGTCTTAATAATGTTTTACTTGATAGGAACAATCATAAGTAACTCAAGTCTTCTAGAAGCATTATTCAAGACATCACTGTCATGCAGATAGGGTAGAAACAATTGGGGTTTACTATCTAATCTAAGTCTCCAAACATGATGTTACTATGACTGCTGACATGTTCGAGGCTCTTCTGACCCCACATGCAGAGACAATGTGGGATTTAACAACCCGCTTGAAAGATACTTGGATGTAAGCAATACTCCAATATCTTCCAAGCCAAGGAAAAAGGCACCCCGCATTTCCTGAGGCACGAGCTCAAGAGTCTGGTCCTTTGTTAGAGCTTGTGCTGTTCAGTCGGATGCGCACGCCTCTTATTTGTTCGAGAAGGTCAGAAAACTTTGCATAGTTCACGGCGTCCCATCGACGATACCCTTAAGCATCTGAATTAGAGCTGTGTGCAAGAAGGCGTTCCATTCAGTGAGAGAGCGCTGGTAGCGACGACCTTGCGAGTGTGGTACTCCAGTCTATCTTTGTTTGTTTGGAGCCTGCTTCAATAGCAAGAGATGTGCAGCGACATTCTATATGCTCTGCTTGCTAAGACAGGGATATGTTATATCACACCCTCGGTCTGTCCCAGATACTATCAGTGCAGATCGTCCTATGTTATCTATCATCTCATTGGTATCGAGGACATTAACTACCGTGGAGATCATCTATAGATCGATAGACCCCCGAGACCACCGCTGTGGCTAGTTAATGCAAGCAAATTGCTCACTAAGCGGGATCTTGGAAACAAGAGTGATCGGCCAATCGATCAAGTGTCCAGCTAGACATACACTATGTAAACAGTAGTCCATCTATCAGACTGGCCGTTCTTATGACATTGTCAAAGTGCACCAAGGATACACAGAAGTAGTGGATCGTGGGTGGAGATTTTGGGCAAGGCTTGGCCAGTGTTGATGTGCGCTCAAATCAGACCAAGAGACTTGACAATAACCATGAGCCTGACTCTGGTACAATTATATGGAGAAAAGTATAGACCCAGAATTGTTCAGGGCTTCGACTGGACCAGACAATTCTGACTGGGGCTAGACAGCGGCGCGATAACGTGGCGATCCACCAGAATTAATTGTTGCGATTCATCTCCGCAGTTTGTGCCTGCTACCAGCTTACATTTGACTTAGGTCTAGATCCCAGATATCCTTTTCAAGAATCTTGGACGGCCGTGGGGATGGGCTTCCAACCTTGCAGTGTAGGTGGCAAGTTTAGAACCAATTGCCTGGAGAATTGACTACGGTCGTCGGGTGCGGCGAATGAAAATGCAATTCATGATAAGAAGATGATCCCGACATCGTATCATCTTTTAGTTAGTATCAAACACCGTGATTTTGCAGCTCTTTCAGATTGCCCAGCCTGGCAGGTGGTGTTCAGGCTACTGGTTTTAGTTGTGGATTGGACATAGGGCTGCCCCTTCACGAACGGCCCATTCTAGAACAATCTGCCCCCGGACTCCGAATTGGCTCCGAACTCAGATGCCACTCGCGCTGTCCTTGGCTGCAGAATCGTGATTTCTTTCTTCTGAGCCACCGGATTTTCCCGGAACTCTCCATCTGAGATTCGCTGATCAAAAAAACAAAACAGTGGCTTTCGCATCACACTGGAGCCGGACCATTCGACTGGCGGACTCTCTTGCGCAAGCAAGTCATTCTAGGCCCCGGCCTGGTCAGTCTCTTCCCTCATCCTCTCAGTAATCACTAATGAGTCAAATTTCTTTCACCCATGACGATTCTGCAATGTGATAGACCACAAAAATGGCAATGCGCGACCAGCAAAGAAATAATCCGGCGAGCAAAGCCAGTTGCCACCGGAGTAATAACACCCGACCGTTAATACATGTCCGTATAGCACTTCAACAAGCCGGCCACCCTTGCGTGCGGAATAACCTGGTTCGCGAAAGAACATTATTCCTTTATCAATGTACGGGCCACTGACGATGGCGGCCGACTATGGCAGGCTCGTCTCAGTAGAGACAAGACTTTCTCCAGGAAGCGCTGAAACGAGGGGGTGGGGCTGTCCTGTCATCTATCGCGCTTGGCCCAGACCAGAACGCTCGGGCTCGCGCGATAACAAAGATTCCCATCAACGTCATGCAAACCCGATACTTCCAAGTACTCGTACACAGTGGAAGAGCGAAATAAGATTTCAATTATGCTATGTAGTGGTACAATGATCAAGGCCTTCCGCTGCACTAGATCGATCACTGCTCCATCCATTCTGACGCGATGCATCTCGTCACAATCCCAGACTCAGTCAAATCTGCACCTACGAACACGGCTGCCTTTTCAGAGCTAGAATCTCAGATAATCTGACTGGCCCCTTCTGCCCCCAACCTCCTGTTCCACTCTGGACTGCTGGCCGGGCACGCAAATACCAGGCCCATGCACGTCTGTCTAACTCGTCTCTATCGAGGCTGGAAGCCCAGGACTTGCAGACAATGTCAATAGTGTGTATGAGATGCGCGAGACAGTCCTCCTTTTCCGCCTCGACTTGTGATGCTTTTCTTTTGGCTGTACTGCCAGTGGATCCGTCTTCATCAAGAGCTCTGGTGAATGCCTTGAACAGGTATGCTCGTGCCGAGTCAGGGGTGAAGATAGGTAAAGGCTTGTTTGTTCTCACTACCTGATCCGAGCTTTGAGCTTTCCGCATGGCCTCCGTGTCAATCCCCCAGAGTGGTGGTACTCTGTCTGATCCGTCCTGGGAAATCTGCCCTAACACATCGTCAGATATGGCAGAGGCCTCCGCGTCCGGCTGTGTGCCTTCAGTTGGCGGTTGACCCTCCCTTGAATCATAGTCCCATCGCTTCAGCACTTTCACCTCTCTCCCCAGAACCTTCACCACCGGCTGACCCTCTCCCCATCCTTCAACTTCAGCCGGGGGCCCATTTTCAATGCCCAGGCTAACGGCCTTTGAGCGACTGTTAGCACTGACCACAGCTTGGGCAAGGCTAAGTCTGCTAGAAATGGGCTGCTCGGGCATTGTATATCGTAGCACACCAACAGCAAATGCAAGCACTAGTGGCGCTCGGTTTGTGAGAAGGACAATCCCCGATAGCTCCTCTTCCGTAGCGGTAGAGCTAGGCAGGGCAAGCGCACGCTCTGTGTCAAACGGGGTGTTGGATACTTCCATACGAGAACTTTTCGTTCTCTTTGGGGGAGCTTCGACGTCTCCAGCCGATGCGCCTCGCTTTTTAGACACCCTCTTTGCGGCGTTCATGACTTGTTTCGCCACCTTGTCGTCCTTGAAGATATCCTGAAGAACTTTCAGATCTTGCTTAGAGATCTGCTCGGGACTATGATATAATTAGACGGAAAGTCCTGTGCTTTCGTAGCATCTCAGCAATTCATACGTTGTGAGGTCCGCCTTCTGAAGCTCCATGACTTTACCCATCGCGGACGCAAGTGGTACTTTGGCATCCTGCGACAGAAAGCGAAGTAAAGTTTGTACCTGAGCCGCCGCCATTTTAATCAAGCCGAGTTGTACGGTGCCACGAGCGTTGAAAGAGAAAATCGCAGGATAGATTTAGGAATGATGCTTGGTTGAGGATTGAGTGACGGGCCCCATACCACAGCTAGACTTCTGCCTGAGGCATCAAATTCATCTCCCGCCTCCGCTCCGATCAGCTTCCACCCGCAGCTACTAAGTAACTCCGCGCCTCGCTTCAATGTCTGTCCCAACTTCCGTGGTCTCCGCAAAAAGGAACCCTGCTGCAACCGCAGCTTCGTCACGATGTCGGACGACTCCAAACCCAAAGGCTTCCCCGATATCTCAGCCAAATTGTCGGCAATCCCCAAGAAATCGCTCTTCGAACGCCAGAAAGCCGAAGCCGAAGCCAAACGAGCCCGCGAGCAAGCCGAAACTGCTGCTGTCTACGAGGACTTCGTCAAGTCATTCGAGGATGACTCGCACGGGTCCGACCGGCCCTCTGCCGACGGACGACTGAACCGTTTTCCACACAAGAACCAAAACCCAGGATTTGGAGGCGGCCCTGGCAGACGGCACTTCACCAGCTCCGGACCGCGCCTGAGCGGCCCTGGCACTCTGGGGCCCCCTCCGCCGCGGAAGCGCACCCACGAAGGCTTCCCACCACCGCACCGAAACCGAGACACCGCGCAGGGGATACTGGGCTTCGACAACACCGGCTCCGTCCCGACATCGGTTGCCGCGTCTGCGTTCCGCACATCCGACGATGAGGACGAGGCGGCGGCCGATGCGAAGGAGGCGGAGCGAGCGGCGGCCAAACCCACGCTGTACCTGGCTTCGTTACCCCCCGGAACGTCGCCGTCGGTCATCAAGTCGATCATTCCGTCGCTCCTGACGGTGGATAATGTTAAGGTCCTGCGCTCGACGGGCCAACAGCAACCCCCGACCGATCGCAAATCCATCGCTGCCATCGTGACGCTGGCCAATGAATCCGCCGCCTCGGATATCGATAGCACCGTGAGCGCGCTCCAGAACAAGTATCTGGGCTGGGGTTACTATCTGTCAATATCGAGGCATCTGTCCTCCGCGGCGATTGGCTCAACGATGCCCGTGACTGTTAGCCAGTCTTCGACAAGCTCCCTCCCGTTCGGGGCCAAGACTGTCCAGCCGGACATTCCAGGACGCTTGAATCGGGCCCCACCCCCTGGGATGCACCGCGGTGGCTTTGCGCCGCCGAGTTCGTATAGCCCTGCATTCGGGCGAAGTGGCCCGGCGACGCAGGTCGAGGTGAAAGCGCCGTCAGACCTCAAGCAGCTGCGACTTATACACAAGACGTTGGAGAATTTACTAAGCTATGGTCCGGAGTTTGAGGCGTTATTGATGAGTAGACCGGAGGTCCAGAGAGATGAGAAATGGGCTTGGATTTGGAACGCACGAAGCGCTGGCGGTGTGTACTATCGGTGGAAGTTGTGGGAGGTTTTGACCAACAGCCGACCTGCTGGTGGCCGACGGGGACGATCTCAACCCCAGAGCTCATCTCTCATATTTGAGGGAGGCGCCCAGTGGGTCCCGCCCGAGGCTCATATCAAATTCGAATATACTACCCAGATGGATGAGTTCGTGACAGACGAAGACTACGATTCTTCGGACGAGGAGATGTCGGATTACGAAGATGAGAGACGTGTCGTTGGCGGAGCGCCGCCAGCGGAAGGACTAAGCGCTGGTAACGAAGGGTTGGGGTACATGAACCCTCTGCAAAAGGCCAAATTGACCCATCTGCTGGCACGACTTCCGACCACTCACGCCAAGCTACGAAAGGGAGATGTTGCCCGGGTGACTGCCTTTGCTATTGAACATGCCGGGGCAGGGGCTGAAGAGGTCGTGGAGATGATTGTGTCGAATATCATCAAACCATATGCTTTCACGGGGGCCAATCCGGACCGCGAAGCAGAACAAGGGCTGGCCCGCAAAGAGCAATTCGGAGAGTCGGGCAACGACAACGCGGTCGAGGAGGGGCGGACAACCTCAAAGATCCTGGACACCTCGTCTGCCAAGTTAGTTGGTCTGTATCTCGTGTCCGACATACTCTCGTCATCTGCTACGAGTGGCGTGCGCCATGCTTGGCGATACCGACAGCTTTTTGAATCGGCACTGAAGACGCAGAAGGCCTTCGAGCATCTTGGCAGACTCGAGAAAGACCTGGCCTGGGGCCGGTTGAAGGCTGAAAAGTGGAAGCGCAGCGTTGGCTCTTTACTGAACCTATGGGAAGGCTGGTGCGTGTTTCCGCAGTCGAGCCAGGAGCATTTCTTCCAGATCTTCGAGAAGCCGCCTCTCACGGAAGAAGAGCTACAGGAAGAGAGAGAGAAGGCTGAGGCCGAACGGGTGGCCAGCGCGTTCTCCAAGAACAAAAACCGCTGGAAGACCGTCGACGAGGATTCGGCTTCTGGAAAGTTCGATCCCAGTCGGGCTGCGGCCGCCGAACCGGATCGCATGGATATCGATCAGGACAAACATGGCAGTACCGGGGCAGAGACTTTGGACGGGGTATCCATGAGTGATATCGACGGTGAGCCAATGGAGGACAGTGACCTGGAGGTATCGGATGGTGAACCCTTGGAGGAAGAGCCCCCTGAGAATGAGAATGAGCTGAACAAGCAACCGGCCCAATCGGGACCTCCGCCTCCAGTACGCAAGCCACGGCCTAAAGCAGAGGACATGTTTGCAGACTCGGACTCAGAGTGATTATAGCGTTCAACAGCGAGACGATTTACCATCAGTAAACATGATTACAGACAGACAGTCATTGTAGGTCGAAGCCGGGATGGCGGCCTGAAAAAAAGGTTCCACGGCTAAGGCAGCAACATCCCAAACGGGTAAGGGGGGCAAAAGCCCGCGCCGGCTTGCCCCACAACCCCCTCGCGACGGAAAGACTTTCGGTGTTGATATCAACCTCGTTAACCTCGTCTCTTCCCCTCGGTTCAACCCCCCATTATCGTTTCCCAGCCAGATTTCTACTTCTATCCGTCTCTATCGTCTTTGCAGACTCCCCAACCGTCAAAATGGCCGGTAAGTAGTTCACTCCGTTTCTGCCGCTTATCAGCACTGCATTATCCCTCTTCTCCTGTTTACTGTTTTGCTGCCCCTCCCTGAGGCTCTGTCGGGAGACCCCCTCCATATACGCCTGCCAATCTGCACCTAAAGTACCAGGAAAGAGACTAACGTGATGCCAACCAATCTTCAGACTTCCAAAACATTGCCCGTATGTGACAATCATTCTGCCTATATTCATAGTCCCTCTGCGACTGCGACGCAACCGATGAATTCACGGTCTAACTGCGGCCCAACAGAGCAATTCGTCCAGTTTTACTACAACACTTTCGACGCCGACCGCGCATCCCTGGCCGGTCTCTACGTATGTCGCACACGAATCCTATTGACCAGATCCAAGCCGACTAATGGATACTTTTCCATCCACAGCGTGATCAGTCTATGCTCACCTTCGAGACCAGCTCCACGATCGGTGTCGCCAGTATCGTCGAGAAGCTGACCGTGAGTCTTCCCGAGCCAGTACCTTCCGCGAAGCGTCGATCAAGATAGGCCGGAGTGACTAACACATGCGATGTGATTCGTTTTCGTTCTGCAGAGCCTCCCCTTCCAGAAGGTCGTGCACAAGGTCTCCACCCTCGACGCCCAGCCCTCCAGCAAAGAGGGTAGCATCCTTGTCATGGTCACCGGTGCTCTTCTGGTATGGTCACCCCTTTCTTTTCAGCCCTAGTAAAGGGACCGTCCAACCCGAACCACCAAAACTAACCCAAATCCACTGAAAAACAGGTCGACGAGGAGCAGAACCCCATGAACTACACTCAGAGCTTCAACCTCTGCCCCGACGGCGCCGGCAGCTACTACGTCCAGAACGACATCTTCCGTCTGATCTACAACGCATAAACGGGTTTCCCACATCATCATCATCACTGTTTAGATACCGGAGAGTCTGGAGGGAAAGGAAAGGAGGGGGCCGTCCTGCGGCTTGCGAATGGGAATGTCTTAATTAGAGAGACTCTGGTCATGAGTCGGCAGATAATCCCTTTTTCTTTTTCTTCTCTTTTTGAAGCTTGAAACGAAGTCAATGAAATTCAAATCTAAAAACCAACCTCAATTATGATTGAAGATATATATGTACGGAGGGAAGGTGGTGCTTTTATGTCTCGGTTTGACATGTACAGTTCAATCCACCTGAATCTTGGATTTGCGGGTGCTGTGTTTGGGACTATAAACCCGCGTTTGTCTCCTGGTCAAGGAGCTTCAAATTTCTTCTAGGACATGTTTTTCTTGCTTGGTTGTGTTTGATGTTCGCGTGATGGGCTAGGCTGGGTGTATTTGTGCATCATCGATCCTGTCCCAGGGGGCGACGGCACGCTATATTGAGCCGCGTCTTGTGTTTTAGTGTCCGGCTACTGCGTGGTTGAGTACGTTACTTCGATTATCCTAGACAGGTATTGAGAATGACCACAGGGACTCCCTTGGGAGAAGGAGCGATCACAAATTCCAAAAACGCTGCACTAGCAGCGGGAGTAGTACGATTGTCTTGTTGTCTAAATATCAGTGCTCAGGACAGTTAATCTCAAGGTGTATACACAATATATTTTCCGAAAGAGGCGGCCTAGATCAACAACGCAACGCAAGGATCCCTGAGCAAGAAACCCAAGTCGGGATTATGTGTCTCCTACGGAATAAACTGGGTATAGATTTATCCAAGGCAAACGGGGTACAGGGATCTATCCCCCAAGAAGCGGCGTCTCCTCAGAGGGGTGGTCCCGCTCGTGGCCCTCTTCTTCTTCGGTTGCTGCTGCTGCTTCTCCGCCGCGGCCCGACGGAGCCCCGGTCGCCGTGGAGGTATTCTTGACGTCGCTATCCTCGTCATGGCCGTGTCCCTTCTCGGGACCTAGATACTCGAACCACACGCCCAGGGCCAGCAACGTCCCCTGCAAGCACGCCGTCACGATCAACACCCCCCACGTACTCCATCCGTCTCGGCCCAGCCGCGCCGCCAGACTGCCCGCCCAGACTAGGCTCCCGGGCGTCTGGATGCACATCATCGGGATGCTGAGGCTGCCGACGCAGCGGAGGCGCACCGTCGTGTAGATCTGTGGGAAGTACTGGATCGAGGCGAGGAGGGCCGCCAGCACGCCGCAGAAGTTGGACCAGGATTGGAGGGCTTCGGGCCGGTGGAGGCCGACGGTAAGGGTGGTGATGAGCATGACGAGGGCGTGAAGGATGCAGATCCCCGCGACGATTAGGGCGGTGCGGTAAGTCGGAGTGTTGGGGCGGTGGTTGTGATGGTGATTCCGGGGGAAGAAGAGGACGAAGAGGAAGAGGCTGTTTGTTGTGTGGGATTAGTTGTTGTCGTTGGGTTGGGTCAAGAGGGCCGTTCATTGCTTACATTAGGAAAAAGCAGAGGCATTGGGTTCCAACTTGGAGGATTCCTAGCATGGCGGAGAAGCAGCCTAGTCCGCTAATGTGCTTGCAGCATGACATGTCGTGGAGGCTTTGTTGTTGGGAAACGACATTGGCCAGGGCGGACGAACCGGAGGTTGTGCCTAGGAGGACAAAGTAGGGCGATATGCCGAAGGAGGATTTCAAGGAGATGATGCGTATGTGCTGGGGGAGGTAGGAGAGGAGGATGCCGAAGACGATGAGACTTGATGACTAGGGATTAGTTTGAGTGTTTTTGGTTTGGGCCATGCTGGGAGAATGTACGTACATGGAGAGAATGAAGTTCTTGTAGTCAGGCGAATCCAGTTGCCCGCACTGGAGATTTAGTGAATCCATCTTGTTGAGAGTTGACGAAACTGGGATCGTCTGTGTATTGAGGAAGAGGCTGTCGACATGCAAGATGCTAGACAAGAATGATGGGGCTCAAGAGCAATCGGCGGTCTATAAATCTGGGGCATAGGGGCTGAGAGCGCGGGTCGGATGTCAATCAGATTATTGGATTCTAAAACAACATTCTGCGATCCAGCTCACCGGGTCGTGATTGGACAATGTTGACAGGCAAGAAGGTGCGAGATTAATGACTTGTCACCGATGCAGGACTCCAAAGGGAGAGGGAGTGAGGGAACAGCGGCGAGGAGAAGATGAAGATAGATAATCGCCATCACTCACCTGGCATCAATGCTTGCTTTCCTTATCGTCTCCGCATTCTGACCCAAAACGGTAAGGTCTGCTGGGTGTCCCCAAACAGCTAGTGGGAAGATCATGTGCCTTGCATTGGGATGTCAAAATAGCCAAGTTACACATGTATTCATTGGCAACTAAACTATATCATTCACAGGTCATTGCTGACACAGACAAAAGAAACGCCAGCGAGCCACAGCCGACCAGCGCCCAGACGCAGAGACCATGGGCCACCCATCCATCGATGACGCCAGTCGTGGACTGACGAGCAGCTCCAGCAACCACATCACTACGTCACTCGGCGATCATCTCAGCGCCGCCTCCCTGATTCCAATCCACAGCTCATTCTTTCTCTCGCAACAATAAATTTATCCTCACCCCTGGCCCTTAATTCCTTCAATTCTCTTTCACACAAGCAACCAATATCATTAACGACAGTAAGCTATTCAAACAAGCTGAAGAATCGAAGAGGGAGCGATAAGCTAACCTCAAACCTTCCCCGATAAGACTGATCCGGCTACTATAATCTCAAAACACATCCACGACTGAGCCATAATGAAGCTTCATTTGGCTTTTTGCCTAGTCTTTGTACTGGCAACCGCTGAGGCTGTCGGTGCATCTAGCTGGTTCAGCAAGGCCGGTATGTTCGCAAGTCGCATCCCTTGAATCCTCCAGTCGCTAATACACTTTGGTAGTATACAACAAATGGCACGAAACTGAGCTGGAAAGATGGCTTTCCGACCATGGTACGTGGCTCCTCTTCACTTTTCGCTGAGGTCAATCACTCACAAATCTTTCAGACATTCCGTATCCCTCTCCTGCCGATCGCAAGGATCTCGAGAGCTTGGTGAAGACAAACTGGGAAGCTAAGGTTCAGAAGCCTCTGGGCCATACCGTGGAACAGTCTCCGGAGCACTGGCACAACGCCAAGGAATGGCTTTTTGACACGTACGTCAGCGTCATCATATTCCGTTCTTGGTTGTGATACTAACAGATATGCAGATGGTCGGACTCCCAGCTCAAGGCCTTCCTTGATCGTCATGGTATTCCTGCTCCTCAGCCACGCAAGCGTGATACTCTTCTCAAGGCCGTTCGCGAGAACTACGAATCCGTCGCCCAGAAGCTTGGTGAAGCTGTCTCTTACCCCGGTAACTGGGTGTATGCGCAGTGGTCTGAGTCTGACTTGAAGGAGTGGTTGGACGAGCGTGGCTGGCCTGTGCCCCAGCCCTCGACCCGTGACAAGCTTATCGCTACTGTTCGACGCAATGCTAGACTGGCTGGCCTCCAGGCTAAGTCCATTGCTGCTTCCGCCTCTGCGTCTGCAGACAAGGCACAGGCTACCTTGAGCGAAGCCTTGTTCAGCGCCTGGTCGGACTCTGAGCTGAAGAAGTTCCTCGACGAGCACGGTGTCAAGGTTCCCCAGGGCTCCAAGCGCAACGAGCTTATCGCTTTGGCGAGAAAGCACCGTGCCTCTCTGGTGAGCCAGGCCTCGACTGCTGCCGCTACCGCATCTGCAAGCCTCTCCTCCACTGCTACCGAAGTCATCGGCGCTGCCACCACCAAGGCTGGTAATGAATACGCCCGTGCCACCGATGCTGCGCAGTACAAGGGTCAGGAGGCCTTTGACTCTCTTGTTGAATCCTGGTCCGAATCCCGCCTCAAGGCTTACCTTGACGCCCGCGGCGTTCCCGTTCCCCAGAATGGCAAGCGCGATGAGCTTTTGGCACAAGTTCGCCTGAACGCCCACAAGGCCGCCACTGGCTGGAGCGCCTGGACTTTCGACACCTGGGATACCGAGCACTTGAAGAAGTATTTGGCTTCTATGAATGCCAAGGCAGCCCACCAGGCCGATATCACCCGTGATGAGCTTGTCAAGCAGGCTCAGGACACCTACGCCCAGGCCTCCCAGGCTGGTGGTGACCAGCTGGCTTCTGCTACATCCTACATGGCTCAGGCCACCGACGCTGCCAAGGGCTCTGCCTTCGACACCTGGTCTCACTCCGACCTTAAGGCGTACCTTGACTCGTATGGCATTCCCGTCTACCAGGGCTCCAGCATCAACGAACTCAGAGCCGCGGCCCGCCGCAACGCCGAGTACTTCAGATACGGTACCTCCAGCCCTCAGGGCACCATCTTCGCCAAGCTCCAGGACCTTTCTCAGTGGGTTTGGGATCAGGTCAAGATCGGCGCCGCCAGCGGCAGAGCTCACGGCCAGGAAGCTGCTGAGAAGGCTTCTGAGGTCGCGAAGGACCAGGCTAAGACGCAAGGCTTCAAGGCCGCCGACAATGTGAAGACCAAGGGTGCTGAGGCCTCTGCGAGCCTGCGCAAGGAGTTGTAAAGCGTGATCTATCTTTTAGTGTATGTGGGTTGCAAAGGAATGGGGGTAAAGCGGTGCTGGTGGGACATGATTTTATGACTTAACGTAATAGTTATGGGCTGGCAGAATAGTCTCGAAATTATTTCCGTTTTCAACTTCACGCTGTTCTTATGATAAGTAATCAATGTATCGATACTTCTTACTAAAGTAATAATGGACTGATATGAAAATGTTATGCTGGAGTAGAGTCCAACCAAAGTCCACTGGCTTGAAGACAATTTCAAACGGCCATAATATCATATCTCATCCGGCTATCGAGGTACCTGCCGTATGCCTTTTTGTCCAAACCTGCATTTTCAAGACCACGAGTCCACCATATTAACCTATCTTCACCCAAAACGAATTTAACCCTACTTCATCATCAGAACAATCTTGCATCAATCAGAAAAAAAGCCACCTCATCTCCTCACTCACACCCTCTCTCATCCCCCCTCTCACAAATAAGCCCTGACCCCTTCCGAAGCAAAACCCTAAGCATCAGCCCCCTCCTCCCCTTCAGCCACCAGCTTCCCCACAACCAAATACTTCTCCGTGAACCGCTCCTCCCACGACTGCAGGTTCTCCAACTGCTCCCCATCCAGATCCTCCAGCGTATCCAACGGACCCTTCAGATCCTTGGTCAGCATCTCCTCATCGAAGCTCTGGCACGCCAGACCGCGGGACGCGTCGCGGCCGGCGAAGTTCTCGTAAGGTCCGCCCTGTAATCCACGCATCGCCAAGTTAGATAGGATGTTTTGTGGGGGTTTTTTTTGGGGGGGCACATTACCGGTCCGTAGAAGTTCCGGCCGGGGGTCACGTCGAAGACTCGCCCACGCACAGCGAGGTAGACGGGCTGATCGCCTGTGCCGTTGTAGGGCAGGAGGGTGGTCGGCGTGAAGGTGCGGAAGACGACGGGTGGGGGCGCTTTAGGGAGCGAGACGGGCGCCTTGGGTCGGAGTTGAAGGTAGACGAGGATGATGAAGAGCGTCAGGAGGATGAGGTTGATTGGGGACGCGATGGTCATTCTACTTTTTTGTTAGTTGGGGTGTGCGTTTTGGTGGTGGGTGTCAGCTTGGGGAGCTCAGCTGGATGGATTCCTGTCTGGAGGTACGCACACTTCGGCGGGTGGGGGAGTTGACCCGTCTGTTTTGAGTGGGTTAGTGATAAGAGGTAGAGATTTGTTGGTGGATAAGGGCGGTTACCTGTGGTGGACATCTTGAAGGTGCGGTGGTTGCGTGGAGAGGTAGATAGATAATTGTTTGAGCTGGGATGGTGATGGCAGGTAAGGTAATAGATGGATGACTGTCGGTCGGCCGCCCGGTGTATGACGGCAGTTGATGGCTGAGGTGGCCAATCAAAGACATAAATTAGTGTGCGGAGACCTCAGCCAGAATAGTCTATCTTGATTGGAGGAGACAAAAAGCGGTGGTGCGGATGCGCGATTCGGTTCCGTTGGATCGCGCCGCCTGGGATGATTCAGGTTCGATGGTTTACATCGTTCATCGTTTCTGGGATTCATGATCATCCAGGATGGGCTTGTATTCGAATTCACAACGGATGGTGTTCGACTAAATGATTCGTCTGCACAAGACCATTAAGCGTGCTTTCTGCAAAGCATCGGTGGCACGCAGTCTATTGCAGCGATCCGCATTCCTAAGATTGTGACGGAGTCCGGAATGCGCTCGAGTCTCGACCCCAGGCTGAATGAGCTCCTATAATTAAACCAAATTATTCTGAAACAGTCACCCTCGCGGCTTTGCCAATTTGCTCTGCTGTCAGTCCACTAGTTCGCCGGATATTCTTAGCTTCTCTAACAGTCGACTGCCCAGACAAGCCGGCCTGGCTAGCATGTCAATCCAAGAGGGGCAGCCAGTGTGACCTCCGCCAGCTCTAAAGCTGTTTTGTCTGTCTGTGTGTTGTGTTGCTTCGGCTGCTCGTCGTTTTCTTCCTCTCCATTCTTTCACCCGCTTTGAAGGTCCTCCTTCACCTTGTCCCTCTTTCTTGTAATCTCTTTGATTAATTCTAGTGCCTGGTCGCCCGCTCTCTATTCTTCAAGATCGAATCATATGCCTATCAATCTCTCTTTATCGTCCATTGTCTTCTCTTTCAACCGTGGTGGACTGGTCACTTCTTGAATGACGTGCCGGCACGTCTGTCGCATCACATAAACCCGAACTTGCCTGAACTTGGATCACATTGCTTATTCCATCTTACTCAACTGTCCCACTTACTCATACTCACCTTACTATCTCGATCTTTGCTTTTTTCCTCTGTCTTGAATAATTTCCAGCTCCGTCGTTGGCTCACAGTGGCCCTCGCTCATCAAACATCGACCCAAAACGTCCAATCTGACAACGTTGACACCTGCCAATTGAACTGGCCAAATACCGAACTATAGCATCCGTCCGGAGGGTCGATAGCCAAGATGTGGGGGAAAATGGGCTTCCATCGATCGCGAAAGCCGGTCATTGGGAATCCCACCTTGATCGACAAGACTCTGAACGATAGTGTCTATCAGTCCTGGTCTCGCGCTCCAGGCACTCAGGGCAGTGACACTCGCTCCCTGACTCCTCCTAGGCAAGTAAAAGTGGTCGAGTTGTTGTCGCGTCTCCTGCCTCGAAGTATACTTTGCTTGCTAACACCTTCTAGCAACCAAGCGGACTCGCTGTTTCCTGCGCAGCACCCATACTCAAGTCGCAGGGTCGCGTCTTCATCCAACGCCCCCAGCGTCGCCCCCAGCATTGCATCAGACGATCTCTTTGACCACCGCTCAGTCAGCTTAACAGATCTGCCGCTAGAGACCGGTCTGTATGATAACAATGACAGTCGGCCTGAAAGCGTGGAAATCTCCCCTCCCGACTCACCCTTTTCCCTAAGTCGCCCACCGCTTAGTCGCGGCAGCTCCCGCGTCTCTCCCATAGAGGACGAATCCAGGCAGGATCCTGGTAGCGACCCCATGGGGAAGAAAGAGAATTCTAGGTTTACCAGTCATTTGCCAGTGCGCAAGATTGGTGCCCACCCAGCCTATTATTATCCCGCGGCAAACCCGTCCTTTAAAGACCACGCGACTAGGCGGGACAACTTTTCGAGGGGCTCGACGTCCAGCAACTCCGGCGGGTTCGGACAGCGGACCTCGGGCAATGTTTCATTACGCACGGACATTTCAGCGACTCCTCCGTCATCCCAGGGGTCTATCCTTCGTGAATGGGGCAAGGAAAGTGCCCGAAAGCCCCCGTCAGAGCCACGCATCCGCGAGCCTTGGAAGGGACCGAGTGGACGATCGCCGATAGTGAATCCTATTCAGGAACGACCCAGAGCGAACACTATCCGCACCTACGATCAAATGAAAGCGCGCAATGGCTCAGCCTCTAACTTAGCGGCTTGCGGTATTGTCCCTACTGTGGTAACGACAATCACAGCCGGGGATAATCGGCCACCCGACAGACACCATATCACTACCAGGAACAATCCCCGTACCAGGACACCCGAGGCAATCACTCCGACTGTCCGTAGCAGCAACCGCCCACCACCTCGGGTCGAGCTTCCAGAACCAGAACCGGACTGGGAATCCTCGTTGATGGATCTCAAGTTGACAACCCACGACCTGGCTGATGAGCCCACAAGCCGCTTCAGCGCAACCACTTACGAACCTACAGAAACAGGCAGCTCAATAGGGAGCAAGCGCAATAGCATCGATACTATCACTGACACTGCTTCTGTGTCCACGGAATATCAGCCTTCCATCATGTCCCGAAGCCGACCGGTACCGAGCACAGTTGCTCCTGGGAAGAAGCCTACAAGAAAGCCCACGCCTTCCCAAGCTGCCGTGGAGGCGGAAGCGGTCAAAGATGCCCCTGCCATCACTCCACAGCAACAGACCCAGAACCGAATAGATGCGCTAGAAGCCCGCAAAGAAACCCTTGCACGCCGCAAGGCAAATATTAACACGATCATCTACGAGTTGACGCAAGCGATTCAGCCGAGCTCCGTCGCCTACGACATGGCTGCCAGGGATGAGGTGAAGAAAACGGTCGCCAGTCTCGAGAACGAACTCGCGGAGATCAAACGGGAAGAACATGAGATTGGTGTGAAACTACTGAAAGCCTGGAAAAAGCGTGATGAGCTCGATGGCTGTAGCGGAGGCTCCGGTCTCTGGGTCAGTCGCGTGACCAGTTGAAGGTCGATCGCAACATTCTTCTTCGCCTTGCATCCTAATTCGCTCGCGACAACAGCGCATTGGCCCCTCTTAATCTTATTTCTTTAACTAACTACTTTTACGGATATGTCGATGGGCTAGGTTTGTTGGTTGCATTATGCCTTTCAGCGTTGCGTTTGCCATTTAGACAGCATACAGCGGATCTACTTCTACGTCGTTTGTTCTGGCAAAGCTTGGTAGATGGTCTTTGTTTGAGCCTCTGCAGTGCGCAATGATACCCTGTTTGCTTGTTGGGGGACGCGACTCTCGAAGCCGGAGGCACTTTTGCGTTCGCATGGTTTCAAGGAACTAGGCCACGCTTCGAGGTCTTTATGAGGAAATACTATCAGTGGATTAAGTGTGCGCTCAGCGTTGTAAATGGATGCATCAAGTAAAGGTGCTCAAATAGAATAGCGCTCAATGCCAAGCGACTCCACCATTCTGCGCTTGTGGGTCATGGCTCGTGGTATATCATAATGACTGATCTCGCTGTTCCGAAGGTGGGTTTATTTCTTGCCCGACTTCTTGATACCCTGGGAGCCGGTGTTCAGGGGGCCCTTGCCCTTGGCCTTGTCCATCAGCTCCTTCTTGGCCTTGGCGTCTGTATGTGTAAAGAACAGGCGATCAGTGATATGTTCGCCAGTGTAGACCCAGTTGCGACCAGAAGATTATATTGAACGTACCGGCTCTCTGCTTCTCCTTGAAAGCGAGATCATCCTCATCAAGATCCTTCTGTGCCTTCTTGGCCGCCTTGAGAGGCTTGACCTTGCCACCTAGACAAAGAGGCGAGTTAGGGACTAATACCGAGGCTGAGACACTGGATTCTGCGCATACCTTCTCTGCTTTGGCCACCCATTGTGCGATAGAGGTTGCTTGAGGGTTGTGTAGAAGAGTAGTTTGGAAGTAAGAGCGTGTTGCGCAAAGGGGAGAAGAGGGGAAATGGAGGCGCAAAAATCGTGTCTTATCAGCGATTGTCCCGCGGGGAGCTGCTAGGCTGGATCTGGTTAGACGCTAAATCTCCGACCGTCCGTCACCGCTCAGACAACCAGCTCACCTCACCTACTCGTAATTTCCCCAGCAATGCGTTCTCTCCTCATCTCTGTTGCCAACCCCATTCGCTTCCATCACTCAGCTTTCTTATCGACATTCGAGACTCTGTTATACGCATGATCTGCCTCTGGAACTGAACACAGAGACAGAGACAGAGAGTGTGCGAGCGCCCGTAAATCTCCCATAAACCCGCACACTGTCCTATGCTTGCTTAAGTTGGCAAAAGGGCCGTGGCATCATCAGCTGGTTGGACTTTCTCAATATATCCTCCCACCTTGACGCGTCGTCCAAACCATTCTTGGCTAACCGGAAGTCCTTCTTCCCTCTTGTCTGAAGCTGCGCGAAAAGGCCGGTTGTCTATCTAGTCACACTTCGTTGAGAGAAAGCAAATCTCTCTTGGCAGACGCAATGGCATCACGCAGGTCGAGGTCTCCGTCGACCCCTTCTGAGGGTGAGATCATCGAATCAGGTTCAGAGACGAAGGCAACTACGTCGCAACTTCCTCTTAATGGCAGCAGCATTGACCGTCCCACCAGAGCTAGTTCATCCGCCCCCAGATCACCAGCTTCGTTGAGCAGATCGCCCCGCCACCGGAGGTCGAGGACCAGAACCAGATCGCCCTCCCGCACCCGGTCCCGCTCCCCGTACCGCGATTACAGAGGCTACAAACGTCGCCGGGACGATGGCTATGATCGTGACTATGAACATGACGACCGCCGATCCCGATACGAACCCGCCCGCCGCGTCGGGTCCCGATACGATGATAGTAGGTACGCCGGCCGCAGCGGGCAATCTCACCGCCGAGCCAGGCCCTACTACGACTATGATCGGGAAGAGAACTTTGGCGAGGGTCTTCGATATAGCGACGACTCGGATCGTCGCAGGGACAAACGTGCCCGCACCCGCAGCCGATCGCCCTTCCGCGAAGTGCGGAAACCAAAGCAGTACTCTGGGGATGAGTGGGAAGTCCAGAGAGGTGATAACGTCGCGTCTCGCGATTATAGAAGGAGGACTTCTATTGAACAGTCAGTGAGCGAGCGGGGGAATCCTCCAGTCGTCGCTCGGGATCTAAAACCACATGCTGAAATTCAGAAACCTCAGGTGCATCAAAACTCTGGGACCTCTAGTGATCGTCTTAACAGGTATGTCGATTGGCTGGGCTTCGTTCAGGAGGGACGTATTAACAGATTGTCCAGTGTGAATAATGCGCAACCTTCCGAAACCCAGGAGGAGCAACAGCCTGTCGAACCAGTGGATGAGGCCGCCCAATTGGAAGCTCGTCGCAAACGGCGTGAGGCTATCCGCGCGAAATACCGTGGTCAAGCGACGCCGTTGCGTCTGCAGGCTCTCCAGATTGGAAGTGATAGGGATTCAGCAACCCCGAGCGCTGAGACGGTCGCTTCCGTTACCACGAATAGCGCTCTTTCAGGTAAGCTGAAATTGTGCTGTAGCAGAGAGTCCCGAAAGCTGACTAGCTTCTTAGATGCAGCACCGCAGTCGGCTCCTCAAACGCCTAATGACAGTCCGGATTCTTTCCCTGATTTCAGAGTTGACAAGGAAGATGGTTCGCTTAACAACGGTGCACCTGTAGATGGTGCGGATAAAGATGAAGTTTCCGCAGCAGACTACGACCCTACAATGGACATGAGAGCCGAAAAGGAAAAGCACGATACTCGCAGCTCAACCGAGGATGTTTCCGCGGCGGCTTATGATGAAACTCAAACGACCAAACAGGACATCTTGCTCCCTGATGCGGAGCAGCCTGTACCACAAGCCAAGGCGAGAGATCCCTACGATATGTTTGCGGAGGACGATGACGACGATATGTTCGCCGAAGATCCGCGTGACACGGCGCAGCCTACGCATGCCTCGGCCATGTCCGCCATTCCACAGCCCAAAGAGCTGGACGTCAGTATGCTGGACAATTGGGACGATCCGGAGGGTTATTACAATGTGCGGCTCGGTGAGTTGATCAATGGGCGATACCATGTGCAGCAGAATCTTGGCAAAGGCATGTTTTCATCTGTAGTGCGCGCCACCGACTCGAAGACTGGCGGTTTGGTTGCGATCAAGATCATCCGTCAAAACGACACGATGCGGAAAGCGGGCATGAAGGAAATTGGTATTTTGGAGCAACTCCGCGAGGCGGACCCCGAGGACAAGAAACACGTCATCAGATTCGAGCGGTATTTCGAGCACAAGGGCCACTTGTGCATGGTGTTTGAGAACCTGGGCATGAACCTGCGGGAGCTTGTAAACAAGAAGGGCCGCGACACCGGGCTGAATCTCACGGCGATCCGGGTTTATGCGCAGCAAATCTTTTTGGGTCTCAGCTTGTTTCGTAAGTGCAACATTCTGCACGCCGATCTGAAGCCCGATAATCTCCTGGTCAATGAGCACTACAATGTTCTCAAGGTGTGTGACCTGGGGTCAGCGTCCCCGGCGACGGATAACGAAATAACGCCATACTTGGTCAGTCGGTTCTACCGGGCGCCGGAGATCATCCTGGGGATCCCGTACGATCACGCCATCGATGTATGGTCGATTGGCTGCACCTTATTCGAGATCGCTACGGGGAAGATCCTTTTTACGGGGCGAAACAACAATCAGATGCTACGCTCGATCATGGAATGCCGTGGCAAATACCCGCCGAAGCTCCTCCGGCGCGGGTCGCTGGCGCACCTGCACTTCGACGATATGCTGAATTTCCACAGCCAGGAGGAGGACAAGATCACGGGGCGTCCGGTGGTACGGATGATGGACTTCAAGAAGCCGACGCGCGATCTGCGGACGCGGCTGATGGGCAAGGGGACCCGCGGAATGACGGAGAGCGAAACCAAGGAGCTGACGTTGTTCTTGGACCTGCTGGAACGTTGCCTGAACCTCAATCCGGAGAAGCGATGCACGCCGGCGGAGGCGTTGCGACATCCGTTCATCTCGCGACCGAAGGTGTAATAGTTGGGGCGAGTTTTGCTAGTGGTTCGGAGATGATTTGTACATATTTAGTCATGGTGGTACTTGGTACAACTGCACACACATATCTTAGCAGTAATGTATGCATCGGTGTTTATTTCCATCGAATCCGTGATACTTACAGTCACGATCGCATATGCTTCAGGCATCCATCGAATATGACTCCGAGGGACTTTTGCACTTTCGCCACTGGTGAGGGGAGCCGACCCGAAGAATGGAAGCTGAACGCTGGAAGCAAAAAACGGGAAGACGTATGTTCGTACCATACTTAGGACATAGTAGATGACTTCAGACAACGACTGTTTGCAGCATCATGGATCTAGGTAGGTGGCGTGGCAGCAGCCACACCAGGGAAATTCCTTTTAGTTCTTCCTGTCAAAGTAGACAGAAAAGAAGGCGCAGCAAAGAAGCTCGGTCCCACCCCGCCCCGGATTCTGGGTTTGTCAGTGGCAACTGGCACGTACAGTACGTACTGGGTAAACCGTTAAGTTGCAATAGAGTGGTAAGGTGGAAAGGCTGCCAGTGGGCTGGGTTACCCAGCCACCACCGCCCGCAGATGAATCAGTCACTGACCTCCGCAATGTGCCCCGTTCTACTGTACTCCACCACCGTCATTAGCGGGTCAGAATGGGTTGCCTGAACCGGGGGTCGGGCTTTTTTCTACCTACTATCGGTGGTGGTGATAAGTTGCTAGCTTGCTAGCTAGGTAGATAGCAGCTGGCTGTGGTGGTTGACTCTGGGTTGACTCTGTTTCTTTTAGTTCATTGTGTTCTTCCAGTTGGTGGTAGGTGTTTAGGGTACTGGACTTCATATGATATATGGTAACTACCGTAGATTATGTCGATGGAGGAAGAAGGGATTCAGACCCGATTTTCTTTCTTCTCTACCTGTATCGCATCGCATCGCATCGCATCGGAGTGGATTGGATTGGATTGTACAATGTAATGCTGTAAGGCTGGCCGCGTGGAAGGTAGGAAGGGAGGGAGGGAGGGAGGGAGGAAGGCTGTGCTGTGCTGTGCGAATCATGTGGATGGATGCTTTGTGCTATAGGTGTGGGTTGGTGAGGCTCCAGCTGTGTTACTTACTTACTTAGCCCTACCTGCTTGCCTCGCTACTTGGTATTTGGTGATGGAATTGTGGTGTCTGGTGTGGTGTCTGTGTTTTTACGGGCTTGAGGAGCATTCTTTACTGTACAGGAGATACTGTGTTGGGGAGGTGTGGTTTGGAGAACCTCGGATGGGAACGTTTCTTTGTTGATGCTCTACTAGCTGAGCTGAGCTGTGCTAGTAAATGGGTTGTTCCTGATGGCTGGGCTGGGTAATTGCAGGGTCTATCTTGATACTTAGTAAGACTTTTGATTATTGTCGGTCTGGAGATGAGGAAACTGGACCGATGCAAGCAAGCAGGCAAGCAAGCAGCAAGCAATCTTACGAGTCAGGTTTGAAGCAAACTTTCCTTCGGCAAACGAACAAAGGCGGTTGTCATTGTTTGGCGACGGACGGTTTGGATCTGGTCCGGTTCACGGGGAGAGATCTACAGGCCGGGATGAAACCGCGGAGTATTGATGATATCATGCTGCGTGGATATTTATGTAGGGGGGTTGGATTTCGGTAGACGACATGCATCTGAGATGTGGGTGGTTGTGTTTGATTGAGATTTGGGTTGGGGAGGATGTAGTGGTGTATTTATCTTTGCTGATCGAGAATACATACAGTAGTTAGGTCGTGCTCATACAAACTATATGTAGGAGGAGAAGGTGAGTATAGACTAGACCCTACTCATGGAGTATAGTGACATATACTAAGCTGTGAACGGGTCGAATGACTCCTCAATCAAGTCATACCTCCCTGGGCATGCAGTAGTTCAGGCCCCCAATAAGCATTGCATCCCATTCTTCCCATCCTCCTGCAAGTGCGTGTTCTGGGTGATGTGCAGTTGGCCGCCAAAATGGGTCTGTTTGCAGCTTGTAGCCCACATGTATGTACATGGAGTACATGTATGTACAGCACGGCACTTGCTCAAGAACCACCTAGTGTGTCTGTCTGTCTGTTTGTACACCTACATGTATGGTACATTACATACATGAAGGCTGGAGGCGAGGTCACGGGATGAGCGAAATATACTTCCACCAACCCTCCCCAGGGCGCAGCGCAACAAACAGCGTGTCAGCGCGGAACTTTCCCTCCCAGTCTACGAATCTACGGGCGCCTTTGCAGTACGGCTATCGATTGAGTTTGAACGATACTTGAAGCATAGCCATGGCCCAATTGGGAATTCTCCGAGAAGGAAGGGAGGGTGATGATACATTTGGTGTCTCACTCTGGCTTGCTTGCTTGCTTGCTTGCTTGCTTACTTCTTGCTTCGTTTGTTGGTAGTTTAATAGGTATGTATGTACAGTAGAGAGCTAACTAGCTTATTTACTGACGTCTACTTGGTTAGTCAGTCCCTGATTGGGGGGAGGAGTCCCCTGATTGCTTTTTATATCTTGAGGGACTGGACAGGTCTGGAACTGACGGGTTCTCCTGCCTGGCTGCCAGGATTCGAATCTGCTGGCCCGTGCAACCCGCAAAAGACCGGACACAGACTCGGACACCCAACGTGGCAGCAAAGCAGCCAATCATCAGCCGCCGAGCCAGTCATCCGAACCACTAGCCCCGATGCAGACGAACCGCCCTGTCATTGGTCTGATCCCCATCGCCTCACTTTACATTCGGGATAGTGGGAAGACATGGATTGAGTTGAACTGAGCCTGGAGGCCGCTGGGAAGGTTTTCTCTCTCGCTGCTGTACTTTGCCAGTCAGTTCAATATAGACTTCGGCTTGCTGGGAACAGAGTTGAATTGTGAATTGACTACGTTCGGCGGAGCCAGAAAAGACGGTGTGGATGAGTAGGGCACGGAGGAGGGAGTAGTCATAGTTCTTGGTTGACTCCTCGACAGGGCACGCCCTCCCGCCTGTCCCTTGTTTGATTCGAGGTTTCGTATAGATACCCGTTCAAACTGTGAGCCCTTCAGGTTTCTCCTTTAGCTGAGTAACCCATTAAAGGGAGGGATGAGCTGGCAGTACGGACCAAGAAACTTTACTTACTCTACAAAGTCTACCACAGCAAGACGGTATACAGACTCCCTACCCAGACTATCCCGGAAACCTGACTGGCGAAGACTTACTCCCGTCCTTCAGCCTTTAGCCATCATCAGCCCGTCAAACCCCCAGATCGGTCGTGCCCTGTCAAGAACGCGAAACAATGGACCATCACCCGAGGGGGGAGAGGGTCTGTAGTGGGGCAAGCTTGACTGACCTACCGTACTTCTTTCTTCCCTTTCATTCCCATTTCCCAACATCTCCACGCGTGCCCCCCTCCCTCCTCCTCCTCCTAAACTAGACTAGACTAGGTAGGCTTGCTTGTATCCTCCAGCCTCATTCCGGCCACTCCATCCAAGTCAGCCAACGGGGCGAAAGAGAAGGGAAAGCAAGAGAAAGAAAGAAAAGAAGGAAGGATTTACCCGCGGGAAGGAAAGGCTGGAACCAGGGTCAGGATCTTGGTCTGTTGCTCGAACCGTCGCAGGCCAGATGGAACTTATGGAGCCATTGCCGCCCCGTTCCAATCCAGCAATCCCGTGGAGGTGATGATTGTGTGTGGTGTGTGTGCCAGTTGTGTGTGAACTTGAGTAAGTGTGTGTGTGTGTCTCTGGGTGGATTTGTGCCAATAGGACTCGAGGGGCGGCGGATTTATTCATCCCAGTTGCAGCCTGCTTTCAGCCAATAAAGCAGGGCGGTCGAGGACTGATCAGTTCCATCGATTCCGCCCGGGCCAGGCTGGGAAGTGGGCATCGAATGGGATGTGCATGATGGACGGTGGGGACTCGGTGATACTAATTAATTATTCTGGGTAGAGAACGAGACCTGTCACACCTACACCGCCTCGGGGAGAGGAGAGGGAGTAGTTGAGGGAGCAGATCGGAGAAAGGATGATGATCGGTATGATGAAGAAGGTGATGATGGCAAGAATGATGACGATGATGAGGTTGTGATGTTGTAGGTGGTTTCATGGTTTATTATAGGCTGTTGTTCTTGTTGTTCTTGTGTGTATAGTAGCTATTGTCAATGAAAGTAGTAAGTAGTGGTGGTGGCAGCCTTCATCCATTGTGGCCCTCACTTCCTATTGTGTCTTCTCTAGTCTGCTGACCGTTTCCCGGCTCTCTCCGTGCACCGTCATTTCTCTCTCTCTCCCTCTCTCTCTCTCCTATCTCTCTGACAGTATTCCATAGTTACTAAGTAATGGTTATTCGATCAACTCTACCGACCTCTTACGTAGGAGGGGAGGGGGGAAAGGAACCACCACCGGAACCCACTGGATAGTGGATTCATGATGGATCCGCCCAGGCTCAGTTCTATTAATTATTATTATTATTGTTCGCCTCCCTCGGAGCAGTTTTAGCTGGAGAGAAAGAGTTGGTTCCATCCAGTCTAAGCATCATACATTAGTAGTGGGTGGAGTCTGGGGGGGGTCTGTAACCCACCTTGATTCGCCTGGGAACCGCTGTGGTGGCTCTGGCCACGAGTCTAAACTCCGTGGAATTAATTCTCACCTCCTTATCATCATCCGCCCATCTTTACCCTTTCCCTCCTTCCCTCCCCCAAATGGTTTTATTTTTACTTATTTTTACTACAACCTGCCCTACTTAGACTATCTACTTGCCTATTTACCTTTCTACCTACTACGTACCTACGTACCTATCTACCGACCGACCCCGTATTAATCTCACGGCTCTCTATTATTGTTTCCCCTCTCCTTTTTCCCTCGCCCTCTTCCCTTTCTCTCTTCTCACGCGCGCTCTCTCTCTCTTTGCCCCCTTGGACGCTGTATCATCTTCTTGTTTCCTTCTTTCCTTCTATGCTTATATAGTCGGTGCACATCAACCACATCCCTCCCCCCCTTTCCCTTGCGCATAACACACAACCCTCCACCCCCCCCCCCCCCCCATCATCCACCCACCACACCCCCTAAAACTACTTACTCGCCTTGCTCGACCATTATTAACTATCATCCCTCTGGCCCCCATCGGAACTACAATCTTCTGGATCGCATCCCTGGCCGTACTGTACAACTTTCCGCCCGGATTGCCACTGGTTCTCACGCCTCCTCCCCCCCACTAAAAGAGAGGCAAAAACACAAGGAGAATATTTCCATATTCCCTCCACTCCGACACAACATCCATTGGACATTCCCGCCCTAGGATCTCTTGATTGCCTTACCTATTTGCTCAACCACCACCAGATTTCCATTCCTTCAATGGCTCCCTGAAGTATCGCAACTGGACAGAAGGCGACTCTCTCTTTCCCGTTCCTCTGGATTTTGGATGACTTGAACTTGACAATCCCGCCACCCGGACTTCGGAATCCCCAGGATTTATATCAACCGTCCCTTACTGTGTTTCTCCCTCCTCTCACCCACTTACTTCACTTTACCTTTGACAAGAGACTCGTGTGTGTTGTCTTACGCTCCAGTCTCTTCACCGTCCTTATGCTCATGCTTCCCCCTTCCCCCGTCTTCGGCATGTATCCCCCCATACTGCCAACTCCGCCCCCCACTCCGCCCATCTCCCGCTGCTATGCTCCGGAAGACCGCTTGGGATTACTCCTGGCCAACCGGCTGGAACTCACCAGCATCCTAGGCGTAGGCGCCTATGGTGTGGTCTACACGGCCGTCGACATTCATACCAATGTCCTGTATGCTGTCAAGGCCCTCAACAAGTCCGGACTGGATGCCCGCCAGCTCAAGTTCCAGCAGCGGGAGATCAAGCTCCACCACCTGGCCAGCCAACACCCCAACGTGGTCTCCTTGGTGCGCATCATGGACTCGGTGGACTGCACCTATGTGGTCATCGAGTTCTGCCCCGAGGGCGATTTGTTCTCCAGCATCACCGAGAAGGGTAATTTCGTGGGCAACGACCCGCTGGTCAAGCGCGTGTTTCTGCAAATCCTGGACGCCGTTCACTTCTGCCATTCCATGGGAATCTACCACCGGGACCTGAAGCCGGAAAACATCCTGGTGACGGACCAGGGCCTCACCGTCAAGTTGGCGGACTTTGGCTTGGCGACGACCGACTATCTGACGTCCGACTTTGGTTGCGGGTCGACCTTCTACATGTCTCCAGGTATGTTTGTGTGTGTGCGTGTAACTGGCGGTGGGTGGACAGTGGCTGACGGGATCCAGAATGTCAGCAACCAAGCTCGCGATCGGTGACGTGCTACGAATCGGCGCCGAACGATGTGTGGAGTCTCGGGGTGATCCTGGTGAACCTGACCACTGGCCGCAACCCGTGGAAGCGGGCCTCGATCGAGGATTCGACCTTCCGGGCCTATCTCAAGGATCCGTACTTTCTCAAGTCCATCCTGCCCCTGTCCGATGAAATGATTTGTATTCTCAGCCGCATCTTCGAGTGCGACCCTGCCAAACGGATTACCATTCCGGAGCTCCGTCAGGTGATCATGGATTGCCCACGGTTCACCATGAACCCTGTTATCCCCTGGTCTACGAGCGGACCCATGCCCGTTGACTACCTCAACAGCCCTGTCCCGGTGCCAGGGCCCGTGGATGCCTTCAACACCCAGTCCTCTGTTTCCTCTGGTTCTTCCCAGTACTCCGACTTCTCGAGCTCGGTGGTCTCCAGTGCTTCATCCTTCACCGAAGGCTATCCGGACATGGATAGTGTCTCGTCGATGTCTTCGGTGGGGTTCGAGGCCGAAGACTGCAAGGAGTTCTATCCTTCGGAGCCTATCCAGGTTTCCGAGGGACATGTCATTCCTTATAATTTGATTCCTGTTTATTGAATCCGCGACACACAAAAACAAACACCAACAAAAGCACTTAACGCAGGTCATGATTAACGGCATTCGACATCCGCCTGGATTCTTCGCTTATTCGACTGTTCCTGTTCACTGTTCGACTGTATTATTTCCACAGGACAGCCAGGAGATTTCACTCTACTACATTCTTTGGACATACGCCTACTTCCGGATTGGATTTACTATACCCTTTTGTTTTTGGCATAAATTGCCGTGTTCGGTTGCTTGCAGTTGCAGCGACAGCCTTATTTTATCCAGCATAAATTGCTTGGGTCGGGATTGCGCGTCTGTCTTCGAGGGCAGTGATTGTTGCCTTTTGGCGGCAGTGCATTGTTTTATTAATGGTTACACTTGGGTGGGCTTTTGCTCGGGTTGACTCGGGTGATACACTTGTTGGCGTTGAATTGGGCGATGGCATTTAAAGAAAAGAAAATACCCCGGATTTCGTTGGAGTTGCTTGATACTTCATACTTATACATAATTACATAGTCTGCTGATTATGGTTCTGATTCTGATGACCTACTTGACCCTTCGAGTCGATTCCATGGCTATCTTACTACCTTACTACTCTTTGACTATCCCTTCCAACCTGACCTCTTCTCGAATACCTTTCCAACACCACGATCCTACTCCCTGAATACGTCGTGGACACTCGATTTCTATACTTTTGTTGGAGCCTTGCGTGGTCAGGCAACCTGCCTCCAGCTCGTGTTACCGTCTTGAAGACATGAGGTCATCTTGATGTCTTGATATTAGGCAACGTGTTAGTTGTCTTGTATACTAGTGTATTATGAATGATGCGACTTCTGAATCGCAGTTCTCTTTCATCTCTCACCTACATAACCCCTAAAGTACAACCATGACTACCTCTACACCCCTAAATGTAACCGATATATACACCACTAAGTACAACACTATACACAGCCCCAAGTACAACCACCTCAAGGTAATAACGTTTTGGGGGGAGAACCCCCCAAACCCCCCCTTTCTTTCAGCTTCCCAGTCAACTCCCATTGATTCCCAGAGAGAGTAGCGTTTTGGGGGGAGAACCCCCCAAACCCCCCCCTTTCTTTCAGCTTCCTGGCGCCCGCATTCACACCGGAGGATAGCGTATACCCCCATTTCAGCTCCCTAGCACTCCCATCTAAATACAGGGAACAGGGGTATGACCAGAAACTACATATTCCGTCCCCCAGTAACCCGCACCGTCTCCCCAGTGACATACGCAAACAGCGGACTCGCAACCGCCAGCACCGCCCGCGCCGCCTCCGCCGCGCTCGCCGGCCGCCCCAGCGGGATATCAGGGTACGCGGCACCCCCGGCGCCCCGCCGAGCAGCCAACTGCGCCCCCGGGATCCCCAGCGCAACCCGCTCGCCGTCCGCCGTCGCCATCTCCGCCCCGCCCTCCTTCGCCGCCGTCAGCCGCGTCTGCACGTGTCCGAACGCCACCGTGTTGGCCCGCACCCCGAACCGCGGGCCCCATTCCTTCGCGATCGTCTTCGTCAGCCCCGTCACCGCTGCTTTCGCCGCTGCGTAGTTCGCCTGGCCCCTATTCCACCATTGATCAGTTAGTCGTAATCTCAGAGAGTAGTGAGGTGGGGAGGGAGGCGTTCATGGGGGGAGAACCCCCCATACCCCCCCTTCTTTTCAGCTCCCTGGCACCCTCTTTGAATAGAGAGTCAGGGAAGTGTATATGGGGGGGAGAACCCCCCATACCCCCCCCTTCTTTTCAACTCCCTGGAAAAGGGCACTCACGCATTACCGTGCACCCCGCTCGTGGAGCTGATATTGACGATGCAGCGGCTCGCGCCGTCCGCGACCCGGAAGTAGCGCGCCGCCGCGCGCACCAGCTGGAACGGCGCCGTGGCGTGCACCGCCAGCATGCTGGCCCATTGCTTGTTTGTCATCTACCGAGTATTAGTTTATGGATTGGTGGCGGTGCCAGGAAGCTGAAAGAAAGGGGGGGTATGGGGGGTTCTCCCCCCATAACATTTCCCTCCCTCTCTATATGATAGAGGGTGCCAGGAAGCTGAAAGAAAGGGGGGGTATGGGGGGTTCTCCCCCCATAACGCCTCCCTCCCACTTTCCCTATCTATCTGGTGGGGGAAAGCAGGTATAGGAGGTATGTACTGTACCTTGTGGATGACCGCATCCCAGGTGAAGCCGGCGTTGTTGACGAGGATGTGGATCTTGCCGCCGCCGAAGGCCGCGGTCTGCGCGACGAGCTGCTCGATGTAGGCCTCGCTGGTGAGGTCGCCTGGCACGGCGAGCGCGGTGGTGGGGTTGTTGTGCTTGGTGTTGAGTTCCTCCGCTAGGGCGCGGGATTTCTCTTTCGGTTTGTTAGTGGGGTTTGATTTGGATTCGGTTGTTGGGATTTGGGATTTGGGATTTGGGATTGGGGGGTTGGATTCGGGTAAGGTGCAAGGGGAATACCGGCGTCAACGTCTGCGATCACGACCTGCGCGCCTTCGTTCGCGAACAGCCGCGCCGTCTCGGCGCCGATGCCTTGCGCGGCGCCGGTGATCAGGGCCACTTGGTTGGCTAGGAGGCCGGCCGGGTAGGTTAGGTGGGAGTTCAGCTGGGAGAGGCGGTCCATTCTTCTAGGGTTGCGGTGAAGGGTCTGGGTTGGTTGTTGTAGGGGAGGGTGAGGTGTGAGTCTTCGGAAGGATGAACTATATGCTTCAATGAGTTGATGGTGATATGCGGGGAACAAATGCCTCGGCTCAATCTACCCGGGAACAAACCAACCGCTCGGTTGGGATGTCCGGAAGTAGACACCCCCTACTGCCAAAAGGTCCGGCCATGGGGTAACACATTGCTTACTTCGTTACAATCCTATGTAGTATCTCGGTACTTGGTATCCCCCTCTTTGTCCACGACATCTCGTGTTCGATTGTAGCATTCTGCCCACCATGTCTCGTGTCGACTACACAGAACTTGCAGAAAGAACTTTCAATTGTACGACCAGGGAGGGTATCACTACTAATTACTTTCAACTGGAGGGAGCTTCGACGCTAGACTGCGTTGAGGGAGCTGCTGGTGGTGGTGGTAGTGGTGGTTCACTTCTCGCAGCAGCAGCAGCACATACACCCGTCCTCCGACATGGCCCGCAGAAACGCATCCACCGTCGTATTGTGTCCCCCGAGGATCTGCTGGATCAGCTCCCCATTCTCGCTGGTCGTCAGCATTCCTGCCGAAGGGGAGAATTCGGCCGCCGCCCCCGTCGCCGCCGCCCCCGTCGCCGCCACCACCGGGCTGCGCATGTCGTGTTGCCGCCGACTGACGTCTACCGTCTCCTGCAGCAAGCCCACCACCTCCCGGCACTGCAGCAGGCGGCCCCGGAGCAGGAATCGCCGAATACGCCGCGTCTCCTCGCTGGCGATCTCGTACTCGCCGTAGCCGACCATCAGGCCGGGGTCGTTTGTCGCCGTCACGGCTGGGAGAGGGGGCTGTGGCGCCGTCGACAGCGGTTGCGCCAGCTCGTAGGGGATCGCGAAGTCGAATAGCTGCACCGTGAAGTCTACAATCGACGCCGCGTACAGCAGGCGCGTGCCGTCCTTGTGGCAGCCCGGACACTGGAGGAAGGCCCGGCACGCCGCGAGCGCCGTCTGAATCGCTTGCAGGAGCAGGTCGAACCGCGGGTGGTGCACCATCGTCACCGGGCGGAGTCGGTTCATATGGAACACGAGCGCATCCCCGCAGTCGCACGTCGGCTGGATGTGCACCGCCAGCGGACAGCTGGTTAGGCCCTTGGTGATGAACTCCTTCTGCAGGAATATCGGTGACATCGAGGAAGAGGTGGTCGTCTGGTCAAAGATGGGCGGTGGCGGTGTTGGTGGCACATATGCCCCGTGCGGCGGCGGCATCGGGTCCCCATTGCCATGCCCCCCGAGACAAGAAGGATATCTAAAGTGCGGCTGCGTCGAGGGCGACTCATCCAGTAATGACGACACGTCCGTCATGCTGACCCCTTGACTATCAGGACTGTTGGACTGGCTGGGTTGACTGGTATCATGGGGACTCTTTGTAGACCAAGACCAAAGGGAATGCCTCGTTAGCGTTTACTCTCACACTCATCAGTCCCTTACGAGTAGAAGACTCACCGGCTCTTCCCCTGCGCCATCCACCACCGAAGGCGGTTGACTCCGCGCAAACACCTCGATAGTATTCCACCCATTCATGAAAGTATGAGTATGCATATTCCCTCCTCTACCACCCCCACCCCCACCCCCTCCTCCTCCTCCTCCTCCTCCTCCCACAGCCATCATCGGCTTGCGAGGTTCCTCGTGTTGCTGTTGCTGCAGCTGGCCCAACTTCCGCAAGGTCGCCCGGTTCTTGCTCCCCTTGGGCTTTCCAGACCGATTGGCGACGCGATACCGACAGGTCAAACCATGCCGCAGACACCGAATGCAGGTCTCCTTGCCCCCGGCCCCGGCCGACAGGTTGCACTTGACCTTGGACTGGCGACAATTCTCGCACGCAGCCCGCAGTTTCGGGGCATCGATGATGGTGCTGGTGGTCGTGCTGAGGGATGATGGTTCGGTTTTGATAACCGATGCTGTTTCCGCCAGCATCTATACCTGTTTTGGGCGTTTGCAGTGTTGGTTGTTGTTTTATTTGTGTCCGTGTGTCCCTTGTGTGACCACCTCCTTTTCTCCCCGAGGGTCCGTCGCTGCTGAACAGTTTTGAGTATGGGGGAGGGGCTAGGGTTTGGGCTCGATGATCTAGAAGGGGGAAGGGGGAAACAGAAATCAAAAATAATAGAACATATACGGTACACACATACACTAATGCGCGCACGTTCGAAAGGGCAGAGACAACAGGTCAACCCAAGGCTATAAGAATGGGGGAATATCAACCTTATATAAACAAAAAAGTATAAGATAAGCTTGAACCTCAAGCGCGCATTTTTCTTATTTATACCACAATAGTCAAACCCCCCTTCCCTTCTTGATGCCGGGCTCTTTCGCTGGCTCGGTTTGCTGGTTTGCTGGTTTGCTGGGCTGGGGCTGACTGCAACTGACAGACAGAGAAGACAGACTGACTGGTTGGTGGGCTGGCCCTGCAAGACTTGAACTTCGTATCGTGAAATCCCTAAATCGACGGCAAGCGCAGATGAAGTCAGCCGTCGTGACACCCTGGAACCATCCCATCTGATCCACCGTGCTTGGAGAAAGAAAAGCCGTGGCGGACTAGGGGGGTCGAGGGAGAGCGTCCATTCGCAGCTGGCGTGGTTTCCGATGTGTGTGTGTGTGTGTGTGTCCAACTGACCCTTTTCTGCTTCGAGGTCTTCTCATCTTACTTGTCAGAAATTAAAAAAAGAAAAAGAAAAAAAAGAGATTATGCCAGATTTGATTTCGCCCATCATTGCTTGGCTGTTGGAACGGCCAACCATCGACCTCGTCTATTTTCTAACGTAAGAGGTCCAACAGAAGGAATAAGCTCAGGTGCAACATTGCTTCGTTTGCTCGTCAGGCCCAGTCAGTCGAAGGGGTTCACTCTTCTTCCCACCCCCCAACTTTAATGGGGAATCTGGAATCAAAAATCAAAACTGCAAGGCGAAAAAGAGGTTATTGTCTCTGACGTAGCATCCAATAGCACTGGAAATGAAGAATCGGTATGCAGGCCAGCACATCCCATGTGAGCTGTAAAACTGATTGCGGGAGTGCCGCCTTATTCGTCTGCCCGGTTTGAAATGTTGCAGGGCAAGCGGTGAACATCTGAACATTTGAACATCAGAACGTCAGTCCTTCAGATATCCTCTGCTATTGAATGTTGCAATGGTCAGCAAAGCAATGTGGAAATTGAAGTGTTAGACAGAATGTCTCGTATCCCGTGTTTCGACGTCAGCATCTATTCTCAGGTCATCTTTGCGTTCTAATATTCCAGAAAGAAATTATGCGATTTATGGCTACATATCCGAGATGGTGACCGGCAACAACGACTCACTCCCCCCGCCTCCCCCTTGTGCGATCCTAAACTCCCTCGCCGGCGAATCACCGTCAGCCCCAAGAACAGTTGGCGGCGAACCCGCTGTGTCTGTAATCAAACGCCTTCAGCAGCCCGGTCAGATGAGCGATTGCGGCGCAGACCACTAGCACGTGAAAAATCTGATGGGAGCTTCCCCACAGATCGAATTGGCCGGGTCGCAATCGTTCGGGGACCCGAGCCGCATAGATCGCTGCCCCCAGAATGTATAGGAGACCTTGGAGCACCAGCCAGCCGAGGCCGATCTGGCGTGTCATCTGCCCCAGCCCGTACAGGCGTAATCCGTGGATCACGGGAAACACCGCTGACAGGCCCATGCCGACAAACATCGCCGCCCGGAACGGTCGCCAGCCTGGAGTCCGGAACTGGGGAAAGATGGAGACTACCACGCAGCCAAGCCCAATGGTGCAGATCATGCTCCAGTAGAGCCGTTGCAGCGCGGGCTGACAGTAGAAGCCAAAGTAGACGCTGGGGATGAAACTGCCCACCGTCAGCCCGACAATGCCCGCGTAGTCGAACGCGTTGCCAATGCGCGCCACCGTTGGGGAATGATTCGAAATCGTATGGTAGGTGGCGGACATGCCCAGGCAGAAGGCCGCCCCGGCGAAGAAGCAGCCGAAGGCGATCACATCCGCCTGGGTCGCCGTCTCATATCGGGGGCCTAGTGCCCGATACAGTGCGAAGGCCGCCGGCACGACCAACAAAGACGGTAGCAGGTGCGTGTAGATATTGACCGTTTCATTGTGAAGATAAGTCAGCGACTGGAAGGAAACCAGAAACGAAGACGAGGCCGGCCGATACCCGCTGTGAATGTGCTGGTTATCGCGCTGCCAATGGGGGAGGTCATCCCAGTGAAGCAGCTTCTTGAGGACTTTGGAAGGCTGCTCCAGCACAGCAGCTGCCACAGCAGCAGGCTGACTCGTGCCCGGGACCTTCTCTTGGCCATGAGTGGAGTGACGCTGTCGAGTGGACATCTTCTTCACATGCAGCATGCAGATACTGTACAATGACAGATTCCGGGTCTTGGATATGAGGTCGGGGACGGAGGAAGGGACCGGTGACCGTGAAATGAATACCCAAAATGGCTTGCGTCCAAGATCAGATAGCCCAGGAATGACCGGAGCTCCCCCCTAAATGACGACCCAAAAAGGGTTGGCGAAGGACAAGAAAGTCGGTTGGGATTCAGCGGAAACTCGCCGCTTCCTCGGGCATTGTTGGGGGGGCAAAGAGAAGCAAACAGCGCAAACCCTGCAAACACGACGCCGATAGCATAAGGAATGGCTTCATCTCGACCATCTTGCTCCGCCCCGGACTTCAAAATAATCCATTTGTACACAACCCGTCGCTCATTCAGTATGGCTACTCGAGCGCCGCTTCTGCGCAAGGCTTCAGGGAGTCGCCTGAAGCCTGTGGCAGACTCCCTGGAGACCGTGGGCTTCGTATCCAAAGGAGACCGGAAGTACGCCTGCGCGCCTTCCAACCCCCACCGCCGGCCGGGCTGACATGCGCAGATTGCTAGATCACAAAGCTCAGAAGGATTACTATGACAGTATTGTTAAAAGATATATGGAGTTCTGCGCTCGTCATGCGAAAGACTTGGACGCCGCCTGGACTTCTCTCCCCAAGAGCGCCTCGGATGACGCAACCAAGAACCCGCCAGCTTCCCTCCCCTCGAAACCAACCGGAACAACCACTCCCTCGCCAGCATCAGAGCTATCTACTATTCTTCTCTCCCTTCGGAAGCTCCGAGAGGCCGTCTTGGCCACTGCATCCACAATCCCTAATATTTTCTCCCAACAAGTCCATCTCTTCTCGGTCAAGGTCGCCATTCAAGCCCAACATCCTCCCTCGTACTCTCCCTCCCTCCGATACCTCATTGAAGAGCTCCACAGTCCATCGCATCCACTGCCAGACTCCGACTTGAAGGAGGTTATCTCGTACCAGATTCTCGATTATGCTTGCCGGCTACAGGACTTGGGCGCCGCTTACGAGCTGCGTGCACGTGCGCGGAGGAAGTATGCGTTCCATTCGTCCGTGGTCGATGAAGCTTTGCATGCGCTCGCACATGATGACTGGGTTATATTCTGGCGGATCCGTAGGGGAGTAGATTCCAACATGCGCGCCGTCATGAACTGGGCTGAGGACCGGGTTAGGAGACACGCTCTCAAGGCCGTGGGCAAGGCTTATCTCCACACGGATATCAAGTGGATCACAGAAGGTTGCACCGGAGAGAAGAACTTGACGTGGGAGAAACTGGTGGAGATGGAGAAGCTCGGGTGGCAGAAAGAAGGCGACAAGATTATCATTAGGCGGCCGAAGCAGAAACCGCCGGTCAATTTGACCCCTATCAAAGAGGCTGCGTGATGACGAACGGTCACTTTTGTCACTTTATCAATGCATGGCGCTTTAGGGCTTGGGGATATGGCGTTTGGTCTAGGGTAAATGTTTGAATTGGTTTAGCCATAGCATATTGACGAATAGCGTCGAGCCGCGATCGGTTCCTCGATTAGCGGGGTTGTTAGGCATCGTTATCATCATATCTTGAAGTCTGCACTGGGCCTGTCCAGATTTAGAACACCCGTCACTGGCTGTTTCGCTACAGTCTCGACGAGCTCATTCTTGAGCTTGGCGGCCTTCTCAGAGCACAGCTCATAGACAGTCGATAAGTTATACACGAGACTCGGAAATGAATGCTCTTTCTGGACCAAAGACTCTAGAACTTCACGGGCCTGGAGTAAAGTTTAGCCTCGCGAGCCAAACCAGACTTGTCAATTGAAAGACTCACCTCATTCAGTTGGCCGGTATACAACAAACAGACCGCCAAATTCTGCTGAATGATAGCTTCGTCGGGTCTGTAGCGCTCACGTTCCAGAAGACTGCGCCATTCGTCCGCTGCAGTGTTATACTGGCCCTCAGCCATACTGAGGAGGGCATTGAAGAAGCCCTGTTCGGCTTCGCTTCCCTCGCTGCACAATTGTCTGGCACTGTCGAGATCGCCGATCATCACTAATAGGAGCGTCTTTCTCGAGGTGCAGAATGCCTTATCTATGCCTGACATACGCAAGCTATCGAGTGCTTGTTTAGCCGCATTGAGGTCGCCCATTTCGATCAGCGCATTGACGTTCCTGATCCCGAGATCCGCGAGTCGCTCTCTCCAAAGCTGCCGCTCTGCCGGATTCAGGTCTGGCCGCAGAATCTCCCTTCGCGCCTCTAGCCCAATCTCATAGAGACCCCCAATGCCACGACGGGAATCGCCAAATCCGATACTCTGGAGTCGCACAGCCAGAACCCTGAGAGGCCATGGCACGATATGGCGAGGATAGCTCGGGCCTTTCTCGGATTTCTCAGGCAACGGCTCCACGTAGTAGAAGGCGGAAGTCAGATCCTCAAGGGCTTTGGACTCCTGTGCGGCATTGATGGTGTTCCCAGAGAGCTGAAGACATGCTAATCGGGTGTAGAACAAAGCAAAGATGCGCTTGATGTCGGTAGGCTTGATTAGAGAAGACGCGAGTATCGTTCCACTGAGATGAGCTGCCAGTAAGAAATGACCCTTCGCCAACAGTTTTTCAAGCCTTTGGAGCGTTGAAGATAATGACTCGCTTGAGGTTGGAACGATGAATTCGGAGCGCAATGCATGTGGGATATCTAGCTGTGACAAGGAGTGATAGATCTCGTAACGGAGCAGGAAAGAGAGGTCTTTCTCCACGGTAGGTGGCAGCTCGTCGGGAGCAAGTGGATCCAGATTGTCAAAGGAGACACCGAACAGCTCGGTTTGAGCTGCTGGCTCGGGTGAGCTTAACGTGTTTACCGTCTCCGTGCCGAGGGGGCTGGTTTCATTAGCATGTCCCTTGATGACAACAGAGTACTTCAATCGCCTACTCGTCTATTTGATCAAGGGGACCCTTAGTCGTACTACGAGGTCGGGAAGCTGTCATGTATTAGCGTATAATGACCACTGCTTCGTATGGAGCTCCTTACATCTAGAAGCATTGCGGCTATGCTTGGTTGCGGTGGTTTCCATATCCAAGATCGAGTGTATAGAAAACAAGGTCCTGGAGGATATGTACAACAGAGCATATACCAGCACTATACACTATGCAGAAGCTGACTTCAATCCGGCAATAGGCTCACTGTGCAGGGATAGATGCAAGAAACAACTGTAGTGGGCGTTATGGCTGTCAGTTCAAGCGGAGTATCAACCATGGCAGTAATGCGGGTGCCCGGATTCCGCCCCGGTTCTGCCAGAGCGGTGAGGAGGTCGGTCGGATAGACAAACTGGCCCCATCATCATCTGTCAATCGCCCTACAATCTACCGCAACCTAGAGTATTGCAGATCAGCATAGGAGATCTATCTGATATCGCACAACCGCTACTTACGACTCATACCACTTACCATCACCAGACCAAGCATCTTCCGTGTGAAATTCTATCGTGAATCGCCACCATGACTCTCGCCGAGGAATTCAAGACTAGAAACTTCAGTATGCACTTGCATTGTTTACACTTTGGCCGATTCTTGAACATAAAGAGCTAACATCTCATCGCTAAGGTATTTATGGACAATGGTATGTCGCGATCTGTTTACTCAGTCACTCCTTTTCCTTCCGTTCGACTGCGCGCCTGGCAAACATAATCCAAGCAGAAGAATCACTGCTGCCTGGCGTCTCAACATGAACGCTGCGCGCGCTCCGTGATGGGATCATTTCCAATGCCCATCTACCCAAACAACGGCAACACGCGACACTTCTACAATATCTCCAGTTGCTGCCTATTCATGGAGAAGAACAAGGGATGATTGATTGCAGCAAGGGCTGACTGGGATCTGAATTAGGACGGGTGTTATATGCATCATTTTGTGCCTGGCTCTCGGAATCGCCAACATCTTTACGTTCAATGCGGTGATCATTATCTTCAGCGTCCTTTGCCTGTAAGCGAATCTATAACCTGCAGGAAGTACAAGGCTTACATGTGCAGTGTTTCCGCCTTCATTCTGATCTTCACCGAAGTGCCTTTCTTGCTCCGAATCTGTCCGACCTCCCCCAAGTTTGACGAATTCATCCGCAAGTTCACAACAAACTGGATGCGCGCTTCGATGTACGCCGTCATGAGTGTTGTGCAGTTTCTCAGTTTACTCAAGTATGCCACCAGCTTGATTGCTGCGGCTGTTATGCTCCTGATTGCTGCTATCTTCTACGCACTGGCGGCTGCGAAGAGCCAGGAATTTGTTAGCAGCAAGACTCTGGGCGGCCAAGGGCTTGCGCAGATGATTGTGTAAAGCTTGCGAACTTCGGTTTGTAAGAAAAAAAGAGCACTTCTAGTATGTGAGTAAGTTCTCGCTCAGCGCTTGCCCAGGATTTCAAGGCACAATCATCTTTTACAGTCTCCGTACAAGCAGAAGAAAAATGCTAATAAGTGGCCGTTCAATTCAGCAAAATAGTCAAATAATGGGGCGTGAAGGCTTTCTGAGTCGAAACTGAGTGTGGCGCGATGATTAGCTGATATTGCCATTGTCGCTGCAACGGAGGGGGCATGCACTCCTTTGCTTTGCTTCTCGCGGGACCTAATCGAACTTCACTGGAGTCTAGGCCTGCTGCTGATGATCTGCTTGAGCCTTTCCTATCTTGTATTTCTCTGCTTTGCTTTTGGCTTTTGTCACCTCGTTGATGTCCTTCGTGATGAGTCTAGATGAAACCTGTAACAACCATTACTTCACCGCAGCGAATACCCTACCAGCCATCTGGCGATGAATATGAACTTTCCTTTTTTCCAAGGCCAATCACTTATGCTCCTGGGAGAATGTCACTGGGGGAAAGTGGAGCTAAGCTCAGCCAGATTTCCTGGGTGGGTTGAGAGTCTAACCAGATGTGGCTGCAGGGGTATTTGCATTCTCCTTCTGAGCCGCTCTTTTCCCTGACAACCCGGGGACGTTATACATCGTACGCATGATCAGATCTTCCAGGTGCGACTGGACAGGAACTATTCCGCCAAAACAGCTAGGTTCCAGACGAAGTCCTGTCAACTCCGATTCTCGTCGATGCGCCCAGAGGTAATGCCTCAACCCTGAAAGTGATGTGTCGTCCGCAACTATACACCCACTTTCACCGCCTACAGCTGCCCACATATCGTGCAAACAACCGTCTCGAAACCCCAATTTCCAACAACTAACGCTTGGGAGGCACTATAATATTAGTCGCATCTTCAGGGGCAATGCCCATACGTCATACCAACGCATCACCCCCTCGTTGCCCCTCTCCACAAGACGAGGGACGTTCGCTTTACCCCGCGCTTCGGGCGGCGCGGTTGGCGTCTGTGCTGGTCCCGGGCTTGCATGAGGTACTTGCGTACGAGTACCGTGATCCGATGTCGACATGCAGATGCATATCCAGCCCGCAATCCCGTTAGATTATCTGCGAAAGTCTTCATTTACCCATCGCGGGAGGATGGCGGCCCTGCCCACGTGTGTCCTGGATACCTAGGTAATACTACTTTCATGCCCGGCCAGGCAACAACTTACGCTCCCAGCTACCTTTATACCTCCCGTACCTAAGCTACGTAGTCCCATGTGTTGTCCGTAGCTTGAATATAGGAACGAAGCTCATTGGCGCTCCGTCAAGATCCTCGAGTCATCCGGTCGGTCTCGCGGTGAGGGTAAAATGTCTGTGTTGATGCAGTGCCCAGAATCTAGTGTCCCGGCCCTCGTGGTCCTTGTTGCACGCGGGGATTGGATCTGGTTGATGCCATTCGTTGGGTCTCTTTGCCTTGTTGTTGTTTCTTCGTTTGAGGTATGTAGTTGTGTTATAGTGGGCTTATCGCCGATGGGCTTTTGCGCAAGGATAAGTTCGCGACTGAGTCATGGGAAGGGTTGCGCTACTGAATACAGGGTATAGAGATCTGATCGAGCTCTAGGGCTTGCGTGATGGTTGCGCCAGGAGTCGACAATTAGCGTCGACCAGGGATCTAAGGGATCTTATGGCAGGGCTGGCATTGACCATGGTTGATAATTCGTGGTTCATTGTTTGTTTGTGGGTGGATTTCCACGGATGTATGTAATAGGTCTTATACGTTTGTTCAGGGATGGGAAAGGGTAGGCGGATTCATTGTATAGTGGTTATTTCAATTGAGTATATTGAGGTGACGCTCCGGACAGAAAGACTTAGATATGTTGGAGTAGGTAGTTAGTTGTTGATCAAAATGATTACTCACATTGAAGTCAAGTGGTGGTATGCACTGTTCAGCCTTGCTATCATAACACCCTGCTATCGCAAAAGACCGGCATTATGGACGATAAGCCCAAGGCGGCGATGGCTTCATGATGCAATCATGAAGTGGAGCCCGTCGAGTCCAGGCTGTTCACCGCCTCGGTTGCGGTGGGCTTGGTTGAGGGGGTGATGTGGCCAGTCACATACAAGTCGATACAATCAGCTCGAATCCGATACGAAGTACAGTTCTCGTTTTCTGCGTCGACACATACTGGCCCTTTTCTTTACCCCAACTGTAACTATGCTGGCAACGATATAGACGCGGGGCCCAAGCCTCTGCCACTATTTGATAGCATGCACATTCCCTGTATGAAGCTGTCTCTGGTCCATGAGGGATATATGCATCTTTCCTTACTCGCCCAGCACATCAGCTGTGCAACATCCAAACTAGTGTGATCAGGCCCATGTGCAGCCAGCCCGCACCGCCACACGAGGGGTAGTATTTGGCATCTGCGCCCAGAAAGGGTTGCGCAAATGCACAATAACATCTTGATACCTGGAGTCCTTCTTAGTGCAGATATCATCGAACCCGGGAAGCACCTCAAGTTGAGTCCACTAAGCAGGTTCCTGGATGTCGATACTACTATGCTGTTGCATATCCATATTAGCAGCGTGGCGCTGGTGGCTCAGCGCTCCATCTGGACCGTGGTCTGGCCCGATCACATAATTTATTTTCTTCTTTTAGCATTCCATTCCAGTACCGGATAGACCGAAGGAATGCAAAGAGGGAATTTCAGGTCTGTTCCCCGCCGTAACACGAGAGAGATATGGAAGGCGAGGGATTTTCCCTCCTTCAGTTAACTGCCGAATGGAAGCTGTGGAGTCAAGGTCAAAGGCGCCAAAATAGGTCGCCGGGGGATCATCAAGTCGATACCAAGTTACGACTGGCGGGGGAAAGCCTAGCCAGTATGAGCTATTATTGAGCTCTCGTGGGTACTAAAGGGGCCTAAATTTATAGGCAGCTGATAACCGCAAACCCTGTTCAGTGAGAGTGAGAGTGGACAGTGCATGCAAAAGTAGGAAAAAAGGCCTCAAGTAATGCAATGCAAGGTGCTACTGTACAGCGCAGGCGAGAAAAGAAGAAAATATTAAAGCATAAATGACGGGTCTGACTGACGAATGCCAGATCGTCTCGAGGGTCTTTTGCTCGATATACTTGCTTATTGATAGGCACTATTTATCTGTCTCTCGATCGTGGTGGAACGGCAGGTATCTCACGCAAATAGGGAGAGACAACGATCGAGGACCAATCACGACGAGGTGAACTGGAACAGAGAGAAAAATGGGAAACCTAAAAATCGGACCTGGTCCTGGCGAAGAAAGAGGGTTCAAGGTTCACCTTGCAAGGTTCATTGGGAGGGTCGAAGTTCTCCGCTTAGAGACGAAGAGGTGTAAATGCAACCAACAGAGACCGTTAGCTCACAGCCGGAAAACGGTTACCATACGGTTCCCATACCGCACAGGAAGTGACGGGGCGCCGTCAGAAAACGTCACGCGACGGGGCGGTGGGCCGTGGCAGGAAAGGATGCGGTTAGTCGGTTTTACGGCCACATTGCGGGACTCTCGTTCGCTGGCTGTCTGTCTCACATACATCATCCATCAGCTACCTACTGTAACTATCTTTCTATCTTCTTCCTCCCCTCTGCTTTCCTCCTCCCCTTCCCCCCTCTTTCTTCCTCCCCTACTCTTCCTTGTCTGTAATTTTATCTATTTACTCCCTTGTTCATATTTTGACCCTTATCTCTCCCCTACCACTATAATCTTTCCTCTCTTCATCCTCGTCTCCTCGTTTGGCCATCCAATTGACACTATCTGGCCTTCAATCCCCCTACTAAATCCCAATCTTGAAAGCTCGCCCGCATAGGCATTTCCACAGACAGCTTCCTCGCCCCTCGCCAACTCTGCCGGTAAGCAATTCACTTTTACTCTTTTTGTTAGAGTTCACATTTGCACTCAATTCGACTACCCTCGATCCTGCGCATTTACTTGTCTTCGTCACGGTGGGGGACGTCAACGGGAAATGAAGCTGATCGGCTATGCATTGCATCTACCTTATCTACTTATTTGCAAAACATGTATATCCTTTGCCCTAGAATGCTCCCTGCTTTTTACATGAGAAGTCTTTCTTCGAAGTCTCGAATCCGTTTCAATGTTCCTCAAAACATAGACAACGTATTGTCTTCACCCCTTTCCCATTGCGATCTGAGTTCAGAGACTGTGGCCGATGCAAAGCTGCCCTGTGCTAGCGTCATCACCGGTCCAACCATTGACACGCGCACATGCTAGGGCTCATATGACTGAGGTCTTCTATGTCTTCCTAGATCCGCACCCCACTGACTCAACTGTTAGAGTTAACCTTCGAGCTCAGATCCAATCCGCCGTTTGTTCCACTATCCGTCAGCCATGACTACACAAGCAGCCCCCGCCATTCCTCCGCGGCCGTCAAGATCCCCGCAGCAGGGTCTTGCCCCCGCCGCAGTAGACGGCCCCAAGGTCCCTCCCCGTCCGTCCCATCGTGTCGAGCGCTCCGTGTCTCCTTTCCGCGATAGCTATGCCCCGTCTCCTTTGAATGATCGACCCAACGGATGGGGCCTGAAACGGACCACCTCAAACGATGTACCCCACAGGCCCCCGAGTGTTACGATACCATCGCTAGGCGAAGAGGGCATTGAATACCAGGACCTGGACGTGCAAACTGTGCCTGATAACCACCAAGCTACACCGCCAGAAACCCGGAACGTGGTTAGCGATCTTAAGCTTCATGCGCCGAGACCATCATTACCCACTTCGAGCGCCAAGGCAAAGGTACAGGCTGTGACACGTACAGATTCCCGTCAGGCGGCGGCAGCAGGCCTGGGGCGTGCTCCGTCTCCCTCGAATGATGATCATTCCGAGCGGCCTACCCGCTCGCTGCACTCGCGAGCCAGCGGCTCACGGGGTGACTCGTCAGCCGTGTCCGCGGATCGTCGGCAGTCGTTTCATGGGGAGGAGTATGGCATTCCTGAAATCGGACAGAGAGTCCCTATGTACCCTAACGCGGGTGATGTGCAAGCCCCATCCCCTAGCCCTTACTTGGCCGAGCCGCAGGAGAAACGGACAGGACGCAACCATCATCGCACTCGAAGTGGCCGTGAGGCATCTCTGCCTCCTGGAAGCTACGGTCTGCATGGCCACGGTGTGCCTTCAAACGACAAGTTTGAGAAAGCCTGGTATGAGAAGCACCCCGAAGAGTTTGTCCGAGAGGAGCAAGGCCAATATGGCCCTGGTGTTGGTACACCACGTCCCGATTGGGCCCTGAGCAGTGACGATCTGAACAAAATCGTCCGTGGCTCGGCAGTGACTGGTTCCGGGCTAGGTAAGGCTTCGTGGTGCTAAGGTTCTGGGATATAGATTCTGATCATGTGATTAGGTACATCCCCTGGTTTGACCGGAACTCCGGACGAGGAGGTCGGTTACATCGCCTCCGACGAGTACACGCATCAATTATCGTCGCCCGGAATCGACTCGCGCCGTAGTTCGCGCCTAGCCGTTGAATCGCCTTTACGCAAGTCAAGTTTCCCGGCCACCGATGCACAAGGCCCAGCTGAAAGTGCTGTAGAGGAACCTGAGGATGAGTCGATTCAATCCCGGGTGATTCATGTCGACGAGCCGTATCATCACCTGCACCATCCGGATGGCTTTGCTCAGACCTCGGGCCCCGAGGAGCTCGCTCACAACTTGGATTCTGAGGAAGCCGACAAGGAGGAGTCTATCTTGGCCGCCGATGAGGTTCGCCCAGAGTCTGCCTTCCAGCACCCGGCTGTCTCACCAACCTTTGGCCGAAATGGTAGTGTCGACTATGAAGGTAGAAGTCGTACCCCAAGCGTGACCCACAGCCGTTCCAATAGCAGGACCGCTAGCATTCATAGCGGTATGCCGCCTCTGGCAAGGTACAACTCGCGCGACGAGCACGAGGGTACGCATACGCCGCTTGAGGATGTCGAGGAATACGAGCCTTTGTTTCCTGAGGACGACGCCAAAGAAAAGAAGGCCCTCACTCCAGCAGAACGGTTCAAACAGCGTCCGGAGCAGCTGAAGCACCGGTTTCCTAGCCAGGATATTTGGGAAGATTCACCCAACAGCTTACAACTATCTGCTACCGTATCCACGCCAGATATTCCAAAGGAGGAGGCGTTCGAGACACCAGAGCAAGAGGCAAGCCGTAAGAGCCAGGCGCCTCAGATCGACGCTCATAAAGTTGCTTCGCATATCCTGGGTACGGACGATCGGGAAGGAAGACCTTCACGGCCGGAAATCTCTAAGCAGCGATTCCCAAGTCGAGATATTTGGGAAGATGCTCCTGAAAGTCATACTCTGGTGACGACAGTTCAGCCGGCGGATGAAGAGATCAAGAGCCCTGAAGTGCCCTCGAAACCCAACATCCCCTTCCGTCCGCAGAAACGCCCGCAACAGGCTCCCCCAGTGGATGCCTCCTCCAAGCCAGTCACTTCGCCTCCGGAAAAGCGACAGCCACCCGTGATCCCAGACAGACCCAAGCCACAAATCCCAGCTCGGCCCTCCAAACCTATCTCGCGTGGTAGTCCTGAAGAAGCTAAGGACGTTGCCGCCAAACCCAAGCCGGCCATTCCTGCACGGCCCGGTGGAAGTAAAATAGCCGCCTTGAAGGCCGGTTTCCTATCCGACCTGAACTCCCGGCTCCAGCTCGGCCCGCAAGCGCCACCTAAGCCGCAGGAGAAGAAGGAAGAAGAGGCTCCCGCTGAGAAGGTACCGCTCAGTGATGCGCGGAAGGGTCGTGCCCGTGGTCCCGCCCGGAGAAAGCCGGCTGTGGAGAAGACCCCCTCGCGACTCCCAACCATCCCGGAGATCAAGATCACGGAGACCTGGAATGTGTGGCAAGTGAGTGAAGATGGAAACTTGACTGTTGGTGATGCGGAGGCCAAAGCTCCGTCACACTCAGAGCCTACTACCTCGAAACCTAAAGCTCCCTCTGAGCCCATTGCCCCGGAACCTATGGCCCCTCCAATCGCTAAGAACGTGGCCGGAGAATCGGCCGAGCCCCAAGCTCCAGCTACCATTCTTGAGGAAGAGGGACCGCAAGGCGAGCCGGTATCACCAGGCGCCCCAGTCCCGGCTCCAGCCGCAGCAGCGGCGGCCGTGAGCCCGACGCAAGAAATCCAGCCCGAACCCGAGCCCAAGCCGACCTTCACGGAGGCAAAGCACTCCATCCCGCTAGCCGACAGCAGCGAGGCCGAGCCGGCCCCTGCTGTCAACCCCATGACCACGGACAACCTCCTCGCCGGGAAACCAACCATCATGTCTCCACCGGAGCGATCACCCATCGATGACATCGCCGAGGGCCTGTCCGCTTCTGCTGACGGAAAAAGACCTTCGGAGGGTGACATCGGCGAGACCATCAAATAAGGGTATAGGAAGGAGGGGCGACAGCAGCCAATTGCATCGCATTGTTTATAATACCTTCATTAGTCTCGTGTGTGTTACAGTTTTGTTCTGGTGTGCGTGCGTGCGTGCGTGTGTGCGTTTGTCTTATGAACCCACCAATACGAGTTGATAAGACCTCACTCACCTTGTAATACAGAAGACTTCCCTGCCATATGCCACTCCCTTCTACTTGCCTACCTATTTACCTACGCACTGAAGTCCTGGATCTCTGTAGAACGTCAGGGGAATATAAGAATAAAGCCTGCCTGCCACCCAAGTCTCGGATACAACCCATTAGACAGTTACCTAGTCTCCTATTCATTTCCGATTCACAACTCGACTCAAGTAAAGGCAAGCAGGCCCTCACCAGGTATGAATCCTTCTAGCATAGCACGTCAGCATACCGTGTTACTTGTACTTGTACTAGTTCTCTCCACCTGTGCATAGAAACACGCTCTTCCTGCCCGAAGGACGAGATGGCTGTAAGCTGGAGCGGGGTCTACGTGGGATAGATAAACACCCCCGATGAAAACATTTGACTAGATACTACCCCTCCTGAGGTAAGCTTCTGGATAGATATAAATCTCCCGATATAACCATCTAAACAGATACCTAACCCTCCGGATATATGACCACCGTAAGAAAGGAAAGGAAAGGAAAGGAAAGGAAAGGAAAGGAAAGGAAAGGAAAGGAAAGGAAAGGAAAGGAAAGGAAAGGAAAGGAAAGGAAAGGAAGGGGGTAGCCGAGCCCGCTGCAATCTTGACAGAAACGAGCATGGCTATGTATCCCTCTAACCTTGGTCATGGCCGCCCGCCCTTCCCTACCCACGCTCCCAATCTTGTGAGCCCAATGGTTTATTACAATCGATCCAACCCTGCAGTCCCAAGGCATAGGAGGGAGGGGATGGATAGGAAGGAGGGAATCACCTCTACATCTTGCCTTGGCACTTGCATTGACTTGGCTTTCGCAGTTATCTATAGCCCTGCATTTATACGTGCCTACCTACGACGATAGGAAAGGAGAGACATACGGGAACGGAGTGACTACACGAGAGAAACCACTGTCAGGGTGGAAGTCTGGTTTGGACACTGCATTCACGAATGCATTGCATTGCGTAGCGTCCTTCTATCCCATTCTTTCATGTATGGACACGTACATTGACAAGAACTTATCCACACATGGAGCAGGACAAGATGAGAGTTTGACTCGGCTTCCGACTCGGACAAGTAAATCAGAGCTAAGTGAGTTGGGTGGGTGGGGTGGGGACGGAGAGGGTGGAAATTCAGGAGATAGAGGTATAATACCTGATAAGACAACGGGGAATATCGATCCATCGTAACAAAGGTAAGGCGGAAGTGGATGAAGGCGTGTGCCTGTCAAGGTTGGACAGCAAAGGTTGAAAAGAAGAGAAAGAAAAAAAAAAAAACATTCATGACGGCGGGAACAGACACGCTTTACGTGATGAAGATGAAAATGACAATGACAATGATGAATGCAAATGAGGTACGGAGGGAGTATCGGACAGTTCGAAACGCCTTTCGTTTCCCACAAGGGACATACAACAAAACACACACAAAGTTCCGACCAGAAGGAAGAAAAACAGATAGACAAAAACGCCTAGAAACCCGTCGGAGGGGAAGAGTATTGCCGTAGCACCGAAGGCGTGGCCCCGCTAAACGCCGGGAGACTGTGACTGGGGATCGGACTGCCAATCTCGCCAGGTACAATGCTGCCCCTATGACCTGAGGATGCATTGATGGGAGTGCCCGATTCGAATTTGACGTAGTCGCCCGTCTCGTCGCTCTTGGTCGAGAACGACCCCCCGCCGTTTTGCGTGTTGCCTTCCGTGTCGCAGATGTCTAGCATCTCCTTCAGCGAGATCGAGGGCTCACTGGGGGATCGAAGCTGCTCCACTTGCCGCAGAACGACCTTCACGTCGTGGTACCCATCTGCTCCCTTGGAGGGACTCATCATGTTGAGCTGCTTGCAGGCTTGAATCACCAACAGTCGGATCGTCACAGGTCGAGATGTGTGAGCGCGATGATGTACTCCGGGCCCAAACGCATTGGTAGACCAGCCGCTCCCTAGTATAATGTCAGCAAATGTCGCAAGTTATGGCGCTTGTTTTAAAACTAACCAGGTCCAGTTCCCCATGTCGGGCCCCCAGGGAAGGGCGAAGTGCCAAACGGTATTTGTGCACCCCACGTGCTCCCGAGACTAGGGCTGACAGGGAAGGCACCGTGCTTGGCAGCTGTGACAATGATTAGTACATGCACAAAAGCACGCTCCCGCTGGTAAACTTACTGAGAGGATCTGGGAACAAGGACGGGGCCGCAAAGCTGGCTCGGGTCGGCCCAGGCAAGGAACCCGGAAGAGTGGCGCCTGGGAGAGACTGGGACAAGTGTGATGTGAACGGAATATCCGTGTCATCCAGGAGCGCACTGCTACCGAGCTGGGCACTTAGATCGTCTACCTCGCGCTGACTGCGGCGGGCATTGTTCGGGTCTTGTTGCGTGCTGGAAGGGCGTTTGATAGGGCTGGGGCGGGTAATGGGAGACGGCTGGGCATGTGCATCAAGAGGAGATCGTTCAAACGAGCTGGAAGGCTGTCGGGAGTGAGCATGCGACAGTCCACTCGGCTGTCCAGAAAATACACTGGCCATGGTGGGCTGCTGGCTATGGAATGGCAATCCGTGGCCGGCATCAAGCGGAAACCCTCGTCCAGGGGGCATCGCGCGCGTGCCGTTCATACCAAGAGGAATTGGAATCCCATTGGAAGCAGGGAACCCTCGCAGCTGATTGAGAAGCGGTCCCGAATGTGGCGGATAGGTAGGCAGCTCATGGCCGATGGGTGGTCGAGAAGCCAGACCCAAGCCAGGAGGATTTGACGGCGAGAACCCGGGCGGGTGGGATCGGCCTAAAGATCCCAGGGGAGACAGGGGTGTTGACGGTTGAGGATGATGAAGCAACGGTTGCTGCGCGTGGCCCTGTTTGGATGTAACGCTCGACGCTCCAGACGACTGGGAGGGCGCCATCGAACGCGGGGAGATGGAGACCTGTGAGGGTTCGGTACTGGCCGGTTGCGACCGCGGCGATGAGCCATGGGAGCCCTGCTGGGACGTCTGCCGTGGCCTGGACGGAGTAGGAGCCTTTGGAACCACCGGGGTGGTCGTTGAGAAGTGCGGTGACTGGAATTGCCCCTGAGCCATAGCCTGCGAATGGTACACGGTGGCGGAGAGAGGCATCAGCGTGGGATGCGAGATGCGTTTGGCGTGCTGAGCATCGCTGGCTGCAGCGTTCCGAGCATGCTCCTCTCGAATTTTGCGCTCTCGTTCCTCCTTGACCAACTTCTCCCGCAATTCGCGCTCCTCGCGTTCCTTTTGCCGTGCCTCCTCGCGCCGCTTCTTCTCCTGCTCCCGCTGCTCTCGCTGCTTTCGTTCCGCCTCGGCTTGCCGTTCCCGTTCCTCGCGCAGTCGTCGTTGCTTCTCTGCCTCCTTGCGAGCACGTTCCGCTTCCTGGGCCTTCCGCTCCGCCTCGCGCTTCTTTCGTTGCTCCTCGCGTTTCTTGCGCTGCTCCTCGAGCTTCTTCTCCTGCTCCGCCTTGGCAGCCGCTTCCTCCGCAGCCTTCTCCGCCTCTTTGCGTGCCTTCTCCTCCTCCTTGGCCTGCTTCTGGAGCCTCTTTCTCTCCTTGCGCTTCTCCGCCTCGCGGGCCTTCTTGGCATTCCGTTGCTCATTCCGCGTTTCCTCCTCCATAAGCTCTTCGATCAGTTTCTGCTGACGTTGCTCGGCAACCTTCTCTCGGTATGCCGTCAGCACGCGCTGTTCGAACATGCGCGCGGCAAATATTTGGAACATTCGCCGGCCCTCCTCCATGCGTTGCTCTTCCGTCATCGCATCCTGCAGGCAACTGTCAGCTTTCACGGCATCAATACCCAGCCAATGCCCGGAGCAGACCATTTCATCTTCCTCGTAATCTTCCTCGTCTTGACTATCGTAATCTTCGTCCTCTTCATCGTCATAGTCTTCATCATCCAGGGGCCCGTGGTTGTGACCGCTATGGAGGGTTTGATGTGCTGCCGCGATGCCATACTGTGTGTCCTCTTCGCGCTGCATCCGACGCTCGGCCAATTGTTCCATCATGTCAATGAAATGTTTCCCATCGTTCTTGAGCAGATCATCTGCGACCGTAAGGATTCCATCTATTTATCGTAGCCAATCAGTATCATGCCGTATGTTTCCAGACTCTTGCGGTGGTTTTACCTTTGACAGTCAGACTATTCCCGAAAGCGAAGAAGTCTGCACGAGCCGCACGGGTTTCTTCATCTTCGTACTCATCGTCGCTGTACGGTTCCTCGTCCTCGTCATCCTCGTCATACTCCTCTAGATCTTCTTCTTCTTCTTCTTCTTCGTCTTCATCATCATCCTCCGGTAACTCATGTATCCGACCTCGAGAAGGATGGTATTGGCCTTGTGTCCGCGTATGTTGACCGGGCGACCGTAGGGGAGGATGGTATAGTCGAGGAGGCGGGATCATTGGCGGGCCTTTCTCAAAGGAACCCTGATTGTTATTGGCGTACTGTTCCAGCTCTTCGTAATAAGCATCGTAGAGAACTTCCAACTCCTCTTCGATGGCTGTCCGTTTCCTCCCGCACACGGTGCAGCTGCACGAATGTTTTTGCTGCTCCTTCATCTTCTTCAGTACCGCGTCCTTTTCCACCTTGACCAACTGTCGCCGTTCCTCCTCGCCCAACTCCAGCCAGAACGTCTTGATATTCTCTCGTTCTTCCTGCGTGGTAGTGTTCCATATACTTCGGTCCTTAGTCGATTTTAGAATCGTGTGCGATCCGAGGTGCGGGGGTAACGGCGGGGGAAGAGGGTGCGACATGGAGATGGATGGAGTGGACAGTGGGGTGGAACTTTCGTCGCCCTGTGTTTGCGAGCCGGCGCGGCCCTTTTTGCCTTTCTTCTTTTTCGACTTCCGGGCGGCGGCAGCGGCAGTCGCTGTTGTCGTTGCAGGCTGCTGGCCATCATCTTGTCCATTTGAAGAGTTGCCGAGACTATGCGACTGCGTCAGGTCGTGTTGGGAGTGCTCGTCGTCCTCATGGTAGGCGTCGCCGTTCGGAGCGGGGTCCTCATTCTCCTGTTCTTCAGACGCATGGCCGTCCTGGTCGATGTGGCTGGTGGATCCGTTCTGCTCGGGGCCGTGTCCGGTTCCGAGCTGACGCTCCGCTGCCAAGCGGGCTGCCTGTTTCTGGCGGCGTTTCTGCTTTTTGCGGTTTACCGACACGGGCTTGAGGTCTGCGGGTGAGAGTTGACGAGGATCGGAGGGCGCATGGGCGGTGCCATTCGCGGTATGTGCAGGGATGGCCATGGATGCAGGCTCGGACACTGTGAAACCGGAGTTCTGTCTGAGCGGTCGCGGCGGTGCCATGAAGAGAGGTTTCTTGGGGGGTGCTCGAACGCCGACGAGCACAGGAAGGAGGAGAAGAAGGCGTAGATTAGGGTCTTGAGTGAGTTCCCTAGCTAGTCAACATGCTGATCACCGAGTTCCGGCGAAGGTAAAAAGTCAGCGAGAAGTCCGCAGGCGCAGGAAGGCAGCAAACAGAGAAAGAGGAAGGGAGCACACAAAGCTCACCGGAAAGTCGTCGGGCGAGGATGGAGTAGAAAAGGAAGACTGTATAAAGGAAGAAAATTTGAGGCAAGCCCGGTGGGAAGTGAGAGTGTTGATGAACGCGACAGTGTTGGCGGGTGGAGCGAGGCGCGCAGAGTGAATTGGAGAATTGGGTAGGGTCGGACGACGACAAACGGGGAACCAGGGCGGAGAGGGGTGGAAAGGACCCGGGCCGCACGACAACGACGACAGAGGGAGCGAAGGAGGGGACGGAAGCGCGCACCGGCGTATCGGGGGGATAGGCGATTGGGGTTGTAAAGGGAGAAAGACAGGGTATATTGAAAGCGGGGGGGGATGAGCAAGCGGGAAGTATGTGGGAGGGCGTTAGAGTGGTGAGGAGGAGGACGAGGAGGAGGAATACAGTAGTAGGAGGAAGAGGAGGAGATGCAGTGCCAGTGAGGGCAGCAGCATCGGCGATACGCGCATCGATTGATGTGGTCTGGATGGCTGCCGTGCCGCTCGCCGCTCGCCGCAACTGGATTAGCCGCCGCAAGCGAGTCTGGCTGCCTCGCTGCCTGATTTCTCTGGGGCGTCTTGATTACTTCAATCCTTCCACCTTACTGTCAACATCACAGTAGTAGACTGATGCTCAATCGAAACCAACTCATGCCATTATGCGATACTTCCACCCTCCAACTTAGACTCTCTCTTAGCTAACAACCTCTGTTGACCACACAGACCGCTGCAATCTCACGCCCGCCAGGAGACTCGGTCTCAGCACCTTGCTTAAGCGGTTACTAGCTTGGCGTGTATTTGCGGGCAATATGCCGAGAAAGAGAGGGGTTGGTGCTGCTTAACCGGTTTTACCAGCAAAGACACATGAACAGGCTGCCATTGAACTCTCCCTCAGTGTGGGCTGACTTGACCATCTTGGAGTCGCAAAATCTCCCACCTTTGTCGCTGGTTACATGTCATTGTAATCATGGGGTTACTTCTCACCTAGTACTGTACCTACTAAATAGTATTATTGTATTGGACAAGACTAATCCTTACTACTATCCTAAGGTATAAACATTATTCAGTATTTGTATTTGTCTTCTTCGCGCGCTTTGCTTTTTGTGGTAAAGTTTGCTAGATTCATTTTCTTCCTGGTTTGCTTTCTCTCACTTCTTCTTTGCTATCTTCGATCTTCGCTATTATGCGGAAAGTGCACAGTTTCAAATACAGGCAGCCCAGTGATGATAAGGGGTTATCGAAGGCCTAAAATGTCTCCATGACCGGGTCGTTTCTCCTACGCAGCTGGACATGTAGCGGGGGCTTTTCCCACATGATGTATACCCGTTGCTTCTTAATGGCAAAGTCATCGTCCAGGAGGTCGAAATTAAAGCGACTCAGGAGCCGGGCGAGAATTAACTTCATCTCCGCATACGCCAGTCCCCATGCCGATGCAGTTCCGAGGACCCACCGAGAAGGGCTGCGAGGCTTCAAGATGATCGCTTCGCGCCCATTCCGGACGCTCCTCCATTGGCAGCCAGCGTTCCGGCGTGAAGTCTTCGGGGCGCGCGAAGTGTTCCCGGTGATAGCATGCCGCGAGCGCATAGACGCTGATGATCGTACCCCCGGGAAGGAACTGCCCCGCCACCGGGGCGCCCCCAGCGGGCCGTCAGGAAGTAGTGTGTTGACTTGAAGAAGTTCATCAGCAGCGTCACCCACGGATGATACTGCTGGCTCTCTAGGCATTGCAAGGAGCTGCTGAAGGCCAACGTTCCAATCAGGTCGAAAGCAAGGAACTCGACCCACTGCACCATCTTAACCGTCTCGGCGGCGGCGCAGCGCAGATCCAGACGCTGCAGGAACAGATCGATATGGTCCTGAAAGTAATGCTCTTGCTCGCGCAACGCTCGTTCCGCAAAGGCCCGGTTAAGGGCAGCGCGCTGGCGAGCGTGCTCAGGGCCGTTAGCTGCCAGGAGGTCGGGCACCCCCGGCCGCAGGCGACGATACCCGGACTTTTTGAAATTCTTCGTCCCGACATACCCCTAGATCTCCTTCCATACGGAGAAAACCATTTCAGGGCTCACTCGGACGACTGGACCATATATGCCATGCAGATCGCGCACAGCATGGGCCTCTCGGCCGCAAAAGCTTTGAAAGGCACACGGAAGATAGGAGAACTTTCTCGTAGCTGGCCCTGGCACCGAGGCCAAAGGGCTCAGCCAGAGCATGTAGATGGCGTATAAGGCATGGTAGACTAGGTACTGGTTGAACTTAGCGTTGTGTGTGTGTGCGCGCGTTAACACACTCGTGCAATCTGAGCCCAGGGCACAACTCACCGCAAAAGCTAGCCCAGGAAGGACGTTGAAAGGCATATTATCAACTGCTAGTGGCGTGCAGCATTTGAATACGCTGGCTTTTCTAAGTGACCAGGACTCCTAAGTACAGGGACCAGCCAACGAAGGAAAAGAGCCGTAAAGCCGGAAACCATCCGAAAAACCATCCGGAGATCTGAACCTTAGCCGCCTTCCCTTCATCGGCTCACAATCATCGTACAAAGACACTTTATAAAGTGAGCTGCTGGAATCTTGCCTAGAGTGAGCGGTATGCCAGAAGGTTAGCTTGTTCACAGTTCACCATGGGCACCATTGACACGCATCACCATCTGATTCCCCCCAAGTTCACCGAGTGTAATAACCCTAACCCCCCACACCCCCACAGCAACAAAACGCAGGAGTGATACCGGAAGCTGACAGAAGCTCAAATACCATCCAGTTTGGAATGCCAATATTGAAAAGGCAAGGGGACTCAGGCTTCCAACTTGGACCAAGGAGAGTTACCTTGCGGGCGCTCAACGACTGCAATATTGCCACGGCGATCCTCTCTCTCGGCCATCTCGTTCATCCCTATGTGAGCGACCCAGGGCAGGTAGGACCTATCTGCCGTGAAGTCAATGAATGTACAGCTGAGCTCCGTGACAGTCACCCAGACCGTATTGTGTTCTTTGCGACATTGCCACTGCTTGATCAGTCGGCCGCCTGCATTGCGGAGATCTGATGCGCGTTTGAAGAGCTGCATGCTGATGGCGTCGTTATCTTTACCAGCTACGCCGGGAGATATCTAGGTCATCCCGAGTTTCGTGATGTATGGGCCGAATTGGATCGCCAGCAGGCTGTAATTCTAGTTCATCCAGGGTTTGAGGGCATGGCCCCAATCGAAGAGCCACGTCTGTTGGCAGCCCCGGTGTTGGACTGACCCATGAGACAACCCGGACCACAATTCATCTGATTACCATCAATATTATTCGCGACTATGCCCGATGCAAGATTATCTTATCTCATACGGGCGGCACGCTGCCCTATATAATCAATCGGGCCGCGGTGCTGTGTAGTCGGCTGCGCATCGGGGACAAGACGGAGGAAGAGTTCATCGAAGAAGCCCGGGGCTTCTATATCGACGTCCTTTTAGTTATTATGAGCCCTAGCTCCGACTCCTCAAGGAAATTGTCAAACCAGGTCATATGTTATTTGGTAGTGACTATCCCTGGGAGCATGCCGATGTCATGCAGGTTCAGCTCGCGGCTACGGATGCGGCTTTTGCTCACGAGACGCGTGAGGCTGGATTGAACTTGTTCCCCCGGTTGAAACAGCAAGGCATCTTGACTGACGGACAGACGGACTGATCGATGGAGCCCGAATGTGCTGATAGCCAAGCTGTGGTTCTTAGCTAGTGTTCCTCTCTGATAGCCTCATGTAGCTGAATTGATCACTTATTCACGTCCCCAACAAAGATATGTAACTATATGGAAATATAGTATACATTTAGACCAATAAATATCTAACTCTTTATCCGTCGGCTAGCCAGCGGGGATCCTGAATTCAACACTCTTTTAGAGGGGAAGCCAGGGGTTGACGCGAGTAGCGAGTCCAGCCTATTCTGATTGGCTGGACTCAGTGCATAAGTAAATAATGCATTCATATTTTTCTGCGAAGGGCCTGAGCTCGCTGAGGTAACTATGTACTACTAGGTACCTATTATTATTATTATTATTATTGGCACCAACAACGACAGACTTGGGCGGAAAGATCAAGAAATCCAATCCCTTTTATCACAACCCCTTGTCGCCACCTAGGCCCTAGACTTCCAGCCATCATCTGGCACAACTCCCAGGCGAAGTTGTTGGACCAGTCTTTGGCCTTTCATCTCAACGTGATTAGCATCCCTGCTGTGACATCGATTTTTTCCACGATTTCCCGAGATCAAGAGTGGTCACTGCGCGGGTGCTTCGGGGGCCACCGCTTCGTGTTTCCCCCACTGCTGCTGGGCTGCCTCCTTGATAATGGTGTAGTAACTACTGATGACCTCTCCGGCAATACATACCAGAGTGTGTCGGGCAAGGATGTTATCCTTGTAAATGGCTCAATTTTGGTAGCCCCGCCACGACCAGAGAAAAAGGCACTGCAAATGAAGGTGGCGCTTGAGGAGATGGCATGATCGTGACTGGCGTATGACTGCATGGTGAAGTTGCAGTTGAATCATGACGAGAGGGCAAAGATACTGAGTGGGCCTACTTCCTGAATGGGAGCTATAACTGGGCGCCCAGCTCGTCGATTTGGGTGAGCGAGGTCAGGAAGTGAGAGGTCGAAGCCCAGCCTTTCAGGGCTATGCAGTCCTTTAGGAACCGGTTCTCCTGAGGGAGTATAGAATTTATCGTACTTGGCGATGTGGGTGGAAAGGATGGTGGCTGTCCATTCCCGGTCGTCAAGTTCATTATGTCCGGGTAAAAACCCGTCTCTGAATCAGAGAGAGAAATATCGACTCCGGGCTGGTGTAAGTCGACTGACTCGAGATCCTTTGAGGGGAAAGGAGAGGGAATCACCTAGCTCGTTAAAGGGGTGCACAGCCTGGTCCAGCGCTGTTCTGGAGAGGGTTCATGGTGAATAGGGTTCGGTGAGCGATGGGTCCGACACTCGCTATAAGAACTGGGGTAGGAGGAGTCCTTTGTGGTGGGGTGGGGGGCTTACTCCAGAGTAGGCAATATGAAAGATATCCCTGAGAATGGGAAGGGGACGAGGCATCCATGTCCCGAAATTAGATCTCTGTCTCCATATGGAGGACTCTGTACTTTATCTGTCAATGTTTGCATGTGAGCTCTATTTTCAGATCGCCGCCAATGCTTTTCATAACTGATTTAGAGCAGTCTCTGTCGCCCTCCCTGCATGGTCACTTCGACACTAGAGCTACAAGGATCATTTGTCCCGCGCTTGGCTAGAGAACATTGTGTCAACGCGTCTCTCTTCCAGGGTCAAGCCACCAACAGATTAATCCTACTCGGTAGGGGAAAGTTTCGGAAGAACTCCGCTTTCATCCATCATGATTTGTTTTGAGCCTTGCTAACAGAAATGCCCTGGAAACTTGAATCGTCGACTGATTGACATTAGTTTGATCTAGACGTACTTGAGGCGGAACTCCACCATGCCAGCATCATCCAGCTTCGAGAACCTTGGCTGTATAAGGTCTAGGAAGATATTATATAAACCTTTGGGAGCTGATGTTCCGACCGGCACGCCCATGATGTATTTTGTGCAGACCTTTAGCGGTGCACTTTTTATCGCGGTGGCTCAGAATGTTTTTCAAACCCGTCGCAAAGAAGAACTGATCGAAACCATGCCCGATGTTGACCCCAACGTGGTGGTGAGCACGGGGGCAACCAGTTTGCAGAAATTCGTCAGTGCTCAGGATCTCCCTCGAATTCTCAGTGCGTATGACGCAGAACTGACCCGAGCGTTCTTGGTTGCCACTAAAATGGCCGCTCTAACTCTCATCGGCTCTCTTGCAGTACAGTGGAGGACTACCAAGTCCAGCAAGTCCGAGGCCACCAAGCATAATATGGCGATTAATGAAAACGTTGACACGGAAGGGACCGCGGCGGCCATGGGCGATGCTCCATAGTGACCGACTATGCCAAACCTGCTTGCCTGTCACTTGCTTTCTGTTACCGTGGGCATGATCCTTTTTGCCTGCTGCGTTCCTTTCTCCTTGCGTCAGGCTGTCCTTCTGTTGAGAACTTCTATCTGTTTGGACTTCTCAGGTGGTTTGATTACAGCCCTAGCTAGCCCTGTCGCTCTTCGTGATACAGGCTGGGGTCAACCTTTTTTGGGGTTCTTTATTGCTTTTCCCTGTACTACATAATGTGTTATTTTCTCTGGACAGCTCCTTTGATATCCATCACTTCTGGGCCGTGGTGATTACTGTCTGTCTGCTAGTTTCTCTTGTACCTCCACTTCTGTGCCATCATCTGGAAGCTTTGAGTCAATGGTATTTCTGTTCACCCAATAGCCGCCCCGATGTCTAATCCCACGAAACAATAGGGCATTTCTGAGATGCGTGAACGCTTTACAAACTCTGATTATAAAGGAAGAACTATCTATACGGTAGCAAGAGTAATACTGCGTTCGCGTAGCCCCTTCTAGCGGTACTGATACAGAAACAAGGTGCAGATCTGAATCGAGGAAAACACCGAATTTTGACTGAACATGTTACTGGCACGCAGGAAAGCGCCTGATCAAATGGTCACTTTTTCTTCAGCCTCACTCCTCACTTACAGTCACTTTCCCGATCCTACCCAACTCTCTTCTTATGCCCTAATGGGGCATGCTACTGCTGATTCAACTATCCCACAACTTTGAACAGGAAATTATACCCAGGGGCCACCTGTTCACCCCATTCCACCATCCCAGGCTTCAGGTGCAGGTCGTAGTTGTACCGGCCATGCGCCAATCGGAGCAGTCCCGAGGTAATCCTCTGCCGCTGGAGCTCTTGGTGGAAACGTTCAGCCGAGTCGAACCGGGCAACTTCGTTTTGACATCCATGATTAAGGAACATGGGGACCCGGTAGTTGCCGGCCATCAGTTGGGCAGTTGGGCAAATCCATGCTTGCCGCTCCTTACTTGATGATCCCTCGACGATCAAGTCTCCCACCCGTTTGTGCTGCCGCCCCTCTGCCCCGGGCCTCCCCCCATGCAGCACGAGTGAAAGTCCATACTCTTTGACCTGTCATCTCAGACTTGCCCGCGCAAGTGAGAGACTTGTTGGTCTGCAGGATGTCTGGATAATCTAGCAATGAGGTATCTGAAGTCAAATAAGGCCCGGGAGCAGTTCGCTTGTGAGCGATATTAGTTATTACACATGCCACATCTCTTCTGATTTGAGAAAAGGTCGACGGTTCGCATTAACTGCACGCCAATCCAAGCAACTAATTAAATCCTCTCTCACTTTTGTGTCCGTCTTGGTTTGAGCGACATCTATCTAATCCCCCATCCTCCTATCCACCACCACTGGGAGCGAAGCCCGCAATTGCAGAGTGTCGGGCATCGACCACCACTTTGCCGCAACGAGCTATGAGGCCGTTCGTCCCTATGGAACATAGTCAAGGCGAGCGCGCGCCTGTCGCATGCGGTTATTACTCTGCTTGCCAATTTCGGCACTTGTTCTTAGTCCACTTCCTTATGCCACAGTTTCCAGTGCTCTGCCGAAGGCTTAAACGGAGATATGGATATATAACACTCGGGGACAATGCGAACACTGCATTTTGCGGTGGGAGGACTGCCAATTCTTAGGCACTGGACAGGAAGAGACCTTGAATGCAGAGATGGGGTCTCCAGTTGAACAGTCTATATCAGGTGGGCACTACTGGGCTTTGGGCACGTTGGAGCTTCTAGTTGACGATAGTATCTCGTGTGTCCAGCTCACTCACTATCGGCGTCAACAACGGAACGCACGACTGAGACTGGTTCGGTGGTGATAGTGTCATGACGAGGAATGGTTGCATCTTCCGAAAGAACGAGAGCACGTCTTTGTCTCTCATTTATTCTTCTAGCATCTGGCATACGAATGAATCAAGGCCAATCTCAATACGAGAAACGGGTCTTGATCTACTACATATGCCTTGGATGCACTAAATGTAGTACATACGTCCACAATACATTGTACTGACTGCATCTGCATGGAGGATACCTGACCCATCCCAGATTAGGCTACGTAGATGTTGCATTAGCTGCAACTGAGGACTTCGACCCAGTTACTCGTGGGGCTGCAAGTTAGCACCACAGCCAATGTTAATCGCCTCGCCCGTTCCGCGACTCCAATCCTGGGACTCCATCAGCGGAGCTCCCCTGTGGCCGTGACCGGTCGGGCCCCAGCACGGCGCCCTCATTCTCACTCCGGAGCTTATGGGCTCGTACAAACAGATTAAGGACGGTAGCTAGCCCGGCAAACGCCACATACTAATAGCACACACGACATAACATTAGCATAATTGCACTGAGACCGTGCTATATTGCGGTGACTTACCATGACCCACACCGTTCGCAACGACTCAAAGTACGTCTTCCTAACCAAGGCCTCTTGATCTGCATTTAGTCCAAGGGTGCTAATCTCCTCCACGCTCGAAGCGGCAAGGTCGCCATTAAATGCGCGAGCTAAAGTTGAGTTTGAGCTCAGCTGTCTTGCTAACCCCTCGTTCTTCGCGTTCATCTCGTTTTGAAACACCACACCCCCGACAACAACTGAAATTGCCGTTGAGAGAGATCGCACAAACCCCATTGTCGCAGTGACGGCCGCCGTATCCCGAACACTGGTCGCAGCCTGAGCAGCAAGAATCGGCGCTTCAATGTTCATGCCCACACCGATTCCGACCAGGATCTGGAAGATGATGAGTTTGGTTATGTTGGCTTCAAACTCGAGACTAACTAGCAGACCGGAGCCGAGTACCAAAAAGCCCTGGGCAATGTACATCACTGGGAGATATTTCCCAGTTTGCTGCATGAAGATCCCCGCTGCGGCCGCGGCTAAGGAACATGAGACAATTAGCGGCAGGAGGTAGAGGCCTGATGTTAGCGCGCTTGCGGCCAGGACGGACTGCGCATACAAGGGCAGGTAATATGCCTGTCCAATGAAGACGTATGAATTGCACGCGAAGACAACGTAAGGCGCTATCTTGGTCGGCGACGTGAACAGCCAAACCGGGATAATGGGGTTCCTGGCGATCTTCCATTCGTTCAGCATAAACAGGGCCATCAATGCTGTTCCGAACACCAACAGACAGATGACTGTTGCAGAGGACCAGGAGTAGACGACGTCACCAAAGTCAAGTGCGAGGAGGACCATCAGAGCGCCGCCTACAATCAAAAGGCTGCCTGTCCAGTCGATGACCTTTAGACCGGCGGCGATGGGTGTTTGAGGACTCGGGACTTTCATGAAGAAGAGTAAGGCCAGAAAGGAGACCGCTCCGACCGGTACTATACGGTCGAGGGAGTAAGCTCAGAGCCATCAGGCTTAGATGGAATGCCTCACAGTTAATCCAAAAACAATATCTCCAGCTAAGCCTCGACGTAAAAACGCCGCCGAGAACAGGCCCTATGGCACTGCCAACCGCCCAAACAAGCGAAGTGATTGCGAGATACAACCCCCGATCTCGCAGTGAAAACATATCGCTGACCACAATGTTGACCATGATTCCCATTCCGGAGCCGCCCAATCCCTGAATCGCCCGTCCCGCAATCAGGGCATCCATATGCGGTGCAAGGGCGCAGACAAGACTGCCGACAAGAAAAAAGGCGACTGCCATGAGCATAATGGGTTTTCGGCCCCAGATGTCGGAGACCGAGCCCCATACTGGCGTAATGGCTGCGTAGGCTAGGGTATAAGCACTCCCCACCCAAATATAGCCGGCGGCGGTCTTGAACGTGCCAACTATGGCGGGAATCGCAGGAGTAACGATGGTTAAGTCAAGTGCGGAGAGGAGCACGGACAGACAAAGCGACATCATGGTCCAGGCAATGGTGGCGGTGGGGAGACGAGAAGGCTGCGCGGATGAAGATGGTACGGGCGTGGGAGTGGCATTGTCAACACTGCTGCCTGGGGCGTCGGTGCGGGAATTAGACGCTGAGGAAACTCTAGCAAGTCCCAGAGCCTTGGACATTGTCAGAAAAAAGTCAAGCGGAGAGTTTATGTCGAGATGGAAGGATCAAGGAGAGAGGGGGAAAGCGGATGGAGGAGAGGACGTCTTAAAAGAGGGAACAACCCCCCGGCCCTATCATCTGACCCGGCTTTGTTTACAATGAGAGCTGTGTTAATTACGGCAGAGTTGGATAAGTATGTGCACACTTCACTGATCCAAAAACAACATAGTCAATCTCCAGGCTAGTTCAGACTCTCTCATTCGTCAATATCACGAATTACATGCGATTCGCACTAAAACTGAATACAAATTCCGACTTTCACAAGGCCAAAAGCATCTAATCAACAGCAGCTTAAACAAAAATCTAGTCCTTCATTCGCTGCATGATCTTCGTGTCTCTGTTGCCAGCCATCTCGTAGCCCACCACAGCCCTAGCCCGGTCTTCTTCATCGAAGGCCTGAGCTGCCGTGAAGTCTATCTCAGCTGGCTGGATCAGTTTTGAACGGTAGTAGAACTAGGGAGATTTGAGCGGCAAAAACTGCATATTTGCAACCTACTTACTTTATATCCGAAGTAGTCCAGGAAAAAAACAATGGGGCAGCGATGTATGTGGAGAACCAGGACCTGGCAAATCCCTTCTCGCCGAAGGGAAAGCACGCCAGGTAGAACTCACAGCCTGCAATGGACCAGATTAAAACCAGCGCGAAGTGCTGCGCGTAGGGTGCCGCACGGGCCTGATAACGTAGAGACTGGATGTCGATGCCCTGCGCTGCGAGGCCACGTCGGAATTGAATGTGCGAGATGAAGATACTGGACCACTGAAACAGGGTCGAGACTGATACCTGAACAATATTAGCCAAAGGAGAAACCGACATGACGGAAAGGCAGGGTCATACCAGCGACGAAAACCAGCTGTATACCACAACACCTGTGTCATTACAGTTCAAATAGCCCAAACCTCCTCCGAGAGCGATACTGATGACCAACGGCACATACGGCTGGCCAGCAGAATTTTTACGCCCAAACCCAGGATGGGGGACCTTCATGTCCGACAATGCTGTCAGACTGCGGCTGGCAATGTAGGCACTGGTGGTCGCACAGCTGATCACCGTTAAGAAAACAGAGCCATTTATGAAGTGCGCCAACCACATTACACTCGCAAGCTCGAAGGCAATGACGAAGGGGCTTCGAAGCGAGCCGCTACCATTGATCAGATTCTCGTCATTTTAGGGCACGCACACCCCCAAATCAGCCAAATATTGACAACGAAGAAGGCGAACATGCGCCAAAAGACCGGATGCACTGTCTTCTTGGTAGTCCGGCGGGAATCGCGGGCTTCGCCTGCAATGACAGCGATATATTTACCGCCGCCAAAGCTGAACAAGGCCTGCACGAAGGCCTTGGAGATCCCATTGATGCCATTGTTGAGGGCACCAGGATTTCGCCAGTACCAAAACTCAATCGCACCATGCGTGGCCGGAATGCTACCAGAGGTCATGATGAGCATAAAAAAAGATCATGACAACAATGGCTAGACACTTAACAAACGACATGACATACTCGACGTGACCGTAGATCCGAACACCGAACGAATTCGCCAAGGCGATAATGATCAGGAAGACGGTGATGTACGCCGCAAGGGGAACGACCTGAGTCTGCGGCCAAAGCTCAAGCACGGAAACTGCCGCGGTGATATCGGCGGGAATACAGACCACCCACTGTCATGGTCAGTCGTCTTGACCTCTGCTCGTACAGAAGTTGCTTACAGAAGAAGTTTCCCACTGCAAACCCAAACGCAGGTTCCACGTACTCGATGCATTGTCGAATAATTTCGCCATGGACAGGCTTGTACGTTGTCATTTCTCCAACCGAGATGTACTGCAGGTACACGACCATTCTGCTACGGAGTTGGTTGACGTGCTGTACGTTCAGCAACTGGTTTCTGATCCTGACATACACGGGGATAATATATGCAATGGCGATACCACCCGGCCCAGCTACAGAACTTGGTTAGGCTCGTAGATAGTCGACTGGGCATTGGAGAGAATCATCTCACCATACTTGAGAGCCGTGCCTGTACCTACCCATCTGGAAGACGTATGAAACTGAGTGCTCTGGCGCAACATTAGGATGGTGAAACATACAGCCCAGACCCGATGCCTGCCCCAAAGGTCATCATCATGATTTGACCACGGCCCAGCGATCGATGATAGCCAACATCTTCGTTGGCTCCCAAGTGCTCCGTAGCTCCCTTGGCGAAATCATCATTATACTCAAGATCAGGGGTGATATTCACGTTGCGCGTGTGCGCAGTCAGTTTCTTGGTTATCATCATTGCTGGTCTCTCGTTTCGTGTCGAGGTAATAAAGAAGTCATGTGCATCGCTTGCCACATCTTATGTCTATCCTAGATAGGCCTCTAGACGTATTATTGGTCGTAACACGCCTCTAGCTAATCGTTCATGGCGTGAAGATATATACTACAAGATAAGACTGGAATGAGACCTGAGGTGTAATGCACGGCACCGACAGCCAGTCGGATGGGTCCGGAATCCCAATCCCGGCTTCTCCTCACCTGGCTGTGTGAGGCCAAGAAGAGCAAGAGTGGGGTGTTGAACGATATTAGGTCAGTCACAACGGCATCGAAAGATATAAGAAGCAATACTCATTTGGTGGCAACAGGAAACTTCAAACAACATAATCCTGACCTTCGAGCCCTGATCATCAACCACCATGTCTAGCAGCAAAAATGTGGTCTTTGACATCATCGGCACTCTGGTGTCGTATGACGTGTTATTCGACGCGATTGACGAGCAAATGGGCGACCGACTTCGAGCGCAGGGCATCAAACCCACTCTGCTGGGCTACACCTGGATCGAAGTCGCAGAGCGGGAATACACCTATCTTAGCATGAGCGGCCAGTACAAACCCTTTGCGACCTGCTTTGAGCTGTTGTTCTGGCGCATGCTTCACATGGCAGGCATCTCCGAGCCCCGAAGCTTTGCCACAAAGAAAGACCTCGAGTACATCATGGAAAGATATGCCAAACTTGGCTTGCGACCAGGCGCAGCAGAGTGCATCACCAAGCTTCGCGACGCCGGGTTCACGGTTTGGGCCTTGACGGCTGGGGACCTGGCGGGAGTGGGGGGCTACTTCGCGAACGCTGGTTTGGAATGGCCTGCAGAGAATCTACTGTCCTGCGATACCCAGGGGATAGGAAAACCCGATCTGCGGGCGTATCACCCGCTTCTCGAGCAACTGTCCCAGAATGGAAAACCATGGTTCGCTGCCGGTCATATGTGGGATGTTTCGGCGGCTCGCTGTGCGGGGTGAGCGTTGCAGCATCACATCCCGGGTCTAAACGCTGCTGACACGCAATGCTAGGTTCAAAGCCGCTTATTGCGTCATTTGGGAGAAGGAGCCGATCACTGAACTGTTCGGTGAAATGGATGTCATGGCAGAGATGCTTCCCGAGATGGCTGATAAGATCATTGCAGCAGCACAGTAATTTGACGATGCTGGTGAATTCAAGATAGCAAGGATTGGTGGGTCAGTCGCGTTGGAGACGCTGCATGTTTCGGCGAATGAAGGATATGTAGAAGCCATGCAGGAGACTACAGATAAGATTAGCAAGCCCTTATCATCTATACCTGGCGTGATTCTCAGTAGAGCCACAATCATTCCAGCGTACTTCTTCGAGTGTCACATTAGCAATTAAAGACAGGATGATCTGCATAGACTTAGCCTGGTTCGGTCATTTGGCCATGGTATAGCCTCGGCCAACTCCTCGGTGGTCTCTTAACGGTATATCTTGCTAGTTAAGGTCTTCTCTACTGGTGTACTGTCTTCGTACCTCACTTGTTGACAGTATGCTCAGCAAAGGCATTTTCCATTGCCTTGGAGGTTAGTGGAACCAGGATCATGTAGCAATGAGCACATACCTGTCCAACACAGCAGTCCGATTTTGTCAAATTCCAGCGAGCAAAGCAAGAGAATATTTATATCGAATTGTATGTGGGCACAGGCTTCAAGCTTCTGTCCAGGCATGGCTGTAGAGTCGGAGTGACCATAACGTTCTACTCTGGAGATTATTGGAAGGCGGGGATGATCTCCATTCCCCGGGCAGGCATAAATAAAATCAGTCTAATCCTTTTTGGGTACTATCCTCCGCGGGACCTCCGCGGTGCAGCTTGCGCTGGTATCTATAAAACCAGACAACAACCTGTGCTGGATGTTCTCTTAAAGCATGCCATTACAGATAACATCTAGCCATGCCTTCTATCAGTAAGGTCGGTTGTGTTGCATGATGGCCGTGAATCCTACTGACATAACCCCATCCAGGCAATTATCATCGGCGCGGGCCCGGCTGGCCTTGCTGCTGCACTGCAACTGCATCGAAAGAACAACATTGATATTACAGTCTACGAGCTAAGGCACGAGCCCACTACCGTTGGTGGAGCCATAGGGATATTTGCCAATGGCTTGCGTCTACTGCATCGCTTGGGTCTACATGACGCTCTTCTTGCCCGCGGCTCTTCCGTCGGCAAGATTCATCTGCAATCGCTACACCAGGGCAGTATTGGTAGCACGGATATTTCAGCCTGGGCGGCTGAGAAAACTGGCTTCGGATACTTACGCATCCTCCGTCGAGATCTGCAGGACGTATTGTTCGACGCCATCCACGAGGAGCAGATCCTGGTTCATTTCAGCAAATGGTTGACCTCCATCAAGGAGGATAAGTCAAGCGTGACTGTAACCTTCTCCGACGGCTCGACTGACTCAGCTGACGTGGTGATTGGATGTGATGGCATACATTCCAGCGTGAGACGGCTGCATGTGGATCCATCTATCAAGCCCGAATATTCTGGCATCGCGGGAAGCAGCTCGATCATCTCGACGGCTGGGCTACCGGATATGCTCAAAACGGCAGCCAACGTCATTCCCACAACCGCAGGGTTCATGTCGACGTTTCCATGCAGTGCGTCCGGGGACCAGCTCTACTGGATGCTGTCTCGGGAGACGCCCATCCCACACTCCGAGTCGGGCAACGAGCGGGACGGATGGGAGGAGCGACGTCAACAAGAGATGGATATGTTGAAAAACGCCATCAGAGAAGTGTCCAAGTCAGCTCGAGGTGAATGGCGAGAGATCCTGACGAAGCTCCTGGATCGCATGGAATTCATCGGATTCTACCCGGTCTTCCGACTGCCGCTGGACGGAAAATGGTATACCTCTCGGACCATCCTGCTTGGAGATGCAGCACATGCAATGCAGCCTCACGCAAGTCAAGGAGTCTCGATGGCTATGGAGGATGTCTTTCTGCTCTCGCGGGTGCTGCAAAAGCAAGAATGGGGCTTGGAGGATGCGTTTGCTAGATACGAAAGTATTCGACGGCCGCGCATCAACGAGATTTATCAACTGGCGGCCAAGAATGGCCAGAGTCGCAAGGCCATGGGCCCTTGGGCGTTGTGGGTGAGAGAAAACGTGATGTGGGCTGGTTTGGGCCTGTATCGTATTCTGGGGTTAGAGTCGTGGGGCCTGGGCCAGACGCACCTCGTTTACGACATTGACGAGGTGGAGCTATGAGAGGGGGGGTTGACTTGTTGAGTAGTGTTGGTTTCCGGTATCGCATGGGTATTAGCGGGTTGTGGCTTTCTCTGTACACCTCTTCTTATTGGAGTTCGTTGAGGAGAGGGGTTGTAGATGGGCCAGTGATTTAAGCATATCGTATAGGAGCCATTTTCGGGGGTCGATGTTGGTTTTGTAGTTACCTAGTAGGTGGTAGATAATGTAGTTCTTCCAAGGGGAGAGGACGGAAAACACCGTGGCCATGGAAACGTCCAGCCCGCCCTTTCCGGCCCATTAGGTAAAACAGTTACAGTATGAAACTATGAATTGACAGTCGTAAAGTCTCGGGGTTTGTGGGCCGCAGGATGTCAAGTCAAGTCGAGAATGTCACGGTCCGCAGGTAACGAGGGAAGGAGGCCCTTGGCTGACTGCTCAGGGATGACGAGAGGAGGAAGACAAAGATGATGACACTGTACATGCATACACACAGACAGGGTTCGGAGTGAGAAGGAGAGTCCGACAGGGAAGAAGGGCGTTGAGTTTCCTGCAGTGAGTGGAATCCACCTGTCTCTGATCACGAACTTCGTCCCGAGTCCGTTCCTGGAGCTCCCCGAGCTGCTGCTGTTGTTCCTGTTGTTAGATAACGTGTTGTCGGTTGTTGCTCCCCGCTGTTTAGACCAGCCAACCTGTCAATCACTCGATAGCAAGAACCAGGAATAAGCACCATGAAAATTGGATGTGTTTATTTTTTTTCTTCCATTCTCCGGCTCCATTCTCTCCCTCCCTACTAAGGAGGATCCTATAAATATCGAGCTGCACGATCATCCAATGGTCAGTTGCGGAAGCCCCTGCTCTGGGCTCCTTTTTTTTGGTGCATCCGGGCGGCTCTGATAATAGTAGCCATGATTATCCCCCAATCTAGCCTGCACTGTCTGAGACAAATCTCTAACCTTAGTAACAAATGGCCGTGCGGTGACGATTCTTCAGCTGTGCCATCCCACTAGGTCGATCTCCTCCTTCCTTTTGATTACCACGGAGTATGAGAGGGGGAGGGGGGAGGGGAAAGGCAACTCGAAGTGAGTGGTCCATCCAGTCCATTTAGGGTGAGTGGTGCTGCTGTTGTTAGTTATTGCTTCGGCCGGGCTGGAATTTCTTCTGTTCAATTTCCATTGATTTCCACTTACCGATGACTAGTAGCTGATGGGATATTGGCAATCAATCAGTCCATACCATATATACTCTCTACTACGCCGGATCTCGTTTTTCTCACCCGTGGGATTCATTACTACATACTCGACTCAACCAACCACAATTGAAGGTCCCTTCCGTGACCGTACTCGGGCCCGAGAAGGTGAGTTAACCAGTACTTATCAGTGATTACATACAAAGACACGATTTATTACCCGTCAGCCTCATTTTGAATGGTCGACCGCCTTCCAGATCCAATGCCTTTGCAATTCAACACTTGAATTCAACTTGTCACCACGGCAGGCATCTTTCCCTCTCCCTCTTCCCCCTCCTCTCTCTCCCTCTAATTTACTACTTGCTTTCCTCTCTCCTCTTGTTTCTCTCCCTCTTCACTCTCCAAACTTTCACTCTCCTCCCCTACTCTTTCTTCTACCTTGTCAATATAATGGTCTTTTCCTCCTCCACTACCTTTTTATCTCATACATAGGGGGAGGGGACATTGACCAATCCAATCCAATCTCTTAAACCCCCCTCCCCAATCTTGTTCTTCGCCATCTTACACCTTGGAACTACAGAAATTTAGTTAGTTCGCGGCCCTACTGCTGCCTGGGGTTTTTGTTCCGTTCCGGGTTCCGCCAGGGCTCGTCAGCGCCCTCGCATTGATTTCCGTTGCCCATCCGTTCATTCCTCGCCTGCAACTCGTCCAGGGGATCGACTTTCGATTCCCACTTTTTCCCTTTGGAAATCATGGCACAACAACAACAGAATGACAATGTGATGCGAAGGTACGTGCGGCAATCGCACTTAATCTATCTGATCAACCTTACTTTCCTTTTTCCCCCCTCCCTCCCTCCCCCTCCCTCCTCCGCCCGAAACGGGTGGTGCCTGGAGATCCCCCGGGATCCGCCCATGTCCCCATCCTGTTTCGTCGGCCACGATGGAAGAAAACAATTGATGCACCATGACATTGCTGTTCGCCTAGGTACTAACTGTCAGATTAGAAAGTTGGTAATTATTGGGGATGGTGCTTGTGGGAAAACCAGTTTGCTCAGTGTCTTTACTCTGGGTTATTTTCCAACGGTATGTTTACCCCCCTCAACCGCCAAACCTTCAAAGGAATGATGTCACTGACTGATTTGTCTCATGCAGCATTATGTATGTATTGTCCCCCGATCGCTCTCGTCTATCATCTGCACCAACATCATCTGACTGGCCCATTGCTATAGGTGCCAACGGTATTCGAAAACTACGTAACGGATTGCCGCGTGGACGGTCGGTCGGTTCAATTGGCTCTGTGGGATACTGCTGGACAGGAAGACTACGAACGACTACGTCCGCTGGCCTACTCGAAGGCGCATGTGATTCTGATCGGCTTTTCCGTGGATACCCCTGATTCGTTGGAGAACGTCAAACACAAGGTTCGTTAGCCTTGTCTTTCCTTGCTGCCCGGTAGCATTCCACTGACGGGGATTCATTCACAGTGGATCGAAGAAGCGAACGAGCGATGTCCCGGCGTCCCTATTATCCTGGTCGGTTTGAAGAAAGATCTGCGCGAGGATCCCCTAGCGGTGGAGGAGATGCGGAAGAAGTCGCTCAAGTTCGTCACGTCCAAAGAAGGGAGCGATATCGGCACCCAGATCGGCGCCCGCAAGTACTTAGAATGCTCCTCGCTGACGGGGGAGGGAGTGGATGACGTGTTTGAGGCTGCCACGCGGGCCGCTTTGCTGACCTTCGACAAGCGGAAGAGCTCATGTTGCATTGTTCTATGATATCGAACCGACGATGGCCGGCCGGGAAGACTGACGAATCTCTCTCGTTTACGCGATTTGTATGTTTGAAGATGATTGGGGCGGTAGGAGGTTCTTGTTTCAGCGAACATATTGCATGCATGCCAGCTCCCGCTGCCCGCACGACCGAGATTGATTCTTCGCCATTTGTGTTATTGCATTTGTTGAGCCATTTTCATCCACGTTCGGAGAGCCACGAGCATGGCAATGTGCATATCTGCTGCGATCGGTTTGTGATATTGGAGGGACAGCGGAGGGAGGTTCTGAAAAAAAGTGTGGGCAGATCTGAAAGGAGACGAGAAGGTGGTTTGTGTGAGCTGCGAGTCTCGATTACCTTGCATTTCCGGCGTTTGGGTGGGCTTTTTGTTTCGTTTTCTTATGTTGTTGTAGCAGTCTTGATCTCTTGTTCATCATACCCTTGGAGTCGACGTGACATTACTTTCCTTGACGGGTGTACTCCGAGTCTCATTCCTTTGATTGCCTTTGCCTCTCTAGCGTTGAGCTTTTCGGATCTTGATGCAAAAGTAATTCTGAGTAGTTCCGTGGATGGTTGCTGCAATTAGTACCACGTATACGTGGAGGAGGTACAATTCCAGAAACCAGCTTACAGAGTCGAAACTAGATGTAGAAAGGGGAAGTAGGGAGTCGTTCTGTCGGTGCAGCCGAGGCATATTAGATCATTGATTCCCAGATTCATTTCTCAATCTCATATTGTTGAACAAAGTTGGCATAGTCTTACAGTATTGTGAACAAAAAAAGGGAACCTCCCAAGAAGGAAAACATCTGATCTGATGACTGGACGCAGGTAGTATTCCAGGCATACGAGCGGGGAACCGCTCGAGGCATAGTTCAATAGAGAAAAGTTGGATAGAAGGTCATTAGGCATGCTTGGAGAGTGAAAGAAAGCTAGAAAGGTGGAAGAAGTAGGTCGATGGCCGCTTAAGTGTCAAGGTCCTCGGAACATCAGGCCCTTAGTGTGGGCTCCATCGATGCGTTACCGTACTAATCAAACAGATAAACGAACGAACAGTATAATGGTCATGAAGGATGTTGCTGGAAGCAGTCAAGAGGGTATCTAATATTATCGTTTTGGAGTTTCTGTTCTGTCCTTTTCTTTTCACATTAACAATGTATGTATGCTGTGCTGTTTTCTTGTTTGTTTGTTTTTTTTTTCTCGGGTTTATTATAGAGTTCGGCTTAGACAATGTCTAGTTCATCGTCGTCGTCGTCGTCATCATCATCATGATGGGTCGTGGATACCATTTCGAATTTCCCGCCTAGGCTGTCCCTCCCTGCTTCCTTGATGCCGTGGGACGTGATGAAGCGAGTCTTCTTGACTGCACTGCTGCCGAGCGCTCGGTCGCCGCCGCCGTCGTGGGCGCGCTTCAGGGGGCTGAGGTTGACGGCCGCTGCTTTGCGTAGGCTTGCTAGGCCAAGGGTGGTGGCTGCTGAGTCCCTGTCTCCGGCGGCCTTGGTGGACTGGCTCTTCGCGGCGTCGCTGGGACGCGAAGCGGGAACGACGCTCTCGTTGCCCCGCGCGCGCAGGTACTCTGCGCCTACGCCGCTGGTCCGGGTGATGAGCTTCTCGGTGATGTCTTTCTCCCGCTGTCTGTCCGCAAGACGTTTGCGAAATCGTTCTTCCTTGCTGTCCTTGCCACGCCCCATCCGGCCTGCGGCGATGAAAGGGTCGTCGGTGTCGGCGTCGATGAGACTCGCTGCGGACTGGCCGAGGGGATGCTGCTGACGATGGATGTTTCCACCACCCAGGCCTCCTCTGCTAAAAGTCTTAGGCGCAGGCGCGACATAGTACAGGGTCTGTGATCCGGAGTCGTATTGAGCGCCGGTTGGTTTCAGGCCGTTTCGTTGCCCGGGCCGCTTCCCACCGCCATTACCACCACCGGCTGTGAAGTAGCCAGTTCGAGGGCCGGAACGTCCGCCCGGTCCATACATGCCTGGTCCGTTGTTCACGCCCATCCGCCCAGCCTGAGTTTTCCGGACCTGGAGATCCACGTGAAAGTCGCAGAATTCGGTCTTGCGTCCATCAACCCATGCATGACACGTCTTGCCGTCTTTTCTGGTGGCTTTGCAGAATCCTAGGTCTTGCGCATATCCAACTTCCAGGACCGTGTCGTCGGAGGAAGAGATGGCGAGGCTAAATTTGTTGGTGTCAGTCTTGTTTTTGGGAGGGGGCATAATCGTGGGGTTCAAGATGGCGACGAGGATGCCCTCGGAAAGCCGGTAGTATCGTGGAAAGGCAGTCTCGAAGAGGAATAGATCTATGGTCCATTTCAGGTCGGTCAGGGTGATGACCATATATGAGTTGGTGTTGTTGAGGCCGTCGTCAAAGGGGTCGGCGTCCTTCTGAGAGGCGTTCTTGTTCGACTTTATCTGTCTGGGCTCGGACTTGGAAGCTACAATGCCAAAAACCACGTAGTCTGTGTCGATTTCCTCAGGCAGTTCGAAGCTAGGCCCTTTGACGGTTCGAAGGAGATCAGGGATGCGGAGGACCTTCTTGTCTTCGAGTGTGCGGGTGAGGAATGAATGGGGAAGAATTCGGTTCGACATGTGCAAACCAGAGAAGGCCTCGAATTTTGACGAGTCGCCGCCGTTCTCCTCCTGAGACTCATCATTAGTGCTCTGCTGGGAGCTCCCCGGCAAAAAACCATGCGCTTCCGATTCGGACTTGAGGTTTCGTCGGTGCAAGTATGGCCTCGACTCCTTTTGCTCGGCATCGCTGTCTTGATGCCGTACACTAGGGAGAGTCTGGCTCCGCTTCAGGGACGGCTTGAGCTTGCCATATGACCGCAGGACGTCCTCACGACTGAAAGTCTCATTGGGTCTGCTTCGAGTTGGCGATCGTGGGGATTCGATCTTCTTCGCCTCAGCAGCCGTTTTGAATGCCTCCACCTCATTCTTGTCGATCTGAAACGCCGTGCTCCGGTTAGCTCGAATGCGCTCAGCTCGTTCGGCTCGGTCTTTCTGCAATTTTTCCTCGGATCGACTCTCTGCCATGCGCTCGCTGAAGCTCTTCGGACGACCACGTTCGTGATCCGCAGTGACTGTCTGTAAAAGTTTGTTCGAATGCGAAACCCAACCGTCGCGACCGGCCAATGTCCGGGAGCCGGGTGTCGCAGTCGACTGACCAGCTCCTTTCGAACTCGGAGGGCGCTTGAGAGATACATCCCTTGACTTGAGGCCTTTATCAATGCCTAAGATATATCTCCGCGGGGAGACTGGGTCTGCCGAAACCGTCGGCCGTCGTGTCGGGGAGAGCGGAACTTGCACGTCGTCCAGAGAAGCGTCGTGCTGTGTGCTCCGTTCGGCTCGGCTCCTTGATAGATAGGTATGTGACTGTGTCGAGTAGCTCACTGCTGACCCAGGTCTCGCAAGAGCACTATCTTCGTCATGTGGGGCGTGCGCTGGAGTTCCAGACTTTGCACGACTCTTCTGAAGCTGTTTCAGCTTAAGTCGCGCCTCAATGGCCGCTAACTTGAGTTTCAACGTCTCCTCGTCCTCGTCCTCATCTTCGTCATCGTCAATGCCGTCGCTCAGAAGCTGCGCTGCCCTGGATCGCAAATCGGGAGTTGTGGTGGAGCGCTTCAATGGCGACCCTGGGTTTCCTCGGCGACGCTGCAGTTCTTCGAGTCGTTTGCGCCCGCTTGGGCTACTCAAAAGAGCATCCCGTGGTGATTTGGGCGGCCATGAAATATCGACCACTGTGACGCGAATCGAATTAGCACTATTTCCCGTCTTTGTCGCAGAAGAGTTGGTCTTACTACTGGTCATAGCACGCGCCAGCGAATGTGATTAAAGGAACAGTTGATCGAGTGAGCGAAATGGGGGGAATAGTGGGAGTAGGTGGCTAGTGTCCAGCAATTGTTACCCTCTTTGGCGACTGTTTGCCATGTTCAAGAGAATGAAGGGATGCGGGGAAAGACGATCAGAGCAGATGTGACTGTGTCGCGTACGGAGTAGGGAAGTAGAGTTCAACCACAGTCCACCTCCACTGACAACAAAGAGAAGAAAGGGGGCTGCAGTGAGTTGGGATTGAACTAATCGAGGACATGCATAAGATGAAACGCAAGGGAAGGAAGGATCATGGATGGGATGAAGCAATGCCCGATATTCTGCCCTGCAATTCATTCACAGTGAACTTAACCGCCGCGGGCCATTGTGAGCGCTTTTTGACTGGTTAAGCTCGCTGCAGGTGCTGATTGGTTCGCGCGTCGGCGCGTCGGCCGGCGCAAATACGCGTTGAGTGTCCCGAGGAGTTATGGATCGAATTGCTTTAGACTTCATTACCTATTGACTTCATGTTCTTCAATTGCCCCATGTTCAATCAGTTTTTGGTTTCGGCAATGTCACTGCTTGTCGCATCTTAACTCCACCTGCTGCCCTCCAAAAAGCCCTGCTACACTCCTCCCTACCTGCGAAAACACACATTACCCACAATGCCGCGCACTCGATCCGCCGCTCCCTTGAGGGCATCGCCGCAATCTGCTTCAGCCTCCTCTTCAGAATCCGACTTACGACCTCAAAAGCCCTCATCCCCAACGAATCCGAACAAAACCTTCATTCTCCCCTCCACCGCAAGCGCCGACGCCCGCTTCCTTACGCTCCCGAATCCTCAAACAAACGAACCCACCCGCTACTTCTTCTGCCCGAAAGAGGGTGTCTACGAATTTACCTCTATCACTTCCACATCCTCCTCTCCACGAAGCATTCTCTTCGCGCGCCACCTCACGCCCGATGATTCTACTCCTTCTACCTCGTCTTCGCAAAATGATACCATCGAAGCCTCTCCATTCCAACCGCAAGTGGGGACGTCAACCCTATCTCTACTTTCCCAGAACGCATCCATCCACGTTGCCACTCCTCTCGACTTCATCTTCTTCCTTATCCCCCTTCTAATGACAGCTAAAGCCACTCTCTACCAACCCCTCGATGATATCATCGACTCCATTCAGGACGAACTCGCTCCGCATCTACGCTTCGTCCTATACAACGAGACCTTCCGTGATACTGTCCACACGCGCGCAGCTGCGATCTGTGATGCCGTCGAAGCAGGCGATGAGAAGTTGTTCCGGTTCAGCGAAAAGAAGCTGCTGTTGGAGTTGCTGGGCAAAGCTGAGAGGATACTTGCGGCCAATAGCGGCAAGCTGCCACCCAGTCTGGAGGAGAAGTTTGTGAGGAGTGCGTTGGCGATGCCATTGATGGGGCTGAAAAGGGCTACCTCTGCTGTGAAAGTCGAGGTCGTTGTTCCGAACGGCGATGGGGAAAATAAAGAGAACGAGGCTGACGGCGGGAAGAATGCCGAGGGTGCTGAGGATCTTGATCTTGAAAAGACGACAGCTTCTGCCGCTACCGCTACTGCAGAGACAGATGAAATTCTCCCTGAGGGGCCATCTACCCCCGATGGCGTGGCAGAGCTTCTCCGGATATCTACCGCGCTGACCTTCATCAAGGAGTCATACCTGTCGAAATCTATGGGTGCGAAAGTTGATGAGATGCTGGCCGCTCCTGATGCGCCTAAGGATTTCGAGCCCATGCGGGAACATCTTGAGCTTGTTGCGAAGTTGAGGCAGGAAGCGCTGGCAGCACGGTCGCTGGGTGATTTCAGTCGGAAGCGCAGTGCGGAGGATGAGGAGGCAGCAGAGTCGCGGGCAGAGAAGAAGAGACGGCAGGAGGAAGAAGAGAAGAAGAAGAAAGCTGGTGAGTCAAGGGGAGTAAGGGACTTGAAGAAGGTCAACACCACGGGAATGAAGAAGATGAGTGATTTCTTTGGAAGAGCAGCGGCAAAGAAGAAAGCCTGAGTAATCTCAGCCGAGCCTTTGTCTCCCTTGGAGGGAACTTCTTGGATTATGGCATATGTGATCATGGCCCATTTATAGAGAGGTCTGTCTTAGCCACGCGTTCTGGATTCGGTCGTTGGCATCATACTGAATCTGTACTACTTCGGCCTAATACAGGTCACCTTTGGTCGACCAGGAGGTCTAAAACAAGCCCGAGCCAATAATGTATCATGACTTGTAAGATCATTATGCAATTGTATTGCGGTGTCGTAGGCCAGCAACAGTTTCATCCTGTACTTAGGGCTGCCTACCGCTCCGTGATCTGATAGTATCACGCTCGGAATCAGATGGCCGCTTGGTAAGTCATACGATGTAGTCCAGCCAACAATCTCCTGTAACTAGGTTGATTCGATCGCTAATAGAATAAAGCATCTCGGTGGTTTGTCGGTATAGCTTTGCGTGGGAGGCGAAAACCACATGGCTGATTCCTAGTCTTGCATTGAGGTTTCCATTGTATAGATCATACAGTCTTGGCAGCAACCTTTCAAGGTGCACCGATGATATATACAGAGTAAGTGTAATCAAATGTTAATTTGTTAACCGTACATTTTCTTTCGTTCCTGCAATTTGAATAGTATCCTCGCACTTATGTTCCTTGTAAGAGGATTTACTGCATAACTATATAATGGACCTGCATCATGACTAACGATGTTTGCAACCAGGCTCCTACCTCCGCCATGAACGGATCCGTGCAAGTCAGGTCCACTGGGTTGTCTACTTCCTAATACAGAGTTGATCATGACCTCCGACTGTTACTACGAGGAGCCGGGCAAGACAGTGTGCTAGGGAAGTGTTATAAGAACATAGTCGATTGGACATGTTCGACAAATGCAGAGCAAGACTGGCCAGAATGTGCTACGACAGGCTGTAAGGAGAACCTGCTCGACAGGCTGCGTACGGACGCTGCTTCCGATGATGTCTTGGACGTCGAATGCATGGATGCTGCGGGCATTGATGGCTTGACAGGCTGTTGTTGATTGCATGCTGCTGGACGGGAAAGGTTTCCACAGTATATCGATAGGCTTGCACGAAACTATAATCATGTCTGAGAGAAAGTACGTGCGCTGTCGTCATCATCTTGAATCCATCTCGATCTCGGGTTGGATACCACGGCTGTTGTGAACTGGTACTTGGATATATATTCATGTGACATGATCAGCTCACCGCTGACGGGGTTGCCACTCCTGCAGTGCCGTCTTACAGAATAAGCATCCATCCATTGCCTTGCCCGACCGATATGAGATTCGGGGCGGAAAGCAAGTCAGTGCCAAGTATCCCTACACAGTAAGGAGATGTCAACCAACTGAACGTTGTCCAAGCCAGTCCGATTAGCTATTGTTTGCTGGTTTGATTGCATGGATGGGGAGAAGAAGCAGCTGAGGCCGATGATCGGAGCCCCGGGCCAGATCGGGGCCAATGAGGAGCCCCAGATTATGGGCTGGAGTCGGCACTAAACCCCGAAGTGGCTAGACGCCAAAGATGGGCGATCCCCGACTTAGGCAAGTCTGAGTTCTCGCTCTCCTGCCCTTGCCTTAAGGTTACGCTTCCTCTTCCCTCTCCTCTCTTTTTCCCGTTTTTCCATTCTTCGTTGTGAGCCTCGCCTCTCAATCTTACTTTCGTCGGGTTAGGCAGTCATCCGCCGTCAAGATGATGCCCTTGAGACCGTCAAAATGCGCTCTGCGCACTCTGCACTATCAGAGGTACCTCACCTCTGGCAGAAGGACTTTTACCACTGCCGCTGCGTCGCCCCACCGCTTCGTCGCGACGCAGAAAAGAGCCCAGAGCACTGCTGCCGCCACAGCCTCGTACGTGTTTCTCTCCCTCTTTACGACGTCGCATACAGTGTTCTTGTTAGGAGTACATTTGCAATACTGATTCAATCTTCAATTGCGCAGCAACACGAGACCTATTCCCAGTCCTGCTTTCAACCAAGAACCTCACCGCAATGAAGTCTCGCCACTCCAAAACCGCCAGGTTCCCGAGTTGGACGACTCGTATGTAATCCCCACGATTACCCTCCACTGTCATCTGGCGCTGACCGGGTCCTTCTTGCCCACACAGTTTCGTCGGACTCAGCGGTGGTGAGATTTTCCACGAGATGATGCTGCGTCTTGGCGTCAAGCACGTCTGTGAGTCATGTCTTATTTTCCTTTCTCGGTGAAGGTATCAGGATTGACCCACTGTCGACAGTCGGTTACCCCGGAGGTGCCATTCTTCCTGTTTTCGATGCCATCTACAACTCCAAGCACTTCGACTTCATTCTTCCCAAACATGAACAAGGCGCTGGACATATGGCTGAGGGCTATGCCCGTGCCTCCGGCAAGCCCGGTGTCGTCCTCGTTACCTCCGGTCCCGGTGCCACCAATGTTATCACCCCGATGCAGGATGCTCTCTCCGATGGAACTCCCATGGTCGTCTTCTGTGGTCAGGTCCCGACTAGCCTGATTGGTACCGACTCTTTCCAGGAAGCCGATGTGATCGGTATCTCTCGCGCCTGCACCAAGTGGAACGTGATGGTCAAGTCCGTGGCCGAACTCCCCCGCCGTATCCAGGAAGCTTTCGAGATTGCGACCAGTGGCCGCCCTGGACCCGTCCTCGTCGACCTGCCCAAGGATATCACCGCCGGAATTCTTCGCAAGTCTATCCCCATGAACAGCACCCTTCCGGCTCTGCCCAGCGCTGCCAGTATGGCCGCCCGCGAAGTGAGCATGCAGCAGCTCAAGAGCAGCATCGGCCGCGTCGCTCGTCTCGTCAACATGGCCAAGAAGCCTGTTCTGTACGTTGGTCAGGGTCTCCTCGCCCGTCCTGACGGCCCGGAGGTTCTGAAGGAGCTTGCCGACAAGGCCTGCATTCCTGTGACCACCACTCTCCAGGGTCTGGGCGGTTTCGACGAATTGGACCCCAAGGCGCTTCACATGTTGGGTATGCACGGTTCGGCATATGCCAACATGGCCATGCAGGAGGCTGACTTGATCATTGCCATTGGTGCTCGTTTTGATGACCGTGTCACTGGTAACATTTCCAAGTTCGCTCCTCAGGCTAAGCTGGCCGCCGCTGAGAATCGCGGTGGTATCGTTCACTTCGAAATCATGCCCAAGAACATCAACAAGGTTGTCCAGGCCAACGAAGCCGTCGAGGGTGACTGTGCGGAGAACATCCGTCTCCTCCTTCCCCAGATCGAAGCTGTGCCGGAGCGTAAGGAGTGGTTCGAGCAGATCAACGACTGGAAGGCCCGTTTCCCCTTCTCCCTCTATGAGAGAGAGACTGAGGAGGGCCCGATCAAGCCCCAGGCCGTCATCTCGAAGCTCAGTGATCTCACTGCTCACATGAAGGATCGTACTGTTATCACGACTGGTGTCGGTCAGCACCAGATGTGGGCTGCCCAGCACTTCCGCTGGCGCCAGCCTCGTACTATGATCACCTCTGGTGGTCTCGGTACCATGGGCTACGGTCTTCCCGCCGCTATCGGTGCCAAGGTCGCTCGCCCTGACGCTCTAGTTGTCGATATTGACGGTGATGCTTCCTTCAACATGACCCTCACTGAGCTGTCTACTGCCAACCAGTTCAACATCGGTGTCAAGGTTCTCTTGATGAACAACGAGGAGCAGGGTATGGTGACGCAATGGCAGAACCTGTTCTACGAGGACCGCTACTCCCACACTCACCAGAAGAACCCCAACTTCGTTCCTTTGGCTGAGGCTATGGGAGTTGCGGCTCAACGGTGCACCAAGCCCTCCGAGGTTGAGGCTAAGCTCAAGTGGCTAATTGAGCATGACGGCCCTGCTCTTCTGGAGGTGATCACTGACCGCAAGGTCCCTGTTCTCCCCATGGTGCCGGCTGGCTGTGCTCTGCATGAGTTCCTTGTCTACGATGAAGGTATGTCTTAAAGTCTGTTCAGTATGAGTACAATCGCTGATGTCTATGATTCCAGCCAAGGAGAAGGACCGAAAGGCTCTTATGCGCAAGCGGGGTGCCCCTATGTAAGCGACGGAGCTGACGCCGGCGGAGCGTTACGACGATTTCAGTTTTCTAGTTGCAAAAGTGGCCTCGATCCATGATCTGTTGATATCCACGGCGTTTCTGGCGGGTTCTAAAAACGCTCGCGGGTGCCACTCTGCGCCCACCCGACACTGATTCCCCGACTCGGTTTGAGCCGGGAATAGCGAACGACAGTACAGCAGCATCGTTCACTGGGGGTGATCGAGTACATCACGGAGTGGGCATCATGTTCCTCTGGTTGGCTCGTTGAGCGCCGAGCTTTTCTTTTCTTATTTTTCTGGGCATGTTCTCAATCGCATTATGGTTGGCCAGAAAAGTTGCCTTCTCGATTCTAGTGAGTATCTCTTGTATATAATCCTTTCGCTGCTGTAATCTCTTTATGACTTGGAAATACCATGGAGGCATAAAAAACGATCAGATCGCGGTGTGGAGGGGAAGTACCAACATGAAGCAGGAGTAGATCTAAAGGATAATCTAGTAAACTGGTGGATCGTTAATCACTGCAGTGTAGTTAACATAGTCTAGTTGTGTTTTGGGGCCGGATCACGTGGGGCCGCCTTTTCGGGCCATTTTTGGTAATCTTCATAGCCGCGGTTCGTATCCGAAGGGTCGGACTGGAGTAGACTGCCACTCCTCCCTTCACTGGAGCTCTTGCTAATAGGGCTGGCTGATTGTCCGCCTCTCGCCTTCAACATTCTTTCTCCCCCTCCCCCACCATTCAAATTTCGATGATTCTTTCCACACCACACTATGCTGCTCTCATTTGTCTAAATCTCAATCAGCATCTGTACTCCACCCCACAACAAACCAAGTCCGATACCTCTTCATGGCCTCTGCCCCAGGTTATCCAGCGTCTGGCAGGGCTCGGTTATCCGACGCGGGTATGACATCAACCCACCAGGCCGAAAGGACGAATGAGCCCACAAACACCACGAACATTACCGGCGAACCTGACGGAGAGGGCGAAACCATCGAGGAAACGGTACTCCTGAATCGGCAAACGACCTCCGACGAGACCGCCACGCGCGACCTTCCCGCATCGGACAAATCCAGCTTGGTTGACCCATCCCTGTCCAACAATGACGACGAACCGCGCAAATGCTGGATCTGCTACGCCGACGAAACCGAAGATACCCCGCTCAACTCCGAATGGCGATCGCCGTGCCCCTGCGCCCTAACCGCGCACGAAGCCTGCCTCCTCGACTGGCTGGCCGACCTGGAGAACCCGCGGTCGCGCAAACGGAACGGCACCAACGCGAAGATGGTCTGTCCGCAGTGCAAGACGGAGATCGTCGTCTCCCGGCCGCGGAGCTACATTGTGGATCTCGTGCGGCTGTTCGAGCGGGTGGCTGGACGGCTCGTGCTCCCGGGCATGGTCTTCACGCTGGCCGGCACGGTGTGGGCGGGCTGCTGCGTGCATGGCGTCTACTCGATGTATTTTGTTTTCGGCACCGATGAGGCCCGGCATATCCTGGAGGAGTCGATCGACGGGCCCTGGAACTCCGGGCTGAATTTGGGGCTCCCGCTCATCCCTATGTGCTTGATTCTGACCCGCACGCGGTATTCGGAGGGCTTGCTGGCCGCTATCCCGTTCCTCTTGCTGGTGACGCATCAGCCCGTTGTCGAGCCTGCTGCTGCGGAGCTTTGGCCCCCGACCCCGGCGGCGACATTCGCGGCTCTGCCGTACGTGAAGCGGCTGTATACGCTACTGTACGATAAGATGTTTGGGAAGCTGGAGAAGAAGTGGATCCTAGAAGTGCAGCCGCGCCAGTCCGATATCAATGAGTTCGATGACAACGCACCGCCAAATCATCCAGAACCCATCCCCGACGAGGCTGAGCAGAATGATGATGATGGGCGGGTGCTGATGGAGATCGACTTTGAATTGCAGGTGGGATTGAGAGGGGACGATGAGGGAGCTGAAGGAGTGTTTGAGTTCAACGGTGGGCAAGGTGGGGAAGGACAGCAGCAACAAGGCGGACAGAATGATGGCGGTGGTGCCGGCGGAGGACAGGCGTTCGGTCTGGGTCGGAGGGACGACCTGGTCCATGAGACGACGAATCTCGCCGATCTGATTCTGGGGGCTCTTGCATTCCCGGTTATCTCTGCGTCGATGGGGGGACTGCTCAAACATGTGCTGCCAAGCTCATGGACAACGGCGTCAACGGCGGGTCGACCAGGCTTGTTACAGACGCGCTGGGGTCGCAGCGTCGTTGGTGGCTGTGTCTTCGTGCTATTGAAGGATGCCTTGGTGCTATACTGTCGGTGGAAGTTAGCGCAGACCCATCGTCGCCGTAAGGTGCTCAACTATGACCGATCAAAGAAGCATATTCGGGCGAGCAGTAGGGCAAATAACGGTTCTTAGGTGTTAGCATGACTGACTTGGGACTTGCATTCATGAGGCGTTTTGTTCTGGCGGATGGGATGATGTTCATGATACACTTTTTCATTTTGCAAATCTCCAACTTTTTACTTGGCAAGTAACCGGCGAAAACTCTTAAGAGTCAACTTGGAATACAAATTTACATTCAATCACGTCGACCTGAAATAGTAGAGCGTTCTCAATATCCACCAGTTCACATACTTCATTCTTTAAGTAAGACAACAAGGCGCTTAATCATCCCTTAGCGCGCGGCTGGGCCGACCCCAACCCTCCGCCCGGCGAGATCTTTCTTTCCCCGAAACATTTATCCTTCACCACCACAACATATCAACCACCCCAAAACCACACAAAATGCGAACAACACTCTCCCCGATTCTCGCCTCCTTGGCGAACGTCTTCCGGATTCCTCTTTCGCAGACTGCCTCTCGCCCGGCCGCGACCGCCGCCCTCAGCCGATTCAATGGCAGCAGCAACGAGAGCTCGAAGAAATCGACCACAGCCGCGGCGATGAGCAGCACCCGACAATTCTCGACGACGAGCGCGTTGTCCAAGCGGAAGGGTGGTTATCAGAGGCCCGATAGACGTATCAGTACGTTGTGCCTTTTTTCTTGGAGCACCGATCATGAAATTACATCCTTTGGGGTGGTGAGCAGCGAGCGAGCGAGAGTCACGGAGCAAGAGAAACCCAGCCTACGCTCCCGGGGGGAGCGAAAGCACTCTCTCTACTCCCTCCTCCTCCCACCTCATCTGCCCATATACCTAGCAAAATAAAAACCCCCATGCTAACCCATACACTCCCCGCACAGCCATGATCCGCTACTTCCTGCACCACCCGCTCACTCCGCGGCCCCTCCGCTTCAGCCGCAACCGCTTCCTCCGACACTGGACCATCCACCGCGCGTGGCACCTGTTCCAGGCGCAGCAGCGGCGCGCCCACCACCTGGAGCTGGAGCGGCAGTGGCACGCGATGCGCGCTGCGTGCGAGGAGTTGCGCACCGGCGCCGGCGACGGCGGCAAGCTGTTCCGCAAGAGTATGATCAAGACCGGCATCTTCAAGGACCTGTTCCCCATCGAGTACGGCCGCTTGCAGACTGAGAGTCCCAGTAGCGAGGGCTGGAACCATGACTGGAAGCGGATGAAATAGATTTCTCTTTTTCTTTTTTTTTTCTCCTTAGGAGGTTCGGGGTTGGTGGGAGGATATGTTCGGGTTGACTTTACGAGGTAGTCCGTGTGGACATGTAAGGGGATTTGGGGGTGGAATAACGGAGGGAGGATATGTGTTATAGAGTGGACGGGTGCTTACTCGATGTATGCTAGGTTCTAGGGTCTGCTTCTTTCTTATTTCTTTTGCTGTCTTGTATATTAGGTAGTATATACCTTGGTTTGGTTATGTTATCTGCTCTTTCTTACTCGCTCGGTTCCTAGCCTAGAGGTGAGGAGGTCGCGTAGATATACTTGGCTCCGTTGATTCGATAGCTGACAAGTCCCTTAATATTCGTCCCGACACCGCTAACACCGTGACCACAGCTCATTCCAGAAGTTGATCCCGATATACAGATATAATCACCGTGATATTCTACGAGCTTTCTTCCAACCACGATCATCCATTGCAAGTAGAACCCCTCCCTCCTGGCAGAACAGAAGCAATCTAGATCCTCTACCTCATCTGCAGATGAGCCTGTAGGAGCCCTCCTGATCAGCCAGACCAATGGAAAGAACCCCAATATGCAGAATCCAGGAACCGCTAGAAATTTTCAGCCACACACGATGCAGTGCGTTCTGAATCCTTGCTTCCTGGTGGTACTCGTTCCTGAGATCCTCCTCGGTGTCATTTATATTGTATCGGCGAATTCGAATCTCTCGTCTTCTCAGAAACTGTTTGGGCATATCCTGTTCGATGGGTTCTGATGTGTCGAGCATTGGATGAGAGGCCGTTTGAAGAAGTGGAAATTAGATCCGAGGCGCTGGGTTTGAGAGTTGTCGGACGGGTGCTTTGGACGTCGATGGGAAAGACTATAAAGCTAGTGGGCACCTGTCCTAGGTTGCATGTTTAGATTGTGATTGCTCAGCTGCATCGACAAATTCGTATCAGAGGACTGAGACGACAGAAAATTGGAAGAGGTCATGTTAATGGGTTGTGTTCAATTTAATTGGATATCTAGTAGAGCCCGAAGACAGTACCTAGTACGTGGCTCAAGCCAAGCTAATAAACTACCTAAGGTGAGTGAGAGTGAGCAGTAGGGCCCGAAAAAAGCAGAAGCAAAGAGTCCCACAGCCATCGTCGGAGCGATCGATGCTTCGGCTCAGGTGCAAGAGATCCCGAAGAGAGAATAGAAAGAGAAGACGCCATCCGTATGTGCTTTGCCAAACCAGCCCCATTCCGTCCCGCTTATCCCGACCAGACATCAGCAGGAAAGTCGGATACATCAATCGAAAGCAAGAAAAAAAGCTCAGTACGCTGAAACACGGAGAGAGGTAAACATCAAATGCGAAAGAGAAGACTGAGACCCGCAGAACACCGCATGTGACTCCGAACATTGGGGTAGTAAGAAGGTTGAGTGGAAGTTGAGCCTGCTCCTGAAACGTTGTATCGGTCACCCTGTGACACCTCGTCACGATATTGACGCAGTAGCGCGATTGCCACGGGTTTTCTTCGGAGCCGGACCACCAGGACTGGCAGCAGCGTCCGCGTCACGCTTCTTAGCTTTAGTTCCGATCACAGCGGGAGTTTGCTTCCTTCGGAGCCAGCCATCGAAAGGATTAACACGCTTCCTCTTGGTTTCGGGACCCGAGGTGGACGGGGTTTCGCCCTGCTCTGTGTCATCTCGTTTGCCTCGAGTGCGCAGGGAGCGTACTGTGCCGCCGGGAGACGGGGGTGTTGTTGTGGTAGTCTTGAGTGGAGGCGTAACTGGCCGCTGCACTATGTCATGATCGAGATCAGCGTCCTCCGTCTCCTCAGCCTCAGTGTCGAACACATGTTCATCGATATCGGTCGCTGCTTCTTCGTCCGCATCGCCCGTGCTATCTTGCTGCTCCTCAGATGCCGCGGAGCGGAAGAGCACGCGAGGCTTGATCGATGAGCGTGTGAGAGGTCGAAGGCTTGCAGTCAGAGACTCATCGATGAGATCTGGGCGGGCCGCTAGCAGACCCAGATCATCGTCATCGTCTTCATCACAACTTTCAACGTCATCTGTGAATTTGCGGAACAATTTCTTGCCGCGGCTGCGAAGTCGAGTTAGAAGATATATTAAGTGAGAAAGGAAGTGCAAATTCAAACTTACAAGACGTAGAACATGCCGTCTTCACGCTTGACCGACTCATTGACTTCCTTGTCACGGGCCATCTCTTTGCGTCGAGAGGTGCGGGTGCTTGTGTTACTACTGGGCTTCTTGTAGAACGGGTTGCCTTCACTCTCATCCAGCTCTGGAACCCGGTCGCGGGAATCAGTGTAAATCTTGATCTCTGTCCCGCTCTGGCCGTGATCTTCAGTGAAGCTGTCTAGCGAGAAGCCTGTGTGTTTCTTAGACTTCCGCCGTGAGCTGGAGCTGGGAGGCGGGGGAAAGAGAACTCTGGCCGTACTCCCAACATCAGCGACAGCCTTCTTCCGCGGCGTTTTGGCTGGTGTCGGAAGCATCCCTTCGGTGAGTGTGGGGCGAAGAAACGGCGGGGGATGAGTGTGAGAAGGTTCGGTGTTGAAAGGGTCAGCGTCGTCTAGAGTAGAGTACTGTAGTGAATGTGTTCCGGCAAATCGGCCCGACTTTTGCTTCCGAGGGGAGATTTGCGCAGAGCCTGGTGGTGATAATGTCGCTGATTCAGGTGCGTGCTGTTTCTTCGGCAACTTCGAGCTTTCGCGCGTAGACGGGAAACTGGGCGGGGGAGTAGTCTGAGACTCCCTAGATGAGCGCTGGCTAGCTAGTCTGGCCGAAAAACGCGTGGAATAAGGCTCATAGTCGTCATATTTGGCACCATGTCGAGGGGTAGGAGGCATCCGTAGCCTGGAAGGCGGTGGTGGTGTTGTCGCCATTTTGAGTGCGATACGTGTATCCCAGGTGACGATAAATATCCTCAAACAATCCCAACTCCAAATTCACTGAGAAAGATCGTTGATTCGTGATGTAATCAATTCCAAGAGAGTCGCAATGGATGGGCGTTGTGCAAGGTCCGTTCCAAGTCGTAGTGCAAGCAACCCAAGGGAGACAAAGGGAGGAAAACGCGCGACGACCGGAAAGCCGACTGCTTCTCCAACGCGATTAACCAAGCCCGTCAAAACTGGACCGATAGAGTCGGGAAAGAAGCGAAAGAATGGGAGCGATCGATCAGCAATTGGAGATCGATGTAGTGGTGAGTTGACAGTTGGGGGTGCGAATAATGGTGGGTAGACAGAGGTTGGTAAGTTGGTTGGTAGTGGTAGGTAGTGATGAAGGAAACGGGAAAGGATGGGAAGGGGAAGAGAAGTTGGTTGGCTGGTGGGAGAGTGGGCTGGCCAGTTTGGGCGCGAACTTGGAAGGGCGGAGCAACGCCCCGTGGTTGTGGAATGCTCTTCAAGGTTGTGTTTCCTTCCCAGCCACACCATTCCGCTATCTCCCAGTGACTCCCACGCAATTGACTCGGCTTTTGAGGCTTCGACATAGGAATCAGTGGCTGAACGCGCCCCACGATTATTCTCCGTCGATCTGCGGCTTGTCATTGATCCATTGGTCACTAGTACTCTCTAAGATACGCGCTACAGACACAATCCCTCGAGTTTATCCTTTATCGATCCGCCCCTCTCTGCATCTCCCGCTTCCCCTCCATTCCCACCAATAATTATAGCATTTCGCAACACAGCAGAAGAGATGGACAGACTACAGCTATCCGAAGATGATTCTGATGATCTCTGGAACTCGCCATCCAAGCGTGGAAATAATCGTCATACCCCAAAGGTGCTGAAAGAAGAGAGCTTGTCGCCTGAACCAACAAAGGTCCCCCATGATGGAGAAACGCTGTTTGACCGCCAAGAGGCGCGTGAAGCTGCTCTGCGCAGTGAATTGGAAAGCGTTCGTAAGATCAATCAGGTCATTGAGGGTCTCCTTGGGAGCCTCGACCGTGCCAAAGGAAACATGGATGTAAGTCTAGTGCTGCCGCCCCCACTACTTCGTGCGTTGACTACGTCAGGAATCGCTAACCGTTGGCTACCTTCAGACTGTCTCACAGACGCTTGATTCTGCCTCCACTCTCTTAAATACCTGGACACGAATCCTGTCCCAGACCGAGCACAATCAGCGGTTGATTCTCAACCCCAATTGGCAAGGTGCCGTTCAAGATGTGGCCGACTCGGAACACGAGGAACTCCTCCGGCAGCAGGCTGCGGAGAGACGGGAGCGGGAACTTCAACAACAGAGAGAAGCCGCTGCCCGTAAGGCCGCGGAGGACGAAAGAAAGAGAGCTGCCGCTGCAAGCGCCAGAGGCACACGCGGATCGAGTTATGGAAGAGTGCGCAGTGGCTTGGGAAGGACTCCCGGCGTCTCATACTCTGGTACGAGGCCTGGCGCTACAAGAACGACCGCCCCTTCAAGTACGACAGGAAGGCCACCTTCGACTAGTACAACACGTAGGCCGGCCAGCGGAATCGCGAGAGGCTCGGGCATCGCGCGTGGGCGCGGCGGGCTTCGAGGATAATATGGAATGGTAATGGTGAATTAGACATGTATACTATGAGACCAATGAAGAACACACCACGATGCTGGTGACGAAATGATACCCCTCAAAACAAGACAAATTCAAAGAGTTCAACACGTGCACCTCTGCAGTAAACAAAATTGTTTGTTTTTAAAGGACGGATATTTATGCCTGAGGCACCAAGGCGCATTACCGCCAATAATGGATCCACTGCGATAAAGCTTCCATCGCCCCGATAAGCTTGCGCGACGTTGCCTGCTTGCAACTTGCCATGGACTCATCCTTCCCAGCACAATGAATTTCGCACCCTACCAGGACGAATCGCCCGAGGTGGAACGGGCATTCTCCCCCTCGCTGGGCGAGGCGCATCGTCCGAGACCCTCTAACATCCAGTCCCCGCGCGGTTCTCCAGCCCCTGCTCTTGCATCCCCCGGACTTCCATCCCCGAGCCACTTTGCCGGTGCAGGCAGCATCAACACCAGTGGACATGGAAACACTGGCTTCGGAAATGACCTCGAGGGCGGCCGTTTGAGTCTGGGTGCATTTGACACCAGCCTCCCCATCCGCATGGACGTCGAAGCAATGCTGGCATATCTGCTTCTGCCTCCCGCGGGTGGTGTATTCCTCCTGCTGGTGGAGCACAAGAGCGATTACGTACGGTATGTTCATACGGCGCACTCAACCAAGCCAGGTAATTCTGTTTTCAGATTCTTACTGATAGGGCATTTAGGTTCCATGCGTGGCAATCGAGCATGCTCTTCACAGTCATGTTTGTAAGTTGTACCAGTGCATACAGACTCAAGTTCATTTCTCACAGCTCTAGATCATCCACCTTCTCTTCTCCTGGTCAAGCTTCCTGTCCTGGCTCTTACTGATGGGCGACCTTGCAATGATTGGGTTCTTGAGCATGCGTGCTTATCGCGACGGTATGTGCGCTCCTGTCGACGACGGCTTGTGTGGGAAACCGCGTGCTGACAAGACATCCTTCTAGTCGATACGCTCGAACACTTCGAGGTCCCCATCTTCGGCCGCCTGGCTAACTCATTTGTTGATGACGAATAAACCTAATTAATTCTAAAGCGCGAATCAGTCGGTCGATAATCCTCGTTTTCCGGGGGCGGTGGTCTTATCTTGCGTCCCCAGAGCATTTCATGCATCAGGAGATTTGTCCTGGTCCCTTGTACAGTGTCGGAATTGAGAACATATTCATAGGTTTCTGTGTGCATAGCCTTAGCTTTCAGTTTGTGTGTGGCTGTGGATGCTGCATGTCATGTCTCTTTAATACTCTAATCAAGCGGCTATTCACTTGAATGTCCTGCTCCCGTTCTTTCAATTCTCTTTTACAACTGGCGGAACATAAGATCAAGTTGCTTGAATTAATCTCCACCGCTGGACTTGCCTCCAGGACCCTTGGAGTCATTTCTTACCGTATTGTGCCAATGGGCGTTCATGCTTTCTCCCAGCAGTATTACGTGGCGGCGAGAGTAAGGATGTTTTAATCGTACAAGGTGGCTTAACAATCTAATTTGGGAATATGAACGGGCTGATTGACAGGGGTTGGGACTGTAGTAAGTGACAGGTCCTGGTGGGCTTATCTTGGAAAAGGCAACTAAATAGCTTTGTTCGGCTAACGCTTATTGACCAAGATGAATTATTGCAATCGGTGCCGTATTTGTCCTAGCGGTGTGCATACCAGCTAGCAAGGAAGAGATCATGGGATTGATTTTTGCTGATTTAAGGAGACCGCTCGCATGATTCTAGATGTGGAACCTACGAGAGACGTAGAATCTGTGTCTTACGAGAAGACTGCAGGTGATCCTGGTGTCGAAAAATTTCATATTCCAGGTAACGACATCGTATCGCAGAACTTCAAACCACAGAAAAAAGAAGGACAATAGTCATATTAAATTGACATGTAGGTATCGCAAGAACAGAAAGGACCGTATGCCAAACAACAGGGCTTAAAAAGGAGAGTAATAGAGAGAATCAAAGTAGGTAAAGGAGTGATTACATGGCTTGTGAGGCAAACGTGCTGAAGGAAGAGGAACGAGAATATCCGCAACGGAGACGTCAAAAGAAATTAGGCACAATCTGGTATCAAAATCATGAACACATCAATTAGGATAAAGGTGCACTCTCTGTCCTTTGGGTGGATAAACTGTTCATAACATAGTAAGGGTATGGGTCATTGCGTAACTTCAAAAAGCTGCTGATTTTAGATGATCTGTAAGTAGTTGCTCGGCACCAATCCGGTCCGGCTTCGAGAGGTCGTGATCTCGGCTTCCCACCAACCATCGTCTTGGAGCCGGATGACGGAAAGCACGTCGCCTTTGCTGAAGCCGAGTTCCTCAGGGATGGCGGCCGTGTAGCTGTACATTGCTCGAGCTGTGTATACAATTATTAGAGTTATTCTATACATAGAGCATGCTCGACACAGGCACAGTAAGGACTTACCAAAGTGTAAAATGGGTCTGCCATCCCGACTAAACTGTCTGCCAGGATCGGCAACAGCCATCGACCGGCTCCTCGAGCGGCTGCGCACACTGGCGTTGTCTCCATAATAGGACATGGGTCTACCGCTGTCGCGCCGAGATCCATAGCCATCTTGACTGCCGCCATACATATCAGGTTGACTGGACAACTGTAGCTCCATGCCTCCAGCGCTTGAAGGACGAGCTTGTTGTCGGAACTGAGGTTGAGGCGACACAGCTCGCGGAGGCTGTCGGAACTGGGGTTGAGGCGACACAGCTCGCGGAGGCTGTCGGAACTGGGGTTGAGGCGACACAGCTCGCGGAGGCTGTCGGAATTGCGGCTGAGGGGAAACAGCTCGCGAAGCAGCCGCTGTGGGAGATTGTCGATACTGAGGCTGTGGAGACACTGCTCGAGGCATTGCCGTGGCCACAGAGCCCCGTCTAGAGCGGGGTGTAGCAGCATCGACAGGACGCTGGGGTGGCGTGGAAACGGTTGGAGATTGTGCATATCGGCTTTTCATGCTATTTGACTGGTAGGAACTTGGGCTTGGACTTGCTGTTCGACTATACTGGCCCATGCGCGTGTCCACCCGAGGAGAATTGACCTGAGGGCTGGCGCTGCGCCTGGAAGCCGGCGACTTGGCGCGTGGAGCTTCCTGTGTTTGGCCACTGTTGCGCCTGGGAGCCTGGCTGGTGCCCCTAAGCATACTTTGAGCTTGGCCGGTGTACCTCTGAGTTGTTTTCTGCATCTGAGCAGCGGTGAAAGCGGGCTGTGGCGCATCAAGACGTTTCAATGATGAATCATTATACGCTGGAGGAGGTGTTGCCACGGAGCCCGGGGTGGCCGTTGATGCCGCAGCTGATGGCGGAACTGGTGTAGCGATACCATGATATCTGTCGGCGGAAACCCGGATCGCTGATGGCTTCCCTGCTCCCTTAAGATCTGCTAAGGCTCGGGCGACAGGGTCTTGCTCCTCCTCTGTTTTCTTGCCTGCCTGGGCTACCTTCTTGGTATTCTTGTCTGGCGATTCCACATCAAACACATTATTTCCCACGTTGAGTTGGAAATTGGCTCTTGGGTCAACAGGCTCAGGACTACCGGAAACCCTGCCTGGATCTGGAACAGAGATAGGCTGGTGAGGCTGGGAAGCTTTGACCGGGCTCGCCTGTTTTGCTGCTGGTTCAAATGTGTTGCGAGGAGGGGCCTGAGCTGGTCCTGAATGGCGGTCCTTATCGTGCCGGCTCTTGCGTCTGAAAGGACTGTTGCTGAAAAACGCACTTCTCTTCTTTTGAACCTGCTTATCCATACCGGGGAGCGCGACACCGTTGGTGGGCTTGGTTGGAGACTGCCTGGCGCTTGAAGGTTCTTGGCTTGACATCGAAGTCGGATTAGATACTTCGCTTTGGGAGTCCCGGCTTGACGGTCTGTAAGCGCTGTTTGTCCCTAAGCTGCGCTCCGAAGGTGGACCTTTTCGGCAGAACATCGTCATGCCATCCGTTGGATATGCGTTATGTGGCACAGTACCGATTTCACCATGCTCATTAGGATCATAATTAGGTGGTAGGTATCCACCACGGCGGAGATCCAACGGAGCGGGCTGTTGCATAGGTGGGGGCTGCATTGGCTGTACTGGCTGCACCGGCGGCGGCGGTTGAACGGGTTGCTGGACAGGCGGTGGCATCGGCTGCGGCATTGACTGCTGCACTGGCTGCGGCATAGGCTGAGGAGGTGCTTGTTGCCTTGGCTGTGGCGGCGGCTTCTGTGGGGTGGCAGTACCTTCCCTGCTTGAGGGAGTATGAGGCCTGTTGACCTTGGCTGCGATCTCAGCATCCGGGTCGATATGAGACTCGTAGGTTGAAGGCTGCGGTGAAGAACTGCGATATGCTGGATTGATCGTGCGCTGGAACTGTGCAACAGAGTAACCTTCTTCCTCCGATGCCTCCGAGCTAGTGTCATCAAGTCCACCCCGACAAAAATTGATGAATTTTGGTGGGTCTGGAATGTCTTGCCCAGTTCCCCTTTCCTTAATGAAGTTGATGATGTCTTTCTCCACCTCGCAATCTTCCAGGGAAAGACGAATCTTCTCACAGGACTGTTCATACATTAGTCACCGAGTAATGACAGCGGATAGGGATTGACATACAGCATCGTCGCTAACACAAACAGTCGATGCGATGTTTGCGTATGTCCAAAGACTACTCTTGGTGAAATCGAGCCTCTCCTCCTCAAGGTCTTGGAACTTCTAAAAATGCTATTAGTCAGGGTGCTAAGAATGTCAAGCTCACAATTCATTCTTACATCGCAGGCGGATTTCCACTCCTTGTTCCAACGTCCAGTTGTCTCTTCTAAAATCTTGATAGCCGCTTCGTACTCGCTGCTACTAGACGCTAATTGTATTTGCGTCTTTTCAAGCTTGGCTTTGTTTTTGCGCTCCTCCTGGCCCATGACCATGTGGCCCTGTGCCAAGTAGCCCTTGATCCTCAAACAATCTTGTTCATATCGATCTCTCGTCTGTGACAATTTAGCACCCGGCATATCTCGTGCTTGGCATCAGAAATCTCAGCCTACCTTGTTGACAACATGGGTCTGCTGTATCTTAGTTTTGAGAAGACGTTCGATACCATTCTGAATGATCTTCCTGCGCTCTTTTGATCCACCCGCAAAAGCGATCAGCGGCTCCTCCAATTCTCTCTTCATTTGTGTGGAAATTGCTGCGTGGGCCTTCGCGATAGCTTCGGTTTCACCGCGGACAGTATCGAATGATGCCCGTAGCGAGCCTATCTCAGTCGATCCAAGCGGTTTGCGGCAGAGCGCCAACAGTTTTCTTGCGTATTCATCTTCGATAGCGGCTCGAACTGCCAGTCTCATTAGATCAGGAACGGTGTGGTTGTATTGAATCAGGTTTCGGACGACGCACTGTTATAGAACGTCTTCAGCTCGTCGCAAGACGTCTTCGCGTTGTGCATTCGATCTATCATAGGCCCGACGCCAGCATCTTCTTTTCCCCAGAAATTATTGGCAACTATAGAGACAAACTGGCGTTAGCCGCACCATGCATGATTGTTCGATACTGGTCAGGTTCCATACACGACATGGCCACCGTTGGCCCCTCTGCAACTGTCCCTGGCATTGTGACGAATTATAGTCCGGTACGACTGTTGAGCTTCGGCCAGCCTGCGCTCATCTGAGTATCGTACAAGGAAAAAAAATCAATTAATGGCAATATTGGAGGGCTTATCGCAGACGGCAGACAAAATAATGAGGTAACTGAAAATCAAACGACGACGACGAAGCAAGACCGTCCCTGGAAAGGAGAAAGAAGATCAAGATTCCGCGGAGAGAATGAGCAAGGCAGCACAGCACAATCAAGCTGGTTCTGGTGGAGAAGACCACAAGCTTGGCCCTGGAATCAAAGATGGTTGACGCCGTCATGTTTACAGTTCCGTGTCTCTCGGGGCAACCGGCGCCGTATCACGGGGCACAGTCATGCACCTCCCAGACCAACTCATGCTTCTGCTGCCTACCGTAGGAGGCTCGATGCGGTGTACATCCATTCCTCGTGGGTAAGATAAAATCACACTAAACGTGGTATACTTGTTCCTGTGATAGAACTAAAGTCCATCATTTGCTTTTACGCTGTTTCATCATGAACTTGACTTGTGGGGGCACTCTGAGTCCGCTGATGGGAAGAATGTGCCATTTTCATCAAGGAGAATATCAGTCTCCACGGTTCCCTGCCACTGCTCTTCAGTTCTATCTTATTGCATGTTTTACTCATCATACCCTGATACCTCCACCTTGGGATATTGTCTGTAGGATAGAAATACTGTACCTCGACTGGTGCATACGGAAGCTTGCACCGAGTCAACACATATATACCACATTAGGGTAGTAACATGCAAGATCGAAGATTGTCCGCGTAGCATGATCAATGTCATGAGCGCATGTTATCTTGACACCTAGGTAGTGTGCGGAGTATTGGTAGCATATTCTGGATCGGTCCCTCCTCAAGCCGGACGATATGCTGCATGCTCTGCATCCTCCGGATACCTTATTAGTTGCCGCCTGCCGTAATGACTCATCTCTTACATAAGCTACGATGCTGGCCAGTCTGGTGCTCACGTGCCGGAATTACTTTCCCCCCTCGCCATACACGTACTTCCCTGCACGAAGCAGAGCAAAGTCCTCAAATCCTCAGTGCTAGAGGTGCTTAGTAGGTGTGGTCACCGCAACCATACTAGCAAACTTGCGTACCTAGTAGCTTGCTCAAGCCGCACAAACTTCAGGCTCCTTAACAGCGCCTCGGATTCTTCCTCCATACATTCGCAAACAGAGCCGCCCAGGTTTACGCCTAAGGCAGACTAGTGTCGAGTCCTCAGGCAGCTCCACCTGCCCCGTCCACTCAACCTCGCTTTCTGCTGCCCGTCATTCACACCCATCCGAACTTCCCATCCACTTGTGCCACGAAGCAACGTCCTCTTCATTGTCATCGGTCTTTGCAAAGCCGCTGCCAGAATTCGTCAACTTGTTGCACATCCTACGAATCTTTTCTCACTTGTGTCAAATTCATTGCCTATTTGTGATCACGAATAATCAAAATTTGTCGCTCGCCCTCAGATCAAATGATCGCGTCTCCTAGATGACCTTCCCTCCCCCTCCTCCTTCCTCCCAATCGTCGATTGCTTCTGGCACCGATAAGTCATCTTCGACCAGACCGGCAAGGTCACAACAGCAATCTGCTTGGGGTCCGACCGTGTCCCAGTCTAGTGTTCGGCGTGGGTTGACTCCACTTGCGACCAACAACCTCGCATCATCCTCGATTTCCCCCTCAGCCTCTCGCGGGCCACCACAGTCCAGTAGCCCTGGTCCCGGTGGCTCGACCTCGTCTCCCTTAACTACCTCCTTCTCCGCCGTCTTGAGTTCCGCTAGGGGTCATCCAGTTGGCCGGAACGCGCCTTCGCCAGCCTCCACGCCGGCACCCTTTACCTCCTTCCAATCTGGCTCGCAACAGCACCAGCAATCCGGACAATCTCTCTCCTCGCCCAAATTCCGAGCTCACACCCCGTCTTCAGGGTCACATCTGGCTTCCGCAGCGGGTTCAATCGCGGGTGGAGGAGGCTCCGGGGGAGGCGGAGGTGGGACGGGATCTTCCAGAGGCGCCACCTTCTCTCCATTGTTGGCCGGTACAACCGTGAATTCTCCTACCGGATTCCCATCTGACAAACCGGGATCAGCAGCTTCTGGCGCTGCAGCTCACGCCAGTCAGTCATCGCTCACCAAGATATCCATCGCTCAAGTTTTCCTCCTCCTGGATTCAATCACGGAGAAAGAGGGCAGAGAGAAGTGGGAAACAAAAGCTGCGCAGATTCATAAGGTAACACCTTTCTTGCTTTGACACTTCTGACCTTTCACCGAGCACAACGATACTGACTTTCTTCAGCTCGTAGAATCCAACGGCATGGAGGTCTTTTCCAAATACTTTCGACGCTTGCTTACAGGCAACGCCCCGCAGATATTTCCCGGGGTCAACAAGTCCGTGGAAAATGCCGGCAACTACCCTCTCCTGGTACAAGAGATGGAGAAAGTCTCTCAGGATATCGAGCAATCTCAAAAGATCGCAGAGACAGTTGATACCTCTGAAGGCGATATTTTCCGTGATTTCGACCTTTCAACGTTCTTGGATCATTTCAAGCTTGACCCCCTTGTGAAGGTATCCTTAGCTCTAGCATTCAAGACTGCGAATAAGTCAGACCTTCGCGCAAAAGGTAAGTGGCTATCGATCTTTTTCCGGATTATATGCACGCCAGAATGCTAACTGGTCGCTCATTGCAGCTGATGCAATCCTTTCCAACTCCATCAACCCTTTCCTACAAAGCCTCGCGAACCCTGCGAATTTGGGCAAGGATTACAAGAATTCTTTTATTGGAATGACCATTGAGCGCTTTATCTTGTATCCACCCAGAAACTTCACCGACGACGTTAAAGGCAAATTGGTATATGCAGCCAATCTACGGTATCAGAAGTTAAGCAAGGACATACCATTCGAAGTCACATCCGCCCTACAGATGTTTAACTTCCTCAGCCCGAAATTCACGCTTGTTCGCCAACTTCATTCGAAGGGAGCGCGGGCAACTTCGAGCCCTGAGACTGTGACTGAAACAATCAATGCAGCGGGTTCTGATTGTTGGAACGAAGACCACATCTCTAGCGCCCTTCTTTTTCTTGTGCTCTCACAATACTGGCGAGAGTTTTCAATCGAAACATTCCTGAGCGCGGTTCGATCGCACTATGGCGAAAAGCAGATCAATTGGCCACTTGTGTTCCGCAACTTTGATCGCGAAGGTCTGAGGCTTGATACCCATCAGTTCGCGAAGCTGTTCGCTGCACTGCTGAACGTGGCCACGGAGGATTCAACGCTGGACGTACAGAAACTGTGGGGCGGAGACTGGGAACATCGCGATACCCAATTGTCCTTCCTGACAGCTTTTGTGTCCTCCCGCGTAGATGTGTCTCAAATTCCCCACCTACGCGCCACTTTCCCTCCTGACTTCTTCGCTGATGGCTCCGAGCTTGTTCGCCTCCAGGGAGAACGTGCGGCCAAGTCTCCCCTCCGGTCCCTGGACGCTATGAGAGCCATCTTCGACTTGGCGCTATTCTCCAATACTGCATGGTCTGCCCCTGAGAGCCAGTCACTCATCAAGGCCGTTGTCCAGTATGACTTGCCTGTGTTCTTATGCTCAGCCCTATCCCTTCCTCAGCCCTGGACCAGCGTTCAGCAGAGCTTCGTTCTTCGCACTCTAATTGTATTTGTTCTGAAGCAAGAGGAAGGCTACCACCTTGCGCTTCATGGAGCATGGCACCAAGACCGCCAATGGGTTGCAGAGCAGCTTTTCACCACGTTTACTCAGGATCCTACCTCCACTGCCGCAATTTACGAACAAGCTGTGGAATTCAACTGGCTGGATTATCTTCTTGGGTACACAAACGGCCTCGCCATGGATCTTGCTTGTTACGCTCACCGCAAGGGCCCCTTCGACTTGGAACAATGGGTTCGTAATGCTGCTCAGAAAGGTCCCATGGATATGGGGAGCCTGTTGTCCAAGTTCCTGCGGATCAAGGCGGAGGATGAACTTCACGTGCAAAGGAAAGAACAAGCTGCTCCGCAAATGGTTAGTCTTTCGGTCAAGACTGTCTACACTTTACTATCGGTTCTCGAAGAATACGTGGGTGATCGCGAGAACCTTACCCCAGTGCAACGCATTTGCATCCAGACCTATCCCAGACTCATCAATTACGGGGAGGGATTCGATGACATTATCGATGCCAATGGCGAACACGGCAACTCTTTGCCTGAGGATGTTGACAAACAAATGCAGGAGCTCTTCGGCAAGATGTATCATGAGGAATTGTCGCTGAGGGAGATTCTTGAATTGATGAGACGGTATAAGTCTTCGCGGGAGCCAGCCGAGCAGGACCTTTTTGCCTGCATGGTTCACGGATTGATAGACGAGTATCACTGCTACCACGAGTATCCCTTGGAGGCCTTGACCAAAACGGCGGTCATGTTTGGTGGCATCATCAATTTCCGGCTCGTTGATGGTATCACCTTGAAGGTGGGGCTGGGCATGATTCTGGAGGCGGTGCGAGAGCATGAGGTCCACGATCCCATGTATAAGTTCGGTGTCGAAGCGATTGAGCAACTGATCAACCGCCTTCCTGAGTGGGCTGGTTTCTGCCACCTTCTGCTTCAAATACCCAGTTTGCAAGGCACCACGATCTTCCAGAAGGCCGAGGAGGTTCTGCGCGAACAAGGAAGCCAGGTTCGAGATGAGACTGGTAGAGTCGAGACTGTAGCCGGTCCTTCTATGAACGGCAACCTTGAGGAAACCGTAGCGCCTGATGGAACCGCCCGCAAGTTTGTATCCGTCCATGTCGATGCCCCTCTTCGACCCGAAGTCTACTCGGATCCGGACGAAGATATCCAGGACAAAATCCTTTTTGTTCTGAATAATGTTTCCGAGCAGAACATAGATGAGAAACTCCGCGACCTCACAGATGTTCTTCGTGACCAGCATCATCAGTGGTTCGCTTCTTACCTCGTGGAGGAACGGGCCAAGCTGCAGCCGAACTTCCAACAACTATACCTCGATCTGCTCGATCGCATCAACGACAGGATGCTGTGGGCCGAGGTTCTACGAGAGACTTATGTCAGTGTCTCCAGATTGCTGAACTCAGAGACCACGATGAATTCCTCCACTGACCGCGGGCACCTCAAAAACCTTGGTGCATGGCTGGGTTCTTTGACCATAGCAAAAGACAAGCCCATCAAGCATAAGAATGTCTACTTCAAAGGCCTCCTCTTAGAGGGGTTCGACAGCCAACGCCTGACGATTGCCATCCCTTTCACATGCAAAGTACTTGTTCAGGCCACCAAGTCAACTGTTTTCAACCCCCCAAATCCTTGGCTGATGGACATCCTTGCTCTGTTGATGGAGCTGTATCACTTTGCTGAACTGAAATTGAACCTCAAATTTGAGATCGAAGTTCTTTGCAAGGATCTTGACCTGGACCACAAGAACATCGAACCGTCTGTTATCATCCGTGACCGTTCCGCCCACATCGAGGATGCGCTATCTACAGCTAACATCCCCGACGGCCTTGAAGCGTTTGAGGACATGGCTCTTAGCACCATCAATCAAGGCATTCGCCACGAGAGACTTTCTCCTGCTGCCATTATGTCAACCCTCCCAAGCTTGGACAAGATCCTTGTCCTTCCGTCAACGGCTAGCAGCATGGTCGATTCGAATGTTCTTCGTCAAATCGTCCACAGTGCTGTTGAACGTGCTATTGCAGAAATCATCACGCCTGTTGTGGAACGCTCCGTTACCATCGCCTCCATCTCTACCGTGCAACTCGTCTCCAAGGACTTCGCTATGGAGCCTGATGAAGAAAGGGTGCGACATGCGGCAGGCATCATGGTCAGGCAACTTGCCGGTAGCTTGGCCCTGGTGACCTGCAAGGAGCCTCTTAAGGTCAGCATGACCAACTATATCCGAATGATCCAACAAGAATACTCCGAGCAGCCGATGCCTGAGGGTCTAATCCTTATGTGTGTTAATGATAACCTCGACGCCGCATGCGGTATCGTTGAGAAAGCTGCAGAGGAGAAATCTCTCCCGGAAATCGAAAAGGTCATTGAACCTCAATTGGAAGCACGTCGACGCCACAGGGCAGCCCGCCCCAACGAACCCTTCATTGACCCTTCCATGAATCGATGGGGCCTCTTCATTCCTGAGCCTTATCGGCAAGCCACTGGTGGCCTTAATAAAGAGCAATTGGCTATCTATGAAGAGTTTGCTCGACAAGCACGCGGGCCTGCAGCCGCCCATGTGCAAAATGTTTCTACCGACTCTGGCCGACAGCTCCCTGACGTCCTGCAAGAACCATACTCTCCCATTCCCAACTTATCTACACCCGCTGAACAACCTGCTGTACCGCACAGGACCCCTCAAGCGCAGCAAGACGCTCGTTTGCAACAGTCTGGACTTGTTGGCGCGCAGACTCAGCTTAATGGCTTCCTCGAGGCTCAAAGTCCCCGCGAGAAGGTTGAGGCCATCGTGTCGGAGCTGCAACAGGCTGCTCGAAATGCTCCGGAGGAGCGTGTCAGAGACCTTGGTAGAGATAGCACTGTTTTGCAGGAGTACAATCAAGCACTGCGCACTATCCTCGCCTCGCCCAATGGAGAAGAGCTGGCCCGATTGACATGTCTGCGAATCTGCACAAGCCTGTATGCGCAGACCCCAAGCACGCTGGAGATTGAGGTTCTTGTCCATCTGCTCGCGAAGCTGTGTGACATGTCAACTTTGGTTGCGCGTTACACGTGGGCAGTCCTTTCAGAAGTCGATGACGAACACATGTTCAACGTCCCCGTCACCGTTGCTCTTATTGATGCCGGTCTCTTGGATATCCGACGCGTTGACATGATTCTGACGCGGCTAATCCTCCAAAAGAACACAGCTGCTCTAGAAGTTCTCTCCAACCTGATGAACCGCGTTCTCTTCAGTGAAGAACCATCTGCCTTGAGGTCTGACTTCTCCGGTAGTCTGGAAGCCATGAGCCAGTGGCTGGCAGAAGATTCGAACCTCTCGTTAGCAAATGAGATTATTCGCAAACTGCGGGAGTCCGGCATTCCTGAAGTTGTCAACCCCCTTCTAAGTGACAAAGCAAGATCGAAGCGGGATCAGATGGAATACATCTTCAGCGAATGGATTGGCATCTACAAGGCCCCTGGCGCAATCGACCGGACATATTACTCATTCCTGAAGGACTTACATCAAAGACAAGTCATGGCCAACCAAGAGGACTCTGCCCTGTTCTTCCGCCTGAGCATCGACATTTCGGTAGCGATGTTCGATCACGAGTCGCAGAACCCCAGTGGTAGTCTTGACGAAGCATTCCTTTACATTGATGCTCTTGGCAAGCTTGTGGTTCTGCTCGTCAAGTTTCAAGGAGAGTCTGCAGGAGCTGCCAAGACAAGCAAATCTGCGTACTTCAACTCGATACTCTCGCTCCTCGTGCTCGTTTTGAACCATCACTATGTCATGCGTGGTGAGGCATTCAATCAGCGCGTTTTCTTCAGGCTTTTCTCCAGCATTCTCTGCGAATACTCCATGAACGGGCTGCAACATAGTGATCACCATCAAGACATGATGTTTGCCTTGGCCAACAAGTTCCTGTCACTCCAGCCTAAATACTGCCCTGCTTTTGTCTACGGGTGGCTTTCATTAGTTTCACACAGATTCTTCATGTCTGGCATGCTGAATATGCCGGAACGCGCAGGCTGGGGTCCATATTGTGAGATCATGCAGGCTCTGCTGTCTTACATCGGCGAACAGCTGAAGCCGGCAACCATCTCCTATGTCGCCAAGGATTTGTATAAGGGTGTCCTTCGTATCCTGCTCATCTTGCACCATGACTTCCCTGAGTTTGTGGCGGAGAATCATTTCCAATTCTGCAACGTCATTCCTACTCATTGTGCCCAGCTTCGCAATCTTGTTCTGAGCGCCTATCCTTCCTCTTTCCATAAGCTCCCGGATCCGTTCAGAGAGGGCCTCAAGGTGGAACGCTTGGAGGAAATGCGAGAGGCTCCAAGAATTGCAGGCGATACCGCTGCCCCACTGCAGCATGCAAATATCAAGAGCGTTGTTGATGGCTCGCTCCAGAGCAGCAGTGTACCCGAAGCATCTGTGCAACAAATTTGCGAGGCAGTATACAACCCTCCGACCAAAGAGACTGGTCTCTTCTATGACGCCATCAACGTTAACGTGGTGCTGTTGAATGCACTTGTCCTCTACATCGGGCAGAACGCTGTGACTGTCAACAGTTCCCAGGGCAACACTCGCGCGGCCTTCGAGAACTCTGCCCACGCTTCACTCCTGGAAAGCCTTGCGAAGGCTCTGCGCCCGGAAGCACGATACTACTTGTTGAGTGCGATGGCTAACCAGCTGAGGTATCCGAACAGTCACACCTACTTCTTTAGCTTCGCTATACTTCGTCTCTTCGGCGCCGATAATTCGGAGCAGGATGAATCCGACATCCGTCAACAAATCATTCGCGTTCTTCTCGAGAGACTTATAGTCCACCGTCCTCATCCCTGGGGGCTGATCATCACCCTTCAAGAGCTGCTTCAAAACCGGAGCTACACCTTCTTCCGCCTTCCCTTCATCCAGGCTGCGCCTGAGGTAAGATCATCCATATTCCGTCATAGTAGGAGCGTTATCGCTAATTCTATCCAGATTGGTCGTCTCTTTGATGCCTTGTTGCAGCACATTCAACAGCAAAGCCCACGGGCAATGCCCTAAACATTCACGGAGATAATATCTCTACTATCTTCTCATATTATATTAATATGACGTATTCTATCATGCCTCGATGTCTTGCATTTGCCGAAACGACTTTCTGTCATGGTGTTTTGTCTATGCCGCTCATGACATGTAGCGCCAAAATACGGATCTTTCCTGGGGTGTATGATTTGAAAGGGTTCTTTATTCGCAGGCTTGCTTGTTCTGTTCTAATTCGTTTGCTTGTTTCGGCTGGGTTCTGGGAGAGGTTGCATTTCTAGGGCTTGTAAACATGTTCTGACGCTATATGGTACTTACATCATTGCCTTTTTCTGCCTCTATCCCTTTCTTCTGTGTTTTTTTCTTATCTTATTTTGGTGTTATCTTTGTCTATAACTACTTTTCAAGGTGGTCTGTAACGATATGCAGAGTTATAAATGATGATCTCAGAGGCTCGTGCGTGCATGTTGTCGATACTCACTGGTTTGACACATTGTGCGACTGGAAAACGTATTATGGCGTAGCTCCTTACGAGAGGTAGGAAACACTTCCGGTCCTAGGTACCTGTATCGACCTGTCTGGACAAGAATACGTAGTATGTAGGATAAGTTTGTCGTATGCGGGTAACTACCTATGGACGCTAGTCCAGCCAGTTGATGGGTCGGCGATAAACAAGGCGGCTTCCACCGCCCTGGTTGTCACACCCGGTGACGTCGACGCGCTCTCCCATGCTTTCCCCTCATCACTACGTTCCCATCTTCAGCTCGAGTTTTTCAGACGTGAAGCCATGGATGGTAGGCGCACGGCGAATGAAGTGTCAGAGGATGAAACAGGCGCTATGTCGAGGGTCATGGTGATATGTCCCATCAACATCTACTGCCGCCGACGCAGAGACTAACACCGTGATCTTCCAGAACGCGATGGCAGAAACACTGCGTCCACTGTTGTCAAAGCAAGCCCAAAAAGCTTATCTGGGCACTCTGCTCTTCATTTTTACGGCGATATGCATGGTTTTCATTTCGTCGGGCGCTTATGCGGTCTTCTATTACAAATTTATCCCGCAGGTCGGACTAGAGCGTATCGTACACTTGCAGTTCGGGTGCGTCATGAGATCCACGTTCAATTTTGATCTTCGATATATCAGCGACGAGCTCTTCTAGAGCTCTCCTCTCCATTAACTGACCGCTCTATTCTTTGTTCACAGTGATGGTCATCCCTGGGGAGCCGCCTCCCTAGACTCGGGTCTGATATCCCTGCAGAAGTACGATGTGCAGGTGGAACTTGAATTACCACGGACCCCTTCAAATGTCGCTGCCGGGAACTTCATGCTGGATCTGTCGCTCTATTCTTCTCCATCAACGTCCGCAGAAACTGGGCTGAATACCTCAACTTCCCTCCTCTCCCAATCGCGCCGCCCAGCTATCCTTACTTACGCTTCGCCTTTGGTCGACACGGCAAGCAAACTGGTGCTAATGCCGTTCTATGTCTCCGGGTGGAATCGGGAAGCAGAAAAACTGCAGGTCAACATGTTTGAGAAAGTTCAATTTCCCCGTGGGCGACGTAATGTCCCGTCAAGCTTGCGGCTAGAGATTCACAGTGCGGAGAAAATGCAAGTTTACAGAGCTAGGGTGATGTTCAAGGCGACATTCACCGGGTTACGGTGCGCTTGGTTAATTCTTCATTCGGACCATTCCCAAGCTAACGAAGGCATAGGTGGACCATGTACAATTGGAGGCTCACATCCTTCGTCATCTTCGGCTTCATGTTCTGGAGCGTTTCGATGGTGACTGGGGGCATGGTGTGGGCTGCACTGGCCATTCTTTTCCACCGCTCCAACGGAGAAGAGAAAGATATTGTCAAGACCGAAAATGACAGCGAAACAATTGTCAAGTCCGAAGATACTGACGAACTGTCCTCTCCGTTCGACATCCCTTCTGATCCGGCTTACACCAGAAGGTTGAAGATAAAGAGAGAGATAGATATGGAGGAAGAAGGTGATTATATGAACGAGGATACCGATGAGGATCGTGGTGCAGGACCATCGGATGTTTCAAGGACTGGATCTGGATCTGGACTCGAAAGTGCTCCTGCACGTGGGGTCCAACGACGACGCAGTCACATTTTCCGTGAACACACCTAGCGGGGATGATATTCAGAGGTTGTGTAATTCATAGTCGATACCCAACTATGTAGTAGTACTCATTCTTAACTCGACATCTTCGAAGAGAAATTGAAGTAGATCATGATGACTATTATCGATAACGAGACAAATCGGAGCGGGTGGAGCCTCGCAAGGAACGACGAAAAGGCGGGGAAATCTGCCGTCAACTTTGCCTTTGCCCCTCTTTCACCTTCTCTTCTCCAAATCCCTTCTCTGCGCCTTCAGCCTTGTTCCAATGCATATCTTGGTAAGCATATCAGCTATAGCCTGAATCTTCCTCCATTAATCGCCCGCCGTCAATGCTCAGTATCATTCCTAGCTCACGGGGTTTTCTGCAATAGGTTGTCAACGACGACGGGCCGCCGTCAAATCAATCCTCGCCCTATATCCATTCGCTTGTCGTTTCGCTACAATCGGCTGGACATACTGTCTCAGTGGTACTGCCGCATCAGCAGCGATCATGGATCGGTAAAGCCCACTTGATTGGGGCTGCCGTGAAGCCCACCTACTTCCGGCCAGGAACTCTGCACAAGGACGATGGCACCACTCACGAACTACCCCACGGTATGAACGAAGGAGACGACGAGAGCTATGACGGAGACGAGTGGATTCTTGTCGACTCGACACCGGCAAGCTGCGTACAAATTGGCCTATATCACTACTTCGAAGACCGCGGTCCGATTGACCTCGTCGTCTCTGGACCGAACTACGGCCGGAACTCGACGGCTCTCTTTGCCATGTCTAGTGGAACGATTGGTGGCGCGATGGAAGCAGCCGTCTGCGGGAAGCGGGCGATTGCCCTGTCATATGCATTTAGCTCTCGCCAGCATGACCCGATCGTCATCGCGGAGGCTTCGCGGCACTCGGTCCGTTTGATCGAATATCTTTACAATAACTGGGTGGAGGGAGTAGATCTTTACAGCATCAATGTACCTCTGGAGCCTGGTGTGAGTGAGGCCAAGGTCCTCTACACGCATATGCTTGATAACCGCTGGTCGTCCGGCAGCTGCTTCAAGGCTGTTAACGCTTCTGCGTCAACGGACAATCCGAGTGCGCATGAGCACAAGCTGCGAGAAGAGGGTGAGAGCGCTGGACAGCCTTCGTCCGCGGAAGGGAGCAAATTACCCGTCAAACGATCGCGGATCCAGCACAAGCACTTCGAATGGGCACCGAATTTTACGGATGTGTACAGAAGCGTTGACGAAGGTACTCCCGGTAATGACGGTTGGGTTGTCAAGGAGGGAATGACCAGGTTTGTGGAGTCACCCCGTTCTATTCATCGAGCGCTAATTTCGCCGCAGCGTGACGCCATTGAAGGCCAATTTCATGCACACTCCCGGCATTGAAGGGGAGATCAAGCTGTGAGTGACCTTGTGGCAGACGAACGCTGAGTCTGCTACACAATTGCACATATCATAGAGCTTGCGCGCTTGTCATATATTTGAGCTAGTTCATGCCTTCTGCGTGTTGCTTCACTTTGCTTTTTCTGCCCTCAAATCTATTTTGCAATGCTTTACACGTGAGACGCCCGGGATTCTGATAGATCATGTCATGTAGACCGGATAATGATGAGCCTACATTATATACTATCGTGGACAGCGACAATCCATACGTCCAGAGTCTCATGGAGCAGGCACTGCAGCGCCGCCTCGGTGCCGGCCAAACTCGCACCATCTCCTCCCTGGCAGACCTTCCGTCTCCGTCCGCGCCGGTGTTCCAGTACCGCGAATATGAACGACTGGACTTTGAGCATGCCATGATGCACTCAATGTCGTCCCTTGCGAATGCCTACATCATCCGAAAGGCGCTAATCCGCAAGCACTACCTCTCCAACACCGTCACCAACTGGGTCACCAAGCACCCGGACAGTGTGCTGGCCAAGCACTTCAAGTTCGCCTGCGACTTTGAGCTCGACTACGCCGAGTTCCTCGATGACGCCCTGCTGGAAGCCTACGAGCTCCGCGAAAGCCTCGAGCGGAACGAGACTCTCCCCGAATCCGAGAAGGAATGGTGGATCCTGAAGGCGGGCATGAGCGACCGCGGCCAGGGCATCCGGCTCTTCAACAGCGAAGACGGGCTGCGCGAGATCTTCGAAGAATGGGACCCCGATTCAGATGACGAGGAGGAGGAAAGCGGCTCGGAGCGACCCGCTGCTGCAGACGAGGGTGATGGAGACGACGACGATGATCACGGTGTTGTTACCTCGCAACTGCGCCATTTCATCGCCCAGCCGTACATCGACCCTCCGCTGTTACTGCCGTCGGCGTCACAGCGCAAGTTCCACATCCGCACCTACGTTCTCGCCGTCGGGTCGCTGAAGGTCTACGTCTTCAAGGAGATGCTGGCGCTATTCGCCGCGAAGCCCTACTGCCCGCCCTCCGAGGAGGACGACGAGGTCAAGGACCTCGCCCGTCACCTGACCAACACCTGCTTCCAGGAGGGTGGGAGCTCCAACGAGGGCAGCGTGCGACGCTACTGGCAGCTGGACGAATACGTGCCGGGGCTCACGCCGGACTGGAAGGAGAAACTCTTCGATCAGATTTGCGCTGTGACCGGCGAGGTCTTCGAGGCCGCGGCCCGCGGCATGATGGTGCATTTCCAGACTCTACCTAATGCGTTTGAGTTATTTGGTGTGGATTTCTTGGTGGACAAGAGCGGCAATGCGTGGCTTCTGGAGCTGAATGCCTACCCGGACTTCGCGCAGACGGGCGAGGAGCTGAAGGATCTGGTCGTGGGGCGTCTGTTCGAGGAGACGGTGGATGTTGCTGTCAAGCCGTTCTTTGGGCTGGGAGAGGCGGCGGCGAAGGGAACCGAGTCCATGAGGTTGGTTGCTGATTTGGAGTTGGGTCGGAAGGCTTAGAGTAAAGGGCTCAAGATGTGTACTTTATTAGAGGCGTTGAGTGGCATCGTTTGATATACGGTCAAGTCAAAAAGTCTGGACGGTATGATAAAGAAGGAATTGGTTGGCAAGTGCAATATAGGTATAGAAGAAGGTGAATGTATGTATATGTTGTCCCGCAGAATTCATGCTTACAGCACGAGTCCATATTTGTGCTTCCAAGTAGTGTGGCAGGCATCTCAAGTTACACCCATACGGCATAAGGAAGAAAGAAACCAGATCATCCAAATCGCTGCTTCGCCAACGTCTTCAGCCACCCGATCGTCTCCTCCTCCTTCTCGCGATACTTCTGCAGCCTCTCCTCGCGCTCCGCGGCGCGCGCGCGCATGATCTCCTCCCGCCGGATCTCGCGCTCGTTCTTCTTCCGCTGCTCCCTCTCCCGGGACTTCTTCATCGCCTCCAACTCGTTCTCCCCAGACCCCATCAGCTCCTCCTCCGGCACCGCCGCCCCCGGCGACCCGCCGCGGCGTGCCTCCGCAAACGCCCGGTTCGCGCTGGCCGCCTCCATACGCTTCTCCATGCGGCGCTCGTGCGTCCCCGGCTCCGCGCGCGGAGCCACCTCTTCCTGCAGGTGGCGGAGCTCCGCGCGGTGGGAGCGCAGTTCGCTTCGGTAGTGGGATTGCGAGTCGTGGCGGGCGGCGATGGCGTCCTCGTGTGCTTGTTCTGTTGGTTTCATCATATGTGGTTAGCTTTACATGTCCGTTCATGCCACCACTACGCGCTGCCTACAAGGCCTTCAAAACAAGGGAGCAAGCAGTCTGGTCATAACCACCGTGGCACTAAGAGAGAGGCAGGGGAGTTCCCGGGTGTTGTTACCTTTCCTCAACTCCAGATCCTGCATCGTCGGAATCGTCGGCCCAGACAAGGATTTGTCGTGCTGGGGGAGAGTCGGTCCGTAGTCATCGTCGTCGTCTTCCTCCTCCTCCACCTCACCCTTGTCGTTGTTGTGAATGTCGTCATCACGTTCACGACGATCAGCTGCAGGGTCCCGGGCGGAGTGTGATTGCGTGTCGGCTGTAGCAGGAAGAGGAGCGTCGGTGTTCGCTCGCGCCCGCTCCAGCATCGCGGGATCGTACCATCCTTCTGCTAGTTCTCCATGGTTCCTGGGATGTTAGTTTCAGTTTCGTGTTGTTGCTCCGTTGCGACTATTTGTCTGTAAAGGGGGGCGGGGTGGATGATCGGATTTGGTTTGGGCGGGAGGTTGTGCTTTATGCGCTGAAGGGTCAAGGGGAGGTACCATTTGCGAACAAAACTCTTCCACCGGCCTTTGATCTCGTCTTCTGGGAGTTCTTCTAGGTAGAGGCCCTTCTGAATGTCGAGATACATGGCGAATAGCGGTGTGTATGGCGCGAGGTCGTGTTTGGTGAGTTCGCGCGATTGGTAGGGGAGGATAATCGGGGCTTGCGCTGTGTCCGGGGTGCGGTGAGAGGAGGAGTGGGGGTGATGGTGGTGATGACGCCGATGGTGTCGCTGGCGATGGCGGTCGCGCTCTGCGTTGTCTCTATCATGCTCATGGTGGGTGTCGGTGTCTCGGTGGTGGTGGTGGTGGCGGTCATGATGATGGCGTCTGCTTCGGTGTTTGTCTGTCCTGTCTGCTCTGTTCGGGGAGCGAGAGCGGGATCGAGTGTGGGAGCGATAACGGGAGGATGGATCGGTGCGATCGCGATGATGATCCCGGGTAGACATTGCGCTGGACAGTGTATGTCGTCTGTGAGGGTGAATTGGGCAAGATGGTAAGTTAAAAGGCGGTCGGATGGCGGAGTTGGAAGTGCCAAGCTTTTGCGGCCGAGGCGGGCGCTGGCGGAGAAGGATTTACACTGACAAGATAGAGGGTACAGACTCCCCTGGCCCTACATCAGTGATACTTCCATACTATCGTCTTCCAGAGAGATTCTACCATACAAGTGCCAGTGTTGTTACACTCTAACATACATCCGCTGCATTGAATTCATTTTCATGGCGCTTGTGAAGTCTGGCGCGTGGGGATCTAGAATACGTGCAATGACGAAAGCTAACACATCACCGAGGTGTAGAGCCGCGTTAGCTAGCCGGTGCGCTTTGCTGCTCACTGGCCGTGGTAGCCGAAGTAGAGTTGTCGGCCGCACTGGAAGACGCGGGGGAAGCAGTCTTGGACCGGTTGGCAGCCGCCATTTGCCAGGCGGGAATAGAGGCAGACCGGCCTAACTGCGAGAGAGGGTTGGTGCTCAATGACGCCGTGCTAGCACTCGGGCTTGGCTGGGCTGATTGCGATGTTTGCTCGGTAGATCCAGCAGTCACGCCGCTTGTTGCGTTGGAGGCAGGAGCTGATTCCTCCGCGGGTCGTGAAGTAGCCGGGAGAGGAATTCCGCCCACAGTCCGGCCAGCCATAGGCGTGTTGGCACCGCTACCACCACCACCAAGTCTGTTACCCAAGAGAACCTTCAGGCTCTTCAACTCAGTGCTCAGTTCCTTCAAGCGATTTTCATTGCCCTCCCGGGCGTTCTCCATAGCCTTAGGAATAGCATCCTTCAAAGATTTGACCTCGTCGCTAATACGGCGAGTCTCGTCGTCTCTCCGCCGGGACGCGTTCCTCATATCGGAAACAAGATTCTCCACCTCGTTGAGAGCAGCGTCGAGCCGTTCTGAGCGCTCCTCTTCTGCAGACTTTAGGGCGGCCGTGTCGGTGGAAAGTTGGTCGATAAGGGTAAAGGCACGGGAGAATTGCTCGTCAATATCCTGCTTGTCTTGCTCCAGCTGTGGCGGCGTAGGAGGTGCGATTAAGGGTGTGATGTATCGCTTGCTTAACGTCAGCGCTATTTTGACCCCTCGCGAAGCAAGTTCATGTCAGTTAACGGAGGACTGACCTTGGTGATAGTATAAAGCCCGTATCCTACACCACCCATCACAGTGGCCATGATGAACCAATCCCGCCAGTCCCGCTTCGGAGGTCTGACGTGACAATGAATTTAGCACCTTCCGCTTATCCTTTTCAGCGGTGTGTCACTTACTCTGGCGGAGGCTGCCATTGGCCATACGGCGGATAGCCATATCCCGGGGCAGGTGATTGGGGAGGTGGAGGTCGATAGACCGCTTGTTGCGAGGATGGCTGGTAGCTCGAAGATGATGTCGCCGCAGCCGCCGCAGCCGTATCTTCCCCTACTCGCGAAAGGGCGACATCGATTTCTTCTTTGGTCAGATTCTTCGACTGCAGAAATGCGACTCGCTTTTCTATCGGCGAGGATGCGACAGATGGATCTTGGAGAACTATCTTGAATTAGGGTCGACCACATGATAACTTTATGGCGGCATGATGATTAGGTACGCACAAGTGATCTAGGATATTGAGCATTGAGAGTCAGTCAGAATTCCGGTAACAGCACATGGCATGGCGGATAAGTCATTGAACCTACAGCAGATGAGATAAGCTCCTCGCGAACCATGATGATGAGTCCACCAGGGGCTCTGGTTCAATTCGAAGGGAGCAAATTCCGTCCAGCGACAAGATCTGTAGGGAGTGAGGTTCGAAAGAGAACGATGAAACCGAAGACGGAGGAGGAGAGGAGAGGGGGACGAAGAGGAGAGGAGGAGAGAGTGGATTGGACCTCGGAAGTTGGAGTTGGCCGGTACGAGTAACGGACGGGTAATTCAACCCAATGAAAGGTACTACCGCGGCGCGGCGGAGGCGTTTCCCCAGAGGAGACAATCTCGTGATTCCGTTGTGATAAGAGAGGCTCGGTCCGGATGCGGTTAGTGTCACTCCTCGTCCGCAGCAGCTCTTTTGTTGTTCCCAAGTAACACACCGCCTGCTTTTTTTGGGCGAAGTGGCATGTCTTGTTTACTTCCCGCCCGCTCGGTTGCTGCTGCCGTCCAAAATCTCCCCTCTCTACGGTGAAGCTATTGTGCCAGCTTCGTTCTGCAGAACTTACTCGATTTTTTGGTGCCACCTCCTGTTGGAATATCCTGGTTGGAACTTTGGGAGCGATTTGCGGTCCTAACTAACTCGACAGCTGGAGTCGCGGCATCTCCTTCATTATGTCGCAAGACACAGGACTGTTCAGCATCAGGCGCCCCCGAGAGGTATGCGCCCGATCTTATCGCGCCTTCCATCTGCCTGATCAGATGCAAGAAACTTCAAAAGGATGAAAATACTAACCTGTCATGTTCAGTCGATGGCCCTCGGCAGCGTCCAGAACTACTCCGCTCTTCCCCAGCCCTCATCTGCCTTGAAACGCACCAGTTCCGTCGGATATCAGAATCCTCCCTTCACATCGCAGCACGCGCGCTCCATGTCAATTATGAATTCTGCTAGTCGCCCACAACAGCCAAACTTTCAGCGATCATCATCGGGCGGAGGCCTTGGTGCAGACGCTGGCCTCTCATCAGTCCGACGGTCGGTGTCGAGCAATATTCTCCACGGACCCAGTGTTGGGCGTCCCAGCTTTGCTCCTGGAGCTATGTCATCAAATACAGCAGCAGCACAGGCTCTACAACGAAGGAGCAGTGTTTTCTCGCGCCCATCCATGGGTGGCGCTATGGCGCATCAATCGTTCTTCACCCAAGTACCCACAGTAGCCGGTGTTCCACGAGACCCAAGACCTCTCAGGGATAGGTCTTTCCAGGCGCGGATCGGTCAAGAACTCTTGGAGTATCTGACGCATAATAACTTCGAACTTGAAATGAAGCATTCGCTAGGTCAGAATACGCTCCGGTCACCAACCCAGAAAGACTTCAACTACATATTCCAGTGGCTATATCATCGCATTGACCCGGGCCATAAATTTCAAAAGAGTATGGATGCAGAAGTGCCGCCGATCTTGAAGCAATTGCGTTACCCTTACGAGAAAGGTATCACGAAGTCGCAAATCGCGGCGGTCGGGGGCCAGAACTGGCCCACCTTTCTTGGCATGCTGCATTGGCTCATGCAGCTGGCGCAAATGATGGATCGCTTTCTCCTCGGTGAATACGACGAAGCATGCGCAGAAATGGGCGTGGACGTCTCTGGTGACCGTATTATCTTCCGATTCCTCACCAGTGCATACCATGATTGGCTTCAGGGTGGGGAGGAAGAAGACGATGAGACAGCAGAGAAGAGACTTGTTCCGCATGTCGAGATGATGGCCCAGGAATTTGAAAAGGGCAATGAGAAATACGTGCAAGAGATGCAGGTGCTCGAGGCCGAGAACCGAGCCCTCCGCGATCAGATTGAAGAGCTGGAAAAGAATGCCCCGGATATGGCCAAGCTAGACAAACATTTCCGGATCCTGGAGGACGACAAGAGGAAGTTTGAAGACTACAACCAAAATGTGCAGGGTAAGATCGAAAAGTACGAGAATCGCATCAAATTCTTGGAGGACGAACTCAAGAAAACCGACGCGGACCTTCAAGCGGCGGAGGACGAACGGTCCGGACTTCAGGCCAGTGTCGACCAGCAGGGTATGACGATTCAGGATATCGATCGTATGAACACCGAACGTGAGCGGCTACAGAAAAATCTTGAAGACACTGCCAATCGTCTGGAAGAAACGCACACTCGCGTCATGGCCAAGGAGGCCGAAGCTAGCAAGAAGCTGGAAGATTTGGAAGAGGTGGTCAAAGCCTACAACACCCTCGGCTATCAGAACAGTTTAATCCCATCCTCTGCTGTGAACGCCAAGGGAGATGAATACGAGCTCAGTCTCAACGTCAACGAGAGTAATTTCTCTTCGTCCCAGATTGGTGGCTTACCGAGCAGAATTTCCCCTGAGGGAGACAGGCTGCTCGCGGAGCCGTTCACGGGGTACCATCCGGCCCACTTGTTGAACCTGGACTTGCGGGGTGCTGTTCGTAGTAACCTTCAGTCTCTTCGCAAGGATATAAATGAACGCCGGAAACGCGCAATTGATGACGACATGGAGCGTCGCAATTTATTAGACAACATCAAGGAAGCGATGGACGAGAAACGAAGCGAGGTCGAAGCCTTGGAACACAAGCGGCGCGCTGCTGAAGAAGAGTTCGAGAGGCTCAAAGAGATCACCACTACTCAGAAGCTGGCCTCGGATGCCCAGATTGAGAAGATGGAGAAGGAGCTGGCGAAGATGCGCGCTACGCTAAGCGAAAGCGTTCAGCTGATGGAACAACGTGAAATGAACACCAACATTGAATACGAGCAGTTGACGCTTCGGGCGAATTCGCTGCGGGAAGAACTACACACGAATGTGGAAAGCATGCTGAATGATGTGATCCGCTTCAAAGTTCATATCCAGAAAGGACTGGAGGACTACGAAAGCTTTGTCGTAGATGAAGTCGAGCAAGAGCTGGGAGGTGACATGCAATTTGCTGAAGAAGAGGATATTGAGATGGCCGCCGAGGAGCTGTGAAAGCCAGCGAGCAAGAAGGGAGTTCACTTACATTGTCGATTTTGCAGGGCTTGTTATATCCAGCTGGAGTCTGTTGTTGGGGTCTATTGCTCGGGCGCTATTGGTAGGCTATTGTCGGTGTTCTTGATCTGTTGATGTTTGTCTGGTCATCCTCTTGGGCCTTATGTCTCTGTCTCTTGTTTCATTGATACCTTTGGCTTTCAGTAGCTGTTCCGGTCACTGATCTACTTTTGAGGGAGATCTTATGTACATATTCCCGGTTCTCATCCTTTCTTACAGATAATGTCTACGAAGATCCTGCCTAGGTCTTTTCAGACAATAACTACTCTATCTCGAAGCTTTCCAGTAGCTGAGGCTAGTATGTATGTATCGGTGGTAGCTTTGTGGATGCCATGTGATGTGCAGCATGTATCTAAATGGCGATCACCTAATTGGCTGCAAGCTTAATGCTGAGTCAGCGCCAGCTATCTCCAATCGCGCCGGCTTCCCTAGAATTTCTCCCGCTTAGGAACTTTTCTCGGCGGCGATAGTCTTTGAATCAGCTCCGATCTTCTGTTCTTGGGTGTCAGGATCAATCAGTTGTCTCTCTTCGCCTTACGAAAGCTCCTGCCAGTCTTCAATTTCGAGTTATGCATGTGATTTTGTACCTGTGACTAGAGATGTGTCACCGAACATTCGTTCGACGTTCACTTCGACTTCTGGACTTCCTCCGCCCGCAGGCCACCTCCGTTAGTATAACTCTCGTGTCATGAAAAGGTGCCTGTCTTCAGCTCGTCCGCTGCGCCTGCGCCACGGGCCTTCCCAAATTTATTCTGCTTCTTCGATCGGCTATTGTCACGGAAATCATGCCTCTCCGCATTCCAGCTTGCGCTGGGCCTCCTTCGTCGCAAGGCGGCCACGGGGTTCGCCCAATACCATCGCCACAGACAGCACGGATCTCAATTATGCATTCTTAGGGAGCCTAGTCACGCGGAAGTTCAAGAAATATAGTCTGGATGATAAGGTCGGGGTTGAGGGCACCGACGCTTGGGTTTCATTGCTGGAAAAGCATATGCCATCCCCATTGCGCAGAGCCTACGATGGGGGGAGCTCCCAACATCAACCCGGGGGTGATCCGTTGCCAGTGACCCAGAAAACTCTTGCTGATGCTGTTGATGTGGTCAACACATTATATCAAGCTCGAAAATACGGACAACTGGACTTGCTAACCTATGTGGGCGTCAGGCTGAACAATTGGCCTGCTGTGGATTTCATCCTTGGTCGTCTGCTTGATGCCGCTGAGGCTATGCACGAGATCACTCTGCGCTCACGGTCAAAGGCCAATGCCCCTTGGCTGCTCGGTTCTAAATCGAGCCTTGATGAGCTCTCCAGCCGATCTGTGGATTTTGCTCCCCGAGCCGCCTCAGCTTCGAGGCACGACGCACCAGATGAGCCGGCATCGAACAGTCTGGATATATCTACTGCTCGGCCTTTTGCGGAGGAGCTGAACCAACGTTTTATGGGTGAAGTATGGCGCGCCTTGGGTTCCCTTGTACTTGAGGCGGCAGATGCATCACCCAATGAAGCCAAGCTGGCCATGTCACACGTGTTTTTCGCTCTTGCCCGTTTACACACTTCTGGCGCTATATCCGACAAGGTGTACGAGTATATTTCACCCAGCAATTATCAGTCTACATACCGTCCTCCGGGGATGTACTTGCTCAAGTCGTCCATTCTGCAAATTCTATCGGACGCTGCATGGTCGAAGTACGAAGCAGATTTAGCCGACAAGGCGGCGGCTGCAGGGCAAGAATCACCTTTCATCCCCGTAAAGATGAATGTTCGTCAGCTCGAGCCTGCGGTTTGGATGGAGCTGATTCTCTGGTGCTGTGTTGAGCAAGGTTACGTCGAAGAGGCGGCGTGGTTGATTGAGCAAATGAGGACACGGAGAAGCGATGACCAACGTTGGAGCGTTAAGAGCTTGGACTGGAAGCTTATGCTCGAAGAGCCCTCACAAGTAAGGAAGACTAATGTCGAACTGGAAGGAAAACAGCGTCAGCCACATCATCCTGGACCTCTCGACATTCTTATCAAGGAGCGCTCTATCAAGAATAGGCCTGCTTTCGACGGGATGGGTGAGCGAACGATTAGCGTGGAAGTCATTTGGGCATTATTGGACAGTCTTCCAAACGTGGTGTATCAAGGCCAGGGCTCCCGAGGCTTGGCACCCCGGAAGTTGCTTTCTATTTTCTCTCCCCTCAAGTTTGCCGTTGGCGCCCAGAAGAATTCAGGCCTGCTTCCGACAAACTGGAGATGCAATTCCTTCCTTGTGCGGATGATGGAATCCGGAGGACTCAATTCTGAGAAGGATCCCCATAGTCTTGCTGACCTTCTCCAGGCCATATCGCGCTTGGTACCGCCCTACATTTCGGACTATGCGCAGTACGCGGATGAAGAACGCCTCGACGAATTGACTCCATCGGACCTTTACGATCAAAGCTCTGCGGCGGTCGGTCTGATCGAGTACAATCTGAGGAATTTTGCGTCTTTGCGACTGTGCGGCCAAGCGATGGACTCTTTCGCCTGGTTACAGGATATAGTTGACGCAAGCAAAAGGCAGCGGATAGGAGAGTTCTTTTTCTCTCCACCATCCGCCAACGCCCTGAAAACTATGGACACCGAGGAATTGTTAGGCCCTTCTCTGTCTTGCATACCGCATTTGTCAACTGTGACATTTGCCGAGTTGCTCGATTTGATTACAGTGTCACGGACTACTAAATTCGGTGATTGGCTACTGTCTTCCAATGACTTCGACGGGCCTCCTATACCAAAGAGCATGTACGGCGACCAGAGCATAGCACCTTCTATTATCCGCTTCGCCGCCGCCACGAAGAATGAAGCCCTGGCGGACTCCGTCGTGGGGTCCCTCCAACCGCCCCTTTCTGTCAATACTCTGCGTGCCCTCCTCAACTACCGCATCGTTCAAGGTCAATGGGACTCGGTGATTATGATGCTCGAATATCTGAGAGACCATCGTCTTAAGTCCTGGGGCCACAGCAACGTCACCACCTTGGCAGCAGAGATCATCCGTCTACAACACGCAGTCGACACGCTTCAAGTCAAGCAGGAAGACTTGGACACTGATTCTGATACCGAGGTCGCCCACCCCGTCGAGTCCCTCAACAAAGCAACCTCGATTCTCCACCGCTTACTGAAGGGGGAGTTCAATGAACGCGAGCGCTATATCAGAGCGAACAACGCTATTCCCGTCGAGCATCGAGACTTCCAGGCACGCGTCCTCTACGGCCTCCACCGCCTCTTCCTCACTATCCGACAATGCCGCGCCCTTCACGACGTCGCCGTATCCGCCACCAGAGACATCCAATTTCGACCCACCCGGCGCAGCTTGATCCCCTACATCCCCTCGACTGCGTTCCATACGATCCTCGCCGCCGTCGTCGACACGCAAGGCAGCGACGCGGGCAAGCAACTCTTTGAGAGAGTCTGTCTGGACAACGCCCCGCCAGAAGACCGGCGGGTGCACCACGGCGGCATCCCGCGCATGTACCTCCACTCGGAGCGCTTCCTCGAGCGCGGCGATCCCCACTTCGACCCGGCGCATTTCCGGGAGCTGCAGCGCAAGTCCGTGATCCCGAACATGAACACCGTCCGTATCATCCTTCAGAAAGCATTAAAGGAATACGCGACCTTCGAGGAAGACTCTCCCACGAACGCCGGTAACAACGGGAAGACAATTAAACAGCCAGAGGTAGCAGCAAAGAGCAACGCAGCAGCTCGGCCGGATCCCCTTCACGCTCAGGGCCCACCCCCCAGCCAGAAGGTCACGGAGCAGCAGCCAGAGCCAGAGAAGGAGGAAGGGGACGACGGGGAGGGCAGCACGGTCGAGTGGTTCCTGGGCGACGGCCCGGACGCTCCCCAGCAGGAGCCCAAGGCCAGGCCTCACAAAATTTTGCGCAAGGACAACCCGGCCTTCCACGTCCTCGCCTTCTGCATCACGCGATACATCAGCTTCGGGCTGCGCGCCGGCGAGATCACCCGCGAGACGGACGGGTATGTGCTCCCGCGTAGGACGCCGACGTGGCAGCAGCGTTCGCCGCATCCCGGCCCCGTGAAGCGCCAAGCGCCGGGTGGGAAGCCCAGGAGCCGAAGCTGGTGAGTGAGTGATTTAACCTAAACCGCTGGTTCGGTCGTGGGTGCGTCTACTGCGTGATCAATCATCCTCCTTGCTGTGGGGACGCTGTGTATATAGTCGGTCGATGTATAGTTAGTTGTTTCGGGGGTCTGTTTGACGTTAGATATACATACAATTGAGGAGCTGTTCTCACTTTGCCTATTTACTGTGCTGTCCTTTCCAATGGGAAATCTCGGGTTGATTGGCTGAGCAAGGCTGTCGACAACTCGACTCATGATCCATCGTCTTACAACCTACCACCATTTCCACAAGATAAGAAGTATATATGTGAACTGAGAACTTCAGAAAATCGGTATTCCTCACTTCGATAACCAGTAAGAAAAACAGAAGAGTACAGTCAACCGAAAAGAAACACCAGCTCCATATCCCATCCATCCATTGGTTGACCGGTTCATAAACGAGTTCCACAAGCGCCAGCAAGCCGATCCCCCTTCGACCTATGTACCTCCTTTCCGTCTTGCTCATCCCGATTACTCCGCGTAACAAATATGCCGCCGTACCTGTCCCAAGGATTCCTCGCATATGGAGGGGAAATCATAAGGCAATGAACAAGAAAAAGGGATGGGCGACGAACGGGCCACAGAGAACAACAATGAATAAATAAAAGCACAATGAACTCTGAGTGCGAGTACCAAAATAGGGTCGCGGAGAGAAAAGCCAGGCCTGCGCATTTATCGAGATAAAACGCTGGAGTGAATTTTGAATGCTTCGCGAACAAAGGTATAAGACGTTTGGAAAGGACAATGAAGAACAACATAAGGCCGTTCAGATTGTGTGTTATCATGGAGTAACGTGGTGAAAAGACAATGAAAAAGAGCATTGTAATATTTACAGTGAACGTAGCTGTCTGATCGATTTATTGGAGATAGAAATGGGTAAGAAAAACCTTCATTTTTACCCCCATGGTTGGTCATCGTCTCCGGAGGATGGGAAGAAAGACCGGATGAACTCGCCGCTGATTGGATCATACGGGAAATACGCGTCGGCGCCGGGACTGGGATCGGTAGGCATAAAGTTCGCCGGCATGTCTGAAAAATGTTGTTGTTGTTGATGATGCTGCTGCTGTTGCTGGTGATGGTTCGTAGTAAACGACTCAGAATTCTGGTGCATATTGGAAAATTGAGGAGCAACGAGGGATTCACCCATGTCAGCAGATGTAGATTGATAGAGCATGGGATCCGAGTTGGCGGTTCGGCCAAATGAAATCCCATTTTGTAATCGAGGATCGTACCCGAAGACGGGCATATCGCTGATGTCGTAGTCCATCCCGAAGGCAATTTGCCGCAGACTACCATGACATAACTCCCATGCACGTCGAGACGCAAGACTATTCTGTGCCATCGCAAAGAGCCAACGGATGGCCTTTTTAGTACTTTCAAGAAAATTCCTTTCGTCCTCTGGCATGTGAATGCTACCAAAGGATAACTCTAACAGTAGGACCGAGGCGGCTTGCATGAGGTAATGCAGGATACACCACCAAGGGCAAATCTGATAGAGGCGGGCTGCATCTGGCACATCCGGCATCAAATCGAGCATACGTCGAGCAGCCTCTAATGTAACAACCGCCATGTCGTGGCTGAAGGTCGATTTTCTGTTAGCGGCCGCTTGCCGTGCGTCGCGGCGACAGAGGCATGGTCGCCCCAGAGTTATCCGTGCGCTGTAGTAATGAAAAGCGAGGAAGAGCTTGACACGAAGTACATCTGTGCCCTGATCCTCTCTTCGAGAGAAGTCGTACGCTTCATGGAGATTTTGGTACCACAGATCAATCCGGGACCGCAGCTCACCGATCCTGTTTTCGATATGACTCCATGGTATGGAAAGGCAATCGAGGGAATAGACCCGGTTGACAATTTCTTGCGCAATAACCGCGAGGTCAACATAATAGAGGAAGCCCAGAGCGCTGCTCGGAGGCAAATTTCGCAGCCACGAAGTATCGCGCGCTTTATCTGACGGTTCAGCCTCTCTGCCTCCGCGAGGATTAGATGGCATCTGACGAACAGATGAGCTAGCAAGGGCAGCTTCGATGTAGTCTTGGCGGATTTCTGGATTGTTTAGAAGCCTTGTCGCAGCCGGTTCTGAGAGTTGCTCCTCATCAAAGGGCAGTGGCAGTGGCGCTGTGCAGATACCATCACTAATGCACGAAGCGCGTCCTGTCATGATACCTAGCATGTGCTCAAACGTGTACAAGCACCACCAGACCCGATAGCGTGCCTCTTTGGAGACCTTAGCTGTGCTTTCGCTAGTATTCTTCATGTTGAGCCCTAGAGTGATAGCAGACCGCATGGCTAGAGCTGCGATTCTCCAGGATCTGATTCCACGAATACGTTAGAAAGGGGAGCATACGTGGGGATGAACCGTATGATCGCCTTACCTATTGATTTGGTCCGTAGATAGGAGATAGTAAGCAATCAATCCTTCCACCTGAACCTGCTGAAGATCGGGATGACTAAATAGCACATCACCGTTCATACTGAGTATCCGAGCTCGAGTGAGATATACCAGGTGATCATTATCATCCCCCCGCCAGGCCGCCTGCGTGAGATGAGCATGCTTGGCTGCGATAGCGAAAATCATATTCAGGATAGCTAGCCATTTGTCTCCTGGTCGAGCTGCACTATCGAAGAATGTTTTGTATTGGGCGGAAAACAGGGTGCGGTTAACAATTGGAAAGAACGGGTGCACCGTGTCTAAGTAATCCTGAAAGAGCTGATCGGCGACCTTCCGTGGTGGCATCCAATACACATGGACGGGGCCGGGGACGGAAATGTCCATATCATCCAGGTGGTAGTTGACGGAGTGAATGGCAAAATCGCTTTCTTTATCCGCTTCGTGAAAACCGGGCAGTCTGCGTGATCGTTGTTCGGCCTCCTTGCGCACTCGCTGCATCCAAATGACCTCCGAGTTTTTGCCCATATAGCCCGTCGCTCGAGAGCTTGGCGTTCGGTTCACGTCTTCTTCGACACGATCGATTGCGTCTAGTGATCCGATTGATGAAGTTGAGGAGACATCATCGTCTGCATAGTCGTCCTGCGGCGTTACGGAACTCGAATGGGCTTCGGTGGACGTCGCCGTGCTTTCTCCATTACCTGAATGCTGGTAGACGTCAGCATAAGCCCGCGGTTCCCTCCAAGGACACAAAACGCTGCGGGCTGTAGAAAAAATACTCACCTTATCCAAAACATGTTTTATTCGCTCGGCAGCGCGACCGTCCACCACGGAATTTAGCTCCCGCAGGAGATTTTCATAATCGGAGGTCTTGGTAGAAAGTTTGTCCAGCTGCCTAGGTACTTAAGTCAATGGCAAGCGTAACGGGAATGATGCGATAAGATCCACAAACGTCTTGGTCCGTTCACGCCACGAGATCGGATAACGACAGCTGACCCGCAGCTCCTTACACTGTCTACACACCGGCGTGTCCCCACTACACTTGGTCTTCCGTTGCCGACACGACTCACAAGCAAGAGGTACGCGACGACTATAACGTGGGGCAGCCCCGGAACGATGTCTGGGGATGGCAACTTTGCTGCTAGGATTTGTGGAGGGGGGCAGTTGTTTCTTATCGGAGTGGGTGCCTCCGCGGGTGGTGAGGGCCGGTCGCTGCGAAGGTTGAGGTGACGACGTACTGGTCAAGGCCGGCGAATCGGCAGATGAGACCACCGATGGCCCTTCTGTATGAGGGCGAAGAGACATTCCACCTTGTGAACGGCTTTCATCCCCGTCCGGTAACCTAGACTGTGCTTCCATGGCGCTGTTTTTCTCTTATCAAGGCGAAGAAGGGGCGGGCGACGGCCTAGATGGTGGATACTGCTCTGACGAGGATCACTGGCCTTGGCTCCGTGTCATCGAATGACAAAAAGTAGTCGTGTCCACTGTGCTGACCGCGCTTCGGTAGTCGCACAGTCGATATCAAAATTTCTCGAACCAGGGGCAAGCACAGCCAGAAAGAAGCATGATGGTCGACCCGCGGAGGAATCCAGAGAAGGGACGAGGCGATGTAGCAACGCGAAGGATCTGCAGCCACAGCCAGCTGCAGTGCTCACCGGTAGGGTAGAAATATGATTGGTGGAGGAATGAAGATTGCGGAGTACTAGCTTGAGATTGTTAAAGAGAGAAAGGAACGCAAGCAGTAATGTGATGGAGGAGCAAGTGAAGGGAGGGAGGGGAGGCGGGCACAGAGGAAGAGAGAAATTATGGAGATGCGGGCACTTTCCTCTGGCAAATTGGCAATGCAGGCCTGGGCTGCATGACGGGCGGGCGGTGACGGGAATTGGACGTGGCCCGGGCTCAAAGACTCGATCGCCCCGCCATGAAGTCATGATGGGCTTTCCAGGGAGTCGCATTCATGGTTCTGAAATCCATCCACCGTTCCTGACTGACTGTCTTCCATTTCTTCCAACTTTCACTTATCATCCATCAGTCACCACTACGGACGAACAGTTGTTGTACAGGTCAACTGAACTGGGTACTGCACGTGCCTTTTCTATTCAGGCAGCAATCAGGAAGATCAATCTGCATGTCTTGCTCCTTCAGATGACAGGAAGATTGGCCAGACCAACCAAGAGCGAGGCTGGCTGCATGTCACACTTGCAACGTTCAATGGGTCGAAGAGCCCATGGGACGGGGCAATGGCGTTTGCTCCGAGGCTCCATTCCGCCCCAGCCTGGCCACTCATCTGTTCCTATCATTCCAGGGCATACATTTCGTGGGGATACGAGAAACTGTTGTCAAATCGGAGTCCCTTGCGGGAGATTTGAAGGCTTTTTATTCCAAAAGGCCACAGGCGCTAAACATACATGATTGTTGACATCACAACATAAATCCCAATTTTCCGGCGTTCCTTTTCTTCTTTTGACCTTCAATTTTCCTTTTTTGTCCTTCCAGTCTACCCAAGCGTAAGATAGCCAGCCATCTCAGAACGCCGACAAGCGCCATCACGACGCGTCAATGAAACGAGACGTGTCAAGTGCAACCCGATTGCATAGATCCAAAAAAAGGGCTTCACAATCAGCCAGAAGACAATAGGAATCAAGTCAACCGTGGAGATATAAAAAGAGAGGTAAGAAAGGGGGAGGGCGGGAAAGAGGTGTAGTAGGAATGGTGGTATATGTACAGGAGGAGCGGGCGTATCGGCCGTCGCCAAGGGGATCAAAAACGGATAAGGCAAGTGCCGCGAACACGCATTAGAGGGATAAAAATATACAGGGTTATCTCAAACGGGTTGCAAGAGAAATTGTTGAGGGCTGATCAGTCAAGACCAACCAGTGTCATGATGGAGTGGAGAGAGGAAGGCCCTGCAGTCTGTCGTCACAGGGGTTCTAAAAATCATCAAACATCTCGTCGAGCTCATGCACGTCAACTGTCTCCGGACTTTGTAGCTCTCGCCACGAGTCGAAGACCATCGCCCGTTCCGAGTGGGGAAGCGGGCGGGCTCCCAGCGAAACCTTGTCTTCGTTCTCAACCAAATCTGCCATTTTCATGTCCAGATCGGGTATCTCACTGTTCAACATGTCGATGGGACGCTTCAGTGCTGATACAGAGGGTACGGTGGGGTCTTCGGGTAGACTGATTTGTGGGGCGCGCCCAATCGCTTCTGACTGAGACTCGCCATCCAGTCCGTCATCCGAAGCCACACTCGTGCCAGACGAGATGGATGAGGCCACTGACGTGAGAGAAGGGGAGGGAGAAGTACCGAACAGAGCCGCCACGGCCGCCTCGTCGAGATCCTGCTGTTGGAGGTGACCCTGGAGAGGGGAAAGTTCGGAGAGACCGCCACGAGAGAAGTAGTCGTGTGTAGGCTCATCGGCCATGCGGTCTTCATTGAATGAGAGGCGGCTGTCGTCCACAGGAGTGCCACAAATCATCATGCTATCTTCGTGTAGCTCATTGAGACCTTCCGATAGCGCGGAAAAATGCGTAGTCGAGGGCTGCTGCTGTGCTTCTTTTTGTTCGGATGCCCGCTCGCGCACGGCGCTTGCTGTTTGTGTAAACTCCTTCTCATCACCTTCCAAAGGAGGGGATGCAGCCCGATTCGAGTGCATTAGGCGAGTGTGGTGATCTCCAAACTCGGTACTCGACCGGGAGGCGGAAGCAGACCCCGAGCGGCCATCCAAGTCGATGTTCTCTTCGTCAAAGTCGGGGGAAGACAAATCGACTTCGGGGCTAGGGCTAAGGCGTGACCGCTCCCGAGCCAACGCGTCTTCCTCGTCCATATCAATGCTTGTCACACTAGGCGTCAAGTCCTTTCCTTCCACACCGGGGATGATAACATCGTCCGAGTTCTCCGGAATAGCTTGACGGGGGCGCGTTGTCAGAAAGTAGTACACCTTGCGCGGGTGAATGGGAATTAATTCCTTGGCCAGGGGACAGGGGGCCAGTGCGGTCCAGGAGCGCTTCATGTACGCACTGAGGCGTGAGGACAGCAGAGCAGCGGGGTTGGCAGAGCTAGAAAAGAGAATACTGTTAGGATTGCAACATTGGAAGTAGACTAGCGATGGGACTCACTTTGCGACATTTTCATTGAGCGCAATTAGAACGGCAGCCAATTCTTTAACCAGGTGAGGACGATTTCCAGTCTTCTCAAGCTGTTGAATGACACCAACCACGATATCGTCATTTATACCTTCTGTGTCGATCTTGGGGCCGACCGTGCCATCGATGGGAGAGGGAGGTGGCGTATGCTCCAGGGTGCCGCGCCGGCCAGAAGAACGGGCTGGAGTCAGCCGGTCCTTGTTATCAGTGGCGCGCGCAGCGGCGGTTGAAGGCTCTGGCGATAACGAGGCATCATGCGACCGTTTTACTTTCTTGGACGGAGGCAGCTGGTCGTCAGTCGCGTGAGGCGATTTCGAGGTAGACGGAGAGCGGCGGGACGAATTCGGAAGGTGAATCCCCAACGAGGGAAGCGACAGTGACTTGCGGCGAGTATTATAAGGCATGTTTTTTTGGATATAATAGGATCTGAAGAGAAGCGTCGAGGGAGAAAATAGGATACAGGCGGAAGAAGGGAAGGATAAGCAATGCAGATAGTATACTAGTAAATCCGATCAAGTCACGCACGGGTCGACGGAACAATACAGTATAGGCAAGACAGGAGAGCACGGGGACTAAGAATAAGGAGAACGGATCTAATAACACACAGAAGACACACAGGATAAAGTTAGGAGAGGAAAGATGAAAAGGGGATGGAAAGTCGGATGATGAAAGGAAAAGAGGAATGTATGATAGAAAGGGGAAAATAGGTAGAATGGATAGTTAGAGAAGTGAGTTAACAGAGGGAAAGAGGATGGGATGGGATGGGATGAATGGGATGGGGGGGGGGAAGGATGATTAGTTTCCGGCTAGGGGAGGGAAGGAGAGAGGAGGAGGGACGAAGGGCCGCCGATGTATGATGAAGATGGCGGCACCGGGAGGGACGAGATGGAAAGTCGAGGGAATGGGAATGGAATAATCACCGGAAACTTCGTTGGCCAGTGAGGGACTGCCGAACCGTCGGAAGAAATTCAAGAGGGCCCAGTTTGCTCTACGGTAACGGTAAAAAGGAAGAAATGAAGAGAAAAAATAAAGTAATAGAAAATCAGGTAATGTGGTAGAGGGAGCCTGAGGAATCCCACTTTTTTGGTAGTGGTGGTGGTGGTTGTGATTCCACAGTCAGTTTTTTTTTTTTTTTTGCCCTTCTTCGCACTTCCCTCTCGAGCCGGCTGAAAATCAGCACGGGTGGATGGGTTATAGTGGCGGTTATTGGTCCAAACCGATGATGGAGCGTTTGATGGTCGTTTTAAGGAATGTCGGAAAGGAACTTTCTTTTCTCCTGCTCCCCAAAAACGATACCGCGCCAGAGAGGAAAACTTAGTGGGAAAATTGGAGTCAAAAGAAAAAAGAAAAAAAAAAAAAAAAAAAAACCATGCTTGCTAGGCAGGTAGCTATCTAGACGGGTAGCTGGACGGATTGTTTTTGTTTACTCTGCCCCCTTTGACAGCCTTCTTTTCCCGGCCAACAACATCCATTCCCCCACCTCCACCCCGAGACGCGCCGGGGAAAGTCAACAGAAACCTGACAGAGTCAGACTATCTATTTTAGAGATGGAGCGACCCTACACCGCTTTCTTCCTCGCCTGGAGAGAAAGGGTGTCTGTGTGTCTGGACAACGAAGTTGCGCGCGCGCCCAGCAGGTCCAGCAGGTCCAAGACCAAGACCCGGACCAGGCAAGACCGGACCAGACCAGACTAGAAACAAGAACCCGGAAGGCCACCAATCCGTAAATTCATAAGTAACGAAGGCAGCCTGCAGGACCCGAACTCAACGCGGCCGACTGGCTGAACTTCGCTCGCTGAAGGGGGGCAAAAAGTACGGTGGGCCCCACCATGTGTCTATGACGACCAGAATGGATCACTTGATCGCTGATTGGCTGTAGGAACCATGATCAACTGAGGTTCTGCATGGACTTTAGGATGGAGTATGCTTTGTCGAGGACCACTCTCCAGGTACTCCAGCAGGGCGAATCGGGTATGTACGCCATTACCGCGCTTCTCAGGACCTGCTGCCGGGATATGAGAGCTGTGCGCTGCGAGAAGTAAAACGAAAGAAGGATCACTGCGCAGGAGTTTCTTATGGCAGATGGGAGAAACAAACAACCATGCCGGGCCCTAAAAGTAATATACTAAAGGACAATGTTTGACTAGCACCAACACTCCTCCACGCCTCATGTTCTCTCTGCTCACCGACAAGATCATCGCAGTCGATCTCATATCGGACCATTTTTTGAGAGAAGTGCCTCGTTCGAGGATAGTCTGTCCGTCTGTGTCTAGATACTACTACAATAATGATTTAGAGAGAATCTAGTTTATTTACTGGTCGACGATAGGAGTGACAGGTTGACAACCAACCACTTCACACTCAAACTGACTGACTGCGCCGTCTACGGGTAGATGCATCATAGCTCTGACTGCTTCCATGGTACTTGCCAGAGTAGCTCCGAAAAAGGACTGTACTGTTTTATGATCAAATGGACATGAGAGCCTTATGATGCAGAGAAACAAGACAATAAGGGCAAGAGAATAAGAAGAAAAAGTGAAGCACGAAGAGCGGGGGGCACACAAAGAGAAAGGGAAAGAAAAAAATAAAAAGGGCAGGGGAAAGCCTTACACTAGTGCATAGTGCATTTAGCGCCGATATTTAGACGCCAGTCTTGCCCTATTCTGTACTAGCCATCAAGACTTATGCACCAACCCACCGAAGATATGGAAAACAAGCACAGCAAATGAGCGAATCACCAGGTGAGCTGAGCCCCACTCAGCTCAAGAGAAAATCGTTCCTAGCGTCGCCGTTTAGAGGCATTCACAAATCAGATTGAGGGTGGTGGGAACTGAGATGAGCCGTCTAGAAGGTTGGCAAGGGCCCAATCGGATGGAATTGAGCAACGCTAAACACCAAAACGCTGGGACGAAAAGGGAACCTCGCCACTGGATCTGGTTGCGTCTGGGTGATGATGCCCGAGGCGAGTCCCGAGGGCCGATTGACTGGCTGTTTCTCCGTACTCGGATCGCCCAAAGGTGTGTGTGATGTATCAGAAATCAGAAGCCATCCCATCAGTAAGGGATTCGACTTTTGTGGTGGCTTTTCTGCAGCCGTGCAGCGGGATCATGATTGGCGACCGGACCCGCGATGTTGAAGACATTCCAGCTTATTTCATACATTCATAGTTCACCTATCGCCCCATTCATCCCTGGCGGGGGTTCGTTGCCCGGGGGCGGCTGTGGGATTGACATCCTCTGTACGGCAGGCCTACTGTACTTCCATGTACGCACTTACTTAGTACATGTGTACATAACCCGCCTGCTCCCCAGTTTCATCTGCATCGTCGAACATCCTATAAGTAAATGATCATGCAAGAGACAAGTGACGCTGAATCAGTCCCCGCCACCGAGACCGCATGGCCCTGCAGTTTCAAGGGTGGATGTATCCAGACGGGGAAATGGATCTATCCCTCTCTCCACTGCACCCCACGGCGGCCACAAATGCAAATGCAGACTATGCATCAGCAGTACATCATTAATCTTCTCTGTTCGCCTATGCGAAATAGATATGATGCATCGCTCTGTTCCCTTTTTGTCCCACTTACGTTACCGGTAGTCGACAGAGTGCGCCAACCACTCCCAACACCAATCACAAAGTACGAGTACTAGTCCAGCGGCAAACCCCTATTACCTACCTATCATGGGGAAGACAAGGCCAACTCGGAAGTATATCTAGTTCTCGCAGTGATCACCAACCCCCGCCATGGTATGATGTTGTTGACTTGTTGCCCTTTGCAAATCTTGTCACGTAGAAACAGAACCATATTGCATATCACATCACATCAGATATTGCATCACCAGCAAGTACTGGTGTTCAATATATCATCAATAATTCATCTATCTACCTGCAGTCATCTTGTTTTATGTTCTGGTCTTTCTTTCTCTTTTTTATTTCAATTGTTCCGATCGATGACGAAGGAGATACATTAGACTATGGAGCTATTGTCTGCTAGGCTGTTACCAGTACGTAGGGGGGAATTTAACCTACAGGGTCTAGTTTATACCCCGCATTTTGCATGGTAACGCCATTTTGACTTCATTGATCGGCTAATGAGTGAATTTCCAAGGAGCACCGGTACAGCCATCTTCTTTGTTTCAAGGTTGGGACTATCCATCCGCAGCGGAACATGGGTTTGTTGGTTTCCTGGCAGTGCAGTACAGTAGGTCGGAACCAGGCAACGCAGATGTTTACACGTCGGGCTATAAATATATATAAGTTTTACGTTGGCGCAGGTGGTTCTTTCGGCACGCGGTGCCTACTCCGCATGATACGAGGTAGTATAGATTCTGCCCACAAATCATTATGGCGACTCGGTTGGTAATGCGTTCTCAACTATCTGATCAAATGAGCGTTCTACGACCCAGAAACCGGCTACGAAGCAACTGTGGGCCTTGTTGAACATAACATCGCTTTACAGCTTTACAACCCCCTCCCCAAAACTTTCACGGATTAATCAATTCTTCTCGTTGTTTCGCATTGCTGATGACTTTTGAAGGCGAGTCCTTAGTCGAGATAGGCTGCCTTTAAATGAGAAGGCAGGTACTGAACTAAGTTCCTCTAGTACAATGGCAGTCGTCTGCCCGTGTCTCCCAGCTAAGTCCGTGGTTCAAACAGTCCCTCCCATGCATTCGCGACCCAGCAATCCAGTGCTCGAAGTAGATTAGAACTGTGCCCGATCCGTGCGAATAAGCTGCCGTGGTCGGAACAACATGTGATAAGAAAGTTGCTCTCGGGCTGAAACACTGTGTAGTTCACCTCGACACTCAACACTCCGCAGGTCTTAGCGGAGTTTTAGCCCTGGGCTGATCATATCTTCGAGGGGTGTGCCTTGTCATTCTGGAACGTAGTTCAGAGTAAGATCTGCACGTCTTGTTTGACAGGCTGGTTTCATCCATTTCATCCTCAAATCTTTGCAGCTAAGCTATGACGTTGCTTGTTTGTTCCTGTCTCTTCATGTCTTGCAACCATCAATTTACATGTATGGAGTCCTGTTCGGATGTCGGGGTTGTTCATTCAGAAACTCTTACTCGATAGAAATTGAGATAAAGAGTTCCCAACAGCATTGTGATTATATATCGCAGCACTACCCAAAGGTTTGGTTTCAGGTTCAACAGATGTTGTCTGAAGCTACGCCCAGCTAGAATGACTTCGGTGGTAAGTCTCGATACAATCTTCCACCCTTCCATACCTCAAGTTCGAGCGATTCATCTAGACGTTGTTGCATCTCAAAGTGGTTGATACTCACAGTGGCATGTGGTGCCGCGGGCGACCCGCATGCCCGCAACATCCGCGCACCTCATATCCATGCCCCTCGCGGGAAACACCTCAATCCCGCTTATTCCACCCGCCATGCCTGAGCCTGATAATCATCTACTCAAGCGCAAACGTGCTCGGGTCGCTTGTGAACCATGTCGACAGCGGAAAAGAAAATGCAATGGAGCGACACCTTGCGCAACCTGCACCGACTGGGGCTACACCTGCCACTATACAGATCAGACCCCTCGGAGACGCCATCCATCCCACTCGTCTCCCGCCACGGCGAAACCGTCCTCTCCTGCTGCAGGTGGAGATAACCTCCGCTCGCCAGACGAAACAATCACTCATTCCGGTCACCGAGGGATAGCCCGGAGTCTTGAAGCCAATTCGGCTGCCGCGTTTGTACGCAAGATGGGCCTCAAGGTTGATCCCGCGAAAGCTCCGAAATTGGCCCTGTTTGGTTGGAATATCGGTGCACGGCAGTTGCCCTCGGGGATGGGAACTATATCCGCCCGACCAATTGTCGACCTTATCTCATTGGCTGATATGAAGCGATTGGCTGGAGTCTACTTTGATAAGATCGACCCTTGCTACGGCTTCATCGACCGACGCATCTTTGATGACCATCTCGAGACTCGATGGCAGTCCCCCCTGTCCAGCATTTCCATGTATGACAGCATCCTTGCCGGAGTCGCGGCACTAGGCTCCCTCTTCTCTCAGCGAAGTATGAGTATCACCGAGCTCCACCTTGTCGAATCGGCCCGCTCGATACTCGACGGCCATGATGGATCCGGACCTCCATTCCTCGAGCTCGTCACTGGCTGGGCTCTCCGGGTGGTATACATGCGGATGACGGCGGCGCCACACGCTACCTGGATTGCCAGTTCCACCCTGATGCACCTCATCGAAGCCTCGGGTCTTCATCTTGAATCCTCCATATCCTATGACACTGTTCCGTTACGTCCTGCCACACAGCACGACCCGGAGATCAGCCGTCGCCTCGTGGGTGTCGCCCACCACCTCAACATCTGGACCTCCTTCGACCTCGGACTATCCCGTGTATCCTTCCGTACCGGGCTTCCCTTACCCCCCGCTTCCAAACCAGGCGATTACACCCCCGAGGTTCTGAGTCTTCTTCCTGCATCCGCATGCCTCGACCCCGAAATCTCCCAAACAGACAGCGACCTGGAACCCACTCTCACCAAAGTCTTGCACGGCACCCACACGCAACCCCCATCCGTAATGGCCCAAACAAACCTTGTACTGTGTATTCTCCGCCGCCTTCGCATTCTGAACCTCTCTATCACCCCGCAGATCACCGACCAAGTCCTCGCCCTATTCGGCAAAGCCCTCTCGTGCGCGCGCACCATGGTCACGGACTGCTGTCCGTGGCATCAGGTCGCCAACGTCCCGATGCAGATTCTCTATGTCCTGCTGGAGATGGATACGCGAGCGTCGTTGGCGATGCTGCCCGAGGCGATGCAGACGGTGACGCTGGTGGCGAGCACATACGACACCGCGACGATGAGGGAGGCGTACAGTACCGCGCGGCTGCTGGTATCGCTGTACCAGCAGCGTCGGTCGGAGGACACGAGGGTGTTGGCCGAGGTGTTGAATCTGGCTCCTGGCGGACAAGTCGGGGAGGCATCGGCCGTGACTGAGCCCTTCAGCCCGCGGGTAGAAGAGCTGTCCTGGCTGGAGGGACTGGTCGCGGAAATGCCGAGCTTACAGGGGATTGAGCTGGAGCCATGGCTACAAGGGGAAGTACTTGCGGGAGAGGGGTGGGAGTGTTAACGATCAATTGAATTGACACCTGGCAATTAGAGTATGCTCATTGTGCACTGGAACAAGAAGCAGAGAAAAAACGCCGACGCCATCTCCATAAAGCAACGCCAAATTGGGTATCTCAGAACCGAAACGGAGTATGCATGTACTGTACCAAAGCACCCTCCAGAAGAAAAGCGCCTAGAAACATCCACTTAGCGGCGATTTTTGCCCAAACGCGAAGGTGTTTCCTGATTGTCTTTCTCCAGCTGACGGCGCACTTCCTCCGCCTTGGTCTCGCCGCTGGGGGTGTCGCCACCAGGTTGACCCGTCTTCTTGTAATCCTTTGACTGCTTCTTGGTCACATCCGGATTCTCCTCCTTGAATTCCACCATGCCCTTCATGCCGGGGTGGGCCACGCATCCAAAGCACAGTCGGTATTCCTTCAATCCGTTCTCGAAGCAGGTCCCGCTGGTGCACAGCTTCCACATGTTTCTGCAACGCTTGGCAGGGCAGCGAGCGGTTTTGTGGATGTCGTTGGCGTGACGGCACACGTCGCAGAAACCCTCCAATCCAGAGCGCGTGGTCATTTTGTCTTTGGCAAATCCCCCGGAAGCTGCAGAGGGTTGATACGTAAGTATACAGACTACTATCCTTGACTTATGGGGCTCCTGCTAAGAGCACTTACCTTGCCTAGAATCCAAAGAGTCAGGAATCCCGAGCTAAGCTCCGGTTGAAAGGAATGGTGTGGTAAGTGTGCTTGGTAGATCAAAGGTTTGCAATCTGAGAGGATCTGTAAGAGAACATGAAGCTTTCTGCCCTGTGTGGCTCTTCAGTTGGTTGTTTGGGAGAGCAAAAAAGGAGAAAGATTACTGGGAGCCGGAGGATACAGACCATACAGTCAATAGGAAGCACTTCTGGCGCTTCGGTGAATGTGTTACTCTGACTGCCAGGCATTCACTCGCTTGCCTTGCAGTCAACCTCTTCACTCTTCCATACCGGAACAATTAGATTTACTCCCATCTTGTGTATGTGTTCACAGGACTTATTGACACCCGTAGTTTGCCGACGTTTGATTAGGAGAGGTAATTGCGGCAATGGACGGCGGCCGAAAGTGCTGTCAGCTCAGATATAGAGTAATTTGAACTTTGGTTGCAACCACCAATTGGAAAGCTAAGATACCAAACGCATTCATCCAGTGATGCCCCACCCATGGATTCAAGAGGAGTTCCGTCCGAACCAAGAGGGAGATCTCGGTGAAACTCCAGGACAGTCTCGTAGCCACGTGACTACATACTTCCTTGACAACCAATCAGACCGTGCACAATTATACATAGCTTGAGGAGGCTCTGCCTACAAATTGAGGTACTGTACAAGGTATCTGATGCCGGAGCTCTCTCTGCGGTAGGCGTGTATAGCAGAAGACTTGAACCGGGCATCACTGTTTGACACAATTCTTGCCGTCTACTGTATTAACCACAGTCATAAGCGTCCACTAATGTTGAACTCGTACATGCGGATCACGCTAACAGTACAAATGCTGACTTTCAAATAGGCAGTCTGCATGGCAACCTGGAATTTCCCATGCCCATTCATCAAAATGTTCGCTTCCTCTACAGAGATCAATTAAAGAATTTGTGCAGGCTCAATTGTCTCCATATTCTCAGGGGTTGACAGATTTTCCTGGCCATCATGCTCCACCTTATCTTTCCATTGCAAAATCCTGTCGATATCGAGCTCCTTGTGCTCGGTTTCTTCAGGTGTTCCGCCATCGGTATTCCACCGGCTTTTAATCCACGGATGTATCTGCATGCGGCGTATCTTATCAATGTCACCGGCCCCATCGTCGAGCCATATGGCACCTTCACACAGTCTCTGCCAGGAGAACAGGCTTTGTGTTGCAGCCCACGATTGCTTCTCAGCGATTTCTCTTCTTGGGTGGGGCGGGCTGAATTATTAGCATATATCAAGGGCTTACTGGCTTCAAACTCACTCATTGACATGCCCTACAGGACAATAATAGTTAATCGTGCGAACTCGCGAAGGTTTCAGGTGATGTTCAATGTTCGTCGGGAATCTTTTCCCAGATCTCAACTTCCAGCATATATTCCAAGAATGAGGTCTGTGCATGTGTCCTAGATGCTCTCTGACTTCGAGACTGAGATTTGTGAAGGGGGTCGCGCCGAATGGCGGCACCGGGGACCGTGGCCATTGCAATCCACTGCATTCAAGCTCCGGTGGGCAAAAGTGAAAGGTCTGGAATTCGCGTACACGATCAACGATAGGTTCTGCCGTATAAGCTGAACGATATGTCACCTGAAGAAAGGATTGAGTGGTATTGGTCCAATAAGCGGCAGGCAGAGATATCTCCGGTAGCGAATCAAGCGAACGATTCAAGAACATCATTGCTCTGTTGGAGTAGATTGCAGCCGCCCAAAAAAGACTCAAATGTGGTTTCACATATGTGATGGCGTGGAGGAGCTGCACATCGTCAATCTCCCACACCGGAAAGACTGGTCTCAACTCCTCGTGATTGGGTCTATATGCTTTGAGGCGTTGCTGGTCGGCAACCTCGTCCCCCAGCGAAAGGCCTTCTAGTACACCTAACGACGCTGCTCCTTCCAAGTTGCAAGGGACGCTAGGATCGAAGAATGCACTGCAGAGCAACGAGTCCACGGCATCCCACGTAGAACTCAGAAACATGCATTGATCAATGTTTTGGAACAGCTTATGAAAGATTGTGTTGTTCTGAGTTGTTGTGGAGTCAAAGGACTTGGCTGGGATCATGGCTGGAGGAGGAAACTTAGCTCGGGAGCCGTCTCGTGAGTGAAGAAATAGAATCGAGGCAAGGCCAATGAGTAACTCCCCTTCAAGGCCTTCCGACGTGCAAAAGTCGAGAAGGATATGGAAAGCAAGGGCTGAATCTGCAGCCACTGGAGCCAGATCGTCTCTAGATGGTAATTAGCACAGAACAAATAAAGGTTACCCGGTGATAGACATACTGATGCTTTGACATGCCGGGCAGTCTCAACATCCACAGAGGATAAAGCGCCTCCTTATTCTCTCCGAGGCGCTCGAGATGAGCTTTCCAGCGACCTTGCAAGATAATGTCCCAGAAGGAATCTTCAAGCTGCAACCTCTGGTCATGAAACATTTGGCATTCCAGACCAGCTTGTTGTAATAATTCCACCCAGCGAGCGGAAAAGATATAGGACCATGCAAGGACAATGCTCGTGAAATACTCAGCGCGGAGGGGCCTAGCTGATATCGGAATTGCGGCTCTTGAAGGTGTCACAGTCACTGTCGGGCATATGTGCCACCATTGGCGAGCGACGCAATAGCGAAATTCGAGCGACTTCTGAGGCTGATCGCAAGCTGGGTCGTCCGTTGATTTGACACAGATTTCTCCAATGAGGTGATAATCATATACTTCCTCCAGTACCTCATCTGGGAGAGAGTGAAAGAACGGAGGGACATCCTTCAGGAGATTTAAGAAAGACTGTATGTAGAACTCAAATGAATCGGAGCCTGGCACACGAGTTGCGGCCGCGTCTTTCCACTCAGCGAGTTTGGATTGGTAACACAAATTGAACTGTGCTGTAGTTGGACAGATTCCATCACCGGGAGAAAAGTTGTAGCGGCTATTAGATGACTCAGACGATTCAAACGAATTGGACGATATGGACGATTCAGATGATTCAGATGATTCAGATGATTTGGGCGATTTGGGTGGTTCGGGTATTCGAGGTAACCTGGGCGAGCCAGGCATGACAGGTAATTCGGGTGCGACAGGTGTTTCATCACTGTGCACTACACCGGTTGAGTCTTTGTTCTCCATGGTTGAGTCCTGAAAGGGGATGTATTGGGGAGTAAGAAGTAAGCTTCAGATGGAAGAGAAAAGACAACAAATAGAGTCAGTTACAGAGGCGGGGAAGGAAGCAATTGGTTGACCCAGGCAACTCTCAACTTCAACTAGAAGTGACTGTTGCCTGTGGTAAGGGAGACGCTTCGGAAATGAATCAGGAAATGTAGAAGTCAGTCGGAATGAACAACCTAAGGTGGAACTTGCTTTCCAGTACGATACTCAACACGATGCCAACCTTGAAAGCATATGAGGTACTTATAGCAAGTTGAAGACAACGATCTTGCCAAATCCAGATCTGACAGGCTTCTACAGCATTGAGGTAGGTCACTGCTTTGTTGGTATACCTCTGTCACATGATATGGTCCCTCTGAAGTGCAATCTCTCAATCTGTAGACTATGATTTCCTACCACAAGAAACACACATCTCACTACCTGAGTCCATACACTCGTGTAAGGAAACTATGCATGCCCATCTGCGGGCCAGATCTGACCATTATTGGTCTTAACCACACTCCATTTCCCAGCCTTTCGATCCACGACCGTCACCTCCTTTGGCTTGAGGAACAACGGTTCCGTGATCTCATGGTACTCTTTGAGATACGGTCTTGTCATAGCCACCTGTCATCCATATCAGCTGAACACAATCGTTTTCAAGAAGAACTGGAAGCCTTACATTCTCCACCCAGTCCTTCGACGCGTTCCTACACATTTATGCCATCAGTGGTAAACGACGATACACAATTAGGTCAGGATTACCAATTCTTGAGGATCAAAATCTCTCCTTTATTCTCCTGCGATTGATACACTTCGAAGAGCGTGCATTCAGGCTCGCCAAGAATCTTATAGAACACACTCTCCAAAGCATCAAAGAAGGTCTTGATGTCTTTCTCCGCCACCCAGACGCGAACCTGAAGTGACACAAGATCGGACATGGTGAGACTTAAAGATAATCTGTTCAAAGGGATCAAACTAGAGCAGAGTTGATCTGTCTCCCCAGCTCCAGATTATGAAGAGTTTATATAACACTTGAAACGCTGATCTGGGTGAAAGAAGCTGGTGGTTACACTTTCTTATTATTGGTTGCTTGACTTGAGCATGCAGCCTTCTTCCTGCATCATTGCCGCTTCTTTAGTGTACTGACTATGCTTGCTTTGAGAAACCTGGCTAACTACTCTTGACTCCAGTGTTCTACAAATCAATCTCAGGGAGAGTGTGTGACGTCGGATCGCAATGTCCTCTCGATATTCGCAAGTAGCACGGAACATCTCTTGGGGTCAACAGATCACAGAGCAAGCTCTTTACTCTGACACCATAACCATCGTCTAGACTCACGAATAGTCACCCGACACATGGTCCACAGAGTTGACCATAGTAGATCTACCGCTGACTGGGTATGGTGTTGCATTTGTACCCATGCGACTACCCGTACCATCTCTTATGGATCAAAGACAAAGGAAATGCAAAATTAAATTGGTCAACAGCCTTCACTACCACGGAGCATTAGCGGTAATGACTGGGCATAACCAGGCCTGGTAAAATGACTTAGAAGAGACTGAATTGTCGATGCACCATAAAGGGCATCGAACCTCCAGAATCTGGTCAACAAGAGCTAAGCAAGCGCTGGATGTACTGAAGGTCTACCTGACTGGCTTAGGCTTCTCAGCGCGCGTCTGTCCTAGCTTCGAAGAGAAAGCTGCTACTATACCCAGTGCAGACTCAATACCTCAGTTTTTCTAGACACGGCAAGGCTCCAGTTTCTGCAGATTGGCCACGAAGTGGTAATATATACTACCTCGTCTTCGTATCAATTCACCGACGCACCTCTTATCTCAGACCTCCTCAGGGAAACCAGCCATCGGCAAGCACCCAAATTAGCTATTTTAGTCGGGGGTATATCACATAATCTCAGAAAGCACGATTCAGCGAGCCTGCATAAAGCATCGAAAAGACGAAGTGTTTGCGAGAATCACATGCGCATCAAAGTGACACCCAAGGTTAATTCCGAAAGAGGTTAGACGATCCCCCGCAGCAGCCGAAGCTTCCCCCCACCAAACTCACGCGCCGCTCGCCGGCCCGGTCTCATCGCCGGTGAGTGAGCAACATCACCCCTCCTTCACCTTCACATCCGACATATCAATCCCTCTTTCTCTCTCTCAACCTCCTCTACACATATCTCGACATTATTCCCGAATCTCCACCACCACAAACCAACTCACACCGCAATGCCCTCCCTCAAAGAAAGCACCATCGCCTTCATCGGCGGCGGCAACATGGCCTCGGCGATCATCAAGGGCCTGGTGGCGCAAAACATTCAGAAGCAGAACATCATCGTCGCGGAGCCGTGGGAGGTTAACCGGAGCAAGATTGACGCGATCGGTGTGCGCACCACGACCGACAACGTCGCCGCCGGCGGTGACGCCGACATCGTTATCATCGCCGTCAAGCCGCAGATCACCAAAACCGTGTGCCAGGAGCTGGCTGCCTCGTGGGCTCAGCGCTCCGCCCTCCCCATCGTCGTCAGTATCGCCGCCGGCATCACCATGAAGAGTCTGCGCGAGTGGGTCCAGACGAGCGACGGCCGCTCGGCGCACATCGTGCGGGTCATGCCCAACACCCCCGCGCTGGTCAACGAGGGCGCCTCGGGTCTGGTCGCCAGCGAGGATGTCACGGCCGCGGAGAAGGAGGTCATCGGCGAGTTGCTGGGCAGTGTGAGCAAGGCGACGGAGTGGGTGGATCGCGAGGAGCTCTTGGACGTCGTTACGGGATTGTCTGGTATGCTTCCCCCCCCCAACCAACACCAAAACGCCCGGTGGAAGACGATTCATGTGGCGGACGGACGGGATGGCTAGGTTTATTGGTGGCTAACTGACTTGATGTAGGATCGGGTCCTGCTTATTTCTTCGCTATGGTCGAGCACCTCGTTGCCAGTGCCACTGCACTTGGTCTGTCTAAAGAGCAGGCTACCCGCTTGGCGTCTCAGACGTGCCTGGGTGCCGGTAAGATGCTGGTAGAGTCGGATGAGGAGCCTGCGCAATTGCGCAAGAACGTCACTAGCCCCAACGGCACGACGCACGCGGCGTTGCAAACGTTTGAGTCGCTTAACTTCAAGGATATTGTGGACAAGGCTGTTCAGTCTGCTACGGCACGGGCTGAGGAGTTGGGAAAGACTCTCGGCTAGATCTGATATTTGAATGCCAAAATGACATAAATTCGTGATCCAACTTATACTACGCTACAGACTGAATAAAGTAGTGGCCAGGATATGGCATGTTGGTCAAGGGCAATAGCTGGAAGTCTAATACTTCGCAGCCAATAGATGCATGAGGGGAAAAGGTATCACAAAATCCGAATGGCAAACGACATATGCACAAATTACAATTCCATTCAAGTAATTAAATCTTTTAGCTGACATGTAGCAGAGAATTAACAATACATCATTATCGAAGATACATAAGAGCATTTGGCGCACTTGAACCCAATTTTAAGCTTGAGGGAAGTGCTCAACGCGAGAAGTATAAGATTGAAAGGCGGTCGTTCAGAGGACTGTGGCTAGCCCTTCAAGCAGCGTGCATGGCGCCGTGCTTGCAGTAGGTGCCGTCAGCAACAGATCCCATGTGGACCGGGCGGCCGTGAGCGCAAAGGGCCCATGACTTGCCATCCTCATTACAGACGATAGTGTTGTCAACGCAAGAGCCACCGTGGGCGCCATCATGAGCGGCAACATGAGCGGCACCATGAACATTTCCATTGGACAGGTCATTGGCAATGCGGCTAGATTCAGACCCTGCTGCAGCAGTGGGAAGCAGCACAGTGTGCTCCTTGTTAGACCCGAAGGCGGATGCCACTTTGGAAGCCGACTGCGAGGCAGCAGCTGAAGAAGAGACAGAGGACGGAGACGGAGCAACGGCTGACGATGAAGTCAGGGCGTTGCGGGAGGAAGCAGCAGAGGACGAGGACGGCGAGTTAGCGCCGTGGGAGCCTCCCAGAAAATCAGCAGTACCGGTGCAGGTGTAACCGGTTCCAGAACCGCTACCCTCAACGGACGAGCCGGGAAGGGGGAAGTTGACTTCTTGGCCTTCGATAGTCGTGCACCCTCCAGGCCCGTTGACGTTGGCGATGAACATTGGTGGAGCGCTGCTGAAGCTGGCGACGCTGCCGGCGATCTGCTGCTGTGCTACATCACGCTTCTTGGAGCCGCCGATGGTAACCTGGGCGCAGTTCATGTACATTTCCCTATTCCCGATTTTGTTGAACCAGGACCACGCCAGAAGAGCTTGTCCACCGGGGGCGTCCGATGGGATGGAGAACTGGTATTTGGAGACAAGGGGGCACCCGCCGAGCATTGAATGGATGACCTTGAACGACTTGCCCTGGTCGTATGACAGGGAAATTTGGCAAGAACCTCCCCCGTGCGTGGCACTCCCCTGCAGTTCCAGGCTGTATGAGCCACCAGGGGAGTAGTTCGCTACCGATTGGAATGGGTCGTTTGCATATCCTTTGCACGGAAAGTCATGACCATCGCTGGAAAGAGGATTGGTGTACGAGTAGTCCTTGTTCCCACTGGCGTCTGGGTTTAGAGGACTGCGAATGGGAAACGGATTGGACATCTGGACATGGGCGGACACCGACGAGGCCAACAGGCCGCAAATAACGGCAGCACTCTTCATTTTGAAGTACAAACGACGGTCTTCTGAGTGTCTGGATTGGATGAGGAAGCGAGTGGAGCTGTGGTAAATCAACAGATTAGTCGTGGGATCTCTCAATTCATGATATCTTTGCTTGCATCCACGTCCTCAAGGCAAGGGACTGTTGCACTTACACGGTTCTAATCCGCAGTCAGACAAGTATCCCGATCTTGACCCGTGTTCGTGAAGTGGACAACGGCTCGTCTGGTCTTGTAGCGCGATCAATGAGATGCCCTAAGCTGCGCACGAGAGGAGAAGGCACGGACGTCCCAGCAGCATGAAAAGATGAAGGAAACCAGTTCATATAAATAACATGGTAAGTGGCATGCCTGACAAGCTTGTTCCATGTCTTCGACTGGGTCCCTCTAGGAATGGTGAAAGTCCTGTTGCAGCGGAATGCAGGTCCGCGTAGGCTTGACAACAAGAGAGCCATGGGCATTCCGTGCCACCCACTGATCGAGTTCGCTAGTCAATTAGTGCGCTTCATTTCCTTCCACTTTGTAAGACTGTTTGTGTCTCTTCTCTCAGCCAGAGTACCGATATTTGAGTGAAAGATCTCTGGTTCCTATTGTTGATATAGCGTGTTGATAACTATCAAAGCCAGAACTCAGCGTCAGGCATGCGTATGCGATATAGAGTTCGAACCAGGATGTACACTACCGATGATACCTGCATCGTACCTAAGCTGACTCTGCGATCGCCAGGCACGGTATATCGGCTGAGCCACTTTCTTTGAAACAGATAAACACCATTGATTGACCGGTGGTTCGCCAACAGTCAATCACTCCGGTGTCGACCCTTCCCTGCCTTGAACTGCGAAAATCTAGACAGGCATCCACCTCGATTCCGAAACTTGTTCACCCCTCTTGCATCCTCGATTTTCCCTGTCCCCCATGGTTTATGCTCCTCCCTTGAACGACGCCTGGGCGCGGATAATGTCTCGCGTTCGAAGAATTGGTGTACAGTGCGCCCAGATTCCACACCCGATAATTTTAGCTATAGTTCTTCCGATCACGGTTCGAAGGCACTCCACTAGATACTTTGGTAAAACCCTTGCCTAGCCACCGGAGGAATAAACGCCCACTTCGTGTCGTCCAACATGCCAAACGTTCCCAGGGCAGACAGGGGCTGGGAATCTGGCCGAGTGCTCCGGGCTCGCCACCCCCTACTCAACAGACGAGTCAGGAGGCGAAGATCCAAGTACTGCCATGTAAGTAGATTGAACTAAGTTGATCCTGGGGATCGGAGACTTTCATAAGGATCTGCAGCCCTTTCCGATCCGCGCGCATTGGCCCCCTGCAGACGCGTCTCAACACCAGGTTGATTTGCTGCACATACTTCGGCTGCCCGACTCCCATGGCTTGTGATGACACCGGTTTCAAATCCCACTATTGCTTTGAAATACTGAGAGTAACCATCATGAGACCTCGGGTGAGGTATGTCGCTCCTAGATAAACCTCTATCTATGCTGAACGCTGTAATTGAAGGGTGCCCGGGATTTCTCACAAGAAGCTAGAGTACGGGGAAGGGGGCAAGGAGGGGATCTCCTTGGAGAGCAAACTTCACGCAACGTTCGCACTCTTTATGAGGTGGTGTTTGAGGAGAACCGAGCTCTATACTTTGCATGATTTCTTGTACCTTTGCTATCCTATTGTCTAGCTGAGAAATGGAGATGGGAAGATATTAAATGGTGATGAGCCGAAACTAAACAATGGCCCTCCTTGTAAAGGAATTAATTCGCTGTGCGGGTGATTGAACTATAGGCCATCACCACCAGGGCAATTAATGATTATCCCAAACATGAATATGCATGTGCCAAGCCAAGCCAGCAGATGTACAGTACAATGGAAGAACAGTCAAAGCTCGTATACACTATAGTGTTTCCAGCCTAAAGCTTGGTGAAGCGATCAACGATCTAACGCTAGTCCTAAAGGGGTAGATTAATCACCAGGCCGGCCGGACCCGGTTTCCTGTTTGCACCCCAAGCAAACAGCAGCTCCGATACTGGCGTCACAATCCAAGCTTGTCAGACGCAATCATACAACCAGAGAACGAACCGCCTCTCCCGACCATCCAAAGAAACCCCAAAAGATCACTTCATCATGTCCGAAGGCGGAGGCTGGAGTACCATTGAATCCGACGAGGTGAGTGCAACCAATCCTTGAAGAAGAACGCGACGCAGCAATCTGACAAACCTATAGGGCGTCTTCACCTCTCTGATCGAGAACCTCGGCGTCAAAGATGTGCAATTCGAAGAACTCATCTCCTTAGATGCGGACACAATCCGCTCTCTAAGGTACTGAAGCCCCATTACCTAGGCTTCCAAACCACCCATAACTGACGAATTCCATCTCGAATAGCCCCGTCTACGGCGTTATCTTCCTCTTCAAATGGATCCGCGAACAACAACAACCAAGCGCCACAACCGCCGCACCGATATCATCCTCATCACAACAACCCCCTTCAGGAACCTACGACACCTCCCCGCCGCCGTCCCTCTTCTTCGCGAACCAAACCATCCAAAACGCCTGCGGCACGCAAGCCATCTTGTCCGTGATCCTCAACCACGATGACGCCGCCTCCGCCTCGTCAACAAATCCCTCCGCAGCACCGGCCATCGCCATCGGGCCCGAGCTGCGCGCCTTCAAGGACTTCACCACGGGGTTCCCGCCCGACCTGCTGGGTGAGGCCCTCTCGAACAGCGAACCGATCCGCACCGCCCACAACGCCTTCGCGCGCTCCTCGCCCTTCGTCGATGAGATCGTCCGGCCGCACCAGGATGAGGAAGGTGGCGACGTCTACCACTTCATCGCCTACACCCCCGTCAACGGCCGGCTGTATGAGCTGGACGGCTTGCAGCCGCACCCCATCTCCCACGGGGACTGTACCCCCGAGGAGTTTCCCGACAAGGTGATCGGTGTGATCCAGCAGCGCATTGCCCGGTACCCCGAGGGGGAGACGAGATTCAACCTCATGGCCGTGTGTCGGGATCTGCGCGTCCGGGCACGCGAGTTTGGCGACGCGGAGGCGTTGGAGACGGAGGAGCGGAAGCGGAGGGCCTGGGCGTGGGAGAACACCTTGCGGAAGTCCAACTTCGTGGGTTTCATTGGGGAGATGATGAAGGGCGTGGCGGGCATGAAGGAGCAGGAGGGTAAGTTTGACGAGTGGGTCGAGGGAGCGAAGAAGGAGACGCAGAGAAAGTTGCTGAGGAGGTGATCTTCTTCCAAATTCTAAATTCTCGTGTTATGTCTAGTCGAAGGTCCCTGTCTATGGCTTCTTGGATGACGTCAATTTAGAATCTGTAATGATACTCCTGGCTATGTAGGTATGATGTATGTATGTACAGTACAAAAAACAACAAGTAGCAGAAGATTAGTTCGCTTCGTCACTCATTCCAGTCCGGCTTCCGTACTGATCATAATCGTCAAAGTCAGCTAGTACTTGATGATCCGAGATTTGATCTGCTCGACCAATGGCGCGGGTAGTTCATCCTCCTGAACAAATCCCATTGACAGTAGGTCAGACCAGAAGAACATGGCGCGATCTTGCGCATATGCGAGATAGTCGAACTCGTCAGCTTCGTCGACATCCGCGTCCACCGGAGGGGTCGAAGTAGGCGCATCGGTAGGTCTTTGCACGTGTGCGCCGTTACCGTTGGCGGTATCGCCGTGGCCGTTGGATGCTGCGGCATCTGCCTTGATACCTTCTTCCATGCCAGGCACCTTCGCTTGCACAATTCCCCACGCCACCCACTGAGCAGACGTTATCACACGCCACAACTTCGTCTGATCCATGAGGGCTTGGATCTTGGCTTCAACACCGTCTGCATGGGTCTTCTCGATATCGACGCGGGCCATTACATCCATGTCCGGGCCAGCGTCGAGACTCAGTGGCGCGAGAGAAGTTGTGTTGGAAGAACCTGCGCGCATTAGAGGGGTGATCGACGGCGAGGCCTGCTCGCGCAATCCGGGTCGATGACTGAGGTAGGCGCTGATGAATTGATGTTGCTGTGCCGGGGTTGGATAATCCGTGTTGTTGCATGCCCAAGGTCTTTCCGGGTCATGATAATTGTAGCACCATTCAGACTGTCAATGATGGTTAGCGATGAAGTGACCAGCAAGTCTAGAAGATACCCACGAAGTGATTCGCAAATTCAAAACCTGGCGTGTTAGCCGAGGCATACTCAAAGTCAATGACAACAAGCTGCTTGTGCTTGTTTTCAGGACGAAGCAAGGGTGACTCATGGCTTGGTTCCATACGAAGCAGATTACCGTATTGTGTCTTGCCAGTAAGTTAGCGTATACCCGGAAAGTTCATAAGCAATGGACCTACATCGTTATGGGCAAAAACCAGTTGCTGTTTGACGGCATTTACTCCGCCACAACTGGAAATGAGCCACTTGCGATAGCTGTCGACTGCCCTTCTGAAAACCGGCCAGGGGACACCGCAGACGAAGCCTCGCCGGCGCCATGATTCTGAAACAGACTTGCTCGCGCTGTGCTCGGATTGGATCTCCTTGTCCAGCCAATTGATGACCTGCTCACAGCGATCAACCCACTTATCCCAGTTCTTGAACACCATCGGTCCTCCTTCCCGCTCTTCTGCCAGTAATTCAACACCGTCATGAAGTTCTCTCATTCGCTTGGCGATCTGCTTCATAGTAAGAGGATCCCGAAGTTCCTTGGGTGTGAGAGGACGTGCTTCGAAGTACTCTTCAAACCGACCATTCTGGAAGGTGCCCAACACTTTCGGGCCAATGTTCTTTCGGCCTAGACGGCGGAGAATCTGCAGTTCATTCTCTCTATCAATCAGGTGGTCTGCTTGTGGACCGTAAATGCGCAACAGAAGCTTCCTGCTAAGAATTAGATTACCCCTTCTGGCTGTGAAGGGAGGCACTTACGAAGGGGCCTTTCTGGGAACCAAGGAATAAGAGCCATCCTCGGCTTTCGGAACGGGAATGCTCTGCGGCGGATTTACCACATATACCGCGTTGGTCAAAGCACCGCTCAGCCGAATGACGTCGATATCAGCAGCAAAATCCATAGGTAGCTTTCGCCATCCCTTGAATTGCAGGGTGTGGGCGAGGCGGAGAATCTCGGTTTTGAAAGCCGTCCACACTTCTCTGTCTTTCGCGTGGCGGGAATTTGCTCCATGCTCGCTGTCATCATCTTCAGCACCACCACCACCACCACTGTAAGCCATAGTTTTGGAGTTGTCCAACACAGCATCCACACTAGGAGCAGCGGTGTCCAAGTCTGAAAAGTCTGACTCAGATGCAGAGCCCCTCCGTAAGCCTCTAGACCGGTGGCGTCGAAGTCGTCGCACCGGCCCATCCTGTCGCGAAGCGGCATACTGGAGCAGAATCTTCTCCAGCTTGTCGAGAGCCATTGAGACGTTCGTACCAGAGGATAATGATCCTTCTACTAGAATACCGGTGCTGTTGCTGCCTGCATCTTGACCCAGGTTTGCTGCTTCGTCCGGAACTCCAGAACCTAAAGAGTAATGAGAGCTGCGCTTAGATTTCTCATGTTCAAGCCATTCATACACCTGGCTGTAGAGGCTATTCTGCGGGTCTTCTTCGCTGTACTTGGTACTGTGGTCCTTTTCGTCGCGTATGGCAGATTCGGTGGCGATGCTGGAGCTTTGGCTACCGAGAGAGGTCGGAAGATGGATTGGCGGGCGAGCTGTCGCTTTCTTGGCCACAGGAGCCCGCTGTCTAGCAATGTGTGCTTCCGATGAGGTTGCAGAATCTGAGTGGCCGGTTGTCCGACGACGTCTTTGGAAAGCCACGTTCAGACCAGTTCCCATGATCGGTTGAGGTCCTTTGACAATTGGTCAGAATCCATCAATATCAGGTGATAGAAGAAGGGGAACAATGAAGGTCGCAAGGGACATGAGCTTAAAAATGGTCGACAGCATGTTGGACGTCGCAGTGGGCTATACATGAAGAATCGGATCCAGAAACAAGGCTTCGAAAAACCTACAGCTACATAGAGGGTACGACCGGAGAGAGAACAGGGCAGAGAGAGAACTTGTGCTCAAACCTACCATCATAGTCAAGACCAGACTCAGAGGTCTGACCGGTGAAGGAGGGCATGGTCAGGAGAACACTCTGGTGAAGGGGAACAACGACCGTCTGCGCAGAAAGGTGTACAATCGCGGAGAGAGAAAAGCCGTCAGACTGTGCGGGTGTATGCTGAACGTTGCCAGTCAGTGAACACTGGCGGAGACCTCAGGAGTCGGGGATTTCATACTTTAAGTCATGTAGACCCGCACGGGACACTGGAGCTCTGGGACGGGGCCAACAACGGGGTTTGGGTTGCCAGAGAGCCCCGGGGAAGTACCTCGGGGAAGGATTTCTAACGGAATTGAACACACTTGGTGGGAAGACTGTTGAATTTGACCAGAATCGCAAAGAAAAAAAGAGGGCGACCAAGTGGGGGGTGGAGCGATAAAGCGCCGTCCAGCAGCAGCTGGCTCAGAAATACGGTCGCGGATGGGCTCGATGGTTCCACTCTGGACCACAATCACATGTGATTCAGAAGTGAGAGAAGAAAAGTGTTGAATGGAGATAACACAATTGGTACAGTCTGCGAAATCAAAATCCTAAGTACGAGTAGAAGATGGCGCACAGATCAAGGCGAGCAACAATGATGTCGAAGGGATGGGATTCAACAGGGTCAGTGGCAAATGACGATATGGGATGAGAAAATAGTGTAGCGGCCGTGAAAACGGAAAGTGTGAGGGAAGACTCAACCTCAGGTGACCTGCCAGCCAGTCCCGCCCATCAGACTATCAGCTCGGCGGTGAAGTCGTCCAACCGAGTATGTTATCACTCGGGGGGAATGAACATTGAAGCCCGTCCATGCGAGGTAATCATCACAGTAGGCGCAGTAGGCAACCCTGAACACTGAAGCACACGACATCTGGCCAACACCCATCAATTTGTTTGTTTGTTGCTCGCCCGATCTACGCTTGGGGCATTTTTCCAGGCAAAAGACGGGTCGCAATCTAGGCTGAGCAACTGAGACAGGACAGCTGTCTGCTCCATCATCCACTTGGTCTTCATTTTTAAAAGATAAGCTGACCGCTACGTTGGTGAGCACCGTGGATAATTATGATTGTTGAGCGAGTGTCTGATATCGTGACTGCCAAGAATCCGCTAGTCCTCCATCTAAAGTGGGATCAGACACTTGCAGTAGGCTCGCATGGGCCTTGACCCTATCTGCCATAGACCAACAACCGGGCACGTCAAGCATGGCTAAATCCCGCTGTCGATCTGCGATCAGGTTGCAAGATACATTGTTTTCAAGAGTACAGTACATAGTAGTATAAAGCTTGGTTCCATCCAGGAACACTTCTAAATATAATCTAGCATAGAAGGTACAAAACCACGCACCTGGCAGTGATTCACAATTGATTCATTCGGACTTCATGCGGAACCACTCCGCTTACACAGTGGTTGGTGAAAAAGTCCCTGGCCCGCCACCCACCAGTTGACCACCCGAGCTCGCACTCGGGACTCCGAATTCATGTGTTTGCTTTCTAACTATGCACACTTAGTAATTAGGCATCGACATTTCCACACCAGTGTCTCGCACAGCCACAAGAGGGCCTACGTGGTAGGTCGATGAGCCGCATCTCATGTCCATCCATCGGCAGTCCGCAGCACATCGATCTACAGGATTCGATGAACAGCCCCCCGACATCCATTCGCTGTTCCGTCCGAATCCGAGCAGGTGGATGCGCACAAACCAAAAGCCATGGTGGCTTGGAACAGCAATACCATCAGTAAATGGATGCTATTCTTATCCTCTGATAGGATCTGGCCGGTCGGAAGTGTCGGGCAACTGTTGGAACAGGGACGAATCTGGGCCGGACCCCCAGGGGACTGACGATCCTCAAATTTCAGTCTTCAGGGTTTGTGTACCCATCTTGCCGCATCTGCCGGCGTATAAATTGCTCGTACTTCGTCGTACCTGGCGCTGATCTTCTGTGATCTACTTTCTCCTGAAAACATCTCTACATAAATACTCCTCTATACCCACATACCCCGGGTTATTCTAGATTGTCCCTGATCCATCCTTATCCTTATCTCGCTTATCCTCGACCACTCTCCAGTTCTAAACAAACCTACTCATTTCACTTTTGAGCAACAACACCTCTTACTTCGAACACAAAAAGAACCGCCATCATGCAGCTCCAGACTCTCCTCCTGACCACCGCCCTCTTCACCACCTCCGCCCTCTCCGCTCCTCAAGGCGACATCGTCTCCGACATCATCTCCAACGCCGAGGGCATTGCCCAGACGGCCGTCTCGGGAGCCGAATCCGTCGCCACCCACATTGTTTCAGACGCCACCTCCATCGCCAGCGCAGCCGAGACGGGCGGTGCGGCCGCCGCCTCCGACGCCCGCTCGTGGGGAGAATCGGTCGCCTCGAACGCCGAGTCCTACGGCCAGTCGGTCGCTTCCGATGCGCGGTCCCGGGCCTCCGATGTCGCCTCTAAGGCCTCCTCGCGCTGGGACGACTTGACCACTCTTACTGGCACCAACGGCGAGGCCACGGCTACCTCGACGGTGTCCGGCGGAAACACAGTGACCGTATCCACAGTGACCGCCACCACGACTGGTACCACTTCTACTACTGGTACCTCAACCGGCATGAGCGCGGGTTCGACTAAAAGCTCCAGCAGCAGCAGCACTGCCTCGACCACAAGCTCCGAGGGCGCGGGTGTGCAGGCTACCCCCGCCGCTGTGTTGGGGTACGGAATCGCCGGTGTGGCAGGTGTCTTGGGCGTGATGGCTGCGTTGTAAGGTGTTGCGATTTTGAAATACACGTTTCGGGCGGGGCCTGCGTTCTGCGGGTGAAGGATGAATGATCTCTCGGATCCACCGTTTCCTTTAGAGGTGGATCTTCCTGTACATGACTCTATTCATACTATCATTGTCTATACTATATCCATGTCTTGTTCGTTCTTAGTTCGTTCTTATCTCGGTTTCATATATAGCATTCAAGTTCATAGAATGACGCTTTCAATCACACTCACAAAATTTATTCATCTACGCTATCTCAATTCACTGGACTGAGTGTAGCAGGGGTAGGAAGGAGTTCCATAACACTCTCCTCTAAGCTAAGCCGTGGTAATCATATGTCCGTAGCAGGGTAGCTTTCTTTTTGAATCGCTCACAGCCGCCATCCCAGAGAGACGTATCCGCCGCGGGCCCATACACCCTTTCTACATCCAGCCTCTCTCTCAAGCCGTCTTGCTCGTCGGCGGGATGCGAGGTCACGGGTGGCCTGCGCAGCTTCCTCTTCTGAACGACGTCAGGTGATCGTGTCGGGAGTATAAACCCCCCCTCGTTTGCCTCTTTTCATTCTTTACCGTCGTCGTTCGTTGCGGCTGGAGTTCGCGAGTCCGTAGCGACGTCCCGGTTTGAGGGCGATCTTTCGTCGAGAATGCATGTAGAAACAAGGCGGATCGATGTCGTTTCTCATCTGTAGTTTGCCGGCCGCAGCGCCTTGCGAAATCTCATCCTGGTGCAGCAGCTGTTGTTCGTCAATGCGTTGGCGGAGTGGGGTGTCGCCTTTGGCGCAAGCGTTTTGTACTCGCTACGCAGCCTCTTTTGCCTGGAACATCTGCTAAGGGTGTGTGGTGTGACGAGTTCGTAGTGATACGCCATTCTGGTCTTATGTGTCGTGACGAGTACTTATAGAAGCAGTATTCACGATGTACAAATCGCATACCATTCCTTGTCAGTGGAGTCAGATGGCAGCTAATATACGATGCTGAAAATGGATCGCAGTGACACCTAGAACACAACAACGTAGCATTGCATAATGTACATGAATGCCAATACACAAGCGCAGCGAATACATACAAGCACACACAAAAGTACAGTCAAGAGAGCTAGAGCCGTGAAAAGAGGCATTTACACCTCCGTAGTGTGAGAGTTCATGGGCTGGCCATCTCCAACAGTGGGGATATGGGCAGCCCCGGCCTTCTCCGACGCGGATCCCCGGCGATCGTAGGGGGCCAGTTCCTCGAACTGGAATTTGGAGCTCTTCCACGGCTTCACACGCATTACATACATCGTATCAATCTCCTCCAGCGTTCTCCCGCGCCCTTCGATGACGACCAGGTACACCAGTCCCGCGGCTAGGAACAGACAACCCGCAAAGACATACCCATACCGGAAGTCAATCGCGCTGGTGATGAACGGCGTGAAGAATGCCAGGAGGAAGTTCCACAGCCAGTTAGATGCCGTGGCCAGCGACATCGCCCGTGCCCGGTACTCCGAGGGGTACAGTTCCGCGATGATGGTCCACACCATCGGGCCCCACGTGGACGCGAACCCCAGAATGAACAGACATGCGAACACCACCATAACCACTCCGGCGGTGTGTGTATTCTCCGGGTTTTGTAGGTCAAGTGAGAAGTGGCCCACCGAGGCAAACACCATGAAGCAGACGAACATCCACAAAGCCCCAGCGATCAACGACCGCCGACGGCCGTAGTTCTCGATCAGATATAGACCCAGAAACGTGGTCCCAAAATTCACACCACCAAGAATCATCTGCGTTACGTAGCTGTTTGAGATACCTGCGCCTCGAAATATTGTCGTTCCGTAGTAGAAGAAGTAGTTGGCTCCGGTCAGTTGCTGGAGCGCTTGGAGCGCGACACCCGCGGCAATGCGGTATTTCATCCGCGGTCCCTTGAATAGCTGAATCCAAGTCACTTTTCCGCGCATCACTTCCTCGTCGTACTTCTGCTTAATCTCGTCGAGCTCTACCTTTAGCATGCGGTGGTTGCGGGGAATACCGTACATCTTGGTGAGGGTATCGGTTGCTCGTTCGATTTTACCGTGTCGGTAGTCATACCGCACGGTTTCGGGGAATAGAGCGATTCCCAGACCAAGGATGATAGCCCATAGATAGGTGACACCCATGGGAATGCGCCAGGAACCAGTGTCATCTCTTGCTTCGGTCCCAAAGTTGATGCAATTGGCGACGAAGATTCCCAAAGTGATGAAAAGCTGGTAGGTACTGATATATTGTCAGTTCGAATCTCAAGTATCTCAGTGATCGGCGCGGAGCGTACCTGACCAACGATCCTCGAATGTGTCTAGGCCCAGTCTCAGCTTGATACATGGGCACGAGCAAAGACAACGCGCCAACCCCAAGGCCGGCTACCCAACGGCCCATGGCCACTTGGTACCACTTTCCGCTTGGCGAAGTTATTTGAACCGTGATGCCTACGCAGACCATGGCTGACCATCCGCTGATAGACCATTTTCGGCCAACTCGATCCGCGATGGGAGCTGCGATGAGAGCCCCGATTAAGGTCCCCACCGATAGCTACGAACCATTGACGCGTTAGACAGTTGAGCACGTGTCGCAGAGGAGTAGAGCTCTTACCAGCGCCACAATGAGACCAGAGCGAGCATTGGTGAAATAGTACGTGCCATCAGAACGCTGTTGGCCATATCGTTGGAGGAAGTTCGGCATTTCTAGAAAACCAGAGATCTGGCCGGTGTCGTACCCGAAGAGGAATCCTCCCATCGAGACGAAGACACCCATGAGAAAAGATCTCCATGTCAATAGCGGGATCGGGGTGTCGACTAGTTCTTCCTCTTTTGCTCCCTGGATTGGGGCTGTGGGAAGCGTTCCTTCTGTCGGAGCCTGATTGTCACCGGCAGAGTAAGTGTCGGGCCTAGCCCCAGATTGCCTCAGCTTTGAGAGGACCATCGTAGTTAGCTTGTGCTTATCTTGCCTCAACTATCAATGGTGCTGAATTATATAGTACAGAAGCTTCAAGCGCAGCCGTAACCGGTCTACCTAGACTGTTATATAGCTTTTTGCTATACTACGAAACACCCGCGACATGGACATGGATGATAAATCATGATGTCACGAAATCGACGTCTAAGCATCCTTTTCTGTTTGATCTAACTGTCAATGACAGCCGCAGGACTCAGCTCGCCTCGAATACTCAATCGAGACCAGGGTCTACCCTGTAGGATTGAGGAAGATGTCAGCTGTTCACGTGGAGGTCGTGGCCGGCTTCCATGGCTCGGCACAGGGTATGCAGCCGCTGAGTGGCCCCGGCGGTCGGATGCAACTCTCCGTTCGCCAGCCACGCCGTGGAACCGGCACCAACCCCGAACCTCGACAAAGTCTAGGCGTTCATCATCATCTCGCTTGGCCCCGAATCTGGGGAAAAGTCCTATCATTATGTCATTTCACCCAGAGGGGCAGTCCCCACGACCAATATGACAGGCTGCTTTACGCCCCGTGCATCAGGTGGCTTGTTCGATACCACCCCGGTTCCCATGGGTTGACATGCCCGCGGCTTCTGGCACAACTACCGGACTGGGGAGCCGTTCGGCCACGGCCGAGAAGGCGAAAGCTGTATCAGACGTTGTTGCCCCAAGGGGTAGGAATGCATGCATTCGCCCGTTATCAGACTCTCGGCGATTCCGAAGCCGTTTTGAGGCAACCGCCGGCTAATCTATGGTAGGGACTGAAACGAACACGAAGAGCCGCTGCACCGGCCAGATGCGCATAGGATGTGGCGGGCAGATTGGGTGCTGCTTTGTCTTTGTTTGACAACTTCGTGCTTGTGGCATTACAATGTTGCCCTGCAGCATCTCAACGGTTCCAGTAGAATCAACTATCGACCCTCTTCAAGCCGTCATTGGGTCTGGCCGTCGACAAAAAGAAGAAAGAAGCTTTAATCATTCTCGTTCACCCTGGTTCGGAGTAGGTCGAAGTCACCTTGGCTACTCATTACGAACGTCTCCACGAAGGCTTGAACTGTCTGAAGAGAGATTGAAGACGATGCACGACCTAAGATGACGGAGCATGAATGTCAAATATCCTGCTTCGAATGGGAGCTATTGATTCTTCACAATAATAAACGGAGCTCCCTAAGAGCGAGATGTGCGAAAACCGAAACTTGCTGAGTGGGATTTTGAATAAAATAAGAGTAGACCGAGTCTCAGAGCCTGATATAGTCCGTTGCATCCCTGACATCAGACCAAGAACCACAACACACCCTCAGTGACATAGACCAAATTGAAAGATCACCAAGAATCAGCTGTTTCCTCACAGGCCTTGACCTTTCTTTCTCTCTTTTCTTTGCAGTCTCCATCGCGAACCCGAACGTCCCAGTGCCGTATCTTCTTGTGGTATCTCGCCTGGTCGAGATTGACAAATCTCACTGGTCTAGTCGCGGCGCTGCCCTCGTTGTTGTTGTTGTTGCTGCTGCTGTCTGTACTGCTCGAATGCGCCGGCAATCCTGTCAGTTGGACCATCCGATCGAGCAAGCATCATCATTGGTGGCTACATATGTCATCAGCACTCATATCTCACTCAAGGTTTCGTGCATCGGAAGGCATACCTGTTCCTCGCTCAGAACCGCCGCACCAGCCTCCCTGGCCGGAGCTGCCATTGCCACAGCGAAGAGGGCAGAAAGGAGGAAAACGGGCTTCATGCTGAAGATGCCGTTGACTTGGCAAGCAGATAATGGGTGTGACTTTGCGTTTGCAAGGACCGAAAGAGGCCGCTTGATGATTGATTTCCAGCGAGATGAACACGGAGAGTTCGTTGTTCTAAATGCTAAAAAACAGTGCAGCCAGAGGGTTTATATACTAGAACTCGGGGCAAGTCCCCTTAGACCAACCGCCAGCGAAGGTTTCGTTAGAGCGAGTCAACGTCAATGCTAAAGCAACTGTCACTCCAAAAATAAATCCGGAGAAAGGGTGACTATTGATGATAATTTGATATGTCTTCTCAATAGTTGTCTTAGCCTTTCGCTTAGAAGTATTAGTCATTCGCGGATCTGAAGTTCGGTCCATGAGTTCTTTTGGGTGCGAACCGAGTTGCAGTTAATGAATGTATCGGCTGATAGGGTAATAGTATCAGGGTAGAGCAGAAAGTACCTCTTGCTTGACGAGATGAATCACAATGCGCCCACCAGATCGAAACGATGCAGCAAGGTAGAAAGCTTTCCCGAGATACGTGAATCGAGGCGCGGATGCACCATGTCAAATATCTTCAATGCGTAATAATTCGGGAAGCTCCAACTCACCTCGGTCCTTATGCAATGAACTTTCTTGACTGAGTACGGAAGCAGATTTCCGACACCACTCCTGACAAAGACGCTTCCCAACCAGCTGTCAAACTGACCCCAACAATAGAGTCGATCATCTCAGGCACCAGCACACTCGGTGTCCACATCCCGGCCGAACTATCCCCACCTGAGCAGTAACCTTCATGCTCCTTTTCGTACCCAGATTGATGATAGGTACTAGCCCGGTCCGTTCCGAGACGAACATTTGCCGCTTTGCTACTAGCTGAAAGCCAGGTCTGCCTCACTGTGCAGTTGGACCGATCATGTCCGCAAATCCTCCCTCCCCGATCCGAGTCAATGGTATGTACAGTACAGTACATTCAAGCTCCTCATAATCACCGGGTCTTGGTAGGCGGGTCTTCGTGGTTGCCTACTTGTTTGCTTGCGTGGGAAGGGGAGACTAGTTAGTGGAGACTTTTCTTGCCGCGAATTTGAGGAAATAGCTCTTGTTTTGCCTTGAACTATTGTGACGTTGGGTTTCCGATGTGATCTGTTCTTACCTGGCTAGATCGACTCCAACACTAATCGGCCACTATGTCCCGCTGGATCTTCCCAGTAAAAAAGGACAAAGGTACGGGGCTAGATCGGACATCGAACGCCATGGCTTAAGGCTATCAGGTACGGGACAAGTGGATAAAGCTGTCAAATGCGCATTGGCCCTGGTCTGGTCTACTATCATCATGTTTCTGTCGATCGTCCGACTCCTCTCTCCCGTAGCCTAAGGAGACTCTCTCTTGTCTCTCGGCGAATACAGCTCACGCAGACGGCAAAACCAGGTACGAACCATACTTTCCCCTCCTCCCCCCACCCACCCTCCCCTGTAAACCTGGTGTTTACCTTTGTTCTCATCATCCGGCTCCGCCGGTCGCATGGAACCTACCTTTGGAAGACACATATCGTGGACTGACACACGGAGCATGATTCCCTCTCCAGGCCCGAAGACCATCCCCATCGGCCAGAGGCTGATTTCAAGGGGCACAATGGTCTGTGGCGCGACGGGCTCATGTCGGTCGTGTCGGTACACAAACTCTTCTGCGGTCGAACAGACCTCATCGTGAGTTGACTGCGTTCGATGCGCGCAGGAAGCCGAAGGCCCAAGGGTTTTGACCGTATTCACGTTCGGCACTTCCGTCACTGGCACCGGACACGGGTAGTTGAGGTGCGCAAGAAGCATGCCGTTTTTGTTGACCTTACGAATCTGGACAGCGACATCCATGTCGTTGTGATCCCGGGCAAGACATCCAGAGGTGAACGCGCGGGAATCCGGCTATTTCGGTGTATTTGTCGCAGACCAATATGAGCTCCTGGACATTCCAATGGTTAATTGAGAACCTGGACACCAGAAGAGAGTGACTCACTGGGCTGGCTTCCAGGGCGCGCCCAGCATGCGCTACGAATGATGCGTCAATCAGCTGATCTGGTTGCAGTGTCTCGACGGCTTGGTTGAGATAGAACTTCTTCAACTCTTGCCGTGCTAATGAGTATTCTTGCTCAGGACGTTCTCGTATTGTCTGTACGGCACTATTCTCAAATCCAAGCAACAAGAGTCGGAGTGGCGGTGTACTCTCCAAATTATTCTCGATACCTTTTAGATAACGAACAAAGTATTGTGCCAGATCCTCAACCATCTCTGGACGATAAAGGTCGTACCATTCTTGGTATGGGTGCACAGTAGCCATTTACGCGCGGTCTGGCTGCGCGGAAAGTCTGGAAGGAACCCCGTGTATGCAACATGGAAAAGTCTGACGCAAGGACATACGGCGGTACATCTTTGATACGTTCCGGATGATTGCACTTGCTCTGCCAGTAGTCATCGTAAAAGGGACGCTTGCGAATCATGGCGGGCATATTCTCCGCCGACCCGTGGCCGGCAAAACCTGTGAGGATCATCGAGTGGAACTTTTCATTGTGTGCTCGCCCACCCCGAAGAACCAAATCACGCTACAGGTCCGTGAAGCCTTCCCATGGTGCCAGAGCTTTGAGGGCTGGGTGCGATAGGCGTGATGCGAAGTTAACTTGTGCAATGGACAGCCAGGAATTGCCTGCCATCCCGACCGAGCCTGTACACTACGGCGCTTCGAAAGCCAGTCAATAGTGTCATAGATGTCTTCTGCCTCTTGCTGCCCCCAGAAAGAGATATTACCCTCCGAGTCATCGCAACCTCGTGCGTCCAAATTAACGATGGCGTAGCCGCGTAAAGCCCATTCAGCAGGGTCAGGGTACTCAAATTTCTCGTAGCCAGACGTGCGACTCTTCTCTAGACCAACAAGGAAAGGCGCCATGCTGTCGTAGCTCTGAGGGCCCGTGCCGGTCAATAGTGGGTACTGGAGAATCATCGGAGCCCACAGGGCGGAAAATATCAGCGTAAATTCTTGTGCCATCACGGGAAGTCATCGCGACGTCTCTATCATAGATCACATCTGCAAGGAAGGCCTGAAGGCCTGGAAGTCGGACATGGCATGTGGGAAGAATGGTCTTGCTCGGTTGAAATCCGTAGTAGGTGAAGGCGGGATGCTCTGTCGGGGATGCGAGTTTGTGCCACTCAAGATTGGGAAAGGCTGCACGGGTAGACGCTTCGGTACTGATCGTAGCGGTAGTCTTTATTATTAATCTGAAAGACATTCGGTTCGAGCCACCGAGGCATGCTCGTTATTTATCGACCATGATGGAAGACTGGCTGTTTCCAGTCCCCACTTACCGAGCGTTGCTGATGCGGGGAACTGATCTTTGACGGCCCGTTGCCCAGCCGAAAACATGGTTGTGGGAAATGGGAAAGCGGGTGATGGAGAAGTGGAGAGGTGCGGAGCTGGGGAGTGCTTTTGTCATGTAGAGCATGATGGGATGATGTTGAGATGAAGGAGCAAGAACGGGGCGGACTCTAGTGTTGCAGCCTCAGGCACATAGATATTTGCGCCACACGACATGTCTGAATACCTACTATGACATGCATTCGAGAATAAAAAAAAAAGTAGTCATGATGTGATTTCAGCGATACTGCACTTATATCGCAGCACTCTATAACAAAACAAAAACAAAAACAAAAATGAAACAAAAATGAAAAAATGAAAAAACAAAAACAGAAAAAAAAAAAAACAAAACAGTCCTCTATGTACAGCGGGCTTCAAGTTAACAGAACTTGTAAACGATAATGCAAAACAGTATGAAAAATGAAAAGTGAACCCATATGAACGCCCCACCCATGACCAGTATGCACCAGAGAAACCCCAAAATAAAGGTGGTGTCACAACATTAGTACACTATTGTTCGAACATTCACAAAGAAGGAAAGTCTAATGCTTTGGCATTACCGGGAGCTCATACTCCACAGGTACCTCTGGCCACGCATCGATTCCGTCCATGATCGCCATTGCAAGCCCACCGCTGTGATGCATTTGGATATGACAGTGCATGAAGAATGGACCGGGGTTGACGACGTGGTATCGGAGCGCCATCCAGCTGGGGGCTCCCAAGGATGGAGGAGTCTGGTAGGTGTCTCGCATCTGAGGGGTTTCCAAGTTGAAGTTGCCGGGGATTTTTTGCATTGCTTCTGCGACAGAGGAGTAGGTCCAAGCTGTACTGCCCTGTCCGATCACATAGAACTTGTTCGAGTGCTTATGGATCGGATGTTGGGGCTGACCAGAAGTCGTAACATTAATAATCAGGTCTACCCAGGTATCATTCAGGGTAGAGATCATGTTCTCAGTGGGAATTGTGCTGGTGTTGAACAACGCCGGAACCTCAATATCCTCGAGCTCCATCGGATAGTTAGCACCGCCGAGCATCCAGCCATATGATGTTGACATTTGGGCAATGTTGAGAATGAAAGTTTTATTGGCCTCAGCCGCAGGTGCTTCACGTGGGAATGGAACCAGAGTACTGTCATCCAGGATAGTGACGCCGCGAGTAGCAATGGTGCCGAGCTCATTGATATATGCTCCTGTGGAGGTGGAAGCTCCAGGCTTACTGCTGCTGGTGCCGCTATTGCTGCTTGTTGGCTTAGTTCGCTGAGGACTGGTGCTGCTGGACCCTTGGTTGCTGTAGGTCAAGGTTGCTGTACCGTTGATGATCTGGTTAGCATATTTGTTGGCCGCACGGACCGTGTATGATCCTGCGGGCTGGTCTAGTTTCAGCATAACCGAGTACCGTGACCCAGCGGGAACATTGATAGCTTCGACCGACGATGGTTCAACATAACGCCCATCGACCGCGTAGATGATCATGGGATGATGGTCGATAGAAAAGACGAGAGAGGAGCTGCCAGCCATACTCATCACGTCATAACTGACATACTTCTTGGAAGCGTCGACGTTGAACACCTGATTCGGGCCCTGGGCCGGCACGCAGCCTTCAAAGTAGCCTTTAGGTATCTTGGTGAGATCGAAATCGTATCGCGCATACCGTGTCGCGGTAGGTGGCATACATCTGTAAAGTGTATGTTTAGTATGAAAAATACCAATAATAGACAAGGAGCAGGCTTTACTCACCCCATATCACTCATTTTTGCGTTCCCAAGAGCTTGAATCTCGCCGGAACGTGTAAGGGAGTCAATACGATCTTGACCGGGACAAATGACAGAACCCTTGCCGTTGAACAAGATAGAACTGGCGCAGTAGCTTGAGAAACCAGACTCCTCCTGGATCTGAAGAATCTCTTCCGAAGTGAACATGCGCCAGTCGGATAGAACCACCGGCTGGGTTTTCTTTTCAGCTTCCATCAACGCCTGCAGTTCCGTCTGGTCGGTGGTCATCAAGCTAAACGGTCTTTCCACCGAGTCTGCTGGCTCCACATAGATGGCACCGTAGAGCCCATCATCGAGCTGGGCTCTCATATGAGAGTGATAGATGTAGGTTCCATACTCCTCGGCCTTCCATTTGTAGAGGAACGCATCACCTGGTTCGATGGGGGCTTGCGAGATCCCGGGAACACCGTCAGACCATGGGGTACCTTGCTGGTAGATACCTATAAGTTTATTGTTAGTACAGGCTGGGAGAGGGACTGGAATAGTCAAGGGTTTTCCCATAGGTAGACTGACCATGGAAGTGAATAGCCGTCGTAAATGGCATCGAATTGTTGACGAGGAACTCAACATCATCACCCTGCTTGACCCGTAGAGTTGGGCCGGGAATCTGACCATTGGTCCAGATGGCTTTGCGTGTATTGCCAGCTACCTTTCCATCCTCCCATGTAAGATCAACGTTGAATTTGACGGTCTTGCAAGAGGCCAATTCAACGAGGCCCACGAAGGCTGCTAGAGCCAAGCCAGAGTGTGTAAGCTTCATGACTGAAAGACAGAAGCTACCTAAGTGATCTTAACAAAGGGACAATAGAATGCTCGTGTCGAGATATCGGGGCGGTCGAATTAGGGCCCGTGAGCTGGGGCCGGAGTGTCGTAAATGTTTGTTGTGCACGTTTTGTTTTTCAATATCCACTTGGACTCCAGCAGGGTATACTTATACTATAAGGAGACAGGCGGGAAATTTGCTCGCCTACGTTGATGCTAGCTAGGTCCGAGCATCGGAATGTACAAGAGCTCCAAAAATATCTGCCCCGTCCCTCCGTTACATCGGATCGGGTTTGGGCTTAGGATGGATGGCCGGTTGAATGTATGATGAAAAGTCTATTGTTTGCAAATTGTGCTTTTGCTCAGTTGCGCTGCATACTCCGACTGTATGAATTCAGGTACATTGATGAATAAAACTACTGAGAACGCTCTACGTTGACTGCGCTCAGTTATCTCGCAGTGGATGCTCCCATTTCTCGAGCTGCGCTCTGCAGCCGAGTAGGGTAAGTTCCAAGCTCGAAATTCTAGCTTCATGGGCAAGGAAAAGATCGACCAAGAGCTGAAGCGTACTTTCTTGATAGGCTGCTCGCATGTTGGCGTATAGCTGTCGGATGCAGGAAATCCATGTGTTGAGGCCTGTCTTGGCAGGGATCGACAGGGCAGCGGACCCACGCATGCGGAATGGAGAAGAAAACAAACATCCTAAAGGGTCTAGGATGCTGTCATCGTCTGGGGAGCTTTCCAGACTTGTCCAGGAACCAGGGGCTCGTGTTTATTTTCTTAGTGCCAAGTTCTGAGGTTGGGTTGAGGAAGGTAGGGTTCATTTCAAGTTTCTTGGTTGCTCGCCAGCTTCCATGGACCGAGTATGCCTAGTAGCGGCCCGTCGTCGCACCCGCACCATTGAAACCGTGGTCAAGGTCGGGGTTTGCACAAGTCAGAAACGTGATCCCACAATATCAATCGAGTATGAAAAGAATATTGATTTTTCATCGAAAGCAGCAAGATCCGTGAGCGCAACCGGAGATAAGCATCAGCTCGACGACCGTGACCGGAACCGGCCCCAAAGAGAAATGATGGCATGCCGCGGCACTCGGCGAAAAGTCACCATAAGCGGAAGTCTTGATCGGGAACTCCCACATTCCGGCTTGTGAATCTACATCTTGATGCTTTTGTTTGTTTGGGTGCAGCGTTAGCTTCGACACACTATTGCAGGAGCAACCATATGCCTTCTCGAATGTCAAGGAAAATGTTGTCACCTACTTCAGGCAATATGTTTGGCAGGCTACCTTACGATCTTCAATGTACAGTACATACTAGTTCAGCACTGTTGATGCCTGTCTGTTCAGGCAGGTAATGGCGCCATTGCAGTTTTCCTTCACCATGTCGACCAAAGTCCACTCATCGATCTCATCATCCCATGACTCACCTCGGCGGGTTTGCGTCTTGCAAGTGTCTTCATGATCAGGGCGAAATCCAACAGGCCCTGGACTAGGGCTGGCTGGCAATGGCACGCCCCATTTGGAAGCCCTAAGATGGCGTCCGTATCCGAAGACACAGGAGTATTCAGAAGTTTTCTCAAGCAAAGCTTGTACTCTCTGTTATAGCCTCCTATAATGTCATCAAGTGAAACTGGAAGGGCCTCAGCAAGCCCCAGCTATTCCACAGAAGCGCTTGAGCGCGAGCATAGCAACAACAGCCGTAATAGACTAGTCATCTTCATTGCTTACATCGGTATGCCTCTGTCTCTGAGGATCATTTCTCGATAACTGACGAGACCAGGTGTATCTCTTGCTAGCTCTAATTAATCACTCGTCGTTGCAACGTACGAAGTCATTGATTGCATCTGAATTCCAAGAGCTCGCGAAAGGCCCAAGGCTGGTCACAGGCTAAAATCTCGGCTACTCCATTGCACTGCCGATCGTACGTATCGCCTCTTCATAAGAAGATCATGAGTTCTATTGGCATCATGTCTTGGGCTTAAAAATTACGACAAATTATCGGATACAGGAGGGCGCAAGCTAGCCATGCTAGTAAAGTATTCGTTGTTTGGGCTAGGATGACTTGTCAGGTAACTTGTCCTGCCAGCACGTTGCCTATGAATCCATATTGGGTTTTCTTATCGAAAAGGCAGCTCGACCAGCACAACTATGGCCGGATTAAAAGTAGGAATACGGCTTGGCTCATTCTTGACATGGCATTAGATCTTGCTGCCCCCCACCCACGATATAGTCTTGTTGCATAGTCACACCAACGTGGTGTCAATGATGACGAGCGAAGGTGTAGTGGAATGAACAAGCGATCGCGCAGGAGTGATCGGACGCCGTGTGCTAGACTCCTGGTCATTCATACGACTGGGGCCTCTTGTCGAGATACAGGAGATAACGAGTTCGAATACTGCGGCGAGACATCATTTGACAAGGAGTTAAAGTACCACTAGTAAGTTAAGAATAAATTTGACATGAAGGGAGCGGGCACAGACTCAGTTCAATATAAAGCTTCGTACTGAGCCAGGCCTTGTGCATGTATACAACCATCATGATACATCAACCAAGGAATCGTTCAATCAACACCAAGTCACATTTTTCAGTACTGGTATTCGCCTGGAACATCATTTAGTTACGCAACCGCAAGTGATGTTTAAGCCAGTGCGATCAACATCCCTGCCATCCAACCTCAACCGTGCACAATGACAAGCTCGGATAGATGAAGGCCCGCCCGCGCCCGCTCGCCCGGCCCGGTCGAGATCTAAAAGACGCCGTTCGTGAAGTCAACCACCTGCACCTTCTCCAACACCCCGCCCAGACCCTTGACGAAGGATAGATGCTCGGGATCCTTGTTTAGGTAGTATTCACGATCCTCCTCGGATTCGAACTCCATGACGAACACATGAGTGATACCGTTCTGCGACAGGGATTTTCAGTTGAGCCACTACTCGCAGGGCAGAGTAACAATCGCACGTACGTTGATTCCCTCGGGCGAATTCTGTTTTCCGGCGCGGAAAGATCTAATGTATGGTGTCTGACTTGTGGGATGAAGACACTTGTCCTTCAACGAGACCAAGTGGCTGCATACCTAGCGATCAGACTCACTTAGCAAGCGTATGGTGATAAGATGAGATAGGACAGGGCACATACTTCTTGGACCCGGTCGGGGCTGATAGAATCTTTGAACTGTAATTGCACAATATGGGTAATCATTTTGTCAGAGGAAGCTGCAAAGTGGTTCAATTGTTGGAGAGGGAAACGCTCGGATGACGATGCCATGATAACGCGCACCTAGTGGCGTGTGGAGCTTGATCAGTCAGCATGACCCTGGTCTTTGTTGGTAGCAGATTTGTTCCTTGTACCTTCCATCTGTACAGTGTAAAGCCTTTTCCGATGGCGGTATCGCCTACTATATGTTCTCTCGTCAACTCTGTAATTTTGCTGCGCAGCAACGAACAAAACTACTAGGTTTGGGTCGCAGCATCAGGTTATACTGTTGGCATGGCTGCAGCGAGGGAAACATGCATGAAAGTAATTCTTTGGACATAAGTATTAGCAATGTGTTGCCTTCAACCACTATTGCTTGATTAGTGATTACCTCCGTTCGGTACTTAAAGGGACGTGATGATTATCTTGTTGGTACCGTGGATCAGCTCCCCGCCTATGCCTATTTTCATCTCTTATCGTCATGCTTATCGGGAGGATTATAATATATACCTATCTTTATTCTATAGCAACTAGCATAACGATGACTTCAAACTCGAAACAATTTTTTGGCTAAGCCAAGTGCCTTAAAAGTCTGTTCTGTAGGCCACTGTCACAAAAATTATAATTCTGGTCGGACAATGTCACACCACTGAAGTATGTATAGCAATGTTTGCTGCATGTTTGCTCAATGCTCTGGCTTGACAGTCCCACTTTTCGTCCAAATTGCGAAAAGCAGTGGCTATAAAAGATCTGACCAGCCCCAAGATCATGGCATGAAGCAATACCAGACTCTCTTCCGCTATCAAATCAGTTTTCAAACTCCCGAGCACCCGAGCCCCGCGAAAAAACCAGCAATATGCTTATTTACGTAGGCAAGTTCAACTAGTCTCCCTACGCTACCAACGAGCTGTTTTCTGTTGTCTTCCGAGACAACGTCCAGACTGGAGACAGGGTAGCTGTTATCTTGCAATGGTCTAAAGATGCCAGCGGACAAGTGAAGTCCAACTCCAACAGCTACGGTACCGTCAATAAAGTGTCTACCAATGGTTCTGGGGAGAAAGAGATTGAGTTCTTTCAAAATGAGAAAGACAGTACCTACTACTGGTGAGCACCTCCTGTCCCCGAACTCGGATGTCTTTTAATATAGTATTGTAGGTACAAGGGCAAGGTCTCCGGTGACAAGTTGACGCTGAGCATGTGGAACAAAGGAGGCGAGGAGGTTACGAAGGATATTCAGCTGCAGCTTGTTTTCTACTGAAGGCTGTACATAAAGCTCCAAAAGCTCTCTCTCAGTTGGATGAGTTTTGTGGGCAAAGCTTGCATGGATCTTCAGAATCTTCATTGACTTCTGTGAAATTCGAAACTTAATCTAGGATTTTTTGTCTGATTTATCCTTTGATCATATGCAATAAATAACTATCGTGACAAGCACCAGTCAGTCGGGATTGGAAGGTATAATCCTTTAGCCGCTGTCCTCAGAGGGTTCGCTGTACCTTGAGAACAATATTGCTGCTTTGAAGCCATGCAGACTTGATGCGGGGTTGAGCAGCTGAAAATGTTTGTTTCATGGATTCTCGTGATCTTGGAAGCCAGCCCCCGCTTCTGACCCAGCAAACAGTTTCAGCTGCGTCGCCTCATTGTAACAAATAATAATGGAACATTGCGGTTCATCCTAAGTCGGAGCTCAATTAACACTCAGATCACAGTCAGCATGTGTCAACCCCCCCCCCCAGTTCAAGGAACCACTCACTAATGACAAAGCCACACAATTCTCGCTAAGATGAATGCGAAGCCCTGCTTTGAGTATTTGTCTAACATAGAAGAAATCATAACTCGGAAGACTCATCTGCTCATCTCGTTGCCTGCAGGTCTGAATATGGATGCGTTCTGGTCCTACTAGTTCAGTCCAATCCCTCTCCACCTGCATCGGCATCAGGTCCGTGGCGCTGAGACCGGATTGTTTATGATTGAACTTATTTTTCTCTACACCGCAACAGCGATATTGCCTAGGTAGTTGCTGCTCCGCCTGTTCTTCATGATCTCGGGTTCGAGTGTGAGGGTTCCGAAGAAGCTTTCGTACAACCGCACGAAGAGAACTGACGTAACATAGCGACCCATCGCCTCGGACCTTGACAGCTGAATTTCAATTCAAACGGCTACTATTCATTGATAGATATAAAAGCCCCAGTAGCCTTAAGCTTCCTTGATCGATCTCTCTTACTCCACATCACTCATCAAGTATTCATTCTACCACGGTACCGGACTCCAAGTCTTACCGTCAAGATGTCCGTCGCATATCCAGAGGAAGAATGCTTCTTCAAGCGCTCAACCCTGACTACCTCAACCTCTAATGCCGAGAAACCAGAGCATTTCTGCTCCCACATGATGTTAGAGTATATCTGGAACAGGCCAGCATTTGTTGGGCCCGATAGCTTGGGAAAATTTGACCTCCACCACCACCCACGAGCCGCATACAAAGCGGTTAAGGGCGACTGATGGGACACCAACTTCGGAAACTGGGACAGCATCCAATTTTTGTACGGCAAACAGCCTTACAATGACCGATACCGGCAGGCGATGCATGATCTCTGTGTCAGCGGAAATCGCTTTCGGGATCAGGAAAAAGGTGGATCTCTTGAGTCATGGGTTATGATGATGCCGATGCCACAATTGGCGAAGAGAGAGGACTGGCTTCTTATTGATGTAAGCCTCTAATGTTGGTTTCCTGTAAAGATTCTAGTCATGCTGAAGTTATGTAAATATAGCGTACGGCTTGCATCCGTGCGATTGACATTCCCGTCGCGCAGCAGACCTCGGAGGATTATTCAGAACTATGTACATTTCTCCAGGTCAATTTCGCCATCAAAAGAGATGCCAGTATCATGACCCATCCCGAGATCTGGAGTGTTGACGCTCGGGATTATCTCGTTGGCGATGATGAGCAAACATTTCCACTTGACCCTACTATGGGCCTGCTTCCGGACGGACGGTGGACGCTGGCAATAAACATCCACAGGCTTGTCAATCTACTCTCGCGGCGGTGTGCTTCCCGTTGACATGGACAGCTCTCGACGATCCTGCAAGTTTTGACAGCACCATGAGATCTATTATTCCCGTCGCAGATCTGGCTCTGATGGTTTCTGAGGAAGTTCAGAAGAGTGCCAAGGAGCAGAGAGCATATTTGTCTGAAGGATGGATTGGCGGTTCTGGTGGTCTCTTTGGCTTTGCATTTAGCGCGACGCAATCTGACACCCGGTCTATAAGTGAGACTACGACCCAGCCTCCGACGCAGCTGGCGACAACGACCAAGGCGGAGCCGGTAAAGGCCGCGTCACCAGAGGTGCTCAAGAAATACGAGTCAATCAGGAAAGTCAGGTATTGGTCACTTCTGAAACCTGCATCGGCGCCAGCTCCAGCTCCAGCGCCTATCAAAACAAAGTCTCAGCCACCCAAGGAAGACGCGCCTCCTAGCATAGAGATAGTCAAAGAAGTGCCAGTAGCACCTGATGTACCTTTGAAGGCACCTCCGAAGCTCTCTCTCGAAGAACTGAAGCCAAGTGCATCTTTTCAACCCGCTACCCAGGCTCTGCTCAACTCAGGAGATGCTTCAGCCACAACGGGTAATGAAGATGACGTTGCTGGCGAGGTCCTCGAAGAGAATTCCCAGGAGGCATCGGACCAGCCTGAAGAGTCCTCCGCAAATTTCTATGACTGGTTGACTGACTATCTTGGAGACGAGCTTTGGTTTGAGGAGGAAGATGAGGGAGAGGAGGAGGAGGAGATATAGGCAATGGGATTTAGATCCATATCTATATGGTTCGCACCGTGGGTTGGCGAATCAGCACAAGGAGCATGAGTTTCGTTCTGTCATGTCTCCGTTTTCTACGTTTTGTGAAGATTTAGGTGATTACGCCAATATTGATAGTGAAACCAGACTTAGCAGGAATTGAATCACGGGTGGCTCGACCAATCCACATGGATGGCCAGGAAAAGAACCAAACGGGGACCAGTAGTTCCCGTTGGAGATTAAATACCAGCACGCAGCCAATAATATGTCAAGACTCTTATAAGGTTCATAGCTTAGCGTTGTGACTGGGACTTTTGAGAGCATTGACTGATGATCGCGAGAGCGATGGTATGAACCTCAGTTTGATACTAAACTTGGTTGCACTGTACTTGTGATTAGTCTATTTAGAGGGCAGTGCCTGCAATATGATATTCATGATTCGGATAAAAGCCTAATCCCTCGTCCTAAGTCTCAACTACCCTTACCAATCTCCTTCAATCATATCCTCATAAGACTGATCTTCTAGAACCCGTAACTGTGACTCCTCCATACCCCCCCTTTGTAGTACAGGACAAGGTTGGTTGTGGATGGAACCGAGGGGCAGCCACGCGGCGTCGGGGACCATTCGGGCTTTCCGAGCCTGATCCACAAGTCGAACCCGAGTGCACATTATGGTAGACAGTTGTGTCCGACTGAATTTAATAGGACGCATAAATGAGAAACAATTAAGGCAAAATGATAAGAGACTGGACAGCCATAGGCTCGGTCAGCTTGTAACCCTCCAGAGCCGCTGCCCTCGCTCGGTGCCTCTTTCGGTGCCACTTCTCAGCCCCCCGAGTGGAGAGGGTGGATGCCACCTCAGTTTGACAGGCGTCGGCTTCCCTTCTTCTAGAACCCCGTAAATCGCCGACCATGACCGTTGCTTTCTGATTGGATCTCTACTGAATCACTAAGCAGGATCCCGAATTGTGCTAAGGTGGTGGAGCTCTAGCAAATAACAATAGATTTGTATCCCGAGTGACGGCGACCCATGACGAGTGTGGATGAGGACGAGCATGAATGAGGAAGACTGGATCTCGACTATAGTAATTACTTGCCCTGGGTGCCTTCAGAACATAAATGTGGGTCAGTGGCAACTCTTTATGACCGCATCCAGTCACCTCTACCGCTTCCTATATAGGCAACGATTGAAGCTGTTCAGCGAATAGCCAATCATATATGGTGATATAGCCGGCAGTTCTGGGATTATCTAATACAGTTTCACTCTTTAGGGCACTCCCAAGAAGGTACCCTACTGAGTAATTACGGAAGACGGCGAGCATTTTCTATTCTCCGGGGAACCCTCTGACGGTCCCGAGACCTGATCCGGTCAGTCGGTACCGCCCCGGTCGGGGAGACTCTCATCCCCCATCCATGAATCCTACTCAGTCTAGATGGTCACTATTACATATTGGCTCTATTCATCCTGCACAAGGTGGGAAAATTCTCCGACCCATACTCAAAACTACCTTGCGTAGCACACAGCAAGCCTCCCCCCACCCCGCCCCCTCAGTGTCCTTGCAACAGAGTTTCGTACACATGCCTGCATTCTGGTCCCCGAGTTGAGGTACAGTACAGTACAAAGTCGCGATCCGCAGCAGGCAAAACCGAACCAATCTCAAGGCAGCGTCCATGGAAACAAGATGCTTCGTTTCATGATTCATTGCGCTGGCGGAAATGGACCCCGAAAATCTAGACGCATGAAGCCATGAACAGCCTCCAGCTGCAAGGCTGTCGATCTGTTGCAATGGGCCAATCTGTGATGGTCCCCGACTCGGGGTCTCGCGGGATTGGGTCCTGAGGATCCAAATCTCGGGGTTCAGATCCCTTGGGCTGGATGTCTTCAATTTCCCAGCGCAGCGCCCCCGCTCCCTTCCTTATAACCCACTTGGATGTCGGCAGCCGTGGTCTCTGGATCTGGCCTTATGTGTTAGTCCTTATCAAGATCATGCAGGATTCCGGCAGACCCTCAGCACTCGCCTGCGTACCTTGTCGGCGCCGTCATCTGAAATGCGATGCGCGCATGCCCACCTGCACTCGGTGCCAAAGCAACAATCATGATTGTCGATATGTACGATCACGGCGTGGGCTGCGGAGTAATAAGGTGGGAGGAACTGGGCCGGCCACGGAAGATGAAGCCGAAGCGCTCTTTTCGTCGAATATTCTGAATTGGCTGGATGCTTCGTTTCTAGATGTACCTCTCTCTGCTGAGCAGTCGTCAAGATGATTCAACTAACGAAACCAGCCAGAGTCCGTCCTCGACATCCCAGACCTGAGTCTCGATATTCTCCACCCAGGACCAGCACCGTCGTTACCCACGCCTGTACTTGCTCCTCGTACCGAGGAACTCACACATGATGCTATGATCCAACTTTATTATCATCACTTCCATAGATCACATCCCATATCATTACCCAGACGGGCGCTGGGATCATCTGTCTCCAAGCACATACCAAATTTCATCCCGCACATCATGCGCTACATTGGCAGTCACTATAGCTCCGCACCAACTCTGAAGGATGGCTTCCACCAACCCGCCTACACCGTCCTCACTGCCCCCAAAGATGGTTTCCAAGTCCAAGGCCTACTTCTGCTCAGCATTGTAGAGCACTCGCATGGTCGCGAAGAAACTGCCCAACGACTTCTCCGGGAAGCCATCCAAATCGCACACAGCATTGGCATGCAGACCAACTCGTTTGCACGGGAGAACTCCCACGGCCACCCAGTTCTGGAGGAGAGCTGGCGACGGACCTGGTGGGAACTCTACGTCACGGAGGGACTGATGGCCGCCATGGGCTCTGGGCAATGCGGGGTCCTTTCACCAGGCTGGGAGGAGTCCGATGTGTGGCTCCCGTTACCAGACGAGACCTACAACAAGGCATTGGGGAGTAGCGACGTAAGCCTATTACCCTGACGGCACCCGCCAAACGAAAGGATCACTAACAGCCATGCAGACCAAGCGCGAACCTCTGATTCTATCTTCCCTCTCAGGCTGGCCCTCCGACCTCACCTCCTCCGTCTCCCGCATCCACGCCACCCAATACCTCCGAGCTGTGCTCGAACTCAACCAATCCCTCGACCCGCCGACGGAGACGCAAACCGAAACGCTAGACGCGCGACTCGTCTCCCTCCTCATGCGCCTGCCCGTAACCCCCTCCATAATCGACGCATCCACAATCGACGAGATGGCCTTCCAGGCCCTAATGCTCACATACCTGTAAGCGTCCCACGCATTCCTCTCTCTCTCTCTCTCTCTCTCTCTCTCTCTCTCTCTCTCTCTCTCTCACCACCATACGCAACGCAACATAATAGACTAAACCCAGATCCCCACAGGAGCCTAATCCACCTCCACCACCCGCATTCAACCATTCGCTTCGCCTCCTACCAACGCCCAACCCCCGACTCGTCTTCCTCTTCAACCTGCACCCGCCTCCGCGTCCTCTACCCCCCCTCCACCCCCAACGACCCTCTACCCCTCAACATCCACGCCCAGAAAATGCTCCGAGCCGCCGACCTGATCTCCAACCTCGCCACCCTGCCCAGCTCCGTCCAATCCCGCACCCCATTCTTCACCTGCGCCCTCGCGCTCGCCATCGTGGTGCACACCGCCACCTTCATGATGTGCATGTCCTCCGCCTCCGTCAAGGAGAAGGAAGACGCGCTGAAGGCGCGCATCGAGCTCGGGGTCGGTGCGTTGCAGGTGATGGGGCGAGTGTGGCCGCTCGCGAAGCAGGTTCGCGGGGAGATGGTGGAGTTGTATCGGGGGAGATGATCTCCCTGAACATAAACATAACAAGACCTCCGCCTGCTTCTTACCGTACTTATGATGACGTGGTTTGAAAAAAAAACAAGTAATCCTGGATGAGATACTCGGATGGAGTAGACCGTTCTGTCCTCATAGTATGTGTGTGTGTGTTGGTGGGGTGGATGATAACGGCCGGGTTTGAATTTCGCTTTGCGTATTTCATAGCATTGCACTGGGGGAATTTTGTAGATAGCACGCCGAGCGTATCTTTGTTTTCTCTTGCATTATATAAGATCTATTCTTGCAGGGTATGAGCAATTCATGAGTCGTTTTCTGTTGCTTCTGCGCTCTTGAGACTTTCCGGTCCGCATATTATAGAAATCAGAGATTCTGGAATGGCTACCTTGTGCTGGGGAGCTATGTAAGTTAAGTACTGACGACGCTTTGAAAGCCCCACTGCGAGAGCTCGCGTAGCTGGAACTTGAGAGTCTGAAGAGCGACATCAAATAGACTGGGTCATGCTTAACAAGGCAATGTAATTGTGGAGTTGGTATATCAGAAGGTCAGTATATACATGTGCACAATGTGTACAGAATAGAGCGATGGCGATCGCTCCAGGAAAATCAGAAGAAAAAAAAAAGAGAATCGGTGGAGGTCTGCCTGGGAGTCTCAAGATCCAGAAACAGAATGGAAGGGGGGCATGAATTAGTTGTATTATATGAAAAGGGGCGTGCGTATGAGAGTATGAAAGGCGTAATAGTCTGAACATCAGATCCGGCGTCATCCCAGGCGTTGCGGCCTACCTTCCCCACATCCTCGAGGCTTGTCCTTTGCCGCTGTCGGAAGAGCCGTCAAAGGATCCTCTGCTAGAGTGATCGCTCGTTTCGGCCTCTACGGGGAAGGCCGGCTCGCTGGTGATCTCAATCGTGGTGTGCTGATACACCTTTCCGAGAGTAGACAGCTCGACAGCGTTCGTCTGTACGATGTTGTCGGTGGATCCGTCTCGTACCGTACCTTCCAGGTCCTCTTCTTCGTGGCGGCCCATGCGTAGGGCGCTGATGTCGGTACGGGTGTATTTCGGGTCGGCCGTGATGGTCGTCAAATGGTTGTTGTCCGTCTTGCGGTTTTTGCTGCTGACGAATTTATTGTAGCTGCGATCGTGACTGGGTTCCGATTCCAGGATCAAGTTGCGGCGGGTCAAAGTGTACAATAGAGCATCGACCAAGCCGGAGCTAGTAATCATCGCACCAGCTACACAAAAGTAGGCGACGTTAGGAGGGTCGCCCTGGGCAGTGGCCATACGTCCGGCGGCAAGAGGAAGCGAGAGGACGATATAAGCAATCGGATAAATAACCATGTATCCGATGACACGACGAAGACGCTTGAGACTTTCGATGTGGCTACTGCCCAAAATAGCGGACTGCTTGATGCGACGACGGAGTTGGAACCACATGATCGCGTACAGGGTCACGGTGCCGAACTCCGCTAAGAAAATCCAGATATAATGTGTCCATAAACGCATCGCTTCGTAGTCCTCGCTGATCCAGCACTAGTGACCATATTAGCTCAACACTACCGTTCGTCATGCGTGATGTTTCTTACCCAGGCACCTGATGGGATGAAAACGTAACGTCCATATGAGGCAAGTGGAATGACGACCAAAACAGCGACAAAGACCCAGATCCCCACCACAGATGCCACGAACACTCGGTGGCTCAACTTATAACCCAATGCTACCAAAAGGAATGTATGAATGGCAATAGCAAGCACAAAGAGACCACTAGACGGGTCACCAATCTGAAGCCAGAGACCCTGAAGGAAGCACCCGGCAGTGTCGGCAGACATCTTGTTTTCCGAAATCCATTTGATGCAAATCAAGAAAGCGAGCGACTGTTGTAAATCGGCCAACACAAGGTTATAGATTAGAATGATGTACTGGTTGTAACCGATGTACCGCGTATAGGATCCCCGCCAGAAAACAAGTCGATAGGTAATGAACGAGATTAAGGCAAGTGTGGCCAGAAAGGAAAGAATGGCCATGACTGAGACAGCAATGAGGCCCTTGCGCTGAGTGCTCGGGAGCGGATCGATGTCCATGGTCACCCCATCCTTCATGTATGTACGAGGATAGAGGGTGTGACTATCATCCTCGAAAGCTCCCAGAGCTTTCAGTACTTGAACAAGGCTCATGTTTGCAACGTCTCTAAACGTGGCGAGTCCGGATGCACTGCTCGCACATCCCCTCCTCGAGTGAATAGCAAATGTTGCAGCGGCACCCCGCAGGATAGAGCGATGCTTTTGAAGGGGCAAGGATCGTGATTGCCTGGGGGTCAATGGATCGACCCAAAGTTCAGATTGTGACCAGGTCGTACAATAATCGGGAAGATCTCAGATCTCAGGGGTCACACGTCGTACCGTTTCCGCATCCAGAAAGAGAAAAAAAAAAAAGAAGAAAACGCCTGCCAGAGCTTCCCAAAGGTAAAAACGGGAGAGAAGATGAAAGAGGAGGAGGAGGGGAAGGCAGTAATTCTCCGTGGCGGTCGAAGACGGACGAGCCACACCAGTATGGACTGAATTAAAACTACCGGCAACGTTGAGTGGGCCATTGTGGGGGAGATGGGCCTTTAGCAAAGCTTTCTGATGTATTAGTACAATTAGCTGCCCATCATATGCTACTGGCTCTCGCTCTCCAGAAGCTATCACCCAAAATCGTTAGCATCCAAGGAACGGGGTACGCGAGAGACGGTTAGTCCGGGTGGGAAGTGGTTCCTGAAACCTTGGCCATGGGGCATCGCAATCCAGCCGCCTGGCAAGTTGGCAACGGGCCTTGCCAAGTATAGGGAACAACCATGGAGAGCAGACGGACAGGAAGAGACGGAAGGCTGCCGGAAAGTGGATAAATGGGTACACTGGGTAGGCGAAACCATCTTGCCTCTTGATTCACGTCGGCGTGTGCCCGCATTGTTTATCGGGTGCTCCCTCCCCCATTGAGGGCGTTTACCCGGAAATTGAAATCGAGTCTGAGCGTCGGGCAATTCGAAGGATGAACAGGGATAAAGGCGCAGTCTCAGTGTTTATTGGAAGGATCGATTCGCGCGGCATGACTATCGCGTGAATGCAGGTGGCAGGATGCAGCCAACAACCCCGGACTAGAGTTTATTGCTTTTCGCTTAGCCCATCTCGATGAGGGCAGAGATGCCTGGAAGGGGCAATTTGAGCAGTGTGCCTGCCAGTGTCTGTCTGCTATCGCCCTTCCAGAAACTCGCCCGCCCCACCAGCTGAGGCGCCGATCGCCTTCCCAATCCACGTTGGCCTGACTCGAAGCCCGTCGTCACCTTTAGGCTAGACTGTCGCCTCTCAGGGAAACCGACCGCGGTGTTTGAGAGATTTGGAGGGATTTGATTGTTTCTCCACAGACAGGTGTTTCGGGCGGCGAGAGCATGGTTTAGTTCCCACGTTGATGGCGTTAATGCGACTTGCTTTATTGAGGATATATCTGTTCTCCGGGTTTACCGGAGGAGGCAACAAAGAGCCTTGGCATTGCGCGCATGAATCTGTCTGTTGACGGCAAGAATAGGATTGTGCGCTCGCATAGTTTACCCGGCTATCATAAGTAAGGGTCGGTCAATGCGAGAAAGAGAGCGAATTGACAGAGGTGGTATGACCCCATTGTCTCACATTTTCTCCTGGTGTAGGTTGCTAGGCCGCCACCAGAAAGGTTACAGGGGAGAGAAAGGCTCGACCATTCTCGCAATGTGGAATAGTGCTGATTGATCGAACCCAGTGGATTGGGAAGGGGAAGAGCGGGAAAGAGGAGAACGAAGAAGGGGAAGGAGGGAGAAAGGGCCCGGATATTACGTGCGGTTTATCTCCGTCCATGGCTTGGCCTCTGCCTCTCTCTCTCTCTCTCTCTCTCTCCCCGATTCTCCAGTCAGAACTAATCGAGTAGTCTGGTACTTTTATTTACAATTCACTGGCGGAAGGTCTCGATTAGATTGCTTATGGACCTGATGCAGTCGCCTACACTCACTATTTTCATTCCTGTGAGTGAGAAAGACAGACGAAGGAGAAGAAAAAAAGAGAAGGCATTCCCGAAGGATACTTATGTTTGCCACCACCACTCGAGTAAACTACTGCATCGCTAAGATGCGGGGAGTTGATAACGTTGCATATGATTTGCTTGGACTCGTGGAGCCCGCCATCACCGAAGCCACTTAGTCTCTCCGACTGTCACTAAACTCAACCGGGCTTGGTTTCGGTTGAAACAACCGACTGGGCACGAATGAGATTTGCGTTGACTTGCTATCTCACCTTACTCATAGCTCTAGATGCTCAGGCTGCATCCCACAGCCTGGAATGCTTCCAATTTCTCAATCATCCCAAAATGGCAGAGAGTATTTCCCCCCACCACCATGAAAGAAAGTGTTGTGTTCTCGCACCATCTACAATCAGCGGAAAAATGCGTTTTTCCTAGTTTATCTTCAAACCTACCCAGCACACTACGCAGTGGGGTAGCTTTCCCTTGGTTTCCTGGCTTGGGTGAGCCCTACGACTTTGCATGTCGATCTCGGTTGTTGAGCGTCACTTTCCATACCGAGACCATGGAGTTGGGAAATTCCTACAATCTTGACCCCCCGTGTTCGCCAGCCCCAGGAACCTTTCCAGCCCAGGAATTAAAGCTATGATTTATTCAACTTTGCCAACGAGTAGTAATGCGAGGAGCAAGGATCATTTCGGAGTCCTTCCGAGTCCATGAGCATGGAGCACATGGGCTGTCTTCTTGCACGCATTCCGCGACCTCCACCTTCTATGGGCCGGGATGTACTGTACATCCTATCGTTGACCCCGGAACTACCCACAGATGATCAGCCATGTAGTGCACAGTTCGTTGTAGGAGATATGTTTTCGTGTGGGACTTATCTTTGCAATAGACAGACTCAGTTGGCTCGCATTGTGGCTGACTGCTCGGAGTAATTCTTTCCGATGGGTAAGGGTCGCCTTCTCATTCGGTGCCTCCCAGTATACTCGGTAACCATCGCAAGGAGGCGATTTTCAACTCGAGCGGCCAAAGTGAAGCCCTGCTAGCCCTATGAAATGTACAGTAAGTAGTCGGACCGACTCAAAGAAAACCCTGTCGATCTTCTCCAGGAAGGTCCTTATCAGTCCCGAAACGATAAATGCACATTTTGTCCTCCGAGCATTAAATCCAAATAAACGCTGCAGAACCTGAATGACGATCAGCGCTTTCTCCTCCCGCGCAATATCAACATCGCAACAGGAGACTAGGAGTTAGAGTGCGGCTAGCAGAGGTCCACTATCCGAGAACGACAATCACTTTCTATTCTTGGCCCCTTTCCCGAACACTGGTGAAGACTCGGGAATCGTGCACACCCCTAAATGCCATTCTGAGTTCCACTTTCCGAGTCCCCTTCTTTCGACTTCGTGCCATCGACCAGACTCGCCCATAGTCAGAACGTTCGGCTGCCGATAATCCCGCATATGACTGCGGACTGCCTCCTTGACCCCTTTCAAATCGATTTGGAGTATTTGAAGAGTGCACACACAGATCAACAAGCCCACCTTTGGCAGGTTCCATGGGATGCTGCATGCTGGTTCAGCCAGTTTAGCATCCCAATTTGTTGAGTCGAGAAATCGACCGGTTCAATCCTTCCAACTTCCAAGCAACAAGCCCGACTGCTTCAAGGCGTCAAGCCTCGAGGCGTCCAGCATTAACCACCGCAGCTAATTACCTCCAGACCCAGACTGCAAGTCCGGCAGTTATTGCCGATAGCTTGTTGATCTCGTAAGGTGGCGTGCGTGCCTTGGGACACGAGGTGTGAGAGCCCACTTGCTCTGAGCTGGAGCTTCGCATCATCGCAGGCGTTCACAAGAGCCGACATCTCACTTCCGCGTCCCAAGGTTCCCATTCCTTCATGGATCTCCAATTCGGCATTGCATCCGCACTGGATTGATCATCGAACTGGAATCGTCAAAGCTCTCTGATCGACATGTTCACTGAATCGAGTTCTGCACACAATGCGGGTCTGGATCCCATCGCAGCGCAGTGCATCGCGGTCGAACTGTTGTGGGCTTTACCCATGTTCAACTGTGGTAACGGTGGATCGAACACGGCACTTGGACCACATCATGATGTCCCACACGAAAATCCGATCTCAGGGCTGAACCTCAACTCGCCAGTCGTTGCGTAGAAGTTGTGAACAAATACGAGCATCTGACTTTACTCCGCCTCCCTTCGACGGATTAATACGGATCATTGACTCCTTGTCATCTAAGGTACCACACCTTTTGAGGCACCACCACACCAAGCAACGGCAAGAAGCTTGTCGGTCCGGAAAGAAAAGGCGCCAATGATAGCCCTTCAGCCAAGTACCCGATGTTAGTTTATACCCATGTCGGCGAGACACCCGGCAGCAGATGGCATCGAATTACCATTTTCGACAACTAGGGTAATCTCCGCAGGGCGGAGGATGGGACAAAAACTCTGTTTGAAATTCAATCATGGCTCAGGGGCCCAGAACTATCTCCCAGGCTTTTACTAGCGTCCCTGGCGGTAACTGTGAATCATGGGACAGGAAAAGTTTGTTTGCGCGGCAGACTCCGACCAGGCTGCTCTGGGACTGAAAGGAAAGCTCGACCCCAGATCTCGTATGAGATTCAGGTTCCACGTAGCCATTTGGCTCACGAGGTGATATGATCCGGTTCTAGGTCGTGATGAGCCACGGATAGTTGCTTTGCGTTGGAGGGATCATGTTTGTCGGGGGCTTTGTAAGTAGTGCTCGCGATGGCGGCTCTGTCAACTGACAAGCCTTCCCACGTCTCTTCTAACTTTTATACTCAAGCTCGAGCATTCGTATATCCCAGCCTTACATTTACCTGCAAGCACCCGCGCTTTCGCCACAGTACCCTCTTCGCACACTTTCAAGTACGTGAAAGTTCACCTCATGTCCCTCAGGGCCTCGCCAATCGACGAGGCCTCTTACAACAAGCTCAAGCAGAGATGGACTGCCATCGTAACCAATTTTCATCGGGTTCCCGGACCTAAATAACATACCAGATCAAGATCCAAATATTTAGACAGTATCTCTATCCTCCTACTTCCATATTAGCAAATACCTCCCTCCCGCTTCCCCAATCTGACCTCCTGTTTCATCGAGGAGAACTACTGACACAGGGCACATAGCAGACACCCATCCTCCAGTCTAACCACCATTAAAACCACGCGACTCAAAAATGGTTCCTCAACCTACATCCTGTTCTCCATCCACTGGCCCAGTATACTCCTCTTCAGCTAGCCAACCACTGCAGAAACACACCCCTTGACTCCATCTGCTCGAGCCCCCGGGTCCAACACAACACTAGCCGATCATCCCACCATGCCCAGCATCAATCTTCCCCTCCGCCAAACTACATACACCGACGATCATCATGAACAAAATCAGTTCCACTCGAGCGGAATTCCAACCCAGCAAACCGGATGTAACTCGTAGTCTCAGCCCAGTTGCCGTCCAGCTCGAGCCAAGTCTATACTAAGATACCAGGCTCCCAAGCTGGATAATCGAGCGGACGACTATCACTAGTACCCACCCCCGCAACCCCCTTTCTTCTGTACCGACACTACAGGGACGGAAGCCTGGAGTCCAGGCTTCACCTGCCTGAATCGGTGGTCAAGGGACACACGGCTTCACTCAAGGCTGTAGGCCTTGACTTGACTGGGCGGCTTCTGCCGATTTTAAGCTTGGGCATAGTTTGCCAAGGGGGTCCTCAACACCGAAGGCGGAAATCTTGCCGAATGTTTCGGTTTCTATGATTTCATGACAACTTCAGAAGATCGAACTTGCTCATCACACGTGGATGAAAATATTCACTCATGATCCCATTAGAATACAGAGAAAACATTAGGTTGGGGTAGTTTGGAGAACAAAATAAAGAGGGGAAGGAAAAAAAAAAAAAAAAAACAGACAAAACCACCATCTCAGATTAATCGTCTTCATGTACAACCGGTTCAAATCCTCTTGCGGCGGTCGTCAAAATCATGCCTGCCCGTGATCAGCCCCATCACCTTTCGTATCAGTTCATTTCATGCATTCGTAGGGGGGAAATAATATTTCCGTTTGCTCATCAAATGTCGTTAACGCTATATGGGAAAATCATAATAGATAAAGATTCAAATCCGCAAGGCTAAAAGAAAGAGAGGAAGGCACAAGCTTTGCTTATCACTGTCCCGGTCATGTCTAGCCGCTTAGATATCTGGTTTGGGTGCCGGTAGGAGAATGTCCCAAAAGAAATTGGAGGAATCGAAGTCCATTATCTCCTTCGCGTCCCACGTCGACTGTCATATGCCTCTTCTTCATCTTCCTCTTCGACGGGCGCTGGGGTCCGACGTTCTGTCCGCCGCTTCGGTCGACGACGTCGGTTGGAACTGATGTTACTTGCCGAATCGTCCGGAGCCAGAGACACACCATCGTCCAGGAAGAAATCGTCGTCCGCACCGTTCTCCCCCCAGAGCCCGAAGCCAGATGCTGGAGTGCCCAGTCGAGCCTCGACGAAGGAACCGCGACGATTCTGGTTCGCAATTGACAACCCGGCTCCTCGCTCGCGCAGCGCCCGGCGCACGACCTCAGCCTTGCAATGCAGGGCCTCGAATGCGTCTTCAAGCGCCTCCATCCCCAGGTAGATGTCTCGCTCAATCTCCGCCAGAGCCGCGATTTCCATCTCTTCATCCAGTGCAATGGGTCCTCCAAATGATGCAGGCGCGGGAGAGGGAGACGTGCCGTATGGCTGACTGGCCGGCCTGGAAATCCCGTCTAGCTGGCTAGGGGTTGGCCCGCGCGAGATCCCACCAGTCGTGAAAGGGGTGTTAGACCGGCTGTTGCTATAGCGCGAAGGGGTTGAGCCGGACGGGAAGGAATCTTCGGCGCCACTGCGTAGAAATCCATCGAAACGACCAGAGATGAGGATGTCCCATTCGTCGTCGCTGATTGCCGCTAGAGTTGCCAGGACATGATGCATGCCGGGGTTGTTGAGCATATAGATCGCAGTCTCGGGATCCCGCGGTGGAGTCGACAGACGATACAACCGTTGGATCGCCAAGGTCGAGGAGATCAAGGGCGCTGGTCGCGGCCGCGGCTGCCCCTCGGGCCGTGGTGTAGGTGCAGTAGAGCTGATCCCAAGGATGGCAGAGAAGAGTTGCCGCTCCTCGGGTTCCAAATGAGTCAAGATGGCGAAAGTCAGAGTCTCATCATCGACCTCATCGGGAGCACTTGTGCCTCCGCCGGTCTGTTCACTGAGCCATTTATCAACAGCGACCTTCGTCTTGCGTGACTGTCGAATGTAATGGTCCCGATATTCCTCCGGCACATCGATGTCCAATTTTTGCATGGGGATGTGCTCATCACCAGACCAATCCGGGTCAACGACCGTCGGAGACAATCTGAAAGGTGGCCAGCTGGGCAGCTCGCGACGGCCAGATACCAATTCAAGCACCTCGCCCCAGCTGACGCCTGTGGGACGTTCCTCGAGTTCTTCATGGTCACACATGAGACAATTGCAGGATTCAGACGAGATGTCACGAGCAAACACTGCCTCAAGGCGGTCAAGAAGTCGCCGAGCGACTGATCGATACCCCGTTGCAACAGCGAGTGAGCCATTTTTCGTCATAACATGGTGAAAATCCTCCAAAAGCCGATTGAGGGGCTCGAAGACTTTGCTTGCCACAATCTGTGGCTGTGTCGGAGAATACGGGGTGGCCTCTGATGAGCCGCTCAAACTTTGAAGAAGTGATTTTGGCGCTCGGTGGTCCAAGCCACCGTTCTGCAACAGGTAGTCCACCTTGGGGATCGATATAGGCACCTCCGGGGGTGGGGGCGGAGGTGGAGGTGCTCCATAGGCCGAGTTTGCGGTTGGAGGCCGGCCGTAATCATATGCAGCTTCCATCGGGCTACGGAATGCAGACCCTGGACGATGAGACATGGACGAACGCGTTTGTGTGCGAGATGGTGGCTTCTCCGGGCTTCTGACCTTGCGGGATGTAGTGGACTGGTGAGCCGGTGCAACCGTCGTAGCCTCCGACCCATTTGCCGAATCTGGGCCAATATCGCGTACCGTTGCTGGGGAGCGCGGCGGCGTCGTGGCAGTGCGACTGGAGGGCCGTTTGGGTGGCGCTATGTCCTCCACTATCTTGCTCTTAGAGGACTTGCGACTGGCCGTCCGGGATGGTGATTCCTTGTCATGACTGGAGCGTTTCGATTTCGTTGATTCTGATCGCACCGTCTTGCTCGACTTGGTCCCTTCATCCTTCTTCGATCGCAGACTCGAGGATGAGCGAGTTGATTCGGCTCGAATCCGAATCTTAGTCTTCGGTTTCTCCTCTGTAGTTTTCCCTTCTTTGTTATCGCAGACTGTGCTGCCTTGACGGGATTGTTGGTCAACGCTGGTCAAAGGAGGGCTCGGTGGCGCATGTTTGTTGTTGTCGGAGCGATCATGGCTTGCTCCGTCGGCCGGCTCTTTGCCTTGTTCTGTCAGGTCGGTCGGGTCTGGGGTCGGGATACCCGGTTTGCCGACAGCTTCTCTGCTGTGAGCCTTGGAGAAGGTCGGATAAGGGAGGCTGGTTCTCGATTCGAGGAAGGAAGCCGTGCCGGAACGGCTGGCGCTGTCTACGCCCGGCATTGAGGATCGACGTTGCTGGCGGGTATTGGAGGCGGAGAGCGAAGGGGTCGAGGAGCGATCCGTGGAAGGGTCGGGCGGTCGGTCCCTGGTTGAGGGGCGGGTAGAAGATGGTCCGTGGGACGAGCGGTGCTTGCGTTGTTTAGATTTGGAAGAAAGAGTTGAGGATGTAGATGCTTTGCGAGTCCGGTCCCTGTCGCGATCTCGATCATTAGGTCTCAACGGTAGATGGAACATGACGTGGGTGTGTGTGGAATCAGGCGGAAGGCTTCGAATGAAGGTGGAAGGAAGGTTGGAAGATGATCCTCCCTCTCAACACAACCCCTTGTTTCTGGCTCTCCGTTCGTTGCCCACTTTCGTCGATCGGGTTGTGTTGCGTTCTAGTAGTGGTGGTGGTGGTGTATTTACCTCGTGTCATAGACCGCAAAGCGGGATGAGAGCCCAGATGGACAGCTCTCGAGGCAAACGAGAGAAGAAAGAGTTTGTGTGGTGTCACAATGCGAGAAGGAAGTCCAGATGATCCGAGACCCGGACTCCTGTCGTCTGGCGCTTAAGAGAACTGGAACCAATGCAACTCTCAGTGGTCGAATGCCCAATTAGGCGCCTGTGCCAATCCACCGAGGGTGCTTTTGGGACCGATGCAGCATCCCGTGAGGGGCGCGGAGGGAACGTTAAGGACGAGCAAGGAAGATCAGAAGCTTAAACTGGAGCGTCAACAAGAAATGACGAAGGGATCGATGGTGTATACTGAACAAACAAGACAAGAAGGAGAGAATGCAGAATGACTGTGCATGGGAGGAGATTTGACGGAGGATCGATTTTGCGGTGAGGGCGACTAGACCAAAAGACTCACTGACGGACTCCCCGCAGACTTGGTTGATTGCGACCCGATGGGGTCCCTACGAACAAACTAAAGAGCCACTAGCTAGGCTAGTAATCAAGCAGCGAGGAGGGGTTGCATAAAGCACCACTTAGTCTATACACTGCGCGAGGGGACGCAGCAGCCTAAAGGAGAGAGTAGGGATGATGGGTCACTTAGGAGGCCAGGTCTCGACCGTCGAAAGGGAGTGAGTGAGATAGATGCACTGGATGTACACAAATCATCACCATCAAAACTAAGATCTCGGTACTCGGTACATTTGACAAACCTCAGGCACGCGTGGTTATTGTGGGCCAATTCCAGGTGCCTCAGGCTGCCTCAGGCTGCAGTGACCACGGCACACATCATCGTCATCGAACTATTCCGCGATACCGACTGTATGTGAAAGCATCCAATGTTTGCTTTTTTGGTGCATCCCAGAATTCTTGACAAAGTCTGTCATTTTTCCACTAGCTACGGACGATGTTTCATTTTGGCCGCATCCCCGCTCTTTGTCACATTTATTCTCTATAATACCTATGCCTTAGATTACAGTAAAACCATGAGACTGTGTGTCTTGCGACATATAACATCCAAATTCTATATGCCTGGTATATGCTATCTAATGTTTAAATCCCCTGTTCAGTTCCGGTCTTGAAAGCTTCAGGGCGCGTAGGCAGCACGATATGCAAATGTGGCGGCCAGTCCCGGGCCGCGGACGACCGCGTGGGCGGCAAGTGACTCGATCAGACGGCAAATCCTCCCGAGTCCAGCTGCCTGGGCTCCCCAGCAGCATCAAAGGTTCCATTCGGGAGGACGCGGATTGCCTGGGCAGAGCTCTGAGTCGGTGCTACCCATGTCACGTTATGTCCGCGCGCCTTCATGAAGGCCACGGTCTCGTTGTCGTAGTTATACTCAAAAGTGACCTGATTGGGGATCAGCTGATCATGCAAGCGAGGCTGAGCTAGAGCTTCAGCCGCCGTAAGACCACCATCAAGTGCGTGAATGATGTTCTGAATGGTCGCGGTGATGATTCGGCTGCCGCCCGCCGAACCAGCCACGAAGAAGACAGTCCCGTTGGGGTGAGTCACAATGGCTGGCGTACTGGACGATAGCGGACGCTTTCCAGGTCGAATGAAGTTTGCTTCGGATGGAACGTATCCGAACGAGTTAGAGGAGCCAGGGATAGAGAAGTCTTGAAGTATGTTAGCAAAGAAGAAGCGTAGTCAAATTGTCTTCGCATACCATCCATCTCATTATTCATAATGATTCCTGTTTCAGGGACCATGACCTTACTTCCAAAAAGCAGGTTAATCGTCGTGATTGCGGATACAGCAAGACCTGTGTGGTCGATTGTAGCTATATGCGAAGTACCCGGGCTGGAAACATTCTTTAGCATCTTTCGACAGTACGTGTTATCGGGGTACGCACGTATCCAAACTCTCCAACCCTTGAGGATCATATGCAGATATATTTTGTGTCGTAGAATCGGAGATTTTCCCTCGAATCTCGTTGATAGTAGACTGGTCAAGCATGTTTTCCTGGTACAGGTCCAGATCATCCACAAAGTAAGGGTCTCCCAAGTTCGTCCGCTAATCACGAGTTAGCCTACAGTACGTGAGATATTGGGGCCGGAAACTGTTACATACCAAGCCGTATCCGAACCGAATGGCTTCATCCAGTCGATGAATGCTTAGATTCATATTGTCTGGGGCGAGAAACTTGTCATAGGTATCCAGCACTTTCAACACATTCAAAGCAACAACCCCACTAGACGGTGCAGTAGTGCTGGTAATCTGATATCCACGGTAGTCTATCTGTGAAACGTTCCGGATTGCAATGGCATAATTTTCAAGGTCTTCAAGTGTCATTGTGCCATTAGCTGCTCGCACCGCATTAACCATCGTCTCTGCAATCGGTCCAGAATAGAAGGCGTCAGGACCCTTTTCAGCAATGGACTCCAGGGCATTTGCATAACGCTTTCTTGTCATAATATCGCCAAGACCCACTTTAGTTCCATTGGGAGCAAAATCGGTTGCCCATGCAGGGTCTCGAGTCAGGAAGTCATCACCGTCTGTGATCGAGGTAGCCATATAGCGTACGAGGTCGGAACCAACTGGAAAGCCCTCACGCGCAGTTCGAATTGCCGGTTGTACCACGGCCGACCAGGGAAGTGACCCATACTTCTGATGAAGGTATTCGAGACCACGAAGCTCGCCTGGAACACCACTGTAGAATTTTCCGTCAGCTTTGAAGGTGAGACATTACAAGCCATGGGATTTACCTTGCAAGACCACCGGTGACAGCCGCCTCCGTATTGTTGATGAACATGTCCTCATGAGCTGCTGCTGGGGCAGTTTCGCGGAAATCTATGAACTCGAACGCGCCAGTAGGGTCTTTCACCAGCACGAAACCACCCCCTCCTATCCCGCTATGATACATTCCTATTTACACGCTTGATTAGTTGGAAAGATTCAATTCGTTCGCCAAAGAAGAGCCACTAACCCACAACTCCTACGCAAAGCATAGTTGCAACCATCTATCGAATCTGACATTAGCACAATGTGAAATCAATCAGCCATGCACGAAAAATTGTTTTCGTGCAGGTCCGTCAGTTCCCGAGTACTTACAGCATCAGCAGCGTTCCCACCCGCCAACAAGATCTCCGTTCCGTGGCGACTGCAGATAGCACTCTCGCTCGCTACGGCGCCACGCTTGCCATCCTCCAAGTCACGATCCCAGCCTGACTGCCAAGTCGCATATTTTAGAGGAGACGTGAGGACGTTCGGCAAATGTATGATCAAGACAATCAGGACTATCGTGGTTGACAAGGTAAACTGTAGCATGCGAAACATTCCTGAAGTGTTCTTTGGCTTATCGTGTGATGAAGCCGTGTGAGTGTACGTGACCGGGCGTTCCAAGGCTCCGAGAAGTGGCTGGCGAGAAAAAGTACAGATTAGATATCAGGATTCAAAAGAGAAGTTATTGAAGGAAAAGGTTTGGCTAAGTACTTGTTTCTCCGCATCTTGGTTGTCAATGAGATCCGGTCTGCAACCCTGCATGTTTAGTCTATTATTTTGTGCCCGGATGCGGCCAGTGGACAAACGATGGGCCTGGGACTGCTAATTCCGAAACGCCAAAGAGGGTGGGGGATCGACAACCGTAGAACTTAGTCTGACTAAGTAGCAAGGTGAGATCGAGTTGTAAGGTCAAAGGAGAGAAATGAAGTAGAGGACTCATCCACCATTTATTTGAGAGGATTCCTTGCACCCCCCCATTATCGGACAGACCCCGTCGGCGATAAGGACCAGCACAGTGTTTCTTGCAATCGCGCAGCCTCCCGCATACCTGATTCCTTATCAGTCTCGACCAACAGCAATCCGGAGCGCCACTTCGGCCAGGTCACCCGCTGGCACACCAAGGTCGTTCAAAGGCGCAATGCATTCACCGCCCAATCACATCTAACATTGAAACGTGACGCACAAATTTTCGGGGTAAGAAGTTTCTGGATCGGCGACGGAACTTCGAACCTAACTTGATTCAATCCTTGAACCAGGGCTTTGAATACCGTAACCCGGACAATTACTGTTGACAACCATGCACTTCGACCTAAAGTGGCGTTTCAGTCATGCCAGAAGAATATGACTGGTCATCAAACAAGTGTCCTCCAAGTCGACGGGCAATCGCGATGAGCCTGTACCCGCCTTTCTTGTCCTCGTGAGCACGTCTACCCTGAGAGCATGGTCGCCGTGACTTTCCCCAAAGACACTCATCATGCTTGTGATCCTAGTATACGTCGGGTAATTGTTTAGTTCTCCTCAGACGATAATCCTGCCTAGACATCTCCTTGTGGATGCGAGACGTAGCAAATTTCGCTCGCAAGAGTTTATGAAATGCTCCGGGTTATGAGGTAATATCCGGGCGGCCCGTACCCAGACAAGCATGCCCTTGGAATCATAGGAATTGCAGAATGACACAATCGCCTGGAAGGACCAGATATCAAAACCACGTTCACCATCCTGGAGGTGTTGTCAACGAAATTTGTGTCGCACGTCTTCCGTCATAACGAGCTTCCTTGCTGTTGGTCCTGCCGTACCGCTCTCATAATAGTTCGAGATCCGACGTGCCATACAACAATCCTCTTTGTTCACGAATTCAATGCCTAACACACCTCGAGTGCAAGTTGACACCCTGATCATGCCATCATTTTTCGAGCTCAACTGCGCTCCTAGTCCAGGAGATAGTGTCCGTCCAGATTGTAGGAATCTCATCTTCTGGTTGCAAAACGGTCTCGATGAGACGCCGGCCCCAATCTCGAACAAACCATTTGTCTGAGAGAAGATGAAGCCCGACACCGTAGTGTAGGAACAGTATTCGAGCCACCCAATCTCCTTGTTTGAGCAGATCGATATAGGCCTCACCGATGTTAATAGGCCACGCGATTATACCGCCGTTCGGGCCACCAAACGGCCATCTCTTGATCGCTTCGTGAAGGATTTGCCAAGTAGCCTGGTAAGTTACCTGATTTGGTCCGCCAAAACTGGCAAACTTTTCTTGGACGCCCTTCATGGAATCCATGATCGCACTCAAGAAGCATGTCAGTACATGTGAATGGGTGCCGCGCCAGCGGCAGGCGAGAGAAACCTACCTCCGAAGTTTAAGTTGAGATTCCCGCACTCTGGAGAAAAGTCAATACCCAAACAGAGGAAGGATATCAGAAGGGTGAGAGATTACTGATATGGATTGCCGTCCTGATCCACTTCATCATCCTTCCATTTCAGCCATCCCTGCAAGTCCCCTCGGTATTCCATGCCGTTGAGTTGCTCGAATAGGAGTGCACAGCCAGCGATGAGCTGACGAATTTCTAATACATGAGACAGCGGCTCGAATGTCTGCCTGTCCTCTGAAACGCACGGGTATGCCGTTGCGCATAGCATGATAAAAATGGAGCAAATGAAAGCTGGCCCACAAGTCTCGGGGGAGATGCCTGCTAATATTCGGCTGAAGGCTGAGCAGGCTCGATTCTGATACTTCAAAGCAATTTCTAGCCAGGAACGGTTATCATGCTGTTCCAAATAGGCAAGATGCAGAGCAGATAATGCCAAGAGGCTGTCCATCAAGAACGGGTGTGACACCACAATGCGTGGGATCACAACTTGAAAGTGATGTGCATCGAGACGGCCTTGACACAAAGTGATGTATGTCTCTGTGAGATAATGGTGAAATAGCCTCATCTCGAGCATTCGCGTTTGGGACGAATCTGTTTCTGGGCTGGATATTGGCTCAGCAGATTCTTGTGGTGTGGAGGGATTTTGACTATCGACATCACTGGAAGGATAAGTGCAATCCAAATTTCTCTTCTTGCACAGACCACATCGAGGGGTTCCTTCGTCGCACTGTACATTACCGTTAGCAGCTAGAGAATCAATTCTAAGCTAGAGATAGAGATTATATATATGCAGTATGCAAAGTCTATCCCGGCGCATAAGCAGCAGCATAATTGTCGAGATAAATGAGGGATTGATGGGATGTAGCAGTGGGCGGGAAGGACGAGAGGGAGTATGAGATCAAGATGGCGAACCTTCACATGTCGCTTCTTACACTGAACGCAACCCTTCCGGGATTTGGTATGGCTGCGTCGCGAGGGCATTTAAGTTGAAGGGATAGACCGGCAGAAGGGTTTAAAGTAGCTGATAGAATTAAATTCTTAGTTTCCCAAGTAGGAGAAGCTATTGGATGCTTCCGTGGCTGTTTCAAGGACTTGTCTCGGCGAGGACAACAATTTGCTGCATAGGTCGGGTCGGTTCGGGAATGGTTAAAGCTAAGAACGGCAAGTCTCAAAATTGTGGACAGAACTGGAGAGGTACAAAATAGATATAATACAATGAACGTGGACATGCTATTAAATAGCTTGTTTGAGACACTTGAAGAAACCGATTCGCTGATATTTAGATCCGTTAATGGGGAATACCACGAGGCGATGGCGCGCTCTAGGTAGAGGCAGTTGGTGCCGAACAGTGGCCTGCCGGGAAGGTTGAGCCGGCCTCAGCCGCCAAGCAGGCTGTTCTGATGCGCGGGTCAGCTAAAGGGGCTGAGTAATATGCTTAACTTGATCTGTACAAAAAAGGTACTAGGCATTACTGTACTACTGCACTTCGCTTTGATGTATCACTATGATATCCTCTTCAGGCTGCCTCAAGGTGCCTTTGTCTTTTTATCGAACTAACTTGATCCGTTGCTGTTTTGTAAAGGTTGATATGTCAAGTGGAACGTTCGCAAAACGTCAACATATAGATGCCAAACTAACGCTGTGATGGAGTTCCGATCCCGGCTTCTCCACGCCGTTACACTAAATCGGTGCCTGGACCTGAATTGATCGCATGGTCCTGCATGGAGGAATTTATCACGAAGATGTACCTTTGAGACGAAGCATATACCCTATACAAAGGGGCCCGGGATTATCCATTCCAATTCTATGAGCATTTTTCTTAACAGTAGAAACACACGGCAGACCAGTATGCACGCTAACCACAGCAGGAACATGAACCATAAGCAGTAACAAGCATTAGAGTCGTCCGCCAAAGCGATTGAAGTGAAGAACAGTATTTTGATACTGGGCAACAAGTCGAACTCCGTAAGGAAGACCGTCTTTCAGAGATTCCATATGGAGTGTAAAGAATATAAACCATACTCAACGCTCTTTTATCGACATACGAGGCCTTGTTCCAATGAATCAGGCATCCTTTTCCCCGTCCAACTTTTTGGAATCCCGCACTGGCTCGCTATAGCTCGGATCAGCGACGGAGCTTGAACTCCTTAATTGCCTCACACCTGACCGCAACACTAATTTTTCCTTTTTGGGTTGAGATTGAGGCGGTAGGGGGGCATCCCACGCAGCACTACTGTCATCTCCCGCAAGGGCAGCATACATAGTCGTGGACCAGGGACTACCTCCAGGGGTCTGGATGCCGGGCGTACTGCTCCGAGAACTACCAAGGCCGTTGCTTCTCTTCGAAGCCGCGACCTGAGCCCAGCCGCCCTCGCCGCTCGCATTCTGCTGGGCCCGTACGGCTTCACGCTGGGATTTTGCTTCTGCTGCAGCGAGACGTTGCTCTTCCTGTTCCTTGAGGCGTTGACGATCACGTAACTTCACACATTCACCAACGCTCATACCGCCGATACCAATGGTGGTGCCGTTGCCCATGCCCAGAAGCGGGGGAGTCCAGCTTGTGGGCTTGAGGACGAAGACATGGCGATGGGGTTCCGGATCGAAGCTCTCGCTAGCAAATCCCCAATCAGCGGCCAGGGAGTGAGCAAAGGCGCGGAGGGGAGATTTGGCGGGTTGGAAGCGGGTGGAGCGAGTTGCCGGATTCTTGTTTGCAGCGAGGGCGTGGAGGGTCGATTCGTAGGATAGAAGAGTAGAGAGAGGATACGACGATGAAAGCTGGAGGTAAATGTCGAGGGTCTCGGAAGAATAAGGTAGGTTGGTGGACGTGAGAGTCTGAGAAACAGTTGTCGCTGGGTTGATATCAACGCCAAGCGCGGACGCCAGAGAACGATTTCGCTCAAGGCGGGCGCATTCTTCGTCACATGCCAATGATGACGCTGACGGAAGTCGCTGTGCTTGTTGAAGATGGCCCTTGGTGACAACAGCCTTGGCTGCGTTGCAACGCCGCTCCTGACGAAGTCGTCCACAGCTACATGTCACTGTGACCGTGGATGAACAAGGCGTCTTCTCGGAGCATGGATAAGGTGCGTGACACGGTTCAGTACAAGGGTGACCACACAACGATTTGGTCTTTCCGCAGGCTTGCTGACAGGGCTGGGCAGCATCCTCGCAATCACCCGGTCGATGACAGTTCTTCTTACAGGTGTGAGAACCACAATTAAGAAGCTTGCCACAGATCTGTCCGCATCGCGCATCTGTGAGCCAACAAGGTTGATTCTTTAGCACGCGCTTGCCACATAAACACGACTTTTCTGTCAAGAACGGGCATTTCGGGCAATTTTCATCGTCCGTATGGCAGTTATGAGGCGTCTGCGGGTGACCACACGGTTTGACGCGCTCACAGGGATATGAGCAAGCTGGAGGCTGTGTCCCACAAGGCAGAGGCGGGTACAAGACAGATCGACCGCAGTTACACGGGATCTCCTCAAATATTGCTTCTCTGCAAGTGTTGCAAGGCCCTTTGTGACAAATCTCCGGGCATGTGTGCCGTCCGCATTTCAGCATGCGACCACATACCCGGGTACAGATATGCTCAGCCTCAAAATCCTCGTCGCTAGGTCGAAGATGGGATTTGAGCTTTCTGCGTATAGCCTGGCGCTCAATTGCCTTCTGTTCGCCTGGGCAACACCGCTCGGCGCACGCATGGCGACCGCAGTGCAAGCCAGCTTTACAGATGCGGAAACACTGAGGTGGCTCAAATTCACCCGAGAAACAAGTCGTCCGAAAATCATTGCGCCCGCAGCGACAATGGATCGTAACTTTCTGCAGACAGGGGCCACAAGAATCTGTATGGCAGATCTGCTGGCAAGGATGCCCGCAAGGCAAGGATTTCCCGCAAGGCTTAGTACAATTCGGAATTGGATCCTCACAAGTGATTCGTGGCGAATAACCCGCCACTTCGGTCAAAGGAGTCTTTCCGCAGGGACAGGAAAGAACCACATCGGGCGATCTGGGACAATGAGCTGGATGCGCATCCTGGGCATGGCAAGACTTTTGACACGAGTGTTTGCCGCAGTCGAACAGTCGATCGCACTGGTCACCACAGCTGAAACAACCGACCCATTCCTCTATGCCCTCTCCACTTTCACCTTCATTACTGCGCAGCATTTCACTGTCCATTTCTTCATCTTTAGAACTGCACAGCATTTCAGACCGTGTTTTCCCGCAGTAGCAGCGTGCATCGACCTTGACCTCGCAGGAACCACAAAGGCCCTCATGGCACGGGCGGGGGCAGGTATGCTCACCACAAGGCAGCAGGTCGCCACATATCTCCCCGCAACTCCAACCATTGTCGTAGTCTGTATCCTGACAACGCTTCGTAGATGAGTTCCTCCCGCAAAAACAATCCTGGGTCGGGCCCATAGCAGTACAAGGGGCGCATGGACCAGCATGGCACGTTGCATCGCAAGGGTGCGGACAGCCTTTGCGCGATCGCGCGCAAGTCTGTCCACATGAATGAGGCGGGAGACCTGGAAATGAGCGCGGGTCTACCTCCTTTTCGCACCAACAAGTGTAAGAGGAAGGGAAAACTTCATGGGGCAGATTGCAACCAGGACAGCGCCAAGCACGTGGAGCGCTGCTTTCCCCCTCCTCACCCCGGCGACGCGCCGCATCCTGAGCAGCTGCACCTTCGTTTCTCGACCATTTCTTCACACAACTCAAATGGAAAACCGTCCAACACAGACCGCAAGACCAAACACGAGACCGCTTTCCTAGCTCGGCTGTACAAATCGGACATTCGTAGAGATTGTGGGCGATATCTTCGTGGATGCGGGTTGCGATATCCGGTGCCGATGATTTCGTCGTAATCTTGGGTGCTGGAGGGGCAAGGGGCGCTGATCGAGACTGAGTTGAGCTCTTCGCTTTCGACTTGCCTTTTGCATTTCCCCGAGCACGACCGGTATCCCGAGGTGCTTCTTCGGCTGGTCCTCCCGGAACAAATGCTGGCGCATTCGCTCTCAACCCTGCAATGTCCTCCGCGCCTGCGCTCTGGCTTCCAGCATCTTGGCCTTCCTCTGGAGATTGCTCCGGTTTTGTCAGTCGACCCTCGAATCTCCGCCCTCCAGCGCCGACTGCTGAAAGTGGATGATCAGCACCGCCGCGTGCTCGACCCTGCCGTCGACCACCGCCTGACTGTGTGCCTGCGCCTCTCGCCCCTCTTCTGGCCCCTCTCGAGGCCCCTCTCGGACCTCGTGGCGGACGGGGCGCGTCGGATGCGGTCTGTGTCGCAGGAGAGTCGTTTTGTTGCGACGAAGCGTCAATAGTCGACTGTGCTTGTTCTGATGATAGCGATTGTGTTTGTGTCTGGGTCTGCGATGCAGGTCTGTGAGAGCCACTTCTACCGCCGCCACGACCTCTACCTCCGCGTCTCGACGACCTTGGGCGCGGGGTAGTGTTGTCTGCGACAAGTGCTGGAGACTCTGACATTGTTACCTCCAAGGTCCTTAAAGGGGGGTTAAGGTTGAGAGTTGCACGCGGAGAAAGCACGTCCATTCAATAGCACGAGCCAAAAATCGAACACAGATAAGGGAAAGCGTAGATGAAACGGTATTGTCGCCGATAAGGGAAAAAGTTGTGAGGTCGTAGATTGCAGATCGACCTAAAATGAACTTCCGCTCGAGTGGAATGAAAACCGTGAACTGATCGATTCCAATACAGCCGGAAGGAAAGTAGACAGAAAAACGAGTTGGAGAAGAGTAGCAGGAGGCGACAATAAAAAGAAGAGCGACAGAAACTGGTGGAACTCAAGGGTGATTTTGTTCCTGGAGGTATTACTGAGATCCGCCGATGTTTGTGGTTCGGGTGGCGGCGATTTGCCTCCGAGAGCTGGGTCGGGTCTCCAGACTAATAGTCTTCACTTTGCAATTACATCGTCCGGTTCGCTACGGAGGGCTTGAATATTTTTCAATGGCCTGTATCATCATGAGCCTGGAATCTCTCCGGTCAGATCACATTGGCTTTTAGCAGTATGACTCATGCTTGTCTAGTGCTGCGCCTTCCGACTCATCCTGCGAGCCAGATTACTCATAGCGGGTCATTCCTCATATTACCCCCAGACAATGGGCGAGTCCAGCTCATAGTCTTTAGCTGACACTGCCTGATCGGAAGTTTTGTTCATTAGTTGCTGAGCTAAATATCTCTTGTAAAAAACAAGCGGATTCCATAACGCATTTCAAATATCGAATCCTGAAAACAAACAAAGATGAAGGCAGCCAACCAGAAGCATCCTGAACACCACTCTAATAAACAACGCAAGGGCAAGTCAACAAGAATAAAGTAAAGTCACAGGAACATTGAGCAATCGTGAAGCCCGGAACTAGTGCTAAGAAACACATGATATCATCACAGAAACAGCAAACCACCGATTACTAGAAATCAAGAGATGGACAGTTCCTTCACTACTCATGCCGGACGATCTCCTCCATGATGAAAGAGTGAATATGTTCAAAATACCCCGGTTCGGCAACACTATCGTTGTGACCACCATTGGGGAGAGTACGCCAGACTTTGCGGCTGGACTTGCAGATGGCGAAGAGTTGGGTCATATTGGACGGACTGTTCGCGCAGCCTGTTAGCTTCCTGGGTCTTTTGAAGAATGACATCGTGCACTCACGGTACTATTTCATCCTTCAACCCACTGAGGAAAAGAATAGGCACTTTCGTAATTTTGGGCAATACATCTTCGCTTGTCCAATATTGATGGCAAAAGCGAGCGAGATATCGCGCGGGAGGAAAGACCCTAGGAAGGTAAGCAAACTGCTTCTGACCTATAATTATCAAGCGCACGGTGGCTGAAATTAAACGTACGTGGGAATTAACTTGCGAATGCTCAGGAAGGTGTTCTCGAGGATTAGACCGGCGATTGCTCCATTGTCTTGGTTCTTGGCGACAAGGTCAATCGCAACCGCTCCGCCCAGGCTCTGCCCATAGACGATAATCTGGCTATCTTTGGTCTCGGCCCTTTGTCGCAGATAATCTAGACCGGTTTGCGCATCAACTTTTAAGCCTGCCTCATCCGGTGTACCGGTCGAAAGACCGTAGCCGCGATACTCCAGCATCAACACATTGCAACCTAGGATCTCTTGTAGTATCTTGGCGATGGGTACACGATGGCCGATATTTCCCGCATTCCCATGGAACATTAACACTGTAAGGTCTTGGGAGATTCGTTTGCGTGTAGGACGAATGAAGAGGGCATGTAGTGTTTCCCCGTCCGGGGTAGGAAGATGGAGTTCTTCGTAATCTGTGATGCCAAATTGCTGTGGCTTGGGAACATTGGTGCGGGCGTCAACAGGGACATTTCGAGGATAGATCAGTTCACTGCGCACGGGGTTAGATCTGAGGCATCGCTGTCATTGTGACCTGGCGCAAATGCGGGTCAGTGCTTACTTCTGCTTAAAGTACAACAGACCACTGGCTACAACAGCGAGACCAGATGAGGCCAAAACCGGTAATCGCAAAAATTGGACGGCGCTATTGGCCATGCTGGCGATAGTCCACGAGGGTGGAGGCGGCGACTCAGACATAGTAGCGATCGGAATAGTATAGCCGATGCGGTAGGGCGGCTGCAGGGTTGGATCTGAAGCAAGTGAAGCTACCCAGAATACCTAGACGAAGAAATCGAAGACAAATGGCAGAGACGATATTGCGAATGAGATTCGCAAGCGGCCAGACACCTGTCTAGCGGAAATTAAAGCGTCGGTTTGTTTCATCGGAAGTGATGGCTGGGGGGGGGAGTCGTCGTTCAGGAGACCTGCGGGGGATGAGGAGCTGTCCAGTAGGAAAGATACGCTGCCTCACCGCCCGGCGGAACCAGCTTCAGCTGCCAACGTAACGCGCTCGCCTGCCTGAGAGCTCCGTCAGAGCTCATATCCACCAGCCGCCTCCAGCCCGATACTTCTTGAATACAATCGACTTAAAACTCTCCTTTCATCGACTCCCCTCCATACAAAGGGCTATCTGGTCTCTGCTTTATACACGCATCTTTGTTTAATAACCCTACTTCATCAGTCACTATGGTCGGCCACGGTATGACGGGCATGCTCGGTGAAGGTCAGGAAACTCCACCCACTGGACGTCATGCAAAAGCTCACGACTTGTATAGACGGCATTCATGTTGATATGAACCACTTGAAGAAGGGCGAGGTCAAGTAAGTTTATGGCTTCAAGATTTTGTCTGTGACCATCAACTGATTCATCATGTTTATATAGCCTAGGAACGTCGATGTGAGTGAGACTTTCCCCAATCCATCACGACATCCATTAACCAGAATCAGCATGGCAATCAACTTCAAAGACGGCGTGATATTGGGAGCCGACAGCCGAACAACCACCGGAGCTTACATCGCCAACCGAGTGACCGACAAATTGACACAGGTGCATGACACGATCTGGTGCTGTCGTTCGGGGTCGGCTGCCGACACGCAGGCCGTGGCTGATATTGTATCTTACCATCTCAACATGTACTCGATTACAAACAACGAGGCACCTAGCACTCAGGTCGCCGCCGCGCTGTTCCAGGAACTGTGCTATGAGAACAAGGACATGCTAAGGCAAGCTCTCGATGGGCCCTTGTAAGCTATAAGATTTATTGTTTACTGACCTCGGCGATATCTAGTGCTGGCATCATCATTGCTGGATATGATCCTCGACATGGAGGACAGGTTTATTCGATACCCCTCGGCGGATCTCTTCATAAGCAACCGTACTCCATCGGCGGATCGGGGTCAACTTATATCTACGGATACTGCGATGCAAACTGGAAGGAAAATATGACTGAGGAAGAAGGCATTCAGTTTGTTCGGTCCGCCCTGCAGGAGGCGATCAAATGGGACGGCAGCTCTGGCGGTGTGATCCGACTGGTGGTCTTGACGTCCAAGGGCGCTCAGCGGCATCTCTACCTGCCGGACACGGGTTACACTGGCCCTGGCGTCACCAACTGATGACTGTATTCGTATGGAATGATGATTTATATCGTTGTTAGCTGTTGATCAACATGAGCTTTCCTTCTTCCTCTTCACACTAAGCATATTGTCGTCATGAGCATAACTTCACCGTCAACCTGGTCGATAAAATCAACACTAGTTCTAAGCAAAGAGAACGAGGGGTGCGGTCGGTCATCCGTGGCAGGGTGAAGGACTGTCGGTGACTCGAGCGAGTAACTGGCCTGGCCAGAAAGTGGTGATGGCTCACTTTGCATGACTTGACTTGGTATTTGACTTCACCGGCTGCCGGTGAAACCCGGCTCTGGCTCTTGACGAAAGATAGTTGCTCGACATGTCTGAGGACATACACCACGCTTTAAAATTCTGAATATCTTTCGGTGACCGAAAGCACTCCATGAAATACCGCCTTTGTCACAATCTTCCAAAGTAGGAAGGTTAATCTAAGTGCCAGGTGCATTGGAGGTCTAGGTACGTACTGACGGGCTATTACCGCTCAGGTTAAATCAACAGCGGATTCATCCACTAAATAAAGGTCGAGGATGTGACAGATGGCCTCGAGTTTCTTGGAGGGGCACCAATCAGTCGGCGACGAAGACCACCTGCACCTCTGCAGAGCCGCGATTCGCCCATCGCCCCTCAAGCGGAGGATGATCCTGACTGCGACTATTCTGTCCGGTTTCTGGGCGGACTGGTTTGCTAGGGTGAAATAGGAGTTAGGAGGATATGTAGTCTACTGTACTCCGTAGTTACAGTAGGTTCAACCTGTCATCAATATTGTCTGCTTGATGTTCATGTTGCTCCGGCGAGCCTAGATTAGTTGGGTGGGTTGATAAGGGCGGCTGAACGATCCGGATATAATCCAATGCGGAAAACATCTCGATGCGAGGCATGCATAAGGTGGGCATATATCCATTCCTCCCTCTTTCTTTTTTCTTTCTTTCTTTCTTTCTTTCTTTTTCGACTCGTAGCGGGATTGAATCTTCCACACCGAGTACATCGTTAGAAGTGATGGTGTGGTTCGACTGGTAAAGGGAGTGGCAAGGAGAGAAATCTCTCAATTGATGGATCATCTATCTCCTGGTATGGCGCTGATGTATGCCCTCGTCTCAATCCCGCCCAGCGTTTCTTTTTCTTGTGACAAGACATTTATTTTCCTTTTCCTTTCGCCCTTTTTTTGTTTTTCATTTTCCCTTTTCCTCTTCCTGCTTCCTCTGACTTTCTTGTTTGCTTTCTTCTCTGTCACCCAGACTAGACTATTCATCTCTTCTGGGCCCTCTGTTGCCTTGATTTTGGGACGATTTCTTGGTCCTCGCTTGATCCATCTACTTTAGTTACTGCATTCGGGGAAGGGAAAACCCCCATTGCAGATAAATAGGAACTCCACCTCGGCCGGTCTGGCTCTTGCTGGGTGGTGGGAGTGAGTGCTGCTGAGTGGCCCTAAGGCTTGTAGTAGTGGACCCTAGCCTTTTGCTCGGGTTTCTTGTTCCCTTCCTGCTGCTCCTGCTGCTCCTGCTGCTGCTGCTGCTGCTGCATCATCATCAACATCATCATCCCATCTTCCGCTCCCTCTCTTCCTTTCCTCTTGTCTCCAATCTCTCCCTAGTTTGTCCCATCCCTAACCATCCATTCCTCCACCTCTATCGTTCGGCCTTCTCTTGCCTCCGCCACCTCTTTTCCCTTCCTTTTTGTACCCAATCTTCCGATCTTTCGTCCCTTTCAAATTTCAATCAATTCTTCCTCTACTTTCCTCTCCCATCAATCCCTGATAATCTTTTGCTCGACTTCCCGCCTATCTTGTCCCTATCGCGATGGCCATGTTCTCTATTGCCGTCAATCGCTTGTGATTCCTTACCCGCTCCAGGCCTGGGTCGGGTTTATCGCGCATTCCCCAGTGCTCTGACCCTCACTCGCCGCATCTCCAGATCCAGACCCTCCCCTCCCCCTTCGCTCATTGAACGGGTAGCTTGATCAATCGCTGGATCTCGTACTGCACCCCCCTCCCTCTCTCTTTTCTTGCTTGCCTGTCCTCCCTTTGCCCCATACGATCACTTTCCTCAGCCTTCCTTTCAATCCATCCCCCCGATGAATCATTCTGCCCTTTCCTTGGTCTCCAACGACCCCACCGTCGTCTTCTGTCGCTAACCGTCGCTGGCCGGCCTGGGCTTTAGTTGCAACATCACAACCTCGACCAATTTCACAAGTTAATAACTCCCAATCAGTTTCCTCACGTCTGTTTAGCTTGACATAGGATCTGTTGTCGTCAATCATCCGCGATCGGATCATCTTGATACTTCCTCCTACACCATGCTGGGGGGCGCCATACCTACTTCGGAAGCTGGCTATCGTTCCTCGTCGCAGACCCAAGCCTCGCACCAACCCTCGTCACGTCTAGAGACCGGCGACGGCTCTAGGTCGGCATCGTCTAACACCACCCCCACCTCGTCCACAGCCCCGCCGTCAACGTCCGCCTCAGCTCGCCTCCCCTCCCACCAAACCACCCATGATGTTCCCTCTTATATCAATCAACCTTCCGACCCGAATTCCCATCCGTCATCGCGGGCGTCCTCAACCATCTCGGGTATAACCAACACCCACCCGAACTCAGCATCAATGACCACAACCACCAGCGGTAGCCATTCATCTCGCTCCGATATCCACGCCGCGCCTCCTACATTTGCCCCTCATGTCAGCACCAGCCATGCACACACGACCGCGACCTCTGCGCAACACATCAGAAGCCACTCATCCCCAGCATCACCACAGTTGAGGCCCACCCATCAATCCCTCCGTTCCTTAGGTGGTTCGGAGGCGAACTCGCCGAGTCGCATTAAGGTCCGCGATCTGTCCCATATACAAAGCTTTGCGAGCGAGGAAATGTTGGTGCAAAGAGATCGGAGGGCGGGACAATGGGGTCCCCAGGAGCGCCAGTACGAGATCAGTTCCATGCCGGTCACGGACATTATCGAAATGGTTGCTGGGCTTTTGACAAAAATCACTACGACCAACGACATGCACCACGAGCATATCCATCGCCACATACCACCCCCAGACGGGACCTCAAACCTCAGCCCGCAGGCGACCAGTGTTCTTGCATTTCATGGCAAGAATGTACCCAGTATCAGCATTCTCAGCTATTTGACGAGGATACACAAGTACTGCCCCACCACTTATGAAGTCTTTCTCAGTCTTCTGGTGTATTTCGATCGCATGACGGAGTTGGTCAACCGGGCCCAGCTTGAGCGATTACGGCGTCGCCAGGCCCGATCAGCTGCCATGATGGGGAATGAAGGCATTCAGCACCATTCGGGCCATTATTCAACTGTACAGACGACGGAATCATCACCACTGGCGACTCCGCCATCTTCTGCTAGCTTTGCTGCACAGGATCCGTCCACTCCTTCCTCCATGTCCCCAGCTCTGGACCCCCAGGATGAGGAAGACGCGCTTTCCCACTTTTTTGTCGTCGATAGTTTCAATATTCATCGGCTAGTCATCGCAGGCGTGACTTGTGCCAGTAAATTCTTCTCCGATGTTTTCTACACCAACTCTCGTTATGCAAAGGTATATTTCCTCTTATCGCATAACCCGTTGTGGCTTCCTTATCTGTACAACAAAGCTAACACCGATGCTGCATACAGGTTGGAGGACTACCGTTGGTTGAACTCAATCACCTTGAGCTCCAGTTCCTTCTCTTGAACGACTTTCGTCTTTCGATTCCCGTGGAAGAGCTTGAGGCGTATGGCACAATGCTAGTAGAGTTCTATGCTCGAGAGATCGCCTCCCAGCAACAGCAGCAGCAGTCACAATTGGGCATACCTCATTCAATTCACCCTCCCCCGACAATGGGTTCTCAGTCGGATGGGATGTACATGCGTGCCCGGGAAAAGCAGCGTCCCGATCAATCAGAGGTTCGCCAAACTCCCACTCCACCTTGAATGGTCTACGCATGACGACAATGTCTTTTCTCTCGCTCCTGGACCCTTGAGCCATGCTGTTCTCCTTCGAGAGGCGAACGATTCCTTCCTTCCACTTCGCTTCCTGTGCGGGTGTACGTATCGACTGCTGGTTTACTATACCTCTTAATTGGCGTCGCATATCCCCTTGGGTACATATGTCCGTTAGTCCTGTCTTAATCACGCATCTTCCCAGCAGAAAGATGATTGCAAATCTATTCATAGACTTTCCATTGCGGCCGGAACGTTCGATCGCCGCTGGATGCTCGGGTGGTTTGTCTTTCATGTCTACTGTGTATACTTTCTCCTTTACTCCTCCCCCTTTGAGAGCTTTCGCATTTTCTGGTTTTACCATGGGGTCGGCGTTTATGGTAATGTTCTTCTATTTGTTTTGTTTCTTGTATGGGTGAGACAAATCTCAAGCATCGCGCTTTAGTACTTTGATAGAGCATGTGCAATCGTTACTCCGGTCATATATTTCAGGTTTCAATTTGTCCTTTCACGCTATCTCTGCGCATCTACCAAACAACAGGAAATGACCACTGCCGACCTTGTGCCATTCGACAAGAACAAGCCAGCAAGGACAGCGAGATCAACCACAGGAACACTTGCAATACACAACTTGCATCAGAGTCCCCTTACAACAATGCGTACCCAGTATGAATTATGTCATGACTCCCGAAGAACCCTGCCACCTCCCCGGTTGTCGCCACTGCCGCCGCCTCCCCCACCCAATATGATATCAACCCGCGCCGTCAATATCATCACCGCGACACCATCACTGTAAGCTTAATTTGCCCAACCTTGGAAATCATGATCCTCCTGGTCCAAAAGCACCGATTATGCTCCCGTCCCAGTTACCGGCAGCAGCCTCCTCCCCTTCCTCCGCAGAGAGCTATGAATCCCAGAGTATAGATGCTGTCCACCCGGGAGGCAACCTATTACATCACTCCCTACGTCGATCCACGAGCAAAAGTGGGTACTTGTATACAGCCCGCTGGAGCACTTCAGCATGGCCGAACTACTAGCCAGCCTACTAGCTCCATATAGTAAATTGTCTAGTGCTCCAGGTTTCCAAGAAGAAGCGGGGGTGTCTAATTGGAACATGGGGCGCTAAACCGGTTTGCGTGCTCACTATCAAGTCTGCCTATCTACCCTACCTACCTTAGCTTATTCGCATAGCGCTGACTTTCGACTGCCCTTTGTTTCTCTACTAACTAGTTACTTATCTACCCCTTTTCTTATGTCAAAAGAACCCCATGTTCTCATACCCCAAGGGAAATGTCCCGTAATGTATAGAATATGCTCCCGACGACGATATACGTACGGTCAGCGCGTCTCGACGAAATCAGATTTCTGGGGACTGTACAAGATGCTTCTTAGTTTTGATATTCTTTCTGTACGGATGATACTCCGAATTGCGTCTGTGTGGAGCGTGGATCTCATCTCAGACCCATATATGGGACCATATTTCCTTGTTTTGCCTGAGCTTATCACCAGGGTGATCCTCTGCTTCTCCGTCCTTTTTTCTCCTCTGTGCCCCTTTCACAAAGACAGGAAGGTACTACGTCAAGCAAATTTGCACGTCACCCCGACGATCAACGTTACTATAGTTTATCCGAAACGTGCGCGCTCTGCTGATGTCAGTTCGCTCGGCATCCCGTCGAATGTCCCCCTGTCCTGTCTGTCCCGTGCTACTCTGGAGGGAGTCGTATGCTTGACTAGTCTGTATCATATTGATGTGGATCGCTGTCGTGACTGTGGGGGTTTGCTCCCTTCGAGTGAAACTCTGGCACTCCGGGTAAGATCAGCGATGGATGGACGGGCTGCTATAATGGTATGGAAGCCTAACATAGTATGTTAGACTCCATTGTAATCTAACAATTGAATATTGTGGATCATAGTTTCCCACTCCTCTGGTGCGAGCTTATTCCGTCTCGTCCCCTTCCCGTCTTTCCTTCCCTCTCTCCTCGGCGGAATATTTGACTCGCCCGGAACGATTCCCCACGTATATCAAGGCATCCATCCTGAAGCTCGCCCCAGTATGTAATAAAGCCATATGATATGGGTCGTTCCATTTTAAGGTCGTTGACAAGTTACTCGGGACGCAAGTGGTATTGTCGTGTCAGAGCCGCATGGTATATTAAGCTCCATACAAGCCCGGACCAGTCAGGACAATAAGACCCCTTTCGGACCACGTAACGATACTCAGGCTCAATGAATTTGAAAACCAACGGTGATTCATCCGCCCAAACCATGCGTTGCAATTGTAGATAGGAGAAGCCTCCCCCAGCCCACGTGCCTGGTGCACAGACCTCAGCGGGTCGACGTCAATCTGCCAAGCACCCCGTCAATGGGGCACCTTAATCGCATCTATACTATCTCCATCGACACCCGCCTGCCAATTACCAGCGATATATAGCCTCCCAAGGGCAAAGAAACGTCGAGGTGGTTATGGCTGGTACCAGCGCTGTAGCAGGCGTCAGTCACTGGTATCATATAGAAAGGACGGTTTACTTACCCTGGGATCCCGAAGACGGAGCCACCAAGCTACTGGTGAGTCAGTCGGCGTCGTCGGTGCTGGTGAGTCAGCCGATTCTCGTCATCGGAGGGTGGAACTAGCTCTTAGAGCGAGGGCATACGACTTAACACCCCAGACGGTGGCTGCGTTATTACATCCACGACGGACAACCTCTGCAAGCAGGGCTAGCTCATCTGTGACCCGATTAGCAATACCTAGCTGGTTGGCACACTTAGCCAGGTTCAAATGGCCTCCCATGGAGTGAGCAGCATTGGAAAGTGTCGTGGTATAAACAAGTGGCAGACGAAAGGACTCGAACAGGACAAACGAATTCCGGAAGAAAAGCGAAAAGCGTGATCCAGGTGCAGAGAAGATGTGATCTACAGTCTAAAATGGCCACGTCCCCTGAGCTTCGCTCGCATATCAAGCCATCCACTGAAAACCATTGGGTCGTCCCACGCTGGACGCTTTGCCCGGACCCAGGCCAAGCTATTCCATGCGCATAGGTAACGGTCACCGGGCGAAGTGGCATCGTGGGTGGAGAGATAGGCATAGGACTCGGAACCCCAATATGTTGTATATTTCTCCATCTCGCCATCCTCATCAGGCTCATGGAGGGGGGTAACCTTCCATGCTTGCAAGTGACCGAGGCACGAGAGGGGCCCAGGAAACGCATGCTCCTTCCGTTCGATCCAGCGAGGGACGGTGAGGACTTCTGTGGTCTCACAGAAACGGACGCGTTTCTTCGACTTGTCTTTACGAACCGCAGACAAGCACGAGACAGGCGCACGAGTTGCCCCCTCCCGCGTTGCTGCGGATCTTGCAAGAACAGCATCGATTCGCGCGACCATCTCCCGAGCAGTCATCTTCACGTACGCAGCTGGAGTTGAAGCTGGTTCGGGTTGTAGAGGGAGCGGCGGCTTCGTAGTCGATTGGGCCGGGGCCCACGATCCCTGCGCAGCTTGTCGCACCGAAGTACGACTGACCGCAGCAGGACCAACAACAGTGGGTGAACGACTAGAGCTGGTTCTTACCTGCGAACGCACAGGGAGATTCGAGCCCTTTCGTATCTCCTGAAACACTCGGACGGCAGTCCTCGGGGATGGAGTGGGCACATGGGAGTAGGTCAACGGACGAGGGGCGTAACAAGGGACATTTCGACGGAAAGTGACTCGCGACAAGTGGTGGAACGAAGCGAATGCTGGCTGGGACTTTATCCGTGACGCGGTAGGGGCTGGGTCCTTTCGGAACGGAAGGCCAGGAATACACAGACGTGCCATCTGGTACCCGGGGGCAACGAACCAAGGAGAATGAGGGAATGGGGAGAGGAAGGTGGAGAGTAAGAAATGAGAGATTAGCTGAGAAGCCAAAGTAACAAATATAAGAGCTTGAAATTCGCAGAGCGTGGGATCACGATACTAGCATCAAGGCACCATAGGTTTTGAAGAGAGGAAGAAAAAAGAGGAGGGTAGAATGCAAGAAGAATGAGTCTAGATACTGTTGCCATGGCATGAGGGTGGGAAGGTAAAACAGGTGCTGGAGTGAATGGTTGCCAGGGATCCAGAAAGTGAGCAGCAACTGTGCACTTCTTCACAGGCAGTGATGAGGCTGAGCCTGGGGTATATGGCACGCGGGAGAGATAAGAAACCATCATAGCTCGACACTGAGCGCCTTTCAAAGAGCAGGAACAATCTCATTTCGATACAAACAAAGATCAGGGCATCCAGATATGCGATTCATATAGCCTATCCATTCGTGACTCTAATCAACACAATTAGTTACAACTTGGATGCGGGAAGAAAAGAAACAGAGGTATCATATCATTAATGAAGAAGCACGAAAAGAGAAGGCAAAAATATTAATGTTCGGGATGTCCATACAGCCAACCAACCAGCCAGCCATGCATATCTTTTCTCCATCCATCTAAGCAGCCAACAGTAGAACCAGTATTAGAGGGTAGCGGTACGTAGTAATAAGTTAAGAATGACGACAAGGTCGGAATGAAGAAGAGGGTAGGATGCTGACAGGAACAAGTACCCATCGGGCTGGTCCCTCTATTGATGTGAGACCAGCCAAGAATCTGGGTATTTTCTCTTCATTTGTACAGAAACCGCACCTGTCACTCAATTCTTGGCGGACTTGTTGACCTATGGCCCATCGGGCTCATACTCGCCCTATTTATTCAAGCGTTAGCATCGCCTCCACTATCGTGAGAGCATGGGAAGGGAAACAAGAAGAAAACGTACGATCTCCGCCTCTCCCCCTCCTTCCTGAACCCCTCAATGATCCGCGCAATCTCCTTCCTCCCGGATCTCGCATCGACTTTCCTCCCGCCTAGGCTCAGACTGACCTTCTCGTTTGTATTCGCCGTCAATAACCGCTTCAACAAAAGATACCGCATACTCAAACAAACGAACACTCCACAGTCGCTTCCGTTCTCTTGAACAGGTGAGTCCTCAAGATTCACGTATCGGATATTCCGATTCAAAAGGTTCCCCAGCTTCATCGTCACGGCGTGCGCCTCTAAGTAGTTCCCAGGAGGCAACGAATCATAGTGAAAGGCGAGACCGTCGACGATGGATACGAGCAGCAACGACCAGTGCGTGCCGCCCTCGGCTTCGGTGACGTTGCGACAGTCATTGATGGGGAGGAAGACGTGCGTTGTGCGGGAGAAGTCTGGGAGGGCCTCGCGGAGTGTCCGAGGATCCGGGGTCTGAAGAATCATGAAGGACATACTGGGGCGCAGAAGGACGATATTGGCTGATTTAGAATGGGTGAGGAATTCCCGTTCAAGATACCTGACGCATCTCATTAATGACATCCGGAAACAGAGAGAGGATTTTGGGCTAACGCACTCCTCCCAAAACGAAATCACCTAGGCAAGTAGGTATACCAAGTCAGCTTAGGGGTCAAGGCATGTGCCAATGCGCATCAATGACTGATAACAAAATCACGAACATTATCAGTGAGCCAGTCATCCTTCAGAGATTGCATGTCTCCTCTCGTTACTAAATTTCTTGTCAGGCGCTTCAGCAATTGCGGGAAACGATCAAAACATACGTCGGATATCATGATCTATCCATGACCAAGCCCAATTAGAATAAAGCCTCAACGCCACAAAAGGTGGTCCATCAGAGAGGCTCAAGACACGGACTCACAGCTCAAGTACGCATCATCGGGGTTCAACTGCATTCAGTGAGCCATCTAGATTAGCCGGGGGTCTGGCATGCCCGTAGCGTAGCATACTCACAGTATCACCGAACCGCTTCATCCTCTTCACCAATTTGCCGCCTAACCCACCGTCCCGCATCATGAGAGTTGGTCAATAACCCCTATCACTGGTGCCGTTGCGCTTGTAGTAACGAAAGTCGATCGCAAATCCCCGCCTTAATCCTGACCGATGATTGCACGACCAGCAAAAGATAATATTTGCTCCGGGCGTCTTAGTTCGAGTATGAGCTGTCCAGTAGTGGGGAAATGTTCGGTTGAGCTTCGCTGCAGATGCAAGTCGACGGAATGCGCTGGGTGGGTTTTGACAAGAGACGGTAGGCCGTTTGAGGTGGGATTTTAGGTACGATCGTGGCAGTTGAATCGTTACAGGCGTCAAACGGGTATGGGTTTAAGTATAGAATTCGCGCGCTCTAGTGCTTCTCAATCCAAAGACGGCAGACGAAGGTGGGGGAGGAGGAGACAGAAGAATGGAATCGTACGTCGGACAGCTTAATTGGACCTCGTTGTGCGGGCTCTAGTTCGTATCACAGTCGGCGAAGGGGGGAAGGCTGGAGATAGGACGGACTAAGCTACAGATGGAGAACAATACAAGGGTAGATAGAGATGGGCCCACAACAAGGATGAACGAAAGAATTGACTAAACTTGACAGTAACAGCGAGGGGAGAGAGAAGGAAAAGGAGGAGGGGGCCTGTTGTTAACTTGTTATCCCTCGGGAAGCTCCTGGCTGGCGGAGAGGAGAAATCCCCATCAGCCACACGGCCACGCCATGCACGTCACTCTTCAGTGGCTGAGTCTCCCTACATACGTAAGTCACTCACGTGGCTGTGGCTCGGTGGGTTCGAACTCAAGTCAATAATAATAACTATTCTCTGGAATCTCCATCGAGGGGTATCTAAACAAAATACATCTCCAAAGGCATGCGTACAGGCTCTTTGAGCAGAAGTAACAGCAATGGCCGGTGAAAAGAGAAAAAAAAAAAAAAAAACGCGCCCTTAGCATAAAAACACCAACCATACAAACCCACCTGCACACATCTTTTCATCCAGTCATATCAAGCGCCCAAACAACACAATCCCATACTACCAGTGGAACCAGGAAATCTCGCCAGCATAAGATCACCGTCCAACCCGCTGAATTCAATCAAAATGGGAAAAGATAAGAACGGAAAATAGAAGAGTAAAAGAAAACAACACAGACAATGTCACGCCGTTCAAGGCGCTACCTTGCAGGGTATTGAATGTGGTAAATATGCCATCGCATGATATAGTAGATTTCAATGGGTTGTCGCCAACAGTTCATCACCTGAGACTCAGTTCTCCGGGCTGCTTTCTCGGCGTCGAAAACCTGCAGAAAGGTATTCTAGTTCGTAAGCTTCGCAAAGTGTTTGTTCCAGATCCAGCCGACCTGACGCTCGGGGTCATCTTGGTTCTTAGCCAGCCACAATTCGCCCTTCTCGGCGATGACATCGAAGATCTCGCCCACAACGTATGTTAAATATGGATAGCCAGCTTCCCTGCGAGCTCGATCGATATTGAATTCGTAAATGCTAGCCGCGAGGAAAAGAACTGCTGGCTCCTTTGGATGCTCATTTTCTAGTGGCGTGTTCTCTTGCGGATTGTCCGACATCGGCATCGCTGAGGAGAAGAAGTTCGAGTATTGGTCACTGGACGTCGCATGCTGCTCTTCTTCGGCCCTGGTCTCCGCTTGTGAGGGGCCAATGACATCGACCAAGAATGGAGAGTCGAGGCTCAACCTAGGTAGGCTCGGGAAAGACTCGGTGTTAGAATTGGATGCCACAAGCGACCCTGATGATCCGCTGGTGACTTGTTGAAGCATCTGGCTTCGGGGAAGTTCGGCAGAATCATGCGCACGACCGGAAAAGGTCGAATCTGCCCTACGGCGACCCAGAGATACTTGAGATTGGCCGTCAATACTCGGCGACTGGAAAGGATAGCCGCCGATGCTGAAGTCTTGAGACGCTTTGGGCGACTCCTCAATTGTCGAACCCATGCGCGTGCTGACACTATTGACCGTGGAAGGTCGTCGGGGCGAGCTGATGGTCGCCCCGGTCGAGGGCGTGTTGAAGTTGACGAGGTTGACAGTATCAGCAAGCAGGGATCCATTGCAGATTCCGAGGGATAGCACCTGTCCTTCAGCATAATTAAATTTGGAGGACCAATTTTCGACGATCTTTTGGATGTCATCTGGGAAGGCTTCAAACAAGGGTCCTAGGTTCCGCTGTAACTGGTGAAACCAGGTAGTCTGGATCTGCACAAAGTTCTTCAGGCACGCTTCCATTAATTTCGCAGTTAGAGCATAGAGCTTCGGAAGCTCATCCTTGAGGGTCTCGTTGAGGGCGATGAATTGTTCCCCTTGTTCCGTCGTCTTCTTGTCAGGCCTATCCCCTCGGTCTTTGATGCTCTTGAAGCGAACATAGTCCATAAGTCGCTTATCGCGTTTCTTCATTACTCTTTGTGGGCCGTCGTGGAGCTTGAGTAGGGTGATCATCGGATCAATAACGCTCTTCCGAACAATTGCAAGCTAAAGAGTGAAACAGCCAATGGTTAGTGATCGCATAAAACGGCCTAAATTGTCTCTTGACAAGGGATTTGACTTACGTGGTCGGGTAAAGTCACTGTCATGATGGTTTGGACAGAGGCTGTAAGCTCTCGCCATTTACCTTCCAGCTCGACATAGTTAGATTGGGAAACATCGATAAATCCTTCAATCGCGCTGACAAATTCGGCGAAACAGTCCAGAGAACTCTGAACCTCCTTTGTGTATGATTCTGCATCGCGCATGACAAGCTGCAGCTGGAAGAAGTTGTCCCCGAATTTTTGGGATAGGCTATCGTACTCCTTGTCCTCAAACAAATCGGTGAGCCCTACTTGCTGTTTCAATTTTTCGGTGCGTCGGCCAAATGCCTTGGACAAGCCGGTCCGAACATCAGACTCTTTTCGTTTGCGTCCAACCACCTGACCCACCAGATCCGCACGCTTTTTCATCTCATTGATTCGGACGGATATATTGGTGACCTCCTCAAAAGCAGTAATAAGAGCAGCCCGGTCAGGATGATCACTCGGTGTCGAGTCAAGAAGTTCTGAAAGTAGGAGGGGATACTTCAGGATTCTTTGCACAGGCTTGACAATCAAGGAGTCCAAATCCCATGCAGTTGTAAGGTCAGAAGCCCAATCCCGACACTCTTTGAGCCAAATCGCTACCTTAGGGTTTCGCTGCAGAGTTTGAAGTTTCCTGTTAGCAGCGTCGTGATTCCTAAGATAGTCCGCGTAGACCTTTTCCATATAGCCGATATGCGCCACGAATGCCTGTCCGATGAAGGTCATCTGATCCTTCTCATGGTCCGACAAACCCGTGTTGTCTGGTTTGTCTTCATTCCTTGAAGTTTGGCGGTGTCGCGCACTGCGCTTGCTGCTCCATCTTTGCGATTTAGGCATCACATAAACACTCTTCGCGGCTTCCTTGAGAGCATCTTGGAATGCCATGGAAAACTGAACGACCTGATCTGAGTTTGCGAAGAGAACTTTGACATCCTCAGAAGAGAGATCCAAGCACGAACTTGAAGTTCCCTTGTATATATCATCGACAACCTTCATGTCTCGGCCAAAGGTGTACTCAGTATCCACTAGTTCCTTGATCACGTTTCGTCGCTTCTTCAATCGTCGTTGCTCTGGTGAAGGTGACTGTGGCTTTGACTGGATGTGCTCGGAGCTTGAAGGCGCCAGCGATGTTGCAGACGAGTGCAGTGTTTCAGGAGATAGCGTAGGTTCAAGCCGCTGGAGGGATGAGTTCTCACTACTTCCCGTGCTATTGATAGGGTCCAGGGGGGAGAATATGCCGTTGATGTAGGTGCTAAAACGCTGATTTGCAACGGTTGCGGTTGAAGCATATTGAGTGGGTGGGTGCACATTGTCTATCGCCGTTTGCACATGACCAACACTAGAGCTATGCTCATAAGATTTCGATTCCTGGGGTATCTGAACATCAATTGCCAGGCCTAGACGTTCCCTTTCCTCTTTTTGAGACTCGGCCTGGACGATGGATTTGTCCAAACGCGGCGTGGAAGCATTGTCGAGTTTAGATGCCGAGTCGCTTTGTTCGCTTTGTGGAGTTGACCCATCGGCAGCAACCTGCATCCAGTCCATGATAGAAGGTGACGCATGCTCCCAATCGTCGCGCATGATGAGGCTGGCTGTGTGCCTCATTCGATCCGAGGCGGGAGTCTCTGCGTTAAGAGGGAGCAAGATCTGGTCTTGGGACATGCCATCTTCCCTCGTACGAGCGTTTAGCTGTTGAGGCTCCGGAGATGCACGTATAGCTGGCAAGGGAAGGTCAAGCCCTCTGCCACTGGCTATCTCTTGTATATAGAGCTGACTGACTCGCTTGGAATCCCATCCACCCAGTCTGGCTAAGCTAGGCGCACTGGTAATTGCATAAGGGTTGGCCTGGAGCACAGACTCGACCCTTGGATCGTATGGCGAATCGTGTGCCAATGCGTTCGAAGGCGGATGGCCAGTCACAGACGGAGTACTGGAGGATGCGGAACATGATTGTGTCGCAATTTCACTATCATCGGTGGAGTGGCGAGGTTGTGGGAGTTCGTCGCCACTGCCCTCGCACTGCTCGTCTGTAGAATGCTGGTTGTGGAGAGATGATGACCAAGAGCTAATACTCCACCGGTTCGACATTTCGTTGTCTGTCGTCTCGTTTTGCGTGTAGAGATCACATTGCTCCTGATTTTCGCTGCTGTCTGTATGGTCATCATAGCCTAGCGCATCCCGTAGCATGATGGGGACCGACTCTTTATCGTCGGTCTCGGAGACGCTGCAGTCTTGCTCGTCACACGACGAGCTGCTGGAGCTCGACTCGCGTAAGTGCATAATTTGGTTCAAAAATGCTCGATGTGACGCCTGTTTATCTTGCGTTAGGTCGACTTGTGGTTCTATGTCGAAAGCGGTTACATGTGTCTCATTGGATCCCGAGGTTATAGCCGATGCAGGAGCACCGTGTGCGTCGCAGTCAATACTCATTTCACCAGCGAGGGCAGGCTGATGCCCAAGTGTTGGGGAATCCATGGTTGTATGCGCATCGAAGGTTCCGGCTTGCTTTGCCTGGGTCATCACGTCCGTATTGACATACAATTGGGGTAGCGTCCGAGTCTCTTCGACCTTCAGCTCCAATTCCGATTGTTCATGACTTACATCCACTGAACCGTCTGTCCCAGCGAGGTCATCCTTCATGAGCGCATGCTCAACCACGTCTTGTTGCTCTGCATGCGAAACTTCCGGTTCGATGGCGGCAATTCCTTGTTTGTCGTCCAAATCCTTGTTTCGACGTCGGATTTCAGCCGCCTTCTCCTCCTTCCTCTCATTCTCCTGAACCGTGCGATTGAAGGCTTGTTGGATCTTTTCACGCCGGGTCGCAAAGTCGACATGACCCAACTCCGGCAGTCTACGATCCCGAGGTCGCGAGCTCCTTGGCTCTCGGTCACGATTTATCTGCCTCTGAATGTTCGACACGGTTTCGACGACTTTTGACCGGGGGTTTTGGAGGGTAGTGTGCGATACGGGTTGTCGAGGCCGGGAACTCCGGAGAGGAGGCGATTTGGCTGGCGGAGGCGCGGCTATGTAGGCTTCTAAGAGACCACTTCTTTCATGGATCTGACGACGGGACCGGGCATGTGTGCGTGGTGGTGTTATGAAGATCTTGTGATCATCGTGTGACGTGTCACGCTGTGCTTTGGGCGACGGTTTGGGGAGGCGGCTAGTGCCTTTGGGTGGCAGGGGAACTCGGGCTGCAGAACGACTTCTGGACCCCGTACAATCGGCCCTCGAAGGAGATGAGGATTCGTCTGAGTCCGATGTTGAATGCAGGCGGTGGGATGAGATCGGAATGCGAGATTTGGTATGTGAATGTTCGTGGAATGTCTGAGCACCGGACTGCAAGGGGGCTGGGACAGCCATGTGAAGATCAGGAGGGTGTGCCGTCGCGCCCACCGACCAATTCCCGACAAAATCGCTTCTCGTTCTTCTGTGATCGTTGGGACTTGTACCTGTACTCACTTCTTCCAAAAATGGCGTCCGTCCAAGGTACCATGCGGTAGGTGTCAGTGGAGTCAAACCGGTCGAATTCTCAAGCTGGTCTAAGAACGCCGGACTTGAGCTGAGAATATTCCCTTCAGATCCGCGACGACGCGAAGCACCATACTCAGCATTCAGAAATCCCGTATCAACAATGAGCTTCTCGCCAAACACCGCACGACGAGAGTTGGTTTCTGAATTGCGGTGATTCAGGTTTCCATCCAGGTCATTGGGTCTGAGCGGGAGAGGAACCAGATCCGATGCGTCCTCGCCAAATGTATCCAGCGAATGCCAGCGGGGAAGTTCTTGTGTATTCGTCGTATCGCGAGCTTCACGAGACCGCGGAAGAGTTCCCGATCGAGGTAATCCACCTGCTGGACTGGTAGGACTTGCAGCCCTCGAGGGTGCCCGAGATCCAGATGTGAGGGACGAAGGAACGGGAAGAACCTGATCGCTGTTGTTGTTGAATCTGTTGATCAGGTCTTTGAATGGCGTCTGTCTGGCCCTTGCCGTCGAGACCCGCGCGGAGGAGCCCCAAGCGGAATTACCTCCGACGCCCTTAAACGATGAGTCCGATACTGAACGACCCTGACCCACACTCCCACCAGGGGACTCTATCGAGTGTATTGGTACCGAGGAGACACGCTGGAAGAGTTGAGGACGCTGCTCTGCGGTTACGTCACTGTCGTCTTCTACCACGGCACCATCATTCACAACACCAGCACTTGTGGGCAGATGCGGTCGATAGAAATCGTCGGGGTCAGGCGAAGATCGGCCAGAAGTGTTCTTGTGATCGTCGACAGGAAGGGTCGCAGGTAGGGAGTAAGGTTGCAGGCTTGTGAGACTTGGTTGGGCGGGATATGTTATACCCGACAAAGAAGGAACAGGAGAGAAGGACGGCGCGACTAGGGAGACGTGGTCAAGGTTGTTTGACGGGGAGCTGTAATAGGGATCGTGGATATCGTGAGTGTTCGAGGAAGATAGGCGCCGGCTGCCGTCTAAGAGCCGGGAAGCGTGCTCAACATCACTCCCGGACATCTTGCATCCTTCAGGCAAAGAGTCAGCGGGAAGGTCCTCCTCGACTTTGTCCTTTCACAAAAGAAATAGACAAGGGGGGAGGCCGGATGAGAAAAAATCAATGCGGACAGAAAGGAGCAAGTACCCAATAGAATGATTGGCTGGGAAGGTATTTTTCCAGGTCAAAAGGTACTAATCTCTTGATGTGTTGTTCGCCGCTGGTAGGCCACCGATGAGGTTGGAGGATAACCGGGCCAGAACTATAAGGCAATCATCACCGGGTAGTACCACCCGAGCACAGCGTCATATTTGAGGGTGAGTTTGAGACCACCAAGCCAGAGAGGGACGATTCAAAAGCCGTACCCCGAGAACCGGAAGATTTGTCAAGCTGCTGGGCTCAAAATAGAAGCGGAGCAAATCGCTGTCTGCCTGTCCTAAGGGAACAACGACAGACTGTGAGAAAGGCGTCAGTCAGTAATGACCCCGGGTGGATTAAGGGCGACAGAGGAGACCAACAACGACTCTTGTCAGGTCAGACGACGGGCGGGACGAACGTTTGCACGGCGTCGAGCAGGGGTGAGGGGAATGTCAAGGAGGCAGTGGTGGTGGAAGCAAAAGAAGAAAGAGGGTGTGGGAGGACGTAACAAGCGGGCCGGGAGGGGAGGGGTTTGTTGAGGTCAAAGTGATAGGGTAAGACCGTAGTCAAATAAAAAGAGAAGAATTCAATCAATCATTCATTGATGGATGACGAACAGCTACCAAACGGTACCCATCAAGTAATCGATAGAAAGCCCAGATCCATTGTCGGGTTGCTTCCTATCGATTGGAAAGGGCTGCAGGTGGGCCGACTACTTCCAGCAGCCCCGTTTGATTTGAAGGTTGTGTTTCCTCTACTGAATGCTTTTTTTTTGGCTCTAATTTTCGTTTTATTTTTCTGTTTCCGGATTTTTTGTTCTTTGATTTCGGTAGGGTAAGGGAAGAAGAAACACAGATTACTAGATGCGTCGGTCGGTAATCTTTGGTTTGGTACTGTGAGCGACTAACTTACTAGTGACGGCAAGAATCGACCTTGGGCTTGGGAGTGGGTGCGGAGAAGGTGGGTAATCAGGAGTAAAAAGCGAGGGGAGTCCACCCAGGGATTCGACCAGAACTCTGAGACGAAAGGGTGAGGGAGTGCAGAAAAAGATTGCTGATGATAACCCCTCTTCCCATTCTAGAACTAGTCTATGAAGAGATCATTATACGGTAGAAAATGTATAACTAATATTTACAATATTAGCCCAATGGTCGCTAAAAAAAGAGATTTTCTGACATCCTAAACCGCCGAAGTTTGAAGGCAGAAGAAACTTAGAGAACCTTAAAATACAAGGCGATGGAAGGATGGATGTGAGTGAGAACTGCGAGGCTGACTACTGTATCTAATCGGTAATAGGAAATCATCACACGCCCGCCTGCTCAGCCTTCAAGAATCTGTGACAACAGTCTTTCATCCTGTACAGATTGTTCTACGCCCCCCTCCCCACCCCACACCCTTCAGATGTCCATCTCAAGGCTCAGTTCCTGGTATGGAGCGAGGAGAGGGAGAAGCAACGTGTGGACAACAGAGGAAAGAAGTAGTGATTAGTCGTTTTGCGGACAATCCCACGGGTCTAGTGGCGGGATCTCCATGCGCAGGTCGATTTGATAGGTAAGTCAGTAGCTGTTGACCACAGGTAGGAGAAATAATAATGGTTTGGCAGACGGTAAAATCTGACTGATCTACTACAGAACAAGTAGTTTGAAAGTAGCGTGAGCATGGAAGCCATAAAGAAGTCGGCACATGAACTTTATTCCATTCTATCAAGGACACAGCCGTTAGTGGCATTGGTCGGATTTGGGACTCGTCGTCCCTTCGGGGAATCCATGGAACGTCTTCCCCGCCGAGCTTTGTTCGCCGTGCGCCTACCATTCGATTGGCTTGAAGACGACGAGATCAATTCATCAATGTGTCCTACTACTTTTGTTCATGATTGAGGATTGCTTTGATGTGATACTCAGAGAAACCACGTCTCGACTGTGTTGGTTCGTTGCATCAAAATATATATTCATGTTACCTGCGTAGCCGCAGTGTTCGAAATCTGACTCGTACCATGTTGCCTCCCAGCCTGCTGGAATGTCAGGTCTACGGCAAGCAACACAATCCACCGATCCTTTTCCATGTGCGTCTGACCCTGAACCGCATTCAACGAGAAGCAGAAGTACCACTAAGATCCTGAGACTTTGCCTTTCTTCGGAGATGATCATGCTATTGGAAGTTGACACCTCTCCTTGATTTTCATAGGAAGTATCCGACTTCGTAGACCTTCATTACGTGCCCGTCTCAATGTATCATTTTATCATGTTAATGTTGACTGTCTACAAAGAAGACGGTGAACCGGTGCAAGGGAGGAAGGGGCCCTTTCTATCGGCATCCTTGAGTGCGATGAAGAAACCTGCCCCGAAGAGTTAATAGTACAGTCACACAGCAGGTGCCGGACGAGACAGGTGGAAATGAATGGATAGGTGACACACGGGACACCACCGACTCACTCCGTCCTACCTGAGTCCTTTTGCCCAGCTTGAATTTAAGGTCAAATGCACGCCGTGACATTCATCCACGATCCTGCCCACAGGTGGGAAGAACTCACGAAGACCGATCACAGTACCATTCTAGGATTGTGAATTTTAGTACTGTGGGTTCGATAGTTCGAACTGGTCAGCACGCAATGATGTATGAATCACGCATGTTCTGCTCCATACGTGTAAACATCTCCTCCGCAAAACTATTTCAGCTAGTCGATCAAGCAGAGTCGCCGAGATACAAAGTTCTTCTGAGGCGCTACCATCGATGGCAGAATGATGAGTCTTGATCAGCTTGCAGCTGCACCAATTAATCACACAGTTCGGACATTTTTTCGCAAGGCTCGTCTGCGCAGAAGAAAGACTTGACATGCTGTACCTGACTAGATCCACTTAGTGATCGATGGCCAGCCAGCCCGAGGACGCTAGGTCAGTCGGAAGTGGGTAATATGATGACCAGTGACGATGTTGGTATGTCAATGGCCAGTCAAGCTCAATTCGATTTTCCGAGGGCATGGAGGCAAAATAATAATGCGATCCCTGTCTCTCATGGCCCAGGAGTCCCCGGCAATCACACCGCTTCTCTTTGGCGATGGGGCCGTTGGCCTTCCTTGCAGTTTGAAAATTTGTCCTAGAGGATATTTGCAACCGAGGGCGTCTTGTCCAGACCGAAGGCCTTCGAAGGGCTTGACTTCATGGCACTCAGCAGCAAGCCCGTCAGGGCGGAGTGACTTCCCCCAGTTCCGTGGAATTTGCACCCAGTCAGGGGAGCATGTCGGCCGGGAGGGCGAGGCTGATGTTGTGGGGGCGGTTTCGGCAGTCTGTTTTTCCTTGCTACGTAGGCCACTTCTAGAGCCTAGCGCGGCGACCTTTCTAGACCACCGTCGTTCCAAGGATCTGGCACAGCCGACCATCCTTGTCCGTGCGAGCACCATGGCTACGATTATTATGATAATTGGGGTCATTATTGCCGGACAACAACCTCATTGTGATACTATTATTATCGGGCGGTCTCCTCATCTACTCGTGACTAGCCCCGTTACCCCTCTGCTATTTCCGGCGCCTCGACCTCCTGGTCCATTCGAGTGAGGAGCCAACCCAATTCCCCATGCATTGTCCAGCCACTCGTGGCTGTTGTCCTGTGACTTGAGGCGGCGAGCCTTCCTGCGGCTTCGTCTTCCGCTGACAGCGCAGTCGACGTAGGAACTTCTTTCACGAAAATAGATGGGTAAACCTGCAGCATATGGGCACCACTTTTGCGTGTTTATCTGCATCGGACATTTTCGACGTTCAAACGGGGTACGAAGGGCGATTGGATCAATAATAACTCTGCTATTATAGAGTACTAGCCACCCGTCGGCCCGCCGGATGTCGCTGTCTTACATCCGCATCCCTTTCGACTGACATGCTAGACACTGTCGCAGTGCCTGCAACCTAGCTACGGCTACGAGAAACAGCTTCCAGCTAGAAGACAGCACATGAAGACCGAAGTCATTGAGCACCGCAGGCCAGCTGCTTCCGGCTCATATAAAGAGAGAACATCGCAAAAGAGCATTTTCGGATAGACCGGGAGCCCCAAGGATCGGCAGTCGCTCCAAAATTATTCTATGGTTGCCGTTGGCGATGCACCTGAAGCAAGCCCCGAGAGTTCTACGTATGAACAATCTAAAATATCGCGACTGGAACTTACCTTATTTCCAATGGAGTTGTTCAACCAGGTAGATGTGTGGTGGAGGTATTGGTGCTGAGGATTGGCCTCGGTGTTGTTCCATCACCCCTAGAAGTGACGGGTCCGCAGTTTCGAGCTACGTATACGTGGGACTCAATAATCATTGCCACCTTGTACGAAGGATCTGCGCCCCTGGATCTCACTGGCCTAGGACTTCAAAGAATGGACACATTGTAGCCAGGACAAGGTTCATTTAGACAATGGGTGATCGTCTCAGCACCCTAAGTCTATTAGAGTTCGCAAGCTGCAGGATCGCATCACATACCGGACAGGGGCTCGCTTCGAAGAATGGGAAGACGATTTCCCCCTTTTTCTACTAAGTGCAGCTACGATCGGACATAATCATCGTAGAAGTCCATCAATAATTGAATTTGAAGGCAGTTTCCATGGGGAAGCTGTTGCCTCGGAGAGAGGTGGGGTGGGTGGGGGGGGGGGGGGGGCGTCTGGTGTCTGTCTCACTGTAAAACACCATATTTGTTCGATCGCCCAATGCGGATTAGCTCCCACGAATCGTCAAACTGGAGAAAAAAGGGACCGCAAGGCTATGGCCTCCTTTTAGCTAAGTAGTAGCAGCCATCAGTATGGAAAGTTATCGGCATGCAGTAAGTCGTTAATCATCTGCTTATGGAAAGACAGGCATCACAAGTTGGGATTATGGTACTGCTCTTAATCGGGGAAGCTGTCATCCTGTCACGAGGGGTGCATTTCATCTTTCTCGGTTCGCTTATCTCCCCGTGACCAAGGTGTCGCGTTTGAGGCGCGTCTCTTGACCGCGCGCTTCCTCGTTCGCCAAGAATTATTTACTTATTAAACCCAGACTGGGTCACTTACGCCCATCATAGTTCGTACCCCAGCAGAAGGGCGGGGTGATCTGCCTGTCGTTCAAGTGAAGCTGAGGAACAATTGAGTTTCATCTTCTTTCCTATGGGGAAAAAGAGGAAGAGGCCCGTGAAGGGCAAGCGTTCCCAAGACCTTCCGTCGCAGACTCGCATCACTGCAGCCTCCACCGGTTTCAAAGATCTGAGTGGCTTGGCTCGTGACCATGCCACCGGAATTTCTCATCCCGTGATCTCGCTATACTACAATGAAGTGGTAACTCTGAGGCAGTTCCTCTTGCGCCATATACCAGCGACCTCACGGTCTCGCCGCCGTAAGATCGCATCAATTCGAGCGGTCCCTCCAGCAGTCGCCAGCGACTCGTTCGTGGATTCGCGTCGAGAACTAGCTGTTCTTCTTGATACCACCTTGGTGGGCATCCCACAAAATCCATCCCCTGCTTGTGAACAAGAACGGAGCCAAGAGCTGGCTGCTTTGCGCAAGTCTCAACCTAAGTCTCAACAAGCGAGCACGGACACTGGCCCGCCATGTGCACAAGCAGAGGTAAGCAGTCCATTTCGAGAACAATTGTCACCAATTGTCCTACCAACGCTGTACTTGCTTGCGCCCAGGCTCTGGGGCTTTGACTTTGGCAAGCTAAAACATGTAACGAATGCACTCACAGAAAGGCTGACTTTACCCTGCAGCTTGTAGACCATGCTATAGCTTTGATATGGAAACCATTTCTCTCCGAGCCAGGAGAGAAGCCGTGTAACCTTCTGACTCGGGGGTTGAGTGCGAGCAAGTATAACGCGCCAACATGCAGTATTCCAGGTATCGCGGCCTGCTTTCCCAACGAAAATGTTCGGAAGCTCAAAACTGCTCCCTGGACAGAGGTCTTGGGCTTACTGGGGAACAATGGAGAACTTGTTATGCTGCGACTCTTGTGTGATTGTGGGGTTTTCACGGCCCTGGACTCGCGTAAAGGCATCTACCATCAGATCTGCGGTAGGTGTTTCCTATGCTAATTTCAGTGTGATATAGATACTGAGCTCAGCGGGACTTTCAGGGAATTCTCTGGTGGGACTCGAACCAATTAACAAGAAACCACCGCAGCAATTATCATCAGAGACAACTTGCCACTTCACTAAGAAAGGACCCGTGGCAGTCATGGATGACAAACAGAAACGAAAGACAGCTTACTGTAGCAAACGACAACAAAAGTGTCGAACGCCTAATTCTATTATCTTTAGCCGGCATCGGATTCTTTACGCTTCTCCCAAACCTGTTGCCAACGGGAAGTTGCAACTAGGCTTAGGAAACCGTAAGTCATTCTCGGAGCACTCGAATAGATTTCGTATATTAACATCTGGTATAGATATTCTCAATCGATTCTCATCCTCTTCAATTTCGGAGTGGAAGGCGATGCACGTTATGCAATACATTTTCCCCTTACAGTTCGGATTGACTAACATTTTCGAACCCAACCTCGAGAAAGACTCAGAGAAGAGCTCGCTCGAGAAAGAGATTGCAGCGAAAGCACAAAAGCGAAAGCGAGATTTTCAGAAGTATGAGCATCAGATCATAGATAGTGAACGACTCAAACTTGCGAATATTCCAAAACGCCTTCAGGGCAAGGCATTGGAGCTGGTTCAACAATTGCTCACCCGACATAAGCGCTGTCCGTACAGATACTTGCTAGATCACTACTGTTCTTCGAAGGTAGGCACGGGTAACCATTCCGCGATTCAGAAGTTATGCTAAGAAGACAGCGTGTTGGTCCATGGAAACTCGCCCCCTGCGATTCTCATTCGAGCAATGAGTCGGATTTTCCCGCATCCGAAAAGCTGATAACTCAAGCAGGTGCGCTTGGAAGACTGTTAGTAGATAAAGATGCCTTGATCTCGAAAGACCATAAGGAGCGCTGCTCGATTGATGGACCTACGTTCGAACCAGCGAAGCCGGTGATCAACCCGGCAGTTGTATTGAAGCCCAGTTTGACGGACTACGCAACCCCTGCCTCCTCCATTTCGGCCTATTGCCAAGCTATCATCCGAAACTTGATTCCGGCACAATTTTATGGAACTGGACAGAACAAGATCCACAATCAGAATGTGATTCTCAAGAATGTCGACAAGTTCGTTCGTATGCGACGCTTCGAAAACCTCAGTCTTCAGGAACTGTGTGAGGGTGTCAAGGTTCGTTTGCACAAAATCAAAAATAACTCGTGTCATGCATGCTAACGGGCTAATTATTACTTGCAGATATCTTGCATACCCTGGCTCGGTCCCGCTGGCCATCGTCAACTTGTCGATCCATCACATCATAAACTTTCACTTTCCGACCTGCAGAAACGCACGGAGCTGTTTCATGAGTTCATATATTACTTGTTCGATTCGATTCTCATACCCCTTATTCGGGCGGGCTTCTATGTCACTGAATCTCAGTGCCATCGAAATCGTTTGTTCTATTTTCGACATGATATCTGGCGCAGTTTGACCGAACGGCCGATGGCTGAGCTGCAAGCGTCTATGTTCGAAGAATTGGGGCCAGAGGAAGCTCAGCGGGTGTTAGCTCCCCCCTCTCAAATAAAAAGAAAGAGTCTGGGGTATGGTTCCCTACGACTTCTACCCAAAGCCGCCGGTATCCGTCCCATCCTGAACCTCAAAAGACGGCTGCCATCATCCAAGAGCACCGTCAACTCCACTATTGCTCCCATCCAAAGCATGCTCAACTACGAGAAGCTGCGTAATCCGGCCCTACTGGGCTCCTGCCTTCATTCGGTTGGAGGTATTCATTCTCGACTGAAGAAGTTCAAGAAAGATTTAGTCCTGCGAAAAAATTTATTCGCTGGTACACCGTCAATACCCCGGCTTTACTTTGTCAAGGTCGACATCCAGTCCTGCTTCGACACTATTCCGCAGAAGAGGATGCTACGTCTCATTGAACAGCTGGTATCTGCAGATGCATATCAAACTACCAAGTACGTCGAGATGAAACCGGCAGATGAGTTCAACAACATGTGGCCACTCCACGAGCAGCGGCAAAGCCGGGCCTGGAGGAGATGGGTGGGTAGAGCAGTTCCAACCAGTAGTCCCGAACAATTAGCAGACTTGTTCAGCAGAGGGGGCACGAGTGGACGGAGAAATACAGTCTTCGTGGATACGTTCTGGCAGAAGGAGAATCCCACTGATGGTCTACTTGGCCTACTTGAAGAACATGTGCAGAATAACATGGTCAAATTTGGACAGCGGGTTTTCCGTCAACGCAACGGGATCCCCCAAGGCTCGGTACTTTCCAGTCTCTTGTGTAACCTCTTCTACGCGGATATGGAACGGGAGGTGTTGAGCTTCCTCAAATCTGACGATTCCTTGCTTCTTCGCTTAATTGACGACTTTCTAGTCATTACGTCAGATCTGGCCAAGGCCACGCGCTTTCTGCAGATTATGATCCGAGGCCAGCCCGCGTATGGAATCTCCGTGAACCCAGCCAAGAGTCTAGTTAACTTTTCCGTCCAAGTGGATGGCGCGCACATCCCCCGCATCGTGGACGCTAGGTTGTTCCCCTACTGCGGTAGTCTGATCGATACCCATTCTCTGGAACTACACAAAGATCACGATCGGATCCTTGACGGCGGCGAATCGGTCGCGGCAAGTCTGGCCAATTCACTGACCGTGGAGTCGGCGCGAACACCGGGCCGCTCACTGCATCGCAAGCTACTCACGTCTTTCAAGGCGCTGATGCATCCAATGTATCTTGACACTCAACACAATTCTGCCGAAGTCGCGATGGCAAATCTGTATGCGAGCTTTGTCATCTCGGGCATGAGGATGTATCGATACATGCGATCCCTGTCGAGACGGGCGCAACCTACACAGGGGGTGATAATCCGTATCATACGTGATCTGGTTTATCTTGCCAATCGTCTGATCCTCGGTCGTCGTCAGGAGAAAGCCAACTCGCCCGCAATATGTTCTGCGCAACCGTCCGAGGTCGAGTACCTAGCCGCCGCAGCCTTTCGAGCGGTGCTGGACCGCAAGCAGACGCAGTACGTAGCTGTCTTGCGTTGGCTGCAGACAGTTCTGCGAGAGACTTATCCCAAGTCAACAGCCACCGCTGCTCGCCTGACCCAAGTGGTGCGCCGCGGCAATGCCGTGTATGACAAGTGGAAGTTCTGATAGACTCCCGGGAGGCGTTCCCTTGGCGCTCGCTTGGCTGAGCGAGCGTTTACTTCTTACCTTGGAATAATTTTACTAAAGTGTGGGCTTATGGAGTCGAAGACTCGAAGTAGCTAGTATCTTTATCCCAGACCGGGTTCATTGTTTGTTTGAAGAAGGGTGATGTAATGGTCGCGATCAGGGTTCGCGTTGTGCGGGAACCAGTTACCACTACCAGAGGGGGGTGAGTGACGACAAGATTACTACAGCACAGCGACGGAAGCAGGAAATCCGGGCCATCCGCAGGCAGGAAAAGAGTGGTCCGTTGATCGGCAATCTCGACCGGTCCGTGGGTGTAAGATCTCATGGTGTCTGAGATCGACTGACTGGTTGTCCGTGGGCGGAATTAGAGACCCCAGCAGATCCGATCGCAGCGAAGGATTGTCTTGGGAAAGACACCATGTTGCATCAATTGTTCTGTTGAACGACACTTCATAAGGTTGCTGTGGTGTAGTGTGTGGGATGTAACAGTAGTGTGTGTGTGCGTTAATTAGTCTTCATTTCCATTTCGTCTCGTCTACCGCAAGCGTGGGCTAACTAGTGGACTACCCAATGCGGCTTAGGGTTGTCGTCTCAAGCCGGGTCGGAGCTGCTTTTTTGCTTTTGGGTGGAGAATTATGCCCCTAGAGAATTCAGGTACCACAAAGGCCCTCCACCGAGGTCAGTGGCGGTCCACCATTCAAAGCTGCTCGTTCTGCCTCCCGTACGGTGCGGTACCTGGCAATCCTCAGGAAAACATACCACGGAACGAGGGCCAGAGAGGGACGAGGATTGTCTGGACCAGAGGAAAGATGGAAAGACCAAAAAAAAGTGAAGGGGTAGTTTTCATGATCTTTCATGAAGGGGAAGAACCGAAAAGAAAAAGAGAAAAGGGGGAGGCGAATTCTGGAGTGAAGGCCTGAACGATCGATCTGGAGCAATTGTTGACCTTCCGTTCGAAACAACCGAACTGTCTGGAGAGAGCACCTCCTCGCAGACAGCGATCCTCCAGCCGATCTCATCTCAGCTGTGGCGGTGCGTTACATCAGTTGTCAGTTCCCTGAGGGAGTTCCTCATCTCCTCATGACGGCCCGGTTTCGATCAGCTAGTTAGGTTGCTTCACCTTAGTTCCTCATTTGACCATTCGTGGATGCTACCTACTGTGTTGTGGCACTGGAAACCCGAATTGATTCCATCTGAATTCGTCTCTCAACCAGAAAACCTAATCTTATTCGTTTGTATCTGGTAAATTGTATGTAACCGTGAGAGCCGGTATTATTCTGGTAAAATGAGGAAGAGGAAGAGAAAGAGAGAGGGGCGGCATTGGAACTCATCCTGTTGGGGAAGCCAGCCAATGAATCCTTGAAGGAGAGAATGGTTTTGCTGGGGCTTCATCTGGTGCGGTGTTAGCGGATTGGCCAGACCGTCGTCGACAATGACAGTGGACACTGTGGACGATTGAACTAGAGGATTAATAGTCTAGTGGTTAGCAGGTGGCAGCAGCCTGGCTAACCGCAGACAGTCCTGGACTCCTGGGGCACAACAGGGCGTATCTAGAGGTCAGAGGAATTAAAGTGGCCTGAGGCTCTCTCTCTATCTAGGTAACTAACTTCAGGTACTAGGTAAGTACGGAGCACAGTAAGGGTAGTACTGTAGACTAATCACTTTGGTACACTTAGTATGCAACGGAGACTCTTTCTTTTCTAGTAAGGCTTGTATTAAGCGTTGCAAGTGTCCCCCTCAGCCTCTATTCCTCCCTCCACTCCTCCCCCCCCCCCCGTACGTGTATTACCAGCTCCATCCACTCTACTCCCTCCGTCCTCCTCCTTCTCCTCCTCCTCCACTCTTCATCACCGGATGCAGCAAGTTCATCATTTCCCCGTCACTTTAGTTTAGTTCCGTTCATTTCCTCCCTTCCCCTTCTTCTTGGTTTTTTCCCGCTTTGTCCACTCTTTATCCCAGCTCTTCCTCTCTTCTTTCCTCCTTCCATCTATTATTTCTCTCGTTTCCCTGCATTCCGTCCTTCGCTTCTCAGTCGATCGTTGAATAATCATTCTCTCCTTCTGTCACTTCCTTCGTTCTCGGGTGCTCCCTGCAGTTGGTGGTCGGTACTTCGTCCGTCTCCTTTTCTCATCCCTCCCCTCGCCTTCTGTTGCGGCCCCCAATGCGCCTCGTTCTCGCCAGCTAACTCTTAATCCCCCTGTGCAGTTATTTGTCAATCGATCCACACCCGGAATATCGCTTGGTACGGTATTCTATGCGGGCGCGACCGCCGTTCGGCTGCACCCTTCGTACATATCAACCCTGCGCCGTCGGACGCATCATTTAACCACTTTCTGTCCTGCTTTGGTCAACGCTCGCGGCGCGATCGGAACCTCTGCGCAATCAAACCTTGTTTATCCCGATCATATCCAGCTTCCCAGGAGCCTATTGTCAGCTTCGTCTTGCCTGCAGTTGGAGTAAGAAATCCCCAAAATTGGAGCGCTGTCCGCGATGACGACCGTCTGCTCGACCCCGAACTCTCCGCCCGATCTGACCGGGTCCAAGTCCTCCAAGTCCTCTTCTTTTCGTTCTTCATCCCAACATTCTGGGCCCGAGGCCCTTTTCACCGATATTTCCAACTTCGAAGAAGTCGACCTTCAAGACGAAGCGCATATCACATACATGGATGCCAAAGTACCTTTTAGTCGGACCGGCGGCATCACCCAAACATTCCCGACCAGGATGCAGACCAAATCGGCCGTGGTCACAACCCGCGACTTAACCGCCGCGAAACCGAGTAAATTGACGGCGCAGACCAACGGCACTCTGGTCCAGCCGGGCCGCGGCGGACACAACCTCAAGACCGGAAACCAGCGGGAATCCACCATGGGCAAGCACGCACCGCTGCAAGTCTCTAAACCCCGTCGATCACGATCCAACTCACCGCTGCGACCCACCTCGAGCTTAGGATTATCCCCTTCTACGCACAGCTTGTCCTTGGCGCCCGCCGCTCCCCGGACGCTCAACCGGAAGCCATCCTGGCAGCGGACCCGCAGAACCCTCAAAGATTTAGAGGAAGAGTATCACGATTCTGATGAGGATTTGCCGGAAGATGCCAGTCTCTGGAATGTTCCCATCTCCCCCCGACCGATGCAAGATCGAGCCCCGTCTCGGAGTACAAGTCCAAATGGTCGCAGTCCTGGACCCCGGCCGTTGCCTCTGTCGCATTCCGCATCAGATGTCACCCTCCCGAAGTCTCCGTCGGGGTCGCGATCCCCCACATCACGAAGTGCTCGTTCCAAGGTACGTTCCAGCTCCGCGGGGCCGGAACGAGGCCAGATCTCTCCTCGTAACCCCCGAGCCTACTCGTACAACAGCATGATGTCAGACCTATCGGAGGAAGCAAGAATAATCACCGAAGCGCTGGAGTTTCATGCCGACGAGCGTGAACGCCAGCGTGGGGAGAGCTTGCAGAGCGGGCTGTCTTCATTGAGGTCTAGCACGGATTCGAAGCAGGGATCGAAAACCCCGATTGAGCTGCCACCGCTACAAAAGTCAAACATCATGATCGACCCATTACCTATTAGCAAAGAGAAAGAGAAGGTGCTGAGCCGAACCCGGCCAAGCTGGCTACCCCCGAAGGATCCCTTGGAGGAGAAACGGCATTTGAAGGAATACAAGAAAATGATGGCGCAGTCACGAGAAGCAGGTACGGTCACAAATGCCGACGATTCTTTGCAAATAGCTGACATGTAAGCAGACAAGCGTCGAGCGGCCAAGGCTGCTTCAGCCAAATGCGAGAAAGATAATACTCGGGAAACCCTGCAACAGATCTGGGACGACTATGTGTATCCGAATTGGGACAGTGTTATTCATGAGCCTCGTACGCGGGAGCTGTGGTGGCGCGGTGTGCCGCCGCGGCTCCGTGGATCGACCTGGCAGCGGGCCATCGGCAATGAGCTAGCTCTCTCAGAGGAAACGTACAACAAGGCGCTGCAACGGGCCAAGGATTTGCGCGCTCGCCCCGACAGCGATACGGGGGAGAGCAACAAGCGAATGCGGGAGTGGTTTGGCACCATTGAACAAGACGTGTCCAAGGCTTTCCCGGATCTTAAGTTGTTTCAACCTGGCGGTCCACTTCGTGAGACGTTGATTGATGTCTTGGAGGCTTACTCGATGTACCGGAGCGATGTCGGATACGTCAGTGGACTGCATACCATTGCTGCCCTTCTGGTTCTTCAATTCCCATCTCCGTCAACTGCATTCCTTGCTATGGCCAATGCACTCAACCGCCCCCTTCCCGTTGCCTTCTTGACGCTCGACCGCGGGGCTATCGGTCGGACTTATTCTTTGGCGTCCGCGACGCTCAAATACAAGTTTCCACGTCTTTCGACGCATTTGTATGAGACACTCCGTCTCAGCGATGAGGAAATCTGGGAACCGATGTTCCGCTCCCTGCTAACAAATGGACTGGACCTCGAGCGTCTGAGCCGGGTCTGGGACTGCTGGGTGTTTGAAGGGGACCGGATTATGATTCGCGCAGCGGTTGCGACTCTGGGCAGCTTGCAGCTGCAGCTGTTTGGCTTTACTAAACCCGACGATCAGAGTCGGCAGTCCGTGCAGGGAATACTGAGTTGGGGACCGCGTCAAGCCGGGACCAACAGTAGCAAAGAGCAGCGCCACAGCGCACCGGCAGCTCCAACGCCGGCAGGCTTTGGCGGTGGAGGTCTTGCATCTTCTGGGGTCGGCGACTATTGGCTACTCTCCTCCGCAGGCGACGAGGATGGGTTTATGAGCGAGGTGAGAGAAGCAGGGAAGGTCCGGTGATCACTTCCAATCGTTTCTCGTTTCTTATTATTCTTGAACATAATTGTGCTGCAGTGGATAGTGGCTGCAGCTTTTAATACGATGGACAGGTCTGTCTTTGTCAAGTGGGTAGTAAATTAAACTCGCTGTGTATACATAGGAAGTTTGTCTCGGGTGTAATTTTTGTATTCTCAAGCTTGGCCTGGTCACTAGATGTATCAAGGTAGCTGCAAGTAGTAGGGCACCGTCCCTGAACGACTAAAACCAGCAGTAAGCTAGGGGTGGAAGATCAACAGGCACAAGGATACTAAGCTCAGATGATCTTTCTACATCTTTCTTCCAACGCAATGAGCTATCTGTCATTCTGTATTGTGTAGCAACACTCTGAGCTCAGAATGACCTTTCCGCCTATTTCTCACCATCACCATGACTTCATCCGCCTAGCGCCGACAACGTCATACTGATGGAGCCCAACAGCACTACATTAAACCCACTCAATCACGCCAGAGAATTGTGTCTCTCAAAGTACCATCATGTTTAATCAGAGTGTTTTGTTGCCACGCTCTCTCGGCGCATCATTACGCCATCGCCCGACAAATCTATATAGTCGTCTAGCTCTTCCCGTCATTGCAACTGCATCAAGAACATTCACGACCTCACGATCTACACATTTTGCAGCCAGCACACCTCAACTGAAAAAGTCAACTACTAAAATGGCGGCCGAAAACAGCAACACCAACTTCACCTTGGAGAGCCTTTTCAATGTCAAGGACAAGGGTACGTCAATGTCTTGAATACTTCGAGAGCTCCCAACATTCGACTCCAAACGTGATTCTTCGCAAAGCCGGCCTCTCAATTCATACTTCAAGTTCATGCATACTAACTGTCATAACACAGTGGCCCTCATAACCGGCGGCGGCAGCGGAATCGGTCTGATGGCCACGCAGGCGCTCGCCACCAACGGCAGCAAAGTCTACATCACAGGCCGCACGTCGGAGAAGCTGCAGCGCGTGGCGGAGCTGTACGGCAAGTCGACTAAGGGCGAGATCATCCCCCTGACGGCGGACGTGACGGACAAAGCCAGCATCCAGAAGCTGGTGCAGGAGATCTCGTCGCGCGAGTCGCGACTGGACATCCTGATCAACAACGCGGGCATCAGCAGCAGCACGCAGACGACGGAGCACGAGAACGCCGAGGACCTGAGCAAGGCGCTGTTCGACGAGAGCTCCTCACCCGAGGAGTGGGAGAGCGTCTACCGCACCAACGTCGTGCACCCGTACCTGGTCACCTCGGCTTTCTTGCCGCTGCTGCAGAAGGGCAGCGAGCAGGCCAAGGGCTGGAGCAGCACCGTCATCAACATCACCAGTATCTCCGGCATCGTCAAGGTCAGCCAGCACCATTTCGCGTACAATGCCTCCAAGGGCGCCGCAATCCATCTGACCAAGATGCTGGCGCATGAGATCGCCAGCTCTGGTCTGCGCATCCGCGTCAACAACATCGCCCCCGGTGTGTTCCCCAGTGAGATGACCGCCGGCGAAAGTGATGAAAAGCAGAAGAGTTCCTTGGAGAAGGAGAAGTACGAGGGCAAGGTCCCCGCTGCGCGCCCCGGTAAGGATGAGGATATGGCCAGTGCTGTGTTGTTCGCTTCTACCAATCAGTATTTGAACGGGCAGACTATTGTTGTGGACGGAGGATACGTCCTTGCTGCGGGAACTATCTAAATGTTCACTGTGGGTATGATTAATGTCTTGTTATGAGAATGTTAATAGTATGTCAATAATGGATAGTGGAATGGGTTGATTTCCCATATTTAACGATCATATGACTTGTTTTCTTGAATCCAAGAAACGTATAGGACTGTTCTTTTGGCTTCGCTATACACAAGTAATCTGAAATATTGTCTGGTAGTGGCCTCTTCTCTAAATTCCAAATCTACAGCTTAGCCTTCTCAGCCATGATGGCCTCGCTCTCAGGAACCACCTCGACCATCATTTTGCCCGTATTAACCCCCTTGAACAGATTGATCAACTCCTGGGGCGTCGTTTCCAAGCCACCTTTCACAATATGTTCCTTCCGCTTGATCTTCCCTTGGCTCAACCAAGCACCTAACTCTTTCAGCGCGGCAGGATACTTATCCTCATAGTCAAACACAATGAACCCACGCATAGTGATCCGTTGCGACTGCGTTCGTTAGCCAGGATCCAGCATCACCACCGCCGCCCCAACCAGGAAAGAGCGACTCACGATGACCATCAGATAATTCCTCGGGCCTTCGGGCTTCTCCACGTTATACTGACTGATCGCGCCGCAGATGACGAACCGGGCGCCCTTGGCGGCACGGAACAGGCACGCATCCAAGATCTCGCCGCCGACATTATCGTAGAACACATCGATGTAGTCGGGAGTCGCCTCCTTGAGCTGCTTGCGCCAGTCCGCATCCCGGTAGTTGATGGCCGCATCGAAGCCCAGCTCCTCGCGCAGGAACCGGCACTTGTCCTCGCTGCCCGCGATGCCGATCACCCGCTTCGCACCCTTGATGCGCGCGATCTGGCCAGCCACCATGCCCGTGGCGCCCGCCGCCCCGGAAACTACGACCGTGTCTCCAGGCCGCGGCTGGCCGACCTCGGTCATGCCGAAGTACGCCGTCAGCCCCGTCATGCCCAGCACGGACAGGGCGTCCGTGGGCTGGCAGCCCGCAGGGATGGTGATCTTCTCGATCGCTTTGACGGGCAGGATTGCGTACTCCTGCCAGCCGGAGTGCGCGGCTACCCACTCGCCGACCTGGTAGGTGCCAGCCAGCGCCGGGCTGACGCGCAGGATCTGGGCGATGCTCTGCCCGCGCATCACGCTGCCGACCTCGACGGGTGCAATGTACGAGCGCTTAGCGGTGAGCCATTGGCGCATGGCGGGCTCCAGGGCTAGGTAGTGGATGCGGACGAGCACTTGGTTATCCCTGAGGGTGACATCTTCGGGGATGGTCTTGGTCTTCAGGGTGAAGGTACCGGTGCCGGTTAGCGAGGGGTCGATGGCGGCTTTCGGAGGGTTCGTATAGATGAGTTGGCGGTTAGTGAGAGGCATTTTGTACGAGATATCGGATAATTAGGAACTGGTGATATTGCTGTAGACAGATGGATGGGACACAGTTTATCGAAAAAAATGTCGAAGGGGTTACCGACAGGTCATGGTGAGGAGTCGGCCCAGACAGTGCAATGAAGTGAATTGGACCTCGGCTCATGGAGGAGAAGCTCTTTGAGGCAAGATCTCCGACAGAGGGTCGCACAGCCGGGGTGGGGGTAACATCCGGGGGATCAGTGCTGAGAATTGAGAAACGGAGGTAAGACTCTACTCGAGAAAGCAGACACTCTAATACAAGGAGACCAGAGTTGAAGCATGTATGGGTCTGGTTGCGGCCGTGAGAAAGGGAGGTGCATATTGTACATACATACATAACTGACTCAGCCGGTATAAATCATGCTTACCATGACATCATCACCAGCTATCATCGATAAGACAAATCACCTGATCGGCTGTCCGAAGTAGGCAGGGTGTCTGTGATACCTACCTACCTAATAACATTAACCAACTTACCTACGTTAAGCTCCTCTTGAAATGCATCACTGCTAGCGAAATAAATCATCATCTCACCCAGATGAAGAAAGAAACTGTCGATCATGTGAGCGAATGGCGCAGGAGTCCTTATCTGACTGGCCAGTTCCCTCTTCCCCCAGGGTTCGCAGGATGGGCCCCAGGCGACGATGTTTTTTGTGAATCAGGTTGACGTCACCGGCTCGCGCGATGATGTCGCAGTCCCTCATTTTGCCTTCGTCGATGGTTATATAACCTTCAGAAGTGACAGGTGGAGTGCACTAACAAAGCTTGAACCAGGCACCATCTTTAAAATACAATCACTATGAACACTTCTCAGACTCCATACTTTGATACCAACGCTGCGGCCACCGGTACTGCCACCCAAGCTGGCATCACCAGCACAGGCGATGCCAGGACCGGCCCGGCCCCGACCACTGCTGGACCGCATCGCTCCGACATGGCGAATAAGACCGACCCCCGCGTCGATAGTGACCTGAACAACCGCGCCCAGTATGCTCCCGGCACGACCACCACAGGCAACGTGCACCCGCAAGCCACTGCTGGAACCGCGACCACCTCAACTTCGGGCACCTCGACGCGGGGCCCGCACAGCTCATCCTTGCTGAATAAGCTCGACCCCCGGGTCAACAGTCGCACGGGTGAGATGTCAACCAAATCCACGAACCAGTCGGGCTCAGGAGCGATGCGCGAACCGACCGATACGACAGGCACCGCGGGCGGAGTGGGTTATCAGCCTACGGTGCCGTCGTCTAGCCAGGGGACGCACGCGGCCGGCGGTGCTAACACCGCTACAACCACCACCGCTGGGCCTGGCACCACCACCACTACTGGCGCCGCTGGCGGTCAGTCGGCGCGCACGGGCGAGAACGTCGGGCGCGGGGTAAAGTCGGCAGCAGCGGGGATCCACGTAAGTCACTAATCTCGAAGAATTATTGGTTGCAGCCTTGCAGAAGCTGACCGGGCCATTAACAGGGGGCCGGAGAGTCGCTACGCGGTGGACTCAATGCGGCTGTAGACTCAGCCTTCGGCCACGATAATGGTGCGGCTAAGAACGCAGCGATTGCGGACAAGGGCGAGCGAGAGATTCAAACCGGGCAGTTTGGGCGCGCGCACTGAACTGAGCTGCTTTTCAGATTGAAATGATGCGATACGATGATACGACTGATGCCTGTTATTCGATTGTTTGATAAGTCGCGTTTAGTGGAGCTAGTCAAATGGCTGCCTGTTGTGCATTGTGATAATGTAATCAGTTTGGGTACTGTATGTACTATGCTTAGTTATAACTAATTGATTGGATTGGATTGTTCATGTTCCTTCAGCCGATGAGCACGTTGCGGCTGGGTACTTAGCTTGTAACATCAGAGTCAGCTCAATAACCTTGCAATGGACCGTAAACATCGTAGGCACCAATCACCTCCACTGAGTTAAATCCTTCGCCAGCTTACCATTGCTATTAATACGTACCGACATGTTCAGATGTCTTACCAACCTAGCGATCTCACAAGTTTACCGGGGGGGTTTAAAGCTTCGCCCTGATCCACTTCTGGTCTCTCAGCCATTCCGGCCCTCCCGGGGCAGTGCCGGTGGAACCGTTTTCCTCTCTGTGTCTCTCTCTCTCTCTCTCTCTTCCTTTTTTCGTCATTTTTTTTTTCGTTCTGCCAACTCGTACTCGTTCTTTTTTTCTGATTCTTCTCTTTTACATCATCTCTGGCTGCTCTTTTTCCAATTGAAACTTGCCCCCTATCTACCGATCTCAGTTTCTCCCCGCTCTCCTTGCTGATTCCTATTAATTCTATCCCTCTATCGTCAATCAATAAACTAGCGATGGCTCCACCTCCGACTCCGTAGCTCTACTTTAGCTTCAACTTCCCCCATCCAATTTCACATGGAGCCTCTTTCATTCCGCCTAAATCCATCCGAAGCTATTGCGTCGTTGTTTCTCCGGTTCCCCTCTTCTTATCTATCAACCATTCCCCTCAATGGGTGATTACTCTCCTTTAACAACTCCATACCATCCACTATCACCATGGCTGTGAAAATGCAATCAGCTGGTGGCCATACTAGCTCCGATAGCGAAGACCTGTCTCTTCGCGATCCTACGCGGGAGGATGAAGCTCATGATATGGTAGGGGTCAGCATCAGTCGAACGCAGAGTCGCATGAAGGCTCGTCGCACTCCAGCCGCGGAGAGATCCCGCCTGATGGGCCAGCATGGCGGGTACTTTGATGCCATTCCCGACTCTCCCGAATTCGACAATGGCCTCTTTGCCAGCCATCTCACTCAAGAACCTGAACAACTCCAGTCCTCGCAACCGCATCCCTCGCGAGGAGCTAAGGAGAAACTGAAAGATCACCGGTCCAGCTTCACACGCTCTCTTCTCAAGAATAGCCTTCCGCTCCGCCCTCGTGCCTGGTCCGGCGATTCCATCACCAATCTTCGTCTGAAAAAGTTCCTGCCGGACTCGTGGACGAAGCGGATTGCCAGCCAGCCAGCTCCACGCACCGTCAAACCCGCCCCGGAGCCGGCGCACAGACGATCTCTGACCGAAGAGTCCGCGGACGAGCCTATCTCCGATCTCAAGCCTCTGGCGGGAGCCACCGCCGCCCGCCATTCATATGCCCGGCGGCCCACTGCCGGTGTTTCCAGCAAAGCGCCGCCAATGTTGCGGCGTTCATCTTCCGATCAATCGCTCTATCTGCGACGCTCCTCTACAGCCTCCTCGCTGGAGCAGCGTCCTCGTTATGAGCATATTCATTCTCAAGTAAATAGCCGCTTCAAAGCCATCAAGGACAGTCTGCAGGATTCTAGCAGTCGCCTCTTAAGCATGCCTACTCTGCATTTGCAGGATCTCCGCAGCGACTGGGGATATCGACCCTTTCTTTCCGAGCCATCCCATCCTCGAAAAGTCCATGACGATGTGCCCGTCGCTTCCCATGCGCGGCCACCGACGGACCCGACGGGACCGTCGTCGCTGCCGCCGCCACCACGTACGCGTTCGCCGCGGACCAGTTCCAGTGTCCAGCATCCTCGTCTTTCCGACGCTATGGAAGATTTAACAGGCGATGTAGTCATTTTAGGAGGTTACCGGGGCTCGGTCCTACGATCTGCCAAGCCTCCACAGCGCCAATTATGGGTACCAATGAAAGTCGGGTTGAATCTGCGCAAAGTCGACCTCGAGGTAGGCTTGAACCCAGACGACGAGGAACGAATGGAAGAGACTATCATCCCATCCGGGGTATTGTCGCACGTCGGACCTGTGGACATCTGTCGCCGCCTGATGAAGCGGCTGCAGAAATGTCCCAATGCAACGCGCGGCGATCTGCGCGTCTGGGATTACGGTTATGATTGGCGTTTGAGCCCGCATTTGTTGGCTAAACGTTTGATCAAGTTTCTGGAAGGCCTCCCGAGTAATGCTCCGGACACACCCCGCGAGAAGCGCGGAGCATATGTGATCGCCCACAGTCTTGGTGGGCTAATCACGAGACATGCTGTCAACCAGCGACCAGAGTTGTTTGCCGGTGTTTTGTATGCCGGTGTACCGCAGCACTGCGTCAACATTCTCGGGCCGTTGCGCAACGGCGACGACGTTTTGCTGAGTTCCCGTGTCCTCACAGCTCAGGTGAACTTCACCTTCCGCACCAGTTTTGCCTTGCTGCCCGAAGACGGGCACTGCTTCATCGACCAACGCACCAAAGAAGAATATCGGGTCGATTTCTTCGATGCGCAAGCCTGGGACGAGTACCGACTATCACCGTGCATCAATCCCGCATTGCCGGTGGGCAGCCCCAGCCGGGGCTTTGTCAAGGAAAATCTTCCTCTCATCAGCAAACGTCTATCGACCGTGCTAAGCAGCAAGGAGAGTCTCCCAAGTGGAGGATCAGCCTCCTCTTCCGATGGTGGGGAAACGTCCGGCTCTCAGACGCCAGCCCCGCAACAGAGTGCCAATCCACCCACCGCGGCCGCGATGAAACCTGCCCCCGTGGCACCTCCGGCCGTTGAAGGGGCCATCGGCCCCAGCTCCAACCTACGGGGTTCGAGCAACACCAAGGTCACTACGGCAGTGACAATCCCTCGCGCCACCGCCATTACCTACCTAGAGCGCACGCTCGCCGAGGTGCGACGTTTCAAGGAAGAATTGGTCTTCGACGCAACCCACCAAGCCAACAATCGATATCCCCCATTTGCCGTGCTTTACGGGAAGTCCGTGCCTACCGTCTACGGAGCGCGGGTCGCGTCCCGCGAGAGCATCAAGCAGCATGATGCGTACGATGATTTAGCCTTCGCCGCGGGAGATGGCGTGTGTTTGGCGTCGGCGGCGATGCTACCCCCCGGTTATCGTATCATCAAGGGGGGTTTAGTTAAAAGTGATCGAGGCCATGTGGGCCTCTTGGGAGACCTGGAAGGCGTGGGTCAATGTTTGCAGGCATTGATTCGGGGCCGCAGAGAGGGAGTTGGACTGGGGCAGTCCACTTCCTCGTCTTGATTTTTGTCTTGACGTATATTCCCCCCTCTTCATTAGACGCATACGCTGGCTTACTGGGAGCCGCATTAGACTCGATACCCTCTTACCCTTGTTTATGACTACGATGGATGATATAATGAAAGTGATATAAATGGATGTTTGGACACTTGTCACGGCTCGTGGCTTGCGCATACCTGCCAGTCTTGAGTCGCTCCTCTCTGTACAATCTACCTGTGTGTGTACAGTACATGCCTATACCATAAACTGTGTATACTATGCAGTCATCTGTATCAATGTGGATTCTTGTATTCCTGTTGTATATGCCGCTTTTCTCGTCTCGAAGCACTTTTTCTGGTTGCTGTATGCTCTAGAGATTTCAAGTCGATGATTCTCCTAACTACCCAAAGAACTGATTGCTAAGCATCATGCCGATGCTGCAAGAAAAGTTGAAGTTGAGTTGGGAATTGATTGTGTCAGTCAACACCGACGATCCTTTGAGCGTCGGCTTTATCGCACGCATCCTGTCTCATCTCCCCCGCCAGCCAACGTTGATGGCCTCAACACCCAACCCTAATGTCCTGTCCACGGACCATCGTACCTGAAGAAAGAAACCTTGCGCATATCGGCGACATTCAATACCGCCAAGTTGGAGCAAGGTGACAAGGCCACGTGGTTAGCGCTTACAGCCCCAGATCCTATCTGCGGTGCATAGCTCGAGAAGGATCTTCAGAAGGACTAAAGCAGTATAGATTGAGGGGAAACTCGGCCTGACGAATGGTATGATTACTACTGACTCTTAATAGTCAAACACCATATAATATCCCGACACCCATCCTTTTCCTTTCTGCCCCTCGTCAATTCCCTTAACCTCACGCCCCCCCCCACCAAATCCCACCAAAATGAGCGCCAACCGCGGTGCCAAAATCATCCTCCACTCGTCAGTCCCCCAACCCCGACCCCAAGTCCTCCAACTCCAACCACCTAACACATCCCCGCGTGTGGGGAATGAAACCAAAGCCTCGAACGCTCTCGCTCGCAACGCATCCTCTGGCTCCTCGAAGAGCTCACTCTGGCCTACGAGATCCGGCCCTACAAACGGGACGCCCAGCAGCGCGCCCCGCCCTCTCTGAAGCAGCTACACCCGCTCGGCAAAAGCCCCGTGCTCACCATCCAGCCTGCCCCGGGCAAGGGCAAACCGGAGCTTACCCTGGCCGAATCCGCGGTTATCGTCGAGTACCTCGTCGATCACTTCCCGACCGCCACCGCCACCAAAGCGCTGACGCCGCCGCGCTGGATCGCCGGACTGGAGGGCCAGCCCGGGGGTGAGACCGAGGCGTGGCTGCGGTATCGGTATCTGATGCACTACGCGGAGGGAAGTCTGATGCCGTTGGTTGTAACGCGAATTTTAATGGATGGTTTGTTGTTCTACATATTATCGTGGCCTAGTTGGAAATCAGACAGATAAAACACAAGAGAAAAAAAAAAAAAAAAAAAAAAGAGAGAAGCTGACTGGCCGGTTTTTGGAGTGGTCAAAAACGCCCCCGCCCCGTTCTTCGTCAAGCCTGTTCTCGGCATCGTCCCGGGCATCGTGAACAAGGAGTATAGTCGGCCCAACCTGGAGACGCATTTCGGGTTCTTGGAGGGTCAGTTGGCGACGACCACCGGTGAAAAAGCTTATTTGGCGGGTACGCAGTTCACCGCCGCAGATATCCTCATGAGTTATCCGCTGGTTATCGCTGACGAGATCGAGGCGATTGATCGCCTGCGATTCCCGAGGCTGACCGAGTATGTGAAAGGGTTGCGAGAGATGGATGGGTATCGGAAGGCGGTTGGGGTGTTGGAGGAGGTGGAAGGGCAGTCGTATAAGCCTTTTTAGGTGGGGAGTGGCGCTGGACTGATCAGATCTCAGATCCGACGGTGGGAGCATAGCGAGATCCGATTTTTTTGTGTTTAGGGGGCATGAAAATGGGAATTGAGGTTTATTGAAGGTGTCAATCGTCTGTGTTAGTGGTGAAAAGTTGGTGACGGATTGGCTGGCGAAAGTCATAGTATATATCTACTCATGATAGTTACAGACAGCTTGTTACAAAACAAACGTGGCACAGATGAGATTCCCGCTCTCTTAGAACAGTCTGGAGTAGTATATAGTTGAGCTACGATCCGAGAGCTGATGAAGGAATGCGGTGCCTTCTCCGCTCAGCCTCCGCGGCCGGAAACTTACATTCGCCCAGTATATTGGACCGGTGACAGGCTTGCACCTATCTATGGGTCTGAGAATTCTTGTGAAGCGGGAATCGTGGAATGTCGAATTGGCTGTAACCAATCGGACATAGTTGACCTATCTCCGATGGTTCCGAATTCAGGGTTAGCGTGGCGCTAACTTGAAGATCGGGAAAGTCATCCAGGTTGGGATAGTCGGACTCATCCTGAGGGTATAACCCTTTTGGGAAGAACTTGTTGGGCTCCAGGCACCAGGCTGGTAAAATGTACGAAGATACTAGGTAGATGATGACAGAAGATCAAAATAGTTTCTGTGAAGGGATGGTAAATGGTAATTATACTCAGCATGCATGGAAGGCAGATTATAGTGCATCATCGATGAAATTAGGCTCAGATCGATGTCTTTCGGTATTGATTGTTCTGTAATATTCTCGCTATCTAAATTCTACATAGGCAAAAGCATCAACTTGTACCACTGCTGACAAGTGCAACAAAGGAGATTAGCAGGACAGCTATTTACTTGGCGGACTGCAAGCAAGTCCACGAGGAACCGTGGACCCCACGGTCAAATATCTGCACTAAACCGTCGCCGAAGGACTTTGCCAACACGACCGAAAACAAGAGGCAGAGGAATCAAAGCCAGGGTGATAAACCCAAGCAAGGAGTTCCCCCATCCATATCCCAAAGCCGCATACATGGGGGATCCAGCGAGAGGAAGCAGGGCCCCAAACAACGATCGAGTCACGGTAATTGCCGCTGTACCTGACGCCGCATACCGTGGATACGAGTCAATTACGTATGTTTGAAGCGTGCCAAAGATGCCTACTATCCCGAACCCAAAGGGGAAAAGTCCAATTATTGGCACAATCCAATGGGTTTTAGCTTCGACCGACCAGCCATACCAAAAGAAGGAAACTGGAAGACATATCGCAAAGTAGGGACTCAGAGACAGCCGCATCTCGGGTTCGTATTCGCCATTGTTGCGCTGTTTATGACGGACAATGGTGCGATCACTTAGCATGCCGAATACGAGCTGGCCTATGATAAAGCCAACCCCAATGCCGATATTGGACAATCCACTGATGTCAATACTCCAATGGTATGTATTTTGGAAGACATCGGTCATGGTGGTAAAGAGGAGGTAGAGGCAGCCGTAGACTATAGCGATGTAGATGGCAATCATCGAGACTATAGGGGATCGGAATAATAGCTGGAGAGGCATTGACAGCCTGCGAGATAGAGACAACTGTTGCTTATTATTCTGGACATCATAGCAGCTTCGCAGATCTGGTCGGTCAAGACTCTTTTGCAAACGTGCAGTTTTACGGCGAATGAGAACTGTGGGGTTTGTCTCGCGGTTGAATATCACGACAAGGGAAGTCAGTGTCCCCCCAGCGATAACGAGGATCCAGAACACCTATATTCGATCATCAGATATCATGGTGTCAACAGATTTCGAGCATCCGAAGTGAGTCAAAACAGTCATGGAACTACCTACCCACCGCCACCCGGCTCCCTCGGCAATAAATCCACCGCAGATGGGTCCAAGGACAGGTCCAAATAGTGGACCTGCTGAATAGATAGACATTGCAAGACCGCGCTCTTCAGCCACGAATAGATCCGAAACAACGCCGCCTCCCGTAGCCAGGCATGCTGAGCCACCGATCCCTGTCAGGAGTCTGAATCCAATCAATGCTCGGATGGATGGAGCCAACGCGCAGCCAACCTGGAACAGAACAAAACTGGTTGTTGCAATGTTGAGAACAATTGTACGCCCGAATAGCTCACTCAAGGGCGAGAACAGAAGAGGTCCTGCCTGCATGATTTTAGTAAGCACATTATCGAATCTTGTAAGTGAATACGAGGGACATGTACAATATAACCGAAAAGATAGCCTGTCACAGAAAAGGTCTCTAGAATCGGGGATGTGATCCCAAACTCCTCTCCAGCAAACACTGCAGCTGAAGCAAACACGGAAGATGCAAACGGACTACACACGCAGTGAGTTATAGGAGGATTGGGAGTTGCGGTAAGATAACGGTGTACCTAATCAGAGTAATCAAGCTAACTAGTGCAAGTAGAAACCACTTTCGAGCGGCTGGATAGTTCCTATGATATGGTTAGAGCTGTTGAATGAAAGAAAATCTGGATTTCACTAACCTCGGGTTCTGAGGGTCATCTTGACTTTCCCACCCAACAAGACCTTTGTCTAAATCGGTCACCGGATACTGCTCGGTTCCCCGGGATAAAGCTGCCTCAGCATCTGGCTGATCATCTGTTCGTCTGTCGTTCAAAGGCACCCCCATATTCTCATGTTCTTTCATATTGTGTGGATATATGTCCTTTCTAGGGTCACTTGAATTGAGACAGTGAAGCTAAGATGGTTTTCCGCTTTAACGATGCTGTGCAGGATTCCAACCACTCCCAAGACATGTGCTTGGGCCCATAGCACCTTTTATTTTGCACACGAACAACACATATCATAATCGAGAAGGGTCTCGAATGGCTTGCATGGGCATTGACAGACACTTCCGTAACGGGCGCAAGATCCGACTTTGGGGTTAGCGTCTTTCTGCCCTTGCCAACCCCTCCTCCGGCTGTATCATGTCCAGTGAGATCCGCAACAAGCCTGGCCCGCAGCTCCTCAACATTAAGGAGGTATGATGCTCAACAGCATAAAGCAAGAAAATTCATGTCTCCGAGATATGGAAATTGAAAGGATATAGGCACTCGTCTCCGCCGTCGAAACCGATATTCTCGTGATCAAACGGGTGCGTATAGTAGTCGAACCGTTCATATATTTGCTGATCCACATAAGGTCGTGCCTCCATGAAATTGGCGCCTTCTGCGTTATCGAATTCTGCTCCACCACTTGTCAATCCCGGTTGCATCGCAAATAAGTTTCGCGATGTGCCTGCGACTCCCGGCGTCGCCGCGGCATCCCCCTCATGTAGTGACTGCGCAGTAATGGGAGTTGAGGAGCTCCTATGGAGTTCGTGATGCGATTGCGCTGGCTGCGGAGGCCCATGTGCTGCCAGTGATTGAACTTGTACACTTTCTTCCCAAGGATATCTCAGATATCTTGGCACATTGCCAATTGCCTCGTTTGTCTCTTCTAGATTCGACTGGTTGGCAAATGTTCTCGTCACCAGGTTGCTAGTCCCTAGATGATTCGGCCCACCCGCAAGGTCGGTTTGTCTACCTTCGCCTGCTAGCTCCTGCAGCTTGGATCCATGAGAGAATGCCGTCGTCAATATCTAGTGAGATTTGGTCAGTTTCAATCCAGAGAGCACTCGGGAACCACAACATACTGTTAATGCAATGTGCGTGCGTTGCGAGTGGATACAATATGGCCGAAGGGCAATCAACATGACTCTGGCTATATCCAGCTCAGTCTTGAGAAACTGTGCCATTTTTGATGCCTTGCAGATGAGAAGAGCGTAGAGGAGTGTAAGTGCAGATGTCGAAAGCATATGTGCGACTCGCCACTGCGAGCCAAATAGAAGACCATGTCGATGCATGTCCTGCGCAAGACGAATGATATTGCAACTTGCGCGTATGCCAGCCAGTGCATATTTTTGGACCCCTTGCTCTTCGTTGTGACTTCCACGGAGGTAGTGCACAAATGGACGGTACAAGTAGACTTGATTATGAGCGTACGTCATACACAATTCGTATTGCGCCCTGTAGCTTGTGAGTGTTCTCGGACAGCTATCGGTTGTGAAACCCTTCAAGTATCCTTACCTTTGGGACCAGGGCTCCTCTACATGTTTTCCTAGTATATCACGACTGGCTAGACACTTGACCCAATTCTGTAGGTCGTTCTCGAGCTTCACGACAATATCCATGGTAACAGAGTGTTTCAATAACCCGCTCGCATCTTTATGCTTCATGGTGCTTGGAGGATAGAGACATTTCACGACCCTGTAAAGGATTTCATGAAGCCTTAAAAACCCCAGCTGGATAGAAATTGTTTCTGTTGATGATATGCCTTCCTCTGGCCCGGATCCTCCTGAGTAGGACTTAGCACCGTTGGCTCCAGCCTCAGGAAAGCCAATTCCTATCTCATCAGCAGCGATCGGTTTCGGAAGGCCACACATGGAAGCCAAGGTGACAAGGAGTTGCCATATGGCCCAGAAAAGAGACTTCTTCGTCGCCGTAACGATCGGGTTCTCCGTCTTGCCGGGCTGGTGGAGGCCCATGCGAAAAGCCAACGACAGCATATGGGAGACGTAGGTATAGCACCGAGACAACCTGCACGTGCTTATGAGAAATAGATTCATAAAGAAAATGGCTTGCATGACGAAAAGATTTTCACAAGCTTCTAGATCTACCATATTTCGGCAAATTTCAAAGTACTCCAATCTGTTGTTGTCAACAACCTGGTCAAATCGTTGAAACCCTTTGAGATAAGACTTACCCTTCTGCAAGCGAGTTTTCAAAGAATTCTTCGGTTTCGTGCTCGCTTGGTTTCCTGAAGAGGCAGCCCACGGCCATCAGAGAGTAGATGAGAGGAATGTGGCTAATTTCTGTCTCTCCGTAATCCTCCTTGTCGAGGGAGTACAGCAACTGAAAGACAGAAGTGAATGTGGGTCTATGCAGAGCATCATAGAGCAGGTTTGCATTTAACGCAAGGTCGACTAATACTTCTGCTCTTTCGCGTGGGGGAAGTGCCGCAGAAGTCATGCACGAAGTCCTTGGAGCTCCCAGAAGGAACAATCTGGGGGCCAGTCGCTCTTTTACGCGTAGCCTGCTTTCGAATTCGATGTCGGGCCAAGTTCCTAGTTCTAGCTTCAGTCGTTCTATGAAAGCCCTCTCTCCAGAAGATCCATGGTGTCTTGCTTCCAGTTGGCTTTCTTGTGCATCGACATCAGATCTGGCGACCGGTGTGTCCGGAACATCGGCCGCGATAGACGAAGTGTCTATAGTGGAGCCAATAGTCGTATCGAGGGTTTCTTTCAACCTGGGCTTTTTGCCTTGTCCAGCAAAGCTCTTGTAGCCCATGTTGACCTGTCTTTTACGCAGCGAATCTCGATAGTTGCACTCTTTGGATCATCAGTATGCCGGACCCTTCAATGAGCAATCAAGCCTAACGGCAGCTCTCAAAGCTTCAAGAAATCGTACCATGAAAGGAATGGGAGCAATGTTTGCAGGGATACGCCCCGTCGCATTTGATCTTCATCTGTCGGCACAACTCACATGCTCTGCGGACGCGATCATGGCGGCTCAGTGATGATGATTCGCCTTCCCCCTCAGTCCCATTATCAGGATTCAGGTCAAATGTATGGAACATCAATTAAGTCGTTATCCAATAATACAATATAGTTTTGGTGTTTGGCAAAACCGTCTTTCAAGCTTAGAGGATCGGAGGGTTTCGTAAGGCTGAACCCGCTGCGCTTCGATTACTTGCCGTAGGTTAGATAGCACATGACTGTATGCCCTCAATTTCAGGCAACTAAACCTTGAACTTTCAAACGCCTTGTTTCTGCTTCTCAAGGGTAGTGCTGAGGACCAAAATGATTGATGATCTCAGAATTATAGGTAGTGAGATCTAATAGTTACCGATCAAAGGTGATTAGATCGGGGCATTCGGTGACTGACTCGGAGTTGTTCACGGTTTGTACATATACACTTGTAGGTAAACATATAACTTCCGTGAACTATGTCAAAATTCAAGCCCTAAACAACCTGCACAGAACCACATTGTACGATCAGATTCTTATATCGCACTCGTCGATTCACTAGGTATCTAGGTTATGCCTTCTATTGGCCAGTCAAGAAGTATAACCCAATTGTTCTATTTATAAACAAGATGCTGGGTAATCATACAAGAAATATGAGAACAAGAAATGAATAGATCACGCCCAAAAACCAAGAACAAAGATCATCATGAACGTTCACAGCCAATAATCAAAACAATGCTGTCCTGTACTTCAAGACATAGAATTTTAGGCCGCTCTCGAGTTGGCAATGTTCAGGACGAGAATGTCCGTGGCGCCAACCTTGATCAGTTCGTCCATAACGGTAGCAATCTTCTTCTTCTCAACCATCGCGCTAACGGCTACCCAGCCGTCCTGATCCAGAGCAGTCACCGTCGGGGCGCGCTTGCCCGGGGTGATGTTGGAGGCGGTCGAAAGTTCCGAGCGGGGGATGTTGTACTGGCACAGGACGTATCTTTGGGCAGCTGTGAGAGTCGTTAGTAGTGGATTTACCAAGCTGGAAGGGAATTGACGTACTAATAACACCGCGAATGCGGGAAGCAATCAATCCAACCAGAGAGTTGTGAGTGTTCCGGGACTTAACCAGAACGGATGTGCTCTCGACAACGGTGTCGATGGCCTTGAGGCCGGCAGCCTTCATGGTCTCACCGGATTCTGTACAGAAACACGGATCAGCTATCGCATCCTCCAAGGAAGGTGATACTAGCCTGCACGTACCAACCAGATCGACAATACCATCAGCCACACCCAAAGCACAGGCAGCCTCCACACTGCCGCCGACATACTTGATCTTAGTCTTCAAGTTGCCGCCACTCTCACTCTCGAGCTTGGCGAAGAAAGCCTCGGTGAGAGCAGTGAAACTGGTAACGACGTTGCGGCCAACCAGCTGGCGGGCCTCAGTGATGTCACCCTTCTCAGGGACCTGGACCTGCAGCTTGCAGGCGCCGAATCCAAGGTCCATAACCTCCTCAACGCCGGAAACTTCACCACTAGGCAGCTGCGCATCGTGTTCGGCGACCTGGTCGCGACCGGTGATACCGAGATCTACGCGCCCTTCGCCCACGAAAGTAGGAATATCAGCGGCAGGAAGAAAGATGAGTGCGATCGGCAAGTTCTTCACCAAGGCGATGTCCAAGCGGGTTTCGCGACGGAACTGGATGTCGGCACCAGCCAAGAGGTCCAAGGTAGCTTGTTGGAGACGACCCTCTGTATAAGACAACGACAGTATTAGCTTAAGTTGTCTAGTGCAGGTTGAACAAGCCAGCGCTGGAGTCTCATGGGTGGCATTGCATCGAGACTTCTCGCGGCGGGAGCGGAGGATGAGTGAGTCATGGCGGGCACTTGCTCTTAGGAACGGCGAAGAGTAGTCTTCCTTCGAGGCTGTGGGAGAAAGGTTAACACAAGAACAACGATGACGAGGACCTATTTATGACGTTCAAATGTTTGGCTTGGGACATGCTGTGAAGTTAATTGAGACTTACTGGTTAACGAGATCCATTTTGGTCGACGGTCAGTGGCGCGCGGGGTAAATCGTTCGGGACGTAAAAGAGGAGGCAGCAAGCCGTGCAAAGGGACAATTAGTAAATGAGATAGATTATCTGGAAGCCTCGAAGCAATTGGATATGTGTCCAAGAAGTGATTTCCCAAGGGAAGCGAAATTGAGCGGTGGTGAGGGGGAAAGAAGAGGAGAAAAGCAGGGGACGGTCAACGATCTGGCTATCATGGTGGCAGAGAAGAAAGACGGGGGATGGGAGGGTCAACTCTATGCCTGAGGCATCAAGCCCCTCCTTCCATTTCGTGCCTGATGTATCAGGCCAGAATATCTGCCTGACGGATGAGGCAAGACTAGCCCTGAGCCCTCGTCTTTTTCCCAAAAGAGAAATGCAGCCCACACAAGCCCGCAATTCCGTTCCATTTTCACCGAACGGCTTCACCTTCTATCAACCCGGTCCCCCTTCGCCATCTTCACCTCCATCCCGTCAGTCCTTTGCTGCCGTCAAGCCCAACCTCAAGATGGATTCCGCCAAGCAGCCTGCTAAGCTCGTCAAGGTCACCCGTGTCCTCGGCCGTACCGGTATGTTGACGATGAAGCGCTCGTCGGCAGTCGCGCGCTACCATTCAATTTATCTCGCCATGCGGTCAACGCTGACTGCTCAATTCAACAGGTTCCCGTGGTGGTGTCACCCAGGTCCGTGTCGAGTTCATGGACGATACCTCCCGCAGCATCATCCGTAACGTCAAGGGCCCTGGTATGCGATTCTCCGTCTGATTACTTTTCCCCCGTCATTTGCTTGCGCGCGGCATGGCCCGAATTTTCGACCCCCGCCCGAAAGGAGATATCCCAAGAAGAAATAGCTAGGTTCGGATGAGGAACGCGATCAGATACACGAAAGGCGAAACAGTACTCGACAGCGGGGAGGAATATCGACACAGGATCACTCGGTGCAAATTGGGATACTCTTGAAGGCGGGAAAGAAATCTCGGGCCACCGCTATTGTCTCGGACTATCACTTCATCGCGCACGGGAGGCTAACACGGATTTTTTCCGCACCCTACAGTCAAGGTCGACGACATCCTGTGCCTGCTCGAGTCCGAACGCGAGGCCCGCCGTCTCCGCTAATTTTCCTCTACTCTCCGAAATTTCATATCTTCTTCCCTCTCGAGGCTATGTACCCTTGCTTGCGTTGGAAATGATTCTGGGAGGTCGGGAAGGCAATAAAAAACATCTCATGGGCTGATGCGGCATCCGGGTTGTGATGATTTGCGCTTGTTACTATTCTGTGTTCCGATATACCAGGGTTCCATAGAAGAAACAAACGAGACCGAGATCAACCTGAAATACAAAAAGGAAAAAAATTTGAAATCCACCGGACTTTGAGATAAATATCAGACACGGAATCCTGCGGCCCCGGGTCTGGAGATCTGGAGTCGCTATCGGACCAATTTATGACTTTCTACGACTCTTTCTCCACGTTATTCCATTTATCGGCCAGTGTGTGCTCATTTCCTCGTGCTTGTGGTAACTCGGACGAACGGACATTACTATGAACAATCTCGGGAGTCGCACAGCTAGATGCAGAATTCTGGGTCACAGCTGACGCGGACGAGTATCATGTGGTTGCCTGTCGGTTTTTGGCTTGGGTGAAACCATAACATGCGATTCCCAAGAAGCTGCACGCGTAAATATATGTTCATAAAGCGGAGAAAGTGACAAGATGCCGTAGAGTTACATAGTTCAAAAACCTGATAGTTGTCTATACACATTGGCCGTCTCGATCTCAAGTTGCGTCCTGCATCGAATGTCATAAGCGAAATATCAAAACAATGCTGCGATAAGTGATATCATCTACAGCTGCTCCGCGCTGCTGATAAGTCGTTCCATGAGCCCCTCATCGTCTCCGTCGTTTGAGCCCCCAACAGTCCTTCCGACCGCTGAAACAAGACCTGCTAGTTTTCGGCGACGGATCTTCTCTTCCAATTCTTTACTCTTCTGACGCGCTTGCTCCAAGAGCGGACCCGGAAGGTTTGCCAATCGCGCCACGTTGAGCCCATAACTGCGATGTGCGACTCCTCCCCTCACTTCATACAAGAATGTGATCTCTTCATCCTGACCGGTCCCTGATTCGGTAAAGTGCATGTGGACGTTTCGTAGCTCATTGTTGGGGAACGAATGTGTCGTTGAGGAAAGGTGCTGATAGTGTGTGATGAATAGCGTGAGGCTTTTGATAGATCGAACCATATAGTCCAGAACCGCTTGGGCAATTGCGACACCGTCATGGGTGGACGTGCCTCGGCCCAACTCATCCAGAATGACGAGCGAGCGAGGCGTAGCCTGTTTGAGTATATCCGCTGTTTCAGAGAGCTCAACCATGAAGGTGGACTCTCCTGCTAGCATATTGTCAAAGGCACCCATGCGGGTGAACACAGCGTCTAACATGCCGAGCTTTGCAGACTGCGCAGGCACATACGAGCCGATCTGACCCATGATGGCGATAAGGGCAACCTGTCGCACATAGCTAGATTTACCCCCCATGTTGGGACCAGTTACGAGGAGAGCACGAGTCTTGTCACTCTCCAGGTTGATGTCATTTGGCACGTAGCTGTCCAGCAGAAGCTGCTCGACCATAGGATGACGACCCTGTTCCACACTGATGCATGTGCTATCCGTATATTGAGGCTTCACATACCCAGGTTGACCTGCGATGGTAGCCAGTGATATCAAGCAATCCAATGTGGCTAATGCTTGTACACAGTCACGGAAGACTTGATATTTGGTGGCTATTTCTGCAAGCAGGGCACGGAAGGCTCTATCGCAAGCTGCAGCCAGCGCCTCCTTGTGCTGATCACGTTGTCGAATGAGCTGAACAACCTCGGGCGTGTGAAATCTCGACACTTTCTTAGTACCGCTAATCTTCGCCCATGACGCAGGTACCTTTTTGATGAAGGGAGAGCTGTTGTCAACTTCAATGAGATAGTCAATGCCCGCAACAGACTTGTAGTCCACCGTAGATTTCCCGAGCTTTTCACCTGCAACGGAGCGATGTTCCTGTAAGTCGTGCTCAACGCTTGCAATTCCCAATTTATGGTCACTGATATCTTCAGTTTCTTCAGCTTCTCGGAAAAAGGCATACTTGTCGTCATTCCTCGCCGCGTGCATGTTAATCTTGTCCAAGAATGACACAACGTCATCCAGAATCGTGGGAAGAGAGGCGATTGCTCCACCTATCATAGTGGACTCGAATCCAGTATCTGCAGGGGTCTTGACATCCGTAAATTCCTGTGCAATCATTTGAATGGTTTGTAGTACTGTGAGAAGCTCGGGCCGAGTGCACTGGCAGTTCTAATTAGTATCCATCCAGAGTCACCCGGTCATCTAAAAGTGACGGGAGAGCTAACCTTTCCGTAGTAAATCCTGATCAGGCTCTTCTCCAAATCACTCTTGATCTTAGCAAACAAGCTCTTAAGCCGCTCGACCATGACGGTCCTTCCCGCGCTCTGCAACTCTTCGACGGCATCGACTCTCGCTTCAAGGGCTGTCTTGTCCAACAAAGGGCGTCCGACCCACTTCCGGAGCAATCTCTGTCCAAACCGGGTTTGCGTTCGGTCAAGGGTCCAGAAGAGACTGCCTTTGGTGGTATGATCGGTTTGGTTCTGGTAAATCTCAAGACTCATAAGGGTGTTTCCATTCAGAAGCATGTGCGATCGAGAGGAAAAATGTTGAAAATACTTGGTCAACTCGAAGACATACTCCAGACCATACTCTTTCATATGAGTTATCATGGCGGACAAGCAGATAGTTATCTGCTCAGGTAGATTCACCACCTTTTGAAGAAGGCTACTCGCCTGCGCATCGTCTTCAGCACTGGCTGCCTTCATCTTTCCCGCATAGAAACTCGAAACATGACTATGAGACTCAGCCGCGGCAGTTTTCGGCTTGGGGGCCCTTTCCACACGAGTTTTATCACCGAAAACATTCAGCTTGCTACCTGAAAGATGCTGGACCAGCTTCTCCGTAGCTTTCGAAAGTTCCCCCACGATTAATAATTCACATGGTGCAATGTGAAGTAACCTGGTTTCAATTTCGGTCCTCATGAATCCGTCTTCGAAATCATCATATATGATGTCTCCTGTCGCAGGCTGTACAGCGACAATGCCTACCTGGACTTTCTCATCATTGCCCCAGCCTTTCGCATTCGTCTCTGTGATACAAAGCAAGTACCCTGTTGCCGGAGATGTGCCACCAGTTTCTGCAGGCATTGGCCCTTCTAGTCCTTCGATGTCGTCGATGTAGGTACCTTTGGTATACAGACTCGTGAGTCTGCGTTCGAACGGTGCATTGCGGTTGTCACCAGCGGCTTTTAGAGCGGCCGTTTCGATCTGCCTCACAATCCCAACCTTATGACCAGCAGCAACCAAGCGTTTAACATGCACATGAAGTCGATGAATCGGTATGCTGGCGGATGCAAATCGATCGAGGTGTGCTTCTGAAGGATCTGAACGCCACGGCACTCACGCATTAGCAAAGATTTACGGCGAAAACCAGCGCCATACACTCACGTTCATCAAATCGCAGCTTTCCTGGGATGCAAACAATCGACAACTCTTTAGCTGCGATCCTTGCATCTTCGCCGAAAAATCGGAATTTGTAACCGACCTCCACCACCAAAACTGCATCTTTATGCTTGCGCTTAATGTCTATGACCTGTCTCTCCATTGGCGTGAGCTTACTAGCCCCCTTCTTGCCACCAGCCTTGCTTTTAAAGGGCGGCATTGGATCCTCATCTTCTTCTCCGTAGGCGATATCCTCAGTGGAGGCGACCTCGGTCGCAGCAGCAGCATGTCTGTTGATGCCTATCAAGCAATCCGCACCACCAAGTCTGCGCACGAATTTTTGATGTAACTCCTCCATCTCCTTTTGCCTCTGTTTCGCTTCTGAGGGATCATGTTCCGGGCGGCCCTTGGTTTTGGCTCCAGTTTCAGCAGCAGGTGAGCTAGCGAACCTGGAAAGATCCGTTCGTTGGCTACTTTGTGAAACTGGAATATGCTCTTTCACAGCGGAAGAGCTTGTCTGCAAGCCATTTCCCTGAGAGTGGGATCCGTTCAACTTGCTTCGTTTGGGAGCCGGTGCCACAATTTCGTCGTCGTCATCATCATCGTCGCCTTTCCTGTCGTGAGCCAGCTCATCTCGCTGGTGTTGTGGCTTTTCACGGGCTATCGGCTCCTCCGAGCTGTTCTCAGCAAATTTCGTCTGTCTATCGAGATTGTTGGCCGAACCGTGCTGTAGGGGTTGCGATTTTCTGGTGAAGAAGCTAGCTAGCGTCGATTGCTTGCGCTTCGTATTCTGGGAAGAGGAAGGTGACGAGGAAGGTAGAGGCATCTTTCTGCCTTTCTTTTCCGAAGGTCTGGCGACAGGTGCGGCCTTTATGTGCGTCGAAGGGCTTGGGCTACTCAGACGAAGGTAGATGATAGAATGCTGTAAACCATTGGCAATGACAAAGTGGCGAGTGCCGACACGGCGCGGTCAGGATCTGGAATTGTACCTGACAGCCACTGCAGTATTGGATCTGGCTAGATCTCCTTGTCGCATTTAAGAAATACCATCACATGCAGGTATACACAAAGCCACTAAAAGGCCGCCTCGGCGATGCTAGTGTCGCCTCACGACTCTCAAAGCTGGACGCGTGGTCAACGCGCCTCTCGGTTCAGCTTACATAATCATTATCCTGCTAATACTATAGCTTCACGTGTATACTTCTTTTGTTTATTAGTATCTAATACCATAAATGTATACAGTTGCAATGCGAATGCTGGAATATCAATGGGGTAAAGAAAGACATCAACTATCAACCTCCTCATAGCGACAGGTTGTTTATACTGACAAAGGGGTAGTGCATGGTTGAAATAACTTCGGGTATAGTGACTCATTTACGGTAAATGCCCGTAGAGGTCCAGTCTGTCCCTACCACTGTGCTGTGCTTCTGCGCCAATAACATTAAGAGTATCCCGGGGAACTAAGAGATTAATTGCTATCTTCAGGATGCAGTCAGGCAGCAGTGACAGGAGTGCAAAGCTAACAAAAGCTCCCAGGTAGGTAGAGTCGTTCAAATTCACCTTCGTCAAGGTCCGAAATTGTGCCTTCTGGAGAATCAGGGCGCATCTTGTAGTCGGCTCCTGCCTGTGAGTCCACGGAATACACTTGATTTTCCTCAGCAGGCAATCTACTTAGCGAAACTGACAGCGGATTGTAGTGGTATCCTGCAGAACTATCATGACTTCCAAATGGGCTCAAACCAGCAGATTGAGCATTCTGGTAGAAGAGCTGTGGTGGGTAGCCTATGTCATTGGCCAGTTGCTGTTTCACAGGCGGGGAATGCCAATCGATAGGAGAGTCAATGCGGTCACAAGCATCAAAGAGAGGTTCGATGTTTTCTTTATCCATGGCGTGGCCATCGACCCTTCCAGTGAACGCCGATACATGACTATCGGTGCCATAGGCATCAGCTCGGTCTGTGTATTCGCGTAGCAGGAAGATGGGATGGGGAACAGCAGATGTTGTGTACGGCAATCCATCGCCAGCATGCTGGTTTCTCGGGCCTCGTCGATGCCCTGCCGACTCGTCGCGATAGACGGCGAAGTCGTTGCGGTGTTTGAGTCCGCTTCTTCTCTTTGAGGGGCCTATTTCGGACTGTTCGTTCAGGCAGCTACTCCGGTGAACAGGCATATGAGAAGCTAGGGGGCCCTGGAACGTTTGTGCAGAACTCTGGGTCGAACGCTCAGCTGTACCATTCACATTTTGCCTCACAAATTTCTTGTTTCTCTTCTTGTTTGGTCCGATTTGCCGACGATGGATGTTAACGTCAAGCTGAGAGAGGACCCTTTTGGGGCGGGTAACTCGACGTTTGAGAATAGGTGTTTCTCCTTTGAGGGGACTACTGTCCTCGACATTGCCAGAAATCACCCGTTGCCTGCGTAGGATTCCAGTCGGCGAGAAGACAAGCTCCGTCGGCTCAACGCACAAGGACGTCTTCTCCATCCTCCTCAAAATGCTCTCATCCTTCTTCTGGTTGCGTCGACGCCTCATTTGTTCTGTGGCTGAGTCGAAGATGTCCATACCGGGCCACAGCACACCCTTCAGTCTAGCCATCTCATCCGCTCTCTCCTTATCCAGCAGGCCAGGATGATGGCCATCGATACTCTCACCCTCATCCATAAAGGGATCACTGCTGTACCCATGGTTCGTCGTCGTTGAATCCGGACCCGTTCCGCTCTCTCTTATGCTCGCCCAGTACGGTGAAACAGGAAAGCCGTCATCATCTGCATCACCTTTGGGCTCGTGTTTCCAAATAGAGGGTACAAGCCTTCCAGAGCTCAGTCCATGCATTGTGTGGTAGTAACTCTGACATGTATGGACAGAGGGATCGGTTCGAGCAACGTATGACACCGAGGAGGATGGCCCGCTATCTGAAGGTCCCAATGGTTGTTCAATGCAGGCATCGGCGAGACGTGGGTCCAGATAGTCAGGCAACGGATTTTGAGCTGAGGGGAGGACAGATAGAGGCACGTTTGGTTTCTCGATTTTGACCTCTACCTGAGTGATAAGCTTTGCCGACGTCTTCTTTCTTCGGGCCTCCTTTGAGGACATTCGATCCGAAAGCAGTCTCGCCAGATTATTGGTCTTGTACCAGTGGTCATACTCGTCCAGTAGATCAACCGCTTGTTTTTCTTGGTGACTGCGTACTTGAAGCTTGAAATAATGGGAGAGATGGGCTTTTGATGCGACGTGGGTCAGCAAATGAGATACATCGCTGAATGTGGGACGCTTCGGGCAGATATTGCATAACAACGCAGCTGCATCCATTGTAGATGGATTTGATGGGAGGATAAGAATGTGGATTTCATGAACGAGGTCAATTGAGGGAAGCAACAAAGGGTCAGCTCCACAGTGGTGCTTGCATGGACTGGAGCCGATTGATGTGCTAGAAAAGAGACCAATATAGAAAGACTGGACCAGACAAGATAGGGTGGGAAGGTCAAGACCACCGGCGTGAGAATGAGAGATAACACCCGTGACGTGACGCCTTGAGGACCTTCCTGCGGCCACATTCGTGCCTGCCTACCATTGTTCTCATCCCAGCCAACGACGGTTGCAGAAGGAACCAACCGCCACGGACTGCACCGGCGGTAGTCAGTAACTAGGTACTAACTGTATGATCTTTCCTCCCTACGCTTGGGAAAGACACCAAGGCGGTAAGAAGATTGAAAGTTGCCGCGGCATGAGGATTGTTGGCGGAAAGAAGCTGAAAAGTTGAAATGAACACGAATTTGATCTCATCCTACATTGATTATTGAACTAGACCTGAGAGTATTGTTTCTCGAGATAAAATGTGCCACTGCGTCTTAACGGCCGCTTAACAGGCCATTGTATAGGGGTGAAGCGGAAATAAGTCGCAGTGCCAGTCATTCTTCTCCTGCCTTGTATCCCATTAACCACTGAGGAAAGGTAAAATGGGTTATTAGATTGCAGGAGGTGGTACTACGAATGTGGCAGTGCATGGAACCACAACGCTGCATAATAGGAAGCTGATTACGAAGCAAGACACCTCGCCGTTATACTCTTCGGCATGCAACTAACCGACCTGTCAGCACGATGTCCAAACATTCGCATAATGATATTCTCCCGTGGGTACTTACTAGACTGGATCTACTTCTTGCAGACCATCGAATTTCAGAAGACTCAAACCTGCGATGCCGAAGCAAGTATGGAAGACATCGACCATACTACCAGGTCTATCACCGATGCCTCCAGCATCCGGATCCTACAACAAGTCAGTCGATTTCCTACGCCACATGAGAGCGGGACAATATTACCTGACACCGCAAGATGAAAGCAGCAAGCTTACTGCTGTCAATCCAATGCAGTCTGTCTATCATTGCTAGACTAGCACCGACCCACCAGCTGTAGCACGCATCTGGTAGCTTTTCGGGCCGCCCGTTGAGTCCTCCATTTTCCACCTGTCTCTCGCTAAGCCAACCCCCTAAGCGGTCTCTGTTCACTAAATCCAAGCGCCCGGCAATCGCTAGAGCACCAACACAAGTGAAGACTTGGCCAGCGTGCGTTTCGGTTCCTGGTCGGATACCATAGCCGCCGTCCAGATTTTCACATTTCTTGACGTACTCGACAGCTTTCGAGATGTCAACCAGGTGAAGAAGTCCTAAAAGTGACAAGGCATTAAACGCGCCGTAGAGAAAACGGGTGTCTTTTTCGCCCCACTCGTCTCCCAGGAACGCGCCTGATTCTTTGTCCTGCAATCCTGCGATGACTGTTAATGTTTAGTAAGACTTTGTAGATGCAGACCCAGGTGAAGTCATATCGTACAAGAGCCGATTTTTTCTTTGCCTCCTAGACCACGCTTGTCCAATTCGTCCACGGCATCTAGTGTTACGAGGAGTTGCACGGCTGACACTGTATAAAGCATATGCGCATCATGGCCTGGAGCAGCTCCGAATCCTCCATTCTCGCGTTGGCATGAGAGGACGAAGTCGATAGTCTCTTGACGAGGCAATGCCTCAGGAGACCCTAGGAGGTGCAGAGCTGTTAAGCCCCAATAAACCCCGTTGAGGCGAAGGTGCTCAGTGAGCCAATATTCTAACTCATCCCTCCTCTAGCATCACCTGTCAACTGCCTTTCCCTACCGTGTGAGGAATCATGGTCGGAATGAGAATAACGCACGCTATCCAGTCTTTTAACGTATTCCACGTGTTTCTGAATGCAGAGTTCCTGGTTATCTGGGGAGCCGGTGGCTTTCCCCGGACCTGAAACCGACGACATTCTTTAGAAACAGAAGATAAGCGCAAGAGCTCAACCTGATGAAGACCCCTATCGGGGATTGAGGATATAGTTAGTATATGAGTCAGGCGAACCCAATGAGCCTCCTCTCTGGTTGAGTCAAGTGAGGACAATGGTCAGGTCTTAGAGCCGCCGTGATTATTATGCCCGGGACAGCGGAGAGCTGATGAAAAGGTCCTAAAGGAGAGCTCTGAGCGTCACTTGTATGTCTGTCTGGTGACTGAAAGAAGGCAGACTCAAAAAGGTGACAGCTCCAATCCTTGTGATCGCCAATGTTGTGTGTAGGCAGACGAGCTGTTGGAGACATGAAGAGAGACAGGAAAAAAAATCCTTGGGCAGGGATGTGCGCCGGTAGTCGGACACTGAGAGGGCTTTGTGTCACGTGCGATGACGCCCACCAAGCAATCTAAATAGTAAGCATACTCTGCTTAGTAAAGCGGGGCTGGTGTTTCAGCCCGGCGTTGACTAGGGCGGATCGCCATGGACCGTGGACAGCGGTGTGACCGTGTGAAACCCCTGAGCGCCAAATGGAAGTTGCCCCTGGGGTCCCTGCTTCTCTCAGGCAGATCGCCCGCTTGTCTGTGACTGGGATTTTTTCATCTGATTATTTCGGATTTTGAAGGCAAAATTCTAAGCGATATCTTGGCGGCTATCTTCTGTCAATTATACCTTTGGGAAAGTGCTAGAGCCAGATGATATATCTATGAGACCTCTGGAAGTATCGACGTGTATCCAGATCGATCATGGAAAAGCGTACTCGTACGAGTACCTGGACTGCGTGCTGCGTGCCGCTGTTATTACCATGACAAATAGTTATTTCGCAGCCATTTAATCGAGAGTCAAGACTCCAGATACAAGTGGAGCTGGCCTACGGGGAACTAAAATTCCAGGTGCCTACTAGTAGTAGACTAGTACCTAGTTGGTTCCTCTTACTACATATATCTTCTTGGGTGTACAGCCGCGGGCGTCTCCACGTGTATGTACCTTTCTTCATCGGCAGCTAGGTCTTACCTAGTATAGCTCGGGGGGAAGAAGTACTTATCTGCAAGAGATGAGAGCATCCGTAACACACACGCAAAACCATGCGCCACGATACTATAGTAGTTCCTTCTTTCTTCGTGATTTCAATTGTCCTGTGAACAAGCCTTCTCTCCACTCACATGCCGAAGCCCTAAGATTATTAATGGCCACCGAGATTATGGAGTGCTAATGCTGGCTCAATCAATGCACATATTATCTGACTCTGGAGGTAGATCCAATTCAAGCAATTGCCCTACAGACTATGTTTCGTGCCATTGATCCCTCCTCACTCGACTTGCCTTGCAACCAAACCAGCACCTGCAACGAGCGGGGCAAGATAGAATCGTTTCTCCCATGGTTCGCTTGCTTACCGTATGGCAGGCACCTATATTATTGATTTTACTTCACCCCACCACTTGTATCATGGTGTGTAAATTGAACCATGGTAGAGAGTCCTTAGAACTTCAAGAATAAGAGTTCTCTTGGTTTGCTTCCACGAAGAGTCCCTCGAGACAAGTCGGTGTGGCCCAGATTCGTGGAACTTACGCAGGATATGGGCATGCTGAGATTAGCAGTTGCCTCGGAGCGGTTCATATACCAATGAATCAGAGAGAACCGTTTTCACTGATGAATGCAGTGAGTGTACATGATATGATACACTTGGGACTCTGGGAAGTTGGAACCGCGGCGTAGGTCTGTTTTCACGTACTCTCTCTTCTTTTAAAATTTCCCAAGTGAACAAAGTCAAGTGGCCGGGGTACGGGTACGGATGCATTTTGATTTGCCCCCGCGGGTAGTGGAAGCCCCATTGAGCAGCCGGTGGTTGGGTAGGTTTAATGGAGAGTCTCTGCATCATCCCGCTGGCCCAAGGCACCAACTGTACCAGTCCCGTTGATGGCAGCCACTCACCGTCCCGCCTCGATCTTTCGGTGTATAGTCCAGTCCCCATTCGGCGCCTGGAGGCTGTAGCCCCGTACAACAGTGTACCTCCCCTGTATCTATTGATGCGCGCGTACATTGTTCAATTCCAAGAACAGACAAATAGACCGTGCACACCAAAGCAACCGTTTGATCGACCTGTTCTGGGGATACTTCAATGAGGTACGATTCACTGAGCAAAGCCAATTGTCATTATGCTGATCACTTCATGTCTCTCCAACAAGGTTTCAAATCATGAATTTTCCTTTCCTTCCCAAGCGGCAAGAAAAGAAGGAATGGTTTTTATTGTTGCAAGAGATTAACACAATCAGTACTGGGTACGTGGTGGACCAACGTCATCTTCCCGTTTCCACTCCCCCAGCCACGAGTTCTTTTCCTCTTCCATAATCCATCCATCTCTCCCTCCCAAAAATTTGGTCCACAACTTGGAAGCTGTTTTCCAGTTCCTGGCCTGACTGGCACTCGTTCTTTGGTTGGATCTAATCTGCTAAGGCTTGGTTGATTGCCATCCATTATTAGCCAGGTACAAGGCCTGTCAGCGCAAGCTCGAGCGACAAGCATAATTGCCAGCCTTATTTGTCCTTCCATTGCACCTATCCTATGCCTATTCCGTGTATTAGTTTCCTTGTGATTTTTATTATTACACCGGGCCGACTAATCGTCTTCCTTTGAACGGGCCCCAAAGCGTCCGTCTGTGCACTAACCAGATAGGCTTCCCATAAACCTATAAGCGCTCTGAAGCCACGCAGTAACTATTTTGGAGCCTTGCAACGCCATCTCCACTGCCGATTCCCCCTTTAAAGACGGGGGAACCTCTTAGCCTGACACACAGCCGCGCTTGCATAACGCTGTCAAGGAATGTGTCGTCGCTGCGACACTCGAGTCCGAGCACCTACAGCACCGTGCGGGAATCACTCACTTCTTGTGTCTCTTTGATCTTTGATCTGCCTCAAACAACATCCTCGGAAATACTCATCGGACGAATCCTCTTTGTTCTTTTCCGACCCGACCTCTCTTTGCTAATTTTCGATCCGTCCTCGCCGTGGTTTCAGTTCTTGTTCGCTCGCCCGGGTTCCCCTTGGTACACCCACCGCCCTCTTCAACACCGCTCAGACACACACAAAACACCGGGTCTTAGGCGAGCGTGGATTTTCCTCAGCGGCCACCACGGGTTCCCCCCAAGCGCAGCAGTGTGGATCGGGTCCCGACCAGCATAATTGCAGGGGAGAAGAGGAATAACTGGAGGGGTACCAGCGTCTAATATGAGGGGCGACGCAGCTTGGTATGTGTGGTGACAGACAACTTCCTTTCTACCCTTTCGCACGGTTTGCTTTGCTGGTCAATGATTCCGCTCCTCTTTTGTGTTCATTGTGGCCTGTCATTTGCGCATCTTATTTTCGCTGGGAATGCGGTTGCTTGTTGAATCGCCGCGTATATCGCTCCTCGTGTGACAATGAGACTGCCCTCTATCTCTCTCAGCACCATCCTCTAAACAAAGCTTCCTCAATCCTTGGTTCCACTAACCACCATGCGACTTCATTTCAGAATTAATTGCTCAATTTGACTTGAAAGCACCATCTCGGCTTATTCTTCGTGTTCCCAGCTGGCCCAGTAAGTTAGGAAAGATTGGCAAAGGCTGGTTCCCTTCCGATCCTTTCAACACTACAACCCCAGCCTACCCATTCTATACACCCGAGCGCTCGACGAATCCTCTTTCGCGAAAAGAGAACAGGAAGGAGACTTGCGATCAAAATAACCGGACATTGATCGCCTCTATATAAGTAAGCCAGCCTGGGAGTCCAGCTTGTGAGCACTGGTTGCACGCCTCAACTCGGCATCATGCCCTAGAAATGAGAATGAATTGCTGACGTGGGTCCCATGCACTCAGGTGAATTCCTACCAGCCTTTCGCATTGCAGTCTTCACACGACCGATAGTCGATAGTCGATACCCCTCACTCGAGCACGCTTCCAGCTCGTGATAAATAACTAAAATGCCGTCGAGGCAGTCCACTGTTCCCAATTTAGATCTTAGCCCTTCCACCCTGCAGGGTAATGCGAAGATCTCGTCTCCACTGACGCCCGGCGCCCAAAGCTCCGACGGACCGAGTCCCCTGACACCCCATTCTCCCAAATCTTTATCGAGTTCGCCGTTTTTCAAGGGGGCGACAATCAGACCTGTCACACAAGAATCCAACAATCACAACAAACCCAACAGCCCTACGTCTACCGGTCCTGCCTCTGCGGAACCCGCTACCCCGGGCCTTACTGCCATCCCCCAGTACCCTCCCTCCCCGAGGGATTCTCCCAAGCATACTCGAGACCCGTCTCGCTCTTTCTTCGCCAATCTCAAAGCTCCAAAAGTGTCACACAAAGCGCAGAGGTCAGACGGGTCTGGTGACTCGGGGGGAATTCCAAAGAGTCGTGGAAGTTCAAGGGATCGCAAAACGCAGATATCATCGAAACAGTACGAATCGACCCCTGACCTGCCAGGCACAATTGAGCGCGCAACTCAACAAGAACGTACGTACAACCTCGCTGCCTCGGCAGAAAGTGCATAGCTGATCAAGCTATTTTTAGGTGGGAATCACCCAGAGGAGAAGAGCTTGCAACCACCTGACCTGAAGAAGATTCCTACAGAGGCGGAAATCGCCAGTGCAGCTCGAAAAAATAAACCGCGGTTTGCCAATCTACTCTCTCGCTCCCGTTCGATCAGAATAGACGAGTCTTCTATGAACAGGATAGCGAACAGACGGCCATCTACTAGTCTCATGAGATTGGAGGAGTGCAGCAAGCGGGAGGCGCAAGAACCCCCAAAGGCATCACGTCATGATCGCGGAATAAGGACCGCCGGCAACCCCACAGCGCGCAGCTACACCTCTGACCGACCTGGAGAATATAATAACGGATCCATCCGCAGTAACAAAAACCACGGTGGATCCATGGTCCCGTCCGCGTCGTTGAGTCAAGTGTCCGGCGCATCGGCTACACTTTTCAACAACTTGAAGCAGTCCTCCAGCGGTGCGGCAGATCGCATTGGTAAGGCCGGCAAAGGGTTTTTCGGGAAGATCACACGCAGCGGTAGCACTAATGAGCGCGAGCTGTTCAACGATGATAATTACGTATGCTCCGTGATCAACCTGCCTTTGATACAGCAAGCACGACGGACTCGGATAGCGAAAAGACTCGAAGACTGCCGGGATAAGACTGAATTCTGGATGCCTGCTTTGCCCTATCGCTGTATTGAGTGAGTCTAAAGGTATCCACAGATATTCTCAAGCGCTGACATGACCATAGTTACCTCAATTTCAAGGGGTGTGAGGAAGAAGGGCTGTATCGTGTACCAGGCAGTGGCAAGGAAGTGAAACATTGGCAGAGGAGATTTGATACAGGTAAGCGCAATTATCCCCTATGCGCGGATTGACGGAATACTAACTCAACAAGCAGAATACGATATCAACCTCTTCGATGAACCGAATTTGTACGATATCAACACGATAGGATCTATGTTCAAGGCCTGGCTTCGGGAACTCCCAGATGAGCTGTTTCCGAAAGAGACTCAGGCTATGATTGCTGAGAAGTGTGAGGGCGCAACAACTGCTCCACAACTGCTTAAGGATGAGCTGTCCAGATTACCGCCTTACAATTATTATCTTCTCTTCGCAATCACGTGTCATCTCAACCTGCTTCATTCCTACGTGGAACAGAACAAGATGGATTATCGGAACCTCTGCATTTGCTTCCAGCCATGTATGAAAATCGATGCCTTCTGTTTTTATTTCCTGGTCTGCGACTGGAAGAATTGTTGGCAAGGCTGCTGGACAGAGAAGGAATACCTCCAGCTCGAGAAGGACATGGACGAGAAGGAAAATGCCGCTCCGACTCAGGGTCGCATGTCCCCTCAGATCCCACCCTCAATCAGTGATGAAAGGGCTGTATCCTCTGGTAGTAGCCAGCCTGCATTTGAGGAGGAACCACCGCATCCGGAGACGCCCAAGATTCGCAAACATCGGCCTAAGAATATCGAAACTGCGCATACTAGGAGCGTTTCGCAGCTGCCTGAACTTGGACCTCCTCTGTCACCCATCCAAATATGAACGGCTCGTCTTCTCAAGTACAGAACAAACAGGGGAAATTCTCCCATAATTCGATTGCTCGACCGACCGGGCTGCGCCAAAAGTCGCACTTACTCCCTATGACTCTGTTTTTAAAGGTTGTTGAACCTGGCAAGGCGTCATGTGCAGTGTCTCGGACTGGATCCGCAGATAATGCATTATGACTGAGAATATATATTCCGGATCTAGGCGTCTAATTTCCTCCGATCTCGCTTTCAACATCGATTACATACATGAATTCAGCATATGTCTATTCATAGTCTCGCTTTGACTTTCACGAATTATCCTATGTTTTTGCTTTCTTGCCATCTCAACCATCTTGAGCCTATCTCAGACTGCATGCCTGGCGCTTCTGGAGTTGATCAACTTTATACACGGCTATTATTCTCTTTCTGTACAAATTCTGGACTACCGCTTTCATTTTATGCTCTGTCTTGAATTTAGCCTTGGTGATGGTTCCTCCTGATCTCTTACAGTTTGAGCATGCATGTACTCCTTTCTTTTCCTGGTTTGCCCCACATGGATATCCCATTGCAGCTCTATTGAACGCTTTTTGACTCAAATATCGCAGCTTTCCTCCAATCCGCTTTGTGTTTTGTATTATCCCCTGCTTCTTGAGGATTCAGGTTGCTCAGATTCCTTGCTGTAACATAGATCATACCGGTGGGCGGCCACGTAACAAAATGAAACACTAATTATAAAGAGGTACTGGTCCATCTAACCTGTCTTCTAGTGCGTGGAGCCTTGATGAATTTAGCCAAATCAGAAGAATTGAACCGCTGTCTCGGACGTATCATGTAGTAAGGTTAACGTGAGATTGCTTTTCTGGGCCTACCGACCATAAAGTGCATGAGTAGGCAAATTTTGACATTCAAGACCAGTGGACCAGCGACTCCGACCAAACGCCTTAGAAAGAACTTGATGCAGATGAGGAATTATTTCCAACAATAGAACCATGGCTTCTCGAAACGCATATATCCTTCCACAAGCTCTTAACCACCACCAGACTTTCTCGACTTGCGTTCATTCGACCGCATCTTTCTCTCGTTGCGCCTTATTCTATCCTTGCGTTCCGCCCGAGAGATCCCACGAATGGAGCTGCCCTTGGCGGCGGCTTCTTCTTCCTTCTTCCAATCCTTCTCATTCACCTCCACCAGCCAATCGTCATCGGACTTGTTCTTGCCCTTGTAGCCCCAGCGAGGCACCCATTCACCCTTCTCCTCATCGTATACGAGCTTCTTGCGGCGCTCCTTGTCAGCCAGAGCAGCGCCCGGCTTGCTGCTGTATTTACCAATGCCCTTCTTGCGTGCGAACAACTCCCACTTGGTCGGCGGCTTGGGGGTCGGCAAGGGCTTGTGACGGGGGAGAGCAGTGGCGGGTGTAGGAAGGGCAAGAAGGACACCCTGTTGTGAAGAAGTGATGGGGCAGGTCGTCAGGAGTTGGTTGAGGAGAGACTGCGTGCCATCGCGGGCCGTAGCCTTCAGAGTGGTTTCCAATGGCTCGGAGCGGGAGATTTCAAGGGGATTGGGGTCGTTGGCGAGCAAGTGGCCGAGATCGAAAGTGTACGGCGTGGGCTTGGAGACTGTAATGGGCCTGGGACAGAGGTGTGTGGTCAGCACTTGGATTTATGTTGATGTATCACGTTCCCGCGCATTTATAGATCTGACTTACAGTCTCTCCGGCTTCGGTTTGGTGGCAGAAGCTGCCTGGGTAGCAGTGGTCGCCATTTGTACTATACCGGTGACAACTTGAACGCTGGAACTCTGGTTCACGCTCTAGTCAAGTTTGCGACAAGGAGAATCCAGAAAGGACAGTATTTGATTGTCCCAGCGCGACGGTATACCGATAGGCATAGGGGAAAAAAAAATCAATGGAAAAAAAAGACGGGCGGTAAACCCGATCCGCTGCTCCTTATACCACACCGCCTTCCAAATTCATAGTGTTATGGCACTAAGCCCAAAGGAGAACCAGAGGAAGTTCCTTAGTGTCGAGGTTCGAAAATGTGCCTCCGAATTTCCAATCCCATCCCCATAGCCGTTGCGGCGACTCTTCGGCGCAACTTCCGTTCCCTCTTTTACCAATCCTTCCCCTCCATTGATCGCTAAGACACTGGCCACGGTGCCAGTGCGCTATCAACGCTATGGTATCCTCATTTTGTTGGAGTTGCCTGACGCGGCTTCCAACTGCGTCCCCTCGGGCGATGCTTCCGCCGACCTTGACACCACAGCGAGTCGCGGCGTTCCATACGTCGAGTACACTTTTGGCATCGCCATTGAAGAAGAAGAGTACGGGAAATGTGGCTGCTCCGAGATATCGTCAAGCGAATTCGGCCAGGATGAAGAAGAAGGGCAAGGCTGTTGAGAGAGCGCGCCCTCCTCCCGCCGGAGAGCGGAGAGCGCTCCGGAAACGCATCGTCCTCAGCAACCCTAACGCCCTCGAAGTTGAGGATATGCAGGATATCTCCGCAGAGAATATGGTGGACTCTCGTCTTCATGGAGCCGTTCTCGGCTTGCCCGTGCCTATGCTCGATCAATTGAGAGCGGTTCAGGCTTTCAAGCCCAAGCAAGGCTGGTCCATATTCCGCCGGCCTGGCACGGTGATGAGACGGGAATCCCTCGAACTTGGTCGATTGATCGATAGTATCTCCAACAATCCAGAGGACAAGGGCAAGGTTGTCAAGAGAGTCCTTACTGGTGCGAAAGGTACCGGAAAGACCGTTCACCTCCTTCAGGCTATGGCGATGGCCTTCACCAAGGAATGGGTCGTTATCACCGTTCCTGAATGTATGCTTACCCTTCACAAACACCTCATTCCACATATCACTGATTATAGTATATAGGCCAGGACTTGGTTTTGGCTAACACTAGCTACGCACCTCTTTCGGATAAAACCCCCAATGTATACGTTCAAAATGAAGCCACCGCCGCTCTACTGAACCGCACCGTGACGGCCAATCAGAAAGTCCTGTCAACACTGAAGGTTTCTCGTGAACACCCTGCGCTCAAGTCTCTCGTGGCGCGCGACATGACACTCCAGGATCTTGCCAACATTGGTATTCAAGATCCTGCCGCCGCCTGGGCCGTCTTCCAGGCCCTCTGGACCGAACTCGCAGCTACGTCCGCTGCACCTGGCTTCGAGGCCGGCTTCTCACCTCGTCCTCCTATGCTAGTCGCCGTCGACGGCATTGGCCACTGGATGAAGGAGACAAAGTACCGCAGCGCCAAGTTTGAGCCCGTCCATGCTCACGACCTTGTATTTGTTCAGCACTTCCTCTCTCTGCTGAAACCCGGCAACAACCAGCAGTCCGCTCTGCCCAACGGTGGTATCCTGCTCTACGCCACCTCCGGCTCCAACAGCCCGTCCGTCTACAGCCTTGATGTGGCTCTCAAGCAGGTGGCCGCTCGCCGCCAGGGTGTCACCCCCTCCAGTTCCAATTTCCCTCAGCCCGCCGCCTACAGCAAGATTGACCAGCGCGTGTTTGCCGCTCTTGACGCTCCCGCATCCTCTATTCCTACGGAGGGTGCTCTGGAGCTTCAGACCATGGCCGGTGTCTCCCGCGATGAAGCCCGGGGCTTCATGGAGTACTTTGCGCGTAGCGGTCTCCTGCGACAGCACGTCACCGAAGAATGGGTCAATGAAAAGTGGACTCTGGCTGGTGGCGGTGTGATCGGTGAGCTTGAGATGTTGGGAAGACGGCTTACCGTGCCTGCCCAGGTTGAGTAAACAAGTAGCAGGCAGAGGAGCTTGAGGCGATTGGTGTTCATCGCTTCCCTTCGATACTCACTCGTTACAGGGAAATATTATCATAGAGTGCGATGTATGTATAATGTAAAGCTCATGTTGGCTTTTCTTCTTTCCTTGTGCTCACATCCGATGGCTTCTTGATGATGTCGAGAGATCAGCTCTTTTCGCCCTCATCCATGGGCTATTTGTTGCTGTGTGTGTCCTGTATTTTATATGATTGGGTTTTACTCGTGCGTGTGGCTTTTCTCTTGTGTGCATATAATGGGATTTCATATGAAAAAAAAGTATACCATTCTTCGTCTTGCTTGTATTGCCAGTGCATAGTAGTATACTCGGATGTGTTGGGGTTTTGTATTTTTCCGCGGGATCAACGATGAAACGTATAAAAAGCGGAGACAATCGAAAAACAGAACGAGGGCAGTAACCATAGCAAAACAAAGAGCACCGAGTTTTAAAGGCTAGAAAACCGGGACCTTCGGGATCATGGTTTCCACAATTGTGATGCGCATTCATTCCAAATGCTTGGTTGATTTTGCCTAATCGCTGAGCGGCTCCCTGGCCAGCTCCACCCTAAATTTGCTCGACCCCGAATGGATTCTGAATATCGTGGGATGGAGCTTGAGAAGCTTATCGTCTCGAAGGAGAAGGTGTAGGGGGTTCCGCAGAAGAAAGAGGACCCGGTGCAGGTGAAGCAGGCCCATCTTGTGCGCCATGCGTTGGCCCAGGACAGTTGCATGGCTTCCCTAGCACACGTTCCAGTACAGGTTCCCTCTCGTCTCTATCTTTGTCGGAGATATACGAGATACGAATCTCCTCGCTGGCCTTGATCGGTCTGGTGGCCCACACAAGCAAACGATTGGGAACGTCCGTGTCGTAACCCCATTGCGCATTGCCGTTGTCGTTGCAGGCATGATCAAAGAAGCTAAATCCTGGAAATAGGTATAAGAACCGACAAGTGGGGTCATACTTCTCAAACTTTTCCTCTGGCCAGTTTTCTTGTCGACTGCGTGAAGGAAATTCCCAACCCCGCTTCATTTTGTCGCTTCTTGGTATTTTGGTGCGCAAGCCCTGGTCCCAAGGTATGGCATTGACCAAGAGTTTCTGTAATACCAGCTGAATCACCCAGGTATCAAAACTGAGATCTCGGAAAATGTCAACGCCCAGGCACATCAGGATGTCATTGGGGACCTGGATGTTTGCGGCGAAGGTGAAAGGAAAGTTTTGATCCTTCCAATCCGCGCGACCTTCCAGAGCGAGGAGCTCGTCGATCTCGTGCGCCTGAAGACCAGGATGCTTCTCCCGTCTGAGAAGAGTAATATCGAAGACTTCCCGGAGAAGGAGGCTCATCACCGTGCCATGCTTTTCATTAGAATGCGAAAGCCATTTTTTACTCCCCTTGAAGGTAGAGACGAAAGGTCTCATGGCATCATGAAGCCATGCCCAATCTTTCCCACATGCTCTGAAGTGGTATCGTCTCCGTGCGTTCTCGGCGCAAGTTTCATCGCCGTCATCTCCCCGAGCAGGACAGAAAACCAGGCGAGGTTCGCAGTCAATACATCGGCATGCTTCTCTAGCATTATGTTGATCTTTCTGCTTTTGCCGATCTTCGCGGGTGACCGGTCTTTGGCAGTTATCACAAGTATACTTCCGCTCAGGGGTGTGATCCCTAGGGAGTGTGGGTCTTTTGACGCCGAGGTGGCCCCTAGCTGCAGGTATCTCGACCCAGATAAGCTCATCTTTCGCTATATTTTCCGTTGCCACCATCATATACCTTTTTTCTCTTTCCATCGCGATCTTGCAATTCTTCCAGGGAAGACTGGCATTTTTCGTGACAAAAAAATCGGATGCCTTTGCGGCAAGGCCTTCCCCTTCGCCGGTCTTTGGTAGCCTCATTGTGTCATTCGCGTCGTAGGGGTAAGGTGTGCCTCCATAGCTACGGCCATTATGTTTCTCATGGTACAGGTGATTGCGTCCATAATCCAACGGCTTATTCCGTTCCCATTCGCCTTGTATGAGGCGAACCATCTTTTGGCGCCGTTTAAATGGCTGTGTGTCGCGGTCATTCATGATAATCTTGTTTGTAAGATCGTCTTCAAATATAGCCTGGTCATTCCAGCTTTGGAGAGCCATGAGACTGAGGCAGATGATGTTATGAAGTGCCTTCCTCATTGTAGGGACAAAGTAGTTGACACCATTGCCGGCGCGCAGCAAATTAATCTCTGCCTTCTGTGCGCCAACTATGATGTGTTGCTCGATCGCATGCCAGACCCGAGTGTAGAGACCAGGCTGGACGTTCCGTCTCATGGGATTGACCAACACATCGACCAGGAGCTGAGCTCGATAGGCATCTCCGATGGCAAGATCGAACAAGGCGTGTCGATAATGGCAATAAGCTCGACTCATCCAGTAAGCAGGATTGTAAGGACTTCTCAGGATGGCGCAAGTGTACATGTCAAGTGTACTTGCTCTCTCGTTCTCCGATATGTTGATTGCAAACAGACGGCTGATATCGGTTCTGTCAATCCCCCAATGGGAGAGGTCACTGCGACGCAAAGCCCGGTAACACTTGGGCCCTTCTACCTGGTATGCTTCAAGACGCTGGCGTAGTACACTCACAGTCCCCCGGTCTTCGAGGCCACGTTCAATGAGAGCATCTTTGAGCTGTTCGGATTTCAAGGACTGAACCAACATGGATTTAAAAAAGGTCCAAGGACGGTCTTCGAAGATGTCTTGGAAAGCCCATGAGTGATCCGTCCGTTCTGTCTCCCAGTCGTTAGGGTTCAGTGGTAGAAGATGGTCTCGCATTAAATGCTCATAAACTGCCTGTGCCAAGGCGTGTAATGGCATTGCAGCCGCCTCCTCGTCATTCTCTGGGTGCAAGAACGGCCTTTCGCCCCGTTCAAGGGTATTTCGAAGCCTCGAGTCCGCGAGGTACCAGAAGCGATGGGCAATGCGGGCGTCATTCTGAGTCACATGCTGTCCCCATTCTACCTCATCATACAAGCTGGGTCTCTTTGGAAACGGCGGTGGTCTTATCACGCCATCAGGTGGGGGGTCTGGTTGGTAATCCGCAGGATTGGGCATGGTACAATTGCTGGTACTAAACCAAGCTACCGACAATCGACGAAACAGATAGAGCTTTCGTTGGCTTTATATGAGAGTAACTGAAGCAATGGCTTGATTTTGAAATGGAGAAGCGCGATTTCGATGTCGCTACTCTTGGGCGTGGTGGCCTTTTTAGACCTGATCTCCCTGGATTTGAACCCGATGAAATCCAGCGACAAAGGAAGTGAGGACACAAAGGATGACTGGGATTGGAAGTGCTTGCCACCATGAGGAACGAGCTCGTAAGCAAAGTAGCCAATAATGCTTCGGATGTGAGCCATGCTTGACAAATGTCTCCAAGACAGTATCAAACGCATAAACAAAGGACAGAAAAGATCCTTGGAACGTCGCCTCTACCCGACTGTCCTGGGAACGAGATTAGCGACAGTCAAGCAAAGAAAGTTCACAGGTAGCTTTAGCTGTATAATGTAGGATTCAAGCAAGATACGCAGTGCTTCTCGTCCACTTTCTTCATGAGGCTTTTGAACTAGCATAGGAATGTCTAGCCAGCCTGTTGCAGTAGAGCTTGTTCGCCTGCGAGACGCCACTGATTGGTGCTTCAGTCATAATATTCCCACTACTTTAAGATAGCGCTTGTATATAGTATTTTCTCCCATGATCACTGAAATGAAGAGCTAGAATTGAATGATGTTAGAGGTGGACCGCACTGGGCAGGCAGTCCGATTTGGTGTTTCGGCACCGCCTCCTCGCTCGGCTCTTTCCGACCCATTCATTCTTCGATCGATCAAATAATATCCGGAGAAAGAGGAACAAGACCGCCCGGATTCACTGGATCATCAGGGGAAAATAAAAAAAAAAAAAAAAAAAAGGGGGGGGGGGGTGCGAGTGGATGAGACCTGGAGGATACCTAGGTTATCGCCTTATTTAATTGTGAAATTGATCTTGTGCCACCTGGAGTCAGCAGGACTCCCTCCCGTTCGTTCCTCGTGCTTCTTCTTGTTCACATCTTCTTCCCTCTTGTCTTCCACCCTTCTCGTCCTTCCCTCTTGCCCCTCACCTCTGCGGTTCGCTAGAAACAATCCTCTACTTGGCGCAAGACAGCTTCCTGAAGTTTCAAGGAGAATGTACGGGTCGCATTCTCAACCCAACTCAAAGGGCGCGAATAGTACAGGCCCTACACAACCGGAATGGCGTCTTACGTCAACTGCTAGTACTGCGACGCCGCAACCTCCCCCGCAGCCGTCATGGCAGGCAACTCCCCCTCTTCCAGTTCGCCCTTCACTTAATAATGCTGCCGGATTACGGCCGACTGCTAGTCCTCCTCAAATGAGTAATGTAGGCACGAATTATTCTCAGGCGCCCACATTGACAGGAATGAACACAACATCGTGGGGAGTGAAATATAACAGGCAGCAGTTTCAGGCTTCGAGCCCCCCACCCCTCCCGGTAAGTGTAAACCGTCCCAAGTTCCTGAAACCGGACGCTTTCATGACTGATGATGAATTACCCAGCCTCGACCTCCAAGCGCAACACAGTCTCATTCGCCCCTGACATGTTCTCCGGCCGTCGGCGCGTTTGACGTCAACAGGCCTTCTTCTGCGACTCCAGTGCAGGCAGCCCACCCTGCTGCGAATGCATATCCACAGTGGACAACGAGCGCTGCTTCATTCGTGTCCCATCAACAGACTACCACTGTGCCAACACAGCCTCCTCCGCCGCCACCACCACCACCACCACCTCCTCCTTCCGTCCCTTCTAGCTATCAGGACTTCGTTCACTATTCTAGCAGCCAAGCGCAGAACCACTTGCAACCTCCGCCATATGTTAGCGCCGTGTCCAGTCAATCTCATGGTCTTCCCGCACAGCAGCCCACCACAACCACCCCGATTCAAACCAACCCCGAAGGGATTGCAGCACATGCAACATCTCCAGTCCTGAATCCTCAGCAAACCCATTCATTATATCCTTCGGGGCAGCCAGAACCTCAGCCCTCACGGATCTTCGAAACATCTACTAGCATAACCCCTGAATTGCTGTCAGCCCCCGCGCCTCCTGTACCACCCAAAACTAATCCTACTCTTACCCCTATCAGCACCACCGCTATTAGCGCTAGTCTTCCTTCCGGTGCGCAACATTCATCGCCAACTCCAGGGAACTTAAATCATGGCGAAACTTTTGCACCCAAGCGTGGTAACGCCCATGCAGCGACTTCGGAGCGTCCTTCTCACATGGCCACCGCCTTGAGTTCGGCGCATCATGATTTTCAAGGCAGTTCCAGACCACATTCAGATGTGCACACAGGGCATAAAAGCTCTCAGGCAGAGTATCAAGACTCGCCTGTGAGTATTGACACGAGACAGAACGACCATGAGGCACTCCATTCACCCGGGATGAATGTCAGAATGAATAGCACTGAATCGATTCAGAGCTCCGGTTTTACGTCAGAAACCGCTGAGAGTATCGATGGTGTCATTGAAGCATGGACTCGCCCTCTCACCACCAACTCACAAAAACCCAACCTGACCGATGACACGGCTTCAGAGCAGGCGGCGCGAAAGGAGGACATTCAGCTCTCCGACGCGGTTGAAACCAAGGCCAGCGAACCCGATGTAACAAAACGGACAGTACTTCCACCACTTGACCGCTTAGACCCTTTTGACGATCTGGACACTTGGTCTAAATCCTCTTTGGAGCGATATGTAGCAATGTTGCGCAAGGAGGCTGTGGCGGACACTGATCTGGACCGATTTGAGATTTTCACAAACTTTATGGCTAAGGAGGCCAAGCTACGTGAAGTCTTATATAACATAGAATCCAACCCGACGGATGTCAAACAAACGGCAACGGGTGCCTTTTGCTCAGCAACATCAACCTTTCAGACGCCTACCAGCGAGACTGACGTTGTATTGCCTCCTGTGGAATCGGGTTTGATTCCGGTGGAGGGTGAGGATCACACGGTTCCTACCAGTCCTACGGATAAATCTGGAGATGGCAGCTACAGTCCGGGGGGTCGGCCGATCCTGAGGCTCCACACGCCTGGCCCCGTACGTTCGAGAAGTTCCTCATCACATACTACCGCCGATCCCTATGGGAATGATACTAATTCTGGGAAAAAATCGTCCTCGAGACCTACCTCAGTACCACCTACTATGATGGAGCTTGCGGCACATAAACAGGAAATGTCCCCACTAGCCACAAATCCCCCACAACCGCTCTATACACCCTTTCGTTACACAGAGGGCCCTCAGAGGGGCTCTGATGCACTCGTATTCGACCGTCCAGCATTTCAAGCTTATTCCGCCTTGCGTCAAGCATCTGCCGAAAGTGGCCGAGTGATGTCCAACGGCTTGGCTCCTGCTTCGGAAGAACTGTCACTTCCTGCAGAGACCGTGAACCATACGGGACAGGACGAGACGTTCATGGGACTTATAAGGGAGAAGAGCATTGCTTATCGCAAAGCAGCTTCTCAGAAGCCGTCAACTCCTCCACCACTTCCCGCTTCCCTTAGACAAGGCAGATTACCTGACCCCTTGGTTGAATTGCGCTCTGTTGTGACAGCGTCATTGAGCAAAAGATATGTGAGCGCGTCGGAGAGTTCCACGAGAAGAGAGCCGAAGAAGATACTCAATGACTTCGCTTACATTCACGAGGCGACAAAGACTTGGGCCGCTTCCAATGAGTCTCGTAGAGAGGCATTAGACAAAGACCGTTCCCGGCGTCAGGAAGAGTCCGAAAGACAGATCGATGCCCTCTTCAACGGAAAGGAAATAGGTTATGCTGACATCAATGTCCTCGAGGAGGAATTCCGTCAGAAGGAGGCGCGCTGTCAGCTGGAGGAGGAAAGGCAGGAACTGAACGATTTCATTGCGCACGTTTTCGATCCACTTGACAAACGGTTGAAAGAGGAAGCCCTGGCGTTGCAAAGCAACTATGAAGAAGCTCTTTCGCAGCTTGATGATGGTAACAGCACAGGCAAGGACATAGCCAAAGACGAAAGTCATGTGTCTGAGACAATGAAGACTATCAATGAAATCTATAGTCAGCTTGAGATCCGCTTTCAAAAGCGCCTCGAAATTGCTCTAGACCGTGAACGTCGACGAAAGAAGGCTGAAAGACGACCTCTCGTATTCATGGGCGATGCAACTGCGCTCAAACAGCTGGATCAAGAATTCGACCAGATGGAAAAGCGCAATATACTCGAAGCTGCTCGGGAGCGGGATGCGAGGGCCAATCGACTAATGGACTCTTTTGATGATGCTATTGTGCATGGTCTAGGAGAGAACCAGAGAATCCTTGATGACATTACTGCAAAGTTGTTACGAATCGATGCTGCAACCCTTCGTTCTTCTTCCCTCTCAGAAACCGAGATCGTGCAACTACTCAGATCAGTCAACCGAGTCATAGAACGTTTGCGCGAGGACTCCGAGTCAATACTAGAAAACTTTGGTATCGCAGATTCAGTTCTCAACGACGCCGATTACAACGTGTCTGTCGCTGAAGCGCGCTGCTCAGACGCCGAGGTTGATGTTTTCGATCAACTGAAGGCTGAGAAGAAGAAAGAAGACAAGAAGATCCAAGTCGATCTGGAATCTAAGCTGGAGAGTGTAAGAGAAGGACCAGCTAAGGTGACCGCAAGCATCAAAGATCTTCTTCATTCCCTTTGCCACGATACAGCCCTGAAACAACCACCTACCTCGTCAACAGAGCCTGCTAAGCAGCCTGGCAATGCTCGTTCACCCAGTCCCGGCTCCACCGCCCCGCCTGCCTCTCGCAAACCTGTGGAAGATGTCGAGCATCAAGAGCGGCTCCGCAAAGCATTAGAGAATGCGAAGAAGAGAAATGCTGCTAGGAATGGCACATAGACACCGACCTGTTGGTTCTAAGACTCATCTACCTCAGTGAATACATCGTCATCATCATCATCATCGTCATCTTTTTTTATTTGCGGATAGAAGTGCGTATACCTGACCTCTGTGTCTTTTTTCTTCGATACCCTCATGTGGCTGTTATAGATTGAGGTTGTGTGAGTCTTCTTCCATCGGACCAATCAGTGTTTCTGGAACAGTGAGTGTCCTAAATCTCAAACATATATAGTAATGAAATAGGGGGGAGATAGCGACAGTTCTGTGCTGCCTTCACCTCGAACGTAATGTTCGTGTACAAAGGGGACTTGTCCGGACTGCGGCAAAAGTCAGCCCTCAGCCTGGCATAACGAGTGTTGCCTTCAGCCTTCAAGAAAATGTGGTAGACTAGCCATGGGCTGTCGCTCTCAGGAAATTACAAAGTACGTAATCATAATCCGAACTATCCAAGTTCCCAGATGAGGCTGAAAGCGCTCACACAGAACATATTGAGTGAAGCCGTCAGCTCGCCAAAAGTCTGGCTAGTCGGCTAGTAAGTGATGCGCCGCACAGAGCCTGATTATACTGCTGTAATGCGCCCGACGGCGCAGCATTGACGCTGCATCATAGACTAACGTGACACCACAAAGCTTGTAAGTCCATCATCCTGAATGGGCACAAGGTAGATGAATGAGTGATCTTTGCTCGTGATACACTGAGCTCCTGAAGCTTTGTTCGCCTGGACTCGCTGAGCCTGCCACCAGGATAGTGTCACCCCCGGGGTAGATGTTGAAAATTCGAAAAGAATCGGCTCTAAAGCCCTGGTTTGGCAGAATCTGAAACAGCAGATACATCCACCTAAAAGAGCAAAAAGCTTGAGATGCGGGATTTGACAGGTTGCTCTCAGTTGCGATCCACACAAGCCCACCTTCAAATGTGGTCCGCAATACGAGGCGAGAAGCGATCAGGGCTTTTCGGCACTCAGTCGGTGTAGGAGTACGATGACCTCTCGGTATGCGACAAATAATTCAGTCAATTATTCTAAGTAGACAGTTCTGCTGGCAACATCTACAGGAGAATAAAGGGGTGATTGGGAGATTCCCCGGCAGCCATACCTAAGCACACACACATATAGAAATGATGAATTTGAACAGCGATTTTCGGATAGAATTCGGCCCAGCAGTACTGTACCGAGCATTCTCCTGCGGCGCAGACTAAAAGAACCAACCATGGTGTGGATGGGCAGAAAACCGTGCACCAGCCTCTCCGGCAATTGGTGATGATTCAAAGTAACAACAGCGCCGCATATCCTGGCAGTAATCTTGTGGATATATTCTCCATCGGGCTTGGGGGTCATGATGTTTAAAGGATCTGCGGCGCAGAGCCTCTACCTGCGGCTGGCTTGATATGTCCAGGCAAAGGATCAGCCTGTTGTGTCATATCTCTAATCGCGGCGCTGCAGCTGTCAGGGTGCACCTGAATGCGAAATCATGGTCAGCTAGAGGTCGCTCATGCTTGTCTTCTGCGGCAGAAAAGAATAGACCGTCAATCCTTTGTACTGGGAAATCGAATCATGCTCCATGGCGTTCGTCACTGTGCCAACTTTGCCCTTTTATCCTAACGAGGTGGAAGATGCTTTGGCTCTCAGTGGCACAAGCAGTACCCGCCTTGGTCCGTGGTTCGGAGCAAACTCTATATAATGTTGGTTTCGCCAATGCAGCACAGGCCGTGCAGCACTGCAAATACATTGGAGTTTTGAGTTTCTCTGAAACATATTGATGTCTACCCCTACTCGCCAATTTCGAAGACTGTCCATCACCGGTGACATGCCAACGTCGCGTCCCGGAGCAGAGAAAACACATCAGACTGAGGATAGCGACAGCAATGATGCGTCGGAGAGCGAAAGCGGCTCCAGCGTCATTCATAACAGGGGGTTCCTAGATGCGAGCTCGATTGTATATGGCGAGTCAGGCGTCGCTTATGATCTTATCGGGCTGGATATCGGCACCAAAGCCAGAGCTCTGGTTGGATTGACGAGCCACTTCGACGTTCTCAGCTGCCGCGAGACGCAGACAGGCTACGAATTTCAATTCTCGGAGCTCCCTCGCGTTCTTCTCGGAGCAGAATCTTATACTTGCACCTGTTCGACGTTCTCCGGTCGACCCAGTGTGGCCTGCCAACATATCTACGTGAGCATCACTGACACGCATCTTCAAGAATTTCCCTAATTCTTCTTTGATACTAACCTTCGGAAGTGGCTTCACGACCAACTCCATGGCTACCTCTTACCCGGACCTCCTACCTCCGGCATTCCTCCGTCGGGCGATGGACGTTTACCGAACCTTGGTTGCATCAGACAACTCCTTGATAGCAAGATACACACCATCGCGGACGAGTTCGGCTGGCAGTACACGCGCTCGGAGGCCCGGGGCGGCATGAATCGGCAGGATATGGTCAGGGACATCATGTCCGCCTTTGATAGCTCCATACTACCCGAGGACTTTCGCCCGGATCTCGTCAACGACGATGCAAAGCAGTCACGGACGCCCGAGCAGTGCGTGGTGCAGGGAGACTTTGAGGCTACTTTGTTCAGACTTGCTGTGCATGACGATGCAGTGTACGCCAGTCTGTGCAAAGCAATGCCCATCGGTGCATGCACGGCAATATACTTTGACAAGGCTCAAAATAAGATACGGAATCTGCTCGCAGACTTCGATCGATACTGCATGACCGGGCACCTTCCGGCAGGGGTTGAGAAATTGGACGCCAGCACGGTGCTGGAAGAGATTCAAGGCCATGTCAACCGAATCCGAAGGAATCTTGCGGTTCGCGCACCGCACGGTTTTGATGGAGGTTCGAAAGCTTTGATTACATTACTTGAAAATATCTGTGGTCGTAACAAAGATCCCTTGGAGGATAATGACTGGGGCCGAGAGACATTCCATGGCGAAGATGAAGATCAGCGCAACCTCTACCATCAGCTCATCGGTAAGGCTAAAGAGACCGAAGATTTTTTTATCCTTGAAGTCCTTGAGCAGCTGCCCCTTCACGCCCTCCGCCGTTTTGAGGACAAATTGAAAGCGATCCTTCGCAGGATCGAGGTAAATCGAGCGCCAAAGGCCTACGTTATCAGGCTGGGCGCGCTGGTGCGTACGGTGGAGTCTACCGAGGCTGGGACTGGTCAGAAACGGCCATCCTCAGCTACTGCTACTGGCAACAGCAAGCGGACTCGATGAGATCCGGGGGCTGCATTGCCTCCCTGTTGGTCTCCCCGGTATTAGTTGAATAGCGTTGCCTGGGTGGCTAGTTCCTTGTATAGCCTTGCGACTGTCGAACTGATTTTCTTTCTAACTTCTTGTGATCTGGATCTTATAACTCTATATCCCCATTCTTCTCTATCGCAGCTGGTCTGGTGCCTATCTTCTCACCCATCTCTACTTCGTATACTATAATCCCACTGATGCCAGAGCCATGGTAACACCCCATCATGAAGCACTGCCGAGACGATCGATTTGACTTCATTTCGCTTCCTCGGTAACCGCACACGGGAGGTGTACCGTGGCTCGAGCAGTGATTCTATGCAGAGATGTAAGATTGCTATGCCAATGGAGGAAATACGGCCGTGCGTGGATTGAACACATTACTCCCCGTGGTGACTTTGAATTGGCCTTCGCCAGTAATAGAGATCCTTAGTATAGAACTTTTTATCCTTGAGTCATGATAACATAATTGGCCAGCACTTCCAACAGCAAGGCCTGCTGGCCCAATGGTAAGGCGCTTGACTACGAATCAAGAGATTGCAGGTTCGAGCCCTGCGTAGGTCATTCTTTTTTGCTTCCTTCCCGTCCTTTTGATCCACTGAAGCTTTTCTTTTGTCGCAGCACCACTGGGCTCAGTCAAGTTGTTTCTCTTGCTTGCTCTCGTTCCAAACTTCGGCTGGGTCTCTTTCTCGTCAAGGCACTTGTCTGGCAGTAAAGGACAATGGGCCTTTGCTCCAGATGCATAGGTAGTTGTTCCATTTGAAGAGATATATATCCCAATGTCGCGAGCCAGCGAGACACGGTCGGATAAGACCCGAGATAATGGTCAGAGAACCTGGATGTATCCTAGTATGTCCCTCGTCAGAGCACTGCTCTGCCCTATTTGCTTGATATCTCTTCTGCACCAATCAAAGTTGCCCGAGTCACTTACTGGTTGCCGGTCGGATTGAATGTGGGTTTCGATCTCGACAGTCCTAGCTTTCATTGTCAATTCATAGGTCAGATTCAAAGAATCAGTACCCCCTTTTTCATGATGAAGAAAGAGGGAGGGACACTTCATGCAACCTCGTATTGAATATTGTGATTTGGTTTCCCAATATGTAGATCGCGGTGGATCTCACCGTATAGAGGGGTTGTAGGCTTCTGTATATGTGGTGTAGATTGCCACATGCCCACAAGCGAAGCGAAGGGAACATATGATCGGCGATGAGAGAGTCAAGAGTTGCTTGATCTAATTGGGATTTTTTTCCCCCGACATCTGAAGAATGTGGCAATTGCAGCAACCATGCAGGTTTCCCGAGGACGAGGTATACGGCCCTTCAGAAAAACTGCATCAAAGTGGCTTCATGCATGATAAGCGAAGTGCGGAGAACGAACGGGAGTAGAGAACCTCCCTGTGGAGGCCATTTGGAGACGATATGTAAATAAGTATTTGTTGAGGTTTTGGTGGAAAATTCAAGCCTGTCCTTTCGGCTTAATGGTCCCCGATAGCATGACAGGCGAAGTAAACAAATCCGAATACCCAAGCTCAACTCTTCTCCCCCTCCCAACCTCCCACGCGCGACGTAATCCCAAGCAGGAACCCCAAACTCCAACTTTCTATCATCCCTCACAAGCTTAGAAAAGTCTTGTCTTATTACGGAGTACTCTGCCTCAAAATACTCAGCCAACCTGTTCCCCGCTCCCACCCCCGTAGGATATCCCATACGTCTTGGAACGCTCGATCATTTACCCCGCAATTCAACGACCAACTCAGCACAACCGCATCCCAGCACCAAGAGGAGAGACAAGAACGACAAAGAAAGAAACGAACAAGCAGACGGAGTCACCACAATGCCGAAGCCAACCCCCATCATCGACTCTCACATCCACCTTTTCCCCAAATCCCACCTCCCAACCCTAGCGTGGTACGGCCCCGAAAGCCCCTTGGGCGCTCAACACTCGGTCGACGAGTACCGTCAGGCGACCTCCCCGACGCCCACCTCCCCCACCACGGGAGAGGAGCACTACCTCCGGGGCTTCATTTTCCTGGAAACCGACCGCATCTCGTCCGTTGACGAGTCCGACCCCAAGCTCGGTTGGTCCCACCCCCTCGACGAGGTCTCCTTCCTTACCCGGATCATCACTGGAACTCCAGTGCAAGGGGAAGGCCATACGGAGGATGATCGTCATCTGTGTCTCGGGATGGTGCCTTGGGCACCTGTGCCCGGTGGCCCGGAGGCGCTGGTCAAGTATATGGGGTTGGTGAGGGAGAGGACTGGGAATGTATTTAACAAAGTCTGTGGTGTGCGGTATCTCGTGCAGGATAAGCCACAAGGGGTGATGCTACAGTCTGGGTTTGTGGAGGGATTGAGGTGGCTTGGGAGGGAGGGGCTGGCGTTCGATCTGGGAGTCGATGCGAGGCAGGGCGGGATGTGGCAGTTGAGGGAAGCGGCGGAGATGATGAGGAAGGTGTTTGAGGACAAGAATCAACGGGTGGTGAGGATTGTCATCAGTGAGTCTTTTCGATGCACATCTATCTCTATGAAAAATGGTTGACTGATACATGTTTTAGACCATCTGTGCAAACCGAACCTCCGGCTGCCGTATCATGGGCCGGCTTCTGTTGTCACGCATCCGGACTTCTTGGAATGGTCCTCTTTAATTACGGCAATGGCGCAGTATCCCACAGCTTATATGAAGCTGTCCGGGGGCTTCTCGGAGCTGTTGCCGCTGGAGGAGAAAACAGAGCCGGATCTGAAGGCGCTGGTGGATCGGATCCAGCCGTGGACTGATGTCGTGTTCAACGTCTTTGGACCGGAGAGGGTCATGTTCGGGTCGGACTGGCCTGTCTGTAATGTGGGTGGTGGTGGGAACACGGTCTCGTGGGGCCGGTGGAAGAGGGTGGTCGAAGAGGTGTTGGACCGGAGAGGCTTGTCCCACGAAGAGAGAGAAGATGTTTGGGGCGGCGTCGCGGCTAAGGCTTACGGCGTGGAGATTTGAAGGATTCCGGTTCACACTTATACTATATACGCGCATTATATGCAATTTGTCCTAGTCATAATACAGAACTGATCTATTGAAGGTTCACAAACAATCCACCATCCACGAGTAGCTGTGCGCCAGTCTGTTGTTCATGCCGTGGTCAGCCATGGACTTTGCTTTATGAGACATAACAATCATAGTACTCACCACGTAGCTACTCAATTCCTCACATGCCAGGAACACGGCGGGTCCCGCCAGATCTCGGGGCTGACCCAGTCTTCCCAGCGGAATTCTACCTTCCATGTATGTTCTCTTCGCAGGGTCACTCATGTCCTCATCATTCAACTGCGTACGGATAGTACCGGGCAACAGAGCATTGCAGCGAATGCCATACTTGCCCAGGGCCACGGCGGTCGACTGCATGAGACTGAGCACGCCCGCCTTGGTGGGGGTGTAATGTGTTTGCTGCCCTCCTCCAACCAGCGCCGAGATGGAGCTGATACCAATGATCGAGCCGCCCGGGGGGGACTGGGCCAGCGCCATCTGTCGTGCTGCCGCCTGGACTGCGAAATATGCACCGGAGAGGTTTGTGTTGAAAGTGTGGCCGAGAAGGGATGGGTCGACTCTGTTCAGTTCACGCATTTGATCAGTCGTCATGCCAAACCCTCCGTGGCAGATTCCAGTAGTAAAAGCGGTACGCACTCCAAGAACTCTTCGAACTTGCAAACCCCCGCATTGCTCACAAACACATCCAGCCGGCCAAATGCTTCGACGGTCTTGGCAACGAAGTCTCGTCCGGTCTCGGGCTGGGAGATGTCGCCAGCAACGGCAATGAATCTGCTCTCATCGGCGCCGGCCACACCAGACACATCTTTGCGCAGTGCCTCGAGCAGAGGCTCGTCTTTCGGGCCCCCGAGGTGGTTGACGGCCACTTTGGCGCCGTGACGAAGATAATCTAGAGCAATGGCCTGAGCAATGGGGTCAGTTGATCGAGCTGATACTGCCTGGAATGGGTTGTAGAGTCAGAAATATCACTCACCCGCCCAATACCAGTTAGACCACCTGTGATAGCGGCGACTTTGCCGACGAGAAGCTGTGGAAGAGACATGATGTCGCTATGTGTTTCGTGCGATCAATTTCTCACCGGACCTCGTAAATTTGGCTCTTGAACAGAATAGATTTGGAGGATAAGTCTAGTTATGTATCACCATCTAATTGGGGCCTCGCTGGAAGATTCACCCTTTTTCAAATCCCACAATTCAATCCCACCCCGCCGAGGCGATAAGATAGTGGGGGAGTTGGAGTCTGGAAGGGGCACGGCCTCGGGTAGTTCGTGGCATTGATACCCCGAGCAATGCAATTACCCCACACTCGCTCGTGTCGCTACATCTAGCCGGCTGGGCAGTGCACAATTGATTTGCCACGGTCGGAATCACTGGTAAAAATTTCCGGTCTATGAACACGAAGCACGGATACGAACATAATGGAAGAGAAACAAGTAAAAGGAAGAGAGATCCATAAGTCATACATGGAAACATTAAGGAGCAAGGACAATGAAAAGTGAGATTCATGGCGCGCTGCGCAATTTTGTAACAACGGCCCCATCAAGAGAGTGAACGCTATGCAGTACGGTTGGTCTCGTGCTGCTCTGCTACCGGAGCAGGCAGCCCCCTCTGGGGAGCCGGGGTGAGGATAGTGGAGGCGTTGATGAGGGGAGCAGCGGGGTTCAGCTCGAGGCCAAATCCGGGCTTGTCCAGGATAGACACATCAAGGTAGCCTTGAGTGGGAATGGGCTCGTTCAAGAACAAGTTACCGAAGACAGGCTCAACCGTACTGCCGTCGGGAGAGTTGGCAAGGTACTCCTGGAAAGGCGTGTTGGGCTGGGAAACAACAAAATGGTAGGAGTAAGGACCTGAAGCGTGGGGAACAACTGGAATGTCATAGGCAGCGGCCATTGCCGAGACCTTGAGCAGCTCCGTCAGACCGCCAACCCACATCACGTCAGGCTGCACGATATCCAGGTTGCGGCCCTCGATAAGCTTGCGGAATCCGTAGCGGGAGTACTCGTGCTCACCGGTGGTGAACTTGACCGTAGGGTGAGCTCTCTTCAAAAGCGCATGGCCGTCGAAATCATCGGGAGTGAGACACTCCTCCCACCAGTCAATGTTAATGCCCTCAGCCTCACAACGCTTAACGAGCTCAATGGTGTAAGGGACATTTAGGGACATGTAGCAGTCCACGCGTAAGGGAAAGTCGGGGCCGACCGAGTCGCGCTGCTTACGCAGGTAGGCAACATTTTTCAGTAGACCCTCCGTGCCCTCGTCGGGACCGTGGGGGAGTGCGACCTTAGCGCCAATGAAGCCGGCGGACTTGGCAGCAGCCGGCTGCGGCCCAGTGCAGTAGAAATGTAGGCGCGAGCGCGTGGCTCCTCCAATGAGTTTGTAGACGGGCTCGTTGCGGATCTTGCCCACCAGATCCCAGAGTGCCAAGTCAATCACGGAGATGACGGCCACGGGTAAACCCTTACGGCCGTAAAACATCGAAGCCCGATACATCCTCTCAAACAGGTCGTTGGTATCACGGGGGTCTAAGGAACAGAAAGAATGGGTTAGCCACCATCTAGTCGGTTGACGAAGACAGTTGACACTCACCGGCACCAATCAAGAAACGCTCGAAGTGTTGGTGGACCAGCCAACAAGCAGGGGGACCACCGAAGCCCGTGGCGAAGCCTTTCGTCCCATCGGTGGCTTCAAGTTCGACGCAGAAAGAGCCCAGGACATTGATACCCCACGAAGTTCGGGAGCCACGGTACTCCGCCCATTTGGTCATGGGAGTCGAGATGTCGCTGTCAATCAGCCAGTGACCACCCTTTACCTGAAGGCAAAAGTTAGACCGTCCCTCCTACAACCGAGTGCCGGTCGTGACTTACATTGTGATAGTCACCTCCGGAGCCGACTCCGCTCGTGATGAAGGTGCGGACCTCCTTGATGCGCGGGAAAGTGGTCGTAGTGCTGCTCATGGTGTCGATGATCTATCAGCAACGGGAGGTAAACAAACTCACAAATCAACTCTAGAAGAAAGACCAAATAGAGAAAATGACGAGGAGCAAGAAGAAGAAAGAGGATTTCAACGATTCTCCTGGAAAGTTTCTCATATTTGAAGACAAGCAACCGGGATCGCGTCGAGGGGCCCTAATTCTCCATTTTGCCGGCCGGGCAGCGCGAGCTCGGGATAATGCTGGCCGAGGTCAACAGTAGGACAGTTGGAGAAAACCCACCCTGCGTGTCAGCTGACTGGCGGATCGGACCTTGCCCCATTCTCTGCAACGCGACAAACCAGACAAAACAGACAAAGAGCGCGGCGAAAGATTGCGGGGTGAAAAGGTTATTCCCGCTTTGGGCCCTAGGCTGTCCGCACGTCCGCGTGCTTTTTCACCTTTCTGCCTCTCTCCTTCGCTTTCCCGGCTTCTTTCTTTTGTTCAATTCGGTTCAATTCCTCCCCCGATCTTCACATTAACCCCTCTCCTGTCATCATGAGGGCTTTTGACTACTGATACCAATTATCGTGGCTGGACCGACCTGTTTACCCACCCCCTGTAGATCCCGACTCGCCAAAGGACCATGCCGAACTCTGCAGAAGCTGCAGCAACAGCTGCAGCAGCTCCTCCTAACCGTCGGACTCCACCACCATCCCGACCTCCTGGCGAGCCAGAAAGATATCAAAGCGGAGATGAATCTTGGTCTGCCGCTGACAGTGATAATGACCGTGCGGCCCAGAATGATCCGAGTGCTTCTCGAGCACTGAAGCGCAAGCGCCCCCTCACGGTATCGTATGTCTTCCTCCCCTAGCCCTTCTCCAAACAAGCTTTTGATCGGTGATTGCTCTTTCATCATCTTGCTTCTGCATCTGCCCTGTGCTTCCCTTGGTGAAACGGTAGTCGCTGTCGTGTCGATCTAGCTAACCTCCTTACTAGATGTGAGCTATGTAAGCAGAGGAAAGTCAAATGTGGTAGGTAAGCCGCGTGGTAGTGCAATGTTACATACTTGCCTTGCTAACCTTGCTAGATCGAGCTCAGCCCAGCTGTGGGTGGTGTGCGCGTAACGGCCAGTTGTGCGAGTACAAGGAACGGAAAAAGCCTGGCCTTCGTGCGGGGTATGGCAAGGAGCTAGAACAGCGGCTCGGTGTGTATTCTGATTGTCGGCCCATGCTTCGGTGATTCGCTCAACTGATGTGCGTTGTACAGACCGCCTTGAGGAAGTTATTCAGACTCAAGCTCGCCTCATAGAGAAGCACATCACTGGGGGTCAACCACGTCTGGGTCAAGATGCTCCACATCCCGCACCTTTCTCATATAGTTCGCCTTCAGAACCTTCTGCAGCTCATGGCACCAGTCCCCAGACCACGTTCTACTTCCAGGAGCCAGCATCATTTCCGCACCCACCTCGTCAATCTGATGCCTCTATCACTAGTCCCTCAGACATGTCAGTGCGAAACACAATACATAATCACCTTTCGAACGGCATTCCTTCCACAACAGCATTGCCGCACATCTCTAATAGTTCAATGCATAATGACTATACAGGGAACGAATCTTCTTTGAAAGTTCCGGTGTCGTTGTACAACAGTCAGGAACAGTCGCTAGCAGACCCGGAGCTCGATCTCCCTCCGTATGATCTGCTATATGCACTGGTTGATCTTTATTTCGAGCACATCAATACATGGTGTCCCATACTCCATCGCCGAACTACGCTCGATACGTTCTTCGGACCCACACCGTTGGAGGAAGCTGACAGGGTGGTACTTTATGCTATTGTCGCAACCACACTTCGCTTTTCGAATGATAGTCGACTCAACGGCCAGAATAGGAAGCGATATCATGACTCCTCCAAACAGAAGGTGCTTCTATATGGCCTGGAAAATTCATCGGTCAAAGCGCTTCAAGCTCTCGTCATATTAGCGTTGGACTTGGTAGGCTCGTCTAACGGGCCCCCCGGGTGGAAGTTACTTGCGCTGGTCACGCGATCCGTGGTCCAACTGGGCCTGGCTGTGGAGTCCAAATCTTCACTCATTGCTCCCGTGTACCCCTCAATCTATACCCTACGCGCGGTCACTCTTCCGGATCCCGATACCTGGATCGAGGATGAGAGCAGAAGGAGACTATTTTGGATGGTGTACCTCCTAGACCGATACTCTACTATCGCTACTGCATTTGACTTTGCTTTGGATGACAAGGATATAGACCGAAAGCTTCCATGCAAAGACGAATACTTTCACAAAAACCAGCCAGTTGAGACTCGGTGGTTTCGTCGCACCAGCGATCGTGCTGATTATATGAGCCGCGCCGAGAATGTAGGAACATTTGGACTCTACGTGGAAATACTAGGGATTCTCTCACGAATCCATACGTTCCTGAAGAGGCCTGTCGACATAGGAGCACTTTCCGACGTCGAGGAATGGCAAGTGATGTATCGCAAACTCGACAGTGAACTCACATCCTGGGAATTCAATCTTCCAGCCGAGTATGCCTATGAAAACTCGTCCCGCCTTTTCAGTGGACCGAAGCATACCCGAAGTCTACACTGTGACTGGGTTCAGTTACATGCTACATACCAAACGTGAGTTCTTTCTATGGCTCGAATCTGTTATAACTGCGCTCAAACCGCTCGAGAAAAGCTTACACTGATGTAGCGCTGTGATTCGACTCCATTCGTCGGCAGCCTACCCTACCACGCGGTCACCAATATTTACTCCATCATACAGTGCTAGCCAACGGTGCTTGCTGGCAGTTGACAACATTCTTTCTGTGACCCGCCATGTCGTAGACAATAATATGCTAGACAAGATGGGACCACCCTTTGCGTTTACGCTCTGGGTGTCTGCTCGCCTGCTACTTGTCCATGGATCCACCATCGCCCACATTGTTAGCCCTGACATCATCTTCTTTGTCGACACACTCTCTCAAATGGGCAAGTACTGGAAGGTGGCAGAGCGCTACAGCTCACTCCTACAGCGTGTACTGGACGAGTATGGCGAATATCAGCAGTCCGGCGCTAACGAGGGTGAGCGCGTCACGCCCTCGTCCGTCAAAATTCTAGCAGACATGCGTCGCTGTGCATTTGATCTCGACTTTCTTATCTCACGCCAACCGCGCTCCTCTCCGGGCGGCAGCCAACCACCAGCCCCTGCAGCCGCCCCAGCACGCAATCTCGCCCCAAATGAATTGGAGTATCTTGACGTATTTGGCTTTTTCAATGTTCCACGAGTACCCGCCGGGAGGGGTCCGGATATTCTCAACATGGATATGGGTAACTCGGTCAACGAGATGTCCATCAACGGTCTTGCCGGCAACGGCAATGCGACGGACTCGGTCGTGGTTAGCGCCAACACTAACACGAACGAGTTCAACATCACAAACTACCTGATACCGACACCAGAGACAGACTGGCTGTTTCGACCGAGTGGATGAAAGAGCTCTGACGGAGCTTGCTTATCAAGTCAAATGATACTACCACTTGAAGACCACCAACACGGGGAGAGAAACTTAACTCGTACCCACCGAATGATCGGAAGACTTCAGCGAATGCGTGCGAACAAATCAGTAGCACCGCTCATGTGGATTTGACAGGGTGCCACTACTTGCACCACTTCATACTCTGGCGTGGGAGCGCGCAACAGAGCTCCAGCGCCTCATACGCTAATCATTTCAAAGGGGAGCGGCAGCGCCATGTATCTCTCCCGGAATACGTAAGAGGACAAAGCGGGCCAAATGATGTATGCCAGAGTGACAGGAAAATTATTTCTCACATCGTTAGACATACGGTGGAAGGCTTTTGGCCAGGGGATATCGTCCTGCCACTGACCAATACATAATAGGAAAATCATCGCGCGCGGTGTGTATTTACCGCGGGTGGCAGGATAACGCCATCAAGGATTTGACCAAGACATATACCTCTTGGGACATCTCAAACAAGGCTCATGTCGTCTTGATAGAATGCATGATATCATTTACTGTATGATTTAATGTGACCATATAAGCTATCAGGGTCTCGGTTATAGTAAATTGTTTATGTCCAAACATAACCTAAGAAAAACATAGTTAATCACAGAAGAGAAGGAAAGGAAGAGAAAACATATTCACTTCATACTTCAACAGAAAATAGCCTCAGTAACAGAGAGAAACAAGGACAAGTCAGGTTCCAGCTTGACTTGGAAGATCGAATCCATTCTCGGTGCGTAAGAGGTGAATGATAAAGGTTCCAGCCCAAAGGAGAAGAAGTCTGATGCATACATTCGAAAGAGACAAGGAAGTAGAGGTTTGACCCCAACAGAAAAGTATGCCAAACCGACATAGGTGAAGGATAGGAAGAATTAAGTAGCTCAGAGGCCTTGGATCGGGAGGTTTTTTCTATTGGTCGACCATCCGTAGTTCCTTGAATGGCCACTCGGAAGCTCTTCTAACATAGTAACGGCCGGCCTCATAGGAACAGATATGGCTGGGAGCATAATGCTAGTGTCGTGTGGATCAAGGCGAGGCCAACGTTAGCACCGAAAGGGCTGAGTTCTAGGACCGAACCAATCTTCATCCCTGAAAGTAAGGGGAATCAAGCTCCACTTGAGTTTGAATCCTCGTCGGCTGGCTCAATCCGAACAAGGACTTCTTCGAGAAACCCCTCTAAGAAAGATGATACTTGAGCGCCCATTCCCACGGGAGCCTCATTATCCCAACGCTCGATTCTCGTGAACATCCCGCACAGATCGTCCACAAGAGACTCCATCATCTCATGGGCGTGGTACTGACGTGACTGTTGTTTGTATGCATCGGTGCCCCCTTCGCCAGCGGTGTTGCGGGCAAGAAGCTCTAAACGGCGTCCGCGGCGGAATATCGCAGCCTTTAGGGCAGGTATGATTACACTGTTCAAGGCAGTAATTTCGACCGCAGGGGACTGTGGCGATTGGTTGCTTGTCCGCGAAGCATTATCAAAGGAGTCATCGGTGGTGACGTGAAGTTGGCTTTGGCTATGCTTCATTGGGATGGGTATGTTCTTTGGAACTGGCACAGGCTGGGATCGCGACGATGGCGACGGCGGCGACATATGTCTGGGTGTTGGAGGAGGTTGGGAATGTGGCTGTGGCGGTGCGAACAACTGGCGCTGCGGTGTCGATTCCATTACAGGTATGAAAGCCTGACTGGAAGGGCCAGTGACTGCGTGGGCGGGAGGATTTCTTTGAAAGGGTGTGTCTTCTGTGTATCGTGATGATTGCGTCCTCTCGTATCCCTGTGTTGCTGGGGTAACGTGTCGGTCTCTCGAGGAGGCAATGGAAATATTTGGCGGTTGATCGAGGTTAAGAAAGCTCAAGTCTTCGGCCAACGCTTGTTGCAGAGCTCTATCGTACTCATTGCCAGGGCTTTCCTTGGGCTGGCGAACAGCTGGATCTTGTACATAAGGTGTATGTGGTCTGAACTCTGAGGCCGAAGACTTCATGGGAGATGGAGGCAAAGGGATCTTAGATGGCGACGATGGCACGGGTGCAGCATTACGCTTTGGCGGCATCGGCACAGTTGGGGCATTGCTTCTCTCCCTCGCAACCCCCTTGCGACTGCTTACCTTGGGGTTCTGCTCAGCAATATCATGAGTTCGTGCATTCATGTCTGCTTCTTTCATGGGCTTCAGCGCAGGAGCTCGCCCCCCTGCAGGGCGAACAGTGCCAAAGTCCCAGAGATCGTCCTCTTCGTCGACTGGGGTGGTCCTGGATGGCGGGTCTTGGTAATTGTCCTCCTCCTCATCGGCCGGATTGTTGCCATGAACAGTATTCCAGCGCTCGTAGCGTTCAATCAACTCGGTTAGGTATGTCGTCTTTTTTGCCCTCTTAATGAATGGATGCTCCAACAACTCCCGGGCTGAAGGTCGCTCCCTCGGGTCCCTCCTCAAGCAAAGCTCCACGAAGTTCTTGAAGGCTTTGCTGTAGTCCCCTTGCAAAGTCGGGGGAGGGTTTTTGGGAATCAAGAACAACACCTTCATAGGATGAATGTCAGAGTAAGGTGGCTCTCCGTTCGCCAACTCAATTGCAGTGATACCAAGAGACCAGATATCGGCCTTGTAATCATAACCCGATTGTTTGATCACCTCTGGTGCCATCCAGAACGGGGTTCCCACAAATGTATTCTTCTTGGTCATTGTTGCTGACAGTTGACTGGAGACGCCAAAGTCCGCGAGCTTTACCTGGCCATTAGATGTGAGAAGGATATTGGCAGCTGTTTGACAGGTCAGATGGGAATGCATGGTTGTGAAATGGACTTGTTGGGAAACGGCACCTTTGACATCCCGGTGTAGCTTCTTATCGCTATGCAAGTAGTCCAGTCCCCGAAGCAACTCTCGCAGAATGATCATGATGTACTCCTCGGGTATTGTGCCCGGGCGCATCAGGTCTGAGCAACTACCTCCCGAGCAGAACTCCATGACGATCCATAAACTAGAGCCCTTCAAAAACGAGCCATGATACCTGGTCACATAGGGCGAGTTGAGCTCCGACAAGATAGCAATTTCTTGGATGATATCTTCCACCTCATCTTCAGCATTTTCCACGTCGATTATCTTGATCGCAACAGAGGCTCCGGTACGTTTATCGACACTTGATTCGAAGTACAGCGTAAGCGATGACCTCATGGTATTCCTCTAGCGCGAAATAGATATTGCATCATACATACCCTTTATATACTTTTCCAAAACTCCCGCCGCCTACACGAGTATCTGTCAGGGAATCCAGCGAGACGCCAAGGCGACAAGGGAGCACGCACCGATGCAATTCTGCTTCGTGTAAATTGTCTCTGGATCCACAAGACCTTCCATATTGGCGGTGGTTGAATCCGCGCGTTGCGGTCGTTGCCAAACTTGACCGTGGTTCTGCAATGGTCAAAGTAAGAATCAGTACTGACAAGCAGACGCCGAGATATTTATGTGAGGAACAAGCCATAAGGCAGTTGATGGGCTAAGACATCTCAAAGAGCGCTACAGTGAATAACTCGTCCAATCAGCCTGGAAAGAAAAAGGACAACGTACCGATTGTTTAGATTTAGCGAGGAAAGGAGGCGTGGACGACTGAACAAGATTCAATAAAGTATCAAGGACATCGATGAGGGGCAGAGCTATGCCAGAAATCACAAGGGTGAAAGTCTAGAATAAGCTCAAATGCCGTCCGTGGGTTGAGAGACACTGGCCGATCAATGCACGATCAGCAGGCGGAGTTGTTTATCCTCGGGCCTTGAACTGAAGAGGAAGAAGATAAGAAGGGGGAGAAGGAGGAGCAGAGGCAGAGAAGGTAGACAGATAGATAAGTGTCCTTGCCTTGAATGTCAAAGCAGGCGCAAGGGGGCTTAGGATAGAGCTCAGATGGCAGATAGAGAAATTCAAGAATCTCCTTGCATCCATGGTCAGCGCCAAACATGGACAACAACAAGATGCGAGAGAGGGAACCGCCCGGTGATTGGGGCAACGCGGGGTTATTTTCTGCCTGTTCAATGCCTTGATTCCTTGCCAATGGTGGAGCTCAACCCATAAAGGCGGTCAGGGATTGCGGGTACCTACGGGCCATGGCTGTGCGGGACCAACAGCCACAGTGGGAAAGAAGTAAAGAAAGTAGGTAAGTATTGGCATGATCCATCCATAATGGAGACTGCCTGGCACTGACACCAGCACCAACCCACCACTGTGCTGCTAGCAACCTGGTAGACTATTTACCTTACATACAATACCCTGGATGTTTTCTCCACACCGTTGCTTGTATCTAAGTATCTCCTGGAAATCATGTGTCTCATTGCATCCTGCCTTGGATCTATAGTGCCCCCTTCTCATGTGTGCTCCTATCCTCTCAGATTGTCTTCTGATGAACAGACCCTGAATGTGCTTCTCAGATGAGAAGCCCCCCATCGTAGATCGCAACATCCAGGCCGAAAGGGATACAACCCCCAAGAATAGATAGGGCCATCCTTCCAAACTCGATAATCGATCTTGAATTCCTCATCACCAGGAACGTCCATTCCTATGGGAGCGATAAGACCCAGTCGAGGTAGCCCCGGCGCCTCTAGCACCTGATGGATGATGGATCGCCGGCGATAATGTAAATCATTCGTTCTCAACATAGCCAATCATTACTGTTCCGTTCTTCAAGCCGGCCTCCTCAATGCTCGTCTCCAAGGAGTCGATCAAGTTACGGCCCATGGAATTGAGGTCGAATTCCACTCCATGTTTGTCCGCCAACGGAGGTTCGGCTTTTAGCCACTCGTAGATCCTCCGAACCGGATCTGCCAAAGCGAAGCGGCGAATGACCCTTCCAGACGGGTGACGGAACTGAATGCGCGTGGTTGTGGCAGGGTCGGCCGGTGGCTCGGTGTGGGGTTGGTTGTCTGGGATGGCAGCGAATGCACTATGCTCGCCTTGCTCCTCTTCGTCCATATGATCATCTTCCACATCAATTGCTCTCCCCTTGCCTTTGACATCTCCGGTACTGCGGGTAAGCTCATCGGGATCCTCCAATTTCGGAACTTGGGTCGCCTGTTCACCGAGGCTGTTCCTCATAGCCATCTCCATCATTTCCTCCTCAGTCATGGCATCGATACTCTTCTCCTTCTGTTCTGGCTTGCGCTTAGCCACGGGGTTTCGCACGTTATGTTTGAGACTATAACGGTCCAAGAATTCGTGGAGTTGCATCAAGAACTCGGCAGCCCTCATGACTGGAGGACCAGACCAGACCTTCATCTGTTCCCCCGTCCGAGGATCGATAATTGCTATGTGAGGGTAATTGTCCGATACGTCGCTGGCTTGAAAATAATACTGCAAATAGGGTGCGGCACGTGGATCGTCTTTAGAGTATTGAAGAAAGACGAAGTGTTCCTTGACGGTATCTCGTACTCCAGGGTCTTTCCACAAGTCCCGGTTTAGCACCTGGCAGTCAAAAATAGAAGAATCCTGAATGTTGACCAGCAACCACTTCTCGTTCTCGCGCCCTTCCTGTCGGGCGGAGTCCCAGGGAAGCCGAGACATGATCTCAAACGGCGGGCGATACATCTCAGCCAGCATGTTTTGTTTACTTGAGGCTTCAGAGGCTCCACCAGTCGCTGCTGCCAGTTGCTCACGTTGTGACGCTTCATCCTCCCCTTGCCATATCGATGCCGTATCTCTCTGGTTGAAGATGCCGGGACGATCTTGAGATTGAGACGCAATGGGTTAGTCACTATTGACAACAAATGAGAGGTACGGCATCGTAAGGCTATACTGACTGTGTCGTTGTTGCCGGGCGCGCAGCTGGCCCAAGATGCTGGCATGCATATCACCGTCGTCAAAGTCCGCTCCTGGACCCACCAAAGTCTCTGTGGTGCGGGCCATCGGTGCGCGCACTTCTTCTTCGGCGTCCCCGCCTCTGTACATTTCCTCCTGGAGTCGACGAGCCATGGCCGCATCATCTTCAAAGTGAGCACCGTGCGACGGCTGGTTGCGGGCGGAGGAGCGGGACTCATCTACCGTGATGTCGTCGTCTGAGTCGATATGTACAACCCCGGAATCATCTTCAAATCCCCTAGCGCGGGGAGGTGGCTGAGGTGCCGAAGTTGATGGCACATGGTCTTCAGTTAGCGGGGCTCCTCCATTTTCGAAGTAAAGCTGCATAGCCTGCTCGATGTTGAAATCAGCAAGCTGCAGGTACTGAATTGCGAGCTCCGGCTTGGAGCCGGTAATTTCAGTGAACTGAGCCACCACATCGCCGTCCATGACAGGCAGAGAACGCTGAAAGTTGTTGAAGCAAAAGAAGATGCAGACACAAGGTGTGGGGTATCAGGCCGCTGTGACGGATAACGCTATGCAGTAGGAATCGACTGCAACGTTGATGGGTGAGGAGAGCACGATGATGCAAACAGCTGCAAACTTCAATGACGGTATCTGGGCGGTGATCAATGATGGTGGCACATTTCAAGTCAACGAGAAAAGTTTGATGAGAAATCCAGAGTTTGTAGAGGATCTAGGAATAGCTTTATCCTAGCAGTAAGTATAAGCCATGAGGAAGAGCTGGTAAGGAAGTGTAAAAGTATGAAATAATAACAATCCAAGGTGTCAATATCCCAATTGTACCAGCTTAAGGTGCCCAGGGCTGGATGACTCTCCCTCCCACATTAGGTAGAATTAGTGACGCACTTCGTTCCAACTTACTTAGCGCCCGCGCATCGGGACCGGGACGTCGGATTATGTAACCTTTCTCGTGATTGATCCCGTGACCTACCCTGAATGACGACGCGTGAACGCGCCGAGGGAGCGCGTCGTGGATAGCGGCGCGGCGCTAAGGTCGGGCGAGCCTCCAATTATGCCTCCTTGGGAAAAATAGGTCCAATTCAATCCACCACACTCATTCCACCCCGTTTGTCCACACCAGTCTCTCTGTATCCCACCTGTACTTGCCCTCTTTTGGGATATCACCGACTGGCTCACTCTACTTGTGTTTTATTTGTTCATCATCATCGCGCTCTTGCCGTGATTGTACTTGCTTCCTGCGTCTGTCAGAATATAATGGCTGTATCAGTCCTGGGTAAGCGCCAACGGGGTGGTATCGAGACAGAAGGTACGGGCGGCCATCATATCTCATGGCTTTCCTTCCTGAAAAGACTGTCGTTACGCATACTAACATACTTTCTTCTTTAGCCCCTCAATTGCTGCTTCGCAGTGGAAGCAAGCGTCGAGCACAACCGCCTCGCATTCGTGACGAACCCGAGTCTACTGTACTACAAACTCGCCAGCTTCGCTCGAGGACAATCGACAACAGTATCACCATTCAGCAAGAGAACCAAAGTCCAAAGAAACAAGCACCTTCCAAGGACGATACAACAGAGCGCAGTTTAAGAAACAGCAAAGTTGTTTCCCTGGTCAAGCGCAATGCCACCTCTGAATCTTTCAACGGTAGGTTACTTGAGAGAGTATTGCATGCGACATTGACTAATGGGAATAGACGAAAATTCGACACCAGTCGAGTTCAAGACTCCATCGAAGTCGAGATATCGGGATGCACTAGAATCCCCACCCATCACTCCGAAGCACCGTGTTCAGGTTGGCTCAAAGTCGTTAACTCCGCGTACTCCCCGACATGCAACAATCTCAACGACTGCAACAACTGCACAAACAATCTATACACAAGCAAGGCAGCTGTTCGCACGTGGCGCATCGTCTACACGGATAGTTGGAAGAGAAGCTGAACGGCAAAAGCTACGCAGTTTTATACAAGACGGCCTGGAAGGTCGTACAGGTGGCTGCTTGTATGTCAGTGGTCCTCCTGGTACTGGAAAGAGTGCTTTGATTCAGGAGGTTTGCAATGAAATGGACCTTTCATCATTCAAGGTCGCGCATATCAACTGTGCAAGTATGCGAGCGGCCCGCGATGTCTATAGCAAGCTTATCGAGGATCTTTGCGAGGATTATGAGGTCTTCAAGAAGAGTGAAGCAGACCGGCTACGCTCGATGTTTCTACCAAACAGCAAACAGGATGACCTATATTTGGTTACTCTGGATGAGATCGACCATCTTCTTACCGCAGATGCCTGCATTCTCCAGTCTTTATTCGCGTGGTCCTTACAGAGCGAGTCAAAGCTGATGCTTATCGGAATTGCCAATGCACTTGATTTGACTGATCGGTCGTTGCCGCAGCTGAAGGCTAAGAATTTGAAGCCACGCCTGCTTCCATTTCTACCTTATAATGCTGCCCAGATCGCCAGCGTTATCACTGGCCGACTTCGTTCTCTGCTGCCAGAAGGCCACAATGCGGATGCAAACTTTATTCCTTTTGCGCAGCCTGCTGCAATCCAGCTGTGCTCTAAAAAAGTAGCATCGCAGACTGGCGACCTACGCAAGGCGTTCGAATTGATCAAGCGCGCTATCGACCTTGTGGAACAAGAAACCCTTCAAAAGCTCGAAAAACAAGAAGCCGATGCTGAACCCCGAAGTAAAACGATCCTGACTGAGAATAATAATCTGTCTTCGATCAGCACAATCTCACCCTCCCAAAGGTCTATGAAGGCATATACGCCTCTCACCGCACCACGAGCAAGCATCGCGCATGTTGCGCGTATCACTTCCTCTGCTTTCGGCCAGGGCACTGTCCAGAGACTACAGGGTATCAACCTCCAGCAGAAAGCCGCGATCTGTGTATTGATTGCACTAGATCGACGACGTCGAGAGACGGAAATCCCAGGGACTCCGTCTAAGAACAGAACTTTGGCACCCACGGTTAAGCAAGTCTATGACGCGTATTGCGCCCTGTGTCGTAAAGACAATCTTCTACACCCTCTGACATCTACGGAGTTTAAAGATGTACTCAGTAATCTGGAAACCATGGGTCTTGTGGGTGAATATCAAGGCCGCGGTCGGGGTGGCACAGTCGCAGGCGGAACGGACATTCGACGCTCTCCCTCGAAGCTCGGTGCTGGTCCTATGACGCCTAGCCGAGCTCTAGACGAGCAATGCCTTGTGTGTTTCGTTTCTCAGAAGGAGATCGAGAGCCAGATCGCTGGACCGGGAGAAGGCATCCTCCGTAGGCTGCTCTTGGGCCAAGTCTAAAATTCCATACATCTCACAATACTCGCATTCTTGGCGTTTGGCTATTTAGCCTGCACTGCATTATGGCATTCCACTGTCTCTTCATGGTTCAGTTATTGGTGCATTCGAGCTGTCCAGCGATTCATCACTTCTACTCAGCGTTAGCATGGCACGGCACGGCACGGTATATACTTGGTACAGCGTTGTATATTAAGTTGATTGGTACTATAATTCAATGCGGTTATTATTATCGTACATCTTATTCACTATCTTCCTGTCGCATTGTATTGGGTGATGATTGCATGGCCGATTTCTATTGGTATACTGAACGCTGCGAATTGCCCGACGAGGTCATTTCAGGTCAGATCCAACAAATGATGGACGAAATGAGATTCCGCGATATGCAGGATAAGTTCATGAAAGAGATACACGAGATACAGATAGATAAATAGATAAAGTAGAACTATGTATACACTAAAGATAGAACAAACATACAAAGATGCTGGGTATGTTAAAGAAAGAGAAGAACGAGCATCGTGTATGGAGGGAGATGCCAGGCCACGGAGCGCGGGCTGACTTGGACGGGAAACAACCAAGGACGAATGAAGCAGGCAACAAAAACGAAGAGGAGAAAACAAGGAGCGAGAATGAATCCGCCGACTAGCCCTTACCGTACCTCTCCCGGCTGATAAGACCTGCTCTCATGCCCGAGAAAAGGAAAGAAAAGGCATTAGCTGTCAGCAGACACATTTCATGTGTAGGCAAATTCCCCCAGTTCGCTGTATCAGCTTCGTCATTGGGGAGAAGCGGAGGACAAGTTGCAGCTACACGCTGGCTGAAAATTGGCAGACTGACAAAGAATGGTCATTGATGGCTGCACACATCTCCATTCTGTCCCTCCCTCTCCCGACCCCACGATGCGGTTCTCCAAGCACGACATGCAACAACATTCGAGACGTTCAGATCATTTGAGTCAATCAGTCAGTGAGTGAGTCCATCCACACATCAAGTGAGGCACATTTAGTCATCGTCCATTGGTTTATCTTCCAATGTGACACCCTTGGGTTCATTCTCGACGGTCGCCAGGCTGCTCCGCTTGCTGTCCGATCCGTTTTCGCTGTTCACAGCAACGGGAAAGCTGGACCGATTGCCGAGGCCGGGTTTACGGTTGAACATGACACTGGAGAGGGGGATCGAGGTGCGTTTCTCTGCTTCCTGCGTGGGCGTGGCAGCGGTCACAGGGCTCATGGAACCGTCCGATCCCGTGACAGGAGGAGGACTTGACGCCTCAGATTCAGAGCTGACACTGGCGGCGGGAGAATCACTTGCAGCACCGTTGGTCACAGGAGCCTCTGCAGAGTTGATGCCCACACTGCTCATTTTCTCTGCGGCCGTTGGGGAGTCCACATTTGCAGGAACGTCGAGGCTATTACGAAGATTGGTTCTCCGCTCGGTAGGGCTCGTGACGTTGACAGGGAATCGCCCAGCCTCTGAGGCGCCGCTAGAACGGTCCCGACGATGCTTCCGTGGGGGGTTGGGGCTGTGGGCGCGGCTACGGTCAACAATGGCACGGTTCCGTGCTTCCATGGCTGCACGGCGATTGCTCTCGTCGGTACTGATAGCACGGGGACGGTTGCTGGTTCCACTAATGCCGAGAGCGCTCGATTGTCGTTTGAGCTCGCCGAAAATGGCATCCTTGTGAGCGAACAAATCGCGGATCAGGCGATAACTGTGGCGCTCGTTCATCGTAAGACTGCTCTCGGTGCGGGGCCGAAGGATGCAGGGCGAAAGTGCCTGAGCAAGAGAAGATACATAAGCTTCGTCGGCAGACGTCAGGTCTATCAAGCGCGTAAAGTGGGTCATAATAGCGTCAAGCGTGGCGATGTTGTTTAAACGGAGTTGTCCTAGTGTGCTTTGGAGGACCTTGATGCGGCCTTCCTCTGTGGTCTCATGAGCGGTGGTAGAGTAGATTGTCTTAACGATTTCGTAAACTTGAGAAGAAACAAGCGAATCTGCTAATCTTAGTGTGGATCCAATTGGGAGAGGGAGTCAATACGAACCAGGCAACTCAAGAAGGTATAGCTTCAGAGCGCTGGCAATAATAGGAATCTCGTATTTCTCGAGAATGTCATTATAATCCGCCTTGCTGTTATTCAATGCATTCCGGAGATGGTGCGTTGCCCCCAGGGGTACATCATAGAGCCATATCGCACGTCGTGCCTCGTCACCCTCCAGTTCAGGGTAGCCTAAGTCGGTCAGTCATAAGGAAACCACCTCGATATTGCAGTGCTCTTACGATTGTCGAGGTACGTCAGGATTGTCGTAACGATGATAGGAACCCGCTTGCGATCGGCTCTAGCTCTAGCTTCGAGATCAACGCCAAAGTTCTGATCTGGTTGCGAGTTAGAATTTCAACCGCACATGGTCTGGAATTATCAAATCCTCTACGTACCTTCCACGGAACCGTAATAGTTCTCGTAAGCCTGCACGCGAGGAACAAAACCTCCAGTCCGGTAATTCTCCAGAAGATATCTGAGATCACCCAGGGGTTGGATAGTCTCCTGGTACAGCATCATGTGATCCACGGTGCTTTGCAAGTTAGGGATCACATTGCTGATAGCCCCGGAGAAATCCAGGATCACAGCTTTGATTGCCTTCAGACGGTCCAATTCACACTGCTCCATGAAGCGCAGATTCTCAACAATCTCTTCCTCGAGCTTGCATCTTATCAGATCAAGTCGCCGCACAGCGGCCTTGTACCGTTCATCAGCCTCGCGAGCTTCTCTGCGCAACTTCTCCGCCGGTGTCTCGTTCGGGTATGGGTTGTTGAGGGGGTTCCATCCGGCGAGCATCTCGGACACAGAGGACAGAGGAGATTCGCTGCCATCCTCGCTGGAAGCGATGGAAGTTACCCGCATCAGCGGGCTTTTCTTATCGGGGATGCCTGTGAGTTGGAACACCTTAGGGCGCCACTGGTAGCGCATCTTGGAACTGTTGGCAAAGGTACTGCCCATGTTGCCCACCAGACGGAGAAATCCATTGTCGACAAGGTCCTGGCCGATTCTCTCACAATAACTAATGCTGGTCCCGTTCAGGTACTTTTGGATATAGTCCACAATGTCGGCACCGGTCGAAGTGTTCTGGTATGTCCCAATGATGGGCACCTTGACATCTCCCATCTTGATGGTTTCCAGCATGTGGATCAGCAGCTTCTTCAGATCCTCCGGAGGATAAATGCGATCACCGATCTCGACCGGTTCCTCCTCCTCTCCCTCTTCTTCCGGCAAGACGATCTTAGGAGTGGGCTTGATTTTCGGGCTGGTTTCAGGGCCCTGGAAGGCCAGCTTATTCTCTTCCTCCAGATCCTCTACAACACGGCACTTATTGAAGTAGTGGCTTCGGAGTTTCTTGACCAATTCGACCTGCTTGGTATGTTCCTTGATGCGGGCCTGCAGATCGTCATGAGAATTCTGTATCCGGGCTTCATGTTGATCACACCAGCGTCGGAACGGAGACACGACTAATTCTCGGATGTTGGACGCGATTTTCTGGTGGTTTTTGGACGCCTCGATCATTTCCGTGCGAACGCCTTCGTAAGCCTGCAGAGAAGACGACAACCCCGCATTAGTACTCGCATAGACATAGACGACCTAACTTAGATTCTCCGAATCCGCTTACCTTCCTCACACTCGCCCCGTCGTCCTTCCCAAACCCAGTTGGAGCCACCCGGTCAACGGCGGGCGCAATGTCCCCGAGTTTAGAACCATACTGGTCTTCCGCGTCCGCGCGCATTGAAGCAATAGTCACAATTTGCTTGTTTTCCACCGCGCCCTGCTGGAGTTTGCCGTAGAGCACCCCCAGACCCGTGGCGTAATCTGGGGTCCAAAACGAATCCGCGAACCCAGGCATTGTGAAGCAAAGTCGGTGTGAGACAAGCTAGAGCCCAAGGATTGTATTCTTGCCTGAAATGGTGCAACAATGCGCAGGGGTTCTTGAACAGTCGGGAAGTCCTCTAAGGTAGAGATGATCGGCCGTCGTCGCCAGCGTGAGGCGACCGGATCAACACACTAGACGGCGCAACGGTAACTGCCCGCCCGAAAAGGACTGTGGAGAAAAGAGAACCGGATAAAGCAGTGAGAGGTGAGGGAGTGACCCGATTTGAGCGCGCCCAGTATAGCGGAAGTTTCAACGATTCCTAGGGTGGCACAGAGTAAGTGCGAAAAGACATAGGCCCGAAGGGGGTGGGGGAGTAAACAAGTATGCGAGAGCGGCTACAGGAGACGACAGACAGCCTAGAATTCGGGGGAGAGGTGGGAAGTGGGAGGTGGGATGAATGAATGCAGCGCCAAACGAAGCAGCAATGCAATGCGTAAGAGATAAAGAGAAAGGAGATCCGAGACAGAGAGGGAAGTCTCAAGGGAAGAAGCAATTGTCCAGACTGCAGAGAAGGAGTAGAGGAGAAGAGAGTCGCAACAGAGAGAAAGAAACAATGATGATGATGATCGATGATGGGATGAATATTTCGGTCGGTCGGTCGGGCCTTGGGCTCCATCCGTCATTATTATTGAAGGCTGGTGTAATTTTACACTTCCATTTCCAACAAATTCATTACGGACCAACCTGAAACTACATTGAGGTAGACTAAAAGTCCTTAACTACGGAGTACTTTCAAGTCCTACGTAAGAGTCCTAGACCGTTACCGCCCTCAGCCTTTTTCGCCCTGTCTCTCTCACGTGTTGCTGCTGACTTGTCTTCTTGTTGTCCTGGAAGGGAGTGAGTGGATGTGGGCTGGCTATTTTTGGTCTTTCCGTGGTTGATTTACCGCGTTGTCTTAGATTGATTTCCCAACAATCTCGCATGGCGCTTCAATGGGCTAACGGTGCTTTTGGTATAGCCATCAGTGTCTTAGGACTCCCAGGGTATTATTAATAGGTAAAGTCAGTCTGATCATTGCCCGAGTGAGGTTGGTTACGAACTTTCCTCCACTGACACTCGGTGTTAATTCATTCGCCCGTTGCTCGAAGGACAACAACTCTCCAGCCCGCCAAGACTGGAGAACAGAGTGGACAAGACGAACTCTCGCAATTTTGGGGTTGGTTAGGACAGCAACCCACGCCGGTCGCTTTGTCCACTGTATCACCCACTTTTTGCAAAAGAATATACACAGAAACTCTCCGCAAGCATGAAGGTTGTGTTGATTGGGATTGAATTGCATATCACCCTAAATGATCTATCGCAAGATGCGCCAGATGCTCGCCTTCTGTACAAGTTCAGGAAGGGGCTTTATCGTTATCATACAAAAACTGGAGGCACGCAAGGTATCATCGTATTAAGTGTGCTGCGCATGTTGAACAGCTGGCTGACAACACTTCAGCTTAACAGAAGAATTTGTACAACTTCTTCCACGCCGGCCACGCCGCTTGTTCGGCTTGTTCTTGTTCAATCAGATATTGAATATCCAAATCGCGTCGACCGGTCTGTAGGTCCATGTCTTTAGCCCGAATAATGGGAGTTTTGTACCATACTTTGTATGGGATGTAGAATGCGAGCACAACAGGCGCGGCGAGGTAGGCGGAGAAGAAGTTTTCGACCAACTCTGAGGCAGACATGCTCGCATAGCCGGTGGGAGCAAATCCAACCCAAAACTGGGCCACCAAAACAAGGCAGTTGAAGGCGAACCCAACCCAGGATCCAATCAAACCAGGTTGGGATCGGAAAGCCAATTCATTCAGACTATGACCCTGCAACTTCCACGCACGGCGGAAGCGGATATGGCAGAGACAGATCGAGCCCCAGGTGAAGATGGATGAGAGACCTGAGATGGCCATCATCCAGCTGAATGCCTCGGATTGCTTGGAAGATGCAGCCAGGAAACCAAGTGCACCCAACGACGACGCAATCAGAAGAGACCAAAGAGGACGGCCCTTGCGGTCGATATAAGCCAGGAATTGAGGGGCTTGGCCCTGCTCGGCTAGAGCTGCCAGAGTTCGTGAGGAACCATAAACCGAGGCGTTGCCCACTGATAGCACAGCAATCATGATCACAACATTCATGACAGACGGTAGTCCCGAGATGCCGGCGTTCTTGATGGCGATGACGAAGGGGGATGCCTTAGCATCGACGCTGGAACTTCCGTTGATAAGCATCTCATTGTCGTAAGGGACTAGCAAACCGACAAGCAAAAGTGACAGGATATAGAACAAGGTGATACGCCAAAACACCTGCTTGATAGCGGTCGGAAGGGACTTGCGAGGGTTTGCGGTCTCTGCTGCCGCGAGACCAACCAATTCAGTACCAGCGAAAGCGAACGCGGCGTTGACGAAGACACTGCAAAGACCCTTGAATCCGTTGTGAAAGGCACCCGGATCATGCCAATAACGTGTCCCGATATAGCCACCTTTGGGACCCCCACCGCAATCCAAAACGATACCAAGAATACTGGCTCAAGTTAGTCAGATCCATGATAACTCTCATCAGGTGTCCCTAATAAGGGAATGTGCGCCTAGTCACTCACATAAAGCCAATCACCGCAAGAACCTTGATGATCGAGAAAACAAACTCAGCTTCTCCATAACCCTTTACACCAAATAAGTTGATGGCCACGATCAAAACCCAGAAGATGGCGACCCAGGCAGCACTTGAGATACCTGAGTTCCAATAGTCGACGGTCATGGAAGCAGCGACAATCTCGGTCGGCAGGACCACTAACCACTGCAGAGCATAGTTCCAACCCATGGCGAACCCCCAGGCAGGATCAATGAAACGAGTGGAATAGTGGGAGAAGGAGCCAGCAACTGGAAACAGGACAGCCATTTCACCCAGCGCATGTACGGTGCAGTAAAGCATACAGCCGATCAACGCATAGGCAATCAGGACCGATGCAGGACCACCCGCAGCCAAGACCTTTCCGGAGCCGACGAAAAGACCAGTACCTGAGTGACTCGATGAGCGATTTATGCTAGGGTCAGGCATCGTGAGGATTACATACCGATTGAGCCACCAATAGCGATCATCTGAAGGTGACGGCCTTTGAGCTTGCGCTGCAGCGGGGATTCAGCAGTCTTCCTTGCAGCTTGCTCGATGTCGTAAGATGAGCCATCAGCACCGGAGTGTGCGGTGGCCGTCACATGAGCATTGGGGTCTCTTTTGAAGCTGTCCCAAATCCTCTGTCCAATGCTTCCCTTAGTTGTTTCAGTCTCTCCATAGGATGGAGGAGGGTCGGCGGACGAGGAGGCCTCGGGTTTGGATTCATATTTCGGCTCCATGAAGTCTTTCTCCATGGCTGATGGTGTGGATAGTTGAACGGTAGTGGGAGGATATCGTGCGTTCTCGCAGACACTATGGGCTTAGAAAGACAGCGATTTTGTACAGGTAGAACTGCAATATGATGAGAAGGCGAAGAAAGAAGAAAGAAGAAGTAAGGTGAGATGATAGAACTTGTGGGAGAGAAGTGGCTGTAGTGCTAGGCTACGGTGAGTGAATGAGTGTTACTGAGCCACTTCGGTAAGCGCCGATGGAAGAGGCACGATCGGTTTGAATGTCTACTGCATTCACGGCAGAGAAACACTAGTTGAGAGCAGGGAGGAGAAACCAGGAAGCTCGAGACCTCTCGTGGATTGACATGGGATGCCAGCCAGTATTTAAATGAGTAGGTCAAGGCCGAGAAAGAGGTGAGGACCAGCCTTCGGGGGGCAAAACTACATGGCATACTCCTTGGTCTGGTCTAAATGAATGACACCAATGCTTTGGGGTTTAATCGCCCACCATCAGCATGGAGAAGGGAGGGGTGGGCCAGATTGTGCCGTTGCAGGCATTGATACGGCATAACCTACCATGTGGCCGAGCCAAACGGGCAGGACAGTCGGAGTGGAACCAGTCCGGGGGAAAGCAAGCTAGTGACGGTCAAACTAAATTGCTTGGGATGAAACCTGCCTGACTACTACTAGCCAGCTACGGTAGGTAAAGCATCCGATTGATATTCTGGGGAAAATCCCTTGATTTCATGAACGGACTTGATTGCCACCTGAGCTCATGATTAAGGTTATTCCAATTCTCATTGGCTGTTATCAGCAGCATTATTCATTGTTACTTTTGGCTTGACAATTAGTATTGATAAGTGCGCGTTTGCCAGCAGCTGACTTGCTAATCACAATCAGCCACACAACATGGGGAAAGAACCTTTTCAACCAGACTAGACCTAACCATGACTAGTCCCGGGCTTTCCTGGTACTTACTTATCAGTACAAAGAGATTGCCATGCTATGGTGATCAACTATGCGAATTGACTATGACTTTCAGTCGTCTGATCCCACTGAACGAAGATGATTGCTCCACAGACTGATTAGAGCGACAGTCAAGCTCCGCATTCAGACACAGAACAAATTCCAGCACCGCTCAACATAGCACTCGCCCAGAAACCGCCCAGAAACGCCCAGCTGACCTTGGTTCCCCCGCCACTGGGGGGATGGGGGTTGTCCTTAGTAAAGAGCCTTGGTCCACGCCGAATAATTTCATCGTTAAGGTTCCGACGCCACTGGTAGTGCAAATTTCCGAGCCAATAGCCATTTGCTCCCACCTCTTAATCTACACAAGAGGAAATTGGTAAATCGTGCCGGTGCAGCCAGCAGTGTGATAGTGATGAACCCGTAAGCAACCTGTTCCAACACGTGTGCTGCAAGTCAGTTGAGTTCAAGGTTGGTTTCAGTTCTTAGTCTACCTTTCATAGACAGGGTCTATAGAGTGGAGTTCTCCTTATCTACGGACTCTACGCCGGCGGTTGATAGCTATCGCTTTTATCATTACTATCAATATCCGCTATCTCTGAGCTCCTGATAAATAATTATATTCTCCTTCTGATCAAAGATCGTTCCCACATGCACATCGCTCATGCCTCATTGGGATTCCTCTAGAAACTCACCGGATACCTACAATTCGGCCCTATCAAAATCCCCTTCTATCGGAACCGCCCCAAAGGAAACGTCATATAGTCTTCGTTTGTTCGACGGCAGATGGGCATCCTCCCTCAGTCGTGCAGCTATGATCGAGATTGAATTCGCGCATATCAACTGGAACCAATAAAGGAGCCAAGACGCATAGTTGACAAGAGGCTGGCCTCAGCTAAGATACGGATACCTGGTCAAGTGCCCAGGAGCCCTTGTGCTCATGCCTCGCCGCAAGTTTACGATGCTGCCACATCTGGCTGGCTGCGAACTACGAGCTATAGGTACAAGTCTTTCACCCGGGAAAGCCAAGGTCCTTTTTCGTAGTCCCCTGTAACGTGTTCGCCATCAATTCCAGAGATGCGAACAGAGAGTGATTCATGGCTGTTTCGATTGGCCGACGTATACTCGGCTTTAGCAATCCAGCTGCATGTATTCCCAAGTGCTGACAAGAAAATTCTGGATTTGCATTGCAACGTGGCTGTCACCCGCCGACCACTTTTCCTTCCCAAGGGCTTCTTCACCTCATTCTCGAAGTTCTCGAAGATCCTGAAGGACGGAAACTGTCTCATTGCGAGCCCTGTTCTGGAAAGGATTGCTCAAAGGCAATTCGCACACCCTCCCCTGTCATGACGACGGAGGCCAATACAAAGGAGGATTAGTGCCAGCCTACTGCAATTTTTCGCTAGCAGCCAGGATCGAGTGCTCGCGGCAGGGGAAAAGCAGAATCCCAAGGGGACAAATCGAGTCGTTACCCGCGATTCTGTTGTGGCTTCGGCCAACATCCCACTGATACATGAGTGGCGTTACACTCAGCTGGGCAGACTATCAAAGCGATAAAGACGAGGAGGATGGTGTGACCTTCCTTTTATTCTTCAACCACGCAACTGCAAATATTTGCTCGACTCACACTTGATGGACTTGGAGAGTAGTTGTGACAGACTTGTTCAAAGCTTCGGCTCCTCTCATCGCTTCGAGTGGCACTGGGTGGGCGCTCAGGACCCCAAAATGATATAGGACCGAGCAATTCATCGCCATCCATAGACCGGGCCGGGGATAGCGCCAGGCTGCCTTGGAGAACCGGTCTTGCATATCGGTCAATACGTGATGCTCGCAGCCAAGGACTTCAGCCTTACACCACCGCAATAAACCCTGTCGACGGTGAAATTTCGTACTACCAACAATAGAGGACGAGCGGACTGTAGTCTGGTATGTTCAGAAGCATGCTGAAGAATCGAATTAGGTGTCAGTCACTTTGAGTGATGTTCCAGCATAGCTAGATACTATCTCTTTGGGGAAATCCCCTAGTCACTGCATAGACCTGCCAGGCTTCGCTCTTTGTCTGTGTAAAGCAGGGAAGAAAAAGCGAGTAGGGGCTGAGGGTTCTGTCCCGGCCCCCGAGTCTAGCCATCCGCGAACCTCGATGCGCAAAAGTTACCACACCATGGGCGCTCGGTCCCTGCACTGATTTGTTTTGCGCGATGTTACCCTCACTCTGTACCAGACCAGGCAACAAAGCATGCGGCGTATCCGAAAGCCAATAGTCGATCGCTCTTGGTGCCTCCTAACAAGCCCAGCTTTCGGGCACTCTAACCATCCCGTGGTGGCTGCATCCTCCGCTGGATCTGGCGGAAATTGATTTAAGCTTGTCGGCCCTTGTAAACGATTACATTTAGTGTTGTATCATTTATATCAGCGCACGCGCCAGTCCATGGGGATTGTAAGCCCGACAGTTAGTCAGGACGGTAGCATCGAGGACAGACAGACAATTTCATATATGACACCGTTCAAGCAAAGAATCGGCCCACCCAACCGGTGATCTGACACCCGGAGTCGCCGGTTTCAGTTACTGCATAGTTGTCCGACATTAAATCATCATGGCTTCCAAGTCGTTATTGAGTTTGGAACAGAAGGTCATCTAGGGTTATCTCCTAAATGCGGGCAGTGCTGAAAATGCGGGGGAGAGCAGATTCTGTTACCTAACAGATTCCACACCACTCCAAAAGGAATTTCTGGGGTATCTGACACTTTTGCTCACTTGTCATGCAGTCGGTCGGTCGGGGCCGCGTGCAATACGAAGTTTCGCTTGGTTGGGGATGCTGACATGACACCCGCATCTCTGGCAATATCAGGAACCAGAGATGATCGGTGGTTATACCGTCCATCTAATTGCTCAATTTCTCGTATACCACCACATTTTACCATCGTGTTTTGACATCATTCATTCGGGGGCCTGGCTTCTAATCTTGGCTCTCGTAATCGGATTCCAGTTGAATGAAGTCACATCCCCCTTTCTGCATCTGCCTCGGTTCAGAATACTCGCTCAGGATGCCAATAACAGACACTACTCCGGAAGACAAATTTGCGACCGATTGTTCGCCACCTAGCAGCCGAAATGCAATCATGTGGTAACCATCAAAGAACTCAAACAAAGAATAAATGAGACATCACTACAGGTCGTATATTCCAAACCACTGGATGCCGGCGTAGGCGCGGACCTTTGTCACCAAATAGACGCTGGGAACGGAGCTCAAATTGTGGGGTGATTTCGAACTCCTTCGGTCGCGTCATATGGTTAAGAGGAAGGACATGTTCTAGAACAATTAGGACACTGAATCGGCTCATTGTAGTTAGATCCGCGAAATTCGAAAGTCACTTAAGTAGGTACTGACTAAGTCTAGGTTCTCAAATGAAACCCAGGTGTAAGGTAATCCTGGATATTAGCCAATGGCTTGTTCATGCCGAGTGAACAGCACTACGCCCTTATACACTGACTGAGGAGTGACGGACTAGTGCTTATATTCAGGAGGAGACGGGGCTCACTGGCGGGCTGATATGTACCTCTGTGGAAAATTTGTACGTATTTATATTGATGCATACAATCAGACGCGTTCGCATGCTTCAAAATGAGGCAAGATCCCTTTAGTGAGAGCAGGACAACAGAAGATACATGAAAATTAAATTGGTCATTAAATATAAGTCGAAGTAAATCATCAATATTCATTGGATAATTGAAACAGAGCTTGAAGAATCGTGAATATCATGAGCTTTATGCGCTACCAACAGGGCCTTCGCCTCCAGGGATCAACTGAACAGTCTCTTTAGCCTACGGGACACGAAAGCAGGAAGACGACGGACATACCATGCACACGTTATTGCCATTGAGCAATATCTTAGGAAGCTTGACTTGAGCACCCGAATAGTCGCTGCTAGCAGTCAGTATGGAGATCTAACCACAGCTCGATAATTGCGAGGTGATCTTAAGCAGAGACATGGGGCAGCCGGAGCCGAATGCAGAGTCAGAAACAATCGTTTGACTTACAATTCCGTCACATCTTCCAAGACCATGTCTGAGAGAAAGTCAGCTTCTTGATTCACGCAAGGCAGAGAAGTCTTCATCACTTACTGACGTAGTCATCGAAACCGAGCAACGTACCGGAGAACTCTGATTGATGAAAGGTTAATGATTTTGTCTTAGAGAAGAGAAGCCGGGAGCATTTACCCTTATCGTTCTTCATGATGACCCAGATTTTAGATCCGACACACTTGTCGATCAGCTCTAGTCCGAGTGTCAGCACGATGGCAATCATGTATACGAAAATGATTCGGTGATTACCAAGAGGAAGCAGTTGAGATGCCATAGTGAGAATTTTTCTTTTGGATGAAGGTACCGAAGCAACGATGATACACGAGAATCGGATACAATGTCAGGATGTGGTAATTGTGGCTTCGAAGCACCAAGAGACGACAAAATGCTTGATCTAGAAATCGACGCGGTGGGCGGAATGCGTGATGATTCCATTCAGCCTGAGGACAATCTTGGCACATCCGCTGGAGGCCATGTTTATCCGTCCCGCTTAGTCCGCCCAATCAGAGAGCGCAACTCGGGTCCCTTACTGTCCAGTACTGTACCTTGAATGTTTCAAAAGGTTCTTCTGAGTACCATATTTTGACCGACTTTCAGGGGAGCTATCATCGTGTTTAGTGAACACCGCTATTCTAATGTGAACAGCCGAAGATTCCTATAGAAAATTCAAGCGGCTAAGTTTTGGGAGTAGGACTATGCTGAACCATAAACTATCATCGAAAGTCTCTAATCCGCAATAAGCGCCCTGCCATCACAAGGACCGAAACAGAAGTAACCGCGCGTGGATAGCATTCCATCTTCTCCAGTGTTCAGTTTTCAAATTATAAAATGCCCGTCCTTGCGTCAACACTTATACGGTCAGTTGCACCCTCTGTTCCATCTTATTCCATCCTTTAACGACTATTGACAAGAAAGGCAGATTTACATCGCCAGATCCAGCTTTGTTGGCAGCCAGCTGGTCGAGGTCGCTACGCTGGTCGTGCGCCCCAAGCCAGCAGCAAGGACTTGGCATTTCTGCGAGCAGATGCTACGCGATATTGGCGAATTCAGGTATGACCATGAGGCCTGCTCCAGAGGCTGCCGCTCGCCGGCTACGCAGACATCTGCCATGGTCCGACTTATGTAGGCGACTTTCAGTATCTCAGACTGGAACTCAGGGCTCCGTCCAGGCAAGACCAGCCGCCTCTTCTGTGGTTCGAAGGAGGGCCTGGGGTTATGTGGGGCCAAAGCCCAGAAAAGGTCTGGGAGAGGTGAGGCGATCATATAGCTCAAATACTACGATAGCCTCAGATCTAGGGTCGCTCGGGTCATTACAAAAGTCCGAGACGTCGACTCTATTGAAGGATCCCCAGAGGCCAGTTGTGCCAGAAAGTGCGATCAGTAGCGGTCCAGGGACTGCGATTGAGGGTCACGTTGCAGTACAACAAATTCGCAAGGACATAGCCACAGACTCGGTAGCCCCAGACTTCTGGAGCCATAAATTGCAAAAGAGCCCGGAAGGGAAAGACATAGTTGTGCACTATTGCCGGACCCTGAAAAGCAGCGAAGATGTCGCACAGCTTTTCTTGGAAGATGATATTATCGGGCTTGATTTGGAATGGAAGGCTTCGGCTTCGGCATGGGACGGCATTCAAGGCAACGTATCGATGATTCAGATCGCGAACCGACACCGCGTTGCACTCTTTCATGTTGCGCTCTTCAGACCGGCAAGAGGCCTCGCCGACCTTGTGCCACCCACACTGAAGCGCATCATCGAAGATCCGGCAATCACCAAGGCTGGCGTGTCGATCAAAGCCGACTGCACCCGTCTCCGCAAGTACCTCCAGATAGATGCGCGCGGGATCTTTGAACTCAGCCATCTTCATAAGCTTGTTAAATACTGTCAGTCGAATCCGAAACTGATCAATAAGCGACTTGTCAATCTTAGCGAGCAGGTGGAGGAGCATTTCGGACTGCCGCTGTGCAAAGACGAAGTCGTGCGGTGCGGCGAGTGGACAGCGGCCTTGAATTATCGCCAAGTTCAATGTGGGTTCCTTTCTGCTTCTCAGTATTAGAAAACTGCTGACCGGGCCTTGAAAAGATGCTGCATCTGATCCTTACGCATGCGTGTGCTTGTTTGACGCGATGAATGCTAAACGACAAGCGCTCGAGCCGACGCCTCCTCTGCCCGCCCACGCCGAACTGAATATACCTATTCGTACTATTTGCGATGCACCTGTCACTGCTGACTTAGAAGAAATCGAAGTGGTGCAATCCGAAGAAACCCCCGAGAACCCGAAAGACGCCATCTGACCAATCCGTATTCGGAGAGCAGATTTATTTCTCTTTCTGGAGATATACTATCCATTAAGGAAGGCATCTCATCGCTCCAACATTGTTGGAATACGCTTCTACAGCAGTCGTCCTCCATCTTAGGACATTGGAGTCTGCCTGCTGCCAGTCCGATAGAAGATAAAGTTCTAAATCACTACTATGATCTTCTAGCCTTGATCCTTTTGACTTGGGTTCGAAATACCCAGCGACTGAAGAGAATATTGCGGTCTAGATGTGAGACTATTTTAATTGGTGGCTGCAATCTAGCTAGGAAATGTCAAAATATATCTCTGACTAGAAAGGGTATATTTGAAACAAGCAATATACGACGCTGAAACATGCCAAGAAAAACCGTATACGGCAGGAACATGTGGGACACTCCTGAAACTACTACTACCCTCTCAAGGGTAGGACTTTAGACAGGAGAACCTCCTGGCGGCAAAGCGGACACTCCGGCTTCTCGCGCACCCAGTCGCGAACACATGTCCAACAGAAAACATGCCCGCAGGTGGTGGCACTCGGATCTTTGAACAACTCTAGGCATAGGGTACACTTGCGTTGTTGGCCTGCAGGTATCCAAGGAACGGCATTCGAGTCCTCGGCGAAGTCGTACCGGGCACGGCTAGCCGGAAGAAGCGGAAGCGAAGACGGGTTTTCGATGGAAGTTATCACCGCGTCGCCTTGGCCGCCGGCTCCAGCGACCTCGGACTGAATGTTTTGGCCTTCATGCTTCAAGCCGGCTGCTACCTTCTTGATGTGCAAAACGCCTTGGACTGCAATTTGTAGGACAAGAAGAACGCCCAAAACTTCATACCCAACGCGTTGCTCATTCTCGTTGATCTTCTTGGTGAAAATATAGCGCAAGCCCCAGAAGCGTTTTGACAGGTGGTAGTAGGCGCCGGTGAAGTAGAAAGTCGCGATGCTGACGGCATAGATCGGCGACAATGAGGTGATCGAGTCGAGGTTATCGAGGATGTATCGTTGTATGCGCAGCTTCGAGAAAAGAGAGCCGGACTGCTTGCAATCATTGCTCGCGCCTGTCGTTGTTGGGGCCTTCTTGTACTCTTGGCGAGCAATGCTACGTTCGAGCTTGGCTCGCAGTCGTTGTCGGAATGCGGGGATAATCCGCTGAAGCGTCCACGGCAGTAGAACGCTGCTTAGGATGTATCCGATCCGCCGAAACAGAGATGGTAGCTGCAGTGTGTCGTCCTCCAATTGCACCAGGTCGCAATACTCCTCCCCCAATGTTCGATTCCCGATCAAGGTGGTAAGAGAGAAATATAGGATCTCCGTCAGACGTTTGATGGCCTCGGAATGAGTATGCGCGAATCGAGCACCCCGGAGGGAGCGGGCGATCGTTTGGGCTTGGTTGGTCAAACTCGCGGTCAGGAAGACATCCTTCTCGTGAGAGCGGATGATGTCCGGCGAGGTAGCGAAAGGGTAGAAGTGACCCGAAGGACGTACAGAAGCAGTGGAAGCGGGAGCTGTGGTTATTGAGAGATCTTCGTCTGCCATCTTGAAGGAAGTCAGAATGAACAAATATTATGTGGTTGGACCACGAAGTGAGTAGTGACAACTAGCAAGCTGAAGATGAAGTCATCGGCCTAATCACTTCTCTTTATCGCGGAGCGTCCGCGGAGGAGAAGCCTGGAGGGTTTCCCCAACGGCACGGCAGGAGCCAAAGATACCTCGGTAACACTCACGTGATTATACAGTTGCGTCCAAAATTGGAAGCCGGCGCCAAGAGGAGCCGCTAGATCAAAAGCGGAACAAGTACGCATCCTCCAGCCAGGCTAATCCCGAAAAGCCGCGCGGAGCCGCTGGAAAGTCAAGACTGAAACCGTCCCTGAGCTTCTTTTTGTCTGGTCTAAACACTTGCGGGTCATGCATGATTGAGAGTATTCGTGCTCGTCAAAACTCACCCTGAGTCGCTTTCTGACTGCAGTGTTCGTCGTCGTCGTCGTCTTCTTCTTTCTCTTCTTCCATATCTTCTTGCTTTTCCCAATTCCTTTCCGGGGATCTACTTCCCTTGTAGTTAATCCCTATTCTTTCCTTGGTTTCCCCGTCTCACTGTTCTAAGTGCTGACAGAACCGGCGCCGCTTCTTCAATGGAATATGGGTCCTGATCAACATGCTCAATTGGATGGCTTCAGTCTTTTCCTTCCCTTCCCTTCGCGAGTGGCGGTGATTCTACTGGCTGGTATGCTAATCTCTCCAATTCTAATTCGATTACTCTCCTACCCTGTCTAATCGTTGTTGATTGCATTTGGCAGGGTTCTGGGGTTGGGGTGCCAATTTGCAGTATCTCTCAAAAGCGAATATTGTGGGTTGATCCCCCTCAGTCTATCCTAGTCCTTCGTCCTCATGACATCTTTGCTAATGATCTCCAGGACGTTCCCTCCCTTATTCGATATCCACACCGCCAGTCACCCAGCCAGCAGCCTCACTACGCCTCCGCATATCGCTTAGCCACTCTCCTGACCATCCCTCTTGTGATCTCCCTCCTCATCTTCTGGCCCGTCACCCATGGCTCTCGACAACGCGTTGAGTCAGTGGACTACATCCCGCAATCATACTTCTTTATCGCAGCGATCATCTTAATTCAACCCTTCATACGTGTTGCGCGCACGGGGCGATTCCGCCTGTTCACCACGTTAAGGCGCATCTGTGTTGGTGGACTGGCGCAACCCCAAGATGGCAAGTTTGGGGATATTCTTTTGGCTGATGCTTTGACAAGCTACGCCAAAGTCCTAGGAGACCTGGTCGTCTCATTCTGCATGTTCTTCACTGGGGATCTCACCAGCACATCGAAGCCAAATCGCAAATGTGGGAACGATTACCTGATCCCCATCGTTATAGCCATTCCTAGTATGATCCGACTTCGCCAGTGTCTCATCGAATACTTCCGCGTATGGCGGGGTGGGTATAAGAACGGGAACACAGGTGCACAGCATCTGGCCAATGCCTTGAAATACGCCACCGCATTTCCTGTCATCATACTTACAGCGAAGTTGAGGAATTACAACCCTCTAGAGTTCTACGGGTTCAGTGAAACCGGGCTCTCGCGACTTTTGTATGTATTTCCTATCACCCTAGTGGCAGAGAAAAGAGGTGGGGGTTAATAGCCTTGGATCTTTAGGTTTATCTGCACATTTATCAACTCCGCATATTCATTCTACTGGGATGTCACCAAGGATTGGGACTTGACTCTTTTGTCGCCCTTGCGTGATAACCCAGAATACCCATTCGGCCTCCGTCGCCATCGGTTCTTCGCCGTTCGTCAGTACTACCTTGCCATTAGCATTGACCTAGCCATCCGGTTCTCGTGGCTATCGAGATATATGTCAGGTTTCGTCTGGCTAAGTGACACGGAATTCGGAATTTTTGTCCTCATGTTCCTTGAGGTCACACGCCGATGGATGTGGATCTTCCTACGAATAGAGACCGAGTGGAGTAAGTTCCCTGCAGCCACCACGTTTCCTTTTCTCTGTATCACGCACGGCTAACGCTGCGACACAACAGTCAGGAACAACCGTGGTCCAGCCCCAGACGACATTTTGCTTGGCGAATTCAGCGGCAAGCTGGATGCGGACTGATTCACAGAGCGTACGTGCATTTTAGATCGTGCTCCGTCCATACATTAATATATATTTATCTATATCTTTCCATGTATAGACTTTTATGTTCCGAAATTCTTCCGGCTCGTAGTCTAATCCATCTTGTTTTTGTTGCTCAACCGCACACAATGATATGCCTGTATCCTGGCCTTGCATTATTCAATTGGGCTGTGACACGTGAGGGTATTACCGATAAATCCCTGACATATTAGACAACTGGTACAAGAATATCTGAATTGCCTCCAATTACCTGCAAGCATCAAAGAACAACTACGTCTGACGCAGCACTTTGGATAGATTCGCATTAACTTAATTTCATCAGAATCTGATATTAGACACTTCGACTATGCTCGAAAAGGAAATTGTATACTAGAGACAACAAAATGCATCAATGCCACGAGATGTTATGCACAGGAAATAATATAGTTAGACACAGGAATGGGGTAAGATTTGGACGAAGGTATATGGAATCAGCGCGGAAGATAACCTAAAAGTAATGTGAAGAACAGTAGATACGAAGGTATAGCCATCCACTCGACAAGGATCATGCCCGGTCCTGAGGCGGATGACTATCGAATAAATCTTCTAGGTATGCGCTCGGAGTCCTTCCGGCTGGCGGAGAGGCTAGATTTACGGTGCTGGTGGAAGCTTCGACGTGAGACCGCCGGGTGCTGCGACGAGGAGGGGTATCCTGCTGATCGTGGTATTGAGGTAGACCAGGTGACTCGGGAGGACTGGGGCCAGACTTAGTTCGCGCATAGCCTTGTGTTGGAGGACCCCCGAGCCCCGTCAGATCGGCGGCGGAATAGCGTGCATCTTGGGTGCGCGGGGGAGTCCCAGCGTTGTTGGTGTTGTAATAGCCCGCGGGGAGGTAGCTGGAGCGGCGAATACCACTGCCGTGCTGCATTCCGGCGGTTGGGGAGAAGAAGAGCCCGCTGTTGGCGCTGGGGCCCTTGGAAGTTCGATGGTGTCGGTGGCTGTGGTGGCTGTGACGGTGGTGCTGGTGATTACCGGCTCCCCCGAGCTTGTCGAGGGCGACGCCAGGTCCTGTGGAGGAGGATCTTCGAGCGCGTGACTTTCTTCTCTTCGAACGCAAGAGGCCTTTCGACTCGGACGAGCGCGTCATTGCCGCTTGGCGGACGGAGCGATTAACAGACCACGCAACTATACCGCGCCATGCTAGAATTGCAAGCCCGATGGCCCCCAGAACTGCTCCAACGGCAATGAACAGGGTTCCCTCCGGGATATTAGACTTCTGCATATATGGCGCATCTGCAGTCGGCGGCACAGTGACGATGGGGTAACCGTCTGAGGACGAAGATGAAGTCGCTGATCCAGTAGATGTTGACGAGGTATCTCCACTAATTGACATAGTTGAAGCTGTCGTTGTGGCACTACTCTTCGAGGAAGTGGTAGTTGTAGCGCTTGTCGAGGACGAGGACGAGGACGAGGATGATGATGAAGTTGTGGTAGACTCAGTGCTCGAGCTCACGCTTGTGGTGGTTGTCGTACTGTCGTCCGTTGTCGCATCTTGGGCGACGGATACTTGTGCAAGAAGTATGGCAAGAAACACGAAAAGCAGAGTGATTGGGGGTCGACGGGCCTTTCCGGGGCCCCTTGATAGAGCGACCATGGCCGTTGATATTGATCACAGAATCACAAAATGCGCAAAGGCGGTTTGAGATGCGGGGATGAACGTTCTCGATAGCGCAAATGTCGCCCGATAAAGGATCGCTGACGCAGGACAGATCTAAGCATAGCCAAAGGGCAATGTCACTTATCCAGACGGCGCGAGTATATTAAAGCGAGTGTTTCCTTAATCTGATTGCATCAACAGCGGCTGTCTCAAGGCAGACGGGGGGGGGAGGCACTATCAGGCGAGTCTCCACCCAACAGAGAGGGTCTAAGATCAGATCGGCCGACGGCCTGAACTAACGACGGATGCAAAATGCGGGTAGGGTTGTCAGAAAAAAACCATGCTGAATAGCGAGAGACAGGCGAGCGAGCGCTTGGAAGTCAACAAGTCAACGATGCACAAGTGCGACGACAACGGACAATAATAATCAGCGGCAGAGGCAATAATACGGGGGGTGGGTTGCCCCGTGCTCCGTCTGGACCCTCCATCCCTGCCTAAGGCCACAGTCTAGCATGTTCACGTGATGGACATGCAGTGATTGGAGTCGCTATTTATGGGTATTCCTGCGTTGGTTCTGACTAGCTCGAGATGAAGGTTCAAGACATCTCATCAAGTGTCAATAAAATAACTAGTAACCGTAATCCGGCCTCCAAATGCCCGCATTCCATCCAATCACGTGGCCATTATCGATAACAACCAGATCCAGGCGCATGCACTCGAACATAGCGTACATCACATTTCATATAGCGTCATGAAATTTCGCAAAGGGGGAAAAAAAAAGGAGGAAACTCCAGCATAAAGATAGGCAGTGAATTTGGCAATATTTGAGATGAACAAACAGAACAAGGAAGCTGAACATAGTTTACGATGGGCTTTCTCCAGGAATCAAACAAATCATTGCTGCTTCTTCTGCACACTAGCGGCGGTGTCCTTCTCAAACGCAGCGTAAGGAACCTCGAGGCTCAAAAGAGCACTGAGACCAACATACAAGATGAGAAGACAGAAGAGGGAAGCGAGCAGGCCCATGATGATACCTAGATGCAGTCAGAATTGAGGCTGTCGTAAACAGAGCGTGCTGCACATACCTGGTGTGAAATAGTGGTATTCGCGGAAAAGAGTCTTGTTCGAGGGAACATCATCCCCTAGACCATGTGCTGAGAAGTCCCGCTTCAGGTCCATGTGGACAGGGTCTTGGTAGGAAGCATCTTCAGCTTGGTAAACACCGGCATCGGAGTTCACGGCTTCCCTGGGCGAAGTGATGTAAAGGACAGTGTATTTCTTCGATTCCGGTAGTCGTCCAACGATATCAGAGAGAAGGCCATCTGTCGGCATATTAGGAGTTTACTCTGGGGAGATAAAATGTGAAATGGCTTGGGTACGAACCATTATCGGAAAGCTGGTGGCGGCGCTCAGATCCCTGGGGAAGGACTGGAAAGTCAAGGCGAATGACACGGGGCACAGCGCCAAAGTCGGGGGAATAAGTGCCAGCTTTTAAAAGAATGTTAGCCCAGGCGGCCATGCGCAGCTTGTCCATAGAAAGATACACACCGGAGGCGTCGATGATGGTAGATTGAGCTCCGCACTCCGCTTCAATCAATTCCTGCACCTTTCTTGCTTCCAAGACTCCCACAACCTCGTTCACAATTGTCTTCGACCGGATGGTACGGTCTTTTCCAGTCAATTTCGCGCCGAGACGGGGTGCGGACTTGAGGGTAGAGAAGTCGTTGCTGTGAACACCAGGTTGGGAAGCGATAACATAGTAGTCGGAAGGACAGCCAGAAAGTTTTGAAGAAAGGTCTTCCAACAGCGAGGAGGCAGTCTTGAGCTGTGCGGAGGTAGAGAGATTTCTAAGGGAGCTGTTAGCTGGCTCATTCGTTGACGCTGAAGGTCCGCCTGCGCGCAAGGTTGGTTGTTCATACTCGGAGGTCGAAGCTAGGAAAAAGGGAGAAGTGTCACGAAAAGCGCTAGTCGTAGTCGCCCCCAGAGCGAGCAATGAGAGAGTTCCCAAGCGCATGGTGGATGAGCAAGATATGATTATTTAAATAGATGTAGTGCTATCTGGAAAACCCCCCGGATGGATGATGTTGGAGCCAGGTGTGATGGCCCGCCGGCTCGGAGGCGGTCGAGCCAAACTTCGGCACGGCACGGTTTAGCTTCCTTTACAATTTGTACTCCGTTCTTATCGTGCATTTTTTTTTCAGTGAAATTTTGCACAAGTCCTTCGATACCTATACTATAGCAATTTCAACTCACTGCTGTGCTTCATATATCAATAATATCTTTCCAACCGTCAATAACTCTCTCTCACTGCTCCCCCCCCAGAATGGGTCCTCAAGCAAAGAGGAGAAAGGTGGCCAGCAAAGTTGAGGAAATTAACTTCGACCCTGCTGACCGCGAATCATTCCTTACAGGCTTTCGCAAGCGAAAGCAGCAACGAATCAAGCATGCACAGGAAGTGGCAATCAAGAAAGCGAAAGAATTGAAGAGGGAAGAGCGCAAGAGGGTAAATCTTATGCTTGTGCCAAACCGCTATATCCAGGCTAACTTCAGCGTCGATCTAGATTCGGGAAGAACGAACTGCTGGTTTCCAACGTGCGATCGAAGAACATAAAAGACAACTTAAAAAGCTGCAGGCAGCGGAAGATGGCAGCGATGGCTCAGACCAGGAGAGCGAAGACGAGGAGAACGAGGAAGAGGATTGGGAGGGCTTTGCGGAACCTCCCGCCGTGGACTACGAAGCTGAATATATCGACGAAGACAAATATACGACGGTAACAGTGGAGGAGATGGATACCTCTAAGGAAGGACTCTTCCGATCGACAGTCGACGATTCCGATAATGAAGACGAAGGATCAGAGTCAGGGTCTAGAGCGACTGCCGATCCCATCCCGTCTGCCGAACAAAGCAAGAAGCGGAAGTCCGACACCAAGCCCAAGAAGAAGAAAAAGAAGTTCCGTTACGAAAGCAAGGAAGACCGCAAGGTGACGAGAATGAAGGAGCGCGCATCTAAATCGAGAAAGGCAAACGCTCGACGCGAACGTTCATGAGCATGGAGCTTGCATTTCATAATCTTCACATATGGTGACAACGCACATGGACACTCCTATTAAATATACTCTATGTACCTCTCGTGGCAATGATGAAAATGTTTGACGTCGAGTCAAAAGATAAACAAGGTTGCAAGGACGAGCGGAGAACCGGTTGGTGGGATCGATGACAAACCAGCTAGATGACAAGACGGACAGAGACTGCCAAAGCCGCTTCCTGCCGACAGGAACGTAAGAAATCAGGCTGTGATGTGCAGAGGGATAGAAAGCTAAAAGAATAGTATATGTGGAAAAAGAGATGCTGGGTCCCCCGTTTGCCGGCACTTCGCCACGCTGGCCTTTTAGACATTGCTGATAGAGACCTCAAGGTCGTGGAGATCCTTCTGCAGCTCAGCGTACTTCTTGGCCATCTCCTCATACTTGCTTTCCCATTGGTCACGAGAAGCCTCGAGGGCCTGCACCTTGCGCTCGTAGTGACCAGCCTTGACGTCGGTTTGGCGGAGCCTGGAAACACCAGCGTAGTCAGCATCAACTTCCCTTGAGCGCGGAAGGAGAATCAGGGGATAAAACATACTTCTCGTTCGTCTCGCGCAAGTTCTTGTCGGCATCCTCGGCCTCCTCTTCCAGGAGCTGCAGACGTCTCTGGAGGGCTTCATTCTGGGTATCGTGCTGGGCGCCCTGGTTGGCAGCGTCCTTGGCCTCCTTGAGGGCAGTCTCAAGCTTCTCCACCTCACCCTCCAGAAGCTGGTTCCGGTGGTTGAGGGATGTAATCTCCTGCTCCTTGGCCAGGTTCTCCTGCTCCAACGTCTTAACCTTGGTCTTGAGTTCTTCAACCTTCTCTTGAGCCTCCTCGGCCTCAAGGCGGAGGTTGTTCATTCTCTACACCAGCCAGGGTCAGTCTGCATTTCGGGGAAAGTTTATTTTGCTTTTTCCGTTTATGAAGAACGAGCTGCAGCAAAAATATGCAAGATCGAGAAGATGAGGCAAGGACGATAGGTGGTGCAGGTAGGCCTTCGGGACAGCTTGGAAGCTACCCCGCCAACAGGGGGGGGGTGGGAAGAGGGGAGGGAAAAGGGTGACACTCACCTCCTTAATCTTATCCATTTTGAATATGTTATTTGCAACGAGAAAATATGTACGAGTGGAAGAGAGTAGGATGTATGTAGTGGAAACAGGTTTTCGCTCAGCGAGAAACCAGAGAAGGAGGACAGGGTGATTGTATGCAAGATGGGGAGTGGGACAGATGGGAATAATAGGGAGGAAAGAAAGGGAAGTGGAGGAGGCCTTAAGATGAAGGTTGACTTTCTTGCCTGGCGCTGGCGGTCAGCCGCTAGCACTACTACTTAGTACTAGCGGGTTGGGTCTTAGTTGATCTGGTATAGGGGCCGTGGCTGACGGGCAAGCGACCGTAGAATGACTGTGTGGCTTTCCCCTTTCACCAGCCCCGTCTCCACGGGCAACCGCCTGGCAAACACACTTCCACACCCCCCTCCCAATCTCGGTTGCTCGTGATGTCCCCATCTAGAACCACTTTGACTGCCTACTCGACCACTTTCTCTTGTTCCAGACGCATTGCTGGCAAGGGTCACCAGATTCAATACTTCGACAACTAGGACAACCCGATTCTTGCCATTGAATGCGCCGCCGCGATCCATAACCGCCGCCATGTTGGCACTCCGCGACCAAGAAAACCTGGTGCATAATCACCAGACAGTCGCCGCGTCGAAACCCTTGAATCAAGGCGTGAGACACCTACAGCCGAAGACGCCCGGAGCTCGAGCACCGAAAACGCCCTTCAAGGTCCCCTTGAACAATGAAAATGATCCCTTAGCTTTTGGGAAGAGGACTGTGAAGGGAGCAGGTAAACAGAAGGAGCTCGCCAAAGATGCCTTCATTACCCCACTAGGTATGGGACAATAGGCGTCATCTTACTACGAGGGAAGTCGATTTGATTGCTAAGATGACGCGTTTCTTGTCCAGCGGACCCCCGTTCACGAGCCCCTTTGGGTATGAAAACCACAAATGCCAAAGCTAGAGGCCTACAGACCCCCGCACCGCCTGGAGGGACGGCGAAGCCAGAGAAGACAACCAAAAGGGGCTCAACTCAGAGAGTGAAGAAGTTCTCTCCCTTTGTCGAGCAGGCGCAGCCAGAAATACAGTCCATGCCAGTGCAGGATGACGTTCCTGATATTGAGTATATGCCGCCCAAGCCCAAAGGTCGGTACTCCAACATATCTCTCGCTCACCGGTTTATAATGCTTAACAGCAGCAGATCTTCCGGACCATCCTGACGAAATCACATACGATACTACATTCCCTCAATTCCAGCCGAAGAACCTTGCACGGGGGTTGGAGAGCGTGTATGGAGGGGACAATGAAATTGGGCCTGATGGACTTACCAGAAAAGAGCGCAAATTTCAGAGAGACTCGGCCGCCTACGACAAAATGGTTGATGATATGATTCTGAAGCAAGTCGAGAGTATCGGTTTCGAGGAGCCATCTGAAGCCGAACAATCTGAGGATCCTCCTGTGGAGGAGACGATGAAACGTCGTATCGTTACCCGCCGTACCAGGGCGACCGCGGGCTTGGCCAGAAGCACTAGCAATGTCTCTACGATCCGGGCTCGTGATGCTGCTACCGCCCTCTCCGGCACATATCGATCAGTCCCCCGCACTCGATCGGCTGCTTTGACTAAACCGACGACAAAGGTGACAACGTCCCTGTTTGCTCCAAAGAAGCCCAGGATCCCTAGCAACTCATCGTCCATGCATCATACCGCAGTGGAAGCGAACTCCAAGACGACTTTGGGGTACACTCGAGGCCGCGAGGTGTCGTCTAGAATGAGTAATAGGACAACCACTCCGATAGACCGGGATACAGTTTCGAAGGGCATCATGTCTCCGGAAACCTACCTGCATCCTTCTGGCACGCCACCCCTGACCTCCAGGCGAGACGGACTTCCCATCTTGGGTGCTGATGAGGAGCTCCCGGTCTACGGGGAAGATGAAGAAGCTCAGAATTTTCAATTGACGCTGTGATGACTATTTCGCATATGAGAGCAAAGGCCTACAAACTCGGGGGGAGGGTTCGGTGTCTCAGAAAGTTGATCCCTTTTTTTTTTTTTTTTCACTTGGTAGTTCCATGGTGTTTCAGATGGTGCTTACATTCTGTCCCTTCTCGATGTTTTACTTTCATTGCGTGCTATGATGAGAAGCAATTCCTTGGAAGACAGTCAAGATTGGGGAATTCAAGGGGCGTTTTTGCATTGAGGTTATTTGATGATATGATTACATGCAGCATTTAGCTTGTGAGACTTTGACGCGGGGGAAAGGGAATTAGGGCGATCGACAGGCCATTAATGGTTACTTGCATACCCAGCATGCATACGATTTGCAGCATATTAGTGATAATGGACACGGTATCCTCAGGATCAGTCGTCATCACCAGCGAGAGAGTCAATATAAGTGGCCAGGGCATGCGTTACTAAGAACATTATCCGAGTGATCATTCGCCTGGGAATCGTTTCAGCACTTGCTATGTGGGTGGGTGTGCCACCTGTGCCACTTGTGCTTACCGTGGATGCATCGGTCGGTCTGGGTCCCGAACCTCCCCGTCGGATTTCCCTGCCGGGCGCATCTTCAAAACAATAAGCTGATAATTGTGTTAAGTAGAAAAGACAAAATGGGGTGATAACAATTGGACCTAAGTCCGAGAGTGATGGCTCTCGCGAGCATTTTGGGGCTGCTTCATATCACACTCCTAACACTCATACACATGTTCATACTCTCACCGCTTCTCCTCCTTCTCTCAGTGAATAATCGGTATTCTCCAACAGCCCTGGAACAGTCGACGAAGCACTAGACCCAAACAAGGCCAAGCAAAGCTATCTTGCTACTTGCTCTTGTATTTTGTGGATCAAATATACAGTGAGATTGATTGAACAATCGACACAAAAACGGCCATGATCGTTGATTCGACCTGACAGTAGTAGTAGTAACAATAGTAATCAACTCAAGTTGTAAGATAAAATAAAATAAGATAAAGAAAAACATCAATTTTAAAGTGTCGGAAGGGATCAGATGCAGTTCCTCCCCAATATAGCAATTCAACCACATCCACATCCACATCCACTCCTACTCACTCCCGCCGCCGCCCTCCCTCTTAGTGACGCTCGCTCTCCCTCCTCCCTCTTTTCTCTTCTTCTCTTTCCACCTCTTTCCTCCCCTCCCCCTTCTCCCTCCTCCCTCCTCCCCATCCCTCCGCCAATCTGTCAATTCGTCTCCTCCGCTATGCCGAGTGTTCATCCCGAGTCCCTTGAGGACTTCGAGTATATCGAAACTCCTCCCGCCTCGTGCACCACTCCCGCTGATGACTGCGGTGTGCGGACGACCTCGGTGAGTCGCTTCTTCGTGTCTATTCTTGCGCACATAATCGACTATTTCTCTCTCTCTCTTTCCTCCGTTCTCCTCAATTGGATACTCAAATTTATCTAAAGCAAATTCGCTGACTGTCAATTGTCTGCTTGTTGTTTAGTACCCGGCCATCAAAAATGCCCCTGTCCCGGCCGATTCACCCGGTAGCGATAGCTTCTCCAACACCTTGCTTTTCGCCCTACTGTTGCTGATCCCATGGTACTTCGCCCGCCAAGTCGGCGGTGGTCTCTACACCACCATCTTCTTTGCTATTTTCACCACCATCCCCATCTTGATGGCCTTTTGGTCCGTAGCTTCTTCTATCTCTCCTCGCAAGAACGAAAAGGCCAAGTATGCCGGTCGCCCCGTTGAGTATTACCTCAACTTCCTTAGCGAGCACGACCGTGCCGCCTACCGTGGCAAGAGCAAGATCCCCATGGAGGTATTTTACGAGAAGTACTTCAATGGCGAGGTGGAATTTAAATGTGACGCCCTGGAAGCCCTTGAGTTCAGACATGACTGGGCCAACTTCCGTTTCACTATGGGTCTCTTCAAGCACTTTCTCTTTGGTTTCATTCCGGAAATGATCATGCACACGCGTTCCCAGGGTTAGTGTTGAGCCTTCCGTACAAGTCTCGGGAGAATTCTTACTGACCGTGGTTGCGCTATTCAGATGAGGAACAGGTTCGTGACCACTATGACCGCGGTGATGATTTCTACGCTTGGTTTTTGGGCCCTCGCATGATTTACACTTCGGGGATCATCAGCGATATCAACCGCGAGGAAACTCTCGAGGAACTTCAGGACAATAAGCTGGCAGTCGTGTGCGAAAAGATCGGCATTCAGCCCGGTGACACCATCCTCGATCTCGGTTGCGGCTGGGGTACTCTGGCCAAATATGCTTCGGTCCACTACGGTGCTCAGGTTACTGGTATCACTCTCGGGCGTAACCAGACTGCCTGGGGTAATAAGGGTCTTCGCAACGCCGGAATTGAGGAATCTCAAAGCCGTATCATGTGCCTTGACTACCGCGACGCTCCCCGTGTTAACGGAGGTTACAAGAAGATCACCTGCCTGGAGATGGCTGAGCATGTCGGTGTCCGTCACTTCACTACTTTCCTGTCTCAGGTCTACGAGATGTTGGATGATGATGGTGTTTTCTTCTTGCAGATCGCTGGTCTGCGTAAGTCCTGGCAGTACGAGGATCTCATCTGGGGTCTTTTCATGAACAAGTACATCTTCCCGGGAGCTGACGCTAGCACCCCGCTTGGTTTTGTCGTTGATCGACTGGAGGCTGCCGGATTTGAGATTAAGGCTGTCGACACCATTGGCGTACACTACTCTGCCACCCTCTGGCGCTGGTACCGGAACTGGTTGGGCAACCGTGAGAAGGTTGAGGCCAAGTACGGAAAGAGATGGTTCAAGGTGAATAAATCCCATCTAACATCTCACAGAACAAGACTGATGTGCGTCTTATAGATCTGGGAGTACTTCTTGGCCTACTCCACCATCGTTTCCCGCCAGGGAGGTGCTACCTGCTGGCAGCTTACTCTTGTTAAGAACATCAACTCCACTCACCGTGTTGAGGGTATTAACCGTCAGTTCGGTCTCACCGGAGCCCGTCAATCGGCTATCGACAATGTCGGCCACGGTGTGGTCCCCAGCGCCCACGTGCCCAAGAAGGCTTAAAGCAGGTCCTCGACACCCATGCTCTAGGCTCTGTCCGGCGCCTACGAATGACAAGTCTTTGATTCCTGGTTGTGATGACATAGGCTTCGGTTGACATGGGAAAACTGAACACGGCCTTCTGAATTTCTATGTGGAGGCCCGTGAGGAAAATGTGGCGTAGAATGAAAATGGGGTTGAAGACTGAGAGGAAGTCTTTTCATGGGACATGATTGTGAGCAGAGTTCACACGGAATGACACCTTAATTATGTACAAGGATTCTGATGTATATAACCAGTCTGGCTCGGACATAAGCAAGACGGCTGTGTAATTCACATCAGAACAGCATGTATTAATGAAAATAGACAAACGTGACGACGCTGGCTATGGATGGGTTATTGCATTTTTGTTTCCACAAGTGCCAGACTGAGTGACAACATAAAATTCGGGACACGAGATTCTTGTCCTTCCCAGAACGCTAGCCAATAGTATGCGTGATCGTAAACCATACAAGATCTTTTACATGGAAGGCGAAATTCTAGATCAGACTTGGCACCTTCAATTCTCACAATATCTCCCTCAGTCCATGCGCTTGTACAGTTTCGCCTTGCTGCCTCCCGCACCGGAGCAGCAAGACGACACGGCTGCATCTTCCGGGTGAAGAGTTGACTTGTTGAAGGATTGAGATGACTGGGGCACATCGATAGCAGGATTTTTGGTGAAAAAGCCATCCGGACGCAGCATGACGCTGGTACGTTCCATGGGCATGACGGGGAAGTCCTCAACGCGAGGGTTGTGGGTCAGTCCGAACGCTGAGGGAGAGATAATAGGTCAGTTCATTGGCACTTCTTCTCAGAGGTAGGGGGAAGCCAAGGGGCAGAAAACTTACTGTGCCAAAGGACCACATCCTCATCCTCCGTGGGGTCATTTCTCTTGACCCATGTCTCCACGCCGTCTGCGCGGTGGCTTTGGTTTGTGAATTCACCTGCAGCGTAAAGCTCTTCGTCCCGGTATTTAGTAACCCAGATGGGTCGACTAGCAAATTCAGCCCGTTGATGTCCGATCGAGTTCTTGCTTTGGATCAGCATCTGACTGGGTGCGGCGTGGAGCTTGTACGCAACGGGTTTGTAGGTGATGGGGTTGATGCTACTGTCGTTGCGGATCTTGAAGACTCGGCTGCGGCTGATATCGAGATCCGCGGCGCTGGATTTGCTGATAATGGTTTGCTGAGTGGTGTATCCCACAAGGTAGGGATTTTGGTCATCTTCGGGAAGGGGAACGCTGTCTTCGTAGTATACGGTGTTCTTGAAACCGTCGAGGGCGGGGTCGACACGGAATGAGAACATGTGCTGATGGTAGGGAGCCATGACGCCGGGGCCGACATTGGTCCCCCATTTAACAGTCTTGCCGTCTTCATTATCAAAAGGCACGGTGGACAAGATACCGGTAGCACGGACTTCAAGTTCGACGTTAGCCGCCTGATCGAAGATATAGGCGAAGATATATTCATAATTAGCGACAGTGCAGATCATCTGCATAACCAGCTGACGGTTACGGACAACCGTTGCTGCATTAGATCTGTAATTAGTGTGTTTGTGTTGAATTCCATTATCTTGTTCATGCATGCAAATAATGTTCTTTAGAAGCACCGGGTTACCCCTGGAATCGGCTCGGTAGCCATTGAAGTATTTAATATGACCAAGACAGTCGCAGCCGAGCGAGAGCTGGTTGGCATTGAGACCGAAGCCAACGTCACCAACATCGAAGGCTTGCTTGCGGTGGTAAGGAGCGCGAGGATCTAAGAAAGTCCGGATTAGTGATCCATCTCATCCAGCAGGTTGTGGTCAAAACCTACCTCCGTAGGGAACCGTCATCTCGGAGACTGAAAGACGATAGAAGACACTGCGATTGTCATATGTGACGTTATACAAAACCATGCCCTCCCGGTTGTTGAAGCCCACCCTGAACCGCCATTTCTGCCAGTAAACAAAGTTTCCATCCACGTTGAAAGAGGGGCCCTCTGGTTGCTGGACAACATAGGGCTTGAGATCCGTGCGAACAGGCTCATCGAGGAGATCGTGAGCATATTGTACAGCCTTCACAGGCTTCCAAGCCTGAGTCTCAACAAACGAGTGGTCATCCCCGCCTGGTAAATAATCCATGCGGATCAATTCGTGGGTAAAAGCGTCAAAAACGGGCGAAAACTTGCAGGGCAGGGAGTAGTGGTTATTTTGGGGGTGATCAACCTCCATCATGTACATGAAGCATTGAAACATGCGACGAGTCTCGTTCTGATTATCGGTGCCGTACATCCACGGATCATTACACACGGCCATTCCCGGAGGCAGATTGAGTTTTTCGATCTCTGCCTGCACGGCCGGGTGTTTCATGCAAACTTCTTCGATCACCGCGAGTTCATCGATATCAACTGGGGGCTATACGCACGGAAATGTCAGCACGGGGAAGATTTAGGAACGGACGGAGATGCTCATACTTGAACAGTTTTGGGAAGCACTTTAGTAGAGACGATTGACGCAGTGTCAGCATTAATAAGGGCTTTGCAGCACTCAAGAGTGTCGAGGCGATGGAAGTACGAGTACAGTAGACGCGTGGGCTTGCGGGGAAGAGGCTGTCTTAGACGCTCGGCCTCGATGTATGGGACGACTTCATGTTTGATGGGCTCGTGAATATCAATCCGATTGTAGCGAAGCTTGACTCCCGGGAATGCGGCTTCGAGAACTTGGACAGCCAGTCGGATTTCTCGAGGAGTAACTGGGTCGAAGGGATGAGGGCTGCTCGACGCAGTGATACGAGGACTTGGCTGAGTAGCAAGAGACATCTTGGTGTATTGATGAGGAGCGATGCTGAAGGGGACAATGGGTAGGTTCGGGATAACGTTGGCGATAAAGAGGATTTAAAATGCGACAAAGGGAAAGAGGTAGTAGATATATGGCATCAAGGAAGCGACAGGTTTTCGAGAGCCGGAGGATTGGAGAACCAGTCGACTGCTGGAGGCCATTGAAGCTTTAAGTAGTCCCATTGCCTGTCTTTGGTGAAAAGCAGCGATCTTTGGGGGGTCGTATTACTTGGATGGACTGGAGAAAATCCCCACGGTCTGTGATGGAGTCAGTCTGGATGGACTTGCCTAAAGCGGAAAGTAGGCTATCGAGGTGTAGTACTGTACCGGTGGGGCGGCGTTTATCTCCATGTTGCGCCGATCGATTGACTTAATCGACTACCCAGTCATCCTTGAGATAATCGATTAGTCATCTGGCACAACCAACGAACTACTGACGAGTGCTAAGTAGTGAACTATTTAGTCCCCTCGTTTTGACATGACATGACGTTTTTCGGAGCCCGAGGAACGCGAGAATTCCCTGAGGCGATAAGGATGTCTGTAGAGGGGAAGCCGAGGCGATAAGCGCGCATCTTTCTCCTCTTCAAGTTTAGCGCCCCCATCTCAGGGAATCCTTCTCCGCTTCTCCACCATCTCCAATTCACCTTCACTCTCAGAATCATCCCCCACCTACTCTTTTCCCTCACTATATTCTTGCAATCTGGCAGCTAGGCTACGTGCTCTCAAGCCTGGCTCGTCGACAAGAGAGGAGAATTGTTGAGGTTTGCTTTGCGGGCATCCCTTCCTTAGTACTAGTAAGATCACCCTGGTATACCGGTCCCGTCCCATATCTACGTGTATGTCAATTTTTCTACACCCCAAATGCTCTGCGCGTGACTCATGCTAAATTCTCAGATCTCAAAACATAATAAGCTCATAATGTGGGAGGACACATTTTCCGAGAACACTTGTCAACCTCACACGGCTATGAACTCACTACAGAGCCAGTTTCACATCATTAGTAAGAAAAGAAGCAGGAGAGAGGGCGGAACATGGACACGCTCCGGTTGCTTGACCTGTAAACGTCGCCGGAAGAGATGCGATGAAGCCAAGCCCGGGTAAGTCCAGTGGTCGACTACCTGCGTTGTCACTGACTAAAGTCCTTCGATAGGTGTCGTAGTTGTGCAAGGTTAGGGCTACAGTGTGAGGGATACGGTTCCATGTGGGCGGAGCCCTTGAACCCGTCCGCACAGGTCTTCAGTCATGCGAAATCAGCAAAACGAAGGAGACTTAGCACATCCTCATCCCTTCCCGCTTTTTCTCCAGGTTCAAACAGTGTGAAGTCGCCCGATCCAAGCACACTATGGCTGCAAAACTTACCAACTAGCCCCACCACTCCCTCGGAATCTGGAACTAGTGATGTGTGCCTGCTGAATCCCAATGACATTCACAGTGAGGATGGCCAGGTGCTATCGCCTGCCACTGCTGAAACCATGAACCTGGCTATTGTGGCACCTACTCCCTGTAGACCACTGAGTCATCTTTCTCAATTGGAATCTCACTATCTTCGATATCATATGGAACTCGGCTCCAAATTGCTCGCGAACCTTGAGAGTGCCGACAATCCCTTACGGTCTCTGATAATACCTCGAGCTCTGTCTTCTTCCCTTCTGATGAAGGCTTTATGCGCAGTATCTGCGACACATTGCGCGAATCGAATCGCCTATCATTGGGAAGCCCAAACTGCTGCTACGACGTATTACATTCAAACCCTAAAAGGACTGCAATCTGTGCTCTCTGAATATACCGCCGGGAGCTTTCCTGATGAAGCTATTCTCGCGGTGGCTCTGCTCTGCAAGTACGAGATCGTTCGTGGGAGCGTCAAACAGTGGGTAGCACATCTGAATGCACTGCAAGGGCTAGTCATTGCACGGGGTGGATTTAGCGCTTTGAGTCAAGACACCAGGGAGTTCTTGATGGGCTTGTATGTCACTGATGGATCGAAAAACGAGAAAATCACTGACATGGGTAACAGCTACATATATGCTCATAATGTCGCCAAAATCAGCAATCGCAAGCAGGTCACCTCAAGTATGCTTGAGGATGAAAGCATTAGAATTACCAAACTCGACATCTACATAGGTTACGCAGAGGATCTCGTCAAACTCTGTGCGAGAATTGCGGACCTGCCATTCCTTAGTCACGACCCTGCAGCTTTGGGTCTGGAAATTCATGCAGTGTGAGTTGCTCACCGGACCAATTCACCCCAGCCTTGACCTACATACTATTTTGCCAGTTCTGAAAAACCCAATGTAACTGATACATAACCTAGCGATACATCACTACGTGATTGGACACACCAGGACATAGAATACATCATCCCCGAAGGTATAACAGAAATGAATCTCTGTCGCCTGCGGATGGTCGCAAATTGTTTCCGCGATGCGGCATACATATACCTCTATTCTATCCTAGAGAAGATGAGCAAGGGCATGAAGACCGTCTTTGCAGCGGCACCGTGGTCAACTTTCATCACCATGCCGAGGTCAGGCGCCCTGCACCAACTACTAGGCAGAATCCGAACGGCGTCTCCCCTCAATGCACATTGCGAGTACTCAGCTCTCACATTTCCATTGCTTATAGCGGGCTGTGAAGTCAAGGATTCTGAGGATAAAGATCTTATTTTGGCATGCCTGACTAGCCTGGAGGTCAATTTCGGAATTGGTAATGTCAAACGAGCAAAGGAGCTGCTACGCGCGCTATGGACCACAGAAGGGGTGCATTGGTTGGATCTATTAGAGCAATTACAGTGGGATCTCATACTTGCTTGAGTTGAGCGATCAACTTAAAAAGGCTGCATGGCTTCGGAAGATGGAGAATGTACATACTAGACTAGCCTTTATAAGATCAACGCGTATATGACCTCTATTAGCAGTTCAAATGGCTAACAATGGACGACCGCGTCGACTGTGCGAATACCAGCTGCGAATATCATTTATTGCTGGAATTTTAAGGGTATCTTCATGTCGTCGTGGCATAGATAAAGGACAAAGATGGCTGATGCTCCAAAGAGGCCCAACACAACTAAATGGCGCCATAAAAAGCCAGACGTCCCGCACGAAAATCAATCTGAAAGGTCGGCTCACGATGCTTTGTGAACTGAGAAGTGCAAAAAAAGAAAAGAAAAAGTTCAACTTAGTCCCATGTTTACCTCATCTCCCAAACCCAATTCTCGCTCCGCCCTTTCTGTTCCTCCTGCCGCTCGGGCAGCCCAACGATCCAGCTGGTCTTGCGCCCGAATGAGTTCCTTTTCCCGAAGGCTGCCATCTACTTGACTGCTGCTGTGACTGGCGGTGCCGGAATAGTTGGACATTTTTCGAGAATGAGAGATATTAATCGGCCTGGAGGGGACTCTCCCGGATGGTGGATTGGTACTATTGGCAGACGTTATTCTTCCAAGATCAACGGAGGAGTTATTGGTGGATGTTGGTTGAGCAGAGGAGAGGCTGCTGTTCTTGATGTCGCTTACACTCTTCGTGCTCCCGAACCAATGGCGTCTCCGTGATTTGGAGGAGGTCGAGGGGGCCAAGCTATCGGTATCGCCTCCGCCGCTGTTATCCGCCGATGGTGCATCCACGGGGGCCGCTACCCTGCTTTTTCGTTTCTCTTCATCCAAAGCTTGGGACAGACTAGATGTCACTGCCGTAGATGTGCCCTCTGCCGCTGTAGAGGATACCTCGACAAGTTCGGCGTCACGGCACCATTTGCGACGACGTGTATACCGGTCCCAGCCGTCCTGGCCACGGCGACCCTCATTCCACTATAGGAAGAGTTAGCTAAGCTGCCTGTATTGGTCTTAGGGTAACAAAACCAACTCGCCTTATTGTCGTAGTAAATCCACCCTCCGCCGTCAGATGATTTGGCATCCGAGTGTCCGATTTGGTCATCGGCCCCTTCAATGTGCCACTCACTGCCTTCAACCCACCGCCACTGAGCATTCCCATTTTGGACGCCGGGCAGCTCGAACTCGTCCTTTGAAGGCACGGGGTTCAGGTGCTCGTCAGTCCACGCAGCTCGTTCGGAAGGGAAAAGGGAGTACGTCCAGCCAATACCCAACCAGCGACGCTGGTTCTCATATATGATAAAAGTGAAGCGAACGCCTGATGAGTCACCGCGGCGTCTGGTGGCGATATTCACCGCATGGCCGTGACTTTGCATCACGGCCGATAGGGTCTTTGCCACATCGGTTGAAAAGGATAACCCAGTAAGCATCGAACAGATTCTACGAATGGTCAATGATCGCCATAGAATGACTCGGCAGACTCTTGCCGGACGGGAATGATAAGTAAGGATGATAGTGCCAAAAATCATAACCACGCGACGAGTGGTGATCAGATACAATGGCGGGAGGGTCAGAGCAATCCAGATAGGCGTCACAAATAGGATCCGGAAGAAAAGAGTAGTGAGAGCTGGCCGGGTAGTAGCAGACGTAGCCGTCCTTTGCGTGGACAGGAACTCGGTCAATTCCACGAGGGGTTCCAACAGTATATTGCAACGAGTGGTAAATGTCCTAAGTGTTTCGACGATCTCATCAAGCGTCTCGTTGCCATGCGGGGAGCTGTCGGACATGACTCTTTGATGGCTTTGTTTCTCACCCATGTGGGCTCTGGAGGACAGGGGCGAGTATCGTCTCCAGTACATGCCCAGAATGAGCCCAATCACCAGCAGGATGGGGCCTGCCCATAGAATGATGGCCTCGCCATACAGGACTAGCGTCCAGAATACGGCCACGAGTAGGAAGCTCTGCCATCCGTCCCCGGTTGTCCATGTGAGCAAGCCCACAAGTTTATTTGACGGTAAAATGAAAGGATGTGAATAAGCCAAGGCGCGGGTTATCTGGGGCGGAGTGGCTACTAGAAGAGGAGATTTGCGGTGTACGATTATGCTGGAGCGTTGTCTCGAGGTTAAGGAAGAACCTGAGATGGTAGTAGGAGAGAAAGCAGCGACCGTCGGAGGCTGAGGATCAGCATGGTCCTGCGTAGAAGAGGATGACGGGGCCATGGAATCTATCCACGGAAGTTCTTCTATTCCAGCATCAGTATTTGGCAGATCACCCATGGGAGAGGAACCGCGGAAAGAAAGACCGAGAGATGCGTTAATGTCTCACGTACCGAGTGCTGCCATCCAACAACAGAGACGTCATATGCATTCGCCAAGGGCATTGCGGGCGGTGAGCGGAGAAGAAGGCGAGGAGGTTGAAGGCAGCAGGAGAAGGAAGAGGAGAAGAAATAAAAGAAAGAGAGAGAGAAGAGATAGGCTAGAAGACCCAGCCCCGGGACGGCGGTAGAGGAGCAAAAATGAGACCCGGCAGGCAATAAATGAAAGAAGGAAGATCCATCAACTTGCGGGGAAATAGAAACAGAAGCTTTGAAGCTTTTCCAGACGATGGATGTTGCTCGGGAACATGTGACAGGGGAGAGACTGTCTCGCTCTCTCCCGCAACAGATTAGAATACCGTACTCCGTACCCGTACATTAAATCTTACAGCTCATACCATACCATACCATACCATTCTATACTATTTCCCCGGGTCGGACTAAAACCACCGCCGAAAATTTCCCTCTGTCGGTTTCCATTGCCATCCAAATCTGTCTCAACCTCCCCTTCAGACAGTTGACAGACCAGACGACGAACCGTCCACCTTCATTCTCTTTCTCCTTTTTTTGCTCTTGAGAAGTTTCTCTTGATTTGTTTTCTTTTATACCGCATTATGGTATGTGACCGGCAAAGCAACGAATTCATTCTGTGGTTCTATCTTTCCACTGACAGTTTCCCGCTCTTCGTCATCGTCTAGGCCCATCGCATCGTCACCCAGGTTGTCGTCACGGGCGCCCGTGTCTTCGGTCGTGCCTTCGCCGAAGCCTACAAGCAGGCCCAGGCCTCCTCCAAATACGCTGCTCAGACCGGCAAGAAGGTCGGCGGTGGTGCCGCCTCTGGCTTGACCCTCGATGAAGCCTGCAAGATCCTCAACGTCAAGCCCCCCCAAGGTGGTGAGGCCAACTTGGAGCAGGTGATGGAGCGCTTCAAGAAGCTATTTGACATGAACGATCCCCAGAAGGGCGGTAGCTTCTATCTCCAGAGCAAGATCCTCCGTGCCCGCGAACGGTTAGAGATGGAGGTCCGACAGGCGGAGCGCCATGCTGCCCAGGAGAAGGAATTGCAAGAAGGATGGAAGCCCAAGGTGTACAAGGACCGGTGAAGGGATTTTCCAGTCCTCCTTCGATCGGGAAGCTTCTCGAGGTCTCGGCTTCACTCCTCTTTCTCTCGGTCCTTCCACGTGTTTTAATCGGGTCCGAGGCTGGTCGAAGGATCGATCGCGTTAACCGTACTCGGCAAGATGATCTTCGACACTTCTCCGACCCGCTTCGTCTCCGGCCTTCGTCCCTGAGTTTTCGCAGCATAGCATGGCGTTTTTGGTGAATCCAAGGTTCTTTGGATTGGAAGACTTGTTTTAGATTCCCTCTGTTCGATGGCGTGTCGCGCCTATACCGGTCAGATCCGGCACGAGAGTGACAGAAGAGTACCATTGCAGTTGAGGTCGAAGATGTTAGCCTGCTGGCTGTGCTCTTCCCTTCAGTGCATCTGGTTCGGGGCGGTATTTCTTGGGTATACTCTTTGAAGAAGTGGGACAGTCAACCGATACAGTTAACTACTGTCCCCTTCCTGGGTCGCTCTCTCGGTCTGCTCTTTGTTCCTGTTCATTATCTCTCTCCCCTCCTGTATTTTGAGCGCCGCCGACTGTTGGCTTGTGTGGCTGTCATCCACCCATTCACAATCTGTATATGTATAATATGTATAAAAACAGAGCGCATAACTCGTTCCGTCTCAACATCCCTTGTCTTCAGCTCATTTTTACCTAACAGGTGCCCACTGGAAGAAATGTGGTCATACAAGCCCCACTATCAAACCTTAGTCTCTAGATTCAAGTATAGCTACGCAAGACGCACCAGATCGGAATAAATGGCGCGACCTACATGGCAGACAAGTTCGGCGCGGGAAAAGGTTAATATCAGATCACAACTGTTTGCCCCGCCGCGACACCTTATCTCCGCAACGTATTTTTCCATCTTTCCCCCTCCTTCCCCTCACATGCGTTTTCACAGGACTATAAATCCTTTGAGTGCACTTTTCTCTCCTCCCGCTTCCCAACACTGTCTCTGGTCCGCAAAGGGAGAAAATTCCAGAAACTGAACCCAGAAAAGGAACGCCGGAAGAAAAGGGAAAAGAAAGCAATGGGCCGCCCATCCTCACCTCTGTCGGCGCATCTACCGCCCCTGATCATGGGCACCGCGACCTTCAACTCGCAGTACAACCACGACCCCTACGCTCTTCCGACCACCGAACTAGTCCACCGCGCTCTCACTGATGGTGTGCGCGCCTTCGACACATCTCCATACTACGGTCCCGCCGAGGAACTCCTTGGCCGCGCTCTGGCCAGCGAGACCGTCCGCACCGTGTTCCCTCGCCACACATACCAGATCCTCACCAAGGTGGGCCGCATTGCCTCGTCATCATTCGATTACTCTCCGCGCTGGATCCGTCATAGCATTCGTCGGAGTCTCCAGCGGCTGCACACCGACTACCTCGACGCGGTGTACTGCCACGACGTTGAATTTGTCTCGCGCGCCGAGGCCCTGAACGCCGTGCGCGAGCTGCGGCGCATCCGCGACACCGAGGGTACAATTCGCTACGTGGGTATCTCGGGGTATCCCGTGGACGTGCTGTGTGAGGTTGCCGAGCTGGTCCTGCGCGAGACCGGCGAGCCGTTGGATATCGTGCAATCCTACGCAAACTTCACGCTGCAAAATACGAAGCTTTTGAGTCAGGGCTTGCCGAGACTGGCCGCTGCTGGGGTGGACGTTGTCCCGAATGCGTCACCGCTAGGCATGGGTCTATTGAGGAGGAAAGGTGTGCCCATCGGGAGCATGGGTGATTTTCATCCCGCACCTGATGGGCTGCGGAATGCCGTTCTAGCCGCCGGAGAGTGGGCTGATACCCAAGAGGGAGAGAAGCTGGAGGTCATTGCAATCCGATTTGCATTAGAAGCGTGGCTGCGTGATGGAGCCAAGGTCGGAGCACGGGGGCCGCCTCTTGCGTGTGCGCCCAATGATGGCCGCGACTTGGTCCCGGTTGCTACCAAGGGCGCCGCAAAACGACTGGGTGTCAGCGTAATGGGTGTCAGCAATGTAGATGAGTTAAACGAGACGCTTCGCGTGTGGCGGAGTATAATTGATGGACTGGAGAATGATGACGACGAGCAGCAGCAACCCTCCGCTAGCTTGACCCCGTCGGAGGAGAACATCAGTGACCGCGCCTGGTCCCAGGATTGTCAGCGCCGCGTTTCTTCCCTAGCTCAGCAAATTCAGGCCATTCTCGGGCCAGAGTGGGTGGACTTCACATGGGCCAGTCCAGGACCGGACTTCGTCAATACTCTGCCTCCTAATCACCTCTCCTCTCTTGAGGAAGCCGAGAAAGGTGCAGCGAAAGCTGGACTGAACGCTGAATCTAGTGTGTCTGCTCCTGTTGAGACGGTGGATAAGACGGCACTCATTTGATGTTGCCAGCCATGGGAGTAACTCTGATGTGTTTCACCCGTTCTGCCTGGCTGCGACCAGCTAACCATCCGGCACCGTCCTCGGGTGGTCTTTCTTCCGGTCAAGCGCAGGAATCACGACTGCCTTTATGTACCTCCTACGATGCCAGACGATAATCTGAAATGACTTGTTCGTATGCCGCCTTCATAGTTACCAAAAGTCCGAGATCAGGGCTTGTACATCCGAGTAACCAGTCTCTTCGAGTGCTCCTAAATGCCGCAGGCATTGATTTGTGGTCTCCCCCAATCCACATCATCCTCTCCAAGGACCCGCTTGTAGCGCTTCCTTGATGAGAAAGAGGTGGGAAGGGAGTGTGTAGAAAAAAAGAACGAGAGACACGAAGAATCTCGTCAGCTGTACCATTTTCGATAATGCTTCTAACTCAATGTTGCTGCTAGTAGCGTATGTCTGCCAGTCAGACGCTGAACAAGTCTTGTCCCATTTTCGGCTTCAGTATGAAGAGTCCATGCCATGGCGGCAATCAGGCCATTGCAAAGCACAGCGGCAGGACATCTCGCATCGCGAATCGGACGAGGCAAGTACATCAGTAGTTCTGCACACATGTTAGCCTGGTAGAGACTCCACGATTTCCCTATTAGCCATTTCAGTCAGTGTGAACCGCAACCCAAGCGCCCATCCCGGGCAAAAGACAACAATAATCAAGCCCAGACACTCCCTTCCGTAACGCCTTCCAAGTCTACATGAATCGGGTATATGACGCTCAGAACGACACGAAAATAATTGATAAGAGGAAGATGCCACCCCGGGGAAACACGCTGTCATCACCAAGCACATGACATCAGAGCTCCTGCCAGTGACCATGAAAAAAATGTACAAACACTATGAGTTTGACTGAGTCATGAGACTGGACTAGTCTTCGCTAGACGGGTTCAATTCTTTCTCACGCTGGATAAGGTCCCGATCCATGTCTGACTGGGTCTTATATCCACCTAGACTCAGTGCTTGTTCATTGGAAATGGAACTGGGAACAGACGGAAGGTCTGGACGCAATCGCCTCAGACGGATCGCACGATCTCTCGCAGCCTGTTGTTTCTTTTGTTGCTTTGTGACCTTCTCCTTCTCCTTCGCTCCTTGGGCAGGTGGGGGGGGACTGGGAGGCAGGGGAGGGGGCGGCGGAGCAGCATTGGCGGGGGGTGAGCCTTGAGGTGGCGGCGGGGGTGTAGGAGGCTGATGCAGATGAGCGAAGCGGGAATCATTGTCGAAGATCTGGCGCAGCTGCCACCTTTGCTCGGTATATTCGTCGTAGTTTGCAGCAATGATGGTCTCCAGAATGCTGGCCTGAGGATCCTCTAAACTGGCGGTTGTGATCATGCGTGCCTTGAGCCGCTTGTAGGCCTCAGCGAAAGACCGGAAGATCAAGGCTATCTCTCGTGTGCCGCCAGAGACGTCGTTGTCAGTATTGTTGGGATCTTCGATCGAGAGACGAGGGTTATTGTCCCGGGAGCTGTAGACCCTCTGCAATCATTTTGTCAGCTCTATTGATCAGCTTGCGTGAAATAGTTGTCGATAGCACCAACCTTATTGAAGTAACCAGGCGGGTTGAAACGGATGGCAACGTTCTCATAGTCGAATTGATTGCCGTAGAATTCGAAGAAATCCATGAGCATGCTGCCCAAGTTTGGCGCCGAATGGCCAGATGGCATATGTTGCAACAAGCTCGTGACAAGGCAAGTGATTGAAAACCCGCCCAACCCACCAGTAGGTACTTCATTGAGGCCTCGAAGAAGGAGAAATTGTTTGACCACAGACACAAGGACAGGCATGGCAGGATACTCAGACTTCCACTGCTTGAACGTCTCATTGGCGACCAGTCCACTGTCATTGTCAAAGGAAAGATCCACTCTTAGACTGGTGGTCTTGTCCACGAACTTGAGGATGGGGACACGAGCATGAGCTATCGTCTCGATTGAGTTGGGAACAGCTATGTTCTGGTTCTTCAGAAATGCGGCAAATGCGTAGATTTGACCTTTTCGCTCGCCAAAAGTCTTGATTCCATGACGCATAAAGTTTGTCGAAAGTAGAACCAGATCTATGTCCGCGGTGGGAAGGTAAAGACCGGACGCGAAAGAACCAAAGGGGCGAAGTTGCACGCCGTAATACCTGCTCTGGAACGCAGTCTGCAATCTCGACACCAAGTCCTCTCTCACAATTTGTTCATAAGGCACAGGCTTCACCCAGTGGTAGAAACTCAAGATCTCGTTGTGTAATCTGCCGTAGAGTAAGCGGGAGCCCCCTTTCGTGTGGTTCAATGATTAGCACAAACCTGGTAGCCAAGTGCAAGGTAGGCTCCATATGGTTAAGCCACGGCGCACCCGATTGAAGTGGGCGCACCCTCCATTCGTCAGTTATCGAACCATCATTATGAAACCGACTCAGCGGCTTCCCAGTCTTCTTAGAAATGCCCTTCATCTCGTCGTCATATGTCCTCTTGCGACTGCCCAGCGCGGAATCCCTTCCTTCGAGCTGACGTTTTGGACCGGTGGGCGCGTTTTCCGGGGGGTTTCTGTCTTCTTCATCATCGCCCAACCCACCAAGTGAGATGAAATCCTCGTTGGTCGTCACTGCATCCGTCTGGACGGGCTGCGTCGCAGTCGCGGCAATCCGAGCCTTGCGAATCAACTTCACCACGTCCACTCGTTTAGACTGACTCTCATCCGGTGGAGGCAGAGCAGTATAAGGATCGGGGTTAGACCACTTGGGGGTGGGCGCTGGAGCAGGGGCGGCAGATGCGTTGGTGTTAGATTCAGTGGCGCGTTTTTTACGTGGGTGAGTCGCTTCCATATCGTCATCTGAAGAAACATCCATATCCGCCTCTTCACTGTCGCTAAGATTCTCCAGAGAAACAAACTTCAGACCAGGATTGCTGTCCGACGCTCCTTGGGCTACCAGCTGTTCCGGTGTTGCTTCTCTTCTAGTTCTCAATAGCGGGCGCTCGGAGGTGCCAGGACGCGGATAACGAAAGGTGAACTCTTGCTTGGGGCGGTACGATGACCGTCGGTCATTTCCCCTGTCATTTCCCCGAAACTCATAGGCCGGTGGCATGCTGGCGAAAGGAGGATTCCTATACTTGCGAAACGCGACTGGACCTTGAATAGGATGGAAGGAAGTGCCTGGCGCGTGTTCATGGGGATTTTTTTTGTTAGGTAGGCGGAGGAAAGCGCGGCGCCTGATTGGGAAGGCGGTAGAAAAAATAACAGTTTGTGAGTATGGAATAAAGGTACGATTGGCATGCACTGCACACCAAAGACTAGCTAACTAGGGACCTTCAATCGCGCATTCTTTAAGCCCTGTCTGTAGTCGATCAATCAAAGTCTTATCCAAGGCCATCTTCGCAAAGCTAACTCTCGAGGTCTCCCAATCTAGTCATTGGCTCGCTCGCGATTCTTCAGGTGAACGAAGCAGCCCGACACTGACATCTATCAATAAGGGTCTCTGATCGCTACTCCAAAAGACCGAAGCGCCACAATGCTTGCAAAATTCCCGATAAACGCCCGGACTGCTTTCGTACCGCTGCATGGTGCCTGCACCGAATGCGAGCGGTGCTTTACAGGCGTCGAATAGATTAGCTTTGGGGATGAATGCCCATGGTTGAATGGGACATCCACTGGCTAGACGACAGGACGGACAGGCGCAAGTCCCAGTTAAATACTTGATATTCGCCTCCCGCAGCCACCACTTCACATCGGTAGTGTTCTCTGATGAATGAGTATAATACGGAACAAGTAGGTCAGGCCATGGAAGATGTTGCCTCGGTAGACGAAGCGTCCGGTCGAGCCACGTAGACCTCGACACCCCCGCAATGACACCGACCTCGCAAATGCTCAGAATCCTGGGGCAAGCGCTTGAGTTCCGACTTCTTCTCGAAACAACTTCCACCACCATCTGGATAAGCGCGAAGTCAACACGTCGAGGGGCGTGGTTACAAACTCCCCGGTGAGGAAAGAAGTCAGACCACCATCGCGCGTTTCAGATGTTCGCCAATGCCGCAGCAATCGAGTCCGATGTGTATTTCCATTATCCACCAGCAATCCGGATGCCACGAAATATCGTTCTGAGGGCCTCGAACATGCCAAGGCGTAGGCGTCACAGGTGTTACAGAAATAGCGGACTATATACTCAAATTGCTGGTACTCGCGTAAGTTGTCTAGGTTCTGTGGCCTAGTCTGTAGAGGGTAGTATGTAGAGCATAGCATTCCTATAGTCGTGCGACAGGCAGTACAGTGGTATAGATTGGGAGTGGAAAGATCCATCGACGGCTCCAGGCTGACCTCCTATGCGACATTTCCGCACAGGCACGGGATGGCATGCTGCATCATAACTGAATCCTACTAATTTGCCGGCTTCGCTGGGATTCGGTCCGTATCAATCCTATAGCAGCTCCAGACCCTTTGATTGTACGTTGATCCAATTTGCGCAGGGTAGTCGGTTCCCCAGCTGTCACTGTCAGACTAGTCAGACAAAAGAGAAGGGATGAAAGCATGAAAGATAGTAATGTTATGAGCATATCTCGACGCAGAAAGAGAGACCCTTCACGAACATGAACCCAGGGGAACGTGCTGTACAAGGTACGAATATGTTTTTGGTTTCCTTTTAGAAAGAGATATGAAATCACCATTCAGGGAGAGAGAAACGAGACACTGCAGATCTAGTGGTCGGTGAATAGTGAGCTAACCTGCCTAACCTGCAGAAATGTGCTCACGTCTAAGGCCCGCTAAGGGATGAGGGTCAGGTCGGAACAATGTCAACGGGTGAAACCGCGGTTATAGTGGTTAGTATTGATTGATTGACTGATTGTCTGGTGAGGTATAAATACCGGGCTGCTTTACCCCGCCATAGTATCTCTTCCGTGCCACAAACAACTTCCTCCTTGCTCCCAGTCCACAAAGTCAGGGAATATCCTTGCCTATTTGAACGAAATTTATCTGGAATTCACCTCCTAACACTCTATCTCCTTCTCATCATAATGGGTAATAACACTCTTTTTTTTTTCTTGTATTCGTCGATTTTTGTGTGTTTGTGTGTTGGCTTAATGCGCGGCGGGGTAAATTAATGGCGGGGTTATCTGCTCTGTTGATTTCCCCCGTTGGCTGTCATTTTGCACGAGATCATCGTGGCTATAGGCTATAGCAGCTGGAAAGTGCGATAGATTTCTCTCGTCTTTGCTATAATGGATCAGTTGATAACCCACGTTTGCTGAATCGTCTGGCTCCCAATAGGTTCCGACCACGGTTGCAGCTGCGGCGCCTCCTGCCAGTGCCCTGCCGGCCAGTGCAAGTGCCCTGTATGTTTGCCTGCATTCCCTTGATATACCTACCCCCAATGGACAGGCTGACACTTCTGACTCTTCAAGAAATAAATCAAGAGCGGAGCGGAATGAAACTTCGGAACTTTGAGATGAACAAATCATGGTGGCTCTAGTCCGAAGGACCCCTACTAGCTCTTTCTCCTTGTTAGATCGACGAATACACAACAGAGCAGACGACACTAAGACTCATCTTCCTATATTCTGTAGGGTGGACAAGCCGCTATAGAGAATAATCGTGCATGTTTCTCCGGTGTGAAAGCTAGTTGATGCCCGCTATCAATGCTATCTGATTGTTTCCGACCAGTCATCGATGATCGTATGGGAATAAAGGGCATCAAGCCACACAAGCCATTGAAGCATCATATAACACTATTTGCTACATATCTACCACACTCGTGCAACTAGGAATCTCCAGTAAGGTTGTTCTGTATTAACTAAATAGCCATGCTCGAACACAAATTGTGTTGGTCAGATCGTCTCCCATCATTCTTGTAAGGGGCTCTTTCAAGATGCACCAACCCGCCGCGCATGTCAACACTCATCGAGAAAGTAATAAAAACAAGAGATACGCGATTCAGAATAAAGCAAAACTCGTCCCGCATCACCCTTTACCGATCAACCACCATGGCATAGTCCTGCTAGACAAGGAGGGAATTCATCATAGAAAACAGTCTCTCCCCGTCAGGGGGTTACGGAGCGGCTCGCTTAGTGCTGTTCCCCGATGTTAGCTTTCAAAAGTGCCCCAATATAAATTTCAGGCTCAAGAATGTGACTCAAACCATGTGGTGATACGTACAGAGCAGCTGCTGCAAGAGCAGGAGTTGCAGCTACCAGCGCAGCTGGTGGCGCAGGAGTTGCAGTTGCAGGGAGACATGGTGATTTGCGGTTGTGAGATAGACTTGCGTCTGTTGAACTTATTTGAGTAGAGGAAAAAAGAAGCTTATTGAATTGAAGTGGATGACTGGATTGCGTGCAGAGGAGAGAGATCAAAACAGCAGACAAGAGGAGGAGAGGGGTTCTTATATCTTCTCACCACCGGATGAACTCGTCGTTCTACCAACCCACACCTGGCGGTAAGTGTGATTTGCGCTTCCATCCCACCAACACTGATGCATGATGTCTGCTGATCCAGAAGTGATATACTTCACTAGGGACAAGCAAGTGGATTGCTCCCTTTCTTCTCAGCCTTTTGCATGACGTTGGTCAATTTGACTGGACGGTTCCATGCTCACTGAATCCACAGTGCTACTCGCAAGGATCTCACCGCGGGCAGCTGGCTTCTTGCCCCTCTCCTCAGGGTGAAGCGCCCAGTGATGAAACAGACTGCTTTGAATGGGCTGATGATATCCCAGTCACAGTCAGCTTTGATCCTTGAACTATCATCTCCATGGGGCATCCCTGAATGACCCATCAGCAGAAGCCTGTCATAATTACTGGTCGTTGTAAGTGATCCATGGAGCCGGAATTAATGCTGCCACGTTGAATCAGCCGTGAGTGGTGGAGAGAGAAGCTGAGTTGTAGAGCGAAGATATGGGTCTAGTGGATATCAGCATGTGTGCGTGGAACAAGAAGAGTCGTCTCTCAATCATGCCGGGTCCTGCCAGGTTCTTGTTTTGTGAAGGGGTCTGTGATTGCAAGTTTGATGTCCACTGCCTGTAACCCCGCCCTTTCCCCTCCTGTCTATCCACCAGAAAGTGGATGCAACAGTTTACCGGGCAATCGCACGGATCCTCTGGTGCGGGCTGGCTTTGGAAGTTTGGAACCTCAGAAACCTTACTATAAACCTTACAAGTTCATTCCCAACTATACAACCGCGATAGCCGCACCAATATTGACTGAGACAGAGTACTCCGTACAAAGTAGATACATACCCAGGTAGGTGGGGGAGAGTCCGCATTGTGACGGCCTTTTGGGGAAATTTCCCGTGTAAAAGTTATCAACTATAGCGGGTGTAGTGCTTTGAAGCTTGATACTTACAAGAATCCTACTTGGGAGACCCTGCGATTTCAAAAGACACATATGCTGTATATGTATGTCAAATAAAAACTCGCCTACTATGAACTATCGCTATATATGATTCCCAAGCATGTCAGTAAAGTACGACCACTCACAGTTCATCCTTGCTTCTCGGGGCAGCATTTCCTTCCTCGCCGCCGGGACACACGGCCGGCGAGGTAACAAGCATTGAGTAGACGCATTTCTCATCCTCAGCCACCTTAAGAATCTCATTCTCTTCACCACACTCCAAGACGACCGTGGTTGATCGGGCCGGTCCATTCCAACAGGTCTGCCCATTGGTGTAATGCAGAGCGACCTTCTCTTCTGGGATGACATCGCCCGACTCGTTGAGAACGTCCACGTTAACAGACCCAATGCCGGAATATTTGCCCATCCGCATAGAACCGCCTCCCTTCTTAGGAATCTGTTTGGTTTGGTCCAGAAAACAGTGCTCGTATGTGTATTCGCCGAAGTCCTTGGAGATACACACTCCCTTCAACGCACGGAAAATGGACGCAAGACCATAATCTGTCTCGAGATCCGACTTGTGGTTCTCCAATTGCTTGTGTGAGTCTTCAAGTTCCTTCTCGGCCGACTTGACAGCATTCCGAGTGTCGGAGACGATCTTGGATTCGGAAGCCGTAGGCTCGTCCTTCTTTGGCAATATACCATTATCCTCGAGGAAAACACGGGCGGAGACAACTTTGGTCTCGATGAACTCAACCAGTGAAGGGGGTAGATATGCTGCCAGCTGATAGACTAAGGCTATTTATTGTCGGTCAGTATCAGGAAGAGGCAACGCCGTCGCACACGATGCACTTACCACTGTCAGCCTCACAGCCCTCATCTTCGTTCTCCCATTGCTCCCAATTGATCCCAGATTGAGCATCGTCTGGCTTGACCAGCTCATCCAAGTCACGGGCCTGGGCAGCGTCTGTAGCACTCTCAAGAGTTCCCCTGACGGCATAGTCTTCCCAACTGCGCACGGCGCGCTTGACACCTTCGTCGTTGAAGTTAGGGTTGTACTCAACCTTGAATTTGGATAAAATCTCCTCAAGTTCCTTCACGCGTGCGCGGGTATCATCCCTCTCCTTGCGGATATTCACCAGCGCATCCCGAAGCTCCTCGACCCGGCCTCTGGCTAGTTGGGCCAAGACGTTGACCTTGCCAGCCTTCTTACCCTTCACCACCTTACTCTTTTCTTCTTCCTCGGCCTTCTCCAATTGGACCTGGAGATCCTTGACCTTGATCTCCTGGGCTTGGATAGTCACTTCCAGATTCTTTATCTGGTCCTCTACCTCCTTCTGCTGCCTGCCCGCATCCACTAGGAGATCCCTCTTCTTTTTGAGAGCAGCTGTCAGGAACTTCTGCCTCTTTTCCTCCTTCTTACGCCACTCCTTTCCAATTTCCTTGCACTTGTCCTCACACTTGGTGCCACCAACCCGTGCCCACTCGTCACTCCCATCACAGCAAAGCTCGTAGTCGCAGATTCCATCGTTGACTCGTTGGGATGGAACATAGGATGGCTTATGGCCCTTATTTTTGCAGTAGAACCCCGGAAGCGCGGAGACGAGCTCCAGGTCGCTGTTTCCCGGCCGATCGGCAACTGTCAATGCTGAGTTGCGGGAAAGATGAGCACAGGCCGACGTGCCAGGTTCATCACTGCCATCCGGGCAGTCACAGTAGTCATCGTTCACAGCGGAGAATGGGATCTGGATCGACGGGTGCGATATACAGGTAAATGTGGTGGTGTCCTTGTAGAACTTCGCGACTGTTGAGTTCAACCACGTTGTCAGTGAGCTGGCGTGTCCAAAGGAGCTTGTTCATTCAACATAGATGAACAGATTAAATGGAAAGATGGGGATGGTTTAAGCGAGACCGAAAGTTAAGCGAGTCCAACGAAATCGAGCGACCGTAGAAGACAGCAGCTAAAGGGGGGATACTCACATTCAGGCCCGACTCCTCGCGGCCGAGACGAGGCATCACCCGCAGCAGCAGCTACCACGGTCGAGCATGCAGCTATGCTCGCAATCAAGAGCGATCCCTGAGGAAGTATCATAGCGGCAGCATTTAGCTAGCTCACCAACCACTATTGCGACCGAAAAAGATGTCCAGTCGCCGTCGATTTTGACAGTCAGAAAATGCGGAGAGAGCTTCTGGCCAGCTGTTGATAACATCTACATCGAGCGAGCAATCTGGGGACGCCCAGGATCGCTTAGTCATTCGCTTATCACCGCAATCAGCCCGGACTGAAAGTGGCGACCGGCCCGCCAGCGACCATCGTTCTACAGCACGCCTGATGGGGTTTGCCCTTTTCTATCTTATTGTGTACGAAAATGGGTAATGATGGTGGAAGGTAGGCGATTGGTTCTCTGCTTTCGTGGTTCGCAAAGCAGCTAACTCCTACATCTAGTATCCCCACTCGCCGCGAGCTCGTCCGCGAAGCCGCTCGGAATCCCAGCACGGCGCAACTGAAAGAAACACAGCGCGAACTACAAGAACATTTCTGGAGCACATGTCCGCTCTCACATAAACAGCTAATGCGACCTATTGTCTCCGACTGCGTTGGAAATCTGTTCAACAAGGACTCCGTCTTGAGATATCTACTTCCGGGCGATGATGCGGAGGGTATTAGCTCGAAAGTCGATTGCGACGAGTTCCTCTGTGGCCGAGTGAAGAGCCTTCGTGACGTGGTGGAGTTGAAGTTCGAAGTCGACACCGAGCACGGTGGACACCCATCTGGGAAACACGAGAAGCGTGAAGGCTGGATATGTCCGGTCACTGCTAAGCAATTGGGCCCGAATGTCAAGTCCGTCTATCTTGTTCCTTGCGGGCATGTGTTCTCCGAGGAAGCAATCCGTCAGCTGAAGGAGGATAAGTGCTTACAGGTACGTTAGGCCTTTCGAATCCCCAATCTTGCAGTCCGTTAACATGCATCCACGTAGTGCGACGAGCCTTACACAAGTGAGAACGTGATCTTCATACTCCCAACAAAAGAGTCGGATAAACAACAGCTGCTCGAGCGGGCCCAGAAACTTACCGGACAAGGTTTAACACATTCTTTGAAAAAGGTGCCTGGCTCCAAGAAACGGAAGAAGCACGCCAATGGCGACGATGATGCTGTCGCCACTATTCCCGCTACCGCCGCTACCGAGTCAGATGCCGCTACTGGAAAAGAATCCAAGCTAGAGTCATCGTCAGCCTTGCGAATGAGGGGACAATCAGCTACTGCTAGCCGCAGCAACACATCCACGCCTGTTCAAAATGCTCCAAGTGGGATAAAAAATGCAGCTACTGCCATGTTAACTGCCCGAGTCCTCGATGAGGAGAATGAGAAGAAGAGGCGGCGCAAGCTGATGGGAAATAGTGACAATCTAAGCAGTCTTTTCACAAAGGAGTCTGGTAAAGATGCAATGTCGAAGAATACTGACTTCATGACCCGAGGCTTCACTCTACCCGCGAATTCCAGGCACTCATCTTAACTTTCTTCTCTTGCCTATTGCCTCTTGCTTTCTTGCTCGACCGATTATGTCACAGAAACGGCGTTTCAAGGTTAGGTTTAGGCGTGAATATGGGTCCAATCAGAATTTAGCTTATGGCCTCGATTTGTTCCAAAGATAGATTTGAATATGTATTGTATACTCATGATCAAACCGACAAAACATTGATTCCTATTGTACAACAAGGATTTCACAAGTAACATGCTACAAGAACTAGAGACTAAACCTCAGAGCCATATTTCGGGCCCTCTATCCCAGGAATTTATTCCAGAAGACCTCTAGCGCGAAGCTCGGCTTCAATGAGCTTCTTTCGGCCCAAATCCTCATCCCTGTCTGACCTCTTCTGCCTCTTAGCGAAAACCTTGACATTGGGCGCTTTCTTGTACTGCTGGTTCTTGGCAAGGTAATCAGCCAGCTTCTTAGGCTTGGACTTCATGATTTGCTGAACGTAGGTAACGGCTTCCTGAACGGTGGTAATCGATTGAGCCGCAGGATCGGGAAAGAAGTGGCCAGTCAGCTGGGAGAATCTCTTCAAGAACTAGAATTGAATATGAGTTAGTGACTCCTTGGAGATGAAAACGACCATGAGGGATGGAGAAAAGGGGGGCGGGAGGCAATGGAACTGACAGCGAACTTCGTGGCCGGATCGTTCAACGACAGAGACAAGTGACCATTATCCCGTGGTTTCTGATAGCCACAAAAGGCGAGTTTGCTTTGCTCCGTGTCAAGGTCCTCTGTCAACTCGTCCAGAGGCTCTTCCGTTTCTTCAACTTGCTCCGTCGCTTCTACCGTTTCAGCAGCCTCTTCGGCACCAATCTGCTTAAAGATATAGACAAGCGCCTCCTCTGCCTGCTTGTTGGGGTATTCTAGTGCCTCACTCCACTGCCCGTTCGAGGAGGGTACAATCTTGGTCTTCCAGATCATCTTGAAGATCAACTTATCATGCTCCACAACCTCACAGATACTCGTCAAGGGCTTTCCCAGTTTGTGCATGAGGCAGAGTTCGACGACAGCCTGGTGAGCGGCAAGTGAGAGTAGTTCCTTCTTGGTGATCTTCTTCGGGACTTGGAACCTATTTTGAGAGGAAATTATCAGACAATTTCCTTGGCTCGACGAAGGACTATGGAAGAGTTTCGCTCCCGAAATCGAAACAAGTGGGATCGCCAAAAAAAACCGAAGGACCACTTACGACTCGTATACGTCGGCCGGCGCAGGAGGAAGATCAGACCACCGTCCAAGATGACCAACGCGATCGAGGCCATCCCATGTCGTCGCCGGCTCGTAGTCAGCGGAGGCAGGTACAGCGTCCTCGGAGGCAGCGGCGTCAATCGCTTGAGAAGCTTCAGGTGTCTCTGCTTCCTCTATAACCTGAGCTCCCTTATTTTTGAATCTTCGCTCCAACGCACCCTCCCCACCATAAGGATCCTTCAAACCGGGGGGATTATCGGTGCCCCAGATCTTGCGGCGCACCTTCTCGGTCAGCGAGTTCGCGTTAGAGGCGTTGCGCAGGAATTGGCGTGTGACAATCGGACGGGGACGCGCTGCGTGCCTGCAGACTGAGCAGACATAAAGGGTTCGGGCCCCTTGGATAGGGGGCACCTCCAAGTTCAACAATCGCACCGAAGGACGCATGTCTGCAGCGTTGCGGGTTTGCTATCGGGGACTCAACGGGCAGTCTTGGGAAAAGTTTCAAGGCCTCCGGCCACTCGGTCACGTGAGTCAGACCACCGGGCTTGGCGCTTGAGAGGCAGAAATCCGTGCCGAACCTGAATAATCGAGTATAAGGAATTCTACAATGGTTTGATAACAAGGATCTAGGAGAGAAGAATTTATGGAAAAGTAATGCTTCGTAAATTGTAAATATATATACATGCGTCTACGCTGATATCATGAAAATCCAACTTGCTGCAAGCAAATTTAAATGTACAGAAAAGAAGTCCTCGCCTCTTTTCTTCATCTTTACTCCCGAATAAACATGCCAGCCATGCCCATACCGGTTCCGATGCACATGCTCACGACACCGATGTCCTGACCGGTACGCTCAAGCTCAGGCAGGAGGGTTGCCAGCTGTCTGGCACCAGTGGCACCCAGTGGGTGACCAATGGCAATAGCACCACCCTTAGGATTGACCTTGGCCTCGTCAATTCCAAGCTTCCGAATAGAGTACAGGGCCTGTGAGGCGAAAGCCTCGTTGATTTCCCAGATGTTGACGTCGGAAACACTCATGTCCAGCATCTGCAAAAGCTTAGGGATGGCAACGGCAGGGCCAACGCCCATCTCATCGGGAGCGCAGCCGGCTACAGCAGACGCCACCCAGCGGGCCCTGATAGAAGAGGTCAGACCGAGCTCAGTAGCTGTAGAACGGCGCATCAGCAGGGCAGCGGCAGCACCGTCGCTGACCTGGGAACTGTTTCCAGCAGTGCTAGCGCCATCAGCGGAAAAGGCGGGCTTCAAGCTGGCCATCTTCTCAACCGAGAGATTGTGACGAATTCCATCGTCTTTGGAGACGGTGATCTCCGTGGGAGCAGCATCGGGGTGCTCAGGATCGTAGGAATGAGTCTTCACGGGAACAATTTCTGAGTCAAATAGACCCGCATTCTGGGCCGCAGCGGCCTTCTTGTGCGACTCGGCGGCGAAAGCATCCTGGTCTGCCCTGGAGACTCCGTAGCGGGATGCAACATTCTCGGAGGTAATACCCATCGGCATGATACAGTCTCGAGCGTCCTTCGAGTGCGAATCCTTGAGGTCAGACCAGAGGATAGTGGGAATAGCACGAGAGCCGTAGTTACGAGTCATGGACTCCATTCCACCACCGACACCGACGTTGATAGCGCCGGCACGTATTCCGTTGGCAATAGTGGAGATAGCAGCCAGACCGGACGAGCATTGTCTGTTAATGGTATGAAAAGAGACGGAATTAGGAAAACCAGCGTGGATCTGAGCCATACGGCCGGCTTTGGCACCACCGAGCTCCTGGAGAACGGAACCGATGGCGACGTCGTCAATGAGGGCCGGGTCAAGATTCGGGTTTGCCTCGAGAGTGGCACGAAGCACGCTAGCAAGAAGCTCTTCGGGATAAGCATCCTTGAAGCCACCCTTCTTCGCACGGGTCACGGGTGTACGGAGAGAAGAAAGAATGACAATGTCATTGGGTGACTTCTGGAGGACCTGGCGCAGGCCCCGGGGAATTGGAGAAGCCATTTGTGATGGTTAAAAGGACGAGTCTGAGATTATCCTGGATGGAAGAAAAGAAACGAGGGTCAAAGGATAGGTAGACGGAAAGATCGCAGCTCGTGCCTCATTCCCGACAAAAACTGGGGAGCGGTAGCATACTTATTATTGACGAGAAACAGCCATGGGAGGAAATTCCGGGGCTCGGGATCCATTGTTGGGTGGACAAGCCGTTCTGGAGCAGCCACCGAATTGCCGGCAGTGAAGATCGGCTAAGCGGACAGCCGCGGGGAAAGGCGGAGGAGAGAGATCTGAGGTTCTGATTAAGTTACGGCAATGCCTTGCCGAAGGAGGAGTATCATTCAAATGACCCGCTACTAATATAGCTCATGCACCATGAATTCTTTGCGGATTAAATTTGTCTGCGAAGAGATTGGCACTGTATGGCCCTTCTTCAACATGCGATCTTTTTCTGCGTTTTGCCTTATTTCCCAACATCCACAGTCCGATGGCAAACAGTCCCTTCCGTTCGTCGGATACGGATGATTATGTCAGCGTCATCGGAACATGGAGTCGGAAGAGAACGTCCGTGCGTAGTAAGTACAGTAGGTCAAGTTTAACATATAGTTACTGAAATCCATGGTAGTAACACTCTGCATGAAACCGCAAGTTAGGTTGGCCCTCTGACGCCTGACGATTGATATCATAAGTACAGCTGCAGCCTGTTGGTCCCTACCCACCGCAACCCGCACGCGTCAAACTGTGGTCATTGAACGCAGCGTTGACCGAAGAATATCATCCCAAATCAACTGCGTATAATATGGCTGTAGTGGCCTGGGACCTTACGGCGACATTTGTCACAATCGGAACGATAGCCCATAGAGAATGCGACCTTTTTTGAGCTGGTTCCAGCCGCTGTCATGAACCCTCGCGAGGGATCTAGATCGCGCATGTTTGTGAGCATAGCACCTGTCATTCCCAAAGGGGGGGACGCCGGGCGCGATGCGGTATATGTCATCTCCGCATCGCTGACAGAATCTTTGCTATTGATCATCATGGCATCGCCATCACTGACTGGGCTCGGGAGACGCTGATCGCGCCACCAAGCTGTATTGCGGTCATTGTAGAGGTCATCCAGCGCATCGCGACGTCCGCTATATGTGCTACTTTGAGGTATCAAAGGCTCTGTGTTATAAATTGCAAAGGGATACGTTTCATGCGCGAGATGTAACGTCTGTTGCTCGCTTATGGTGAGCGAGCGGTATACAACGCTAGGGGGAATCGGTGATTGTTGTGAGCGGTCGTTGCAGCTCTCGTCAATCAAGCCTACACCGAGATCGTTGCAGTTGTCGACATCCATTTCCGTGCTCATCCGAGCAGCTGAAAGCACTGAATTGGCCTCTTGGTCCCATGGCTCTGACATATATTCGCCAATGTTTGCATCAAGCTGGGCATGATCATTATCATCCTCTGAGGACTCCGCTGGGGTCAAAGTTGACACGCCAACTCGTGGCGCAATCTGATCACGTTTTGAGCATGACACACTGCTGATTGTATGAGGAGAGACACGTAGAGGTAGTGAGCGGTGCTTCTGTTAAGTAATAGTGAGCACCGAATCACGGCTTTTTGGCTGACTTAAGTTGGCGTACCTTCTTTTCATGAATCGGGATTCCCTCGGGTTCCTGCTCCTCCTTCTCTCGTGGGCGTTTGGGGGTATATGTAAACATCTCTAAGTTGGGAGCAGTATTGTGAAAGAGCTAGCTGTGAAGCTTTCAAATAAAGTGACTCCACCCACTCGAATGTGGAAATGGCAAGATGAACAGTGACCGGGACCCCCCTGTTTTTATAAAGAGATGGAAGTTTGGTACATTGGAAGATGCACTCCAGTTGCCCGAGCAAATGCAAGAGCTAAATTAAGGCGCAGTTAAGAAACATATGTTTGGATGCTCATTTTACCGGTTGAGGAAGATTATGATTGACTGAAAACGTATCCAAACCCGGGGTAGAAACACAAACCCGAAGCTCAGTCCACCAGGCAGTGGAAAGTCCAGAACTGGATCGATTGTGGCCTCAGGCAACTTACCAGGCAATCATCCAATGAGATCTAGTGTGATATTTTCATTGCTTACTCCGACCACGGCGCGCCACAGTGGCTGATTGCAGACTTGGCACAAACTATTGATTACCCAGTTACCGTTTGTGACGTATGTAAGATCGCATGTAATTGACTGAGTCGTAAATGTCATCAGACGGCCGCACACCTAGAGGAGTACTACAACAGGACAGTAGGTAGATCAGGGCTGGAAATTTTGCACCAGCTGATACCATAAGTTTCAAGGGGCAATGTCCTCTCTCATGGAATTCGCTGGTCGGGGTATCAGTGACGTCACCCAATGCGGTAGTTAACGGTAGCTCCGTCCGGGGTCGAATTTTGAGTATTCCAGTGCGTTGAGAGTGTCTCGTATGGGGGTAGTTTGACTCAGCTCCTATCTCGATACCTTACAGCACTACCTCAGAGAAGCTTATACGCGACGGAATGCTCCCTTCCACGAATGGGTTTGCCCTCGTGGCTCCTGCCTCTAAAGGCCTGGGATTCGCTTTCGCCCAACAGCTGCTGTCTCACACGAGATTACCCGTTATCGCGACTGCGCGGAGGAATTGTGAGGGAGTTCGAGATAGACTTCTCGAAGCTGTTAAGGATGATTCGGGCAGCATGAAAGAGCGGCTAAGGGTACTTCGTGTGGACGTGACTGGTATGAAAGCTTACTAGTCCGACCTCAAACTCTCTCCTTGTCCTGTGACTGAACAATATACTAGACGAAGCGATGATTCATGCTATGACCTCGTATATTCGACGGGAATACCCAGAGGCTGCTCTCCGTATAGCCATCACCGTTCCTGGTATCTTACATGTCGAGAAATCACCACAGCAAATCGATGCTGCCAGCGCCCTTGATAGCTTCAGGGTCAATGCTCTCGGTCCCATGCTCTTAATGAAGCACCTGGCACCTTTTTTGCCTACCAAATCGTCGAAGCCTTTCCCGGTAAACTCGCAATCTCAGGGAGGGGAGAGTCATGTTTGGAATCTCCCATCACATGCCATATACGCAATGATGGCAGCACGTGTTGGTTCAATCTCCGACAACGCAACTGGAGGCTGGTACTCGTATCGCGCCAGCAAGGCATCCGTCTTCCAGTTGGCGAAGACTTTTGACTTGTACCTACGCACTCGGAGTAATGAACGGGCTCTAGCGGTAGCGATGCATCCAGGTACCGTCCAGACAGACTTCACGAAAGATTACTGGGACGGGCGAAAGATGTTGCACCCATTCGATTCTGCTAATAGGCTGCTCCAGTTCCTGTTTGCGATGAGTCCCGCCAATAGTGATGGACGGGGTCGATGTTGGGATTGGAAAGGCGAGGAGGTCCTTCCATGAACGATGACGAGAGCCATTTACCGCCGTCTATCCATGCATGAATGCGGTTATCATCCGATCGTAGATCGCATATTCTGTTTGGCTATATTCAGCATCCCAGAAGGATAGTTAAATGATGGTCAAGGTACTTGTTCGCTGTTCGTTCGTGCAATGGATTTACAAGACTTGATTGCACCAGGGTCGGAAAGGAAGATAAATGAGGTAGACAGACTATTGATTCTTAGCTCGAGAAACTGAAAGGCAGTGGGTGACCCACAAGGACATGGAGACAGCGAACACTATTGGGAACAAATCATTCTGCTGCCTCAGAATTCAAACCCCAACTCAACAAATTGATTCTTGTTGCTCAATGAGATGTATCCACTCGGCCAGGGATAGAACATGCAGGATTGGCCGCTTTTTACTGCTTCTGGGAGAAGCGTTCTTCCCCTCCTCTCCGGCAAAACGCTTACACGCGGGCGAGTCCGAAAACACTACTCCGGCCCCAGTAAATGCGCACCACAGCCCTCATCCTTCCCATCCTTCCCTCTCGTAAACGCGCACTTCTCAAATCCCAGACGAAAAGGAGCTTTCCCGGCCAAGATAGCTCCTTCTTCTTGACCCACTGATCTGATTCTACTCGCTAGCAGCATCTGCAATTCGATTCATTCGACCGCCTCTCGGCTCCAGCCCACCCAGTAGGAAGCTTATTCCCTAACCCCTGGTTCCTCTGGTTGTCAGTCGCATGTGGAGGATATGCGGCCGTTAAACTATCCCCAGGTCCACACGGAACCTGCCGTCGTGGACCGCTTGGTAGGTCTCGCGTATAGGTAATTTCAAAGCATCTGTATTTGTGTCTCTGTGACTGAGCGAGCCAGCTCAGCCTCGACCTTGCAGACCTTCCCTGAGATAGGGTCGACCCCAGGATCACCATCGACAACCCTGGACGCTGATTGTCGGCTTGCGCGCCGCGACTTGTCCGGCACATCCGGCATGGTCTAACAGTGGAGGTCTATACGGCTTATGTGTGTCGGATCTTCAGAATTGCGTGAGACTGCTTAAGAGCTGCGAGAATAGGGAAAAGAGGGCGGGGGGTCTCCAATATCCATCTACTTGCTAAGTGTTGCCAGTGATCTGGGTGATTGAATATTATGGCCTCGAATACACCTTGCTGCCCAGCATTATAGGCTTATGACGTCTCCGAAATGGGTCAAGTGGCCGGCCTCGAATGAGAATATGATTTCCTCGAGTAAACATTCCAATGTTTGGGGATACCAGCGATGTCCTGCATTGCCTCCGAGACAAGCTCTCCAGCTTTTGGTCCAGATCATCAACTCCACTTGGGCTCCGATGTACTCCCTACTTGACTTGCAGTATGAACTGACAGGGAAGTGCACTAAGGCCGACAGGATGCGGTCTAGCGGTGAGAACACATCATGCTCAAAGGCAGCATGGAGATAGAACGCGGATTACAACCACCAGAACAATCCTTGGAATTTTTAGTGTCTGGGCTCGTGCTTGATCAGCCCCTACGGTGTCACCATCGGCAGTTGGCAGTCAATTTTTTGTATGCATGGAGGTCCACCCATGGGCGCATATGCATGCATACGAACCTGACCGCAATACAAAGGACGTCACCTCTGTTTACGAGGCAATGGGCTGCAGCAAGTCGGAATGTATTCTAGCTTTGCGAAGCCTATGCGAAACAGTCCGGAGTCCGGAGTCCTCTGACAATAGCCTCAAATTGTACTACCCGCCCTCGCTTCGGCAGTTCGAACCAACGGAGAAGGAAAGAGTCAGTCAGCATAAGACAATAACTACCACAACATGAGAGGAAGGTCAGTCAGTGAAAGGGAGAATGAGAAGACAGACAAAGCTGGCGAAAAGGTGGAGGAGAGGCACGGGCTGTATTGGTTACCAACAATACCGTATGATACCCCTGCCATACTAACTTTAATCACGGCTCCTAATTTTGTATTGTGTGAATCAGTCCGATCGCGGGGCCCACTTCATTGGGAAGGAGCGCGCTGATGACTGGACACTAACTATCATTTCCATCCCATCTTCCTCCGTCCATTATCTTCGAAAGAATGAGAACAAAATTCCTCCTCCCTCCTCCTCCTTCTCCTCTCACGTCACTCACTCACCCAATTCTCACCTCTCGCTAGCTTGACCTCTCCAATTGCTCTATAAAACAAATAGCTCGTTCCTTCCCGAGCTCTACTCTCACTGTTATTCATTCATTGTTCGATTACCCCTCCTTGGTGTAAAGCAAGCAATCAACCCATATCCTCAGCACACCGCGCGTTTTTCATTTTGCAATAATGCCTTTGATCAGCACGACGGAAATCAGCGAGGACACTCGTGGTGGGTATATATTGATATCCAAGTGTGTCAGAAGTCGCTCTTCGCTAATAATATCTCCTCCCAGTCCTAGGATATGATCCCCTTCTCTCCCCCCAGTTTCTGCAGACCGAGATCCCTGCTGTGAGTCATACCAGTACCGCATCACTTCCTCAGGCACAGTGGGTCCCATTCTCACACCACGATGCCTTTCATTCTGCATCAATTCATTAATTCATGGTATTGACTACTGTCTTAGCCTGCCCGCGCACTAGAGGCTGTCCGCGCCGGCCGCAACCAGGCCATTGAGATTATTGAGCAGCGAGATGACCGTCTTCTCGTGGTTGTCGGCCCTTGCTCCATCCACGACCCTGAGACGGCTCTGGAGTATGCTCGTCGTCTCAAGGAGCTCTCTGAGAAGCTCTCTGGTGATCTCTGTGTGATCATGCGTGCCTACCTTGAGAAGCCTCGCACCACTGTCGGCTGGAAGGGATTGATCAACGATCCCGATATTGATGAAACCTACAACATCAACAAGGGTCTTCGTGTCTCCCGTCGTCTCTATGCGGATCTGACCAGCATGGGCTTGCCTATTGCCAGTGAGATGTTAGATACCATCTCCCCCCAGTACCTTGCCGATCTTATTTCTCTCGGAGCTATTGGTGCCCGTACTACCGAGTCCCAGCTGCACCGTGAGCTCGCCTCTGGCCTTAGTTTCCCTATCGGCTACAAGAACGGTACTGACGGCAACCTGACCGTGGCTATTGACGCTATTGGTGCCGCCGCCCACCCCCACCGCTTTTTGGGTGTCACCAAGCAGGGTCTGGCTGCCATCACCAAGACCTCCGGTAACGAGCACGGTTTTGTTATTCTCCGTGGAGGTAACAAGGGCACCAACTACGACCGTGAAAGCATCAAGGCTGCTCGCGAGGCCCTGCGTGGCAAGAAGCAGCGCGAAGTCGTCATGGTTGACTGCTCTCACGGAAACTCCAACAAGAACCATCGCAACCAGCCCTTGGTCGCAAAGGAAGTCGGTGATCAGCTCCGTGAGGGTCAGGATGCTATTGTTGGTGTCATGATCGAGTCGAACATCAACGAAGGCAACCAGAAGGTGCCCCCGGAGGGTCCCTCCGGCTTGCGTAAAGGTGTTAGTATCACGGATGCTTGCATCGATTGGGAAACGACTGTTACTGTCCTGGAAGACTTGGCCGATGCCGTTCGTGCCAGACGTACTGCTAAGGCCAAGGGCACCACTGGTTCTTCTCAATAAGCCATGCGAATGAGTCAACAATTCAGGCGTGATCGGTTCCCTTTCGTTTCATTCAAAACGATTCTATTTAGATACCATAGCCAGGGCGCTCTTATTTTCCCTGTTCCTAATTCGGCGACGATAATGATTTTGTTTATCTATCCATATTCTTTTCATTTTCATTCATCCATCTACTTGTCCACATATCAAGTGCTGTGAGCTCTTAGCCTCTGGCATCTTGATTTTAGGGTCTTGGTTCACGGCGGTATCAAAAAAAAAAGTTTGGCACAATCATCTTGCTTCCTTGACGTTTGTTCGGGGGTTTTTCAATGGAGCCGGTACTTCGCAGACAAAATGAAATCTGCAGACTGACTAATGGAATGGAATCTCCAATTTGACACAAGCAGCTCGCTAGAGGTGTCGGATTACCCTCGTAATCCGCAAATGAATGACTACCATTGTAGTTGGGTCATGATCAAGAAAATAGAAATATATGTATATGTACATCAATATGACACAAGCCCGCAATTGAATTGCGTAGACCTCGCAGACTAAACAACAGCACATGAAATAATACATCTCGTAGCGCGCGCGCACATTCACACACCCAAGAAGAACAAAAACAAAACTAAACTAAAGCAAGATACGCCACAAACCCCAGATGTGGTAGAAGAGAGGAAGGAAGAGACGACAAGATGCCATGCAAGACAGGAAACGAGGATGAGGGAAGTAGCTGCGACTGGACGGTGACGAGGAACCTATATTCTCTTTTCGTAACCCAAATTTTCTATATGCTTTCCTTGATCTTCAATTTTGTCGGTTCACCGCCCAGCGAACCAGCTCTTCCAGCTTCGCGTCGTTTGCTTGGCAGCATCCTCGGCATTCGCCGCTAAAGTATCCAGCTGACCCTGCTGTGCAGGAACGAAAGTCTCACCCGACGCCTTCGCGGTGTTGATAGCTTCCAAGACGCGAGGCTTGTCGTCCGCCACCAGGCTCTCCGGGATGGGGTTGGGGTTTGCCTCGACGGGGGTCTCGTCCGCCTTCAAGCCCCCAAACAGGTACTGCTTTGCCTTGTTCCATGGACGCTGCTGCCGCTCCTCTTCCTTCTTCCGCTGGTAGATCTCGGCGATCTTCTCGTTCTTCAGCAACTCCAATTGTTCCGATGTGGCGGTTCCCTGAACGTAGGCCACCTTGGCGTCATGGAGAGTCTGCAGCTCCTTTTCAATCCACAGTGCCCGCTGACGGCGGTTATATAAAGAGAGAGATACGATGGAGTAGACTGTGAGGGCTCCGCAAACACCTGTTCGAGTATGTGGTCAGCCGCCTGACAATCTTCATCGCGGGGTGGGGGCAGTGCGGCCAAAAGGTTGCTTGCTACCCTCCCCCCCAACCTTAAATGTATGCGTCATGCCGGAACCCTTGTCCGAGTGCACAATTGAGCAAGGAAAGACGGTTCAACATACCCGATGCCGCAATGAGTGTATAGACCATGGTCTTGTGGGCCTTGTTTGCGACCCGACGGCCGAGGTCGATCATTTGATCCACGCGCGACGTTGACTGGGCTAATCGGGCAGCACGGGCTTGTGCTCGCAACCGCTCGACCTTCTCCTTGGGAGTCTCGGGTCTACCCCCGGATTGTCCACCCTGTTGCTGTTGAGCCGCATTGGCCATGAAGCTGGGGAGCTTGTAGGGAGTCGCGGAACCAGGCTTGGAGTGGGCATAGGGCCCCGTGGCTGTGAATCGGGTCGCGTCGGCGGCGGATCGGGACATAATGTTCGAATATCGATAGAGTATCGCTAGTGATTAAGGAGAAAGAAGAGACAGAAGGGGGGTAATGGGAAGAAGGGGGGAAGGAGGCGACCGGATGCGCGTGAGATGGATGGATGATGGTATGACCTCAAGTTGGACTCTGAATTTCGCGTGCTTGTCGGTAGCGGTGAGGGGGGGAATCGACCAAAACAAATATTGGATATCGACAAGCAGATATCAAATGAAGGCCTTCCTACGGCAGCCAAGGCCCTGGAGACAGAGTGCAGATCGTGGAGTTGACGAAGCTTCGCTGGGACCGGGGAAATTTTCAGTGGAGGAGGAAACGGGAAAGTCGATGGATGGAGGATTGAATGGAACTGCAGCCAAGCCGAGAGCGACACTAAGAAAGAGTCGGAGCACTTCGGCTCAACTCTATTCATTCAACTTGCAGCTACCCACGACAACAACAACAACAACAACAACGAAGATAGCAACTGCCTGTTTTCTCTCACTTCAAGCAGTTGAATCGCATACATTCTAAATCCCCTCTGCAATTATAAAAAACATGGACTACGACTCAGCCGATCTGACGTCGGTTTTGCGAACTCTCTCTGCGTTCTCCAACCAACAACTCCCCGCTCCATCTCTCAGCGATGACATAACGACCACCACCAATTCTCAAGTACATAGTCCGAATGATCCGCAAGACAGTGATTCATACGAGCCATCAGACATCTTACCTTCAATGCCCCTGACTCGCCAACAGCCACCGCAACAGCAGCCGAAATCTCTAAACCCCCAGACTCCCACTTACGCTCCCCTCCCACGGTCCCAAACGCCCCAAAATGGGACGACAGGCGACTCGACATCCATAACAACCTGGAACACAGCCCTTCGCCATGTCATGCGTACAGTTGCGCAAAATGAGAACCTTCAAGGCCGCATTCGATGGTTAATCCGCCGTCAGCACGATCATGAGAAGCAATGGTGGCAGGGCAGGGAAGCTTTGGTAGAAAAGCAACAAGCACGAGTGGACAAAAAGAAGGAGCTCGATGCTGTGCTGTGAGTTCAGTCTGAAGGCCACTACATTTTCTTGATTCTTCCCCCCTTCCCCGGGGGAACCGATTATCTCTGACTTTTTATGACTTAGACGCTCGGTTGGTGCACCAGTCGACGATACCAAACAGATTTCGGTACGTACTGCGCTGGTGCTGCTGTCCTGAAGATTAAGAAGATGGACAAGTTCGCGGATGCGCGAGCAAATGGCTAACCGGCTCTTGTGGTATTCGACTAATAGACGGCCGAGGAAGATCAAGCCGAACTTGCTAACTACGATACAAAAGTGTATAAAGCTTCGAGACAGATGGCCGATGCTATGATTGCGGAGCTGCGAGGATTGGGGATTCCTTTCTTCAGTATTAGGAAAGATCTGGTTCTGGGTGCTGATGCCAGGTCCGTGATAGTGAATCCGTTTGGCCAGAAAGAGACATTCATTACCAAGCAGGATTTGTCGCAGCTTCAACGACGGATGCTGGAACTGTTACTGGATCTTTGTGGGGAGCAGTAATCAATCTGCCCCACCCCACAACCGATAGGATATTGTAATCTGTGTCCTTCTGTCACTGATCTTGCGGTTTGTTGTAGTCGCTTGTTCGTATAAAGACGTGAATGCTGAATCATTGGGCATCATCGGTAAATTTGCAAAGAGTGGCAAGCCATGCTGGTATAAATCTTCGAGAGCCTCGTGAGGAGCGATACAAGTTCATGTACCACTCATTATGATTATGTACATCAGAGTGTATCAAAACAATCCTAAACCGTCTATCCCGTTCGCCATTCGGAATATGAAATGCCGCGCATGATTATTGATCCCGTATATGCAATGGAAACGAACCCCATAGTAAAGTACAACCCAAATGACGGCACGGGCAATGAACCATCCGAAGTAGAGTAGTAGGGAATGAAACAATTGACCTCCAACTGCCCGCAAATTGAAATGCAACAAAGACGACCATCACCGAACAGAAAATATCTAGAATGCAAAGAACCTAGAATGTAAAAAGTCTTGGCGTGCAAGACTGCTGATCGTCTGGATGGACTGAGAAATCCGAATTGCGCACCACAAGCACTATCGTTCGTCAGGCCAAATCTACCTCTGATTCTACTCAGGCTTCTTTTGCGCAACAGCCACGGCTACAGCAACTGCGGCTCCAGCTATAGCACTTTCCGGAGCAGGATCAAGGCGAATGTAGGGTCTTGCTGCCAAGTCGGATGACGGCTGCAACGAGTTGGTCTCTTTCACAAGCTGGTTCAGATAGCCTTGACAACGGTCCCTGAATCCAGGATATTTGTTGATGACGCTGCCATCGCAAGCGATCGACAGACTAAGGGGGCTACCTTCACTTTCGACCACTGTCACCTCCTGCGTCTCCTTGATCGATGCGGTGGCCGGGGTGGTGAGTTCGGGATACTCCGCCTCATTGCGCAAGCACCACATGCTGTGGATTGCCGTCGCCAGATACCCTGCGGCTCGATTCGAGACAGCCTGGCAGATGCGTTGAAGAAAATGCAAGTCCTCCACCGACGGAGGTGTGGCGAAGGTATGCTCTTTTTGCAGGAGGGCTGCCGACGGGGCCAAGCTAGTTGATGTATCAGCTTCTAGGTAAGCAACAATACTGGTATCGAAGGAGTAAGCGTCGCGCATCGAGTGAGGAAGATTGCCGCCGAACAGCTGCGCCGTCTCCACCGCTTCGATGATAATGAGACGGATGATTTCACCCAGATAACGACCGGTGATCATGTACTCTAGAGGCTGGTAATCGGGCCGAAGATGGGTGCGGTTAAGGATCTCGTCCCATCTCGACATAGGTAAAATCCCACCGCCAAACATGCTCATTTCGCTGTTGATGATAACGGACTTTGCGTAGTCGAACCAACCCGGAGGTCTGATGCCAAATTTCGTCAATCCGATTTGGTGCACAGGAAAATGGATCGCAACATTGGTCCCGGTACCCAGAATGAGGGACATACGAGTTGAGGGATCGAGATACGCGTGAGATAGAAGCGTTGCAGAACTGTCGTTCACAATGGCATCCACTTCAACGTTTAGGCCGCGGGACCTGCAGGACTGGACAATTAAATTGCCGAGCTCTTGCCCAACGGTGCCATTAGAACAATGAAACCCCTTGCCCATATGTATCACCAAACCGCTGCTTATTGATGTTTGTTCAATGGGGAACGACCAGGACAAACCCATAGAAAGTGGAGCATCCCCACGGCCATAATTCGTGCCTACTTCTTGTAACATGAAGTCGATCTTTTTCGCCATCCAGTCGAAGAAGCGCGTACCCTCCAACAGCTTGACATCATTGTCAATTGTAGAGGACGACACGTGAAGGATACGCAAGTCCCCATGACCGCGCAGCTCCACCAAGGCTACGCGAAGCGTGGAGCCACCCACATCCAGCGCCAAGTACGTTCCCTTCTCCAACCCTGAAGGTAGCGCATGGGTATAGGATGGCAGCATGCATACGGGACTGGCTTGAAGACAGGACTTGAATTGGGCGCGAATCTTGTCTGACATTGTGGTCATGTTTTGCACGGACAAAGGCGCCGTCAGTAGACGGTTAACCTCATCCGCAAAGTCATCCAGCGTTCGTCGTCCCCAATATGCCCCCTGAAAGGCTTTCCGACGTTTACGGGATGAGTCCCGGAAGAGAGACGGAAATAGAAGCATTGCTTCCAGGGCAGCAACAATGTTGGTGAAGAGTTCTTGCATTCTATGCAGGACCTTGACTAGGGGAGCTGGCATGGCGCAGGAATCGACGCTTCTCCCTCAAAAGTCCGGACAGCAGCAGCAACGGGTGACTTTTCAAATCGAGGTTGGCGGGGATGAAAAGAGTGGTGGTCAACTTCGGCAGGTCCTCATATAGCGCAGTGGCCAGCAAGAACAGACAGTCGTGAGTACGGGTGAGGACCACTTAAGTAGACGATAAACAAGAGGGCGAAGTAGACTTGTAGGGATCAATAAGTTAAGAACTTCCAAGGCTCTCTCATACAATGGCGCAAATTAGGAGTATAAGAGAGGGTAACACCGCTACAGCAGCACAGATCCTTGCACAGGCTGCAGTGGAGACGGTCTGCGGATCAACAAGCGGACTAATCGGTGGGAGATGATGAATGCTGTAGTGATGATTCAGAGATAAAGAAAAGAGACCACGGTCGAGCGGGATACCTGGATACCGCCCTTGGAGGGGAAAACCAGAGAGAAGAAAATAGATGCGTATCTATGTTACTTGGCCCCTCCTCCCACGGTGACTGGAGGGAACGGGTCAAAGTCAAACAAGATGCAGGGGTGGAAAGAGCTGGTTAGTGGTGAATAATTAATGTGAATGCTTTGGAGAAGAGGAGCGAACGAGGGGAATGGATAAGATTGCTGATGTTGTATTGAGAGGGAGGGTTGAGAGAAAGGAGGTGGTAGCTGCTGCTTGGTGGAGTCGTGGTATCTAGTTTGAAAGTAGATGAGGGTAATAGTGGGTGGAGAGGCGAAGGTGGATGTCGTTGTAAGTGTAATTGTAATTGTAGTTGTAGCTGTAGTTGTATGTGTAGTAGTAGTAGTAGTAGTAGTAGTAGTAGTACTAATAGTAGTAGTAGTGGTAGTAGTAGTAGTGGTGGTAGTAGTAGTAGTAGTGGTAGTAGTAGTGGTAGTGGTAGTAGTAGTGGTAGTAGTAGTGGTAGTAGTAGCCGTAGTTGTAGTAGTAATAGTAGTAGTAGGTGTTGTAAGCCCGATTGATTATTCTTAGTGGCAGCAGTCAAGGTGTGTGTGGTTCCGCGGTGGTAATCCGAGTCGTACCGGCACTTCAAGTCGAGGCAAGTAAGTCAAGGTATGTATGAATAACGCGTGGTTTCATTCCTCAGGTACATAATTCCGAGACAGGATGGGGAAGGAGGGAGGGAGGGAGGGGAAGGGGGAGAAACACACAGCGAGGGAGGGGGGGGGACTAGGATCGCGACGTATTTATTTATCTATCAGGGGCAAAGATAGAAATAAGTAACTCTAGGGGGAGGAGGAGAGGAGGAGGAGGAGGAGTGGTAAAGCGGCTCCTCCCAGGTTCAAGTGTGAAAAGATACCTAGTATTTGATCAGCTTTGCTTGTTTGCGTACATTGGGTGGAAAGTGGAAACACAGAAGGAATGGAAGTGCAAGTTAGTGAAGAGACCAGTGACTGACTGGACTTGCTTGGTGCAGGTATGGTGCCTGGTTCAGTGCAGTGTTTTGTATTGTACTTACCGGCTTCCCAAGTTATCCATGAATAATTCCTCAACTTCTCGAGTTTACTGGTGGAGACATTTGATTGCTACCTTACCCTTACAATTAACTCACCGAAAGATTAAGGTAGTATATCATTAGTCTCACCATGATCATCTTTGCTTAGCTTATATCCTTATCAGCTAAGGGCTTCTCAAAGTAAATGTGCATTTTCGTACAACTACTGTCTCAAGAGTGGCAAGGGTGGACTTCGGGGTTATGCTCTTTGAACAGCATACAGCCATTCTTAATGCTACAAAGGGAGCAAGAGATCTCAAGTACTATTGAGCATCAACCTTTTGCCAAGTATGGTACAAATAATAGAATACCTGAGCTTTCCAGCATATATATCTATTGCATTGTCACAATATAATTACTGTGCGAGCAGGCCTTTGCGCCCTCAGGGTGTGGATAAGTGGGAACAGATGGCGCAATAGAAGTCGATCCATCAACAGAGTTGCATTGATTGCTGGTTATAATACTGTTTCAAATCTGTTTTGGTATGCCCAATACCAACCTATTCTTTCTCTGTTGGGGCGATAGTGATCGATTGACAGTGATGATGACACACGATCTTGCCCTCCACATTCTCACATTCTCTGGTGGATTCTCGATGGTGGCTCTTTGCATTGCCGGATATTGGAGGTCACGATGGATAGCTATGATACTTTCTTACTCTTTTTCTTTTTTTTTCCCCTTCCCCCTGCCCCACGACCATTCCGGCAGGCCGAATTCCCTTGGCCCGATCATGGTGATGATGTTGATGATAATGTCGAATTCATGGGAAGTTGTCCTTTTTTTCTTCAATTCTTACTTCTTTTCCTTGCCTTCCAATTCTTCTTGTCTTGCCCCTCAGCAGGATCAGAGTGGTATGTGACACATCTGGTGGGTGCAACGGTGGTAGTCGGCCTAATCATTGTGGGCGGGAAGTGTTACACTGAGAGTTACACTGGTTTTTCCCCGAGTAATCTCCATTTTCATCGCCTTCCTTCCAATCATCGCCATCATCGCCTGACATCTTACATAACAGGCCCGTTTCCTCTCCTCTCTCCCTCTCTATGCATTGCATCAATTTTCACATCATCCTCGCATCTCATATCCCCTCCCCCTCATACAGCTCTACTTCCTTCTCTTAAATTTATCTAGCCATCGCAATTCCTCCCATAATAAAAAGACTCCCCCTTCTTGGTTCCACTTCCCTTGCTCCTGCATTCCCGGATGCCCTGCCAAGATACCGAGACACGTACTGCGAAGGGTTGAACCCTCGTTAGTCTCGTGCTAGGAGTCTAGGACAGTATCCATCGTTTATGTTTAGTCCTGTCAGATGGGCTCTGGATGAATCGAATGCAGCTAACACGTAGCTAATCGTGCCTTGGTCGGGGGATAGGGTCCCAGCCATCCACCTGGTCAACTTAGTAAGGGCGGAAGACATCGGTTCACCCTCATCCCGGTTTCGGGTGCCTGTCGCCAGTGTCCGATGCTATTCCAGTATGTCGTAGGCCAGACCGGTCACATTTAGCACTACTCAATCTAGGCAGCTTCCTCGCTGCAATCAATCATCAGGCTGGGAATTCTGCAGTCTCTGACAACATCAGGCACCTCAGGCCATGGCAATGTACCCGTGCCGATACGTTGGCTTCATCGTAGTATGGCCAGACAATCGATGGGGATAACATTTCAACAACTGATGAGCTGTCACCTCAGGTGTTACCTCGTCAGTCATACACTCTCGTGCACCGCAGGGAACATAGCACAATCACAAGTTCATGTGGGGCAAGCAACCGTAACCATGTAGATTATGCACCCATCGTAGACCCATGAGAATGTAACGATAAAAGAAGCTGCCGGCGGCAGTGGCATCATTTGTCATTCGAACCCCAGCGAGGCTTTTTAATGTCTGGCGTCAAACAATAAGCCATTGTGATACTGTCGCATGTTCTGGTGCGACATCTGGTATAATTCAACGGAAGCATTCTAATTCATCATGGGTGTTGCATGCTACCTTTCTTTTTGGGCTAATTGCTTTAGGCGACGTACTCCGTACCCGCAATGCACCTCGCCTCTGACGGGTCGAGTGATCGTGCCTGGAGCCTTTTGGCAGAGGATGGCCGCGATGTCGTAGTCACTCGGTTTGTTTGTTTAGTACCGAGTAGTGCATTAAAGTATAGGACTACCCAATAGCTTGCGCACTGCCACACTCTGTACGCGTCGATTTTCAGAAATTCATGAAGATGACATTACAGTGAATCCAAATGGCGATGATGGTTCAATCGATAATGCCTGTCCAGCCACTTCATATTAAAGCAGAACCTTTTTCTATACTAGAGCAATGGAGCCATACCAGCATCATATTCATTGTGAATATCAAGGACACCACTCGACCTTATCTCATCTCCTACTGTTCCACCGCATGCCGAAGCGACTGATCAGAACCTAGATGGACAGAATAGTTGCGAACGGGATCGGAAGACCAGGATATATGAGAACTAAGTCGAGGACTTGATCAACTTCCCATAATAGAGTCCACAGCTCAGGTACCCAGGCGAGCAGCAATGTTCAATCAAAGTGCAGGGCTGGTGGTGGTATGCGGTGTCAGTAACTCTAGTCATCAGGGCCAAGCAGAAATCACTTTTGAGAAAGTCCCACGTACTTGAAGTATAGTACGTACATATCCAACTATTTCGACAGCACAACTAAGACTGTGGTTGCAATAGTAGCTAGTCTATGCCACTCGAATGGATACATTCATTCGAACATGCCCGTCGTCGTTCCGTGGCATATATGAATCCATGTATGTGTACTCTCAAGCCACTGCGCATCGAAGTCTTCAGCTCGTCATGATAAAAATATCCACGTTATCAATTATCGTTCTCATCTGCCTTTCCCCGTTCGAACACCATTTTCGGCGCCATACAAGCTTATCTGGAGTTCATCACGGCATATCATCCCAGTACATCGCGTTATGTCCTTTCCAAGTGAGGAGCGACAAACCATTTATGTAGCATGCACGGTCATTTGACCACCGCGGCTCTAAATTGGGTTCAGGTTGCTCAGGGGCCCGCGAGTCGGAGCGGATGATAAGTTAGCAGAGGAATCGTGGTAGGGCCACGGAAAACAAGCGCGCAATTTCGACGCTCTGTATGGCGGGTTCCGGCCGACTTCATGTCTATGTCTTGGATCATCATCCCCAAAGATTGAAGCTGGTCAACTAAATGAGTGGCCACGGTCGATTCATCAACGAACTGAGCCCTGGTTTGTCTTTGGCTTATCACCCCTGACACCCTCTCTGAGTCTACCCGCGGTCGATGACTGGCTCTTCGCACAATAACCTTTTAGGCTCTTTGTGGGCTCTTTTCCGAAGATGCTTTCCGGTATCGATTAAAGCTCTTGAGGTCAGTTGCATCGGCAAAGGAGGGGAGGAGGGATGTCTCATGCATGAATACATTTAGACCCCGTGGTTGCGTGAATGTTCCATCTGGTATCTTGCCTCATAAGGCATGCTGTATGTTCGTTTTGGGTCCCTGTGTGCAGGCAAATATCCTTGTATCCACCATGAAATCCTTTGGTTTCCTCCACACAAACTTCATTATTGGAGCATTTGCGAGCGTTGCTATCCCATGCCCTATAAGTTCGGCTAACTGCTCGCTGGTTTTTACTTTAGCACCGTCTTTGCTTTCGATTTTGAAGGCTGCTGCCGCTGAACCCAGGGTGAATGGCAAAGTTTCAGATACTGCCCATGCCATCCAATCAAGGCTTGCAGGGAAGATCTCTTATCAGTTCGCTGCGGATGGCTCACTGCCCCTGGTGTGGAGGAAGATCGAAAAGATATTCGCAAACGGCCAGCATTACACTTTAGTCGAACTCGCCTTGGAGCTTGTTGCTTCAGGACTCTTGTCACCAGGCATTCTTGCGGGGCTCAACCAGTATCAAATCTCTCAGTTGAACTCGTTTGGTAACATGAATCCGGTATTAGCAGATCAACCCATATATCCTAAGAAAGCTGCCGAGGATGTGCCATATAGGGTCGCGGAGGACGCCCTCCGAGCCGCTATAGTTATACCAGACGATCTGGCCCAGAGGAAAAGTGGAATCAAGCCTGTACTCCTCATTCCCGGCACGGCCGTTCCCGCCGGCCCAACGTTTCAGTACAAATTTGGAAAGCTACCAAAGGTCATACCCAAGGCAAGCATGGCCTGGGCCAATATACCTTCCTCCTCTTTGGGGGATGTCCAGGTCAACTCAGAATATATTGCGTACGCTATTAATCATATCTCAGCACTCTCGAAGAGTAATGTGACCATCATAGCCCATTTGGCATTCAAGTATTGGCCGTCCAGGCGTGAGGTGGTTGAGGACCTAGTTGCCATCAGTCCCGACTTCCACGGGACTATGGAAGCAACACTTGTTTACCCATTTTTCTCGAAAATCATCTGTGCCCCTGCCATTTGGCAGCAGGGGTGGCGCGCCGACTTCGTTAACACGTTGAGACGAGTTGGAGGGGATTGGCGTACGTGCCCACGACGACCATCTATTCCTCGTACGATGAAGTTGTGCAACCGATGAGTGGAAAGCAGGCTTCCGGGATTCTTCAAGGTTTCCCAATTGCGGACGTGTCCAACAACCATGTGCAGACCATCTGTCGGAAACGGCGCGGTGGCGGTGTTTACACTCAAGAGGGGCTCCTCTACAGTTCTCTGGCATGGGCACTTGTCGTCGATGCGTTCCAGCATGACGGCCCAGGAGACCCATCCCGACTCAATCTCACGATGGTGTGCGAGCAATGGCTCCCACCCCATCTAGGTTAAGATGATATCCAGGGCACGGAGGGAATGGTTTTGGTGGCTTTGGCTGAAGTCCTCGAGTATAAGCCGAAGATATCCCAGGAACCCAACATCATGGATTATGCCTTGTGAAAGCTGTGCACCCAGATGGTAGGTAGGGGGTACCAACTGATCTGTTATTGTGCGCGAGAATTAAGTCCTGTAAGGTTGATGTTAACAGCCAGGCCAATAGTCAATGTTTCATATCTATCCGCGATCCGTAGCAAGATCAAATTGGCGAGTCAAGGGGTACAAGTGGGCTTGAGAAGTTTACGGATTCGACTACTGACGCCGTGGGGATACCTAATGCAGTGGGACTCGACACAATGAGAAGTGTATTTTCAGCCTCGTCGTCATGTTGGTCTTCTTTGGGTGGTATCAGGAAGTATCCATGGATTTGTTTTGACGAGGGGCGGTGAAGTCCTCGTAGCCATGGCCTACGTTGATCTTGGTGTACCCAATGCGAGGACCTGCTGGAACTATCTGCTTAAGTCTGAAGCCTTAGTATCCTTCATTACTTTATCAGAAAAACGGTGATATCCAAACACTAAACAAGTGCAAAAGGAAGTACAAATAGAAGTGCAAACAGCTGGGATTACCCGTAAGTCATGACCGATAGCACGCAGTCATAACTCTTCCGGTCTCACAGCTTCAGATACGGATGGATGTGGGCTAAGCTCTGCAGGTCTTCCGCCTCAGTACTCACCAGTTCTGGATCAACCCGGCTCGCTGTATCTTGTCCTCCAACATCGACAAGTCAAGCATCACAATTTCCATCACCCAGAACATCCCCGGGTTTAACGTCTCTTCATTAAGACTCATTCGATGACGAATCAGAAGGGCGACAGAGATCTGATTATGCTACTTCTGGCGCTCTGCAAGACTCTCCTCAAGACCGACCCGGATCCTATCAGAAAGTGATATAGCAGACGAGATGTAGGCATCCAGTAATCCACAATGCAGACTTCCCGCCCCAAGATCGCTCCCAGTCTGGGTGCCCGAAGGAAACTGAAGTTCTCAGTGGCTCGGCTAACTTCTTCGGCATCTTGATCTCATTGCGCAGCGGACGAGTGTTATCTGCGTGCTTGTAGGTAAAGCTCGTATTTATTGGTCGTTACTCCATGCACTTCAAGACACACTTTGCGAAAATCCTCGACCTCCGAGAATTCAAAGACGGAAATATCGGCCAGCAGGCGCTTCTATCATACCACCAAGTCATTCCAGGCAATCCAGTCAATATCTTCGCGATTTTTGTGCCAGGGATGGACTAGTATTCGAAACGTTATCGTCACCTCGTCCTCGGAGAGAACCTTTCGGAAAGCAATCTCTGACCGGTCGCCTGTATGGGACGAGCAGACTCAAAAACCTAGCAAACATCAAATCTCATTGGATAAAGGTATGGTCCAGTTAAGTTGACCAAAAGGGAGAAATAATCTGGAAGAAACGTGATAGTACTCCATCGGAACCTCACTTTGGTGGCATAAGTCAAGAAATATCTTTGCTCTTTGATCCTGGTGTGCCGTCCTGATCGAGGTCTGGAGGTTTTATAAACTGCCTGGGTGAATCAAGTCAATCTCTCTCCTTCTTCTGCCGTTTGTACAGCAGACAATACTCGTCTGTTACCTTCGATCGACTGCACAGATAACAATGAACTCTGGGGTGGTGAAGGATCTGTAATCATATATCAGTAGTAGTCAAATGAATAGACTAGATCTACGCTTTCTACCTTTGAGACCGGTATGTTCGCTGATATCGTATAATTATCGAGGCATACTATGTCATTCGGAATGGTTGGTGCGCCATCTGGCGGTGCATCCTGCAAATCAGCCTCCCTCCACCACGCAATGGTGTTCTAATCTTGTAAGCTCATTGAAGTGTCAGAAGAGACGCAGACATTGTCATTATGAGATAGTAATCTTGTGAATGGGGGCAGTTCCATCATGAACGGATGGATGCATTTGAACAAGGATGTTATGGATCATGGATTCACTAATCACTATATAAATTAGTTACTAGAATAGGTATAGCTAACTAAGTTCGCCTGGCCGTTTTGCAGTGAGCAACGGCCACACTGGCTCTGGAGGGGATGCCATGCATGCATACTTGTGCCAAATCCGTTCTTATAAGTAGATTAAACCTCCGTCAAATCCGGAGCACCAGACAACAATCGGGATGTACGACTTGAAAGCGAGGTTTTTCTGATCCGAACCGCGGGTCAGCCCCAAACCCGTTCCCTTCTTCATGCTTGGTAACGAGTTCTCAGGAAACAGATTTTGCTAAACAATTTCGCCAAGCTCCTGGAATGTCGCCAATTGACAGCACGACAGCAGGACAGACGTCTTTGGTCTAGATTGCTCCAAGTGAAATGACCAACGTTCGAGATCCGATCCTACCGAAAATGAGGGGAAAGGGGGGAGAGTGGGGGGAAACAAAAAGAGGCTTTTCACTACTCCTGCAAATCAAGTACCTCCAACATAATGCAACCTCCCCCAATAGAAGCGGGGCCCCAGGCGCGCGTACACACTGGCATATATATAATTCATAACAAGTGCTCATCATTTAGACGAGAACAGGAGCAAAATGGTTGCGAGCATACTCATTGCGTGTGCCTGTTTGTACTGAGTACAAGTATGACGAACGGACCATGGAAGTGTTTCCAGTTCCAAGCATCTATTGTTTCCACACTGTCCACGAATCTGGAGGAATCGTGGGCCTCAGCTCCACCTTCCGAAACGCCGCCAAGAGTGTCCGCCTCGCCTGATCGTCAGCGTCCATCTCAGCCATTACGTTGTCACTGGCCGTTCCTGGCAAGGTTGATGGTGTGTCCTTCGGACTTTGCGGAGTCTTAGCCTATCGCAATGAGCGTTGGCCTCGACCACATCCCGTTTCGCTTTCTAAAGTGGTTCTTTTGCAGACGCCAGCTGACGGAAACACTGCACGACTACAGCTGGTCTGGCTGGTTTGGCTGTAGCTAACTCAACCTCCAAACATGGGACTCCGCCCCCCCCCCCCCTGCCTGGGCAGATCTCCCGATTATCACTCTGGTCCGATTGGGGTTTTGTCTTTGGGGTTGAATGACGACCAAAGCCATTGATCTGACCTTTTCTCTCCTTCTGGCGGCTACTCTTTCATTTTCCTTTCTCTTGTTTATTCTGGCCTCTCATTTCATTCTGTTGTCCATTGCTTTGTGTTCATCTCGTCGCTTGCATGTCACCTGTGGAGGGGATCAATCCTCTCCTAGCCACTCGTTCAACATGTTGTTATTCTGGGTCTTGTCGTTATTGGCCTTTCAAGGCGTACTGGCAAAGGCCGAATCCGATAGTGATTTGATGTCCTTTATCACGGTAGGCCAAAAAAGAACAACACCGATGATCATCTATCACTAATGATTGAGCAGCTGCCGGAAGTCAGGGCCCTGAGATTCGATATTGCCTACTACGATCGCGCGGCTGTCAGCCCGGGGTATTGGTTCGTTGCGCCGTATGGCGTGATTGACCCAGAAGCACCCACGAAGCAATGGAAGCCTTGCCAAGTTGGGCCCTACATATATGATCCAGATGGTGTATGTACTGATTTTGTTTCTATCATCCCTTCGACCTTGGTACCGTGCTCTGTTGGCTCTCTATTCAGCGAGGAGCCGAGATGTTCAGTCAAAATAGCCTCGAACCTATAGAATGTTAAGCTTATCAAGTGTGGATCATTTAGGTTCTCGTCTGGGCCGGATCATGCATGTTCGACAATCGCAACATATTCGACTTCAAAGCCGTGAACAATATTAACAACGAGTCTCATCTTTCGTTTATCCTTCAGCATGGGTACGATTCCGGTGCCGCAGACAAAGGATATGGATACATCCTTAACCAGCATTATGAGCCAGAGAGTGTGGTTGCGGTGACAAACGACCTTGGGACGTTCAATATGCATGAATTCAACGTTCTCGATGGCGGAAAGACAGCGCTTGCTTGCGCCTACCGGAACGAATACGTGGATCTAGGAGATCTCGGTCGACCGAACGAATATGGATGGATAGTTACTGGGGGGCTCGTTGAGCTAGACATCGGGACAGGCGAGGTCCTGTTTGAGTGGAACTCACTGGGCTACATCCCTATCCATGAGTCGGTGAAGGTGAATGCCGACTGGGCGGCATCCAATGAGCCTGGCTGGGACTACGTGCATGTCAACGCGGCGGACAAAAACGCGGCTGGGGATTACCTGTTGTCTGCCCGGTTTACGAGCACGATTTACTTAATCTCCGGAGAAGATGGACGCATTATCTGGCGCTTGGGAGGCAAATATTCGGATTTCGTCCAAGATTTCACTTTCTCCAAGCAACACCATGCGCGGTTCGTGGAATCTAACGCCACGCACACGACCATCTCTTTCCTGAATAACGCGTCCGATGAGGCCGAAAATGAGGAGACCGTTTCGGCCGCGATGTTCGTGCAGGTTGATACGACGACCATGACGGCCCGCCTCGTTGATCGGTACGACCGGCCGGATGGCGACCTGACCCGGCTGCGGGGCAGCGTTCAGAGGTTGCCCAATGGTAATGTCTTCGTAGGCTGGAGCGAGCGAGGATACCAGAGCGAGCATAGCCCCGACGGAAAGGTACTGATGCAGGCCCATTTTGCGTCCACGCGCTTCTCCTCTTACCGGTCGTACAAGTTCCCCTTTGAGGGTCGACCAAGCCAACCGCCGGACGTGGTGGCGTCAGTGTATGGAACAGACGAGACGGATATGACAACCATCTTCCACGTCAGCTGGAACGGTGCAACAGATATCGCGTACTGGAACTTCTATGCGCGTGTTGATCCCCACGGCCTCCCGGTGCTGATTGGCAACACCACCAAGTTTGAGTTCGAAACCATGTATATCGCCGAGGGCTACCTGGACTGGGTATCGGTGGAGGCGGTCGACGTGGCTGGCAACGTTCTGGGTACGTCCGAAATTCACCGGACGGACACGCCACCAAATTGGCGTTTGGCCGGATTACAGGGCGATGCGAAGCCCACGCCGGACGATCCAGCCATTCTATATGGAAAGCAAAAGGTGCCAGAGGCGGATGTGGAAGAGGTGGACGAGGCGTATGAAAAGGCGCAGGAGGAGGCCAAGGCCGTTGACAAGGCCTACGAGATCATTCACGGGGTGGGTGGCCTATTGATCGTTATTCTGGTGGTGGGCTCCGTAGGTGGGCTCCTGGTGGGCATTTACTGGGTGCTTAACCAGCGTCATGTGCGAGCATACTATGAGGTTCCGATGGAGGAAAGTCAACGTTTGACAGAATCGCATTGATCCACATTGCCCGAGGGAAGTTGCATTTGTGCGATTGATATATCTATGGGTGTTTTTATGTTTAAATTGTTTGTTTTGGGGGGGGGGGGGGGGGTAAAGTAAAGCGAGGGTTTGATGTAGACTACTGTATTGTACATACCATTTACATATTTATTATATATTATAAACTGATATACCCACAATGTTCTACTATAACTATACTTACTTCATTGAATTCTGTTCGAATTGGCGCTAATCCACAAACAGCAACAGTCTGCAACAGCTGAGCCTGGCTCACTCAGGCTGGCTGGCACAGCACCTGCAACCAACCCATTTTTTTTTACCGTCAACTCCCAATCGATTGGCATTACAATCAACCTCCGCCTTTTCTCTCTTCAACATACTCCTCATCATCTGAAACCCCATGTTGGCCTCAATTCGCACTGTTCTTCGCCCACTGCGTGTCTCTTCCGCTCGTGCTGCGCCCGGATCTGCTTATCGGGTGCTTCTCCAGCAGCATCCCCAGTACCGCCCCTATTCCGGCCCCTCTTCTTCTTCTTCTTCTTCTTCTTCTTCTCCTTCTCATCCCTCCTCATCTTCTTCCCCTTCTTCTTCCCCTCATTCTCGCCCTCAATCTACTCAATACAGTCGCTCTCAATTTAAAGTCCTTCCGTTCGTCATCATTATAGGCCTCGGATCCGGTTCCTTTATTCTACTCTCGAAATCCCGAACAGGAGTGCACAAACCCAAGCCATCCGAGACCGCTTAAGTGAGTGTTACTGTATGTACAGTACTCCTCCAATTCTCCAATCTACCCCTCCTTCCCACTTCAACCTCCCCTCCCCACCAAACTAATATTCTCTCTCTTCCTGAACTATCAGAAACCAAATCGAACGCGCTTTTCCCCCTGGCTTCCTCCATCTCCGACTGTTTTCTCTCCTGAAAACATCCTCAAGATGTCCACCCCGCGGTTTTCCCCCACCACTATAACTGTCGTCTTCGTTCTGGGCGGGCCCGGCAGCGGTAAAGGCACGCAGTCGGCCAACCTTGTCCGCGACTACGGCTTCACCCACCTGTCCGCCGGGGACCTGCTCCGCGCTGAGCAAGTCCGCGAGGGCAGCCACGCCGGCGACCTCATCCGCACCTACATCCGCGAAGGCAAGATCGTGCCCATGGAGATCACCGTCAAGCTGCTCTCCGACGCCATGGCCGAGACCCTGACCGCCGGCACCAACCCGGCCGCCGCCGCCGGCAGCAAGCCGCGCTTCCTGGTCGACGGCTTCCCCCGCAAGCTCGACCAGGCTGTGTTCTTCGAAGACACTGTTTGCCCCTCCGAGATGACCCTCTTCCTTGACTGTCCAGAGGAGGTGATGGAGAGCCGCCTCCTCAAGCGCGGCGAGACCAGCGGCCGCGACGATGACAACGCGGAGAGCATCCGGAAGCGCTTCCGTACCTTTGTCGAGACGAGCATGCCCGTCGTCGAGGCCTTCGAGGCACAGGGCAAGGTCGTCTCTGTGAAAGCTACGGGTGATGTTGGGGAGGTTTATGAGCGCATTCGTGCGGGGCTTCGCGAGAAGGGCCTGAATCCTTTGTAGGTTCCTGGTTGGGGAAAGCACGAGCTGTGTGGGAGACGTCCCGGGGTCAGTGTCGAAGGATTGTTTAGGCGTGTGGTATGTGTGAGATCTTTTGCGTCAGCGTTCTGGAGTGCATATCTATATATATCGATATATACACTGTGTATATAGTGTTGGAGATTTGATCAATCTGGTTATAGATTTGTTGTTTGATTGACAGCCTGCCAGGAAATCGCTGTAACACCGCGCTCTTTTGATCTATGTATTACAATCTCGGAGTCCGAATTCCCACGAGGATTTAGCCTTTCCCTCCGCGAAGACGAGCATAAGCCGAAGGGAGGTGCATCTTGCCATCATCACAGGCAAAAGACAAGAGGGTCGTTTGACACAGTCGATTCTATCCTCCACTTTCTAAGTACAGCTGACCGGCTCGCTTCTAAAGCTAACGTGAGCTACCTCCGTGACGACCCCAGCAATCGAGCCATCCATCCATCTAAATGCGACGGTGAAGAAGAAACATTCCAGCATTGAACATAATAAATCAGTTACAAACACCCAATCCATAGACACGAAGAATTAGCGTTAACACCGCTGCCCAGCCATGACACAGAGATACTTTTAGGTCTTTCTTTTCTCTTGCTCGTTCCCGACTCCGTCTGCGCGGGTTAAGGGTGTGGTATCTGGTAGATAGTAGGTCAAAAGACAAAAAAACAAGGTATGTAGGTCTCATCATCAGTCATTGATCCTCGCCCGCATTTCCGTCCTTCCGTCATTTACTCAGCCACAGCCTCCACGGGCGCACTGACGGCTGGAGCAGCCGGAGTCGAAGACTGGTTGTTGTTGTTGTTGTTGTTACCTTGCTGGCGACGGCGGTCACCGGACTTGCCCTTGTCGGAGGACTTGCCCTGGGCAGCCTCCTCGGCCGCTTGGGCCGCCTGCAGCCCCTCGCGCACGAAGCGCTCACGCTCGGAACGGACAACACCTAGGACACGTTCCAGGCTGCGGCGCCAGACCATCAGGCGACCCTGAACCTCAGCCCACTGCTTCTCGCCGAAGACACGGTAGGTGGCACGGTGAACAAGGAACTCAGAACGCAGCTGTGACAGCTTACCCTCAACGAGACCAGCACGGATGGTGTCAATAACCCACTTCTCGACATCCTCGTCCGAAACCCGCAGCGCGTTGGCAATGGTGGCATAGGGCAGCGAACGGGAGGGAGTCGCGGCAGCCAGCGAGGCCAGGGTGAGCAGGCGCATCTTGGTCTGCAGAGCATCGCCGGCCTCGGCCAGCACGCCACCCGAGATACCGGCCAGAGGGCTGGTGGTAATGAGTGCCTCGTAGGCGTCAAGGGTGTCGGAGGTGAAGATCTCAAGCAGCTCGAAGAGGGTACTGTCGCTGGCGCGAAGGGCCTGCACGGCGTCGGAGGCGGTCAACGGGGTGAAGTCGAAGACAGCGGGAGAAGTGAGAGCGGAAGTCAGGGCGCGAACTGCCAGCTCACGGGCCTCAGGGCTGGCGGCCTGGGCGGCGGGAATGGTCTGGAGGGCCTGGAAGACATGGGACTGAGACAACTCGGCGTCCCCAGCGGCCTGGGCGGCATCGGCAATCGCCAGGTGCAAGCGCTGGGCCTCCTCGGCCTCAAGCTCCCAAGCGGCGAGCCAGGCGGGCAGCTGAGAAGTCAGCTGAGGCTTGAGGGCGTCAAAAGCGACGGAGGCACCGGCCTGACGGATAACGGCAACGATGGCCAGGAGAACGTGGTAGCGGCTAGAGTCGGTGGGAGCGAGGGTGTTGAAGATGGTGGACAAAACGGAGATGGCCAAGGAGGGACCGAACTGAGGAGAGGCGGTAATGGGTTTGGCGAGGTAAGAGCAGATGCGCGAGAGGAACATGTCCGGGTCGGAGGCCTGGTGGACGAGGTGAACGAGGAGGTTGTAAGCGGAGATAATTTCTGGTTCAGGTCAATTCCGTCCGTGTGTCATAGTCATATTGTGCATTTCCCCCGCAGCACCAACAAAGAACTGCTTACCCTTCTCGGGAGCCGCATTCAAGGCAGTAGCGGCGGTGACCAACTTCTTCAACACCTCATCCCGTTGCTTACGGTCGGGTTCAGCATCAGACTGTTCCTGCTGGCGCAGAGGTTCCAACAGCGGGGCGATCTCGGCCTGAAGATTGGAAGCGGCGGCGTCGGGCTTGCGAAGAGCATCGATGTACTGAGCGAACTCATCGGCAAGTTCCGTGAAGGGACCCTCAATGAGGAGGGTGGTCGAAGGAGCGGGCATCGTGGTAGTCTCTTGAGAATTCGATGTCGATAGATCGATGGATGGTGTGGGGGGAAAGGGAGGGCGCACTGGAGGAGAGGCGGAGGGGAGGAGGGGGGAGGGGAGCGGAAGAGGAGAGGAGAAGGGAAGGGAAGGAGAAACCGGAAAGAAATTGAATGTAGGTAGGAGATAAGAGGGGGGAGCGCAGGAGAAGGAGGGGGTTCCACCAAAGGAAACAAGATCCAAAAGGAGAAGAGGAGGGAGAAGCGAAAGAAGCGAAGATGGGAAAAGGAAAGACAAGGAAGAAAGAAGCAGAACAGAGATTGGGCGGTGGAGAAAATTGCGTTGTGGGAAAAAGTCTTGGCACCGCTTCTTTCTGATGGCAGAATGTTCTTCTGTTGCGACTTCCTCGTAGCTTCCTCCAGCTTTCTTCCCTCACCACCTAGACAAAACTGTTTCCCCAGTCTATTACAACTCATACTCTTCGACAAAAGACGAGAGAAATGCAGCCCAAGGGCAAATTATTAGATTAATGTGCAAGGATTGACCGCTCCTACGGGCGCCAGAGCTGGGGGGGGGAAGGGGAATAATCGTATGTGACATCAAGTCGTAGAACATGCAACAACAGCAACAGCAACAACAACAACAACAACAACAACAACAACAACAACAACAACAACACCAACGACCACCACCACCAGCATCGCCTTCCCCGACAGATATTACCACTACAAAGTCTCTGAGAGATTTCATGGGAACCGAATCAAAGATCCCAAGCAGAAACCACCGACATCAGATATGGGAACGGGCTGAATCACCAAATTACATGCCCCCCTTACACGGGCCGTTCTGACTCTCAACCATTCACTTACAGCACCAGACGCAATCCCACGAACAAGGCCGTGGCCAACAGACCGGTGGCATGCTCCTGAGCCAGGCGAACGGCGGCATTGGCCGTAGAAGAGCTGCTAGTGCTGCTCGTGGTGCTGGTCCCAGTGGCCGTGCTAGACTTGTCGGTGCTGGTGCTGGTGCTGGTGGCTGTGGTCAGACTAGTAGCGCTCGAGGTAGTGGACGAGGTAGTCGATGAGGCCGACGCGTTCAGGGTGCCGCAAGTCTTCTCGTAGTCCTTACAGTGCTCTTCCTCGGTCAAGCTGGATGAGTTGCTAATGCACTGGGCATAGTTGGCCTGGCAAACGTAAAAGGGAATAGTCTGCGCATACAAGGCCACGTTGGCGGCTGAACCGTTGGAGCAGATACAGGAGAAGTCAAGGGTGGTCTGTTGCGACATTGTGAGTGATACCTCCTCCCCTTCAATTGGTTCGGCTATGCCCTTACCGAATCGCAAGAGTTGCTGGTAGCGACTCCACCACAAATTTCAGGGCAAGAGTTGCGCTCCGCGGTACACCAGGAGGCTAGGATGACGAGTCAGTGAACGCTCAGGAAGAAAACATCACATGCCAGCCTACCGCGGGTGGAAGAGGTGATGGCGCTCAGATCAAAACCATCGGGCAGGGTATAATTGCCAGTGGAGGCGGCAGTGGCCGAGGCAATCAGGCCAAGAGCGAAGAGTGAGGAGGCCAACATGATGAAAAATGGGGAAGATATTCAAATAAGTAAAGGTAAGGAAGTGATTTCTCTGACACAGTCGCAATTGGAAGATGTGTAAGGTAAGAGTGATAACAGTTACTGTAGACGGGGAAGATGCTATTAGTCCGGCGACGAAAGGGGTTGAGGGACACCGGGGGAGGGAGGGAGTAATTGACTAGAAAGAGAAGCAGAGAGAAAAGGAGAAGGAGGAGAAGGAAGAAGAGGTGATGATAAGAAGGCAGGAAGAGAGAAGAGGAGAAGCTGGAGGAACGAAGCTAAGCCGAGGGGGAAAGAAGCAGCAACAGCAACAGCAACAGCAACAACAACAAGATTCAAGAAGGTGCCACAGGCAGTTTAGTTCCTTTTCTCCAGTCTTTCTCTCTATCTGTCTGCATGCCTTTCATTATATGTTTATTTGTTTAGGTTGTCACCCCCTTCCTCTTGGAATCTTTTCCCTTTTTTGGGGTTCCGCTATTTCCTTAGTATTTCTATCTTTGTGCTTTCCCCGCAACTCTCTCTTTCTCTTCTTTGCCTTTAATTTCTCAACCTTGATTTTTTGTCCGTGGTTGCCGCGTGAATGAAATATGACTACTATCAATAACAATGGGAATTTTTCCGTGCACTAGCGAACAGGCTAACATGACTAGTCTAGTCGACGGAAGATGGAGACAGGCACTGAAGTCCTGGTGTACGGTGGTAAATTGTTATGGCTGGTGCCTTGATTTATGCTCACCAATTCCTGATCTGATTGGTTGGACTACCCTAGGATGCGAGGGGAGCTTGGAGTCAAAATGAAAGAGAGACTCGTCTGGTATAAGTAGTGCTTTACTAGATGAGACCGTGCGATGTGCAAGATGACTCCTTCCTGCAGTTGCCGCCGGGGGAGGGGGAGGGGGAGGGAAGAATGAGAAGCAGAAGTGTTTCATCGTGCTGCCTCTCTCGCTCTTCATCTCCTCCTCTCTGTCTCTCTCTCTCTCTCTCTCTCTCTCTCTCTCTCTCTCTCTCTCTCTCTGTATGTGAATGTCTCACCCTTTTCTCCGGTCATTGTTGCACTAGGTCATGCGATCCAAGTGTTTGCTTGTCTCTCCCTGCGCTTGAGAGAAGAATGTGGCCCAGCCAAGTGATGAATGAAGGAACGAATAAAGTGGCTGGTGGAACCACATCAGTTTGGTTGAGTTTGCTGGTGATAAGCGGAGAGGAAAGAAAAAGAACCGTCGAACCCAATTGAGTTTGGGGGCCTTGGTTTAGGGCCGGCACTAAAGAATTCCCTTCCCTCGTTAAGAGTCTAGTTTCTCTTAGTCTTGCTTGGTCGCAATGGAACCGGCCATATGTATGTCTGTGTGGCAATGTGGTCTGCAAGACTGCTTGCAGATGTGCCAGTATGCCCAACCTGTGATGATTCCAATCATTTCCCAATAATCCGCGCAGATTATCCTATGAACTCAGCGGATTGGATAGGAATTAGTCGCCGGGCGAGAGATTTGACCCAAGTACTATCATCTGGTACCTAAGGTACGGTCAAGTAGGTAGGTACTAGACTAGAAGCAGATCATCCGAGGCCCGAAGCCGAGGATCCAAAGCAGACCAACCAAGCCGTACTTACTGTATCTTACATCAATCTTCAATGGTAAAGCGGACAAACACAGCAAACTCTTGAGATCCAAGTGTATTAAATGTACTGTATCATACCGTATACTATACTCTGAATTACAGTACCAGAGCCAGGCGCCGAATTTCCCCCTTCAGCTTCATGGATTCAACTCATATTCTCAAAGCGGGTTTGCTTATTAGATAGAACATTGTCTGGCTTCGTCTTTCTTTTCCAAGAATTTCTCAATTGCCCTTTTCCTTCTCCTCTCCCATAATATCTCACATTCTCGCACACGTCATGTCGCCTTCAATATCGATTCTCAACCAACCACATCTCCCGGCTCTCGAACCATTCCGCGCCGCCGTTCCGCCGGTCTTGACTCGGTTACTGCACCATCCCGACTACTTCCCCATTCGCACCTGGTCACGCATCTTCAAATCCGACTCCGGTGAAGATGGCTATTTTGCCAACACGCTCGCTTCCCCTTCTACAATCCCCCATGTTTGCACCCTGCGTCGTCAACCAGAGCTGCTCGCACCTCTATCTGATGCTGCGCCCGCCTGGCCCGCTCCCACCTCTGTGTCTCAAATTGAAAACCCAGACCTTTACCTAGTCCTGCAGCTAGCCACCCCCGGGATCTCCGGCCATCCTTCCACCGCCCATGGCGGTCTCTTGGCAACCTGCATCGATGAGGCCATGTCCTATGCCGTCGCATTGCGTGCCCCCGAGACAGGCGCCGCCGGGGCTCTCTCCGCCCACCATCCCCGCGGCATGCTCTACACTGCGCAGCTAGACATTCGCTATCGTGCTCCTGTCGTTGTACCAAGCTATACGCTTGTTCAGGCCAAGGTTCTGGCTCGGGTCGGTCGCAAGTTCTGGGTGCATGCTCAGATCTTGCAGCCAGATGAGATGGCTGAGAGCCAGCTGTCCGTTACGACCGATGCTATAGCCTTCTGGCTGCAGACGAAGGCGTCCTTATAGACGCAATGTGGGCGGCGTCTCTGGAGATACACGACCTCATTCAGCATTCAGATCATTGATAGACTGTGCTGCCTTCGTCTTCTTGCACATATATAGTTATATACTCATCTGTCGATATCCCGAAAGACAAGAGATTCTCTATCTATTGATGTATAATCATATTTTTATATTCAGGATCATTTCTCACAACATAGGCCCTCTGACCCTCTTACAATCTCGGCCGCTGGCCCACATTACGGCTAGCACTCACCACCAAGCCCACCTGCGTCGCCACGGCCACGACCTGTCCCGTTGCATCCATCACCGTCACCCCGAGATCCGTTCGACCGTCCTGCACTGACACCGTCTGCACCCGACTGTACAACCACTCCTCGCCCGTAGCCGGTAATCGCTTCTTGAGATCGATATTCAAAGCCACCGTCGGATACCAATGCCGGCCGCCAGCTTCGCCATCGCCCTCTGCCGTGGCAGCCATTCGGTCCAGCCCAGACAACGCCACGGGAAACGTATCCGTCAGATACACGACCGCCTCGTTCGACCAGCGCGCCGTCTGGTCCCCTCCCGGTCGAAGTCGGGCCCATTGGTCCACAGTCGCCATGGTCTTGGGCTGCCGTGGGCTGTATAAGTCAACATGCTGCGTCGCGCGCCGAAACTCAGGAAATGGCAGCTTGATCCGCTCCCACTCGCCATCACGCCCAGTCTTCCCTAATGTCACTAGGTCAACTCCCCCATCTGCCCGCGATCCCTGCGCTGGCACCGGCAAGGGCGTCCACCCTGTTGGAGTTGTCAACCCCACCTCAGCATAAGCCGGACTGACTGTGATATATCCCGCTATCTTGACCTCCGGCTCCTCCTGTCCGGTCCCTGACGGTGTCTTGTTCCCCTTATCTTTACACTGCGATAGGGTCACGTGGATTGTACTCGTCCGTAACCCGATCTTCACATCCTCCACGGTCAACAAGGCCTCTCCCACCGCTGTTCGTCGCAGAAAGGTCAGTTGCAGGGCGATCGGCGTGGCGGAGCCACGATATTGCTGCGGATGCGTATGGGCAAAGTGTGTCAGCGCCAGACGGTAGAGGATGGCACTAGTATAACCGCCATGGGGCACTATTTGTGTTTCATTCTCAGTCCATGCTTCTTTTCTCAAGGGAAGAAGGAGGGGGGAGTGCAGGTGCCTATCGATTGAATTTCGACAGTGAGCATGATTCCTTACCGGTTCCAATGCACCAGTCCTGCTGAAGCTGGGCCGAGTAATGATGTGAATCAATAGGGGTCACTTGGATTGCGGTCTCGAAGGCGGCTCCGTGCGGAGGCGCCACCATCATATTTGACTGGTCCGTGTATTGAATGCCGCTAACTGTGTTCGGACGCGTTGAATTTCTCATTTGTAGTGAAAACTCCAAACTCCAAACAGTATACACTGACCGGCAACATAGAATCGCAATTGGTATGTCCTGTACTCGGAAAGTAGTTGATGTCGGGAAAGAAATGGACGACTCCTGTGATAAGGGACGTTGGACCTCGGCTGTTGACCCCCAACAAAAGCGGAGAAACACCCCCGGTAACAATCCGAGTGACGTGCCCGTACAGGCCGATATTACCTACATACTTTCAATACACATCTGCTGGCATAGTGTTTCCATACGCCAAAATTCTGGATCTCATTCCGCTAGGATTACTCTAGAAACAAGGTCGGTTGATCTACAGCGAACTCCAGGATGACAACTTAAGACCACAAGGGTCGGGCTCTTTTTGTCCTTGCACCCTGCATAATTTGCCTGATTCTCTCCAAATCTTCTGCTGGTCCACGCTGTTGGGATGTCTAGGACACCAGCATGATCGGGTCGGGATGGGCAGTACGGTACGGTACGCCAGCGAACAAGGAATCGCGCGGTTGTCTGTCCATCTTTTGGCATCGTCCGTTTACTCGTGCCCATATAGACCTAAAATGATAAGCCCTGTGATCGTGTTACTGTGTGCTTGGTGAATTTATGCATATGTGTAGGTGTGTGCGCGTGTGCGTGTGCGTGTGCGCGAGGAGATATGTACGGAGTCATCAGGGCTTGTGCTCAGCCAACCGTTCCAAGCACGACAAGACTCCTGTTCATCAGACTGATTAGTAAATTATGTCGTTACGCAGAAGGATAAAGAGCAAACGACTTACCGGTCACACCCTGCGTCAAGGTAGCCCTGGCCTCCGTGCTTCGAGAGCCCAATGTAACCGTCACGGCGTGGTTAACTGCCTGGGTACTCTCCAACTTGTTGGCCCACCGGAAGACAGGCTCATCGTCGCGACTGTCTCCAATCGCCAACAGAAAATCGGGACGGGCCACGCTCTCAACTTCTTGGCTCTGTTTGAGACACGACCGCCACACCAACTCCGTCGCTGAAGCCTTGTTCGTACCCATCGGCTCCACCACTAGGGCGCCTTCCACGGGGATGGCATGAACACCTTGGTTGGCACAGGCATCGTTGATGTGCCCCGCGCATTCCGACGCCAGTCGTGCAGCCGCCACCTGGTCCTCCGCCGATCCATAGTGGAAGACGAGTGAGCAATGGCGCTGTTCGATCCAGCTGCCTTCGGCGCGCTCCTGGTAATAATCCAGGATCTGCAGCACCGCCGTCTTCCAAGCGTCCGTCTGCGTTTTGTCTGTCAGCTTGAGCCAGGTCTCCGAATTTGGTTCCCGCACGAAGCAGCCATTCTCTGCAATCAAGCCCAGCCCGGTCACCAGGCGGAAAAGGCGCTCCATCTCTTCTGGCATACGCGCGCTCATCACATATACCACATTACGTGAGTCCTCCGTCAGTTCTGCCAGCGTAGTAATGGCACGCTGGGGCGTGGTCACGATTATGCTCTTGGGAGATCCCCAAGATGCCAAGGTACCTTCGTAATCTACAATGATCAGTCGACGGCTCGATTTCTGATAGAGTTCCTCCAATTTGTTCATTTGCAAGCGCGGGACGGCCATGATCTCGCGCGAAGACTGCTCGTTCCAGACACGGTTCAAAGTCTCGCTGAACGATTTCACCCAGTTGGCGGTTGAGTTCTGCAACACGGCCTGGTGCATTTGCGTCCATACCTCCTTCCGCTCCGTTTCGCTCCGTGATAGCGCTGTGTGGATGGCCTCCGCGCATTGGCGGTAATCCCAAGGATTGACTAAGAGCGCATGGTTGCCGAAGATAGACGCGCTACCAGTGAATTCACTCAATATGAGCGAACCGTACTTTTTGTTGTTGCCCCATTTACCATCTTGGCAGTAGACGAACTCATGGCTAGTCAGATTCATGCCTTCGCGTAAGCTGGTAATGATCAATGCGTCGGCGAGGGAAATTAGAGCTAGATACTGCGGAAAGGCCAGGTCCTGTTTCAAGAAGACCAAAGGCTGGTGGGCTAGCGTGGAATGAGTGGAGTTGATTCGCATCGCAATGTCAGAGATTGTGGCCTCGAGCTCGGGCTGCTCGGTCGTGCTCGTCGCCACTTGAATCAATACGACCTATATCAATAGTTAGAGCCAGGATGGCGGTATGGAAATTGTGAGGGAGTTGTGTTGATGGCCGTACCTGATCCCGCCATTCGGGATACGTGTTGAGAAAAAGCTCATAACTTAACAGCTTTTGTCGGATGCCTCGAACCTGATCAATCTTATCACGCGACACGATGAGACGCTTGCCCTCATAGCGCTCCGCAATGGTTTTGATCCACCGCTCTACATCGGCTGCCCGGCGCCGCTGATCCCATGAAGTCGGGTCGATGCCAATGGAAAATTTACCAACATTGACGAACCGATCCTCCAGTTGGAGCCCTTCGTTGGTAGCCTCTACGCAGAGTATGCGACTGCATGTCTGAAGGAAATGGCGGCAGTATTCGTCAGTCTGGAATCCGATCAGGTTCGCTCCCAAAATACCTTCTAGCAACTCCTTGCGAGGCGCTAGGCACCGAAACACCTCGGACGAGGGAAAGGCGATATGCAGAAAAAAGCCGATCTGCGCGTCAGGCAGGAGCTTCCGCAGCATCGCTGGAACAAGCAACAGATGATAATCTTGGATCCATATGGAATCGCCGCGCTTCCATTTCTGGGCAATCTTCTCGGCAAAGGCCTGGTTGGTTTTGACATAGTAGATCCAGGAGTGGTCTTCGTATGCCTTGCTCTTAGGGTTGTCGGGAATCTGGTAATGAAAGACCGGCCAAAGAATCGTCTTGCAAAAATGTGTGTAGTGGCCATCAAAATCGCCGTCGCTAACATATACCGTCATGGAGCCATACTCAGTCTCGAGCTTTTTAGCAATGGAGTCCTTGGTTGATTGTGGCAGTGCATCAGTAGGCATGCCTAGCGTGCCCACCCAAACCTTGTCCTCCAGCTGGCCAGCATCCGTAGCGGATCGCACGGCGTTGCGCAGCCCTCCGTTGCCCTGCTCAGCGGTCTGAATGGTCCATTCAGCGTTGGAGAACGAGCTCTTGCGGCTCTGAGATCGACGGTGATCGGTAGCGTACGAGGTCGGCGGCTGGGGAGGCGTGCGCGTTTTCTCTTTGGCAGGTTCCGTCCCTGACACTATGGGTTCTTGGTGCTTGAGGATAGAAGGGGACGCTGGGAAAGCTGCACGAGGCCGGGGCTGATTCAAAGAAAGGGTTGAACCCCACGCAGGAGAGTGAGCTTCGCTTTCCGTCAAAAGATTTGCATCCCCGTCCGTATTGGGGAACGGGTAGCCGGAGTGCTCCTGTTCAGCCTTGGCGATATCTGCAGCAAAAAATTGTTCGTGTTCCGACGCGGGGCCCGGGGTGATTCCGACATTACGAGTAGCATCGGCATTGTTTCTCTCAAACAAACTTACGGCCGCATTGGGAGTCGCGGCGATGCTTTGAACGGGGTTGGTCGACGGTGGGCTGGTGGTCGTGTCGGCTTCAAGATTCTGCGGGTCGCTCACATGGAAGTCGACCGTATAAGGGAGAAATCTGAGATTCCATAGGTAGTTAGTCTCGGCCTACCCTGTAATGACAAAATACCGGATAGAAAAGGCTAATTGACCACATACAGCGAAGCAATGTAGATAGTCATGGTGATAAGAGGGGCAGAAGAAGTCCCCGGAGCGGTCTGGTGGGGATGGCGCGGGGACAAGCAAGGGAATCGTGGAAGAGGTAAAGGAGGAGAAGTGGAAGTGAGTAGTGCTAGAAAGGAACGATTGTGCAAAAGGGAGAATTTAAAGGGGGGGGGGACCGATGCAGATGATCCAGAGCAAGGCCTGGAGGAAGAAGAGATGAAAGAAGGAAAGAAAAATAGATAGAATAGACAGAAGGAAAGAGAAGCGGAAGAAGCAGAAGAAGCCGGGTTTGGGGTTTCACGTTCTCATGGCTACGTCATGTGAAGCAGAAGAATAAAGAGTGGTAGAAACTGTTCATGTCACGGTTATGTAATAACTTAATACTAAGTAGTGGCTTTTCTCTTGTCCAACAGTTCCGCCAAAGGAAAAGAAAAACAAAATAATAATAATAATAAAAACTCAAAAGGAAACGGTGGATCTAGACGGGAATTGGACTCAGTAGGAGACCTTGGAAGGACTCACTCTGCGATGACCTGATCCAATCTTTGCTTCACATGGCCACCAGACAAGCAACAGAACCAATCTCAGGCTGAATTCGCCCCTCATCATCTGCCGAGACTCTAGTCGGTAGGTGTTGGCGCCCACTGCAGCTTTCAGGTTGGCGGTTAGATTGAACGGTATGTATGGTTAGTATGGTCAACTTGCTGTAATAATATCCGTATACATACTCCGTAGTTATCTGATATCTTATCCATGCCATCCATTATCATTTTATCACACGTCATGCCATGACTAGAGTCACGTGCTGATTGATAATCGCCAGGCCCTGAGATCCTTTCATTTCCTATTTTCTCTTAAAATATATACATTCCACTCCTTGCGACCTCCACTGATGCTCTCTCTAGTTGAAGTACGCTCACCCGGCCATGCCCTTGCGGATCACATCTGCTCCTGTCGCTGGAATCAAAAAGAACAGAAAATCAAACTCCACTAGGCCACGCCCATCTCTCTTCGCCGCATATGCTCGTCGCAAGGCCTCGGCTTCATCGGTAAACGCACCCAGATACAACTGTACAGATGATGACCAAGGCAAATTATCCGACCTGGGCCTGTCGCGGTACATCCCAGAGACTGCTCACGTGACAGATGTGGTGCAGGCATTGCAGTACATTCGTTCAACTATGTTCGATGGCCTTCCTCAGCGTGTGGGGATGAACAGCATACGCATTGCCGAAGTGCTGAATCTTCGTCGGTCACTCCCCCCACTTGCCTCCGTGGCCCATATACATACATTACTCGATGCACCGACCAAGGTTGAAAAAGAGATTATAGAGTTGGTTTCCACGGGCCGCGTACGACGCTTGATCGTGCCAGGAAGAGGCAACGATGCCGCCGGGCTCGGCGAATGTCTGGTTCTCACGGAAGAGTGGAATCGGCTGGTGCAAGACAGCAATAACCTGGAAGCGTCGTTGAAAGGTGCGGACACTGGTCACTTCTGATTGAACAGATGCTGAAGCAGACTCCGCTGACTGCAACAATTGTCTTCCAGATGTATTTCAACAAGTCTTAAGTCGCGTCGGAAACAATCCTGCCATCCCCGGCAGCGCCTTCACAGTACCGGAATACATGGCCTTGGTTCGCGCCGGGTTTCTTGTTTCCTCCTCGTCGTTAGCCCAGGGCTCCTCGAGTATCGCATCCCTTCCCACGCTGCCGACTAGCCCAACCGTAGCCGCTGCGGCGAGCCGAACGAGCCCGCATGATGCGACGAGCGACGTCCCGGTGGTTGACCACAGCACCTCGGTCAACGCCCCAACACTCTTCCTCTCCCTGCCAAACACGGGGCCTTACCTTCGTTTACTTAGCGCTAGTCGGTCCCATCTTCTTTCGCTTCTGGAGCGGTCGGGTGCGCGAGAGACTCCTTTATACCTCCTTCGGGACCGATGGGACGGAGCCATTGAGAATGGCCAGAGCTTGAGCGTTGCTAAGAGGACAAGGGGCGAATTTACAGGTGTTTTGCCTGGCCGCACGAAGAAATGGAAGCAATTATATGGGATGAGCTTCCGGTGGGCTGTAGAGGAGGCCCTTGGGGCCGGGCTGATTGAGCTTTTTGATACGGGGAGTGTTGGTCCGGGAGTGCGCAGTTTATGATGGGGGCCTCATTTTCTTCGGGCTTTTTTTTTTCATGGCATACATTAATCCTAGCAGACGCCTCCATATCGAGAGAGCTCGCTTTGAAATTATAAATGTATATTTTGAAAGGTGGGGAGGTGCCACGGAATAAGACAGGAAACGGGTACAGACAAAGGGAAGGCTTTCTTTCTCGCTGTCCTAAACTTCTTTTACTCATCTCTCAGGCTTCCTCCGCTGTCTTCTTCCCCTTTCTCTTCCTTCATCCCTTATTCCCTGTCACCCTTTCACTATGTCACCGTTATCACCACCGCAATACCTTCGTCTCCAACCCCATCCCTTCTCCATTCTGCCCGACCATGTCTCCCTCAGGCATTCGCCGAGTCGACCACCCCTACGCGATTTCCTCCACGTTATCCTAACCGAAGCCCAGTCTTTCGTTACCGCGATCCCGACCACTTTCCATCCTACTCGTAAACCACGCCCTTCCCCCCCAGCTGCTGCCCTTGTCCATCTCTCTACCTGCTCACTCCCCGACGTACCCTCCGGTGTTGGCACCAAGAAGAAGCCCGGCTCTAACTTCTGGATCTGTCGAACGAGCGTTCACGAAAACGCGGCCCACGACGGCACCGCCTCTTGGGCAGAGTTTCGCGCCGGATTAAGGGAGAGCCATTCCGTACATGAGATGGAGTACACGCCTAGTGTATCCGCCGTTGAGACCTTGCTGGAATGGCCAACTCAGACAGAGATCGAGGGTGGGTGGCAGCGAGTGATTGTTCATGGTGAGTCGTCTCCTCTCACGTTGTTGCAACCCGTTTGGCTGCAAACAGTCCCTGTCACAGAGGTAGCCATAAATGAACGAATATCCTTGCTCAAACTACGACCAACCAGTGAACGTTATTACTCATACCTTCCATCCGAGACGCCTGATAGCCCCGCGCTCCTTCATTGTCCTCGTCGTCTCCGCGGACCGACCCGGCGGCGACCAGAGCGGCTTCATGACCGTGCAGATTCCCCTATCTCCGGAGGCGGAGCCGGCAGACGCCCTGCCCGACCTTTGCCGCGCAATCTCCGCCGCGCAACCTTCGAAGGCAGTACTCGCCAGTTACTCGAGCGTCGAACAGGTATCGCCCACTCGTTCCGATGCGGTCACCGACGCGGTCACCTGGACCATGGCTACCACATCTGAAGCCGGCGGAGCCATCCCGGGCTGGGTGCAACGAAGCTGGACTCTGGGCGGGGCCCCGAAGGCTGTTGTGGCGGATGTCGGCTTGTTTCTGGGGTGGACGTCCAGGAAGAGATCCTCAAGGGGAACTTGCTTGCATGAAGACCATTCCCAGGCTGCTGAACGCAGGCTTTAGCTTTGCTGTCCACATGCCCAATGGCACTAATTTACATCGGCTTCCTACCCCACCTAGCTCGCAGTAGCCGAGGGAGGCTGGCGAAGAGAACTGCCACGATGACTAGAACAGCCTTATGAGAAGTGCCAAAAGATGTAGAATATAAGAGTGCCTGGACCCCCACGTTCCATATACAAATTGCTACGTTGGGGATACTTAAGTGACTTAGCACAGGGGATCCACTCCCGAGCACCGGAAAGATACTCAGGAGCGGCAGTTCAGGGGACAGACCGTACACAATAGCGCATGGATCTACACCGAGTGCCACTGGATATAGAGGCAGGTGGTGTGAGCAACACTGCCATTCATGTCCTAGTGCGCGAAACGGACAGGGCAACAACCCGCCGCTTAATCGTCACGATGAAGGATGATGCAGAGAAGCTATTGGACTACCCAAGACAAGAGTGAAGACAAGCCCAGCGTTGCTGGAATACGGTATTGACAAGCTGAAAAGCAGCAGACGAAAAGGAAGGTCAAGCCCCTCACACAACGAACCTACATACAATCACAAGATGATGTTCATCAATGGCGCCCACATTTTTGAACCAGGGAAAAGGAGGAGAGGGAATAATGGTACGAGAAAGGCAGAGAATAATGGCGGTCATGATGATGGAAAGCATGGCAATTCACATTTGACGCAATCGCCGGGTATTATGAAGGAATATAGGCACGTGAAGGTTGCGATTCATGTAAAGAAAGAAGTGAGAAGAATCAGCGTCAGCTGAATATCCAAGCACCTGACAAAGGAGACACGGCCTTAAGGCGAGAGATGTGAAAAGTGCGCGTCGAAGGAACGTTACGTGAGGATGGGTGAGTAGATTCGTTCATCGTGGGCCCGCACTGATACTGCCGGACTCTGGCTGAACTTGGGGCACGCTTGGGGTTGCAAATGCATTAGCATTGGCCGATGCCAGTTGCACCCTCAGCGCAGCGACTTCTGTCTTCAAACCGTTCAACTCCTCATGGACGGAGCGAATATATGCCCAGAGCTTCTCTTCTCGTTCACGACTCTGATCCAGACAGCTGGCTTCATGCGAGCCAGGCAGCTGACTGCCACTGTTTAGAGCGGTTTCCGACCCTGGTTTAGATGCTATCGGCCCGCTGTGATTACTCGAATGGCTATGGGACGCGGCATGTTTGTTGCCTGCGGAGGCAGAGGGGGCCACAGCTCCCGGCGAGTGAAGCGCAAAACGAGATTCGGAAGAACTTAATCCAGGAGGCGGGGGCAGCTGGGGGGGCGCTGCTTGCGGTGGAGGAAGGCCCAGCCCTGGAGCCGCCGAGGTGCCTGCCCTGCTGTACGGCTGTTGCCCTTGTTGCTGGAATGATTGGGATAGACCAGGCGAATGGGCACGATGTGACTGGGTATTGTTCTCCGAACAGTGACCAAGATGGTGAGCAGATAGGGCATTGGGAGAAAGTGGTTTTGGGCTTTCGGTGATGTTGGCGGGAAATACGGAGGCCGAAGGCTGAGCCGGGGGCGGGAATGTTATATTGCCCGATTGTGAAATGGGGGAAGTCGACGCACTAGACCCGCCATGGCTAGGTGGGGGGAAAAGGCCACCCGGGGATGGTCTGCCAGATGCAATGGGAGGATAAGTGCTCGGCTGGCGCGATTGGTAGCCCGGGGCAGTATTAGCACGGGAAAGCGAATCCGTCGGCATATCGTGCTTCTTGATACTAGGCATATTAAGTCGCCGTTCTTCTTCCTCATCCATGCGTTCCGGCTCAGCGTACACAAGCCCGTCCATGGTATCCTCCGTCGCTCCGGCAGTTGTGGCATCACCATATTCATCTTCCGGAACATAGCTGCCCATACTGGCACGACGACCGGCGCATCCACCTTGGCCCTTGTTGTGGCGCGCCAAAGCGTCACCGCGAGCGAATCTGCGCCCGCATTTCGGACAAATGTGTGGTCGTTCACCGGTATGTAGTTTGGTATGTCTCTTTAGGTCGTGTAGCCGGCGAAAGCGTGACTGACAGGTCTGACAAACATATGGCTTCTCCTGGCTATGAGTGAGAAGGTGACTCTTGAGGTTGTGGTGTCTCGTGAATTCAGTAGAGCAGTATGGGCAACGGTGCTTCTTCGCCGACGGTGACCGCTGGCCTTTGTGGAATCCGGCGTTGGGCAGGCTCAGGCCACGACGAGGGTCACTAAGGCTGGCTGTGGGCATTGGGTATGAGAATGCTTTGTTTCCCGGTTCTTGCGAGAGTTCTTCTCGATGACGAGGATGGTCTCCATCATGCGAAGCCGAGTCTTCGATTGGGCCAGGACTGGCTACTGTCGGAGTAGCCATCAGAGTCGTGCTACTCTCGGCCGGCCCAAAGGCATCAGACGTATTTCCCGGAGCTGGATGTGAGTCGACCTGCATTTGATCGGAGGACAAACGCATGTCATCGGGTCCGGAGCTATCCTGCTGCCTTTCACTGGCGCCGAGTGCCTCTCTCGCTACTTGCGAACTGTGCTGCTCTGATTGCTTCTCTTGCTCGAGTGGCCGATCTATCGGACCTGCAGCGGGGCCAGCCGTTGTCATTGGCGGTATTGACTCACTCGAGCGTGAAACGTTTAGTCCGGCGTTGGCAATAGATGTCAGGCTGGAATCGGGTCTTGGATTTCTGAGGAGGGCGATCGAATCTGATGGAGTCGATATGATGGGAGCGGACGAGCCAGGGAGTGGAGCAGAGATAGAGACAAGTTCGTTGTTCGATTGCATCAACGCAGCCATGGATAATGATTTAATCGCGCCGGCCTGAGAGATTTGACGAAAGTATGAGGGGCTGGCTCAACGAAACTTCTGTTAGTGGTACAAGGGAACAAAGTAGATAGGCTGAGTGACGAGCGACCCGGAACAATCAGGATTATGAAACGCGAGACAGAATACGTCAGTATGCTAGGGTGGGCAAATAATCAATTGAAGCCAAAGAATATGAAGGGATGCATGATGAATCCACAGAGAGAGAGAGAGAGAGAGAGAGAGAGAGAGAGGAGAGAGGCGCTGTCGCGTGGGGCGCTGCTCACCTAGGTCGAACCGAGTGTGGCGCAAGCTGACGGGACGTTCACTTCAGCCTTCGCGCAACGTCTTCTTGGACAAGACCCCACAGATCAGCTAAATGAGGGGGTGACCAAGCCAAGTCTTCTTCTGAGTAGAGATGAATGGAGAAGAAGTAGATATAAAGATCGAATGGAGATTTTCTCCATGGAAAGGCTCGAAATAGTGAGCGGTCTGACACCCTGAAGTGAAGATGTCTGATTTTAGCGTCCGGATCTGAGCGAGAAGCGGGCCGGGCTGCTGTTAGTCTATTTGCGAATGCCTATCTCGAAAATAGTACGGCTGCAGGGATAAAGCTAAAACCTGCACTTGTCAAAACAGAAATGTTGGAGAACAAGTATGCAGACCATGTAAAGAAAAAGAACTCAGGAGAAAAAAAACAAAACTATTGTGGTTCAGGCACGGGTGACACCATACCAGGTGGACCAGGCAAGGTAAGGCAAGGGGGAAAGAAACGATGCGAAGGGAAAGAGGAGGTGGTAGTGAATTTTTAGAGTAGACGACGGCGTGACTAGCAAGAGTCAGAGAGACGAAGAGAATATTTGGGCATATTCGAGTGATGGAAGGTGGGAAACCCAGGCAAGCATAGAGAGATGAATTGCAATTAATGATGGACCAGGTGGAGAACAATGACACAGGCAGCGATGTATCAATAAGCAGGGGGAGACAGTTGGGGTGGGCAGGCTTTCGGGTCGTATTGGAGGGGGTGGGAGGTTTCGTATGGATGTATTGAAATATCAACTCGGCATCTCCGATCTCAAGGCTTGAAGTTGCGAGATAGCATACAAGTCAAAATAGGGGAACGAACTATTAATTGGCCAAAACCTTGGGATGGGACGGTGTGGACAAAGAACAGTAAAGTGAAGTGGACTTGTTATTGTTGTGGTCATGGTTGGGGGTGGAGAGTGGCTGCGGTGGGAAGACAAGACCAAACTCCCATCGATGAACATAACTGCAAAAGTGGAAGTATATACGTACTCGTGATCACCCAAGGAATCTCAATGTATTAAAAAAGTCAGAAAGAGGCAGAAGAGCAAAGGAGCGAGAAGAGGAGCAGGGAGGAAATTAAGAGAGAAGGAGAGAGCAGGCGAGAGAGAGGGAAGGAGGCGCGGGGGGGGAGCGCGTGGAGGAGGAAAGAGAGGGAGAGAGAGAGAGAGAGAGAGAGAGTAAGAAAGGAAGCGGAGGGAAACACGAGCAGGCTGGAGTGTGGCTGGAAGCTTGGAAGGAGTGAGGCTCCGGGCTATTGGCCGCGGACCCATCCTGATGGGCAGGCTAAAAATACTACCAATGGATGATGAAAATCAACAGCAACTGCTACTACAGAAGATACATACTCTGGTATGTACTTTACAGCCCCAGATCTTTCTAGATATATGAGAGAGGGTGTGTGTGAGAGAGTGACTGAGCGTCTTGCATATTCCACTTCAGTCCTGTCTTGACTGATGGGAATGGAAAGAGGCTGTGTTTGTGTTGGCTGAAACACGGTCATCGTGGCTGGGCACTGCAGACAGCCTGGAGCCCTCAGTGCCCTGCCCTGCCTGGCAGACCTGCTGATAACCCGTATCGCCCGCCTTGCGCAGGGCCTGGCCACTGGTCGCCGCCGGTTTCTAGAACCTCAGTGCGGGCCTAGTGGGTGGCTGTGCCCATCTGACCGCCTACCAAATTGGAGAAATAAAGAATCGAAACGAAGAAAGTCCACAGTTGCATGCTTGCGATCGAGTTCGACGGCGGCATGGGCAGGGACTGAGTCGGACTGGCGATTACTCCCTTTCGCGTCCCCCTCCGCCACTGAGCCGGTGTAGCAGTGTGCTATATTATCGAAAAACCCGAGGAAACGGCAGGCTGACATTAGTTAGACTAACCTTGTGGCACATACTGAAGAATCCGAGCACTTCTGCAGCATCGCAATCGGTTCTCCCGCTGCATTTCAAGTCAACAAAGGTCGTGCTCTCAGAACTCTGGAATGTAATGTGATAGTAGCGCTCTCTCCACCCTCTGAGATTGTTTGATAAAAGCGTCACCGGGCCTGATGTGGTGGTTTGAGCGAGGGGGGAGAGTGGGGGGGGGGGGTGGTGGTAAAAGGAAGGGGTAGGAAGAATGAGGAAGAGGATCTGGGAATGGAAGTGATACAGGAAGTGGAAGTGGAAGTGGAAGTGGAAGAGGACGAGGACGAGGAAAGAAAACATAGATCAGCGGAGAGGAAGAGGGGAATTGACAGAGGGGAAAGGGAAATACATCGGGGATGGATTGGGAAGAAGCCACCGAACCGGATTAAGCGCCTCGATCAGGACATCACATCATTTTGGGGTGATGATGTGATAGACAGAAGGACATTGCATTGCAGCTGTTAGCACGCACTATGGCTAAGTCAACTAGAAGTTTACAGCAGTACACGTGATGGTCCCCTCTCTTTCCCCTCATCATCATCACCTTCTCTCCTTCCGTCCAATTTCTATACTACCTCCCGACCGTACTATAGGTACTACTATACACTCACTGTTCCCCTGTCATATACAATTCACTAGACTCCGCTTATTGCCAATGGCCATCCCGGCGGTTCTGCAGTTCATCTGGTTGGCTGGCTAAAGAAGACGATCAAGCATCATGGATTGGTGCTCGGGAAGGGGGAAAACCAGTCCGGGAATTCCCTTAAGCTCATTCGCTCCTCAGGTGATGGAACGTGCATCTGAAGTGACAGCCAGGGCTCCTCCATGGTCTTTGCTTGGGGGGAAACGCATCCGTCTCCACTGTGACAGACTAGGCCGAGTGCTCCAGTGATCCAAGTCAATATCCAGTCGCCGTGTCGGCTGGGCCTCTTCACCTCCTTCATACATTACTTTTGACTTCCCTGCTTGCCCAATCACCATCTGCCCGAGGTTGTGTTGCATCTTGCCGGGCGCTTATTTTCCCTCTTCACATACCTTCATGCAATCATGGATGGTGTCTCCCCCCTCCCTCCTTCCCCCCCGTCAAATGGAGATGGCCAGGTCAGCGCCCTTTTCATTGATATTCAAAGCGATCATGCTGCCCAGGCTCAAACTCCTCCGCCATAGTTCCTCTTGTTACCGTGTTTGACTGGCAGACCAGCAGCTCCTGGGACCTCCTCTTCAGTTTGACATTCTACAGATACAACAGGTAAGAGAAGCCAGGTCACAGTATTCGCGCTGCTTCACTGTTGAAGAAAAGAGACTCCACCTGTGCCCTTGGACTAGCAACCGTCAAGCCCAAAGGTCGGTAATGAGGTTTTCTTTCTTTCACTCCAATGTATCGCGATATCCCACTACCGAAATCGTTGATTTAGGCAACGGCTGACCAAAGACACTCCAGCCAACCACCCGCGGCTCTATGCGCCTTGTTGCATCAGTTATCCAGTTGTTTGGAATCCTCTAAGCCTATCCAATTGTCCCCTCGGCACAAGGTTGAGAGCTGGTCTCTTTACATCCTCGAGCCCTTGCTGCATACAGCCCACTGTGACCCTTGTCTGCTAGATGTCTATGTCGGACAATAGTCAGGAAAACTCGCCTCAAACCTACGACGCCGTTACTCCTGTTGATCTTGTTCGTGGCTGTCGTCTTGGAGCAATGGTGCTACCCGCTGTCGCTGTTCAAGAGCGGAATTCTTCCGAATCGTCGATCTCCTCGCTCAAGCATTCTCGAGTAACTCGTTTTGCAGAGGCAGATACCATCCACTCTCCTCCAAGCGCTGTGGGTCTGGAAAGGTCTCCTTTCGCAGATCCACCCGAGGGCTCCAGGACCCCTCCTGATGTGTCCGACGTGGGTTTCGGATATGTCGCGGCAAGTGATCCGGCACAGCATACCTCACATCATGACGTTCCAACCCCGGGCCTAAAGAGTGCGCTCAAAGTGCCCGGGACCCCAGGACGCACACTAAATCCGTTGAGCCCGACATTTCGTGAAGAGTTCTACGTGGAAAAGCAAGAGAAGGTTACCGAGAAGGAAAATGCCAGAGACCTTGTAAGCCGACAGTCAAAATACTCCCCTGTTCACTCCGACGCTGATGACGATAAATGAAAGCGCATTAAACTGCGTGTTCGAGTAGCCAAGGTCTTCCTTCGTTTCATCAATTTTGGATGCAGTCTGATTGTTTTGACGATCTTGGGTACTACACTGACCATTTTTCATGCGACGAAAACACTCCCCGAGCGAAATACCTTCCCGCCGTGGGAGACTGGTACAAACCCTTGGCCGCAGTACCTGTTGCTGGGGGTTTCGTGCATTTCTCTGCTTGCTTGTCTCGCGGTATTTTGGGGCTATTGGAAAGGCGGTCATAAACGTGCGGAGAAGTTTGCATTTTACTATTCATCAATTACAGTTGGCGTCTTCGTCTTCAACCTGGTAATGTGGGTCGTGGCCGCCGCCATCTTCCAACACGCCAAGTCAAGTGGGAACAACAAAGACCTTTGGGGCTGGTCCTGCGTCCACAATGAACGGGAGCAGCTGTTTCAAGATCAGATCGATTACGCACTTCTTTGTCGTTTGCAGGTACGTCGTTTCTTTCGCTCAGTTTTTCCGGGCTAACGCAAAGAATCGGCAGGACTGGGGATTAGTCTGTGCCGTAATTGAGATCGTCCTGGAAATACTAGTTCTCTTGGTCTATGTGGTCGTTGCATACCGCTTTTGGACTAAAAGAAAGCTTGCTAGGTCGATGGACAGACGTGATCGCGCGAGAACAGATTTGTACATGGCCCAGCTCCGGCAGTCTGCACCGAACACTCCTGGGTTTCCTCATACGCCCAAGGCTCCTTTTGTTTCCACTTGCATTTCGCAAGATTCCTACTCGGCAGCGGAGAATGGAGAGGTATGTGCGACTCAATTCGCCTACCAGCAAAGCGAGACCAAGTCCCAGACACCCTTTCAACTTCAACCTCCGCCCATCCGGGTCCAGCATGCGACCCCTCAGCCAGCTCAAGAAGAGTTCTCTGCGCCTGTTTCGGTCACAATTGGTTCTAGTCAGCATATGGGGGCGGCACCTGGCGAACGCACCTACGAGAACGTCCCTATCCCTGAGGCGTACAAAAGTCCTATGAGCCCTGGATTTCCACGGGGGGCTTGTTAATCATAGAGCAACGGAAAAGGAGAAATGTGGGCGGGGCAGCCCCAGGGATACCGAAGTCAATAATGTCGTTGTATTGACTAGGTTTTGGACGCCTAGCTTACAAGCTCTCGGCCTCAGAGGGACCACGAATTTGCCCTTACCACTCTCCCTACGCAATCTTGGTACTACCCATCTAGAGTGGTTGACCTCCCCAGATGGTTGTTGCCTCTAATTTTCCTGCTCTTTGGCTTACGTTTCTTCCCAATCTGATTCTTGAATATTCGTTTAGATGTATTTTGAATTGATACCGCGCATATCCAACGGTATTGCATTCCTCTATTTTTCTTTCTGTCTCAGTAAATCTGCAATATTACGTCCTCGTGATGCAGCACCGCTGCATCCAGGCTCTGAGCAACAAAATTTGGGAATTAATTACAAGTCGACGAAGTTATTTATGAGCATTTGTTGCCTGATTGGACGATATCAGCGTCAGTACAGTCGTGGACTGACAAGAGAAACGTATGGTTAGAAGCCAGGTATCTACTATGAATTTTAACAAATCGACCAAGCCAAACAGACAGCGCAGTCGACAAATACCCGTCCTCAAAGGTAGCCTGATTCCCTAATCGAATACTGCAATAAAAGCCCCTGGAAGCCACGCCGGCCCAATTTCCCATTTAGTAAGTCCGAAACTCAACGCCTATACCCTCAAGACTCAAGCATATCATTTAACAAGCCCGCATTTCTCATATCGCAGTGGTCGATCTTATCGTGGTGCTGGATTTTGGTATTCATCCTTGGTCAATCGACCAATGGTATCGCCAACCATGATGTTCACTCATGCATCTCCTTCGTCAAGGACTGCGTTTGCATCCTTGGCAACGAAGATCTCTTCCAATTTTCCTGCACCAAGGCCATTAAGGCCATCGTCGTTTTGTAGAACCAAACCCTGTTCGTTGGCCAGGTGGAGCAAGCAAATAAACCCGAAAGACGTGCTAATGTCGCGCAGCTTCTCCGGGGCATAGACCGTTTTTAGTGAGTTCATGATCTGTGTGAACCGAAGTGCGCCGCCCGCAGAAGAATCCTCGTGGGTCTTATCTAGCAGCGTGGACGTGGGGACCGGATGCGTCTCGGTTTCGTACTCGTGCAATGAAGCGTCTTGGGCTGCACTGAAAACGGTATCTACCTGAGGGGAGGTCTCGAAACGGGATGTTGTTATCAGCCGCTCTCCCATGCCCCTCCACATATCCTGCTTCAGTCGACGAACATCGACCTTCTTAGCAACTCGCGCATAGGCGACATACTCGGGACGCGCCCGACGACCGCCTTGCGTGACTAATTGAGAGCCGAACCCTCCAGCACCAGCTGGTAGTGCTGAGCCAGGGGCTGACCCCATCATGTTAAGGAGTGCAGGGAGTCCTGATGCAGCAGCAGATTCTCCTATAGATGAGCCAGGAGCACCATCCATTGGCGGGGAAAGCATCTCCCTAGCGTCAGCAAATGGAAGGTTTTCATCATCGTCTTCGTCGAAGCCGTTGGGGAATGCAAGGCCATCATCATCGGCGAAGAAATTCGCGTCATATGCCCCTGGGGCGCCCTCATCGGATGCGGCGGCATCCTCTGGCTGGTGGTTTGCCCAGAACGCCTCGTCCATTTCTCTATTTCCCGAGGTTTGATCTTGTCGTCGGTGATTGAAATGTCTCGAGCCCATAAGTTTCTTGGAGCCCATTCTGGCTTTCGGTTTGAGGAAAAGGCGAAGCAATTGTCGTGAATTGAAATGCTTATCATCTGGAAGAAGGTTACGACCCTTGGTTTTCCATTGAGCCTTGGGCAGAGATATGGTGGAATTCGAGCTGGCAGGCGTATAGATCAATTCCCCAATAGTTGAATTTAGTGGAGCAGAGAAATCAACCTCGAAAGGTTCTTTTTCCCTACGTTGCTTCGGCGCCACGTTGGCGTTGTTTGCAGCGGCATGCTCCTTGATACGGCGAATCTTCCAGTGTTCTGGACCTGCCCAATTCTTCTGCAGTGCGTTGTCAAAGTAGCTGAGAATATTGTCATGGTCCCTTTTGTCCGGTTGATGGGTTAGAGAGATACCATAAGCATCATCGTCATCACGGTCCATGTCATCACCATCGGCATTCTCATCGCCTTCTCGATCAACGCGATGCACTTTCAGCATCGGCTCCAAAGCAGCTTCACGGGCCCAGGCCTCACCCCCCTCCCCAAAGCCAGCGTTTCCGCCCAAATCAAAGCCAGCCAATGTGGCGTCGTCGTCATCATCAAATCCGACTGCATTGTCATCATCTAGCATGATGCCAGATGCATCATTTGCGGGATTCCCTTCCTCTTGATCTCTTTCATGTCGCCAGTCGTCCGGAGCCTTCAAGAAGGGGATATCTAATGAGCCGCTCGGGTCGCCCAGATCAAAGTTTTTTAGTGACGGGCAAATGTCCTGGTTATCCATGAGATCCAAGTTCGGGAAAAAACGGCTCGCCAGGGGAGCTATGTCTATCTCCATGTTGTCCTCGAACATATCGCCTGCCTGGTTATTGGCCGAAGATGGCGATCGCGGTAGTTCGTGTTCTTCAGATTCGACTTCCTGGTCATCTGCCTCCTTTGACGTTGCTTCGGCCGCCGCGGCCGCATCGTCACTGCTGTCGAACACTATACGACCCTGTCCATCGATAGATAGGTGATTCAAAAGTAGTCCTTTGGCACCGCCTTCATCAAAGTCTGCGGAAGCTTTCTTGAACAACGGGTCGACAGAAAATTCGAGCTCGAATTTTTTAAGTTGAAGCGAGGAGAATGAGGGTGCTAATGTAGCTTCATGTGATCGCTGAACCTTCACCGGAGTCAACAAGAATTATACAAACAGACGGTACGACAATATGAGTCAACGAACCTTTCTCCGTGACTTTCTAGCACTTCCTTCATCTCCATCTTCGTCCTCGCCGACCCCATCGTCCTCGCCACCCTCAGCTCCGGTTTCGCGAGCTCTCTTGTCGCGACTGTCGGCTAATCCACTCAAAAGCTTACCCGTCTCCGTCGCCACACTATCGACTCTGCTAGTGTAAATCTTGACGCAGCCATCAAGCGTGCAACTAGCCTTCTGAAAATTGACACCGTCGCCTTCCTTCAGAAGCGACATATCGTGGAAGTAGTCAATCAGTGCAAAATTCCAGGAGTTATTAGCGTTGATCTTGTTGTCGGTCGCCATCTTCATCCATTCTTCGAAGTTGGCTAAGATCGGTACACGCTTCATTGGTGTCACTGCTCGACGTCCACCCACATCACTTTCTCGCCCTCGATACCCCGATCCCCTGGGGGTGACGGGACTCATACTGGCGCTGTTTTCATATCCGGTATATCGCCGTGGGGGCATGGGCGTCTTGACAGCGGCCTTAATCTGATCCATGTGGCGGTCATGTCGAGCCTGGCGCGCTTCCATGCGCGCTGCTTTCTCCCCCATGTCATCATTGAGTGGGATCCTAAAACCATCAGCACTCGTGACCAAGATATTAATCAAGATTGCAGCTACGCATACCTCATGGGAGAGTTCTTGTGAGGTGTAGATGCGCCGCCATTCGAACGCCGGTGCTTGGAATTAGCCACGCGGGGCATTGTGAAGAGAGTGTTTTTTGGAATTCAGGTAGTGAGACAATTCAAGTGTGGGCGTAAACCCCTACAGGGAGCCCAGCTATCTGGTAGATGAGAGTCAAATGGGCGAAATTAGCAGCGCCAAAAGCAGAGCCATGAGCCCGCAGGTAATGTGGTGATAATGGTGGTGAGTGGTGTTCAGCACGCCTCGTTGAGGGTGAAACAAACAATCAACAAAACATCCGCCTCCCCATAGCAGCCATTGGCGCAGTTTCCCCGCTTGCTGAATCAGTTATCAAGTAATCCATGCTAGTGCTTTGCACTGCCTTGCACTGCCTCCTGACGTGACATCAGTGGCTGGTGATCTCTATACGCTTTGCTGCCTCAACTCTCAGTCTCTCAACCTCTGTTCCCTTCCTCTCAGCGGCTTGCCCTCCTCCTGCTCTTAAAATTTGTCGTCCGGTCTTCCTCTCAAACAAGTTCTCTCTGCCTTCTGCTTCTACATCACTACGTCTGCCTTCTTTTCTCATTCTCTCTGCCGCAGCTGGATAGTGCTCTCTCCTCTCTCAGCTACGTGCTTATCGGAGTGTATGTATGGATCGTGACGGCCTATCGCCCAGGATGCCGCGATATCTTCCACAATGCTCCCAAGATTGAACACTCACCAAAACCGAACTCATCGGCAGAAGCGCTACTCAGTTCGCCCTTTCTGTTGTTCCATATTGCTTTTCAGCCTCCTTGTTCTCGCAAGCTGGGCTCGAGGACGGCTGAGACGTGATCCTGTCGTTCCCGATCTTCGGCAGCTACGTCAGCGAGACAACGCGGTAGAGGTAGGTACCTCCATTCAAGTCTAAGTCAGGTGTAGTCTGGACACTGTACGGAGCTTTGATTGAGCTTTGATTGATTTTTCCTTTGCCTCTTACGCAGTGCCGTCTGGTCCGTCAAGTCAAGCACCAATGCTCCTTCATCCGAACAAACTGCCCTGACGATCAAGATGGGCTCATTTCCTACCTTGAGCTCTATTACTGCACATTAGCGGATGCGAAGCCTTTGGCATTCACAATCATCATACTATGGCTGTCTTTTCTTTTCAGTACGATCGGAATTGCTGCCAGCGATTTTCTTTGCATTGACCTCAGCACACTGGCCAGTGTCCTTGGTTTGAGTGAAAGCCTCACAGGCGTTACCTTCCTTGCTTTCGGCAATGGAAGCCCTGACGTATTCTCCACTTTCGCCGCCATGCGGTCGAACAGTGGAAGTCTCGCCATCGGGGAACTACTCGGCGCAGCGAGCTTCATAACATCAGTGGTTGCCGGCTCGATGGCGCTGGTCCGCCCTTTTAAAGTCGCGCGAAGGAGTTTCGTCCGAGACGTAGGTTACTTCGTCGTGGCTGTGAGTTTCAGTATGTTTCTACTTGGTGACGGACGCCTGCATGTCTGGGAGTCAGCCACAATGGTAGCCTTATACTGTTTCTATGTGGTGCTTGTTGTAACATGGCACTGGTATATCTTACGACGGCGCCGAGCCTATGAGCGAAATCTAGCGGCACGGTCACACTTCCATATACCAGACAATCAGGAGTTAGATATTGAGGAGTTGGAGGATGATGATCCCGGGGTAGCCTCTGAGTCTACCAGTCTTCTTCGTGGCGATGATTTCAACACGCTGGAAAGGCCCGATGTGGTTTGGCAAAGTGGAGAGGAAGACGATGAAACTCGCAACCGTTATTTGGCTGAAATACGGGACAATATGCACGTCTATCGCCCAGTTGCTCGCCGTCGCAGTACTCTGAATCCTATTCGGCCGAGCCTCGTTGGTGCACTGGAATTCCAGTCCGTTCTTGCGTCTCTCCAGAAGTCGAGGAATCTTCATTCGAAGGCCCCTTCCGTCAACGCCGACCGATTTTCTGACAATGAGGAAATAGCCTCCCCATATCTGTATCCAGACAATATCTCGGTTGCATCCCACCCACGGACCAGTCGGCCCTCAACCAGCGACCGCTTCCACTTTAGTCAAGCACGTGGTCCGACTCGAACTCGAGCTGTGTCCGCCAACGCTGCGGTAGACCTCAAATTGGACACAAGCGTGCCAGACCCCAGTACACGACAGCACTTGCTGACCGTTAGTCAACCTTCAATCGACAGCCAAGCAATGACTAGCGCACACCAGTTCGACTATCAATCTCAAAGCCCAAACCTCCTTGTACCCCCAGATACATTCCACTTACCTACTTATCAGTCATCAACTACACACCCCGGTTCCCCGCTGATGATTTCGCCCCGTGGCACGACTTTATCCGGTGAAGCCCATCCAGAGAGCCCAACAAGCCCTTTTCCGCCTCTTTTGGATGCACTAGGTCCAGTGTCCTCAACACCACCGAGCATACGCTTACCACCTGCGACAAGCCCCACGGAACCACTGCAAATTCAAGATAGTATCCAGAACAATGGATGCAATCGAATCACGGCGCCGACGACATATTGGGCAAGGTCCTGGTCCATATTTCAGTCAATCATTTCCACTCTTTTCCCTACATTGGTTGGTTGGCGATCTAAATCCATCTGGGAGCAAATTTTAGGAGTCGTGGCAGCGCCTAGTGTGTTGCTGCTGACGATCACGCTTCCTGTTATCGAAGCGGCACCCTCAGTTCGCGATGCTGGCACCGTCTCCGTCGTCGTGACACCTGCGGATGCTGTCAACGCTCCGGCGCCCTTGATAGCTTTACCGGAAGACAGTCCACTTTTAGGTGCTCTTGATCAGGACTCCATAGCTGAGCATGCTCTCCATTCGAATCGAAAATCTCAGTGTGCACCGTCAAGATCGCGTTTTGATTCCGAGATGCCTGCCATCCAAACAAGTTTAGATTCGTCTGCAACGGCCGCAAAGGAGTGGTGCTCTTGGCTAGTCTGGGTCCAGCTTTTTACAGGCCCTTTATTCGTGGCTTTGATTGCCTGGACAGCCATGGATCCCGATTTGGACTTCCGCAACCTACTCTTACCGTTCTTGGTCTCACTCCTCTTTTCTCTTATTTGTAGCACAGTCCTCATAATTAGCACGCGAAGTTGTTCAGCTTCCCAGCCTCCAGACGAGTGGCGGCCTTTTCTAGCGCTTTTGGGTTTTGTGGTTGCTATCTTTTGGATCGCCACGATTGCCACAGAAGTGGTCAATCTCCTCAAGACCTTGGGTGTCATTCTGAACATCAGCGATTCTCTTCTAGGGCTCACCGTCTTCGCAGTGGGAAACTCTCTAGGCGACCTTGTCGCAGATATAACTGTTGCGCGCCTTGGCTATCCTGTTATGGCACTGAGTGCCTGCTTTGGGGGGCCCATGCTGAACATCCTTCTCGGAATTGGGTTGGGGGGGCTGTACATGACTGTGAATGCGAAGCCAGAAACAATTGTGACGCACGGTGGCTCGTACGAAATCGAGGTCTCCAAAGTACTTGTCATCAGTGGTGCCACCTTATTGATTACCTTGCTTGGGTTGCTGGTTGTAGTCCCGTTGAATGGTTGGAGGATGGATAGGAAAATCGGCTGGGGTCTTGTGGTTCTATGGGCCATCAGTACACTAGGCAATGTTGTTGCCGAGATTGTTAGCTGAAAGGGTCTTTGATATTTATATTTGAACTCCCACATTACAGTTTTATTTATAAGGCTTTGGTAGAGTGGAAGGGCTACCTGTATTGTACCAGGCCGAGCCGGCTATTCTCTCGCTTCATTAACTACACGCTATATATAGATCAGGACATATCAAAGAGTGCCCTTGCATAGATAGACCCACGTTCTGTCATTTTTTGTAGGCTTTCGTGGAATGTCTTCCTTTGTGCTCCCTCATGTAGGTATATGAGACAGTGACATGGATGCATGTCAATTCGAGGTGAAGTTCACTGGGGGTCTACATCTTCAACCTCGACAACTCGGGTAGTGGATCAATATAAGCAGAACTTCGAACATAAGGAGACCGCGCGTTTAGTCCAGCACACGACCTGCGGTAGAGCTGATACTTCGATCATTGGTCTGCACTTTTTTAAGTCCTTTGCCTGCCTGTATGGAGGCTAACAAAGCACCTCGGTCCATTGTGCCTGCTGCTGCCGATGGAGGTGCAGGTGGTGGAGGAATGCCCGGAGGCGGAGCAGGAGGTGCCAGGCCGGGAGCAGGAGGCGGCGGTGGCGGTGGCGGAGCAACAGGCTCGACGCCAAGGGTTGACACTGGAGGAGGGGGGGGTGGCGGAGGTGGTGGGATAGTTCCCTCAACTCCAGAAACCGATCCTTCTGTCTCATCAACTGGCAGTGGTCGTGCTATCGAGTTTTCCGGTACAGGAGTGGAAGATTTGGATGGAGACTTCTCCTCCATGGCACTGAGAGGTCGTGGAGGAGCCATAGTACCGAACAGAATACTCGCAAGTTGCTTCGCACTGCCACCGCCAGGACGTTCGTCATCGTCATCATCAGAGGAGTCGAAATCTGACCCTGCTGCAGACCAGTCATCATCCGCCTCAGGACGAGCTCGTGATTTGCGTTCCAAGGGGCCAGGAGCAGTGAAGTTCGGTCTGGTGCTCTCTTGTTGTTGGGCCAATCGATGGAAAGGGTTCGTCGACTGGGGATCAGCTCTAGGAGACACGACTTTGGGTTGTGACACCGGTAATGCAGCAGCTGGGGTTTCTGGGGCTTGGCCAATCTTCTTGAAATAGGGATTCTTGGATTCAGCTTCGGGGTTGAGATTGCTGCTAGTGGAGGACTGGCCAAGATCGATACTTGACTCTGTCGGGGGCTCTGACACTGGGGCTGAGGACGGAAGCGTGGTGGCTAACGCCGCGGAAACGGGCTGGCTCTGAGTCGGTGTGCTATCCCGAGCAGCGACATCTTCGGGGCCTTCTTCATCCGAAGAACTTTCTTGACCGAGCCCTTCCAGTTCCAATTGAAGCTGACGTTCTCTTTCTCTTGCCATTTCAAGCTCAGCACGCTGGGCTGTTAATCTTGCTTCCTGCTCTTTTGCCGCGCGGGCTGCCTCTTCCTTCCTTCGTTTCTCTTCCTGCTTCTTGATCTTGCCCTGTCTAACCTGCTCTTGGAGAGCAGCAAGGCGCGCTTCCTGTGCCTCTCTCTCTTTCCTCATCTCTGCCTCACGGATTTCGGTTTCGGACCTAAGCAGGGGTCAATTTTATCCAAACATACTTGAAAACAGCTTCGAATGAGGACATACTCTAGGCGCATAGTCTCTTCCTCCTGGACACGCTGTTCTTCTCTGATCGCTTGTTCCCGAGTGGACTGTTCTGTTTCGGCCAATGTATCTGTAGCCTTCTTCGCATCGGCTTGGCCTCCACTATCGGTGCGAACTCTCCTCGAGGGTGGTGCCGGAGGAGGTTTCTTACCAGTGGGCTTGAAGCGTGTGGCAGTATCTCTTTGCTCTTCGGCCAAACGTCGCTGTCTCTCCTGTTCCCGCTTGACGTCTTCTTCTTCTGCTCGCCTCAGCCGTTCTTCGCGCTCTCTCCTTTCTCGCTCCTGGCGCTGGGTAAGAGTTTCCATGGAGTCGCTTTGAGGTTTCAGGCCCGCAGCTGCCATTCGCTCAGCAATACGCTTCTGCGCACGTTCCCTAGCAGCCGCAACCCGGTCCTCATGTGTAGAGCCAGGCAACGGCCCCGTGGAGCTGGTAGGCACAGGAGAAGACCGTACGGCAGCTGTATAGGGGGACGACCCCGCATCATGATGCTGGTGCTCGTCCTTAGCACTGACTGCCTTTGATTGCCTAAATGTAGCTGTCAGCCTAGGTCACCATTTTCAATCTCGCCAAGCTGCGTTTGATCCCGAGTCCTGAAGAAAGAGAGATGGAACCGACTGGGCGTGGGGGAAGGGGTTCTTACTCCTCCTTACGAATATGCGCAGTGCGGCTACCGCGTTTCAAGTCATAGATGAAGTCCCGAATCACATCTTCTACGCCCAGGGCATCCTCCCAGCGTCTCCTTTCATGCTCACGCGTAGAATTTTCGCCACCGCCTTTGAGACTGTCCTCAAGGCTTCGTGCAAAATCTCTGACGCTATCTTCCACATCACGGGTCATACTCTCATTCTTTTCTCTCTCAGCCTTTACGTTGGCAGTTTCTGCTTCAAGGCGACGTGCGGCAGCTCCGTCATCATCTTGCGAAGGCGGAATAGGCCGTCCAGCAAGTTCGGCGGCGCGGGCCTGCATTCTGGCACGCGCCCGTGCCTTGATACGGTCAGCTTCAGTCACAGCACCCCCGGGCCCTGTCCCCACGATGTTAGAGGCGCTGTTAGGATGATTCTTCGCATCTTTCAAGCGAAAAAGTTCTAATCTAGCCTCTGCGATTTCTCGTTCGATGCGTCTCGTTTCTGATGCAACTTGCGGAACCTGGTCTTCGTAGGCCTGTAATTGACGGCGCAAAGATCGCCGCTCTGCGCCAGAATCGAGGTTGCGTAAGAAAGCATCAGGGTGAGTGTCAATATCATCCTGAACACGCCGAATACGATCCATCAGGCTTTCAGCCTCCCTTCGGTCTCTTCGATCCAAGGCATCGTCCTCCTCAGCCTGGTTCTCATCCTGAAAATCCACCGCATCTAACATAATCTGAGCCTCGCGTAGCTTCTTCTTCAGTTGTTCCACGGAAAGCTCTTCTTCGGATGTCTGTGAAGTAGTAGGAGACGGTGTCCGACCACTACTACCTAGACGGCGACGAGCGCTAGAGCGATAACCGGCAGCGGCCTCGTCGTTGTTCTTGAAGAGAGTGGCATCTTTGCGACCGGCACCTGGAGAAGCTGCACCGCCGCGGAATGAGTGCTCTTTTAGGTAGCTTACGCCGGTCTTTTGTGGTTGCAAAAACGCGCCTGAAGCCTTCCGCGTTTCCGCATCCTGGGAAAGCATCGACTTGATTGTGCCGATGGAATCATTCAGGTTTCTCGTCGATGGAGGAACAAGCTCTGGTGGTAGGCGGCTGGGGACCGGATACCCGTTCAATTTCCTATATATCAAATGCATTGCCACGGCAAATTCGTCCATGTTGAGACGGCCTCTATTGTGGGGGTCTGCCAGCGTCCAGATGTGCTCCAGGTCTTTCCTATCTAGGCCACTTTGGCCCATAATCTCGATCGCAGTGTCGCCGCCAATGAAGCCTTTGTGAAATCCATCCCATGCTCGGAATAGATCATCGTATATTTTCTTTTCTTCTTTAGTGATGGCCCATGGAATGTGAGCGTTGCCCGAAAGGCCAGCAGCAGAAAAGCCACCTTCGCGGCCTGGTTGCGGCATGAGTTGTTGCTTGAGAGCTTCAATATTGGGCAGTCCCGACGAAGGCGCGTTAACAAATCCCCATTGTCCGGGAAGGCCGGTAGGCTGTGCGACTAGCCCAACAGCGCTCCCAGTTTGCGCAGGGCTAAGGTTCTGCCCATAACCAGTAGGCACGGGCGGAACAGGAGGGCGAGGCCCGTTATAACCTGTTGGTTGAGAATTGGCCATGAAGCCCGTTGGCTGGGGTTGCAAAAATTGCTGCTGAGATTGCGTAGGTAGTCCTGTGATTTGTGGAAGGATAGCACTTTGGCCTGAGAATGATGACTGAATCTGCTGGAAGCCGGTTGCTTGAGAAAAGCCAGTGGGCTGCGTCTCAAGCTGGGTGAAAAGCTGAGCATTATTTGATTGCTGAGGCTGAGGCTGTTTAGGAGCTGAATGGACAGCTGGGGCCTCCATCATCGAGGCATCGAAATTCGGAACGTTTGTCCTGACGATAGACTCCGGCTGGGTATCCGGGACTTGGAAAGAGATTATGTCGACCATGCTGGAAACCTCGTTTTTTATCTTCTCCGGAAGAGCATCTGGGAGATCCCTGCCAGTAATCCTGAGGTTGCAGAGGTACATAGCCAGAGCGAATTCCGGAAAAAACAACTGCCCCGACTTGGTGGAATCAGATAGAATCCTATAGGTATCAGCAACCTCCTAGACTAGCAAAGAGGATTTGCATCTCACCAAATCTTGGATAGGTCATTTCCCGGTAGGTTTGATCGTAGTAGAAGCTCTTTGGCTTTTTCTCCTGATAGACAGGGTATCAGTAACCAGGCAATGTATGTCTGTTGTGATGCTGACTCATCACTGACCACTCATTGTGTGACTATTGCCCACGGCGGACTTGAACAGCTGTTCAAACTTGGCCTGATCTTGCGCGGTGATGAATGAAAGCCTTATATTGGGGATCTTATTTCCAGCTGGTTTCGGCGGCGGCGGCGGCGGAGCGATACCAGTACTGCCCTGGAACGAGTCTGCCATTTCTGTTGATGTCCGAGGAGCGGGTCGAACAGGAAGACTCGTATTGGACGGGACCTGGAATTGAGTAGTCTGCGGTTGGGAGGCAAGCCCCGTATACTGTGGATGCTGAGCTGATGCTTGGAAACCATTCTGAGGCGATTGCGATAAAGTTCCAGGGAGGCCGGTGAATTGGGGCTGGAGCTGCCCAGTGGGGAATCCTGTGGACTGAGGCTGCAGCTGAGAGCCTCCTGACCCAGAGAGCAGCTTAGTAGGCCCATAGCCGGCTGGTTGGGGAGCAAAGCCAGTCTGATGTGGCTGTTGTTGCTGTGGTTGGCCGGGGGGGAATGGCGAATATGGGGGTTGCTGCACGAAAGGAGGTTGTCCGGGACGAGCGCTGTTGGCGCCGCCCATAAAGGAGCTGGACGAAGAATACATTACCGACCGCGCGCTTGCATTTACTGCAGAACCGAAGAAGAAGAAGCCGAGCAAGTAGGCGACAAAATACACGGATGGAGAGAGGCAAAGATAATTTGACCAGCGGAATTAGCTGGAAGCGCGAACAGGACAGGCAACAAACAATTGGGAGGGGGGAGAACTCGGAAGGGGAAAGGAGGAGCTGAGCTGCCGGGGTGCTGGCCGGCCCAGTGACGCTGGTACAGATTGATGTGTTACATAATCAGTCAGGGCCAGCGGCCTCCCGCCAGCTCCAGGCTGGCCGCAAGAGGTCCACTACACTGCAGTCGGGACGGAGTGCCTGGATGGGTTTAGCGCGTTGCCACGCCACCCCATGGATTACTCGGTACATACTTACAAGTTAACCCAGATAGAAGTACCTACCGACTACAAACTACTTTCTTGTTCAGTGTTCCCCCGAGACACGTTGGTTTTGAGCAAATGGATCGCATATGAACACAAAAGGGGTAGAAACAGTGATGAAAGCACTCAATTGCTGGCGGCAGAAGCATTGGTGAGTGGGCAGTTCAACATAAGTATCCATGGTAATAGAGCCGGAGAGGAAACGGCGGGAGATTGATACGGAAGGGTATGATGGTAACAGAAACACGTATGTCCAGCCGCGTAGGTCTGAACATCTGACACGCCAGCAATTGTACATCAGCTTTCTGCTGAGAACAGCGACAGGTCGGGGCTATGGCCCATCCTGACCACCATTCTGCTGCTGAGTAGCTCCGACCATTTTGCGGAGCTCATATTCTTTAGTGAATTCTCGAGATAGTATGCCCAGATCACGGACAAGCTCATGGCAGGCGGTAACAACAGCTTCTTTGGGAGTGATTTCGCCATCTGTCTGTACGCGTAGCAGAAATTGGGGAACAAGAGGATGAGGCACCTAGATTTTATCAGTCAGAATTCATCCTCACCAGTGGCCACTACCGAAATCCAAAAGAACATACCTTGTATGCAGCGAAGAGGACATGGGAACTTTGCAACAGGCGAGAACGGATCAAATTGCCCAAGGTGTGATCTTCTTTGTTGAAAGTGAAAATAGCAGACGACGGGATGCCTGGCATGATTTATAGCTTTAGTACCATTTGCCAGGTAAGTTTGAGAGAGTTAGGGTGACGCACGAGTATCTATCTCCATCTCGACTTTATTTTCGCCACTGGCGAGCACAAACGACTCGTAGCTGGTTGAGGCGTAGGTCAGTACATGCACCTCAAAAGGTTCACAGGAAGAAGGGGCCGGCGAGGTCAGATGAACACAATAGTAACACTGCAGATCGGACGGAGCCGACCTTTGCTGCTGGTCATGGGAGACTTTGATTGTAGACTGACAGCCTATCCGAGGCCCGCCGCTGCCATGTCTCCAACGAGCGTAGGCTGTCTCTAGCGGGAGGAAGCATTCCTTGCTCGGACTCATTGCTGCAGCCGGCTAATCTGACAGTGAGGGTGGACAGTAAGGGTGGGTGCAGTGTGATGGTGTAAATATAAGCAAGACAGAGACAGAGACGGCGGATACCGATCAGAGGGACCTTATAAGGAAAGGTAAAGAAGGATAGAGGCAGAAGGAGCGATTTTCGTGAAAAGAAAGACCCTCGCAAGCTCTAAGTCAATGAGTAGATGATAGAACTCCCAGAGCGCAAAAGCCTCGAGGAGCTATAACCCATGTACAAGTCTTTATTTCCAACGAAGAAGATACTGATATAAACACACAAGAAAGGGCCATGCTTCTAACTAAGAATGATCCTTACCGATCTGGAGCGTTCATCTTGTTTTTGGAGTTCAAATATCCAGACGAAAATGTAAATCTAAAGGAATCAGAAGACTCTGATTCACAGCACACCGAGAGAAGAGTGGTCCCAAGCGAGAGGATACTCGTAGAGGAGAGGAGATAGCGGAGAGACGAGTCGAAAGTCGACCTCTTCCACTTTTATCTTCTTTGTCCCTTCGGCGTGGGGTTTAGTGAAATTGTCGGCGGGTTGTCTCGTATATAAGCAGTGATCTAGGAGCAATACAAGACGTTTGAATCGAGACTTGGGTTTTGAAAATCGTGACTTCTGCTGTTTGGGCCGAGAAAAGAAGTTCAGAAGGACCCAGTAGGCGAAACGGTGTTGTAGTTGCAAACAGTTTCGGACGCTCTGATAAGGTCCAACGATCTCGGGATTCGGGCACGTGATCATCGGCCACTCGGCTATCGGCCACTACTTATAAGCTCACTCTGAACTCCAACGAATGCTACTCACGATCATGGCGTTTCGAATTGACTGATTGAGACGTTTAACTAGTTGAACGGAGCGCATCTGGTGCGAACTGTAGCCCACGCCTCTGAATATACGAACATTTGCTACTAGCTCGCACTACATCGGCAAGCTGTCTTCTCATGCATTGCCTGGAAACTGAATTTGTGGTCAACATCGCGCGAGCTGCTCATGACAGGTCGACAAGGGTAACTAGAAAATCCCACTGTAAGAGACGCTGATTTGGAGCCGGTACTTCGTTAGCTTCAGCGAAAGTATGTATGCCTGGGCTCAAATTCTCACCTCAGGATCACACACCTATATCGAACTTGAATATCCAGGTTAGAAGAACGGGGACGCAAATTATGTTTTATAGCTGTCAGATACATATTAGGTACACGGTCAGAAAGATACATGGACATTTACGTAAATGCAAAATATCACACCCCGCACTGGGCAAAGGATCATCAAGCCATCAAAACGCCAATCATAAGCCCATAACCAGCTAGGATTCACAAAGCGGGAAAGAGAAAAAAGCAAAGCTGGGAAACAACTATCACCATCAGCCATGTTACGAGTGTAAACAAGTCATATTAGCGGAGTCCACAGATAAGATGAATCGTAACCAAAAGAAAAGAAAAAAGAAAAAAGGGTAGAGATGAAGATCAAATGCCAACAAACTTCAGAAGCAAGAGTGATGTAGGACACCTGCAGGACAGGCAGCTTAGTACTCGCAACAAAGTATATCGAGACTTGGCGCAAGGGATGGCTAGGGAAAAGAGAAAAGCGCTTTCAAGGAGGTGAAAACAGTGGGTGGTGCCTATGCAAATTTAGCCCGTGCCTGAGTGCATGTCATAGCATAACTGATCATGTTAGTGCACCGCGTTGAGCAAGTCCCCATAACTAGAAGTTTCTTTCTTCATTTTCCAGTTGTTCCTCTTGTCTTCTCGCTTTTTCATCATGTCAGTCCAGCCTTCATCGTCATCCTCATCGTCCGCCGCGACGCCGTTACTTGGCTTAGAGTGGGTGGACGGGTTGTTGTGACTGGACAGCGGACGAGAAAATCCAGCTGGGACAACAGCGGACAGTTTCTGATTTTCATCATTCCAAGAGGGCTTCGTGGGATGAAAATTAGAAGTTCCGATCTCGGGCTGCATAGTTGAGATGGGTCGATAGCGAGATGCTAGGCCAACATTGCTACGTTCGGACGGCGCAATAGAAGGTGCATAGCCTTGGCCTCCTGGAGTACTAGGTCTGAGTCCTCCTGATGTATATGGTAGAGCTGGGGTATTCAACCGAGAAGTGGCGTTGGGATCAAGCATGCTCAGCGTCCTCTGGTCCCCATGGTGACCAGCTGGAGCAGCCGACGGCATCGAGGACGGCCGCATGTTGATGCTGGCTGGCAGACCCGGGAGAGAACCAGCCTGAGGCGGAAGTTGAGAAACGTTCTGTCCACCTTGAATTTGAATCATTTGCTGCATCCATTGCATTTGCATCTGGACCATTTGCGTCATTTGCTGTGAAAGCTGTATTTGTGCCTGCTCCGTTGCAGAAACCGACGGCTGCGTGCCAGTCATACTGGCGGAATTCAAGTTCATCATAGTGTAAGGCCTGGGAATACCACCGGGATGAGCTGCTGGTCCAGGAACTCCACCAGCTTGATAGTCATACATGGCCTGGGTATTGGGACTACCCCTTCTCATGGCTCTGGCCCGCTCCTCGGTAGCAATGACCCCAACTAAGCCTCCAGGAGGCAACGCGGGCGAAGGGCCGCCATGCACCGAAGCACCTCCTCCGAGGGCCAGAGATTCTCTGTTAGAAGGATTAACCAGGCTTGCACCGAAGTATGGATCACGAGGCAGATTCCGGGCGAAAACGGGTAGGCTACTACGATTCGCAGCATCCTGTTCTGCAACCGAGCCCGGTGATGATATATATGGCTGTTGAAAGGAGGCTCTGAGATTGGGGATAGAATTGGAGGGTGTCAAGCGACTGGGAGGCCGATTCCTGTTTGGAAAACCATGTGCTGCAAGAATCCCTAATGGGATCTCTTCGTCATCATCTGCATCACTGCTTTTCCCGCTGCCGGACAGATTGCCTGGTTGCAAAAGGTTTGGCGCACTCTTGCTAGCCCGGTCAATGTCGGATTGCAGGACCGGAGCTGGTGTTTGTTGGCCGGTCACTTTCATCATTTGTTGTCGGTAGACAGATAGATGAGCCTCCTGCTTCCGCCGCAGTCTCTCAGCCTCAAGGTTCTTCTCTGTTTCATCCTCCTCGTATTCACTTTCACTTGACTTCTCACTCATGGACGTGTCGCTTTTGGATCTTCTAAGCTCTTGCTGTTGGCGATAGTGTTCGAACTGAGACGGCGTCATAATCTTGTTTGTCGAAGAGATAGATTCTGGCTGATACTTCTCGTATTGCGCGGCCAGGTGGGCATGGGCCGCAATCGAAGCATCGAAATTGCTGTGCTCCGCTGGGCCAACTAATGTTGGGGGCTCCTGGCGCTCAGTATGAGCCGCACTCGTCGACGTATCCTCATTTTGAAAAAGCGACACCTCGGCCCCGGAATCTGTGGTTTCCTGATCGGAGGCAAATGGCACTTGCACGTCTCTGGTGCCTGACTGAAAAGACTCCATGATCAATTTGGCATCCTCATCTTGAACAGGGACCGAGTCACGTTTGCTCGGGTAGATCATACTCCTCCTCAGTCCCTTGTCAACAGTAGTTCGAGGTTTCTCGAGAGAGCGATGAGAGGTAGTGGCGGCCGTGTATGACACAGAATGGGGGAATGCTAAAGACTTAGGTCGTTCTTCCAAAGACCCCGTGCCCAGGTCAGGAGATGCATGCTGTGCGCCTAGTTGTTCCCTGGGTGAATCAATGGCTGCAAGCAGACCATCTTCAGAATGTCGACTGTCCCAGGAATAAGGAGAAGGCTCAACTTCCTTCGATCGATCAGTATCAATGGGCGTCGGGCGCGAGGCTCTTTCATCTTTTCTCCCCCATCCTTCCGGTCCAGACTTTTGTGGTGGTACTGACGAGTCCTGGAACATATGTTAGCTCTGCACTGCACCGAATTGCCCGTTTGGGCGCTCAGGAAAGACCTCAAGTCGGTCTTGAGAACCATAAGGTCGATGATAGAAGCAACGGATGAGTCCATACCAACTGTACAGCTCTTTCTTGCGAATCGTGTGAAGCATAGTAGCGCTTTTCGAGATTGCCAAACATGTTCTGGAAATCGTCTTCCATTTTTTCAAACTGCAACTCCGTTTCAGGTAGTCTTGGTGCAGTCGTGGTATTTGTTGTGCTCGCAGTCATGGCTCGGTTTCGTGAGGGAACAGACGTGGACGCTTGCGATTGGGTGACCGTAGCTGGGACCTTTGAAAACCGTCCGCCAAAGGAAAATGTTCGCCCGGCTGCTCGAAGTGCACCGGAGATAGGAGGGATCGGTATATCGTACAAATTCCGCGAATGCGGGGACTGGGGCTCAGCTGGAGGCGCTCCGTCTGCTGAACGGCGAGTAGGTGGATGGATACGGGCCGACGAGGTCCCTTCGTACGTACTTAGATATCACAGTCATCAGCACCTTGACACCAAGGAAGTGTGATAGGGAGCAAACGCGTACAGGTTCCGTGAAGAGTGATTTTCGGATACTGCAAATATGTTGTTGTCATCGTCTTCGGGCGGTGAACACAAAGGATGGCCTTCGCTTAGTCTTTTTGACATCGAATTGCCATCGCTGGAGGGTTTCTTGTCGGCGGATGGTCGTTCAAAAACCCTAAATGATGATTGAGGGGGGTTTTCCACCTCCTCGAGAGCATTGCCGGACGACTTTCGGCGAGCGAAACCTTTGGGAAGCTTTATTGGCATCTGGACTGAAACCGAAGCGACCACTAGCGAAGCCGGAACCACCTCCAGATGGGATTAGCAAGCTACGCCAGCTCCCAGAATCCGCAAAACTCCAGCCCCTTCCTGTTGGCGCTATTGTTCTCCCATAAAAGAACTACCGCGAAGGTGGAGGAGGAGGGGAAGGGGGGGACCACCAGAGGGAGAGGGGGGGTTTGGACTGAGGGACGGGCCGGGTAGCTGAGAGAGAGGGAGAGAATGGGTGAGGTTATGGAAATGTGTGCTGAATGTGCTTGGAATACTTTTGGGTCTTGTCTAAACCGCACAAATTTCGATTCTGGCGGGGCGGGATGGTGCCTGCTCACGAGAATATTTCAAGAAAAGAAGTGGATGACGTGAAGGAGGGTAAGGTAGTGTCAAAGCAGATCAGTGGTGGATGTGGGTGCCTGGAGGCCTTCAGCTCACTCAGGGGCCTCCGAAGAATCTGGTCTGAAGAGGCGAGGTGGCCCAAGGGGAGCTCTTCCTGATACACCGTATACGTATAATAATCGATCAGCGGCGGCCGGGACCCTCTCAGTCCACTAGCGGGTCCTTATGACTCGGCTGGTTGGTTGAGATACCTTAATTGCTTAACCGTCCTTTGTGAGTCGCCAGTGTGAGTCGATTATCGAGATAAAGGGAGGGGGAGAAGGGGTTGGGTTTGTTGTGGGCGTTTGGAGAAAACGATGATTGACACTTAGCTTTTCTGCGAGCGGGCCTCGAAAGGCATAATGAAAACAAACCTGCCCAGGGGACAGGTGAGAATGAGGGGAGAGGGAGAAGACGGGCGTTCCTGGATGATGACAAAGATAGCGCAGCGCAACCCTACTGTATCATCGCCGATAATCACCCGCCTATTTTGTATTGATTAGAATTGATGGAATCACGGCGGCAAGATCAGAGCAGACCATATGATCCATACTGGACTACTCCTATACATCCTCAATACACTAGTCCCTTCATTTTACGGAAAATTCAAGACATGAAGGTTGGAAACCAATTCCATCCGCAAAAGGCCTACGTACTCAAGTCAACTGGTCCCTTACACAAATGATAAATAATTGACTCACGGGCTGTGGACAAAAAAATAAAACAGAAAGTCTCGCAGCTTCCAACAGTAGTCTTTGAACCAGACAAAAGATCCGACAGACCCTGGATGTGGTGGAGTGTGGAGCCCGGAACACTAACTAGCCATAGTCTCATTTCTAAGCCTGATAGGTGGTTAGGTAACGACTGGTAAGGAGGGGATTGCAAGTCGGGCGGCGACTCCAAATATAGTAGCACTCTTTTCTCCTCCCATCTGTGGTGGAACTCCCTTCTCTCCTATCTCTTCTTATCCATGTACAGTACTAAGTAGGTACTGTGCTTATAGTATGTGCTGCAAGAAGGCTAATGACCGCAAGGGGATGAGAATGGAGGAGCAAAATTGTGCCTGGTGTCAGGTTAAATAGATTCAGCGGCAGCGAACCAAGAGACAAAACAGGGGTAGATTCAAAATTCAGGAGGGAAAAAGTGGCGACCTTTTCTTCCAAGAAAAATGAGGATATTCCGATATTTGTACTAAGAGTGGGTAGATTTGGCGGCGGCCACAGCACTTCGAGTCGGGACTAGACCTCGCGGTTGTACAGTACAGTACCGGACCCGTACCAACTCTCGCTTGGTATGGCTTGTAGCCACGAGTGGTATGACTGTATGGCAACCGTCTTTTATCATGTATCTTACCTGTCTAGCATGCAAGGGGCCGAAGATTAACGAAAGACCAGTTCGCTTACCAAGCTAGCGAATACTAATGTGATTTATCAGAGGCTCGAAAGACCAGATACAAAACCAGATATTGAAATGAGATGGTATTCTGGTTTTAGGTACTGTACAAACAAGTTGATCATCAACCTGCCGGTTGGCTGGAGATCTCGGGAGTGGGAGAACATGCGCTATGTTACTTTGTGAGCTGGGCCGCCTTCGAAAATTTCTTTGGTATCTAACAACATTTAGATAAGACTACACTCACTTGCCGGTCCTGATGCAGAGTTTGAGCATGAAGTACGGTGACAGAACTCTCTACACAAGTGGGGTTTCAGGTGTGCCTGTAGAGAGCACCCAAGAAAGTATGCCAGTCTGAATGGCCTGGATATAATTTCTTAAGTGCGAAAGCCGGATACAGGCGCAATCGGCGCCAAATTCCATGTGATATTGCTTGGCCTGATACTTATTGATTGATTCCAGGATGAGCATCCCCAAGCCCAATTTAAACAGTCTTCGATTGTGGTTGCATATTTCCCTCCAGAGCGATGGAATTCTGTGCCTTCAAGCCACCTATCAAGGCAACATAAGGGGGAACCTGGATATCGCGCAGGTTGAAGCAGGCGAAAGCGACCAACTTCTGGATATTCGGACAGCTCTGGAAAATGCGACTCACAATGTAATCATCCATGACCGTGTGGAACGATACATCGAGCTCCCTCAACTTAGGATATGTCCGCTCATCTGAAAACACTTCAGTGAAGGCAGCATGTGATATGTGACGACAAGACGAAATATTCAACCTCTGGATCATAGAGCCTGAATGGTTCATAAGTGCGACAAATCCATGAGATGCGAGGCCTGTGGCTTCTGTGGGGCCGTCTGGGTTGGCATTATCGACATCACGGGTCGACGACATGTCCACAACTTTCAGAGCAGGATTTGGCCAGTTGGTAAAGAGACGAACAAATCCCTTGTCAGTACAGACGGCGTTCTCGGAGAAGTGCAACTTAGTCAAAAGCCTGCACTTGTCGTGGATCATATCAAGAAGACGATCATCCGCAGTAGTGAAGCCCTCTAGCGACAACGTCTGCAGATTCGGGCCCACCCGAGAGATTGTGTTGATAAGGGTTTCGTTCTCCACATCCTGATAGAAGTGTAAAGATAAATGCATCAAGCTTGTCAGAGTTGAAATGGCTTGAAGTGAACGATCCCCCAGCTTCCAACAGTGTTTCAATTTTAAACGACGGAGTGTGGTACAGCAGCTGCTTAACACCTCCAAAGTCTCGTCGTCCAAAGAACAGTCGAGATTGGATAACTTGAGGCTCTGTAGCTGTGGTCCTAGCCTTTGGAACAGCTGCCGCCATGAAGAATCTGACACCAAATTGGCAGCATCTAGCTGAAGACTCTTGATTCGAAGATTGCGGTTCAGCATAGACCCCACCACCTGATCTTTTAGTTGACCTGCAAAACGGATGTTGACATGAGTCAAAGAAGGCATTAATACAAAAATCTTCTCAAAATCTTGCGTTTCAAGTTCTAGTTGTAGAAATCAGTCTCCGTTACGAACATAAAGCATGGAGTAGAGAAGAGGGCTGATAGATCAGGACAAGACAAAGATCTCGCCGAGTATGGAAAGAACAGAGCAAGTGGGAGACGTACTAGCAGCATCGTAGATATTGATAGAGTCGAGGTCAGGACGCAAAAAAAGATTTAGAGTCCGAGGTGTCATCACTCGCCTTTTGGAAAGTATCTGACTGAGACGAAGCAGTAATTGCGATGGCAAGTCGCCGAACTCTTCGATGTCATTGATGTTATCTGCAACTTTCTATGAGTGGAAGTATTAGCCCAGAGCGTAGCGACTTCATGTATGTCGTCGTCAGTTACCTTCGTGCACATCTCGGCCAAGCTCAGGGCACCTTGCTGAGCGAGTCCATCGAGAAGATTGCTCTGGTTTTGGCGCCGACCAGTCCTTGGTCCGCGTTTCTTTGCCTTAGCTTTATTCTCGCTGTCTGTTTGCGCTTTTGAGCACTTAGTGCAGAGGAGTCCGCCAGTTGGGCCCGTTTTGCTGTATGGAGTGACTGTGAAGCGTTTATCACATAGCTCGCAGTTATCAAGCTGACCTGGCATCGGACGCGACCTTTCGTACATCATCTCTCGGGCGATAAGATCGTCATCGTCATCTGGCTCGCCCATTCGTCGTGCCTTGCGCTGAGCGAATTCTTTGCTTTGCTTGACTTTTGCCAAAACGACATCCTCCTTTCGTTTCCGCTTCTTCAGCTCGCCCCTGTTCTCATGCCCCTGTTCCTGATTATAGTTCTCTTCAATTTCATCAGCTGCCTGATGTTCTGCATCCCTCAAACGTCTTTGGTAGTCTTGGTGGATTTGAGCGGCGGAGATGTTGTTAGACTAGAAGGTAAAGCGTTAGAGTGTTAGAAAATTCATACCAGAGCAGGGACGAGGTAATCTGGGTGTCAGGACATACGGCAAGGAAGTCAGTGAGTGCCGAATGCCTATGATGTGTAAGTAATAGTCGTTCACAGTAGTTAATATCATAGAGGTAACGTACGGGCCCCGGATTTGATTCCTTGTCTGTCTTCTGTCGGTCCTGCCACTTGTCAGTGATTTGTACAGCGAGGACTGCTGACAATAGCGAAACGTACATTTTGATGGGAAAACAGGCACTTGAGGGGATAGAAGTTGATGTTCTGCAACAGAAATGGTCAACTGGGATGAGTGGCCCTGGCGGGTCACAGGGTTCCGTGACAATTTCGCGTTTCACTTAACGCGGGAGGGTGCTAGTTCGCCAGGCCGCTGCTTATCGCCTCCGGAGTGGCAAATCAAAGACGCAGCTGTACATGTACTAGCAGCCTGGTTAACCAAGGAATGGATGGGTGAGGAACTTTCCTGTAAGATATGTCCAAAGGTGACCTTTCTATGTACCTTGGCAAGTGGATCGAAATCAGCCTGGGACTCGGGAAATGCTTTCGATTTTTCTCTCTTTTTTCCCTTTTCTTTCTTTTCACAATTCTCTTCACTTTGTTGATCCTTGACTCACCCACTTCCTCCTGTGACCTTTTTTGCCTCTTTCCGCTTGCCTCTTTCCGCTATACCCCAGCTAGACCCCGATACCCGCATCTCTTATCAGCCATCCATCCCCCTCCTTACACCCTACCCTACCTTGATATCCACATCAAGACGGTGACTGTGAGATCTGTTCCCAAGGTAACCCACTGGTTCGATTGCTATACAGATTGCGGTCAGGCAACAAAGGTTCCGTTGAAATATGGGAAGAAAGTCTTCTACCGCGAGGCAAGAGCAGCCTTCAAATGCTGGTAAGCAAACAAAACGCTATTTTTACATGCTGAAAAAACACGAGGGCAAAACCCGGGGTGATGCGAACAAACATCGGAACGTTGCTGAAGGATGGTGCTTATGAAAACTAGCTGACCCATGATAAATAGACTCTCTCGCTACCTTACCCAGACGCACTTCCGCACGGCTGAACCGGACGTCCCTGATTTCTCCGGCCAAATTACCAGAAGAAAGCAATGATAAGTGCAATTCTATCCCAACAATCATTGGAGGGCAAGAGATCAAACCATTATCTATCGAAATCGCCATACCTCCCAAGAGAACGTCACCTTTATCTGAATTCGAAACTTCTCTCCTGGACGAAAGTTCGTCTGGAGTCTCCACGCAAGCATATAGTACACCGGCAACCAGTACTGCTGCTACTCCGGTCGAATCGGATGCATCTGGGTCGAAGAAGAGAGTTAGTGCCTCTGCCCGTGCACGCGAACTTCGTTCAAGCATCATGTCCTTGAATGCATCTCGAGGATCAAAGAGGTCTGCTGCGTCCGTTGTTACATCGGATGTGGCTATGACGGGGGCATTGCAAGATCAGGCGTATCAAGTGCGACCTACAAAATTACGGAAATCTTCACGCCACACCACTTCAAGCATTGATTGCCCTGCTGGGATGGCCGAAGGCTTAGTAGCCAATGGCACAGATGACGGTACTTATGGCGAGGAGTCTCAGACAAAGCGCTCTTCCCTCAGAAACCAGCCACATCGATCAGCTCGGATAGTCACTACCCAGCATAGCGACCAGTCCACAGGTGACGAGATGAGAACTGTTCAAGCGGTCATTTACTCAAGTGAATCCGAACTTAGCGACATTTCTTACTCCTTGACCGAGGCCAGCGAAGATGAAGATGTCGAGCCACAGGAGTCTTCCAAGTTGAGGGCTGTTCGAAACTCGGGAGCCTCAAGAACGCCTAGGCCAGGATCTCGATCGGTCAGAAGTCGTTTTCAAGTTGCAGGGGAAGCTTGGATGACCCGCCGGGTATGTGCTCTGGTTCAGATACTGGAAATAAACCACTAAATTTTCCTATAGGCTATCAGGGAACGAAAGAAGCTGGAGAAGCAACACCCATCCGTCACTACTATGTGGGATGATTTGGCAAATATGCCTCCAATCAAGCCGATAGCAGCAGAGCAACCAAACGGTATTTCGCGGACGCTTAAGTCGTTCCAGCTCGAGGGTCTCAACTGGATGATGCAACAAGAGCAATCGCAGTATAAGGGAGGCCTTCTTGGAGATGAAATGGGAATGGGCAAAACAATTCAAGCCGTTTCCCTCATTATGTCCGATTATCCCGCTGGCAAGCCGTCGCTCGTAGTGGTTCCCCCAGTTGCTTTGATGCAATGGCAGTCCGAGATCAAGGTTTTTCTTTTCGTTCCTCGCCGATTCACGACATAGCTGACATAATCTATTAGGAATATACTAGCGGTCAATTGAAGGTCCTCGTCTATCACAATTCAAATCCCAAGGTCAAATCCCTACCAAAAGAAGATTTGCAGACATATGACGTGATCATGATATCCTGTATGTTCCCACCTTCATATGGAAATTGGTCATGGTGAGACTCATTAGATGGCCAGATTCAGGTCTCGAGTCGATTCATCGGAAAGAGTGGAAAGGATGGAATCGGAACGATGGGATCGTAAAGGAGGATAGTAAGTCATAGTTCTCGGTATATCTATTGTGCATGCTGACCACCTCCCAGGTGTCATCCATTCTATAACCTACCACCGACTGATTCTGGACGAAGCGCACAGTATAAAGGTAAATTGATGTATCGAGACATCGAGTTGAGGCTTAATAACTGACATTGCTAGCAACGGACAACCAGTGTCGCCCGCGCATGTTTCGCGTTGAAGGCAAGTTACAAATGGTGTCTCTCTGGCACACCCGTTCAGAACAGGATCGGTGAATTCTTCTCATTGCTTCGTTTCTTGGAAGTCCGTCCCTTTGCTTGCTATTTCTGCAAGCAATGCAAATGTCAACAACTTCATTGGTCGCAGGATGCAGAAAAGCGATGTACCACATGCAAGCATAGGTAAAGTGGCACTATGAATGCTGGTGTGAGGGGTTGTGAGGGTTTTAGCTGTTAACCTTGGGTACAGTGGGTTTAGTCACGTTTCCGTTTTCAACCAAGAAATTCTCAATCCAAGTATGTGTCTTCACAATCCACCACCTTCGTGACTGAGCTAAGTGAAACCAGTAACCGAAAGAGACAATGCACATGCCAGAAAGGAAGCTCTAGCGAAGTTGCGCCTAATCACGGATAGGATCATGCTGCGGCGAATAAAGCGAGACCACACAGCTTCCATGGAGCTTCCACCAAAGCGGTTCGTTTATCTGTGTGGGGAGATCGATTTACGCTAACTTGCTTCCAGTGTTGTCATTCATAATGAGTTCTTTGGGGAGATCGAGCGTGACTTCTCTCGCAGTATTATGACAAACTCTACCCGCCAATTCGACACCTACGTAAGCCGTGGTGTCATGTTGAACAACTACGCCAATATCTTCGGGCTTATCATGCAGATGCGTCAAGTGGCCAACCACCCCGATCTCATCTTAAAGAAACATGCTCAGACTGGACAGAACGTTCTTGTGTGCAGTATATGTGATGAGCCTGCTGAGGAAGCAATTCGGTCTCGCTGCCATCATGAATTCTGCCGCAGATGTGTCAAAGACTATGTCCAGTCCTCTGGTATCAAGTCCGTGGTTGATTGCCCCCGTTGTCACATTCCTTTGTCAATCGATTTCGAGCAGCCTGATATCGAACAGGAAGAGGAACATGTTAAGAAAAATTCCATCATCAATCGTATCCGGATGGAGGATTGGACTTCATCGAGTAAGATCGAGATGCTTGTCTATGAGCTCTACAAGCTGCGAAGCAAGAAACAGACACATAAATCAATCGTCTTTTCGCAGTTCACGTCCATGTTACAATTAGTCGAGTGGCGCCTACGTCGAGCCGGCTTTAACACCGTTATGCTCGACGGTACAATGACGCCAGCGCAACGGCAAAAGTCGATTGAGTACTTCATGAACAATGTGGACGTCGAGGTGTTTCTCGTCTCTCTCAAAGCAGGCGGTGTTGCTTTGAACTTGACTGAAGCGTCGAGAGTCTTTATCGTTGACCCGTAAGTTTTCTGGACGCCGCGGATCTACTACCTTAGTTCTTTTCCACTGATGTGTTATCGCCTTAGATGGTGGAATCCTGCCGCTGAATGGCAGAGTGCAGATCGCTGCCACCGCATTGGTCAACGTCGACCCTGCATTATTACCAGACTTTGCATTGAAGATTCGGTAGAATCTCGAATCGTGTTACTGCAGGAAAAGAAGGCCAATCTCATCAACGGCACCCTCAACAAGGATCAAGGCGAGGCTTTGGAGAAGCTTACCCCTGAAGATATGCAATTCTTGTTCCGAGGTTCGTGAAATTAATATGGCGTGTATGTGTGTGGTGGGAGGGCGGGTAAGGGTGGTTGGATTTCCATATCTCATTATCTCATAGGCAATTATCAAGAAACCTGTCAAGAATTGCGTACTACCCGAGAAAGCGGGGATCAAATCATTCCAATGAGACTTATCTTAACTTGGAAGACACAACGTGGATAATAGAAGGCAGCGCCTGGATTATCGCCCATGGATCTTCGGAAGTGAGCGAACCGATTCAATGCGGCAGCCTAGAATGACGTCACTACCAATTATAACAAAGACATCTGATTTGCACTAACTAACTATTTAGTCTACGGGCCCATAGACTGCCTTCCCTTGTGGAAAATCTTCTCTGGCCGCCCTTGTCATTAGTGCCTCAACATCTGACTTGTATCAGTGGACTCTGAAGTACCGGGAGTGTATACATATACAGTTTATAGTAGGGCAGACTCGGGAGTCGACAGACATCCAGTACGCAGTGACTACTTGGTGGAACTTGGTTTACGCTACGCCCTACAGGGAGACACGGTCCCGTCCTTCCGTCATCACTCAAACCTCTTGGAGACACGATCGACGGGAAAGAAGCCTTGCCGAGACCAACAAAACACACACTCTCTCTCTTTCTCTCCTCCCGCCTTCCAAACCCATCTCCTAAACTCTTTTCTTAGTGACCCCATGATGGTAGTTCCTCCGACCCCGAGGTGTGGATGACTGGGTCCCCAACCACGGTTTCTTCCGACTCCCGGTTCGAACCTCTTTCATTCTTAATCGACCGCATTTCCTGTTCACAAGCAGGGAGGGAAGGGAAAACAAAAAAACAAGAAAAGAAAAAAGCAAGAAAAAGAAAAATCAAAAGAGTCTTCCTGCATCGTTCCGCGCCTGTTTGCTGATCCCCGCACGCTCCTGCAGGTAACTGACATAATTGACGGACCCTACCCCCGCTCTTTATCATCGTATTCCATTCTATCTTCTCCTCCCATCGCCTCTCATGGACCAAGTGCAACCGCGGACACGCCGGCGGCGCCCGGTAGATAAGTATGGCCCGAGGTTCTTCGACAAGACAGAGCACGTACAAGATAGGGCGGCTGCTATGAAGGCCACTTTGCACGGGGACGAACGGTCGCAGTCTCAGCCTGCCGGGGGCTTTGATAGTACCCCTTATCCCTACGCCCCGCCTGGATATACTGTCAAATTTACCTTTCATCGTGGCGTCAACCTTCCTTGTGCAGACTTCGGTACCTTCTCTTCGGATCCTTATGTTCATGCTCAATTACTTGTCGACCTTCCTCAGCGTCACAAACAGGATCCCATTATTTCCTTTCGAACACCTACGGTGCGCAAGAACCGAGATCCGGTGTGGGAAAAGGACTGGATTGTGGCCAATGTTCCGGCATCTGGCTTTCAGTTGAAATGTAATGTTTATGATGAAGATGCAACTGATCATGACGATAAACTTGGCAATGCCTACGTCGAAGTAGACTCAGTCTATGAGGATTGGCCTTCCATCAAAGAGCAATCTTTTCGTGTGAAAAAGCGATTGGGGAGCAAACGAGTATATTTGTTTGGCAACATTGCCGCATTGGCTTCGCGACGCCTCGATGTGGCTTCGCATTTGGTAATCAGCATTGAGTGCCTGGGTAAGACACCCGGCGATGAAGGTGCGCATATGTACACCCTCGGTCCGAATTACTGGTTCAAACATTTCTCTCCTCTTATCGGAAGGCTGGCAGGCACCAAGGATGAGGTTCAGAGTCAGAACGGCCATAAGACAATCAGCCGATATAAGTACGTTGCAACCCTAGCGGGTCTACATGTACGATTGTACCATGCAGCAAGCTCACATCCCGCAATTTAGCTTCCAAGCAATCCAGATACAGCTCAGAGGCCCTGTGCCCGCCGAGCTCTATCACCGCTATGTCGAATTCAAACCCTTCGTAGCGGGAATGTTCACATCCCACAGTCTTCGTGGACGAATTCTCAACCGAGCGCTCCACCATCAACATGAGCGTATCTATAACTTCGACAAGACAACTCTTACCGGTCAATTCGCGTCGCCATGTATTGAACTTACCCAAAAATTTCTTGAGTTTGTTCATTACGCACAGGGTGGGAGGATCTTCACATATGTGATCACACTTGATGGACAACTTCGCTTTACGGAAACGGGGAAGGAATTCGGCATCGATCTCTTAAGCAAGCACACCATGCATAGCAATGTATCGATTTATATCGCGTATTCTGGGGAGTTCTTTCTTCGCCGACGAAAGCATCGCCATCACCGACAATCCGATACCCCACATCCTTCAGAGACGTGCAATTATTCCGCGGATGAGCCACAAAACGACTTGGAGGTTTCTACCGATCCAGCCGATTACGAGCTCTTCATTGATAATGATAGCGGAACATATCGTCCAAATGGAGATTATCTTCCTCTCCTCAAACAGTTCATTTCATCCAACCTAATTGGCCTTCATGTAACTACGCTTGACTGCAAAGAGGACGCCGGCCGAATGGAAACATTGAAAAATGAGCAGCGCGAATTTAAAAAGCATGAAGGAAATCAGATGATTTTCCTTCAGCGGAGCCATAGCTCATCCCTCTCTTCTCTCTCCAGTTCTGACGAAGAGGACCTGGATGAACGCAGCGACGCGCCGCGCAAAGCGAGGGGAGACCTGGCTCAGAAGGTACACGAAATGCGCGACGTCAAAGGCCACTTAATCAATTGGGTCCAAGGAGATGAATATGCCGGTTCCAGGTGCAAGGCTGGGGACTCCTCAAAGGAGCATACAGTTTCACCTGCCGACTATCCAGGCCCACCTCAGTCCGTTGGGGGGGGGGTTGTCAATTCATAGGTATCTGACCTCACCAGCGTCCTGTTTGCGTCGACATCAATTGGCAGGGCTATTACTTGAACAACTATTGAACATGTTCCATTTACATCGGTCGTTTCCCTACTCCCTCTTTCTTTTCTCCCGCCTCTTCCACTGGCCTTTATTACCTCTTTCCCTCCGCGCCTTCCTCAAACTCTATGCTTACCTCTTATACCTTATCGCCAGGCCCTATGTCTGGCTTATTAATGTCCAACAAATCATTGTTTTTGCCCTGGGTCCTTAGCAGGTGGTAATATATTATCATTGCACTGTCACCGTTCAGAATCCGTATCCAATTCCTTCCCCATCCCGCAAGCGAAATAGGTTGTCCACATCAGCCTGTCCTATTATGGCTAAGCGCCTGGAGATTGTAAAGCTTGCATTTGACGAGTAAAGCGCGGCGAGAAAATACTTCCCATGGGCCTATGTCATACAGTTGAGGTAGGTAGTAAGCCGGAAAAATGTGACTGATACCAACTGCACTCGACAATAGTATGCAGAATGACCAAATCAGCCTGCTATAGCCACAAAGGCGAAGAGAATAGACTACTTAGGGCTGGATCGCGTCGATGGTGGTCGAACCTAAAAGGGAAGGGGGAACGATAGTAAATGGCTCCTTTTTGTTTCTCGAAAAGCTTTGCAGGCCAAAGTCGCCATGACAAATTATGCAATGATGGCTGGCAGCTGTAGTGCGAAAAGCTTGCTGTTCTACTAGCTTTGTGGACACGATAACCAGGCTTCAGGATTGATCAATTCTGCAACAATCATATCAAGTGACGGAGTTCAAACTGAGAGGAGCCGAGAAGGTGGGAGTTTTTCTCTGGTGCGTCTTATCATATGACTAGCTCTTTGCAGATGAGCAGCTGACAGACAGCAGTCGACGAGCTTGAAGAGCTTGAGGAATGGGTAGCTATAATTGAACTCCTTGGATGAACGACGATAGCGGAGGAATATTTGTGTAAAGGGAGGAAACACGAGCGCGTCGTCTCAGGTCAGCCGGAGGACAAAAGAGCATCTTACCCGATTCTGTCTTAGCCCCCGCCGGCCGGTTCGACTGCCTCTCCCTCGCCTTCCAGTCCTCCCTTCCTGCACCCCATTCTCTTTCAGAGCGCGATCAACTGCAAAGACCAAATCCCATATTGGCTCCTTTGGTTTCGCGGGCTTCGCCCCTTCTGCAGCTACTGGAGAGGTCAATATCACTCTACCATTATCAGCTGGGCCCATTCCCACTATTTTACTTCAGGTTTCTCTCTGCCCGCCCCCTCTTCTCATCTCTCCTCCGCCCCCTCCCCTCCCCACCTCCCTGCAACTACCACACATCGCAGAACCTTTGAGCACACTCCTTTTCCAGTTCGTCACACTTGCGTTAAGACAGCAAGCATTGCTGCTGCTTCTGCTTCTTCTTCTTCTATTACTACTACTACTACTACTTCTACTTCTTCTTCCACACATCACCACTTTAGCAATTCTCCGTCCGCGCACACACTATCACTTTGAACTACAGCACGTGGTGCATGTCTCGCAGCGAGCAACTTGGTCGCAAACTACTGATTGAATCAATAACGGCCTGAATGACGACTCATTCTCAGGATCGTTTTACCTGTTGCCGCCTCATCCTCAGCCTAGCGCATTATCCACCGACGGGAGCGCAGACTGTCGATGCTCCCCCTCGCTCCCACCGGTCACTTCTCCGGTCTCTCTGTCTCGAGCGGTGATTTGATATATACAGCGATTTCATCATGGGCAATGTCGGAAGCCGCCTGGATGACTCCGGGAATCTGTACTTCAAAGATCAAACAAAATGTACGACCCATCTTACTTAAGTGATACACCAGATGTCGTGGCTCACATGGACTTCGTTTAGTCACGATTGCTGCCGTAACGATAACAAATTCCAAACGCCGAGTGCTTCTGCATCTCGTTCCAAACTCCTTTCCTGCTACCAGATATACCGCCAGACGCGAGGTTGGCGATGAAAGCCCGATTGAGTACATACAGGTAAGCAGGACCACCGACTTCATACTGGCGACGACTGTTTGGGTTTTATCTAGATAAATGTCAGTGATTAATTGTTTCATGTATTGGTGTACAGGACCCAGATCTTCCTCCATCAGCACCGATGCCAACATTCCTCTTGCGCCTAAACAACGAGGACGACCTGATTTTCAATTTCACTTTCATCCTGAGACAAACACAGACAGGAAACGTCGCGAATGCCACTGTCAACGGGGTCTCTACGTCTCTGCCTGAAGTAGCCGACACTGTCCTCACAGGTCTCACCTTCGCGCACGCCCCTAACACCAGAGATTTGGACAATCTAATCACACGCGAATTTCACGCCAACCCAAATCTTCAGAACAATTCTAATGTACAGCTGGTGGGAGATTTTTCGACGGGAGGCAGTCCGTCCGTTCAATTTGATTGGTCTTGGAAATGGAAACCGCCGAAAGTCATAGAGGATAAAGGGGGTGGCTGGAGGAATAGCTGCAGTTTCCTTGACTACGATCAGAGAGCCAATCGGTTGAATACCCTTGCCCATTTCTCATTCTGGGTACACAGCACTCAGCGCGCTCTCCCCAGTCCCCAGATTATGTCACCAAACCTAGAACTTCCCGTTCCGTTCCGAAATCGTATTCCATCCTCGCAGTCCATCATATCGCACTCCAGTGATGCAGATACAACGTCCAACCCCCATGCAGTGCCCGTTACTCCACCAGAGGCTCGCGACACGGCTTCCGTGCCAGCTCTTGGGCCTGTACCTCTCACTGTCAAAGTTGATCTTCCTCACTCGCGCCCGGGAGAGGACATGAGCGTGGTTGAAGATGGCCCGTTGTTCCGTGCGACGATGAAAGCATTGGAGCAGAAGACAGGGAATATGCGAGCAAAGATAAAAAAGGTTCTCAAGAAGGCGGAGGCCGCCCAGCAAGCGCAAGCGGCCTGCAATGATGCTGTAGAAGCATTTCTCTCCGCATTGAACGAAGCCTCTACTTCTAATGCCAACGCAATTCAGCCTGCACTTGATCATTATTTCGAAAAAACGGCACGCCAGATCTTGCAATATGAACGACTCAATACGACTCAGCTTCAGAAACTCGTTATCGAGCCGTTGGTCAAACTCTACAACAATGATATCAAACAAGCCGAGGCCAAGAAGAAAGAATTCGAAGAAGAAAGCAGGGATTATTATGCATACGTCAGTCGCTATCTCGGCCAGCGACAGGATTCCCTAAAGGAAAAGAAAAGAGCGGAGAGTGACTCGAAGTATCAGGCTAAGCGGCGTAACTTCGAATTGAAACGCTTTGATTACTCCTCGTTCATGCAGGACCTGCACGGGGGTCGCAAAGAGCAAGAGGTTCTTTCTCACCTAACGAAGTATGCTGATACCCAGGCGAAGAGCTTTCTTGCCGCCGCTAAGAAGGTTGACGATATGATCCCTCAATTGGATGCTCTGATCCACGAAGTCAGCCAGGCGGACAAAGAATTTCAGTTTCAACGGACCGAGAGGGAGGAAAAGCGCAGGGCACTAGAGAAGAGCAGCAACACGTATCTTGAACCCGAGACTCTCATGTCTTCGGGCGCACCGTCGACACAGTCAGGAAATACCAATGGTACCCAGAAGCTGGAAAGTGACCTGGGTCGCGCAGATAGCACAGGCTCCCAGCTGAGAAGCGTGGCTAGCAACAACTCATCTATTCTTCCGCAAGCGAACTCTTCTTCTACTCCTTCAGCAGGATTGTCCGCCCTCGCTTCAACAGTAGGCTCGACCGGTATGTTCATGCCTAATGCTCAGAACACATTCATCATCTTAGGCCCCGCCGAGTCTGGTTCAGTATTCATATGCATTTTGACTGATGATGTTGCTGCAGGTCAACAGAGGAAGGAGGGCCTCCTGTGGGCGCTGTCGCGTCCAGGCTCCCACATTGACCCTAAAGGTATAAACAAACAAGCCTGGCACAAGTAATTTTTCCCGCCTCCTTCTCATGCTCTCAACTAATCACGCACAGGTTCTGGATCGTTCTAGACCAGGGGAAACTGTCAGAATATAGCAATTGGAAACAGAAGCTTGATCTTCACATGGATCCCATCGACTTGAGAATGGCATCTGTCCGAGAGGCACGAAACGCAGAACGTCGGTTCTGTTTCGAAGTCATAACCCCACAGTTCAAACGCATCTACCAGGCAACTTCCGAGGATGATATGTCCAATTGGATTAGAGCGATAAACAATGCTTTGCAGAGTGCGGTCGAGGGCCGCGGCATGTCGCCACCACCCATTGCCACCGATAATGATAGCGCTTCTTTCGGTCGTGATATTGGATCTGTATTGACCGGCAAGAGTACCTCGTACTCTGTTCAGCACTCTCAATCAACCGGCTCCAATAACAGTGTCACCCGTCGCACTACTGTAGGCGCAAGACCAAGCTACGTTCGCGATGGTTATGGATTCGAGGAGAACCCTTCAAAATTGCTCCAGGCAGTACGCGAGGCGGATGAAGGCAACAATTGGTGTGCAGATTGTGGCTCCACGTCCAAGGTCGAATGGGTGTCTATCAATCTAGGAATTGTTTTGTGCATCGAATGCAGTGGCATTCATCGATCACTTGGGACTCATATTTCCAAAATCCGATCTCTAACGCTGGATGTAAATTCTTTCTCGAACGACATTGTTGAAATCCTCTTGCAAATTGGCAACCGTGTCAGTAATATGATTTGGGAGGCAACACTTGACCAGGTGCATAGACCAACCGCGGCGTCCACTCGGGAGCAAAGGTTGAGATTTATTACGGCCAAGTATAGCGAACGAGCATTCGTGCAGGCGCTGCCTTCTCCGCTATCTCGCTTTGCTACTGCGGACGAGACTCTTCTCGCTGCGATCAAGAAGAATGACATCCAAGGCGTACTTTATGGCATCGCCCTACGCGCCAATGTGAACGTCACTGATCGTTCTCGTAATACCCACGCGGTATTTCTCGCCCTAGCTGCAGCTGATCCTGCATCACCGGGGTCGACCTCAAGTTCATCAGCTCGACCACCCACAGGTCCTCCTGTGAAAGTCATTCCGTTCCCGATTGCGGAGATACTCGTCCAGAACGGAGCTGAAATCCCTCTGCAACCACCGCCTATACCCCTTTCGCCAGCTGCTCAACTATACCTAAGTCAGAGGACCGCAAGAGTGTCAACATTTGGCAATACACCCGCTGCTCCTCCGAACGGAAAGAGTGCAACGGAAAGTCATGGTTCACTGCCAACGCTGCGAGGCCCGGGCACCGATAGCAGTGTCGTATCTTCCTCACAGGCTCCAAGCTCACTAGACAGTAAGGAACGTGAGAGATTGCACAAAAGAGGCAGTGCTGGTGCTAGGTTTGCTGGAAAGGTCGCCTCGCTGGGTATAGACCGATAGGCAATCCTCCTTCTCCTTCTCTATGTTCCCGTCTATATCCTTCTCTTAATCTTAATTATAACGAAGCCCTTGTAGACAGAGTACGATGCTGAGCTTAGTCAAGTGTTTACAGCGCCGATGTCCAGCTTGCAGAATGACTGTTATGCCACTTCCAAGAACGCTTACACTGTTTTCACAGCCTCTTTTTCATATCACATCACATTCCTGCAACCCAGCCCACTCCTCACCCCTCACTCGAGTATTCTCTTGCCGCTTCTAGTTTTCATGCTCTCTCTTCCACCTTCTCAGTGATATTTTGTCACTATATGAGAAAATTGTACGACTTTGTTTGCATCCTGGACCAATTCTTTGTACTCGCGCTTAGGTCGTGCGCGATACGTGCTGCGCACTTTTTTGTACATAGTAGGCCACATCAAAGCTTGAGTAGACCGATTCCCCTAGGTGTGATTTTCCGCGTTGAAAAAATTGACGGCGCATCCTGATTGCGCTGGTAATCTTGTCTCGCCTTGTTTGAACAGAGCGAGAAAATTTGAACACTCATATGGTAACTGTGACCGAATTCCTCTGAACCTAGATGTTTCTCCAGGCTAACCACAGATTCCAACCAGCAGTCGCCGAAAATGATCTGAATGTTGGCAGTACTCCTCTTGCGATGCATTTGCCGGCGAAGGCTGTGCGTTATGATTGTGGCGGAAATTCACCAAGTACCAACGATAGGACAGGCATGACTACACTCTGCGAAAGGTCAAGATCTGCGCAACAGCCTTTGCCACAATTCAGTGCTCTAACCTCCGTGTCAACTATGTAGGTTGAGCGGCGAAACAAGAAACGCCGCACAGCGTCGTCCGTAAGCACGGCTGTTTCTCGCCTCTCCCCACTCTTTGACGTGAATCCTCAAGCCATGTAATGGGTAACCATTGGATGCGTGAAGTGACTCTAGACAAGCCACCATGCCCCCCCCCAGGATGCTAGCCTTGAAGGGTGGATGAAGTGGACACTACCTAGAAATGCGACCGGCTAGATGCCTGAAACAGAATAAACGATAGGATCTCAGGTACCCAACAGGGAGCTCAGAAGGTATGGATTATGACGATGGTGGTGTTATAGTGGCACTCTCACGGCAGGGGAGGGTAAACTGAGCAGCAGCATAGGGGCATGTCAAGGGCGCCACCCTGGTCAGGCCAGTCTTTTTCGGATGAGGTAATGGCCGACCCAAAACGCGTGTATCCGTCGATGGAAGTATGGAGCCATTTCCTCTCCTGGCCAAGATCGTACAGGAGCGAACTGGGTAGATCCAGGCAAGATGTGGTATTCGCGTATGACCTTTGAGGCCGGCACCTCAATCGACGCAGCTTCGACTCAAAACCATGTATATACCTGAGTAGGCAGCCATGAATTGATATGAGTCCGCGGTCCTTCAATAATAAGGTATCATTGGGCAGCACGGATTTAAAAAAAAATCAGGGCCAGAATGGATGGATAGATGAAAGAGCTTCTCGTAGATTCCTCGCAGGCTCTCTGTGTTATGGATGACGTCATATGGCAGAAATACAGATCTAGCAAATCGGGAAGGCGGGAAGGCGGTATATCACGGATGGTCTTTTGGCCTGCTCTACATCTACATACCTCTGGCCAAGCATCCTGATACTCGTATTCATGTGCGAGTAGTACTGTATGTATGGTCCTTGCTCTGGCTTCCTTCTAGTCTACTCCTCTAATAGTACTATGTTCTACCGCTAACTATGCACCATAGAAAGAGCTGGACAGTGATCATCCCTGAATACAGTTCCTCTTTCATGGTTGAGATGCAACTGCTCAGACGCAGATGTATAGCAGCCTCCTTATCTGCCCTCTTCTGAAGTCGTGTTGTGGCAAGCAAAAAATAAATGTGTTCGGGCTTACTCTTTTGGCCGAACAAATCATGCCATTATAACTCAGTTCGTGTCAATATCACCTCGACAGTCTCCTGCCTGCGCAGAGACTTCTATTTTCCGCGTACCCAGACATAGAATAAAGCACATGCGAGGATGGGCTAGCGAAGACTAATTTCTGCAGTCACGATCCGCGATAGTCATTATATACTTATACCAACCACTGATACTTAGATTAAGCGCTGAAGTTTTGCCTATTCCTAATACTACGTTGGCCTTCTATTTCTAGATCTTGCGGATTTGTCTGGGTCGAATTGAGGCCACCTCTCTTTCTCTCTCTCCCCTATTTCATTAATAAGCCAAGGGTACTAGCCAACACAGCATGGAACAGAGCACTTCGGGTCATAAATGGCTTTTACTGAAGGTGACTAATGACTATCCACCCGCACGTAACTAACCCCTGCAAAGTCGCTTAGGTGATCGTCAGCAACCTCTGCAGTGCTCAATGGATTGGGATAAGTAGCCCTGCGCTTAGAGCACTTTGAAAAATGCCATACCATTCTAGGTCTTTGCGGAAGAGTGGGTACACTACCTGCACTCGAGCAGGAAGGAAAGAAAGGGAGGGGGGTGAACGGTTAAGAAGGTGGGGTGGGAGACACGAGACTTCGAGTCAGAGGATAAAGATAAGAGATGAAAAATATGAATGATCAGTTGACCGTGTCCTCTTATCCGTGTCCATATAACCAACACAGCTTGAAGGAAAACTATTTCCCAGAAGGGGGGAAGGAAACATCTCGGAAATACTAGATGCAAGAGTGGGGAGGAGAAAGAGCGGGGGGTGGTGGAGAGGGGACATCCAGTATGCTGTAGTAGTATTTACTCCTGTTCTAAATTCTATGAGGACAGAAGGTATCTACTTACCTTCCAGGCTAGATACAGTGCGTGGTGGGGGTTCAGCCAAACTGCTGGTGGCGGGGGGATTGGTCAAGAGTTTTGCCGGAAAAGGATGGGATGAGGTTGAAGTGGCCGAAAATTGATTCGCTGGCATTTCATCCGGCGCTCAAATCAGCTGTGGAGCCTCCCTCATCGTTAGTCCCCCAAGATCCACGGGTACTTTGGTACATGTAAGTAAAGTTAGGTTCCAGCTCAATTGGCGTACTTCTCGGTCCGTACTTAGTGGAAGCGGCTTGGGTCAGCAAGTGATCTACCGTTATTCCAGCGGTTTGTCGGATATAATCGCGGATGTGGAAGCAAGCCTTACATTCTAGGTAAGACCTATAGCCCTCCGCTTGAAAGCAGGAGATGTAGTATTCGAAAGTCGAGAGAAAGAGAGCGAGAAGGATTAATTGTATGTAAATCATACTACTCCTAGGAAAGGAGTGCTTCTGCATTGAGCATGAACGGTGATCGGGCCCTAGTGGGAATGTACCGTAGTTACCCTCAGGCTACATTCCGTTAGTCGGTCACTTTTTTTGCACCCATAGTCTGTTCGTTTTTCCTGCCTACACATTCAGTCACACACATCAAACGCCAATACTACTTCAACCGGTTCTTACTCATGCACTAATTGCGCACTTTTTCTTTAGAAAAACTTGTGCCCCCTCCTACCAAGCCCCTCTCATCCCTTCCATTCTTTGATATCATGCGATCATTGGAGCCCGTTCTTAGCTCTAGTGCGCTCTCTATCCAATCAACTATGTACCTGGCAACCTCTCCAGACTTATCAAGCTAACCCGGTAGACTCCCTCGCCGGTTGCTGCATGCAATGGCGGCGGGGATCCAGACCCAGCCATACCGGCACAGAGAAAGCAAAGGAGGCTCATACAGTCCCCAATCAGTCGCTGAGAACTTGTTGTTTGATGTTTCGCCAGTGATGCCCAGTGGACCAAATATTATTGTCCTATAAAATCGCGTCTATCGGACTTTGTCATTTCAATCTGCCCTCAGAGCTGGAAATTTTGTTCCTTGGCCCTTCCATTTTAACCCGACACATTCGTGATCAATTAGGAGGGGAACATTTACCACTGATTGTATGAGAAAAATGATAAAAATCAGCCCAAATAGGGAGGTGGGGGAAGTAGTGACCGTACTAAATTACACCTTCTAAGGACTAGGCTTTTACCTCGTAGCCCAGTCCTTGGTTTCCACTGGCACTCTCTGGTGGTTTCTCTTTCCGTGGGTGGCAAACCAGTCAAGTTCTGGCGGTTGGCGGCCATGTCCGATCCACGAAGGGGCAAAAATAAAAAAGAAAAAAAAATATAATTAAAATAAAAACATAAAGAAAGGCAGCATAGGGGAAGGGGAAACGAGAAATAGCAGGAAGAGAGGAGGGAAATTGGAGAAAGAACAAGACGAGACGCGGGAAAAGGAAGCCTCCTCCATCCCTTTGTCCCAATTTCAGATTCGACTCTTGACTTTGATCATGCTCCATGCCGCCATCAGTATCAGCGGATGAAAACTACCCATATACAAAATGCTAATAATGCAGAGAAAGTCGGCCTCATTAATACAACAGCAATCACATCATTCGTGTTAAGTGTCCATCATTGACCTTATGCCTACCAGATTGAGTCGTTGTGTACGGAGTAGATCAACTTCATTATGGAGATAGAATATGCCTGCAGCTGTCAATCCCCGTGGTTCACTGCCACGCATGCGTCTCGGGTTGGGGACCCATCCAAAGCCCTGACCAATGGACCAATGCGTGCGAAGAATCCTCCTGATTTGCCACCTCGATGGCCGCTCCTCGATCGATGAGACGACCCCGAGGTGGGCTCAGTGGCTCATGAAATTCTCGGAAATAGAGCGATCCCTCCTGAAGCTGTCATGGGAGGAAAATCCGTTGAAGTTCACTGGGTCAGGGACACAACACCGGTACCCAATCATGCGCAGTTGAAGGAAGCCATCGATGAGGGTGCCATTGATGCCATACCCCTTCCAGCCCCTAGGTAGGTACGTACCTGGCCTACCTTAGACTATCTATCTATTCTTGTCCCTCAGTAAACCACGGAACGCCGGGTGTGGCTGTTTCGATTTTGACATCCTACCCGTTGATCTCTGATGACGGCTTCAAAAGATTGAACTCCCGTGCAGAGCCAATTGCCTTCTTCAACGCTCGGATCCCGGCGTCCCGAACCTTCCACTCTATTCCTTCCCTTTCGCGGTTGGTCCTTTTGATTTCGTTTGATTTCTCTCTTTGTGATCGACTTCTCTCTCCCCTGTACTACTTAATCCGGACTATTCTCGTCAAGACACGGGGTAGAAAAGGGCTCAGGGAAGCAGACAGGGCAGACATACAGGCAGAAAACCTTCAGAAAACAATCTGTGAGCTGCACCTGGAATTATAACAAGGATTCGGTCTGCTTGTCTTTCCCCTTGTCTGGGTCTTGTAGGTAACGAGATCGCTGACGCCGGCCCATTTGGCTTCGTCATTGCCGTGAATTTATGAGGGTATAAGAATCAGCATTCGTGTCAGTCAATCCTGCCATGCACAGCATTACGATCGAGCTTGTCGATCCTCTGTGAGAGCTGATTGGGTCTCGCGCATGAATTGCTAAAACATTTGAAGCAAGGCCCGATCCGAATCGAAGCCCCGATTTTAAGCTGTGGATTTTCCCTTTAAAAATTGGAGGCAGCCACAGCCACCAACTTCCGAGAGGAAAGAGCAAGAAGGACCCCTCAGGCATTCACTCACTCAGGGGACAAGAGGCCTGACTGACGGAGGAGTGGATGTTGAGAGAGCAACTCAAATCATTGGCCCATTTGTGTCTTCGTCGCAATCCTTGTGGGCGTCACCTCAGGTAGAGGGAAAGACAGAAACATTGTCGCTATACACACAACTGGTCTAAGTCCTGACGAACACGTCTCAAGACTTACAACGAGGCCCCTCCCCCCGTCCTTTGCTTCAGTTCCGTTCCGACAGCCCTCTGTATTACCCACCTGCCCCGTGCAGGACTTGCCCTTCCGAGCTCTGACGGTCAGAAGATCCGTTAGATTGCCCTGGGCTTTGCTCACCTGGTTGGTCTGAAGGTTATTCCTTCTCCATACCTAGTCTCCGCTTCGGTCTTTGGGCTACAGCGCCTCTACACAAGGATTCTTCTCAATGATCGTGATCTTTCCTTCCCCTTCACCGACACTGAATCCGCCAACTGTCTAATCGCATGTACCACTCATCTTGCCGTTCTCACCATCATAGTATCTGATCAACCTGTCCGGATACTGGAAGGATCTTTTTATTTATTTTTTGCCTGGTTGGCTCTCACACCCTCTCGGCTTCGCTCTTTCCCTCTCTCTCTTTCAGTAAGGGTACGTCTTTTTCTGAATATAATTATTGTTATCGTCCTCGCTCCCTATTTTCACCTTTGCTGGATGTCGTTGCAAGTTGCTCCTCAGTCATGAAATGCCTTTGTTCTGGGTTATTTCTTCGCTCCCCCTTAGTGTTGGGCTGCTTTTCCTTCCCCGTGTATTTTCCCCATCTAATCGCATTTTCGATTGAAAACCTTTCCCCTTTCCGCTTCCTAATCAGATACCACGGCGTTTGCACCTCGGCCAGCTGGCCCTGATGAGTCTTAAGCCGTCTACTGCGTCTCCTACCTTTTCAAAAAGTTTCTACCAGTGCAAGTCGCGGCCAATGTCCCAGGGACGGGACGATTCAAACAAGCATAGTCTCTGGTGGCTGCTATCATCGGCCTGTTTCCGGGCCATGACATCTGTTTTGCTCATGAAATGGATTGAGTCTTCTACTTCGGCATGGCTCAATTGTCGCTAATCACGGGCTGGTGTCCTTTGTTCGTTCAGAACAATTTTCCCTAGGCAGAGATGTAGCCTTCTCTTCCGAACGTGGAAGGCCAAATGTCTATACTGTCTGTACTTCACTCGCCCTACCCTCTCCCCTAGCTTTTCGCTTCCCCCTCCGCCGCCCCCCTTCTCCTCTTAGGTTCGTGGGCTTATACCGTGTCTCCTCTTATCCCCCCATCTCCGCCTATGAGGTCCTTTGCAATCTGCAGGTTCCTGATACCCAACCTGACCCATCTTTTCCTTCTTGCATCGTGACGCTTAGTGCATTCTCCACCCTACTTGTGAGGCTGCGCCGAGATTCGTGCGCGGCGTATGACTAGTTGGCTCTGTGGCTCCTTTCGCTCAGTTTCACAGTTGGAGTCCCCTGCTCGAGGGCAATACAGCGATTTACGTTCAGGTGGCAGATCGGGCTACCTTTCTTCTCCCGTGAAAACCCGTCTGCATCCAAATGCTCGGAGTAATTTACGTTTCCTTCCCTTTTTCCTCCTGCCCTTTTCCTTTTCTGGGTCCATCATTCGATGCCTCTATTACTGGCGTGTTTTTTTTTGTGCGCATGTGGGCTAGATCTGTTTCCTGTGCTGTTATGTTATAGCAATATCCCCACTACTACACTCGGATGCCTCGAGTGCAAATTTTCTAGTTTCTAGCGACTTCCGGCTTGACAATCGTTGCGTTCTGTTCCATGCTTGCGCCTCTGATTTTTACACGTCCGTTTGCTGCCTCTGCTACGCAACCCGTCTGTGGTTCCCAGAGGTTCAAGCATCTGGAGACTTGTGTGTGTCAGATACGCAGAACTCTAACCCGTGTTGACACAGAAACTCTTCTTGCTGATCATCAATCATTCGTTGAGTCAGCCCAACAGACGTGCTGGTAGCCCACGGGCCCTTGGGAAGGTATTTGACAGATTGCTCCCTTTCCCTTTAGCTAGTCGCCCCTACCAAACGCATAGAGGTCAAACTAACACAATGAGGATCATCTATTGTTACCACTCTCAGCTTGTATCAATTTACCATGACAAACTCAATTGATCGCGCCCCAACGGCCCAGTCAAATGCTGCATTGGACGTCGCGGATGGGATCAAATCCCCGATAACTCTGAGGAAAGACAGTGAGTCAGAAATCTCTTATCAGCCATCGGGTAAGTTTATCTATAATCTCGTCGCCTCCTTCGGCTTGATGGGCCAGAAGGAAAAGAGGCAGCAAAACTCGGGGAAGGCCTCACGGCAAGGACTAAGTCTGTTTTCGGAATTGGATTTGACCTCTTCGTCAGGAGCGTCCCACTTCAGCCAGGCTGCTCGAACGGATAACGTCCATCCATATTCTAATGAGCATGCCTACCCAACATTCAGTACACACGCAAGCTTACCCTCGGGTCCGAATATGCGTGATGTGGGATCATTCATACCTGCGTATCAACTTCATCCTGTCCTTTACGAGCAACACCCAATGCAACAACCCTATGTCCCCACGGTCCTCCCTCACGGGGTTGTTTACCCCCTACATGCACTGTCATCCTATCCTTCGGCTACAATGAATGCGAACATGACATTCGGTGCCCCTTTTCCTTTTTATACACCATATGTTCAGCAGCACCAGCACCAGGAACCACATGCTCAACATAGCGCTCCCAGTTATCAACCATTGGCGTCGAACTCGTCAACTCACCTAAATTTTCATATGTCCGGGCAGGCACCTACGTATACCCAGGGGTATTATCCACAGACCTCGATTGCGGCGTCATCTAAGCATCCCATGCCGTTGAACATCCCAGTTGCAAACCAACGGCCACCGTGTGGCCAAACCAAAAAGGTCACCGACGTGCAAAAAGAAAACAAACAACGGAATAGCCACACGAACTATGATGTTTCGAAAACAATCGTGGACGGTTCAACTCCCATGCGTTCCCAGCAGTCTTCGACTAGTAAGTCGACAGCTACCTTTCGCCCGAGACTAGACAATAATAAATGGAAAATCGTGTGAGCTAATTCTATCAGTCGTTACCTCGCGATCATCTCAGTCACCCGGATCCAATATATTGCGTGGACCACCCAGAAAGCCTAAGCAGTCAAGTCATGCTTTGTGGGTGGGTAATCTACCGCCTGCAGCCAATATTATTGATTTAAAGGACCATTTCTCGCAAGAAGCTACGAAGGAGCTAGTGAGCGTTTTTCTAATCTCGAAAAGCAATTGTGCCTTTATCAACTATAAGACGGCCGCCGCTTGCGCTGCCGCTTTGTCACGGTTTAATGACTCTAGGTTCCATGGCGCGCGTCTTGTTTGTCGACTACGACACGGGACCATACCAGGCGGCTCAAGTCACGAAGCCATAGGCTTCTTGGTGCCGCTGCCCACCCAAGCCTCCAGCGAGAGCTTGCCGCTGATGATTGACGAGGACATGGAGTCGGTAGCAAGTCGGAGGATCGGGGAGGCTAGACGACCAAGTGCGAGCATGCCGAGCAGATATTTCGTTGTTAAGAGCTTGACCGTGGAGGATTTGGAACACAGTCGACAAACCAGTATTTGGGCTACACAGACTCACAATGAGGACCAGCTCAACCGAGCTTATCAGGTGAGGGCTTCTCACGAACAGGAGAGAGATACCGATGAAGAAGAATTTATTGAATGAACATGGGCCTAACAATCTCGATTAGGATGCAGATGATGTTTACTTAATCTTCTCCGCCAACAAATCCGGCGAATACTATGGATACGCCCGTATGATGTCACCCATACAGGATGATGAGAGCTTAATATCGGAGGCACCGCCGCGACCAGACAGCACGCCAGACATAGAAGAACCAGACGTTACCCCCACTCCAGCGACATTGACTGCTGCCAAAGGACGAGTAATCAATGACTCTATACGGGGGACTATTTTCTGGGAGGCAGAATCGTCAGATGATGAGAGCAACACGAAAATTGATGGGGCGGGTACAAGGGCGGAGGATACCAACGAATTGAGCCCGCAGTTGATCGGGAAACCGTTCAGAATACGATGGCTATCAACCACCCGGGTTCCATTCCACCGGACTAGAGGACTACGGAACCCTTGGAACGCGAATAGAGAAGTCAAGATCGCCCGTGATGGAACCGAGATCGAACCGGAGGTGGGTCGGAAACTCTTGCAGCTATTTCACTCGAATGCTCAAGAGTGAGCGAGTCGATCGTCGGCAAATATCAAAACTGAAACACAGCCAACATTGGAGACAGAGGAAGGATGGATACACACGAGAAAGCGAACAAAGGATTTTTTTTTCTATCTCTATTTTTTTGCTTCGATTATGGTTTGAAGAACAGTAGCAAAGCACATGGTCGTAAGCAGGAAGCCGACAAGTCTCGTTGCTCTATCACTCAGATCGGAAACCGAAGTTAACAGGCGAGTCCAGCAGCACACTTCCCGTGCTTCCATACCATCATTGTCATCATACCCTTCAGCTGCTCGGGTTCCTTCAATACGTAAGCTTGATGGACCTCGAGACAATCTTCAGCATGTCTGTATTTCTGAGTAGGAGAGGCTCTTTTTACTTACTCATGAGCTGTTTGGTTGTCTGAAGCAGCGACGCTCTGAGAGATCCACAATTCAATCTTAGGGGCGAGGTCGGGCCAGAATACTGAATTATATAAGACCCTCGTAGTTACACTTCCCACTGACACTCACATTCATTCATGTAGGTCTCCCTGCTTGTTCCCGATCCTAAGTGAGATCAAATGTAAATATTCCATCAATATAAGATCCGATATCGACTCAGGGCGAAGAAGAATCCCAATATGTAGGTAGGTTCGTGCTCTGGTTCCGTCCCTAGTTACCATGGATGACGATGGCGATGAATCATCATCTATCCCAGTAAATACATAGTTAGTCATTTATATAAACTTAAATAACTAAGTTGTCCACTAACTAATCAAGTAACCAACGGAATGGGCTAGACCGCTTTCCATTTTGTGGGGTAAAAGCAAACCAAGCAACCTGCAGTCAATCAAGCAATCTATCAGTCAATCAATGGATATATGCCTATGTAACAATAAGTAGGTAGCGATCATACCTATTTCTTCTCTCCCACCGCTCATGGAACCCTCCCTCCCTCTCTCTCTCTCCCTTCCTCCCCTCCTCTGGCCTCCCCTCCTTGCCTTCCTCCACTTCATCCCATCATCCCCCTTCCATCATCCCACCCCATCCCATCCCATCTTCTATTTTATTTATTTGGCTCTTTCTTCCCTTCCCTTCCTCATCTTGCTGCTTCCTCCCTTCTCCTTCCCTTGCCCCCCTCGCGCGTATCTTCTTCACTCGCATTCTCTGAGTTGAGCGACTAATTTATCCTCCCACCCGGTTCTCCCTTGGCAGTATTACTCACACTACCCTTACCATATTATTCCACGTGGGTTGAGTGAGAGCTATCTGTAGGGAAGCTTGCCTTCTGAAGGGCAAAGATCTTTTCGTGGCCAGAGATCCAGGCTGGTGAGTTGAACAAATTGGTCACAATGGAACAGCTCCTCTCAAAACTCGTCTGCTTCCTTCCCTATCCCGCAGAATGATACCCCGTGCCTAAACCCCATCTCACCTTCCCATCACCTTAACCAACTTTGCGTTTCATTGTTTCTTAATCACGCACACCCCATCATGACATGACATCCCCTTAACCAATCTCGCCACCGCCACTCGGAGCTCCAAATGTCCTGGGAAATTTATCACGTTAATGACCAAAACGTGTCGGCCAGTTAACTAATATATGCTGATATAGCTCTAGATCTCTTCATTCTTTCTTCGTGGTCCTTCAGCCGCTTGAGCGGAGCGATATTTATAGTGCTGGCTGATTCGAGTTGAGCCGCATCATCTACGACAAGATTATCCACCTCCAGGAGCTCTTGAAGTGCCCGAAATCTCGCTCTTACTCCAAACTCTAGTGCTTTTATTTACAAAGCGCTCTTCACTTGCGCTGCCCCTTCCGCCCGCCCCCAAACTCTCCCAACCCTTACATATGTGATTGAGAGATCTCCGTACCACCACGTCCTTCTCATTCAGTCGACACTTATCTTGATATCATGTCAAACGACCGTTCAACTGATCCTATCTCTGTCCCTCCGCCATCTGCGCACCGACGCCGAGCATCCCTGGCATCAGGCCTTTCCTTCACGGATTATTTATCTAGGTCTGGTGGCCAGGGAGCTTCGACGGGTGCGCCGTCAGGGTCCATGGCCAGTTCGGTAGGCAATGCGCCATCGAATCAGGGTCGACGCCTGTCAATCACCACCTTGGGACTGGCTGGATCACCCAATCAAATATCTCCATGGGGAAACAAGAGCATGCGACATGGCAGCATTTCCAGCTCGGTGGGATCCGGTTCGGCCAATTCAGAAGACGCTGTTGCGGAAGACAGTGAAAACGGACCCTCTAGCGCTACCCCACAATCCCCATTCGCACGACGTCTCTCTTTTGGTGCACAAGCGCTACGAGATGCTCGTGTGGGTAGTGTCAGCAACGGTAGATATCCCTCCCTCATGATTGTGTCTGACAGTCAACTTTTGCCGCCCACATGTAGCGCAGGCTCTGTCCATAGCCCCCCAGGGTCAAATGCTGCAAGTACAAACAATATTTCTCCCGAGATCGAGATATCTAACATGTCTTGGCGACAAATAGGCGAAGGCTTTAATTGGTCTGAAGCCCTGCGGACTCGGGCTGAGCGTGCCCCATCCTTTGGAGTAGCCTCACCCAACACATCTCAAACCCAACTCACAGGTGGTTCGATCCAGCAAGGTCAACACCAACGAGCTACGTCGATCGCCTCGATTGAGCAACCAGCTCGAGAAATGCCCAAACAACCCAAACAAAATAAGCCTGACTTTTTCCAGGAGAAAATTCTTCGTGGTGACTTCATGGATTAGTGGTATCAGCCTACTCCTGAACCCACGACTGCTTCTCACTGCAGCTGATATCTGGTATCCACCGAGGTGATTATTCTTGGAGAGCATTCATCTACGTTGCACCCTACCATTAGCTCTTGTCAAATGAATAAAATGTTACTTTGACCAAAAAAGAGGAGGTCGTAGTACAGGGCATCAGTGCAGCAAATTAGGTGGCGTACACAATCGGGGCATATCTTGAAGCTACGTGTTTTGAAGACAAGGAACAACCTCGGTCCGCGCTTCGTTTTTATCCTTATATTCGTCGATTTTGTGATTAATCTGGCTTCGCTGACTTCAACCAACTCTTGATTCCTTTGCTCGTTAAATTCTTTTCACTGTTTTACTTCTAGGTTCAGAAAAAGTGCTAAGTGCCAACATTTTTCGGGCTACAGAGCTCATTCTTTAAAGCCGCCTGTCTGAAATACTACAGCTCGGAAGCTCTATAAACTTTTATCTTCACGGGGGTGAACCTAACTGGCATGCAACTCTGTATTCTATGATTCTTCCATTCTAGGGCTACTGCGCTCCAATCGATTTCAGGATGTCGCCACACGGGATTTATAGGTATGAATCCTGCTGCAAGTATGCGTGGACCCGTCTCAGGTCAAACCCACGTGAACGAGGGCATTGAACGGGAAGCGCGTTTGTATGGGAGACTAAATAGAATTGTGGGAATTCAGTTGATTGTCTGCCATTGATGAACTGTGTACGATTTAGTCAATTTGAGGAGGCACTGTCAATGGCGATCAATTATCGAGAGGTATTTCGAATGCCACAAAGTCAATTGGCTGGTTCAGTATGGGATGCCGTTGGTCAGAAGTTGAAACTGGTCGTATCCTTTTGTCGATACGCTCATATATGATTTTCGAACGAGTTCACGCATGTGATCAGCTGCTTCCCTCTCGCTTTTGTCAAGGACAAATCGATCTCGGAAATTCCTCAAGGTGTCGGGCTTGAAGCATGGCAAGCCACTATCGAGCATCAATGACACTATGTGAGAAAGTTTGGCGCTGTATGGTCTCGACGCAAGGAAAGCCTTCACAACAAGCGATTCAAACCACCTGTAGGGCTGAGTGCTTGTCGGGTTGTGAGAGCCACCTCCAGACAAGCCGAATCCACTGCCAGAGCCTCCGCTGGGGTGTGTATGTGTGTTGTTATTACCACTCATCACAGCAACCATCTCAGATGTCAGTTTGAAAGGTGCGCGCTCGAAACGTACCCCCCCGGGTGCAATATCGAAACAGAACCCGAAGTCGATATGTATGATATGGCCGGCATCATCTATCATGATGTTGCCATTGTGTCGATCCTTGAACTGTAACAGATAGGAAATGACGGAATAAGCCGCCATGCTCTTGACGAAGTTGGCGCGTGCCTCCTGGAAGCGTATTGAATCCTCTCCACCATACTTAGAGACAAAGTAGTCATAAAGGCCATTCACAGCTTCACGGCCTAGCATATCACGCGAAATCGAATTTGGGAGAACGTCAATGACACCACACCCGGGAGCCGTGGAGGTCACTCGGTAAGGAAATACCCACACATCAAGCCCGACGCCGGCGAATATGCTTCGGAAAGCAGCAATCATTTGTAGGGCCAACATATCTTGACGACAATCGTCGCCAACTTTGAAAATAGCCGATTGCCAGACTTCGTAGATACCAGAGTCGCCATTTGACGGGACTTGCCCGGAGTCAGTTAAGTCACCACGATTTTGAACTACAGCTCGCGATTTCTCGGGGGATGCGACCTCTTGCGCTGAAACCCTGGTCTTCTGTATCCTGAAGGTCGCCATGTAAGGTGCTTTGGCATGGCTTTGCAAAGGTTTTCCGGATTTGCGATCTATGCCGACAACAATGCCCTCGGGGTTACTGGGAAGGTATACTCCGACCTCCACCTTGATCTTGCGAAGCTCTTCCTCGATTTTCTCTTTCTTCTCAGCCTTACTCCTCTTTATGTACGGTCGGAGCTTCCCTGAAATGCCTGTGATCTCGTTGAAGAAGGTAAATTCTCTTTCATAGAATTCACGTTCCTCATCGGTAAAGCTTGCAATTAAAGCATCCATGAACTGATCCAACGTTGGTTTGAGTGGATCCGGCTGGGATAATGCATTAGTATTGCACACTTCGGCTCTATTTCATGGTCAGAGAACTCACAATTTGAGAATCCTCATCCTTATACGAATTTGCCTTCATGTTCCATATCACCTGGTGAGCGAACAGTTGAGACAGCTTAGCTGTCTCTAGTATGTAGCGCTCAACATAGCCCAAGGAATCGTATCTCAGGGCCTGGACTAACTGGGGAACGAAATAAAAGCGGACGTCGATGGGATGACTCTCTAGGGCTTTCATTGCATATTGTAGTATGAACGGATGATTGCCATAAGCAGGCAAAAAGTAGGTCAGTGCTTCAGTGGGGTTGACAGAGGCCCAGTAGAGCAAGTACTATTTAGTTATGTTAGCTTTGATGATAAATTGGGGTCGGGTTCTGAACATGCCTTCAACTGACATGAGACGTCAGCAGGAAGAGTTGTACCGAAAATTAAATCGAGACCGTCAGATTCGTCGATCGCCTTATCTGGGAAGTTAAGCATCAGCCAGCGAACGTCACTCTTTAGCTTAACCGATGGAAATCGGGTGGACAGTTGAATTGCCAGTCCCGGGTTTTCAGCCCAAGCATGTCGTAACAGAACCGTGGCTTCCTGGGTGATTGTTAGCCCTGCTGTGTTTTCTAACTTCATTTTGCCGCTGGAGGACCGAACCTCGGTGAGACTTTTGGGCGAAAAGGACTGTGAGTTCAAATGCTTAGGATCGGAGTCCAATGGATATAGCCAGACCCTGAGACGCGACCTCTCATTCTCTATGAGAACATGGAGAAGCTCTTGTTTTGATTCCAATGATTTATAGGCTCCGTATGCGTGGCGAGAGACACCGGCAACATCCTCTAAGGCAGAGACAACGTCGCGGAGAATCCTATCTTCAGCTTTAATTTGGAGGCGGTTTCCTCCAAAAGACCATCTGTGTTATCCATGATCAATGACGTCACTTGACTGAACAAATTGCATGTAATATACCTTGGTGAGGTTCTGAACCAGGTCAGAGCAGCTGACAAGATCTGGTCCTTTATTTTCCACTGGAAAGCCTCGTCTTGTGAGCTACAGGTACTCAGAACTTTGAGACTGAACAGGATGATGCGAAAGTATAGCTCCCGCGCTAAAGGGTGATTACTTGCTTGCAACAATCCTGTCGTTGTCCCGTCAATGAGGCGGCAAAAAAGCGGCTGGCCCTGAGCATTTGCAAGCCGAGTAGCATTGAAGTGGCTTTCGAAGAATTCAAGAACACGCAAATGTGGTATGAGCTTTTCCTGGGCTTTCTCCTGGTTCCGTGCCGCAAGGCTCCTGTCGGTGGGTAGCAATTCAATTTTTGTATAGAAGGGATCCATGCATCTTTGAGAAATTCGAGTTAGCATATGCCTTTACCTTCTCATAAGCGCATACACACTTGAAGGATGGATCAAACAGATTCCTCTTGCGCTGAATCGATCTTTCCCATGCTCCCATTATTTCAGACAGCAGCTTCACACCCATTCTTGGATTCTCATGCATCACACCCAGCCAAAGAGACATCCCAATGTCAATAGACTCTTTCGAGAACTGCTCGAAGGGCACTGTGACTAAATAACGGGCAAGCCGATCATGATTGTCAGTATGATTGCCTACAATTGCAGCAGCCTGTCGCAGCACATTCCGGATATGTGTGATAGGAAAATTCGTTCCAGCCCTCAATTGTGTATGAATTTTAGATAAAGCATCTTCCACAGCTCTGGCAGTACTTATATTAGGAACGATTGGTGCAGGGCCATGGAATCCTTACGTTGACACATCAGCACAGCGAATGCCACTTTGCAGGTAAACACTTACCATAAGAGACCCCTGGGTCCTGCACAAGCCCGTCGACTGCAAGTGGCTCCGATGTCTTGTATCGCTCACGCGTGGATAATTGGGATATGAAACCGGACGCTATGTTCAACACGCCGCCAATGCTATCATTCTTGATAGAGCCTATGAAGGAATTAGTCATATCCACGGGGAGACAATAGGGAAGGTGAGTAAGAGTGTAAGATGTGTTAGTACCTACCAAGGCGTGGATTGCTGTTGGGAATTTGCGCACCCATTTCTAGAGCAAATGAGCGGCCCAAGGAAATCTGGCCAACAACGCTTTTGTCATCAGATGTGGAAAGATACGCCTAAAACCATCAGTCAACAACGGATCGGGAGCAATAGCATGTGTTCGTACCTGGAGAAGTCCCTTCACATCCAGAGGCGAGATATTCATGACGGTTGTCACCCACGCCCTGGCTCGTTCTAGTAGGACTTGTAGAGTCCTCTCCCTGAAAGTATAGCTGTCGGGTAGATCAACTTGGACAATCCCTGTAGGAGAAGTGAAGGTTGGTTTCCACTCGTACTCGTCAAGTTCGCCTTCGATGCAAGACTGCCACATGACAGTCAAGAGCTCAAGCAAAGCAAACAGAGAAGTCTTCTCGCACAGCGCTGAAGGACACTCTCGCATTATTCTATTGGCGCAGAGGACGGCCATGTTCTGCACTCGTTCCACACGATGGCAGCAAGCGACGAAGAAACCAGCAAGTTCTCTTGAAAGGAACGGTGCCGAGAAATGCTCCAGCTTCCCAGCAAGAGTCAATGAGAGATGGTGAGAAACAACCTTCTCAGCAATAGCACCCATGCAGCTCGCCATCTCAGCAGTAGCCAGCACAGGATCTCGAAAATAGCCGAGTATTGTGTTACAGTTCCCCGATAAACCGCGAAGACTTTCGATGAACAAGGTAGCGCTAAGAAAGATCACGCGCGGATAACTTAGGCGTTTAATCTCAACCTCTCGACTAGGTAATTCATTGATCAGCTTCTTCTTTTGCTCAAGGAAACGCTGTTGGCTCATTCCGCGCCTGAGAATCGTGTTCAATTCAACGTCGCTTTCAAGCATGTCCACGCGATCTTCGGAGACAAGAGATGGCGAGTGCTTAGCAAGTAACCGTAGCTCTTCGAGGTGATGCTGAGCTACAGCGGAATTCAGCGTTATGCCGTGTATGGCAATGTTGAACCAAGCATCTCGGAAAAGAGTTGATATATCTTGATCGTAGCGCATCTCTGGTCCCCGTTGTTCCGCCATGTTCTTTCCTGAAGAAACAAGCAAGGCCAATGGCTTCAAAAAGGGGCTGATATCGTCAGGAGCCAGTATTATCTCCTTTTGGCGGTCATTGTCGAAGTCGGTGGCATCGCCTTTATTGACCACGCCTTCGAGCAAGTGGATAAGATAGATCTTGTACAAGGTGGAAGTCTTCTTTAGCGTGACTGCAATAAATACCATGGCACTTTGCACGGCATCGGCGACAGTTTGGTATCCTTTCGCAATACTGTCCTTGTACGCACGATCAAAGAATTTCAGAAGAAGCTGAAACTCAGCCGGCCCAGTATTCAAAGACAGGGCGGCAGACTCTTTGATGATGGAAGCATCGACTGCAGCATTCACCTTCCCTATTTTCTGCAATAGCATTGACTGTGCCAAAGCACTTATTTTTCCATCTTCGCAATTACTTGCGATCGTCACAATAGCCTGTATGACCCTACCATAATGCTCATTTTCTCCCTCGCCGTTGGTAGAGGAAGTAGCACTGTCACTCATGCCTCGGGATAAGAGCACAAGTGTACTCCCATGAGTTGCCCCGTCACCTAAAAGCTGTAATTGCTGAGACTTGTCTGAGCCGGAGCCTGGGCTCAGAGCGTTTCCGAGAGAATACAGCGTTGTTATAACTGCATCTTGGGAGAGGGCACCAAGAACATGCGCAAGACATTTTGCAGCGACAAAGCCTGTCGAACGACTTGCCACGTTACCATCGACAATGAACTTTAAAAGGGAACGGCTGCCGAAAGAAGCAGCGCTAGGGGACAACCGAGAAACAACCGCTATGCTTTTCAGAGTCGTTTTCGCTAGCTCAGAATACGACATCTGATTCGGATCTGCAAGTGTTGCCTCTAGCCACGAGAAAAGGTCTTCGCTGTTCGTCGCGGCCTCACTCAGTATAACACAGTTGAGATACCCGATAAGAGCTAGACTTTTCACGGAGAAGGCAAGCCGTTGTTGCCAGGTCGAGCCAAGCTGCAGATAATCAGAGCCATCCTCTAAAAGGCGTATTTCATCGGCCGTGATTGTTCCCAGTCTATCGAGGAGGGCCAATTCGGCCTCATCAAGAACCCTAGCACGTCGACGACCAACAATATACTCATTCAGAAGTTCTTCGTCTGAAGAGACATGAGCCTCACCCAGAGACAGACATACGGCGCACGATTTGACAAAGCGCGTGAAGCCTTCCTGCAATAGCATGGCCCCGACAGGACGTCCATCGGTAGCATAGCGGTGAGTGTACCTTCTCCAGTCCCTTACCAAAGCATCAGGCATGCTCGGATTACGCACTGTGGAAGAAGCGGTCTCCACAGCTATCATGTACTGATCCGAGAGGATCGAGCGCAACGTTTCAACAAGATGTAGTTTCTCGCTCGTAAGCCAAAATGAAGCAAAGCAGGCCGATGCTTCCAAGAAGCCGACCAGAGACATGGTAGTCGATAAGACACGAGCAAAGCCATGTCCATCCTCGTGTCCGCTTATTTCAGGTTCGGAGCGCTGGAAGGGGGTTACGGCGTCGATTGCCTCGGCGCAGCTCTGCAAGTACGCGCTGAAAGCACCAGAGACAAGACTTCGCAGATCTTCATATCTGGAGCCCAGTGAGAGGAGAGCTAGGGTAAGGTTGTAAGTGAGGGCCTCCCACGGAGACGGCCTCACATTGTGCAAGAAGGGCGAAGGACGGAAGAACTGGCTGTGCGAATCCGGAAGGTATTGAGACAGTTGCACCGCTATCTTCGATGCACTTTGGGAACTAGAAGTAAAAGGCGAAGCTTTGCACAAGGCGATAATCACGTCTAACTCTCTGGTACCCTGGTCACAGTGTCAGTGTCCCGATCCTCAAAGTTTGTTGTGATAGGAGAAAAGTACAATGGGAGTCCGCATTCGACCCTGTTCTGGCAAACGATTACCATGTGGGGTCTCCAGTCGATGAGCATTCTGTTTCAATGGTTGAGTGATGCGGTCAATCACTGGAATCTCTTGATCTTCTGGTGCTTGAGCTGCTAGTGTGGCAAGCTTTTCCAAAGCAACACGTCGGATAGTTGAGGGAAGCCTACGGATTCATCAGTATCTGAAGCATGTGAGTGGTTGCGGCTTGCCTACTCGACCATCATGCAGACAATCTCCACAGATGATTTCGCTTGAATTGTGGTGATTATAGTCCTATAAAGTCGATGTAATATCTACACAGAACAGAGGCTGTAAAGGAACCCCCCTTGGCGCAGAACTGTGGCAGGGGAATTACGGAGCTCGTGGGTTCATATAAGTACCGGAGAGGCAGTGCGTAACTGACAGTCATCGGTGGAGCCAGTAATACGGCGTACCTCGGCCCCTCATCGCGTAGTTATACTTTCAAGGACCCCTGAGATTCCCGCTCCGTAGATAGTCGGCCCTCAATTTTCAGACGGTTCATTCTCAAAAACTGTGAGTTGCTGTGATAGATCTGCGAGACCTTGAAGCTAGAAGGATATTATAGGAAACCATACCGAGGACTCACAGCATAGCATGGACTTTTAGAAACCTATTTGTGATTGACAATTTCGCTAGATGTTTGGAAGAATGATCATGGAATCTATGCCTTGATTTCATACTTCAAACTTACTCAACTGAGTCAATCGATGACTATGAGCTTTCTCCGGGTCATTGCTGGTCATGATACAAAGTAGATCGTTATCGTGCTTATGGAACAGCCTCCAGAGTGATTGCATGAGCATACCGGATCAATTAGTCACCGAATACGGAGCGGAACACGCTTTCCATGCCTAGCTGGCGCTGGCTTTTACCTGTCAATAGTGATTAGAATTACAGATTGTCTCGCAATTTGTCCTGCGGTGTTTCCACATTTGCATTCCTACTTAAGTGCGTGCAAAGTTCAAACTTTGAATAACACGGACAAGCGCGACGGAGAAGAGATCCTGTAGACACACGCTAGCTGCAGCTTTTCCCGAGTTGAATCCATTGCCAGCCTTAGGTCCACAGCAACATCTCCCGCACTGTGAGCTTCCTAAATGTTCGTTTGGCATCGTCACTTTCTCGATTCTGGCCGAACTTGAGCAAAATCGGTCCCGGTCATTTTCTTCAATCGCTTTTCATTCTCCCTTTTCTTCCTCTATCTTGCTTATCCTTTGCCGTACTGTTTGGTCTCTAGCGTACCCCTGGAACGGCCGTCTACAAAAAAATCAAGTGCCTGATCAGCCACAACCACATGCCAATCGCTAAACCTCCTGTCGTGTCTCTGTTCAGGCTCAAACAGACTCATAGACTGGGCCAGATTTTCCCAGGAGACAAGTTCTGAGACAGACTGCATGCAAGCGAAGAATTCATATAATGTGAAAATGGCACCACAGAATGAGAGAAGTTCTCTTAAGCGCGGAAGGGTATATAAGTCTACCATTTTCGTGTCGATACCTGCTTTCTACGCAAGGCTAACTGATCAATTTCAAATCGTAGATCAGTAAGGAGAATGATTCAAAGTATCCCAAGAAAGTGCGACGGTCTGAAAACGAAGCCTTGCCATCACAGCCAATCACCTCTCAGTCATACCTACCTACGCCTATAGTCCAGCAAGAGTTAACCACAATGAGCGACGACAAAGAACCAGCTACTACCGACGACAACTTAAAATTGGCCCAACAGCGTACTCCCCTGAGTACCAGAAGCTATCAAGCGAGTCCATCTCCACCTCACGATACGCAAGCACTTTCTCAGTTTGTTTACCCTCCCAGGGCATTTGCGGATGAAGTCGACGACGAAGCTGCGGAGGGGGTATGGGGCTACTTGATTCCGCTTGATGATAAGGTTACAGCTGCTCTGGTTCTGCGCAAACGAAATGGATGTGAAAGCCGTAAATCTGAGTCCCACGGAGGCAAATCAGGAAAAGAAGAACATCGCAAGCACCCAGAGTCAACGAACAAACAGGGCTCTTCGCAGAGGCCAGGAGGCTACTTGATAGGTCGCCATCGCGAGTGCGGTTAGTAAAATCTGGTACCATATTTATCTCGCGTGACTAATGAGGTGTCAGATCTTCTTCTAAACATCCCGACCGTGTCCAACCGCCATTTTCTATTGTTCCCGGAGAGTAAGAAAGGCGATTCAATTGCTATCCTTGAGGATCTGTCTAGCAACGGAACATTTGTCAATGATGCTATTGTCGGACGTAACAAACACAGAGAGCTCGAAGATGGCGACGAGATCACAATCCTGGACCAAGCACGCTTTGTTTTCAGGTATCCTCGGACAAGGGACACAAATCGCTTCCGTCAGCAATATAGGATTCTTCAACAACTTGGGAAAGGTCACTTCGCCACGGTGTATCTTTGTGTGGAACGAGCTACGGGTACTCATTATGCTGTTAAGGTGTTCGAAAAGCGCTCCAATGATTCTCAAAAATCACAGACCGATGCACTGCAACAAGAGATAGGGCTTCTGATGGGAGTTAGCCATCCCAATCTTTTATGCCTCAAGGATACCTTCGATGAAAGCGATGGCGTATATCTTGTTCTGGAGCTTGCCTCGGAAGGTGAACTTTTTAACCTGATTGTCAACAAACAAAGGTTTTCAGAAACGGAGACTCGCCAAATCTTCGTCCAGATATTTGAAGGTCTGAAGTACCTGGTATGTGGCAGATGAAAATCCCCTGTTCCAATTGTTACTATGGTTGCTCATTCATCTGTTTTAGCATGATCGTGGCATTGTCCATCGAGATATTAAACCCGAAAATATACTTGTTGCCGATGAAAAGCTGACAGTAAAGCTTGGAGATTTTGGACTGGCCAAGATAATTGGTGAAGATTCATTTACAACAACTCTGTATGTCACAGAACCTGGATCTTCCTTGGCCATGTTTACTGACTTACGATTTGTTCTTTACAGATGCGGGACGCCAAGCTGTAAGCTACCAAGTCTTCCATTCCTCATTTGGAATTCGAAGCTCATTCTCTAGATGTCGCACCCGAAATACTGCAAGAGACTCGCCGGCGGAAATACACGAAAGCAGTTGACATTTGGTCACTTGGGGTAGTTCTCTACATATGCCTCTGCGGATTCCCCCCATTTTCTGACGAACTCTATACCTCGGAAAACCCTTATACCTTAGCACAGCAGATAAAAATGGGCCGTTTTGATTACCCATCACCGTATTGGGATTCTGTGGGCGATCCGGCTTTGGACTTGATTGACAAAATGCTCACAGTTGATGTTGACAAGCGTATAACCGTCGACGAATGTTTAGAACACCCATGGCTCACGCAGAGTTACCCCAGCCTCTCCGACAGTACGGATGGTCTGACCGGCGCCCTGGGTAAATTGGACTTTTCTAAGCGCAAGCTAGCACGTGAGAGAACGCTCCTCAGTCATATCAACGATGCCAGCTTCAATGAATGCAAAGAGGGCAACGGTGCTTTTGTTCGAGTATTTCACCAGAAAAACGCCGGAAAACGCGTTCATAATCACCCTGCCCGTGACACTACATGTGGAGAGACTTTTGATGACAACAGCGCGCCCCAAGACTTCATCAACCTTGGAGAGCAGGGAGATCCTGTTCTATACCCAGATCACGCAGCGCCCGACCGCAAATGAAAGTATACTTTCTACGGTGGTTAATCCAGCATGTCCTTGTGTTGCGACAGTACCCTTGGTACATGATCGCAGTCGAGCATTCGCTTCGCTTCAGCCGAATAATCGCAGCTGGATAAATACGATATCAGGCACGTGGCTAAGTGACGACATAGTTTCCCTAGAGGACCTTTGGGGGCCTAATCTATGAGTCGTATGCGCACAATCCAGGTCTTCGAGGATTTGAACTTCAGTCCCATGAGGCCGGGCTCCGAATGACTTCGCGGGCGTCGCTGATTTCTTGTATTATCGCACAATGCTGCAGGTTGAACGTCATCCTGGTAGCTAGCAGTCCGACTAGTAATATCTTGCGTGCAAGTCCTTCCTTCCGCGCACCCCCCCCCCCCCCCCTCGACGGTTTCAACCCACTTGATTCACCCTAAGAAGATACATCAACCGGGAAAATTATTGCTTCTAATTTGCCATGCGTCGAGTTCTGAGTGAGATTTTTTGTTTACACCAGGGTTGGAGGATGCTGTAAATGGCATACGATGTTTGATAATCGATTAGTTCCTTTGAGGGGAAAGAAATAATCTTGCTCGATTTAAAAATAGCTTTAGCATATTCAATCTGAGTAGACCATATTTAGACAGGACAGATATATGGCTATGGTATTCATCTTGAAATAGTTGGTTATAAATCGTCATTTTAGCTTGTATAATATTTTCATTTGGCACAGTTACTGAACCATCAACCTTGGTCCTTTTATATAGTACAGATGATTTTTTAAGACTTTTGTTCCTACTACCTGGCTCTTTTCACTCTGAAGAGAGAGAGGGATATTATTAATATTATCATCATCATCATCATCATCATCATTAGTGTGTTATTTTCTTAAGCTATCGCCGAAGAAGAGGTAGGAGGAGTAAATGAAAGAATTTGTTATTTTTGGGGGAAATAGGATTATCAAGTACTCTAGTGGTTGATGTGTCATAATGTCCGAATGTATTTACTTGACATATTATAAAAAACTTTTCTTTACTTATATATGCTGTCTATCTATTAGTTATATTTAAGCCCGTTGACTAACCTTACTGCTTTAATTAATATAGTGTAGAGACAAGAATACCTGTGACTAGTTGCCCTTTAAGGGCGGTAAGCTCTAGACTTACCGGGCCCGCAGGCCACTGCAGTACTTGCCCAGTACCGTCTAGGTAGTACGTACCCAGTCAGTGGCCCGCTACCTACCTAATTAGTACCTAGTCAGTACAGAACTGAAAAGACCGAAAGAGCCCGTATTCCGATGCCGAGCTTTTTTCTCTCAGTCATCAACTCGGCATTCGCTGCCACTGTTTCCTCGCCCATCCCTCACATTGGTCCCGTTCGGGATCTCCTCCAGTGCTTCCCTAGAGGAAGATCCCAGAGCCCGATCCATTGTTACCTCCTTGCGGGAGGCCTCCTTGAGATACTAATCTCATTATCTTTGGTCCCTGGCTCTATCTTCCAACTGCTATCACCTCGCAGCCATGGGCTTTCTCGCCGCCATAATTGACAGCATTTGGAAGCATTCCACGGGCTCTTCAAGTCTGGTCATCCTGGGAACAACCTTGCTAGCTCTGCCTGTCGTCTCCATCGTACTCAATGTCTTGGGGCAATTGCTATTTAAGAATCCAAAGGAGCCGCCCGTAGTGTTTCACTGGGTGCCCTTCGTCGGCAGCACAATCAGCTATGGCATGGATCCATACAAATTCTTTTTCAAGTGCCGGGAGAAGGTATTTTCATTGGTTTTGAATCTCCCGTGTATCGTGCTTGCTAATACAGTTTATTAGTACGGTGATATTTTCACTTTTGTTCTCCTTGGCAAGAAGACTACCGTTTACCTTGGTACCCAGGGCAATGATTTCATTCTCAATGGCAAATTAAGGGACGTATGTGCTGAAGAGGTATACTCCCCGCTTACGACCCCTGTTTTCGGGCGCAACGTCGTGTATGACTGCCCAAACGCCAAATTGATGGAGCAGAAGAAGGTAAGCTGTGCTTGCACATCGCGCTGAGTCAAGGGCCCGCAGCTGATAAAACAGCATAGTTTGTCAAATTCGGCCTCACATCCGACGCCCTTCGTTCCTATGTATGTCTAATAACAGCCGAAGTGGAGGATTTCGTCCAACATTCTCCGGCTTTTCAGGGGCCTAAAGGTGTCTTCGACGTCTGCAAAACAGTCGCTGAAATAACCATCTATACGGCCTCGCGTTCTCTTCAGGGCAAGGAAGTTCGAAAGAGATTTGACTCGACATTTGCTGAGCTGTACCATGACCTTGACATGGGCTTTGCGCCCATCAATTTCATGCTACCTTGGGCGCCTCTTCCTCATAACCGAAAACGTGATGCTGCACAGAGAAAAATGACAGAAACATATATGGAGATCATAAAGACGCGTCGCAATGCTGGAACCGAGAAAGACTCTGAAGACATGGTTTGGAATTTAATGTCTTGTGCATACAAAGATGGCACTCAAGTTCCCGACGAGGAGGTTGCGCACATGATGATTGCTCTTCTCATGGCTGGTCAACATTCTTCGGCATCTACAGCTTCTTGGATTGTCCTTCACCTTGCAGCAAATCCAGATATCATGGATGAACTGTTCGCTGAACAACTCCGTGTTCTTGGCTCTGATTTGCCACTGACATATGAAAACCTGCAGAAGTTGGATCTTCATGCTAAAGTGATCAAGGAAACATTACGTATACATGCACCAATTCACTCGATCATCCGTGCGGTGAAAAATCCAATGCCTGTGGATGGTACACCATATGTAATCCCTACCTCTCACAATGTTCTTTCGTCGCCTGGTGTAACGGCAAGGTCAGAAGAATATTTCACCAACCCACTCAAGTGGGATCCTCACCGTTGGGATGAGGATATTGCGTCTAATGCAGAAGATGAGGAGAAGGTTGATTATGGGTACGGACTTGTTAACAAAGGCACGAACAGCCCTTATCTCCCATTTGGTGCTGGGCGGCACAGGTGCATTGGTGAACAATTCGCCTATGTGCAACTTGGTGCCATAACAGCGGCTCTGGTAAGGTTGTTCAAGTTCCGCAACCTACCGGATGTCAAGGATATTCCTCAAACAGATTATTCAGTAAGTGTTGTCCTTTGACCCAGACATATTATTTCTGTCTTACTCACTGATCTAGTCTCTTTTCTCGAAACCTGCTGGGCAATCGTTCATTCAGTTCGAAAAGCGCGTCCCTGCAAGCAAATAATTTTCTTGATGCTATCTTACACCCAACGGCAAATATTAATAGATGTACATTCTTTATTACTTTAATATTCCTCGTGCTGATTCAATGATAAGCATCTCCTTTTACCTATTGAGCCACGCAGCTTTAGACAAGATAGTAGTCATCACCACGCTATTAGTTGAAAATGAAGTCTAGCAAGGGTGTACATCTTTCCTTGACTAGCGGAGAAGTATTGATTGCTTGTGCAAGAGAGTTATTCTTATGTTAAGTCCACATATTAGAACGCAGTATCCAAACGATACGCAACCATGAAGCAAAAGCAGTCTCACATAAATGCATATTGTACATGCGGCGAAAATTGACAAAAGAAATTGGGTAAGAAAACAGAGGAGACGGGCATACACAGTTTGGTCAGAACTTGATCAATACCCTTCGCTCCGTTAGATAATACCTTTCCGCCTTTCTTCGCTCCTTCGTTTGGCTCTGACTTCCGCGCGTCTTCTTTCACCGCCATCCACTTTAACTCCAAGTCGATCCTCCCACATGCCTTCCTTTAATTCGAATAAAGCTGCGCTACCTTTAGAGCCCTTGATTGGCTGCAGAAAAGGACCCTTTATGGTGTTGCCGTGGTGGACCTTCATGTGTGCAATCTTCTTCGGCGGATTGGATGGATTATAGATATATTCTTTAGCATCTGGTGGCAGATTGACAATGATTTTCCTCATGCCCGAAGATAAGCTTGCTGGGTAAATTGAATGATGTGCTGATTTGTTGGCCACCGTCGCGTCCTTAGCGTCCTTTGGTTCTTTGGGGACCTCAACAACCCGCAGTTGTGCAGTACCATTGACCACGTGCTGCAAGTCACCACCGGGTCCATAGATTCCTCGTCTGAATTTCTCCCTTTTCCGAAGCAGGTACCGTCGCTGGCTTGAAGGTTCAATACCCAATTCTTTAAGCTCAGGTGAACCAATCGAAAATAGTTTGTCCCAAGATGGCAGCTTGCTCGCATGCTTATTCATGCCACGACCGATTAATGTAAGGAAAGTTTGAACATCTGGGACGAATGGTGTCGGTGATGGTATTGCAGCAGAAGATGCCCGCTTATGAAGGTGCCGAAAGCACTGCTTTCCAAAGGTAACAGGTCGCATTGCTCTCATAGACAGTAGACATGGATTGTGCATCGCCATTGCAACCTGGCTGTTTTGACGGGCCTCGCAGAAATTATGTCGTGAGCTTTAGGATCGTGGTCATATGCCGAAAGGGTAAAGAAAGGGAAATATAACAACAAGAAGAAGAAGAATAAGAATAATAAGAAGAAGAAGAGGAGGAGCCGAGTATACGACTTCAAGGATATACGGAGGCGCTTTGGCTGGGATGCCTCAGTTCTGTGAAGTCCCTGCTTGGCGGTTGGTTCTCTCGTCTTCGGTCCGGAACATCATTGAGAAATTTCGGCGACATTGGGGTTCCTGCCAGGATCAACTTAACTCCGAAACTGCCATGCTCTCTGGAAAGCCTCGACCTGCGTTCAGGATCTGGCTTCAAAACCAAGATTCGATGTCGTCCCCTATTGTCGCCACTTCGTCCTAATTATTTATTTGATTAACCCTCGCAACGGTTTGAAAAGTTGTGGGCTCGGTTCAACCTACCCAGGAGACAAATTGTTTCTACCAGGGTGTAACAAGAATGGCTGTTTCTCCTTTGATCCCTCCACCTCCACATGAAGCAAAGGTTACCGATACACCAAAAAAGACGGAAGTAAATAGCACAGAGCGTTTACTGCACAATCAGAACACGATTCCTTTCTTTCATTCTACTAATGAACGCGAGGTTACCGAACAGTTAAATGATGATGTAAGGCACAAGTATATCAAAGGTATGGGTTGATATCCTATCATTCTGAATAGTTCTATGCTTTTCTCCACACCCTCTAGACTATGTTATAATCTTCGCTTCTTGGGTTCCATGACATTAATGATTTTTACATAGATAAAAGGCTTGGTGAAGGTACCTATGCTGTTGTGTTCCTCGGTCATCTTCGAACAGACCCGTCGTCGTTCGTTGCTATAAAGAAGATAAAGGTCAATGCTGAATACAAAGATGGCCTTTCTATGGACGCCATCCGAGAAGTAAAATATTTGCAAGAGCTTTCGCACCCCAACATAATCGCTCTGCATGACGTCTTTTCATCGAAAGATCAAAATCTCAATCTTGTTCTCGAATATCTACCCCGAGGCGACCTCGAGATGTTGATCAAGGATACTGATATCCATTACGGTGCTGCTGACGTCAAGGCTTGGATGGGAATGCTCGCCAGAGGAGTGTGGTTCTGTCATGAGAATTTCGTATTGCACCGCGATATCAAGCCAAATAACCTTCTTATTGCGGCGGACGGGGAGGTGAAACTGGCGGATTTTGGTCTAGCTCGGTCGTTTGCTGATCCTTACTTGAATATGACACACCAGGTTATTACACGATGGTATCGCCCTCCGGAGCTGCTCTTCGGTGCTCGGCAATACTCGGGTGTTGTTGACGTCTGGTCCATGGGCATGGTTTTCGCGGAACTTCTATTGCGAGTTCCGTTCATTGTGGGAAACACCGACCTTGATCAAATTGCGAAGATATGTGAAGCCTTCGGAACCCCGACTGAGGACAACTGGCCTGGTGTAACCAGACTCCCCAATTATCTCCCGGCTGATGCCAATCATACTCTACCTGTTCAAGGCCGTGATTTTTTTCTTAGGCAATTTCCGACAGCTGGTCCAGTTGGTGCGGATCTGCTCATGTCCATGTGCACCCTTGACCCTAAGAAGCGAAGCACGGCGTGCCAAGTTCTGCAACACGGCTGGTGGTCCAGCGAGCCGAAGCCAACCGACAAGAAAAACCTTCCTCGTAAAACGGATGGCATTAAGAAGATGGGCGCCGACCTGACCAGGCGAGGTGGGGACTTTGATGATAATACAACATTCAAGAATGCGGCTCGACAGTTAAAATTTACCGTGGCCAGAGACTAGCTCACAATTGCCAGTACAATCTTGATGAACAAAAACACTGCTTCAAGTAAGACTTGAGGAAACCGACTGGTCGCATTGCGGGAGGCCATTGCCCATGTGTTCACTGAATGTGGAGGAAGTTTCCCAAGGCTCACGTACTATGGACGACACCCAGCTTGAACAGACATACGATCAAGCAACAGACACGTGTCCTGACGTTGCTTTCATGCCGGTACTACTGGCTGGGCAAGTGGACGGGATCGATCGAATCAGGATCATGAAAGCATTTTGATCAGCCAGACATTAGTTGATCACCGAAGCCTAATGCTTGGTATCGTCAATGATCTGTGCTTTATTCTTTGCAATCGCACGTCAAGTACACGCCCTCCCGACAAATCGACTTCCTAGTCAAAGCTCTAGGGCACCCAATGCCAGGCATCGTCAACAATTAGCGGGAAAAGACCATGCCAGCGTCGGATAAATCACGGGATCAAGTCTTCCCAAGTACAGCGACTCTTTTTCATCTATGTCGCTATCGGTACCTTGGTTATTCCTTGTATATGTTCAACGCGGCATAGCTATCTATGTACGGGCAGTTATCCATTTCTCTAAATCTTCAACTCATGGCGCTTTGAATGCATGAGTCAAAGAAGGTACCTAGCCCGATATCTGATTGTGGCATAGTGAATAGTTACGTCAATGGCCTGTGACTGTTAGACATGCTCCGTTATGGGCGTTAAATGAGAATGAATATGCGTTTATGTTCACTCGAGCCAGATCGAGTCCAGTCCAAGAATGATCAACACAAACGCCTTAGGGGTGGAGGTGAAGTTCACGGGCTATATTATAGATAGGCAAAGAGCCTCCTGTTCTCAAGGCTCTCTTTCGGTCTAATTTCTGCTCCGTGGCATTTGCAGAATAAAACTTTTGAGGTAAGGAGAAGAAATGAGAACGTAGGTGTACCTCCTTAGTGCTCTTTAGACAGCCAACCAATAAGCTTTTAGACATAGGTACTGTGTACGCTGATACCTACTTAAATCGCTACCTAGTACCTATCTAAGTACCACAGTACTTACATCCAACTCCAGGCTACCTACTTACCAGGACCTAGTGCGGTAATTTGTATACCTCCCGAGACCGGAGATACTTGTACCAAGGGATGGTTATGGTTGAGTTTTGGCCATGATTGAGTTGACTCCAGGTACAGTCCCGCACCTTTCACAAGCCCAATAGTAGCTAGTGTACTGGGCCTCCTCCCCATGCGCAAAGGACCAAGGATTCACTAAGAGCCTAGGAGGGAAAAGCCCCTCCCCACCACCACCACTACTACCACCACCACCACCGGCGAGCAAGTTCAGCAACCCTTCCCAAGTTCCTTTTCAACCCAACGCCTCGCGTCTGGGCCGCTTATGTACGACCCGTACGTAGTAAAGTAGTACTTACTTTTATTACATTACTGCATTCCTCCCTTACCCCCGCCCAAGTGGCACTTGAGCTCATTAAACATCCCGACTGATCTACATTCGAACCTTTCTTCTCCGTCCACACCATCATATTTCCCGTCCCTGCTCCGCCCCTTATCTGCACACAAACCATACTTCTCTTCCCTTACGTTGACATCTAATCGACAACTCCATGATTGATACGGATTCATTATACACAAAAGCTATCGTTGTACCTGTATTGAAACACTTCAACTCGCTATTGCACATGGTGAGATAATTGAGCTTTTGGCTACGTTTGAAACTGGCGGAGCGCGCAAAGGCGTTTTTGAGCAGCGCCTGTGACGTTCGCGGCCATCTCCTGCTGACGGTCCATGTAAGTCTATATGGTTACAACTATATCCAATCTATCTTGTGGTACGATGCAATGGTCAAAGACAGCTCAGATTCATTCATCTGTAGCACCGTACCGAATTTGTCGACGATTTCCTTGAGCAAAAGAAGTCGAACTCATCATCAGCCTCCAACCACAACATCGAACACCGTCATTTTCCTATGTCTCCGACTTGTCTAACTGAGCCTTGTTTCTAGACACGTCTTTCCAATTACAACGAGACTGAGAACCAGAATTCCTACCGCGGTGCATGGAAGATACAAGTGAAATCTAATCTGTCGCATATCGTCATCGCCCAAGCCGTGCCCGAGGTATTCCAGATCGATCAGGGATCCTGATTATTTGATGTCGATTATTGATCAGCTTGTTCAAACGTCTTCATGTCTGGATTACCGCAACCCCCCAGGTCCACCGCCAGTTCCCCGACTCCCCAATTGTCGGCTCCGAGATCACGAAAGAACCTAGCCACTCTGTCGCATACGTCGAGGGCTTTGTCCCCGTCCCAGGCTGTCTCCAGGATGCGTGCCCCTCCTAGTCCCAGGTCCAGCTCTAGCAGAGCCATGCCTCCTAGCTCAACAACACATATTGGTTCGTCGAAGTCCGTCATTGGCACCAGGGTTCCCAGTAGTCCAGATACGTCACTGCGAAGAACGGTCAGTATCGCAGCCTTTCCTCAACCACCCAAAGCTGGAGGTCGTCCTTCGACTGCATCTTCATTGTCTGGAATACAAGGACTACGTTCTTCCGGGAGCCTCAAAGAACGAAGAAGCTCCAGACTGAGCATTGGGACAACCAGTAGCTACCGAACCTCTAAAACCACATCCCTCATCCCCGGAAGTGGGGACGTGAAGTCAGCTCTTGGTCATGAAATTCGAGACATGGATGCCTCGCCTTCACATAGCAGAAGCTCTTCGGCCCAAGGATCATATTCTACAAGCGCAACGACGTTTGAAGATGGCGATGATGCAGCCGCTACCTCCAAGTCCACTCTCAGGTCAAAAGAGAATAAAGACACGACGAAAGGTAATGTGATTGTGAGCGTCCGGGTACGACCCGACGTTGGAGGAGTTGAAGCAACAAAGTCAGCGGAATGGACGGTAGATGAAATGCGATCAGCCATATCCTATAATGGGAAAGAAGGTGGTGACTATTTCTATGGTAACCATCTGCTCCAAAACCTGTCTTGAAAAGATGGTGTGCTGACTTCCACTTTCCCGTAGATAATGTTTTTTCAACCAATGATGACAACGCAAAAGTATATGATGCTGCTGCAAAGCGTCTCGTGAGAAGAGTGATGGAAGGCTATCACGGTACGGTTTTCGCTTATGGCATGACCGGGACTGGCAAGACTTTCTCTATGCAAGGAACTGCAACCTCACCAGGGGTGATTCCACTTGCGATAACAGACATTTTCTCTTTCATCAGAGAGACGCCGCATCGGGAGTTCTTGTTACGGGTGAGCTACCTTGAAATATACAATGAGAGAATCAATGACCTGCTTTCAGCGCAGGTGTCCGGTGCACCCTCGGCTGCCCAGCAAGAAGAGATTAAGCTACGTGAAGATAGCAAGAGAGGCGTATATGCCACTCCTTTGAAAGAAGAGATTGTCCAAAGCCCGACACAGCTTCTTCGTGTCATTGCACGGGGAGATCATGCGAGGAGGACTGGCAGCACACAATACAATGCCCGGAGTTCACGAAGCCATGCGGTTGTCCAGATCGTTGTTGAGAGCCGAGAACGAGCCCCTGCAGGTCTTTCCCAGGATAGACGGTCAGGTCTGCTTCCTGGTGGGGTTAGGGTATCCACACTCAGCCTGATCGATCTGGCCGGTTCAGAACGTGCTGCTGATGATAAAGAACGTCGTACAGAAGGTGCCCATATCAACAAGAGCTTGCTGACTCTGGGCACGATCATATCCAAACTTTCTGATTCGAGAGAGAAAGCTGGCAGTACGATGGACAAAGAAGGCAAGCATCTGCCTTACCGCGATAGCAAGCTCACGAGATTACTGCAGCCAGCTTTGTCGGGGAATTCTCTTGTCAGCATCCTCTGCACGATACATTTAGGCATTGCAAACAAGACACATGCTGGTGAAAATCTCAATACTATGAAATTCGCAGCTCGAGCGAAGAACAGCATTGTCAGTCATGCCAGGAGAGCAGAAGAAGCGCTTGGGAGTGGTGGCGGCGATGCAGGAAGCCGTGTGCTTTTAGAACGCTATCGTCTGGAGATCCAGGCTCTCCGCAATCAGCTTGAATGCCAGACTAAAGTTGAAATTGAGAAAGAGCTCAGACTTGAAGAACAGCAGCTGGAAAAAGAAGCGCATGCCCGTCACGAAGAACAAATGCTTGAAATGCAGCTAGCTCGAACAGCGTTGAAGGAGCGGATCGAGCATTTAAATCGACTCATCTTATGCTCAAAATCCACTGGAGTGAACAACCATGGCGGGGTTTCTTCCTTTGGAAGACTTTCCAGGCAATCTGCTTTCGAAGCTGGATCAAGGTCTTTGCGATCCTCGGTTAGTCAATCTACTCTGAGCGCTTATGGACATTCCTCAGTTCGTCCCATGTCTTTTATTTCGGTGAGCAGCTATGACCCTGCAATCAGTACCCATCTTGCCAGCGAAGTTACGCCCCCGGAAGACGAAGAGGAGAATATCGGCGAATTCGCAGATGGCAAGGCAAGTGCCCAACGACAGATTGCAGCCCTCCAAGCTGACCTCAGCGATAAAAACCGATATATCTCGACTTTGGAGCGAAGGTTGTTACAAGCACGCCGCTCTAGCCATTCTCGTATGTCCATAGGCATGAAAACAGGCAGCCCGAACACCGAGGTGCCTGATGCGATGGCCTTGCTGCGCGAGAAGGACATGGAAATCAATGAGCTTCGTCAACAGCTGGATGATAAAGACCGAATGCTCACAGCACTCCGGTCTGCTGCTCGGCATCGGGATCTTGCCCACAATGCCACTGAAGCTTCTGGGCCGGAACCGAAAGAAAGTGTAGTCCACCGGAACAGTCTCATCGACAACGATTATGCCTTGAGCTACACTTCAGACAGCAACGTCTCCCCTCAGACAGACGGAAACTTGGAGGAGAAGCGGAAAGGTATGGACGAGATGTCTCGAATTCTTGATGAGATGATCCAAGATCGTGTCGAAAGCGGCCACTTGATCAAGGGAACGCGTGGTAGTGTTCGTGTCGTTACCGCCAGTCGTCGGGCGTCGGAATCGATACCTGGAGTAGCAAGGTTAAGTACAAGCAGCTCACACCAAGTGGACCCTAGCCAGCATCAAGCTTGACACAGCGACACAATTATTCCTAGAACAAATCCTGTTTGGGTCTTCCATTCGCGGCAGTGGGCACCGGGATGCATTTCGAACAGTGCATCGGTGGCAGAAGCGACTCGGGACCTAGAGTTCCATTTGCGCTGTCTCCACTGAACAATTGCTTGAACCACTGCGAAGTCGGGTGCACTGCGCATCAATCCAAAAATTTGCCGGATAAACCAGTTATACATGCGCCAGGAACGTAGCGCGCTATTGAGCAGGGCGAATCTCGCTTGGGGCAATAGGTCCGAGAGACCAAAGCACCCTACCAACGTCACATACGCCGGCACTAATTTTGCTGTCTGCCTCCTTGTTGTTTCCAAATGCCATCCCTTGCTATTCATGATACCTGTGGCCTTTGAGATCCACCATGATTAAATCTTCCTTTCCATGCTCGCTACGCCAAGATGAATTACCCTCGGAAGCCTCTCTCATGCCTTGTCTTGCGCGGATATTTTTATTTCTCGATTTTGTATCGCACGCTTCATGTTCATTGTTTTTGATTATTCTTGGATCCTGTCATGTCAGATACCCAGCTTTCCCTACTGTTATGAAGCGATTTAGCATCTTGTTACACGTCCTATATCCCAAAGTCCTCAGCAAGGAAATACTAGTAGGATATTAGTCTCACATTTTTAGTCAAGCATTGTGCTTTCGCAGAAGGGGTGTGCTGGTCACTGAATAAGAGCGGTAATCATCACAATTCTGTTGAAGCCTTCACAAGCCCCGAGCTTTAGCTGACGGCTTCACTCTGAAAGATCATTTACAAATTTGAGCTATCCATATATGATAACAGCGTAGAGCCCCTAGGCTCCCGGACTGGTGATTCTGATATGAAAAGCTCCGTAGTATATGACTGGTGATAAACTTTGAATGGATCTCATCTATCCTTATTCGAAAACTCACCTTTCAGAGAATCATGACCATGATACTTATGCAACAATTTCCATCTCGGATGCTCTATCTCTAGCATAGAAATCTTTCCATTGCTCCCAAAGCCTTTCTAGTTCTTGCACATATGATGCGTGAAGTAGATCGATGTATTTGTCGTCTATCTTCTCCCTGTCTTTTTGCTGAGTTACCCGTATAGGGCGGCCCACAACGATGTTAAGTGGTCGACGATACGGCATCAATCCAACATCATAATTGAAAACGCCACGAGCGTGGAATAAAGGGATCGTGAAGCCCATCATACGTTTGACAAACATCTGAAACTTGTGTATGATAGGATGGTTCTCAGATCGTATTTGTTCATAAAGATCGTTCTCACCAAATGCCAGTACTGGCACAAGGTCGGCGCCTGTGCGTATGGCTAGCTTTATGAATCCCTTCCTGCGCTTGAGAACAAGACGTAGGGTGTGAGGAAGAGCATCCAGCGATTCACGAGCACCACCAATGACGATAGTGATAGCACGACTCATTCCTTCGCCATCCGTGCCCCCTTTGGTGAGAATATTCTCACATGATTCGCGAGACACGCTTGCTATGCCCATAGCAAGCGCGTACTCCCTGTAAAACGGGATCCGGAAATTTGAGTCAAGTGTCAATAAGGTGTTCGTGATGCCGGGAAAGAGCTTGGAGAATTCAAGAGCTTCGGTAGCGAATGCCGCAAAAGCCCCATGTGATATGATGCCATGTGGATGATACCCAAAGATATATTTTCTTGTTGGTGGAAGAGGCTCTGATCGGTGTAAGCGGGCTGGAAAGTAAGAAGCATAAATTTTCCAAACGCGGAGCGAGCGCAAGAAGTTGCTCCGACCGCTCAAACTTCCTGATGTAGCAGCTGTCGAAAAGAGAGATATATATATAAGGTACGGTATCAGGACTGGCCATGAGAGTGGGATGGCACATGAGAAAAAAAAGATCGTCAAGAAGATTGCAATCGTTAGAGTATGGCAGAGAACCACAAGCGTCTGCAAGCGTCTTTCGAGGCCAATATTCAACGGTGCCCACCGAATCCTAGCGTCCTCAGTCAGTAGACATTCATGAGAAAGACATACTGCATACGTATACTGCGAGCATTTACATACCTTCTCCCACTCTGGCCCTTTCCCGTACTTCGACCACGAGCAGAATGATGATCATCAGCAGACAAGTCATACGTGTTAATGGTCGGTGATCGCTTCAGAGATGGCGGCTGTTGCTGTGCTGAGTTTTCGCTTCCTGGAGGGGCACAGCTGCCAGTGTTAGACATCGTGACTCAACTGCACTGATTGAGCTTGGTGAAAAAGTTTCTTGCGGAGGGTAAACTGGTACATGAACTTTGATCCGAGATCAAACCTCCATGTCGAAGTCTGGAACGGACGCGTCATAAAGTATGGATAATATGAAAGTGGTAGCCGATGACGGATGACGCACTAGGGAAATGATTTACCTCCTCGAGTTCAGCCTTCAGCTGGACCGAGGTACAATCTATTACGTACAGCAAGCACTAACTACTGTTAGCACATGATAATGTAATCACAATCAATTGAAGAATAGCCAGGGAAACGAGTCGATACAGTCTCAGAAAGGGTACCCATATCTTAAAGGAAAGCTTTCACATATCGAAGATGCTTGCCTATACAATAATTTAAAGGTAGAATTGAGGGGCAATAACTACTTAACAAAGAGCACTGAGGTACATAAATATTTTATAGTTCTTTATGTTAGGCTCCAAATGAAGCACCGCTTAAAACTGGTCATTACCATTCTCTTGGTCTTGTTTAAGATTATAGGATCACAATAGTCTGGTTAGGCCGGTGGCACTCAAGCCTGTTGAGATACAAGTTCGTCAAGGATCAGACCTGGAAATTGCATCGGACGCATACATATTACGCGATCACCAACGAGTTTGTCTTGATACAATTACATTGGGTATTCAGAGCAGAAAAAAAAAAGTTCGAGACAGCGAAGCAAAAGAAGGGAAAGGATATCTAAGCTAGATTTTCGTTGCGATTGTGTCACGGAATTCAGGACTTGACCATAAAGATCTAAGTTTAAATCAATTAGCACAGATGACTGTTTTGAAGCGCAAGTGTCTTACCTCATTCAAAGATTTCTCATCTAGGAGTGCTCTCTTTTTCTGTGCGATATGCCGGCTTCTGAAAACATGCCTACCCATGGGGCGACGTTCCTTTGATAGCAAAGGGTTGATTGTCGATGTATGTGCATGTCCGGCCAAGTCGCTATTGGAAACGTTGTCCCGCTCCGTGATTCTAAGCCTCGAAGATTCGGCATTATTGTCTTCTTGTCTTTCGTCGTTTTTCCTTTTCTTGGATTTCTTCTTACGGGAGGCCTGGGGATCTGTATGTTGCTTTCCACGACTGTCATCATTTTGAGTCTGATTGATGGCAGATAATTTGGACTTCTCAGAAGCATCGTCTTCGGGCGGGTCCTGGGCATTGACGGCACTGTCGTTGTTCGCACGCTTTTCAGTATCTGACTGGCTTTGTGCTGGCTCCTCAGAGCCACGGGCATCGGCCTTTTCTTGAACCAGGAATCCACCACTTATGAAATTGACCGCCTGCCATCTGCTCGCCACATATCGGGCCAGCTTTGCGTTTTCACGCTTCTTCTCCTCGACCCCCAGTTCCGCATCTGATTTGCCATTCAAGCGCCCCAGCAACCCTCTGAAAGCATCGAGGCCAGTAGGTTCGTCTAGCGCATCCCGCCTCGGTCGCGCACCAAGGCCCAGTGTGTCATCTTTGACAATGACCCGGATGTGAGATGCACTTGCGGTGGTAAATAGATCAGCATGTGCAGCATTTCGTGCCCCTAGGAAACTGCCCGGTGTCCATCCCTGAGAACTGAGAATTTTATGCCCAAAGCTAGTCGTTGAGCGTGACCAATTCGTATTATTAGGGTCGTGCGAAATCTTGGATTTCCTGGATCATGGGAATTAGAATAAAGGAGGCACAAACACTAGAGCCTACCTACTTTCGTGGTCCTGCAAGGCCCATTTGATAGATGAAGACGGGTTACGGTCCTGCTGGATCCTTTTTTTGTTAGAAGTATTTGTCCAGCACCAACTGTCGTGGTCTACACCATTAAAGCCCCTTGAAGAAGCAGGCGAAGAGAGGAGATGGGGTGATGTTTGAAGGAGAAAGCAAATCGACAGACTGTAAACGTACTCCGCACATTAAGAGAGAGAAAAATCTTAATCTGCCGGGGATTAGAAGTAAGATGAGCAAAAGACATTGACCGCCTACTTCTTGAAGTATCTCCCCACATGATCAAATACCAACTCCGCCATGTTTTGATCCACTCGACGTATTCCGGACTATTAATAATAATAATACTTAAATTTGTCCAGCAAATGGTAAAAATATTCTAATAAAACAGGAGGCAGATCTAAGATTGTACAATATAGTTCTACTTTTATATGCCCAAGGCACTATACTGAATATCATCAGTACAGGCGAGGCGTTGTTAATAAGTTACCAGTTCTTTACCAGATGCCACCCTTATATAAGAAATATCAATATGAGGTATTTTTGATATATGTTTCTTATATAACTCAAAGTTGCGATCTTCTCCATATATTTAACGATATGATATCAGAAATGTATTAAATGTCTATAACAATCCTCCTAGCATTATGGATTTACTTACTTAGGAGGCATGCAGTAGTCCCAGTTGGGGAGGCGGTAACAAAATGAATGGTTGTTGGAATAAACTGTGAGCTGCTTGTACTGGCACTGCGCCCATCTACTGCAACAATTGGGCCCGCCTGTATCCCGTGCTTGGGTTCCCCGGAACCTACTTGGCACAACGTGGCCTCTTGGTAAACTATAAACTGTACCTTTCCGTTTGATTCTTTCATTCCGCTCAAGAAGCCGTGCGTACACTGTACACGTACAAGATTATCGTTTTGAATATATTTCTACATCTTGTCCGGACAATAAGACCAAAGCTACCCCACAGTTGAAGGCAAGGCAGTATTCAGTGGCACCATGGTACGCTATGAAATGATGCGACTTGGCTCTAATTTGACATACAAACAGTATCGCTTACATACTATTCTTGACTTACAGGCTCAAACACCACAACAGAGGAAAGCCAATGAAAGGTATGCAAAGCATGAAGCTGCAAAGCGTGGCAAAGGAGGAGTGATGGCGAAGCCAAAGCAGCACCCAAGGTCTCCAGTATCTACTGGGTGGATTGGTATGTTTTCACTAGCCAGCAGGCCGATCATTATCTGGTAGGGCTAAGAGAAGTCAACAGTTATCCTTGCATTTGTTGTTTGTGGAGGAGTATTCCTTGAGTTACTGGGGATTGTGCCTCGGTTATGGTCTGCTCTGGTTACGAACTTCAGTCAGTTGTTGCAGTAGGTATAGATCCAGCCTGCTATGCCACTTCTATTGCGTTCTCTTATTCCCCAAACCAAGTTGGTGGCAAGTATAAAAACATTATATTGTGGCCTCGACCCCTCAACTTCTTGTGCAATGTCTTCCCGTGTCTGCCGCGGTCGTTCATGTTACCGCGAGGCTACCGCGCCGTGCAGAGGAACACTTATTTAGCTTGTTTATTAATGCTAGTCATACACCTTACGGTAGGGTAGGGTAATGCTTGCCATGGGCCTTGAACCTAGCTATTGTGGTTTGAATCATTTCTTGGCCCGCTTCTTTTTCTTTTTCTGCTGCTGTTCAGTGTTGGCCTGAGCTGTTCCGGTTTCACAATGAGGCTGTCCAGATCCCTGCATATCATTGGCCACGGTTTTCATCTTCTTCTTTTTCTTGACCAGTGTTCCACCCGAAGGTATACCTACTGGATGGACTCGCTCTGAAGCTCTCTGCAACTTCAGACGAAATTGCTCCACCTCCCGCATTGCTATTGCCATTTCCGCATCATCCTCAACCTTCCGCACACCCATTTGTTTATGCGACAATGGCCTGTCCTCATTCAGTTGAAGATGCTCCAGCCCACTGGAATCAACCTGAAGTACAGATCGTTTCCCTTTGTCGAATTCGCCGAAGTTATTAGTTACGCCAGGTTCCTCGTGGCCTATCATTTCATCGGGTAATACCTCATATCGCTTGGGATATGATCCCACTGTCTTCCGATTCTCAGACCGAGCAATAGAGGGCGGACGATACCCCCCGCCATCCTGCAATTTGAGATCGATGATTGGTATTGCATCGATGTCCAACTCACTTCCATTGGAGATGCTGAAAGAAGGATGAAGCGGGGCCGATATGTCATGATTATTGCCATTCGTCCCAATATAAAAAGGGTCATCCTTACTGCGTTCCTTCCGGTCGAGCCTCCTAGCATAGGTGGGCGTTTCTTCCAACATGATACTGGTTGGTACTTGGTACGGTGCGCTGTAGGCTGTGTCAAGCGCGACAATGTCTCCAAGCTGCTTGTTAGATGATAGGCCTTCCTTACAGTAGTAGAAATCATGGTACGGCATTTCGTATTCCGGTTTGCATGAACTTCCAAGATCACTTAGAAAGAGGTCACAAAGGCTACCATTGAACTCCCGGTGTAAATGAAGCTGATCTGGTGCAGTGACTTTCTTCTGAGCGTTGACGGAGACCGGGTTCAATTCTAGTCCTTGGAATAGGGTAGGAATAACCGTATTCAAAAGATATGGTACCTCGTTCCAATTATGCGACTCGGACTGCACAGCATCAGCTGCCAAGCGCATGACTTCTAGGAACTCGATAGCCCGCTCTTGCACCTCCAAATCGGGATGTAAACCCAGGAAGTCGAGGAACTCAATGATCCGGACCAACATAAGTGAAATCTCGCTCCTTCTTGTTGCTTTCCATGTCCCATCACTGGGCAGTAAGGCATTCAGCAATTTAGGAATGGCTTGTACATAGAGAGATAACGTTCTCCCTGGCAAGGAGAAATTAGACATATCAATGATGGAAAGGAGGGTTTGGTCGGGATAAAGCAAGTGCTGGGCGTATTCGCCAACCATCCACGCGAGCGGCCCAAGGATTCCATCGGTTGCAACCGAAGCCTTGGTGGAAAGGGACTTCCTGTTTTCAAAGGAAAGCAAAGACTCTGCAGCTCTGGTTGCTTCTGTGCGGGCTTCTTTGACCCGAACGGCCACGTTGCGTAACTCGGAACCAATCCGACCAGTAATGTCTGATTGATAATCGGTTTGTATTGCCATCCCGACACCATGAGGTAGCCCGGCATCTCCGACGTCTGCGGGGAGAAGCTTCACCAATCGCACCATAACCCCGACATACCAATCAAAATCGGACACATTGGCATAGTTGCTATGGCAGCATATATCGACTATTCGATGTAACACCTCAAGTTTGTAATCCGCCGGTAGAGGTATTGCTGTTTTGCGGTTCGCCAACTCCCCTCTCAGTCCATGGCTGTCCCCTACCGAGAACTCATCATCTGTCGTAACGTGATTATTCTCGCTTGGACCGCTGGATTCAACCAGCTGTAGAATCAATCTCTCTACGATAGCCTGGAGATTATCACTGCTGACCATCCTCGTTGCAAGGTCTAGAGCCTGGAGTCGAATTGATAGGTCTGCATCGTCCAAGCAATTCGTAATCACATCCTGATGCATCGAAACCAATGCCGGATATGCCGATAAAATTCTATTGAAGGCTAGAAGAGCCACATACTTGACTAGATTGTTCATGTTAGTTGGTATCGTAAGTGGTCGGGCGGACGCACCTACGGTTCGGGTCCGAATCCGAAACCACCATGCCCCGAAGTTTTTCCACACATAAATCAGCGATGTCGTCTTTCTCTTGAGCACCGTCATCACTGTCGAGTATGCCGCCCTGTATCAGGCCATTGATGCACTCGTAGAGTAAAGACATAGCGGTTGTTGTTTGGATTATGTTCACCAATGGTCGAAGCAGCTTTCGGACTAATCGTGGCTCCAGAGGAGTCAGTGTCGCAAACTGAGACCGTTAGATACATATTTGTGAAGATACTGGAAATCCATTAGTTTGATGGTCTTGATAACGTACGAGCTTTATGATCTTAATAGCCATCCAGTTGTTGCCTCCGTCAACAAGCAATTCGAATAACCGTGGCGCAAGAGGCAGAAAATCACGGGGCCGTCGCCATCCGAGTTCGCATACAACGTTAAGAACAGCTGTGGTGACGCTAGAATCCTCTTCATCATCCATGAGGCGTTCTTTGATTTTCGGCCATGCTAGCTTCAGCGCATCAGGATAAACGAGTGTTAGTCTATAAAGACACACAATTGCTTTCTTCCGAACCACGGCATGCGAATGGGAGATCCGAGACAAAACATCTGGAAGTAATGATATGGCGAGAGAGGTAGTTATAATGTTGGGCAATGTGATAAGGGGAAGCGACATGTTCGGAATGCTGGATGATACTAGATCCTGAATGACAGTCAGATATGTACATAAGAGATAGATGTGTGCTTGATAGCAAGCATACCTTTTTTAAAAGATTCGTTGCCAGCATGAGTACTTCTGTATCTGGTCTGAAACTTTGCACCGCCCCAAGATACCCAGCTCTTTTCTGCAGATATTTCGAGGATGACATGACTTCAAGCACATGGAACGATGCCCACGACATGTCATATCCAAACATCTCCAAGTATATCAGTTTCAACAGAGCGGTAGCCTTCTTATCTATAATGTGTTAAAAGTCAGATCCCGCAGAATATGTATGCCGTGCATACCCATATCCTGCGACTTGATTTCAGCCTTGCATTCTCGAAGAGAATCCTGTATGTAGTCATCCTCGGCCCCCTTATGGCTCCGTAGACCTTTTATAAGGTCATATAGCGACTTTTCAAACCTTGCGGCTTGCAGCGTTAGTTGTTGGTATACTCGAAATCGAGGTCAGGAGACTCACATTATTTTTGAATGATGTATAGGTAAGTATGGAGTGCTACCAGACTCATGGGCACTGTGCAGCACTATCAAAGGTAGTGATAGAGTGGTTCGTCCGATACCACCTACCGACCGAGCATGGGTGATGATTACGTCGAGGTGCTTCCCTCTAGGTCACGGGAACAGAACATTACTATCCACGGTGCGGAGTAGTTTTGGACCACTTTATGTTCCAACCCATTCACATGTCACCTCGTTTCCCCTTTGTGCTACGACTGGGAGCATCTCCAATTCCAAGTCCGTACAAGACCGAACTGATTTTCTTCTGACTGATCACTGCACTCAAGTGACAGCCTCATTATGGCATATGATAACCCTGAATTGCAATATGAACATAGCTCGAATATGATCACTATCTCACGTCTCTCACAGCAAGCGCCTAAAATACTTGAACGATACTCTTTACTGGGTGAAGATACTTCGGTCGTATCAATCCTAAACCTCGAGAATGCCGAGAATTTTGATGTGTTGGAGCAACTTGCCTTCTCGTGCTTGCAATCAGGGGATGACCGGTCCGCTCTCGTTTGCATTGATAGACTAGCGAAACGATTCGGTTCTTCGAATGACAAGGTGGCAGCACTACAAGGCTTGCATGAGGAAGCTACTGCGGAAGATCGCCCGGCCTTAGAAGGGTGTCTACATAAATATGATACCATACTTTCAGAGAACCCAATAAACCTGGTCTGTTCACCTCAGCATATTCAAGTTCCTATGCTAAAGCTGATACACCTCATAGCCAATCCTGAAGCGTCGAATTGCTCTTCTTCGTTCACTGTCAAGACCCGTGGAAGCCACCACGGCTTTGGTAGCACTTTTGGATGCTGCTCCAACAGATGCGGAGACATGGTGTGAACTTGCAGATATATACCAGACCCAAGGGATGGGCCCACAAGCGATTTTCAGCCTTGAGGAAGCATTGTTGATTGTCCCAAATGCTTGGAACGTATGATTATCTCTGTTGATGGTTCGTCTAAACTGAAAGCTGACACTTTCGCATCGCAGGTACATTGCCGATTAGGAGAAGTCTTGTATTCCTGCGCCGATTCATCTGATGTAGGCAATGCTTGTCATCTTTTACGCAGATCTATCCAGTATTTTTGCCGAGCTATCGAACTTTGTGGCGATTATCTAAGAGGGCTCTATGGTCTGCTCATGGTAGGCACCCGTCAACTTATTTCCAAAAAATCCTTTGTCTCACACATGGCAGGCAACATCACTTCTGCTTAAGATCAGGACAGGCCACCAAGAAGATTCATTAGTGACAGCCAGCCTCATGACGCATGATACCCTGAAGAATCTCAATTTATTTGCTAGGAAGAGGCTCGAGGAGATTGTCTCTCGTCGTTCTTCAGATCATCACTTGTGGGAGCACGGTCAAGCCGAGCTTATAGCCACAAAGGAGCTTCTCAGTCGCTTTGATAGCTCCAGCAAGTAAATATCATTCAATTTGTGGGAATAAAAGTGAAGATATCTTCATGAAGACCAGTATGAGACCAATCCCTATGGCAATATGTGCATTGCTGACCGGTTGCAAACGTGAGTGAGTCACTTGAGTCCAGATGCTTGTTAAGGCAATAACAACGGCGCGTTGTCTGACCAATGAGGAACTGCCACCCGCCCCCACCCATCAGAAGCATCCATACAATACCACAGAAGATCGATCAATTGAGCGTCTGCCGTAGATTGAGTCTGGGTGCTCCGAGTGCGGTTCTGGAAAGTATCACTGATGCGATATGTGCAACTACTCCGCATACTAGTTGATCGAAGCGAAAAACGGATGGACAACTAGTGCTTTGTAGGTAGCGCGTGGGAAGAATCCAGGAGCGAGGGGCGGTCTGTTTGCACAACCCGTTGGCCTGGAATTGGTTTCTTGATTGGGCAGTCGGGCAGCACTACACTACTTTTGCTTACGGGGGGAGAAGGAAAATAGCTGCCAGCTCAGTGCCTAATAGTACCACTAATGACGACAACATTCAAATTTGGAAATAGGGATATGCCTGCCATGCCCAAATCTCCACTGCAAGGCCTAAAACCGTATTGATCAGGCCGTAGCTTCTTGACATCCGTCGACGCCGTGAGTCCTCGGCGACATTCCATTACCCTTCATCTTCTCTTTCTTTCCATCTCCCCTGTGTCGTCCTTCTCATTTTCATCTTCATCCAATTTTTCGCCGGCTGGCTCTTCCGATATTCATCTGATGCATCGACTCGCCGATGTAAACCCGTCCCATTCCACATTTTCTTTTACATCGCTTGCTTCCCTTTGGCATCATTACCATTTGCTGTTGGCGCCCGCATTGAAAGCAGCTATTGCTGGGATTTCTGTCAGTCTCGAATCGTGCCTTGCTTTTGCTTAACCTTGAAAATAAATATCGGCCCTTCTCACAAGCTTTGGAGATAATGTGTCCTACGTTGACCGTCTAGGGCCATCGGTGATCACCTCTGGCTATCTTCAGTTCACTATATACCACCATAACTCGAGCTCGAATACTGGTGCCTTGAGAGATCATCTGCCTCGAGCTTCAGTAGTTCATGTGATGTCAATCCTGGTTTCTGCTTCGCAACCTCGGTCGGATTGTGTTTGAACTGCTTGCGCAAAACAGGCTTGGTCGTCTTTCACAAGTAAAAACGGAGTGAAGGAGAGCGAGAAGCCAGAGCCCTGAACATCTGGTGAACCCAATGACGTGCGTCTTTGTTCTTGAATTCAAACATTGGTGTTCTGACATGTACATAGACTCAATATTAGAATTGGCCCCGATTCGGAATCCTCTATCTCCGATGAAGAAGACTCTTCTGGAGTGCAGGTATCCCCACCTTCTGAGTCCGAAAGCCATGGATACCAGGAGCATTACGACGAATGGGCGCGTCTTAGATATCCGGATGAATTGAAACCATCGGATTCCGCTTCTCGACCCACAACATCACGCCGGATGCGTGCTCGTAGTACAATCCATGGCTCCTCCTCTGCCGTCCGCCGTCACTCAACAAGACACCATATGGCGCAGGAACGGGACTCGTTTGCCAGGCATTCGCGTCGAAATCCTTCCCCAGATTCCCCAGAGAGCGCTGACTCGGCTGAAGAATATGATGCTCCATATGGGCGTGTGCCTCAGGAGCGTAGGTTTTGGTCATCTGTGCCTCAAGGCACGGGTTACAGTCATCATTCATCTCCGGGGCAATCATATGCTTATCCCAGCGGGAATCCCATGCCGCATGGTGCATTTATACACCCTCATGGTCTAACGACTACATCGGACCAGCTGATAAGACTTGGCCATCAAGGACAGCAAACCTCCTACGGTCATTCTATGTATGGGTACAATTCGCAATTCCCCGGTCCCCCGCTGCCCCCTTTTCTCTCCCATGAACATCATCCAGGCCATCAGCCGCATCCGATCGCCGCTGCTTCCCATGGCCGGAACGAAGGGCTTGACCCATCCCAGCAGCAATTGTCTCACCATATGTCAGGACATGGCCCACCTCCCTACGCCCCTCACGACATGATGATCCCGTATGGACCGAGAGGCTATTATCCTTTCGGGGATCCTTACCGCGTGGTCCCTGGGACGATCCCGCCCTATTATCATCCATATCCCCGTGCACCATCCCCTAGTCACGCTGAGCCTCCCGAATCCCCTGTCCCTACAGCTGTTGATGCAGCCAAAGACGAGGCGATCGCTAGGCTAGAAAAACTGATACTAGAGGAAAGGACTGAGCGCGAAGCCCGGGAGGCCCGGGATGCTGCCAGACAGGCTGCTATCGAACAGGAAGCCGCCGAGCAAGCTGCAAGGGAGGAGCGTGCTGCGCACGAGAAAAAAATCGCCGAGAACGCTGCCTTCCAGGCAAGAGCCGAGGCCGAACAAAAAGCCGCGGAAGAAGCCGCAAAAGCTAAGAAAGAGGCTGAAGACGCGGCAGCTGCGGCAGTAGAGGCAGCTACAGCTGCGGCGACTGAGGCAGCGAATGCGGCAGCCGCAGAAGCTCTCGCCGCTGCGACAGCAGCCGCTGCAAATCCGGCACCTCCAGAGAAGAAGAAGCCTATAAAATTCAAGGACGCAGTGGGCAGAAAGTTCAGTTTCCCGTTCGACTTATGCTGTACCTGGAAGGTAAGACCAGACTCTTCAAGGTGCGAATGCTTTCTATGACTAATAATTGTTCCAGGGCATGGAGGAGCTTATCCGCCAGGCGTTTCTTCATATCGAGGCAATAGGTCCTCATGTCGCTGAAGGACACTACGACCTGGTAGGCCCCAATGGCGACATAATTCTACCTCAAGTATGGGAGACTGTAATTGAACCAGACTGGACCATAACCATGCATATGTGGCCTCTACCAGAGAAGTCAAAAGCCGCGGAGCCTCCACCAGCAGATGTGCCAGTCGCAGAACCCTCAACTCCACCGGAAAATCCACCAGTACCAGGTGACCATACAGTCGCTGTCGACGAAGATTCCAAGAAGAAACCCGACCAAGCAGGTAAGTCTCTTTTCCGGACGGTGTAACTAACATTTATACCTTTTTCAAACATATAGATAACCCGTGCACAGGCCCCAAGAAACCACGACCGAAGGCTCCCGACCCTGGTGCCTTTGCAATGTGGATGGTCGGAGGCAACCGCTTAAGGCTGAACAAGGCTTTAAAAATGGGAAAAAAGCCTAAGGCAGTCCAGCACGGCATCTCTTGCCGTGTTATGTGAAGTGACTGAGAAACTTGTGATTCGCTCTCAAATTGCGTATCAACAGGCAACATGCACTTTGTCGTGCATTGCTTTCCTGTTATGATAACATTGTCTTCGCCATTTCCTTTCGGCCTGAAGCACTATAGTTCTCAGGTAAGGAAACACACAAAGCAGGATTGACCTTGCCGAAACTAATCGATCTCAAACCTTAGCATTTTGTGACGAAGTCCCAGAATTCTTAAGTTTGCTCCAGAAGGTCTGCGTTAGGGGTGCATGGCTTTTCCTCTCGCTTGTTCGGGATCGGTTTCTCATGCCCATGCTGCGATCAAAGTAGCTTTGATGATTAGTCTCCACGCTAGTCATCACAAGGACAGGTTATTTACATGGCTGTATAGTGTTCGGTAAGCAAATTAGCCAGTTTATTTTGCAAGCAACTCTCGATCTGACTTTGACTTGCCTTAGCGCTTTAGCACTGATGTACCATGCTGCGGGTAGCCTTGTATGTATCCTCTCTGAATTAGTTATAAGAGTTTTGAAAGGAATATTACGTCTTGATACAAATTTCGGTCCTACGGAATACACCTAAAGACACAACATGAAAATAAGTTCCTCAAATCAGACCATATCAGCGGGATCTGTCTCCGAAATGTAAACTCATATTCATTCCTCTGCACCATATAGGCGGATACGATAAACCTAAATTATTGAGGGCTAAGCGGTTCCCAGCTGAGCTTGTCACCAATGGCTTGGCCCAATAGATCACTATGGTTCTGTAATATATGACTACAAATTTAGTACATGGCATTTCGAGTCATGAAAAGTTCGACACATTGAAAATCACTGACCTTGCGAGACATCGACCTAGCAGCAACGTCTTTTGGGCCTGAATCATACGGAACTGGTGCCACTTCCCCTCCATTCCACTGTGTTGTGCTTGTTGATGGTTGTGGGTTGTCATGGTTGTGTTTCAAGCTCTGAGAAGTTGGCCTGCTCATTTTTGGAGTTTGTGGGCTCGCTTGGTAAGGCGCTCTAGGTAGCTCAATGGTAGCATCGACGGGCTGCCTTTCTGAATCATGGAAAGTTCGATTACTTTGGTTCACTAGGAGGTTCATCCTCGGTGGTAAAGGCGGCCTGTGCGTATCACTGAGCTTTCCATCAGGGGGTGATATTTCGATCCAGTCATTTTGGTCCCACAAAAAGGGATTTGAATTACGATGAATGTTCCAAATATAGTTGTGCGCTGGAGGTATCACTTGCGATCTCACAGGCTTGCCTATATTCTTCGGTCAGAAAGTTGTTGACACCCGGTGCGGAGAGCAATGGCTTGAAGAGAATAGCATGGGGACTAACCTTGACATAACCACCATTTGTCGTATGTGGAGTTAATAGCCGAGTGCTCGATTCTCGTAGCATTTCCAATGTGAGATAGAAATCCAGAACCTGTGTCTGCTCGCTTTACTTTACTCGTAACCACGGCGCAAGGACTATGTTGGTATTTGCTATAGAGCATGTGCTGAAGACGAGCCTTTTGTTCTTCATTGAGAATGCTGATAAGGCATGTAAACGTGGCCCAGACTGGCCTGTGATCTGAGAATCGCAGATTGGCAGTATCATAGTCAATCTGTCGGAGATTCGACCCTTTCCATAGAATTCTGTCGCACCAAGCAGGTATACGTGCTTTTTCCCTGGTGTGTCTCAGTGCCTTGCTCGTACAAAAAAATGAAACTTTCAACTCACGAGGTGTCATAATCATCATTTCCAATATCATATTTATACGTTGGCGGAAAAGCGATGGGCCCTTCCGTGTAGAAGTGGAAGACCCTGCCCGCTAGCATTTGTATATTTAACTGTGATTGATGTCAGTGGCCTCAAAGCTCGCACGAAGCTCTCATCTTGAAATATACCTGGTCGTTATCGTAAAGCTTTTGGTAATCTCCCTGAAGAGCTAAGTCTCTAACGAGCTGGTTGCCAAGGCCGATTCTATAGTTAAAATCCCCAAGCCATACGATGGTGTCGTGGTCTTCAATACTTCTATTCCTCAAGAATCGAAGCCCACGGAGTATTGTATCATAATCTCTGTTCCTCTCATCATAATTAGCAAAGCCGGCAGCAAGATGAGCAGTGACGAAACAAATTCGGGTGTTCGAAAACTCGAAGCGAATTGCACAGCCTCCTTTGTTGCCAGCCATTCCTGAAAGACCAGTCTACAGCGGAAGATTAGCGAGAATCGAATGATATATACCCGTATAATAGATCCTAACCTTCTTCACACTACCTTCAACATTCTTGATATAATTCAAGCTATCCTCCCTCACAAATACCATGAGAGCAGCCCCAACCAATTGGCCGCCTCGCAGGAGAGCATATTTGGGAACCTTTCTCATCCTTGCTTCAGCGTTAAGGCAGCTTTGTACAGTCTGCTCCCATACTTTGCGGGTGGTAGGGTCAGTCGACATTATCTGCTGCGGACTTAGCGTAACGATCTCCTGAAACCCAACTGCAATGATCCGAGGACTGTCGCTCTGATGGCTGAAACACGAAAGCAACCAGGGCCGCAGATCAATATCAGGTCCCGGATAACGCCCGTTAAGGTTGAATGTTCCAGCCCAAATCTCAATCGACTTGAAAGAGGAATATTCAGATGATAGCTGGTCCAATTCGTCTATGATTCGATCATTGACCGGATCAGATATATGGACCGGGTTCTGGCCTGTCAGGCGACCCAGTAGAAGATCTATTGTTTGCTGACGGGCCTTGTCAGAAAAGTTATTGACATAAATGCGAGCCGCAGTCTTTCGAACATCTGCCAATGCACCTGCGATCGACATCTTGCCATGTCGAGTAAACGAGCTTTTCAGGGCACCGGTGCCTGCGTAGATCTTAGACAAAGCATCTCCGTTGTCAGCCCATAGAGTTGAGTGCCTCAATTCAAGATCATCGCCTAAGATACTGCCTTGTTGACGAAGAAACTCAGCAAGAGCCATGGAGCTTATTATCGATTGCACAAGGTTCGTCCTGTCGAGACAATCAAGGCAATTGGTTCGAAAAACTCCTTCTTGCTGTAGTATGACCGTGTTCCTTAACGAGTTCGACTTTTCGTTGAAACTTACGATGTCGGCTTCCTCTGTCTGAAAGTACGCGAAGCCTTGAAGAGAATGAAAGATCTCTGATTTTATCTGACTGCTAGCACCATATCCTGTTGGTCCCCGGGTCTCCGCATGGAAATCGAATTCCGTGAGTTGCAGAAGGCTGTGGTCCGAGAGGGGTCGAAGTGCCGCTTTTTGACTTATAGGGTCTCTTTTGATGAGTTCCCGAAATTTTCTCGAGAGTTCAACCTCTCCCGGCCTGTGTTCGCTCAGAAGATTGATCACATGTATGGCGCCATATTTCAGTTCCAGGTTCTTGAAATGTTTGTGGAAGGCATGTTGGCTTGCCTCAACAGATCTGGTTACTTCGATTTTCTGCTGTCCTGGAAGAAAGCCTGTGGCTTGCTCCCAGAAAATCGGTACCGATCCACGCAGTTGAACATAAGAAAAGGTAATATGAGGAGCAACCCAGAGAATTGTCTCGGTTTCAACGAAATTGGCTACATGACCATCATCGTCTATGCCGCGAGAATTGAATCTCGTGCCCGCACGCCGAGACGATTGGCGTGAGATTATTGTCAACGATGAGGGAAGGCGCGTGTGGCCTTGTGGCAAAATTGGAGCGTAAGATGGTATTGTTAGTGTGCCACAGAAACCTCGTATAACACAGGTCAGGATGCGCGAGGTATCAAGATGCTCCTTCTCAGCAGGAGATAGGTGCTTCCTGAAATTGAGCAGAGGACTGATGAGGTACGCATTCCAGAGCATATCCTCATCCAAGGACTCCACATCGAAAGTTGCCGACTTATCAGATCTGGTCATAACCTCGTAAGCCCAACCGTCATTTCCCAAGTGTAACTGGGCTCACCGATCCTGTAATCGATCCGTAAGGTTGAAATCGACACTGTAATAGAAACTGCCATCGCTGAGCAGTTTCTTCATGGACATAAAAGGAACATCAATGGCCGCATCCCTGGATTCATACTCGGGTTCGGTCCTGGCTGGTTCAGCTGCAATAGAGAAGTTCGCATCATAAGGAAGTCTATCTTCATATCTAGAATGGCTCAAACAGACTTAGCCTGGTCAGTAAATCACTGCTGAACCGAGGAAAGAAGCCTTACAGAAATCTACTGTGTCTATTCTGTACACGGATTCTCCAGGCCGCACGGTAGCGGCTTTTGACGAGCCGGTGATGACACTGAGAAAAACATCATCATCCAAGTTGATAAGCCCGAGAGTACCATAGCCGCTACCCCGAATTTGATAATCTTCAAGATTGACAGAGGATACAGGGACAAGGTCGACTAGGCATCGCGTTGTGGTCTCGCCGTCGCGACGTTGTTCGCTCAGGGTCTCGGCTTGGAATATCAGCACGTACTCAACAGTGGCCAGGGCAACAATGCGCTGAGGAAAGTCTCGAGTGTATATCCGCAAATTAGCCATGGTTCATCATGAATCAGGTGCTTGTGCATGGACTGCAGACATGCGATGTACTAGATCAAGTTCCCTTGAGCGGCCAGTAAGCGAGGCTCTACTAACTTTTAGAGCGGCGAGTACGATATCGTACTGTATGAGAACTTGAATTCTAAGGTATAACAATTTTAAGAGCGAGAAGTCCAACTTTCGTTGCTTTTGTAACATATGACGCCTGAGGACGTGAATTCAGCTCTACTGCTCTCGGTGAGGTCGGATTTAGGCCGAGTCATTGAATACTCGTCGTTCCACCAACCCACACACACCCTGACACGTATATAGGTCGGTAACACCTCACAAATATTATCCTCTCAATAATTAATTCCTTATATGTGACTTCGCAAAATATCAACTTCATGGATTTTAATTCTAATAGTGTATAAAGAAGAAGTTCGATTATTTAGAACCTACAAATTTGATATTTGAAATTAGTTGACGTGAGTATTACATGTCAACAGCAGAAGCTGGTAAAATATCCAGTATTAGAATATTCTATATTCCAGCCTATCTAGGTTCTTTATCTATAAAGAAGAATTTTGTGAAAAATATTGATAAAGATATTTTAACTAAATATCAATATATGGATAAATCCGGATTTCATAATCTGCGTATTAGATAAATTCTTAAGTAGTTCAATTATTATTATATTATTCTTTATTATCAATATTTAAAATTATTTAATGTTTTATATACTAAATTATATGCTTTCTTTCAATTAGAGAAGAAATAGATTAAAACATTATTAATAATTATATAAATATAAATAAATGAAAGTATTTAGTCTAGAGTAAGAAAATTATTTTAAAAATAATTATCTAGAATAAAAGCTATAAATATAATTACAAGTTTGTATAAATTAAAACTTAATTTTATAATATATAGATACAAGCCTTAGGATGCTTGCTTCGCTCGGACTTAGTGAAGAAGGAAATATAGCCTGAATAGGCTTAATTTAAAGATTTCAAAAAACTTATTTACCAGCTAAGCTCAGGAATTAAAAGTTAAAAATATTTATAAAAAATAAGTTTTTAAATCTTTTTATCTGATTGTTATTTCTAGATTTATTTCAAATTACTTATTTAAGCCTAGTTTAAAAACTGACTAGCACTCTATCATTTAATTAATCTTTTTAAACTTATTACCAGCCAAGCTCAGGAGTAAAATCTTAAAAATATTTATAAATCTAGTTTTAATATAGTAGTTGATGGCAATAGCTGAGAAGTAAGTAAATGAAAATATTAAATAAGAGAAGAAATTTCAAGAATATTTAAAATTTAAAGATTTAAAGGATTTAAAAGATTAAAAGATTTGAAAAATCTTCTACTAAGATAATATAGAAAGTAGTAAAATAAATAAAATAATACTATAAATATATATATATATATATATATATATGTATGTATAGATATAGTAAATAAAATGAAAAAATAATCATTATATATAATTAATTTATATTTATAAAATGATTTATATTTATAAAACAAAAAATTAACATATTTAAAAGATATTAAACTACATTACAAATATGTATAGAAACAAATAGATAAATTATAAGATTAATAAAGTAATGAAGTAGAAAAGATTAAATAAACAAATAGATAGATTATCAGCTATTTGGTATCATACCTAAAAATAATAATAAATATTAATATTGGCTATTATTATTAATAATACTACAATTAATTTAATCAGCAATCCTAATAATCTTACTGAATATTGAATAAATAAATATATAAATAGATAAATATATTTATAAACAACTTTTCAGTAGAAATTATAAAGAAAAAATAAAATATATATAAGTTTTTAAAAAGAATTTTTTTAAAAAAAATTAAAGTAGAAAGAAAAAGAAAATACTTAAATGAGTACATAGGGTTATAAATAAATTTGGAAGATATATTAATTTACTTAATAATTAATAAATACAATTTCTTGTATTATTAATATATACAAGTATATTTATATACTTAAGAAAATATTTATAATATTTATAGTATTTATAATAGAGTAGTAAATGATATAAAAAGAATTCAAATAGTTGTTACAGTACAGACTTAGAATAGCTAATCTATTCTGAATATCTGGAATATCTAGACTATCTTGTTTATCTTATTTACTTTATTTATTTTATTTAAGTATACTACTAATCCCAACTACTGTATATATAATATATAATTTATTTAATTTCTTAACTTATTATTAATTTTATTATAATCCTTTAAGCTATCTTCTATCTATAAATCTGAGAATAATTTAACTTAAGTAATTAATTGAAAATTAAGAAAATTAGTATTGAAATCTATTAATATAAATTATTATATTTATTATTCTTTTATTAACTTATATCTCAATATTATTTAACTTTTATTTTTTAAAATACCAATTAAAAAAATGCTAGTAATTTTATAATTTTCTATAAAACTAAATTCTCTGGAAAAACTTATCTAATATATAATAAAATAGTTAAGAAAACATAATAATTATTATAATAAGATTTATATCTTTACTATTATGTAGATTATGAGAAAAATTAATTTAAAAGAATTATAATTATTTATAATAACATTACTATTTACTAAATAAAATAAATTCTAGATTTAATTATTAAATTATAAAAATAATTATAATCTAAGATATTAATATTAAAAAATTAATATAAATTAAATCTGAATTTATTAAAATTATTTATATTATCATTTTTATAGTAACTATTTTACTCTAGATTTTTAAATTTATTATTAAGAAAATCATCAGCTACTTTAATTATAATAATAATATTAATTAATTTCAAATTTTTTATTGCTACTTTTCTCTGTAAATACTTATTTAATTTTAATAAAAACAAAAATAATTGATTTAATCTCCAGTAATTTATCTTTTAAATTAAAAAATATTAATATTAATCAATACCCTATTATAACTGTAGAAAATATATATTATTAATTATCTAGATAAGATTTCTTATATCTAAATCTAATTTTATATTAAAAATAGAAAATATACTTTAAGTAATTTTATAAATATTATATCTTTATTTAGATATCTTTTTAAAGACCTGGATTATATCTATATTACTAAAAGAAATTATATTATTTGAACTAAAAATACTATAAGTTTATTATATTTTTTATATTAAGTTTAAATATTTTATATAAAGAATTTATATATACCTGGACACCTTGTTTCTAATATTAAAAATCATCATTAAGATTTAGTATGCTTTTTATGAATTTGAAATAATTATTATCTATAATATAATTTCAAGAACTGAAACTGCTTCTAAAGACTTTTTATTAATATTATTTTATATATTATTAAAAGCTAACATAAATCCTAGAATAAAGGTTTTTTAAAAAGATTAGTACTTTTTTAATTTTATAAATATATTTATCTTTTATTATTTATTATTATAGGTTAAAATATTAGTTAATTAACAATTATCTCGAATCTGATATATATGCTTTATATATAATATTTATATATCTATTATTATCTACTTTCTATACTTATTTTTTTTATTATTTACCTTTTTACTATTCTATAAAACTAACATTTAATAAATTAATTTATTTCTATCATTTTAAATCCCTAAGATCTAAATATTCTAATATATATAGTAATAAATACTAGATATCTAATATCTAGAGTAATAGATAAGAGTTAAATTAAGATTTATTAAATAATCCTATATTTCTTACAGAGTTATAAAATAATTAGAAAATTTAATAACTAATACGAAAGATTAAATTATATTATTGATTATATCTAAATAATTCTAAAAAATATAACTATATTAAAAAGAATTTATTCTTAATTACCTGGTTTATATTTTATCTGATTACTCTTAGATTTTTATAATTAAAGATCTCTAATCTATAAGTAAAGTTTATAAAAATATATTCCCTAATTTATAAATTTATAATACTAACTTACTATAATACATTATTAAAACCTCTAAATTTTCAAATTTTATGTATATTTTTTAAGGTTTCTCAGGAATTACAGTATACTATATTTAAAAATACTTGAAAAATATCTAACATCTGTTATATTTATAAACTAGATTAATAAAGCCCTAGAAAATCTAATTAGACTTATAAATTTTAAATTATCTAGAATTATTATTAAATAAAAATTAAAATTATATAATTTTTCTAAAGAGAAAATTATCTTTATCTAATTTTTTATATAATATATTTTTAAAAAGAATTATAAATCCTCTAAAATGAATTAATAAATAGTTTTAAAAGATCGTATTTATTCTTATTTATTATCTGTAATATGGCTTATCTTATTTAATAAAAATCTTAAAATAATCTATAATTTTATATAGATTACTAGCTTTTAAAATTATGTTTATTTAAAATTGATATATATTTTTATTTATAAAAAAGCTTAAATAAATCTTAAGAAAATAAAACATTATATTAAAATTTAAAAAAAATATTTTTAATTTTTTTTGAAATTTATGAAAAAGTTTTATAAAATAATATTATTATTATTTAAATCTACTAGAATTTTTATTATATTCTAGTATTATAGTAAGAATATTCTAAAACATTATCTAGATATTTTTAATAATATATTTTGTTAAAATCCTAATTTATGGTTATATCTAATTTAACTATTTTAAATCTATCTATAAAATTTTATAAAGATTATTAAAAACTAGATTATATATAAAATTATTTAAAATATAAATTTATAATATTAATAAATAAGTTTCTAGATTTAATTTAAAAATTTTAAATTTTAAATAGATTTAAAAAATATTAAAATAATAGGTTAATAGTTAATTCTAATTAATATAATTAATATTTAAGATTTTTAAACTTTAAGAACTTTTATTAATAATTTATCTAAAACTTATAAAATTAATAGTTTTATTTATATAATAAATTGAAAATTAATTTTATTTAATTAGTCTCTGGTCTATTAATAATAATTTAAAAATGTTTTATTGAAATGCTAAGACTATAATTATTTAATTAATTTTAATATATTATTTTAAAATTCATATCTTAATTATATTTTTAGAAAGTTTTCATTTAAATATAAAAATAATAGAAGACTATATTTTATTATATTTTATATATTATATTTTTTATATTATATTTTTTATATTATATTTTTTATATTATATTTTTTATTATATTTTTTTATATTATATTTCTTAAGTGATATCTTATAATTTAATATGAGTATAAG